TGTCTCTGTCTCTGTCTCTGTCTCTGTCTCTGTCTCTGTCTCTGTCTCTGTCTCTGTCTCTGTCTCTGTCTCTCTCTCGTTCGCTTCTCCTCCTGCTGCTGCTGCCGCCGCTGCCACCACCGCCATACCCGAGATAGTTACCGCCGCCGCCACCGTATCTCGCCGTATACGTGTGACCACCGTACGATGTGTAGCCGTCGGTTAGGTAGTCGTGGTCGAAGTGGCTCGAGCCGCCGTCGGAATACCGGCTGTCGTAGCCGTAGTAGCCGTTGAACACGTTGCCTCGCATCGAGCTGCTGCTGTAGTAGTCGCGGTAGCTTGATCCTCGATCTTCATCTCGGTCTCGGTCATGGTGGGAGGAGCGGTGATGTCGTGAGTAGTGATCGGCCGAGTCGTCGCGATCCCTGCGATGCCTTTCTCTTCGGTCGTGGCTGCTGGAGCGATCCCGCCGGTGGCGATGTCCGCCTAGTTCACTATGGGAGCGTCTACCGTGAGAACTTCTTCCATGGCCGTGTCGGTGTTCTTGTGAGCGGGAGTGGCTTCTGTGTCGGCGCTCGCGGCTGGGGCTGCGGTGGCTGCGTTGGCTGCGGGAGCTTCGGTGGTGTCTTCGGCGACGATGCCCGGATCGAGATCTCCCATGACCGCTTGAGAAGGATGAGAAGGCGTTGCCCATCTGGTCTTTCGTGGACTTTGGAGGGAAGTGGTACTGGAGAAAGTGTCTGGTCACCCTTCGTTTCGACCTAGATAGTTGGTATATAAGTTTACCTTTATGGTCGCCTTTGCGGGTAATCAATTTCGAAGTTTATATCTGGACTAGATCTTGGTCCTCAGAGAAATGACCTAATGAGAGTGGTCGCTAACCAATGTTTAGATGGACGAGGAAAGGAGGAGAAGCATGGACAGATTCTTTGAGCTGGGCATATTTATATCTTTTCCAATGAGAACCAGCTTGCGTTGTGGGTGACTGTTTGCATTCTGCGTTGATCATAGTGAAAGGCAGTGATGAATATCTCCGGCATTGTCTTGAGTCGCTTGTTTGTCCCTGTGAAGAGTTTGCGTCGGCAGTGTTGTAACGGTGAAACCCCCCGCCGACAATAGTATCGTTGAAAAATGATGAATTTCATCGAAAATAGGACAATGAGCTTCCTCCAGACATCCTGTGCCTACCCGTATGCCCATACATGAACATATTCTTCTTCAGCTGAGAAGTGACCCATATGTGGATGTGAATGCTGTCTTTCATGCTTGAACCTAGGAGACTCCATTCTATGTGGCTGTGATCGATATGCCACGAATTCACCCGGGAGCGTCTCAACCTCCACCATGGTTGGGTAAGCTGGGTATGTGAACGCTCGTTGGCGGTAATATGGTCTATCTGCATTGTTGATCGGGCTTCTGTGAAATTCATTGTGCCCATGGTCACGCTGCTGCGATAGTCTCACATCTCGAAGCTGTCGTGGGCTAATTCCTGAATAGAAATCTCGATCCCAGTTTGGTGGCATCGGTGCCGGAGGCATCGTACCAGACCAAACCAAACTCGAGCTATTGCTCGAACTCGTGGCGGAGGAACTTGTGTATGAGGTCTCGACAGTAGGAGATTTCTTTGGCGAATCCTGTGATTGCAATGGCTTCGTGGGAGGCAGTGGAGTAAAGGGTTCTTGCTGGCTTGTCCTTGCCCCGGAAAAGTGCTGAGTTACTGGGGGGCGAACATTCCCACTGCTGGAAGGACGTTGCCCCTTCGTGGGGCTTGAAGGTGCTGTAAAGTACAAGTCTGGTTGCGATCTCACCGGGCGATGTTGGCGCTTTTGTTCAGGGTGAATTGATGATGATGAAGTAACCCTCGTATGGACCCGTCGGACCTGTGGTCTTCCAGGCGAGGACGGGTTGCTTGGTGGTTTCGCTTCATGGTGTGACGAGCGATGAGATGTGCGACGCGGCGAATGGTTGACGGTGATTCTTGAGAATGATTGTCCCATGCTTTTGGTGAAGACTTAGATGGTCTTATCACCTGGATGAGTTGAGCTTCGCAATCATGAGCGTTTGTCTCCTTGATGAGGATTTTCTACGTCGGCTAGGCATCTCACGACGCCACGAAGACCTCAGTGATGCAAACGAACTATCAGACCGAAGACCAGCACCTTTCGAAGGGTCATTATCCTGGACTGGAACACAGACTGCAGTCAGTAGACCATGGGTCTTCTGCCACCTACACAGTCTCACTTGTGGGAAATACTGTCATAGAATCGAGAATTTGATGAGCATTCAAACGACCGGCCTTCATCGTCTGATGCGGCGTTCTCTCAATCAAGTACAACGTGAGTGGCCAGTGGAGGAAGAGAAGGTTGATTGGTAGAGTAACACCATATCCGAAGACTGATAAAGCGAACCAAGAAGCATGCGGGGTAGGTTGCACAAGAACTGTTTGCTCATCAGGCCTTCAGCTGAATCTGACTTTCGCCACTGTAATACGAAAACGAGTTCATAGGACGCCGTGGCCATTGATAAAGCACGATGTCGCAACCCAGTCCTACATGAAGCAACTCGAACATGCCATCCAGGTTTGGACTAAGTCGCTGGCCATTTGCCTCCTTGACAGCTCTGATGTCGAACTATTATAAGCTAGTACAATTTGTCGCACAGGATCGAACGGCCCAGTTGCTTGCTCAGACGTTGGTAGAGATGTTTACTGAATAATTCTATATATAATACGAAAGGTGCCCTTGATACTCTTGGTTCGATTTTGAAGGTAACAATATTTCATGGTTGAAGCCTGTACCTCCGATATTGGGCTATGTAAAATTAATATTAGGCGTATAACGCGAGACTCGAGATAGGTCGGGTGTAAATCTCAGTCTCAAAGGACCAAGTCGTCAATATAAGACATTGAACAAGAAAACAAGAACTTACCAGCGTTGATGGTGCTCGATACTCACGCCTATGGCGATGGCTGTTCAAATCAAGTGTAAGCAAAATATCTGAGAACTTTGATGAGTCGATCACGCTTCACCTCTCTTGCGGATTTCTCAGGTTTAATAGAGTTGCCTTGATTGGCGCCCAAGCCATATCCTTGCGAGATACATTGTCCAGTATAACCATAATCAGTGGTAAGAACACTTGTCTTGGCTTTAAGGGCCTTCCCGTAGGTGAACACGGCTTCTGAGCTCACAGGTACTGTCGATTTGCCCCCAGTCGACCTGGAATCGGCTTCTGTAGAGTTTAGATATGTGGTCGCTGTGCTGAGATTGGACTTAATTGTAGTGCTAGGCTTCTGAGTGCTCAAACCCCCGGTCTTGCCAGTTGACTTGGAATTGGCGGCGGCCGAAGCTTTTGCTGTCTTTTCAGCTTTTGTAGTGCCCTTTGTAGAGTTCAGATATGTCTCCCTTGTGCTAGGCATCGAGTCAGTCAGAGTATCAGCTTTTTGGATCTTCGTACCTTTGCTTTTGGAGGTCGACTTGGAATTTGCGACAGGACCGTTTACAGTCTTGTCAGCTTTTTCAGCCTTTGTAATCGGAGTCTTCGTAGTCTGAGCGGTCTTCGCAGCCATCGAAGGATTTTTACTCTTCTCAGTCTGTACAGGTGTCGCAAACCTCGCATTCTTTTCAGTCTTCATATGTTGTGCAGGCTTCGTCGTCTTCGCTGGCGTGCTACTGTGGTAATCGCTCGATGCTTCAGTCTTCATTGGAGGTTTGCTGACCTTTGGACGCGGAACGTCAGTCTTTGCCCTGCCAGCAGCATCAGTCGTCTTCTTCAAGCCCTTGTCTGGAAATCGAGTGTCCATTTTGAGATCTGATGTTACTTGAAAATTAATAGCGTACTTTCCTCGATTGCAAAGACGTAAAGATATTGAGAGGGTCTCGAAGACACTTAATATTTCAGTCTCCGGTTTGATATTCTGAGTCGCAGTATCAAATAAACTTGGTTACCGAAAATGTGCCTGACGTCCCAGGAGGGGTGTCAAAATCTGATATAAAAGGTCCAGACCTGTGCAATGTCCTTGTCGTGCTTCCCTACAATAACCCCATTATCGACCCTCCACCAGGACAATAATGGGTTTGTTCATGAATTTCGACCTTTGTGCATTGTCCTGAACGTCAACCTTATGCATTTGGCTCCTCCATGTCCTGGAAGGGAGTCGTTGATGCTAATTCAAGGTTGCGGACCTCCGACTTTGACGGACCATAGGATCATTGAGAATTGATTGGGTCACAGCTTCCAAACCCTGATTCGCTGCGCATTGATGCCTGACCTTGATCCGGGGAGCTGCTGCTGCCGCACCATTTCGCTTATTTCAATGCAATGAATGAACTGGAGTTCATACTAGCCTGTCCAATTGCTGTTGGACACGATCGTTTGGTCTTGATGAAAAACAACCAAGCAGTCTTTCTAGAAATTATGAGGAGTGATTGTAGACGCTGTTCCCGTTACTCGATACCGAAGCCCCGAGCCGGGGTAAGGTGGTTAAGTCCAGGGCGCCTCCTGAAGCCAGTTTACTAAGTGTTGAGCCAACGGGAAGTTTCACAGTGTCGACCAGTAAGCTTTTGGGTCCATGAATGAGGGTTTAGCATCCTCCATTGCGATATTTTTTAATGGCTGAGGACTCGAATTATCATCATGCCACGACAAGATCATAATCACATCATGAATTGCTTTTCATGCTGGTGATTTCGCACGAATCGGATCCAACGGGCATTTGCTTCCTTCCAACACAGGTCTTTCCTATGGGGAGCTCCCACGGTGCAGTCAGTAATTGGGTGAGGGATGGTTGATCAACTAGCGGCGTGTTAACGAACTGGTGTTGCGATTATCAATGAGTCGGATGACTAGCCAGCGCATATCCTGAAATCTTTCCTCAAAAGTTATAAAGTTGGCCTTTTAAGGATACCTGTGGGTAGTTTGCATTACCTATTTCCACATCGTGGAAGTCCTTTCTGGATACACAGCCAACTAATCTTGGACATTGACCGCTGGTTATTACGAAAGTCGCTGTGGGTGATCAATGGCTGTTGCAAACGAGGTACTAATATTGCCGCTCCGGTTTTTTAGCCGATCAAGCTCATTGTTCCATTCAGCTGAATGAAGACCGCAATGAGATCGCTGATATTCAACTTCCGGATATGGCAAACAATGGTACTGCCAACGGAGACACTGCTGATGGCTCTGGCTTGGCCGCCAAAAGCATGACTTTCGAGGAAATACATGCTCACAAAAGCACACTAAATGGCGAAGTCTCACTTACCGGAGTGACCGAGGATGTGCAACATTTTCAAAGGGCAGCAAAATCCTTCCTGGCAGTTCACCGTGAAGAAGTTGCGCAACGAGACCTCCGGATTGATCAACTCCGGAGCGAGTTGCTCCGACTTCAGCAAATTACTCTTGAGAATGGCGGACTTCCAGTCGAGAGTCAGTGCGACCATATCAACGCTGACGATGAACAGCAGAAAGGCGAACAAGCCGTTGGATTCAGTGAAAAACCATCTGATATTGCGGTTGACAACGATCTTGTGAAAGGCTCAGACGAGAGCACGACGGCCTTGGACAAAACCTTTCATGGTGAATCCGAGCAAGTGTAAGTTGGCTTCTGTACCAAGAGAAGTAATATAGGTACTAACCAAGTGGCCAGGAAAAATGAGATGGATAACACTTGGAACAAGTGCTTCATTGTAGTGGAAAATGCTTTGGAGGAAGATCTGCCAGAAGATGTGAGTATAAATCTGGTAATACGGCATTTCTGACATAGCAAAGTATCTTGCCAAATGGAACCCTGGCAAGTGGCCGACATTAGAGGAGAGACTCCCACGAGTTGGTGCAGTCCTCATGGCGAACTCAAATGATCCAGTGGCGAAGAAACTGCGGACTGTTATCATCATGGCGCTAGTCGCACAAGCGTTGGAGGAGAACATTCTTACCCCGAATTACTTACTGGAGGAGGACGATGAGCTCAGATATATCCTGCGATCACTAGTGGACAATTCGAGAAAGAATTCTCTGCGTACCTTGCTGCTAGCGGCTTCCGAGGAAGGAGACAGGAAAGCAGGAGTCAGAAGGAAGCGAGTATCCGCATCACTCGACGACATTTCTCAAACACTCGAAACGCTCCTTCCCCCAAACATATTGGGGAATCTTACCTCTGCACTCGAGTTCGAATTGACCAATACGACATTGAGATGGGAAATAGTACAGTGTTATGAAAATCACTATGAAGTCAACGCCTCTGTGACCCAGTCGCCTTGGGATTGGAAATCTGTTACGTTGACAGATGGATGTATCTCCCTACTTGATGTCAACTCGACTGCGTTTGCAGCAGACGAGGCAATTCTGGTCGTGTTTCCAAGAGCGTGCGCCATTGATCGATCAAGAAAACCGTCCTATACGGCAGTTTTCCATGGAATCGTACTTCAAAAATCCCAAGCAGAATTTAGAGAAGCTGCGCGATCGGAAAGAGAGTTGGCCGAAAGCAGCGCGGGTGACGTGAAAACAGAAGATGTCACGATGAGTAGCGAAGAAGCTGGTGTTGGAGAGAAAGAAATTGACTAAATGGCATTTTTCGGCACAGCACTCAATCCACTAGAAATGTCGACAGGGAGGAAGCTGGAAGTGAATTGTGAAGTCGAGTTTGAACAAAAGAAAAGTAAGGCAGAAATTGTCTTTTCATTGTTTCAATTAGTTCTGCATTAAAATTGCAAGGAAGAGGAGTCATTTCAAGATAGTACACTCGTACTGAGCGCTTTGGCCCAGTGATTTGATTATGGGAGCTTCGAAAAGTAATAATCTGTAAATTACAACGGCTATAATTCTTGCAGTTTACTAGTTAAAGATTCCATGGGTCAAGATCTCTCTGATTTTGCGTTGGCGATTTATTCTTTCTTCCGTGGAAACCCAAGAGAGGTATCCAGATTTGAATAGCCCCATTAACCGCATACATTTCTTGCAAAATCATTGTGAAGCACGAACAAGACAAGAGTATCCAACGTGTTATTCCTCCGAGTCAGGGAACAATGCCTTCAGATTCTGTTTCAAAGGAATTTCTGACGTATAACCAATATGTCGCACATGGCTAACGCTGAACATCACCGGTCAGTCCGTTCTAAACGTACTACGAAGAACTTGAACTATGGTCACTTCGGCACCGCTACTTTTGAGGAGTCTACGCACAAATGGCGCTTTTTGCGCCAAATCCAGAGTTATCACAAACTGGATTCACATGGTTCAGAGTGGCCTGCCTTTGAACTCGTGCATGAAAACGTCCAACAGCTTAAAGCAACGGGCGTAGAACGTTTTGGTGCGACCGTGAAATGTTCAAGCACTCCTGGAACGAACCACATACTGCTGAAGCACATACCGGAAAGTGCCATTGTTGTCGAAAGTCTCTCAGCGTCTTCTATCGATCATGCATCGAAAGACATAAGCCGGTCCGAAAGTACGGGAGAGCTGATTGCGTTTGGACATGCCCGAGTTTTGGGTGATGACGGCTTTCGTTCGCGGCTAATGCCAATCGTGGCGTTGCCAGTTGGCATAGGAGGAGAGATTCTCAGACTACATGGAATCGACCTCAGCCGCTTTGTGCCTGATGATGAGGTTGACACAAGAGGCACTTGGAATGTTCCTTGTATCTCGCTCTCAAGAATTGGCCGTTGGCGCCTGTTAACAGATCCGATTCTACAGATATCCTTTAGCACGAGTGACGATCAAACACATCTACTCATTCGACAGTCAGGAGGGACGAGCATTCTTCGACCGATCATTAAGTCAGATGTTAGTGCTGTTGATTCTTCCGGTTCTGGGAGCACTGAGAACCATGCGGGTGCTTCACCAATTGACCCCAACCATATGCTGACTATTCCGAGCGCCAGAACTGGTGGGCATCAGCATGCAGACGCGGTTTTCAATCCCAAGAACCCGAATGTGCTGGCAATTCTTGATGTTAGTGGACAGTGGAGTGTGTGGAAGATGAAGGGAAAAGAGCCTCTATCGGCTCGTGTTACTGTGAGAGCAAAGATACTCCGCCGAGGAAATATGTTCGGCAGCGACCTTTTTACTCCTGTCCAAAATGTCAGACCTGATGGATGGTATCGACTGTGCTGGTTGAACAACACCTCAAGCAAGACTGATAATTTTTTCGTCTGTGGTCGTGCCTCTGCACATGTGGCCGACAGCGAAGGCGTATCAGCTATTCAGGCTGATATGCGGCTGGGACCGCCGTCAGATGGCATCGTGATTCTGGATCTTAAGCAAAGTGTGCGAGACATGCGAGCACTTTATGTGCTTTCAGGTTCTCGCTTGCAGATTTTCTCTGCAGATCAGTTGGACACAGGCTCAAGCTCTAGGACAGAGCCTCTCAATCTTGTCTGTAGCTGGAGTCATTTTCGGGACGAACGAGACCTTGATATGAGGATGAGTATTGTGGAGCATTCGCAAAGTATGTGACCCGTTGGATTTGCAAGGAGGGTTCGCTGACACAAACAGATACTTGCATATTTCTGCATTCCCATTCGAGCAGTGTCGTCACTGTCTTCCAATTTCACCATGGCAAATCAGGCCCAGAGGTCGAGTCCTCCTGCGGACCTACTACGTTACAATGGCCTGAGGCACTTCGTGGAAAAGTTGCAACGATAACAGGTCTTACGATTGTCCCAGTTGATTTCCGGGTCAATAATCGTGCATTCAATCGCTTAGATTGGGGCGTGGTAAAGTTTGTGGCGTGGACTACCCATGGCGAAATCATTGAGGCCTTCTATCGATATAAGATAGGTAATGGCATTGAAACGAAGGAAGCGAACGATGTTATACCTCTCTTACCTCTTCCAAAAACCACCAAGAACCGATATTTTAGCGGCAGACTTGTTGAAGAAAATGATTTGGATGATTTCGTTGTTGAGGACGGTTTGGCGTTTGAGTATGAGGTACAGAGAAATGGCGAGCTAATGGAAGTGATGCGCAAAGATGCACATGCATTCTCTTCTGCTCCCGGAAGCCGCTTCTGGGAAACGATACTGAATTATGAAACTCTCAAGAACGATGAGGACTTCCGGCCTGTCATCTCGGACTCCTTCAATCAGGCTTCCCAGCAATATACTGACTTGGTGGACGAATCATTACCCCTATCGACCCTGGCAAATCTTTTGAAAGAACCTCGCATTTTGGACCTAGAGGCCGCCTCTCAGAACATGGATAATTGGATCAAATGGATCGGTGCATCTGAAGAGATACACATTCAGCCAACCAAAATCCACCTGACGACGCTTCCCACTGAAGTGGGGACCGGCAGCCTACTCACGCTTTATGACACATTCCTCTTTACCTACATCACTCCTCTATCCCCACATATCACCAATAGGAATCGTGTCAATCGGGAGAAGATAGTTCGACAGACTGCCACTGATGCTTTTCTCAGTGGTCTAGGATTACGATCACGTTTGAAAGTCGAGGGCAATGACAACGATCCTCAATCACCAACCCAGCTGCTGTCTTCTCAGACATCCGTGCCTACAATTTCAAACGTATCTGCTCAATCAGCAGTATCTCGCCTACGGGCATACGCAACTTTCAGATCTGAAGCTGATGCACCTCCGGAAAAGGTTGGTGTTATGATTTCAACGATCCTAGACCATCTTCCAGGTACTATCGACAGCGACCCAACAAACTACTCGTACGAGATCACCAACAAGAGGATACAGAATGCGCAAGATGAGGAAGCCGAGTTATCACTAGACCCACGTGAAAGAGCAAAGATCAAGAGGGAGGCTGCCAAGCGTCTCAGGAATCTTGGAAAACAAGCACAGTTCAGCCAACAAGTTCAAACACAACGATCCATGATTCCAAGTGTGACGAACCACCACTTGGCACCAAGGCTCCCCGGAAGAGAAATCCAAAGCAGTCAGCCAGCAGTCCCTGCACCAAGCCAGAGTCAAGGAGATGGCCCCGGAATGCTCACCATGTCGCAGCCCGTGAAAGGTGTTCATGGAATGCGACCGTTGAAGAAGAAAACGCCCAAGGCAACACCTGGATTTTGAGCGATTGATAAGATTAGATACCCCGGGTTTTGATTTCTCCATGTTCCGAGGAGGAGGCCGCTAGAGTGGGTAAGTGCGGGGGAGAACAGGTGATTGGGGCTGATTGTCGCGTGAGGTACTCGTAGGGAAGCCTAACGTGACAGAGTGCGCGAATTGTGAATGAACCCATGGTCAACTGACTCCAACCGGGCACGGGGGCAGGAGCTATCCTCATGTTGCCTGTGCTTCGTACCTGGCGTCAAAGTCCCTCACTGGCACCTCACTCCTTACCCCTCAATCATCACAACCTCAGCTTGTAGCTCCCTCTTCCCTTCCACTCATCTCTCTCTCTTCATCCCATTGCCTTCATCAGCTTTTATACCAATCCATCCCGCTTCCATCACCAAGTCTTGCCCATCACTTCATTGGCCCGTCGTAAGTTTGACTCCCACCTCCGATACACGTAGACGCACACACTCTCTGTCACTTACAAACCTATCCCACTTTCTCATCCTGCTCTGACTCTTGCTCTCCCTCTTTGTTACCATCCTGACTGATCCTGATCTTGACTCTGTGTTCAGTTCATCTCCCCACTTCTAACATCTACTCATTCATCATGTCCGCCGATACCTCAGATCTAACCAAGGTCGATTCCGCTATTGGCGGCGTCTCCGGTTCTCCTCCCAAAGAAGGCCCAAAGGAAACAAAGCGAAGAACAACATCCAGTGCCCCTGGTGTTTTCAATATCCTTGACCTTGGTATGCATCTACCGACACGATCAGCAGCTGTAGCTGACCAAATTCCAGAGAAAGAGGGAACAAAGATCAGTGTTGCCCCGGAAACACAGAAGACCGGCTGGTAAGATGGAGTCACAGAACGAAACCATACGATCTTGACTGATTAGTTTAGGAAACTGAACACCTCAACGAGCACGGTAGAAGATCCTGCAATTCTGAAGAAGCTCCTCACCACACCCCCGGTCAAGAAGATCGATCTCCACTTCCCCCTTGGCCTTGAGGTCACAGCAAGAAACCTAAAAGGCGTGACGATCAAGGATGCATTAGACGCGATTCACAAGCAGTTCAAGAAGAAGGTGAGAGCTGCGCCAACACGAGAACAACCACAATTATTGACATATCTTCCCAGGCTGATGACGAGATGGAAGAACCATACCTGAAAGGCTTTGAATGGGACCCTGAAGAGTCATACACGAGACTGAAGGTACATACCCAGAAAGAAGGTCTACCCGCTGCCAAGAAGGGCAAGAAGAAGGGAGGTGACGAATAAATCATGCACCCATGTCCATCAAGTCATCACAGACGATCGCTCCTTGTCGAGTGTAAGACCAACTCAATACTGTTACACAATCAGATCCAAAGAGATCCCATATCCTATCGAAAATCAGGATGGTATGCATGAAATGAATGGTGCTGGTGGGGTTCCGTTCTCTTGAGAGGCGACCTTGAGCTCAATTGTTGCTGGTGAATGGGCCAGGTGGCTTTGAGTAGCTTAGACCTTCAAATATCATAACATCAAACTGATGGTATTCGTTTCTGTGACTTTCGATGACCATCTGTTTATCAAGGAGATGCTCGAGTGGTGATCTACGAGCCTCAAATTGAAGACTGAGAACTGTGTGCCAAGAGCATCACGGTCCAGGGAATCCATATAGGTACCTAGGTAGGTAGATATGACAAACGTCCACACACTAGCACTGCCCAACACCAAAAGAGATAGCATAGATTCTTATCGACAAAGGACTCAACCTATACGTGCCTAAGTACCTTCGGACCGCTCACGTCAAGAATCCTAAAAGGAACACTATTTGTAAAATAAGAAAAAAAAGAAGTAGACATTCGAACAGTGAGCTACTAAAAAAAGTTGAACCCAGCCTGATTTGAACAGACAGCCTTTCGATCTGGAGTCGAACGCGCTACCGTTGCTATAAGGGCGAAATATCAGCAAGAGGTTTGGGTGTGTGAGTTAACATTGGTTAACACTTACCGCCATAGGTCCTGAACCGATTTCTGGGCAAAAACTGGTTGTTTAAAAATATATCGGTTGTATCAAATTGCCAAGAATTTAGCTTAGAGAATATGTCGATCGTCCATCCACGGGTAACCACCACCTTATTTTCCTAAATACCTAGGTATCTACCAAGATACCTAATGAAAATAAAGCTGGTACCGTCCAGCTGTTCGACACTGCCATATCTTGCTATATCTGAGGCTCAATAGTGAACGGGCAGATCACTATAAACTGATAGTACAGTTTTGAGACTTGCCTTTGTGTCCAATCGAAATCACGGTTCGTGTTGGAAATAATAAGGGTCATTCATGTATGAGCCTCACCTTGAACACTGGCGCTATTCTGGTGAGGCCAATAGACTCCTCGCCCAAAAGCGGCCTGGTCCACTGCTACATGCGATTCTCTCTTCATCTAACACAATGTACCGAGTGCAAGTTCCATATTAAAGTCCGTCAGCCATCCAGAGCAATAGAGCCCCGGCTTGCATCATATGAGGAGAATATGCACCTGGGCAGATTAGGGACAAGTGATGACACAGCTGACACTGACGAGTGGCGCCTTATGGATGCCGATCCTCTGGTCAATATATTAGCCACGATCACCGCCGATCAGAACTTGATACGTCTAATTCATAGAAATACAAACAATACAGAACTTGATCCTCCTATTTCAATCCTGAGGAATATCTACCCCCCTCTCAAGCATCTCGGTACAAGGGAGGTACGTATCGAGGAAGTCAGACAACAATGGGATCAGCGCCAGCCTCAACATCTCCCTCTCCAGCCAAAGCAACCATCCCCATGATCGACCTGAGCGCTTTCCTCTCCGCCGAAGACAGCACAGCAGAGCAACGCCTACAAGCCGCACAGGCCCTAGTATCCGCCTGCCGCGAGATCGGGTTCGTGTACATCGCGAACCATGGCGTGCCGCAAGCGGAAGTCGAGCGGGCATTCGCGCTTTCCAAGGCGTTCTACGACCTGCCCGCCGAGCAGAAGATGAAGGCCCCGCATCCGCCAGGCTGGAGCGTCCATCGCGGGTATTCGTGGCCGGGGCTTGAGAAGGTGTCGAGTGCATTGAGCGGTGTGGACGATGAGGGTCTCGTGGCCAGCTTGAGGGAGGTGCAGGACTACAAGGTCGGTGAGCATCCCTCCTGGGGTTCAATGGGGGCTAGCGATGATGATCTTTCCCGGACGGACTTTAGATGGAACAGCTGACGAGATACAAAAGGAGAGCTACGAGATCGGCTCCGAGTCAAACCCGGGCCAACCCAACGTTTGGCTACCGGACGAGATTCTCCCAGGTTGGCGTGAGTCTATGACGGCGTTCTACTGGACGTGTTTTCACGCCGGGAAACGCATCCTGCGTGCCCTCGCACTCGGCATTGGACTCGACGAGGACGCGCTGCTCAAGTTCCACAGTGGACATTACAACCAGCTGCGTCTGCTGCATTATCCGCCCATTCCGGCCGGAGCGATCGAGGACGGCAAGTTTGCGAGGATGCCTGCGCACACGGACTGGAGTACCGTGACGTTCCTGTTTCAGGACGATTGTGGAGGGCTGCAGGTTGAGGATCCGAAGCGGATGGGCCAGTTTATCGACGTTGAGCCGATCCCGGGGACCGTGGTCATGAATGTGGGCGATCTGTTGATGCGCTGGAGTAACGGTGAGTGTTGGCCGTCTTGGGGGATGCTATTAATATGCCGGTGAAGTGGCAGCACTGACTTTGCCGACTTGTAGACTATCTGAGGTCGACCATGCATCGCGTTCGATTGCCTCCACTACAGGATCGATTCTCGGGCGATGAGAAGATGACAAGAGCTCGTTACTCAATACCCTACTTTCTCACCACAGATCCTGACCTCCTGATAGAGTGCTTACGGGTTGATGAACATCATCCTCCCAAATATGAGCCGATTACCCAGCGAGACTATGCAGCGATGCGAGCAAGAGTGCAATACTGAGCTGTGTTTGTCCATGTAGTATCTCATTGACAGGATCATATTAGGTACATATAGTAGTCGGCCGGTAAACGAGGTTCTATGATAATCAGGTTGAAAGCTCCTGTAACTCTTCGCCACAGCGGATAACATCAGACCAGCTCACCATCGACATGGCATCATGTGATATTCTGTTCGCCTCGAAACAAATGACCACAAGTGTTGACCGAGTAGTGTTGTTCCCAGATTTCTTATTTCTCATAAAGTATTCGTAGTCTCCCCCAACCAAATCGTTTCTTCATTTCGGTTCGTAAAGCTGCCTATCCGCGACCTCAACACTGGGAGCGAAGACAACTGTCAAGTCGCGGCAGTACTGGATAGGAAAGTCCTTAGCTGTGTGAACTGTCTCTCGCGGAGCTTAAGTTCAGACTCCAGCACATTCGGACTTCATCAGGTGGTACGCAACATCAACGGCTCGAGGCCCACAGCTAACCGTAACCATCTCCTGTGCACATGGCTATTGAACCAGGATAGAGGTGAGTCTTAAAATAGTGCGTGATGGTAACTCGCCTTTTGCTCGATATGAATACCCAATACCTTGGCTCGATGTCTCCATATTCCCAATTGATTGAAGTCCGCAAATTGCAACACCGCTTTACAAATCTCGGTCATACCGGCCATTTTCATTTCTCGATCGAGTGCTCTGAGGGAATTGTAGACATGTACCTGGATACCACGGACTTCAGATATTGCGATGGAGATAAGAAACCAACGGGGCGGATGAGAACAGATGGTGTCAAAGTAACAGACTCCTCGAGTGGCAGTGGTGAAGCCTTTGAACATCTCGTTACTGCTCACCTCGACCACAAGAAGGATTGTGGGAGAGATGGGTGTCGATCGCGCAAGAGCACTTATCAGATCTCGTGAGTAGTATTTCTCAGGCATTAGACCCTTTACGATCTGAAATTCCAAATAGACCGATGGCCTGCGAGATGAAACGATTGCCTGATCCTTTGAATCTTGGTGTTTGCGTAGAGCATTGTAGAGGACATCAATTCGCGCTCCAAAAGATCTGGTCTTGTCGTCTAGATGCAGTTGAAAACTTGTTGACACCGTGGCTGGTGACACGTGTGCAGCCGAGAACATCTCGTCGGGCTTTCTTTTCATGCCAGATTGTCAAAGGTTGCTACACTGCTTGATGCAGTTGACGTCTGCTTTTACCAGCTGCATTGAACGTCAATTCCTCACCAAAAGCGGCGGCCACGCGTAAGAAGGTAGGACGGCAGATATTGTCCTTCATTTCAAATCCTCTGGACCTCTTTCTTGATCGTTGTTAGACGGTGTGGTGGCAATGTGAGACACTGATGCTTGGATATCTGTATGGAGGGAAGGAAGAATGCCGGAGAAGAGCCTCAGGGATGTAATGTTGAAATTGAAAACATGTCCGTGAACCATGCACGTGGCGACTCGACACCTTTGATCACCGTAGGCAGTAAGTCTATCTTATCATCCGTAGCATGTTGAAAATCCCTCCCTTTTGTGATCACAGATGGCTTCATCATGTCCTTGCTGAACACAGAAGGCTCAGGTCTAAAGGACTTGCCCCTTCTTGACTTGAAGTCACTCCGATCAGTGCACGCCTACGCTTCAAGCATCATAACGAGAGTGATGAGGTGAGTTCTTCCAGATACAAGATGCACAGGAACGCCGTGGCGTTGCATACCCCAAAGACATGAATTGATGGACGTGAAGGTGTTGGTGTCTGAACCGTCGATCAGTCTTGGCACACAACCCCTGTCGGCGTCGACTTGAACTTCTCCCAGCGTCGATGACAACGTCGAGCTCTTAGAGGTACCTCCCCCAATAAATCCTCGCCTGTACACACCAATACTTTAATAACTCGCTCCAATTGTCGTCAATTCTTTCGGCCCGTATTCATCGGCAATGGCTGCCTCCTCGAAGCTTAGCACTGCAACTCCACCGTGTATCCCCAGATTCCGCCGGGCGCTAAAGCTGCAGGTGGGTCGGGTCGTCATCAATGTGCGTCATGGTTATGAAGCTCTCTTGCAAAAAGTTGCAAAAGTCCATTGTTGGGGCGGGGTCTCAGTGTCCATCGAAGCTGGAGCTTCTCAAGCTTAAAAGGTACCCAGGTAGCTCTCACGAGGCACAGAGGCTTCCACTTCCTTCGGATTCTCAATGACAAGCTGCTCCTAGCTTGCTGGAACAGTATATCCCAACCTCGACAACATGTTACAATTCGTCTTGCTGGCCATATGGGGTCTTTTGGCATCGGCCTCACCCACTCCGGAACGACGACAGGCCAACACGTTATCTGCCTTTATTGCCCAAGAACGTCCCACAGCTCTTGAGGGGGCACTCGCCAACATTGGTGGACTGAACTCAAGCTGGGTTGAGGGTGCCAGTCCCGGTGTCGTTGTAGCATCACCTTCAACAGTCAACCCCAACTATTTCTTCACATGGACTCGAGACTCTGCTCTCACCTATATGATGATCATCGATGAGTTGATCTTTGGGAACCGATCTCTCCGTACCACCATCGAAGATTACACCAAAGCACAGGCAATTCTCCAGACAGTTACCAATCCCTCAGGGTCTCTATGGCCTGCTGGTGATGGGCTTGGAGAGGCCAAGTATTACAGCAACTTGACCAGCTTTGATGGTACTTGGGGTCGTCCACAACGAGATGGGCCAGCATTGAGGGCAATCGCATTTATGAATCTGGCTCCCGTCCTCATCGGCTTGAATGAGACCCAGGAGTACAAAGAGATCTACTGGCCATTGGTGCTCAATGATCTCAAGTATGTTGGGCAATACTGGAACCAGGTAAGTTCTTCTTGAAACCCTTTCCAACGCTGAGTCTCATCCTATCGCTTTACAGACAGGCTACGACCTCTGGGAGGAGGTACACGGCTCGTCCTTCTTCACACTTTCCGCACAACACCGTGCTTTGGTCCAAGGCGGATTCCTTGCCAAAGAACTTGATGAAGAGTGTCTTGCGTGCGAACAGGCATCCCAAGTTCTATGCTTTCTCGAACACAACTTCTGGAATGAAACTGGCGGCTACCTGACTGCAGACGTGAATGTCAATAACGTCAACCGCAGTGGCATTAACGCTGATCCAATCCTGGCGGCCATCACGAACTTCGACATTAACGCCACTTGTGATGCGAGTCGTGAGTTCATCTCTTTAACACTATCCCAATTCAAAAGAATAGCAGTGCTGACCATGAGGAATACTTCTAGACACACAACCCTGCAATTCCCGCATGCTCGCAACCCACAAAGTAGTCGTCGACAGCTTCCGCAACCTCTACCCGATCAACAAAAACGCATCTGCGCCCGACGCCGTCCTCATCGGTCGGTACCCCGAAGACACATACTTTGGCGGAGGAGCATGGCCCCTGTGCACACTCGGTGCGGCCGAACTGCTCTACGATGCCGTCGCACAGATCAACCGGACAGGGACATTGAGCATCGACGACGACAGCCTGGGATTCTTTCGGGACATCTACCCCAGCGCCAACGTCAGCAACTATACCGGGACAGTCATGGAAGACATCCTTTCTGCAATGACCACCTACGCAGATGGATTCGTGTCAGCCGTACAGGTACGTTTGATCTCCCTCTGTCCCTTCCTCTTCATACTGCAATCCACCAGCACCAAACTAACCCCCCTCTCCCCGTCATAGGAATACACCCCCGCGAACGGCAGCCTAAGCGAGCAATTCAACCGAACCAACGGCGAGAGCACCTCGGCCTCAAAACTAACCTGGTCGTTCGCCTCCTTCGTAACGATGGCGCAACGAAAAGCAGGACAATACCCCCACAGCTGGGGCGCCTGGACCCCCTCCGCCAACACGGGGCTCAACAGCACCCAATGCAACGGAACGTCACACAACAGCACGGGCAGCTACACGGCCGCCGTCGGGGCCGGCGCACCCAACATCACGACCTCGTGCTTCAGCGAAGTCATCTTCAGCGTGAACGCGACGACCGCATTCGGGCAGAACGTGTTCCTTCTGGGCAACACGACGAATCTCGGCAACGGCATCAACGAACCAAGCAAAATCATTCTGCCATTGAACCCCGGAAACTATTCGAGTCGCAATCCGCAGTGGTATGTCGACATCTGGCTCGCCGCCGGCGTGACCGCCGAGTATCAGTATGTCCTGCAGCAGAAGAACGGGACCTATACTTTCGAGGCTGGGCCGACGAGACATCTTACCGCGGCGGGCTGTGGGAGTGGGAGGGTTGTTCGGGTGGATGAAGTTGCGAGATTTCCGAGCTCGTAGGGCGCCCGCGGCGAGTGTTGTCAAGTTTGCATATCCTCACGATCGATTTATGAGTATGATAGCGAATTGTGTGGGGATGGAGTCGAGTAGGCAGCAAGTAGTAGTATTAATAGAACCGTTGATGCCTAGAAAATCAAGATCGCTTGATAGACTCTCACAATGACATCTCTGTGACTTTGGCATGAGCCAGCTCAAGTCTACATACATCTGCACGGCCTGCCCGCGAAAATAGGACATTTACGACATCGGGCCTCTGAAAAGATGCAAGCATCTTTGGGATTTGTTCGATTTTCTGGTGCAGGTGTCTATGCATCCACCTACCCACTCAATGACGGGCTTTCAGGGGGTGTGATATATTCCCCTAGTTAATCAATCCAAGAAATCAAGGCTGTCCACACTGCGTTCCAATCCATCCAACCCACCATTCTCACCACGACTGCCTCGACTCAGACTCGATGCCGTGCTGGCCATTTTTCTCAACCTGCCTTTCGCGCCGGGTTTCTTCTTGGGTCGCCCTGCACCGCCGTCGGTGGAGCTTGGTGCTGGGGCATCCATGATCCACCGGACGATCAGCTCGGCTCGTTCCGTCGTGATGGGATATTCCTTGCCGTCTTCTTGCGCCCACCGTTTGGGCTGCTGCTGCTGCTGCTGTGATTGGGTTGCATTAGCGGGCGCTTCGCCATTCTGTTGTTGCCGGATGTTGCCATTCCTGTCAAGGGAGGAACTGGAAGAGGCACGACAGTACTCTTTACGTTGCTCCTCTTCTTCCTCCCTTGCAGCTCTCAGCTCTCGTGCTTTGACGCTCGCGCGAAACGTCGTTTCGTCGACTACTCTCTCATCCGACAGAGCATCTTTGATTGCCTCCTGCTTGATTCGCTCATGCTTCTCATCTGCGGTCTCTTTACGCTTTTTGGACTCTTGTTTGCCGTGTCCTGGCAGCGGTGCTGGAGCGCACAGATCTTCCCAGCTTGCTTGTAGTCCCAACCAATTCTTACTGCGCCGGAGCACTTCAATCCAGTCTGCACGAGACGGTGAACGTGCTGCGAGGAAGATTGGGTAACCATCACAGACACGAGCGATCCGAGCAACCATGTGGGCGTGGCGAAGATGTTCTTTGGTAGAAGTCTGGATTAAGCCATGACAAAGGAGTAGTGAATGAAGAACGTCGGTCAGTAGAGGGTGATAAGTCACTGCTTCGGAAAAATCGGGAAGGGAGAATAGTGGATGAGAGGCAGTAGATGCCGATTCCAGCATTGGGTCTGGTGGAAAGAGAGGTAGGTCCGATGGCGGTACTGCCGCAAATAAGGCGTTTAGCTTATGGATTGTAGGTTTTGGGATTGGCGGGAAAGATTGCGGGAGGCTGTTTTGTTTCTTCCTCTCATATTTGACTAGGGCTTCAGACAACCCAGAATGAGAATGGGACTCGATATCGAGAAGCCTCTCGCTCCGCGATCGATGACCATTCTTGTTACTGACAGCGCTCACCTTCTCCAGAAAAGCTTCAGTGTACTCGGAGGAGAGACCAGGCGTGTAATCAAAGTGAGAGAGGAAAGAGGTGTAATCTCGAAGTGCTCGTTTTGCATATGTCCTAACCAGCTTCCGGGCTTCGGCACGATCCCGGTCTGCTTGTCGGTCTATGTCGCTGGGTGGTGGTAGTGTTGCCTCTGAATTCGCAGTAGGTGGATTATCCTGAGGTTTGGTACCACCTCGGGGCACTCCATGCAACGCACGGGCGATCTGATCACAAGCCAAGGTGAGGTAGGCTCCGCCACGGTGGAAAAGGAGTTGAGGTTCTAGACTACTGGGCTGATCCTTTTCCTCCACTCTCATCTCAGTCCTCGAATCTCGCGACATCTTCTCGGCATCTCGGGAAAGGACTAAATCCCGTTGTTGATTTTGGTGTTGTGGATGATAGAGTCTGAAAACAGCCAAACCATCGGTACAATCTCTTGCCGCCCCTTCAAAGTCTTCCTTGAAAACGCGAGTGACTGCTCTTGTCCGGTATGGGGGTGCTTCTGTGGGCCGCTGGCGAATGATATCGTTCAATGGATCGAGACTGGTGCATTCAGCCATTGACCGTGAAGGAATCTTCTCATGGAAGAAGTGCACATATTGGGCGTCAGGATCCAGCTGATTCCGCTGCAATACATGTTTGGCAACATCCTCCAAGGCAGAGGCGGCTTGCATGGTGGCCACGCTGGTAGCGATCTCATCAAGGTGGTAGGCAGAAGACAGTTTCTGAGTAGCATGTTCCCTCATACGATGTCTGCGTTCACGACTCAATTTGGCATTTCCACCGCCTCTTTGAAACCCTATCCCGAGCACTTCGGCATCGCTGCTGTTGTAGATACTGTTGGCAGCGCTCAGAGAAGTATTAAGTGCGGCGGAGGTGGTACCATTGGCCGCGCGAACGGCCAGGCTTGTTGCATCTTCAATAAGACGTCTGATCTTGACGAGGTCGAAGAATACCGCGGGATCAACGGGCTGAGGACGCGGGGAGTAGAAGTTGCTGTAGGCCAGGCTTTCCAGGACTTCGGGAGGAAGATTCAGCCATGGTCCATGGTAAGAGGAAATGTATCGCCAATGTCTGCGGGCGGAGAGAACAATTAGCGGTTGAGATGATTTGGGAACGAGGATGGGCAATTACTTGTTACGACATATGATCAGGGTGGGAGTTGAGGGAGTAGTAGAAACGGCAGAAGCGCGAGCTGGCTTTACTGCAGGAGAAGATGTTGAAGTTGTGGTGATCGGAGGAGGAATTGTACCGGCGGCGGAAGTGTTGGCAGCTTCAGTGGTGGAATTCTTAGTACTCGGACTTGTGACTTCTGCAACCTGTGATGTGGAAGCCTTGGGCTTCTTCTTGGTCATGATCCAAGAGGGCGATTAGTTTGCGGTATCGTTGCGACCCTGATTCATGAGGAGTCAAGACCGGTGAGTGCCCAGGTGCCAGGTCAATTCTGTTATGTTTGATCAGAGATCTTTCTTGACTTTTTTAAGATTTCCGGGGCTGAGGGGCGTTCCTGGTTATGGGCGCACAGGTGGGAATTGGCGCCGCTGCAATTCGATGTCACACTCACTTTTATTTCACAGTAAGACACGCCCTTAGCTTAGAATCTCTTAACTACCTGCTTACCTGGGTATGTTTGATCATCTTATTTCGATCTCATTGATCGATGGCCTTTATCCGGCGTCAAGGTCCACGTGGCAGCGGGAGTGGTCATCCAACTAGACTTGCAAGGTAGGGCAAACAAGCACGAGCCTATGCGAACGACAGTCGCAGAACATGTACCCAGTGACCTAGGTGGGCAATGGCGACCTTGACCCAGAACTGCTTCATCAAATGGGTATACTGTTGCATTGTATTATCATTATCAACATCAAGCCTTTCTCAGGCTAGTAACACATATTCCCCCATTAAATGTGAGTCAATCACTTTGTGGGAGCACCTCCTCCCTCTGGGAAGATGATCTGATAACCAGTATTGAGTCCCCAAGCAATACTGTTAAACTCCAGATTGAGGGTACTGATCTGTCCTTTCTCGGTGATGGTAAACAGATTGAACCCCTTAACTTCATATTCCCCTGAGCCAATGCCATAGAACGTCCAATACCACAAGATCTTGCTACTTCCGGCAACGAGGATTTCGTTGGTCGTGATACCCTCCACCGGTGGTGCAGCAAGGACGCCTTCAATATATCCTTGTTTGCCTTCAAAGGTAATGCCACCCAACTATCCCACAGGGTCAGCTTTGTTGCAATAAGAGACAATTTCTGCCACGGGATGGCCCTACAGGTTGACCCTCTAGTGAAAGGATTGAGTCACTGATCTCCTGATATCCATCGGCGAGAAGAGCCTGTGCGGTCGCATTTGCAGCAGCAGGGTCAGGGTGGTTCAAGATGGTGATGAATTTAGCAACCACATCTTCGGCGAATGCTTGACTGAGTCTACCGCAATCCGTTCGAGGGAGGACAGCAGCAGCAGCGCAGACCACTGAGGCCAATTGAATAAAGGTAGATGCGAGCTTCATATTTGATCAATCGCAGCGCAGAGGAAACGAGAGTGAAAAGAGAAGATGGGTTCGATGAGAAGCTACAATGCTGACCTGGGGAAGTGTGGGCTGCTTCCAGTTTTATAGCTTCCTCTCCACGCGACCTGGAAGCTAGAACGGATTTACCTACCAGTGGCTAGAGAGCATTTGTCCATCCTCTGTCTGGATGTCTCTTTCTGACCCATCTGCAAGGCACGGGCGGGATTACCATGAGTTTGCCTCCCTCAGCGGTATTGATATCCAATAAACCCCAAGAATATCTCGAAGAGACATCCACTCGCTGAGTTATTGACCTGCGAGCAGGGATCCTCGGTGTATACGCTTTGAGCAAAGAAGTGTAATCGAATCAACCTGCTGCAGGGCCAGTCACATAAGGCGGAATGATCTGTCATCGGACAAAAGAACTGAGACATGCCTTAAGGTCGTGAAGTATGGAGTTCCAAGCTCGAAGCAGTCACTTTCTCTCTCCAGACCTCACCTCGCACAGTCACAGCGAAGATGGTTCTTTTCCCTCTAGTCAGAGTCTTGACTCTTGATTCATTGAGTGGCTTACATGTGAGGTCCATTACATGATTCTGAATAGCTTATGGTATGGGCTTTTTACCTGCCAGGTCACTATACTTGAAGACCTCAGCTAACCTATCCTAACTCTCAACGACTGACAAGGGTGATGATAGTGCAGCACAACCCTGCCAATTTTGAATGAGAGGGAGTACGCTAAGAAAAGTGATGATTACTACATTGTACTAGGCGAGCATAGAGAGCCTAATCGCGGCAGATCAGCACATCAATAGGTGTGGGGTATGCCAGGGTCGACACTACATCGGACATTCTTCGAAAGGTAAATTTCGGAAATGCCATCTCGAAAGTAGAGGGGAAACAAACAGAAATAACTGTCACCCAGTGGCGTTTACGGGGAAGCGGGCTGGGTTGAGAAAGTTGTACCTTTCCATCAGCATGAGGATGACACGTGAACCAGATTCACATCTGTCGAAGGATATTGCTCAAGAGGACAAAAGGCCAAGCTGTAAGGAGGGGATTGCTCAAGGTCCATATTTGATGACGAGTATGATATCGGTGGTCTACACAAGCATTGCAAATTCCAACCACGATGCTTGGGTAAAACCTCCGGACAAGTGGCTCAAGTCGAGGATACTCCCTTCACTACCTAGGTACTACTGGATTTAGTAGAACAGGAGACACAGAAGTTCCCGACGAACCATGTTCATCTCTTCCCAGAGGCTATCCCGGGCGCCTTGCAGACGGCTGACAACCATGGTCACGATGGCCGCCAGTCTTACCTGAACTCCCCAAAGCAAGACAACGGTGGAACCCGGTAATCACATCTCACAAACCAGGCCACTATTACATCCATACCTAGGTATCAGCATAATCGTCCGACCACGCCAATCGCCATGCAAGCCGTCGATGGTGAAGTGGGAACGAGGAACAACCTGTTCGAGAATGAAACGATGCGTGCACTCCGTCCTGGCATTGAAAAGTGTAAGCAACGAAGCAACAAGCCTAGACTGCCTCCCATGCAGTGGGCAGTAGATGCATATTCATGATGTCATGTCATCGCGAGCATTGCGGGAGTGACTGAAATAGAAAACTTCCCTCTTACTGTCCAACCAATGGGAGAAGAGACATGATTCAATATATATTGAATAGTAACTGTGACCTGCAGGTCTTGTAGTGACAAGCCGTTGAGGTAACTACCTAGTATGTGTGCGATCAAGCGGACTTAGCCCCTGGCTCCAGTAGGTATCTTTGAAGAAAAGAAACTGCACGTCTTAGAAAGATATAGTATACACAATGGAGCTACCGAGACATCAGAAAACTAAACATCCAGGCGCCTACCTGCTTCATGGTGGACGCCCAACAATACCCAATATAACAGATGCTAGTATTTACAGATCAAACGCAAAAACTCAGCTCAGGATGATGTGATGTCACTTCCCAGCGCGCAGCACAATGGCATTCTCATCTATTTCGTGGCGCATCGCTCTCTTCTCAGAGAAGAAGAGATCCTGTAGTCGTCAATCACGACTTCCCAAACGTTTCTGCATTGGTATCGTAATGGTAGATCCACGACAGACCGGCATCCTCACCGACCCACAGGAAGTAAGCCCACATGGCCCATTCCTTGAAGATCTGGCGTAGGGTGCTGGCCGAGGCCTTCCTGGTGTCGCCGCTGCGGGCCGTGAAGGCGAGGATCTTCTCGATGCGCGCTTGCCGGGCCGTCTGCCAGGGCCGCAGGGCGTGTGGGAGGTCGAGGTCGGATTCGAATTCGGATTCGGATGCGGATGCGCCGTCTTTCGTCGTCGTACGGTCGTCCATGATCCGCGACAGCGTGTCGGCCAGCGTCAGCGCGTCTTCGAATGCCATCGCCGACCCTTGTCCGCCGTGCGGCGGCATCGCGTGTGCCGCGTCCCCGATCACCACCACGTGCCCGGACGCGCTGCTCCAGGACTCGAGCTTCGGCACGCTGTAGTACGGCCACAGGGTGAGTGTGTCCTTGTCGACGTTTTCACTCGCCCGGTGCACGATCTCCGGCCAGCGTTCGTGCTCGTGGTGCGACCGCATGTATGCTTGGAGTGTATCCTTATCCGATTGCAGTTTGTTCCACTCCTCTCGCGTTCGTTCTTGGCTCTCGATCGTCGCGAAACATCCGATTCGCGTGCCGTTGTAGTCGCACGGCATGAATGCGAAGGAATTCAACTTTCCTAGCACCATGCATGGCATGTAAACGGTGTTCGCTTCTGGACCAAGTTTCATCTTGGGGAGAGAGCCACCCACGCCCATCTGGCCGCTGAAAGTCGGTATCGCTGATGCATCGATGTAGTTTCGGACTCGAGAATGGATGCCGTCGGTACCGATCAAGATGTCGGCCTCCTCGGTGTGGCCGTCGGCAAACGTGGCAACGACAGTCGAATGGTCGGTTTCCTCGATCTTGACACATTTGGACCCGTACTGAATGTCGATCTGTTGCTCCCTCAAGACCTCCAGCAGAGTCTGTCGGACAACGCCTCGGGATATTCTAAGCGCGCGATAGCCGTACTTGTTCTGGCTGCCATTGAGGATCGTGGCAATTCTGCCCAAGTTACGGGACGAAACGAATTGGAATTCTTCATAGTTCCATCCTTGGTTGGAGATCCGGTCGTAGACACCAACGCGGTCGAGGGCACGAAGGGCATTGGGTGCAAGGGCAACGAATCCTCCTTCGAAGGCAGCTTTGTCGCGAGCCTCGAAGATCTTGCACGATATATTGCGCTGTTTCAACGCAAGTGCTAGGACCGGGCCCTGGAATGGCGGTTAGGAGAGACAGACCCCACGAGGAAGAACCGGAGACCGACTTACAGCAAGCCCGCTGCCAATGATGATGACTTTCATCCTTGTGGTTAGAGTCTTTTATATCGTTGATAGTTTGTTTTTTTGTTTCAAAGCCGTTGTGTTGGTTGGAATGGAAATATAGAATTCGGTTCGAACTCTTCCATCCCAGTATATATGCATTGCATTGCCATACCTACGAAGCCAAGGTCAAAAGCTTTGATTCAATAGAACGGTTTCTAAAATTCTGAATCAGCCATGGAAGTCAAGGACCAGCCGATGCGAACGACACATTATCACGAGAGAATTCAGTTAGGCTTGCGTAGCGCGAGGTTTCTCAGAGGGAGCTGAAAAGGAACCGCAGGTTTCCAATGGATGTCGAGTAACAGACCAGTGCTCTTTGAGAGCTTTGACGTCTGAAACGGGCTGTGGAGGCCATGGCAAAGAACGGGACGATGCAGAGAGTGAGGTCACGGACCAGATTTGCACTGTAGGTCTAGACACTGCCACCAAGTGGGCGTGGCTGTGAGGGTACAAGTCCATGCACTTGGACGAACAGCACTGCGTACGAGAGTACCTCGTACTGGTAGTAGTAAGAGGCTTGCTCGCATCGCAAAGTTTATTCTGGCTGTACCCGAAAAAAGAAGTCATTCCCGATAACCGAGTCCCAATGACTTGGCGGAAGGTACCGTCCTTGCCATGTGGATCATTTTTGGTGACACGCTGTAGTGGTCCAAGGGACAGTGGCTCATGTTTTATGTTGTGAGACAAACACACATAGTGCTGTTCCGGAACACTTCTCCACGGAAGATGGCCATATAAAGGGTGAAATTATAACTCTGTTGACTGACTCTGTGCATATTTACCGCTCACTATATCAACAAATCGTGACGTCGTGATATGTCCAACTCGAACTTGGAGATATTATGGTCTTGCTGAAGTCCCTTTTCATCCAAAAATGCTCATGGGAAATACCTATAATAAACCTCCAACAGCCCCGAACATAGCGCCAGCACCTGCTGCATACAAGATGCCAGGACATGCTGTTTGACGAGGACCATCATTGCCAACCTGCACAAAACCAGTGGTTGTTGCGGTGCCAGCTTGCCCTGTCCCAAACCCGGCGCATTGTCCTTCCTGCAATCCATAGCAGGCTGCAAGGCTCAGAGAGCTGCAAACACTACTTGCGGTACTGAGAATAGTCCCAGAGGCTCCCTGCACAGTAATGCCCCCACCAAAACCGGAGACGGTAACTCCGTTCTGCCCGGCCAGAGCAACGTAGCATGATGTTGATGCTGTTTGACAACTGGAGTAGGCACTCGTACATAAAGCGGCGTTGGCATAGGTGGTTGGTATGTATATAAATGGATAGAAATTGTTGGGCACGGTCGATCCACCACCTCCGATCCCGGTGGTCTGGGCGGTGGTTTGAGACGTGGTTGAAGTGGTGGTACCTCCTAGAACAAACCCAGTGGTACTTCCAGTGTTGGTGCCCGACGTGGCAGATCCTGTTCTTGTGCCTCTTATACTGCCTGTGCAGACCGCACCCGAGGGACAACAGGCAATGTTCCCAGCCTGGTCGAGGGCACAGGTTGATCCTTGTGAACAGCAGACATCACTCGCCCCGAGACTTGCACAGGAGTTGTAGCCTGACTGGCAAGGATTCTGGCGTTTGATAAGTAGGTCATCGTTGGAGAGGCCGAATAGTGAATCGAAGAAGGGAGTGTAGCGGTCTGCTATGGCGGAAGTCGTAGTAAGCAGTCCAGCGACAGAGAGTAGCGCTATACAGCGCATCGCAGCAAGGCTGGGCTCGTGGTTAGGGACAAAATGCGTGTTGGGTCACCATGCACGCATGAGAAAGATATATGGTCGGTGTGATGTTGTTCGAGGTCGCAGTGAGGAGGTAGTTGGGCACTGCGTTTGATGTTGTCCTGTAGCTGAGAGCGTATGTAAATTGGTTCCACTGTATATAAAAGTAGCTCCTGAGATGCAGGTATGGAAAATGCAGGAGGATGTACTCAGGGTCAAGGATGAGGGTCGTCGATGACGGCCGATCTTTGAGAGGGCAGTGACTTTGTCGGACTTTGTGGATTTTGTGGTGGGCACGGCAACCACCCAAGCTTACCTAATTTTAGTGCCCAAGGGTCGACCTTCAGATTCAAATTCTTCCAGCTTGTCTCTCCACTCATAGTCTTTCTTCTGATTAACCTGGGGGATTTTTGTTTTGGGTATTTGGGCATGTTCAGATGGTGTCGTGGTCAGAGGGGACGCCAGTGATGAAGATGCCCGTGTCAGATTCGCACAGGCGAGTGGTTCTCAAAACTCACGACCGTGCTTCAGGTAAGGCCTCATACCACAGTCCCACGACTTTGTTCAAGGCTGTCCCTTCAATGATGATCAAACGAGAATTCTGCAATGCTGAAAAGACTGTCCTCAGTCTTGATGCGGATTTTCTCCAAATGCATTACTTACCCTGAATCCCATCATGCCTTGAAGCACGTCTTACCATTTGATACCTGTTGCAGCTCAGCGATATGAACTGATCATCTCAAATTCACAGATTTTCGGTCGTAGTTGAGGCACGGGCATCAGCATCAGAATTTCCTTTGGCCGGGAGTACCTTTTCCCAGGCAGTGTGGAAAGCCTGGTGGGAGTGGCGCAGGGCCTCTCGGGCGGTTCCCAGGGCCCATGTGCCTAATCTTCGGGACGGAACGGCTGTCTGGTAGGTAGGTAGGTACCTATGTAGTCCGGGGCACCGGGGGGCAAAGTGCAGCTGGACTGGGGCAATGATGGCAGCAGCTCCAAGGCCAAGCTTGAATGGACAATAATTCTATGCCAAGTACCTACGAGTACCTCCCTCTCCGCAGAACTGTGTAGCTCCCTCCCCTCCATTATCGCCCGTCCTGCCCCGGACTCATGGAGTTGCAATCACCTTCAATCACCATCTTACTTCAACACACCTAGCCATCCATACCTCTCTAGAAGCATTTCCTCTGCCATTGCCATTGTCGTCTGTGAACCCTAGACTGCCTCCTGAGCTTGATTGCGTTGTGCGATCAGTCCTTGGGTTCACCACGCCTGATCCTCACAACATGCTGTAATCTCACGCTCACCTCGCTCGATCCAACACGCGTTCCCCCTGGAGTCCTCCACCATGTCCCGACTACCTCAGATAGCCTGTCGTGGCTTAACACGAAATATCAAATCTTCTCCTCGCAGCTATGCCACATCAACAGAAACCCCCACACTCCGAACGGCACTCTTCTTCCCTGGGCACGGCGTACAACGAAAAGGTATGACCAGACCTTGGGTAGAAGCCTTCCCCCAAACATGCAAACCTTTCCTCGAAGAAATGGACGAGATCCTCGGCTGCAAACTATCCACAATGATTGACGAAGGTCCAATCCTGCAGCTAGACAAAAGTGAGAACGCCCAGCCAGCCATCATGGCTGTTTCGATCATGATCCTTCGGGTGCTGGAAAAAGATTTTGGATTCAAGACCGACGAAGCTATCGATGTCACATTGGGTCACAGCCTGGGCGAATATGCCGCACTGGTAGCGGCCGGCAATCTCGAATATAAATTTGCCTTGGACTTGGTACGAAGACGCGGCGACGTTATGGGCGAGTGCACGCGAAAAGCAAAGGAAGAGTCGGGTGAAGACTTTGGAATGATCGCACTGGTTTGTGAACCCGATCAGCTTGACTCGCTAATAGCCGCGGTCAAGGAGTTCCTGGGCCATAACAATGAGGGCACCAAAGGTGACTCGAGTGATCTGCCTGCCATTCAACGGGTTGCCATCGCCAATGCCAATTCCAAAAACCAGATCGTGTTGAGCGGCAGCTTCCAACGCATTCGAAATCTACTGGTCCACATCCGCGAGTTTGGCGGCCACGATCCCAGAGCGGTGGAACTCAAATCACGCTCTGCTTTTCACAGTCCCATCATGATGCCTGCTTTTGAATTCATGAAGAAAGCTCTCACGCCAGATAAGGTCACTTTCCCCGGACGAATTCCCTGCATCAGCAATGTGACAGCACTTCCTTTCTCATCCAAGGAAGATCTCATTCAGAACTTCGCAAGACAAGCGATCGACACCATCTTGTGGTGGGATTCGATCAAGTATTTGGATCGCCAGGCTGGAACTCGGCGATGGCTCGGAGTTGGTCCTGGCAAGGTGGGACGGAATCTGGTTTCGAAAGAAGTTGGCCGATCTTCTGCCAAAGGAGGAGGCGTGTGGTCTATTACCGAGCCTGACGAGATAGAGGAAGCCTTACGAGGATTAGAGGCTGCGGCTCAAGAAGATGCAAAATAATATCCCGGGGGACTTGTGCTGATCTACGCATGGCAATACGGGCTTGGTCAACTTTTTTGTGCAGGCAGCTAAAATCGTCTGCCGAGAGAATTGGGTGAGAGAAATCATTGACTCTTCTGCACCGAGGATGGCTTCTTAGGTGGGGAAAACTATCGTGGCCAAGATGAACAGCAGGTAAATCAGGCCATTATCAAACTTACACTGGGGCTTTTTGCAATGTGGTCACAGACAGACGAAAAACTTCAGCAGGGGTAGAGAGCCTTGTATTTGAAAGCCTTGGCTTGGGAGTATTGTGCATCCAGAACCCTCAGCATATAACATGTAAAAACATCAACCAATATTCTGAGTGCCACTGCCATCCAGAGTCCGATATCACGTGCCCGGATTCGGATTAATTTCACATGTCAGCTGTCTTTTAGGCTTGCCCGGTCTAAACCACTTTCTGTCCACCTCCACCTGCCTTTTACTCGGTAGGCCTCTCAGTCCGTCCTCCGTCCGGATACACACGACGTCAGTCTTTCCAACTCACTCTCCTTACCCGTAAAACCATCTACTCCATACATGACTGCGACTGTTTGGCCTTCCAAGGTTCCCTGCGCCATTGAATCTGCATCTGCATCTGCATCTGCATCCCCATCTCCATCCCTCCTTTCCCCAGACTCTCGAAAGCTTGATCTTCCAGCACACAAACCACCATCATCCGCCCTCTCGCCCTCTCTCCTCCTTTATCACGCGACAATCATCTGTATCCCGACGTCCATCCTCCTCGCCGCTTTCCCTGGGTACCTCAGACAGCCTAGTATGGTCAACTACGAAACTCTACCCGTCAATGAGTGATTATCTTCCCTCGTTCATCGTCGAGCCTGTCCTGCGCCAAGCGAGGCGAATCTCCCGGTTGAGTACCGGTGAAGAATCGCCTGGCTTTCTACCTACCGTCCCTGACCTGCAACGTTGGAATCCCACCCGCTTTTGGAACACATCTCCTCCTCCAGAACTCCCAGAACTTTCTGCCCCTGAAGCCGAACGCACCGAGACCACAGTTCAATCTATAGCCAGAAGTATCCAGCTATGGGCCAGTCAGCTGAACAGCTTCGATTCAGTGCCCTCCCCACCTTTGGAGGCCATGGACTCCCACAACGTACCCCCACCACTACTGGATCTGGACTCTTCAGCAGTTACCGAATTCCCTCCTCTTGAGCCGGATGTTGTCCCTCCAGCGAGACCGGTAGTACTGCCAAATCATCGAACCGACAGCGACACATCACTCAACCCCGCAAATGATTTACCTTACCGTTCAAGGGTTCATGCCGACAGTGGTCGATCGCACTCGTCGTCAGATCCACGTACCTCTGGCCTGTCATCTGTGACACAACATCTCGACCCATCGCCTGTGAGGGACTCGGTCGGAGATCACTCTCGGCGAAGAGACGGCTCCGGCGCCCTCCCCGAAGACGATGGAATGGGTCCAGTTCGACAAAGAATCAATGGGGTGTGGGCAGGGCCCGGCACCCCTGCCGAAAAGTCCAGACTGATTCATGTGATAATGATGGAACGCTATCAGAATAGTCAGCCTCCTCAGCCTAGAAAAGCTTCTTTGGGTCGGTTACGGGACATGCCAAACCGACCCACATCCCCCAGTTCTATCCTTTCTGGGTCTGCTCATGATGTCGATTACAATGTCAGGCCAGAGGACCTCATTCCAACCTATGCTCCATTGGATCTGGAGGTCGCCCATGACGGTGTTGAACATTCGGCGGAATCGGCCACGCCCGATCTGGGCTGTGTTCATTACAAGCGAAATATTAAGATGCAGTGTAATACATGTCAGCAATGGTATACCTGCAGACTGTGCCATGATGAATCCGAAACACACACTCTTCCACGGCGCGAGACCAAGCATATGCTCTGCATGCTCTGTGGCACCCCCCAGAAAGCCTCGCAATTTTGCAAATCCTGTGAGGTACAGGCAGCTTGTTACTACTGCTCAGTCTGCAAACTATGGAACAACGACCCAGGCAAGGCTATTTATCATTGCGATGACTGCGGGATTTGTCGACTGGGAGAAGGCCTGGGCAAGGACTTCTTCCACTGCAAAACATGCGCTGCTTGTATGTCGATCCAAGCAGAAAGCACTCACAAATGTATTGAACGAAGTACGAAATGTGACTGTCCAATATGTGGAGAGTACATGTTTACCTCAAACAAGCCTGTTGCATTCATGCGATGTGGTCATGGTATTCACGAATCTTGTTTTGCCGAATGGTGCAATACCAGCTACAAATGTCCGATTTGCTCAAAAAGTATTGCCAACATGGAAAGTCAGTTTCGCAGGCTGGACAGACACATTGAAGACCAGCCGATGCCAGAGGAGTATCGTGACAATCGAGCTTACATATTCTGCAATGACTGCAACAGTCGAAGTATCACAAGATACCACTGGCTTGGACTAAAATGTGCAAATTGTGAATCATATAACACTACGCAATTGGAGCTTCTCGGAGCCGAGCAAACCCCAGAACTTCAACAGGAAGCGGAGAGAGCCCACCATGCTGGAGTAAGTGAAGCTTCCTTGACAGCCAGTCAAACTCATACCCCTACTGGCGAGCTCGTGCAATCCGTGGAAACCGGACCTACGACGGGGACAGTGGCTCAACCAGTCCCCAACGTAGCTGGAAGTGTGCCTCGATCTCCCACCACATTCTCACCCTGGCTACTACCACATTCCCCAACAGGTCGATCTGCCCGATCCATGTCACCTGTTGTAGGAAGCTACTTCGGGACCAGCTCACGAACCCCTGAACCTGTCAGACGGGAAACCGCACCACCTGAAGATGGAGGCGACCTCGACTTCTGGGGCCGCCCTAACTCGCCTAGCCCAAACATGGACATGGAAGACGAGTGGGACTCCGAGGAAAGCAGCAGCGAAGACGAGGCTATGGAAGAAGATGGAGACGAGGAGGACGAGGACGAAATGGATCTAATCGGTCATAGATGATGGGGACGGAAAACGATATGAAATGGGAAAAAGCTAAGCATTCGAGGAGAAAGGGCTTCTCGGTTGAAATGACACGACTTGAATACGACAACACGGCTTGATGGGCATTTCTTACGGGGATTGGGTGGTTGGAAGGTAAACGCACATTGTATTTCTACATTGGTCGGGTTCCATTTGCTTTCCTTGTAGGTACGCACTCATCGCAGAAAATGTATCATTAGTACTTTTACTTCACGCAATGGGAAATCCCACATTATCATTACGACGATCGATGGTCGGCAATGGACTCAGCCAATACCCCTTTGAAACATCGTAAATGAACCAGCGGATGGTCAGATGTTTATTTGCTGACATATTCGATGACCATCCCTACGGATTTATGGCTTCCAGAAGTACCTATGTAAGTATCTTGTGTTAGGGGAAATCAAGCACTCGTCAAGCCCAAGCATGCGACACACCTGGATTTTATATCGGCTAAACTCCGCTATGGCCGGATCAAGCTTTGGATCTGGATCCTCTTGATCTTGACCTTCTCCAACAAAATAATGATATCCTCGGCCGGAACTCCACTGTCGAATGAAAAATGCCACATCCTCCCAATTTGTTCATTATTGGAGCGGGGAACCGAATGACGCGACGGCGATGATGTTTGAGTTGCTGGGTCGCCCCCGGGTAATTTAGTTAGTTGGCTGACTAGGTCGTTTGGGCATGTTCGGCCACTCCCCGGTTAAGTACATACCTGATGTACCCTAGCAAAGTACTTGATCTGCTCGACTACCTAGTTGAGGAAGGTAACCAACTAGCGGGTCGCTGTGACGCTGGGAGACGGGCAGTCAATGGGGGTGTGGTGATGATATGTATAAAAGACACAGAAGCCCCCCCCGAGCTGTTGGAGTTGTTGATAGATAGATAGCCTTTGATTGATTGTTGCCGAAGCCGATCCGTCACACTTCTTCTTGCAAGAATACCTCTCCCACTTCGTGTTCCTTCATTTGATATTTGTAATCAACAATTCCACAGGATCGTCATTCACGCTCAAGACTCTGTTTGAGTAGGCCTTTTGCTGTCACCAACCCAACTTAACCCGATTCTCACCGCCATCCCCTCCAATACTTCAAGATGGGTGACTCAGGACTACCGGCCCCGCTCCGCGCTAGCTTGGAGAGCACCAAGGTCTCATACACCCAATTGGGGAAGTCTGGCTTGAGAGTGTCCGTCCCTATCCTTGGGGCCATGTCTTTCGGTGAGTGAGTCTTGCGCACGAAGCGGAGAGGCATTCCGCTTCCCCTCTTGGGTACTATGGATCCTGAGCTGGTTCCCATCTGGGACAGTGTTCAACCTTTGTGTCTGCTCTTCTCTTTTGGGGCTCAAGTGCTGATCGTGTAACTTCAATCGCGTAGGCCATAAAGATTGGCAACCGTGGGTGATAGATGACGAGGAAGAAGTCGATAAACTCCTCAAAGGCGCCTACGATCGTGGCCTCAACACCTGGGACACAGCCAACGTCTATTCCAATGGTGTTTCCGAAGAACTTATCGGCAAGACCATCAAGAAGCATAACTTACCACGACACAAGCTCGTCCTCTTGTCCAAGGCTTATGGCACTGTCGGTGAGGAACCTGGTACCATCCATGTCAAGTGGGGTGCAGAAATGAAGCAGTCCAAGGATTACGTCAATCAAGGAGGTCTGAGTCGAACAGCAATTCATAATGCGGTCGACAGAAGTCTTGAGAGACTGGGCACCACGTATCTAGACCTTTTGCAAATCCATCGTTTCGACCCGACTGTGCCGGTTGAGGAAACGATGAAGGCTCTGCATGATCTTGTCGAGTCGGGGAAGGTCAGATATATTGGTATGCTGAGATTATCTTCTTAATATCTTTTGTTGCAGGCTAACTCTTGCGATGAACAGGAGCATCAAGCATGTGGACTTACCAGTTCGCCAAATTGCAGCACGCAGCGGAGAAGCATAATTGGACAAAGTTCGTCTCCATGCAGAACCACTACTCGCTGGCATATCGTGAGGAGGAGCGAGAGATGAACCCATACTGCAACGAGACGGGTGTTGGCCTTATTCCATGGGCACCACTGTACCGAGGCTTACTGGCACGACCTCTAGGCTCTACCGCAACCGAACGCGAGGAGAGTACCAAGAGCAATCCGACATTTTCTAACGTCAGTCCTGAGGATAAGGAGATCATCAAGCGTGTGCAGGAGCTTGCAGACAAGAAGGGCTGGAAGATGTCTCAAGTCGCCCTGGCTTGGATCATCCAGAAGAACACCATCCCCATCGTGGGCTTCAGTAATCTCAACCGTTTGGATGAGGCAGTCGCCGTGCGAGGAAAGGTGCTCAGTGATGATGAAGTCAAGTACTTGGAAGAACCATACAAGCCCAAGGCTATTGTCGGGCACTCATAGATTGTCCAAGTCAGGCTGTTAGAGTTGGTCAATCAGTTGCTGTGGTGGTTGAGTGGTGGACGCTGGACATGATTCAGAGTTTGCGGGAAACTGCCAGTGCACAACAACCCGCCTGAATTCGAACTTGCGAGGCAGGAAGTTACCAGTAGCAATGAGATATTTGAGTGATTCCATTTTTGGTATGCATCGATTTCAAGTCCACATGTTAGAATTTGCGTCCTCCACGTGCACAAAGTCCTTGATGTGTGTTTCTCAATGTCCAAAATGTCAATCTATCATGCATGACATTTAGGAGCCTCATTGTTCTTTGAGTGATCCCCATTCACAACGAGCAATATCTCTCTGCTCATCTTTTTTTGGCGACTGAGGATGAAAACGCCGTTAAGCTGCACGCGAAGACGAGGCTCTGCCCAGAAAGGGGCAGGATTGTGAAAATCCACATGTGGGTGGGATCCACATGAGACCCTTGGAGTATTGGGGGAATATTCAAGGATTTCTGGCCTCCAGAACACTATTTCCAGCATTCTGCCTTGGCTTTTTGGCCACAAGGCATGCTTTCCAGGAGTCATTGGGGGGTGGTTCCACCGAATGTGGTCGTGAAACAATCGTCCTAGGGCAATTGGCATAAATTGAAGTCTCGGATTGGTCGTTTGACGTGTATACGGGAGTCATCAGGCTCTCAGGCACCTTATCTAAACTTCAACATATAGTTTAACCTTCGTAGCCTTATTGTGGAGTCCTCTGAGGTCCTTCATGGATGATGTCGTTTGCCGAGACCGTATAAAGGTGTAAGCCTCCAGGAACTAGAATCATCACAGGTAGCTCTCAAACGCAGTCTTTGATCGTAGATCCGGTTTTTCTTTGTTCAGTCCTTTGACAATTTACTCTTCTCTAAATCCAATGATTGGTACCTCAGCCCTGCGTCCCCTCACAATGTTCAACATGTCCTGGGTTCCCGTGATCGCTCTCGCGACAGTACCCATTGCGCTGCTAGGATCTGGATTCTTCTTCTGCCGAAATGGCTCAAGGTTCCCACTATTACCACGACCATTCCACCATGGATGGAGAGCAAATCGTGGTTCCTTTTTCTTTGAGACTCTTCCACCAGAGATTCGAGATAAGATCTTCGACGAAGCCTTTGGTGTAGACCAACGCCTTCACCTTCGACCTGTAATCCCCCTGCCCAAGCCAACATCATTCATGGAGAGGATTGAGAGATTTTTCACGGCAGTCAAGCTTCCATCCTCCAAGCTTACCAATCTAATCGTCAGTAAGCAGTGGTATGCTGAAGGCCAGACATACTTCAAGCCCAATGCAGTCTACGACTTGAGCGACGACCACTGCGAGCTATTCTTCACCAGAAGAGGCGAAGGCGCCTGGGATGCAGTCAAAAATGTCAGACACATCATGATCTCTCACGTGGTTGCAGAGAAATTCCCGTTCCACGACATGCCCAACCTCGTGAGTTGCGTCATTCGTCGATCCTACAGTGGACGATGGTACAACCCCCTGATGGAGCACGGCGGGAGAGCACCGGCGACGACATCTGGACAGTCATTCAATCTAACCCCAGCCCAAGTCGAGGCCTTCGTCAACAATCCTGCTGAACGTCTGATGCACATTGACGCGGCCAGGTTCGTGAGAATCTTGAAGAATGTCCAGAACGGAACCAAAGCGGCGGGGACACACCCACGGCTCTTCGTCCAGGGCGTCTGGACCAAGGCAAAACATAATATTTTCTACCGTGAGACTGTAAGCTGATGCTCCTTTATCCGAAACACAGCCAAAGGTCCTGACTAACCTGAGATGCAGACATACCAAGTCAACTTACGAACCTGGGAAGTCTTGATTTGCGGTTCGTTTGGGGGACACGGTCTGGCTAAGTTCGGCTGTATCAATCCCCAAATAGCCTTGGAGAATGGCTCGCTCGCTGCTGTGGAGGAGTCTGCTGGGACCAAAGAAACATGGATTCGAGACGAGGAGGATATGATGTCGGAATAGATCAAATTGCGACAGTCAGAAATGGGGGAGGGTGAGTAGTGAACAGGACCACTCAAGGCCCCTTGATCGTATAGCCTTGCGGTTCAATTGTGTTGAAGCTCACATTTCAGGTTAGCTTCCCTCGGCGATATGCACAAGGACAGGTCCCAGCTGTTAGTGACAGACTATGCTAGATATCAGATACTGTACAGCTGAGAGCGATAGAGGATCTCCAGGTAGAGCCTGAGAATAAAAGTGGAATTCAACCAGAATACCGTTATGCCAACTGATCTTTCTAGCCATCTCCAGCACGTAAATCCACCAATCGACGAATCCATGGCAATCGAGCATCTTGCTAGTACTTCGCCGTGCTAGAACTCCCATGGTTTAGTCATTTGACGTTTTTGTCTTTGTCAAAGTCTATTTCCAACTCCGTGCCGCCCTCGGAGACGATCCTCCATCTCCGACATCTAGCACCCAATCGGGACAGCAACAACGAGCAAACAGCATGTACAGACGACAGACGTTTCAGCCAATAGATCTGATTGCACCTTGAATCTCCAGGGACGATCTTAACACAAGGCGCTTTCAGTTGCGGAAGGATCAAGTCCCCAAGATGTAAACATATAACCAAGAGCTCGATAATTTCCATTGACGAACGTTCAAGGTCAGCCTGACCAGGAAGAAGTCTCTCTATTATTGTCCACCATACCTCGATACTAACGACAATGGGCTCAATCGCCAACCACTTTCCTTACCGTATAGGCGTCGATGTCGGCGGCACCAATACCGACGCAGTCATCGTCGATACGACCGCCCAAGATCGTTCTAAATGTGTGGTGGCAGCGCATAAAACACCCACGACCTCGCCCAACGTCACAACTGGGATCGAGAATGCTGTCAGACATGTCCTGGAACAGTCCAAGGTGCCTGTTGAGCAGATCTCCTCGGTCGCAATTGGAACCACACATTTCATCAATGCTGTCATCGAACACGACCGGAGACATCTATCGAAAGTCGCTGTGATCAGACTGTCAAAGAGCTTCACTAAAGAAATTCCTCCCTTTTCGGATTTTCCCAGTTCATTGAAGGATATCATGTATGGCTGGCATACGTTTGTGGATGGTGGCCTCCACATTGACGGAAGCGAGGAGGCGCCAATCGTGGAGCAGCAAATCATAGACGCGTGTGCGACGATCAAAGAAAAGGAGCTTACGGCAGTCGTTGTGTGTGGTGTCTTCTCACCACTCGACGGAGCCTTCCACCAGGAAGAAAGAGTTCGAAGCATTATTCGCCAGACACTCCCCAACGTGAGTGTAGTTTGCTCTTCGGAAATCTCCAATCTAGGCTTCCTAGAACGGGAGAATGCATCAATTCTCAATGCATCGATCCACAGATTCGCACAGAAGACGGTAGCAGAATTTCGAACGGCCATGCGAAGACTCGATCTACGGTGTAGATTGTACCTCACACAGAATGACGGAACTTTGATTGATGCTCAATCCGCTGCTCGCCTTCCGATACGGACATTTTGTTCTGGGCCGACGAATTCTATGCGTGGTGCAGCGTATCTGAGTGGCTTATATGCTGATGGTACATCGAACGAGGCTTCAATAGTGTGCGACATTGGCGGGACAACAGCAGACGTTGGAGTTCTACTACCCTCTGGATACCCGCGACAGTCGTATGCAAATGTTTCGATTGCAGGCGTCAAGATCAATTACGCCATGCCTCAGGTCGAGTCCATTGGTATCGGTGGAGGATCGATCGTGCGGCGAGATATTGGCAATGACAAGGTTATAGTTGGAGCAGACTCAGTCGGATATGCTATCAAGGAAAAAGCATTGATCTTCGGCGGAAACACGATTACTACAACTGATATCGCCGTTGCTTCGGGACGTAGCATCATTGGAGCTAACAAAACCGCACTGAGTGTTCTTGGCACAGATATCATCGAGAAGGCACAAGGATGTATCCGGAAACAGCTGGAAAGGGTTATTGATCTTGTCAAAACATCACCGAGGCCTTTAGACCTCATCCTAGTTGGCGGTGGATCCATCATCGCCATGGATGATCTAGAGGGAGTGAGGGCAATTATACGTCCGCCTCACTATGATGTTGCAAACGCCGTCGGTGCAGCCATGTCAAGAGTGAGCGCCACCGTTGACATCATCCAAAATATCTCCGGAAGTACTGTGAAGGAGGCACTCGCTCATGCTGCTGCTCTGGCTACGGAAAAGGCCATCGCCAACGGAGCGGACTCCGGGACGATAAGTATAGCCGAACAGGAGTCCTTGCCACTGCAGTACCTTGACAATCGCGTTAGGACAATCGTGAAAGTCGTCGGCGATTTTGGTGCTCACCACGCTCTCATAGACGATATGCGTGCGGAAGAGAAGACAGTCGAGCACGAATACGAGTTCGTCCCGGATAAGGAGGCTTATCAAGCTCCGAAGGAAATCGAGCAGCTAGACATCGAGTCCTATAAGCCAACGATCCGGCGAAACGAGAACAGTGGAAAGCTAGAATGGCTGGTCTCGTCCAGCGATCTCGATTGGTTGTGCGACGGATGTTACGTTCTTGGTTGCGGCGGTGGTGGGACACCATATCCAGAGACCCTGAAACTCAAACGACTTCTAAATGATGGATATAACTTCCGTATCATGGACGTTGATGATCTAGAGCCCGAGGCACAAATATATTGTATGTTGAATCTCGGAATGCATCGAATCTCACTGATTATCGAATAGGGGCAGGCAACATGGGCTCTCCGGCTGTTCCGCAGGAGAGGTTGTGTGCCAATGAATCCGTCGAAGCCATAAACGAAATGTTGGAATACTATCGTCAGGATAGTTTTGATGCTCTCATCGGCCTAGAAATTGGCGGTTCAAACGGTCTTTTGCCGCTGAGCATGGGGTCTTCGAGACATTTCAATCGCCCCATTGTCGATGCAGATTGGATGGGTACTGCTAGACCTCTCCCTAGTTTTTTGTGTTTTACTGACCTCAATGCTAGGCCGTGCATTTCCAAATTTATGGCAAGTCACTGTAGCGGTGCACGAAGACAACCAGATCACACCGTGCGCCATCTCGTCCGGTGATGGTAGGGCGCTGATAATGACCAAGTCACCAGACGATGAGTCAATTGATCGAACGTTAAGAGCTCCTGCAGTCGAAATGGGTTACTATGTTGGTCTTGCAGCGAAGCCCACAACCACTGAACTTGTGCGGAAATGGAGTATCAGAAACACCATGTCACAGGCATGGAGGATCGGCCGCTGCATTGCCAGGGCGAGGAAGACGAACACAATCAACACAGTTGCAGAACAAATTGTGCATGAAGTGGGAGGACCTGTGGCGGCTAAGGTCTTATTCCGCGGTAAGATTGTAGGCGTGGAAAGGCGACTCTACAAAGGGCATTCGCACGGGGAGGTCGTCATTCAAGCGATACCGACGGAAGAGACGGAACAGATCGATGCCAAATCGATGCCAGTAATGGTGGAAGGCGGAACCTTACGGATCCCATTCATGAATGAAAATTTGTTAGCTGAGCACCAACATGGGGACACTGCACCAACCGAAGTGATTGCATCGGTTCCAGACTTGATAACTGTCCTTGATGCGAATACTGGGAAAGCATTAGGCATTTCAGAGTATAAGTATGGAGTGGTTGTCATTGTGCTTGGGATTACATGCTCACCTATTTGGGGCCAAACGGAAGCAGGGATAAGAAAAGGGGGCCCTGGTGCATTTGGCTTTGGTGATGTTATCCACGAACCACTGGGCGTCTATCAGGAGCCCATGAGTGTGATTCGTGAATTCGGACCGCGCTGATGTAGATAACCTAACTAGAAGCCGAAACACCTATCCGGACGCCGATGAATCAGCTCGAGTGCTTCGAGTTGTCCTTAGAACACTAGTCATTCCAGAGAAAAATTGTTCCCAGATATCGTCTAATTCAATCCCATAAGTCTACGTCTAACAAACGCTTCTGTGCAGTGACCTCGGCAGGTACTCCTAAGGGCGTTTCTTCTCCGTTCGGAGATATCCTGGATTCTCAGTGCTTACCCACCATCAGTATTAGAACGCCTACCACCATCAAGCAGCTAAATATTGGGCTTGACGATCAGGAGTTTGCTGGATCGGTCACACTCCCAGACTTGAAGAAATTCAGCAAGCATTCCAATGTCGCTGCCTGTCTCCCACCCCGACTACTGGACCCGGGCGCTCCAATTTACTCCTACAATCCATCGGGATGTCTATCCAGCAATTGCGCCAGACTCCGAGAGGGCACGGAGAGTAGCCAAAGGGAAGGTTGTGATAATCACTGGGGCTGGCAGTGGCTTTGGCAAGGTATATTTTAAGAACAATCCACGAGGTATCTCAGAGGCCACTTTACAAGGCGACTGACCTCGAATAAAGGGGGCCTGCCTTCAATGGTCAAGATCGGGAGCAAGAGCGATCGTCCTTGCTGGACGACGCATGAACCAACTTGAGGACACCGTTGCTGAGATAGGGGTATTGCTGTCTCATACTGAACTCATGGCTATTCAATGCGATGTCGCAAACCATGAGAATGTCAGGGCGATGTTTGAAAAGGCGACCAAAGCTTTCGGCACAATCGATGTTGTTATCCACTCTGCCGGAGTGCTAGGCCCGGTGTCAAATATTGGCGATGCTCCGGTTGAAGAGTGGTGGAGTGCATTTGTGAGTTATCGATTCACGATCCACAGCTAGCTCGAACAGATGCTGATGGGACCACCCAACTGTACGCAGGAAATAAATGCCAAAGGTGCATTCGTGGTTGCCCGCGAGCTCGTCAGGCATAACCAAAGCGCGACCTTCGTCAACACGGGCACAGCGGCCTCATTCTTCGCGAATCCAGGACAATCTGCATACACAATGTCCAAGTTGGCAACCAATATGTTACTCGAACAGCTCAACGCAGGTACGATGTCTTGATTTCTTTCAATTCAAACATGGCGTAGAATACGCTGACAATGCTCCCAGAATACCCTAAATTGCGAGTCTTCAATGTCCACCCAGGAATGGCGAAAAGTAGCGTTCTACGAAAGGAGCTAGAAATATACGCCAGAGACACCCGTGCGTCAAATGCTTTCCCACTCTACTCAAGCAAACGCTAACATAGTTGTGCGCTCAGCCGAGTTGTTCGGATCGACAACAGTCTGGCTGGCCGACCAGGAGGCTGATTTCTTACGCGGTCGCTTTATGGTAGTGAATTGGGATGTTGACGAGCTCATAAAGCATCAGCAAGAGATTTGGGATGAAGGACTTCTGAAAAGTCAGCCCTTCAAAGGAAACATTGGAGAAGGGGGGCACTTTCGATTGTGACTAATGTGGTCCTTGCAATGTCAAACAGTGAACCCACGAATCGTCCAAGTTGTAAATCATATTCCAGGAGCGACATCCGGACAGGAATTAGTTAGTCAGCGAGGATGTCCGAGAGGCCAGTGGTGTGATTGGGGTGTCTGCTGGTGCGTAGGGACACCACCCGGCTGTCAAACTGTATGGGCAAATTGGTTGGGAAAGCTTTGTACCAAGAAGTCTACCGAGTAGGCGTTTTGCGGCCGAGGATATCCGATAGATTAGTTGATAGTCTTTCAACTTTCTCCTCTCCATCTCCGACTCTTACAACAAGACCTCCGACAATTTCATTGCCCCAACTCTCCATGTCAACTCCACCCTCAACCCCAGGAAATGGAACTGTCGCAGTCCAGAAGAGTAGAAAGCCCCCTAAGCGAAAACCCTTAAGCTGTCTACCATGCCGGCAGCATAAGCTCCGGTGCGACAGGCAAATTCCTTGTGGAACATGCTCCCGCTATCGCCGAGAGGACGTCTGTCGACTTCACCCAGCACCACCGAAGGGCAAGTCTCGACGAGTAGCGGCACAGCATGTGGGATCAAGTGCTGTTAGTGGCACCGAGCCATTCCCACAGTCTCATACTGTCGAGACAGCTCCATTTCAGGCGACCAACAATGCCCAGGCTTCCAGAGCTCCAGAGCAAAGGTCCGAACAACTCGTTGGCCATGTACACATGAAGTCTGCTGTCCAGGCCATAAACTCAACTCTAGCGACTCAAACAGGAAGTGTTCTCTCCCATGGACAAGATCCGATTGGACCTTCGGACCCAATAGTCTTGTTTCCTCAGATCCTGCCGTTACTTCAACTGCCTTCCGCAGATGTAGATACTTGTACCCTGTTGAGTACGGTAGATACGATCAGTCAGAAGTTGAGGTGGAAAACACTTCTTGTCAATCTACTTCCATCCAGAACGCAGTCCGACATTCTATTCAGCTACTTTGTTGAGCATATCAACTGGATCTTCCATACGGTTCACATTCCATCCTTCCGAAAAGAGTATGCCCAGCTCTGGGATGGACGAGTTGAGGACATTGATCTTATCTGGCTTTCATTGCTGTTTTCGATAATTTCGTTGGCCGCACTGTATGTCCCAGTGAATGCTGTTGAATTCGTGGGGCTTCAAGGAGACACTATTCGCCAGCAGGCTGATCTGTGGCACCATGCCTCTCTTCAAGCCTTGCAAGCAGGGAACTATGAATCCAAACCAAATCTGACGCAGCTCCAGACTTTCTCGGTAACTCAGTTATACTGGTATGCCACCAACAACATAGAAATCCTCAATTCGTGAGTCAGTTCCTTCTGAACTCGGTCATGAACCAATGGGCTAACGTGAAGAAAAGTCGCATGGCACAGGCCATTCGACATGCTCAGATGATTGGACTTGACAAAGACACTGTGACTTCGAGAAACGTTGAAGACGAGATGAGACATCGATTGTGGTGGGATCTCGTCGATTCAGATACGTAAGACTAGCATAAGCGAGGCGCTTTAAATTCTGATTCTCACCTCTCTCTAGATTCCAATCGATCTGTCTCGAACGACCTCCTTTAATTCAAGTACGCTTCACCAATGTGCCGCTACCTTTGAATTGTAACGACATAGACATCGGTTCGAATTTTGTTCATCCAAAATCCATGGAAGAGCCGACGTCGATGAGTCTGAATATTCAGCGGGCAAGGATATTTCAGATCATCAACAAGGTGCTAGTCTCTGATCCCTTGCAATTCAAATCATTCAATGCTATAAGTGAACTCGATCGCCAACTGCTCGATATCATGGAAAAGCTTCCATGGTACTTCCAGCTTGAGGCAGATGGAAGGGGTAAACAATTCCCGGCTTCATATGACTTCCTCAGCTGGCAACACCACATTCTGCGTACATGTGTCAGTACCCAGCGAATCCGCATGTACCGTCCATTCTTAGCAGATCGCACCAACACTGCGTGGACAAATTGCCTTGTCGCGGTCGAAGATGCTATGGCTGTTTATCGGACGCTGCGAGAAAACAAATCTGTCGGCATGCGGCAGAAGTTCTTCCCACAAGCCTACCAAGTATTTTCGGTGGCGGTCACAATGGTCACGATGCTACTGGTCGAGCGTTCAATGCCACATTTCACTCGCTTCAAGCGAGATATTGAGGCGATGACGGCTGATTTGGGGCTTGTCGATGAACAAGCATGTCCAGTTCCGGTAGCAGTCAATGGAAGAAAAGTACTCTTGAAAATGCTTGCTCTCTTGGAGCAAGGCTGTTCACCTGAAGATGCTGAAGGTCTAGTGCCTAACATTTCCAGTGTGATTGGTGGTGAGAACACGACTCGAGCTTACTTAGGCCGGCGAGGGCTGCAGGAATCCCCTAGTCAGGTTCCACTTTCGGATGTGACACCGCAACATCAACCTCGTCAACAATTTTCACAGAATCATGAAGTAAATGGAGTTCTCCAAAATGAAGAACTGACCTCGGCATTCGAACCTATTGCTCAAATTGCTCCAGACGATGAGACATCACTGATGCCATTTCCTGAGCCTTCAGATTTCAGTTTCGATTTTGACGACTTCCAATTGAGTGATACCTACGATCTGTTCGGCTGGGACATGACTGGGTTACTTTCGGGCGCTGTTGCATCGGCTAATAACAGCCAAAGACTTCGTACGGAAGAAGAGACGGGTACAGTCATATTGTAGCTCTACAAGGTAGTCAATATTTGCTATTCCAAGATCAAATCCGTATTAGAACCAAAGCAGAACGTTCAACAACCTGTACTCCCTCGTCTTGGATTCTCGTCATCGTGGCTGTATTACTGCCCAGGGTCGGGCTGTCTCGTTCTTGGCCCCAGAGAAAGAATTATTCTTTAACAATAAGTACATCGGACAGATACGTCCCATTTGCTAGCTGGTACTATTGAAAGACTATCCCATCTCAGACCACTCTCTAGTCGATATCAGTCTGCCCTGTGATGATTATTTAGCAATGTGATTTTTCTCAATCTAAGTATTAATAATGGTGTGACCTACGGAATACCACGATTCAGAAGCCTTTCACCACACAAATGAGTCACAGATACATGAAAAATAGCCTTTAAAAGGGTTATTGATACGAAAACCACATCTGCTGATCGGTATTCCATTTCTGTTGCCAATCGGCATCGACTGGCGTGAAATAGCAGAGTTGCGTGTCAAAGGTATCCGGCGTGAACAAATCAATGCTCGGGGGAGACATCTGGGTCTGTAAATGGAGCAGTTCTGTGGCGAGTTCGTTCACACGTCTGTTAAGCTGGTCGACTTCTTCGCATTTATTCACATACGATTGACACAGATTCCGATGTGTCTTGTGAAGCTCGCCGAGCTTTTCCTGCAGGCTTCGCACGTGGCCGGCCCTTCGCAAGCGGAAAGCACGCTGTGACGATCGGTTCTGTTCCTGTCGGCGCTGCGGTCTACTTAGAAACAAGACTTTGTCGGGCAGAGCTTGATTTTGTTTACCATTCGCTTGCTCTCAAGCACGTCCATGCCGTTCCCCGTACTACTTTCAGAGGGAGTAGATTGGTGGCTGATCTGCCGGGATTTTTCACCTGAATCATCGGATCTACTTTCCACCCTGAAGACCATGACTTCCCCAGGACTTCGCATCTGCTCCTCGTATAGTGAGAACGGCGTTGGCCCCTGCTGGAAATCCTCGGCCATGCCGTGCCCCACACCTGTTCTTGGCTCGAAATGCTTGATGACTTTGGATTAGCACAGGCTCCCCATTTGCAGAAGTCGATGACACGTACAGCACAGTGAGGCAGTTCAGTGGAACCCGTCGTGCCTTTACGAGGTCTTCCTCCCGAATGAGACCTAGGTCGAGGCTCAGGTGAGAGTGAGGCTTGAAAGACTGTTAACATTGTCTTGTCCATCAACTCTTGTTTCGCGTACGTCAGCTGTGATAGAACCTATATGGGCTCTCAGTGTTTGAGCTTGTCGATGCTTCGTCGATACTTCGAGGGACTTTGGTGGGTGGCGTGATACTTCCACAACCCCTACCATTATCTAATATATGTCTTTCTAGATAATGGAAAGAAGTCAAACTAGAACCAAAAAAAAGCATCACCTCGAATGTCATCATTCGTCACATTTCTCGTGATAAGTTCTGACGTAAGGCTTCGTCGGCATGGCTCATCGGTTCCTCTGTAGCATTCAACGTTCAACACACATTTGGTAGCTGTACTACGCGCATAGTCTGGCTTGAATTTGGGAAGCTGCTGTGACAGCCATGGGATAGCATTGGTTGTTGAAGGGAAAGGTACCCCAACGAAAGCGGTTGTAGAAGCCATAACTGCCAAGAACATTGACAAGGCCAGTTCATATCATAAGAAGTTTTCAGCGGATCGCATTGCATGGATTTAACGTAGTACAGAGTCCTTAACAAGTTAATTTCATTCTGACTCTGGAAAAGCTGCTTTCTCAAACCGACCAGTGAAGCGAGATAGATTGCCTATACCGATGTGGACTTAGGTGTCTGAATACTGCGAGTTGTAGACTACGATGGCTTGTTCGCTCCCAGAATGGCTTAGGCCCTCCCAGCGACGTAGACTAACTTGTTGAGGACCCTGTACTACATCTTGAGTTCGAGACTCTGAGCTCCACTCGGTGAATGATTTCGTGATGCAGCCGCCCAAGTCTGAGTCAGCTCAAATGCAACGAATCCGTAGAGTCGAGACCGCGCAGCGGCAATTGACCAATTTCTCGTCTTCGTATGTTAGCGCAACGTCGAAGCCCAGGACTGGCCGAGTTCCTGGGGTCCAAATCTTGTAGTTCAGTTCAGACGGGTACGGATACGATTTTGGGAAAGCTTGATCCTTTCCACGGAGAAGACGGCAAAATTTGAATCTGATTCGTAGCGACCCGAGGGCCCGCTGTGGAGGTCACACTTAACAAGAAGAAGGTACATTAGGGCCGTGTATCAAGGTTGGAAGACACTGCAATGAGGCCGCTCTACGAACGCTTGGGTATGTACCGAGTACCTCGTACCAAGGTATTTACACGATGTATCCTGGCAAATGGTGGAGCATTGGTCTATCCCGAATTCCCAGGCAATACGAGGTGACTGCCTCGTTGGTAGTAGCGCAAGAAACTGTCCCGCACCCCGCTAGGGCAAGTACGCTTCAGGTTGTGCTAAAACTACAGGGCCCCTGTTGCAGCTTGCCAATATTTGCTTTCTACCGGGTTACTCAATGACAAAGCATGCTTCCACTCCTTGACTTGCATCATCAGTTACACATTATGGCGAGCCGCCCCGCTGCAACGACACTGCGTTCGTCGTCCGCTGTACTCGGTATGGAAGTACAATCTCTGGAGAGGCATTCCCAAATCATTGCCTATCCTGTCACACCAGTCTAGCGAGTAAAGCAGATCGTGCTTACAAGATGTATCTAAACTCAAGACTCGCATCGCCCTCTTTGCCAGTGTTCTCCACGCCACTTGCCAGCATTTTCTCTTTCTGACGATTCCTCCATTTCAACAGGAAGTAAATCGCAATGACCCCACAGAACGCCACAGCCTCCAGCCCTAAGCTAACTGCATTTCCGCTGACGTACCGCGGAGCGTCTGTGGCAGGGTATATTTGTCCTGACAGGATGCCCGAAACGTTTGCAATGGTAGCAGCCAGTGGTACTCCCACGCTGCGCTTGTAATCAGGAGCCAGGTTGCTCGAGATCCATGTGAGCATGAGACAGTTATACGGAAAAATGCCAGCGGCGCATAGAAACATGGCGAAGTAACCGGCTCCGATGTTAGAACTCCCAATTGCGATGGAATAGCCGATCAGTACTGGAACCGGCACTATCAAAAGACAGAAGGCACGTTTGTGGAGCCGGTCTGATAGCCATGCCAGCAGTGCTACCGAGCCCGTAGCAAGTGCGTATACTGGGATGGTAAGGTAGTTTGCTTGGATTGAAGTGTACCTGTGTAAAGGGTTAGAATAAATTTGACATATCACGGGAGGGCAATGCTACTGACCCAAGACCCCTAATAATAGTTGGGAGGAACGTCCCGAAGCCAAGAAGGGGTAGTGAAGAGGAGAAGAGCGAGAATGCAACGAGGTATACCAGGGGATCTGTGGCAGCAGCCCAAGCGTGTTTCGGCTTGAATTCGTCTTCTCCTTTGTAAAGCAGATCGCGCTGTTTCTTCAAGAGCATCAAATCGACTTGCTCCTTTGTCAAGAACCATGCTCTCTCAGCGCTGTATGGCATTGTCACCCAGCATAGGCCACCGAGCACGAAAGAAATAATTCCCTCAATAATGAACAACCATCTCCAAGGCTCGAGGCCATGCTGGACCCCCATCTGTTGGACCCCATATGCAAACAATCCGCCAAATGCACCCGAAATGGTGGTCGCACAATATATGACGGCTATGCGTTTCCCTTGTTGTTTTTTATTCCAGATTGTCGAAATGATGAACACCATGCAAGGTAGGAGCCCAGCTTCAAAGACACCAAGCAACAATCGGCATGCCAGAGCCTGATGGTAGTTGCGCACAAATCCCGTTCCTAGTGTTGCTGTGCTCCATCCCATTAGGGCGATACCGAGTACCCTGTTGGCGCCGTACTTCTTGATGCAAACCACCCATGGAATATCGAAGACGATGTAGGTGACATAGAACAAGGTAACGAGATTGTTGAACTCTTTGCCCTTGAGGCCGATATCTTTGGCAAATCCGAATATCACGGCATTTCCTGTGAGGCAGACATGTTATCAGTCTGGTTATGGAGAGGCTACTGTTGCATCATCAAAACATACCAACATTCGTCCGATCAAGGTAGCCGATGATGATAAGAATAGCGATCTGCGGTAGGAGGAAAAGGTCGAATTTCCTCAATGTCTTTCTCTCTAGCACTGGATCAAGTTCAATCTCATGGACATGACCTTGATTCACAGATTGCATCTTGTGTATCTCGTTTGTTTCAACAGAATCCATGTTTGGAAGCTTTTGGTCCTTAAGATTGGACATTGTGAATTTTGTCCAGGGGCACTTCTTTGTCGCTTTTATCGGCAGGTACACTATGCGACCAAGATGAGCGGATGGTAACTATCCTAGCTAACTTACGGTGGCGATTAACATTTATATAGCCCGATATACTGTGGTACAGTGGTATAGCTGCTTAGCTTGAGATAGCGGGAAAGCAGGTCAACTTGGTAGCAATTTGGCTTGCCCCTGTCCCCCACTGGGGAGATCTAAGATTGGCTCGGATTTGTGGTCAACAAGGTGAATGATTTCGTATCCTGAGATACAAATCTGTTGTAATGTTCTGACTTCGATCGGATTAGGAGAAACATGTCCGAAGACAAAGTAGGATGATTTCCATCTCCGACGGCCTCGACCTCGGCTGTGAGATGGTGGGTTTCGAACCTTATGAGTCGCCAAAACAAGCACTCTGCCTACAAATCATTCCAAGTGTTCAGAAAGAAGGGTCCCGAGCGTTAGAGCTGCGGAGGGGATTGTAGAGATTTCAAGTGCCCTCATCAAGATCAAGACCCTCTTCCTACAATCTATGGCTCGCTTTTGGGACACTGAACAGAGTAGACTGTTTCGCTAATATCGCGACCAGAGTCTGCGTCACTGACCGGGTCCATCGTGAATGATTCCGGAGCAATAACTAAATCCTCCTTTCCATAGTTCGTGTCCGTCGCATATTTGTAAGCCGCTAGAAGTGACAGAACGCTACCTACCATCAACAATGTGAAATAAGCTTCAGCCTCGACCAGAAATCCGACTTTGTGCGAGTCTAGACCATAAGCAGTAGCCAACCCAGTTAGCCTCAAAGCTGAAATGTACCCGTTCAGTCTTCCAAGCTTCCGTGGCTCATTGGACAGAATTGAGCATAGCCAGATATGGTAAAATTGATACAAGGAATGGGAGAGGCCGATTGCAATGAACAAAAACAGCAATTTAACAAACTTCATGTGATCTGTCCAGTCAACTTTGGGCGACGGCCGCTTCCTATTGAAAGGGTTTGTTGCCAAGAAGTAGATCATGCCAGACCAGGTGGCTACGTTGATGAGGAGGGATATCAAATTGACGATGATCGCTCGTCGACGCCGTGAGCCAAGCCGTGGACTGTCGCAAGCGAAGGCGGCAAACAATGTGCCAAAAAAGTAAGTGGTATGGTAGCAGAGCTAGAGATCACATAGTATTAGCATTCGTCGAAACGCTTTAGGACATGGTGGTCTCACATTCGCTAGTGCTCGAGTACGTGCCGAGAAGACAGACCCATTGAAGGAGGAATAAAATGAAAAGGGCATTGCACAGGAAAATAGACCGACAGCCAGAAGAAGGGTCTCTGGCCGGAAAATTGTTGTCGGAATGCTGATCAATTCTTCTTTCCAAGTTAAACCTTTGAAGTGGGCAACTTGTCGTCCATTCTCGCGACGAAGCTCCGATGGTTTTCTGAGAAACATGGAGAACACCACCCCCAACGTCTGGATACAGACCACGGTGGCGTAAACTGCAGTCGGAACACCACTAGCTCTGCGGTGGGTGTTTGATGTAATTCCTAGGATAATTGCTGCTGCATCTCAGTGTCTAGAAGGCAAGCCTGGTTGGATCTGACATACCTGCTCCAACTACACTCCCAATCCCCTGGGAACACCACATAAATGCGATATATCGACCGCGGTGACTTTCCAGGGAGTATGCAGTTGCAACAAACCCTGATCCCATTAGCGATGCTGGCCCTGTTAAGGCCCATCATGGGAACACACCAGCGGCTGGGTACAAAACAGCTGCCGAAATGCCATGCCAAATAGTTGAGACCCAGGCGAACCACCGTGCTTGACCTTTATCAAGTAGCCTATTGAGAAGTGAACATCATTTCGCAATATCTGGAAGTTCCTCAGGCCTTACCACAATGCTGCAATAAATGTTGGGTAACCACAGGTCGCAAGTAGCATTGCAAAACGTGGACCGAGCTTATTTGTGACAGAACCCCCAAAGATGGCCGTGGCAGCAGTAACTGATAAACCTGTCGCGGTAATCTTATCCACGAGAGGAATCATCTCAGCACGACTTCCTCCTGCTCCGAGTCCAAGTACAGTGCCGTTCATTCCCGCACAGGTGAACATAATCAGAGATATTATCCCGATTTGTGCGGAGGTCCTGCGTGGGAATCAGTTTTGCATATATCATGATAGGGAGACTGCTGAGTACTAACGTATTCGACCACGACGAACGCAAAAAGACCTCCATTATTCCTTGAGAGGATGATATTTTGAGAAATCGCGCTTCGAACCCTCTACAATCTTTGCATCAGCCCCCCGATGCACAGGAAAGGTGCGAGAAAGGATTTACTTCATAGCTGAAAGGCGACAGAATGCTGACTCATTTTGAACACTGGAACAGTCAGTTGGTAGCCCGGCCCATGTCACAAGTCGTACTAACTACTCAATACGAGGTACATCGTAGCGAGTTTTTGGTGTCCCTAGTGCGGGGCAGGTTTGTGAGGCCTCTCTCGTGCTCATCCCTGGTCCGTTTGGTGGCTGCCCAGGGTGTTGCGCTAATGGAAAAAGCCTGCTCGATAGTACAGCGACCATAAATGGATTAGTTTCAAGCCCACTCGTGCATGACTGCTCCGGAGAGTCCTGCTCGATAGTACAACGACCATAAAAGGGTTAGTTTCAAGTCGACTCGCGCATGGCTACTCCAAAGGCCTGCACTTCATGGTGAATCGAGTCCCGCCTCTGTTCTTCGCTTTGAATCTGCTACGGTTTCCTCTCATGGTATCACAATCTCTTCGAATCCCATTGCTCGCCAAAGTGGACATGCGACCCACAACGACGACTTACAGTGATCAACCACGCCCACAGTTATGAGTGAGCGCCGACAAGACATTGAATCCCACCGAGGGATACAGATTCGTGTTGATCAAGTTTGAACTCTTGGGTCGCTGATCTTTCCAGACTCTCAGTTCCAGATTTGTCCGCTGTAGCGCGAAGCAAAAATTCCTCTCGGAAGCTCCAGACGGTAAGGTCACCATACGACTCTAAGCATGGAGAGGCATCATATGGAGAGTGCATCTTACGATACTCCAGGAGCCTTGATTTCATCAGAACTTAGTCCTAACAATATTGGTTCTCGACTTCCCTCAATTGCGATACTACACGACTCTCATGGCACTCGAAGTAAGCACTCATTAGAGATACTTACTACGTCACCAGAGCATGTAGACTACATGAATCCAAATCAAACGGGAGTCAAGGGCCCGGGCCTGCGACTCTCGAATATGACTTATAAAGTTCCTGGGTATGCAAGCCACTCAAGATCCGGAAATCCTTCTGGTGCTAGCAAGGATCTTGCTCCAACGTCGCAAGCATTTACCTTTGTCAACGTGCGAACCTCAACAGGTAAACGTGACTGGGCTGCAGAGTCGCAGATACGCTCCCATGCCATGAAGCGTGTCCAACGACAACGCCAGAATGCTAAGCGATTGGTGAAGTCAGGATCGACGAGCGGCCCTCAAGCTGGGGAAGTGAGTCCAATCACGGGCCAGAGCGCACGTGCCTGCAAGTGTGGTGATATCGGGTGTTCTAATACGGAGTATACACCCAGAAATTCGTGGACACTTGAGACTGAGTCTAGTCACAATATGCCCCTGTCGACATCTTGCAACCGTCCACGATCTGAAGTGGTGGCCATGCACGGTGCTGAAGCAGCTCATGCACCAATTTTTGCACCAAAGGCACTCGGATCCCCGTTTCTTAGCCTGTTCCAAAAGCCAAAACTCCAAATGAATCCGCGCATGGAATCTCTCGTGTGCTACCTGTTATCAACATATTTTCAGCTTACTATGCCTTCCATCTATGGGCGGGGTTCTCAGTCAGGTTCTATTGGTGCATGGAGGCACGGACTGAGGCTATGCCTCTCCGATCAAGCCAATCTACAAGTATGGTGCTCAATATCTGCATATCACAAGGCCGCCCAAATGATGTCGCTACCAAGCTCGAGGGCAAGTTCCATGCGACATGTGATCCGCCAACAGCAGGAAGAAGCCAGTCAGCACTTGCATAATTCGATGAGACTGCTCAATCGGCATTTTCAGGAAAACAAAGGAGCTCCAAGTCTCTCTTCGGTCCTTGCTGTCTCCTCCCTCATAATCGCAACGGCCCTGTCAGGCGCAGTCGATGCGATGCAAACACATCACGATGGGTTGGTCAAAATGATCGAAATGCGAGGTGGTGTAGAAACCTTCCCTCGTATCGAGGCCATCGGTCTATCTCGTATCGACTCCAATGCAGCCTGGACTGAAGGCCGGCGACCTAGGCTTCCTGTGTACATCAACCCTGTGCCGCCTGAACGCTCATTTCATCAGGCTGTAAGCATGTCTCCAAGCCTGCAAGGATTTCTTGTGAATTCTCCACTCTTCGCCGTCGCTCGCGATTTGCAGATGGTGTCCCGCACGTTGGAAGTCCTCGCTCAAGCGGACGCATCGCTACCACGCGAGGATGCGATCTGGTATGAGGATCAATTTGCTGTTATTCAGCACGGTTTAGCCGATTTTCCTTATTTCGACCACGATGTCGATGCCTCGGTCTGGTACCATCGGCGAAACAGCTGGCGAAATGCTGCATTTATCTACCTTAACACTGCAATCCGCACGTCCCCATCCAAGGCCCTCTTGAAATTAGCCACGAGCCGACTGATTTTCTCTGTGAACAAGTCAGACCTTGGGCAGTGGTGGGACACGCACAGTGATATCTTGCTCTGGGTATTATCAATGGCGTTGAATGGGGCTTGTGAGGATGAAGACAAAAGTGTGCTTCAACTCCGAATCCGCCAATTGATAAGACATATGCGGCTTCCATCATTTCAGAGCTTGCGGGATGTTCTAACGCAGCAGATGTGGAGAGAATCGGTGCTTGACCAGCCCTTGAGAGATGCATGGACCGTCGATGGGAGATGAATTGCGAATCTTGAAAATTAACAGATCTGAGAATCATTGTCGAAGTCGTATTCCTCAACGTGTACTCGGTCCTATACTCTTGTCTCTAGGCTGTCGTACTATGACAAGGGAAGGTAGGAATGTTTTCTAAAGCTTTTGGGAGGTCTCTGGTCCTCTATCCAATAAGCTTTGCAACAAGAGCAGCTGGCGAGTGCTGAAGGTTCGGTTTGGATTCAGTTGCTTGAATAAACAATCAATGATCACGAACTCGAAGGTGAGAATCTCAACAGGCACGTAAAGCGTTTCGAAGGAAAATACAGCTGTTACGTAGTTTTGTTGCCGACAATTTAATTTAGCTCAATGAGCTGCCTGAAATGGTCTAGCGTGTAAAGTCTGTCAACGCTAAATAACTCTATTGATTCCCCTTGCTTTTGGCACCGAACCCTGAATCCGATATCTGCCATCTAAGTATTTCGGACGCGACAGCGCTCAGGACTTGTCACGATGCTGTGCTTGCTGCCTTAAAACAGAGACGCAAGTTGGACCTTCAGAATCGGTCAATCGATGCAAAGAGCACGGGCATGAGCACGGCAGAACCCATCTCACTCTTGAGTTCACGTACTTCGATGCGCTGAAAAACATTGATGCTAGACGGTTAGAGTCTGTTAGGTCACAGCATCGTTGAAAGGTAATCAATCAAATATCTACCTAGAAATATGGGTAGTTTCGACTTCATTATCATCCAAAAGCTTCTCCTTCCAGGAAAGTCCAACAACCTCGTAAGACGGGATTGAGCTGTCCAATCGCAAGATGCCGGATGTCTCGCCATAGTCTTGCCTTTCGGTCAATGAGAGAGATCATTCTGGATGGGAGTCCCAGTCGCCCTCAGAATCGGAGACTTCCTCTGAAGAACCTTCTATTGCTGCTGGCATCATATTTTTCAGCGACCGAAAGGTGCTACTCTCTCTTGCCTTCGGTCTTCGAGCAGACAAAGCCTGTTCCCTAGCCGTGGGGGCGTTTCGGCCGAATCCGTCACTGGAGAGCAGCAAACGTTTTTGGCGTCTGAAAAGATTGCCAACACCTTTGCTGCGCCTCGGGCTAGTGACGAGCAATTTGAAAATAGGGCCATTCTCATACTCGTACAAGAGGTCTTGGATTTCCTTGATAACGACCTTGCAATCTTCCACCCATGCAGGCCTTTCAAAGCAGTCGATGCTGTCAATAACGCAGATCAACACCAGGTCTGGGGAAAGCTGCTTGACGACCGTCGCAAAAGAGCTGCACAGCGTTTGAAGGTTGTGCGATTCTAGCTGTTCCTTGTCTCGTGGGTCGAAATTGAACTTTAGATCGACCTGTTGGTCAAAGAATCGCAGAACCTGGCAGGTCAGACTTCGCATCATGCCTTGGGGTCCCTGAATTGGATCCTTCGAGGAGACATGGCGGCGGCAGAAGAACTGTATCAACAAAGAGGGCGAGTGCTCAATTACAAGACAGCTCATCAGTGAAAGGGAAGCAAGACATCCATGGAAGCCTAGAGCAGGACCGCCTTCAACAAACACTTCCGTTGAGTCATCCGCAGAAACCCACCCCTGGAACGTTGGCCCTGCGATGACAGCTTGAGCAATTTGTGAGTCTGATGGCTCGATTGACTGACAAGCTCGGTGAACCCGTCTGTAGTCCTCAATGTGGCTTTCAGCGTCCACGCCTAATATGTTCAGCAGATCTGGTTGAGTCAAGCCACTGATCTGCAGCTGCAGCCTTTTGACCTGTCTCTTCAGCCTTGAGATATTCAGATTGTCTCGTTTTCTCCCTGGATGCGAGTCAGCTTTGCATATCTAGACAAATCTACGCTAATTGAGGATCCTACATTCAGCGTTCTCAAATGCCATCATCATTGCCTTAGCAGCCTGGTCTTTCGCTTTGGCTGCTTGATCTTTAGCTTCCTGCACATCAGTCAAAGTCTCGACTCTGCGATGGGTTGCCTTCTGAAAACCGTGGATATCATCGATCTTTACATCGGTCTCATTTATTGCCGCCCGAACGCCGTCGATTTTGACATGGGTCGTGGAATGGGCGACATGAGCTCTAACATCCATTTCATCCTGCTTTAGTGCGACAGAGGTTAGCTGGACTTCGGTATTCTCCGCCAAGTATCTCATGCTTCTTGTTTGCTCTTGCAACAGTTCGACATTCATCTTTGTATCGCGTGTCAAGTCCGCACCAGTCATTGCAATTTGATCAACAACGGTTTCCACGATTTTCGAAGTCTTTTGGGTGGCAACTATAGCGTCGTCACGCAAGACGGAAGCTCTAGCTTGCAAGGACACCAACGCTTCGTTGAGCGCTTGCATCTTATCTTTGAAACGCTTGTTGTATCGTTGGCCACGTGCCAAAGCTCGAGCTTGCTTACCTTGACCGGTCAACAATTATATGAAATGAGCAGCAGCAAGGGGTACTTACCGACAGGATGTTGTTGCAGCCATTCAGTTGCTCCTTGAATGGCTCCCAAGATCGCAAGATATAGTTCCTGAGCCTTGTCATACAATGTCGGATCCGGGTAAAATGTTTCGACAGCATGTTCAGCCTCTACTATGATTTCAGGAATACGTAAGAGTGTGGCCAATACCTGTTCACGTCCCTTGCTGATCTGCGAAGCGGCCTACTCTCGATGTTAGTGAGCGTGCTCCTGCCACTGAGAATACAGTACTCAGCTCGAAAACGAGTTTTAAACCACCACATGCGATTGACGTGTAAAACCCGTTAGGTATTAGTCTCAACGCAGGCAGCACGGACTCGGCTTGGTCTGCTATGAATCTACCCACTCTTCGTGGACCACTTCTCCCCGCCGCGAAATATGTCCTCTCTGTCAGCCTCACCAATGCCATTACCTCATCCCAGGAGTGAGTTCCAGTGAGGTCTAAAGATCTCACTTTTGAATCTTGGTGGGATATCTGGTAGGCCTTCATGACCTCAAGGAACTGCTCGGCATGCGTATATGTCGCAGAACTTGATACTTTCAGCACTAACTTGGTACAATATCACTGCTCGAATATGTATGCTCAAAGCAGCTGTGGTAGCCTACCTGAACGTTTTCTGTTTTGGAGCTGGGGCTCGTTGCCGCAGATAGCCCTCTTCTTCCTCGTTATGGCCCAAGAAAACATTTAGTCCTGGTCGTTCTGGTACAATCGTTGTTTCCGAAATAGATTCTGAGACCTGTACAAGTGTAACAGACCCCTCGCTGGAAGCTGGTGGACTCTCATTGTGTGCTTGGAGGGCTTCCGACATATCTGGATTTTCCATGGCACTGTTTCCGTTGTCTGCGCCAGAAGTCAGACTTGTTGCGTTGGCTTCAGGTGCTCCAATGCTGCCATTCTCAGCATCAGGCTGAGGCCGAGGGGGGGATAAGGCGAGAACATGTACAAAGACAACCTAAGCGAGACGCAAGTGGAGTGATGGTGTGTGCTTCATTAGACGAGTTTCTTTTCGCACATGCTCCTGCGATAACCAAGACCTGAAGCTTGAAACGAAAGGCGCTATGCTCGGGCGCATAAAAATTGAATAGGCAATTCGGGGCACAATACTTAATCCCACGACATGAATTGGGGGCAAAAGCGCACGCCCCACGCTTAATTCCTCATTACGACCAGTGCAAGGCGCATTTTACGCCCGCCTTCGACAACCTGACCGTTCGAGTGCCATCCTCCGATCGGCATTTGCTTCCTATAGGTCGTCAGATGTGTCGCTGGCATGGAAGCACTGAGCATACACGGGACGGCCCAACGCCCCGAGAATGCCTGCAACTAGGAAGACGAACACATTGGTTGGGCCGCAGTTGCCTGTTTTAACTTCAATTAGAACTGGCCGCTGAGCCTGGCCAATGCTAGAAGGTGCCAAGCTGTCTAGGTTACTTCTCTCTTGACCTTTGTCACACCTCCCTGCATATCTTCCCATGAATGTACGAGATTCGAAATCCAACCTCCACGTACGTTCCGCAATTTTTCATGTCCATTTCTTGTGTAGGCTGCCTCTCAGCTGCTCAATCGGTCGCTATTCTAGGCGATCGTTCCAATGTGCGCCGAACCGAGCACCATGCTCTCCCGTCGCGAGTTGGGAATTGCACTATAACTTCAGCCTTGTTGCTGCCTTGCTGCACGATCAAACAACTGGCCAATAGCCACATCACTATAGAGACAACAGGCCTCATCTTTTGCCTCATTCTGTATGGCCCCATGGATACGTGATGCAACCCCGCACATTGGTCATCACTGCATGGCTGTCCTGAAGAGCCCGTGCTTCCAGTCGACTATAAAAACCGAAGGTGATGTCAATATCTCTGGCCAACCATTTATTGTGGGGTTAAGCGGCTTTGCCAGCCAACACAGAATCGCTATTATAACCAGTCAATTTATTCATGATACCGTCTTGGAACCGGTCTGTGTCGAATGCGAGTGTTTCCAGGCGCACATAGAACGGTAAAAGCATTCTGAGTTCAAATGGATGTTGACGAGTTCGATAACAGGTACTGTAATCCGCCTGGAATAAAGATCAGGTTGAACAAGAGACTTGATATTCCATGACAATCAATCTCACTAATGGTTTCATAGTTCTATTTGCAGTGATAACCGCCAGCAGCCTCGGCAAAATGGTCAACCTGTAAAGGGAGGCGAGCACCCTGATGAGAATATATGGAGTCCCTGTGACCACGATTCTACCTCCAATGCTGGGTCCAACAAGAAGACCACTGCCACTGGTGGTGACGGGTCTCTTTTTGGCGCTGTCAAACACAGGATAACACGTTCTGCGACATCAGAGCTCACAGAATTGCAACAGAGGATTCTGGCTCTGGAAGGGCAACTTGCATTTACAACAAACATCAACGAAAGTTGTAGCGTTGCGGGTAGATATCCAGGTGGAGATAACAGGACTGACCTTGAGGTAATCTCTGAGAAAATCTCTGAGAACGGGTTCAAAGAAAGCTCAGTCCAGCAGCAAATAGTTCCCCAATTGCGTGACAGAACATGGTCAGAACTCATGAACAAGGACACTGGTGAAAGTCAAGAGTATGCTATCGAATTCCTACCAGAAGAACCTGATTACTATCATCAGAAGAAAACTAGCCCAAAATCAGATAGGAAACATGGGAAGAGTCGCGGCTTAGTGCCAACTATGAGCAGCAAACCCGCCCTCAACAATTCTACGCCATCATATGGACAATGTTCTGTTCCAAGCCGAATCCGAATCAACTCAACTCCTATCTTGAAGACTTTGAGCCACATCCATGACATTATCGACCCAAGTACGTCTTTGGTGATGATGCGGCCCTTCAAATTCTTGGTCCATTATGAAACACAAATCAGGGAATCGGTCCGAGTCCTGGAGCGCCAAATTCTGAGCATAAACTCAAATGCTTCAATCTCTTCGGCGCATGATGCCTCGCAATGCAATGAGCAAGAAGTACTCCAAGAGAGCTTGGAGCATATGCGATGTCTTACTGATTTCATGGATCGATATATCAAACCCGTTCTAGAAAGGTTGGAGGACAGCTCTAATGGCCAGATCCACTTCGCCGACCTCTGGTACATTTTCAAGCCAGGTGTGGACATCCATTATCCCTTAAGAGTGCAAGATACTTCTGTGACTGTGGATGCCTTGGAAACCACACCTGAGACATTTCAGAGTCGGTACAATCAGGTCTGGAGAGTTACTAGCACGAGTGGAGGGCGTCCAAATATATCCACTGCTCAGAATCGTAGTACTATTCTCCGACCCAACCCCTTTCGAGTTGATATGTACTATATCGATTTCCATGGGAGATATTTCCGTCCGACGGTCCACACCTTTGAGATTCCGTATTTCAAAGGCGAACGCGCGATAAATTCTCTTGACTTCTATCCAGCTCGGTACATGGAAAATTCAAAACAACAGGAGACTCTCAAAGGCCATCTGGAAAAAGGGAAAGCCGTTTTCAATTCAATGGCAAGCTCATTATCTCATTTCTTTTATCAAGGACCTACTGTCATGAAGCATCCCTGCGGCTGCCCAATTGTGGATGGTCCTTTAATTCAGGAGTACATTGAAAGTGAGGTAATTGTGGACTTCAAGATGACTCTACGCAAATACCCCTCGTGGGGGCCCAAAAGGGAGCCTTGGAAGGAGCCGGTGATTGAACGAGGGGAGCTTCGAGAGACCTTCCCGGTGCAGTATTGGACGGATGATCGAAGAACAAAGCTCGAAAGCACGGAGTACGATCAAGTGTATAACGACTACTTCATCGACAGGGAAAGAGCATTGATATTCAGAAACAACGAGCAAATTTTTGCTCCGATCCCTTCTGGGTGGCTCAGCAATGAGCATATGGTTCCAGAGAAAGATATCAGTCTCTATCCTGGTAGAGTCATGGCTTATGTGTTACGAACTAGGTCCTTCGGTAAGTTAGGCATGACAAAACGGTCTTTAAGTTTGATGTGAATGCTGAGGTACCCAGCTCATTTGTGGCTATGGGGGCTCCAGCCGATCAAAGCCCAGTCTGAGGGCTTGAATAATCTTCAATTGAAGGACAACAGTTTCAAGCAAACTTTGCAGGCTCTGGTAAGGACTCATTTCATGCAAAAGCAGGCTCAGAACTCGCCCAATTTTGAATACGATATTGTTCGAGGTAAAGGAAAAGGTCTTATCATCCTTTTGCACGGCGCCCCTGGACTTGGGAAGACATTCACAGCTGAGAGCATAGCCGCTGCCAATGGTAAGCCACTGCTTCAGATAACCTGTGGTGACTTAGGCTTGAACCCAAAGGACGTTGATGCAGCGCTCCGAGAGAGCTTCTACTACGCGCAGCATTTTCGTGCAATCTTGTGCTTCGATGAATGCGATATTTTCCTCCAGCAGCGTTCGAAGATGGATGTCAAGCGGAACGCTCTTGTTTCTAGTGAGTCACGCTGGAGCTGTTGACGAAAAGTGCCCAGCTGCTAACAGATACCAGTCTTTCTCAGGGTCTTGGAATTCTATACTGGCGTGTTGTTCCTGACAACAAATCGTGTGGGTACTCTTGACGAGGCGATCAAATCTCGAATTACCTGGATATCATATTACCCGCCTTTGAATTGGGTTCAAACGAAGGAGATCTGGAAGACCAATATCAAGCGCCTGGAGAAAGGAAATGGTAATGTTGTGGTTGACAGAGCCAGTATAATGAAATTTGCCAAACAGCATTACGCCGTTAGCAGTGCTCCTGACTCTGAGAGTGGTGTTTGGAACGGGAGACAGATCATGAATGCTTTCAAAGTGGCATTGGCACTCGCACGTTGGGAAAAGTACGGTCAAGAGGAACAGGATCAAACGGAACAGTTGGTGGTTCATGACGACCAAGATAGCATCACAATTTCTGCGGCACACCTCAGTACTTATGCCGGAGGAATACGAGCCTTCGACTCATATTTGAAGGAAGCAACTGGGTCTACTGATGCCGATCGTGCATTCAACGCACAAGAGAGAGCAGATGAATATGAACCTGAAGATGATCCTCCTCTCCGATCTCCCAAATTAGGGGATGGAGGCTCATTTCCGGCTTTGGTCCCGCCGTACGAAGAGCTCAGACGAACAACATCAAAGGGTCTTGTACCCCCGTCCAACAACGGTCGGGCTCCAAGCCCGAATCTACGTCCTCAACTCCTAGGCCGTCACTCATCCAGTCAGCTGTTGCAGCAACAGCAACAACGCCCACCGACCATTTCCAGACATAGCGGCGGTGGAACGCCCACCCCAGTACCTCCGCCCCGACGACGATCTAGCCAATTGACCAGTCCCACACAATTGATGCCCCCAGTGACCAAAAGAAGACCAAGCACGGAGCGAAGGGCCTCTGGCAACAACGATTTCAGAAGGCAAACCTACCGTGAATACGACGACACTGGGGTCGAAACAGAAGATACGGACTCCTACCTGTATGGAAACGAAACTCTTGATGATGAATCCGACCTGGGTCACTAAAGTTCAAGCGTTACAGCTTTCAACAACTTCATTCTTTTTTTGACAATTATTTCCAAGCACACAGAATATCAGAAATCTTTCCGGGCCTTGTTCCATACATCAAGTCCACAGCGAGCAACCAGTTTACATTAATGACCCACAGACAAGGAAGTCGACGAACTTGTCGTGCGGGAAGTTTGGTTTCGGATTCTGGGATTCGCAATTCTACCTATGGGAATGAAATTTCTGCACTCAGGCAATTAGGGTCGTAGTCACACATATATAGATAGGATGTGGATAGGCAGGCCTCGGCCTTTTGATCAAGCCGTGCTTATTTCGGGATTAAAGCGTCGATGGCCACGATTAACCAGGTCATGAAATATGTGATTGACAATATGCGGTGGAAGTCGAAGTCGAACTGGGTTTCCGCTTTGTCGTCAAGTTAGGGACCTGGATTTGGGGGTGAACGTAAATATCGACGTCATGGCCCGGGAAAAATTCCATCGGAGCGAAGCCGATGCATCACGCTTTCACTTATCATCCCACCGCATTCTCCCTTGAAGCCTCAACAGACAAGTCGGTTCGAAAGCTATCGACTAGCTTTGTCATTACCTTCCATGACTCCATTCTCGACGACGATTAAAGCTTCCTAGACGCGCCCCTCACTCCTTGATCCTCATAGCCAATGCTTGCTTAATCGCCAGCTCAACCTCGCTCGCCCCATGCGACCCAACACCGCAGCCCCCCTCCTCGTTCGGGGGCGCGCCGCATGGACATGTTCTCGCTGCAAAAATGTGAAACCCATACAACTGGATAGCCCCTACCGAGCGTATACTTCTTCAACCCGAGGCGCACGGTCTGTACGTGTCATTCGACCACGCAAAGCCGTTTACTGGGCCGCAGCTGGTGGCTCTCTGGGTGGGAGCCTCCTCTTCTTTGGCGATGATGTAAAGCATGGTTGGCGCGCGGCGGAGAGAACAGGCAGGGTCGTTTCGACTCTGGCTGTCAACATAAATGAGTATGTTCGAGAGAAAATTGTTGCGAGTCATAAGCTGACCGCAGTCGTTTCCCAGCTATCGGGTGACATTGAGACAGGACTTGGACGACCCGGAAGAGGAGACCCGCCTCCTAAAAGCCTGCCACAAGCGCTGTGCCGATAGAACATTAAAAGTCCTTGAGAAGAATGGCTCCATATTCATCAAACTCGGCCAGCACCTCTCATCAATGGGTTACCTCCTTCCTACCGAGTGGACCGAGACCTTCATCCCACTGCAGGACAAATGTCCAGTTTCAGCGTATGAGTCGATAGAAGATATGTTCTTGAAGGATACTGGACACCGGATAGAGGAATCTTTCGAAGACTTCTCCCAGGAGCCCATTGGAGCGGCGAGTTTGGCTCAGGTACATACGGCCAGGCTCAAAGGTACGGACAAAAAGGTGGCAGTCAAGGTACAACACCCCAGTCTTGAAGAATGGGTGCCTCTGGACTTGGCCTTGACAAGATTCACATTCAGCATGCTCAAAAGAGCCTTCCCAGACTACGACATGTCGTGGTTGAGCAGCGAAATGGATTTCTCCTTGCCGCAAGAACTGGACTTTTCCCTTGAGGGTGCCAATGCCTCGCGAGCAAGGGAGTATTTCTTGAAGAATGCCAACTTCCCACTAATTATTCCCAAGGTCATTTCAGCAAGTCGAAGAATTCTCGTCATGGACTATGTGACCGGTTCGAGAGTGGACAACCTCGACTACTTCAAGAAGCATAGTATTTCTCCGGATGAGGTTTCGGCGACTCTGGCCAGAATTTTCAACACCATGATTTTTCGAAGAGGCGCGCCTCTCCATTGCGATCCACACGGCGGCAACATCGCAGTGCGCCATAACCCAAACCGAAGACATCCTTATAACTTCGACATCATCCTCTACGATCATGGTTTATATCGAATGCCCGATGAGAAACTACGACGGGACTACGCAAGACTCTGGTTGGCGGTGATTGATGCAGATGAGTCTCGGATGCGCAAGTATTGTTACGAAGTGGCTGGAATTACCGACGAGCAGTTTCCCTTGTTCGCCTCGGCGATCACTGGTCGCGACTATCGCGTGTTGACCCGGAAGGAAGTGGCGACTTCAGCCAGAGACACGAAGGAGAAGGAAGCCATCAATGAGGTCTTCGGCGAAGACCTGATCCAGCAGCTAGTACAGCTTCTAGGTTCGGTGCCTCGTATCATCCTGCTGATCCTCAAGACGAACGACCTGACGCGCAGTCTGGACGAATCTCTCGGCTCGACGCAACCCATGCGACCCATGATGATCCTCGCTCGCTATGCGAGTTTGACTGTCTGGGAAGAGGAGAAAGAGAACATTCGCAAGCAAGGGAGTCTGCTGAACCCTCGCAATTTCTGGCACTTGTTCCAGGCGTGGTTGAGCTTTGTCAGAGTTGAACTAAAGCTTTTCGGTTATGAGCGATACCTGTCTGCTCGTAGACATTTGAGGCTGGACGGTTAAAAAGTCTCCTTTGGTGTATAGATCCCTACGATTCGGAGTAGAAGGGCTCTCCATTAACTATTGATCGCTCTTGGTGAAGAACGGATATTATGTATGGTGATTTTCGTTGGCAAGGTGGTTCCTTCAAGTTAGCGAGGAGTTTTTGAGCGTTTGAATAGAGGAATCATGCATACACACATGTGCTCTCAGTTGACGTGGAATCTCATCTAGTTGGACTATGTGATATTTGTTGGCGAATTAAGTGACATGGTTTTCAGAGACAGTTCATGTAACCGCTATGGTCATCAGCGGGACCTTGCACATAGACTGGAGCTCCTGGAATGAAGGCTTCGGAGTTGGTGTAGACTCCCGGGCTTTGTCCAGCAAGGCCAATGCTTAGAAAAGAGCCCGAGGAGCCTGTATAATCTGGTAATTGTTAACCTAAACCAACTAACTTTAACCCCCAGGGGGCTGGGGTGCCCCTAAGAGCAAACTCAGTCACATGACCATTGAAATTTCAGATCGGGGTCAGCATTTTGGACTCCCCAACCATCATCCTGCTTGGATCTCACGACTAACCACCAAACAATCAGTTACTCATACAACAGGATCGGCCGTATAATCCCTTTTCCTCAGGGCTACATGTAGACTAAGATATCGCGATGCAGTCTTAAGCTTGAAGCTTGCATACGTTGCGTGACACCATGAACTAATACTCGAGATCCCCTTCCCAGCCGAGGACAATGCTTGCTCGATAGAGGTCGAGTTCTGGAGTCATTACAACCATGATCAATCTCGGTCTCTCACGGATTTCATCGCTTCTTCGACCACTCTTCAACGTCCACGACCCCCTTCCCTGGCGAGCCATCCATATCGCCGGCACAAACGGGAAGGGGTCAATAGCCAGCTACATCTCCACCTTCCTTGCACACCAAGGCTATAAAGTCGGCCGCTTCACTTCGCCCCACTTGATCAACCGCTGGGACTGCATCTGGCTAAACTCTCGCGTTGTTGATAAAGACGTCTTCCTCGCTGTGGAGAATGAATTGAGGAATCGGTCGACCGAGGAAGGGATCCAGGCGAGCGAGTTTGAAATCCTCACGGCAGTGGCGTTCGAGCTGTTCACTCGGCATGGCATGGATTTTGGAGTTGTTGAATGTGGTTTGGGTGGACGGTTAGATGCGACGAATGCTCTACGGCCGCAGGATGTCGCTGTGAGCGTTTTGGCCAAGGTGGGGCTCGATCATACCGAGTTTCTTGGGAGCACTTTGAGAGATATCGCGGGCGAGAAGTGTGGAATCTTCAAAAACGGAGTTCCTGTCGTCGTGGATGAGAGCAATGAGCAAGTGATCAAGGATGTAGTCCAGGAGAAATTGGCAGTAGTCAATGCTGGCAATGGGCAGGGCAATGCAGATGGTCTCTGGTTCAGATTGACCCCAAATCAAGCAAAAGTGCTCGAGTCGAATTCAATCCGAGACCTGGAGCTCGCAGATCATCAGAAGGAAAATCTCTTCACAGCATTGACCGCCTACTACGCAGCTGAGCAGCGTCAGCAGCCCCCACAGTCCGAGTTACAAGCTACATCAATTCAAACCCCTGAACAACGCATCGAGTCAACGATTCAAAATCTCTCAGGCCTAATTAGAGCGTCACACGCCTCAATCCGTGGTCGTCTCGAATGGCTCTCCTTGCCAGCCCATCTCCTCCCAAATAGCCACCAGGATCAAAACGTCCGCGTCCTCATCGATGGCGCACACAATCCCCAATCAGCGTCTGCATTGGCAAGCTACATCGACAAGACGATCCGGTCGAGCTATTCCCCACCGGAACAACACATAACATGGCTGCTGGCAATGAAGCGCGGTAAAGAAATCACGACGATTCTTAAGACCTTGATTCACGAAGGCGACAGCGCCGTGACCTCCTCCTTCGGCCCCGTGGACGGAATGCCATGGGTCGAAAGCCTCGATGCAGCTGAAGTCGCCGAGCAAGTGCGCAGGCTGACTTCGGGGACGGTGGACGCGACGAGTAGAGGCGACATCACGGATGCAATCAGAAGAGCAGTGACGCTCGCAGACGGCGGCCCGCTCTGTATCGCTGGGAGTCTTTACCTCGTGGGCGATGTGTTGAGACTGGTGGAAGAAGGCCTGCCGAAACCATGGAACTAATTAGACCACACGGATGTGAAGGTCACTGCTTCGTCGGTGATAACTTGAGCTTCTCCACGATGAAGTGGATGCTGCATGCATACATACATCATAAGATTTTCCAAGCCTGTTTAACTTGTCAGACCAACGGGCCTGAGAGTCCAGAATGACTCATCGCGGATGCTCACCTACCCTAACAACCCTTAACTGCGTCCCATCCCACTCGAGTCATAGAGTCATGGTAATTGGGCGGGCAGAAGTCGATTGTAACCTCACTAATTAAACCACGGCTTCCCGAACGTACTCGTACGGCGTATTCAACCTAGGTAGTCAGGGAAAGTCTGGTATGCCATCTAGTTAGTTGGTGGGACGGCGTTCTCCACCCCACTGCATGACCGAGGCGGCCGAAATGATTCATCTTCGTACCGTGGCGTAAGTAAGATCGATTGGGTTTTTTTTGGGTCTTTCGAGAGTGGCACTTGGGTACTTTACGTTAGTTACACAATTGTATATACTATATATACTATATATGCATGTATACATAGTTTGTCCACGCTCTCGAGCTTTTGCAACGACGTCTCAGACCCGAGTCTCGTGACGAATGTTCGCGTTAACTTGATTTCCAGTACAATATCCGAGCAGTATCAAATCAAGTTAATATCGAGGCCAAGCGTACGTGTTGGATAGATTGTGGTCACTATTTTGGGCGAAAGAATCTCGATCGGTAGGAAAGCCTTCCGAGAAAGATGACACTACACGTGTATCCGTTGTCGCGCGACCGACCAGGGGACTTCAAATTGATGAGGGCAATCGCCCGCGTACACTTGGCGGCATGGATGATGATTCCTCTCATGCAGACGATCATGTACCAGCCAGAACTTGTAGGAACGACTAAGAAGGCAGGGTATCTAGAAGGAGATACCCACGCATTGAGGACTGAGGATGAGGTCAGGTTTGTGACCGTCATTGATGACTCACTCGCATCGGATGAGGACGATGAGGACGATGGCGAAGACGACACGGCGGCCGGGCACGGTGGAAAGCCGAAAGGACGTGTGATCGCGGCGATGAAATACTATCTTGTGCCATCCACGGGTCCCCATCCCGACACGGATACTCGGAAGGAAATTGACAAGCAATCCAAATCGGCCAATTCTGACACATCTTCTGCTGACACCCTCACAAAACCAAATACCAGCCACATGAACGATGCTTTGAGCGATTTATTTGTTACGAAATTGGTTGCTGCCAGACTAGATGTGACCGCAATCATAGGGACACACATCCTGATCGACAACATATACACGGACCCTGCTCACCACCGGCGCGGGGCTGGAGCGATGTTGATGCGCGTGGCTACGCAGCATGCGGATGAGCTGGGCTGGCCAAGCATGCTCGAAGCCAGTCCGCTCGGAATGAAGCTCTATGAGAGCGCAGGGTATGAGATCCTACCAGGGAAGGATATCTGGATTGATTTGAAACGTTGGGAGAATGGTGGAGATAGAGGAGTTGAATACTCGGAAAAGAGGCTGGCAGAGGCTGGAGGGGAGCGGTCAAGTCAAGATGGGTGGTATGCTCAAATGATCATGGTGCGGCCGGCAAAAAGCCTTGTCCAATAACACCAACTCGGGCTCTGGTCCGCACTTTGCGTTGTATCCCATCTCGCTCTGCCAATATGATCGAAGACTTGCGACAGGTATTTTATCCCGAGTTCTTTTGGTCTGAAGTGAAATATGCCGTAATACCTGAAAGCCGTGGTATTACGTCAGCTCAACAAAGACCATCAAGGCAGTTTCACTCATAAGCCATCCAGATTTCCTCATTGGTGACAGAGGTTCAGTAGCTCAACCTTTCCACCGTTGTAAACTATCCAAGTGGGCCTTGTCCGCACCGTACAAGTAGTAGCCTCGGAGGTATGCTGTGAGCATATCAAGGTTAGACTGCGGCCTCGTATATGCCGGCGTCAAAGCAGTATGCTGACTGCCCGAGGCCGCCGAGATGGAGCTAGGTTGATATGTCTGACGTGTCTGTTCCGAGTCATCCTCCATCAATGCGATCATATGGCCCATGAAAGGTATTTCCAATCTCCAAGGGCTAAAGCTTGCGGTCGATCCAATGGCAGTCATGGTCCAGAGGGTAACTTCTCGCTCGGTCACCAGATTTGGATTTCCCGGATTGCTTGGATTGGCCATCTCCAGCGCCACATTGGAAAGAATATTCAAATATGGCGTTCCAGAATATTGTGGAGTGTTTGGTGAGGTAGCAATTGGGGGAGCTAAAATATGTGGGAATGGTTGGTTATGAAGGTTGAATACATAAATAAGCAGTGCCAGAATGATTTTGTGGTTATTTGACTTCGGTTGAACTTGGTCTGCGAGTTGGAGAACTCTACTCATCTCAGTCCTGAGAGATATCTGATGGGGGACGATAGTTTCTGAGGCAGCAATTTCGCCAGCTTTTGATTTGGAGCTCTTTTTCGATTTTCGCCTAGCATCTGCTTCAAGAGAAAGCTCTCCGAGTATGCTCTGAAGAATTTTTAGACTTGAAGAAATCAAGAGTCCTTTGGCGAAGACGGTATGGAAGAGATGTGGAATATGCCTGCCAGCTAAGAACTCGGCAGGCACAAACTCCTTGAATCGTACGAGGACATCGTTTTCCGTTACTTCGCATGCAAAAGCGCCGTACTGGAGAAGTGGCAGGAAGAACTCGCTTCTAGCAATATGGTCAGTACGGTCGAGCACATCGTGAAAGGTGAGACGAACTTGAGTAACTCATCCTGCAGCGCTGGATGTAGGTTACGAATGCCGCCCCTTGTGGACACCATATGCTCCTGTGCACGTTTATGCATGGAAAAAGCATGGTGATCTCCATTGGCAGCCTAGTTGATTGTGACATGATACTGTTAGATACTTCTTTCTTGCAGATAGTGACTGCTGTTTGACTTACATCGACATCCATCAGCCACAACACTGTTAGAATAGCAGCATCGTCGTCTGCTGCTTGAAGGGACTCCACCTTCCGCCTCAACTGCTTTAAACCTTCACCTCGGTGATATAACGAGATCAGGTGGGGCTGGCCAAATCCCCTTTGGTCAATGTTGTAATAAGCCTGGGTCAAAGCTATAAGGACGTGAAAAAGCTCAGGATTGTGCATGGATACATTGAACCAAACGAGGTATCTATTGGTATCAGTTGCGAGTGCGGGGCTAAACCTCGGCGTGAGGTAACGTATGACTAGCGGGAGGAGTCAGCAAGGCTGGAACCTGAAAGTAAAATTGCGAAATTCTTTTGACAAGTGGAGGAAGAGAGATCCTTTCAGATGGATATGAAAACTAAAAGGTTGTGACACTTACAATAATCCACCAGGAAAGGAACATAGGGTTGAATGTGGATGGGATAAACCTCGAACGGGTCAACCAAGGGGTTTCCTAGAGCCGAGCCTTTGAGAAGTGTCCTTTCCCTGACTTGAGCAAGGGCTTGCTCGGTCTCGGCATTCTGAGGAGAAGCTTCACTTCTGCCTTCGCTTCCGGCCGGGGTACTGGCAGCATAATTTGGTGAGTTCTCGTTACTCCGTTCAACGAAAGGTCGATAGAGCGTCCGCCCGAGAACGATTTTTCTCGATGTGGGGCGAGAACTTTTCGAGGCGAATGAGGAGACAGTGCGTCGATTTTTCTTGTTCTTGAATTCTTCTGGACTATTGTATGTGATGAACACATTGTCTTGTGGCTGGTATGACATCGAGTCGAGCCCTGGAGTAAAGATTGGTGTTGGTACGGGCACGTTGGTCTTACCAAACCCACATCATCTGGACTTTGAGGTCATGTGAATTTTGCGAAGTCGCTGTCCCAGTAGTGGTGATACAGAAGCGCTTGTATTTTCTTGTTCTTCAATGTGGAGGCGAGCAAGACTTTGTCCACGTCTGACCAATAAATCGTTCCAAGAAGGTGCGGACCTTCCGCAAGAGCAGCGGCCATACAATCAAAGTGACAATGGCAACCAAAAAAAGGTCAGAGTATCTGTGCGAAGGGAAGACCAAAAAAGTTGCGACCATGCAGCCTTCTGTTTAGTAGCTGAACAACCCGAATGAACGATGTATAAATCAACCACTGAAGTCTCTTCAAGGCCAAGAGTGGTGGTTCCAAGCAGTCACAGCCAGTGTGGTACGAAGCAGCTGATGTTCAATATACTAATGGAAAAGGTGGGTTGATTGGCTGGATGAAGAGCCAGGGTTGTAGAACCAACGCCTTACAAGGAACCGGGATCCTAGAAATCCCATAATACGGCTGATGATGAGTTTTAGATAGTATTGAGGTCTGTAAGAGATCCGAGTTGAAGCGGAAATAGGCCGAGGCGCCTACCAAGGAGCCAAAGTATCACGTAAGCTGGTTGCATCACTGGGCATCATCTTGGCTTTCAACCGGGACTCCATTCGAATTTGCGCCCATAGTGGTTGACACTGGCCGAGATCGCAGATCGCAAATGTGTGCCTAGGTGGGTAGAAGTCCTGTCAACGCCATCATTACACCTGTCCTGGTGCCCTGGTACTGTAGCCTGCCTGGTGCATAACAAGAATCATAGCTGCCATAATTTCATGAGAGGTCACTATTCTTCCGCCCACCTCCTTTCTCGGAGTGGAATGTCAAGGCCTTCCCGGGTTCGGCTTCCACTCTCCTCTGCTCTCCAAGCAAAGTATTCGCCAAGTCGTACTTCTGCATACGAGGCATAGTCAAAATCGATCTGGGAGATGGTTGCTTGGATGAGAGCCCAGATACCCCAATATAGACCAGGCATGCCACGCCACCGGTCAATTTCTTCCAACAATACTTCGAGCATGTTATCAGGCATGGGTTTGTCGCTGTGGGCTTTGTACGATTCGAGATAGTCTATAAGAAATTGACGACGGATAGACTTTGTTGGTAGCATACTGTAGTCACAGTCATAGCCACCCCATTCAGCGAAGTGGTTGGCAATGTCGAAAGTGGCAGGGCATGGTGTAGCATATTCGTAATCGATGAAGGAGACTTTCAGAGTGTCATCCGCCTTACTATCGGCGGAGTTAGAGGGCAACATGATGACATTGGCACTTAACAGGTCACAGTGTCCAAAGACAAAACCCTTGACTCCTGGGCCTCGCTCATTGTCAAGATCTTGGAATGATCGATCGAGTTCTCCCTGAATCAGTTCTTTCCGAGCTTTCTTCTTGGGAGTGTCATCCGGTAAAGCACTGACCCATTTTTGCATGACTGACCAACAGTTGGGAACGGGTAACCTTAACATCAGGGCGGACTTGGAAGAGGTACCGTTGACGGCGTGTCCATTGGTTGTCTTATTGTTGTCCGCGACCGAATCCACAGGAAGCAGAGCATGCCACTCACCGAGCCGTGTGGCCACCGCACGCCATACAGGTTCTCTGATCAGATCTGAAGGAGTGCAGACTTTTCCAATGATGTACCTATACAGCAAGCCATTATTGAATCTTGCCAACAGAGGGGGAGCAAGTCCACGTTCGGCGCACAAGGCATGCGATATGGCTTCCCTATCGCGGTCGATAAGGATTTCAGTGTTGTTCCCATAGGCTCGTAACAGGACAGAGTCTCGATCGATCTCATCGGCGGTCAGGCCAGGGAGGTGTTTACCGACTTTCAGTAACTGTGGAGTAGGGAAGACAATGAGCACGTGCCTGGCAAGGGATTGAGGCAGGGGGAACATACAGTATTGGTGATGCCGTCGGTGAACTTGACGACTTCTAGTTTGCCAGGGGCTGATCGCCATTTGGGTTGAATCCTGTATACCAATTCGATAGCAGAGTCGTCGACATTTTTGTTATCGAACGTGGCATCGAGGTGAAGCAGTGAGGAGCCGTGTCTGTTGGTATTGGCCTTAGTAGAAGCCATAGCGGTGTCGCATGACCCGTTCAGGTAAGCGGAAACAGTGGAGTGGTAGAATAAGGGTCAGGGTATGGGTATAGATAATTGTATAGGAAGACGAGGATCTAGTTTTAGTAGGACGAGGAGATTGAGGTTGAGAAGTAAATGGTGTAGATACCCTTGTGAATTCCTCCTGGTTAGAATAGAAATCGGCACATGTGCAGGAAAGTTATTTGGAGGCGGTAAGGTTGAACTGGTGCCTGTGCTTCGGTTTGCAGTGGGTTGGAGGACCGAGTCGAGGGTCGCACAAATCGAATTTGGAGAAGGGCAGCCCTCCGTCAGTGCTTGTTGGAACTTGGTGAGCCCCTCTGCCCCCACAACCCCCTAGCCACTGGCACGAAAGGAAACCCCCGCGTTGGTATTTAGTAGGGGTCTCGTGCCCATCGCCAGCGGCTTTGAGACCCTGCTTAGGTACCTATCTAGGTAGGTTAGGGTTAGCATCTAGCCTAGCACCCACTATCTGTTTGCTTCTTGCGAGACTGATGTCACAGGTTCAACAACGCTGTGGTATTTGGGAGGCGTGGTCCTTTCGAGCACAGAACTGGCCGTCATAACCGCAAACATACAAGGATCAGAGGCCGCCCTCAGGCATGGAGATAGATGATCGATGAGTGTACGGACAGTGCTGTTTGCCAAAGTCGATCTTCGGGCGGGTTCCACGTCACCTGTGTCTTGGCCCTGCAGGCACACAAATTCACAATGAATTGGCTCGACGGGTAGCTCCGCTTGCGATGGTTCTGGAAAATTATCTTGACTTCACTTTATCTTCGGGGCACGTGGACGCTTCTACTGTAGATTCAGATGCTGGTCTCCCTAACGGAAATAGTACCCTGCCCACTGAGTCCACGGGCCAGCTGATATTTACCAAACGCATCGATCACACAAGCACATGAAAATGAAGGTCAGTTTTTGTGGATCCAGCATGAACCTGTGCTATATGCGTCGACATTTCTGATACCATCTAGGTATTCATCTGAGGAAGAGCAATTCAAGCTCGTTTCTTCGATTTTTTGGATGGCTTTCCTGGCGCTTGCTCTTCAGCGTCACTCTTCCTTGCCTTGGACTTCTCGTGGTTTCCTTGGCCTCCAAGTTTTTCCAGAATAATCCTGGCACCTGCTACCTCTGAATCCAAGGCAGATTTCTTCTCTGATAACCTCGTCAACAATTCCTCTTGCTTTGCAAATTCCTGTGCTTCAAGCATAGCCACAACAACGAATGAGTTGGGTCCATTGGCCCAGCTCACAATTTCTTCGTCTCCACGCCCGTTGATCTCCTCGTAAAGAAGCTCGTGGAAGTTCAGTGGTGGTTCAGTCTTGACAATGCTTTTTGTGGCCTTGTCGAATCTGCCGCCTTGAACGAGAGATTTGAGCATTCTGCCAACTGCGGGTGTCGAGAGGGCTTGAACAGTTTCCTCATTCTCGTCACTTGCTATCTTCGCGAGCGAAGCCAAGGCAGGCTGTGCATCCCCAATGCCCCCTAGTACAACTTCAGTGACAAATTGGCATCCGAAGCTTGATTGTATGAGAACCTGGGCTTGAGACGCAATCAAGTCAAGTAGTGGTTGGGAGATTGACTTCAAAAGTTCAGTGCGTCGCGTCTCCGGATCCTTCTTCGAGGTTTCAGTGCGGATTTCACGAATCTCTTTAATGATGGCCGCAGTGTCGTCTGTTATAAGCCATTTTGGTGCTTCGGGGGACATGAGATAAAGAAGCGGGATGCGAGCGGTGAGGTGTTCTGTTTGAGCCATCAACTCCTGCTCTTTTGCTTCGCTCTCCACGTCTTTGTTGAGTAGTTCTGGAAAGATGGCCTTGCCAGACATGACGGTGTCGTCGATGGTATCGTATGCTGTCAGTAACACTTGATGACCATACAGATCAGACGCCAGCAACTTGATGTGCGTCTTGAAGAACTTGAGAATGGTCCGTCTGTCCTTGGAACTGCCATAAGCGAGCGCCAGACAGACGAGGCGTGACCCTGATTTGGTGAACGCCAAATTTTTGTAACAGTCGCCTTCCTCATCATCTCGCAACATCTCAAGGAATTCGGTGACCTCGGGACTGTTCGGTTTGCAATTCAGGAAATATTGTAGCATAGCATCGTGGAGAATCGTGAACCCGGTTGTTTTCTTTTGCACGAGTTGATTCGTCATCTCCTTCAAATGTTGCATGATCGGATTTCTTTTCTCTGGATTCTGTGCCAAAATCTCCGATAGATCTCCAGGAACTTTCTCAGACTCATTCTTGTCCTTACCCTGAGCCTTGGCGAAGACAACAAATTCGGGCCCATACCACTCGCGCAACATGATTGCCTTTTGTCGCTTACTGGCTATCGTGCGATAGATATCATCGACGATCCAGCTTGCCTCTGGATGTCTAATCAGTCGCTTGACATGACCATAGAACTCTTCAACGACCGCATCCCGAACCTCATCATCATCCGTAACCATTTTTGCGATCAGAAATTTGGCATACTTGGACTCGGCAAGTTCCCTATACCGCCCTTTCAATTCGAGGACAATCTGTTTCTTCTGTACGGGCGTAGCGTATTTGACCGCACATTGAATGACACGAACAGAGTCATGTTTAAACACAAATTCTGCAACCCTCCCAGATATGATCTCAAACAGTTCCTTGACCAATTGGTCCCGCTCGTCTTTGGGAACATGCGACTTCCGGCGCAGACGCTCCCAGATCTTCTTTGACCGGTAGATCGAGTCGGCATTGGGCCTCGCGGCCTTCCGTTCGGAGGTAAGCTGTTTCTGCTTTGCATGGGCTTCGCGAGATGTAGAGCCTGTAGCTTCTGTGACTTATTAGCATTTCAAATTACTTCGAACTGTTGTTCGCTATTGGAAACGTACCACCGAGATAGGCGTCAGGTTTAACGGGCTTTTTATACACCTCGGGCCGGTATGTGGCTTTCGCCTTGGACTGCGGCTCTGTATCTGCGGCTACATCATTGCTCGAGGCTTGAGGCTTGCCAGGCGGCGACTTTGTGGTTGTGAATTTAGTTTTTTTGCTGGGCCCCTTGTCACTAGAATCGATTGATCGTTTTGTTCCGGCCATCTTTGACATAGTGGGATTCTGTTGTTGTGCTTGCTGGTCAAGAAGGAATGCTGGCCCCATGAACAAATCGAGTGACGAACTTTTTTTTTCCGCAGCGGTCTATCAGGAGCAAACTGAGCAAACATTTTGGTTTCTCCAACTTCCAAAAGCCTTGGCATTTCTTACGGTGAATTTCTGATACCGAAGCCGCAATAGATATCACAACCTGAGATTACGCGACTTTCCGATGTTTACCTAGGTACATTTCTGAAAATCTTTGTCATAAAGGCCTACAGTCATATCAATACTCACAAAACAATACTTGACAGTCGTACTCTGTCAGCAGTGGTCCGCGATCAGCCTTCTTGCGAGATACCATCTCTGGGACAACTGGCTATCCATCCCTTGAAAATGCCCAGGACATAGCCCGTCCAAATGCCTTCACCCCATCATGAGGCTCTTCAAGTGCGTTGTGTAGCTTGGCGATACCAGTAGGACTCGGATCCGACAAATACGACGAGTCCCCTGTATCAACCAACTGTTGAGCAATGGAAGCGGCCATCTCGGGATGGCCTTGGAAAGAGAGTACCTGGCCGTTCTCCGAGATGACTATCTCTTCGTTGTCTGCAAGAAGCTTAAACCCTTCTGGCAAAGTAGAGACAACCCGCTTGTGAAATTTATGAAGTCGCTGTTTGTGCTTCGGTCAGAACAAATATCTTGGCCTGTCACAATCTGTGAGTAAATCGGGAATACTTACCAGATTTTGACTCCCTTGAAAGAATTCGCGGCCACTAGCTGTAAGTGGAAGTTCCTCGACATCGATCTTTTGCGAAAGAATCAGCATGGGAGTCGCCATTGAAATCAAGGCCTGAACCCTACCAAGATCCCACCTTTACGAAGATCGATTGTGCCACCCATAGCGTGCAAGACGGCCTGGTGACCCCAACATATTCCCAGGATTTTGGTATGTGAATGGTGATTATACGTATCACGGACCCATTCCAAGGTCTGTGAGACCCAGGGCTCCACGATTGAGCTGGTGAGATCATAAAGGCCACCAGTCAAGATGACCAGGTCGAAGGAGGTGGCTTCTGGAAGGCATCCTCCTTCAAGGGGTGAATAGTGTTGGATTTCTGCCGTAGGAGCGGACGCGTGCACAAGGTCACATATTCCGTTAAGCATATCCTTTCCCCATTGCTCTGTCGTGCTATAATTTCTGATGATCGCCACTCTTGGTGGTGGTGAAGGTCTGGTGATCATGACTGCTGTGCGGCGAAGACGTGTATTGCACAACCAAGAGAGTAGCAGGTTCTATCGCGATATAGAGAAGTCAGTCGCTGAGCAATGACTCTTGTGGCGGCTATGGGACTGAAAGTCATTAATGGTCAAGTGACGACGGAGTACACCACCAGCCTAAGGTGCTCCGATATGATTCCGTTCTTGGCCAAGTCCGACATCTTTCCAACGACCGAGCAGTGAGGTGGGGTCAGATTAACCACAGCCCAATGCTACAAAGCAAAGTGATAGCCCAAAATTGGCTCATAAGAGGAGGGTCATTTGGAGAGATGTGGTGATCCCTCTGGAGAATCCAAAGTCTCACGTATCTGGTCTGATGAAGGGGGCCAGTGGCAAGCTGATCTACATATGGCTCATCATCTCAACATATGTGCTTTAACTTCTACTACTCATGCCTCAAAAAATGAGCTACTTACAAATACTTCAGTCCCGGAGTATCACTGAAACAGGTTTGGACTGGAGGAATCGAACATATCTTCGATTCTAGAGATTGGGAACGGCCTGCTGCTGGCTTCTGGGCCCCGTCGACCCCATGCTCATTCTCAATTGTTCTAGTGTTGCAGCAGATTTCGCCGATCACACGAAGAGAATGACATTTAATGGAGGTGGATCGATTTCCTTCGCTCCCCAAAATGTAGTAGGGCCGTTCCGTAGCTGTTTCACCTCGCTTGTGGTTCATTTGATGTTTCCCTGAAAGCAAGGCTGGAGGAATTTCACGGGAATAGGGGCGAATAATTGAGCCTAGAGGGAAGGTGCTATTGAATTCCCTCAGGCAAACGATGCCCCATATAGGCCAGAAATAGTCAACGTCTCATTCACATGCCATATACCAGCCTTGTGCAACCCCATCAGTCCCTTCTACTATCAAGAAGTCGTCTAGTTCCTAATTCACGAAAAAGCAAGCTTTTTCCTTTGTATCTCTCTTGCCGCAATATCCCTGGCTAGCTCGTATCAGCCATCGACAACAATGCACTCGATAACAGTAAGATACAACTTCGACAACGACCCACAGTGCGTATTCCAACTATATGGCTGTCTTCAAAAAATTGAACTGTCAATGTCAAGAGTAAAGAAATTCAGCATTCAAGAAAAGGTTGTCAGTAGAGCAGATACTGGACTCGCAGGAATCATGTTCTCATTATTGAGAGGACGTACGACCTGCTAACCATCAAGACAAAGCTGATTATCGAGCAACTTTGTTGACAGTAATTGTATAGCAAAGAATTTCCACAACTACCTGCCTCCAGCTGGCGCCCTCCATACTACCCTTCACTCTATGGTGCTGGAAGAGAATGTAATATCAGCACCACTTTACAAGCTAGTTTGGTGCCCAATGTATGACTTCCTGCCTCTGATAAACCAGTCGCAGATGATTAGGACCGCCATCGCCACATAAACTGCTGAAATGTAATTCATATCTGTTGATCGATGGTTAGTTGTGGTGTATTCGGACAAACTTGGGGTATGTACTCACTGGTAGGCGTCACAGGTCGATACGAAGGCAAAGAATAGGCGACAAGTGTAAACGCTGTCCAAAGCAGCAAGATGATGTTCGACACAAGACCAAGAGCACCGCACCAAAAGGGACCACGTTTAATGTTGTTGCGGCCTCTGAACAGTAGGCACAGAATCGGGATCGAGTAGCTGACATATAGAGTCGTAATGACTGCGGTGATGATGCTGAATGGAAGACCTATCAGTACAATTTGAAGATAAAAAATCGACTGCAAGAACTCACGAATTTAAAGCCGCTGAACTTCCCAAATACAGAAGTCCGATCAACGCATCAAAGATACAGCTGACCGTCAGAGCTCGCAGGGGCGTATCTAACTCCTTGTTCACATGGCTTAAGAACTTATGCCCTGGCAATCCAGCGTCCCGGGCGAAGCTCCAGCACAGGCGGGTCTGCCATGTATGACAAGCAATTTGACAGCCAGCACCGGTAAGAACGATCAAAGTCCCAAGACCGAGAGCTCCTGCCTCACTAACGGCTTGTCTGAAAATCTCGAAAATAGGGACTAACGTTGGAGTTGCCGCAATGGTATCGATGTCCTGCAGCGAGAACATCATTCCGATCACGAAGCACCACGCTGTCACGAAACCGAGTGCAATCGTCGACATCAAGGCCAACGGGATCCTGCGCTCGGGCTGATGGATCTCTTCAGCCAAGTGCGTTGCACAATCAATCGCTGCGTATGGCCAATTAGTGTTGATCAAACCGAGGATGAATGCCACTCCGTCCGACTTCCATCCTGTATTGTTGATAAACTCCGTAAATACGAAGCTTGCTGGTCGATAGGTATCAGCAGAGGCTGTCACTGCTATAAGGATAATTAAGAACGAGCATATGGTCATGTATAAGCTCGCGGTGGTGAGATATGGAAGTAGTCGACCCCAGGTATTTCCGAAGAACCCCACTAAGTTGAAGAGCTGATACGCAACCAAAACATGCCACGCCTTAATTTCGCTGTGTATATCTCTTGGTTAGCGTATCTCTCTTACAATTAAAAAGTCTCAAATCGGAGAGGGAGATCACGAACAAGTCGGGGTGGCCAATCTGCCACAGCCCAAGAATCGCTGCACCCATGCTCAAAGAAACAGAAGCAGACGTAAAAATAGAGCCTAGATAGGCAGTCCACCCCGTAAGATAACTGCTTATGGGTGCATATCGTGGAGAGGCGAGCTGTTTCGCCCAGTAGTACTGTCCTCCAGAGTTTGGATAAGCACTGGCAAGTTCGGATAGGCTTATCGCTACAGCGACTGACATGATTCCGGTTATGATGAGGCCATAGACCAATAAAATAGGTCCGCCCGAGTTGATACCAGTTATCATAGCTGCAGAAACGCCGAACCATGAGTTCGTAAGGGAGAAGGAGACGGCGATCAATGACCAGGCAGAAAACTTTCGCTTTAGATCCTGCGAATATCCCATCTCCGCCAATCGAGCAGCATCGGGGTCATCGTTGACCAGCTCCTCCAGCCCTGTCTTGATGTCCTTCTCCTTGGAATCTTTCGAGTCCACCTCCATGGATGACATTTCGAGAGGTGGCAGGACTTTTCGACCAGCGTTTGCGGCTGCTGGAAGAGGAAATTAAACCCAGGCTTTGTATGTTTATAATATTGTGAGTACTGAGTATTGATTCAGCACGAGTGGCAACAAGTGGTGTAAAGTATGGCTATATATCCAAGATAGTCAATGGTCTTCAAGTCGTAAAGATTGATTGTGCCCCATAGACGAATCTGACTCCACATATCAATCCCTTTGAGTTTAAGACATGAAGTCTTGATGAAGTAAAAGATAGAGCGGTAATGCGTCTGAAGACTTGCAGCAGCTTATCTGACCTGCTTGATACAAGGCATGATACATCAGTCTCGACCACTGCATGGATCAAGAGGCCGAGGCCGCTCACCCTAGTTGAGGATAGGTGCTTGTGGGGTCACTACTCACAATTCCTTCCACATTCAGTTAGGCTGTGCTCTCGAATTTGCCTATTTGGGCAATTTTGTCTTGGTAAAGCACTAGGCCAATTGACCCGCCATCACTAAAGTTTGTTCAAGTAGTGGATATGCTGACTGCTTGTTCTCGTCTCGAAGCTCTGTGAGTATCTTACCGCTTGTCACTTTCGAAGAGACGCGCAGCATTAATCTCCGTGTCTCACGACTGGCGATAGCGAATGATGAGATCAATCAGAGCAACTATACAATCGGTGATGAATGCCAGGTACTTACAACACGACTGCGTGCGAAGTAGTAGTAACAGTCAATGAACTAGAATTATGGGGATGTGCCATGGAAAAGATCGTTGGCGATATCAGTTTGAGAGCATGGTTGTGGAGCCGGCGGTGGAGCCCACGGTGGCTCTGGGGTTGGTGATCGACTCTCCATTAAACATGGGAATGACATTAGACTGCATCCTCAGGCTTGCCTTTGTCTCTGAGCCCCAAACTATCGTGCCGGTATATAATGGATGCCTCCTCTCATCGAAACAGTGCATTCGCAGTCCACTCACTGTAACAATCAGCAGCATTAGCACTCGCAAGCAAATGTGGTTCGAGACCTGCGAGCTCAAAGCCGGATACAGGCGAATGGACAGGACGTTGAGAGCGTGCTTTGGAAGGAATCTGATACGAAAGCTGTACAATTCCACCGTGTTTCATAGTCACTAATCCCACTGGGAAATCGATGCTTTCTGAGGGAGGAATGCGTAAAGACTATAGTACATGATATTCGATGGCCGTCCCCGCGGCGGTTCAGGTCGGTGTGCTGTCACCACCACATCTGAGCACAATGTTGCCCCGGCTTCTCAAGGTCGTCCTATGGGAAACAGAAAGTCATGAATTGTTATTCTGGCATAGTATACCCATCGAGACGATAAAGTAAAGTAAACCATTACTCCTGAGTACCACGTTTTTATACGACTATACCTGGGGTGACTGATATCATCGCTCCTAGCGACACTGGCGTCAATACATAGTGGAGTGAGCATTTCCGAACCACCATTTTCGCAATCTGGTAGCGGAAAGACGGGTTTTACTTTATGATGAGGCACCAGATTCCTGGGATGCCGCCTCAACGCCAGCAAGAAGTCTTGGAACTGGAACAGATGCTGTGGTGACCTGATTTGAAAGTGGCCAAACCGGATTTGTCTTCGCATTGTTGGCAGGTTGGGAACTTGGAGCTGTTGGCCTGCCACCGACGAAGCCATATGTAGGAGCAGGCTGATTGGCAGGGATAGAGGAACCTGAGTGCTGGTGAACTGGGGGACCTCCAGGAGGCATGGGCCCTGGTGGGGGCGGGTAATGCCACTGTGGTGGAGGATAGGGGTAGTTGTGTGTCGGTGCATGTGGAGGTGGATAGTACTGTTGAGAATAATCGGGTCGAGGGGGTGGGTTCCAGCCCATGGGAGGGTTTGACCTCGTCTTCTCGGCTTCGAGGTCGCGGATTTTTTGCTCGGCCGCAAGTAGTTGAGCTCTGAGCGCTTCGAGCTCAGGATTTGAAGCTGGCACAGTCGTGGGTGGAGATATGGCAGCAGTATGCTCTGTTGTGGAGCTAGAAGGAGGGGGTCCGGCTGAATGGGCAGGAGCTGACATTCGCTTTGAGCGTTTACTCGGTCGAGGTACTCGTGCGTTTTGCCCAGAACCCCATGTGATGGACTCCCCGCTCATGAAGCCAGCCATCATGCCCGGGTATGGTGTTCTTTTCGGTTTTCCTTGCTTAGACGCATTCCCGGCTGTACCTTCTCCGTTGGCCGCCGCATCGTTCTCTGGTGCTGGTGTCGACTGTGTGCCAGGCTGGGCATCGACTTGGTCTGACACTGCATTCTCTGATGATTGGAGCTCGATTCTTCCTGCAGAGCCAAGGAAGTCGAAGAGAGGTTGCAGACTATCGTTCCCATCATTTGGCTCTGGAACCGTAGCAGCGCTGACTTCAGGCACAGGCTCTGTTGCTGGCCGTTTCTTGTTTGGCCTCTCTTTAGGCTCTTTGGGCTCCTTAGGCTTGGGGTCCACTTTGGTCTTGCCACGCTTCCTCGAGGTCATGACAGATAAAAGCTCAGGATTGAAAATTTCCAACAGCTTCCGTCTCTTGCTCTCCTTGCGTGGAATAGGTGCCCGTTCTTCGTAGGTTGGATGCAAAGGGACATGTTTATAGTGCAGCTCTAGGCTCATTTTCGTGATGGAGAATTTGACGGATAGAAGCCCCTGACATTCAAAGACGGATTTTCTGATCTTCACATCATTTCGAAGTTTTGCTGCTCCCTCGTTGGCCGCTCTGCCTTTGTTTAAACTCGAATCATTGCAGTAGTAAGAAAATCTGCTGGCTTGGTCCTCACGACTGAGCCAATGGTTGTGAAAGCTGTACTTGTAACCGTCGGTACGCTCAACGGATTCCACGAGTGCTTTCGAAATGGCTCTCTGCGTCAGTGCTCTCTCATCAGCATCTTTAATCGTATGCAAGGCATCGATGACGCTGACAGCAGTTTTGCTGAAAGTGCTGTACACGTATGGAGTTCGCTTGTGGGGATTCTGTGCCTGCGTACCAATTGGCTCTCTTTTCGGTACCATAAAGGCAGCAGTGACAGGGAATGAAAACTCCAGGGTAGTATGTGCGGCGTCTCCAGTGGGGTTGTCTAGATACTCACGCAACTTGATTTCCATCTCTTCGACGCGCTGGCATTTGAAGCATATGGATTTCCCTAGTGGGTCTTTAGCGTGTCTGCCACGATTCCGCTTGACAGGAGCTGGGGGATTCTCGGCAACTGGTGCTGCAGGTTCCGTAGTATCAGCATCTTTTGTGGATTGTTCGGTCTGATCGTGTGAGATCGCATCGACTGTTGCCGCACTGCCTTCTTCAGCCTCCATCTTGTCGTTGGCGATGATGAAGAAGCGAGTGGTGTTGAATAGATGTTCTTTTGCAGATAACAATAGAGTGAAGTAGAAATTAACCCAACAAACTACCCCTGCCAAGACACCAGTCTCCCGCAACTGAGAGCTTTCGATTGGCTCCTTGTCCACCGCCCTTGCAAGCAGTTCCTCACATCTTTTGGAGGAGTACATGCTGAGGCACTTATGTTGCTCAGACTCCGACGTCCTGAATTTTGCTCCAGATTCAGTGTTGCTACCTCGACAAACTCGCTCTTCTGCACACCGAGATACCTCAGTGATCGCACCAAGATGGCCCCCACCGGTGAAGCAGCTGGAGAGCTGCGCCCCATCGTTTTTTCTGGTCCATCGGGCACAGGAAAGTCTACTCTGATCAAACGACTGTTCGCACTCCATCCCAATCTTTTCGGGTTCAGTGTCTCCCACACAACGAGAAAACCACGTCCGGGTGAAGAGGATGGCGTCCACTATCATTTCACTTCCGTCGAGAACTTCGAAAAGATGGTGGCAGAAGACGCCTTCGAAGAACATGCCAAGTTTGGAGGGAATCACTACGGCTCGTCCAGACAATCAGTACAAGACGTCGCGGAGGGAAAAGGGAAGAACATAGACGGTACCACCGCTGAGGGAAAGAGGATATGCATCTTCGATATCGAGATGGAAGGGGTGAAGCAACTCAAAAAGAGCCGGCTGGACCCGAGAATCTGCTTCATTCAACCACCAAGCATTGAAATCTTGGAGCAGAGGTTGCGTGGAAGAGGAGACACAAGTGAGGATGCGGTGCAAAAACGACTGGCTCAAGCCAAGAATGAGATCGAATACTGCAGAACCGAAGGCAAGAACGACAAAGTGATTGTCAACGACGACCTTGAGACCACGTTCAAGGAGCTCAACGAATGGGTCATGAAGGACATATCCTCCAGCAACTAGAATTACTATCTCGGCCCCAGAGTGCGGGCATGACTGACGATGACGGGCGTTGTGAGAAACTGAAAAACGGACACCAAACCAGGAGAAGGGTGGAATGTTATGAAGAATTATTATACCCATGTGAAAGACGAAAAGACCCGCTCTCCATAGACGCTGCATTAGGGGGAAAAAGGTTCTCAAAGATGATGGTGACAAGAAGAATATGGCAAACGCTCATGCTCAACCATCACTCCACGAAATTCATTCCATCCTGTCCCTTTGAAGAACTCCACCTAGTATCCATTCATGGTCATGCGTTGTGAGCCTCTGCTCAATTCTCTGTCTGCGGATGGACTGATAGGCCTGCTTCCAGCCATACCGCTTGCTGCACTGCTTTCCTTGAGGGCCAACAATTGCTTGGCTCGGAATGTCTCGTAGTGGATCTGGCTGGTGGTTTCGATCAGATCCTGCAAATGTGTTCGGGTCAGGAAATTCCTGAGGTAGACAAATTCGCAGTGGTTTTCATCCTCGACATTGATGACACCCCATTTGTTTTGACGGCCACGGACTTGCTTGCCATTAACAATGATAGTCTTTTCGCTGCCAACCACTGCAAATGGAATAATGTCCTTGATGGTGCTGTTTGTAGCCCGCTCTTCATCGTCCAGCTCTTCGTTATCGTAAGGGTACATCTTCAGATTGTGGAAGGCAAATTCCTCCTTGATGCGCTCCTTGAAAGCACGGCGTTCTTCCAGGGTCAGCGAGTCGGCCTTTGCAATGACAGGGACGACATTGACGACGTCAGAAAGTTTCTTGAGGACGACAATATCGATAGGTTTGAGGGCGTGTCCAGATGGCTGAATGAAGAAAAGACAGCAGTGAATTCGAGTGTCTTGGATATAGCGTTCTCGCTGGGCGGTGAGTTCTTTTCGGAGGTAGGCAGAGTGTTGGTCCTTGATATATTTAACGATAGGATCCCAGCTAGAAGAAAATCAGCAACACAACAAATGATATGGAGGAACCATGATTGAACTCACCACCTATCATTGTTGACCAAGTCGCCGTATCCAGGAGTGTCCACAATGTTCAATCTTAGTCGCACACCATTTTCCTCAATAACTGCATGCTGATTAGCAACTCACGTTATTCTACAATAAAGCGAACGTAGGACTGACTGTGTGAAACGGTCTGTATCTCAGTGGTTGACCGGGTAGGTTCATCAGGCCGCAGGCGTCCTTTTGAGTCGATCAGGTGGGATGCGAAGATGGTGTTGATCAGGGTTGATTTGCCCAAGCCAGTTTGACCTATAACCAGTCAATATAGATTCGAGGAGGCTCTCCTCCATCTCACATACCGACGCAAATGACATTGAATTGAAAGCCTCTTTTGAGAAGTTTCTTTTCGATTTGTTGGGTGATGCTGTCAAAACCGACATGGCTTCGTGGGAAGACGGCGTTCCCCTGGGGCATTGCCATGGTCATAATGTGATGAGTTTGACGGGCAGACAACAGAAAGGTGGTTTGGAGGGAGAACAGCGATGAAAACAGAGCAGTCCAGTGAAGTTGGTTGATCGGGGCTTGCAGTCAGGAAGAGAGTGCTCGAGGAGGAAGTTGCGACTGCGACAAATTTCCCCAGAGCGGACACGAAGTTGACCAAGTTGAGTAGGGACACTGCTGCAGAAGCCGTGTGCAGGACCTGCAATTGGCTGGTGATCCCCTATTTTCCATCTCCAGAGCCAAGGACAGGGGAAGCAGGAGCCACCACCATCACGTGACTCTAGTCCTTGATTTGTCGCTTAGTCCACCGTATAAATACATCGGATCAGAAGAACAGTTTCACCAATCCAAAATGCAGCTCAATTCGGTAGCATCAAATAAATCATTCATGAGCCTCAGGTGTGCCCTTCGACCTCGCCAGCACAATCCGAGCAGCTGGTCGTCAGCAGATCCCCTTCTACCATGGCATCGCCCTCTCAAATATTACTCCGGCGCATAGCCTTGCCTCCAACCTTGCAGCCCCTGTACTCAATCTTCACTCGACCCTTACTCACAGCAGCCATTTCGATAACCATCCCAGGCTTTCTGTCAGACATCTGGGAAGGAATCTTGAACGCAGTCCCCAAAAAGAAGACTTCTCATATGAAAAAGCGACATCGGCAGTTGGCAGGCAAGGCCCTCAAAGATGTTATCGCAGTGGTCAATTGTCCGGCTTGCGGAAGACCTAAAAGATCCCATCTTCTATGTCCCCACTGTCTTGCTCGTCAGTCTCCCAAATTACCTGGAAGCACATCATGTTGACAATCATATTAGAAATTCGCGAAAGCTTCCACAAAACTACGTGACAGATTCGAGCTTCGTCGTTTGCTACGCCCAAGTACCCGATGTCAAGCCCTCAAGAACTATGCTGAGCACCAGGAATCGAAGAAAGTGGTCAGCGCTGCATCGTACTGCAACCCTGCCTGGCACAAACCCGCTTGATTGTCCAGGGGTAATGACCAGTTCTGCTAGCTCTAAGGGGAGAGTGTGACGACCGAGAAATTGGCGCGCAACTTTGAGCCGCACAGCAGCCGGCAGGGATCTCAGGACTACTTATGAAGAGGAGGAGGATCCAGGTGGATAAAGTGCCGAGCAGAAACGTTGTCTTGGAACACCGCGAGACCAGTCGTTTAGTGTTTTCTGGAACATGATCAGTCATGCTGGAAGAGTCCCCTTGTAAGGATTGCCAGCCTGTTCCACAGACACACTTGGTATTGAATGTTGGTTCCTCTCTGGTCGACGAGAGCCGACATTTCTGCAAGACTCGTTTCGTCTTTGGAGATAGCCACAATTGTTGCCACCAAGCCGACACCTCCAGCGAAGGCGCTAGGCTTGGTCCGATGTCTGCATTCAATGACATGAAAGGCATGGCAACAAGAAACAAACTGCGAGCCTAGAGATGAGATATCTGGGAAACTGTAATACAAGTATGCAATACCTCTAGTGGTCTGGCTTCGCTGTCACTGGGCTCTCAACCCTTGAAATGTACATTTTTATATTTTGTAAATTACGTCATTTGAACTTCTTCCACCCTCCAGACAGTTTCATCTGACTCCTCCCCTTCTCATGTAGAGCGCCTCGAGCAAGAGAAAATGGTGAGCACAATGATGGACTCTCCAAGGCGAAAAGTTTCCAATACATGACTAACGACTCCACCAGTCAAAGCAGTACCTCGCGCAGCACACGGTCGACGAGGGTAAGTGTTGCAACGACAACGTCCCCATGTCGTCCCACCCTCAACCCACTAACCAAACAATATCTCCACAGCTCACGGCACAGACATATTCTCTCTCGCCGTGACCTCGGCGCAGATAATCACTGGCTCCGGCGATCCATCCATCAAAATCCACTCCACCACCGACAGCGACCTCCCCATCGCGCAGGTTCTCAAAGACGCACACAAATTAGGTGTCCATCACCTGATCACAAGCAAAGATGGTAGCAAAGTCGTGAGCGCAGGCTTCAGCGGCGAGGCCAAGATCTGGAAATACGAGGATGGGATCTGGAAGCTGGAGTCCGAGATCAACGTCGGCAAGGACGGCGCCAAAAAAGTCAAGGCTGGCGAGATCTGGGCCGTGGCGCTATCTGCCGATGCGCAGTATCTGGCGGCCACGACGTATGACGGACGAGTCAACGTCTGGAATCTCGCCAATGTGAACGAGAAGTTCAGAGAGTATGAGACGAAGGGTAGCTTTGGGATGTGTGTTGATCTGGTCGGTGTTCCAACCCATACAAGCCCTCCCTGACCCATCTTTAATCTAAATCTAAACACAGTCATCCGACGGACGGTTCATCGCCAGCGGCCATGAGTCCGGCAACATCTACCTCTTCTCGACCGCCACAAGCCGCCTCCTGCACTCGCTCCCGGGCCTGATCAAACCCATCCGCGACGTCAAATTCTCGCCGGCTTCGAAAATTGTCGCCGCGGCGGGTGATTCACGCATCATTTCCCTCTACAACCCCGAGTCCGGCGAGCAGGTGGCTAATCTCAGCGGCCACGCGGCGTGGATCACGAGTCTTGACTGGAGTTTTACAGGCCAGTATCTTCTGAGCGGCAGCCTCGATGGGAAAGTCAAGGTGTGGGATATCGACCGCAGAGCCTGTGTGGCCACTCATAGTGAGAGTGACAAGGGGCTGTGGTGTGTCAAGTGGTTGCCCAAGGGTGAGTCGGCTGTCGATCGTCAGAAGGCGGAGCGCTTCGTCACCGTGGGGAGTAATCGGGCGATTGCAATCTATCGCGAGGCTACTGGTGGATGAAAATAGGTCATGGTGGGCGTCGCTGTCAACACACACAATAACGTCCATGTGCAATGAAGCCGAAAGCGCATTCAGGTTCGTCGAGGTCACGATTGAGGAAAGCGAACTTGGTATCGTGTTACCAGCACCGCTTGATTCGAGAAAATAACAGCCACAGCTGAAGCTACTGCAACACACTACGAAACAACACGCCAGGTCGTCGAGTCCATCAACGGGCGGAAGTAACCGTCTACATCGTCCTGGAGTCCATTCTGAGAAGATAGCATGTCGCGTGGGCGTGGGGACGGTTCACAAAAGCCACACTAGGTTTCTACATCCGAGGATCAAGTTTTCAAGCTTTAGAAGATCCAGGAATCTCGGATCGAGAGCCAAGATCAATTAGGGCTCATCAGGTGCATAGTAATCCACATGATCAGAACATTCATGCATGTTCGAAGATGTGAGGTATACATAATTTTGAGTTGATTGGAGATGTCTCTCAACGAAAACGCACGCACATCCACAGCGGCTTTAAAAACCCGTAAGGAAGGAGTGAGAACACGAATGGAGAAAGCAAGGATATAGCCTTGTTTAAAATGATGAAGTGTTCCTCTAGGCATACTTATTGACAACATCGACCATGGGAAATAAAGATTCGATGAAGCTTCGAAAGTGCCGATTCTTAAATCTTTGTTGTGTTTCAAAGTCGTGGAGCTCTCGACTCCGGCTGCTGGTCAGGTAGGTTAGGCAGTCGTCAAGCGTATCCAGATGGCAAAAGCTGCAAGGATGGATCGAAGAGTTGAGGTGCAGTCATAATGTTTCCACGATTCACCGTATTTCATGTAGACCCAATCACTACAACTTACCTCATGTCAAGATCATGGGTTGTAATGTCAGAGCGTAGCCATGGGTCCGAAGCCTTCCCTGGATAATGACCAAGCTGAGGAAATGCGAGAGTCCAGACCGGGACATCGACAATCCGCAACATCTCTCGAGAAATCCAGATTTGAAAAGCGAACTTCGGATATGGAGCTCCGCCACATACCAGTAAAACACGCGATCGTGAGCCGGGCTTTGGTCGCAAACCTGTGGTAGGCAGTCGTCACTCTAAGATTTGATGCTCTAGAGGTCACAAAGCATATCAATTATCGTCCGAGTCTTCCATCAATCCACAGAAGTGGCAGAAACTCCGGTGCCACTGTACAGTAAGGCACAGTCGTTAGCTCCCAGATCTCTTTCCAGAGAGGAATGAACCTGCTGCCTGGGAGCATTGGAGATGACAAGGGCACGGCAGTCACATTGTAGTGCATGGAGAGGGTTGTATGCCAAAAGCGAATTGCGAACACCATTTTCAATATCACTTCCGAAGAAGGACCTTGTGGATGCAGCAAATTATGATTGGCTTGGTCAGTCTCGGTTCGCTCGGGAATGTGTGGACACAACTGAAAGAGCACTCTAGTGAGGAGTACTCGATGCATTCAACAAGGGTTTATTTTGAGCGCCTTGACAATAATATGTAAGGAGAGAAGCAAGAAGTCGGGGAGGACATCTCGAAGCTTTTATCAGAAAAATTATACCGAGGCTTGGCAAATATCCGCGCTAAAAAGATCTCTGATCCTCCGTATCAAATTCCCTCGTCAGCCTTGTTGTGCAGCTTGAACTCGAAGCGCTCAACACACAATCATGTTGAATAGTACATTGAGCGCTCCTTCCTGAATGGTCCTTCTATTGTGTTAAACCAAATCTGACGCTTTTCTCCTTTGTCCTCGTCGGGAAGCGTTGCGAGCTTTACCAGATATAATTACCACTTTAGCTATTGTATCTGGTTCACCGGTACTCCTATCGTCAGCTGGTCACGGAACTACACATTGAGAGCCATGGCAAATGTGTTCTCCATCGGCTCGTCGTGCAGCATGAATCCATACTTTACGAAAACGCAATCGTGCTGTATTTCTGCTCGAACCCTATGCTTGATCAAATTGTATTGATTTCATGCCTGCCCAAGGATGTAAAGTGTCCGTGCCCCATATGGGGATTTTAGGAACTTTCTCCATACCGCGAATGGGCCCTAACACTCAATTCCGCAACCGTCTTGAGTGGCTGTTGCTATCATGAAAGACAGCGGTTTGACCAGGATGACAAGTTAACGGCTAATGGCCACGCCATCAGAGTAGCAAACAGCCTAAGCGTATCAGGCGAAATATCAACCACAAAATGATCAAAGCACATAACCTTGACAACGCCTTTGCGGTAGCATCACGACCCTTTCGTGCCGACGCTGATATCGCAGCTGTTCAAGTCGAAGGCAAAAATCCCCAAAGAACTTGATGCCCTTTCCATGAGCTTCGAGTTTTGCGCATGCCCGCGCTGATTTCCTTCTGCATACCATATCTTCCTCACATTTTACACGCTACTTAAGCAGATCGCGTCGTGGAATGCGGGGAGGTATTGCCGGATTTTGCGGACAATGAACGCTTGTCATGTTTGAGGTCGCTCAACTTCGATATAATCAGTGTCTATTGTTTGGGGAGGACCGCGCAACACCCACAAGATGAACCGGTCGCGAGGTGTGCGGGCGAGAATGGAAAAGTGAGCAAGAACAGCATGCATGAGAATTGGTTATTATGTGACGAATGAACGTCTTCAACATGAATTTCATGATAATCATAACTCCTAGAATTAAAACTTCTTGCCGCTCCGACAAAGACTTGCGGCATAACTCTATGAGGGGCAATGGATAATTCGACCATCAAACTCCGGGTGATGCCCTCAAGCCAAAGTTTTCTTCGGGGATTCAAAAAGAACTCCAATGATTTCGTCAAGAATTGTGTACACGAGGTGCTGATTGAGGCGTGCATTATTCATAGTCGCAGATATCCTTCGGGCGGCGGCCTGCGCGTTCGCCCTGCCGACCACACTTGCGGCAAGGTCGGGCACGAGCGTCTTGACCATCAACTCGGCCTCGGCTTTGGATTTCTTTTTCTCCGCCGCAGTGCGAGGTTTGGATTCTCTCATCTTGCCTCCTCCGGGCCACATGGTGTCTTTGATCATTGCGATGTACTTGAGCAGTGCGTCTTCCTGCGTGAAACCCTTGACGAGTTCGCGGACCTTGCGTTCAATGGCGCCGCCGAGAAGTTGGTGGAGTACCACAATCACTGCGCGGCCGCGCAGCCAGTTGTTCCCCCGATTGAGTTCGAAGGTTTCGAGGAAAATGTCGCAGATGGGCTTAACAAATGGTTCGAGTTCTTTGTCTTCGAAGGCCGCTAGCTCTGCCTCCGCTTCGGCGACAGGTCCAGCGTCAATCGAGACGACATCTGGCTGGGCCATGCCGAGCTGGCTGGTGGCTGCAGATATCAGGTTCTGTCCTGCAACCGACAGCTGATCGAGTACTGAAATGTTTCCGAGAAATTCGTCCATGCCATCAGTCACCGAGTTGTATATACGGCTGACAATATCTTGTGTATCTGTCGCATTGCTTGTGTCATGGGATCCAATGCTTTGCTGGGAAAGGAAGGACCTCAGCTCGCGACTTCGACAAACATCTGGCATTCGGAGTAACTGTTGGAGATAGTTCTCCAGGCCAGTACGTCGATTCTGTAGGAATTGCTTCTGTAGCTTCATAACCACTCTTCTTCGTGGAAACTCCAGGTCTCTCGTAGAAGGATATCTCCGTCGTAAGTGCTGATGGAGCTCGTGAAACTCACTGTAACGACGGGTGACCACCCACACTGCGGAGGGCATTTGGTCACCTGCTTGTCGTTGAACTTCGACCACATACAAGGCAAATTCACGGCCGTCTTCTTCCTTGCCTACCACAACTGACTGAATCGAAATTTTGGATCGGCCGTACAAACTGTTGTCACTCTCTTGAACAATGTACTGTTGACGTTGTAGCTCTTTGCGGCGTATTTCCCGCTGTAAACTTGATTTGGATTTCGAGAGAATCCGGAGCTCGGCAACATTGTTTGTCAATTCTGCTTTTCGTGTCAACGCATCAACCACAGACTCTTGTGATGTGAGCCGTTCAATGTCATTGGTGAGCCCTGTGATCGCTTCTGCAAGACCCAGATCACCTGGTGCTGCTTCATGAATCTCATCTTCTCCGATTTCGTCATCTTTGCCCTCTTTGTCAACATATTCATCTTCCAGAAATTTCTCTTCATCCGGGAAGAGATCGTTGTCACTGAACACTCCAATACGTGATGATGTATTCACCAACCCCAAAGTGGCCAGACTCGGTTTTAGTTTATTCGTAGGCCCCGAGTCAACGTTCGGAAAGTCCAGTGAGTCGCGAGGAGATTCTAAGGCCCTCGTCGATTTGGTAACGGAAATTGGGGAGCCGAATAAGGCATCATCATCATAGCTTCCGCCATCATCTACAGGGCCGTCTGTCATGATGTTATTCATAGCAGCTTCCATGCTCTCGATGACTTGACGTTGCTCAGCTGCTGCGTCGCCGTTAAGAGATTCATGCCCTAGGCTATTTGTGGAGTGCGCGAGCGGATCTGTGTCATATCCGTCATCAAAAAGAGGTGCTGAGGGTCCAGTGCGTTTGGGCAGATCATCATCAAAAAGTTTGGAAGAACTCAGACTACGAACATCAGTGGAGGACACTGCAGCACGTCGAAGATCCTTGGGTTTGATGGCTGGCTGTGAATTCGTGCGTGCCATTACATGAGACTGCACTTGCAGCTTGGCACCCATATTCTGGACTGGAGAGACCTGGGTCGCAAGCTGATCGGAGCTCTGCCGCCGGGGTTGCATAGAGGAGGCTTCGCTGGACGCAAGGAATTTGTAGTACAGGTCTGACTTCCGAAAGTTCGGAAGATGTTGTATTGTCAACTCCTCCAAGACAGCTGATTGAGCAGACAAAATGGCAGTTCTCGCCGATCGGTATTGCGGTGGTGTCGCCTTGCGCCCCGCAACAAGGAAAGCCTTGATGGCGTCCCTACTCTCCTGGGGAATTTTTAGCTCTGGCTTGAGCATGTAGGCCTCGCTAATCTGCGCAATATCCATTCGATCAACATCTGTCCAACGTTGTTCTGTTCCGGGGACAGAATCGTCTCCGAAGTCATCTTCTAACGGATTTCGTAGACCATCAACCACAACCCAGAACTGGACTAGAGACATCTTTTGTTGGCGGTCCATGTACTCCATGAAGTAGGATAGCCCGGAAGCAGTATGCATGATCTCCACTAAAGTCCAATCACGGGGTTTGAAGTTCTGGACGGGACGATTATCGTTTTGAGAGGCAGACGCTTGCACGGTTGATCCAGTCCGACTCAGTTTTGCGATTTTCTGGTCCAGGACTCGCTTAGCCATTTCAAGCCTGCGTAGATAAATCGGATCCTGGCCTTCGACTAAGCTTTCCCGCTGAATCTGGCTGGCGATTGAGCTACGAAAACGTCGAGCGTCAGATAAATTCTTGGTCTTGCGAATGGCTCTAACAAATCGCTCGAACGCTCGCTCACTGTCATCTGCTGCCAAGCGCGGCAACTCTTGCTCCGCTCTAGGCTTGTTGATGGGCGAAGTATGCTGATCGAGCGCTGCCCGCATCCTTCTCACGGTTTGACGATCTTGGAGTGTGGTACGTCCGTACGCTTCAATGATTTGGTTCCAAGTGTCTGGATCAGCAAGAAGCTGCATCACAGGAAACAGGACTGCGCAGGAGACAATTTCCTTGATAAGAACCAAGGTTGCACGACTTCCCATCATGCTGGAAGAAAGTAGATCAGGTAGGATTCGAACCAGGATTTTCCGAAGATGATCTTGTTGAATAGTCTTTGCGTCAGAATAGGCGAGCGAGGCTGCTGCATGCAACTTCCCATCCTTGTACTTTGCGGCTATTGCCAGTTCCAAGTCTTCTGATTCCGTCACATTACGGTTTAAACTTCTGCCACGAACCACGCGTTCAGCTTGATCATAGTTTTGAAGATGTGTTGTAATTATGGGAACGATTTTGGAAACAATAACGTTCACCATATCTTCGTTCAGTATGCGATCTCTGATCTCAACCAGGGCTGTCCTAATGTTTCTATCCACCTCATTGACAAAGACTGCACTAGGCGTAATATTGTTGTACCATGATGTAACGAAATCCCTCAAGGCAAATGAGAGGAGGGAATCCAAGGCCTGCGAAACGACAAATGACTGGTCATAGAGTTGCGGGGGTTCGTACAATCGCGAGTGGTCATAGGTATTCAATTCTGCGGTCCATGCGGGAATCTTGATGAATCTGGGTACGTCAGAAAGGGTTGAGGATCGTTCACGCAGCCTCGAGGGAGGGATTGCTGCGGTAAGGGTCGCTGCGATGAAGATGGCGAGAGTGACCAAGCAACCCGCTGTGAAAGCATATCCGAGGAATCGCAATACGGGAACGAATCGTACTGCAAGGCCCCATGCGACAAAGGCGGCGAAAGCGGCAGACAAGATATGTTTCTGAGCCAGGGTCATCGTTGGTACATTGTTGCTGGACACATCCGACAAAGGCCGGAAGCCAGCCCAGATGAGGGCTTCGCTAGTCTTCTAGGGAGTTATGTAGAACCATACTGAGAGTCGTGAGATTATTGATATGGCGCGATCCAGAGAGAATGGCATTCGATGTAGTCTATGGCCTCAATCAGCATATGCCCGTTCGATGATGAAACTACAGGCGGGCAGGGTAATGACGGTGGATCATTGAAACCATGACGCATATTGCGTCTTATGCTCTAAACTTCCCTGTAACTGCCACGTTGTATTCAACACGGTTAATTCCACAAGCTTCAACTTACCCACCGTGTAGTCCACCAGATACCATCACTCACGCCGCTATTGCGGTTTAGCTGCTCGAAGAGATTTCTTGCTCGGTTCGCATCCGGTTACTCGTGGAATATCAGAAGCCTGCAGTGTTCAGGAATGATTTGTCATTGGGTCAGAACCGAGCAGCTTGATCTGAGCACAAGATACGAGAAGCACGGATCTCGTAAACAGACTTTCCTGGCCTTTACGGATGTTCAGAGTCACCCCACACTACATACCTACCTTGGTAGTTATCCAGGATATGTTCACTCTCAAAGAGGTATACCTTGATATTTTAAAGTTTGAGCTCCCTAGGTTCCTGATTCAGATGTTGTTCATGCCCTGGGGTGTCTTTGGTGACAGATCCGTACCTCGTACTGGCATTGACAGGTGATCTGAATACGACTTACAGCTGTCTTGCCTCGGTCATAGTCTGTGCGTTGTTCATGTGTGCATTTACACAAGGGTTCACGAGGGTTGTCATTGGCCAGAAAAGGCGGTGGAGTAGGTAGCACTCTGCCATGATGTGAAAGAATGTTCTGTTGGACTTCCTTGTCCCGATGTCGCCTTGTCCCATCGTGACTCAGTAAACCAAAGGCCGAACTTGAATGTCCTGAGAGAAGCGGTCCAGCATATCTCCGGGCCATTCGAGCTGCGTCCGGAGCTGCACCAAGAATGCCGGCAGTATGCCGGTCAAAACTCTTGGACAGCACAACACTGACGTGGTCGTCTGGAGACTGAGGAAGTCAAGCTGGGTCTGTAATCAGCATCAATATCAAAGGAGAGAAGTTCTTCAAGTTCGCCTACAAAAGTGATGAACGGACTCTCCCGGGATCCCGTCCGGCGACAACCGTACTTGCGGGTCCTGAATGCATACGACTGCGGGTGAGTCGAAGCCGGCATGATGTTCTTTTCTTCTGAGCCTTGTCGCTGGGGCAGTAGTTCCGTGCTCATGCTCCAACCCAGTCTGAGTCTCTTGAGACTCTCCAGCGACATGATAGCATGTCACGCACTTACTCAGCTTACAAAATGCCAATCCACAGTGGCCGCCAGATACCTAGGAGAAAAGGCGCTCTGGGTGATTGCGTGGGTGACAATTCCGACGTCATCCTCGACCATCTCGTATAGATGTTGCTTTTGCCAACATGTCGGATAGAGAACTCCCTGTAATTGGATTTTCCTCAATGAGTAACGAGACTATCCACTGGGAGATCCAAATGCCCGTATCCATCTGGACCCAAGACAGCTCGGGCCACGGGCTGGTCTTTACGAAAAGACATGCCTGCAAGTGGGGATGCGGAATGATCGTCAGAAGGCCAGCAACGACAACGTAGACCATGACGGAGGCAACAATTCAGGTTCTTGCACTGCAGAGATGACAGCCAAGCACGTCGCCACCTTCACTGGTTGTAGGTGTCAGGCTCTTCGCGACCATTCTACCCGAAGGCTACAAGACTTGCCGGAAACGCGCTTATTTCTGGCAAATGGACGAGTCCCCTTGTCGAACGACTGAAAGGCTCGATTTTAGACGCGGGCACTCCCCTGAAAGCTGGACGGATCGACCGCCCGCGGATCACGGGCTCCCGAAATGTTCTTTTGAGCTTACTCGGGTACACTTGTGCGATCCATTAATAATTCCTCAGGCGCGAACTCGGGCGGTTGGCGGGGGTTGTGTTCCCCCCTTGAAGCTTAATGTTTGTTCAACCTCACTGCATCGTACATTTCGGATTCAAGGCCAAAAGGGTGAAGCTTCCAATCCAAAGAATTCTGTAATCAATGACCAACTTCCTGCTCAGAGCCGATAGCGAGGCTCACCGTTCCATGGCATGCGTTGGTTCCTTGTCTCACCATGCGACACCATGACTCGGCAAAACCACCTGGTAAAGGGTAATTGCTCTCCAATGACCCACCCCGTCTCAGACTGCTCGACGAGAAACTCTGATTGATTGCACAAATGAAGCAAAAACTATTGATTTGGGCACTGGTGGTCCATGGTGAGTCGCATCGTCAATTACCTGTGCCTCGTACTGCCTCGCAATCTCCCTAGTGGCGGTGAGTATGACTCGGGGTGCCATTGGTAAAGTTGTCACCGATTCATACGCATAGTGAGCAATCGGAAAGAGGCGCACGAGGGAAAAATCCTGCATTTGGTTACATGAGGCTATTTCCACAGTGGACCTTCTCTGCCGAGTAGACATTGTCAGTTTCACTTTCGAGACAGAACAAAGGACAACGAATGCAAGCAATCATGCCTCAAGGGCGTACTGCACATGAGATGATCTGTTGTCGAATGAGGTTTGCATCCGACTTTCAAGTGACGCCTGGGGCTTTGCGGCCCACGATGGATGACTACGAGGTACTTGGGCAAGGCATCTTTCACGAACGGGAGTGCCTCCGGAGCATCAGTCGTCCACCTCTAGTTAGCAAAATTGCATGGTACGGTCTACGGAGTAGTCCGTACGGATCGTGCTTGAACTCAAGAAGGTTGCCTGTAGGCTGTAGCACCAGATGTTATTGTCCCGGGCGCGGGGCCCTCAGATGTTGGGGGCCTGTCATCTATGCAAATCGACGAGGAACGCCTACGAAGCATATTGAGTCCCCGTACGGAATGCTACTGAGAGGGTCGGTTCTTGTGATTTCTGTCAACGTAAAGGGGTCAATCGAGTGCAACTGCAGTGGATATGATACGGCCTTGCTCCTGTCGACCGACATGACTCTGGTCGTACGACGAAGAGAACAAGCGTCCACCATGATGATGAAGATCATTCATCAACGTGGTAAGAAGATGCACGTCAAGTTTAGGTGTAGCTGTGAGGGACGGTCCCTCTCGGGCCTGGCCAGCGAAACACAAAAGAGACGACGGGTGCCTGGGGGGGCCGGGCTGTTCCTTTAGGTATTGAAGTTTTCCGTACTGGCATCCCACCTGCCCTGAAGGTTTTAGGCTTGATTGGTCCGTAAGGACGGGGAGACTGATCAAGAGCACAAAAGCCCAGTGTCCAAAGGGGGAGGGGTTCCCTTGTAAAGTGACACGGCCGTCTGGGGGTTCTGCGGTGAGCAGGCTCTGATTTCCGGGGATGCCAGTTCCCCGGCGACTGGCGTGCTTAGCACGGGAGCCTGTGGAGCATTTCAGGTGCCACAACATGCCGCAGGACGATTCAGATGTAGAGTGGGATGAGTGCAGGGTGCAGGGTGCAGGTGTCAAGGGGTCCTTGTAAACACGACCTGTCGCCACCGTGGTTTGACCTTTTTGGATCTGTTTTTGACGACCACGACTTGAAGTGTAGATTGGGCCCTCTGCTGGATACTGAGGATATGGTACATTGGGCTTCAAGTCACAAGGAAACGGAGCTTGGTAGGACTCTGGACCAGCATCGTAATCATTGATATCAGATCGCACTTGGGCGAAAGAGATCTACGAGTACGCCTTCGTACTTGGTGGCCATCTCCCGTTAATGTCATGTGTCGAGAGTCCACGAGTTTCAACTACGAGGTCTGGATGAGACTAGCAGCCTGTGCGGGCGTCACGGCCCTAGGATCCCTATCCCTGTCTGCCGCGGCTTCAGTATCCCTACGGAACTCATTATTGAATACCATCTTGCCTCCAAAGAGTCTAACCTGCAATTGAAGAATACCGAGTAGATTGCATGACCCTCGCAATACGTGGTGACTTTCAACAATGCACAAGTCCAGGTTGGTCGATGCGTTGGGTCGTCACACATGGAGAAATATCCGAACCTAGACTCTGCATTCTCTCGAGTGTAACGATCGCCCGCCTTGGTGTCGCTCCCATTTTGCTAGCTACGAGTAGTTGGTTAGTCCACACACCCTTCTCTGTCATGCAGATGGCAGGTAGATTAGTTAGTGCACGATGTCAAGCAGACGGCTCGCTTGCCTTGAGATCATCCTTGTCGACTGGCTACACTGCTGCTGCCCTTCCCAAACCCACCCTCCTCCTCCCTGCACCCGATGCCTAGACTGTGTCTATCTCTCCCCGTTCCTGTCGCAGTAGCAGCCCTCAAATGCAACTTGCTTGCGTTCCTAGCCCATAACCCATTTTCAAAGCCCTTGATCCACCCTGACTTTTTGCTCAGCTGACCCAAGATCATGTACGGAGTAGCGTTGGCTTGGTTGACATCCGTCCATGGGACACTTGTTCCTCGTTCCTGCTTCTGGACGAGCTTGGAGAACGCCCCTCGCCCACCGTGCTGCCGCATTTACCACTCTTGGGAGTCTCCAAGATCAGTACTGTACCAGGGCTTCCAGTGTTCATGTTCATCTGGCATCAGACGGAAGAACCTGAAGCTGTGGGGTCCGTGGGGAGCGAGGCTGACTACTTCCGTCGGTAGAGTGGCGAGGTGACACATCGGCATACACCCTCGTTGTTCACGCATAGCTGACCCTCAATCGCTCGCCTTGCATGCTCCCTGGTCTTTCTGAGTCGGTTCTGCTGGCACAGAGATATCGACATCATCGCCGGCTTGGCCTCTTTGCACCTCTTTTCTTCTCAGCGCTCCCTCTTATTCCACTCTCACGAGCTCTCACTCACGCACCTCTCTTAAACGGGCAACGCTAACCAGTCAATTTATGGCCAGCCACAAGGGTCTGGCTGCAGAGGCGCAAAGGGCTATCAAGGCACCCTAACCCTCGACTCAATTCTCTCACCCTGCAAACCCCGCCGAGATCAAAGCGGCGAAAAAGGCGATCGATAGCTCTTATCCTCATTCCCTTTTCCATCACCATATTAACCGCATTTTCCTCACCTCCAGATCGAGCTTGCAACTTCGTCTATTTAGTTCATCTCTTCCCTGCTTCCTACTCTTTTGCAACTGGTCTAGTCATATGCGATATGTACCTCGACTGATCTTCGCTTGCTCTGCTTTTAACGACTACGCACACGGGGAGCTGGTGACCAGCCTGCTGGTATATGATTGGTTTGCCTGGTCGATGTGATTGACTCAATCTACCTGCTGTCTTGTCTCGTTTCTCCTCATCATGCGTGGATGACAGGTTCCCTCATTTTCACAATCATCCTCGGGTCCCGGTCGTATGATGGCACTCGTTTGATTCAATCAGCCATTCCATAAAGGGTGTGATTGTATTCGGCACTATTATATCAACTTGGCTTCCCCACAAATCACTCTTTGTCTTCACGACCAGTCTCACCCACAGCCAACTCCGTCTTCACCCCAGGGCGAGTGACTCCTTGCGACGACAAGTGCCTATAAAAGCATCTTTCACCATGCTCGTGCTCAACCATAATGTTCATAACCCATATTGGCCAATTCTCATAAACAAGAGGAGCACCTGCTTTCCTATCATCGATTCGATCCTCTCAAAGGACTCACATCTCGGTAATCACCATTCTGAGGTGCTCAAATGCTCAAAGCTGATTCGGATCAAGACATTGCCGTCTTAGGAGACGCTCCGATGTCCGCTCTATCCAGCGACTCGCCCTTCTCTGCTAGCCCTGCTAGTGCTCGCCTCTCCATTCCATCATCTCATACCTCGGACGAACAGAACGGCCTGGTCGATTCTGAACCAAACCACAACGATGACTTTGCACGTTCCGGTTCAGAAACGCTGCATGCAGATTCTCTAGAGGGTCCTTCAGTCGATACTTGTGATGAAGGCGATTCCGAAACCGATTCTCATCACAAAATCCATCTATCCGCCATCGAACACTGTATGCCTCGGTCATATATACGTATATGTCTTGCGTATCGCATGCCCGACCCCTCTATGCTCCCTGACATTGTACGTCGACTTAACAACTTTGTTCGGAGAACTGTGGACGCCAAACCGTATCTTTCAGGCTACATCATGCCCGCCAAAAGCAAGCGGGTTGGAGCCGTGGAAGTTCGCTTTTCCGATAGAGATTTCCTCGAATATCCAGCTGTTAGCGTTCGTCATTTGACACACCATGAGGTCCCTTTCACTTATGATCAGCTGGATCAAGCAGGTCTGCCTCCAAGCGTTATGAAACCTGACCTGGTATCGGCATTGGCGGAATCTGCTGATGAGGAGGCGGCACCAGTGTTTCGTATGCAGGCCAATGTGATTGATGGTGGAATCATCGTTAGCCTGTACCTTCACCATTGTGTCTCTGATGGAACAGGTGCCGGCCTATTGATATCCGGCAGTATCCTAACGGATGAGGGTGCATTTGACAGATATCTGGGAGATCGAGAGCCAACTTCGTCTCTATCAGTGAGGCTGAGAGAGTTTGCAAACCTCAAGAGCATCCATAGGAAGCAGCTCTCCTTCAGCTTCCCCAACCAAATCAACAATCGGTCTTTGAAATGCAAGAAGGTCAAGGCACATCCGGAAGAGCCGGAGCCCATCCGAGTGCAAGGCCGCGGCTGTGTTGTCGCCTTTTCATTGGAAAAACTTACAGAGTTAAAAACATTACTTGAGACGCAAGCTGATAGCAGTTTTATCACACAAAATGACGCACTGCAAGCGCTCCTCTGGCATAGTATGGTGAAGGCCAGGGTTCCATCCCTCGAGAACAAGGAAGCCATTGCGATTTCCAAGCTGCTCATTCCTATCAACATTCGTGGAAAGCTGGAGAATCCATTACCTGAATCATACTTTGGCACAGCGATCGACTTTGCAACAGCTCAATTATCTATCGACCATCTGACGAACACGAGTCCCCCAGCGATGATTCAAACAGCAATTGAGATACGGCGGGCGATCAACGCCGTCGACGAACCATATATCCGACAGGCCATTGCTTTGGCTCGCTACCCGGAGTCGACCAACGATGTGAGAGATCTTCAAGCCAGTAACATGGATCGTGCCTACGGGGCAGACATGTACGTGACAAGCTGGGAGAAATTGGATTGTTACGAGGCAACGTTTGATCTCGGACTTGGTCGGCCAGATTGGGTACGCAAGCCATGGTCTAAAGATCCAGGCTCTTGCATCGTACTTCCTTTCGACGGCAGGAAAGACTACCTGGAGGTGGTGATACAAATGACGGTCCCGGATATGGACAGGCTACTTGAAGACCCGGGTTTCATGGACTACGTCGTCAGGGTGATAGACTAAAATCAATGGTTTATTAGCAGGCATTGAATTTTCTGGACAGGGAAGCTAGAATGCGAATATGGGATATGGCGGTACAATCATGGCAGCCGGACGCGAAAAAGTGCACATTTTGGGGAGCATGACCATATGGCCATATATGATCAGCAACGGAGTTTTCTTTTATTGCTCGGGTTTGGGGGATCTCACATGAACTGGACTTGGGGTTGACGAGTAATTGTACAATAGTGCCATGATGAAAACTGGGACCGCAGAGATATTTTTGGAACATGATCGATATAATGCAGGCGGCTAAGAGTGTACAACTCGAAAAGTCAGCGGTCTATTGCTAGTCTCAAGACAATTGAAATGAATGTGATCCATCAAAAGCTCCTTGATTGACAAGTGAACAAGAGTCCGGCAGTAGCAGCAATGTAGAAGCTGAGGGCAACAGGATCCTTAGCTCGGTCACGTGCGGTCGTGACGCGTTGAACAGAAACGCGTCGAGGTGCGCGTTCGAACGCAACATCCTTCCGCCACTCTGCCTGATGGTCTCCTCTGTTTGTTCCTTCGATCGACTTCGACAGTAATTTCGTGCTTCGATATAATCAGTCTTCGCATTCCGATCCCAGCTGCACTCTCTCCCTTCTGCGTTACCTCGCACAACTATACACATCGTCAACCATGACTCAAATAGACACCACCGATACTCCGCAGGATGAATATGAAGATGTGGCTGGCGGCCCCGGAGCACCGCTTCCAATTGCACAGCTTGTGGTGAGTCCTTGCTTCCTACTCTAGAATGACATCAACTCAACTCACGCTCGAATAGGGCATTGCAGGTTTGACAGATCGAGATATCAAACTGGTGATCGAAGGCGGTTACAATACTGTGGAGTCAGTTGCTTTCACGTAAGAAGACGAGACTTGCAAATGAATTCACATGACTGACTGACATTCACGCTGCAGCCCACGGCGTGCGTTGGAGCAGATCAAGGGCATATCGGAAGCCAAAGCAACCAAACTACTGGCTGAAGGTGAGCAATTCCGATCATTTCGAGATGGACTAAGCAGTGGCTAACACCAGATAAGCTATGAAACTCGTCCCCATGGGTTTTACCACGGCTACCGAAATGCATGCCCGAAGAAGCGACCTCATCTCCATCACCACGGGATCGAAGAATCTCGATCGACTACTTGGCGGTGGCATCGAGACGGGCTCCATAACTGAGATCTTTGGAGAGTTCAGGACGGGCAAGAGTCAGATCTGTCACACCATGGCCGTAACTTGTCAACTACCCTTCGACATGGGAGGCGGTGAAGGCAAATGCTTGTACATTGACACCGAGGGGACGTTCCGACCTGTCCGGCTTCTCTCCGTGGCCAATCGATATGGATTGGAGGGTGAAGAGGTGTTGGACAATGTGGCGTACGCGCGAGCCTACAACTCGGAACATCAACTGCAACTACTACAGCAAGCATCACAAATGATGTGTGAGACACGATTTTCGCTACTAATCGTCGACTCGGCCACCTCGCTTTACCGAACGGATTACAATGGACGAGGAGAATTATCATCACGCCAATCACACATGGCCAAGTTTCTACGCATGCTTCAGAGACTGGCAGACGAGTTCGGAATTGCGGTAGTCATCACGAACCAGGTTGTTGCACAGGTTGACGGCGGTCCAAGCGCCATGTTCAATCCAGACCCGAAGAAACCTATCGGTGGCAACATCATTGCTCATGCCAGCACGACGCGACTGAGTTTGAAGAAGGGCCGTGCCGAGACGAGAATCTGCAAAATCTACGACAGTCCATGTCTGCCGGAGAGCGATACTCTGTTTGCGATCTATGAGCATGGTATTGGTGATCCACAGCCCAAGGATGACAAGGAGAAAGAGTAATTCTGGGGAAATCTCCACACCAGCTGGGCTCGATTGAACATGTGATGATTATGCATAGCATCGGCGCGTGGGTTTCTAGTATTTTGTCTGGGTATGGCGGTTGGCAGTGGAAGGAGTGATGCAGTGGAGGGATCATAAAAGTGAGTGTGGCACACAAGCTCCCAGCTACAAGCGGACACAGAGTCAGAGACCGGACTACAATGATGATGACGATGAGATCTGACTCGGAGTCCTCGGCACGGGCACCACTTAAACATGATCGACACTTAAATACTGTGGCGGAACCCCGCTGACTGTGGCTGAACCCAATGGGATTAGAGCCCATTGCAGCCTCCGTTCTGAAACCTGGAAGTGACAATTCAAGATTGGCTCTGACCTTGGTCGATCCTTGCAAAGAATGCAGGACTTCAGGAGCCAGGAAGTAAGAGAACCACGGAGTAGAACCATCGGGTGGACCTCGTAGTCGGAACCTTGAAGGAGGAGGAAAAGATACATGCATCCTTCTTGATTCCCCCCAATCCTAATGGGGGTTCGCAGTCAATACTTCCTAGGGCTGCTTCGATCGAACGCGTGTTATCCACGCTTGGCTCAGGTCATCATCTTCTCAAGTTGGTGTCCATCTGGTGATCGTAACCTGCAGTGATCATTATTAAATTACGGGTACTAGATCACCTGGGCATGTCAGCCTTAGATTTCAGGCCTCTCTCCACAACTTGGTCTCTGTTGTTACCCAAACATCCACTTCCCTCCAGCCCTGGTAGCTTTCATGTCCGCTAGCCTTGGGCACGGGCTTATTCAATTCGCATTCTATCTCCAGCAGACCCTCCTGCCACTTTCACTCTCTTCTTCCTTGTTCTGCCTACTGCGCTGAATACTTTAATCGCTTTCATTCCTTAACTGGCCGTCCGTGGTTCGGCCATTGTTGGTGTTTACAGCCGGCGCGTCGCCCTCGAGCCTCACTTGTTTCCACCTCCCTCGCCTTGAATAGCTGGCCTGAGTTTAATCGAGCTCGAGAACCGTCCAGAGCCTGTGGGCAATGTCGGGTACGCGACGACAGAGCGCAAGACGCAACATTGCTCGGTCCTATTCGCTAACGTGAACTGCAGCAACAGAACAACCTCAGAGGCAGGACTTGCCAGAGGGCTTCCACCACGTTGTGGATGGTCAAAACCATCATGGAGAAGGCCCTCAAATCATCAGCACTAGCGGCGAACTCGAAGTCCTCTGCGGTCCTCTCCTAAATTACCAGCGCATGAGTCAAGACGGTTCCGAAGTCTTCTGGCATGGCTCCGTCCTCCTGGTCACAAAACCTGGCCAGCAGCTGCCCTATCTCACTCTACAGCCATTGGGCGCACTGGACGGAGCTACACAACTTAACAAGAACTATCCTGCTCAAAAGGTGGAGGGATTGAAGCTCTATGCGGATCCTAACAAAGCGTTCTGGCGGTTTTCACTTCAACTTCCACTGGTGGAGGTGGAGGCAAAATGGCAATATACATTTGAAAGCATACGCTTCTTCTCGGAGCTGACCAACAAAGCACCCTCGAGAGAGTTCGTCGTTCCGGCGTCCACCGAGTCGTTCAGAATAATGTTCCACAGTTGCAATGGCTTCTCGGTTGGCACAGATGAAGACTTTTGGTCCGGTAAGTCGACGTCTGGCATTGCTTCGATCCCAGAATGGCTGCTAAAGTGATGTTTATAGGTCCGGCACTCTGGAACGATGTTCTAAGAACCCACCAGAAGCGACACTTCCATGTCATGATTGGTGGAGGTGACCAGATCTACAATGACAACATTCGGGTCAAGGGCCCTCTCAAGGAATGGACTGCGATCAAGAACCCGAGAAAGCGACAGCATTACCCGTTCGACAACGACATGCGCAGCCGCTGTGACGAGTTCTATTTTGCAAACTATATCCGATGGTATAGCACCGAGCCTTTTGCGAGCGCCAATGCGAGCATTCCTCAGATCAATATCTGGGATGATCACGACATCATTGATGGGTTTGGCTCTTACACCGATCACTTCATGAAGTGTGCCGTCTTCAGAGGGATTGGTGGCGTTAGCTTCAAATACTATTGCCTTTTCCAGCACCATACGGCTCCTCCTTTGTCCACGTTCACTACTGATGTCCCGGCCACAATGGAGGCAGACGCTAATGGCACTGCTGGAGCAGACCCTCGACAATTGAAGGATACCTTTGTCTACAAGAGACCAGCGGATGACCCCAGCTGGATTGTTGGAAAACGACCTGGGCCTTATGTTGAAGAGCGTTCTCGAAACCTTTACATGCGGCTAGGAAAGCGTATCGCCTTCTGCGGTATTGACGCTAGAACTGAGCGCACGCGAAAGCAGGTCAATTACCCGGATACTTATGATCTCATCTTCAACAGATTACGCAATGAGTTCAAAGCTGCACAAGGAGAGATCAATCATCTCATACTCCTTCTGGGCGTTCCTATCGCATATCCACGGCTGGCATGGCTTGAAAACATCCTTTCTTCGCCATTTATCGCGCCCATCCGACTCCTCAACAAACGTTTCGGTGTTGCGGGAAGCTTTTTCAATCAGTTTGATGGTTCCGTCGATCTTTTGGACGATTTGGACGACCATTACACCGCTAAGCATCATAAGAATGAGCGAAGAGATCTGATTGTCCGACTCCAACACCTTGCAGCTGAATTTTCTGTCCGCATCACCATCCTTGGAGGTGATGTTCATCTGGCTGCCTTGGGTCGCTTCTACTCAAATCCTGCGGACAACATGGATCCCCTTGAAGATCCCCGATACATGCCCAACATCATTTCATCGGCTATCACAAACAAGCCACCTCCCAAAGCGGTTGCAAATCTTCTTGCAAGGCGCAACAAAATCCATCACCTTAGAGACGGTAATACGGATGAAACCCTTATGACCATGTTCAATGAGCAACCCGGCGGCCAGATGAAGAGTGCCGAATTCAATCTTGTCACCATGCCCAGCAGAAATTATGCATGTATAACAGAAATTCCGGACAACAGGCCTAATGATAATCTTCCACCTAATGGAGTCAATGGTGATGCAGTTATGAACGAGACAGGAGAAACAGATAAGCAGCGACCCAAGGTCAAAGGCGTAGATGGCCACAGCCCTTTGCATATTGGTGAAGAAGGTGCAGGCACAAAACATCCGGCTGCAGACGGTGTCAGCAGCGAAGGCCCGCTCAAGGGTGGCTTAAACGTCTCGATCAGGGTCGAGATCGACAATAGCGACCGAACAGGTCAGACTCAAGGTTATGGCATGAGCAGTAAGTCCGACCACCACGTCCCTTTCCCACAGCACCAATGTGTTGAGTGATAAGACAAGGAAACTGACTGTTTACCATCCAGTACCCAAATTGACCGTTGTCCAGCAAACGGGAGTCACCACAGATCGAGGTCATACACCCAATTCCGCTGCTTAGTACCCAGTGAATTGTTGTGTCGTGTCCTGACCTGCAATTTTGTTATTGCTCCAGCGAATGTATCAAAAACCCCACACAGTTTCGGTAAATGTCCGGAGTTTTTCGAAGTCGACATAATGCACCGGAAAACCAGACATCACTAGTTCGTGTAGATTGAGAGGCAGGTCAGTTCCGGAGAGGAGCAGAATAGTCCTCAACGTTCGAGATAGTGTTGAAAGCGACGGGAGTGAGCGAAGGTACGCGCGCCAACAGGAAAGCGGAAGGAAGGAGAAAAGCACGGGCGTCGAAGACGTTGTTCCCTTCATGGTTTTATTATTACTACTTATTGCTTAGTTGTAAAAACTCAATCGGATACCCATTTGCATCGCGTTTCAAGATAGCAACGCCACGTGCGGCCTGAGGCATCTACGTTGCTGCAGTCCCTCTAGCGGCCACAAGGAGATGCCAAGACTTGATAACATGTTTGACTCATCCGCATCCCCCAGCCTTGCGGAGACAGGACACCGTAGTGGATGTACACTGCCCCCGTCCCAATACACGTGCTTTAGATTCGGTCAGAGTCATATGAAAAGCCCGAATCTCAGCTGGGAGTCATACTCTCTCCGGCTCACAGAGGGTTGCCTTTGAAACACTGTAAATAAGTGGATCCATGGATTAAATTCGGAAAGGACGACAGTAGTCATTCTAGCTTGAGAGAAGCGAGTGACCGTCGCACCAACAAATCAAGAATATGAGAAAGTGAGGGCCTCTTCTGAGGTACATACACACCCAATCTACGCACACACCCTCAGACCTTGTAACTCGGCTGTTCAGACTCCAAATCTTCTACTAGAACTTTCCCACCTTACTGAATCCCGAGTTTGCTAGACTATTGTTAATAACAATGCTGACACTGGACGGGTCGACGCTCGAAGGGGGCGGCCAACTCGTCCGCGTGGCCTTATCGCTCTCAGCCATCTGCAACATCCCCGTCCGCATTACCAATATCCGCGCGAACCGCTCCGCCAAAGCCCGCCGAGGAGGAGGCACACAGAGACAATCCTTGGGCAGAGCGCACGGGGAGCAAGGAAAGAAGGGCAGAGGCCATGACGCCAGGGAGAGTCTAAGGCCCGGAGGAGGTCTGAAGGAAAGTCACCTTGCTGCTGTAAATTGGTTAGCCGAGAAGTGTTCAGCGGATGTGGACGGTGCGGGCGTCGGCGAAACGGAGGTGGTGATCCGCCCCAAGAGGAGCAGGAAGCCTCGCCCTTTGCAATCGTCGAGTGAAGAGGTCGAGGGTATCGCGCTGAAGAACCCCGGAAGTGTCTGGTTGATCTGGCAGGTTATCTTTCCCTACATTGTGTTCAATCTACCCGAGAGCGACTCAAGGGGCAAAATTGATGCGAATGCGGCTTTTCGGATTGTACTGAGGGGAGGCACGAATGTCCCGAAGTCGCCGTCCAGCGAATACGTGCAGCAAGTTTTCATACCGCTCTGCGAGAGGATTGGTCTTCCCCGGTTCGAAGTCAATGTCCTCCAGAGAGGATGGGCTGGAAGTGCTCCGGCGATCGGAGAGGTCGAGCTTGTGGTCAAAGGCGGGAACAAAGGTGATGTTGATAGCAGCGTGGAGCGGCAAGACGCCTTCTCCCTACCGCCTTTCACACTCACCGACCGCGGTGACATTACAAGAATCGAGATGACAATCGTCGCCGGAAGCCAAGAGACATATTCGATGCTAGAAACCCAACTACCGCTCGCTCTATTGACACTCGGCTCGACTGGGGCATTTCCTGCAGATCTACCCATAACCACGCACCCATCATCCACTGCATCATCAGGCGACGAACGAAGACTCTACGTCCTCCTGGTAGCGCACACAAGCAACGGCTAAAGACTCGGTCGTGACTGCCTCAGCACAGGCCGAAAAATCAGCAACGACAGCGAGCGGAGACAGATCATCGCGCAGGTGGTGGGCACCGTGGCGCGCGAACTCGTCGCCGAGTGTCGCAAGGGCGGATGTGTCGATGAGTATGCCGAGGATCAGATCGTCGTGTTTCAGGCACTTGCGCGGGGTACGACCGTGGTCCAGACCGGTCGGGAACAGCTAGGTGCGAATGGCAAGGGGAAGGGAACCAGAGCAGCCGTGGATGGCGGGGGAAAAGGGAGTCTACATACACGGACTGTCAGATGGGTTTGTGAGGAGATGCTGGGCACGACATTTGACGACGAGGGTGGTTGTGGGGGAAGACATGTCGATGTGAGCATCTCTGGTGTGCATGGAGCCACGGAGATGATGGCAAGGTTAGGGATGTGATTCGATGAACTTTTACGTGAGCATGAAACACAAAAGTGGAAAGCATTCTTGCCTCTCATGGCTATAGTCTAGCAATAGCAACATCTGCTTTTTAGCGGTTCCTTCTTGAGCGATAGGAAGTGATATGCCGCAATAGCTACCCAGCACTCGAGATTATCCTTTTTGTGCGCGTGCGGACTCCTTCTCGCGAAGCCGAGCCACTCTGGTCGTACGCCCGTGTCCAGCTCCCCCTCCTCCGAACACCGTAGTCTTGAGAAAGTTGTGGCTTGCGCAACAGAGAGAATGTTCACATGACATATCATCTCATCCATCAGGAAAGCTCATCGCTTCCACCAGCTCCAGCTCAGTCATCGAAAGTAGTTCGCTTTCCCTCAGGCCGTCCAGTAAGCGCCGGACGCTTTTTCCAAGCACCACCGGGATTTGCGCCCTTGCCTGGAGGCAGGGAGCGAAAGCCACTGTGAGGGCCTGCAACACCTTTATTATTGGCCTGCTTGGGATCGTGACGCTTCTGCAGCTTGTCATTCTGGCGAAAGGCAGGGAATTTCGGAGGAAGTGGCTCCTAAGCACCGCCCGAACTCGCTCTCGTCACTGGAGCCGCTCCTCGCACGAATCCACCGCTACCGGCCTTGGCCTGCTTGTGGTCTTTCTTTGCCTTCTTCTCGGCCTTCTCTACTTTTTTCTTTGCTTGACGGGTGGCTTTGGCCTTGGCCTTGGAAAGTGCGGCTGCGGCTTTGGCATTAGTGCTGTTGGAGGCTTCATTGTCTTCTTCGGATGCGAGAGGGATGAAATCATCTGCGGGGTTGATGCCGGCATTCTCGCTGCTTTCGAGTTCAGCTGCGAGTTGTTCTTTAGCAGCCTGATCGTCAGCAGCTTTCTCCGAAATCTCGGCCCCTGCGTCAGGGGCTGTCTTGATTTTCTTGCTCTTCTTCGACTTGGATTTCTTGTTCTCTGGTTCTTCAGCAGCTTCAGCAATGGCAGGTTCGGGTTCGGCAGCCTTCTCTTCAGTGATGCCGGTTGAAGTTTCAATAACTGCTTCAGGAATAGTTGCCTTCGTCTTCTTGCTCTTCTTTGACTTGGACTTCTGCTTCTCTAGTTCTCCGGCTGGTTCAGGTTCAGCGGCCTTCTCTTCGGTCACTGCGGTTGAAGCCTCAGCAGTTGCTTCTGGGACAGTGGCCTTGGTCTTTTTACTCCCCTTGGTCTTAGATTTCTTCTTCTCTGACTCGTCTGTGGCCTCCGCTTCCTTTGTCTCCTTGATTGCAACTTCGTCTTTTGGCACACCATTCACAGCCTTGATAGCTCCGGTAGGACCAGCTTCGGCTTCTTTGGCATCTTCAATCTGAGCGAGACTTGCTTTCTCGGCTTTCTCCAATTGTTGCTGCTTTAGAGCCTCAGATGCGTTAGTCAACTTGGATGCAGGCAATTCGATACCAAGGGCTTCAAGTTGCCGTGCTTTCTTGTTGCGCTTCTTCTGCTCTCTCTCAGCTTTCTTGTCCCATTGCTGCTCAGTCTTTGGTGCAGCAAGTCTCTCACGTTCGAGTTTCTCGTGAGGGATCTTTCTGAATTTCTTATCGGCACCTTTCCACGTATCTGGATGTAGGGAGTCGGGCAGAGCATACTTGCACTTGAGAATGTGGCCAAACAGGAGATAGTTATCCATGGTCTCTGCGACAATCTTGGCGACTTCTGTCGAAGAAAATTCGATGAAAGCAAAGTGTTTCGACGCACCAGTGTGCTTGTTTCTCGATAGTCTCAGCTTAGTAATATCACCAAATTGGGAAAAGTACTCGCGCATTTCTTTCTCGTAGAAGCCGTGCGGGATGCGACCAACATAGACAGTGCCAGGGCCCTCTTTGTTGCCTGACTTTTGTGCTTGTGCCAATTTCTTCTGAACCTCTTTACTCTTCTTCTTACTCAACTTGAGGTTAGAGGAAGTGTCGAGATCCGTGTCCTCATCTTCATCCTCGCCGTCACTGTCGAAACCAGCAAGAAGGGCGGATGCGTTGTCATCGGCCTCGATTTCCTCCACCGGAGTTTCGGCTTGTTCTCCATCAGAGCCCACACCAAAGTCGTCTTCCATTTCATGGTCCAATGTTCGCTCGGCCTCGGCTTGCATTGACGAAGAAGTGGGTTTATGGGATGTAGCGGTCTCGAGCTCTTCATGTCCTGCGTGTTCAACAACTCCATTAACACCATCTGCAGACAAAAGATCCTCGGTTTGTCCTTTCTTGCTCTTCTTGGACTTCTTGGACTTCTTGGGACTAGGGACTGACGACTCGTTGGCAGCCTTGTCGTTGGCAGATGTGTTGGGTGCAGATTCTTCAGGCTGAGCGGCTGGAGTTTGTTCATCTTCACTCATGAAATCTGCGGCCTGCTTGCGGGATTTCTTTGAAGCAGGAGCGCCGACAGCTTGGTCGACAGATACAACGGTGTCCTTTGACTTTTTCTCCGACTTCTTGACCTTCTTTGTCACCTCTGTCTTTGAGACATCTCCATCGTTGGCAACTTTGGACTTTTTGCTCTTCTTCTCCGGAATGTCATTTGACACGGCCGTGGCTGTGAATGGTCAGTGTTGATATTCGTGCGAGTGTCCATAGATTCACACGTACCCTTGCGCTTCTTGTCTCCCATCTTGGTCAGCGCACTAGGTGTTTGGTAGACTATTCGAGGTTTTTGAGAAGCACCTATGTGATTGATACCCAGAATGCGGAGCAAATCCCAAATGCCTTGGTCCCAAAACTTTTTTCGATTTTCTCCAACATCTGCCAAGGCGTTGCGGATGAATACTTATTCCGAAGCTCCGACCCTTAGCGTCGCCTCAGCCAGATACTGGCTATCAACACCTCCCTAAAGTCCTTTAGTTGCTCTTTGATCCTACTCGTGCAGACTGCGGAACACTATTGATCATCTTCGTTGGAACAATCCTGCAAATGGCTGGCCATCAAACCCCGTGGGCTTGCCCGTCCGTTGTTGAGGACTTGCTCAGTAACGAGGTTTGGAACGCAGCCACGACTGGTGCTGACATTCTCCCCCACCCCTCCGTACCGCGAATTGCCTGCACTTCCTAGACACTGCCTGAGATGCTGTCCAGTCTCAATCACGGGGCATGACAAACCGCAAAGGGTCTGCCATTTTATTGATGATGCGATACAGTGCGATCAATCATGGGTTTGTCGGGTAGTGTTGAGCTGAGCCTCGTCGCTAGGTAAGATTTCAAGCTACAATTTCATTCAAGATATTGGCCAGTGAGTTTTGACCGAGCAGTCATTGCAACCTGTCGTCAGGCAATCGTGTTTCTGGATCCCCGTCAGAAGTTTGACCTTGGAGGGGGGATTTGTGTAGCTCGCAGTTTGAACCCTAATCTGGAATACTAATATGAGCTGCGTAGCCTCATAGGGCTGAAACTGGCAGGGGATTACAGCATACAAATGTACCGTATTCAGTCCGAACTCGTCTCACTGCCATGGTCTCAGCCACCTCTACTTTTCTCGACGGTCTATTTTCACGGTTATATAAGCTGACAAACCTGCTTGCAATATAAAAGTATTCTTGATTCGGGCATAACTGAAGTTCGGCTTATCATGGCGTCCACAGAAAATGCACCGCTCAACCCAGGCATATCCAACTCCGAAAAGGACCCACTCCTCTATGACCTGGTAGTCGACTCTGACGGCTTTGTCGATTTCACTGAGCACAGCAATGTGAAACCCAGGAATTGGCTAGCAAGGAGAAAAGCCTATAACCTCGGCTTTCTACTCGATTTTATCACGACTGCAATTAGTGCTGCCGGAACTCCAGCCGCCGAATTTGCGAAGGAAGAGCTTCATATCAGCCACACCCAATCACTCTTTGGTTTTACCTCGATATATCTTATAGGCCAGGGTCTTGGCGGGCTCGTCTTTTCACCTTTTTCCGAAGCTTTCGGCCGCAGATGGCTCTACATCATCTCATCTTTCGCGTACAGCGGCTCTTGCGTTCTTGTTGGCGTAGCTCCGAATGCTACGGCTGCCATTGTCGGCCGCTTCCTTTCTGGTGTTCTTTCCAGCATCCCAAAAGTCATTGTCTCTGGAAGTATCGAAGATCTCTATGACTCAGAAGCTAGGATATGGATATTTTTTATCTGGAATGTCACTGTGAACTGCAGTTTGATATTTGGTCCTATATATGCTGCATATGTGGCAATGGTACTTGGCTGGTAAGTTGTGCTTATTACTTCTCGACGTGCCTGGTCTAACCAACTGCAGGAGATGGATTTTTCACATCGCGGCAATAATACTTGCAATTGTCTCAGTAATGCTGTTCAGTATTCGCGAAAGCCGGCAAGGCCTTTTGCTCAGCAAACAAGTGGCTCAGCTACAGAAGTTGAACCCACATCAACATTACCAGGTCTCAAAAGCTGCTAGACAACCTTCCTTCCAAGAGTTCGTCCAGGTCGCCTTGGTTCGACCATGGATATTACTCTTCACCGAGCCAATTGTATCTTTGACGGCCACCCTGAGTTCAATTGTCTTTGCTTTGGTTTAACTCTTTACAGAAGCGATCCCAATCGTTTATGACGACTTCGGGCTAAGCATGCGCCAATCAATGCTCATTCTCCTCTTTATTGCACTTGGACTGATATCAAGTGTCCTAACTCGCTTTTATGATCGCTTGGTCGCGCGACGACGCCGACGTGCCAGCCTGCCACTCAAGCCCGAGGACAAGCTCATTGGTTTCATCATTGCTGCGCCACTTCTAGCCATCAGCCTCTGGTGGTTTGCTTGGTCTATCCCGCCCAAGATGAAGAGCGTCCCGTGGATTGTATCTGCCATATCTCTCGTTCCACTTGGGTACGCAACCAACGAGTTCGACACAGTGCTGGGAGGATACCTGGCAGACAGTTACCCGAATTATGCAGCATCTGCTTTCACAAGTCTTTCACTTTTGAGAGCATTTTTGAGCGCGGCTTTTCCACTTTTCACGGATCAGTTGTTCGTTGGTTTAGGAAACAATCTGGCTGGATCGGTTCTAGCCAGCGTAGCCACTCTATTTTTTGTGGTCCCTATTATCTTCGTCAAATATGGCGAAAGATTGCGGATGAAAAGCCAATTCAATATGCCTGATAGCACAAGAACGATGCCCAGAAATGCAGGAACTCATTAGGCCGAGGATCAGATTCCCTTGGTCATAAAGTCAGGATTGGGGTTGAGAAGCCCAAGGGACATGCGCGACAATTACCATTCGTGGCAGGTGATACCTGGTGGTATGGGGGAGGCTCTCGTCGCCAATTCTCCAGTCTGGGATGGACACAGCGCTGCAGGGGCGACATTGCCAACACTTCAACGGTGGGCCACCAAACAGAGGAACATTCAGATTCACTTACGACGATGGATGGTTTTTGAAATAATTCCTCCCTGCAAGAACCGGAGCAGCAGCATTTGTTACGTGAACATAAGTTGCTTTGCGATTGCAGGGAAGCACAAGAAGCTGGACAGAATATTGTTACTGTCGTGCTAATCGCACATTTGTTATGGTGATTCTTGCTGCGCACAGTGTGCTTGTGGAAGAAAGCCGATCCCCCAAGGCGTCCAGGCGAACCAGCTGCGAATGCGCACAATCAACCTGAGGCAGTCCCTCAACCTAAATTGTTGAGTGTATGGAGAAGCTGGAGAAATGGGGCAGATTCTTTTCTGCCATAGCATCACTTGTGGGTTGGGAGCCAAAGTCACAACCTTCATAAAAAGATCTACAAGGCTTCCCTCCCCTAGGCGACCAAAAACTCAGCTGCTGTTTTGAAGCCATTCAACCCTGACGTTCCAACTACGAACTGGCATCTCAACAAGCGGACCAGGCATACTCGACTTGGGCTGAACTTCTGGACTATAAGGTTCATCTTCGGCTGGAGAGGTCGAACTTACCACACTATCGGGTCTGATATTGGCGTTTAATAGGCCATGACGAGATTTTGTTTTTAGGTCCTCACACATTCTCCGACTTTTGTGGATGAGTATGGTCGAAATGGAACCTGGTCAAGAATTTGATAATTTGACCTTGTCTTTGAAGTGCTCCTGTGTCAAACTGACTGGCTAACCATAGATTCAGACGGGAGGTCCTCCTATATCTAGCGAACTCTATTCAATATTGAGAGTTTTGAGCAAGCAAAAGGTTGCCTTTCTCGGTCCCTAACTTTTCTATAAAGATAACGTGTATCCCAGTGCAAATGCAAACCTCTTTCTAACATCTAGATACCACAACCTGTCTCATAATCATACATTCTCTTCATTCGACACGAAACAATGGTGTCTTTCCCCCTTTCCTTCGCTGCCCTCCTAGAGGGCATCAAGCGCTTGGACGTCCAGTATGGACGCCCAAAGCGTGACCTTCGCAAGCGGGAGACCGTCCTCCCTATTGCAATCACCTCGTTGTCATTGTTCTGCATGTGGGGGTTGGCCTATGGCCTCCTCGACATCATGAATTACCACGTCAAAGTGGCAATGGGCATTGACCGTGAGAAGGCCGCGATCCTCGCCGCCGGTTACTACACGGCATACATCCCCGGGGCCCTCCTCATCGGAGGTCCCATGGTCAAGAAGTGTGGCTATCGAGTCACAATGGTTCTCGGTCTCTTCGGTCTGGCTCTCGGTGACCTGTTCATGTCTCTTGGCGCACAATCATGCAGCCTTGTCGGCATGGTCGCCGCCATGTTTGTCATCGGTCTCGGTGTCTCGGTTCTGGAACGCTCAGCGAACCCCTACGCTGTCAACTGTGGTCCACGTACGCAGGCCACTCTGCGCATCTTGATCGCCCAGGCATGGGCTGGCATCGGTACCGTCGTCGCTCCCTTCCTCGCCAACGCATTCGTCTTCAACCCGGACACCTCGGGCCAGAAGCCCGCTGACAACCCACTCCGCCCTGGAAAATGTTTGATGCCCACCAGCACCGAAGGCGCAAGCTGTGCCAACCTTGGTTCCGTCATCACCTTCTACCGTGCTCTTGGAGGCTGTATCTTCGCCCTGATGGCCGCTGTTGCCATCATCTTCTTCCGCACCAACTGGGTTCCAGAAGTCGAGGTCCCCGCCTCGCCTCCCACCGCCTGCGGCTGGAGACTCTGGAAGCACCCTCTTGTCTCTGCTCGGTACGCTCGCATCTGGTGGGGAGTGGCCGCCAATTTCGTCAACCTCGGATGCCAGGTCACGTTCGCGCAGTTCTTTATCGAGCACATGAAGATCAACGCCTGTGCCAGCGACAAGTGGGCCGCGGTGTGCATGTCATTCGCGCAGATCGCCTTTGTCATGGGCCGCTTCGCCGCCGCTGGTCTGGTCACCTGCCCCAAGGTCTTCAAGCCCCGGTACGTCCTCGCCTGTTTCATCGCCGGCGCAGTCGCCACCACCGCAGCGGGCACGGCCGTCACCGGCACACCGGCCATCGTCGTCGCCGTCATGGTCATGTTCTTCGAGGCACCGTCGTTCCCAATGGTCTTTGAGAGCGCCACCGCCGGTCACGACGAGTGGACTCCGACGTGCGAGACGCTCATGATCGTCAGCATCTCCGGCGGTGCCCTGCAGCCACCGTTGATGGCTCAGCTTGTCGAGTCGGTCCGCATTTCCAACGCCTGGTGGCTCACGACCGTATGCTTCTTCCTCGTCTTCACCTACCCGGTCGCCACCAACGTCATCCCATCGTTCAGACGGGCGCTGGACAAAGCCGAGATCGGTCTGGTTGCGAGCGAAGATGAAAAGCCCGGTGACGAGGAAGGCCGCGCTTCTGGAGACTCTGGTGTTGTCGCCGGTGCTGAGCCGACGGCTAACAAAGACGCCACCAGCGTTCAGACGGCGGCGGCGTGAGTTGTCAGATCCAAACGGATGCTGTCTCTTCGAGAAGTTCCATCTGTTCAGGCATGGCCTTCTTCGCTGCCGAGTGAGCTGTTCAGCAGATCCATCACCGCTTGGGTCATTGCAAACCACGTCTTCCTGTCATCACAAAATGAGATCACGGTTGGGGAGGTTGTCGGTCGGTAACGGAGTTCGCTGCAACCATGGGAGTACGCAGGTGCAAATTTTGGGAGAGGGCCTCGGGCAGTCGCCCAAATACTACTGTTCAAACGGTGACAGGCTTATTGTCATCTTTCTTAACCTTTTTCACCTGTATTTCTACGACTTTGTTATGGCCATACGGCTTAATGTGTAACATAGAGATCCTACATAGGTAGACAAGAACGCACTATTGATGCCTGCAGCACCAGATCACATTGTATTGTACACGCTTCGATCTACTTCGATCAATTCTTAGTCAATCGACCAGACCGTCTTCTGCCAGTATCTTCCTCCGGTTTGACTGCAGCTTTTGTGGTTGCTGACTTCTTCTTGGTGACTTCATCTTTTGCACCTTTCGCATCCTTTTTAGCGCTGCCTGTGGTCTTCGCTCGCTTTGAACCTCCATTGACCTTTGGCTTGACATCTTCCTCTTCCTCAACCTCCCCCTTTAAAGCGCCTTTCTTGCTTCGAGCGGTAGTTTTCTTTGACTTGACTTCCTCTTCCTCCTCCTTGACCGCAGCTTTCTTTGTTCGAGCAGTGGTCTTCTTGGGCTTGACCTCTTCTTCATCTTCATCCTCGGTCTCGACCTTCCTCTTCTTGCCATTTAGTTTCTTGACCTTTTCGTCTCTGGTGCCTTCTCCATCGCTTATATCTTTCGCAACAGGGCCAGTCTTCTTCTGCACTGAAGGTACAACGGCACTGGTGCGACCTCCAACAGTCAGAAATGCGATCTTTTCTCCGCTTGGCATGGTATTCGGGCTTCCTTTCTTTCCCTTGCCCCATCTGTACTTGAACAACCAGTCTTCTGGAAACTTGTCCGAGTCTGCGAGAAGGTCGACTGCGGTGCTGCAAACATAGTGAATGGATGTGTGCAGCTGTTTGATCTGATCATCGGAAAGGGTGTTGGCATATTGCTCGGGATGTATCTTTGCATTGTACATGACCTCATCACCGACCCAGTTGCCAATGCCACTGATGTTGGCCTGATCGAGTAGCATAGCCTTGATAGGCACTTTCTTAGCGCCGCATTTTTCTTTCAGCCACTCAACCGTCACAACATCTTTATCGATCACAGGATCCGGTCCATTTTCTTTCAAAGGTGTGTTGTTTCGGATTTCAGCGGCAGGGCAATCGACCAGTCGTATTCTAGCAAAGCGTCTCATGTCGACGAATGCTGCCTCAATCGATTCTTCGCCATCTTTGGGTTCAGCCTCGAGAAGGAATTTCATGAACTTGGGCGGCCACTCCTCTTCCTTCTCACCCTTCTTCGGCTGGTAGTAGTACGTATGCTCCGATCTAAACTTGAGCCATCCGCTCATCCCGAAATGCATGACCGGGTGAGGTGTACTTGACATGATGATCCAAAAATATTTGCCCTGCTGGCCGGCGTCGACCACCTTCTTGCCAGTCATATGTTTCTTGAACTCGGTGGATGAGGTTCCCACTTTGCCGTAGACATTGGCGTCATCGTTAGCGACAACCTTGACGATCGTCTTACCGACGAGTAGTTTGCGGATGAAGTGAACTGTCCGTGCTACTTCGGCGATTTCAGGCATGTTGAGTGGAGTATGTGTGACAGCTACTGAGTTGTGAGGGACCTGGTGAATAAAGAGGAGCAGTGCGTGCACCGAGTATTCCGATATTTGTGAATTATAGCAGACCACAATAAGCAATGGAGCGCTGGACAAGAGTGTGAATTGGGTCACAAAGTTGATGTTCTCCTGATGGTTGAAGCTGCCTGGTTGCTTACCTAGGTAGGCTGGAACGCGTATCGACGCGTAAAGTGGTCTTAATTCGGATCTATGACGTGATCTTTTAGGCAGACCGGACTTGTAATGGAGCTAGCGTCAAATCCAGGGTGACCATCTCGACAACCTTTGCCTACCTAGGTTCTGGGTACCCATCACAACATTTTGTAGTTTTGAATTTGACATTCTTTGGTAGATAATTGTGGATTATTCAGTGTAGGTGTCTGCTACAGCGGTATCTAGCCAAAGTCTACCTCCATCACCACTCGCTTCCGAGTCTCCTCAAGCCACTCTTCCCATTTTACGCATGTTCTCTCTGAACCCCCACATATGTGACCGTATTAAAACGAGTCGCTGTGTTCGAGTGCACTCTCGGATACTTGTTGCTGCTTCTCCCTCTCAAGATCTCGATTATATAGGTGTCGCATGACAAGGACGATCGCAACGGCACAAGCTCCGAATCCGGCTGTGATATAATTACCGGCCACGATATACGGCTGCTTGTTGGCTGGAAAGGTGAAGATAGGAACCCAGGCGGTGAAAATGTAAGCGAAAGCATTCATCTAGTACACGAATATTAGTATATCGCCCAGAGTCAAGCGAATGTGGCCACCAACCAATGCAGAGACGTATGCCCGCTTCTCGGGGTCATGTCTATTAACCTCGTTGACCCAGGTCCAGGTAAGCCCTGCAGCTGTTCCAGATAGAGACGTAAGGTCTGGGGAAAAGACAGTCAGCACTCGGTCCCAGCGACGTTTTCAGGCAGGCTCGCGTCTCACAGTAAATTACCCAGCGACTCGCTCTATGATGGGGATGGACGGGCGTCGCGGCAAGGGCGATCGGAAAGATGATGGCCATCACACTTGCAAATAGCATCCCAGGCCACCTGAGAGCGCCAGGCAAGCTGTCCGAGATCCAAGCATTGATAAGAGTGGCAACAATAGTAACCACGTTAATCTAGTGAAGGTGAGTAAATTCTTCCCGACTCAAGCAAAACAGAACTTACACCCAGGGGAATAATGTTGATCTCAGGGACTGTAAATATCATGGGCTTTCCTTTGACGTTGTAGCTCTTGACCCAGAAAATCACTACTATTGTCAGCTTCGTCAATGCTTAAGGCCGGAGACTACTTACTCGATTGGCCTGATTGACCAAATTGGGCCATAAATGCAAACAACAAAGGAACTTTATGAAGGTCAGCATCTTGTCAAATAGCGAATGATAAATTGCTCACAGAGGAAAGCATGCCATGTTGTATGCCATCGCTTGATATCTTTCCATTTGAACAAGCCAGTGAGAAGCTTCCTTTCCGAAGGCATCCTTGCTCGAGCCAGATCAATTTCCGCCTGAGTGAAAATCCTGATGAGGTATTAGTTTTCTGTGATTATATCGAGACATGAGGGATATACCAATTGGGCTTAGCTCTAGCAGGAAGTTGAGGCATCGCGACGGCAGTCCAGACGGCGCAAGGAAACGAGATAACACCGCAGATGCTGCTCTTGTCAGTTGAGATCAACATGCATATGTCAGGGGTACATACATGTACATCCATCTCCATCCAGCAAGGCCGCTGACTCCATCAAGTCCGGCAAAGACGGCAGCCATAAGAAAACCTGAAAAGAATGGCCCGATTCCAGTGGAGATTTGAATCAATGTGTTTCGGCGGGCTAACTCGTGAGGTTTGTAATAGCTAGAACACACATACATCACGGCAGGGAAGTGGCCAGCTAGACAGGGTGAGCTGAAGTTACACTGTACAGAAACTGACGTGAGCTCATACCTTCGAATAGACCAACACTTTGACGAGGTTAGTAATTATCAGAATATAGAAGAAGGAAGACCTACAAGAACCGAAAAACGTAGAGCGTTTTGATGTCCTTGACACCGGCCGTGGCAAAGGTGAAAACTGTCCAAGACAACTCAAGGAATGCAATATAGAGTGGCGCATTGACCTGGTATTCTATCAGTATGAAGTACATCGTATGTCGGATACTGGTAGTTACTCACCCTAGTCAGGAGTAGATTGGAAGGGATCTGGCCAAACACATATGCAGCACTCCAAATGGCGTTTGCATAATTGAGCTCTCGACCGTACATTGCAAGATCTTCTTTCATGCCACTGTCTGTATAGAGTCTTAGCATGTCTCAGACTGACGTGAAGGCCACATACTGAAAGCGTTATTGATGTTAACCTGGTCGAGGTAGCGACACATGACCCCCAGAGCTGCGGACGAGATAAGCGTCAAGTCAAGCTTCGTGAGGAAACGTGCTTCCTCCTTGGAGACATCGAGGGCTATAGAAGTCAGTTGTTTGGCTTTTTCTTGGTAGAACTGCCAGGAGAGCTTACTGGACCAGATGGCGGACCTCCAAGTTCTCTTGGGCTTGGTATATTCTTGGCTCTCCGTTTCCTTCTGGATAGATGCTGAACTTAGTGGAACTTCACCACCGACTTCGCCAACGACGAGAGTCTTGAGAGACTTTTCTTGTGGGAACGACATCTTTGCAGCGCTCGAGAATAAAATTCAATCCCGACATCTTGTCTCCCACTTGGATCTGAAATAGTCTATAAATCATTTTCGGAAAGTCACTTATCATTGGGTATAGACTTGGCAGTATGTTGGGTCGGTGTTGCCTTTATCAGGGTAAATGGCGACATCGCGAAGTGGCGGCCTTTGAATGGCGTTAATCAGACGGTTTAGCGTGCTAGTCCAGACTAAACATTGCTAATATTCACACCACCTCAAAGTGAACGAATGATGGCAACTTGATTTTTGCAGATAGCAGATGTGGAATATCTCGACTCGCTTGCAGACCGTGTTTTCAAAATTCTGTCTCGGTAATCAACATCGAGGCCTCAATCGAACATTGATTGGAGGCCAATCGTGACGGAGGCAGCCGTTCGAACTGGTGGAATCACCTCCACAACTGGCAGGGACAAGAAACGTGGAGTTCGAACATTTTGCTTCTGCTTGCATTCTGAGCTCTCAGGCCGGCTGCTCATTCGACAACAGCAGCTTGCGTGACACCGAAGATTGGGATACGCACGTGTCGTGAGGCAGGTCCATGTCCAGGGCGATTGTGGAGTATGGGTCTGTGATTGAGATTGATATTTTCCGCCGGAGCAGGATGGTGTGCTCGTCCTCCTGATCCACCATCGTCTCGCGGGACATAAATAGATCAGCAGGTATATAACATCCCCGAGATTCGGGATATCAGACAAGACTCGAGAATCGTATGAGTAGGCAGAAGTACCCATGTACCCAAGTTAGCGCCTTCGGAGAGCAACGGTACCTGGACGACTAAGACGGCGGTTTATAAGTGACGCTGCTTTTTGGGTAGACTCTCCATAATGGAAACATCATGGGCATTAAACACGGCAGCGTGAACCTTTTCCTCAAAGTGGATGGAGCCGCAATTTCTTGGCGGTTCTTGCCTTATCGATTAGTCCCAGGATTCTCTGGACTGACATCGCAACGGAGTTTGACACTGCTACTACTGACAGCTTCCGAGTCGAACGCGAGCCCAAGACTACTCGACGGAGCATCGTTGTACTTTTAGTCTTGTTTATTTCTTTGTCAGCGTTCATCTACCAAATTTTTCCCAACAATCAGCGATCCGACGTCTAGCAACCCTCAATTGCCCATCAAGATCCGACAAGCTGGCGTGGTTCTGGATATCGCCACCCACCACCACCACCACCACCACCCCTCCACTCACTTCATCCTCCCAAGTTGAGACCGTACCAGCTCGGCTACCAGTCGCACCATCCTCACCGGTCTCCTCTTGGCCTTCACCTCTGCCGACTCCAAAGCCGAGGCAACTGATTATGTCCAAGCCGACGGCCACACCTTCACAACTGACGCCACAATTTTGCTTCAACACGAGGGTGGTGCGAGATTTCCTACGTCTTTCTCGAGCCAGCATCGACGACACCATTTCCACAAATCTCAATGCGCTGTTGACGCCCTCCACAACCTCTCCTTTCGACCCAGCCTCAACATCCATCCGCAACCCCTCCCTCCCATCATCACTAACCAAGGCGCCCATCCCGCACGAGACATCCAAAGCATTCATATCATCAGTGCTGTTCCCGTCATGGCAATCCCGCAGCTCAGTCATCGCCTACTGTACAGCTGTCGCCACGAGTCCGGACCCTGAGGACCCGGATCTGATTGAGCGGGAAGTGCAGAACAAGAAGGACGCCGATCGCGTGGTGGACGAACGCTTAGACCCCTACTCTGCACGGTTCTTTCCTCGAGAGGCCCGGACGGAGCAATTGGCTGCGCTTCTGAGGAACGAGAACGCTGTGGAATCGATAATACGCAGCCGGACGTGGGGCATTGTCACCGATAGATGTGAGGGTGTTGGTGGGAAATGGCAGGACGCCCTCGATAAATGGCGGGAAGGAGAGAAGTGATCTCGAGTGGCCCTGCTGTTCGGATACTGTCCACCGAAGATAATGCTCATGCGACCGGTTCGTGGGGATCGGTGCGAAGAACTTCACTCGGTACCCTTTCCACCACCTTCGCCGCCTTCGCCACCTGGCACATTACCGCCATCATTAGCTGCTTAGCCGGCAGCCAGGACCACATATGAAGAGGGTTCGCTCTGACGTCCCTGGCCAATAACCCGAAAGCATGTAATTATATAAAGACCTTTTCCACAACCATGGGAAGAGGCACGACAAGCGCCTTTAGAGAGCCTGCCTGGAATAGAGCTTTGGCCTACCTATTGTAACTAACACACCACTCCAAAAGCGAATCACCGAACCACCGTGCCATATAAAGAACCCAGGGTTTGCATTAGAATAATATATTGGGTAATTTGGCCGGTGGGTGTGTAGACAAACTACCAAAATATGCATCACCTCTATTGTATAATTGTATCCAATGTTCCACATAATTGACTCCGACCTTGAGAGAGTGGTCATCCCATATATGCATATCATACTGTCTCATCATAATTCACCGTCGTTCATGCATAGTTTCCAGAATAATGCCCGTCATTGCCATGTAGAGAACCCATACCCATGTCCGGTCCCGTACCCGTGGTCTCTCGAACATTCCCCATGTAAACAAGAAAAAAGGACCATTTGCCAACGCCTCCCAAGCCATGATCTATACAATATCATCATCGTCGTCGTCAAATATCCAGACTACACTCGCTCACCAACCGCCGCCGCTCAGACCCGCAATCTGCGCGATCCTCTCCGTGTCATTGAGCGTCTTGACCTTGGCTTTACTGGCCTTGCCGACATCGCTGTCCACGTAGCGGTAGCTCGTGTACGCCAGGGTCTGCAGCGGCACCTGCACGATGGCGGGCCAATGCGCAAGGAGGTCTTGGACTCTCGTTACATTGATGTTGTTGATGACGGTCGGAGAGTGCTTCGATGATGGATCTGCATGCCCGTTCGTCATGGGCACATCGCCGTTCTCGTGGTTATTGTACCCGTTTTCTCCTTCGTCGTGGTCCTCGTCTGAATCTGCCGAGAAATACGCCTCGTCAACCCTCCGCAACCACTCCTTCTGGCCCTGCGGAGTTGCCGTCCCGTTCACGACTGTCACCGCTTCGCCTCGTGTGACCGGTAGAGTGTCAACCACGTCTTCGACTTTGATCTGCCCGCCCCCGTTCGTGCAGCCGCCGGGACACGCCATGACCTCGACGTACGCGTACTCGCTCCCACCTGCACCGATGCCGTTGGCCGTCGCGGTGCGCCGAGCCGCGCCGGGGAGTTTCGATTGACGTGCCGGCTTGAGCTTGCGCACTAGATTTTGGATGTTGCGGAAGCCGTAATAGCGGGCGCATTTCATGATGGGTTTCGTAGAGAGTGAGGGTGGTGTTGATGCCGGGAGGAGGCTGTATTCAATGACGTCGGCGTTGCGGCCGCGTTGCACGCTGATCGTGCTGCCCGGGTGCTTAGCTTGCTCGGTCGCCAGAATGTGGTACAGATAGCCCCCTGACGTGCCGGCTGCTGTTTCTACCGCGGGGTTTGAGGGTAGAGAAAGTTGTGTGGCCTTGTGTTGTGAGGAGATGGGGAAGAGGAACTCGGATATGCTTGAGTCGGGAAAGGGTGTGCGGTCGGAGCGTGAGAGAGGTTTGAGTGGGAGGCTGGAGAGCTGGACTCCTCGGACCGAGGCCAGCGTAAGGAGTTCTCGGGATGTGATGACACAGTCGACGTCACGTACGGGCGACGTGTTGGAGTTCGCTGGATCCTGATCGGCCGACCGCCACCACCGATCTGTTAATTCTTCTCTGCTGGCCTCGAGCTTCTTGTCAAAGCAAGGCATGATAGCCAGATGCCAGATCTGTGAGGGGTGGATGTTCAATGTCTTGCTGAGGACCGATTTCAACAGTGTTCCGGACATGGCCTGCGGAGACTTCAGAGCGGACAGATGTGGGAGAATATGGGGATGTGTCTTCTCCGCGTAGCAGATCCAGCCTGGACAGGCAGAGGTGAGGATGGGTTGGGGCTTGGACTTGCTCGCCAGGGACTCTGCCACCTCTTCCGCTCCAAGCACGAGACATGCCTCGCGCATCTGATTGGTATCGACCACATAGGAGAAGCCGCCGTTATGCTGGCCGCCTATCCGCAGCCCTTGTGAACCACTCAGGAACTGTTCGATCATGAACCCAGCTTTTCTCTCGGAAATTCCATATGTCGCTGCGAGACTCGCCCGGACCTGCGGGCTTACGCTGGCAACAAATATCTTCGCATCCTGTGGTGTTGATGACTGCGAGAGTGCTCCGTTGGTCAGCCCATTCTGTAGATCACCCAGACGCCGCCGCACGTCCAGTGGCGGATATGAATCGAGAGTGTTTAGGACTTCGGTGTGTGACTGTAATGACACGAGAACGGCTTCCGCTGAAGTAACGCAGCCGGAGCAAGCGAGACAATCGGTGAGAGAGATGGAGGCCGGGGCAGGATTCGAGGCCTGCACCTTGTCTTCAGTGGTGACTTCGTAAGGATTGGAGTTGTCTGCGCTTGGTGCGAGTGTTTCAACAGGCTTGATGCATGCGACGCCGGGTGAGATGAAGTCGTTGAGGTCGTCGGCCGATAGAATGGCGCTCATGATCGCTGTCGTGACTTATGAAATCGCCTGGGGTTCGCTCAACCACGCGAGGAGGCCGGCGTGGGAGGGAGTGGTGGCGATAGCAGTGCGGTGCTTGAGGTTGTTTGAAATTTCAGTTGGCGGCTAGGGAATCAGCGTTTTCCGGATTGATCATGAGATGGAAGCAGATTGAACAAGAAGATGAAAACCAAAGAGCGGACAGCGAGATAGAGAGTGTGACTGCTTGATGGATCTGAGTCTATAACGATTGTCAATCTGAAAATTATTAATGGACGGCCGACATTGGGCTTCTCCGAGGGACTGAATGCCCGATTTCGGAAGTTTGTCTTTCAAGTTTGGTGGGGGTGTGAAAGGGTGGGACAGAGACATTGACGTACGTCGCTGTTCCGGATCAGATACCTATCCCATCTTCTCTCTTATTGACAGGATAGGAAAGGTATCCGGAAGATCATCGAGCTGATCATCATAACGATCATCATTCCATATTGTATAACAAGTAATAAATATCCATATAACATCGCCAATGTATTGTTACAGCAGAAAGTCCATTCGTTCCTTGCTATGAAACATGCACCAGGACAGATCCCATTCCGGTGAGACTCGTCCATTCTCGGTGAGCCGTGGCCACGTCGTCGAGTTCAAATACTCTCTTAATCGAAATCTTTAGCTTATCCTGTAAGGCGAGTGCAAAGACTTCCTGGGTATTCGGCAAGAACAAAGACCAGTCTCTGTCGATCCACCAAAACTTGGTCGATTTTCGAGACCAAAACATCAAATTGCGACCCAACAGCTTCAGGGTTGGCCAGATGACAGACCTCGGTTTTTCTCCCTTCAATGTCCCCAGGTTGCCTCCGTAACCGTATAAAGTACCGCCACTGGGACTCAAGATATCGTAGGATTCATCCCAGCTTTCAAACCCGAGTGCATCAAAGACGCCCTGGGCACCACCAATTTGTTTCATATAAGTTATCCACAACTTGTCAGTGTAGACAAAGGGAGTGGCTCCTAGATCTCGAATGGTTTGGTGATTGCGGGCCGAGGCTGTTCCATATACTTGAGCGCCTTCTAGAAGACACAGCGTCATCAGTGCATAGCCGACTGCGCCGCTCATGCCGTGAACAAACACCTTCTTTCCCTTCCAATCAGTGCCCTTGAGCATACCATACGCCGTGTTCCAATCCAGGATCAGCGTCGTGGCGATCTTCGGATCTAGTCCTTTAGGCACCGGGATGAGGTGCTTTTCTAATTGATTCGAGTAAGTTGCTTCGGCATCATAGATAGACAAGCATGCCACTAGATCCCCCACAGCGAATCTGGTGCTCTGTGGTCCCAATGCGTGGACCGTTCCGACGAAGCAATATCCCGGAGTCAGAGGAGCCTTCCTTTGCAATGGATACACTCCGATTCTCATGTTGATATCGGCTCCAGAGAAGCCGCTATAGAGGACCTTGACCTGAACATGATTTGGTGCCGGGTCCGGTAATGTTGAGTTCACAATCTGTATTTTCTGAGGTCCGCCGAAAGACGGGATGAGTACTTTTCTAACCTCGACAGGCATAGCTTGTCAAGTCAAGTATAGTAGATGCCACGTGTGTTGCAGGTGTAATTATGATTTATTTGTCGTCAGTAGTGCTAATCGTGTTTGGATGGAAAGCGTTTGAACTGAGGATATGAAAAACAAACCTACCTCTGCGTATGCTCTCAGGATATATACACTTGCATTCCTGATTCGAGATGGCATTGTACACTCACATGTGGCATGAGCAGTTGCCTGAAGGCTCATCTTGAAAGTTGAGAGTGGCCGACGGCGCACGGTGAGATCAGAATGCAGGCATTTTGGTGTCAACAGTCAAATGCAAGGTGCATGAACGAGCAAACACCGCCCGCTTTTGAAAGGAGCCCGACTCCGGGGCAGAATTCTACTGATGCCGATTGCCCGTCGGATGAACTCCAGCCCCGCCTCCCCCGCCAAAATACCAGGCCTGGAGCCAGGAGGGGTGAAGCCCTAGTTAATCGACGGTAAGGGGCACTTTGACACTATTAGCGTGGCATAACCCTGTCGCGATTTGCCTGTGGCTTAGGTCATCATATTTGTTTATCCATTGAAGCATGGGCAAGAAGCTTTCCAAACCACCACTATTCCTATGAAATGTAGCACAAGATCCTCAGTAGCAGACGGGTGCATGTCTGGCTGAACCGGAACCCTACGCAAAACCTGAAAGATAAGGCCCATAATCCATGGCTTCCCCACTACGCGATGATTGCTCGATGATTTTCTCCCCAGAGGATATCAAGATATCAAAAACCTAAAGTACAATATCAAAATGGTGAGGTCATACATACTTGCCCGACCACCCCTCTGAGCATCCTGAGTAGAGTCAAGTCGCCTCATCTGTGCGAAATCAATCATCCTACGCAGAAGAGTTACTTATGAGTTCTTGGAAACTTCAAAATGAAAAAGTTGTTCAAAGAAGCATTCCACGATGCAATGATCCTATCTGCGTTTATCATTTTGCCCATGGCATTTCTAGGCCCTGGGTGGTCCCCCAGAAAGGAACCTCCTCCAGGTCTTCGTGAAGCAAGCTTTACAGAGCTGCATTCTGAGAAGTCCCAGCACGACCGAACTCCTCCTGCTGAGTGACACCCACTTATATACACACGTTCCCATGAGTCATAGACTCGAAACAGTCGCCACGAAATCTGCCCTGTTCCTCTCATACCATCAGTCCATCTAGTGTATGTTCAAACCACCAGAAGTTCCGATTCTGCTGATCGCTCAGCACCGCAAAAATGACATCTTCCCACCAACCACCAGAAAATTCAGGCTCCTGGAGCACGGTCGCCCATAGTTGAGAAACCTCCCTGGGTGGATTCTGAAATGCACCACATCCCAGAGCGCCCAGAACGATCTGCCGATGCCTGTTTCTGATGGCCGTGCGCAAAACAACCCGCATTTTCTCTGCCATCAACAAACGATCGTCGGCGTCTGCATACATTTCACTGTTCTCTTCACCGGGATTTGCGAGAACACGGTTGATCAAGGGTCGGAAAATGGCCGCGGCGCTGACGATGGCAAGGACTGGCAGTTGGCGAGGGTCGCGACAATCCAGCATGTCGTGACCTCTTGTGAGGTTGTCCCTAATCACAAGGACTGTTGGAGAGTAGATGGCTGCCTTTTCGGGAATCGGATAGTGGCGTAATTTGAGGGTGAAATAAAGAGAAGATCGATAGCAGAGTGCCTCTTCTTGAGCTAGTGCTCCAGTCCGGAAACCGCCGCCAGCATGAATAGCATTGGCCATGTTGAGCACACACACTGGTCTGCGGGATGCTCTACTTTTGGCGAGTTCGACTGCGACATCGATGGAATCCATGTTGACAACACGCACTCTCGTCTTGGGAAGTTTGGGACAGAAGTTCTGGTCAAGTGGTGGTATTTGATCGCACAAGTGACCGTCTGGAGGTGCATCTGGCCTTGTGAGTAGCAGACCAGGCAGGACGGACAGAGTTTCCTTGGATACTCTCACGAGCTCATCTCGATCGCGTGGGTTTGGCGTGGTGGGAAGCCTCGCACTCAACCGGCCATCCGCTGAGAACGACAAGACGCTTTGACGTGGTCGTGCATCTGCACCATTTCTCCTTCTGTTGGGAGTATGCATTGTACTAGACGTGTCCACCGACTTGTACTGAATGTGGTATGTTTGTGAATGTTATCAATTCGAGCAGTGCGGAGGTTATGTATTTCACGTGAACGAGTTAGTGTCTCAAATGGCGCTAGGATCTGAGGGAAATAGGCAGCCAGGGGCGAAGACTTTGGTGCAAAAGCCTAATAGGCAGACTCGCATCTGATAATGTCTCAAGTCGTACTCCAAGAGACATTCACGATTTGATGGCTCTCATGAGCGATCCGAGGATGAAAAGATCTGGGGTCCTCATGGTAGATGATTGCTCTTTGTTACTGTCTGCTCCTGCCCTCTGGGACGCGTGGTTGGAGAAGGCACAGATACAGATGCAGATCTAGGAGTGCGCTCATATCACAACAGCGATGATGCAGTTGAAAGGACGCAGTCCGAGATTGGCATTCAGCGCGTAGACATTACCCAATCCTCCTGACTTACGGTGACCTCGAGTTGCCTTACAGTAATTATACAGCTGGCTTGTTTGGAAGGTGTCTTGGGAAGTCATGTTGATGTGAATGGAAAGTGGTGCGGGGTGAGGCCGGCGACACCTTTGTCCGCCCCCGAGCTGCAAGGCTCCAACTAACCAGCATTGTCGTCCCATTGCTACGGAGCATCTTTGGCCATTCTTCCTTCGCTCTTCAACCTCACATCAAGACTGCGGACGCTACTCCCGCATTCATCAATATTTCCTGACCAAGCGTGTCGCTACATAAATCTCCAAAAACCATGGATCTGGACGAAACAATGACCACATCCACCAGCTCCACGCCATCCGCAGCTGCAGATGCATTCGATGACGATAACTTGTTCCCCGATTCCCGTGCCAGCGCCCGTGCCCTCACTCCAGTAAATGACCATCTCAATGCCGCGGCTCCAGGCGAACTGTCTCCTCCGCGTTCTCAACCTCGCTCCGAAGAAAGTGTGCCACAAGCCGTCCCAAATGGTGCCGGCCAACAAGCAAACACCTCAGTCACCCGAAGTGCCGCGAAAGGTGCAGCTACGGACTCAGCACTAGCATCAGAGACCCGCACAGATGATACCGCCGCATTGTCAGCTGCAGGTGCTCTTGGCGAGCGTGAAGAACGACCAGGCTGGGGTTGGAAGAACAAGAAGGCTCAGGAAGAGATGCAGCGTACTTGGGAGATTGTGGTAGATCGGGATTTCAGTCTCAAGGAATATGGGGATGTGGTCATGTTGGGCAAAGGCACCTGAAATAGCAGGCTTCTCATCACTATATCTTCCAAACGCAAAAACCTTCACGACTTTAAGACTTTACGATATTCTTCATTCATGCATGGCGATGGCGCACGACACAGGTGTCGAGCATTCTACAGGCAAGATCTAGAGTACACGCGAGGCTGAGTGTTCTCAGGGATATGGCATAAAAGTTCCGCGGGGGGGAATGGCTATGTGCCGGTTCCACACCAACCGATCTTACCGCGAGATCCGACATGACTGTCACAATCGTCCAGCAAAGTATTCTCCAATACAGAGCACTTTCATCAAATCTACTCACAAGCGCGTACCTCGGTATGGGGTATCTCTATCTATCCTTAGGCCCACTCCAAAATCGCCTCACTCGGGTGATGGACCATAGTTCCCGAGACTCTGCAGTGAAACAGTAATTGCTGTCTTGGCGCTTCCAGGCCTCCCGAGTCCCATCTTGGTAAGATTCCAATATCGGCGGCAGAAAATAACGACCAAATGGAAGTAAGCCGGCCGACAACCAGGGTTGTGGCAAGATATCGTGCTGATGAGTGGCTGGGATGGCGGAGAAGTCTGTCTTGGTGAATCTCTAGCTTTCGGTTTATATCACCGCTGATCGTTAGTCAGGCATCCTGTTTGTGCTTGGATCGATATATGGATCGCAGAGTACACAGGTACGAGGTACCCACGGTTCTTCGTATAGCTGGTAATAATTCAATTAGGTTTGAAAGCAGGGGAAGCGGGGTGACCCTTGTTCGGATCACTCCTGAGCCGGTTCGAACCATTCATAAAGATTCATACTTTTGTACTACCCCAGCAGGAAGTAGTGTGGTATAAAAAAAAAGTTCACCTACAGTATCAAACAATACTTTTCCATGGTTGTTCTACCCTATTGTTTGAGCCAGCAAAGATATTCCTTTCTCCCTGGGTCAACAAAATGTCAAGCCAAGGGGTTACGGGCAAAATTTGTCTCGTCACAGGAGGGGGTGGAGGTTTAGGGAAGGAAATATCTAAGCAGTTGCTCGCAAACGGCGCCAAAGTCGTGATTTGTGACATCAATCAAGACCTCTTGGATGCCACTTCAAAAGAATTCTCGGACAAAGGGACGCTTCTGACCATTCAATGTGACATTACAAACACAGAGTCTGTTGAAGCAATGTTTGAAAAGATCGTTCAGACATATGGACAGCTTGACGTTCTCATCAACAATGCGGGCCTCATGGATCGTTTCGACCCCGTCGGTGACTTGGAGCAGGATCTATGGGCCAAGGTCATTGCGGTAAACTTGACGGCCCCATACTTGTTGTCCAAACTCGCCGTGCGGCATTTCCTAGCACGGGCGGCAACAAATGCTGCCATTGTGAATATTGGTTCTCTCAGTTCGCAGACCGGTTTCTCTGCAGGTAAGCCTCTGCCACTGATCCCGGGCCCCTAAGTCCAGAACTAATGATCGGCATGTCATACAGGCGCAGCATACACAGCAAGTAAGCACGGACTTCTTGGACTGAGCAAGAATACGGCCGCATTTTATCGCGACAAAGGCATCAGATGTAACTTGATCATGCCAGGTGGAATGCAAACCAACATTACCACCGCTTTTGCTCAAGGCATCAATCAGGCAGGCCAAGAGGCAGCCATGGCATGCTTCGTTGCCGCCAAAGCTTCGATCGTGCCTCTCGAAGAAGCTGCAAGATTGGTTGTCTTCCTTGCCTCAGACGATTCCATGGCTCTAAGTGGGACCTGTGTCACCGCCGACAAAGGCTTCACCAGTCTTTTCTAGGACTTGAATACTCGAGCAATCAAGGCTGCAGGTGAGTTTGTGATCAGCCAATCAAAATGGTGTTGGGAGTACGACCGGACAAAACCACAGGTCAAAGGAAGTGGCATTTTGGTAGCAGATTGGGGCATGCATGGCTGAGACAGCAATTGGGTCAGGCTTGCGCACTCTATCATGAATGATTCGTACGCTAATAAGATCCTCCTCGTCTCGTCTCTTTGTAGAGCTCTTCGATCTTGGCGCTAGATCATTGCTTGCCAGTGGTCTCAGGCCTTTCTAGCAACAGAATCCACAGGGTTGGGTGATCAACCCGAATGAAATCACAAATCATCAAGATCGCAGGTTTCCAGTAGATCCTGTGTCAGCTTGCCTTTCCTGCTATACTCCTCGGGTGCTAGGTATCTGTCCCCCCATTCGCCGACCGTGCTATCGTAGGTTGTTTGAGGCTTGGTCTTGCAAAGATGCAGCATATTATCTTTCAATCCCTTCAACAAACCCAATCTTGGGTATTCCTAGCGGCTGTATGTCAGCAAAGACCTGAGATGTCATCGTGACTAGTAACGACAAACCTTGACAACAGCATTATACTCATCCCACGACAACGGGTTTCCCTGGATTCGATCTGGTCCCTGGAAATCCGCCCAGATGCCGTAGCTGGTGGCTTGAACTTCAGGTTCCTTTTCAAAGACGATGCTTCCGATCGTATGCAACGCAATAGCATCCCAGACCAATTGCAAGCGATGCTTATCCCAATCTGGAGCTTCCCGCCTCAGGAAGCCACGAGCAGCATTCGCACCATCGACCTCGAACCGTTTGTCGGCGCTGATGATGTCCGAATGCGGTGGATGGCCGATGGGAAACCCGAGATCATGCAACAATGCGGCGACGGCGTGTGCTTCTCGATCACGCTCGCCGATGACCTTGTCTGCGATGATAAAGCCAAAGAGGAAAGACCGGATGATGTGGTTGAAGGTGTCGTCGGAAGAGTACTCCCTTGCAAAGTCTATGGCCTTGGTGATGAGGGGCGTATCCGGCACAGTCACACCCGCAAGCACCCTGGTGGGCAGTGCTTCACCTGCAGACATTTCTGAGTTCGGCTGCAGTATATAGTCAACGCTGAAAGTTGGTTGATGAGATACTAAGTACCTAGGGAAGGAAGTTCCTTTGAGAACAGGCAATCAAGAAAATGGTACCCTCCTGGAAAGATATCTGTTCCAATGATGATAATGACTGCGGGGCATCTTGGAATGAGTGAGTCTTGCCATTTACCGTCCCCCTCTTCCAGTTCTAGTTACTTGAGATGATCAGACTACGTACTTCGCAAGTTGCCAGCTCACTATCGGTGGGCACTATCCTTTTAGTGTCCTCCAAATGTGCGTTAACTCTGCGCGGAACTCGGCGCGACCCTCTTGGAAAGAGTTTTCCTGAATTTTCCCACTTGGCTAAACTCGTTCGGTCTACAAGAAACACACCTCTCCACTAACGCTCACGTATCATCCATCCCAACCTGTCCAGTGATGATCTGATACTACTTGGTAGTGGAGTCCTACCAGTCTAATACAAAGTAGGATCCCGTCAGGAGCCCTGCTGTCACCTGTCTGACACCTCCCGTCTTTGGTTGGCCGTATATTGGTAACTACCGACCCCGACTTATTTGTACCTCGAAATTTTGGATAAAACGTGTCTGCAATTTTCACGAATCTTCGAGATACGAACGAGACAGGAGGTCAATAGGACCCCGCTCGCTGATGTTATAGAAACAATTACTTAAGCACTCTACAGCTTCTTCCTCGACCTTCAAACGCGTGCCGACCCAATCGTTTCCTCGGCCTATCAAGCGGAAGACCGAAGACCGCTCTCGAAACCCACGTCGTCAACTCCGCCATCCAAATCTCCGAGTTGCTCTCGAAATACATCCAGGGCGACGGACACTGTGGCATGCTGTCTCCATTTGTCTCTTCCCTCGTCGCCTCACCCTTGTACGATGCTTGTATTCGTCTGTTCTGATAGGACAGAAGCTGAACTGTTAACGGTCAGGTTGAGTTAACATGTCGTCCCCACGCAAATCTGCTAGTCCAGCAGCAGTAGCAGATGCCACCACGCCACCTTCACTAGCGCAGGATGGAGGCCAGCCAAACATTGATGTCGTGCGTCTTCGATTGCCGTCATCCTCAATAGATCTTGGCTCGAACTGACTTTGGACGTCAGGATGATGATGGCGATTCCGCGTTCGCAGATGGTGATAACTTTTCGTCCGTGAACCCCTGTTCGAACAATTCATCAGATGCCTTGCTCACATTCCCAGCGAAACGACATCACTCGCTTCCTCCCTAATAAGAGGTCACATTATGAATGGTAGAAAGTACGTGGGCCAGTACCCTCCGTTGCTAGAGGGTCCCGACTAAGATACTGCAGATATTCGAGCCTCAGAAGTGATTACTGGTAGGAGATATCCTCAAATTATGATTGTTGGCTAACCAACCAGGGGACCCTCTGACGAATCGCAATTCGAGTCTATGGATGCTGGGTAGAGATCGACTTTCTCAGATGAAACATCTCGTCTCTAACAGCATTGACAGGCATTACAACTTGTTAACTTTGGATAGCAACCAACCAGAGCCACTTTTTCGTTCTCCAGTCGTGGAACCTCAGGTCGGTCTTGGGCCACGGTCGTCGTTGGCAAATAACGGCTGATGATGCTCCAGAACATTCTAGACATAGGTACAGGTCCCGGTACATGGGCCGTGTAAGTCCACATTAATCAAAACATCTGCCTCGGTCTGACAGTCCTCAATTAGCGATGTTGCGGATAAATACCCTGAAGGTATGGCTTGATGATCGACTCTTCCACCGGTTGTGCTAACATTGCCCAAGCCGTGGTGTACGGTGTGGATCTATCGCCACCACCTGTAACTTGGATGCCGCCTAACTGCCATCTTCAAGTGGATGATGTTTTGGAAGACTGGACATTCCGAGAAAACTTTGACCTTATCCATATGCGACTAATGCTGGGCGCTTTCACCGATAATGAGTGGAGAGATGTTTATCGGAAAGCATACGATAATCTCAAGCCAGGAGGTTGGATAGAGCAGGTGGAGCTTGATGTCCGAGTCATGGCGGACGACAACAGTCTTCGACCAGACACACTGATCGCCGAATGGGGCAATAACTTTTTGGGCTGCTCAGAGAGAGCCGGCCGGCCTCTGGATACACAACTCACGATGAAGGCCAAGATTGAAGAGGCTGGATTTGTTGATGTTCAAGAACATCTTTACAAGTGCCCGATTGGAGGATGGCCGAAGAACAAGGTGCTCAAAGACGCTGGACGAATCAATTTTGTCCAGTGGACAGCGGGTTTGGAAGGATGGGCCATGTTCCTCCTGACGAACTGGGGCTCGCCAGAACCATGGACAGCTGATGAGGTCAGAGTCTATGTAGCCAAGGTGAGGGAGGAGTTGAAGCAGCCCAGATTGCATATATGGCATTATACGTAAGTCCACCGCGACGGTCTTGAATCGACAACATCTAACCATAGGGTAGACGACGAGTATGGGGTCGCAAACCTGAATGATCGCGGACTGCAATTTGTGTTGACTTATTGATTTAAGCATTTTTACGGGGGAAAAGCCCGGGGAGCATTTCTTGGTAACTTGTTAACTACACGAAACAATTCCATCACTGATAATGATAATGAGCGACACTCAGAATGATATCGATACACGGGTTTCCAGTTGAAGACGCCTTGGGGAGGTGCCCAGCGCGTCGCGTAAAATCGGAGATGATGGCGCTAACCGGAAGTAGATGTTGCGTCGTGCCCAGAACTAACCCAATCTAGAAGCCTGATCCTGGGCCTCGCTGAGGCAGTTCAGGTCGCAGGCTGCGCAACTTTGTCTTATCCATTCCATGTGCTCACTCCGCACCAGGCTACCTTCAATTTGGCCGCGACGTGGCCATTGTTCTCATCGCTCATCCGTTGCAAGACTTCCAGTCTACTCTATCAACGGAATCTACATCGCCAAGCATTGTCATCTTCGTCCAAACTCGTGTCCGCCTGGAGGTCGACTAGTTAGCCCTGAGGGATGCCTCCTGAACAACCGTGAACATGTCGATGAACGTTTTCCGTATTCTGGGCGACGTATCCCATACTGCCTCCAAATGCATCCTCATCTATGCCATTCACTCCAATAAGAGCGCCGAGGGTAAGTCCCTCAGCCATTTTCGACTGAGTCATCCCAGGCTAACTCATCGCAGGTGTCTCCCTCTTGACCCAACTCCTCTATATTGCCGTTTTCCTTACGAGATATCTCGATCTATTCTGGACGAACCCAGCAACGTCATGGTGGAACTTCATCCTCAAGAACTTCTACATATGGAGTTCCATCTATATCATCCTATTGATGACTAGAGTCTACGCAAGAACCCGTGAACGAGAAAAGGCTTGGAGATGGGGTGCATACCTAGCTGGAGCAGCTCTTGTTCTGGCCCCGATCGTCGCCTTGATCTTCATTCGCTGGGACAACTTCACTTTCTTTGAAGTCCTCTGGACCTTCTCCATCATCCTGGAGTCTGTATGCGTCCTCCCCCAGCTGATCCTCCTCCGGCAAACCACCGTACCCACCGTCATCGATTCCTTCTACCTCGTCACCCTAGGTTCCTATCGGGCGTTTTATCTTCTCAACTGGATCTATCGATTGTTCACACCCTCGAAGCCCGATCCGATCTCGGTCATCTTTGGCATCATTCAGACTGCGTTCTATGTTGATTTCGCATGGGTATATTGGACCAGACAACGCGTCAAGTTGAGAGGTGGTGGTGTCGTTGATGCAGATGATCTGAGAAAGGGCTGGCTCGTCAATAGGGTCATTCAACACACCCGACAGACATCAGACGATCAGGCCGACCCCGAGTCTGGGAATGTGGAGCCTAACGGACATACCCCGGCACCGAAGGTCAATCGATGGGGTCCTCGCGGCATTTCGATATCTGCGGACGATACTCTGCAAGCACATGATCGTGTAAAGAGACCGGTTCAAAAGGCTGACAGTCTAGAAAGTGATCCCATCTTGGATGAGGACACTTTTGCATCAGACGAGGATGACGACGCTCCAATCCTGGATGACCCCGGAAAGAAGGTGTTGAACAGCGATGAAGAATGGCGAGATAGCTCTCCATCAAGGAGATGATTAATCATTGTACCTTCGTCGGCCGTTTACCTGTCAGCCATCCATATTCTGTATATCAAGGGGTTTGCAAGCCGCAACAAGGCAGCAATTGTCGGGGAGAGACTGGGCGTACAATTGCACAATACCCGTTCCTGAGGTTTCCATACTTTCATGTATTTGTATCACATTTACAATACCACCCTTACCTGCCTTAACTTCGTATCTCACTACCTCCCTAATCCGCGCGAATCCTTCTGGTTAAATGAAACGCCGATGAAATTCGTAGGATCGACGAACTTCAATTCATTATGCTTCAATTCGATCTCCTTCAAGTTCTCCTATGAAGTCATACCTTGGCGGCGATAAGTATCGACCCGCCCGAACTCCCGAGCTCGGCTTTAAGAGTAATGATATAAGTAAAGCCTTGAGACCCCAATATCGATTGAACCTCAGGACTTGGACCTCACTATACTCTGGAAGTGACATGCAGTGTCGAGGATTACGAAAACCCATAATCTCCGTTATCAAGCAACTCACATCCCACCGGAGCATAGCGTTCAACAACCCGCAACAACACGGAACCATGGCATTCCAAGGACTCACCAATTTCGACATCAAAAGCAGCTACAAACTAAACTCTGGCCACAGCATCCCCATCCTCGGCTATGGCGTGTACCAAACGCCCGCCGAAGTGTGCGAGGAAGTGACGCTGCACGCGCTCAAAGCCGGATATCGCCACATCGACTCGGCGCGCGCATACCGCAATGAAGAGCCATGCTCAAGCGCCATGACCAAGTCCGGGCTCCAGCGCTCTGACATCTTCTTCACGAGCAAAGTACCGCCGAAAGCGATGGGGTACGAAAACGCCAAGCAGGCGATCGAGGCCTCGTTCGCCGAGACGGGCCTGGGCTACATCGACCTGTATCTGATCCACTCGCCGTACGGCGGCAAGGAAGGGCGGCTGGGCGCGTGGAAGGCGCTGGTCGAGGCGCAGAAGGCCGGGCGCATCCGCTCCATCGGCGTCTCCAACTACGGCGTGCACCATCTCGACGAGCTCGAGGCCTACATCAAGGAGTCGGGCGACGGCAGCAGCATCGACGTCGGCCAGTGGGAGATCCACCCGTGGCTGCCCCGCGACGACATCGTGCAGTGGTCCCAGAAGCGCAACGTCGCCGTCGAGGCGTATTGCCCCGTCGTGCGTGGCCAGCGGGCCGACGAGGAGGTTCTGCAGACTTTGGGCAAGAAGCATGGCAAGACGTGGGCCCAGATTCTGCTACGCTGGAGTCTGCAGAAGGGCTATGTACCGTTGCCGAAGAGCGTGACAGCGACGAGGATCGATCAGAACGCCGATATTTATGACTTCGAGCTGGATGCGGAGGATATGAAGAGTCTGGAGTTTCCGGATTCGTATGCGCCTTGTGCGTGGGATCCGACTGTTAGTCATGACTAGGCAGGCTTCATCTTGTGGCGGTGCCGCCTGAAGCTATGTATGGCGCGCTCCCGAACCCCAACGTTGGTGAAGTGAGCCCCTAAGCAATCTGGTTCCTCAAACCCTGTGTCATCTTTTGGATAATCTTCTGAAAGTCCTCAGGGCGGGTGGGCCAGCTATGTTTACCATTTAAAGAAACTCCACTCATATTACAATTTACCTGGACGAGGTAGAAAAGTAACTAGTAGAGGACGCGTATGGACGCCCGCTGTAAGTGAACCTTGGAGAGTCGGCCTATTGGTCTGTAGGACGCTACTCAAAATACCAAGACTTCTATACGGTGTCAACCTCAAGAGCTGAACCAAACGAGCTGGCATCTCTAATATCAACATCAATTCCTTTCGAAAGCTAACACACTTTCCCTTACGAGTGTATCCAATCAATTAGTCGAAGCACTTAAATCTTCAGTACTTTCGAAACAGATATTGACTGATATCCAGGGTTCCGCGGATTCCCAGCATCAGGCTGAGGTGACAATCTGCAATCAATCTTCCTAATGGGGTCGAAATACCCTTACCAAGCATTGAACTCGAAAGATGGTGAGATTCGAATTTTATACCTATTTTCGAGCCCCGACCCAGATTCTGAAATTGAATGTCGCCTTGAGCATCACAAGCTTGAAGAGAATGTTGAATTCATGGCGATCTCGTATGTCTGGGGTGAAGCTGAGACGATGCGATCGGTCCTTTTGGGTGGAGTCCGTGTAGAGATCAGACCAAATCTCTTCCAGATACTGCAATTGGCTAGGTATTCTGAGACCTCCGCCGTGGAAATAGCGCTTTGGGTGGATGCGTTGTGTATCAATCAAGAGGACAAGCTGGAGAGGGGAGGCCAGGTAAGGCTCATGAGGTCAATCTACAGTCAAGCTCAAGTTGTTCTGTCATGCCTGGGAAGCCACTCAGACGACAGTGAGTTGGTATTCGACCTCCTTGAACGATATAGTAGCCGTGATGGCACCGAGTCTGCAAACGAAACTTTCAAAGCCTTCCTTGGAAGTCCGGACTCGGAGAATCACTGGGTAGCGCTGACAGCATTTCTTGCGCGGCCTTACTGGTCCAGATTATGGATCATGCAGGAAGTAATATTGTCGAGCCGGGTTTCGCTGCTCTGTGGGACTGACATTGGCTCATGGCGGGTTCTGGCTCAGTTGCTTTCTTACCTTGACTTTCGATACAGTGTTGCAATGTCGGGCATCGGGCGAAAACTACTGTCCGAATCGCCCCTCAACCCAAGGGCACTAGCTCGAGCATACATTGGTCAAGAGAACGGGAAACAGTGGAAGACCTCAGACTGGCTCTACTTGAGCAGACAACGTAAAGCGACAGACCCGCGAGACCACATTTTTGGTATCCTTGGAGTTGTGAAGAACTCTGGTCTGGTTGTGGACTACACGAAATCAAAGGCAGAGGTCTTTGGGGACGTCGTCGAGCACGTCATCCGCGAAGAGCGTAACCTCGACATTCTCAGCGCATGTGGGACGTACAACGACAGCTCTGGGATGTCGGACGCAATCTTTGCGCTCATTAGCGGCCGAACACATGTTAGGCTTGTACATGAAGCTTACGCAGCACAAGGCAGAGACCTTCCACCGGTCCCAGACGACATCAAGGAGGCAATGGAAGCCGCAGAAAAGACCTCTCCATCCTGGAGCACCGACTGGAGTGTTGCGTCCGCAAGTGGAGAACGAGGATCTCTCGTTTCAGGCTTTCGTGAGGCGTGCTATTTCCGAGCTGCAGGCGATTCGATACCTGACGTCCAATTCTACAAGGAGGAAGGTCGAATGCTAATTCGGGGAATATGTGTCGACACCATCGCGGATATCTCAGATGTAGAATTGCCGAATCTAGATTTTCGGGGATGGGGCATGTGTAGCCGTCACGATGCAGTTCGCCAGAGATATCGAGACGAAGCTACCCTAAAGCAAGCTTTCAGAAGCGTATTTGTCCTTGGTCGCAATACGAAAGGCGCAAAACAGGAGTTTACCAACGACAAAGCCTTCCCAGACCACTTTCTGCACATCCCTGGCGAGGGAGAAACCCATATTTCGCAGACTGACTGGCTAGATGCACTGTATTCCCTGATTAATGATTCTCTGGTCACTGGACAGGTCTTTGTTACAAGTTCTGGCTTCATTGGACGGACACCACCAGGGTCTAGAATCGGGGATTTAATCGTCGTATTTTCTGGAGGGAAAGTTCCATTCGTAATCCGGAGGTGTCCGGGCTTGGATGATCTCAATGTGGACAGATATGTCCTTATTGGAGAAGTTTGTAAGTGTTTGATGCCAGCTCCCCAAACTTGATTTACCCCTGGTAACTTACTGGTCATGTCTAGATGTTCAAGATATCATGGAGGGGGAGATTATCAATGAGCTAAGAGACGGAAATCTAACGGAGGAGTACTTCAATATTGTATAATGCAGTGGTCTCAACGTTTGCACAGTCTGAAAAATTGATGCCAACAGCCAACGAGCCTTGCTTGGAGTCGTTAAAGTATCCTCGCGGCTACTGGTATATTTCTATCTAAGACGTAATGCAATTAACGTCCTAGATAAAAAGTCTAAGACAAGAGCTTCACAGTGGTTTCATCGAAGGCGCGGTCAACTACTATTTAGTTTCTTATTTCCGCTTTGAAAGCTTCAATAGTGGCCAGGTAGGGGTGATAGCTTCGCATCCTATATAAGGTTCGTTTAACTACTTTATAATAGTATTAGCGGTTTATATAAAGACAGTGCTAGCCAGTTCTCCCGAAAACCGCTAACTAGTTTATTCCTTTCTTCCGAGCCTTGTATGCAACTAATCGGCTTCTCCCATGCTAGGTCTCTAAGTCTCTACTATTATCTATTTTAGAAACCGCAGTATCTTTCCAATCGTAAGCGCGATAAGCCGGCGGCATTGGGAACTCTTGCTCACGCTGCTATTACCGCGATCACTCCATATAAGTCCACCTCATTGGCCGTTAATAAGAGAAGAGCGACCAGTACGAAGAAAGCCTGAGCAACGGGCGATGTAGAAGGTAGAACTGCTGCCCATAAATGCGGTGGTTGATGGCCAGTCTAAAGGCGTTTCTTACTATTTGTTGTTACATCTTTAAGCTTCCAGTAGAAGTATTTTAGTCCTTACTCGATTACAGTTTCGTGTCCGCGTACTGTTTTTTTGTCTTCCAGAGAACCATCCTTATCAGCGCGGAGCCGTACTACTTGCGAACCATACTATGAAGCGCTCTCTAAGGTGCGCACAGAGAAAGCTCTTACGCCCCATTTCGCTCGGAGTACTTCCTCCAGACTGGGTATCCTTGTCGCTTTCCGGCATAGTTCAAACCAGAAATGATTTCATAAGACACAAGTGTGACTAGTGGTTGGAGGTCAACATATTTTGTACCCTTGAGAGTGGGATACCTGTAAAATGTCATCCCGAGCAAGCATCATACAGCTAGTCACACCAATTCTGACAATCTGCCTAATTGGATCTTCTCGAATGAATGATCCTTGTAGCAATCCGCCTGTGTCTCGAGACTCGCATGTATTTCAGTACAACCATGATCTGAGACATCAAGAGCATCCAGATTCACCGAGCTGAACGGCCTGTGTAACAAGGCTAGCCTGTCGATTGCCATCTCATGCGTGGCCGCAGAAAACATGGGAGATCACCAGCAGGCACCTGCGCCTTAATTTGCCCAGTCTTCATTACAATCATGGCAGGCTTAGCTTGTGTATTTGCTGTCATTCTAGTGCGCCCGTTTCTGGACACAGCCCTCCGTATCTTGTTATCCATTCACACTCATTCTGATATGTGTATGTGTGCGCCTACTGTAACTTTTGTGATCAGAAAATGCGAACTGGTTACAGCATATGGTGATACTGACGGGATCCTACCCATCAAGGCGTTCTTCAATACCTGGGTATGGAATGGAATTGAATTATCACTACACGCAAGACTCAGAAAAGCTGCTCAACAACTGCCCGGAGACTCATCATACAAGACTGAGAGCTGGGTATAATATCAGTGATTATTTTCGGCCGTATTCTGGGCTGTGAAGACCACAAGGACTGCACAGTATCTGGTAGGAACTGTTAGTTCGTGTTTGCTTACACTCTCATAGACATACCCTGCTGTTGCTGCAAAGACTTCATGCCTTTTAGCATGAGTGGCGCTTGCGCAGAGCAAAGCGAAAGCGAAAGTGAAGCTTAACGCTGCCGTGTTCTGGACATAACCGTTCATATGTCGGATGGAATAGAGAACATAAATGGGGACCATCAACATCACCATCAATATGACCGTAAACAAGTAGTCAATCAACTTGTTGAACGCTGTCTTCGAGAACAGGTCTATGAGGTCGGTTTCCAGGACGCCCTCCGTCTTCATGGTGTGTATCTTGCTGCGGAAAAGATACTAACTGTTAATCAGTGATCTCAGCAAACAGTTAGGTGAAAAGCCGTGGATATACCCTTGGAAGTCTTCTACCTGTCTCTTTAAAGAAAAACTGTGCGATTCGATGTACCCAGGTGGCTTCTTTCTCTGCACAGAAGGTAACAAGGTCGTCCACTTGTTCTATGTAGCTTGCATCTTCCTCAGCAAATTGAGCGTCGTTGAAGATGGCGTTAGCGACACTTTCACGATTGTGGGCCGAGGGAGAATCCAAAAGGTATATCTTGTGTGATCGAAGAAGCAAATCGTCTGCGAGATATGGTCAGAATAGATTCTTGCGAATCAGAACACTTACCATAGATCTGAAGATGTTTGGTGAGGTTTTCTAACAATGCTTTCCTCGGGGATGGGTCTCTTGCATCATCTCCTGCTCGCCAGCATATAGCTCCGTTGTATCTTTCGTCCGCAAAGTCATTCCGATCTAGTTTTCCTAGCATGTCTTCCATCTCTCGCACCACGTCTTGGTGATAGGTCAGAAGTCTTGTCCGCGTCCACCCGAATCTGCGGTAGATCATGAAATTTGTGTCACTGTCAATGACGGCAGACAGTTTTGGCCATCCATGTGGCTCGTCCTTGACTTTCTATTCTCAGCTTGAGGACGTTCTCATATGTCAATTCATCCTTACTCTTGCGAACCTTGAAAATCTCCCCAGGTCTCTTCTGGTGGCTTTCCTTCCTCATAAACAGGGGAACGAGCCGTGACCACAGCTGTTGTAATGGAGCCGGCAGATGACGTGCTTCACCTGATCTGACTTGTTACCACGAGCACCATTGAGATTGGCCTACTTACTCGTCGTTGCCGTCTTGACAGAGTGATCAGTCGAACACCCACCGCTTTCCAGGTCCAGATCTTGTGGCGTATAGGTCATGTTTCTCTCATTTTCAAAAACTGTTTCTCACATTCTTAATTGCAAAATTTCTTCATGGTCTAGTTGAAACAGAAAAGTCCTGGGGCATCCTTTTCTACAGCAGAATCAAGTCACACATGCGCGATGCAGGGCGTCAAAATTATCATTCAGCCACTGTACACGACATCTTTTGTCATGCTGTCTAAGTGCCATGCCAATTACAAGGGTTGTCTGAAGTGTAACACCCACCAGGAATCTCGAGCACCGAGCCTGATCTGACCTGTAATAAGTGCTGTGCCGCAACCCGTGGAGTGTCATCAACTCCAGACCTTTCTTCAACACCAAAAAGGACTCTGATGCAACCCGGAACTTTTTCGTCCATATCCAAGATGAGACACACCAATTCATACGTCTGAGGGCTCTGTGAGTTCCGAATTCCTAGTAGACGTTGGCAGTCAACCTGTCGCCCGTTTTGGCCTGCTCAGGTTGTGGCCTCTGTCGTCGTTGTGTCGAGCTTGTGGCCGGTCTGTAAGCCTTCCCACCAGAGAATTGACATTTACGTGGCTCTATGAATCAGAGGTCAGAGAAAGATATTGTAGGAAAGTGCCACAACAGTACTGTACTTACCCCTTCCTGCTGACTCTCCATATGCTGATTTCCTCTGCTCGTCCAGGCACTGGTTTGTCCGTCGTTGCGGCGTCCGTCATCATTTGTCCTCTCGGTGCTAGCACTATTGGTTTCGTGCCCAGTGGCTCCAGTTTGGTCGTTTCTGTTCCCTTGCTGTCCTGCTTGCTCAGACACAGATCTGTTCCCTAGTTGTCGAGGGTTGCCGCCACTGAGAGTGCTGGGGCAGCATCCATCAAGGAAATTATGCGCTGCTCTGAAGTTCTTCGCGCCATTGTAGGTATTAGTATTGCCAGTCATCAAATCCACATTCTCTTGTTCCGGGTGATCTTGAGAATTGTGGGGGGAACCTTTGCCGCCGGTGTCTGCTGGAACTTTGATGGAGCGTTGGTCCATCTGCATATAGTTGAATGTACCTGAGTATTGAGTTTCTTGAGACCTCGAGGTAAGTCAGTTGTTTCTACTACGTGACAAGGCTGAGGTGTTGGAATCCACAGGAAATACACAACATAAAGGGAAACTTTTATATAGAGGAGCCGACGATGTCACGGCGGTGACCTTGTGAATATTCGTTCGTCATGACTATCATGCAGACGGTGTTTTGACGGTGGCAGTGGGACATCAAACGCGCCAAAGCAGCTACAACGACCTCAACAGTAACTCACTGCTAATGAATACAACGTGATAGTCCTTTTCAAGATGATGCCCAGCAGCGAACGGACGACACCGAGTCAACAAGAAGTCTTGTCACGCAGGCAGTCTCACTTGCATCTGAATTGCGATGAATATGGCGCGAACGCCCCGTTTCATGCGTGCTGCAATAGTGAATCACCATAAAGGGTCACTTTGTACCAACAGCGACCTCAATCACAATTCGCTCGCGATGGCAAGGGTGTGAGCGTTGTTTGAAAGTGACAAGCCATGGTGAGTCAACCAGCTTTCACCAAATCTGACAAGGGCGGAGACGTCGTTTGAGAGCGACCGGCAGTGGTACGTCAACTAGGGTTTTTTGAAAACAGATCGATCATATTCAGAAGCTAGAGATCCCATTGGTAACATTCAGAGAATGAATGATCATAGAAATCATGGCAGACAGGTGAGCTGGAAATACAACTTATCGAAGACTCCGGGAGTCGGAAGGAGATTATTCACAACTCCAGTCAATGTCAAAGAAGCAGTCTTAGTCATGGAGGAACGAGTAAGAATATCGTACTAGAGAAGGTGCAGCTGGAACAAGGCAAACCTCGAGCCCGAGTATATCTTAAAATCTTGACTTCCTTGAACCCTCTAGTGGTACGCCCCGACGCCGGGCGTTAAGCTGTTCCAGCCCCTGAATCCCGAGCCTTATTCCCCTCCCCACCAACTTCCATCACCTCCCATTTCTATGATGTAGAAATAAACACTACACTTCAAGTTGAAAACCCGGCCCATAAGAATTCCCAAGATCATGGCCCGGCACGTCTCCGCACATCTTCCGCCATGCCCGTCCATGAGTTCACTCTGGCCGCCATGATGGCCCATATACGGTGAGTTGCTCGGCGGGTTCATGCCATGTTGCCCGTTCAAGCTTAATGGCGGAGGACTGCTAGGAGCGGATGACTTAGGCTAATGATCAGCTGTGCTGATTGAACTCATGGGCCTTGCGAACTACGGAGCCTGAGTGTCTTGTGTGAAGGCTTATGCACTCCAGAGGTTCACACCACGCTGCATGTTCAAAGTCTTAAAGTCAAGCTTGGCTGGAGACTGAGAGTCATGCCACATAGCGATGGTAAGCATCAAGATGATTCAAGAGCAGAAAAGCTACATGCTTCCTCCCATTCTACATGGTGACGGGCACCGACGTAAGGTCGGTGGTCATCGTATTCGTATTTGCCGATACGAAAGCTAAAATACCTTGGGTACGAAGAGATGAGAATCTCAAGACATTGGATTTCCTTCAGCAACAGTTCTACTCTACTCATTCTACAGATATCAGACCGAGGAAACGGACACAGTCGACACACCTACAAGGTCTTGCAGCTGAAGATTCAACATCTAGAAGCGATCTTCATCACTTGAGCCCGCACCAACAATAATGTCACTCACGCCGTCGACATGGCGACTCCTCGGCCTCAGCGTCGCAGCAGGCTACATCGGCCTGGGGACATTCGCACTGGCGACGCCGATTCTGGCGGCCAAAACGCTGGGCGTCTACCCTGCACCGCGGTCCGCCTCTACCACGAGTACAGAGTCCACCAAGTCCACCAACAACGGGTCCGTCCAATCATCATCATCAGAAGAAGAACATGACGAACGCGTCGGCGCCTCCATGGCGCTCCTCGCCGCGCGGGACATCAGCATCGGCGTCGCACTTCTCGCGTTCGACTACCAGGAACAGCCGCACGCGATGGGCACGCTGATCCTCAGCGGCATGGTGTTGTGCGCGGCGGACGTGTTCTACGTGTTTAGGCTGAGGGGCTGGGAATGGGGTGCTTTACTGGGCGGTGGAGCGGCGACGTGGTGTGCGATTGGCGTTGGGTTGGTCGGGCTTTGATGAGAATGGGAGGGTTAGGCACCTCCATACCTTGCTAGGTACCTGTCCAGAGCGGTATATCGACTCTTCTGTTTGTACACATGAACGGGACGTGTTTCTGGTCATGGTAGTTGTTTACAGCCGACTCTTCCATCTGTAGTCAGCCTTCAAGGTCAGTGCGGGTCATCGACCGCCCGATTGTTCGATCAACCATTCATTAGCCAATGCACAAATGTCCCCGCGATTGCCAAGTCGTGTCTCAATATTGCAACGCCTTGAGTCTGACTGCTCCCTCGCAAAGGTTTGACAAACGCAAGCATCGCCTGTGCCTGAGATGGGCCTTGAAGCTCCAAGATTTGACATGCCGCTTTGAGATTCCCACGCGCCCTGTGACGTGCTGCCAGTTAAAGCAGCGATCAATGACCCCTCACAGAAATCGAATCGGGAAATAACCCCGCCAACAGCGTGGGACATTCAAAGGTGCCGGAGGAAAGCGAGTCAAGTAGTGAAGTACCGATGAAGCAGCATTCGATGATTGATGTCCGATGATTATTTTATGGAGCTTCCACTGATCACGACATTATTTTTCTCTTTCTTTGGGACTCTCCACCTGTCGAGCGATATTGATATAAAGTCGTTCATCTCTGTCCATTCGTACCCGTCAATTGAGTCTCACTGCTCAACGCGTCCCCACCAAGAGTCCTGACCGCCCTCATGGCCACAAATGGCGTGCACCACCCAGCGATTATCGAATCGGCAGACACAGACAAACTTCCACCTGCGCCCGCCGATCCTCAGAATATCAAGGCATTCCATGATCTCGATCTAAATACGCTCTCTCCTTCAACACAAGCCGTCCACGCAGATGACCCGCTTAACATCCTCGATGATGTCGCTCCTGCAATCCATGTGAGCACCACTTTCCGTTACGACAATGACCCAGACCGTCTCTTTCCGACGCATGAGCGCGATGCCTCGACGCATGACTCAAGTAAACACGTCTATTCGCGACACACAACTCACAGCACCACCCGACTGGAAGCCATCTTGAGCGTCCTGCTCAAAAATCCAAGTCTGACATATTCATCTGGCTTAGCCGCCTTCAATGCCTTGATAACATTCTTGAATCCTAAGCGCGTCTTCATCACCGCAGGTTATCACGGTTGCCATGGAGTGCTGAAGCTGCATGAAAGACTATCGGGGCTCAAAGTCTTGCCATTGGATGGCAATCCCGAAGAAATTCAGAAGGGTGATCTGGTACACCTCGAGACCCCTATCAACCCAACAGGACTTGCCTTCAACATTCAGCATTATGCCGACATTGCACATTCGAAAGGGGCATACCTCAGTGTCGATGCCACCTTCGGTCCTCCTCCGCTGCAAGATCCTTTCAAACACGGTGCAGATGTTGTCATGCATTCTGGGACCAAGTACTTTGGCGGACATTCAGATTTACTTTGTGGAGTTCTGGCAGTGAAAGAGAAGGCTTGGATACCGCAAATGGTGACTGATCGCATGTTCTTGGGATCCGTGATGGGAGGCTTGGAAGGCTGGTTGGGAGTAAGAAGTTTGCGCACACTTGAACTTCGAGTCACAAGACAGAGTGAAAGTGCCCGAAGGATAGTAGATGCTTTGGATGGAGCCTTGACAGGTCATACGGTCGGTACAGGACTATCACAATCGGATGCCGATATTATTCGATCGGTCCTCAAGAAAGTCTATCATGCCAGCCTGCAGACTCAAGACTACAAGACTTGGCTTAAGAAGCAGATGCCTAATGGTTATGGACCAGTTTTCTCAATCACCATGAAGACTCCAGATCTTGCCAGGAGATTACCGAGCAAGTTGAACTTGTTTCATCATGCCACCAGCTTAGGTGGCGTTGAAAGTCTGATTGAGTGGCGTACCATGACCGACGAGACCGTTGACAAGGATCTTTTGCGGATAAGCATTGGTATTGAGGATGACAAGGATTTGCTCGACGACCTCATACAGGCTTTCAAAGAATTGGCTGCAGACACCTCTGAGTCGAAATAGATAAACCGCAGATTATGCTGCGGCATGGATAGATAATGTTCACCTCCATCGTGATGGTCGCTGATCGTGCGGACTAGCTTCAGAGCTCACAGCACTTTGAGGCGTGGCATTCCCTTCTCCCGAGGGTTCTGATGTGAGTCCAGCTTGGTGTTTTCGGAACCTGTTTTCTTCTTCTTGGAAGTGCTGACGCAGATCGCCGCTTGAGCGTTCCTTCTTCAACTCCGGGGGCTCTGGTATCTCGATGACCGCGGGTGGCGGATGAACGGGTCGAAGAGGCTTGGGTGCAAGTATTTCTGGAGATGCAGGCGAGGCTGTTGAGCTTGCCGGCGAGTGATTGTTACTGCCACCCCATAACTTCAAGGACATCTCAAACTCTTGATCTAGATTCGATCTACCGATTGGAGTGCTTGGTGATAGCCCCGTCTGTATCCGCTGCAAAGCTCGTGGCTTCAAGACATCTGGTGGTTCCGGTCGAGGACCGTGGTTAGGCAGACCTGACGCGCCATTGGGAGGTTGATAAGGTAGTCTGTTTGGTGTATACACTGGATCGTTGGGTTGAGCTTGGTTTCGCATTGGGGATACCGATCGTGCTCTAGCTCTCGCCTTTGAGATCTCAACAGTCGGCGCAGGCGCAGCGTCACCGCCTATACCAATAATGACCGGAGGAGCCTCTATGAAGGTCACACTGAGACCTCTTGATCTTCGCTTCCCTTTGGCCAGGGAACTGGAAGACTGGCTGCGATTTTGGTATTCGGGACGTAGGAAGTCATTGATAGAATTATTATCAGGGCCAGAGTGGTCAACATTTTGAGCGCCGGGGTATCTTTGGGAGTTGGAAACATCGATGCGTGGAACGTTGAGCCTTCGAGGGGACTGTTTGGTTGGTGTGAATGAGGCCGAGTCGGAAGTGGAGGGTCTCGGTGAGTTGGAATTGGTGGGAGGGGGGTGATGAGGAAGTGCGTCCTCTCTAAAGGATGTTGCAGCATTCAGACTAGAGACCGAGGGTCGACCGGCAGCGAGGAAGTCATCGACATCTTCACTTAGAATATGTTCTTCTTCAGTCCTGTCTCCATGCTTTTTGAACTTGCTCTTGGTGCGGGCGAGGGCCCCCTTGAATCGATCTCGTCGAGAGGCTTTGTGAGGAGTGTCTTGAGCGGCGTCATCGGCCTTGTCGTCCTCTTCCATCGTCTTGATCACACCATGCCGTAGGGAGCATGGTCAGATGGAGAGGAAGGCTCGAAGGTGTGGAGGACGAGGAAGTAGGTTGTCACAAGCCAGCTAGGGCTGAAACGAGTGGATCAGGCTGGTGGAGAGGGTAACGAATATCTAGTACGAAGAAGGAGACGGCAATACCAACGATGGTTGCAGCTGGCGATTGGAATGTGTCTGCGTTGGGCTTTGCTTGGCCGAGTATTCAGAGCATGGACTTTGGATGTCGAACACGCTCAAGTGCCATTGCTAGTGCCGCTGCCACGAAGGGGAGGGGCTGAAAAGCCAAGTGGAAGACGTTTACTAGGGAAGCCGCAATGCTGATGACTAAACTCAGAATGGACGAGCTGCGGACCGAAAGTGCATGAGAGAACTGTTCGAGAGAGAGGAGCTGAGATTCAACTTGCGTGCCAAAGAGGGACGAGGGTTGAAGAATGAACCCCACGGACCCGAGTTCCTGACCACCTATTCGCAGGGATGTACTCGTAGTTAAGCACCCACTAGTAAGGTAACTAGCATCTCCGACTCAGCAGGAGAAATCAGTAATTATCAATATCACTGCAGATATTTGTAGATGCCGGCCTGATCTCACATGGGAACACGAAGATGGGAAGCCTCAGCTCTCAATGGGAGGTTCACTTGAAAGTTGAACCTAAATCGCGACACCCTCGGACGTGTGTCACTTAAAACGGCAACCTCCACTACTCTTTGAGGCAAGCTCACTCACGTGCAAGGAAGGTGACACGTGATCTGCCAGTCTCTGTCTCCTGCTCCACAGTAGCATCAATTTCTAATTACTCGCTCCAGCCTCGGCTCATCTCAACCTCGATCAAGGCAAAGGTCATATATTAGCTAAGCCTATCGGGGTCCAAGAGACTTCTGAAATCTTTGAAACAAAAAGTTATTTCATGATTCTCATTGGTTTTTTGGTGAAGTGAAGGCAAAATCCATTGTGATTCTCAATCCTCAGACTGTGTGTTCCTTGCACTCTATTTAAATCCAGACCACCAAATTATTGACCTTCACAACCGACCTCAATATCCATACCGAGGTACATCTCTGCGGCTCATCAACCGACGACTACTAGTATCAATCAAAGCATGGCAGAAAACAGACCCCAACCACATTTCTACCAACGCCTGGACATCGAGCATCTGCCGATAAAAGAAAAAGTCCTTACTCTGCAGGCATTCATCTCGAAGGATCCCGAGTATGAGGGCTTCGACACGCTGGCGCTTGAAGGCGGCCTCACTCTGCTCGAAGCCGAGCCCAACCGAACCGTCTGGGAGATGCCCGTCACGCCTCGCCTATGCAACAAGTCCGGCAATCTCCACGGCGGCGCCGCTGCCACGATCATGGACAACTTGACCTCGACGGCGTTGGTCACAATCTCAAAGCCTGGTTTCCTCGATGCCGGCCACGTCAGTCGCACCATCAACATGACATATCTGCGGCCGGTGCCAAAAGGCTCCACTGCTCGCATCGAATGCCATGTCCAAGCCGCAGGGAGAAACACTGCCAATATCGTGGGCAAGTTGTATGTGAATGAAAAACTGGCTGTCATCTGTGTTCACGACAAGGCTGTTTTCAAGAGCGTTTCAAAACTGTGAAGGGGTGGATTAAGGGTTTTCAGATCACCGTGGCGAGTAATCCTTCTAGAGGTTTCTTTCAACGGGACAACTGCGGCGGAGATAGATCCTGGAGCCCGCAAATTTTGCAATGGCTCATCTCTCTTGCATTCATTAGACATAGAATACATATACTAAGAGACAGTCGGTCAAATTAGAACGATACCCCAATGGGATGTACAGACTCGACCAGCTCAACCACTCTACACGGCTCAAAATCTAGGGCCAACGAATGACAGCACTTGTGCACCTACAGTCACATCACAAAACAGATCTCATAGTCATAGGGAGTTTTCATAATCATTTCTATTTGATTTCTTTCTAAGCACAAGCCATTTTCTATTGACTGGTTATCTCAACCTCGGTCATGTTTGTCTGCCATCATCCATACCATCACTGGATGTTGCCATTGCTCGCGCATCCGACTTCACAAAACATGGCCAGTGAATATCATTTCATCTCCATGGTTCTGGTTCAGGGGCAGCCTCGGCGTTGTTGTCCATGGTAGGGGTCGAGGGATTGGTTGGTTCAGAGTCATCCATCTCATCGTACTAGAACATTCCGTTGCTGCGAGTGAATAGTACCACAATTGCCAGTTTGTCTGTGTGACGAGGATTTTGCCGCCGATAAACTCGAATTCCAGTGGGAAGGTCCTTGTGGATGCGAGATCTGCGGCAAGAAACCCTGTTTCAGGCGAGAGTTCAGAAGCTCTGGGTCAATGGGAGTCGACGTGAGGGTCTCCGGGTTCGGAAAGGCATCGTCCAGAATCTCTGGATCAATGGGAATCGACATGAATATCTCCGAGATTACCAGGGGTTCGTATCTCTTATTGGGCACATAGTAGATGTCTTCGATGAGACGTATGTGATGTAGATGTGGGAATTTATCGTCACCCATTCTGCACCATGCTCGAAGTACTGGTGCACCGCGGCAAGCACTGCACGCCGGATTCTGGTTGGTGAACGGCAGCTGCTGTGTTGCGGTCAGCCAGCTGTTGGACCAGAGACTCCTCTTGCAGGTTTTTATCAAACTCATGGGAGCAGTGAACGCCAGGCGCCGGGCAGCGTTGCCAGTAACCACTAAGGGCGTACTTTTGTGTGATTTATATATAGCGAGTCAAGCGCTATGCTGTGTAATGATAGGAGGTCATGGTATTGGTAAGAGTATTGGTGTTGCTTGGTGCGCTTCCATTGCTCCAGCAAGGGGGTGTCATCTCGCAACTCGTAATCTGCATTATCCACTCCGCCTTCTCGGATGTTTTTTGTCCTTTTCTCACCCTCTAATGGCATGGCTGCATCTACCGCAGCAGTAAGCCATTACCAAGGTAAGATCAATCATTAGGTCTGGTAGTGGTGAAGCTTGTGGCATTCTGAGAGATTGTGTGGTTGTGTATGAGGCCTCAACTGCCATTAGCGTGGCTGACTATGAGAATGTCGGCTGGCTCTGCCGGTCCTGCTGTAGTAGGAGCTGCTGTAGCTACTGGTGCTACTGCTGGTGCAATAGCAGCTGCAATAGCAGCGGCACCGGCAAGTCTTCTCACCCACTAAGCAAGTCGAACGTGGCTGAGTGTCCCAGAAGAAGCGGGATTGGCACCAGGTCGAAACACTTCGAAGCGGTCCCACACTCCTGAGATACGACGCCTAGTGTTGCTGCTGTGGTTGCTGTTTGAACCGTCTACACCGTCGGTGGTGGGGCGGCAGTGGCAGCAGCAACTTTCCTCCTTCTCTCCCTCCACATGTCTACAAGTAGACTCCTGACGCGACTTGAGACTGCGCGCTCCAATAAGATGAGGTAGATGGTTACCTATATTTATACGGCGAAATGGTGAACCCGCGCAATGCGAGATCGATTGTGCCAGACATGATGACGAATGTCTGGTTTCAGAGTGGGACGAGCTGGTTGGGACAGTTGTCTTGCCCAACAGCTCTTGCCGACAGTCGATCTGCCATGACGTTACCCAAGAAGTGCTGATGTTCACTTGATGATCTTGGGCGTCCGTTCTGGCCGTGGTTGCTTCATTTGTCATGTGGCGAGATTTCAGATCGGTCATCCATGGCTATCTCATTGATTAGTCTTTGATTGAGTTGAGCACATAGACAAGGACATGATTGACTTACTGGATGACTTTTGAGCTGTTCCAGTCCTTCTGGTCAAAGGATTCGCGCGGTGAACGAGAAGGGAAAATTGGAAACTCGAGGAGAGACGGCGCGAGATATATATAGGGGGGATGTTTGGAAAACTTCCCGTATAGACTCACCTTTCACGGCCTCGGACACTTCATATTCACGGCGAGGCAGTTCGACAGCACGTTAGCGTGATCTGCCTGCACGTTGGTGACAATAGGTCGGCTATTGATGGCTTTGTGAAAGAACTCTTGGAACCTCTATGAGACTCGAACAATGACTAGCGTCGGTGGAAAAACCAAACTCCGAACAATGAACACGGTCGACATCTCTTGTGCTTACAGATGGCTGCATCCGTCGTGATCACTGATATGGGTGTCTCTGTCCTTCAACGGATCTATGCCATCCACGAGATTTGAGGGGTAGGAGCCTCATCGTGCATCCCAGTCAAGGGGCTGCGGTCAAGAATGAGTCTGATGGTGGCAGTTTTCCCCGCACGCTACTGTGTCGGCGGAATAACCCCAGAAATTTGATAGAGGATCCCCTAAAGCTTAGCCTATGCGCTTTTCCCAAATCCCACCGCAATGGACTCGACAGGCCGAGGCCACGGTTACCCATTGCAGCAAGTCGATCAGCAGGATAAGCTTCTCTTTGATCAAGCTCAAGAGAAACCTGTGATAATGACAATTGCCGAACGAAGCCTACCCCAAACTATTCGTAGACCTCGGAAATGTCCTGCCAGCCACCGCAGATACTGCGACCACTGACATTGTGATCAGTAGAACATATTCGACGTATTGGTTAGTATCCGAGCACTCACTGGAGACTTGACACAATTTCGGCAGTGGGAAGATCTGTCAGCCTAAGAAACGAGATCAACTGCCGGGATTGATGAGTACATGACTATTTCCCCACTGAGTCGTCTTCTGATCAATCTCGGTCTCGCGATTTGTGATGCGGATATAACCCACCATGTTGCATGCAGCCGGTGTGTGATCTACTCCTTACACACAAGTCTTCGTTAAATACTTTGAGATAACCTCCTGGTCCGTGACTGCCTGTGTTCAGAGTCTTACAAACACAATATGGCATCTGAGAAGGAACCAGCCCCGATCCAGTCAGAGGCAATTGAGAATGCTCCACATGTTCCAGACCGTCATCGAGGGGCAGAGTTTGAGGCTCCTATGCAACATGTTCAAGAGCTCAACGAGGCTGAACACATCAACTTGAGCTGGCGATCATGGCTCGTCGTCTTTGTGACGTGTTTTGCTATCATGGCCCAGGTTTTTGTCGTGGTGGCTGCTGGCTCTGTTATTGCATTCATCATTCGAGATCTTGGTGACGGTGCTATTGCTGGCTGGATTATTCGTTGGTATCCAGTAACGTTTCCCGTGGTCAACCGCTGATATATCCGCTCCAGAGGGCCCATTGCTCATGCAAAGCGTCCTTTCCCCCATAGTGGGAAGGCTTAGCGATGTGCTCGATCGAAAATGGCTTGCTTCAATCCCTCCACTGATCGCGTTTGCTGGCGCTGTAATTTCGGCCAAGGCAACGTCAATGTCCATGTTGATTGGAGGTGGAATTTTGATTGGCGTGACCCTGAGCACCATATCCATCGTTCAAGCTATCCCTAGTGAGGTTCTGCCACTTAAGTATCGAGCTCTCGCAAACGGTTTTGCGTTTATGGGAGGTGCTATTGGCGGACTGTAAGTCAATTGTGTTGACATGTAGATCTATGGCTGACCCAAAATAGTGTTGGTGGACTTGGATCGGGCGGCGTAACCAACGCCAGTCCGTCAGGTTGGCGGGATATTTTCTGGATTCAAGCAGCGTTCCACATGGCAACCTTTCTTGGGTTGGTTTTCTTCTACCATCCCGCAAGACGTTCCGATTATGGTAAGCTGTCTCTGAAAGAGATCATTTGGGCCTGCGATCCAATAGGGTCGTCCCTGTTTATCGTTGCGACGACACTTCTTCTGTTGGCCCTGGACTGGGCTGGTGGTGCATATGAGTGGTCAGACGCACATGTGGCCGCTCCGCTTGGTATCGGATTTGGATTCTTGGTATTATTCTGCGCTTATGGTGAGTTCAAAATTCCATTAACCAGGGGTGTGATTGTGCCTCCTCTGACTTGAGAACCTGCAGAATGGAAAGGGAGGTCCGATGGTCTGGTGGCGCATGTCTTTTTCAAAGGCTCGCCAAACTTCGCACTCTCAGTGTTCGCTTTCGCTGTCGAAGGCTGGCTGTTCTATTCCGCCGTTAACTCGGTCACGCCCCAAATTGTGCTCAATCTTGGATTTGAGAATAATGCTTGGAGTATTTCTATTCGACAATTATCCTTCAACCTCGTTACTCTGACCGCATCAATACCAATAACGTAGGTATTGGAGGTTCCTACTCAAGGTCCCGTGGCTGACAAGACCCGATCAGGCTCTATGCGACCAAGTATAAAGATCTAAAATCGCCGCTGATTGTGACATTTTTCATCTTTTTGGTTGTGTAAGTGAATTCAGCAAGTCCAAGGCTCGTCAAAGTCCTAACACAAATCATTAGTACAATCTGCTATTCAGTTATAACACCAAACATGGATAATGCACAGATTGGATTCAACGTTCTCTCTGGCTTGGGGCAATGCGGTCCATTGACCTTGATAGTGGCCCTGGTACAGTTCACTGCACCACATGCGTTCTTATCAACTGCGACCGGACTTGGGTTCTCGGCTCGTGCAATTGGAGGTGCCTTTGGCTCAGCAGTAAGTACACTCTATTAATTCTTGAATGGTAAATAGCGAGTCTGATGCATAATGTAGGTGTTGGATGCAATTATCAACGGAAAACTCAAGTCATATCCTACAGAGGTTGGTAATGCAGCGGTAGCAGCAGGCCTTCCAAAGTCATCTGTTCCGGAGTTGTTGAAGGCACTTGCCACTGGGGTTGGTTTATCTGATGTGGCAGGGTTGACCCCTTCAATTCAGGCGAAAACACTGGATGCAAGTCATTGGGCATATGCACATGCATACAGATTGGCATGGGCAAGTATCATCCCATTCGTGGTGCTGGCATTGGTAGCAGTGTTTTTCTTGAAGGGAGTGAAGGAGTTGATGACTGAGAAGGTCGAAGCAACTGTCGAGCACGTCGAGCCGAAAGAGCCAGGAAAGGCATGACAAGGTTTAGTTACTGGTTGCTGAGATCGGCCCTTTGATCCGGCCTTGAACAACGGACACCGAACACTCCGGACAGAGCAAGAGGTTTAGATGGAGATGCGTTGTAAGTTGTGCGGAAGCAGGCACTTTATCCATATCGATGGATATTATCAGTACTCGGGCAACTGTAGCCGCGCTATGTCACACATGTGAACGAAAGTGTGTGCGATATACCTCCAAACTCCATATTGCTATTCTTTGTAGTCGTGATTTCCTCTTCCTACACGTCTGAGCATTGGTTCTGAACCCGTATTCCGCAATTCTCAAGTCTAGGACATACTTGTCTTCCGTACGAGAGAGTGACAGATTCCAAGAATGATTCTGCCTGCCAAGTAGTATGCCGAGAATCGTGGCTTTTTAGCAATTGAAACATGTGAAAGGGTCCATGGATTTGAAGGATTTCGAAAAATCCTAGCTGTTTCGAAAGTGTGCTTTGACCAATGGATGTAACATGCGAACCTTTGTCTACCTGAATTCGTTGCTTATCTGAAAACTGTGTGACGCTCCGATAAGCTCATACCAACGCTCTCGCAAGGCAAAGCTTCAGAATGCTCCTGATGGTGATGGTTTATCTTTTGAGAACAATCAAGGAAAGCCTTGATGGTCGGCCAAGAGATTACCCGAGGTTGAGGGTTCATTCCGGGTTGATGCTATTGGCTGGCAATGGACCGCGACGGTGATTGAGCCTCACAGACTCGGTTGCAATTTAATTTCCCATTCTCCATCCACAAACTCCACCAACCACTTCTTGAGGCCACTCCTGTTTCTGCTTCTTCTCCGTATCGAGCCTTGACTCCTGTCATGCCAATCAATAGTCCGACTTTAATCCTTCCACATTTCCCCTTCCCACTTCCACATTGCTTGATCTCAGAGCCGGGTGGAGTGGTGGTCTTGGTTCAGGGATCCACTATCGTGATTGGCGGCGTCCAAGATTGTTTACCGGAACGCCGACCGTTTCCAAACGGCAACCATCGCATCGTGCCGCTGGAAATCTTCGACGGCCATGGCCAGAAGTCCATACGAGGTAGGGCTGTCCATGAACACGCGACACGCTAGAGGGTGAATCTCACATGTGAAGCTCCAATTGATTATTCAACTCAAGGAAAACAATGGGTTTCCGGAAATCTGCACGCTCAGTCGTTGGAAATTGTGCCAATACTCCCCTAAATCTAGCCCTGTGAGCCGATTCTCAAGATTTGTATACTGGACTTCGTTCTTTCCTGCTCTTCGAATTCTTCTCTGCTGTCAGCTTAGACATGCAGGAATAGACTACAGCTTGATGCTACTGTTCCATTTCTTCTGTTTTCGTTGAGCTTTGCGACTTTGCTTTCAGATCTGCTGCACTCACTCGTTCGTGCCTCAGTATCGTCCACTCTTTCAGTTATTTGCATTTCAAATTGCCGACATCTGTTCCTTGCCAGTTCGAAACACTTTCAACTTCGAGTTCAAGATCTCCACTAGCCTCTGCGGAGAAATCGATCAAGCATTCAGCACACTCATACAGATTCACCTTCACCATTAGGTATCGACCACAAGCCAATATCATCAACGATCAAGCTTCGCAAAAATGGCTGTCGTTCGTGACCCAGCCTTTTGGAAGCGCTTTTCCACGGCCGTACATCTAGATGAAGAGAAAGGGAATATCTCGGATTCTCGGTCAACATCCTCGTCGGATCCCAAAGGAGGAGTGAAGCATAGGTGAGCGATTTGCTTTCGGTCTCGATATGCAGGTTCTGACGGGTCACTTTCAAGCGATACATGGCTGGCAAGAGCTCAAAAGAAACAACGACGAACTCGGATTGTTGGCTGGATTATTACTTTTGGCTTTATGATCATCATTGCGGCAATCGTTTTAATCATTCTATGGTTCCTCAAAGTCGGACCCTTCAAGGGATTGTCAGACTGACATTTGCGATATCCCGCAAGACATTGAGGATGGCTCTTTCCCATCAATTCTGACGGCCTTCTTACACCAAGTTGAATCGCTGGCAATTCGAACTGTAGGAGAGAAGCCCATCTCATGCTATTCCCAGTATCAGACAGGCCCAATTCCCTACCACCCATCCATACCATTATGGAGCAGCGCCTAGCACACTCCAAAAACGGCCTCAGCCACCCTCGGGCACCCTCCGTCCTTCTCTCGACTTGCCACCACCAAATTCACCTCGACAATATCAGGCAAGCAACACCAACATCACCCGATAAGGCCTTTCTATCAAAGGCATATCGTTTCACGAGACATACGAGATCATGGCCACACCCATTCCGAAATTGGCAGGGTCGATAACGTGCGGAGTACAGGGGTTTGAGAATTTGACGCAAAACTGGCTTTCAATTGCTCGAATTATTTCATCCTTGCGCCTCGACCCTGACCATATCGGACATTGTTATAGACTGTGCTAGATTGAATAAACATGACTCATCACTTCGCTGATGAGATACACACAAACGAAATCCTGAACCACTTTAGTCCTCGACATGTAATCTTCTCTACGTTGTCCCCGTCGCGTTCGTACCGTAGTGTGTAGATGCGCCCAAAACATTTTGTGTTCGCGTTCTCCTCTCGACGCAAATGCTGAACCTGGAACAGCACACGCATTATATCAACGACGAGACCAAGGACCTGGAAGTTCGAGCCGAATGCATTGGTGCGATCATAACCTAGAGAGCTGGCATCCACGTCACAACAACGTCAAACCTTGATTTGTGGCTATTCTAATCTACAAGCCTGTGAGTGGCAGCTGCTACCACTGAGACGCTAGTCGAGTTCAGACGCACAGCGACCGGTCGAGACGGCCGCAGCTGCAAGTCTCTGTCCTGGCCATACCATCACCTATGGTGTGATCATATCGCTGGGATTGATGGTTGAGACATATTGAACTATGCTATTCACAAGAACAGCCAAACACTGTGCTAGAGACGTGGAGTTGATCAATCTACGTGCAGAGAATGACCTTACAATTATGATATGATCCATTTTTGGACAGGGCTGCTATGCCTGATGTCATCTCCCTCCATGATCAAGGGTTCTATGGCCTAATTCGAAAGAACCTGGACTGCTTTGACTCAATATGCATGGCACCTCTATTAACCACCTGGCTGGCAACCTCAGCGGATCCCATTCTATCAGGAAGACTGTTTGACTGAGACCAGCAAGAATAGTGCCCGCCAAATAACCGCCTTGTAAGACAGTGTCTAATAATTCAAAACGTGGTGCCGTAGTGCTTTTCGTTGGTAAGTAAACCGAGTCGATCGCTGACTTGCTCAATATCCAGTCCCGAACACCTGGAAGCTGGATTGTAGATGAGATGAGCCCATCAAACATGGGGTTTCGATAAATTGCGCTTGGGTGGCGGGTATGGTAGTCGAGATCAGGGCGCCGCTGGAAACGGGTGGCATAAGGCGCATTATGCCCTCGGTGGGGAAATGCATCCAGGCTCCGGCTCGTCTGGATATGCTTGTGCGGTCGAACCAACTGAGGCCAGTGCAGGTTTTATCTTTGGCTTGTGCCTATCGAGGCATACATGAGCCTGAAAGTGAAGCAGAATGTTGGTATGATCATCGATCATCACCATTTGTGGGATGATAGGTATTGGCTTTGTCGCTATGGTTCGCCCTGTAAATTCGCCTGGATTAAACATCAACCATGATTCCACACATTCGGTAAGAAAAGAAGACTTTTTGAATTCATTCCTCAAAATCGTTTTCGAGTAGGTTCTGGACTTGGGCTTCTAGTGACGCTACGGTCATCTCTGCCTCTCTCCTTCAACCACTTCTTCGTGCTGAGCTCCAATTCGCGATCGAGATCTGGACTAGGTTCTTTTCGATGGATGAAATTGCAGAATCCACCTCTTACACAGCCTTCGCCAGAATTCAGTCGACAACAAGCTTCCCGAAAATCGGTGACGGGCGATAGTTCGCAATAGATTGGTCGAGCAGCGTACCAGCGATTGTTGAGAGCGTCGCATGCTTGTTGCGCAGAATCTTCGTACTTGAATCGTGCGTAAACATTTCCGATTAGATGATCATTGTTGTTGTCGCAGACCACAACTTCTTCAATCTCCCCATATTTGCACATCTCACACCAGAAGTCCTCATAGAAAGCATCGAAGTGGTTCTGCAGTTGGGAAGGATTCATCTTATTCTTTTGATCATATGCCGGATTCTGGTAGAGATTTGGAAGGAGAATAGTCTGGCTGTAGGATGGTTTGACATGCTTTCGCGAACATCGGTCGCCGTGTCTGCACGCGCCGATTTTGTAGTAGAAAGAGCAGTTGACCTGTTATCATGTCAGTAAGCTGAGTGGAATAGATTGTAATAAGGGAATCACATACCTTGTCTTGTTCTGTGCCAAAGATTGACGCGAGGTAGTTGGCCATCGTGAAGACTGAGCTTGTGGGAAGTTGTTGTGATGTTTATGCGTATATATGATGGAGTAGCAGGTTAATCACTGTCGTCCCTCTTCAATGATCAGTCAATACTAATAGTGTGCTTGGACAACTTGGAGAAGGTATGGTGCTGAAGGAACAGAAAGCGCAAAGAGTTTCTATACGACCGCGAGGCAAAGAAGGAAGATCACGTGCACTGTACCTGTCATTCTAGAAATTTCTTGGCGGCTTAGTCACTGTTTCGAGATCAAATTGAACTACATTTCCTGTCCATGAGATTCAATTTGAGCTTCCTTGTCGATGCTGAACTGTCGTATTACACATAATATTCGAAAATTTGAATGTCTCGCATAGAACTAGCTGTCCTAAATGAGGAGATCCTACAAGCTTGCACAGCAAAGCAGACTTTTCAGCCACCGTCTCCTGAACAGGACGTGGGTAAACTGTTGCTTAGATTCATAACCTTGAGCATGACTTGTTCATATGAGGAATCTCGTGTAAAACAACTTCAAATACCCAAATCGATGCATGTCTTCTATATGCTGTTTAATTAACTTGTAGCAACAGGGCTTGACCATGATATTCAGGTCCGAGTTAGCATTTCAATGAATAGTTTCACGCTTGAGGGTGATTAGTGGAAGCTAGTGATTGAGGCGGATTTACTTTGTTCCTGAATGCTGCCAAGCCCTGGAGCTTACTAACTCATTCAGTGGCATTGATTGGAGGTCACGCCAATCACGGATCAGACCACTCACGTACCTCTACAGCGCAGTTTCGACAACTTGAACTTGGACTTCACTCCTTGATTCTTTGTTCGACTGCTCAACAACGCTCCTACCCACCCCACCACCTCTTGCACCATGTCGGCAGCACGAGTGGCCTTCTCTGTGGCCCGACGAGTTCCTTTCAAGCCTGCCCGAATCGCTCCCAGAGCTTTCTCGACCGTCCAAGCTCGCCGTATGTCATGAACAATTATCAGAGCTCCAAACTACCTCACCAAACACTTCGGAGCTGTATTGTAAATGTTGCTAACATGCTCGGATGATTAGGAGAAAAATGGGACCCCAAACCCGGTGAATCCAAAGGACAGTTGCTTCCGTTCGAAGGTGAGCGCTCGCATAAAAAGCCAGCTGCGAAGGTCCAATGCCTTGTGAGCTAGGCTTGGGCGAATAACTCTACGCAACTTCGGGATATACTAAGCTCTTATTTCAGAGATCAAATCCGATAAAGACCTGCTCCCCCCTGGTGGTGAACCCGGAACCATCCCCACCGATCTCGAACAGGCAACTGGTCTTGAACGTCTTGAAATTCTCGGAAAGATGCAGGGTATTGACATTTTCGACATGTCACCACTGCCATCAGACAGAACAGGTGCGTCCTAAGGATACCGCCGGGCTATCAATTCGAGAGATTGGTTTACAAGTGCTGGCCGCTAATCTGATATCCTTATGCAGGAACCTTTGAGAAGCCGATTGTTGTTAAGTCTGCTGGAGATGAAATCCAAGTTGGTTGCACCGGTTCCCCTGCAGATTCCCATGTCGTGAGGTGGTGTGTGGTATGTCTTCCCGAAATTCACATGTCATGTCTTTATGTTTCCCGATTAACATGCGACTTTAGCTATCGCGTGCCCGACCTTTTGAACGTTGCGATGAATGCGGCAGTGTCTACAGAATGGATTATGTCGGTCCTGCAGATGACCCGCATGACCATAGTCACGGCCATGGCCACGGTTATGAGGAGCCCAAGACTATGGCCGACTATGTCAAGCCAGAGTATTGGTACAGATAAAGACAAAAGAATGCGAATTTTCTGACTGGATGAGATGGTCACCAACAGTTGTACATAAGCACGGTGATAAGAGGGCATTGCTCGCAATAAAGCACGTTACTGAGTTCCATATTACTGCCCATAAGGTGACCGCCCTGCTGTACGAAGGAACACGGGTCCATTGTATCTGGCCGCACGCCATCTACTAATCTTAACTTGTGCTTCAAGGTGGCGCCATAAGCTGTGCACCGCGCCCAAAGACCAACTCTCTCTAGTCGCCCACCATCTCCTTATCCCAACCTCGGCTTCATGGCGGTACCGAGCTGTACTGGAGCACTTGAAGGATCAGCTACCTGTCGCCCACCAAAAGCTTAGTGTCATTGTCATATTCTGGTGGGTGCTGAGACATAGACAGGCACGAGTTCGGTGGTCTTTGATAGCCTGCTATGTACGTAGTATAGCTTTCATATCAAGGAGGGTGCTCATGGTATGGAAACTCCTGAACCAGTAGTGCTTAATCACCCGCTGACAGCATAGGGAGTCCTCGGCTCAAGACAGGCTTATGATTATGTGGCATTTTCATGGCTGGTGGGCTTTAGTCGCCCTCTAACCATACCGGCAGTCCACACTCTTCTCACTTGTGCGTAAAGAAGATTGAAATGAAGCATTGACGAAGAAAGGGGGTAAGCTGTCATTGCAGTAGGTTTGATTGACTGGATATCAGTCTATTAGTATAAGCTGTGGCTAATAGAACACAGTCCGGACCTCGTCGAACAGCTCTAAAAGCTCCTTGAGATTCTGTTGCTTGGCTGCAATCTTCTTCTGCTTCTTTTCCAACTCGTCCTGCTCTTCTTCCACGTCATTTGGCAGTTTATCGACCCAGGAACTCATTTCTGACAGCCTAGCAAGTCTATCCTCGGGAGTGGCGGCTTCTCGTACTTTCTTGGCTGCCACATACATGGCTTTGAGGCTGATGTCTCGCTCGGCCAACACGAGCTCGTCTTGGAAGACCCAGTCCTTGCTACCATTCTCGTCGACGATTGTGCACTTCACTACCGTAGGAAACGAACTCTTGGTGGGAATTTTGGCCTTATTGGCTAGTAGGCTTGCGTTGAAAGTGGCTTGGGTCGGGGTGCTGCCACCATCAGAGTCGTAGTTAACGAGTCCACGAGAGCCAGCACCGGCGTGATTTGCGGCGAGACTTGCTTTTGCGCGAGTGTCATGCACCAATTCGTTCTGCAGGACTCGGTAGACATGGGGAAGAGCCTTGTGGGCCTTGGACAGCTTAATCACCTGCGTCTGAGGTTTGAATTTGATTTGGCTCGATGATTCGACATGCAGCGCGTTGACAGCGGCCGCGAGTCCTGCTTTTCTTCCCAACTGCTCGCCTTCGGATGGGTTGGCCTGATAAGGGGTTCCTTATTGTTCGGTCATTACCTCTCAGCCATAAGAGTTCACATTAAACTTACACTCGAGGATTCCGCCATGATCCAGGTTGAGTCTTCTTTGGGTCAGAGAGTTTATATGTTCGTTTGTTCGTTTGGAGTAACAGTGCTCATAAAGACGATATCTGAGATCTAGGGGATGCGTATGGTCGCGAAGCCGCATTGCCGTCTGCCGGTATGGTCGCTTAGTCGTATCTTGAGTTTCCACATCTCTATTTGTTGATGAACATCACAATAGCTGCTTCGCTGTAAGCCTTGGTCCATCGCGGCTCCGATATTCTGCTTGATCTGTGCATCCTTGTTGTATATTCTTCAGCCCAACAATACTGTAAAGGAGATAGATTGTGCTATCCCATTGAGTCAATCAACTGGCTTTCAGAAGCTAAATTACTGATCAGCAGGTCACAAGTCTTACGCCAACAAAGGAACGACACAAAAACTGTGCAGCCAGACGAGTAGAAGAATCAAAGATCAAAGAAAGCAGATAGAATTGGCGAGGCTGCGCACCAAATACTTGGATAATAAGGCTGAAACACATTAGGGATGCTCAGGACCATAAGCGAAGGCAATCAAGGGAAACAGGAGCTGCTCCATAATTAGAAATATTGGCGTGAATTAGGCGAGGGCTCATGGCCAGGTCTAGACATTGTGAGGAAGACATCGAAACCCCTAATTATGTGAGGACTCATCCCAATACTTTGTGCTAATCTTTTGCTTTCAATGTCGGCCCATCATCGATGTCAAGTTCCGCCAGTAAACTGAGGACCAACCTGGAAAGCTTGGAAACCCTGCCAGTCGAGTAATCATCAATCGTTATGTCGGCTCTGAATTCCGACAAAGTGCCGACATCGGAAGATCCAAAGACAGAATCAAATCTTGCGGTGGAAGATGCAATTCGAGAAGCCACAAATGATCGTGTGAGGATCGTCCTTCTGAGCATAGTGAAGGAAAGCTCAGTGGCCAGAGACTTGGTGAGCAAAGAATTGCTCGTTCAACAAAAGGAAGACAGCGCATCCAGGAATCCGAAGAAAAGAAAGCGGTACGAAATCTGCAAACAGTGCAGCAAAGAATACGCGGTTGAGCAGAACCACGAGAAGATTTGCGTCCACCATCCCGGTTAGTCAGCTTCTCGTAACCTGCCCCTTGGATGCCCCTCGTGTTGCGCACAGAGACCTGACTCCAACTTCCAAGCAGGTGCCAAACAGCTGGATTTCAATTCGGGCTTCTGGAAATTTGTCAAGAACGATGACCAAATCAAGGATGACGAAGAGTCGCAGGAAGGCTATGAGTGGACATGTTGTCACGAGCGCGGCAACGCTGTTGGCTGCACAACGTCCGAGCACTCGCCACAGGAGATCAAGCACACCAAGTTGAAGTTCTACGATGAATAGTCGTGGAGAGATGTGAGCTCTTTTCCATAGCACTTGTTCCAGATGCAGATGAGGTACCTCAACATGAAACAACCGTTGGATGTTTCAATCCGCAGATCGAGTTTGATCCGTCTTGGCGACGCGGTTGATCATCAATAACCTTTTGCCTGTAACTTAAATCCCTTTTCTCTTCCTGCACGCTAGCTGAGTTACTGCTGCGGTAGCCACATATACAAGTGCTTGTCATGCCACTACCGGGAAGGAACATCTACGCTGGGCTTGCCGACAGCTCTACAAGAAAGGACGAGGAAGGCGCGAGGTCCCGTGGCCATCCTCGTGGCATCCTCAACGAATTACACTTTCGATGCAAGTTTATATCACTTTAGGCAGCTGGCAAGCAGTTTGGAGCACAAAGTTGAATTTCTTTCTTTTGCCATCAGTGGATGTCTGCTCCTTAACCTTGAGCTAGATCCTTGTTCAAGGACCAGATTCTCTCTGCCGATATTACATGAGGCTATCCTTGCCTACAATTTGTGCTTTGAGGCATTGGGAAGGGCCGACCTCCCCGATCCGTCCAACCATGAAGTACGGAGGCAAATATCCCTAGGTAGGCATCACCTCGCAGCGCGCAAGACTACTCGCAACATGACTCGCGACCAGGGTGCAGAGTACTTGTCATGTTTTAGGAGGTCTAGCTTGATCTACTGTGGTATACGTTATTCAGGATGTACACCGCCTCGCTCAGGGTACCACCGGGAAATGGGTCAGGATACTTGCCAGACTCTACCTACGTCAAGGACAGGCATCCTACTAGGTACCTGCTTCCTAGCGCTACATCGAACCACATCCTATCCTTCCCTGGCAACGGTAGTCGGAGGACCTCTTACTGCCTACCCTTCCCCTTCCAGGAACCCCTGTGGATCCTCACCAGTGCCGCCCGAGAGTCTTCCATTGCTCAAAGCGGGATCCTTTTTAGTCGAAGAGCCCCGGCCTCGGGTGCCTGCAAGTGACTACAACTCATTTAAGCGAACCATGCAAGAATTCAGCCTCTTAGTCCTCGTCGAGTACCGTGGGATCATATGCAGGTTCCATTCATACTGAAGCAGGTACGTAACCCTTCAAAAGGTGAACAAAGCTAGCGAGCGCCTCTGCAGATGCCTGACGTGTCGCACGTCCCTGGCGATACTTCGAAAGTGTCTGTAACACTTGTCCGCATCAAGATGTTCTCAGGTGATCTCTTCTTGCTTCGCTGTCACCAATTCAAGAGCGTTGGTTGACATACTCATACCTCTTTCGAAGACAGACAATTTACCTCACGTGATGCGGCAAGATATACTCAGTGATCAGACCTGCGAACTTTGGCATGGATCAAGCCACTGCCCTGAATGTTCCGGGGTCTCTTCCTGTCTCTCTTCTCGCCCGATCCTTAGCCAGGGTCTGATGAGTTGGAGCTTCTGTTAAATGAACAGGGGTTGTATAGTGTCTAGCCTGGAGTAATTCAGAGCACGTTCGGGTTACACAACAGCTACCCCTAAGATTCCCCTCTTTGTGATTGATTAGACGCCTAAACTTATCATTACTGGCGGTCTTGATAAGTTGTCCATTCTGGTTCCGAGCGCATCACGGTGGTTGCCGACAAAGCGTCCGAACGTATTGAAGGCACCAGCCCCGAGCCGTCCCGCAGAAGCTACCTTTTCTATCCCTGCTCCTTACATCATTAGGAAATTCGTTAGCGATCTCTGGAGGTATTGGTACTTACATCATCCTTGCAGGCGATGTTGCACGGCATGAGCGAAGGATGTGTTGCCATATCTTATCACGCTTCCTCTGCTTGCTATCAAAGCTTGTGGACAGTGCACTGCACTGCATGTTTACCCTTGGCAACCTCTTTAGCCTTTGTGGTGAGCAAGGTTAGAAAATTCTTGATGGATGTCTCTTTTGGGTGCAGTGCAGTTGAAACCGGGTGGCATCACTAACCATGTCTAACATTGGTGTTTATCAAACTGTGGGCCCATCCAGTAACATATGGATCCCTCAGACTCGCTAGTTCTCCATGGGAAAAGGATGCGGACATGACATACGACCCAGTCTCATCCAATCTGCTCTTCCACATGAAGCGACTCGCATACTCGGTACAGTAGGCTTTCAGTCTATTCGAGTTTCGAGATTAAAACTAATCTCCCACGGCCGGGGTCTGTCTACACTAGATTTTCAACCCCTTCTAAACCAAAGTTTCCAAGTGTCATCATTTGCTCGTTCACAATATTATGCACTTACGAATCTGTGGCTTTTTGAGAAAAATTTGGCATTGGGAAAAAAGAAAATCTCTCACCGCAAGTCAGCTCATTATTTTCTGCTGCTAGGAAGGTCAAACAATATACCGAGTACAATTCCGGAAGGTTACTGGCCTCTATCACGCTGCAATATGCAAGCCACGTCACATCTTATGATCCAGGTTCGTCCAGAATCACGTCCTCGCATATCGAAGAGGCCCTTCCCACCAAAAGTTGCATTATTGATTCGTGTGGAATTGGATTGTGGGATGGTAAGTCATCGCCAGTTTGCTTCTGCGATGTGACTTGGACTGGGTCAATGAGCTCGATGAGGCAATCTGATCTTCTAACCCGGACTTTAGTGGGAGGACTGCCCAGAGGCTACTCCGAACGAAGTTTAATTCAAGTTCAACGCACGAGACAGGTCACATCTGACAGGCCTCATTCCGTGCAGCACCATCCCATTGTCATCAATATGTGCCCTGCATGTGGCGTTCGTTGCTCTCAACATGTCGCCATGCCGTCAAGCACAGCAGAAGGTTGGTCAAATCGCTTGCATGAACGCCGCTGTCAAACAGGCCACAGTGTACGACGCGAACTCATGAGTCACGACTGCCGCTTTAGGTGACTGATCAAGTCTAGCCAGTCATAGCGATGGCCGTGTTTAGACGAGCTCACGCCCTTCAATACGAGGATTCATAAGAGTCTGTCGCCCGGCTGTTCGGCCCCCAGGCCCCCGATGCTGTGGAACGATACACAGCATACACGCCATGCAAGTGATCCATGGATGGCAATACGAAGACGGGCAGTTCGTGGCATGCCTGCAGGATCAGCACGAAGGGTGATTGCAGGGGAGAAAAAAGATTGAGGCAAAGCTGTCCAGGTGTGCTGAGCGACCCTTCTACGGCAGGACGATCGAAAAAAATACCCAGAATCGCCTCGCAACTCTATCAGCACAACGGGGCAACACCGTCTCCAGAGAGAGTCAAGATATACATCCCGTGATCAGGGTCGGCGTCGAGCACTCGAACTTTTTCTTCCAACCGTGGGGCAGGCAAACATTAACCCCAGCAAGGCTGAGAGAGGAGGGCTTTGTACCACGTCGGTTGACATTGTGTAACCACACCCCGATGTTCAGTGTCTTACACAATGGCTCCAAAGGACAGGCTCCGGATTCCTTTCCCATGGAATATGGCCAGCAGGACGTGGGATGGTGGCGAAGTGACTGATTGACCTGATACCTTGTCTTATCCTGCCACCCCAAACCATTTTTCTAGCAACTGGCAAGGCCGAGTCGAGTACTTGCCGATGCGGTGTCCCTATAGCACTCACGACCACGGGAATACACTTCCTCTGGAGGAGGAGGAGGAGGTGTATATATGTGTGTGAAGTAAGGAACCTGGAGTGCGCTTCGAAGCTATTCGACAATAGTGCAACCGTGTTCTTCTGCCTCTGAAGCCTTTTTTTAGCCTGCCTGAATATCACTACTAGTACATGGAAAGGTGCAGAAATATTGCATTTCGGCTGGTTCAGGCTGTGGATAGTAACTTTTGTCACCACCAAAAGTTATCCGTCACTAGATCTGGCGAGTCACGCCTTGTTAGGCAGTATGAGTGCTGAACTGCCTCTTAATTCTTCCTATTTTGAACAATCACGCCATCATATTTGAGTGCGAGGCACGTTGGTAATTTACTTGGAAAATTACAAGTAGAAATGGTATTTTTTTCCGATCACATGAATCGGCATTTTAGAATTTTTCAGAGCTAGCCACCCATTGCAATGATACGCCGATGAATAAATGTCTTTGAGGAAAACGCCCAAGACACATGACGCACGCAGAAAGCAAAAACAGAAAGGGGTAGTAGAAAATTAGCTGTAGAGGTGTGTGTGAGTGTGAAGAAGCTGAGTGCAATATCCCATGTCCTGTTGTGTCCTAGCTCTCTCAATTCCTTGGCTTCATCTCTGTCCTTGAAAAGAGAGAGTTCTCTCTGTGTGGAGGGAAATATAAGCGTCTGGGGCTTGCAACAAAAGTTTGCACCCTGATGACGACTCATAATAACCATCGAAGTAGAGTACCTCCCATCTGTCCATAATCCTTCCATCGTTTCCCGTGTGCAAATGCTAATACCATCCATCATTTCGTCAATCATGAGAAGAAAAATTCGCCGATCAAGTAAAAGAACGCCCAAACACAATCAATCGCTATTTATGACAGCTCCCAAGCAGCCAATCTCCGATCTTGCTATGCATCTTTGAGAAGAAGAAAAATACCACATGGCGCATCGTGTTGAATCATCAACTCCCAAGCCAAAATCAAGTCCATGTGGACGAAGACAATCTTTGTCTCTAATTCGAAGGTAAGAGCAAGAAACCATGACCTGATCAACTGGCGGGATACAGAGGTCGGATAAGCTTTTTGCAGCCTTATTGCCAAAAGGCAAGGCATATTGACAAGAAGACCTCCCAAACCCGATCCATAATCCGTATCATTCCAATTTTTTGAGATAACCTCCCGAGTATTTTGAGTGAATGTGTTGCTTTTGGACAATTGAGGGGGAAATGCGGTAGCCCACAAGGTGTAGAAATGGAGTGAGGAAGAAAAATAAGCTCTGCGTCACTTTTCAATGAAGCATGAGTCAAAGGCATGGAAATAATGTGCCGTGAAAAGAAATAAAACTATGCAGGGAGGGCTTGAGAACGTCTGACTTCGTAGCCGGCGTAAAATCGTTTGTCGTCATCAGTGAGAAGTTTTTCATGCATCTTCTCCTCAACAGTGTCAAAGTAGTCTTGGGGCTTCTTTTGCTTGATCATTCTTCCGGAGTCACTGGCATCGGCGTTGGCACGACTTCCCCAGGTTGTCTGCGGCGGGGGGATTAGCACTTCTGGGGTTGGTATATTCGAATAACAGGAGACGTACCTCGCTAAGGCTGATGCCAGCATACAGTTTGATACCGCCATGGAACCAACCAAAGAGGATGGAAATAGGCCATAGAAGGATATCGACAGGATACCGAACGAAGTGAGTCACGAGCTTGATGAACTTAGAGAAAATCATCCACGCGCCAAAGGAGTAGAAAGCCGTTTTGGCTTGTTCAGCAGGCCAATCGGAGACACCATGATACAAGAAGAACCACAACAGAGCATCTCCAAGGAGTGCGGGTGGTGCAAGGGTTGTAAGGTGGACAGCGTAAGTGCTCCAAGGTTGTTGACTGATGTTGGGAGATTTGTCAGTGCCAAGACCAAATGATGAGCCGGGGGTAGAAGGCAAAACTTACATCCAGATGTTTCGCTCAGCGAACAAGCTCGTCATGTTACTTCGCCAGTTGCTCCGTGCCCATCGCAAACATTGCTTGAGGAACTTTGGATTGTTTTCCAGAGTTGTCTGAACCTCGCAGTCGGGGTGGTATTGCATGTAAGTCTCGTGACCGTGATTCACCATCCATCGGGTCAAGAAATTGTCATCATCCGCGTTCAACTGATACTGTCCAAACCACCACTTCTCGTTGGTGAAGCCATTGGTGAAATTGATGTCCTGGAGGATGCTGGTGCGGTATGCACAAGTGCGTCCTGAGAGGCAAGGCATGCCACCATCCATATGGGTGGTGGCTGCACAGTCGAAATTTCGGCGTTCCAAGTACAAGGCACCCAAAAAACCATAGATTCGCTGGGAGAAAGTGGGATTCTCGGCTCTTCTCAGTCTTTGGCAAGTCACGACACCTCCATATTTCTTGTCCTCGAATGGTGCCAGCATCCATTCCAAGGTTTGAATTGGCCAGGTCACATCATCGTCAGCAAAGACGATGATCTCAGTGGTGACCTCGGGGATAGCTCGGGCCATTTGGCGACGCTTGTTTGCCTGCTTGACCGACATACAGCGAATACGATGGTATTGTGCGGCTGGCATCTTGGACATGGTTCTCTCTGCTTTGTGCAAGTTCTCGTCGATGGTGACCAGAATGATCTCTTTGGGCTCGTTCTCGAGAATTGAGGCGATGGTGCGTTCGAGTTCTTCTCCCTCACCATCCAGGGTGGGCAAGATGACTGTGACATCCTTGGTGCTCAGAGTGGGGTTTTCTGGGATGGGGATTGGCTTGAAGGTCCAGAAAGACCACAGGTTGACGACCAGTCGAGCGTAGCGCCAGATGCTAGCTTGGGGGTTAGATGAGGCGTTGATCGAGTGCCGGGCAAGTTGACTTACAAGTAGCAGACGAAGATCTGGAACCAGGTGTGAGCGTCCATGATGGGTGGAGAGATATCAAAGTCCGAGACCGAGGCGGGCAAGCAATAACGACTGTAAGAGTGGTAGAACCACTCGGGGAACCAGGACGGCAAAAGCAAGGCAAGGACGAGCGAGACGGCTATTGGGAGGACATGAGGTGAAGTTGGAGGTGACCAGAGACCAAAGGAAGAGAGATATGAGTAGTACAAGTAGAGATGTTGAAATATGGGGGAAGTGGAGGGGCTAGTTAAAGAAAGAAGCCATGGCCGTGGTGGTGAGCCGTACAGGGTAAGAGGACGAGGTGGAAGTGACGACCGTGGATGCAGAGAGGCAGGGGAGCGTGAGGGAGGCGCTCACAGCCAGCAAACTAAAAGTGGCATGGGAATTGCAACATGCAGAGTGCAGAGTGCAGAAGAGGACACGACAGGACAAGATACGGACGGATAGTGACTTGATGTGTTGCAGAACGAGGGACGAGGGACGTTTCGGCTTAACCACCCCAGAAAAAGAAGAATAGCTTGTCAGTTGTGCTGCAGTGGTGGTGAGCGTCAAATTCGTTAGCCGCATGGATGGGTTGTTGGTGCCCCAGGGGTGCATGATTGGATGGAGGGGTCAGCAGGGATGATGGGCAGTGAGGGTTTCTTGCCGCAAGGGCGTTTCTGCATACGAGACTAACTGCTACATGGAGGGGGAGGCATCAATTCGTGGGCTTACTCGTCCGACATGGAGTGGGTGGGAGACGTGGGAGTGGGAGGGAAGTCTTCTCCAACAACCGTCAGCCATCAGCCATGGGAAGCACGGAGCGAGATGAGATGATAGTGGTAATAATTGAGCACGCGCTGCAGTAAACAGGCTTAGGCCCTGCAGCATGTGTGTGTGGATGGAGCCGCCACCGATGCGATTCTCAGTCTCATGTGAGAGGCACTGGCATGAGGAAAAATTATGTCTTTTTGTGGGCATCATCGCTGTGCAGGTCGCCTACTGCAAGTGCGGCCAAGTATCAGACACTGGGGGGGGTAAAGGGAAGATGCATGACGAATTTCAGAGTGACGCTCAGGCTTTGGTTACAGTGACTAGTTAAGCAGTGAGAGGGAGGGTATACCGAGTACTCCGTACCTAGAGACTTCGGTGCCCCCTACGAGCACTTCGTAGGTACCAATCGACCCACCAGCCGTCTCGGCCTCAAAGGTCTGGAGGCAATGTTGACTTGTCTGGTTATCAGCGGGCTGAACCACGACGCCGACGAGCAGAAATCGGGACAAGAACCCCCTACTGCCCCATCGTCCATCGACTCTCCAGCAACAATCGGACTCCAGCGATCAGCGCCTAACTTAGTCTTTTCAACCAAATGCGGATGCTCGAGACTATTGGCGAGTCAGGCAATCTAGTGGTCAGATTACCTCTTCCATGAGAGCGCTAAAGGCTTGACTCACTGCTACAAGGAGGGAGGATCAAGGGCTTGGCCTGGACCTGGTCTTACTGGCATTCAACATATTACCCAAGCGCAATTGCAGGCACCTCAGCGGCTGCTTGAGGAACAAATAGGCATGCCATTATCGCCTGGAGCCCTGATGACTGCTGCTTCGGCGCGGCTGCATTCCTTCCACCTACAGGCTCCCGCAGCACAGTGGACACAGTGGATTCTTCCTTTTCGTTCCTGTCTCAGAGCGACATACTTCGTACTGCATATATCTCCAACGTACGTTTTGCAGTGGCGATCCTGTCATCTTAATGCTCGGCCTGAAGTTTACCTGGCGAGGACATGATGCAGGTGATACAAAGCTAGCTCTGACGAAGCCATCTTGATGGCGGCGCTGGCACTGCGGCCTCGGGCGGGCTCTCCAGGCGCTGACAAGCATCCCGCAGCCTATTCCTCTAGGGCTCAAACCTAACCATACTGCAGCTGGTCCGCTTACTCCTGGCACGCAGCAGGTACTCGGTACATTTGTACAAGTATCCAGCATGTACCTTTTCTCTTTCCTGAGCAAGGACACTCTCAGGCCTCGGGTCTATTATCCATCAACTGTGATTGTCGTTGGGGGACCGGCTTTGCGCTGCTCGACCGACCACCGGCTGTGGCAATCATTCTCGTTCAACAATTTCAATGTTATCAACTTGGACCTCATCGAGAGCACCAGTCGAATGCCGCCTGTTCAATTCTCCGTTGATTTCATGACTGCCGCCATCACCAAAACGTAAACTGCTCCACTACACACCAGAGATTTTTGTAGTCTACTGCCCCGCTAGCCTTCTGGTTCGCATTGGACTACGTCGTAAACAACTGCCACTCTCTACCAATTCGCTGAGATCCAAGCCATCGAACTTGGATGCAGGACATGCTAAGCTCGAACGGCTGTAGGGCTTCGATTCAAGTGGCTCCCACAGTCAACTGTAACCGAAAAAAAGACCATTGCAGTCCACTCATCCTTAGCCTCTTCCCTCAAGACACCACTTGCCCACCATTCTTGCATCGCTCATCTGCTCTCTCGCCCGCCTCTCGCCCCACTACCTCGCCAACTGCTTTTCGAGTTGCGCTCATGCTTTTGTCCACTGCCCAGTAAGTCGACAGCGGACACAATCTGCCTGGCACCAATTCGCCAGCTTGTTCGCTTGCTGCTGGGACTATGACAAAGAGGCTCGAGATTCCGGAGGCTCAGCACAGCACTTGGGTGCGGCACTTTGTCCAAACTCGCCCTACAGAAGTCAAGCTAATGGGGCGAGGAATAGGCACTACGAGGTACGGATACGTCTGGCCTGCCTACGCTTCAAGACTGCTCGTTTCTCCAGATTTTCGGCGATGGCACCGATGGCATGACCTGATCACCCGCCTCTAGCAGGGCTTCTGAAGATAGTTGAAGCCACCAGAGAGATCTGAACTCAATTTTTGGCCGTGCCCGCTTGGTGCTGCCCCTCCTACTTCAATCCTCGCACTTTGCGAGATCAGCTGCACGAGTCTAGGCAAGGGTCCAGCCCAGAATGGACCTGTGCATCACCAGAGGCCTGTCTCTTCAGACCCGCCGCCCCCAGATGGCGCAATGCGACTCAACACGGAATCACCCGCAACCTCTATCGGGATAGGCCATCGATCTATCAATCGGCCCTTGCTCAACCATTTTCATAACAGCCGGGGAGGCATTGCCCCTAGCAGGCCATTTCTAACTCGAAGTTTCGTACTCGGTGTTCGAACCTCCTACTACGCGTCCCTACTACAAACCTCCATCAAAAAAGAGTGCCTGGCTGCTCAATGTCGCTAGTTCGATTTCCATTTTCGCTGCAGCATGTAGTATGATCATCAAGGATTTGCGTGTAAATACCCACCACTTCCATGCACCGGTCTTGCCGAGATGTTCCTGGATTCCCTGCGCCGTAGTCTCCGCTGACAACACAGATTTTTCCGTCTTCATCTTGATTCCTCCTTGTGAGCTTACAAGACGTCGACATGATGCACGCCACCCCAATCAGCCGATCGGCCCCCGAGACCCTGGTCGAACTTCGGACATGGGTAAAAACGGTACAGACTTAGTAGGTATCAAGGAGATCGAAGTGTAATAGCGATCAGGGACGATTGAACATGTCAGTGTTTCTCTGCATTTGTCCTCCCTCCCGTCCCAAAAGCAGCACTGGTGTCGAAGCTGGGCACGGAAGAGAGTTTGGCCAGAGACGCCACCACCCATCCAGTTCCAATTCTCTTTAGTGTTGGAAATCCACTGATAAAGGTAAGCTTGCAATTGCGGGCTACCATGTCAGATAACATGACGCTATCGACATCGGTTACTACTAGTAGTTGACATCTCAGATTTCACGAGCCGCACTCACATATTACCGCAATCATGCCGATTACAATAATCATCAGACCACATTAATCGAATCATGACTTCTTTTTTCATTTCTGCAGCGATTGTTGCCGAACATTCGATTTTCACATTTCTTCTCTCGGAAGGGGAAAAAGTGGGCGTGCTTGCAGGAATACCACAGTCCTACTGAGGACTCATGCTTGGATACCTGCAAGGTTGAGCAGGCCTATCCTTGCACGGCACTCTAGTGGGGAAAGGTCTGCTTGGAACGTCCACGAAGTCATGCAGAAGTGCACATGGTGGCGTCCTCTCTAACCTGTTAGCGGCTCCCACCCCACAGCTGAACAACAGCGAAACTATCGAAATCCACCCAGTGCTGCATGCAACTTGACTCAGACTTATCGCGGGCGGCCACTTCAGTTTCTGTTCTTGCTGAATGCCAGTACCGTCACATGTTTTGAGGGCGGCCTCGGGAGCTACGGAGTTGGTCAGTTACGAACCCAGCACATGCGAAGGACTATGGTTCCTGCTTTATGCGAATGTTTCACGAAGATCTTGTGCAACGCTGAAAACCGATTGCAAGCTCAGATCAGTGATACATGCGCAAGACGGAGGTAGTGCTTTGTGACTCTGGACACCATTGTTCGTGATAATTTGGAACGAAAAATGGACTGTAGCCAGTCGTCGGGGTTCCAAATTATCAAGGAGACTCAAGATCTGACAACGGAGCTCCTTGAGATCAGAAAAGAGTACGGAGTTTACCAAAGGTAGGACATATTCCATATACGAGCTGCGTCCTTAAGCAGGTCATCCCACGCTTTCCCGTTTCATCGTGAATCGTATATGGACGTCTGCGGCATAAAAGGCAAATGCTCAAGTTGTCGCAATTCTACCGTTGACTACGATCGGAGCTCGCTTATACATCTGTGTTGGTTGACATCCTTTGCAGATTTCAGCCACCTGATGCATCTTGTCGCCAATTTACGGAATTGGCATCGTACATTGCAGCGCACGAGTCTAGGGAATCCAAGTTTCTGCAGTCATGCCTTGTCAGAGTGCGACACACTCGCCAAGTGATAGACAAGAAACAATAATGACCAGCAAAGTCGGCCCTAATTGGAGCAGGCTGAACACAGCCCCGAATTTCAACATTCTCCCTAGCTTGTCCTCGGCAGTTCCGGCCGTTTCTGTACAATCCAACCACTGCTGATTTCTTACAACCTGTCATCGAGTTTTAGCTGATCTGCAAGGCATGGATCACTTGACAGCACAGAGTGATTTTCTATAGGCATTGATCGACTAATCGTGTGACCAATTTCGTGTAAGTCTCGAGATCTCCTCTCAATCAAGCAGATCAGTTGCCCCTTGCCCAGCGGTGTTGTTCCGGTACTCAATCGATATTCGCGGTTCAATCCACCGTGTTATTTCGTGAGCGAGCTACACATTCGTCCCTTTTTTTCGCATCACAAGACCCGTTATAGAAAGAGTCGTCATCTGTAGCAGACAGGACGTTGATAGACTACGAATGAAGATACAGATTCATCATGCTGTCCGGAAGCAAGGGCTGCTGTTCCCCCCGAAGCCAGCGCGTTTGGGTGCATTGAGTTGCATGATTGTGTGTGCAAGCACCTAAACAAGTTGCATCATGGGTGGTCCAACGGTTCCTGGGCGATCTGCCCTCAACTGCATCATGCCCCTCTCGCAGAAGAAAGATGGTGTGTTGTCCTTGCATCATTCTTCGGTCTCAAAGTGGGAGGGAGGAGTGGGATACAATTCAGTGACAGAATGATATTGTCCTTCTGCTCGACACAAGAGAGAGCTGCCTACCCTGGGATGTCATCGCCCGCCCAGTGATCCCCCGTAATTCTTGGCGTTCAAGAAGGAAAGTGCTCCGCACTGTTTTGGGCGATTCTTCCAGAGTCACTCTTGCTGCCCGCAAAATCCTTCCTCTCCAGCTCGGCCTGTAGACATTTCCACTCCCACCCAAAGTTCCATCAACACAGCACCAGTTACCCATCTTTAGAACTCCAGCAGTGTCTATCTCTCCACGGGAGATCGACAAACTATGGTTCATGCAAGCGAGGATTGATATGCATTATGTTTGACACCTTCACCGCCATTGTCTTTGCCCCTGGATCCCTCGTGGCTTGACGCAATCTGGCGGTGAAGGTACAAGATTACAAGGCTTCTACGGATATCTCGATTGACGTGCATTCCCCACGGCCCGAAGCGGACTCAACTGTCAAACCATCTCACTAGTTCCTGATACTCGAAATGTCGCCTACAGGCTTGTCACCGCTTCCTTATTGATATAACTTTATTTAACTCTGATTAGACCTCGACACTTGTGTTGGGTTGCGTCAGTTCTTTGCTACGCTATCCTTCTCATTCAAAATGTTCATTTCCAACCCGGAAAAGGGGTCGAAAACTCAATGGCTCACCCAACTGGTATAGCGTTGCTCGTCCATGTACCCCGCCATTTTATGCCTGCCCGTCGTGTAACCCGCAGATACGAAGTTTGATGATCTGCAAAAAGCTCGCCTTTGAAGCCCCGTCCGAAGTGCGATGACCACCGAACCGATGCCAGTTGGACGAGTTGACCACAATGGCGCCGATTGTACTTGTTCAGACAACGAGGTCTTAGCCGTCTTCCAATCACAAGGTAGGTCGTCACCAGAATTTGAGCCTGTGTGGTATTTCTCCAACTGGGTGTCATTTTCCGTTCCTGCAGTCTATTGTGTTCCCGTTGCACAAGATCGGCCCTGCAGCCGGTATGCAGGTCATCAAACATTGAGCAAAGATCCCGAAAGACTACGTCCATTATAGCAAGTGGCTTCTAGATCCTGGTTGTACAACCGCAATTCTGTGAGCCTACTTTCCGACACTTCAAGGAGCATTCGTGTGCACGTCATGCCTGACATCCGACTGGTCAGTTGTCCACCACACACCATTGTCCAGCGAGGATTCGACTCCCTCTACCCAACAAAGCACTGTCTTGGCATCTATCTGGCTGAGGCAAAATTTCCTTATACTTACTATCGCCACCACACCTAAATCATCTTCTCGAATTTTGCCGAGCACTAAAAATTCTCAGTGTAATTTCCATCACCTTCAATTGGGCAATGAGTCGTTCCAAAGACCTGGGTCTGACGATGGTCTGCAGTCTGCAGAACACCTGGATCCTCTAATCACCTGCAGGCTGCAGGAGTAAAGTGTTACCATGATCGTACTCTGGCTACACATGTATTCCTCATTGGCGACAATCCCTTTTGTTGAACTGTACTAATTATCGGTGGCTGCATCTTCTGTATTGCTTCTGTAGGATCTACGCCGCCCTTTACATGCCGAGAAGATGTAATGCAGGAGGTAGCACATGCCCCCTACGCTTTCACCGCTTCTCTCTTACCTGATGGTTATCGCTAGCTGCAACCTTCTCGTCTTTCTGTCCAAACTTCGTCACAAATGCTCCAGGTTTTGCGCGTGGACATCTTCTTTTTTATGTTTTCAAACTGGTTTCCGCTGGCTACTGCCGCTTCATGGCCCGATATGATTGTCAACCGCCATCTGCTATGGGCATCTATAGCGCATGTTGAGTTTCTTCGCGATTTGAGAGAGATCGATTGGTGTTCTACCGTCTAGGCGCGAGCGCTGTCAATTGTCGGAACCTTTATGAGGCTCAAAGCCCTGCTATGCCCAACTGTCTCCCAAAGTTTGTCCAAAGTCAAAACTACTGAAATATTACGGGCTAATCATCCGAGTTCTCAAGCAGGATGCACCCCACCGTCTAACCCATCTCCAAAAGGGGAGGACTGAGTTGATAAAACCCGGTTCAGATTGCGCATGGACCAGGGGAAAAGGTCTACCCACGCAGCAACATTTTCTCATCCGATTGATCCCGTAATCCCTCCCTATTATCTCCTCCCATATTGAAACACCTTGGCCTACGCACTGGCCCGAGGAAGACCAAGACATTGATTTGTTGCGGCGGAAGACTTGGGTAGTACACAACACAAAGCAAATAACTCACCACCGGCTTCCAGCGGATGATAAAGCCTTCAGAACGGCGGATGTTGCAGCAAAATGAAGATTGTCTTCGGGCCAAGAAATCTAAAGGCATATCGTCAGCATACCACGCCTAGATTTCCACAGCACTCTCCCCTTGATGGAAGATCCTATGGCTATCTGACAAGGCGTTGGCCTAAGACGGCGTACATGCGAACCCTGGTGGAGACTTGATACCTTGACCCGTTACCTACATCAGGTTAATGTTAGACTCTGGCTCAGTTCACACAAATGAAGTTCAGTGGTTAGAGACAATCCACCAGCAAGACCCGCAGGACGTTCGCGAGGGTTACAGCCTGACAAGTCGGGACGGGGCGCCACCCGCTGCCAACTGAACTCTACGGGTAAGGCTGTCACTTTTATTCCCACCCCTTCGCAAAGGAGCCAGCTTGCGGGATCTGGCAGTTCCGTTACTCTTCGCCAGTGTCAAAATCTGCCTCAACGATTCTACGACGCTTCTCGTCGCCCCTGGCTTCGGACCTGATTCACACCATGTCAATCTATAAGAGTCGTTGTTGAATGATCTGATCGCTGACATGCGGATCCAGATTTGATCGTGGTGAGTCGACTGATAAATCTCTTACTACAAGGACCCCGAGTCTGCTGTTTTACCGATAAGCTGGACTTCAGACGAGGCATATATCATCGAGCCATACTGAAATCAAGTGAGCCACATACCAATGCTTGTCCGGATTCTTGGTGGATGGAAGAACAATGCATCAGGATCAACATGCGGTAGGTATCGCTTCCAAATCCCATGCCTGCAGTCCTTTGTCCATTTCGCCGTTGCAATCACTCAATGGTTCAGTGTGGTCCTCATGACTGCAACGAATTTCGGGACACTGTACACGCTACTCGACCACCAACTCACCAGTCCTTTTGACGCCAATCGAGGTTCTGATCTGCTCGTCCTTCGAAATACCATGGCTAGCCTCATCCGTATTCGTACACCGCACAATCCAATCACTTTTCGCTGGCATAAAGTCAGACGATATCTACCCGTCCGATTCCCCTTCAAAATCCAGAATGGAGCTTGTAGGGTCCAATTCTCGTACGCTTCTTGGAAAGCTTGAGATGGCCACAGTGTCTGCTAGACAGACGTGCCTGCAATGTGTATCTATGGATCGGGGTGGCTCTCTCCTGGCCCTGGAGCCCAGCCTCCGAGCTTGATCTTCTTATGTTCTAGTTACTGTAAGACAGTAGTGGCTAGGGACGTGGAGGATGCAGGATACTCAAAGGGCGCGTTGAGGCTTTGAAGTCGTGTCTACATACCATGATTGAAGGAGAGCGCGATATCTCATCGACATCATTGGAACAAGTATTTCTTCCCATTGAACTATACGTATCATTCGTTGTAGTTGTCCCATCCTCATCAGCCTCATTTTATCTCGCATAAAGAAGAACCCATGAAACTACCGATGATAGCAACGCCGATCAGCTCACCGTTGTCGAGTCGAGGGTCGAGATACCTCATGTCCAGTAGCCAGCTATGACCGGACCTTCAAGCCCCAGCGACGGTACTCAACAACAACAACAACAGCATCATTCCATTTCCCCTTTCCCCTTTCCCCTGACGATGAAAAACATCAACATTCTTACGCCAATCAGTCACGCGGCCTCCACAACCACCCCTCCCTCCCCAGATTGACCTCGAACTCGACGCCGCCGAAAACCCCGATCGCGAGATACAAGTCACCATCGCCCTGCAGGCCGTCGACGCCTTCGTCCCTCTCATCGCGCTCCTCGTCGACATCCCAGCCGTCGCTCTCGGCCCTCTTGCCACCCCTCGTGACAAAGACTCTGGTCTTGACACGCCCCTCTGGGCCCTGCGTGCGCAACTCCTCCGTCCCAAAAGTCATGCCGACCCCGATCGTCTCGCCGGCTTTGAACTCGGACACGAAATCCCGCCCGCCCCACGGATCGTTCACGAACCGCCGCCCGTCGTCGCCGTGCACGCCGACACTCGCGCGGTGCCAGCCGGGGAGCCGCCACATCGGGTACGGCTTGCCGGCGTAGCCGATGGCGATGCCCGAGTTGGCGTTGCTGATGTTCAGAATGCGGATCTCGAAGTAGATCGTCTTGGGGCCGGACGTCAGTAGCGGGTTGTCCTTGGCGGCGAAGTAGAGTGGGATGCTGGAGAGGATGATGGCGTCCTGTGAAGTTTTGGATGTTTTGATCCGGTAGCTCGCGGGTGAGAGCTTGCGGATCGTGGACGAGCTAGGCCACAGTTGTGGTGGAGGCGTTTCGAGACTCAGGTGGCCGGCGTTCGCGAGGGCGTGGAGCTCAGGGGTCGGGAGCGACGGTGTGTATGATGGGTTCTGGGCGCACCAGGCATGTGCGCGCTCGGCCGAATCGTAGCTGGCATTGTTGCTTGGAGAGTAGTCCTGTGGTAGTGCTGGCGGGGGTGGGAGGAGTGCTGTGTCCGGAATCACGGTCCAGTCGTGGTATGGTGGGGGGTTTGCGGACTGTGATGGTGGTGGACCGGGTGGTGGTGCGTATGTGTCTTGCTCGTGTTGCTTGGAGTGTGATGGGGGAGGTCCCGGAGGAGGAGCAAAGTCCTCGGCGTGCTTTCCCTTTCCATCGGTGCGTTGTGATGGTGGTGGACCGGACGGTGGTGTGTACTGCTGGTCGTCTGTGGAAGATTGTGCTTTGGATCCTCCACCGAATAAACGACGCTTCTCTTGCGTGGCAGACCAGCCGTCGTGAGACGAAGAATTGTCTCGGATGGGTTGCTTCGTTGGATCATCAACACCAACGTCACGTTTACCCTTGAGGGAGCTAAAGAGACCCATGTTAAAGCAGAGTCTAGAATGTCCGCTCTTGGTGAGAAGTGGGAACTTCGTATGATGGGGGCCGCCTCAGAAGGGAATAACTCTGAGAGCGCTTGCTTGATATTGGAGCGACGTCAGAGCACAGCAGGTTCCACAACTGAGACAACTGCGCCAGAAATCGAATTCGATTATCCTCGTGTCGTCAATGCGAAAGTACACTCAATCACTGAGCATGTGCAAATGTTGCACCTAATGGGCCTGTCTCGTTCGTGTTCAATGCTTGTGAGTACAGTTGAGCAGATGGTCTTTATCTGCAGGGCCTTCGTATGGCTAGGTCTGGGGTAGCGCGTATTCGTGTTGTAGAAAAGTGAATCTGACACGTTGCGAGACTGACAACAAGTCGTGAAGGAGGAGCTGTGATCGATCACGCTTGCAATCGTCGACCGAAGCTCGATGCATGCAAGAGCGGCACGAACGAATTTGGACTTGGACCCTGGAACAGTCGTGATGAGGTCTAGACCGACAAACGCGGTGATATATTACTCGTCACGGAAAGTGGCGGATCGTCCTCCACTGATAAAGTCGAGATGAGGTCTGAGTCAATGACGGCAGAGGCGGGTTTCTCACGTGGCTCAGATGTGGACCGCGGGGTAGAATAGTAGGGGTCGAATATACTAAAAAATCATCTCTATGAAAAGAAGACAATGGCAATAGAATCAAAATTCCGAATCCAGGACTGCAACACCCTCATTATATTCCACGCGAAACTCAGATGCCAGAGGACATTGTGGCTGTGTAGAACTACCAAACCGAAACTGCCGCGGAGAGGTTCCACATTCGGAGACGTATTGATCGCTATTTGAATTAAGTGAGGCTCACTACAACGGGCACGAGGCGAAATTGATAACAGTTGGTTGGCAAGACGTATTAACACCATAGACTTTCTATGGGTATTATTTTATTTCCAAATTGTGTAGAGAAGCTTCACTCCACATCAATTCGTAACTCGTCTGCCCACCTAGAAGTCGTGCGTGGCACGCCATCATTCAAACAGTATCTCCCTTTTCTGTTGACCCGTAGCTGGATTCTCAGGCCATTCATCCAATACAGCTTGGGCACCAGTCAACGTGAAATGCAACATCGATTGTGTTGGCACATCGACCAACAAGGCATAGTCCCCAGGGAACAACACTTGATTGCCATTCTCGTCGTACCTCGATAGACTTCCGAGCGTCAAATTCAAAGTCGCTATGGAGCTGCTTCCGCCTGGGATGTCAAACAGCCGCTCATAAGCCACTAATTGCTTGATGGGGTATGGAGCTGGCCCATATTGTCCAGAGATGAAGCCTAAAGTCACAAAATCTGATGAGACTTGACCAATATTGGTCACGTTGACCTGGATAGCTGTAAAAGGACAAAGATCGAGATATTGAGAGTCTGATCCGTTGCAGCTTGAGACCAAGGACGAAATATCGTAGCTAGATTGGCTTGGTTCGATGATAGTAGTGCTGAAATTCGTGTAGTGTAATCCATAGCCGAATGGGACGACAGCCTTGTCATACCACTTGTAAGTTCGGCCCGGGTTTCCTGAAGTTGCATTAGGTCTAAGGTTCATGTCAGTCAATGGAACTTGGTTGACATATTCTGCTGGATATTGCGTGATCGGGAGTCGACCAGCAGGACTCGTCTTTCCAGTCAGGATGTTGAAAAGAGCATCACCACCAGCCATGCCAGGATAACCACCCCAGATGATTGCGGAAATGTTTGGGTGGCTCAAAAATGGACTGTTGTCCAGCTGCGTGCCAAACTGTGCAAGGACCACTGGCTTGCCCATCGAGGCGAATTGATTGATGATGTCGACAGAGGCTGGTGGCCAACCAATATTATACCGATCTTTGCTCTCAGATTCATCGCTGGTACTGATACCATCGGCCACGATGATGATGTCAGCTGCCTCAGCAGCAGTGAGTAATTCATCCCAACCATCAGTTGTGGGCACTCCAAATCCACCTCCATATTTCACATTGACATTAGGAAGTTGTTGAGCTGCATACAGTGGCGCATGGAGGTAAGGTGCAACACCGAAATAGTTCCCTTGCATTTTCGTGGTTGCATTTGCCCAGCCACCAAGGAGAGCAATCGTAGTATTATGATCCGTGGGAAGGGACAACGGCAGAAGCCCATCATTTTTGAGTAATACCATGCCCTCTTCAGCTGCTTTGAGAGCGAGTGCTTCAGCATCAGGTGTCAAAACATCCGACCATCCCAGAGATCGATACGGAGTAGCTGATGGAGGATCAAAGTACCCCAATTTGAGGAGGCCCGAGATAAGTCTTGTGACGGTCTGGTCAATGACCGAATCGTCGAACAAGCCTTGATCATACGCGTCTGGAAGGTGAGTTGGATAATAAGAGCCCTGAACCACAATAAGTACACTTGTCCATGCAATAGCAAGCAGTCGAACTTACGCAATTCAAGTCAGTTCCAGCGACCAATGCATCCGCAACCGCCTGCTCTCGAGTCGGAGCATAGTAGTGCGGTGCATAAATGTTTTGAATTGCATCGCAATCAGAAGTCACATAGTAGCCATCTCCTGTCCAGTTCCAGTGATCCCTTAGAATCGTTTGAAGGATATATGGATCGGCACAGGTCGGTACTCCGTTGAGAGCATTATACGAGCACATTATCGATCTGTGTGCGTTAGCATCCATGAATGAATCATTCAACTCAAACGTACCCAACCGCAGCGTCCCGAGCACACGTTTGAAATGGTTGGAAGTAATATTCTGCCAAGTCTTGTGTTGTGACAATCGCATCGAAGTTGTACCGATCTGTGTTCTCCCAGATTTCGAGATCGTATGCCACGAAGTGCTTGCAAGTTGCTATGACCTTTTTGATTGCTGGGTCATAACCTCCTTGCAATCCATCGATCAAGGACGCGACATAAGATTTCAAATGGAAAGTGTCTTCACCAGGCGTTTCCTGGCCACGACCCCATCGTGGATCCCTGTGAGCAATAGTTAACAACGGATTGTACCATTCCTCGCGAAAATTCCCAACTATGTAGAGCAGACTGGTTTGCATGAAGATCTCGCACTGTCGACATGCCGCAGAGCCCGAGTAAATTAAGTACACATGGGAGGGCATTTTCACTCACTTATATGGATTGATATTGGGTGTCCAAAAGTCCAGACCTGTTCGATTCACATTGCTGAATGCACGTGCCTCTGTGCTGACAACGGTCGCAACAGCATGTATGAGCGCATCGTCAAAAGCTGCTCCCATCGTGATGGGTTGCGGAAATGAAGTCGCATGCGAAAAGTCTCCTGAGGCACTGAAGTTCACTCCGGGGCTGCTCGCTACACCGTGCAATGCCTCCTCTGTCTAAAGGTTAGTCAAGTTCAAAGAAGGGTCTGCGATACATAGAGTAAACTCACGCCACCATTGGTATGATGGAAGTCCCAGCCGAGGGACTCCAGGAGATGTATTGCCAGTGAGATTGAACTTCTCATCGATGGCCAGAATTGCAACAAGCGCCTTTGCACGGTCTGCGACGGAGGCTCCTCCATCGCAAACAGTGTTGTTTGCGAGCGGACCATTTCTGCAGTCCGGAAATCCGTAGGAAGCTGCGACTGATACTAAGGTTGAGAGCAGTAGTCCTTTGCAAAGGGCAGACATGGCTACAGCTGCTCAATGGTGAAGTGGAAGATTTGTAGGAGGCAATTGCGCAACCCCATCCTACTTACCTGAAGGAACGATCACATTTAACCATGAACACAGGCTCATTTCGACCACAGTATGCCGTCATACTCTACACCCGCATCGTTTGTACTCCGCGTGTGGAGTTTTCTTGAGACTGAATATGGAGTTTAGATTCCATTCTGCATGGTTTCCAGGGACAAAGAATATTGCAATGCCGATCACCGGAAGAATTCGTGCCGGGCATAGGCATGATGAGGGGTGCAGGATGGTGACGAGTATGTATACTACCACATGGGTGTTGAGTTGCAAGGGAAGTTTCGCAAGTCGACATGCATTTCCCCGGGGAAGGTTGCAAGGTGGATTTTTATCTCCACTGTGTGAACCTTGACATCAAAACAAACATTTCTTTCCGTTCATGATCCAGTAACCACCTAAGCATTTTACACGTGACATTGAATTGCACCCGTGTTTCATCAACATTTAATGATCAATGACAGAGAAGCTTATGCTGTGCCAAAATTGCAACCGTTGTGGCACCAAAGCCCCGCACGCCATAGGTTTATATTCAGGCAATAGAGGCCTTGTGAGATGATGCAGAGAAAGAGCAGCGGTCAGACACAGCCTGGAACAATTACCGGTGACAGTTCTCCGTCTTTCAAATGAGGAAATATCCCAGAGGTACAACGCGTTTGACTGGTAGTGAGCGTCATTTGGTGTTGGAAACGGCAGATTTTTACCTAAGTAATGAGAACCTGGAGACCATCAGCAGATGTTCAATAGATCATTCACCCTGGCCGCTTATTAGGCTAAATCGCTGAGAAATGTGGAGGCGGAGGTGGTACATGACGGAGGAGAAGCTGGGGTTTACCAGCCTCTCATGACTGCATCACCCACTTCGGAACCACGAATCAGGAGACAGGCAGTCACGGCCTCGCCAAACCCCCCTTCTTGTCATGGAATATTCGATACACGTTAGTCACGATCGCCGTCCAGCCGTCTGGTGCCTCCCTAAGCCTCTAAGGCTGTTGGCCAGTGTTTCCTAGGAGGGAAGCTTCCTGCCAGACCCAAATATGCTTGTAATTGCTTGGCCGAGCCTTGGATATCTTGCTTCGACTGTCTGCCGAAATACTGATCCATCACTAGGATTGTTGCTGACCTTACCTCGAATGGTATGATCGACTCTCTGCATGGCTCGCCTCTCAGTTGCTGCAATCTGCAGGCCATCTTGCTTCACCTCATTCAATATGAGCCTGAAGCTGGGCTTGTAGGACAACGTGGCGAGATAGGCGACAGGAAAACAGTTCAATTCATCTCGCCTTCTTTTATTGTTGCTTCCATCTCGTAATATATCTTCGTACCGACAGACTCAAGAGCTGTAACATGGCTCCTGCTGTGGAAACCTCCCAATTCAACGATGCTGCCCTTCAGCGCCGCCTTGCTCTCGTTGGCAAGAAAGGCTTGCAGCGATTATGAGAAACAGTGGTGTTTTGCTTATCGCGAGCATTGGGCGTGGTTCTTTGTTGTTCACCCCGATAGGTCTTGGGGTCTTTGTAGATGGCCATGGCTTGAGTAAATGAGAATGCAAGCTCACCTGCCAGGCTTTAATTGATCGAGGGTTTCGGCACAGTAAAAGATCGCACAATGCATATGATTCACGGCCATCCATTGTTGAGATCTAAACTTGAAACCCCCAGCGCGTTCACGTGTAGTGTAGCCAACCTGGGATGTTGTTCCGTGGTATCTCACGAGCTGAATATGGCCACAGATGCTGTCTGATTACACCGGAGAGTAGCGACATGATACGGAGGCAGTTTAGCATCTCATCTTTCGAGGGCAATTTCGAGTGATGATGTTAAGATTAGTTAATCGCGCCTGGGATGCCTCGCGACGCGACAAACGCCGCCGTGAGCGGGTGGCCACGGGCCGAGGGTGCCCGAGTCCTTATCCTCAAGTACCACTGGGGACCCGCTAGGGGTTAAGCGCTTCACGGTTCGAGCCCCCAGAAGTATTCCCCTTGAACCTCATCCACGTTTGGAACAAGCATCGGATGTCTATTATGCCGCTTCTGCAGGACCTGGTTACAGTGCTGGAAGACTCAGTTACAACAATACCTAAGCATGCATTACCATGATAGATGCATTCCCAGTGCTAAAGACAGCTCGAGAGAAGCGTACATTACCTACCAGCCACACAATTTTGAATCCAGCCTCGTCTTCTTTTCAGTAGGTTATGGGGAAGGCGGTTACTGTCCTCTCTTCTAGAGGAAGGAGATTCATCAGTAAGTGCCAATGATGGTGTCGGACTAGTCGTTGGAACCGCCCTCGACGGAATACATGAGTATCATTCCACAAAGATGCGAAATACCACTCTCGTTCATGTCATCGCAACCTTGCTCACTCTGGTAAACCATTCCCTTACTTTGATAACCACCAACTCCCTCCCATTCAAAATCACTCAAACCACCACCCAAGATGACCCAAACTATCTGGCACCAATCTTCCCAATCCTGCCATTCACTAAATACAAGCACAATCCCATTCTGAGCCCGAACCCCTCCAACAAATGGGAATCAGCGTACGTGTACAATCCAACAGCGATAGTTCTCAACTCGACCATCTTCCTGCTCTACCGGGCACAAGACTCGGAGCGTACATCGTCAGTCGGACTCGCCTGGTCGACTGACGGATATAGCTTCACGAGACTCGACGAACCGATCTTGTATCCCACGGAGCGATGGGAGGCTGGCGCTGGAGGCGGCACCGAGGATCCCAGGATCGTCCGCGTCAACGGCACGTTCTACCTAACGTATACAGGCTACGACCTCAACACGCCGCAATTATGCATCGCGACCAGTGAGGACCTGCTGCATTGGAAGAAGTACCCGCCTGTCTTCCCGGGGTTTGAAGATATCGCCATCAGCGAGCGAGGCGAGCATATCGCGAGAGTCAACCATACCAAGAGTAAGTGCTGACACCGTATCTCCCCAAGTCAGAAGGGATATCTGGAGTACTCACGGCAACCTCGAATTTCCAGGCGCTGCAATCATCACCGAACCCACGACTGACGGTCTCTACCACATGTACTTCGGCGACAGCCTATTCTACCACGCGACATCGCCAGACCTCCTCCAGTGGACCCCAAATCCCACCCCGTTCGCGAGGCCCACCTTTCCGTGGGAGAACGGGTTGATCGAACCAGGCCCAGCCCCGATTAAGACACGCGATGGGAGGTGGCTGCTCGTGAGTTCATTCGTCTTTAACCACCAATGTCCTGAGCCGACCTCTTTTCCTTTTTCTGACACCTGGCGCGCGATGTAGATCTACAACGCCATGACGACCGGCGCGGACGAATACCGTGCGACGCAATACTCGGTGGGCCAAATGCTTCTGGATCCCTCGAACACGGTCGAACCTCAAGTCCATTTGTCCGATGATTCACTCGACCTTCAGAACCAACGACATCATCAACATCTCCACGACAGTCCACAACACCAACAGCATCCGCTATCTTCACCACCACCCCAGCCGCCACGACGACAAAGACCCCTGGCGCGCCTGGAGACGCCGTTCCTCGTGCCGTCGACGCCCGAGGAGGAGCGCGGACAAGTCGACCTCGTGGTGTTTGCCGAGGGGCTGGTGCAGTTCCAGGGCAAGTGGTTTCTGTATTATGGACAGGCGGACCAGACGCTTGGGGTCGCTGTGGCGGATGTGCAGCCTTGAGGGAGGGCACTTGCAGAATGAGCTGTCTAAACGCGAATCAAGGAGGATTAGTTATGAGGAGGGGGGCGTATCATGATATTTAATCCAGTGCATTGAGAAAGATGGTGACAAAGGCATTAAATTAAAGTAAGAATGATGGTTATAAATCATAGAAGAACATCGGAATAAATCGTATTCATATGAAGCTCTCCAACGTGTGCCATGCACATGTTGAATATATGATATACTGGATCCGACGTCTATCATTGGGTATTTCTCCTTAAAAAGGCAAACCGCGTCATGGACAGAATGACGACTTGATCAACTAGCCATCTGGGCTCCTCATTACACTGCCATGTAAGTCCCTTTTACCTAAACCTGTAAACTCCCCAGGTCACGGGCCTCGACCCACTGACCATCACCCAGTTGCTATTGTACATGAACACTCAAAAGGGGCAAGGTGTTGACGGAGACGTCATCTTTAACCTTGGCTATGAGCGATTTCCAAAAATCAACGACCATCCGATGCTGATGAAAGACATGACCAGATGGAACTCTGGTGACAATGGACTTAAAAAATGGGTCGGGATGTGATGAGAATAGAAAAGCCGTTCAGGGCCATAAAATGAACGGAAATCGTTTCGTGCACTCCAACGACAACAACGTATCTTCTATACTTCTCGTTGCAGCTGCGCCACCACCGATCTTGTCAAGCGAAGGCGTGGGTATCATAAGTTTTGATGTAAAATATCGACATAGATATGGCGTTCAAGGTCAGATGTCTTGAATCGAATTTGAAGAATCGTTGTCTTCGATCGCTATGCTTTGATGCATGGATGGCTGTTAATATGAACAGTCCAGGATGATGCCGGACAGGGCAAGAGAGGATACGATAATCGAGCCAAAAACTCGTTCATCGCCTGCCCTTCTTCCCACTCGTGCTGGCACTTCGACCAAGATTGTCTTTCGACATGGTTCGGGTCAGACCACCAATGTAGTCTTGGAGAAAACGGTTTTCGTTCTCTAGTTTATCATGGTCGGACTTTACTTCATCGATTTTCTCTGCCAATGCGGCGAGCGAGGACTGGAGATTTCGGGCTTGTCTATAAGAATGATTAGTATGGCCCAAGGAACAGAGAGTTGATTTGAAAGCGTACTCTTTGAGAGATTCTCGAACACCACGCTCCAATCGCTCGATATCTTCGCTGTTCCGTCGAGGACTCATGGCTCGTGCATCATCCGGGGGATAAGCTCGTTTTTCTGTTTGGACTACGTCGCGACCCTTAGGCACTATGATGGTATTTGACCTTTGGCGATCTCCCAATCTTGGTCTGTCCATTCGTGATCGCCGGAAATTATGTCGTGACGATTGTAGTTGAGAGGAGGATTCGGATTCGGAGGAGGATGAGGACGATGCGCTTGATATCGAGGGGGAGGTAGACGGGTGGTATGCAGGGCCGGGTGACTGTTCACCAGTCATAGATACTGGCTGAGGTTGTGAAGCCGTAGCCTGGGACGATGATGTATTACTGGACATTTGTTGGTAGCTATCCCCCGTGAGAGTTGTTGTCCGATAGATTCTGAAAGACTGGTGGACCTGGGTTTTGGAGTCGTCGAATTACACATGGGCCGGAGTACCGTCAAAGTCACTGAACGCACTGCGCGCCGACCAATAACTGCACTCTTGCTGGCCGAAAGAAAATCGTCAAGACATTCGACAACGAGCACCAGCTCATATGATTTGAACCAGACTGAGAAAGACGGCTGCTGGGAGAAGATGAATACGTCTGCTCTACCCGGTAAGAGTGTAGAAAGTAAAATGGAAGGAGCTTGGCAAGAGTGCGGTGTCCAGAAGGTGGATGTGGGAAGAGTAGGACGATAAGACGACAAAGTTCAGAGTCAGAGGGGGCGGTTGCTGGAGTCGGATGGGTGTTGGTGGAGGAGGTGTTGGTTGACGACGATCAGGCGGAAATGGGGCAGGATTGGCAGTCAAAGAGCAGGTCCAAGAGTGGAAATGGTTGTATCGGTGAGGGCCCGAAAAAGAGTGGTTTAGGATGTGAGAGGATGGACAGTCCCATTGATCGACAGCAGGTCAAGTGGGATTATTGGGTGAAACCGTGTGTACTGGAGAAGAGGTTTCACTCAGACTCTTTGAGTTGCCAGTGAATGTTTTTCTTGACCCATGGCAAGAGGCGAGTTTCAAAGGATGATTGTCAAGAGCATTGAAGTGCTGTTGTTGATGATGACGATTGAAGTTGGTGATGAAGAGCCTGATTGAACACAGAGTGGGAGGTGGGAGGCAGGAGGAGGCGGGAGGCAACAAGGCTCGAGCAACAAGGCGCTGGCAAGAGCTGCTGACTCGAGTGGCACCTGCGGGCTGCGGCGTGCCTTGGAAATTGAGTGGGTGGCTAAGGATTTGGGGAGCAAATGAAGCCCGCGAACAGCCCGAATAGCCGGGAGAGTGGGAACCATGACGTTGATTTGGGCCCTCCCACTGACTGTGCACTGTCCACCTGGGCACCCACTCCCTTAGGCTCTTGGTTAGGCTCCTAAGCTCTGCGTCCTCGCTGGCTATCAATCATACTAAGCTATTGTGAGCACATGATACACAGACAGCTTCAGTGGCTATTCGTCCAGGCTCATGCAAGAGGCTCTTCTGTCTCTAGTCTAAGGCAGTTTGGCCACTGCCAGCTTGACTGTCAAATGCCCTGCCATGCCATGCCTTGGTGGATCGCTGTTTTGACAAAAGTAATTGAAAATCTCAAGAGATCTTCAGCTCGACCTGGATATCCGTCCTGTCACGCAACAGAGACACTCTACTCCTGTAAGGGAACACTCAAATTCAGCGGTATTCCAGAACCCGCCCTTATTGATCCCACGTTGTACTCTTGGCCGTGTGGAGGGAATGCAGGAAAGGGTTCGAGTCCCTCCAGAGATCTCGCTGTGATGATGCAATGGAAAATGGATCCGATCGTCGACTACCCAGATGATCATGAATCACTCGCTGGCATAAGAAAACCTTGATCTTTACAGAATTCAGACTATCTCTCATATTGACTTTCTGGGAGCACGGACAACAAGGTCGAACACCATCAACAATAAGGGTCCTACGAGGTCCCTCTGCGCAACAGAAATTCTCCGTATCAAGGGTCAGATCTCGCAGGGTCCTCGACGTTGAGGACCCTGCATATACTCAAATATCACTTTATCCCGAAACACCCCCGTCGCCTTCCTCGCTCGTGCAAGGCCACTCCAGGATTACATCCCACACAATCAACGACTTTTCTAACGGCCCATTGTTTGAGCATGAATAGGCGTTCAAGCGGACTATTCGACTGATCCAAATTTGAGTCTGAATGCCACGTCGATCGTCGTCATAACCCTGGGGCCATGACGCAAAGTCTAGGAGGCGCCTTGCTTTTTCTGGCCACTGATCGCCATCTAGCAAATCCTCCTTGTTTCAAATTCTTCTTCCAGCTTCGGATTTGGGCGCTGACGTCTGTTCAGACACTTGCCTGGGCCCTTTGCAGCCATGATCTTCATACTTCGTACGCTTAATACGAACATGTTAAGGCTGTTCCCGCGCGGTAACTTCCTGGTAGAAGTGCTCATGAAATGGATTCGCTGTACCTGCGTGGCTTCCTGTAACACTCGTTGAGACACTATGGAATTGAGTGACCTCTCCAAAACCCTAGAGATCACCCGCAGAGTCGGATGACCACCAGCGACGAAAATTGAGCATGTAATCTGTATGTCCTGGTGTCTGGAAGTACACCGAGTATCTCGCTAGGCCTCCTAGATGACTTCGGATAATGCTATACGGGACATCATGTCGACTTATCTGATGCCAAATATGGTGGACCCGGCCCTCTCATCAGCAGTCATCTTCTTCTCCTGACTTGGACCTAATATCCCCATCCATCTGCAAAGTCCCATTGCCGGCATACTGCCGCTTCACCACCGGAAATCCAGTTGGTTGGCTACCCAGTTCCACTATATTGCCCCCTTTGTCGGTGCCGAGATACTGATCAAATTTGACCTCAAATTGTACTAAGATTGATGCCACGGCAAGGAGCACCTCTTGCTTGGCAAACACTCGTCCAGGACAGATATATCCTCCTCCACCGAATGGGAAGAATTTTCCACTCGTCCACGAGCTGCTGAATTCATCTTTGCCCGTCGTTGGATTATGCTTTAAGAACCTTTCTGCATACCAGGTATCCGCTGGGGGTGAATGGTCTTCTTCCTCCCAAAAGAGCGAGTCATGCTGGCTAAGTGAACTCGGCGCCATAATCAGGTCGTCTTTTTTCAGGAGATATCCGTCCATGATGGTGTCGGAGGCAAGTTGTCGAGTCACCAATGAATCAACATAATGTCGCAATGTTTCGTGAAGCACAGAGTTCAACAGTGGCTGCGAAGACAGTACCGCAATGTCGATCTCGCCGTTGTCCAGCTGAGCCCCTTTGACTTCGTCCATGACCCTGCTTAGAACATCTTTGGGTGTTACTGGCGATAGCAAGTGAAGTAGCACCCACCCCGTTATCGGGACGGCGTTTGCGTTCAGACTAGACAGAGCAGTCAGGAATGTCGTTGGCATGCATTGTGGGCAAGGGAAGAGATTATGATGGATGTGCTTACCCAAACAAGAGACCCAGATCGAATGCCGCTCTACCTCTCAGGGTCAGACCGACCCTCTCAAACAATCGATGTCTTGCCCGTACGATCTTAGCTCCAAAATCTGGCTCCCATTCTGGCTCTTCTGGTGGGTTGCGATCGTACTTGTCAAGATTATCTTGAACCCATCTTTCCGTCTGAGAGAGCAGCTCTTCCATATGCAAGTAAGCCTCCGGCTTCAGCAGTTTGGGCAGCCCGTAGAACCGTGGCAGGAACCCAGAGTCGTAGTGCCAGTAATGCTCTGCAAGCTTGGGATTCATCTCTAGGATTTTTGACCCCAGGACCGCAGTGGTGGAAGCGTTGAACATTCTAGTCTTCAACCACGCCAACAAGTCGATCGTCTTCCATTCACCATCAATGTCCGCATTTTCGAGCGACGCATCGAAACACTCCTTGAACCTGTTTAGCAATGTCGTCACAGCGGTCTTACTGAGCAGATGCTCATGATTCAGAGCCTCCATGCCCTCACGCTCCTCATTCCGATCCTTCTCAGCCGCGGCCGCGAGCAGGGCAGCGGGCGGCCAGATCTTCTCAGCATCAGCCTGAGAAGCCCCGAGACAGTTCCTGGCCAATTGGTGATTAAACAACTCTCGCGACATGGTCTTGTTCTTGAACACCGCCTGCACCGCCGCCGCCGAGCTGATCACATGTGCTCTCTGTCCGCCCATGAGAATGGTGCAGATCTCCACTTCCGCCCCCGTGGCTCGAAGCTTACCACGGAGCATCCTCCAAAACGAGCCCGGTTCCTCGGACAGAAATTCCAGTGCATGTCCCAGCCATGGCACCGCGTATGGAAGCATCGGCGGTGGCAGGGGTTTTGCTGGCAGTGTGCTACCAGCCTTCGCAACTCGTGCGCGAAACCGCGAGATCGCGAGTCTGAATCTTATCGTTGTGAACGTCCATGTCAACAGTGGGATTGCAAGCAGTACCAAGGGCAAGGCGAGGAGACATTGCGACGTTGTTGGCCACGGTGGCCACCGCGACCAGTCGACAAGGCTGAACAATTTCATATCCGTGGTGGATCGAACACGGCTTCCCCCCTAAGACTCGTTTCCGAATACACCCTTCCTTGGTATAAGTAGATAAATTTTATATATGCTGTAGAGATATCTCCAAACATGACATGGCAGTGCTGCATTCAACAAACTTGCATTCGAAACGGAGATGCAGTATATCACTCCCAACTCTGGATGTACGTGCTTCGCAAAGCAAAAGTCGGTGGGCTGCTACCGCCACAACCGAAATTGCTTGTGTACATACGAATGTCACTAATCGTCGCTTGCTGATTCTCCAGTGGTCAGTTCATGGATGAGCTAACTCAATATATACTAGTCTATGGCTAAACGGGGTGGGAGCTTCTATATCCGAAACCGAGGCCTGGATTCCTAAAGACACTTCCTTCGGTCAGCTTTAAGCATTATCTGCGTAGCATGGCTTACTCGGACGGCGAAAATGAGAGTGTTCTCATCTCATCAGCCGCGATCCACGTGAGTTGAGATTAATATGTAAGGCAGCTTGGGCAACGACGAAATGCACTACATCTCAATGCACCTTCGAGCATCTCAAAACTTTTTCAATGTCTACCAAAAATGCAAAACCTCAATGTTGAGATCGGATCGATACACAAAAGCCCCATGAACTCTGGACTAGACAAAGAAAAAGCCGCGGCAATGAAAGTGAGATCGTAACTGAGCGTGCTGACAACCAAGCCAGGTCCAGTAATAATGGTCCAGCACCCTCCTCTCCGTCTGAAAACATTCAATCAAGCACCCAAGCCACAAGCCACAAGCCCATTCATTCCCTGCCTCGCGTTCAATCTTCCCAAGCAATCTCCTTGGCCACATTGGCAAACCTATCCGCAAGACCTCTCAGATCAGGAAACTGGGGTGCACCGGACTCGCCTGCCAGCTCCTCCACAGCGCCCTTCGCCGCTGTTCCATTGGACCCGATACCGTGCGTGATGTTCCAGACTTGCGTCATGTTCTCCGGCACCCCGAAGTTCGGCCACCTCTGGTGCCAGATCTTGCAGTCCGGGTCGACATAGTTGTCTGAGCAGTTCTGCACGAAGTAGCTGTACTGGCCGCAGTCGGAAAGGTACGCGCCAAAACCGCCGACCACGTGCGAGTTGAACTTGCAGCGGTTGACCATCTGGTGGTAGAAGGCCGCACAGTCGTCCCGCGCGCACTGTTCGTCGGAACCCTCGATGAACACGGTGTCTCCGACGGTGTAGGGTTTTGAACGAAAGAACAGGAACTCTGCAATGACGCCGGATATTTCCATTTCTGTTGTGTTGAGGATAGTAGGGGTGTTGACGTCGGCATCTGTGGCCGAGTCGCGACGATGGATAGTCTCTTCTGTGTCGACCTCTCGCTTCTCTACAGCCTTGGGCTTGTCGTCCACGGGTCCAAGGTCACTTGGATAACCACTGCCCCAGGCAAGGATATTGGTTGGTGGGTAATCGCCATTGGCGATGAGTCGAGAGCAGAAAGAGGCGCCCAGAAGCTCAAGTACCAGTGGCTCCATGTACACGTTTACGCCACCGGTTACGCAACCCATAGCCCGAGTGTCAGTTGGGGTCTGTGTCAAAGTTGGTGTTGCTGAGGTCAAGGAAAGGTCTTGCGGGAAGCAAACGGTCGGTGAGATCGTCGCAAAGATGGCGAGCAAAGCCAGGGGCATGACAGTTGAGGATGCGAAAGACATGGTGCTTCAATCCCTTAATAGTTTGAAAGAGATCTTCTAGTCTGCAGGTATGTCACGCGGAGCAAGTCTTCAGACGGTAACTGAAGGGGGAGCAAAGCGGATATGACCAGGGCAAGAAGAAAAGAACAACGATCCTTGGGAAAGAAACCACTTGCTCAACAACTGCAGCAATGGAGAAACAACTGATCGAATGGGAGAAGATTTGAGACAAGTCTCAGAAGACGAGGAGAGGGTGGAGAGTTATGAGAGTGAAACAGGTCTGAGGAATATCTACATCAACGCCCAGGGACCAGTAGTCAAGCGAGCAAATTTCGAAAGGCATGTGCTTTGTAGGTCTACGCATTGAGAACGACTCTGAAATGACTACTTGTTTGTACTTGGAACCAATGGCAACGAAACACAGTCCTCCGGGAAGAGGCATGCTGCACTGATGTTGTACAGGCAAAGCAACTACTCGAAGTCAAACGAATTTAGCGATCGTGAGTCGTGAGTCGTGATTCCCACGATATCTGATCATATTCTGAGACTAAAGAAGGTCCAAATGTAAAAGCACTCGCTAGAAAGTGACCGCCCAAAAATAAAGCATCGATGTCAACCTTCTAACAAGCCTTTCCTACCATCCATGGCCATCTCCCGTGCAGGGCTTCTGTGGCGTCCCATCGAGAAACTCCTTCAGCGTTAAGAGAGCTGATGAAAGCAAACAACAGCCATCAACGCTCGTGTAACTCTGCTAAACAATTCACTTCTCCGAGTCTATGTGACACAAGGGACTCTATGTCTCGTTCGCAGACTGTTCATCATAGCTTCGACGTCACTTTCTTCTGCTCACCTGGGCCTTGCCTCAACAGCCATTCCACCCCATCCACCAGCTCCTTTGCCCACTTCCTGTTGACTGAAAGTTGCGGGTACATTGACCACCATGTATGTGGAAGGCCAGGGTAGTAGTCAAGTTTCACTTTACCACCAGCTTTCCTCACCTTGTCGCAGTACAAGAAGGCAGTGTCCTTCCAGATGTCCACACCTGCGACTTGATAGAAGATAGGTCCTAGCCCGGAGTAATCGGTCAAATGAAATGGGGTGAATAGTGGGTTGTGTGGGTCACATTTTGCAAGATCTAAACAGCCAGGAGGCCTTTCGTCAGCGACAAACGCACAGCAATCAACTCATCGACTTCATACAGACCTCCGTAGAAATCATTCATCGACCGTGAAGCCACCGGTCCATCCTTGTAGATTTCCCAACTCGAGTTCTTATGTGCCAATTCATCCCCAAACACCTGGAATATAAGATCGCCGTCACTTCGGAATTGAAACGGCATTCCAGTGCAAACGTATAAATGGCCTGTCAACGCGGGCTGTAGCGCATCGTCCCTCGCAAGTATAGTCGCGATATTCGTGACGTTACCGCCGCCGGAAACCCCACCAGTGAGGAATCCTTTCGAAAGGTCGCCGCCAACACTGCTCGAGTTCGCGGCTACCTGTTTCCAATAAAGGATTAGCCAATTTTAGCACATCGTCGTTATCTGGAGAGCATCCGAGATCGAGAATGACGCACCCATTTGATGACATCGTAACAGTCGTAAATACCCGTTGGATATGCGAACTCGGGCGCAAGCCGGTAAGCAACGCTGACAATCACGATGCGCAGCTTTGTCACGAGTAATCGACAGATGAACTCCTCGGTGTCAAGACCACCCAAGCACCATCCGCCGCTGTGAGCATATACCATGACCGGAAAGCCAGCGCCAGCTGTCGTTTGCGTTCTCGGTCGATAGACACGTATCGTGATTGGTGTGTCGTCTCTGGCTGTGACAATGCGGTCTTCTTCGAGGCACTGTTGCGAGATATCGTCGCCGAGTGTCTCTTTAACAAAGGCGCTTTTCATGAAGCGCGCATTACCCCCAGCGTGCAATCGGCGCGATTCGGCCATGTTGTCTACCCGTGGAAAGAATAGTTTCGGAAGGCCTTTTGTCCTCCATATCTGTGAATGAGCCACCGTCAATGAAATGCGCTCTGTGGAAAAGTTTGGTCTGATATCATACCGCACGGAGTTCGGGGTCGATCTCGAAGTCTAGCTTCTTGAGATCTGCCATAATTTCCTAGGGATATGAATGCTGTAGAAGGACGAAGACAATTTTGCACAAAAATGCAGATGGACACATGTTTAGTAGAAGTATGGGAGAGAAGGCCTTAAAGTATCTCTTCCACTGCTTCCTAGCATTAGTATTAGTGGACCTACATACGGGTGTTCGTACCCTGGCATTGGCGATGGTTGTCCATACGAGTATCAACCGGCGACATGCCTGGTTACAGCCATGCTGGACTCCCTGTTCCAGCTCCAGATATAGAGTATCCTATCCTTAAGGGTTGTACTCGGCTAGGTGCCAATCTCACGCCTATTGGTACAAGTGTCTTACCTAAGTTCGGGGTCACAGGTCACCCCTGACATGAAAACCCACAATGGATCATGAACTGGCTACCAAATGGTGAGACTACCAATCAACGTAGCTGTGGGAAGTCAGCTCAGGCTGCACTATAGCTGTTTTGCAGGGACTTGTTATCGAAAGTACATATCGCAGATATGGTAGGGTATGATCCAGCTGAAGATTATATCGAGATCTGGGGAAGATGCCTAAGTCAAGACCCGAATGCAGAAGCATTCGGCGATTTGTCGCAGAGGCCACACTATGCCGTTCAGAGCGCTTCCACCGGGTCCGGAGACTGAGTTCCACGGTATCCGTACCACCTATCTCCGACTTTGGGGATGCCGAGGTCCATCGAGATTTGGTGGGGATCCAGACTGAAACTCAAAGCTGGATTTCATCATCAGCTAGAAAGATATCAAATACTTACTGGAGAGACCGAAGTCTGCGTGTGATTGTAAATCACCATTTCTCTGTTTCCATCTCACACATTGAAGACACTGTTCCACGGAAGGCCACATTATCACGCAAAGATGGGCAGTGCACGAGCGGACGTCGAGCTCCAAGACTTTGGAAACATCTTCAGCTTGGAAGGTAAAGTTGCAGTTGTAACTGGTGGCAGTCGAGGACTTGGACTTCACGTGGCATCAGGGTAAGCAGCAACATCAAAAAGACGAACCTTCCTTACCATAACTCGACTGATCTTTCGAACGTGCAGATTCCTCCAAGCAGGCGCAAGCAAAGTGTACATCACCTCACGCAAAGCCAAAGCGTGCGAAGAAGCCGTCGCAGCCCTGAATGCGCTCCCCAACAAACGACCTGGCGCCATCGCCATCTCCGTCCCCGCTGACGCCTCAAAGGTCTCTGAGATCGAGCGCCTGGTCGCCGAGGTCTCCAAAACCACCGACCACGTCGACATCCTCTTCGCGAACGCTGGCGCCTCGTGGGGTGCTCCCTTTGACACACACCCGGACAACGCATTCAGCAAAGTCATGGATCTCAACGTCAAGAGCGTCTTCTACTCAGCGCAGAAGTTCGCCCCATTGTTGGAGAAAAGAGCGTCAGTCAAGAACCCCAGTCGTATCATCATAACGGCTAGTGTTGCTGGGCTAGGCGTCGGCACTCTGGGAGAGAACGCTACATTCTCGTATTCCGCGTCCAAGGCAGCAGTGATCCATCTGGCAAAGAACCTCGCAGTCGATTTGGGTCCTAGAGGTATTTTGACCAACGCCATTGCGCCCGGTTTCTACCCGACCAAGATGGCTTCAGGATTGATGGAGCTTCAGGGTGGTCAGGCGGCACTGGCGGCGGAAGTACCAAACAAGCGACTGGGACTACCAGAGGATATCGCCGGTCTGGTCGTGTTCTTGTCTAGTAGGGCTTCAAGCCATATTAATGGAGCCGTCATCACAACTGATGGCGGTTCCTTGCTTTCCAGGGGAAAGTTGTAAACACGACATCCAGATAGAATTCAACCCAATTGCTTTTCAAGCGTCACACTTGTTTGTTCTTTGGAGAATCGCCTCAACTCCATGCCAACGATATAGTATTGCGCAAGCTACAGGCAGATTTGTACGGCTTGTTGATACGCAGAGCCAAGCGTTTAAGTAGGGCCTGAGTTCGCTTGCTTCCCAAGTAGTTAGTCTTGGACGCATGAAGGACAAGAAGATAGTCCATTGATGCACTTTCCTAAGACTCTTGGAATCTTGGATATCTTGGGGGTGCTGCAACACTAGTTGCGCGGCTTGGACGATTTAAGATGCTAGGAGAGTCTGTCTTTCTCCATCTTACTTTAACTCGCTGAAATCCACCATCATGAATCTAGAACTTTTCGGGTTTCCCAATACTGAACTCCCTTTGAGCTTCAGCTTCTCAAATATACATTCTCAAAAACTCAACCAAAGCCATAATGGCCATTGCTTGTCCATATGGCATGCTCGTCCTCTCAATATTCTTGTAGTGCTGCAAATCGTGACCCATCCCTGTACCGAAACTTACGTCTAGCAACTCTCCGTCCTTACTGATCCGTCGCAAAACAGCTTTCACAGCCTTCATCGCGATGTCCGAATAGTCCTTGGAGATATAGCGCCTCCGTATCGATTTGAGCAAGCCATATGCAAACCCCGCAGTCGCCGAAGCTTCCAGGTAGCTTCCATCCTCTTCAGAGACATCAAGGAGCGTCCGCCACATACCATCTTCTGTTTGGAGCGAGCGCAGGGCATTACACTGTGCTTCCAGTACATTAACAAGATACAGGCGCAGTCCGTCATCCGGAGCAAGGTTGAGAAGTTCAATAAAATCGGGAATGGCTATGGTCAACCACGAGTTACCTCGTGCCCACCTCGCGCGCGCGAAATTATGCCCGAGACCTCCAGGTGCCTTGTTATCGAACTGCCAGCCGTGGAAAAATAGCCCCGTTTGGGGATCGAAGAGGTATTGTATGTGGAGCAAAAATTGTCGCTTCGCTTCTTCGACATAATGCGGCCGTTTCAGCAATAATCCGATTTTAGCAAGTGGCATGACGGTCATCATCAACGTATCATCCCAAAGCTGATTGTCGTTCCACTCAAGGTAGGTCATATGCTGGAACCCACCGAATTTCGTCTTCGGCAAGTCATACATGGCCCATTCCGCCCAAGAGTCTAGCCAGGGAATGTAACTCCGATCGCCAGTCTCCTCGTAAACATAGGCGAGAGTCAGGAATACTGCCATGGTATTAATGTTCTTGGTTGTACCCTCGAGCAGTCTCGCCGTAAACCAGTCTTTGATGATCTGAAGGGTTCCTGAAGAGGGTGTCAAGTCATGGTATTGGTACAGGCCATAGAGGCCTATTCCGTGAGTCCATTCCCAATCTTCCCATCCTTTGGTGTCGATGATGCGGCCGTCTGGTAGCTTCAAAAGAAAATGGCCTGATTCATCTTTTATGTTGACGAGATTATTGATCAGGCGTTTAATATTCTCATGAACATTCTGGGCACTAAGTCCCTCGATACTCAACGGTGATGGCATTTGTGATCCTCTGCTTGCCATAAAATGATGGCTCTTCAAACCGCTATGTTTTCTTGGATCCTTTATGGAAAGGTCAACTGATCGACACCACCTCAAAGCGCTGATAGATACACCGAAATCACCGAGTTGGTTCATCTCAAGAAACATGCTGGATCAAAAGTTATATGACCCCCAACTACCCCCACCAAGGTGTTGTATCTGCATTTGGTCTAGCACAATCCGGGGTGAGCCCCAGTAGTGGGGGCACACTTGAGTATCACGTCTGCTATGATGCAGTGCTTTCATTCTGGGGTAAATCCCGGAGGAATGTTTAGACATTGCAACCCAGCTTCATTGGCGGATGTGATTCGACGAGTCTTGCATGAATCGATTCCATCGGTCGCTCTTGAACCGAAAAGACAACTATCTTTGACCCGATCGACAGTGCGATGAGGAGTCATATAAGCTGCTTTTCCAGGCTTTGACGGTAATGCGTTTTGGCAAGATCTTTAACCTACTTTACAATTGACACAACTTCCTGGTGCCATAACTGCTGTTGAATCAGTCGCATCGCTCTGCAAACATGGCTGGTACTGACCACATTCACGCGGATGGTTCTCGATCAGCCAACGTGGACCAAGTCCCAATCGAGAAGGAGGATGTATCCCAAGTCGAGCGCGTACTTTCTGGCGGTAGCGAAATCCACAAGGACTTCATCGACTATGATCGCATAGACAAGGATGTTGCCAAATATGCCACTCAAGAACGCATCGAAATATCAGAGTCAGAAAACAAACGCTTGAAGAGGATGATCGACCGGAGAGTTCTCGCAATCATGATCCCAACATACTTTTTGCAAGCTTTGGATAAGGGCACACTCTCTTTTGCCGCGATAATGGGTATGACCTTTGAGTTCTGGCGAATTTTCCATCAGTATTGACAAGACTTAGGCATCAGAAAAGATCTCGGCCTCCTCGATGGTCAAAGGGTGAGTCCGCAGTTTCTGAAAATTTGAGAGCAGCGATCTGACTATCTCAGTATTCGTGGCTCACAACTTGCATCTATATTGCAGTGTTGGTCGTTGAATATCCTACCAATTGGACGATTCAACGAGTGCCGATCGCGAAATATTTGTCCTTGAACATCATGCTCTGGGCAACAGTACTTGCCCTACACTCGGTTGCAAACAGCTTCACTAGCATCCTGGCATTGAGGACACTTCTCGGTATTTTCGAGGCCGTGTGTCAGCCAAGCTTCCTGCTCCTCAGCAGTATGTGGTACAAGAGAGAAGAGCAAGCCGAGACTGTGACCTACTGGTATGAAGAGTTCCCAACGTGCAAGAGAAGTGCATCTGACCCCCCAATAGGTACATGATGAACGGTGGACAACAAATCGTTGGTGGTCTTCTGGCCTACGCCTTTACCCAAATTGACCATGGCCCATTGAAGTCGTGGCAAGCCCTCTTCATCACATATGGATCATTGTCATTTCTCTGGGGTCTTTTCGTTGGATACTGGATGCCGGATTCTCCTATGAAAGCCAAGTGTTTTTCGGAAGAAGACAAGCGGTTGATGGTTGAACGCGTTAGAAGTAACCAAACAGGTCTTCAGAATAAAAGGTTCAGACCTGAGCAGGTCAAGGAAGCCTTTTTAGATCCTCAAACATGGTATGTATAACAATCTGCGGTGCGTCAGAACCAGAACGATAAACCGCTAACAATACCGACAGGTGCTACAGTCTGATTGCCATATGCACAACTCTTCCCACTTCGGGTCTGGGTGCATTTGCTAACATCATTATTACCGGTCCGTATCATTACCAAAAGAATGTAGTGATCAAGCTGATTGGAAACAGGTTTCAAGTTCACCGTTCTTCAGACCCAGCTGCTTGCCATGGTACTTGGCGTTGTGATCATCGGGATCTTGCTCAGCTCAACATGGCTTGTCAAACGTACTCATCAAAACTGCCTGGTAATGGGCTTTTTTGTCATTCCATCATTCGTTGGAACGATCGTACTCATGAGCGTCAAGAATCACAACACTGCAACCAAGGCCGGCCTGCTGATCAGCTACTATATCGTCCTTTCTTTCTGGGCTGCACAAACGTTGGCCATGAGCATTCTTTCTCGTAATGTTGGTGGTCAGACCAAGAAGAGTATTGTTGTTACGATCAACTTTGTCTCATGGTGCACCGGAAATGCAATCGGTAAGTACTCAAGCCCTTCGAACCTCGATGATGGTGAGCTAATGGCAAACGCCCCAGGTCCTCAAGTATTCTTATCATGGAATGCCCCACGATATTTCATCGCATTTGCCACACACATGGGTTGTTATGTGTTGTTGGTCATTGTGATCATCTTTCTGCGTTGGCACTTGAAGCGACAGAATCGCAAGAAGGACGAATTAGCAGCAGCAGGCATTCAGGAAGCTGATGACCGGGAATTTGTTCACGCCTTCGAAGACTTGACAGACCGTGAGAATCCCAACTTCAGATATATCTACTAGATAGTCAGCTGCCAGCGACATGAGCAATACTGCTCAGCCCTCCTTACTTAGTGAGAAGATTGACCGAAAATAATCATTTTTTTGGAAGTGGTAGTTACCTAGGTCGGCTTGACTTATTTATTGTGCTTCGAATAAACGCGTCACGTTAAAGTGGCAAGGCACGCATTCGGCGGCGCCCTCGGCCCTACTTCGGTATATCCTGCTCATCGCCGTTGCCCTGTACAACCAGGCTTATCAACAGACGAGTGCAGGTGCGGTGAGGGTCACCGTCGCCCACTCCGAATGGCACGGATACCTGATAGCTCGTTATTCATGATAACTTTTGTCTGTGCTTCGCGCAACACCACCCCTCGATCAAATTGCTAGAACTCAAGAAAATGTCTCGAGATACCTCACTGGCGACTCCTTCGCTGGAAAGCACGCCTTTTGCATTTCAGCAGTCGTCTCCTCTTTCTCTTCGACAACAACCCTTCTCCTCTCCTCCCGCTCCACCGTTTGGTGGTGAAGGCCATGACTACAACTTTTCACCATCGGCGGAGACAGAAACGGAAACAGATGATCATCTAGCCATTGAGGATACGCAAGACGTCGATCTGTCGGACGTTGACCGTCGCATCTCTGGCTGTTCATCGATATCCTCGTTCCCAGCTTCCTCGATTGCTCCGCATCAACCCTCCTCAAGACATATCTACCATGAAGAACAACCTAGAACTCCGACTAGACATGAATCATTCTCAGTATCGCATTCCTTTGAAGGGCCCGAGGGGTTGGATCACAAACTCAGCTCACCTAGAAGTGCAAGAGAGTACCACTCTGCCTTTCGCCATCCCAGCAGCGTCAGAGCTCTTCAGATGCGAGATGAGGCGATGAGCGAAACACGGAGCGTGCTACGGCATCATCGCCGGAGCGGTTCCCAAATGTCGGCGTACAGTCAGCGCAGCTCCTACTCCACCAGTACATCTCCAACGAAACGATCAAGCCGCTCCCATCGTACCTCTCCCCAGAAGCCAAGCAGCAGCCTGAGGAAGGAATTCCCCCTTGTTCTCCTTCATTGTACACTACTTCCTCCTACTTTGCTGCCACATATAACTGCTGAGGAGGATCCTTTCTTGGTGGATTTGTTACCCGCAGAATATAGAAAAAGATGGGACGCGCTCAAACAGAGACTGGTCGATGATTTGGAGGTTAAATCCCGAGGGATATTGATCCCTCATCCTCGGGAGGACTACGAACTTCTTGAAGAACGACTCATGGACACATTAGACCTCGAAAATCCCCGAATACGACACAATCACTTTCTCCACCAAGAATCAAGTAATGCCGACAGTGGGTTCGAAAGCGGAAGTGTGACAGATGAAGATGACGATGCCCGGTGCAATATCATGAAGGAAGCCAAGTGCATAGATTGCGGAAGCGATTTACATTCCAATGCGAGAGATCGCAAATGGGATATCAAGGTCTATGCAGCCAATGGACTGATGCGTGCTGGGGCTTGGGCAGCAGCCTGGCAAGAGATGGAAAAGGTGGATGTTGAGATTCGAGTTCGGCTACCTGAAGCAATTCGGAAAGACTTGGAAACCAGAATGAATGAGCTTGAGGCTTCAAGATTAGCGTCAAGCGACGATCACTTTGACCTTGGACATGTTAACCTACATGAGGAGTCAATAATCCAGACTCGCGAGCAGGAGGTATATGGTATTTCTGGACGTTCCAGAAATCAGGCTGAGATTGATGGCTTCTACGACGAAATCCATCATGAACACGTCTTGCCCCAGGAGATACCTTTTCCGCCGCGAGAAGAGCCTGATCTGCAAAAACTGTTGTTTGAAAGCGCGCAGAAATTCTCACAAGACCGCAAAAATGTTCTAGTTGTGTTCTTGAGCTTGTTAGTACTGTTTTTCGCCATGGCGGGCAAGCAGCAACTGGAGCCAGCAAACGGCAATGGGATTGTTCCTGCAAAATTGACAGAAGTGCTCACAACGACTATTACGGCAACGGCTGTTTCATTTTCGACCGAAACAATTACCTCGTCCATCAGTTTGGAGACTATTTCCACCGAAGCTATCGAAGAAGTAGCATCAAGGATAGAGGCAGAAACAGAAGTCGAGCTGGTCAGTGCAGATACGTACTCGTCTGTCCCGATTCTCGATACATCGACAACAACGAATGAGCCAGTGCATGAAACAACCACGGCCAGTCTTGTTCCTGTCCATGATAAACCGCCTCCAGTGCTGATGCAGTAACGCACCATATGTACGGCTATTGCCTTTACGCATGAACTCAGAATAACGCTGCAACACGCCTGTCTTTCTTAACGATGTCAAGTTGATTGCTTTGTCAGTTTAAAAGTATAATTATCTATTCCCAAGTGTACCTCTAAGTACCACGCAAGCAATTTCCACTTCTGTATTGCAGTATTTGAGTGTTCACTTTAGCATTCGGAACACGGGAGCGTCAAGATCTATATCCAAGGCTGGCTGAAAGATCAGAATAATATCCTGAACCATCACTCGTAGCTAGCCAATGGACAGGACAGCCAGGGTGCGGCTGAGCTGCAGAATACGAGGCTAGGTCAATTGGAGGCGTTGGTGGGCTTGAATCCACCCTGCAGGAGAGATCACCTCATTCCGGTGGTGGATTTGCGCAAAGACGAGGACCACTTTGCCTCTCATACTGTTTCTTCACTGGCAAGCTAAACAGAGGCTGACTCTCGCAGTAACGCACAAGCAGCGGTGGATTCGGAAGAGTTCTTATCCCGCAACGGAAACGTGTCTGACTAAAATGGGGCGTCGAGGAGAGGGAGAACAAAGGACGACTTGGGATTATCACCAAGACCATAAAAAAAAATATACGTACGAACGGCGCAAGGATGTTGACGAGCAGCGCTAACTAACGCTTACCCAAGCAGCCGCTGCCGGGGCGAGCGTGCGCCTTTCAAGTTGACCCTATCTTTTTGCTTGACTGCCCATCCGAAGATGTGTTGGCGCCGTGCCCTTCCGCATTGTCCAGTTCCCGCCCTCGTTCCAGGCCCTTGCTTATCGGACTCAGCCTTCAGCCCAATTGAGTGTGAAACACGGTGAGGGAAAAGTGAGAAATGCCACAACTGATGACCACGAATAGTAGGTAACACATGGAGTTCCCGACATTTTTTGGGTCTGAGCTTAATCCGCAGATACGGCCGGGCTGACCAGTTACTCATGATAATTGACCACTGGGGCGGGCGCTGCCCGTATCGAGGAGAGCCACATGGCTCCATTATCGTTGGATGATTTTCCCATCTCGGATGTGTTCGTACGTGGTTTGGGAATCTTTTTGTTTGACGGTGCATGTTGCATATTTATCCTCGTTTGCCCGTGGACTTTTCCCCTCGCTTTACGTAAGGCTGAGGAAACCGTCGAGGTGACTGTTTCGATCTTGACTACATGGAAGGCTTGTGAGCTGGCATGCAAACGCACCATAGGAATTTGGAAACAGAGAGAGGATCTTTAAAAGGCTGTCACCCGTTTCCAACACGCAGCAGACTTTTCTTTTTGTGTCGGGCTGAGACCGACTGTACCGTACTCTTGGACCACAAAAGAACTATCTATCCCACAGGCATTACCCTCTCTCGAGGCGCGCTCAGCAATGGCCGCATTTGAGTTCCTCTCTCTTCCCAGCGAGATTCGCATTGAAATCTACCACCTCGCATTTGGTCACGGCAAGGTTATCCTCGAAGCCAAGACCGAAGACGACAGTGGATGTCTCATTCCGAAGGACAGCAAGGCACGAAGTCCTGCTCAGCGATCGTCGCAATTTCTGCGCGTCAGCCGAGCCATCCTCGACGAGGCGCGACCGATCCTGTATGCCAACACGACGTTCCATGTCCTGGCTGGTGGCTTTGCCGGGAAATTGCCGTTGAAGCTCACCGACGGGCACGTATTCGCGCCGTATGTCAAGAATCTGATATGGCAGATGGACTGCGACATGCTGAAACACCACTATCCCGAAGATGTGCGTTTGGACACGGCTCAGATCGCACAGTGGAATAGTTTCGAGCTGCGATGTCGAGCGGAGTCGTGGAGAGACTCGTTCCTTGGCGAATGGTGCGATCGCGAGGCCTTTGTCGCTGGGCGCGAGCAAGTCATCAACTATGCCAGAATATTTGCGCTTGCTATGCGTGACCCCAGCTGCTTGGAGTTGGACATGGTGGAAGATCGATCACAACTCGGACGTGGTCGAGTCATTGTGAAGCTCAGTCGAGCACGAGCAAACGTGAAGCCGGATTCTCGTCAGACGGCAGACCATTTGCCCATCTTCAAAGGCGTGTGAATCGAAAATGGGATTCAGAATAGACTTGATGTCGAACGACAGATCCCAGACTAAAGCACCATTCTTTTCCGAGTCATGCTTCGTGCCAGGAACGATCAGCACCGACTAATGAACGAGCCGAAAGCGCGAAACATGCCAAGCAGGGGTATGGGAGGGAGATCGACCATCAGAAAACTGGTCAATCGCTACTACATCCTGAGCAGAGAGAAAATGGCTTGCAACCAGGTACTTGTTTGGTGTTGGGGCCATCGGAGGGTACTATGTACACCGGCTCCCTTCCGACGGAGGTTTTTCATACCAATGATGGAACGAGGGAAGGTCCATTTCTGGAAAAGCTTCACAGATCAGCAGTGCCTTGATCAACGGGTTGTGATAGGCATGGTCTTGCCAGACAAGCGACACAGATTGCTCGTCAATTTTCATCTCAGGTGTCTATGCCTCTGCAGGATGGATTTGAGGATCTGCATTCCACCATACAGGACGAATCTGACCCTATGGTTTGTATTCGAGGCCTGAATATTCGTTCCAAGTGGCAATCAACCATCTTTTTCCGCATTAGTGTGACCATGGGTTGTTTATGAAGATCGACGATCTGGCACCGAGATAGTCCCTTGGCAGGGATAGTGGGTGCTAGGTACCCCGCTTGAGTAAGAGAGGAAGGACTTGGGTCCAGGATTGATCCAAATGTGTACGTCACAGGAATCATTTTCCTTGGAGCAGGAGTGAACTGGAGAAACAGGTCTATCCGAATGAGACGTTACTGTAAGGCTTAGTACTGTCATCCTAGCCCGAGAGGGGCAACCTTGATCAACAGAAATTACCAGTAGCCTTGTCAGCTGTGAGAAGACGCCAGGCCGCGAGTAGAAGGTACTCCGCGGAGACTTGGAAACCATGAACTAAGATCAACCTACAGTGACATGCCCTGGGGAGGAGGGGGAAGAGGTATGATGAAGATGATGATCGTAGCGATGATGACCCGTGGATAGGCTTGAGGAAGGCTAGATGAGCAGTGTGAGAGGCAATCATTAAACGCAATCAGGGAGCCAACACACCACCGTTTGCGATAGCACCTGTTTTAAGCTCTGTACTTCTGTTGAAGCATACCTGCAACGTGGGAAAAGCATATGCTAGATTTAGTTTGCAAGGTTGGGTGGAAACCTGCTGTCGCTGTTCCAGGTCGGTATCTGGTACAAAGAGTGACGCAAAAATGACCAGAGAGAATGAAGATGCTCGGAAGTCGCGAGCACCGAACCCTCACCCAAATGCCAATGCCGACGGACCGTTTGGCTAGCATTCCAAAACCCCGCCCTCCACGTTCCTGAAGCCTTTTCCGGCCATGCAAGTGATCCCTGATGGGAACGTCAGAGGAGGGACTCGGGAGGGAGCTTATCAATCCAATAATAACCACGGCCCCTAGGGATTAGGGTGCAAGTAGCCTTACTAGTTAGTAGCTGCTGGTCGACCCTCGAAGTCACTTTCTTCTGCTCGTGTGTGGGAAAGTACCTTGGACATACGAAGTACAGGCTACTGGCTAGGTGGGGGATAGTCAGGGTATTTACCTAGGTACTTAACGCCTTACCTTACGAGGTAATGACAGCGACCTGAGGTACCTACCTAGGTACTGTCGATCATTTCCTGACTTTCCCAACATGTCACGCACAAGTAGTTCGTACTGAAAGCTACTTGGATGATCTGAACATGCCAGTATATGCTAGCAGCAAACCTCCTCGCGTAGCGAAGTCATTCCGAGTCCTGGTGACCTCTGCGGCGTTCTACCAAGGACTCCCTGCCTTAGGAGCTGCCCTTTTGAGTTCAAGAAACACCCAAGACCGGCGCTTGCCATTTCTGGCAGACACTAATATCTCCCTACCTAGGTAGGTTAGGTAGGTAGGTAGGTACCTAGCAATTAACGACAGATACTCTACGAGTACATATCCGTAGACCCTGGGGCATGTAACTTTCAAAATTGGATGGATTGGTTCTTGGTTTATCCTGAATCATTGTGACCTCGGTAGATTGGCCTTAATGAGAGTGGCTGACTAAGAGGTGAGGTGTGCGAGGATGGTTGCAGTTTAGACTTGGGAGCAAGAGCACCTGGGCAGCTCAGGCTGGAAAGGGTATCCGTGGAATCCAAGCTACAACAAGCTCGAGTGCGAGGTACTCTGGGCAAGTCATCTTCGTAACCACTAGCTTCCTGGCAGTTCAAGTTGAAGACCTCGAGTCTTGATCAAAAGCTGCTTTGCAGGCACTCGTAACCGATTTGAGTCTAGCGAGCTCATTCCTCCCTGCTTTTTCCCAGCCTCTAACCCCTCTTTTTGTCCTCTTTCTTTTTTAGTCGGTCGTTCCATCGTTATTGCGACAACATGCATTGGGAACCTTCTCAGCCCCCCTGTAATGATGAGCGTTGAACCCTTTGAATAGCTCGAGCTACTCGGTGGACTAGGCTGATCGCGGCACCAGCATCGTCTACCCTAGTCGATTCTCTGCTGAGGGCTTGCTTGTCCATGGCTTGCTCTAACCACACCAAGCATCATTCATCTACGCTAATCAACTCCGTCACCTTCAAAGTACTCTACCCTACCCCGCAATCCCTCCCTTCTACCACTCACAGGAGGTGTAAAGCCTGCTCCGCTACCTCCTCGCTACCTCGCAACCTTGCTACCTGGTCTCTGATTGTACTGAGTACGGAAACCTCGTTACCAGCTGCTAAGTATCTACTTGGACCATCATTGACCTTCTGACCCTTTTTCGAAAATGCGGCGGGCCTATGAGCTAGCCATCATCTCCCTATCCCGTACCCGTATCTGTTCCCAATCTGCATCTTGAAGCCACCCCTCCGCTGCTCTTGACTCTCTCCGTTGGCTCTCCGCCACTGATGCTCTCGACTTTCTAAACCCTGTCTGGTTTAGTCCAGAGCATGTGCCATGAATCTTCTTTCGTCTGGCTCACGAAAAAGGTTCTTCGCAGACGCCCGCTTGGATCAAGAACATACATGTACTAAACACAACAATGTGACCAGTCTACCGTGTCATGCCAGTCCATGTCCCCTGGCCTGGTCTTGTTACCTCATGGTTCAACGTCTAAGAAATCTAGAAGTGCACGTTGTTGACCCTCTTTCCCATCCTAGTTCTTCCATTCCAAATTCGTCTCCATCGCTGGTACTGCTCCTACTAGTACCTACCACACTCGCCTGTGGCTCCGACCAAAGCTACACACACCCATCACTCCTCATCTGGACATGAGGTATTAGAACTCGAGTCTTCCAGTCGACCAACCTCGTCGATCAGGATTCTGGTTACATTGTACCCGTCACCACCCACGACCTTGACATTACGAGCATAATTAGATCATTCGGTCGACCTCGCGCGTGTCACTCGTCGCAGCATCTCCAAGAGTTTCACTCCCCCCTTTCGCGACTCTCACTTGCGTCTTTGTCCCGTGAACATTGATTGGCATTGTGAACCCCCCTGCCTGGTTCAGACGTGGTAACACCCTCAGTATTTTGCGCAACAATCATATTTCCTGGTTCTGGCAGGTCTGTAGCCAGCCTGTACGCCACGTCCAAAAAGACTGTTTCTTCCTGGGCTTCACCAACACCTTCTTCCGCCGTTGTGTGACGGCTGTTGCCTTGATCCTAATAGTGCGCCTACCTCCGTTGAAAATTGGGGCCTCGCGTGGCTGGTCTTGCCCAAGGGCTCTTCCTGGACCATTGCTGAGCATGCCGACGGCATATACGACTTCTACCAAGCTCCCTTGACCAGCTACATTTTCGTCATCATGTCGTGAGTTCCTCTCTTCTCCTAAAGTGGTACATTAGAAAACAAACCGAGAGACCAGGCCGCTGTTCACGAGCATGTCTTAATGGTCTCTGTGCTAGACTCCCGTGGATTATTTGTTCCAAGATCTCTTTCCTCTTGTTCATACAAAGGTCTGACTGACACGACTTTTCGGCGACTTATTTAGGACACCTCCGCCTCAGAAGCGTCAGAAAGCGACGGCATCTTCCACGTCGCCCAACACGGCAAACAGAGACCATTCGGCGGTTCAGGCCCCATTGGCACCCAAGCCCAATGCCGACCACCTGGCGCCTCCAACAAATCCTAACAATCCTCGAAAGCGACGAGCTAGTCAGAGTCCCAAACTAAACACCCTTCCGCCGAGCCTCAAGCCGTCCTTGGATAATCAAGCCAGTGTCTCAATACCGGCGTTGCTCACTGACGATACAGGCAAGAAACGTGGTCGAACCAACACTCCTTGGACTCCTCAGGAGGAGCAGAGACTGAAGCAAATGCGTGACGCCGGGAATAGTTGGAGTGAGATCGCAAAAGTAAGAATTCCAGGGTCACGCATCCTTTACAGTGTCCAAATACTTACAGATAACAGGCTTTCCCTGCTCGCACTGAAGGCAGCGTCAAGAAACATTGGTACAAGGTCAGAATATGTGAGAAGTTTTGTTGGTTTTCTCTGACTGAATTAACACCAGGACATGCACTACGCCGAGTTCGCTGAAGATGAAGTATTTCCAATTCTGTGCTGTCTACCTTTCTTCATTTACTTATTCGTTGCTAGTCGAATCAACTTCGTGAGGCGATTAAAGAATACGAAGCGAACAAGTGGAAAGCCATCGGACTAAAGTTGAATAAGCCAGCAAAGGTCGGTGTCCATTATTTCGACCTCCACTAGTTATTCGACTCGGGCTAATATGAAATCCATGCAGGCTTGTGAACAATATGCCCGAGAGCACTTCAAGAACGGCTGAGCCTGGATCATAGAACGTGTGAACATGATATCAACAGCGTGGGCGTTTAGGCAAATAATGGATATGCCAAACTAGGGGTCGGAATGATGGTCAATCCGAGCAAGGCGTCGATTATTTTTTCTCGCCAGGGGGGCGCTGAGTGATGATTCAGATGGTCTGGTCAAAGGGTTGAGACCGATGGGTAGCGGCGACTCTATTGGAAGGACAATGAGACCGAAATCGAAGATGAAGTTTGCGAGACAAAGAGTGCACGTGGATAATGTGTCATTGCTGGACCTGAGACACCTGGACACAGGAGGGACCGAGCTGCAACATGTCAAGTCAATTGCCTGAAGAATACCACAGACCTACAGAGTGTGTGTGCCTGTATCCCGATTTCGTTGGGGGTTGAAAGGGAAAGGAAAGTGAATCAAGGCACCGACCTTCACCTTCGTACAAAATATCGGCTGTTTCCACTCCTCGCCTTTGACTCATGTTGTGTCCAAATGTGGTTGGCTCGGGCTCGTTCATCAGCAATCTGTCAACCATGCGGGCCATGTTGCATGCCAATCACGCGGGCACAGCCGCTTCGTGCCATATGGTTAGTCGAGTCCTACATAGCATTGACCGCCAGTAGCTTGAAACGACCATGTATGTGAGATAGAAAAAAAGGTCGCGGTTGCAGTGTGTTTGCGATTGCTTGTCATGGGACGGGCGTGTCTGTAGTGTTATGGAAGAAATAGGACCCCGACAAGCATTGGGGCCATAAAGTACCCACAGCAGCACAGGGATTGAGCTCCAAGCACTCTCACTACTCACTAGCCCTGAAGATTGGACGGATAAGTCATACCCTTCGGAGCAGGTCCTTGCTGGATTTGGAGCGGTGACCAGGGTCGCCGAGAGGCGAGATGGCCCTGTCTGGAGTATCAAGCAATACCGTTACAAAGAGTCTAACTGGTTTCACTCTTGGCGAAAAACATGGTTGTATTAGCAACAACAAGTTCCATCATCCAGCTGTATTATTCCCTGCACAAACACTAACGAGGCCGAACAGCAGCGGTGGCAGCCTTGGAGCTTGGGCCCGCTGGATTACTTGATCAGAAACATACCTTTTTATACATTTGTAGCTGTTTCACCTCCGGCAGGAGCAAACAGAAACCGGAAAAACAAGAAACAGGACTACTCCGTCGCAGTTGCCGGTTGGGGAATGGGTTACGACATCGACTCTCGTTGATGCCATCCGACTCGGGAAGGCACGCTGGTCTTGGCGGAGCGAAAATCCGAGCTCTCTTCTTTTTTTTCGCGCTCTTTTCGTTTTTGCCCCGCCACTGACAGCGATGACTCCGTACGTTTATCGTTCGAGTTGTCTCTCACTATCACTACCACTATCTCTGTCTTTTTGACTCGAGAACGAGATTCTCGCCACTTCTTCAGGTCTGTCATCCGTGGAAACAATGCGCCAGTGGGGTAAGTGCTCATCATGCTAATCATCCACCTGCATGACTCTTCGTAACTTTGATCCTCGACATCTTTTCTATATTCATCTATCATACCTAATTTCTTCCTTCCTCACTTCCATTGTCTGGACTCATCCTCTACCTGCTTCAAGTGTTGTCTCTTGTGCTGTACCACCGAATCACAGCCTCGCCCTTGGGTTCAAGTAACACCACATTCGTTTGAAGCTGAACTGGAAGGCGCCGACTCCACCGCCTGTTCAAGCCAATTATTTGTCTTTTTCGGTCTTGTCATGTTTAGTCGGTTCCATTCGTGACTACAGACCTGGGCTCGAACCTCCAATAAGCTCGAAGGAGATCATTCATTATAGGTGAGAAGTTCCGCTTCGCATGAACACCTGTTCGCCCCGTTCGTTACACACCAATGCAAGTATCCAGGATATGTGCCGTGGGCAGAAACATACCCCAACAATGCCACCGACCTCAACTCCTGCATCAGCAAAACTCGGTTTTATGCATGTCAAATTGTTTGTTTTTCTGCCAGCAAGAGTGTTTACTGACTCCCCGACTTTTTAGTCTCGACACCTTTTCCAGTTCATCCTACCCGCATCCATGGCCACACAGGCTGACCGTCACGACGCCGAAAAGGCACAAGCTCCAATACCATCCCGGCCCTTGCCTGAGGCCAACAATCTCCCATATGATCATGACAGACATCCTGACTCGTCGCCATGGAGTTCGCGAATTCGGTCCTTTGAGCGTGCGTTGTTAAAGTACAATATCGAAACCCGTGGGATTCAGCGAGTAGAGGACCATGAGAAACATCGCATAACATGGCGGGCATACCTTCAAGTCTTTGTACTCTGGACTTCCATTAATCTGGCCATCAACAATGTCACACTCGGCATGCTAGGCCCTGCTGTTTACGAACTTTCCTTTACTGATTCCTCCGTCTGCGCTTCACTCGGCGCGTTGTTGGGATCGATCCCCGTGGCCTGGATCGCGACCTGGGGTCCTCTCAGTGGTATCCGCACCATGGTCTGGGGTCGTTATGCTATGGGTTGGTACCCAAGCAAATTGATCGTCATCCTGAACATCGTCGTCATGCTGGGTTACGCTCTGTTGGTGGCCATCATTGGTGGTCAGGTACTTTCTGCAGTATCCCCCAACGGCTCCATGTCGGTCGTGGTGGGCATAATTATTGTCTCAGTCATTACCTGGGGAGTAACTTGTTTCGGTATCTCGGTGTTTCACTATTACGAAAGATTCGCCTGGATCCCCCAATTGATTGTGTATTCAATCTTGTTTGGAGTCTCGGCCAAACACTTTGATCTCACTGGTCAGAGTGTGGGTGATGGTCGTACTGTTGCTGGCAACCGTTTGTCATTTTTCTCAATTTGCGTTTCTGCTGCCATCACCTACTCTGGACTTGGGATGGATTTCTTCGTCTACTGGCCTCAATCGACATCACGTTGGCTCATCTTTACAATGACCCTCCTGGGACTGGTACTGTCGTTCACATTTGCGTTTGTTCTAGGCGCCGGTGTAGCTTCTGGGATTTATACCTCGCAAAACTACATGGAAGCTTGGACCAACTCGCAAGGTGGTTCGGGTTCTGGTGCTCTGCTAGTGGCAGCCTACGCTCCTCTTGGAACTTTTGGTAAGTTCTGTGCCGTGATTGCCGCCTTGGGAGGCATCGCAAACATGATCCCCCCTACATACTCCTCTGGGGTGGACTTCCAGATGCTCGGTCGTCATCTAGCAAAAGCTCCTCGAGTTATTTGGAACACAATCGGCGTCGTCATCTATACTGTGTGCGCCTTGGCTGGTAGAAATTCCCTAGCCGTCATTTTCACAAACTTCCTGGCTCTTATGGGCTATTGGGTGGCAATTTGGGTGGCCATATTACTCGAAGAATTTTTGATCTTCAGGAAAGCGAACAGTATCAATTATGATTGGTATGTGTGGGACGACAGGAAAAAACTGCCCATAGGCATAGCAGCATTGATTGCATTTCTCATTGGTTGGGCTGGCGCTATTCTGTGCATGGCCCAGGTTTGGTATATTGGGCCTATCGCTGCATTGGTTGGCGAATGGGGTGCTGATATGGGCAACTATGTCGGCTTTCTGTGGGCGTCGTTGGTTTTCCCGCCCTTGCGTTGGTACGAGTTGAGAAGGATGAAGCGATAAATCAGTATTATACATACGCAATATACACGGCGTTTCTTGAACACCTACAACTGTTTTGGACCCAGAAGCACAGAGCCTAGAATTGTCACAAGGTAAGACAGCACCAGTCACTGGAAGGTTGTTCCGTTATCACTTTGAAAGTGGATCAAGAATGGCAGGAGGTTGGGGGGTCTGTCACGTGCAGGTTTAGTCGACCATTACTTTTTATTGCAGAGCAACATCGCATGGAAGGAATATCCACGGCTTCGATGATCTCTCTTTACCATCATCGAATTGTAGGATCGTGGATCTCAATCGCTTATGTTATCTCCCAGGCATGTTGATTGTGGGCCGCGGCTCCGCTAAGCCAACTCAAGCTAAGACAAGCATTCGCTTTGCTCCAAGCCTTCCCGTGTTTGATACATGGAAGCGCCACCATTCAGGCTATTTTTTAAGCCGGTCCCCACTTTATCGGCACACAAGTCTGCACATCTTGATCGTCATCAACACATTCAGGAGTCGTGCAATCTTTGCTGAGAGGCGCAGTGATAGCCTCAAACTCTCGTGCTCTCCTTTCTCCCCTTATATTTCGAAGAAGAGGGCACTTTTTACTTTGGCAACTCGAGCTGTGGCTTTCATTGTTGGTGTCGGAGAGAAAAAAAAAAGCCACGTTCGTTTCAATCTGCCATCCGACTTGTCACATGTGTCAAGTTTTGCTTCGATGCCCTCAAGAAGCCACTGTCTACTATTTGTGGACCACCTTGGTGCCACCTCTACATAGTAGTGGTCTAGACATGATCCCTTGCACCCTCCGTATCGTTCATGCTGCTGCACTCAAAAGGAGAACCGGGGATGAGGTGGATAACATCGCTGGAACAATGGAGTATCTCTGTCCAATGTCCACCGTGAGCCGCCATGAACTGTATCTACTTCCACGCCTGTCCGACCGGCAAGCCAGCTCCGGACCTGTATGTCACTGGGATTGCAATGTGTGTACTCCAGCTCCACCTGGCAACAACAAGGGCAAGTCGGCCCCAAGCCTGCTACTATCAATCACCGACACTCAACATTATATGACCTGCTCTCCTCTTTTCTGGTCATTGTTTGGTAATATCACTGACCTTCGTTTCTGTCTTTCCTCCTCGTTGGCTGCTATCCTCTGTTCATTCTTTTGGAGGTAGTACGCGCAAAACATTCCTTTTCTTTCCCAACTAATGCCACTCTTTCATTCAACTTGATATCAAAATGCATCACTCACTAATTCTTTTCAAACTGTTCGTTTTCCTATTCGCTACTAGTGTTGCCGCGGAAGGGTTCAAATCTTCCCGAAGTTCAACTACAGCGTTGTATACTCCTTCCACGACCTCGACAAAATCCAGGTCCACCAGCTGGTCATCCTCCTCCAAGTATAATGTAACCACAACAACACACACAACACAAACAAACACGCATACCTCATCAAAAGCTGATCTAACATCCGTATTACCTCAGTCCATCTCGGATCTCCTCTTCCCGACTGTCCTTCCTCAGCATCCCATTCTCCCAAAGAACATCCCTTCTGGGAGGGGTGCTTTGCCTCAGAGCCAGACCAACGGTAAAGGTTTGTTAGGTGCTATTGGGCAGCAAGGTGCACCCAAGTATCCTCCTTTTGTTGGTTCGAATCTGGGAGGTTCCGGTGGTTATGCTGGCGTCTCTTCTGGTAGCGGTAACAGAGGTTCAAATGGAGGTGCCGGAGGTTCGTCTGGCAGTTTTGGCCTTCCTGGCCGCCCTGGTCGACCAAACGGCCCTGGTACTGGTTCTAGCCCACCTCCAGGAGGATTTCCTTGGGGAGGTAGAACGGTTGGTAACACAAACCCTTACAGAAGCCCACCGAAAACAGGTGTCGTTCGAAAGTATCAATTCGTGGTTGAACGTGCGACCTTAGCACCAGATGGTGTCGCGACGGATCTCATTGTCATCAACGGAGCATTCCCTGGACCGACCATTGAAGTCAATTGGGGTGATGATGTTGAGGTTACTGTCATCAACAAAATCACTGGACCAACGGAAGGCGTATCTATCCACTGGCATGGCTTGCTCCAGACTGGTACACCTTACGAGGACGGAGTCCCCGGTATCACGCAGTGCCCTATCGCGCCAGGTCAAACTTTCACTTACAGATTCAATGCCGATCTCTATGGCACCAGCTGGTACCATTCTCATTATTCTGCACAGTACGCTGCTGGTATCTTTGGAGCGATGATCATTCATGGGCCCACTCAAGTCGATTATGATGAGGATCTTGGCCCTGTCCTCATCAACGACTATTACCACCGCGAATACTATGATATTGTTGAGGACGTGATGGGAACAGATTTGAGCAAGATCGTCCCCTTTTCCGATAATAACCTCATCAACGGCAAAGGAACTTACGATTGCTCAACCGACAACACCACCACCTGTACATCCAATGCCGGATACTCCAAGTTTCAGTTCCAAACGGGGAAGAAATACCGTATGAGATTGATCAACGCCGGCGCCGAAGGTATACAGAAGTTCAGTATTGACGGCCACAACTTGACCGTGATGGCCTATGATTTCGTGCCGATCGTCCCATACAGCACCAACATCATCACACTTGGTATCGGTCAGCGTGCAGATGTCATAGTTGAAGCCACCGGATCCGCCAAGGACGCATACTGGCTCCGCTCCACGATCAGCAACTGTTCGCTCGCCCACCAACCAAATGCCTACGCCATGATCTTCTATCAAAACGCGGATACAAACGGTAAGCCCAACTCGAAAGCATGGGTCGACACCACGGACAGCTGCGCCAACGATGACCTCTCCAAGATCGTACCATACTTCAGCATCACCCCGCCGGCCAATCCAGCGAAAGAAATCACCGTCGACATCAACTTCGGCTTGAACGCCACGGGCCACCTGCTCTGGCTGATGAACAACTCGACGTTCCGCACCGACTACAACGACCCGGCCTTGTACCGCGCCCACGACGCCAACTCATCCTTTACCTACCCGGAAGAGTGGAACGTCTATGACTTCGGCAGTGCCTCGTCCGTCCGCGTGGTCATCAATAACTTGACGCCCGTCGCCCACCCGATGCACATCCACGGCCACAACATGTACGTCCTGGCCGAGGGTGTGGGCGAATGGAACGGCGCGGTCGTCAGGCCCAGCAACCCGACGCGCAGAGATGTCCAGCAGCTGCGTCCCGCGGCCTTCAATAAGGATGGGAGCGTCACCCCCGCTCATATGGTCTTCCAGATCGACGCCGATAATCCAGGCATGTGGCCTTTCCACTGCCATATTGCTTGGCACGTCAGTGGTGGCTTGTACATTAATCTTCTGGTGAGTTGCGTGCGCGCTCTTCTTCCCTTATCCTGCTTCTTGCTTTCTTCTCTGCGAAATGCTTTTTGTCTCCCATGCTCTACCAAATGCAGAAGTGTACATCCATTCAGCCCACTGACGTGGAAAATATAGGAACGTCCCGCCGATATCCCCAAGATCAACATCCCCGCCGAAGCCACCGCTCTCTGCAAGTCCTGGAACGACTACACCAGTCTAGGTCCCATCGACCAGATCGATTCGGGTTTGTAAAGCGAATGACTCTTGTGACGACGAGGGGGGCCTGGTGGTGTAATGGAGTATGGGACGGGCGCCTTCTTAGAAACTGTATTCCTTTGTTTAATCTACGAAAATGCTCGCAGCACCACTATAATACCCTATCTAGTTTCTTTTCACTTCGGGTAGGGGCAATATTGGAAAGGGGTTGGGTATACTTGGAACAAAGAGGATAGAATGGTATCGTAATCACATTACATTATGGCTCTCTCAGGCGTGAGTGGGTTTTTGTTTGAAGGGGGCAACGGAATTCATCTTGATGATATGGCACTTTAAACTTTTTCTACCAGAGTTTTAGCCAAGGGCTGGACATGATGTGTGAACGGAGTGCTCGAAAGCTACCTTTTAGTTAACTAGGCCTTCGGAGATCGAGAGGGCTCGAAGAACGCCCTCCTCCAACTTTCTTCGCCTCCGCCGTGGGTGATAAGGAGAAACAAACTGTACTCGGTTTAGTGGTCCCCGATAAAGTAGAGTAAAGTATACGCCCCGATCAGTCCGGGGCTTGGTTTTGTTCACCCTGGCTTTTCGTTTGCCAATCTCCTCTGCCGCATGCTGCGTAGCTTAGAAGTCCTGGGGCGTGATGTCCCTCTCTCTCGGCGTTTTCGTATTCGTATCAGAGTTCACAGAAGAAATGACCGGGGAAGGGTTTCCGTGGGAATGCTTGTCCAAAGGAGAGCCCGGCGCCATGTGCATTTAGGCTTTTTCTATTTTGAATACTCCGGACTGGGGGCCAGCCATGCAATGCAGACCGGGTCGACCTTTCCTTAACTTAAGGCTCGGAGGCCGTCATGCAGATGCTTCCCTGTCATTTCGATGGAGGTGTACCAGGTGCTGCGCAGCGAGGAGATTGTTGTCTCGGCATAGAACCATGAGATAAGCCTGTGTTGTTGTTATGAGTGGTATGCGTTGATGTTGCAGAGGGGCTATCAATGTTACCTGACGTTGTGGTCTTCGATGTTGTCTGTGTAAATACTATCTATATAGTCTGAGCTTGGAGACATATTTCGTTTCGCATTCGTATCCCATTGGCGCCCGAAATTGAGTCGTTAGTATTAGTTATACTTTAGCAAGATACCAAGATACAACGTCATGGCTAGGCAGCTAACGATTCCTATAGCAGGCACCCTAATGCCATCCAAGGTGCTCACACATAACATGTACCAATGATAGAACCTCTCTGCTCAGAAGCACTCACGCAATCCAAAACCAGATCTTCTGAACCCAATTCTTTGGGATCGGTTCCTCGTCCAAGGCACAGAACTCGTCCATCTCCCTCTTTCCCGTGATAACGTCGATGTTATGCACCTTGATGGCAAATGGCGTGCGGAACCAGATCTTATGTCCTACGTAGAGAGCCAGCACGATGGGAAGTGTGATATAAGCGGCCAAGAAACCTGAAACAGACCACTGTGAGGGAAAGAAGACTTGAAAGCCATTGGTGAGGGTGAGAATAATCAGCAGACCAAGCACGAAATGTGAAGCATACGGCTGTAATGGCGCACGGAAGGGCGACTGATCGAGCATGTTCTGGAACCGCATCGCTTTGTGGAAGCGAATGTAGGTGACGAGACAGATGCACCATGCTATGTACCCGGATATCGTGCTAATGTTGACAAACCAGTTGAACACGGTAGCTCCGGAGTTGGAAACGTTGAGGAAGGCGAGTAGTCCTGGAGCCCACGTGGCCAACACGGCCATATATGGCACACCGCGACGGTTGGTCTTGCTGAAGACCGCGGGTGCTTGATTTGTCAGTGCGAGGCCGTACAGAACTCGAGAGCCAGAGTACAGGAATGCGTTGCCAGCAGACCATGCGGAGGTCAATACAGCGGCGTTGATAACGTGATTGAGGCCTTGGATTCCAGCTTCTTGGATGCCGATCACAAAGGGGCTCGCACTGGCGTTGGAACTCCCGGAAAGGAGGCGTGGATTGTCGGAAGAAACGATGATGCCAATGATCAGCGAGCCGAGTCCGTAGAATACCATCAGTCGCCAAACGAAGCGACGAGCAGCTTTTGGGATGTTGCGTCGGGGAGCGATCGTCTCTCCAGCGGCGAGAGCGATGAGCTCGGGGGAGGTGATGAAGGCGAAACCTGCGCGGACGAAAGCCGTCCAGTATGCCAGAAACTTGCCAGTCGCGCCCGGGACGAGGTATTCTTTGAATGCTCCCGGGTCCTTCCAGTATCGAAAGCCGAGTCGGTCATGATTCGGCCCACCACCGAAGAACAAGACGACTCCGATGATAATGAGCCCGATAATGGTGATGAGTTTGATAGATGCAAACCAAAACTCTGCTTCTCCGAAGAATGAAACCGCAATCACATTAAGGAAGAGGACCAGGACAAGGAATATGGTGATCCAAGCGGCTACATTGACGTTGGGAGCCCAGTAACCGAGGAGAATAGAACCGGCGGAAGCTTCAGCGGCAACCAGGATTGCATACGCATACCAATAGTTCCAGCCCGCTGCAAAGCCCAAGCTTGGGTCGACGAAGCGCGAGACGAAATATGGAATTGTGATACCCTTCATCGGCAAGTAGGTGGTCATCTCAGCAAGGGTCTAAAGGACTTTGTTAGCAACGAGAAGGGTTAGGGTTAGGGGCAGGGGTTCGAACGAGCATCACAACCCAGACAATGAACATGTTGGACAGGTAGGCCATGAATAGAGGTGCTGGACCAACTGTACTAAGTATCGACCCGGACCCTACGAAAAGGCCTGTACCGATGGCACCGCCAAGTGCACTTCCACGCCCGTTAGCACAGAAATAGGAATTCACATATATGATGGTTCTTACAGAAATTGTATGTGTCTGCTCTTCAGTCCACGATGTGTCTGACCACCTGGTGCAGCAACCAGCATAGCCTCACTTGAAAGCGGTTTCTCATCCATGGCTCCAGCCTGACCGTCAAGGTCGACACCTTTTGCTTGGAATTCTTCGTCACCCTTCATGATGATCACCGGTTGTCCTGTTGATGATAGTGCGGTTCACAGCTTGATGATGGTGTACGAGTTGATTTCCAGTCAAGGAACTCAGAGTTTTATAGATCTCGTAAGCAAAGCGCCTTGCGACCGACGGGATGGCCATGCACCCGGTCAGCGGGCAACCTGGGGTTATCTTGACCAGAAAAAGCAACGCGCCAATTCATGATAAGATGCAACCTCACGGTGAAGCATGCCGATCATGGATGACCCTGCCATGGCATTGTGGACCAGAAAAATTTCCACAGAGTCCGCCAGGAGCTTCATCAGGACGGATATCCCTGGTGGATATGACGAAAATGTAGGGTAATAGTTGATGAAAAATTGGAGACTCGTCGCTTCCAGAAAGTCTTGGTATTTTCCACTTGTTCTTGAAACGGTACCTAATAGATTGATCTCTGTTTTCCTTCACCATGGGGTCTTGACGGCTTGATACGGGGTACTCAACCCACATTGGAGAAGTGGCAAGTGAAAGGATAGCAAAGGGCAGTCAATCGTGTGTCCTCGGAAGAAAAAGAACATTCGATACGATGGAAGCCGACGTTTGACGTTGGTCGGGAAGGACTTTCCGATGTTGTTCATAGGGGCCAAACGACTGACTTTTGACTTTCCGAACAACCGTGCCTAAGCGACAAGCAGGACTTGCACGTCATACCACCTATCGAGTCATTCGTTCGTGATAGTATGATAATGAGGGCTGTAATGACATGAGAAGTGCCTTGTACGCCGCAGCCATGAGTTTGACAATCGGAAAAAATCGTGAATTAGCAGTGAGATCAAGGAAGGTTGTACCTTTACGAGTATGGTTTGTGGAAGAGATAAGTCCCTCAAGCTGCAAGCAACAAGGGAGTTTTCCGTCGGTCAACAATCTGTAAAGCCTTTCGAGTGTGGTTTCTCACTATATCCTCTCTGTTGATGTTATGAGTCAAGGACTGATGCAGGGATTAGGTGCTCAAGAGGTTGTGTTCAAGGTCTGTTCTATGCTGCACTTTCAAAATGCATAACGGAAACTCGAACCTGGTTGTCAATTACTAAGATGTGGACGCCGAACTCAATCCTAATGACCAAACCGAGTGTTGCTGGTTTTACCATCTAGTCCTCCTATTCTAATCTGAGCAAGAATGTACAGTCTCAGCCAATGGCGCGGTAATTTTGTATAGTTTTGTTAGCTAACCTCTACATCTACTATACCGCGTACTCTTAGATAAAGCTACTCTTAAAATTAATTATTCCTAAAATAATAGGAACGAAAGTGCGGAAATTTAGGTGAGGATTTTCGCTGTTCAACAATCGACTTGTCTTTATAAATTATTGTAATTCCCGCCCTTCGAAGTAGATCTTTCGTGAATGGGCGGCCGCCCTTTACATCTAGCATTATTCGTACTTCGACCTTAACACTCCTTCCTCTCGAGCATGTTCTACTCCTAACGTCCCTCACGGCGCGTCTTTGCGTGCTAAACAAGCACCTGCACTTTCGTGTCTTCCTCTTCAGCAAGTTTCTGTCGTCATCCCCCCCAACAGCCACCACAACCCCTGTTTGCCAGTCAATGCGAATGAGACTGATTGCTCATGTGCCTACTTCGGCGTCTGCTCGTCGGCAGCTGAATTGAACCCTCTCCTCTGTTGAGTTTCTCTCCGTTCTCACGTAAGTCCACGTTCTCATGCATCCCCACTCACTATACCACGATTTGTGTAAGTAAGTACTGTTTTTTTTGTCAGTCGTGACCAGCCGAAGACTTCCCCTGCTTGTTTTTCGTTTTCTCTTTTTGCGGTAGCCACAATGCCTGGTCCTGCTGTAGCTGTACCACAGTCAAAGGCTCAGATTGAGGCTGAATTGGGCGTCGATAAAGGCGAAGTTGCTGGAGATGTCATCGATTTTTTGGCTGATGGAGATGAGCAACTCCTGGATCCTGACCCTGATCCCGGTGAGTTTGACGAGAGTAGTACTTTTGATGGAGACGAATCCTCGCTGCTGGGTTTTACACTGTTCTGCCTGCTCCATCTGCTCCAGTACGGTCTCGTATTCCGAAAGGCTGTTTGTCCGAGTATCCGGACGATGGCACATTGGAAATGGACACAGGTGCATATAGCAGTACCTCTGATGTTTGAAAGAGCATTCATATCAACTGACACGTATTATAGAAGTAACATTGTCTATTCGACAGCGAAGATTCCGTGAGATGGTCTCGATGTGGTACGATGGTTTGCTTGTGTGGGTCAACCCGAAGGTATGAGTAAGGTATGAAGTGAATGGAATACTTGAGGGCTCCCTCTAACCTTAGGGACAGGGAGCCCGCTATGTACACCTAGCTATAGGTGGCAGGGTGCCGTATAAGAGGGTGGCGGTGCACCTAAAGCTCTAACAGAAGGCAATGTGGAACTCGCACACCGACTGGTCCTGGGCCTTGTCGACCGGCAACAAGCCATCGAATTCATATGCAACGCCGTTTTGCCACAGTACCAATACATCCTTGCCGATCCCAACTTTGTGCCAATGGATCTCCTCAAGCTGCCATTGATATCGAAGCAAGATCAAGCCTAGGGCTGCTATTTTAATCTGTTCACACATTCCAAAACGGGATCTGTCATCGGCTGGTATACTGGATCCGCTACAGCTATGGGTTCTCCACAGTCTAGAAACGGCTGTGGACTGATCGGTCGACTGTTATCATACTTCCCTGCCACTCCCAAGCTTACATACGGTCACGCAAAATGGCTCGCCGGTGCCGTCATCCGTGATGCCGTTCCCAATTTCCGCAAGGCTGCCTGCTGCCAATCCCAACGATCACATCACAGAGGATTTACTCTTTTGTTAGAGACCTTCCTCATAACCATAGTCGGATACGATGAAACCTACATCGCAGATGGGCCAAACAAACAAGTTCCCAAGGGCACTCCCGAGTAGGTCTTCTATATTCGCAGACAATTGAGCATCACAGTATTTGAAGATGTGGCCTGTATCGACTTAACATACGTCTTAACTAAGACTTGAAATATAAAGAGGAGAGTAAATTTCTTTTATACGATAAGTGTGCGATAAGTACTCAGTTTCGAGTAGCTTAGTAGTCTCTTAACGTGGCTAGGCTGTTATTCGTAATAATTCTGATAACGTATTCTTCATATCGCACTTACTCTCTCAAGTTAAGATCGTTATAACGATATGATTCGCTAAGAAACATTTTTACGTACTATTTTATATACTCATAAAATTTATTTACTGTCTATCACGGAGAGTTCCTACACTCGTGCCATAGGGGCTAAAAAGACGAGAATCCTAGGCATTATATCTCGATTCTACGAACTCTGATAGATCTATTGTCGCGGGCGGCCTCCTGAATCCAAATAAGGTGCCAGTGACAATGTCGTATGTTGAGAGGAATTCAAGGAAGTAAAATTTCAGGGACCAGTGAATGTCCCGGAGCTGCTCGGATGCCCTGAGAGCCCGCCATACTGACTGGGCTCATTCAAATGGCCTCTCTTTCATACCTAGAGTTTTGTCCTCAAATCCTTTTCTATGGCCATCTTCTTCAAAATATTTCTTTCAATCTTGCCATTCCCGTTTCGAGGAATTTGGTCAACAAATCTGATTCCGCCATCGAGTTGCTTGTATCGTGCAAGTCGATCTTTGATGAAGTTGATTATTTCTACCTCTGTGATGGTGGCTCCGGTCTGAACCGCAATATAGGCTCGAGGGAGCTCGGATTCTTCGATACTGTTCTGAACTCCAATGACTGCACAATCCACGATTTTTGGATGTAAGAGGAGCACACCTTCAATCTCTGTTGGAGCCACCTGAAACCCCCTGACTTTGATGAGTTCCTGTGCAGTGGTTAGTCAATCTCCTTTCGTCCCAATACTGTGACCGAATTACCTTCTTTCGAGCAACAATAAACCACTTCCTCGTACCCGGATCACAGTATGCGATGTCTCCAGTATGGAAGTATCCCTCTCCATCCCAATCTCGACCATTGGCTTCACTATTTTTGTAGTAGCCATTTACGATGATGGGACCTCGTATACAGAGCTCCCCTCGAAGGTACGTACCATCCGAACCTCTTCGCCCACTAATGTCAGAACCATTCTCATCAACTAGCTTTGCATCACAATTGGGTAGGAGTCTCCCAACGCTGCCTGTCAAATCTTGCTCTGGGTAGTAAAACATAGTGGCTATACATGTAGTTTCACTCATACCCCAGGCTTGATTGAAAGGAGTCTCTGCTGGCAGATGCTCTTTCAGGCGAGCTTGGAGGCTTTTGTCGAGAGGCGCAGAGCCAGCCCATGCATTCCGGATTGTCTTTAGGGAATATTTACCCGAATCCAGTAGGCCAGATGACAAGAGACGAATCACCATCATCGGTACAATATTGACTTCAGTGATATTGTACCTGGAGATATTTGCAAGCCATGTCTCAATTTCGAAGCGGCGCATCACATATGTTACTATACCACCTCTGATGGGACTAGTATGGGCGCGAGGTACTTGCGAGATGTGAAAAAATGGATTCGAGAGTAGACGCCGAACCTCAATTTGTTAGTATCCATTATTCCTCTCCTTTCAAAGAATCTTACCTCATACGGTCGGGGTTGGACTTCTTGCACCAAAAGGTGTTGTGAAATCTGTGATCAATCAGCTCAAGTAAGTTGCTGTGCAACAACCGCAGCTCACGAAGTTGCGGACTGACAAGTCCATTGCTTTTGGCAAACCTGTGGTACCACTGCTGAACAGCCTCGCCACAATCGTCTCTGCGCTTCGTCTTGAATCCTCAAAGCGCTCCCAGTCTGCTTCAACACGTCCCCAGTGCAGGTGGTTCCAACTTTGAACACCATGTTCGCTGGCCATCTGACTGCCGAAGCTATCGAAAGCATAGACATGAGATGAAGGTATCCCACATTCCTTAGATGCCCGAAGAACTTTCGGGAGACACTCAGGCTCGACAATGAAATGCGTTATGTCGGCTGTGCGGATTGTGTGGGCAATCTCAAAGGTGGTGTAAGACGGATTGAGTCCGGTAAAGATACCTCCAGCAGCTATGATTCCAAGAAAGACAATGGGGTAGTAGATCTGAGCTCAATATTCAGCAACCCTAATCAGTCACATCAAACGCATGGAAAAGGGTGCTCACATCATTGAACGATATCAAACAGACACAATCTGCCTTCTTCAACCCTGCCTTGTGGAAACCTGCTGTAAGCCTGCGGACCATGCTACGAGCCTCTCGGTGCGATATCGATCGGGATGGATCAGCCCCGTCGATATATATCTTTGGTCGTTAGCTAAGCGGACCAGATGAGAACCAATATTTTCCTACATACGGGTTTATCTCTATCATAGAGAGCACAATCGTCAAACATCCACGTCAATAGATCTGTCGACGGGATATGGTAGTGTTCCTCCGCAAGAAATGGCATTGTGGCTTAAGCTTTTGAGCCCCCAGGCACTCTGGTAGCGATATAAGGATCAAGAGGCCTGTGTACGCGATTCACCAAGCTCCCTGGCAGATTCAACGCAGGGATACAGAAGTTTGCCTAGGTCAACACCAAATAAATACAAAAGCCTCGTTTCCCAATGTTCGAATGCCATCTTGGAGTAATAGACTGTGTCGTTGCGCAGATCAGATATGGCATCATCGCAAAAGACTTCGCTATGGGCTTCGATAAGACTTGGAGGTGCCCTCGGGCACCAAGCGGTAAGGCTGTGCCAAGGTGATATGCCGAGGGCTCCGCGGACATCTCGTTCGAGAGGCCGGATTGATGAATTAGGGTGCGGGGCAAATGCATCAGACTTAAGCGAATCTGAGCTGATGTTGGGCTCTCCCCAAGTCTCTTTCATTGCTATCAACGCTCACTGCGAAGAAGTGGAACAACAAGTATTTCCACTCCTTCGGTTGTCGAACGAATACCTTGGCCATCCAAATAGCATTACCAGACACTAGTTCTGCGGGTGTTGAGGGATTATTCCCTTTCGGGTCCTGACCTCTAGGAGGGCAGAACTCACCGGCACGATGGTCCCGTTGGAAAGTCGTCAGCAGGCCCAGAGGCCTGGCTACAAGCGAACAACTGCTTCCTGTCAATACTGTCAAATGAGGAAAATTAGATGTGATAGGGAGCTGCTGGGTTCACCATGTACTAATTGCCGACTGGATGGGATCAACTGCATGCCAGGCTACAGTAAGAAAAAGACCAATCCAAGAAGGCCGACGCCACCACATTCTACCATGTCCAGATCTCCCGAATCTGAGAATGTGCTGAGGTCAAGCAGCCAGGACCCATCGTGGTTGAACCAACCGACGGATGACCCTCATCTACCTACTGGTGAAATGGAATTACCACACTTCATTAAGCCGCTACCAACTCATTTGACGAGTGAAGACATGGACTATCTGCGACACAAAGGAATATTCGACATCCCAGGCATGCAGTCATGCACCGACCTCCTACATAGCTACGTCAAATTTGTCCACCCGCTGTTGCCCCTTTTGGATCTCGAAACCTTTTTAGGCCCCATGGTGGAAGTAGGTCACCCGGCAAAGATTAGCCTGCTGCTTCTCTATGCTGTGATGTGCTCTGGAGCCGCACACGTCCACTTGGACGCTCTGTACAAGTTGGGGTACAGTTCCAGAAAGTCGGCTCGGAGGGCCTTCTTCGAAAGAGCCAGGGTGAGTAGATTCTTGAGTCAAAACAAACAGCCTGACAGATGCAGCTACTCTACGATCTCGATTGCGAACCAGATCGCCTGAGCTTGGTCCAAGCATTCTTACTTATGACCTATTGGTACGACTCAAGCATACGAGGGCGATACAAAGATCGAAAGTTCTGGATCCGTGAGAGTGTGACACTCGCTCAGGACCTTGGACTAGATCTCGAGCTTGAAAACTGCGTGACTCAACGCCAGCGAGTAATGAAGAGGATCTGGTGGTGTTGTTTTATGCGTGATCAATTTGTAGCCCTCATGACCTGGACACCACCTCATTTTCGAGCAGGTTCCCACATCATCCCAATGCTTGTACTCGACGATTTTGAGATTGAGGATTACTCAAAGGCTGTTTCAAACACGTTCAATGAATGGGCTTTCATCAATGACGAAAGAACAAGAATCCAGCTCGCTATGCTGTGCATTGAGAAAGCTAAATTATCTCTTTGCATTGATCAGATATTGCGAGTACGATATATCAGCATGCGCCACGAATCGAAAACTCAGACACTCTCAATTCTCGTACCCAAAAGAGACACCAACGACGACTTTGAGGTAATTGAGCATGACCATCAGCTTCGAAGATGGTATCAAGCAATATCGACTTCAGGAAACTTTGATCTAAAAGATTCGACCACCTTTGGGACTATCAAAGCATCAGACACGCTTACTATTCAACGAGTACATTTGAAACTTCTCTTTTTGTCTGCGTTAATCGCGCTTCATCGCCCTCAGGTTGGAGATAATTCAAGGGCACGATCAGGCTTGTTCCAAGACCTGTCAAGAACGAAACTGCGCGAGACTGCGGATGAAGTGGGGCATCTTGCAATGTGCATGAAGGAGCTTCATCTGGGGACGCACATCAAACCGAACGGCGTTACCCTCTTCTTACCAATACTGCTCGTCCATCTTCAGGACATCATACCCGATATGGACAATCGTCAAGGAAACAGGATTGGTAAATATTACCACTGCATGGAAATACTAGACTCGTTAGGGGACCAGAATGTTCCAGACAACCTTCTGCCCATGGAACTGGAGGTCGCTTTTCGAATGCTCAACATCCTTCCATCGCTAGAGGCCAGTATTCCTCCCACCATTTCTTCTCCACTTCATGGCCAAGAGTTATTAGTGCCTGAAGGTAGCACTATTCCACGTCTTTTTGATCTTGGGACTATGACCTCGGCCGAAATGAGTCTGTTGAATGACCTGTGTCAGCATCACCAGACCCAACTCTGAAGGACATGGGCAGCTCAAAACACTTCTTGTGACCCGAGTCTAACATCCGAGCGGCCAGTTGAAGATCAATTCCACGGCAATTCTTTGCCGAATCATGCTACTGTCTCACAGCCACGATAGAAGTGCCTATTTGAAGCGTAGGCGGATGACTTTCGTGCATCTCGTTCGGCTCAGAAAAGCTCGAAAGTCTCTCGATGATCCCTTATCACTCGTTTCTACTGAGCGGAACTGCTGAAATACTCGATTATCAGGAGCCGAGGACTCCGCGGCTCTTATGATCGACACCCACCTAACACCCTAGTCTTGCGCCAGTTAGCCTATCAGCAAACACCCCGCATTGTGGTGCCCCAGAAGTTCAATACCTTAGTTTGGGCCCACCATGTGAGTGAGACCATGGATAAATACACACTATCAGGACAGCATCGTATCACGAGTAAGTACAAGTGTCATCCTCTCCCGCACAATTGTTCATTTGCCGGAACCTCACTCACCATCCAATAATCGTATCATTTACGAGGCCTTTACAGTACATTCTATCATCATGCCTAGTGATAAAGAAGTACAGCATGTGGAAACACCCAGGATGGACCGTGTACCGTCTGACTCACCAAAGTCAACGCCTATTGACACAATTCATGGCGATGAGGCCCTCAAGATCATGGCTGCCAGCCACGATGGCAACGACACCTGGGATGCTCATGAAGAAAAGAAACTTGTGAGGAAGATTGACCTCCGACTTATGCCTATCTTATGCGTCACCTACGGCATCCAGTACGCCGACAAAGCAATGTTGGCACAAGCGGTAAGTAGACACGGAGTTGACGAGCGTCTCCTGAGTAGCAGTATACCTACCTACATTCGTCGCTCATTTGGGGAAGCGCAGGAGATACCTTTTGCTGACGACAAATCCCTTAATAGGCACTATTTGGTCTGAGAGAAGATCTTCACCTCAATAATGGCAATCGGTTCGTCTTTTCGTCGGCGATATTCTATCTCGGATTTATTGTTGGAGCGTATCCAGCAATTATGATGGCGCAGCGGTGGCCAATTGAGCGGGTCGCCGCATCCATCACATTCATCTGGGGAATCATCGTCATGGGTAGCGCTGCATGCAAGTCGTACCAGGCCTTCTATGCACAAAGATTCTTTTTGGGTCTTATTGAGGCAGGTGTTGGCCCCATGTTCATGCTGGTTGTTGGCGGTTGGTACAAAAAGGACGAACAAGCCTTTAGGATGGGCGCTTGGTTCTCCTGTACAGGTAAGTCAATATAATCTTAACGAGAAGCCGCAATTACTTGTTGACAATGATCCAAGGATACGTATCCATCATCTCGCCTTTGATCAATTATGGTCTCGGTCATATCACAGGCGGATCTCTTAACCCCTGGCAGTATATGTACGTCTTTGCTGGCGCGATGACGACTCTGTGGTCAGTGGTGATCTTGTTTGTCATGCCACCAGATCCAATTCGTGCCAAAGGCCTCAGCGACCGTGAACGTTACATCGCAGTTGCGCGCATGAGATCCAACAATGCCGGGGTTCGCAACAAGCATTTGAAGAAATCTCATATTATCGACGCGTTGACCGATATAAGATTCGGTCTCGCATTTTGCATCGTCTTCTTGATGTTCTTTGCGAACGGGCCGAACTCGACAATGTCCGCCATCATCGTCAATAGCTATGGGTTTTCGACTCTGAACTCACTTCTTCTTGTCACTCCCGCCGGCTTAGTTTCTGGAACTATCGAATTGGGAGTCTGTTACCTAGCATACCGCTTCAAGAATATCCGAGTGTATCTTTTTGTCATCTGTGTCTGCTTGACCATGACTTCATGTCTGCTTCTATGGCAACTTCCCCGATCTGCGACTGCGGGTTTACTGGTAGCAATCACATTTCTGCCTTCATTTGGCGGGGCATACGCCATCATGCTCGGTTTGCAAATTGCAAATACGGCCGGGTATACCAAGCGATCTGTCACTTCCTCGGGGTTATTCATGGCCTGGTGCTTTGGGAATTTCACAGGGCCGCTTCTCTTCAAAAAGGAAGATGCTCCTGTTTATGGGCCTGGCTTTCGTGTCGTCGTGGCGGGCTGTGCTTCCGCTGTCGTCCTGATTATAGTCTACCGCTTCGTGTGCATGTGGGAGAACAAAAGAAGAGATCATAGTGGGACTGTGGAGGCCTTTGATAACGCCTACAATGACGATTTGACGGACAGAATGAACAAGCAATTCAGATACATTTTATGACTTTGCGAAAATGGAGGACCGAGGCGCCACTTTATCAGATATTAGACTGAGCCTTCGGAATGATGTATGTATGATACCTTGTGGTCTCCCAGATCGAAAGGCGGATGGTCACGTCCAGATCCTGTAATCTCTTGTGTCCACCTGGAACAGTACCAACCGGACGAGTGTCATAAAGAACTGCAAGCACCACGCCCATCGTGGTAGAGGTGATTGAGAAATGGGTCATCGGGAAGCTGATCCGCTAAAAAGTGGTCAAGGGAAAAGAAATGCTTCTGGTGAAGTGGAAAGGGCATGATGGCACGACGTGGGAACCGGGAGAGGCGTTGATGTAGGCTGTCCGCAGCTGATGGAACTGTTCGACACGAGACGGCATAAGGGAAGGACGAAATGATGGGGAATAGGGATAGAGCAGAATGTAATACGAGCAGAGCATCATCGAGAATGAGAGCAGTACAGATGGGGAAGTTAGCATTTGTTGTGGCTGGTGCATTCGTGATTCTCAAACGATACTTTAATTGAGGATCTAACTAGAATCTATGAAAAAGAATGCTGCTTTATATATCGTGTCCAGTTTAGGCCTAGTGCTGGCCTTGGCGACACACATTGATGCCTTGCGTAAAGACCCACCAATCAAGATACCGACTTCACGCCACCTTCCCACACAGACACCACGCCTACCAGTGAGAATATCCAATCACAATACCGAGTCCATGGCCTTCCGAGACGTTCACCTGCCAATCAGACGGGATGAGCCTCCGAAATGCGAAGAAACCCAAGCGAGACCCCAAGGTCACGGTGCGGTCGAGATACAATGAGGAGCGGACGGATTGGACCCCATGAATGGGAATTGAGGGGGTAGATAGGAACATCCAGTCTAAATAACCGGGGGCGCCGGAATACCCAATCATCTTCACATGCCCGACTGGCCCTGAAGCACAGAAATGGTGGGACCGACCACCAACTGAGGTGATAAAGAACATTCCACGATACGTCAAGGTGGATGAGGTCATGTTGTGGGCGCTCATCAAGATGCCTAAAAATGGGGAATACTGGGCGGACGACTTTGACACTTTGGGAAACATGCGCACCAGTAGAGACCGAGTAGGTCAAGGCCCTCAAATCTCCAGCCAAGGAAAGATGTACTACCCCGTATATGCCAGAGCATACGTTATGTGTGGGTACGACTACAATAGCCTAAGCACAATACGGCGTGAAGGCAGGCCGAAAGGCGACCGATGAGGATTCGTCTCAGCTGTCATACGGCGCGTTCACCGTACCGGATGACGTGCCACCACCGATAATGGTCTACACACTTCCGGAGGGAACGGTTTCGGAGGGAACGGTTTCGGAGGATGAGGTTGCTAGGGTGCCAGCCTGGAGGAGGACTCAATTTTTGATATGTGGAACGAGCGAGGATATTTTCATCGACCCTGTCGCCCCTTCACAGGCTAAAGGTTCTACTGCTAAACCTATAACATCCTCCGCACAAACCAAGAGCGCAACACACTCCTCACAAACCAAAGGCCCCGCGCCTAAACTCACAACACCCAAAACAGACGGTCAGGACACCACGCCAGCGAGCTCTCGGGTAAAGACCCCAGCCTCCGAGAGTCGAACATCTGCACCAGTGAAACGAAACGAGGAACGAAGCTCCCAAGCCCCGCCGCCAGCTTTCACCGCCAAGGTACTACGCATTACGGGTAGAGGTCTGGATACGCAGAACCAGCAAGCGCGTCAGATCTTGGGAAAGGCCCCGTCGACGACCCAGATTGATGTGGAATCAGAACCGGCCCGACCTACCACAGAAGAAACAGCCGTTGATTTGACATCGACGGTGGGTGATACCGTGCTTGAAGATCCGGATAACTAGCATCGAAAGTCGTCGAAATCTGGTGGTAAATATATTCTGGAAGATGGTGAATGCGGCCGGGAAGCGAAACGCCAACGCGATCAGACATCGTTACCGCTTGACCGCGAACACTATCTGGAACAGATCAGAAAGATCGTCGAACCTGGGGAGACCCTCTCGAGTCGCGCCCTCTAACGAATCCATGACGCCCTTGGTACCCGCGACAAAGACATCGAAACTGGGAACAATCGCTGCGCGAAATGGCCGGTGTCAAGTGTTTCGCGACCAAACCAGAAAACATGGCAATGGCCATGGCCATCGAGCTTCTACGGGGCACTGAGGAGACGACCTGCGAGTTCGACGAGCTGCTTACAACGACCACCAGTTTTGCTCCTTACACCACCCATTCCGACGCGCGCTCCTGGAAACGGGTGGAATGGCGGCGGTGGCCCAAGGCTACGTTTCATGGAGCTGGCTGACGAAATCCGTCGCATTGGGATCAAGAAGGGTACTGACACTCTATCGCGAGATCAGCTCGACAACCCAGACCCTGAAGAATCCGACGTTATGCAGGGAATGAAATGGTCTGCATACATGATGGAAAGAGACGACGGAGACCAGACGAAAACAAAACGCTCCGTGGAGGCAGAACGCACCTGGAATCCGCACCCTCATCGTTTTCTTGCCCACGAACCATTTGACCTTGCCGGACCTATGGCTGGTAAGCCTATCTTGATTTGTGTTAACACAAAAAGCCGAAGTTTTGTGCGCACCCCAAACCGCACCACGGAAGAGCTCCAGGAGCTTTCGACCCAGGGGAATAAGTATGATGCATATGGAAAGCGTGGACAGTACCGGACTTGATACCGATCTCCCTGGAACTAGAGGTGGGAAACGCCCTGGGAACGACACACTACGGCAGATGCCTATTGGTGCGATGCGATCTAAGTACACTTATGGTATACCAAGACGATAAAGACCGCCAAATGGACACAGGACTATTCTACTGCAGAGAGTACCAGATTTACTCGAAACTAAACGCTAAGGAACCGCCGTTCATGGTGGATTTGTGGTAAGGGAGGTATGGGCTATGCCGACCGGCGGAAGGCCCATTTTTGAAGGCAAATGACGGCGACTACGATCGGGAGGTCATGGCTCGTAACTACGTTGATGAAAATGGGATGCCGTGGATCTGACCAGAGCCATTCATGCGAGTCCCAGTCCAGAATAATCAAGAAGAGCTTGGGAGAGCTGTATTCAATGCCCAGTACTTGATTCTGTCACGTGATACTCTTTGCTGTGCTTGTAGGCCTCCCAGAGTATATCAACCTAGTTAGCACCCTAAATTCTTGGAGCTCTCTAGCATCAATGACGCTGTTACACCGATATGCTCCTCTTACTGTTCTCCCTACTGACAAATTGATGCTCTATTGTTCCACATCATTCAAGCACATAATGCGGTAGATAAGTACACCCCTGCAAACCTACTGACTAGATATCGTTCATCAAGCCAACTATGCTGTAGGGTGTGAACGACGATGAGGGCAAGTATTCTTCAAGCCAAGTGGCACGACACTCGACTGAGGATGCCATATGGAATGCATCTTAGGGATTGCAAGATCTTCTCCAAGACCAAGTTCCGTCGGATGCTGGGGCGCAACACGGCCCCGAAATCATGATTGATCCGCGTCACGTGAATCCAGGCATCGGTCTCTTTCGAAGCCGATCGACGCCTCTGGAGCCCATGATCACCAATTTCAAGCTTTAGTTTTTGCCTCCCAGAGACCACCCTTCACATTGCTCCAGCCACTTACAGGGCAACGATACTCTAGGCAGCCACTGAACGAAAGCACTCTTTGTAGGCCCAGAACGCGTGGCAGTCGACTTGCCTTGCTGATGTGCCCTGGAGCCATGGTGATATGAAGGTGTGGCGTATTGCCTCCTTCTGGCAACTTCGAGCTGTGTCTCGTGTTTGGAAGGATCCGTAAGCTGATTCGTTGTTATCACACACCTGAATGTTAGATACGTGGGAAATGTGTTTGCCTGGTAGCGGGGTAATACTGGCAACGAACAGGCTTATAAGATCTGCATTGTGCTGTGGCTGGATATATTTCATCTTGCTCTGATCTCATACCATTTCACCCTTTTCATCCTTCATATACTCATCTCTTACAATTCGACTTCATTTGTCTCAAATCTTCAGAGAGTAAGTCTATTGTATCACCAGACCCCATAATATTGGAAAAATAAGACATCGAATATCGCTCAAGATGCCGCCAATCTATTACCTCAACCCACCACCAAATCCCTTCTGGGAATTTGTTGCTGGCCTAGAAGACCATCCACTGTTTGGCCAACAACGTCGCCCAGTGCCACCAACACCACCGACTCAACCACCTAGACCAAATGCTCAGGAGCAAACCACTTCCGGCCCAAGTGAGAAGGGCAAGGGCAAGCAAGCCGAAGAGGTTAATACTGAGGACCCACCAGAGGTCGATCCATCCACCCTCGACGGTGAAGGCTCCAGAGAATTCCCCTTCCGTGGTCGTGGCCGCTTTGGCAACGCCTTTGACAACGACAAACAAGACAAGGAGAAAGACGGCGATAGTGACGGAGAGAGCTGTCGCAAGCGAGGCGGCCGAGGCTGTCCAGGCAGGCGAGGCTGGCACCGTGGCGGTCCCGGCGGCTATGGTCCACCACCATTTGCCTTCGGTCCTCCATGGGCAAGACATGGTCATCCCGGTCCAGGAGACTTCCCTGAAGGCGGTGCACCATTCAGAGGTGGCCCCTTTGGCGGGCGTGGATGGGGTCCTCGCGGTAGAGGCGGCCCTCACCACCACCATCATCATGAGCATCATGGTCGTCGAGGACAATCTCCACCATCCCCTCCCCAGGGTGGCTTCGACCTCGGTGCCTTTCTCAACAAACTCGGTGAACGGCTTGGTGTCGACTTGAGTGCTGCTGCCGAAGGACTCGGGCTCGAGGTCGACCGCTTCAAGGCCGGTCGCACCGGCACAGACGTGGACTTTGAACCCCGCACAGACATCTTTGACAGCAAGGACAAATACACTATCCACCTATCCCTCCCAGGCGCCAAGAAATCCGACGTCGGCGTCGACTGGGATGGCGAGCAATCTGTCCTCCGCATTGGTGGCGTGGTCCACCGTCCCGGCATTGACGAGGAGATGATGCGTCAACTGTCTGTTGACGGTCGCAAGCGCGAGACCGGTGTCTTTGAGAAGAACATCCGTCTCGGCACAAAGAGAGATCCTGCCAGCATCGACGTTTCAGGAATCACAGCCAAAATGGTTGACGGCGTCCTGGTGATCGTCGTTCCCAAAGTGGAGAAGAATTTCGAGAAGAAAGAGGTTCGCGTTGATGGTTCACCTGAAATCCCAGTTGAACAACCTGAAGATGCATACATGCACGAAGATGACCTCCTATTTGACGCTGAGGAAGGCAGAGAGGAGGAGGCTGTCCTCCCGCACCACCCAACACCCGCCAAGGCATCTTTCGGCGAAGCGACATCTCCTACACCCAAGGGAAAACAACAAGAAGTTGAACAAGAACGTGCAAGATCGGAGACCGTGGATTTTGAACACCCACATGAAACGGTTGAGACCTTGCCCAAGTACGAAAAGGAAGATAGTCACTCGCATGAGGAGGAGATGAGTGACTGGGAGAAGCCTGGCTCTGATGATGAGGGCGACTATGTCAAGATCAATGTCAACTGAGAAGAATCGATCTCGAGTTAAATGGCATTTTACAGAGAGGGGATTAATAGCATAGCGAGCGACTAATTTCTGGGGAACTTTTCTTGGTGTTCAGGGGTTCAAGCAATAACCACAAAATTGTCAAGGACAACCATAGCACTTCAGATTTGCAAATTTTTGCAGTTTGAAAACAAAATTTATCATTGCAACTCAGATGAGTTGTGTCTCATAATCTCTGCTCCATGTAATATCTCCTCGTTCTCATTCTTCCCCCCCCCCCCCCCCCCCCCGTTTTTTCCGTGGTGCACCTTGTCGGTTGTTCTGGCATTTTGTAGGGAGACGGAACCTATCTCCAGATCCCCGTCCAGGACGGTAAAGGCCGCACGCCCCTCATCTAATTTGTAGCTTCAGGAGGCTCATAAGCAAGGTGATTTCCCATGTTCCAGAGCTGATAGTTGAATTTCATCATATCATTCCTTCAATTCTACCTTCATCTTCATCCCATCCATAACTACCGATGTGACGCTGTGCTTACTCCAGATCTCCCTCTCAGGATCGTCCGTCCCATCTCCCTTTACAATGCCCGCCGCCTTCTTCCCGGAATACCCCACCTTGTGAAATAGAAGTCCTCTAGCCACCGCACAGAGCACGACCTTCGCTTCTAGAAGTGCCAGCTCTTGGCCGATGCAATTTCTAGGACCGCGTTCGAACGGTCGCCATGACCCAGGGGGTAGCTTTGAGATATAGTCTTCATCAAGCCATCTTTCTGGACGGAACACGGCCGCATCTTCGCCCCAGATTGATGTGTTCCGGTGGATGAGATAATGAGCGGGATACACCCTCAGACCATTGACCACGACATCCTTTGTTTCTGTCGAGTCTGGAGAGACTGGGAGTGCAACCTTAAATGGAGTAGGGTTTTCTGGGGTTATGTCAGGAATGCGTCGAGCTGTGCCTGCCGGAGCGTGTAATCTGAGGGTTTCACGAATGAAAGCCGTCGTGTATGGCAGTCCGCTCCCGAGGATTGCTTCGGCGTCCTTGCGGCCTTGGTCATCCTCTTTCCCAAGGATGTCTAGAGCATGGAAAGGGTCATCAGTGACTCCAAATACTTTATCGTGTTCCTTGACCAAGTTCTTCGCGATCTGGCGGTGATGGTCAGAAAATGAGCTCTTGGAAAGTTCAAAGCACATCCATTGGATCAATGTGGCAGTTGTATCCTGTCCCGCGAACAGGAAGGATTTGATCTGCGACACCGAATTGCGAATGAGTTCCTGGGTCGGTTCAAGTCCAGACAATGCGAGACGCAAAATTGATTTGACTTGCAGTGCATTTGATTTGTCCTCCTTGGTGGCATCACTGTTGGTATTCTCTTCGGAAGATCTTTCGGCTTCGATCTGCTGTTTGATAACTTTTGTCAATTCGTGGTTGAACACTTGCTCGTAAAACCATGCTTTTGTTGGGCGGATGATATCGAAATAGGCGAACGGATTGAATCCTTGACCAGTCTTGAACATCAACTCCGACAAGTCCCGTGAGGCTGTCAGTAACCCAAGCCTGCTTTTGTGGCCCTGCCCTTCTGGCGTAGTTTGTGCGCGGAAGTCTTTCTCAATGGTGAGCTGGGTAATAATATCGGTAGTCAGGTCTTGACTGTAGTCTTTCAGTTCAAACACCTCGCCGGTTTTCGCTACACCCTTTAATCTGTCGATGAATATTCTTGTCTTGGAAATGATTAACGGCGACAGTGAATGCAGATGGGCAGGAGCAAAGCCACGGTTGAAACGTTTGCGAAGGTTCTTCCACTCCTCGCCTTCTACAATAATCAGAGACTCCCGCCCAATCAGGCGGTAAAGCGACGAGAGAGTATCACTTTTCAACGTCGAGTACTTGAACTGTGGACTTGGTTGAATGAAATTTTCTGCCACCGTGGGATCCGCAATAACGAGGAATGCGTTGTCAATTGGGTTCAGGTCGAACAAGAACGCAGGAGGGTGGCCAAGTTCGTTCCAAATCTCCTCAAATCCATAATCTGGATGCCGATTTATGGTAGGATCGAGTTTCATCCCGACATTGACCAGATTGCCCCACAATGGATGCCGTGGCAGACTTGGAATGTCCAGATACTTTTGACGGACTCGATATGTGTGAATAATTCTTCGACCGGGAACAATCACGCAGTAGTAGAGACCTATCAAAGCCAACACGGTGAGCCAAGGTCTCTCCTTGAAGGTTTCAAAAACTGGCAGCATCTTGCGGATGACGAATTCTTGCCGCGATGTAGATTGTGAGAATATCAAATGCGTATCTCTGATTGAGCTGTATAGATTTCCCAAGGCGACTGCAATGCCTTTTCAGATGACTGAACCAGTGTTCTCACGAGTAGCTCTTAGTTACTTGCAACTAACGAGCGCAAGGTCTTGACCGGTTGAACGGTCAGGCGATGAGGTCACCAAATGTGCCCCAAGCCGCGGTAACGACTGGCACCCGTTTGAGTAACGAAGTTACAGCTTTCTAGTCTGCTCACCGGGATGTGTCGTTAGGCAAAAACTGAAACGAGAGACCAAAGTAGCAAGTGGCATTCCTCGAAAAAGAGTGCGCTCTTAAATAGCAGCTTTCCGCACAAAACGCATACGTATGATACAATAAATGCTGACAGCCTAGCCACCGTAAGGATCTCAAACTTGTTGTTGTCACAAAATGCTCCGGCCCCACCAGCCCGAGCCACTCGGCAGCAATCTTCAGCCCCAAGCTTCTGATTCAAGCCCTTAGAGCTCCAGAAATTCTTTATCAACGACCTTGCTCCTTGCCTAAATGACTGCCTAGGTACCTAACTGTATCATGAAACTTTAAGTGGCACCTTGTTCTCCAAATACTTCCCATAGTTCGATATTGAAAATTTCTGCATCAACAGATATTTTCCTACACACAGCAGACCAATCAAGATGTGTTTGCGGAATGATGCGAAGCAGGTACACTGCATGGTTTGCTCTGGGCTGCGTCTCGCCTGATGGCCTTAGCAATGCCTTATCACCACATCCTCGTTGCAACGGCAGCTCCACGCTCTACCCGAATCCGAAGCCGATCATGGTCTTGGTTCACCACTAACTCAACGACGAACACGACACTCCCCTCGCTCCTTGAACATGCTAATTTTGAACATTCTGAACAACATCGCTTGTAACGGGTCGTATATGGCATAATTCCCGTAGAAGAACAGAGAAGAGAGCGAATCATGCGACAAGGCTTTTATTTAGTACTGAATCGTGGCATGAATCTTCACATTTTTGGGTATATCGAGCCTGTAGGCCAATGCGCGACACGATCAACAATGTCGAATGGTCCTGTTGTAGCAATGGTCCTTCTGTCCTGACTCCGAGTCCTCCGTGATGATTCGTCGCAATCGAAGTCTCACACGACCCGCACTCCATGAATACTCACAGTCGCAATCTCTTCCTATCCCGCTTCTCGAATCCTTATCAAAGCTTTAAATCTCTATATATGAGTCGACCACGTCTCATACGAATCGCCTTTCTTCTAGAATTCACAACGCAGTATATATCCAACTTCAACGGGTGCAAAAAAAGTGTTATTGAAGACGGTGGGACTCGAACCCACGCGGCTGAGCTTGAGTTAGCCTCTGATACACATTCATCGGAAGGAGAGGATGAGAACATACAATTACCCACTAGTATTTTCGATCTATTCCTAGAAGCGAACGTTCCAGTTACCTGAAACTAGCGCCATAACCACTCGGCCACGTCTCCTGTTCAATTTAACACAAAATTTGAAGCTATCTAAAATAAGTTCCATCGAGACAGCGCATAATTTGCAGATTTTCCGAAGTATTTTGCAAGGCTGTGGGAGGGAGCCCCGTAGCCAAAAGTGGTAATCCTAGCCACATTTGGACTAGCGCCCACCATCACCGTACCAATATCAAGAAAAATAGTCTAGACCTCCGCAAAATACCTAAGTGGTCTGCTAATTGCACGGGATGCCATGCGCAATATTGCACACCAAGAACATCAAGGAATGTTCACCAGGTAAGTGTCTTAAGTGTCTGTTGATTGATACTATGACGACGGGCCTATCCTGCACTTAGCACACGTTCTGCTGGACAATATGGACAAGTGAAATACAATCATATTCACGTACTAAGACACAGACTTGTCATCTGGGGATATGAAGGATGATTACTTTGAGTGAAGTTCAGCGATAATCAACTGCCTCAGCATGACTACAGCGTCCACCGCCTAAAGAACTTCATAATGACCTTTGTAGCCTCAATGACGGTGGGAGTATCAGAATCGAGATTTGGCTTTGTGCTGGGCCAATCATGACCCAGATGTTCGATCTCGTATCCTTGAACCAGCCCAGTGCGGGCGCCAGACCCATACACTGTGTGCTGGACTTCACCCCCATATTCAGATAGGACTTTCTTCTCAGAGAGCCCATCCCTTTCGGCCCACCAGCCCAGCCACTGATCGATGTCTGGCAAAAGTCCGCCTTTACCAGTGCCACCCGTGTACCGGATCGTGGTATCGTTCCCGCCGTGGAATTCGAGGATTGGGATCTCAGCTCGAGACGGAGTACACTGTGTATGTGTTTCTGGGTTATCAGTGTAGAAGGCACCAGAAACGGGTGCGAAGGCCGCGAATTTGCCCCCTTCCGGTGCACACGCGAGTGTCCCGACGAAGCCACCGCCGTTGGATTTCCCGGAGGCATAGATACGGGATTTGTCGACGCAGAAGTTGTCGCTCAGATAGGTGATAAGATCAGTTGTAAACTGGAGGTCATTGGCGCCGGGGACGGCATAGGACGGACCTTGCCAGGAATTATTGAGCCCCTGAGGATAGACAGCGATGTGGTCGGGGTTGAATGTTGGATCGGAGAATTGCGACAAGGCCTCTTGGTACTGTGCGGTGCGAGAATTGCCATGGAAGGAAAAAATCACGCCGGTAGGGCTGTGGGCCTTGTAGGTTGAGGGGACATGAATGAAGAACTCTCGTTCTCTACCGGACGAAGAAATGGTGAAGCGAGTTGAGTTTTGGGTTTCAATGAGGGAGTCTTGAGCAATACCACACCCCGGTGTCGCAGAAACCTGACCAGGAGGGTGAATTGATAGCGCATATGAGACTGAGAGGAACGGTAGAAGACCTAGTAGCGAGACCATCCTATTCACGACCTCGCAGGAAGGTGAACGAATACTGAGCTATTGTTTTAAGGAGGAGGTTTCTCGAACTGCGTGGTGTTACAATGGTCATTGACTCGGGGCACCGGTCTTCCGATGCTATAAGTACAGACTTACTACCTCAAGCTGTACGTTGGTGTTGCATGACGTTTCCGGAAAATGCTCAATAGAACACTCTTAGCGTCATCTACTCCATGTTCACCAAGTCGATCTTTCTGTGGGGAATGCTTCCAAACGAAGATCACCACCCCATTTGGTGTTCCGCGCAAGGTGACGTTCAGGATTGAGTTATCACGCACGATAATTGAATGTACCAATAGAGAATAGTGCAATGCTGAGGTAGCATCTCCGGCCTGTTAGACCCGGCGTATGCCCGAGCTCCATAGGTTAATTTCCCTAAATTGTTCTTCGAAGGCTTGGAAGGGCACGGCTGGAGATTTAGAATCTAGGACTCGACATATTTCAACCCGGTTGATGTTCGTCGCCTGGTTGTTCTCCGAAGTAGTTTAGAACATCCTGCGGTAAATACTCTAGCCACGGGATCATGTCACCGCCGGGGAAGTTGAAATTGAACTGTTGGGCACTCATGTCGATATCTTGAGATTCGATCAACATGTTGTTGTAATTCTGGTTCTGGAAATCGAGGAAAGAAGGCTGCTGTAAGATATTGTTCGACTCGTTTTGTGCGGACAGATAGTCGTATGAGTTTGCAGTATGACCTTGTGGTGTGGATCCTTGACCTATCATGGGCTGATTCGTCGATAAATTGGTGTAAGGAGAATGTAGGCCAAGTAAAAGATCGGCCTCCGCGGTAGATACGGGATCGTAAGGCAAGCTTGATGGCTTGTTGCTAGATGGCGTCAGCTTCGACCTGTCATATCCTGGTTGAATCAAAGGCGGAGAAGTCGAGTCCTGTAGCCTGCGAACGGGGACACCTTGACCCATTGCCTGTCCACCCGCAGCAACTTGATTCCTGCTTGCAGTATTGTGGCTTTGAGTTTCCGTCATGACCGCTCCGGAATCATCGCCACCAGCATTGGGATAGATCACGCTTAGATTTGGCGCTGGTGAATTTGCGGTTCCTGTCAATGACCACCCAATGACCTGGCTCAAGTCCATTTTTGGCGAGAATGGCATACCTCTCTCAAAAGCTTTTAGACCTTGTAGCCGGTTGATGGCGCCACCATATCCACCGAGCGATGCAGCCAAAGAAGTACTCCTTCTCCAGCCAGGCGTGGTGAACGATGGTTCAGTAGATGGCATTTCCCCGTCAATATCCTCCGCGGTGAACAAGATAGGATCCATCAATCCCTTCGCCTTCTGGTCAAGAGCAGTCAAGATGTACCTACACCCCGCCCAATACGAATCTAACGTCTTCAGCGCCTTGTAACATCGTTGATAGTTTTGATTGGCTGCTGTCGCTAATAGTGTATGACGTGCGGAGGCAGCTTTCTGCTCAGAAACAGTCCTCTCCGACCTATGTTCACTTTTGAGCTTGGGAACATTGACGTTGATTGGGGGCGACGTCGCTCGAGATGGAGGTTGAGAGGTATGAGCCGCAGCCTCTGCGAGAAATGCACACGCAGCAACATACATAGGCTGGCTTGTGAACGGGTTGCCTATGAAACTCTTGACGTCGATTAGCTCTGCGAATGCAAGTATATCTGCGATGGTCTTCGCAGATGACATGGACAATTCTCTACTATCTGGGAAGAGTTGTTGAATTCTACCTTCAAATGAATGAAGAAGAGTCGGTTGGTGAAGTAGCACAATCAGAGTGTGGAACCAGAAGTGCAACAGAATGAAATTCGTTCCGTGGCCCGCCTTCACATAATGCTGGAAGTTCGTCGCGTTAAAGTGTAGTCGTGGTGATAGTCGTTGATAGATGCCTGGGTTGGTCAGCGAACGCGGTTCGAGCGCCCAACCAGAACTTACCAGTCAAGTCCTTCTCCATGCTTGCCAGCCTCTTCAGGACTTCTGGTGTAACTTGATTGACCTCTTTGAGGTTGTTCAAGACATCGGCGACACGTCCATACATGTGCACAATTTTGATCATATCCGGAAACGGATCGGGATAACCGTCGATAAGTTGTGTGTCAGACCTGTAGGGGAAAGATATCTCAATATCCTTGTCTCGAAGCGTGACCGGACGGCCGACGCCAGATGATACCGCTCGATCAAGGAAGAAAATTGCCCAAAAAGTGTCGATTCGCTCTTGCTCACTAGCCCTTCTGTCTTCAAGCTGCGCACTGTCCTCTTGCGAGATATTCCGCGAAAGCTTTTCTTGTTGCTCGAATCTGCGCTGTTCTTCGGCCTTGCCTTCTTGGCCATGCTTTGCGGTCTTCGGTGTGGGTCCAATCCGACCTTCAAGTTGCATACCCTCGAGTTTCTGAATCCCTAGATCTTGAGCCATACGGATTGCGGTCCCTAAATACATCCATAGACCACTGTCATGGTCGGTTCCGAACTCCTCGTAAGCTAGCAGCAGACACGCCTGGGCGACCGCGATCGTGGGACATGAGAATGTATCAATTACGGATGACATGGCTCGCTGCGCGAAAGGATGGCCTCGAAATGATCTTCGAACATTGTTCTCGGTATCTCGTGGGATAGAGGGGTCGTTTGATTTGCACAGAATCGGGCTAGGTGAGAAGCGTGCCGCTACGGCACACACAGCGTCGACCAGTATCGCGTCTACCCGCTTCTCTTCCAAGTCCTTGAGAAATCGTTCTCGCTGCAAAAAGGAATAGTTACAGCCCAGATGGGTGAAAAATGATTCACACAGATGAGTGATCAAAGGCGCATTTGGGCCTGGATCGGTGGCATCGTAGAAGGGTATCTCAACGGGTATCGTATCCTGGCCTGGCATCGATGGTGTCTCCAGCGGTGGACCTGAAGCAGGAGATTCATCCGATGTGGAGGCTAGACTTCTCCGGTGGTCTTTGACCTGCACCACCATTTGTTTGAACCCTGGAACAATAGCTGTCGGACCAAAATAACGAAAATACGGTACTCGATTTCGGGTTGAAGTTAGACTGCTGGTTGTATAGTTGCTCGCAGGGCTTTTAGTGTCTCCAAAATCATCGCGGTCGGTTGGTGGTCTTGTGAAATGCAATCCAAGGGAATTGGGCTTTTCCGTAGGACGCCTTGAATGAGCTACACCATCAATGTCTCTATGGTGTTTGCGTGGTGTAGATGGCGCCGAGTCGCCATCGGCTTCGTCTTCTCCATCTTCCTCTTTATCATTTTCCTTCCTGCTGGATCGACCAGTATAACCGGAGCAAAGATGGCCATTCTCTGTACATGTTTTGCATTCCGGACGCTCTCCAGAACATCGAGTTTTTCTCTTGCGACATGTCAAACACGCCGCATTTATGCGCCTCCTCTTGGTATGTGGTTGACCATCAGTTGCAACAAATCGTATCTGCCGGGGAGCAGATGTCTTTGGCAATGTTGCGTTCGTGTTTGTGATACCCAGGCTCATGCTTCTCGCAATAGGTTTGCGATGCTGGCAGTCACCGCTATCATCGTAGACGGCAGGATGGGTGCGAGTCTGTCGCGGCTGAAATTGCACAAGCTACAGCGGTCGTAGTATGCTACACAATGATCACGCCCAGGCGATATGGAAAATGAACAAACAACGACCTGACCAGACCGACCATCCACAGCAGGACAACAGTGCAGTCGAGGTTGCGTGAGTTTAATAATCAGGGATCAGCCAACAGGGCGACTTTCTTCAGCAGAAGCACTAGAAGGGGTGGAAGCCGAAGCTGCGAAGATTAAATCTCTCCACCACCATAAAACACATTTGCTCTTTGCGGGGTCCGGAGGGGAGCCTCTCCAATGTAATAGGTGCTGCTCTGAGCGAGGCGGGAGCTTGCGCCATGCAAAATTCCGAAAGGTCAAAGCTCATGGAGTGCTAAGCTTCGGGGATGAACGCCTAGAATCTTACCAATTGGAACTTCCTTTTTGGGGTTCCTCTTTGAAGGTAGCCAGAATCTAAAGCGCAAGAAAATCGAGGCCCCCAGCTTGTGGGTTTTCGTCTCGGGTGATCTGGGGGAGGGACAGATGCAGGGGCGCGATGAGGCCTTACTGTATGTCATTCAACGTCATTGCTTCATATCTCAACCACTCTATACTGGTGTTGTTCGCATCTAAGGCAACATATATCTAAAATAAGGGCTCTCGTCGAATGTATGTCTATATCTATTCTCCGTCAGCTGTGTGGCAGTAATATGCGTTTATTGCGCGTCTACCTTTGGCTGGAGCAAGTCATCCCCTATTTTTCCCTTTTGCTGCTCCTTCTGAAGGACTGGCCTCTCGAGCTCAAAGGCATCGGTTGATCTCGAGTAGGTGATGCCTCCGAATCTGCTGATCGGTCGGAGAATGGCCGGATCGATAAGATTCTGCTCTTTATTGATAGCATCCTCCCTAACCCAGAAATGCACTCCTTCGATGACTGCCAGCACACCGGTCTTTTTTCCTGGTTGCGTCCTGGACTCGAATTCCTGGGTGTTCAGCAATTTTCCTTCGATACTGAAGACTGCCTCCTTCACACGAGAGGGCGCAACGACTTTGCTGTCCGCCGGTGTAAGTCCAGAAATAGCCCATTCCGATTTGCCATATGGCAGGTCAATCGCACACGCATTGGCCGCTTCAATATAGTGGTCACTAATGATATTGATGACGACCTCGTCTGTATCCAGTAGGTTCTTTAGCGTATCTTTGGCATTATCCAAGCCACCACTAAATCCCACACCAAAAACTGGGGGGTCATGGTTGAAGACTTGCGTGTAAGAGAAGGGTGCGAGATTTGTTGAAGAGCCATCTTTCGATCTGGTAGAGAGAAACCCAATTGGCCTCGGGACGATACCAGATATGAGGAGCTTGTAATTGGCGACTGGGGGCCTGCCCTGAGCATATGGATCAATCGACACATGGGATTTATCAATGTCTGCTTTATCATTGGCTCCAGAGCCATAAGTCCAAGCAGGATCTCTGGTTTTCGTGAAGCGCCATTGTTGAGAATTATTCCAGTCGGGTCGAGATGCCTCTACTTTCTTGAAATCGCCATGAGGGTTGCGTTTAACGGCACTCTCGGCGTCGTGCTTCTCCTGGGCCTTTTGAGGCTCGGATACGGGTGGTGACATGACAAGATACTAAATTGCCTCAGACCAAGATCAACACTGACAATTTCCGAAGGGTTCTTGGTGGATATACTTCGTCGAAGGAAGGGGAAAAGCAGGAATCGAGATCTAGATACAGTGAGGTAGGGTTTGGCTTAAGTATTTAATTTTCAGTTACAGTATTATCAAAGCTTAGTAAGTGCCTCCAAACGATGAAATCACGAATATATTATTCTAGAAGGATTTTCTCGATTCGAAACTTGTTCCTGGATAACATCATCAATGACGGCTTTGGTACCGATTTACATCCGGGCAAAGCTAAATCCGCCCCTTGCCCATATTCATGAGATCTGCGGTGGACACAATATCTATTCCAAAGAATTACCAGGCTTTGTCGACCGACGACACAAAGCTTGGGCGTTGAATAGGCATTAGGTCATCAGCACTTTAGAGTGACAAATAGTGCAAGCCACCTGGAGAGAGTTCTAGACTGCAGTGGTGTACTTCTGCAGGTGCCGCTGTTCAGCGCCGGATGCTAGCATCTCAATGGATGGTGAATCCTGAAGGAGATGCCCGACCGTTGCGGGGTTGAGAATAATATGAAGTCTGAAGACTCCCTACCACCGAGAAGAAAGGATTTCTGGTTCTGGAATCCCAGGATTGAATACAACAATCGCAGTGCATAGACCAGAAATGTCCGACTACGAAAAGTACGATTTGGGTGACTTCAAGCTCCAAGGTGGCGGTGTACTACCTGGAGCCTGGATTGCATACAAGACCTTTGGTGACAGCGGATCTCCGGCAATCCTTTACCCTTCGTGGTATTCTGGTGCTATAGGGGACAACGAATGGCTGATAGGTGAAGACAAGGCTCTGAACCCAAAGAACTTCTTCATTATTATAGTCGCGTTGTTTGGTAATGGCCAGTCTATATCACCCAGCAACTCAGACATATCGCCTTTTCCGAATGTAACGTTCTACGACAATGTCAAAGCCCAGTACCAACTGGTGACACAGAAGCTCAATATCAATCATCTGCGAATGGTCACCGGATGGTCCATGGGTGCCGGACAGACTTTTCAATGGGCAACACAATATCCGGATTTTCTGGACATCGCGGTACCGTTCTGCGGCTCGGCAAAAACGTCGATCCATAATCAGGTATTCTTGGAGGGAGTCAAATCCGCTCTGTTGGCAGCAAAGGGTGTCTCCTCAGCAGGAAGTACATTTGGCAGAGCCGAGTCTGCAGGTTCCGAGAAACGAACCTGGACAGAAGAAGAGAGAACGGTCGGACTGAAGGCCTTTGGAAGAGGATATGCGGGCTGGGGATTTAGTCAAGCATTCTATCGACATAAACTCCACGAGAAGAATTATGGTGCCAAAGACCTTGAGGATTTCATGGTCAATTTCTGGGAAGCCTGGGCCCTGAGCAAAGATCCGGAGAATCTGCTGGTTATGTTACACACCTGGCAAGCAGGAGATATTAGCAAACAGGAGCCTTATAATGGCAACTTTGAAAAGGCCCTGGCAAGTATCCAAGCCAAGACTCTGGTCTTGCCGAGTAAAACAGACTTGTATTTCCCGTGAGTTCGTCCTGGGTAAGACTAAGATACCTTTGATGATTGCTGACTTTTTCCACAGGCCAGAAGACTCTGAATACGAGGTTGAAAACATGTCTCCTGGAATTGGAACATTGGATGTCTACCCATCTATCTGGGGACATTGGGCAGGTGGGCCGCCCGGAAACCAAGATGATGTGAAGTGGCTAGACGAGAGGCTCGCCAAATTACTCGAGGAGGCACCCTTGTTGGAGAAGAAGGAGCCTTTGGTCGACAGGACAAAGAGTTGAGTTTGTATCTTTGGTTGATATGTAGAACAAAGAGTTGAATCTGGTGGGCTTCAGATCGCTAAACGCCATTTACTAGCCTCGCTCTAATGGCTGGCTAGCGGAACAGGCTTACCACATTGGGCCAAGCTTTCTCACTAAATTCTTAAGCCGAGCAAAGTGACTCTCGATGGGCAAGGGGCGGCCTGCGGAGTGACAAGAGTGGTGCAGTGGTCTAATAAAACTGAAGCCTCCACCATGCGCAGGGTGTCTTTCATTCTTCACTGTCTACAACACCGTCTTCTTCTTCACCCATTTCCTCACTCTATTGTCACTTGATCTTTATTCTCATTTTGGAGTTTGGGGATCATGTCTTTGCCGCCTTCTTACTCTCTTTCTATCTAGTCCCATGGGCGATTAATCCATTCTACCTGGCTGCCTGTTCTCAGCTTCCCACAAAATCATGGCTTCGACAACGACCAAGAAGTATGGGGTCAGCCCACCGATCTCTACCGCCCTCCCCGAACCACTAGATAATGAGAAGACTGCGGATCTGGTCGAGGAACTCAAGAAGGAGAACAACTACGAGGCCCAAGATGAGACTAAGAAACGAATCGCAACCCTCAAACTCTTGAATCGGGTGACTCAGGAATTCGTGGCAGAAGTCAGCCGAAAACAACGCCTCCCTCCCTCGCAAATCGAACAGTTTGGCGGCAAGATATTCCACTATGGAAGTTACCGGTTGGGTGTATTTGGTCCAGGTATGGCGGACACGCGGCCCATCATGCCCTACACTGACTGATCTTGTGTAGGTTCTGATATCGACACGCTGGCAGTCGCCCCGCGCCATGTCAGCCGTGAGGACTTCTTCGAATTGTATCCTGGAGTTCTCAAACGCCTCGCCGGGCCCGGCGCCATCACCTCCATGACAGCCGTACCTGAAGCCTTTGTTCCCATCATCAAGCTCGTTCTGAACGGCATTGAAATCGATCTGATCTTTGCCTCAATCACCAGCCTCTCAACCATCCCAAAAGACCTGACGTTGAACGACAACAGCCTCCTTGCAGGTATAGATGAGCGGACAGTCCGTGCAGTCACTGGGCCAGTATGTCGCCTCGAACCCCACAAGATTGAGCATTACTGACTTGTCCCAAGCGTGTTACAGATGAGATTCTAAATCTAGTTCCAGAACAAAAGACCTTTCGAACGGCGCTACGAGCGATCAAGTTGTGGGCACAAAGAAGAGCGATATATGCGAATATTGTCGGTTACCCTGGAGGCGTGGCTTGGGCTATGCTTGTCGCTCGTGTGTGTCAGCTGTATCCACATGCTGTTGGAGCTACGATTGTTGACAAGTTCTTCTTCGTGATCAAGGATTGGAAATGGCCGGTACCCGTCATGTTGAAGGACATTGAACAGGGCAAGACACAGGAGGAAAAAGCAAAGTTTCGAGTCTGGAATCCTGCTATCAATTCGAGTGATCGCAAGAATATCATGCCCATTATCACCCCTGCCTTCCCAAGCATGTGCGCGACTTACAACATCTCCAAGTCAGGCAAGACAATTATTTTGCGCGAGCTCGAGAGAGGTGCCCAGATCACAACCAAGATTTTTGCTGGAAAAGGAACATGGAGTGATCTCTTCAAAAAGCACACCTTCTTCACTGCCGACCACAAATACTACCTCGCTGTGACTGCAGCCTCATCCAATTCCGAGGCGGCCAAGGCGTGGGCTGGCGCCGTTGAGTCTAAGATCCGTCTCTTTGTCATGCAGTTGGAGCTGATACCAGATATCAAACTCGCAAGGCCCTTTACCAAGGGCTTCAAGAGAGTTCACAAGTGCGAAAATGAATCTCAAATTCGAGAGGCTCAGAAGGGCGGCATGAAGTACAAGGTCGAGGAGACCAAGACTATTGAAACTACTGACCCTGAATTGGTCACTGCCAACGGAGAAGGTGCCGCTATCCCGAACGCACAGAACTCGAAGGCTGAGATGGATGGGAATCTGCACAACCTCTACACTTACACTTTCTATATTGGTATCGACACCATTCCCAGAGGAAGCTTGAACCTCGTTCCGGCATTCTCGGCTTTCCGGGATGTCTGTGAGAGCTCAAACACTTATGTTAAAGACTTGCATTCTCTCAGCCTTGCATCTTTCAAAAGCTGGGAATTGCCAGAGGATTTATTTGATTCGAGTTTGGGAGAGGTCCGCCCTACAAAGCCGATCAAGAAGGCTGTCAAGGTCCCAAAGCCAGAGGCAGCTCCTCGGCGTAGCATCAACGAGGTCGATAATGTCGAAACCAATGGAACTTCTGTTAAGCGCCAACGATTGATGACTCCAATTATGACACCAACACCAACACCAGCTCCTGCCCCAGCTTGAAATCGACAGCACTCGGCGCACAATGAGCCTCAATTTAGCTCAGAATCTACCGAGCGGGACTGTGAGATGACTGGGGCTGGATTGTTTTGACAAAGCTCCCGAGCTCTGGAAGGAGAACTTCCTTGTCTATCTCGACTCATGCCATAACGAAACACCAAAAAAAGCCAAAAAAAGTTTACAAAATCCAGTAAAAAGATACGTGATGGTTATAACAACAAGGCTGTTCAGACATTGCATGGTGGTGAAGTACCCAGCCAGGAGACCAAACCGAAGACAGCACAATCAGCATCAGAGCAACAGTGCACTTACAGATTGGATTCGTCCCGCGGGCAATGGGGAAACGCACGAAGAGTGATAGATCCCTCTCCAAAACCGTCGATTCGAATGCGAATCTCTCAACATGGAGTTCAGCCAGACCTCTGTACCACAGAGTGTAGCTGGATCTAAATTGGGTGAACGCCGTTCCTTTAGAATTGACGAATACTCACGCGTCGGAGATGATGAAACGTAAATTACTGGTGTTTACATATCAAGTCAAAGACGATACCGGAGACGATGGTCAACAGCAGCACGCAGCACGCCAGTACCCATATTAGACAAACTACCAAAAAAATGAATAAAATAATTAAGGATCATTCGAATCCACCAACAAGCCCATATTTCTTTCTATCTAATTCCTGTACCACATGGTACTCAGTCTTGAAGCTAGGCCCTTGAATCCAAAGGGTTCAGCATTCCACACTTTTTAATTAACATTAATATTATCTCTTGCTACTAACCGTGCTCCAGAACCGTGCAGCCCATCATCAGCACCCCCTCCTCCGCGCATCACACGGATTGGCTTACGAGAAGGCTTTCTGGATACCTACTCGTACTTCGGAGGAGGCACGTGGGGAAAGATCGCTCAGGCCCGCTTCCCTTTCCCTTCCGAGAATGCTTGGTATGCCTATCAAGCTAGACATCAGGCAGGTTATCCCTAAATTGGGACACTCGGACGCCACGAAGTGTTTCTCGGCGCTCGAACACGAAAAAAGGACACGCAACACCCTCCTTGTTGGCTGCTCGCGTTTTTCAGCTGGAAGACATTAACCTCTGAGATGGTGATCAATCAGCCAGCCCCATTAGCTAGTGACACTTGTGCTGTTGCTCATGCGGATTTAAATTCCAACTTGAATCCGTCATTGTCCGGTGACTTGATTTATTGACACTTGTCAGAAGGGAAATACCTCGTGAGGTCCTGAGCTGAATGATCAGATTGATCTCAATTTCCTGTCCTCTAAAAAGTGATAATACTATTTGAAGGAGCGAGCAGACACGGCTGTTACTGCTTTCGTCGACTTGCTCATCGGCCCTTGCGATTCTTGGTGCTGAAGGTCCCAGCAACAATCGCACCTTTCCAACCCACAGCAAGACAGGGACACAATATTGTTGTCCCTCGTATCATCCACTTCGCAAGCCTATGCTGTGGCTGAGAGACACACTACCCAAGTACTCCTTGAAGCGCTGAAAGCGAGCATATTCTCTTCATGATGGCGGACCACACGGGCCCAAACCTTCGAGTACCCAAGAAACGCATCATTGTCTGCTGTGATGGAACCTGGATGGACAGCGACGGTGACTACCAGGTACCAAGCAACGTGACACGCATCGCCCGCGCGATCCCCCCATCTGGTCTCGACACGAACCTCACCCCTCCAGAGCCGATCCACCAAGTCGTCTGCTATGTCAATGGTGTCGGCACGGGTTCGAAGTCTTTGTATAACAAGTATATCGGCGGCGCAACAGGCGAAGGGCTCTCTGATCATATCCGGGAAGCCTACAGTTTTGTCTGTCTCAATTACAACGACGGGGATGAGATCATATTGCTTGGTTTTTCCCGTGGTGCGTTCACAGCACGAAGCATTTCCAGCTTGATCAGTGATGTGGGCCTATTGACCGCCAAGGGCCTCGAATTCTTCACTCAGGTATTTGAGGATTGGGAGTTTCAGCAGCAAAAGCCACCCTACAAGACAAAATGGCCACATCTTCCATTTCCAGGCCATAAACCACCAGTGACCGACAGTGGATATCGTGAGGAAATGCGCAAGCGAAACTTGAGCAGGCACAATATCAAGATTAAATGTGTAGCGGTGTGGGACACTGTGGGTGGCCTGGGGATTCCAATGATCGGATTGTTGCCGCAGCCACCGTCCAAAGACTTCGCTTTCGTGGACACTCGAGTTGAGTCCAATATCGAGTATGCCTTTCAGGCGCTTGCCCTCGATGAGCATCGTCGTGCTTACACGCCAACAATCTGGGACTGGCCTCGCACTGAGACACATGATCTCAAAGTCCTCAAGCAGACATGGTTCCCTGGCGTGCACAGCGATATTGGTGGGAGTTACGACGATACGGCATTGGCTAATCTGACCTTGGCATGGATGGTCAGTTTGTTTGAGCAATACAAATTATTGACCATTGATACAGACTACATCATGAATTTGGTGAGGCCAACGGCGGCACTCCTCGCACCGCCAACGAGCAATGGCACATCAGCCAAAAGAATGAGCATCCCTCGGCCTCCGACCCACGGAACGACACGTCCCTGGGGATTAGGCAAGATTCATAATAGCATGAGTTTCTTCTTCCGCTTCGGAGGAAGTCGTGTCCGGACACCACTCGAATACCGCGAGCAGGAACTCGCCTCGCAGCATGGCACAGTTCTCTGGATCATTTGGAAACTGATCCACCGCATCGGTCTCGCATTCGGGCACTCGCAGCACCTACGCCCACGACTGGCACGCACAGAAGAGACGATACACTCCTCGGTACGAATCCGCATGGGCAAGCACGGCCTTGGCTACGACGACAAGGGCACCTACGACTCGCAGGCGCTGCAAGGCTGGGCGATGCACGGCGTTGAGACGAACCCGGAGACGCCCATTGCGCTGAGCACTCCTGGTCAGGTGGGCGAGATGAAGAACGTGGTATGGAAGAAGAATGTTACCGCAGAAGAAGTGCAGACGAATGGCCGGGTGAAAGCCAGGGTAAATGGCACGAATGGTGATGTTGAGACGAAGCCCCTGGTGATACCGGAAGAGCCGCTCGGCGCGTTCGAACATGAGATTCTCAAGCTTTGGCCAGAGATCAATGAAATATTCCACACCGTGCAGCCTGGGAAGCATGAGAAGCATGTCAGGAAGGCTAGCACATATCCCACCGAGCGGAAAAGTAGTGGGAAGCGCGGTAGCCATGGTCATGGTCATGGTGTAGGTGATGAGAGGATGACAAATGGGAGGGATGGTTTGACACTTGATACAGGCAGTGAGTTGAGAAACAGGATTGAGACTGCTTGATTCAACTGTTTCTTGGTCATTCCGCGGTTGTTTCTGCATTCTACACATTTACAGATAGGTACATCAATGACTCTAATTTTGGCGTGCGCACAATTGCCCATGCCATAGTTCTGTAAAGATTTACAACCTTGCTTTCCCGCCTTCTCGGCCTTGCTTGCTATTGACCACCTCATCGACCCACCCCATGACCTCGATCAATTTCTCGTCTTGGAGTCTCGGTACGACCACCTGGACGCTGAGCGGCGTGCCTAGGTACACACGCCGATCGACCTTACTTTCGTCCCACAGCTCGCGATTCTTTTCATCCCATGAGCTCAAAGCCTTTCCACCCAGGGGTTTTCCCGACTCCAAGTCGGTCTCCTTGAAGGATCGCACAGGAAGCGTGCCAGCAGGGTAATCAAATAAAACCCACGAGCTGGTCATGCCAACAGCATTGTAGCCTTCGATCGGGGGGACAGGATGTGGAGCGAGAGGGCAAATGATGGCATCGAGTTTCTGAGTTCGGCGCCCTTGGGCATCGTCTTGAGTCCAGATCCGGAGCATTTCGCGCTCCAAGATCTCACGTTGGGCTTGAAGCTCGGCAACGCGGCTTAATGGTTGTGGCTTGCCCTTGCGGAAACGAGTCGACATCCACGGTACGAGAGGCTCTCCTGTTGATTCGATAAGATCCGCCATTACAGCACCGCCGTCGACGCCCATGAGCTTGCTCATGACGGACTGAGATTTGGTCCATGCTTTGGGTGTGGCTAGCTCTACGACTTTGATGTTCGGTCTGCTTTGCAGTGTGGAGGAGACTTCATCCAAGAGCTTGGAGATTGGCGGGAGCAAGGCACAGTTGCCGTCGCTGCGAAGAATGCCGATGACGAGCTCGCCTGCTTCGCCGCTTCCTTTGGCTTTCAATTGGCGATATGAAGACCATGACGTGGGGAAGCAATCTTCGCCCCAGAAATTCGCCCTTGGCATGATTTCTTTTAACAGTGCGTCCATGTCCTGAACACTTCGGCCGATGGGACCTGCAACGGCTTGGATGCTGGTTCGGCTTACTCCGTTGCCTCCCAATGCTTGTCCGCCATATGGTAAGCGACCGTTGCTGGGCTTGAACCCGTATATGCCATTACACATGGCAGGAATCCGAATGCTGCCACCAATGTCTGTTCCGATACCAATCATCGAACCTCTCATCGCGACAAGCACTCCTTCACCTCCGGAGGAACCCCCAGCGGTGGTAAGTCGATTGATGGGGTTCATTGTCCGACCGAATACATTGTTGATAGAGTCTAGCGATGCCAGAGTCTGTGGAATGTTTGTCTTCGCGATGATGACGCATCCTAGAGAGAGGAGCAGGTCAACCAGTGGAGCATTTGCCTTGGCAGGCTTGTAGCACAGCGATGCGAGGCCGATAGAAGTGTCAACCCCGACGATGTTGAACGTATCCTTCACTGAGACAGGCAGTCCATGCAAAGGGCCGAAGGGCTTCCCATTATCCTCGAGATACTTGTCCAGCTCCTGTGCTCTTTGGACGGCTTGGTCGAACAGTGGTTCAGTAATGCAATTAGTCAGCTGATGAGCGATAGCCGCCCGATGTGAAAACGCCTGTGCGACTTCTTTTGCAGAGATTGTGCGAGCCGCGATCGCTGCGAGCAAGCTCGTGACGCTGTCCGATTCCGTGATCGATATTTCCGCCTTCGACAAGAACTGCCGGGGCGCGTCGAGCACATTCTGAGGTCCGTCCTTTGCCTGAGGTGGATCTTTTGGCAGCGCACTTGATGGAATCTGCCATTGAGATGGGATGCGTGATGCCCGATCGGCTTGCTTTCGTCGCGCGATGTCTTTCCACGGTGCTTCCTGTCCTGCTGGCGACATTGCTACGATTGAGTGTATCTTGCAACCTCGGCTTCTTGTATCTACCTTTAAGCTGATGTGACAATCAGTCAAACCACACAACCATTGATCTACCAAGTGTCCACGTTAATTACAAAGGGTAGGCAGCTAAAGTCGTTGCCCGAACCTTTGTATGGTTGGTAAGAGAAACCGGTGGCAGCGACCATCTCCGCACTACGATGTCCCCCAAAAGAACAAGCCGAGGTTGAGAGCTTCAAGAAGTCTGGCCACGCTGCTTTTACAAAACCGCGCCTCAGGGTGGCCATAGAACACGGCGTCTCCATTGAAGTCATAAAGATCATGCATATTAGAGCTGGGAGGAACGTGATGACCACATCTCTGGGTTGGCTATCATATGAATATCATTAACAATATACCTCGGTGTTTTATCGTCGACCGTCGCTGCTCATCTCAGGGACACTACTGCCCTCCATTTCTGCGATTTGATTGTCCCACCCGAGCTCTGCCCGTCCGTAGGTAGGGCCTTTCCGCATCGGATTGTCCTTCAACTCATACATCGAAGGGTCTTGATGTCGAAAGCGTTCTGACCCTTGAAGCTCAGGTTTCTCATGATGTCCGCCCATTGGAAGTTCCGGTGTCGAGTCTTCGAGCTTTTCCGGACGGCCGGAGTTTTGGTTCTTCCTTCGTCGCCACCACCAAAACCCTCCGGCAGCGAGCACTAAGACGATGACTCCAGCAACGATACCCCCAATGGCGGCTCCAGAGATGCCGCCGCTGGAAGTGCTGGAGTTTCCGCCACTATCATTCGAAGATGTGTCGTTTGTGTTGCCACCACCTGAGTTAGTGCTTGTGCTGTTAGTAGATGTATCGATCGTGACATCCTGTGGAGGTTCTGTGCCAAAGTTACAGGTCACCGTGCCGGTGCTGTTGAACTGTCCACAGATAGTGCTATTGTTGATGGTGGTTTCGATGATGGTATCCCCTTGGATATTGGTGATCACGGGGAAATCAGCTCTGGAAGAGTATCAATAATTATTCTGCAAGCGGACATTGATTCCTCACCTTGAAAATTCCCCTGTCAAATTGAGGCTTCCGCTAACCGTCTGGAGCTTAGGAAACGAGATCGCTCCTAGGCGGCTGTTGTTTGTGATCAATAGATTGCCGTTGATCTCCGGTAAAAGTGGAAAGCTAAGACTGCTGAGGAGAGGGTTGCTTGTGATGAAAACATCCACCACTAGAGTTAAGCTGGGTGCCGAGAAGCTGCGAAAGCTGTTGTACGAAAGGTTCAAGTTTCCAACGAGGGTGTCTAGCAATGGCACATTCAATGCATTTGCATTCTGCAGAGTGAGGCCGCGCGAACTGGCAAGTTTTTGGAATTCGACCTCGAGGCTGGGGCTGTTGTCCGAAATAGATATCGTGTCAGTCGTATTTGTGAGATCGTTGAAGCTGACTGTTGCCAATTCAGGGTTATTAAAAATCTCGATGGCATTGCACGAGGTGAATTTGAGGTCGGAAAGAGATCTTAGTTTAGTGTTTGAGATGGACACTCGGTCTGCCGTCACAATTCCAGTCGTAAAATCCATGGTTTGAAGAGCCGGCAGATCGTTCCATATTATATCGCCGACTTCCATCAAGGAGTCAAACTTCAGGTTAGAAAGAGTAGTTAGTCCGGTCAGCGTAAAGCTCCCGCTGATTGTAACGAGTTGATGAAACGAGATTTCGGTCAACTTTGTGGCGTTGTTGCACGTGAGATCACCTTTGAGATGTGAGATCCCCGTCAGCGCGAGAGGTCCAGAAATACTATCGGCGATAATGATGTCGCCATTGAAGGTCCCGCAATTTGAGATTCCTGTAGCATCATCGGCAGTACTGATGGTGACTGATGGTCCGTCACATTGCGCTGTATTTCAGGTCAGCCAACTCAAGTCTTCAGGAGGCGACTTTTTCGCCGCAGTACTCAACATCCAAGCAAGGTCATGTAATTTGTACGACAAGAGGTTTCTTACCAAAAACAACTTGCACAACCGTGGCAGCCAGCAGAAGGCATATGTAGTAAATCATCTTATTGGAATTTGCAAACCAAGGTTCACCTGTCAATGCTCAAGCGCAATCCTCACGTATACGAAAAGACTTTTCAGTTTCACGCTGTTAAATCTTCGGCAATAAAAGGGGGATCCATGCAGCAACAACTTAGCAGAACGCCATGGACATTGTGATGTTCAGAACAGTAAGTCGCATGGCAGTCAAAAGAGAAAAAGATACCAATTTTCGGATGACCATATCGCAAGTGAAAAGTGTGTTAGCCATTCTCGCGATCTCCCATCTCCCAGATTTCGTGGGAGAGAAGGTGAGCAGCTGATAGGCTTAAAGGGGCCTTTCTCCCTACCTGGTCTTTGACGGAGTCTTGTGCATCGGTTTCAAAATGCTTGATACTAGAAATCGCCAGCAGTAGCCCCTGTGAAGTGTCCTTGACAGTGGCATTATTGGTGTTTTCAAGAGACCAAGGCATAAACAAGAATTTGGGGCGCCGCCTAAGCTCCCATTTTGGCGGGATTTCGGTCCAGGCGCCTGGGCTCCGCCACTGGTGGTGGCTCCCCTGGCTGAGTCTTTCCCGGTGACCCTGATCAAGCGAATAGGTGGCCACTTAAAAGGCGTACTTGATTCTTCGACGAGCCACATCTCGTATTTATGATTGCAGCAATCTTTGCGTTACCGATAAGCTGTACGAGGTACGGAAGTTTGGAAGCGTTTGTCTTCCTCAATATTCATTTGTTTGTTGGTCATGGCGTTGTCCTTTATCTACCTCAGAGTTCTCTGATCGCAAGTACCCGCCACGCATTCTCCTTATTTGCCCATCTATATCCTTGCTATTACAGCGTGCGATGACCTAGCTAGGTCTGACGTACCATACCTAGCATCTCAACCTTTCCCTAAGATATACATATTGGTGATCTGAGTTAGAACTCCTTCATTCGGATTATGGTTGTACTGAACTGTCCCTTTGCTATTAAAGTACCACTTGCTTCAACGCTTCGCTTTGCTGCAGATGGTGAATCTGATGACAGTCACATTGAGGAGTGATTATTGTTCCCGGCAGCAGTAGCCTATCTCCTGACATCGTGCCACAACTAGTATCCCAAACATTGTCACACAATACGCACGATGTGGCTTGGGAATCGAAATGGTGGCATGTCATCCCGTCGCCAATGTCTTGTTGATCATGGAGACCATCAAAGGTAGGGAGCAGGCTTTCCGTTTGCTCAGCCTTGGTGCCTTGTTCACGATGCCCCTGGAAACAATTTCTACTTATACATCAAGCCCATATTGTCTCAAAATCTCGAGACGATACGAACTCTGAATCTGCTTTCACTGTTGTCCAAAGAAACGCGTTGATTGAACGTATTACAACATGCCGTTAACAGTTGCAAAACGAGGAAATCCGGTTGTCTACTAATCGGCAATCACTCTGATCACATCGCAACAGGAGCATGGCCATATGAGACAGTGTGTATGAGCACGAGAGGAGGACTTCAGGAGAGGTCGATCCATGCTCTTCCTCGAGCAAATCCCATTGTCATGCATGGCATTACAGCTCTGCTTCTCTATTATGGTGCCAGAATACCTACTTGATTTTAAGTAGATTTCCCTTCTTTTATTAGTATTCTACCTACTAGCAATCGTGGCCTCCTCGACTAGGGCTTGCGTAGCCACGAAGATGCCATACTGCAATTAGCCCGAAAGGCCGGGCTTCCTCAATCTCAGCACAGATCGACCTCTGGCTTGAATGCATATTATTCTAGATTCCACGTATCTTATGATATTCAGCTGTTTCATTAAGAGAGTTGGTAATTCAATTCCCAGAAATTGTGGCGTAAATATTAAATTGTAATTCCGCTTTAAAGATCAAAGTCAACATAGCGCCATCTATCAGCATTTTGCAACAGCAGTGTATAAGTTTCCAGGCCTCCGCCAATTACCATAAATCATACAACCAATCCCGAAACAGTGAGTACCACTGCTCATGTCCTTTCCTCCCTTGGTCACCGTGCCTCCATATCAAAGTACAATTGTGCCATTTCGCAAATTAGAGAGGACAGCCTGAGAAGCGGTATCTCCAATAGGGGGACCGATGTTCGTAAAAGACATGTAGATCGTCCCATTTGCCGTGATCGTATCTTGGCAAGCGAAGTTCCTATCATTACTTCCGCAGTGAGTCAAGATATAATTACCGGGCTTCGAGGTATCCTCTCCACGGGCGAAGCCACCGTAGGTATAGCCGTAGCCGGGGAACTCTTCGGGCTCTGGGCCAGGTGCTGAGGTGTGCAGCTTTTCGAAGCCTCTAAGCGAGAGCTTGAGGGACTTTGTCGTGTGCCCCTGCGTAGCGCGGAGATGCGCAGTGAGGAATTTGTTCCAGTCTTGGATCTTCATGTGTACGAGACCTGCGGTGTTGATGCTGGATGGCAGGTCGCGATATTTGTTCTCTTCGCCGTCACCGACTGCAACGGGTCCGGAATCGGTTTGGATATGGCCCCATGGGTTGTCGATGGCCGTGATTGAGCTCTGAGGTGTGGGTCCAAACCCGGCGGAAGACATGCCCAAAGGCTTGAAGAGCCGGGACTGGAAGGCGTCCTCGGCAGGTTTGCCAGTGAGGATGTCGATGATCAGGCCAGCGAGAACGTAGTTCATGTTGGAATAGTTCCAGATGCCTTGGGTCCCGTTGGTTGGCTTTGAGAGAGTCTCTTTCGCCATTTTTACTCTGCCGACAGGGGCGGTATCGTTGATTAGGGGCGCGAAAAACGCGTCGACCTCTGCTGCGTAATCGGTTATACCACTGCGGTGGGAAGTGAGAAGCTCGACGGTCACATTTCGATAGACGTCAAGCATGGGGTAGTCCCTGAGAACATCTCCTAATTTTGTTTGCCATGAGAGCACCCCCTCCTCGACCAAGATAGCAATAACCGTGCAAGTCATAGCCTTGCCGTTGGAGCCGATGGAGTATATATCGTTCATAGTGGCATTGACATTGGTACCAATCTTCCGAGTGCCAACAACTGCACCTTTGAAGTGCGGTCCAGTGCTTGCACCGAGTAATGGCACATCAAATTGTGTTCGAAGCTTTTCGAGCTGAGAGGCGATCTTCGGGCTTTGGAAGATTGTTCGAGGCAAGATCGCCATCGCATTGCATAAATTTGCACATATTGAAGCACTTGCCAAGAGCAAGAGAGTGGAGGGAGATTTCATGGCGACGATGGCGGTGCTTTTCTTTTCCTTCTTTTGGGAAATGAAGTAGAATGGCTAGATGAGAGCTGTGCTGGTATGAGGGTAAGTAAATCTTTATCACCATGCAGGCTCATGCCTTCTTATAGAGCTTTGGGAGCCGAGACTCTAGGTCTCGAGGGTGTAGCAGCCATCTCAAATGAGGTAGAGATCAAAAGAATCATCGAATACGACTGAGATAGGACCCAGTCAGCTGTGAAGTCTCCTATGAGAAGCCTGCATGGTACGAGGCGTGGCTGGGAGCGCAGCCTTGCTTGTGGCATATGGACTCTTGCCTCCACGTCGGCGAAACTGTATCGTATATGTCTTCAGGTCAAGGATGGTCAGTGGTAGGCGTGCTGGGTATGTTACCCAATGTGACCAATAGGAACCCTGACAGGTACGAGCGGCTCGGCAACTGGGATGTCTGTATCAAGGGTATTTGATTGGGACGCTTGGCACCGCTTAAAGTAGGCGCTCAGGTAACATTACCACCTGGTTGTGGCGATGCTTCCCTTCTTTTCCACTATATTCGTACCCGGAACTCGTACAGAAGCAGATCGACAGCGGACAGGGACTTATCCGCCTCCCCATGCAGCCTTACCTCATCTCCTACCGCTTTGAGGTGTCGGTAAACAGCAGTGCTCAACCGAGGACTCGCGCAACACGAATCAACGCTGACAGTCACTCACTAAAGACTTGACCATGCAGCGCATATTTCCGAGCTTAACAACCGATGGCAGCCACATCCAGCGTAAGCAAAAGCCTGCTGTCAATATACCGACTTGAATCAACATTGGGACCATGCTTCCGATATACGCGTAGTCTCGGGTTCGTAAAATGCCGATGAGGCTCATTTCCAACGAAACCCGTAATCTGGACCTGGTTCATCTACGATGTAGGGCTGTGATTGTACACGTCCGAGGTCCACGCTTGAGCTGAGCCTCGTCCACTAGTTTCCTAGAAAGTTGAAAGTCGCACATATGTGGAAATGAAGGGTGATGAGAGGACTGTTTTTGTATGATATGGCTAGAGAGACATAATGGTTTCTCTGTAGCACTGCAACATTTTAATCCTGGTAGTTGTTGTCCTTAACCGGGGGTATTACCCTGTCATAACAGTTACCGTCGCCACGAGGTTCGTCTGGTAGCTGGAGAGCGGCGGACAAAATTAGACTCCCAATATCTCATGACGACCTGAGGTTACAGAAGCAGAAGGCGAGACCGAGATACCTAATCGATCAGGTATCTGGATCTGAGAGAGGCTGCGTCCGTAAGAGCAAGAAACGCAGATGAGTCGTGCATTGATCAACAGTGCTATGAGCCAGACGCCAGGGTTAACGACATAAAGAGCATAAGCAACTCTGTTGGAGTTTGGACTTGAAGAATGAGTGACAGTGCGTGTAAGTGCGTGTGCCTGTATCTGTGGCGGTCGCCTGAGGAGAAAGATGAACGAGCACGTGAGTTTGACGCCCGCCAAGACCTGGCGCCGGGAAAAAGTTGCGTCACACGAGCAAGGGCACTTTGCCTGATCAGTTCGTCTTTCAAGTTTGACACTAGTCCGATTGTCACTTCTGACAGCCAAAAAACTTTCCAAACGTCGAAGGTAGATATCTGAACCCTTCGCATCATGGCCCCAGCAGATGACGTCTCTGATGACGGCTCTCTCGATTCCCAGGTGGAATGGGAACTCGAAGAAGGAATTCCTCAAGTCGAGGATCCTTTTATCCAAAAGTACATGGATGGCAGGCAAGCATTGATTGATCAGGAGAAGAAGCAAAGACATGACTACCTGTTTAAGAGGACCATGTCACCGATGGCCAAGCAGGCTTCCAAGATCATGAACTCCATCCGCCGGCGAGAGTTGAAAGAGGTTTGGACTTCTGAATACGAGGATGGCCTCGCGGAGAAGAACGGTGGCAATCTCTATCCCGGCATGATGTTTACTCTAGCACGTGACCGCATTGAAACCACTGAAATGTGGAAGATCATTGAGAAGATGCCCAAGGGGGCTCTCTTGCACGCTCATCTTGATGCTATGATTGATATTGATTGGCTAATTGACCAGGCACTGGCTGAGAAAGGGTTCTGTATCTTGGCGCCCGAAGGACTGAGCGATAGGGATAAACGAGATAAAGGTCTTCTCCAGGTACGCTACTATTCGGACGCAGAAATCAAGAAACAGAAGAGTTCAGGCAGTATCTGGACCTCAAACTATACAGCCAACACGCCTGTTCCCATCAGGGAAGCGCAGCGGACATTCCCGGATGATGACTCAACGTTCAAGAAGTGGCTCCTTCACCGTTGTACTGTAACGGCTGAAGAATCTTTGTGTCACCATCACGGGCTGAATGCGATCTGGCGAAAATTCCAGAGCACGTTTCTCAGTATTGGGTGGATGCTTTTTTATGAACCAATCTTCCGACGGGCGCTACACAGACTGCTCGGACAATTAGCTGCTGATGGGATCAATTATGTGGATCTCAGAACCGCTTTTCGTTTCGAGTACCGCAAACAAGGTCAAACGAGAGGTCAAGTGGGCCGGTTCGATGACTTTTTCGTTGCCTTTGGCGAAGAGATTGAGAAGTTCAAAAAGACCGAGGCAGGAAAGAATTTCAAAGGTGCTCGTATGATCTGGACTGTGATACGAAGCCTGGATACACGATCACAAGTCGAGGGCATGAAGGAATGCATTCGCATAAAGAAGAAGTTTCCCAGTCTCGTTTGCGGGTTCGATTTTGTGGCGCAGGAAGATATGGGCAAAACTCTGAGCGAGCTGACGCCATTGATATTCTGGTTCAGAAAAAAGTGCGCTGAAGCTGGTGTGGATCTTCCCTTTTTCTTCCATGCCGGCGAATGCCTTGGCGATGGCGACAGCACCGACAACAACCTGTTTGACGCCATCTTGTTGGGGACGAGAAGGATTGGGCATGGCTACTCACTGTACAAACATCCACTGTTGATTGACATGGTGAAAGAAAAGAAGATCCTAATTGAAAGTTGTCCAATATCGAATGAGATCTTACGGCTTTCAAGCAGCATTCTAGGCCATTCTCTGCCAGCCCTGCTTTCACGAGGTGTTCCGGTGTCGATGAACAATGACGATCCTGCTATCCTTGGACATGGAAAGAATGGAGTATCGCATGATTTCTGGCAAGCATATATGGCATTTGACAACTTTGGACTTGAAGGACTTGGGACAATGGCTGAGAACTCGCTCAAGTGGTGCGCCATAGAAGATCAAAAGCCTGCGGAGTGGACAAAGGCAATCACCGATGGTTATATGGGTAAGACGGTGAAATCGAAGTTACTGCGAGAGTGGCGCTCAGAGTGGGAGAAGTGGTGTGAATGGATCATTCTAGAGTATCCAGAGGAGGTAGAGGAAAGTGATGAGGAGGATGAAGAATCGGAGGATGAGGATGATGACGATGACGATGACGATGACGACGACGATGATTGAACGAGATTCAGCAACAGGTCCAACTTTGACCAGTATAGTGGTTCAACTTGAACGGGTATGGTATGGGCATGGAAACCCTATGGTTATAGCTCGACACGAGGAATTCAACACATCTCATTTACGGGTTTGGCCATCTACTCTGCCAATTTCAGGCTTTACGGAGAATCGATAGCACGGCGATTATGATAACAGGCTCTAGATGCATCAACACGGTAGAACCTGAAGAATTGATACAAGGACGAGTATTGTAGTTGTTAACTACCTAGCAATAACTGATACATACGGCTGCTAGTGCTGGGAGGTATCTTGTCGCCCGGAGAGCCTATTCCACTCCTCTCCCCGCTCTTTGGCACCACCCTGGGCATCCCTGCCCATCAACCAACAGCCTATGCCCGTCAAGCCCGTGACACAAAAGCCCCACCACTGAATCATCATTCCTCCGACCCGCCCACTGCGGTGCACTCCTCTCACTTATCACGAGAGTGCCCGCATATGCCTGCGTCTGGTGCCAAATTCATCATGTATGCCTGATCTGGCTGTCCGCGTTTGAAGGATGGACCATTATTATTATTATTATTCTATTCATTTCTTATCTTGACCGCGGCATCTGGATTCACTTTGGATGAAACACCTGTGCACAAGACAAACGGTGACCGCCCCCATCATCTTACCTCGCCTATCTCTCGTGCTTTCTTTGTGCCTGCCAGAGAGCCGACCCAACATATCGTTGTCTGCCTCCTTCCATTTGGACAATACCCGATAGATCGCTTTTCTCTGTCTCTCGCTCTTACCATGGCAATAGAGAGCCCCTAGGCCCCTTTCAGGCGTCAGGCACGCCCTCGTCTCTCCAACATGGCCTACTTCATTCCCTCATACTTCCAGAAACGCCTCCTCCGATACGCTCTCACTCGCCTCGACTTTATCGACTCCGATGAACTCGATCTCGACAATCTCGGCCTGACTTGGGGTCAACGAACTGTGGTCGAGCTAAAGAACGTTGGAATCAAAGTTGGAAGACTCAAGGACCTTTTACAACTACCCTCCACGTTTCAACTCAATCATGCCTCCATCAAGTTGCTTCGCTTGACATTACCTGCCGATTTGCACATCAGTGGTATCGAGGTTGAGGTGGATGGCGTAGAAGTTATTGTGGCTATTCGTAACGATGATGCAAAAGACACAGATTCGAACGGCACCTCTGGTCCTAACAAGACCGACCGGGCAAATCCGCCCCGGATAGCCTCTTCCTCCATCCATGACCATGTTGGTCGCAGCACACGTTCTCGCAATGGACGAAATCTCGAATTCTCGCAGGTGGTACCGACGTCGGAGGATTTGGCGGCCTCATTCCTGGAGTCCGAGCCTCCTGGAGAAAGAGATGAACTACAGGCTGCACTGGAGTCTCGTTCTCAATATATGCAAGAATCAGTCTCCTCCGCCCCAGCTGATGACGTTGGCCTGGGAATGCCAGGAGGTCTATCCCTACCTTCCTTTGTTGCTAATTTCTTCAAGGGTGTGGCCGACAGACTATCAGTCAAAGTCAAGGACGTTAACGTCGTCTTGGAAATGCTCTCTTCAGAAGATGCGGTTGCGTCGTTGGAAAAGACAAAGTTCATGCTGACGGTCGGAAGTGTGTCGGTGGATGCTCTCGCGGCAATCGAATCATCAGAGACCCACGGAGATTCTAGTAGATCTGTTCGAATTGAAGATGTCCAAGTCTTCATCTTGTCGGATTCGGAAACATTTTCAGACTCGTCTGGCCTCAATTCCCCAAGACTTGCACGTTCTCGGCTTCGACTATCCCATCCAGACGCACGAAGTGACACGAGCAGGCCTAGCCTGTCGAGCAATAACGATTTGGAGCATGGTTCCCAAGGTTCCAGACCTGTGTCTCCCTCATTGAGCAATTCGGGACTCGGAATTGGCCTGATGGCGGATGTATTGGAAGATTCTGCAATATTCTCGACCGGCTTCGCACATGAGTCGCCACCACATAGTCCCCCTTTCGACCGTCATTCAGTCGACAATAGGATACACGCGGAGCAAGTTCTCGACTCCCACCATGAATACCATTCTTCAGGAATGGTATCCAGCCAATCTTTGAGCTCAGAGAATTTAGCTGAATCCAAAATGTTCACCCATGACGAGGCAGAAAGCATGTATCTCAGTGCCGTCAGTGGTCAGAACATGCCAGGAGGCTGGGCATCATCCATTCCATCTCAGGATCCCAATGACAATGAATCTGGCAATCTCCAAGCCACCTCACAAACACCACAACGAAGTGACGATAATTCATCGGAGCAAGGCTCAGATCAGGGCTCGACGGATTCTGATCATAATTGGACTGCCAAAGATGAGGGAATCTCTAGTGGAGAAAGTGTCCTCGATAACAACTTGGCCTCGTTTTTCCGTTCTCGACTGGTCCATGTGGCCTTCATTGTTTTAAAACTTCCCGAACCCGACACTGCAGAGGTGCAGGATCAAGTTCCAGGCCATTCTCCGAAGATGGTCTCAGCCTCACGGGAATCACAGAGCGGCCGGTTCAGTGATTACGAGGCAAGATCAGTCGGTCTGCAAGACAAAGTTCCCAGAAATCGCGCTGGCACACCGAGTCTCGAGTTTGGACAGATATCCATCGATCTTGATATCATGATATGCAAAGTCTTGGTCAAGGCTACTCAAACTTTGGCAGAGGCCGTCCCACCAACAAGTCAGAAAACTGCATCTTCACCATCTGCCTCCCAGCCGCTTCCCAATGTCTCAATTCAGAAACTTAACCTACATTTCTGCGAGTGTGTACCACGCCTGGCCCCTACAAAGCTACCCTTCCAGTCGCTAGAATCAAGTCTTCCACCAGACCAAGCTCTGCTGAAACTGTCCCTATCGCCAATCACCTTGACTACCATAAAAGACTCAACAGGATCTTCACGGCTCAATGTATCCAAGATAATCATGACACATGGATCAAGAGTCGTGTTATCGTTCGTTGACTCTATCAATGTCCGAGACTCGATTGCTACAAGCTCAATGCTGAGACCACATGATTTTGTTGCGAGTATATCGAACAATCGGTATGACTTGCAGATAAAGCCAGTACACATTGTTCTTGATCTCCTAGTCATCGATGATGTGCTTAGCCGTAGTGGTGGCTTAAGTTCCCTCCTCGACCTAGGAAATTCTATCATGTCTACGAACACAGTGAAGAGCCCACCTAATAATGCTCCTCCATCAGAAACGACAAGGCAACGGACTGTCAGATTTGATGACCCAAGAAAACGTCCACGTACTGAAAGTAATCCTGCATCGTCGCTTCCAAAGGTTGATATTCGCATTTCTGGCTCGGTTCTGGATTTGATAGGATCAGAATCTTCCGTCCAAATTCGAACATCGGCGCTCAAAGCGGTCTACCGTGAGAACAATGTGAGGCTTGCAATTGATGGCGCTGCTATCGAGGGTCCCTTGCTGACCGGATCTCGATCTCGAGGAGAGATATGGCTGAAGATTCGAAATATTCAGGTGCATTATTCAGACACTCCAGATGACAATGACTTGGATCGACTTTTGTCGCTGATCACGCCGTCTCGAGATAAATATGATCAAGAAGACGATATCATGGTTGACACCCTCGTAAGACAACGTCGCAAAGGTGGTGTTTTGCGTTTGACTATTGGGGACTTACAAGCTGGAGCAACTGGTTTCCATTGGGTCCCACATTTGACCAAGGTCGTCGATGAAATCTCAAAATTGTCCTCGGTCACCAAATACCTCCCAGAAGATGATCGCCCCGGTGTGTTGATCTTCGGAATGGTAAACAAACTCGACGTTCGATTCGACGTGGACCAACAATTTGGCCCTCTCAGACTGAAAGCAGAGTTGATTGAAAGTGCCAACATCAGCGTGCCATCTCTTGCGGCTGCGCAAATAGCCTGGTGGTCTTTGGCAAGAGGCGATAAAGACATATTGATAGGTGAGGTTACCGCCCAAGGTGATACGGCCATGGCCCCACCGATGATCATGTGTCGATTTATTGCAGATGAGATGGAGCCGACCGTTCGGATGAAAATGTCCAACACCTGCTTCGAGTATAAAGTATCTACTCTTATAGCTGTAACTTCTCTACTGGAACGACTCAAGGCACAAGAGGCATCACCAAGACAACCTCATCTCCCACAATCACCCAGTCCCTCTTCTTCTAGCAGTGTTGACATAACTGGGGTGTCTCGAAAAATCCGATTCTCTCTCACCTTCCGAGATTCAGCCATTGCACTCAATCCTGCCCAGGGTTCCGCTAAGGGTCTTTTGGTCCTGACAGACACTATCATTCGACACGAAAACGAGAAACACGGATCTCTTGAGAACCTCGAGATCAAGAAGGCTTCGTTTCTGATCATCAACGATAGTGCATCTGTGGGTCGAGATATGGGAAATGTTGATCACAAGCTCTACTTTGAGGAGAACGACCAGATCCAGAGTCTCACTAGAGCAGGATTTGTACCTGTTGGCTCCATCTCTTCTGCGTCAGCAATCGTCAATGTTATTGAAGATAAAGTCCACCAGGAGACAAGACTTGAAGTCGAATTTCGGAACAACCTCCTTTTCCTGGAAACTTGTGCCGACTCAACTCAAACATTAATCCAGATTTTAAGCGGTTTAGCCCCACCAGCTCCCCCTTCGAAGGTGGCCAGCTACAGAACAGAAATCATTCCGATCCAGGACATGCTTTCATCATTTACTGGAAATGCATTTGTCTCCGAACCCGGGCCTGCACTGGGCCTTCAAGCATCTCAACAAACGCTGAGAGCAAGGCATTATGGCGGAGAAGACGAATATGAGCATGAGTTCGACGAGGAAGAAGGTGAAGAAGAAGATGATGACGATGGAGACTTTATGGGCAACATGTACCGTGAAGATGACGACTACGCCGACGATGAAATGACTGCTAGCCATGTCGAATCGCATCTCGGCCAGTCGAACATGTCGGAGTCTATCCACATTGCACCTGTGGATATCATGGCCACCAGTACAAACGATCTGAGCCAGAGTGTGATGGCTCACAGCTTATTAGATTTCAGACAAGATCACTTTGCCCCGAAGTCTTCTGTGGGTGGCACGGCACATCGGTGGAACTCGAGCCAAAACACGTACGGACTTGCAAGCGACGCAATCTTTGATAGATCGCCACTCAAAGTTCGTGTCAGAGATGTTCATGTCATCTGGAACCTCTTTGATGGCTATGATTGGCAAACCACGAGAGATACCATCTCGCAAGCAGTGAAAGACATCGAGACACGAGCCATGGCCAGACGTCCGAAAAGCAGCAGTCGACTGTCGCCTGGCGCGGATGAAGAGGACGAGTCGGTCATTGGCGATTTCCTTTTCAACTCGATCTACATTGGAATCCCCGCCAATCGAGATCCCAGGGATTTGACGAATGCTATCAATCATGACATTGATGATCTCATCAGCGAAACTGGTAGCTATGCAACAGGGACAACGGTCACTGCTACCACGCACCGACGCCCGTCGAGCATAGCCCCACGGCCGAAGAGATTGAAACTTAATCGGAGCAAGCATCACAAGATGACCTTTGAGCTTGCAGGGATTTCGTCGGATTTGGTCGTGTTTCCTTCTGGGAGTGGCGAAGTTGAAAGCTCTATCGACATTCGTATCAAGATGCTGGAAGTGTTTGATCATGTTCCCACGTCGACTTGGAAGAAATTTGCAACGTACATGCAAGATGCTGGCGAGCGAGAGGTGGACACTAACATGGTCCATATCGAGGTTCTCAACGTCAAACCCGTACCAGATCTGGCGGCGTCGGAAATTGTGCTCAAAGTCACTGTTTTGCCTTTGAGGTTACATGTGGACCAAGATGCCCTAGATTTCCTCACACGGTTCTTCGAGTTTAAGGATGAAAGTGCGCCACAATCCAGCAGCCCATCGAATCCACCGTTCATCCAACGAGTCGAAGTCAATCCAATTCAGCTTCGATTAGACTTCAAACCGAAGAGAGTGGATTATGGTGGCCTGCGGTCGGGGCGTACTACGGAGTTTATGAACTTTTTCGTTCTTGACCGAGCTGACATGGTCTTGCGTCGTGTCATTCTCTACGGCGTATCCGGGTTTGACCGTATGGGTATCATGCTCAACAACATTTGGTCGCCAGATGTGAAGAAAAACCAGCTACCAGGAGTTCTGGCCGGACTTGCGCCGATCAGACCGCTGGTGGATGTTACAAGTGGTGTTCGAGATCTGATAGCAGTTCCCATTCGAGAATATCGCAAGGATGGCAGAGTTGTGCGCAGCATTCAAAAAGGGGCATTGGCATTTGCCAAAACCACAGCTACCGAACTGGTGAATTTGGGTGCCAAGTTGGCAATTGGGACCCAACAAGTGCTTCAAAATACCGAGGATCTACTTGTGACACGAGAAGCCCAAGACAGCATTGCTGGTGATGATGAGAGTAAGAAGCAGATTTCTCTGTACGCCGACCAACCACTAGGAATTGTACAAGGTCTGAGGGGAGCGTATGCCAGCCTTGAGCGCGATCTATTACTTGCAAGAGATGCAATCGTGGCAGTTCCTGGAGAGGTGATGGCTAGTGGAAGTGCCACAGGGGCAGCAAAGGCTGTTCTCAAGCAAAGCCCGACGATTATTCTGCGACCTGCCATTGGAGCCACGAAGGCAGTTGGGCAGACACTGCTTGGTGCGGGTAATACATTGGACAAGAGGAACTTGCGGCGGATGGACGAGGTAAGTTCACTCCACCGGACTTTTCTTTTGTTTGGTTTCATTTCTGGACCATTCCTTGTTGCCCACCTGTTCCTTGAGTACTCGACTGACAGCCCTGATAGAAATACAAACGTCATTGATATGATATGCCAAGTTGTTGAGCAAGATTTGCCGTTCATCGCCACACAAGACAGACGATGGTCGTGCATCAGCAAAGGGGATCCACATATTATCGCGATCAGTAATTACGCGGATACAAGTCAGCATACAGCGCGGCGCAGAATTGAGTTTGGATATGCACACTGGGTGGAGTACCTTCTTTACCGGCTGCCTTGGCTTAGAATCAGCATGGCTCGGTTCATGACGAAACGAACGAGATGGCCACAGAAACTCTCCTCATGATGCAATAGCGAGCATTGTTGGTACTTTTCAAGAAGAGCATGATATACCCAAATTGCATGGCGTTGGTGGGTAAATGGATTCATGGGAGAGAGGGAGGAAAGAGACCACAGTCACTTGGTGTTAATTCGATACGCGATACTTGTTGTAGCACGCTCGCTATCCTCTCTTCAACCTATGTCACCAGACATGACAACATTTTCCGATTCTTGTTCCATTTGATCTGGGTGTAGGTTTATTCCACCGTGACTGATATCGTCACTCTATGCCTTATTCACCGGTCAAACTCCACATTCAAGAAGCTTAGTGGGAGATCACGCCCTGTGAATATGTTCCTGATCCTGTATAAGGCATGAAAGGGGCGGGGGCTGTGTCCTCCATCCTACAACCAAGGTATACTCACTTGACAGCCTTTGCGGAAATGTTAGGTGACTCCCATAAAGCTCTAAGCGTAGAGATGGCTCTACTAGTGGTCGTTCCCCAGATCGTGTGGTCTGAGCTCATGTTGAGAATGGATCTGAAGGTGGCAGAGCGCTTAGTGTGCAGATAGACTAAACGAGATGGATGCGGGGCTGGAAAGTTCCTTCACTCGAGTTGGAGTTTGGCGTCCCTCGGCGTCTATCCAAAGCCCGAAGTCGCCTGGCTGGAGACCTATGCGACTCACGATGTACTCCGTATGTTCAGTCCAATTGTAGTCGCGAGCCACTGGCAGTGCATGTTAATCGCCTACCATGAGACACTGGTCCCTGGATTCTGCCACGTGCAGTGTGTTTGGAGGAGAAGATTCAGGGTGCTTTTGAAACGGGTACTTTCGGTTGGCCATGGCACAGCCAGCCGCGTGGGGGCGGATTTGGGGCCCTGGGGGCTGTGGTTGAGCCTTACCGCCTAGTACTCCAGGTATCACCACTAATTGGCCAGGGCATATCTCGGCCTTTGCGCCAAATGGCCTGGTGGCTGTGCTGTGGAATTGGATCTTACAGGCTCATGCTCAACCTCAGTTCGCCTCACTCATGTTCCTTTGTCAGTATCCAAAGTTTCATCACTCTTTATCTCCTGAAATCATAAAGACGTTGTCCCGGCAGTGCAGATGGCGACTGACTCAAGGCATACACATCGAGCCACCTGGGTATCCAGTGTATTGTATACTCCTGCCAATCACGTTCCCTTTGCTTCAATGGCATCGGTATAAGTATATGGATAGTCTTGCTGTTCGTTAACCACATCTCCATCTTTGATTCTACAAGAACCTGAACCCATAAGTGAACAAGAACTTTCATCTCCAGCTTGACACATCATCTTCTTTGTTTGCAGAAACTCTAGTGTAACCTGTCATCGTCTTTCACACGCAAACAACAGACAGTCACCCGGTGGCTGCCTCAGGCTCTTCACTTCACATTTTACCCCTTCACCTGACTACTTCTAACACCACTTTCAAAATGGAGAATCCAATCTTCATGCATCGTGATACCTTTCACTCATCATCATCCTCAAGGCCACGACAAACCATGGGTTTCCTCAAGCGATTCAGCTCTAAGCGCTCGTCAAACATGACCCAACAGATGCCTTCTGCATTCCAAGGTTCTATCGCGAGCGCACGGAATGTCGACCACACTACTAACCCATTTGCCACCACGCAACCAACGCGCAGACCCAGACCAGCTGAAAATGTGGGAGCGCCACCTCCATACTCTGCGGCACCGAACAGCCCTGCAGATCTAGCGACGCCCATGCAAGTCTGCGAGGACTCCCCATACGCATTTCTACGCGAGTTCGACACCATCTTCCTCATTGACGACAGCGGCAGTATGGCAGGACGCAGCTGGAGAGAAACATCTGCAGCCATCGCAGCCATCGCACCGATCTGTACAGCCTACGATGCGGACGGTATCGACATCTACTTCCTCAACCATCGCAACCCCCACACCACCCACGGCGGCTACACCAACATCACCACCACTGCGGCAGTCCAGAATCTCTTCCAGACCGTGCGACCTTTGGGAGGCACACCAACCGGTACACGACTCGCACACATCCTGCGCCCATATCTCGCCGAAGTCGCCACATCCATGGCGCAGCAGACCCAAGGGCAGCCCGCAACGGTCAAACCGCTCAACATCATTGTCATCACCGACGGCGTGCCCAGCGACGATGTCGAGAGCGTGATCGTCAGCGCGGCCAAGAAACTCGACTCGCACAACGCCGAGTCCTGGCAGGTGGGAATCCAGTTCTTCCAGGTCGGACGCGAACCCGAGGCCGCGGAGAACTTGACCGAGTTGGACGATGCGCTCTCGGGAACGTACAACATTCGCGACATGGTCGACACCGTGCCTTGGACCGGCGAGGAGGGTCAGGAGCTGACCGCGCAGGGTTTGCTCAAGGTCTGCCTCGGCAGTGTGGTCAGACGACATGATCGGAGGAGGATTTGATCGTGCTGTGCTGTGCTGTACATTGCTGAGCTGGAGCGTGGTAGGATTAACTAATCGCTCGTGACGATTGAAAAGCCTCACAGCGCTCAGCCTCTTGGAATATGTTCTGGTGAACTCGAATTACGAGCTGGCTAATTCCTCCTTTCTCATTATTGTATTACTAGCGAGACGACTATTACTCGTATTATTAATACCGTCTTTCCTTTTTTTTATTTGCGCACGCGCGCAAATGCTGCTTTCAGTGCCATACAGATGACCAGCGTGATCTGGGCCAAGAGAGTGGGCATTTTGCTCCTTTTACTACTCGGGGGCTCTTTTTGAGCTGAGTGAGAACCACCATATCGGTACGATGGGCTCGCAAAGGAAAAGCTTGTTGTCTCCTATGTTTTTTCCTCTTATGAAATAGAAAATCCAAGAAATGGCAGGAAGAAGAGAAATTAATTCCATACCTATTGTCAAACGTTGTTTTTCATTTTCGTATATCTGATTTTCTGACATGTGACATCCACGATTTTCCAGTTCACTACTCATTTCCTCTGGCATCTCTCCCGCGACCATTGCGTCATGAAGTTCCATGGTGTCCAGCATTAGGCAGGTAGATGTCATACACACACATACGAGTGAGTGCATCAGGGACTCAAAAGTACCGTCATGTGCAGCGCCTACTGGGAATGTCGTATCTACCTACTCGTAGGTCAGGTAGCGACCTAGTAGTAGGCACAAAGCATTCGCGAGCCAACCGATTGGATGTGGCAAGGCTGGTGATTTGGGACGCAATGTCACGTGAGCACCTCGTAGGGCTGAGGCTGAAGCACTTATGAGTCCTGTGAGTGAGGCTGAGGCTGAGGCTGGCCATGTGCCCAGGCCAAACAGGTCACGTTACACCGCATTGCACACCACAATTTGATCGTCCATGCGATGGATTTGTGACTCGGAATGACAATGCAGTTTTTGTCTAGGCTGGATCCGGTGCATAGTTGGAGAAGAACCTGACTACTTCGTAGGTACCTAGGTGCCTACCCAACTCGAGGCAAGTTTTTTTGGTACCATGGTCGAGATTGCGTGTCACGAGTACCTTTCTTTCTTCACGATGCATCGAACCTAAAAGTCTCCGTGTTGGTGTTTTTGATTATTGGGCGGAAATACCGAGGGCCCATTGTTGCGGCAGAGATCGATAATTCGTGGTTTGGTGGCCGCCACGTAAAACGCCACTTGAGTGCCTCTTGGATAGGTACCTCGTATCTCAGGTGCGTAAGGGTACGGTTTACCCGTACCGAGCACCGTGACTGCTGAGGTTTTTCTCAGCTTGCATGTGTTGTGGCCTCGACTCAGAGTGCCAGCTTCGTGTTCGGAGAGTCAAGGACGCCGTCGAGTAGCACTAGTCGTTTTGCTAGAGATCGTATTAGTCACATCCCGGCAGTTGTGAACATGTTTTGTGTGAGGTTCGGCGACCCAAGATACATGCATGGACATGAGGCAAGTATGGGATGATACGTGAGGGCTTCTACTACCAAGGTTTCCTTTCCCTTGAATGAATCATTCGATTGCGTGGCCGGGCAAAGGTCTGTAGAAACTTGAAAGATCATCTATGATCTACATTTTAGTTGCGAGGTAGATGGAACTGCAAATCTCAAACTTGGAAATTGGGATTGACACAACATTTGACGCCATAGTTGGACTGGGGCTGTTTTCACGTGTTTCTGGTGGAGGACATTTGAAAAAGATCCAATCAATAGCCGCAAAGTAGAAACGCCCCTTTGGCTGCGCCCCAAGCAGGAACATTGGAGGGACAAGAGGTCAAATTGCGACAAAGAATGGCTTGCGGCGGGTAATTGTTAGACTTCTTTGGGATCTGTCTAGGCTTTGTCTCAGGGTCCAGGTCAACTTCCGGGTGTGTCGTGGAGTGGACGATGTCCGATGGGCGGCTCTAACCTTACTTGGAGTTCGTCCTGACCTGACCAAAAATAGGGGAGGGGTGCCTTGAAAAATGAGGGTTAGTTTCAGGGACAGAGGAGGCCCTTTAGGCCGTCTGTCACCTACCGTCTGAGTTGATTTGTAGCTCACGTAGGGTCGACTCGGGGGTAAGATACATGCAGGGTACCTAACATAAATGTGATTGATTTTGAGCAGGGTGCTGACGTGCTTGATGTGTGTTTGAGATGATGCCGGGGACAGTGGCATGCCTGAGGGAATAGTTAGGGGCCTCTCTTAGGTGTGTACTCGTAATGTGAATGATGTGTACTGGCTCTTTAATTCCCAAGTTGTCCTCAATTACTCGTCAATGGTCATGTCATGGATCTTCAGTTGCCATGGAGGGTCCCGAGTCCCGATCAGCTTGAACTTCTGGGGTCCGGGTCTAGGCTTGATATGGGAGACCTCAAACATTGGCGTGCCAATCATGTTGAACCCAGTTCCATCTTTGGACATTCTCTCGCTTCTGATCTTCGACAAGCGGAAATAGCAGGGGTAAGTAACGGACTCGAGTGCCAGTGGAGAGGATACAAGTCCACGTCTCGCTACGATGAGGGACACAGAGAGGCATCATCAAGGTCATATCCGTACTCGTACGAAGTACTTTGTATCTGATATCTCATTTCGAGTCTTGTCACTTCTCTTGTCCTACCGTCCACTGGCAACCTGTAATCTTACCGTGCCATTTACATTTGTATCCGGCGTCCTCCTCCATCTTCCAACACAATCTCGCCTGTGTCTGTACCTGCCCAGGTCTAATAACACAAACATCATCCTCTCGACGTCTCTCAACCACTCATCCGACCTGGAATGCCGTTGGTCGAGTCATTCCCACCAACACATCAGCAGCCGCCCAATTCTGTATCCCCTGCAATCATCCTCACTAGGCGCCTATCCCAATTCCTCCGACCATAGCGTTTACTATCCCCATTGGCCACACCACTATATCAACATTGCTCCTGAATAAACCACTCCATTCTCAAACACGCGCCTCTCCCAATCATTACCGTGTCTCTCTCTATTCGACCCTGCACTCTGGAGTTTCAAGATCTCGGCTCCACTGGAACCTCGTCATGCATTCGCCCATGGCTGTGATCACTTCAACGGTTTGAGGCTTTGTGCTCGGTTTCAATTGCATTGGCAGCATTGCAGAAATAGCACCCTAATCTACTAATCCACACACCGTCTCCATCGCTGGCGTCATCTTTGAACGCCTTGGAGTTCACACTCGGAACATATATTTTTTATACTCGACACCGGTGTTGACTCTTCTTCAACCACGACTGCGTGGAATTGAATCCGCAGGTACCGGGTCGTTACTTCCTCGCCGCTCGTTTTCTGCTTCACCACCGTGGTTTTTGTCTGGCACCTTCCCGCGATTACCATTCAGCTGCTGGATCAGCCTCCAAGCCAAAACTCGATCTTTATCTAGAAAAAAACCCCCCTGGCATTTCGGGTCAATTATTGCGAATTCGGTTTCCAAAAAGTTTATCTTGGTTTTGGTCTTTGGTTCTTGGGACTGGCGAAACTTACATAATTCAATATGGCGCCAACCACGCTCATCACCTTTCTTGTGTATGTTCCTCAACACTCAGCCAGAGATTGAAACTCTTCATCGTCCATGGAGACACCCAGCTAACTCTCCCTAACAGTCGTACTCCTCCATCAACCAGATCCGTTGCTCTCTTTGGTTCCTGGGACAACTTCTCCACTTCTTACCGTATGCAACGAGATTCACGCACGGGCCAGGAGCACTGGTCAGGCTGTCATAGCTTCTCCAACATTATCTGTGATGGAGATCCACAACCTTCCGGTACTCCTAGAGACGGTGGACTTAAGATGGGCGGTACTTATTGGTACTATGTAAGTCTTCTACTCCCCCCTTGCCTCGTAAAAGCCACTTCCCACTCATAAACTTGAATAGTACAAACTGGACGACGACATTGAATTTCATAATTCAACCGAGCCTTCCACAACATCCTGTCCCCTGCTACCTGGTCAATTGGTCAACGTGTTGAACGTACCGTATGCTTTCAGTAGTGGACGCTCACGAAACGATAGTGTCAGCTCCACCAGTTCTGATTATCGAACCATGAACCCAAGTGACAAGTTCATGAACCCTCGTCCCGTACCTGCCAAACCATCACTACCACGTCTGAAGACTTCTCCAACATTATCTCAACACACTTGGTCGACGAGTAGCTCGCCTATTAGTGCCGGCTCACGGAGAGGGCGGTCTGTCTCATCCCGGGGAACACCTCAGCCAGGAGGTGCAAACACATTGAGGATCATAAGGCTTGCAAGGAAACCTTCGGTGGATACATCTAGTCGCTCTACCTCCCGAGGCAGCAACCGATCAGTTGGTATCATCGGTGCTTTCAAAGCTCTGGCTTCTCCTCGTTCCACAAGTCCTGAGATCGGGGTAGAACGTGGTCGACCAAAGACTTCTAAGCAAGATATTCCACGCCATGTTCTTTCCAAGAAGACTGCACTGACCTTGACCCCGCCAATCCCAGAAGTTACAGCGCTTTCACCAACTGGGCCAACACGTGAGCTTGCCCTTCGAAGAGAATTTGAAGAGTCGATGGATGGTAATATTGGACTCGCAATCTCGTCTTTCCAACAGCATCGAAGACAAAGGTCTCTTTCCCGAGAACCATCTTCGCTGCGGAATTCCCTCCTACTTGATGACGCTGCAAACCAAAAATCCTCCGAAGTCCCAACGACCTCGTACAGACCAATGGAAACTCTCAAGGAGATGGCATCGACCACCAACACTCCGATTTGGCCTCTCACTGCTATCAAGATTGAAGGTGAAAATCTGGTCGACGACGACGGCAGGGATGAGCCTGATCTTGGGAAAAGGCTGCCGACACTACCCAACAGTCCCTCATCAGCATACCCACCCAGCAGTGTCGCCGACGACTCTCCAAGGCAGCTTTTTGAAGAAGAACTTGCAAACCTTCAAAGTCATTTCTCGGCAACCACCATCGACACCGAGTCCTACACCAACAGTTACATCATTAACGATCAGAGTCGTTTCTCTGATTGGACTTGTAGCACAACCAGGTTTTCACCTGTTTCAGACTGTGCTGACAGCATCATTGATCTCGATCCAATGAGTCCTACAGTCGCTTTGGACGACACCCTCAGAGAGGTGAAAACCATGTCTGTGGCCGGGCAAGCGGCACAGAAGTCTGACCTGGAAAAAGGCTATTCTATACCCTCAATCGATACACTGCCATCGGCTTTCAGCTTCTCTACAATCAGCTCGGTTGCTTCTTCTGCGGTGCAAAGCTCGCATGTTGATATTGATAGCCCTAATGATGGGGACTTCTCTTGGTCCAAATTTCAGCATTACAGTTTGCCCACGGATGAGACTGGGTCCATCACCACACTCAAGCAAGTCACTTCACCAAAACAAGTGTCACCCCTTGTTGTTGATGGAGTCGAACGCGACCAAGGCTTTCAGCCTCAACTGACATCATATGCTGGATCGGATATGCCACATTCAACCAGCATGAAACAGCTGCTTGATGAGTTGAGCTATCTCGGAGATATGATCCAGCATCATTAGCATTTTTAGACGGGTGTTTTCGGGAGTTATTGAGCGAATATTCTGCATCTTGTTTGTCGAGAGCAAATCTCGACATTACGCTCTTTTTGTTGTTTCAGAACGACTTAGGCATCTTGATTGTTCAAATCCTGGGTTGCAAAGCTTTTGAATGATATCACAGCTTTGACAGCATGTGCAGGGCAATGGGATTCTTGATAGGGTTGCGATTTATACCAAAGAGGAACAGGGATTAAGAAGGAACGAATTTCATATCGGGTTTGTGACAGAAGATGGGAAAACAAGGCGAGAGATCGAGTGCGGGCACCAACTCCGACTCCAAAATCGTCTGATTCTGAGGCTGAGAATCGAGGGCTTGGCACAGACACTGGCCACCGCATCCAACTTCCATTGAGAGAATCAAAACATAGAGTATCACCAAAATACCAGTAATTAGTAATTTCTGTTCGAGAAGCAGACTTATGAATGATGATCACTTCTGAACGATGCATGACATGAATTTTATGGCTAATCCTTTTCATGGGGTTTGATTTGTGGTTTCGAGATAGTCATCGAATTGTCACTGAGACGCGTGAATCACTCCACGCGTGACTGCCTCCAATATCAAAGTCACGCGTCATTCTGAGAACATCGAAAACTGCAGGCTAAGAATTATTGCCTGATACCGTCCCCAAGGGCACCAGGCTCGTACGGTGTCAGGACATCGTCCATCTAGGGTCAAGAGTCCACCTTACCCTTATTTTATCCAAACTTCTCAACTCACCCCGATCTGCCCTAACCCGCCCACCAAGACCAACACTTGAACAAATATGCACCAAATCGCCACGCGCATCCTCACGGAACCATGCATCCCGACGCTCACGGACTCCGGGCCGAATCTCTTCGCATACTGCCCGACGATGGATCTCGTGGCGACGGTCAGCCAGCCCGGCGTGCGTGGGAAAGCGGCCGTCGATGTCTGGCGCCTGAATGGGCAGAACGTCTTTGGCGCCAACTTTGATCATGATTCGGAAAGTGAGGATGAGGGAGACGGCGAAGATGATGGTGGTGGACAGGTGGAGAAGAGGGGAGAGGGGACAGGACAAGATGATGAGGTGTTGAGGCGGAGGAAGGTGAGGGGGCTTTGTTGGCGGCGGGATGGTGAGTTCTCTTCTTTTCCTGCTGAGATACTCCATGAGAGGGCTACAGTCACGGGTGAGGACTAATCGTTCCTCGGGTTTCCGCTACAGGTCAGGTCCTTGCCGTGGCATGTTTCGACTCTTCGGTTGCCCTTATTAATGCCTTCACGGGGAAGATTGCACATCATCTACATACAAATTTACCACCCGGTGTCCCGATATCAACATCTCCATCATCGAGCTTCACCAGCTCGCCATCTCGATCTCAGAAGAGGAGATCCCGGACGTCGAAGGGAGTGGGCTCGAATGAGGCTGAGCCCGAATCCACTGCAACTGTTAAAACGAGAACAAATGTCTCGTGTATCTCTTGGACCACCCACTTTGCCACTCCGTCACCTCTTCTGATTCGAAAGAGCCTCGAGGTGGGCCGAGACACTGAGAAAGCTGTGACGCTCGATCAGATCCTGGGACTTAAGGCCGACATCGACCGGTTGTTATCACTCAAGGCCGATCTACCAGGCGAATTGAGTGCAATCGACATCGAGGCTTCGTTACCCAAGCTTGCGACCTTGCCGCCTATTGGTGTTGGAAGTGGTGATGACGTTTTCAGCTCCCGAGGCAGTCTCGATGCCATCTTCCATGCAGCTAACACTGGCTTAAATGGAGCTGTTGATGTCTTGATCGTGGGTCTGCAGGAGCACGAGGGTACAGGACGCTGTGCAGTTCATCTCGAGATTTTCGATTCATTCACAATTGGTGCGGTTGATGTCGGATCTTGTTTCCCTACTAGTGGCAGGGGAGCGAAAGTGAGGGCAATCACTAGCCATCCATATCTGTCTTTGGCTTTTCTGCTATTGGAACAACCCGATTTCTCCCTGCATGTCGCCTGTCTGGATATGAGTTTCATACCGCAAACAGGTAGAAATCTGCCTTTGGTGGCGCGCAAGGTCACGCAGCTGGGAAATCTTCTCCGCTATGTCTCACAAGTTCAGATGCAGCTGTCAGCTGAGATCAAGGCAGCGTTTGACCTGCCATCTAGATTTCTCCGAAATATCAACGAATCTCTCGCGGAGGCAGATCCTGATGCTGACTTCTCTTTCGCTGCCCATCATTTAGCAGTCACGGGTGACTGTGACCCGAGGGTTAGGGAGTGGTTGGTGGATGAAGTGGGGAACCGAGGATTGAAGAGGTGGGAAAAGGCTGTTGGAGACTGCCTCGATGTAGTCAGAAGAATGACGAGCGAATGCCTGCAACCCGCCCTCGAGCGGATGCAAGTCATTCTGAGTCGATTAGATGGCCTTGCCAAGTTTTCAGGGACAAGAGAACGCCTCGGATTGAATGAGCAAGCAATTCGACGAGTGAGAGAAACAGTTGACGTCCTTGGATTGGTCGCCGAGGACATGCTAATAGATGTAGGTGTGGAGATTAGGGAGTTTGGATCATTCATGCGGTGGTTGACATGGGAATGTGAAGTCGAGGCCCTGGAGGAGGGCAGTGAGCGGGCAGAAGAGCTCCGGGAGAGTTGGACGGGAGAGCAAGAATTGAGAGCTGTTCTGGATTATGTGGGTGGTGCCATGAATCAAAGCAGGTTGAAACGCTACATTGATGCCGGCAACCCAGGTGGGGAAGATGCGGCGACAAAGAAATCATTCGATGAAGAGACTGACACTGGTTTTTATGCGGACTTTACGGAGCGAAGAAGAAGAAGAACCGGCAGTAACACAGATTACCGCTCACCGACTTTGCGCGAATTGTTGGAAAGACTGAGAAAACAGTGCGATGTTGTCTTTGGACAGATCGCTGAGACTTTCAGGAAGTCTCTTCTGACAAGCTACTTGTTTTCAGTGCCCGGGCAGTATGATGGGAACATGCTTGATGTGAGAGTCATGCCAGATCAAATTCGAGAGGACACCTACTCGCTGGTGATACTTGCCAAAGATCATCGAGGTCAGTTGCAACTCACGGTGGCAGACATTCAAATGCAGACAGGAAAGCGGATAAAGATGGCAATCACGTCCAATACAGCTTTGACAATCGCCCAAGTCACAGAAATACTGGATGCGAAGATTGTTGACGATGAGTTCGTCATGGTGCTTGCTGCCTCGACTGAAGGAGATGCAAGGCTCTACACGCGAGCCATCTCTACAGAGGCTGAACAAAATGAATGGGAACTTCGGCATGTCTTTGACGATGGCAAGATGGATGCCGGTATGAAGCCTGCCAGACTGGAAGCCAACGGGAGAGCTGGACGGAGAGTTGTGGCTGTGGTGGACCAAGCAGGGTTGGGATTTGTGGTGTTTGATTTAGACACCGGCCTTGATGTGGATGGTAAACAGGGCACGGAAGACGAAGTCATGACTGGGTAGATCTAGACATTGACAGCCAATGTCGATCTGACAGACGGTGATTGATGCCTAGCGTTCAGACTCGATGGACAAGGCTGAAACGGAAGGCTGGCACTTGAAGGTGGACACATCCAACCACGGGCAGCATTAGGCATATGTAAGAAGATGACTGTGCATTCGTCGAGATTGTCATCTATACCTGAGTCAATAGCAATCACGTTCGTCTCATGACTTTGTCTCGATCATCCAGGCGTCAAGCTGGACTCGAACACTGAGCCCAGGAGACGTCTTACATGATTGGCCAAGGCCCCAGAGATGACGAAAGAGGTTGAGGATTAAAAGAGAATCCGCACTGCAAGGCCAGAACCACGAAGGTCATGGGCCAATGGCACTGTCAACAATGGGGTTTTTAGTTAAAGGTGAAAGCAGTGGAAACCCTAAGCCAGAGTGGCATTTAAGCGGCTGCCTTTAACTGGAGTCCCCCCGTGCCTTTGATTCGTGCCTAAGCCTGAAGCGCCAGCTCTCCCCCATTTCATCCCACTTCCCTACTAAACACCACACCAAATGTCAAGTGCAGTCTGCAGCCTTCACTCTGCAACCCACAGCCGCTTGACTGCCTCGCCTGCACCGTGACTGTATCGCACACACTGCACTGCACTGTCCTGAACTGGTACTGCACAACAACTCACGGCTCTTATTTCTTCCCACTTCAACTTATTTCTCTCTGCCTCTTCGTCTTCTTCATATCAAACAACCCATCTCGTTTCTCCCAGACAATCTGTCGTCCGATCACCCGCATCGGTCTTCCTTTCCTTGATTTCAGACCCGTGTAACTCTATTTTCCCGTTCTCCCACAATCCCATCCCGCGCAGCCTATCTTGGATTTCTTTGTTTTGACCACCCTCTCGACTCCTGACCGCTGGTCAAGCGCAACGCAATCATGGATGTCAAATCTGTCCTAGAGAACACTTTCTCACCAGGTGAAATTCATCATTGCCACCCGCTTCCTCCTCTTCGCTTCTTCTAATCTCTTTCCTAGATGCGTCCATTCGCGGAAGTGCCGAAGAACAACTGAGACAAGCCCGCGAGGGTAACTTCGTACGTCCACTGAACACTCCCTTCCTCAAAGCCGGACGAGACTAACTCTCCTGTTTCAGTCTGACTATCTCTCCATTCTTTCTCACGAACTCGCCAACGATCAAGCCAGTGCCTCCATTCGGCAAGCTGCTGGCCTTGCCCTCAAAAATTCCTTCACCTACCGTGACATCACCCGATTACGAGAGGTCCAGGCTCGATGGCTACAAGGCGTCGATCCTTCGATCAAGAGACAGGTCAAAGACCTCGCAGTCAAAACTCTCAACTCGACCCCTCAAGCCGCCAACTCTGCCGCACAATTGGTCGCTACCATCGCTGCCATTGAACTCCCACGCAATGAGTGGCCTGAACTGCTCCCCGCTCTCGTCCACAACGTCGGTTCTGGTGAAGACAAACTCAAACAGTCCAGTTTGACCACCATCGGTTTCATCTGCGAATCTGAAGATGTTGAACTTCGCGAGTCTCTTGTTGGCTACTCCAATGCCATCCTGACCGCCGTGGTCCAGGGCGCAAGACGAGAGGAGACAAATCAAGATGTCCGACTCTCCGCTCTGTCTGCCTTGTCCGATGCCACTGAATTTATTAGAAGTAACTTCGAGAACGAGGGTGAGAGAAATTATATCATGCAAGTCGTCTGTGAGGCCACACAGTCCGAGGACACGAGGGTTCAAGCCGCAGCCTTTGGTTGTCTGAATCGCATAATGGGTATCTATTACGACAAGATGAGATTCTACATGGAAAAGGCCTTGTTTGGCTTGACCATTGCAGGCATGAAGAGTGATGAAGAAGATGTTGCAAAATTGGCCATTGAATTTTGGTGCACTGTCTGCGAAGAGGAAATCAGCATTGAGGACGACAACCAACAAGCACAGCAAGAGGGCTCCACCGAGCTGCGACCTTACTTCCATTTCGCCCGTGTCGCCGCGCGAGAAGTGGTTCCGGTTCTCCTGCAACTGATGACCAAGGTGTCAGAAGATGACGCCGAGGACGAGTACAACACCGCTCGTGCAGCCTATCAATGTCTTCAGCTCTACGCTCAGACCATTGGTAACGACATGGTTCCTGCGGTACTCCAGTTTGTTGAAACCAACCTGCGCAGCGATGACTGGACCAAGCGAGACGCAGCCGTCTCTTCTTTTGGTGCCATCATGGATGGCCCAGATATCAAAACCTTGGATCCTCTTGTCAAGCAAGCACTTCCCGTCTTGATCGGAATGATGCAAGATCCTGTCGCCCCAGTTCAGGATTCAGCCGCCTTCGCCCTCAGCAGAATTTGCGATTACTGCTCAGACTGCATTGATCCTTCAACCCATCTTCAGCCTTTGATGTCGGCACTGTTCAATGGCTTGATGAGCAACCCCAAGATTGCCTCTTCCTGCTGCTTGGCTCTTCTCAACCTCACCGAACGCTTTGTTGGAGAAGAAGGTGGTGCGAGCAACCAATTGACTCCACACTTCCAAGATAGCATCACTTCACTTCTCACAGTCACGGAGAAAGAAGGCGCGAACAATCAACTACGAACTGCGGCATACGAAGTTCTCGGCGGATTTGTCACAAACGCTGCTCACGACAGTCTACAGGTTGTGGCTGAGCTATCAAACGTGATCATCCAGCGTTTGGAATCAACCATTCCCATGCAGAAGCAGATCGTCAGCATCGATGACAAGATCACTTTGGAGGAATTGCAAGTCAGTCTTAGTAGCGTGCTGTTAGCTATCGTCCAGAGATTGGAACAGAACATTGCTCCTCAAGCAGATCGAGTCATGCAGGTCTGCCTGGAAATCCTCACTGTCACCGCCAACACCAGTGTTCCAGAGGTCATCTTCCAGATTGTCAGTGGCTTAGCCAATGCCTTGGCCGGGGATTTCCTGAAGTACATGGACTCGTTTGTGCCCTTCCTTTACAACGCTTTGGGTAACCAAGATGTTCCTGATATGTGCTCGCTGGCTATTGGTCTTGTCAGTGACATTGTCCGTGCACTGGAGGACAAGTCTCAACCTTACTGTGATGCTTTCATGAACTATCTGCTCAACAATCTACGATCAGACAAGTTGACAAATCAATTGAAACCCCCGATCCTGGAGACCTTCGGCGACGTCGCTACAAGCATTGGCGTTCACTTCGAGAAATACGCCGAGGTGGTGGCTCAAGTTCTCCGACAGGCAAGCACCGTATCGGTGGCCAATGATGTCTCCTTTGATATGCTTGATTACATCGTCTCCCTACGTTCTGGAATTGCGGATGCCTGGTCTGGAATGATATTGGCTTTCAAGGGAACTGACAAAGGTATGTGATCTCGCACAGCTGACTCTTTATAGACTGCATATACTAATCGATCTCTTCTAGTCTCAATCTTGCAGGCATCCATCCAGCCAATCCTCGAGTTTTTGGAGACAGTGTCGCGCGACATGAACCACAATGAAGGTCTTCTTCGAGCTTGTATGGGTATCATTGCGTAAGTATCTTGATTGGGTATTTTGTTGAACAAGTTGCTAACAGAAACAGTGATCTTAGTGAATCTTTCCCCAATGGAGCATTAGCAAACTATTATCAGCAAGACTGGATCACCAAACTCATCAAGGAAACCCGCACTACGCGCGATTTCTCCCCTCGCACCATCACTGCCGCACGTTGGGCTAGAGAACAAGTCAAGCGACAGACACAGCATCAAGGTAATATCATGAATTCATCATGAACTTGATGTTACAAGTATCTCTAGTCCCAATATGGGTTTCCCCATCCCTGGCACCATCACCGCCTTCCCAATTCACCCTTGCCCTTACCAGCCCAAAACAGCCCAACCATAATTTCAGTCCCCTATCAAGGCGCTGATCATCGTTTTGTGAAGGTCACTTCTCATCTCAAGCCGATACCATAGCTGTATATAGCGATGATGATGACAGAGACCCACACCACGATGAGAATGGTCACATGGATAAGCGTCGAGACATCTCCATTTCTACCAACGACTTTCCGACAGCCCGCCTCCTGGAGTCAAGTCCTTGCCCATTTAGACACACCACGTGGTCTGACAATATCGACGGACAACCGCGACCTCGCAGCAGAACTCTAAGCAGTGTTCGTCGCTTGTTTCATTGAAGAGAGCTCCATCTATGATCAGTGGGGAATACCCTTCTTCGCCTGCAAACACGAAGAGCCGCTCAGATGCGATTTTGTTGATACGATACCAGTCCCTCAGCCTCATCACCAAGACCCAGGCTGTTAGTCTGTTTTCACAACGGAGGTGTTGTCAAATGGCTTTTCGAATGCCGCAACAATATTTCCAGTGTCGACGCACAAGGACTACGCACAGAGGACTTTGCCCTGTACACAAAGCACTTGATACCCCATTCCCCTACACGATACCCTATTCCCTTCACCGAACCCCAGACTGGAGATGTCAGAAAGCAGGTCAGACTCGCCACACAAATTCCAGCAGGTGTGAACGACAAACGTACCCAATTGCTCATCGATCTGAGGAAGATGGATGTTTTGGTCACAGGAATCTTCATTTGGCAAGAACCTGAATCCTTTCACAACAACCCCAGCCTCCCCATGTTTTAGCAGAATACCAATATCGCCAAGGCAGAACCACTCACCCCTACATTTCCCCCAACCAGATTTCATAGAGAAAGACGCGCAGCCGCAGACGAGGAGACATTCATGTATGCCCCAAACTTTTGTACTAGAGAGATGAGATCCATACCGAAGTAGAAGAATTGAAGAAAGATGAAACATTGATTATCCAAAAACGTGCTTGTTGAGTTCTTACTCTTCAACTTGTGATTTGTGGCAGTGACATCCACCATCCTGGTCGCAATAAAAACCCCCCAGAAATGATGATGATGAATGATGAGGGAGAGCCCCACTAGTCCATTTTGGTGCTAGCATGGACAGCTAGTCAATTATAGACGTAGTCTATGGGTTTAGCGTCCCTCTTGGAAGTTCGCTCCAAGATCAGTGTCCTTCATCAATGAGTACACCATGGCCAACCTCGTCTCAATAATCACCCCGCATTGCAATGCTCAGTTGATGAGTGCAGCCTACTTGAAAGGGTCGAATCTGCTGCTCCATAGCTTAGCAGAAACCGTTTAAAATAGCCTCAATTCTCTTGATGTATAGGAAGGTGAGCTTACTGACTTACACGGTGGCAACGTTTCGGAGCCAGATAGGTAGGTCTCCTTCAGTCCATCTTCACCTCATACAAGTAGATCATGGACATGAATGGTGATTGATACAATATCCGGTACGAAAGAGGTTTCCGAGCGCCGAGAATGGTTCTTACTCATCGGGTTTCGGGCCGCGAGGCGCTGTACGGAGTCGGACAGCAATTACTTAGAAGACTAAGCATACTGTAATATCTCAGGTGGTCAAATATGCGAGTCATAAACTCTCCAGGTATAAGCAGACATCTGCTCTCCGGTCTTGATCCGCTATTCGTCTTGGATGTCTGAATTGCTATTCACCAGTTTACCGGGTTCTTGATTGACGGGAGAGATCTGGATATGATTGATTGCTCGTGCTGCTGGTCAAAAACACCCAATTGAGAGGGCACGATACAATGGTTCACAAATCGACGTTTCGAGATATCGAGATCCCAGAATGCAACATTCTCTCATACCTCTTTCCCAAAGACAAAACACCCTCGACGAGGCCTCTGTGGATAGATGCAAGATCTCCCGAGAAGAGTCTCTCGCCTGCCAGCCTACTGTTATGGGTTCAGAGATGTGCACTCGGACTCGACCGTCTGGGCATACCAACTAACGAGGCAATTATGGTGTTCACGCCCAATCATATTTTCGTGCCGGTGGTGTATCTCGCAGCCGCGGGTTCAAAGAGATACTATACTGGCGCAAACCCGACTTATACGGTCGACGAGCTTGCATTCCAGATATCGACTGTGAAACCGGCGGTTGTGCTCATTCATCCTAGTCTATTCAAGACGGGACATGCAGCGCTGAAGAAAACCAACTTGAGTCATCGCACTCAAGTGTTTCTGTTTGACGATAGTGATTGTGCAGAAGAAGAAGGTGTTCGAGATTGGAAGACTTTCCTTGCTTCCAAGCAAGACGCCGCCTCTTGGAGATGGGATGATCTTGGTCATGATGCCAGAACTCAAATAGCGACGATCAACTTCTCCAGCGGCACGACTGGCCTCCCTAAAGGTGTCTGCATCAGCCATCACAACATCGTGTCTAACACGTCTCAGACCATCAACGTCAAGTATTCACAAAAGAGAGACGAGAGGAACCATTCAGCCGAGAAATGGCTCGCATTCCTCCCTTTGTACCACGCTTTCTCACAACTATTCACCATTAACATCGCATGCCGCCTCGGCGTGACCGTGTACATCATGCAGAAATTCTCCTTGCTGGACTTTCTCTACAATATCCAACGCTATCAAATCACCACGATCCAGGCTGTCCCACCAATCATGAATATGCTAGCGAAGCGACCGGAGACAGCGCGCTACGACATCAGCAACGTGCGCAATATTATGGTCGGCGCGGCTCCGTTGTCCATCCAACTCGGGAACGAACTTACTACTCGATTCGACTTCTGCATCGCGCGCGGCTGGGGCATGACGGAGACGACGTGTGTGGGGATTCTAATGCCCGACGACATGAGTAACTGCGATGGCACGTCTGGGTATCTGCTACCCAATACCGAAGCGAAACTTGTAGACGAGGATGGATGCGAGGTGGCCGATGCGCCTGGAGAGCTCTGGATCCGTGGTCCGCAGACGATGCTCGGGTATTGGAACAACAACAGCGCGACTCGCGAGACCGTCACGTCCGACGGATGGGTCAAGACCGGCGACATCGTGACGGTCAAAAACAACATGTTCTGGGTCGTCGACCGCAAGAAAGAACTCATCAAGGTCAATGGCCTGCAAGTCGCACCTGCGGAGCTTGAAGCTCTGCTGCTACACCACGAACAGATCGCCGATGCGGCGGTTGTGGGTCTCGTGACCGCTGATGGAGATGAATTTCCGCGTGCTTATGTCGTGCCGCGTCCGGGGCTGAAGCCCGAGGAGCAGCTGACGGAACAGGATGTACAGAGCTATGTGGCGCGGAACGTCGCGAAGCATAAGCGGTTGACGGGCGGGGTGAGGTTTGAGACAGTGATTCCAACGCTGCCGAGTGGGAAGATCATGAGGAGTGTGGTGAGGCAGTGGGCGAAGCAGGATGCAAAGGCGTTCGGGCCCAGGAGGTCACTGCTTTGAGCGTTGGTTCTGATTCAGTAATCACAATGATACATTATAGGAGATCATGTTTTGTAGGTAGGCACTTAGTATCTATGCAGAGACCACTGTACAGTCCGAGAGGCATGGAAGAAATACACACTGGATTTACCTGGAGCTCACACTCAGGGCTTCAAGACAGAGGATTTACATCTAACCATGTTCTCCTTGCAGGTTCCGTATCTCTCTGCTTCACATGACAAGGCTATTGCGCGTCGAGGTCGACTACTCCTCCTGGAAGGTACCTAGCCACAAACGCTCCAACACGTGAAGGCCTCCCAAACCTAGGGACGCTGTTCTGCCTCTAGCACTCTTTCCTCGGCCATTTGTCACCAAACAAACACTTATCCTAAGAGCAAGTTTATGTCTCCTTCGATGTACGATGTTGAATGATCCTAAGTGCATAAGTCTCCATCGTCTCGGTCAGCATTCGCCATTGCTTTCTCATTGCCCTTACCAATCCCAAACATTGCGCCTTCTAAACTGACGTGCGAAATCCGAGCTTTTGAATTTCCGAAGTCCGAAATATTGCCAAGCATTGCTGACCCTGGGACTTCGGATTTCGTGCTCGGGTGTGGGGAACACCCCTGCTCCAAGGCTGCATCCCCTGAGTTTAGCGAAAGTCGAATTTCTCGGAACGCTGTGGTCTTGCTACTTGACCAACGCACAATAGGGTACTTGGCTTTGTGCCATGCTATTCGATGGGATTCTATGCTAACTAGGGCCTGTGCATCATATCGACCTATATACCACTAGTCTATTGCCAACTGCAACCACTCCACAGGCTGAACACTCCTGGCTGGTCTTCCTACAACTTTGGCGTCAACTTCCGCTTCGATTTCTCTGTGGTTTATGTTAGTGCAATCACCAGCAAATCTCCATCGTAAGTTGGGAAGTACTCACCTGCCAGCAATTGACTCTTTCTCACGAATCGCTCCGCCGGAGCCCCGTCAACGAATCTCTCCGCCACGGCATCCGCCGCCTCATACAGCGCCAACAGCCTGCCGGGCCTCAGCTCGGCACTCAGCAGCCGCTTCGCCTCCAACATGGACACCCCATCATTCTCCTCCAGCATCTCGTCCAAAAACTCGACGACACGAGCATGAAACCCCTCGTGCGCAAACACCCGATTCACCATCCCCCATTGCACGAGCTCCTCGACGCCGACCTTCCGCCCAAGCATCAGGATCTCGTTCGCGCGATGCACGCCAATGCTCTGCGGGAAGCTGGTCGCGGATCCGAATTCCGGAACCAGGCCGAGCGCCGAGAACGGGCATTGTAAGTACGTGGTGGCCGACGCGAGGACGATGTCCGATACCCCTTGGAACCAGGCTGCGCCGCCGCCGACGGCGGGGCCGTTCATCGCTAGGACGAGGACTTTGCGATGTTTGATCAGGGAATGTACGAGTTGTGTTGAGGGGGAAATGCGATTCAGGATGGAGAGCTTCTTGAGCGCGTTCGAGGATGTGGTGCTTGAGCCGGGTTGGCTCCCTGAAGCCTCAGCTTTTGGAATGTTTGTTAGTGTTTGTTGCTAAATCAGATTGCTAGGTTTGTGTCTTGGGGTGGGGACGAAATGCCGGGCTTCTCCCGGGGACTTTGGTAGGGTTTCACTTACCTTTGACATCAGCACCGGACGAGAAGAAGCGTCCCGACCCAGTAATGACGGTGAAAATGGTGTCGGCATGATTGTCGAGGACGCGAAGTGCGTGGATTGTATCGACAATTAGATTTCCGCCGAAAGAGTTGAGAGTCTTTGGACGATTGAACTGCGAAATAGATCAGTCAGTGGGATTATATTAAAAATGTGACCCTGTCTGTCAGTAGTGGTTATCTACCTTGATGATTCCGATCTTTCCTTTGACTTCGAAGACGATATCCGAGTATGAATACTCGGCCATGTTGGGGGCTATGCACTTTGTAATGGCCAAAGGGATATTGTTATTCTTTAAGAGACACAAGCGCCTAAGTCCAATGGTTTGGAAAATGATAAATAGTGTAGTCGGCTTGGTGTTCGCTTTATTTTGGTGACAATTAGCTAGTACCAATGGTCTCGGACTGCAGCGGAGGACATGGTCCTTGGAGATCCAGCTTGCCGCAGATGATACCGAGATCAGCCATCGGAATACCTGAAAACAAACCTTAACATCTATACACCTTACAACGCATACAAAACCATCCGCGCTTTCTTTCTGGTCCGCTTGCCCATAATTTAAGCGTTCACGTTTTTATTTGTATTCAAGATATCCATCAATCATCAACAGCATGCCTCGTGCACCACCTCCTAGCTTAGTGATCCCAGAATCCTACGCCTCTCTCCCATTGCGCCAGATTACGGTATCTAATGTTCCATACTCATCGTCGACGGTGACACCAGTTCTTGTCATCACTTTGAATAGACCCGAGAAGCTCAATGCATTCACCGATATCATGCGAGAAGACCTGGAACAGGTCTATGAGCTTGTCGATATCGATCCGAGAGTCAAAGCCGTAGTTTTGACAGGTGCAGGAAAGAGCTTTTGCGCTGGAGCAGACCTGGAGATCGGATTTCCTGGTGTACGAGATGCGAACGGCATCGTGAGAAGACCAAAGGTAGAGCGCGACGTGGATCATCGGGATGGGTAAATCTAGCACTATCGACAATGGAGAATTGAGCTGACAAGGCACAGCGGTGGAAGGGCAACTCTGGCTATTCATCATTGTTCAAAGCCCACTATTGTGGCCTTACAAGGTTCAGCTGTTGGTGTTGGCATCACCTTGACACTTCCAGCCTGCATACGTGTGGCATACGCAAAAGCAAAAATAGGGTTCGTCTTCAGTCAGAGAGGTGTGGTCATGGAGGCATGCTCCAGCTATTTTCTACCACGCTTAGTGGGATACTCGAGAGCAATGCATCTCGCTACTACTGGAGGTGTCTACCAAGCCGACCACAGGCTATTCGAACCACTCTTCTCGGAATTATGCTCAACCCCCGAAGCTACTCTAGCACGAGCGCTCGAGATTGCGGATCGTTTGGCAAAGAATACATCAGTCGTCTCGACGAAGATAATGAGGGAGCTCCTATACAGAGGTCCTGATAGCGTGGAGGAAGCTCATCTTCTCGATTCACAGATGATCTACGGACTCTACGGGCGGAAAGACAACCTTGAAGGCGTTGCGAGCTTTCTACAGAAGCGACCCGTGAACTTTGAGGGTAAAATGCCTCAGGATGCGCCTGATGGTTACCCCTGGTGGAAGCAGGTTGACATCGGCGACAAGCCACTTGAGTATAATTATGAGAAATCGAAGCTGTAGATCGATTGTGGAATTCAGCATACATTGCTATCGTCAGTACATTTGCAGGGTCGCTGTTAAAGACCGATAGACGTTGTTCAGCCTGGCTACTTACATAAAGCTCTTGGGAATGTTAATCTTTTGGCGAAGTGGAAACTTTGCTCCGGGAGTTACGCGCCTCTTCCTATGTTCAACAGGTTATGAGTGACCAGCTGCAATACGAAGACTCTCCGTGTCCTTCCACAGCTACAACGCTTTTCCAAACCCATAGGCTACAGTTCATCGTTGGCTGAGTCACATAATGAGGCTCGGAAAGGCTATGTACGAACTCCTTCAATGATTTTGTGGGCTTTCAGTATTCCGACTCCATAGGAGTGCTCGGGTTTCGGAAACGTGCCACAAGCACCGGTGGCTATCGTTCCACGCAGAGCGATCAGACCACTATAGTCTAAAATAGCGCGCAGCTACCTTTCATGCATATCTAAAGTTCGGTGGTCAGGCACAAGATGCTTCACTGGGCAAGCCCGGGTGGTAGTCATCGGTCTCGTCAGTGAGAACAAAAGGAACTGCATATAACCATCTGCTGGCTGTTGAAATTACTCAGTAATGAGATTAGATTGTAAACGAAACCTCTGGCTGTAATTATCCACCATAACTCACTTGAAATCATGCATCTCAACGACAGTAGCTCGGCCACTTTGGATGATGCGACCACGCAACTGGATATAGTGCAACCCGCAATACCTGCACAAATGTCGGACCGACCTATAGAAGCTAAAATCTCACACGAAAATGATTGGTACAATCAAGATTTCGAAGGCTTTAGAGTATCTGAACACCCTTTATACACAAAGCGTCACCTTAGGATTGTTTGCGTGGGAGCGGGCGCTACTGGTCTTCAAATTGCGTACAAAGCTGAACGAATACTTCAGAATGTCGATTTGCAGATTTACGAGGTAAGAGCTTCAGTTTACTCAATTGAAACTACGCCTAAATTCCGTTGACTTCTAGAAAAATAACGACATCGGTGGCACTTGGCTCGAGAATAGATATCCCGGGTGTACTTGTGACATTCCATCACATGCATATCAATTTACCTGGGCAAGAAACTCAAACTGGTCCCAATTTTACTCGTCTTCTCAGGAGATTTGGCAGTACTTCAAGGACATTGCAACCAAATTCAACCTCGAGAAATACATCCAGTTCAAGACAGTTGTTAAATCGGCTGTCTGGCATGAGGCCCGCGGTCAGTACGAACTGAAGATACGCAATGCAGATGGAGCCCAAGTCGTGGACTGGTGTGATGTCCTAATCAGCGGCTCTGGCATTTTAAATTCGTGGAAGTACCCTGATATCCCGGGCCTTGACACTTTCAAAGGCAAACTTATGCATAGTGCCAAATGGGATGAGTCTTATGATCTTACTGGCAAGAAGGTCGCTGTCATTGGAGGCGGTTCGTCTGCTGTCCAGCTGATCCCCTCCATCCAACCCAAAGTCAAGCACCTAAAGGCATTTCTCCGATCTCCAGTATGGATTACCACTGGGTTCGGCGCCAAATATGCTGCGAAGGACGGCACAAATTTCCAATACTCAGAAGAACAAAAGAAACAATTCGAGGAAGACTCTGAGAGCTACAATCAATACTGCCGTGATGTCGAGGGGGAGCTCAACAAGAGATTCTCCTTGATGCATACTCAAGACAAGGACCAGCTGGACTCACGATCTTCCACGATGGCGATGATGACGGAACAATTGAACGGAGATCCCACGTTGACCAAGCGGATGATTCCCGAATTCGCCCTGGGCTGTCGTCGTATGACACCCGGAAGTGGATACTTACAGTCCTTAACGAAAGAAAACGTCGAGACCATCCACAAATCGGTGATCAGACTGACAGAGACCGGGATCGTTGACGAGTCTGGTACTGAGCATGAGGTCGATGTTGTTATCTGTGCCACAGGTTTCGATACTTCCTTCACACCTCATTTTGACCTGACTGGTCGCGATGGTGCAAATATCAAAAAGCAATTTGGTGACTTCCCCGTGGGATATCTAGGGGTTACAGTCGAGAACTTTCCTAACTTCTTTCGTAAGCCTTGAGAGAACGTCTTATAGTGCACGGGAATGATCACTGACGCATGAAACAGTTCTCATTGGGCCCAATGGCCCAACAAGTCACGGCTCACTCCTACAGGTATTAGAGTGGTACACCCGTTACGCATTTCAGGTTATCGAAAAATTCCAAACTGAAGGAATCAAAACATTTGAGCCCAAGAAGAGTGTGATCAAAGATCACTATAATTATACCCACGAGTTCATGAAGCGAATGGTATGGTCCTCAGGTAAGCGAACTCGCATGTTGATAATAGCAGTTTATATTGACAAGAATGTACACCCAGCCTGTAGATCTTGGTTCAAGAATGGCAAAGTCCATGGTCCTGTCACAGCTATCTATCCGGGTAGCCGGCTACATTTCTTTGAATTGCTGAAACAGGTGAGGTGGGAGGATTATGAGCTTACTTACCTTTCGAAGAACAGATTTCAGTTCCTCGGGAACGGGTATACCCACTGTGAGATTGGCGACGACACTGATTCAGTCTGGTATCTTGATGATCCATTCAACAGGGTCTGAATCTGCTTCATTGGTGTTACTTGTACTACAGGGTAGAATGAGGCGGCTAGAATTCTAGATCTTAGTGATTGGAACCACAGCATGAGATAGAAGGAATCACCGTGTAAACTACGTGTCACTTATCGTAACTCATGGTACCTTGCATCCTAAATTCCTGTGCTCTCTGTTCCTTGTCTGATTTCCTCACAATCCATTCTTACTATCAAATTCATCAACAACGGCGCACAAATCTTCAAGGAAATTCCACATAGTTTTCGGCCGCCAGCCTTTCGCTTTCCAGTCATTAGCCGATGATGGGAAGAACTCTACCACATGGGAAAGACTCGGATCATGAGCATAAATGAACCAAACATTCTCCTGAGCATCTGCCATCTGTGCCCTAGCCCGTGTCCGATTTGCGTCTTCTTCATTCACGACCTGTGCTGGTGCTGGAGTGAACAGTGGCTTTTCTGTTGAGCCAGTCTTTGACAGTACTAGTTTCTCGAACAAATCACCAGAATGTGATTTGTGGACGCCGAAGGATGATTGTTTGAGATTACTCGGGATATGTAGATGTGGAGAGGGTCTTATCTGTCCACTATGGTGGCAGAGGTCACCACCCATGAAGATGAAGGTATCCGGATTGGTAGTTGTGCGTGCCAGGCCGCCCAGGTGCCCTATCGCATGTCCAGGAGTATCCAGAAGATAGAAAGATCCATCTCCGAAGAAGTCATGGGCTGGGAAGTCACCAACCTTCGTGTATCGAGCGGATTCGTTGAAATCTACTTCGATGACATTCCTTTCCCTGCACTCCGTCAGACATAGCAAAACATGAAGACTTGGGAAGCACGAACAGGAAGTCGCTCTCCCTGACCGGTGCATCTGATTTACTAGGATAGCCAGGGTAAAATGCTTGACGAAACCCGGGACCGACTATCAGATCCGTGCCTGCGGGAAACCGTGAGGGGTCTCCTATATGATCCCAGTGCCAATGACTGTGGACGAAATAGGTCAATATGTGAAAACGAATCCTCTCTCAGTGAATCACGAACCTCCAAATAGCACTTTTAATCCGTGCGGCAGCAAATTGGTGCTCCTCGAGAACATCGATCACCTCTTTTGGTGTTTGGATGTCCCAGTCCAGGAACCGTTCATCTTCTGCCACTACAGGAGCAAGTTCCAATCGATTTTTAGGCATGCCTAAGTCAAAGATGGCATTGTGCCCTGAAGGGTGTTCAATGAGGAATGACCACGATGGTATTGTCGGCATGAACTCGAATTTTTTGAACGCTGGCTGCATCAGAAAGGCAGCGGGTAGTTTGCCTATACGAGACCCCGTGTCGATGATGCTGACCCTGACTATGACATTTCCTGCCGGTATGGGAAACTCGGAGACATTGTTCGTCATGTTGGTGTTTGTTGTCTCTGGTGTGAAGTCACAACTTGAAAGAATGGTTTACTCAACTACGGCGGTGAGAATCATGGAGGCCAATTGGTACCCAGGTAAATTGCGCCCGGAATGACTCTCGGACTAGTGCTGGCATTTATTGACGATTTGAACCGATATTAACGGTTCGGAATACCGAGGTGAATCATGACAGCAAGCTGTTCGGTCGGAGACTCTCAACATGGAGGTCATGGAAAGACTACTCCAGGGAAGTAATGAGTAGCATTCAAGCTAGTGAATAATCACCGTGAAATCGTTACAGACGGAATTATTGCAATTATTCACCAACCTCATCACCCAAGATGCTGTTCCAAGCAAAATCGTGTGTCCCCAATAAAATATTCAGAATCGCATACACCAATCATGCATTATAGCCATCTTAGGGACATTGAGGGCTACCAATAAGATAGGTATAGTATTATGTCCAAAGGTTAGGGCAATTGATGCAAAATCGACAGCTTGGCTATATCCAATACTATCATTGCCAGCCAAATTCAGTCCCATATAAGGAGCTACAAGTGCCGTCCAAAAGATTACCAAAGAAGTCGACGACCTCGTTGTCCGTAAAGCTTGTGCCATCTCCCCGATAACCAACTTGCTCTGCCGACAGAGATTGCTGGTCCAACTGAATATTTCCATTCATTCCATATAGAGCCTCTCCAAAGACATTTTGCGCCTGGAAAGACACTTCTGGACTGACTGAAATACCCGAACCTGATATCGTTTGCAGCTCTACTCCTGCACCCATACCTACCTCATCCTCTGATATGGGAAGTGTCTCAACTTCCATCGCGGATGCTGTCGCTGCCGCCAGAGGTAGCTTTTGCACGAATTCCTGGGCAACCGACACCAATTTTGGGAAGATGGAGAACGGGAATTCTTGCTTTGTGGCGTACTCCAGGCGACGAAAATAACCGGCAGCGACATCCAAGAATGTCAGGTTGTCTCTTGTTTCGGCATGCTTCGGATTGTCGATGACCAAATGAAATAGGCTAAGGAATGCAGACAAGGGGATGACAGTCAAGAGTCTGTGCAATGTTAGATCCTGTTGTGCAGTGGGAGATAGTGAGATTTAGAAACGCACAGGGAAGGCGCATACGGCTCCACCTCAATGTGACCTGTCAACTCAATCACTCGACGAGCAGAGTTCATGAATTCCTGACGAGTGTCCAACAGTGATCTACCAGAACTTAGCTCAACCACCTGCAGAGTTAGTCGACATAGCACCATGACAAAGTTGTGATACACCAGATGGGTGCGTAGAGCCGCCATCACAGAAGTCGAACTTGAGAAATGAGCTCTGGCGAACCGCTCTCCCGGACGGAAGTTCATTGGCAGGGACTGCCTCCACGCCTCCAGTTCTCCTCTCGTGGTTACTAGATCTTGCTGATATTCGTCATTCAACTTCATGGTAGCGCTGACCGAAAATAGTGCACTTTGGGCTTTTGAAACCAATCGGCCAAGCCGAACAGAGGACAAGAACCAGTTGAACTCTGCAAAGATTGCTTCGGGAATGTGTGGAATGTGGCAGCCAATATCATCGTCAGGAATACTCTGATCATGCCGTAAGATGTCAGAGATCAGATTGCGAGTGTCACAAAGTTTTCAATCACTTACAGAAGTCCGCCCTTGACAGAAACACGACAGCTTCTCCAGAGAGTAAACTACCCAGAATGTACGTTGATGGGCTCCAGCTGTCAAAGTACTGGAGCCTTTGTTGAGTCGAACAAATTGGGCCATCCTTGCTGCTTCCGATAGTAGTGTTTCTGCGATTTGACCGCCGCAATGGGTCATGGAGAAGACAAACTTTGGCAAAGGCTTTAGTGGTTGGTCTTTCGGGCATGTTCGAGGCTTCTTACCATTGCTAGTAGCGCCTGTCCTTGTCAGTATGTTTGGCGGCAATATGTGAATGATATACCTGGACACTCTCCAGACATGGCCGGGAGCCTAGTAATTCGTCCAAGCGATCAAGCGCTGTCTGAAAAAGCGCCCACGCCTTTCCGATCCCGGGTTCGAATGCACCTTGGCCACAATACTGGCTACCAGTTGCCTGAATAGCGTGGTATAGGACATAGAATGGTGTATCTTGCTCGAGTAGATCCTGGTTTCCGTGTTCCAGAATTTGCTGTTCGAAATCCTTCCTTACCAAGAATGGGAAAAGGGGGTGTACGTGATCGAAATAACCTATGGAAAGTTTTAGCACGGGGGTTTTTCCAGAATAGTAGGAATTGACTTACAGCGAACATGTTCGGCTCGCTGTTCAGAAGACAATGTCACTTTTTGCGACTTCTTCTTGAATGTCACTTTAGGATAAGATTTGTTTGCTTTTCTATTCAAACGCTTGTTGATTGAGTCTGAGAACGATTCGATCAACTCGCCGAATCGAGCATTGCGTAACTTTTCCGAGATTGAGCGAATGTCGCTGTCTGAGAAAAGGGAAAGACTAGAGCTCGAGACTGGTTCTCTGTCAGATTCAGTCTTTGTGAAGGTAGAAGCTTTCATCACTTACCGTTCTGCTTTTCAGACTGCTCAAGGTATCAGTACCACGCATTGAAAACATTGGGGCTGTCCTAAGGATTACCTTTGGGATCAGACTTGCATGGAATTCCTTGCCGTGTACGTCCTCGCACTCAAGCATCTCATCCATGTAAATTCTGCCGGAATAAGGTCGAGCAAGAGCAGGTGTTTTCGCAACTTCACTGATGCTATTGAGCCAAGCTGGTTGTTCATGAGATTGCTCGGGATTCTCAAGGCTGATTTGAATTTCCAATCCAGATGCAAGAGGAGCATTTGTAGGCAGGTTCTCGAGCAGCCATGCTGAACTGGGGATCTCACCAGATCCTTCTTCATCAGGCGCTCTTGTTCTTCGTTTATTTTGACTGAAGTGGCAAGACGTTCGGCGTTTCTAAGCCAGTTGCTTGAGCATCAATCTGTCTCTCCAACAAGCTGAGCACTCACCGAACAATTGCTACATGGCATTTGATTTGGGCGATGAGATCCTGGACATCATCAGAATTGCAATTGAGTGCGATTTGAACATTAGGCAGGGTCGACTAACCACCACATCGGACTTTCCGAAGTTTACAATTATCACAAGTCTTCGAAAGCTTAGTTTCTAGCATATCTTCGACTTCGTAGACTCTGTGGTAGGATACACGAGAGGTCAGGATCTTGGGGTTGCAATGAGTAGTCAGCTCGTTAACTAGTTACTTGCGTTGGCCGCGGGGCATGTGCCCTTAAGTATGGACAGACCCGGCATGATGACATCCTCGCTTGTTCCACAACCCCGCAGTTAATACTAGTGGGATGTGATAGAGATCCCCAGTCAATCGTAATCGAGTCACTAAGGAGGCAAAAACAATGAGCTAGATTTCATTAATGAAGTTGATTTATAGGCACTACTACATTCTTTTTACTCTACAGGAACATCATCCACAACTCTGTATGACTGTCACGCGTGGCAGGGCTATTCATAGCGTTTTAATTTCTCAGTCTAACTGATTCGCTCTAAACCATCTCTCACTCATTGGGAAGGACTGAGTACTTCGGCCATAAAGACAGGAATAGATACCAGAATATCATTCGAAGCTGATTCCATGGATTTTGCAAGGATGGAGCCATTTGCTTTACATCTGCAGTCAAAGAGTGTATCGAAAGTTCTCCGCGCCCTCCAAAATCTTGCCTTCTTCCTCAGCCTTCTTGTTCTCTTTATGGAAATAATGGACGAGAAAAGATGTAACAAGCAAGCAGATAGACAGACTTGTGAATGATGCATATAGTCCAGGTCGGTATTTGGGATAGTCTTGTTGTCGAAAGTAGACCGAGCCCGCAATGCCACCTATTCCGCCCCAGACAGTTTGAAGCGGCACTGCCAATTGTCGTTTAGTTGTACCGACCACATTGTTTGCGAGGAAAGTGTAGACCGAGGGAATGGCACACTGAGATCCAATAATCGAAAAGTAGATGCCGGTCATCTTCGCCCCAGTATTTGGTCCCCAGCCAATAAGGCCGAAACCCACCATGGTAAGAAGGCCATGGCCGATGATGAATGGGCTGCGCATACGAACCCGATCTGCGAGAAACCCAGTAGCGATATTTGCGATACAAGCAGCGATATATGGCGGGGTCACAAGGATTTGGCTCATCGCGGTGTTGTATCCCAAAGACTTGAGAATAGTTGGTGTGAAGAAGCTCATCGTGTAGGCTGCAGAAGTCATGAAGAACAGCAGACTAGCCAGTAGCCAAACTTTCCAGTCTCTAAAAGCTGTGATTGCCTTAGATATCGTCATCTTTTCTTCGAGAATCTCCGCTCGATCCTCTGCGAGCAATCTCCTCAGTCGAGCCAATTCATCAGGTTTCAACCACTTTGCTTTCTCGGGGAATTCGCAAACTAGAAACCATACAGGGAATGCAAGACCCACGGTGATCAATCCTGGGACAAGATAGATCCATCGCCAGCCCTCGAGTCCTGCATTACCGTCCAATGTGCTTAGTCCGTATGACAGGATGCCGGAGAACGCTGCGAAGAGTTGACCCATCGCAAACCAGAACGCAAGGCGCCTTTGTGTTTCGTATCTCGTGTACCACGAAGACACGAGATAGATACAGACCGGCTGAAGATTTGGATTAGTAAAGACCAAGAAGGCTATAGTTTTACTAACTTGAAAGCTGCCTTCAAAGAGGCCAAGGAGAACTCTGACCGCCACTAGTTGTGAGAATGTCTTCACAAAGGCATGACACATAGCCACCGTACCCCAGCAAAACACCATACCGAAGAAGAAGCCTTTGACGCTTATTTGTCGAAGTATCAGATTGGTTGGAATTTCAATGAGGATGTAAAGAGGAAAGAGGACTAGTAGGGCAACGGAGTATCTGTTCCCCACAAGATCGAGGTCCGTACCCATCCCGGCGACCCTGGCGGTAGCGATGATATTCCTGTCGATGAGAGAGAATGTAAAGAGGATGATAAGAATGGGGATGAGTCGCAGATCAATCTTTCGACGCAGGCGCTTTTCTAAGAGCGCCTCCGTTTCGTCAACTTCAATGGCTTCGACATGTTTGATGTCTGAAGCTGCAACGATGCTTTCGCTTGCATCTTTGGTCAGGTTCATTGTAGTGGATGTCATACCTGCTGTAAATGCTGGAGAGAATGTACGATGCAGAAGATGACCACTGAGAATGAGCCAGGATCTTCATGCGAATATTAACCCCAGAGATCAAGCGACCCCACGGGGTTGAGTTCCACTGTCTGGGGTGGCAAAATCCGAAATCCGAGGTCCGAAATTCGGTGCTCCGGATCTTCTTTGGTGGTACGACTTGATGAGATCTGTTTGCTAGTGCTTAGAGACCGAATTTCCGAGCGAGACTTTATGAAGATTGCTAGATACCAGCTCAGCGCTCTCAAGGATACCTAGTGCTAGGATGAGCGTGGCATTCAATTCGTGTGGGGAATGGCAATCACAGCAACTATTGGTGGCGGCGAAGCATGTGGCATTGATTTTATTGATGATCACTAGATGGGCCGGCCATATCGCGATCAAGGTCTACAGACTGTGTCTTTAATGTAACAGCTTGGACTAGATCTGTTTTGTACGTACTTCTTCACAGCTACTACCAGCCATAGTTGAATTTGTGCAATATAGGACCCGAAACTACTTCTCTCCCAGTAGTTCGCTGGCGACCAAAAAGGCATCTCTCCCCGCAGCCATACCAGTGTAAAGCATGCAATGGCGTATCGCCTCGGCAGTATCCTCCTTCGAGAGCCCGTTACGTTCGGTTGATAGTAGATTGATCCGTAATTCATGTTCACGATTCGTTGCTATGAACAATGCAATGTTTAACAAATTTCGCTCCCTGAAAGTGAGACCAGGTCTGGCATAGCTTGACAGCGTATGCTCGAACGTGTACTCTCTCAGAGTCTCGGAGAAGATGTCACTTCTCTACATTTGGGACATTAGCAAGGACCTTATTCAATCTGAGGGTGTAATGCTCACGCCTAGTTGGTATGGTTTGCCCAGGAACTCCACCACCATCTTCTCACCTAGAAGATACTTTTCCGACCGCTCGGAAGTATCCTTGTTTGTATTTGTTCCAGCCATGATGGGGAGCAGTATTCAGTTTGCTGTTAATTTGGATAGCTGAGAGAATATGACAGAGTGAATACGAATGATGCTAAACTGCTGAGCTTGAGGTTCTGTAATAATCTCAATTTTCGTCAAATTCCCAAAAGTTGTTGAAAGTTAGCAATCGTGCTTGGGGCAAAATTCAGGGATTTATAGTACAAATAAACCAGGATGATCCCGCTGGAAAACTGTTGCTGGGTGCTGTAAGTTGAATGATCTATTTTGAGCGTTATTATGCATGTCCGATCGGGGTTCCGGGTCACAATATCTATGTTTCGGACATCGACTCTGTTCAAGGTTGACTCTCCCTTCAACGAAGCGTCACATCACAATACTGGGTGCCATTGTGACTGCTGCTTTCACGTTACTTGGAAATTACTTCTAGAATACTCTCCGCGTTATAGTTGTAGATCCATGCCGGCCCTCCACCATTGTACTCGTACAATTTGAACATCGCCCAGATGGTCCACTCTTTGAACACCTGCATAATGCCGGAACTTCTCTTCCTTATATTTCCGGCTCGAATAGTATAGTCCAAAATCTGCCTGATACGATGCATTCGATGTGTCTCCCATAGCTGGAGGCTCCCAATTAACCCAGATGCTGTCGAATCAGGCAGATTCAGCCTAGCCAGCACATAGGCAAGCGTTTCAGCATCCTCAAAAGCGGATGCAGCCCCTTGTCCACCAGCGGGAGGAATAGCGTGGGCAGCATCTCCAATCAGCATGATTCTGCCAGACTTGGAAGCCCAATGCTTGAGGTCTGGCACTTTTGCAAAACTGGATAGGTGTGATTAGCACGATTCTTTGAGGTCTTGGAGGGTAATTGAACACTTACGGCCAAGTTCTGAAGTCTTCCAGATGGGTCGCCTTCACCAAATCTCCAACAAACTTTGGCCATGACTTATCCTCGATCACTTCGTTGATAATATCAACAATTGCTCCTTTATCCTTCTCCAGGAGCGCCCAATTCTCTGGTCCTCGGTCCGGAAGGTCAGTCGTGATAAAGTAGCCGATTTCTCCGCCGTCGTAGCTATTGGGAAGGATCGAAAATGTTCCATTCTTGCCAACAAACATGCATGGTAGTTGTATTCCGTCCATAGACCCACCCAGTTTGACTTTCTGAGTGTGACCAAGTGCGACCAGGAGCCCGCTATACTTGGAGAAGCTTCCCGGATAAAGAAATTGTCTCGTCAAGGAGTGAATGCCGTCTGCGCCAACCAGGTATTCTGTGCGCACTATTTCGCCATCGGCGAACTTTAGCACGATCTCCTCGCCCTCCTCGGAAATCCCTACACATTTCTTGTCAAGATAAACGGGGATGCCTTGTAGTCTGGCTTCTGCGAGAAGTTCTCGGCGTACTATATCTCGATTGATGCGGAGACAATGGTAATGGAATTTGTTCAGACCACCCCAGGCGTGTGCACCCAGATATTTTCCGGTCACACTGATCATCCTCACAAAGTCGTAATTCCAGCCTTGCTTCCTAATCCTACCATATACGCCAACGTGGTCGAGGACTCGTAGTGCGTTTGGTGAGAGGGCAATATCACCCCCTTTGCGGAAGTTCTCGTCTCGAAGTTCGTATACGACACACGGAACATCTTGCTTTCGCAGAAAAAGTGCTAGTGTTAGTCCCTGGAGAGTCAGTGTTAGCAATTGTCGACAAAAAGATGATCTTGTAGTTCTTCTCACCCCAAGACCACCGCCCAGAATAGTTATTGGCTTCATGATTACAATATGTGTCATTGGAGTCCGCCACCTAGAGCATCAATATGAGAGCAGTCGAGGCTGTAAATATGTATCGCAAGCAGATTGACAGACGTATTTGCGTGCTTGGCTCAAATATGCAACATGCTTATTTTCCGAGTTAGAACTGTCTCGTAGTTGCTACATGTCTTACAGTTTCGGTAGTCCGATGAGCTTTATTTATGCTAGGCCTGTGAGATCGCCGAGCTCGGCATTGAGACAGTATCCAACACAGACGGCATCATGGGAAATTTCATACCTCGCTTAGCATAACAGAAAATGTACGTCATAGATGTAACAATGAAGATACATCCTAATTTTTAAACAGTTATCATGGTTTATGTCCTGCAACATCCAGATTGACCAGTTCCGAAGAGGGCCCGCGAAGCCTTAGATTGATCAGTATAGCTATCTGTAATGCTTCCTAATTATAACTTCTCCTTATTGTTATTGATGACTGACTCTACGAGAGTTTGAAGGGATGTGCTGTCAAAAACTCTTCGAAAGTCGAGAGTTTATCCCGTGCATTCGCAACGGCCCAAGCCACTGCTTCTTCGCCGCCTGGGCCGAAATACCCATGGTCCTCTATGTAGCTGAAATAATCGATGAAGATGGGAGCCGCTGGCGGAGGAAGGCTCTTAGCAAAATCTTCATTAGACTCCTGCTTGTAGACGACCTTTTTTCCAGTGTGTTTCGACAATATTGAAGCAATTTCGCTCCAGGAGTAAAATTTTGTTGCCGCGCAAATTTTCTTGCCTTCGAACTTCGCAGGATCGGCGAGAATGGCGCCTACAAACTTGCCACCATCTCCCACCGCGTCGATCAGGGGCATCTGCGTATGTGGAGACATGTTGCGGCTTAAAGTCCAAGTATCTGCTTGGTTGGGATCCCGTTGCGGAGCAAGAAATGTTTGAGACTCGAAGTTTTCCATGAATGATCCTGGGCAGTAGAACGAGCTCTTGATCGAAAGACCTCGAATGTACTGCTCCCCTTTTGCCTTGGCATCAAAAGGAGTAACACCTCTGTATTTGCCTCCAGAAATGTCGGTGACGGAAGGCAAGGTACTGAAGATGATGTATTCGATACCGCTCTCGACAGCCACATCCGCAATCGTTTTGATCACGTTGAGTTCGTCCTCAACAGCTCTTTCACCACCTGCGGGTGTGGTCATAGCGAAGAGTGTGTGAACACCGCTGAAAACCTTTTCGAGAGATTCTCGGTGTTTAACATCGCCCTGAACAACATCGACGTTCTTCTCCCTGAGTGATTTCGCCTTCGCTGAGTCAGTCGTGCGGGTGACAGCACGAACTTTGTATTCTTTGGAGAGCCCTGGATCATTTATAACATATTCCACGACTGCAGAGCCTTGCTGGCCTGTGGCACCCAGGACTGCGAGAAGTTTGGTCATTTTGCGCGTTAAAATGTTAAAGTTTTCGGGCGATTTGAAGCAGGTTTTACTTTCAGGTGAGGCGATTGTGCTTCGTGCGAGTAACCCAAGGCCTCGTGTGGGTGAAAAAGAAGTTCTGAAGTTGTCAGTATGGACATGAAGGCCTGTCTCCGCTCAATTTAAGAACATCTTGTTTTCATACTTAGTATCATCCAGATGTGGTCCTCGTGCATAACATCCCGGACGACAGCGGATGAAAGCCACTAGTACTTAGCACTGTATTGAGCATTAAGAAAGCAAGCAAGCAGTGTAGTGCGCACATTCCCGAGGGCATTTGCATTAGCAATTTATCTGCACTTTCAGTTCGGTAGTCGGCAGAGTGTTGTATCACACCTTCGGACGTCCGATTGTTGCTCTCTGCTCAGGAAAAGCCCCCTCCTCTCCCCCCCTCATTTGCAATCCCTCCAACCTTAGGCAAGCACTAACTATCCATAAATCTTCTATCAACGTGATAAACAGCTCAATCGATGCAAGGTAGTAAAACAAAATTCAGTTAAGCAGACGATGCAGCTACAGGTCGGGATCCGGTTCAAGTAGGTAGTACCCTTATCAAATCAAAATACTTAGTTCTGAATCAATATCCTACTAAGCGCCTAACATAAGTAACTAACAGTCAACCAGCATTTTATGTGGATATGTCATTGTTAGACTGCTGATTAAACGCTCTGATAACGATCCTGGTCTCAGGGATGCAGAATAGTGCAGCCCCCAGAGGCGTCGGCTACTCAGTAGCTAGAACTCCTATCTTCCTCGTAGTAGTCACAATGATGGAGAGCTAATAATTCACGGAATGCACTGGTCTTGATCAGTCATATAGTCTTCAATAGGACGAATACTAGTACTTGACAACTTCGCTCGGTTACGAGACTGCACGAAAGATAGTCGTGCTTAGAAGCACAACACTCTTGTACCCCATACATGTGAATCTCGGTCTGCGTAACACCTCTTAAGGCTCCAGGCGTTGGAAGTCTGTCAAGGACCCACCCCACACAGCATGATCTCTGGACCAAATCCAGTCATCCTCAAGCCAACTCTCTCCAAAGAAGGATCTCCTCATCATTGAGCTGAAGCAGCATGATGTGATGAAGCTGAATTTTCGCTCGCTCGCTGCTGCTCGAAAATCTGCCGCCACCTCTCCATCTCCACCAAGATTTCTTGCTCGTTTCTTACCCTTACATCGCGGATCCGTACGGAGAGTACAGCCTTAGACGCTGCAAGATCAAAGCAGTCAGCCAGGATGGCCTTCTAATCAGCCAATGTCAAACAGCTGGAGTGTCTAACTTTCCTTTCTTGGTGAAGCATGGGTACACCCCTGGAGTCCGTGCAGATTGCCACCAATCACAGGCAGGCGTTCCCAGGACTATGGCATCCTTGCCGGTTGCCACGATGATAAAATCATCGACTCGAGTGGTTGCTGTCCCTTTTGGCTGCCAACGGAGTGGCAGACTTTTCCTCCGTCTACCCGATTCATCAAGAAGATTGAACCCAAGTTCTTTCACACACGCTTCGGTAATTTGGTTGTCTTCTTGATCATTTGCAGAGAGCCATGACTTCCTGGCAAGCTTCGTGGTCGGGTCGTTGTTTCTGCGTGCTATGGTGATTTCACAGATCTCACCTTCCATGGCCACAGCAGCTGGTGCGGTCGAATTCCAAGAATCTGTGTTGGTGAGGAGTTTACTGATACATACTTTGGAGGCTCGCTTTCGACCAACTCCCTCTTTATGTAGTCTGCCTTTCAAGGAAGAGGCTAGCAAAAAGTCATTATCCAGAAAGCAGGCAGTTCACTAGCCTGCAGAATCTGGTCTTCTATTTGCCAGTTGCTGTGTGGTCCTCTGTCTATGGTCCAATGGTCCTATTTCTATGAAGAATCGGTATGCAGGTTCACATGCGGCTGCCAGGCTTTGGGCAGCATTTGGGCAACAATTGCTCAGCCCAGTCCGTTAACGAAGGCTGCGGCCTTCTGTGAATGTAGTTCGAGCAAACCCATTCGTTTTCACTCGCCTAAACTTTGCTCACAGAACATCCTTTTGAGACTCTCACAACTGGAAGATCACGAAATCCCAATAGCCTCACGAATGCAAAGAACTTTCTAACTCGACCGGTCTTCCTAGATTTGGTATCGTCCGCTGATCATGAACAACTTCTCCAAATCTCAGATCCAAGCATCTAGGTCCTGACTTCCAAGCCGAGAATTCAAGCTGTGCCGGTGGCCGGTGCCTTTGGCCTCGCAAATTCGATTTACGAGATACCAGCTGCACAAAGTGCCAGATTCCAGAGACATTGGTGAGCTCGGTCCCCAATATGCATGACTTGACTTCTTGCCTCTTTCCCTATAAATTTCTAACATGAGTGTTTGGTAGAAATCTTCAGAGTTCTGTTGATCAGTATTTGCCTCGTAAGATCAGATGTTTGTTGACGTTCCTCGTTCTCGTGTCTCAAGCCATGCCTGGTTGATTAAAGTCGAATTTATCCGTCTGTTTGCTCATTATGAATACAAAGACTTCTGCTTGGCTCAGTCGGTCCAAGACTGGAGATCGGCTCTTTCGAGAAATTTCGCGCCTAGCAGTACGTCAAATCGATCATCAGCTTTCACCACCAGGAACTGATGCTTGTAGGGCTTGTTCTCATTCTTGAGCCAGAACCTCAACTCCATTTGACCCACGACATCAACCTTGTGGCCTTGTGCCAGGCCTTCGTAAGGCGTCACAGTTCCGGGCTTCACGGTGGTCAATTCATAGTTTTGTGCTTGTTTCGCGATTGTTTCGCTCATAAAGCTTGGTGCTGAGCCGGTGTCCAGCTGGGCAGTAGCAAGCCAGGTTCTCTCCCCATTGACTTCGACCATCATTTGTTTGCGAAATTTGTTGCTGTCCTCAGCGCGTGGAAGAGATATGCACGCCGTGATGCTGGAGCCCGGGTGTGACACAGATACGCACACTGTGATATCGGATTTGACCAGAAAAATCCCCGAGTCCATCAAGCGTCTCCACATTAACTTGACGTTGGAGAACCAGAAGAAAACTCGACTGTTATATTGCTTTTCCTGGGAATCCTTGGAACTACAAGTGATCGAGGCACTCCACGGCAGACCACTCGGAGTCTCTTCAAATTTCCGACCATGGTTGTAGTGGCAGGCATCTTGGCTTTGCAAATCCACGGAACATTGGCCATGAGGCGGATAGAAATCCTCAGTACATTGAGTATTATAGCCGTAAGTGTCATTGTTGGAGTAGCCAGCCTCTGGACAATGGATATCTTTGTGATATAGGCCTTGTTTGAGAGGTGAGTCATCCTTGGAATCTAGAGCATGTTGATGGTGCACATGTCTGGAAAATGGCCTGTCTCGTGAGTGGACATCCTGGGGACAAAGGCCCGGGAGAGAGCGGCTATCCTTGGAATGTGGAGGACGGTGTACACTTTGGAAGACTGACGCATCTAGGGAGAGAAAATCCAGAGAACGAACATCACGGTTCTGTCTTAGCAGCACTCCTCTTGTGCATTCATTCAATGGCTGTGTTGAGGTTCGAACCTCAAAGGGCAAGTCCTGGGGCATGACGACTATCCTGTGAATTGATCCCGCCTGTGGTCGAACGTCCTTGGGTCAGGACGCTCTCCTATCGGCAGCTCAATTTCTTTTATCCTGAGGTTTGATATGGTTTGGTAAACCTGCTTTGGGCTGTCGTTCCATTGAAAGTTATAGCTCAATGGGAGCTCAGTTCAGTCCAGATGTCTTTACTTGAAAATTGTGGGGGTTGTAGCGAACGTCGACCGATCACACAAGTTATAATACCTGAGGTTGCGGTAAAGCGGAGGATTGCCCCGCAGGAAATATCAACATGAATTACAGACTTGAAGAAGGGAAGAAGGGAAAGGGGAGCATAAGATCAAAAATAAAGACATTTCTTGACATGCAGCATCAGAAATTTTACCGAAATTGACTGATTGTTCACCACCAAGACGTTGCGATTCTACGATTGGCGTGAGGCGCGTGGTGTGTGCCCGATCAGCGGCTCTCTGAATGCTGGAAATCCGTAACAATTGTCGGATGACCATCTCGAGTGATGCTCAGCCATATCGCATTCGGGGCTTGGAAGTCGATAGTGTTTACTATCTCAAAGGAATGAGTTAAGCAGGCGACTGACATGGCATGGTACCCTCGTGGTTGATAGGCTGCTCTGCTTTGAGTCGTCTCTGAATTTGCTCCGGGCCGAGGAACCTTGGAAGTAGAGTTGAAGTAGGTACCCAAAGCAGTGCGAAGGATACTGAGACCTGCACAATCTAAGTTAGCAATTCAAAGTCAGCCTTCAGTATACCTATTTAAGAACAGAGTACGTGGTCCAGTCAGCCTTCTCCTCGCACAATGCAGCATGCAAGACTACCTGACGACATGAGCTGCTCCGCCCAAGAAGTTGCTGTCAAGTTGCCTCACCTTGAAATGAAGACGTGGTGCCAGCTACTTAAAGATGATTGAATTTAAATCAACAATTGACAGTAGATGAAACACGCCAAATGGATGACTGCAGAGGCATTGCAGAGCTGCAAGCCGCACAGCCTGACTTTGCTGTCTTCAGGCGGTTTATGCCTCTGCAGGCGCTCCAGCTCAATGTGATGCAAGCGGAGATAGCTCATTTGCGGCAGGGTTTGGGAACCAAGCTGGACCTGGCTCGAGAAGCCGGGGAGAAACAGGAATTGTGTTCGATGTTGCTGTCATCTCTCGGGCTACCAAGTCATGATGCTGGTCATCCAATTCACGAGTGCTCCGGGGCACAGCAAAGGGGCTATGTGGGATCGACTTGATGCCGCACTTGAGAGATACAGTATGCAACACCCTTGTGCCCCCTTAGCCATGAGTCCGGGGCTTCCAGGAAACCCTTCTCGCTAAGCAATTAGTATCATGAAGGCAAAGCACTCCTCCGATACCGTGCCCTTTCACAGCTTTCACCCACGAATCCTCTCCACCACAAACATCTACAGTTCTGGCTCACCGACACCAATGGAGGCCTCAACGACCTACAGGGTGTAACTGGCACCCTGTGGGACGCCTGCAACATTCCAGACCTGACATCCCTAACCCAACCGAGCGATCCATCTGACCCACTGACAAATCTCTTCAACAACCACCTCCTCCCACTGTACCACCAGCTCATCGGCCACAAAATCCACGCCCCAAGCCACTACATCACGACGCACGACGCCTTCACCGACGCCCCGCACCGCTCGTCGATCATCTACCACTACTCGGACCGCCTGGTGCTACGGACGCTCAACGTTGCCAGCACCGTGCTTGCGAGCATGGTGCCCGCGCTGTCGTCGCTGGCACTATATTACATGCCGAGCGAGGGCGCGGCGCGCATCGGTGGTGTTGTGGCGTTCACGTTCTTGTTTAGTCTCGTCATTGTGCTGGTTACGCCTGCGAAGAGGATAGAGACGTTCGTTGCGACCGCGGCGTTTGCGGCTGTGCTTATTGTTTTTGTAGGCGGTCAGGCCGATTGAGTGGTTCATTTCGGGGGAGGGTACTGAAGAACTATAGCGGAAAGAAAAACAATGGCAAGCATGCAAAGAAGATTAGGTCCAAATATAGTGGGTTTTTGTTGGGCGGTGACCGTCGCTGAGCTGGTGCGGCAGGTTTGGATATAACTACTGACTTGGTTAGGGGTAGAAAAGGGGGTGCACCAAAGGTCATGAGTCGTGCCTTAGAAACGACATATAATATGGAGCATTGTTGGTGAGGGTACTGATATTCACATTTTTGTCTATGAGTACATCGTAGGGAGGCTCGATCATGGAGAAGAGAAAATTGTTCTTCGATACATGGAATCGAGCTTTCAAACAAGTGAGTTGGATATTATTTTCTCGTCTCTCATTCGTGTTCCATAGCGGATGTAGTCCTTAGTTGCAATGATGGCCTCTATTCTAGATCGGCGGTCTTGCGTCTCTTCCCAGGACTTAGAGTCATATTCTCGATCTCCACATCCCCAGTATTGGAATGGTCAGGTTTTGTGACACCGGGGGAGACGGCTCTCTTAGTTCCCCCAAGGCTGATTGAAACCACAGCAGCATCAGCGCCGCCACCTTCAGCCGCCTGAGCACGCTTAGCATTTTTCTTTGGAATAGCTTGGGATAAGCCGGTTGTCTCACCAGCTTCAGCAGCCACGCCGTTGTTGTCCTTCCCCTTTCTCTTCTTCCGCGCCCCTCCCTCAGAAGACTCGTTTTTGCCATTCGAATTCTTCTCGCCGCTTCCTGAGACCTTATAGACGCCTCTGGCAACCATATCTGCTATACGGTCCTGTCGCTCAGCATCAGCTTTCGCCTCCTCAAGCTCGAACATCTTCGAAATGGCAGGGAATAGTGTCTTCATCATTGCGATTTGTGACACACGGATGCGCATTAGATCGAATGCGATGGCGATTGGAAGCTCATGCGTCAAAGATGGCTCGCTCCAGGCTTTAGCATCGTCCTGTGATGACACGTGTGTGAGCTCGTGGCCAGTTGGAGCGGTGTCGTTATGTCCGTTGTCCATTCCCATATAGTCTATGTCATCGGCCTCTTGGGAAGTAGATTCTGGTAGCTTGACGCTGGTGAGGACAGGGATTTTGGAGTACCTCTGGCTGAAGTGTGTGAGAATCAAATTCTTTGCTTTCATTTCCAGGGCCACACCGACCGCCTCGCCCGTTGTGCTGTGTTTCTTAGCCAAGGCATCGCCTTCCATACCGTCATCGAATGTCGCTTCATGAACTAGAACATCTGAGTCGGCACCTATCTGACAGAATTGCCGACTGGGTCTACAGTCCCCGCTGTATGAGAACTTGAAGTCGTTGTTGAATGTGACCGAAATTGCCTGCGCACCATGGCAATGGTTGACTCGTACAGTCTCAATTGTCCGAATGGGGATGTCTGTCTCTCTGAAATCAAATGGCTTGTCGTGCAGGGACAACCCCTCATCCCAATGGCAGACAATTGATCTGCAAAGCGAGCCCTCTGGAACATTGAGAATGTGTTTGTATTCCTCAATGTAATCCTTCATATTGACTTCCGAAATCAACAATGGCGGCTGAGGACGTGGTCTACCGCGAAGTACCTGTCGCTGACCCGCTTGGTAGATAGCTTGGAGAAGAGAAACGGTACCGAGATGATGATCCGCATGAAGATGAGATATCCAGATAACTTTCAGATTGTAAAGCACTTCATCCAATTCAGAGGCATCAAACAGCCGCTTTAACTGGCCTAATGTTCCCTCACCACAATCGAACAAGTAATTGCCCATGTCATTCGGCATGCAGAGTAGGACAGCAGAGACATTTCGATATTTTGATGGTGCGGCTGAGCCAGTACCTAAGGTAATGATTTCGGGCTCACTCAACTTCACCAAGGCCGTTTCTCTTATATTCGCCAAGGTGTCGGAAGGTATGAGTTTCCGGACCTCATCTCTCACTTGGTGTGCTGTCAAGTCGCTATAATCGTAGTTGATTGGCACATCCCCAAAATCTGTCCGAAGTGCAGGCTCAATGTGAACTGTAAGGCCCCGATCAGCCCCATTTATCGGGGAATCATTCTCACTTTTCTCCAGAAGGCTTTTGAGTGCTCTCTTGGGAGTATCTGAAACTCGAGAATAGGCATACTCATTGTTGAAGCGTGGGAGCGGAAACAGTTCAGGTGAGATTTGAGCCAGACGCGCTGCAGCCCTAGCGCTAGATTCTTGTGAGAGATAGTCGTTGCTTACGTCTGGATGGGAGAGAATGTGTTGTTTGTCCTTCAGGTAATCGCGCAAGTTCTGAAACTCTGGTGTAAGGGGTACATTGTCCCGAGTAATCCACACCACCAGCTCCACACCTTCCAGCAGGTCACTATAGTCGTGCAACCGTTGGCTGAGGTCTGACAGATAACCTCTAGACGGCACATCGAAGATGGCGAAACCTCTGCCCGGACGACCTGGACTCATGACCATATCTGACGTAATCACAGATCCATCTTCGAGTGTAACGGATAGACCGGCGGTGAATCGACTGTACATTGGACCAGGTTTGACTCCCAAAGCTTTCGCTTTCACTGGGTCAAACTTCCCACGTTGGGGATAGCCTTTGACAATATAAGACATGGAAGTCCTGCTAGGCAAATTGGTGGGTTTTGGCAACTCATGTACTGTTGAAGCTGGCCATGGATCACGAACCAGAACCACAGACTCAGGAGTAAGCGGAGAAATCTTCTCTCTGTCGTGAAGAATACGACTTGTTAATTCCTTGGTTTTTGGATTGCGCACCCAAACCACAGCGGGCAGGGTGATGTCTTTTATTCTGTACTCAGAAAGTCGATCTCGATGCCAGTCGGAGTCAAACATGTTATTCACAACCTCATTTCGAATTCCCTGTTCGAGACTGATTGCGGGGTCACTGGGGTTATCACTAAGAGAAGACTCGGCCTCCGCGTCGGACACATCAGAGTGTTCGTTGACAGTTGTAGCGGATTCGGCACGAGCCCGATGTTGTGTTGGAACAGCCCAGACTCGGATATTCTCATCCTCGAGAATTGGTTGCCGGACGTCTGTGTCATCGGACACGCTGGCTTCATGGACCGACAGAGGCATGCCAGTGCGAAAGACGAATCTCCGCGCACAAGCCAAGGAGTGGAGTTGCTTTGGACCCGCATATATGGAAAGTCTTGGGCGCCTCAAAGAGCCATTTTGCAGCTCGGCTTCGGCAGATTGTGCATCGGCGAGGCTGAGGATCATCCCAATCAGACCCCCATTGCTCCAGGCAGTCTTGCCAGTAAGGAACAAGCCTCGAACCTTTTTAAGAGCGACACCTCGTTGTATGCAAGCTCGTTGAGTTCCTTCAGCAAGATGGCCGAATATGTAACGCTTTTGGTCAAAGTGAAGCAAGAGACTCGTGCCAGGGGTGTCGGAAGTGGGAGTGGTAATGAATTGGAGGCGGAAGGGCGACCGTATGCCGATGGATGGCCTGGTCTGCCGACTCTCCTCCATGAGTTCCCTTTTATAGTACCTTGAGCCTGCTTGATAGGCGGCGGTTTTGAGTGATTTTAATTGCTCTGCGAGGATTTTTCTACGCTCTTTGGCCGCTTTTATTTTCTTGTCTAGAAGTGCTGCCCGACGTGATTTGCGTCCTTCGCTGTCCTTATGAGAAACTGTCCCACCCCACGGGATGAATTGTTGGATAGGAGTGGAAGCCTCAACCTTCAACCTGGGGAATTCAGAGTGAATAGAACGTCTTTGTAGGGGCCAGAACCCAGCATTCCACCGTTGTCCTCTGCGGACAGAGTATCTGCCAGGGGATGACTGAGTAAAGAGTGGTGGAGTGGGAACCAGGCGCAGTTTCGAAGGGACAGCCACGTTGAACGGGGATGCTGCAGGTAGGATGAATGCTTTCAACGTAGCGACATGGAAGAAGCGAACGAGAGGAGGGCTTTTGTTATAATTAGGTATGCCAAATGAGTGTCTTTGAGTCAGATGTTCCGTGGACAATTGGATTTGAGCCAACCAGAAAAAAAGTCCCATCAATTACACGGTTCCTCGTGTATGCGTCATGCCGACTCACGCGCGCGTCGCTACGGAGAAGTACTGGTTGCGAAGTCGCTATTACGTTGGAGTACTCGGTAGTAAAGGCTTCGACAATCTACTGCTTCGTTCAACCAGGGCTGAAAGTTCAACCAAGCACGAACAATGGCACAGTGGGAGATTTCGGAAACAGTATGAGCGTGTGAAGTGGGAACTCATAAAAATTGTTGTTGTACCGAAAGCTATATATACCAACTCGAATTAGAGATCGAGGAAGAAAGCAAAACCAATATAACACCACCCTTCAGTTCATGTGAACTGTAAATTTAGCAATCCGAGCACAAGCCTCATCAAGATCATTACACATTTTTTCCAATTCCAATGCTTGCTGCTCTTCCGAAAGTTCATCATCTTGCGTCTCAGTGGACTCCACCAATCCATCGGCCACGAGAGGCATATCAAAATATAATGCAAATGCCTCACGATCCAGTGTGACGGTTTCATCGACATTTGATGGTTTGGTGTCAGCAGGCTTGGACGATGATACACTTAATTCGGGCAGCTTGGGGACATTCTTGGCTGATGCTGGGCGACTGAAGATTGAGCCTGGCTTTCCCGAGAGAGCCTCGAGATCAAGGACTGGGGCTTCAGGTAGTTCTGTAACAGCATAAACCTGGAAATCAGAAGATGTTGGTAGAGCGGTCATCCAAGCGTTGGAAGGCTGAAATGCCGAAAGATCAATGGGAACTTCCGGGATCAGAGCCATGCCAATCTGGGGTTGTTGGACTTGCATCTGGTGAGAAGCATCGTTCGAGGTGATATCCTTACGCGTTGGCTTGGCTTGGGGTTGAGGCTGTGGTCGAACGGCTTGTTTTTGTTGTTGAGTATTTGTTTGGGTATTGGGTGCTGGAAGGCCTGATTGGCTAAGTTCGTGAAGGAAGCCAGCAAAAGCTTGCGAAGACAGTAGCATTCGGGTAAGGTCAGTGAGTCGGTTGTTTTCCTCTCGGAGTTGTTCGTTCTGAGCACGCATGTCGTTGGCTTCTTGACTCTTTGCGGCAATCTCTCCTTCCAATTGACCAATGTATTCTATGAATTACGTTAGTGTTGATCCGACAGCCATTCAAATGGGAATTGAACTTACCCTTTCTGCGTGAACGGAAAGCACGAGCGGAAACCTTGTTCCGTAGTTGACGGCGTTCCTTGCTTGTCAACTTCTTGCCCTCTTCACTGGCCAAAAGTCTCTCATCCTCATCCATATCATCTTCATCCTTCTTGATTCGTGGCATATTAGACATGGAGACGTTGGACCCATCTGCATCACTGGCAGTTGAGGTGATGCTCTCCTGTCTCATTCGGTTGAGAACCTTGGAGATACTTTCTTCCACCAAGGGATCCTTGATCAATGGTGATTTTGTCGGGCTGGGAAGTGGCTTCTGTCCCTCTGGGAGTGTCTGTGGCTGTTGACGAGCCATCTGTTGTTTTTGAGCTTGTTGTGCCTTGGCTTGAGCAGCCTGTTGGCTATGCATACCAGGATAGATACGTTGAATGGGAGCTGAGCTCATGTTGTTGTGAGCAACCAGGGTATTTGGGCTGACAAATTGCGAAGGGCGAGAGGATTGGCCCGAGTAGAACATCGAAGGGAGGTCGGTCGAATCGGCATCAAAGTCCATATCAGTTCCTTGAGAGAAATCAAACTCATCCAATGTACTCAATGGCATGTTCAAGGTCTCGGTGGGCATGATAAATCCTCCATTTCCCTCGTGATATTGTAAACCACTAGCCCTGTTGACCGCAAAAGTGTTGGCTAATGCTCCGATGGGAATGCCGGTCTGTTGATGATAGGCATCGTATTGGAAACTGGGACCGGGGAAAGTCTGGGGTGTGGAACTGGAAGCAAAGGTTGCTGATCCAGGAATGGAGGATTGAGGAGTCAGCATAGGCACTGACTTGATGGCAGGCGATGTTGATGAAGGAGTGAAGTCATTGTCAAGGTTTAGAAAGGAGTCGTAATCAGGATCGAAATTGGTGTTGAGACTGGACATGTTGGAAGCCATGGTGTTGTATTGCGCGGCCTTGCCGGAAGCCTGCAGGTCCCGTTCCCTTTTGAACGCCTAAAATAGGCAGTACGATGACCCACGAATTGACAACGAGGGAAGATGGCGGTTTTGATGATTCTGTCGACGATGAGAGTGAGGTGTATAGGACTCAAAGTCGTTTCGTTTGTTTTGAAAAGAGGGTATATCTGGTGCGAGAGAGCGTGTTTGGAATGAAGAGGGAGAGAAAGGAGAGAAAGGGCTGAGTGAGACGAGCTGAGGGAGAGTAGGAAAAGGTGGGTTGCGGGCCTAAGCAGCACCGTGAGAGGGAGAGTTCCAAGTTCTGGGGGCTGTGCTGTACGGCACCTTCGGCGGCCTCTTCAAGTTCTGTGCCAACTTTGCGGTCGAGAAAAGTGGATAATGACTGCCGCCAAATGATTGAACAGTCGGAGCTTAAGACTTGCCGACTTGGACTGGCACCCCACTGGCAGATCTTCCCACAGCCCTCAGGCTAGGCATCCACCAAAAAGACCACTGGGCGAACGACTCTTCACAAGCATTGGAGCGTTGGCAATGCATGTTGTTATGCTTGTTGAGATATTCATATCCATTCTTGCAGCCAGATACACGCCCGTAAGACCCTTGGCATCTTGTTTCCAGCTTGGAACAACGGCTGGGAACCACTCCCAAGACCACAGTTGCCATCATCCAAGACACTTGGCCTGTGCGGACACGTGACACGCCGGCTCAAGGTTCATTTCTGGGCCGTGTAGCCGTTAGTTGTTGAGGGATCAAGCCTGACCACCAATCGCTGCTGGCCTGGGACATGGATGAGGCACAACTTTTTCCGTGCTCCGTTGTTTGGACGCCGTTTCGAAATCACCCCCAGTGACGTAGCCCTGGCTTTTTGGGCCGCTAGACCCGACGGAGGGTTCAAGTTCACCAAGACTGTGTTTGGAACCCACGGCAGGTTATCCGGGAACCGCGGAGGAGATTGGTGTCTGGGAAAAACATTTGTCCGTTTGAATTATTCTTGCACCGCCACAGTTGACCTCGAAGCGATCAATGGCCTATTACGCCACATCAACTTGAGGCTGTTACGCTATCGAACTGCACGTGACCATTTTCCAGAGCGGCAGCCCAGTGCTCAAATCCGCAGAAATCTCAGTCCATCAAAGATCTCGAAGCAACTTCATGTGGGTGACGGAATGCTGTGCTTTTCAGTGACTAATCCTTCATCTGCACCTCCAATTACTTGAGCGCTGTGTACTTCCGGATGCACGCCCTGCCTAAGATGCCTTTACGATTACCCAAATCCCTGATATAATTGCTGAGTAGCACTCTCCATGTCTGCTCTTCTCCTCAACTCCTATCTATCAACATGGCAGAAGCCATTTTCAAGCAAATGATTGCATCCCTAGTCCACCAGACCCGACAGCAGTCGTTTCGACACGTGAGAGGCCTGAAGCCTTATCATCAAAACGCTCGTCATGTGGCTACAATCCCGACAGCCGACTCTCATGAATCCAAGCCGGAGCCTCCTCGATGGCATCCTCACACGGCGCGCCCTGCCCCAAATCAACAGCCGTCCTCAGAGCAAGGTCGGCTCGAGAAACTTCGGGCGGATCCAGAGCCGCGTCCTTTCTCCTCCTTTCTGACCGATAACTATGCGCGTCAACACAACTACCTGCGCATATCCGTTACTGAGCGTTGCAATCTTCGGTGCCTCTACTGTATGCCCGAGGAAGGCATCGACTTATCCCCACCAGAAAAGTTACTCACCACCCCCGAAATCGTTTATCTCTCCGAGCTCTTCGTCAACCAGGGTGTGAATAAAATTCGTTTGACTGGTGGCGAACCGACGGTGCGGAAAGATATTGTCGATTTGATGCGCCAGTTAGGCAATCTGCAGAGTAAAGGTTTAAAAGAGCTATGCATCACTACAAATGGTATATCTCTGCACCGCAAACTCGATGCAATGGCTGAATCCGGGCTTACCGGTGTCAATTTGAGCCTGGATACTCTCGACCCATTTCAATTTCAGATAATGACAAGAAGAAACGGGCATGACGCTGTCATGAAATCAATCAAACGAATCTTGGAGATGAACAAACTAGGGGCCGGTATCAAACTCAAAATCAACTGTGTTGTGATGCGTGGTCTCAACGAGCGCGAGATTTTACCATTTGTCGAGCTTGGTCGCGAACAAGATCTCGAGGTCCGCTTTATCGAGTATATGCCCTTTGATGGAAACAAATGGTCCGAAAACAAAATGCTGAGTTATGGAGAAATGCTCGCATTAATTCGGCAAAAATATCCGGACCTTGAAAAGGTTCAAGATCACAAAAATGACACCAGCAAAACCTATCGGGTTCCTGGATTTACTGGTAGAATGGGATTCATCACAAGCATGACTCATAACTTCTGTGGCACCTGTAATCGACTCAGAATCACAGGTGACGGCAATATAAAGGTATGTTTGTTTGACAACGCCGAAGTCTCACTACGCGACTTACTTCGCGAGTCGAACTGCGGTAAGCCTATTGATCGCGAAACAATGGACGCCATACGACAGCTTGAACACGATCTACCCTTACAATCTTCAAGCAGTGGAAGTGGTCTCAATGTCTCCGAGAAGCAAATCCAGCTCCTCAACGTCATCGGCATGGCCGTGAAGAATAAGAAAGAAAAGCACGCCGGTATTGGCGAACTGGAAAACATGAAGAACAGGCCCATGATCTTAATCGGTGGGTAAGCCATGCAACATACCTCCTTTCCCACAGCGGCGCATAAGATGCGTGAAATATATACAGTGGCTCACCATTTGAGTGATTCCTATAATGTATATAGAATTCTCGATGTCCGTCATTGGTCTTCCAGATTTCTCGTTCTCTTTGTCACCACATTATAGTAGCTTGACTGACGCCACCTTGCCTCTGTAGATGATGCCCTATCCACAACAAATCATGCTACCCAGTTTCCCTTCATTCCTTCTCCTTCACTGCGACACATTATGGCCACCCGGCGGCCTCAGATACCTGTCCAACTTCTCCAGAACTCTACGCACTCAAACTCTTTGTCAAGCGCACGATTCTTCTCCACATCTGGGCCTTCATTTTCTCAACACCAAAGATCGTATAGCACGCCAACCACCCAACCACCAAGATCTCGCTTTTTCGCCCTCCGGACGATAGAGGGTCAAGGTGCATGGCGAAGGTCTCTCGCTGACCTTAAAGATCGTCGTCGTCAACCAGTAATCCGACGAATACAAGTCGGGAAGTATAAACACTCTGAACAACTGTCAAATACACAGCCCCTCAACCACCTAACAGAATCAGGCGAAGCACATATGGTTTCGATTGCAAATAAAGTACCCACCTCCCGCTCTGCCACAGCCACATCCACTCTTCTTTTCTCCAAGCCTCAGACATATGAGTCGTTGGTTTCTGCACAACTCAAAAAGGGCGATGCGATAGCAGTTGCACGGATAGCAGGCATCCAAGCAGCCAAGAAGACCTCTGATTTGATCCCGCTTGCTCACCCATCACTGGCCATGACTGGTTTGACCCTCACAATAAAGCCATTTGGCCCCTGTACTTTGCCCCCTAATCACAACTTGACACCGAAAAGTTATGGGTTGTTCAAAAATGGTGGGGTTTACATTGAGGCAAAGGTTGATTGCGAAGGTAAAACTGGGGTGGAAATGGAAGCCATGATGGGCGCCTCGGTGGCAGGTCTTACAATGTATGATATGCTCAAAGGAGTCGACAAAGCCATGACCATGACCGAAGTACGGGTGCTTCGCAAATCTGGAGGCAAAAGTGGCGCATGGAGTTATGACTATGCAACAAACAAGATTAAGAAGGCCGACAAGACTGATGACACCCACTCAGGAGCTGACTGGAGGGGCAGAGGTGGACCTGTTCGCAACCAGCCAAAGACCCCAAATCCGAATAATATTCAACCGAACAGTTACGGAGGCCTTTCTCAAGAGATTAATGATGAAGACATGTACTCCACATCTCAGCAACAAGATTTGGAACCCTTCATCACCGACGAATGGGCCTGGGAGGGGGACAAGGAGGCCAAGGCTGACCAGAGCGACCCTGTCGAAGATCAAACCTCTTCCAGCAACGACGAGAACAATGATCCAAGAGGCTTTCCTTCCGAGGAGGTAACAGTACACCACGATAACTCATTCCGAACTGCTTCACTCCGAGCAAATGTGAAGACTTGTCAACAAGACGTAGATCATGGCCGCTTGATTCCAGTGTCCAAGATCAACCCACAACTCAGCGTCAACCGTATACTGGACACCTCCAACACTAGTGACGATGAACCAGACTATGAGAGGAAGGTGTTGTTGAAAAGGGGTTTGGTCACTTATCGTGATCTCGTCAACGCCCGCATCCGGCGTTGGCAGGAGAAAAACGATACGAAAGGAGCGTTCTTCTCCATCAGCACCTTTCTTAGCAGTGAACGGTCATGACGATTGAACAACATTACCGTCGGTCTTCTCACCCCCATCATTCAAACATTTTATTTTTCATGCCACAATCATGGAGAAAAAGAAAATTTTCGTCATGTGGAAATATGTTTGGATACCCGAGAAAAGATGACGAGACAGAATAGGAGACATTTGAGCTCTGATACCACTGTGTACGAGCTATGTCTCTCGCTCTCATGCACACATGTGCATAAGTATCGAGAGGCGATGAGCAGTTTCCACACCGACCACTCTCGCACATTGAGCAGCAATCCTGTTAGAAGGAGGATTTATTTGTACAACAAACCGTTTATACCCAACTTCGATACCTAGCTAGCGCCCACGTACAACAGGTGCATAGATTCTTCTTGCATATCATGACTTGAGCCAAGCTGCCTGATATAGTACCTTTATAGTCTGTAGTTATGGTTTTCTCGACATCTCTGACAGATCATGGATATATATGACCGGCTCTCAATGATCCAAAAATCGACAGCGATGCTTTCCGAAGTTCAGTTTCTAATTCCCCGTGCCTGCAATTCCAAGCCTTGTTGGCCAGGTAAAACATCTATATAACAGGCTCCCAACGCCTGCATATGGCAGCGATACAGAGGTATCACCCGGGATCATCGAAGTTTTCAATGATTCCACGGTATCATTATGTGAAGCTCCTTTCCGTTCTGCCTGCCACTGGCGGACCATCTCATCATCAAGCTCCACTCTCCACCGCTGCCCGTCCTGTAACTTTGCGTCGACCGTCCGATCATCGAGCCTCTCCCTCTCATACCAGCATCCAACACCACTGCTGACCCCCAATTCTCCCAGGCTCACCTCCTTGACCACGCCGGTCTTCCCGTTCGTCCAAGTCCCCATCTGCCCTCTCTTCCTAAACCGAGTAGGATCCACAACGACCTCGCGACAAAACCCCGCCCAATTCTGCATCGCTTTCCTCCCCGCCCCGTTCCAAGCAAACATGGCGAAGCAATGCGGCATGCCCTCCCACCCGTCAAACACGACGGCTTGATTTCCCGGATCAGCGCTCTGAAAGACCCGCCGCGCAAACACCTCGGCCTCGTCCTGCATGCCCTCCCAACCCACACAGACATACACCGGCGGGACACCGCGCCAATGCCGTGGCTGCGCGGCCAACGGCGACACGAGCGGGTGAATACACATGCGTGCCGTGCAGTACGTCTCAACACGCGGCGGCGAGGCCGGCCAGATAGCGTCCGTGGGGAACGCGGGCGTTGGGTTCTGATTTCTCGGAGGCGGCGGTGCGATGATATCCCATCTGGCATTTGCCGTTGTGGAAGGCAGACACCGCGTGATATCCAGCCACGGAGAACTGAGGGCAAGGCCAGCGCAGACGAGGTCTGGGATCGTAACGGCCTGCCCCTGAAAGACTATGCGTCGCTTCTTGCCTTCCCCCTGGCGTCGTGAAAGCGTCTGCAGGAGGAGCAGCAGCGATGAGGCAAGGCCCCCTCCAGACGAATCACCCGCCAAAACGATTTTCTCCGGCGGCACGGCCTCGTGGAACGCACCAAGCGGTGGCGCGATTAGAGCGAGGTATGCGGCCAGCGCGTCCAGCAGCGCCGCGGGGAAGACATGCTGTGGCGCGAGGCGGTAGCGGACGGAGAGGACGCGGCCCCCGGATTTCTGCGCCAGCGCCGACGTCGTCCACCGGTGCGTCGTCGGGTCCATCAGGCAGTGCGCCCCGCCGTGGAAGTATAGTATCGTCGGGCCGCATGTGTCGGGCAGGTCGGCCATCATTGCGGCGTACATGTCTCGCTCCGAGAGGGAGGGGCGCATGGCGACGTGCGAGACGTTGCGTCGGTAGCCCGTCCATTCTGTTTGCACGGGGTCTAGGACTGGCATTGTGAGATCGATGGGTCGCAAGTCTTGGTCGCCGAGTTCGATGATCGCGCTCGCAATGGCTTCCTGGAGTGTCAGGATATGCTCGTCCACACCTCCATCCGTTGTCTTTCTCCCAAGACTGTCTTCAACTGGAATAGTCCATTTGCTGATCCACATCCGTCCCCAAACGCCGTAATCATAGTTGAACGCCTGCTGTGATTTCAAGAGCGCCGCTGGCGTCCGCAACACGGGTCGTGCCCAGAGTGTTATCAATTCGGTCAAAAAGTCCTGATCAGAGCTATTTCGCGACAATCCCAATGCTGCGAGGCATGTGTTGACTGTCAGGGCTGGAACTCGGTACGCGAAGGCGCGGACGAGGCCTTGTGGAGATATGTCCATTATTTTGGTGCTCCGAACTCAAGGAACAACCCTTCAGGCTTTCTTAGTCTCTCTCAACTGGACACTAACTGGACACAGTTCACTGCGTAAGTCGACGGGAGCAATGATCAGCATTGGGGATATCTCAACATCGTTAACTTCTGGAAAGCCACATAATAGTAGGAGCCAAACAAGCAATGCTGACTGTGATGTAGCGGGTTTTTAATCTCAACAGTAATGCTTTTTCCTGCCATCAACATGGCAAACACATGATCTGAGACTTTCACATGCTCCATGCATTACACGTGGCGCAAGCGCTGAGAACTCGACCTTGAGAAAGCCTAGAGGCAAGGCTGTGGCTCCCTGAAAGCGCAGCCAGCCAATGAAACAATCTTATCGCGATGTTAGTGATGTCATGACTTGCTGTTTCGATGTCTGCTCAAGCTCGTGAAACATTCGGACAAACAGTAGCCAGATCGACTAGCTAACGATATTGACTCTGAAGCTGCATATTCCCAACTGCACTCCTGGCACAGTCGAAGTTGTGAACAAGAACAGACAAATGCGCGTGGACAATATGAAGAACAAGTATATGATATCCGGTTGATCTGGAGTGATGCGCAGAATACGCCAGTAGTGCTTATCATACCCCGCCTATCGCGCTTCTAGACAACTTCCTAAAAACCACGTATATTCCGCTCTATCCAAATAATGGTCTACACTCGCTATCAGTCCGACCAATTGTATAAGACAAGCTTCAAATAGGCCATCACGTCTCAGCTCATTTTCCCCGGGAAGTACAGTAGCATAATCATGGCCGACCAGGACTTACCTCCTCAGACATTGGCCGGTAAAACCACCATAGTCACCGGATCCGCACGAGGCTTAGGTGCTGAAATGGCGTTCGACCTGGCGATACGAGGGGCACAGGTGAGGATTGCCAAGCGCGGTATGCTCGCTCCCAAAATTATACAGCTGATCTGGGGTCACTGCCCAAGGTAGTCGTGGTGTACACATCGGTGTCATCCACGGAGAAGGCAGAAAAGCTCGTCGAGGATATCAACGCGTTGCCCAACGCCTCTGCAGCCATCAGTGTGCGTGCCAACCTTGGAGAGGTATCGGCTCCCAGAGACATCATCGATGCCACGATCGGCGCCTTTGGCAAGGACATCCACATTCTCGTCAACAACGCCGCCGTCCAGATCACGCGGCCCCTGTCTGAGATTTCCCACAAGGACTACGACGACGTGTACAACGTCAATGTGCGAGGCGTCATCCTCATGACCCAGGCGACGTTGAAGCACATGCCACCGAAATCGCGCATCATCAACATCTCTTCCGTGGGCGGGCGATCCGGATTCCCGAGCCTCTCGTTGTACACGTCTTCGAAAGCGGCTCTCGAGGGCTTGACTCGTTCTTGGGCCGCTGAATTGGGGTCCAATGGGACAACCGTCAACGCTGTGGCTCCGGGGCCTGTACAGAGCGAGATGCTGGATTCGATTCCAAAGGAGATCGTACAGATGCAGAAGGAGAGCACACCGGTAGAAAAGCGAGTCGGGATGCCCTATGAAGTGAGCAACGTAGTCTCTTGGCTGGCAAGCGAGGAAAGTGCGTGGATCAGTGGTCAGACACTCAATGTCAGTGGTGGCTGGACTATGTATTAACAGGATCATACTTCGTAGCAGTTTCGTCTGAGGCAAGGCTGGCTTGGACGAAGCTTATTCAGAGTGCTTTGTGCGCCGCGATGTAGATATGGGAAACTCGAACGATGGCCACACCTGTGTAGGGGCAGTTGGTACCAAGAGGTGTAGAACAATCTCAAGTACGATCACGAGAAGGATCTGAAGTCCGCCGACGAAACCGCTTATCATGTCGCCGTACCCAATCTCGAAATTTGACGCAGAGAAAAGGCAGCAAGGCACAAAATGAGTATTTCATTGTCCCACGAAGAACTCCAGGCTCAAACGATGGATTCCCAGGGGTGGTTAGCGCTAATCAAAGAGCAGTTGCAAAACTTAATGTTCAATCCCTCAATCCCTCATCAACATCCAGTCCTCGAATCATGATCATACTTAATACCCAAATTCCGAACCATATTTGTGTCCTCATAAGTCCTTTGCGTTGAAAGTTGGACTGCAAAAAATTAATGAGCAACATGCCAAACAACATCGGCTGTCAACCGTATGTATGTAGAATCCACAATCTTTATCCAGCTGTTGCATTTCTCCCAAATTAAAGTTAGCTCATCGTCGAATCACACTTGGTCCCGTCATTCTGCCTCCACCGGAGAGAAGACTTGTTCTGACAATCATCTCGGCGGCTGCGGCGGCTGCGAGACGTTCTTTTTGTCTAGAACGGTCTCTCAGGTATCCCCCAGCCTCTGGCCGCATTCTTAGGATTCTCAGAATCATGTCGTCACTTGGCTCGGCTTGTGCAGCCTTCCATTTCTCTTCTTTCGCTTTGCGCATGGTCCCCAAATTTCGACTCATCATGATGCTCTTAGCACGTCGAGCACCTGCCATGTTGCCAGGTTGTAGGAGTCCACCACCACCAACTTGACCGAGACTGGGTGGAGCTGATGCTCTGGACCGATGCATTTGTTGATTCGCTGCTGTTGTCGACGCCATTCTTTCTGATTCTCGAATAAGGGAATCGGTGGGTTGGTCGTAAAAGAAGTTGAGCATTTGTAACTCATGATACTTTGGATTTTTCAAAACATTGACAGGCACACCATTGGCTTCTCCAGTCTCCTCATCCACGGCGTTGAAGAACTCGAATAAACTTTGCAGCCATTTGTACACAACGTCAAGTTCTTGTTGAGTCAACGGCTTTTGCTGTGATGGTTTATCGGACAATGGGGGAACGAGAAGTCCTTCCACTGTTGCCAACACCTCTTTCCACAGACGGGTCATCACCGCAATCATGGCATCAGGAGTAAGAGTCTGTTGCATGATTGCGAAGTTGTCATCGAAATAGTCAAATAGTGGTTTCAGGGCGTTGATGATGTCTGCGTCAGTTGTGACTGCAGTAGCTGGGGCCATAGATGTCCGATTCCTAGCAAAGTACGAAGAGACACTGGATATTGATATCCCACGATTCAACAGTAGTCGAAGTGCTCGTCGTGACAAGCAATGATTGATATATGCAGATAGTTTATCTGTGATACGCCTAGTCATGTCTCGTTGAGTGCGTTGTAGAGACCGGAAGGCTTTTCCAAAGTAGAATTGAATGTCATCCCGCTCGCCTTCCATACTCACACGCACCAGAAGACGACCTTGAGTGTCCAAGTCTAGCCAGTATTCACGAGGTAAAAAGTCGCTGAAATGTGCCGGATCCAACTTGAGAGATGTTCGTCCGACATAATCATGATCTCCAACAGCATCCCAATCCCAGATTGTTGCTATCAGGTTGAGAGGCCCTTGTGTGGTAATGTCAACGGACTCATCCCATCGAGGGTTGAGATTGCGATAGACAATCCTACTCTTGGACAAACGCTTTTGATATTCATCGGTGAGGACGACATACGGATCACTAAAGCCGCTGACGTCGCAAGCTTTCAAGTCCTCAGCTTCAACAATCTTAATGCTGAAGACGTAATTTGTCGTTTTTCGAGGCCGTTGAGCCATTGGTGGTTGATGTCTCTTGACCACTTCGGCGCAAGCGTCCACATTGACCTCTGCTTCTAGTTTGTCCCATTGGTGAATGGCAAAAGAAATGTTATTGAGCTTGACAAATGATTGAGGATAAAATTGAAATGGCTCGACCCTTTCTTTGTTGTTCCAGGTATCTTTAGCCAACTGCATCCACTTCTCTTGCCTAGTCATATTGGCGGCCGCTTCTTGTTCAGGAGTCAACCTGTCCATTTCTTTGCTAAACATTTGATCGAGTAGTTCACAATACCGGGCAATACCCCCGCCAACAGCCTTGGCTAAGGCAGTCATGAACTTCGCGTAGCTGAGATCGTCATCCCAATTTAGTTGAGCAACTTGATCGACAACCTGATTGAATGACTGGTAGATGTCTATCACAGAAGTTGAATGACGTTCATCTTCTGTAGGCACTTGCTCTGGATTTTGAGTCCTGACCGCAAAGGTATCATGCTTGACAGCGTTTTCGACCCAACCAAGGACTTGACCTTCAGTTGACCGAATCCATTTCCAGACAAAATCGGCCAGCAAGTCTTCGATTTTGTAAGGAAATGGGGTGTTCGGCAAAGCATCGCTATGAACACGACGAAACTCACTCAAGTCTTTGTATAGATCGAACCCGTCCTGGATTGGAATTTCAAACTGAGTCTTTTCGGCCAGGATGAGGATCTGCTCAATCATTGCTTTGGAATCCTCTCCAAAGGCCGGAAGGGTAGTTTCCAGGAGGATCATCAATGGGTTGATGCCAAGAATCTCCGGGTTTTTCCTGAACCTTTTCTGGATTTTCTCCGCCAGCTTCAAAAGAGCCTTTGCAAGCTGTTGAATATGATAGAATTCCCACTTGTCATCCTCTTGGGGAAGCTCACGAGCAAGGATCGTGTTATACATCTTTTTAGCTTCAGCAATTAATCCATCAATAGCGGCATTCTTGAAGTCCTCGAAATCTTCCGAGCCTTGTGCGAAACTGGGATCACTTTTGACATGCTCGTCAACAATGGCCATGATGGCACCAAGCTTTGGCAGCTGAGCTTTGTCAGCATATGCGGTCAAAATCACATCATATAATTGCTGAAGTAGAGCGTTATATAGCGTGGTGAGGAGCTTTCCCATGAGGGCAAAATCCGAGATCGTCCAGTTGTATCGGTCGTAGAGCGCCGAAGTCATGATTAAAGAAGTTCTCTTGTTCTTTGCTTCTTCTGTAGGTGGTTCCTTGACATAGTTGAATGCAGCATCCAACATTTCCAGGCTGATGGCTTGCTCGGCAAACTTTTCACGAACAACGTCCAAGAATAGCACAATGCGAGTAAACTTTGGGATACGCCACCTCATTGCAATTTCATTCAATAGCTCAGTGGTCTTTTTGGAAAGTAGTTGGCCATTCTCCGGGCCATTGCCGGCATCGTTTGTCTGGTCATTAAGGTCGTGGTTCAGCGCCTGGAGTAGAATAAAGCGGAACATGGCTCTTGGGTCCGAAGGAATGAAAGTGTAGACGTGTGACCCATCGCCATTTTGGTGGGAGGAAGCGGACTCGGAAGAGCTCAGATCGAGAGAGCCCAGGTCGACAGGCAAGTCCAATAGGTATGAGGAGGAGTCGGTGGGTTGAGAAAGTACTCGAGAGACTTCTGCATAATGAGCGTCATTTGGTTGGGAGGATGAGGAATGGGGATTCAAGGTTGGTAAGCTTCCACCAGGAGTACTCTTGGCCAGCTGGGGATTGGACTGCATTATGGCCATCATCATCTGCGACAGGTCTGGACTTTCATTTCTCTTCCAGGTTTCATATGCTTCATGCGTGTCAAAATCTTCAGCATTCAAAGTCATCTTCGTACCCAACGTGAGATGCTGCTGGTAGGTTTTCAGGTCTTGTAGGGCCGCTTTCTCGGTCCATACAGGCTTGTTCTTGGTAATGTCGGATTGCAGCATGGTGTTTGTGAGACCGAAAAGTTTCCCCACCACCTGTACTAGAGGCATGTCTTTTACTTCATAGGACAGAGGGACGACCTCCTCGACCATCTTGAACTCTCCATTTGTCTGTGAACTGGCAAGATTCTCATCACCCTTTAGGAGCTTGGACTCTAGAGTAGCAAGACGACTTGCTAGTTCTGGCTTGTCCTTGGCCCAGTCGCGGTCCTTCAGGATCAGGGACAATAACCGAACGAAGAGAGCGACATGACGGTCAACCATGCGCTTGACGCCGTCATCACCGGGCGGTTTCCCTTTCTGGAGTTCTTTGGTGGCGTTGGAAAAGAAGATAAGGACGAGATCTTCTGCTCTCCGGTCGGCCTCCATGCGCTTTTTGAATTGGGGGTCGGACAGTGCATTGAGAAAGATGGCAAAGATGCGCTTGACCAAGGCATCTTGATATTCGGGTCTCTTTTCCCGGCCTATGAGAATGCCCTGTAGCCTCTTTTCCAACTCTTTGACAAAATCGTGGGGAAATCTTGCGGATTTGGCATCCCGAACCACAGTGAAGTCACTCATAAGATCATGAAAAGAGCTGGAAGTAGTTGAGCGATTGACCGGGGGCTTTGTCTCGACATGGCGCTTCCTGGTGGCTTTGGGCTGCAGCAGATAAGAGAGGTAAGCGGCCTTTAAAGCATAAATGTAGGCCTCGTTGGGGGTGAAGGATTTGGGACGAGGTTTGGAACGGCTTCTGGAAAGGTCCCTGGACAAGTCTCTGGATAATCTGGAACCATTTTGTAGGCTGTTCACACTCCGATTAGGCGGCCGGTGTGCGGGTTGGGACATATGGACAGCATTAATTGGTATAGGGCCGAAGGAGGACTGGCGAGATTGACAACGTCGAGGACGAGGCGATGAATAGGTGGGTGTCAAGAGCAGTGTCTGGTGACTGGATGCTGGGTCGTGAGGAGAAGTGAAATAATGAGCGGCCTTGGTCAGAGTCAGAGTCAGGTGGTGGAGGTAGTGGTACGCAGTCGCAGTCGGAGTGGGAAAAGAAGCAGCCTTGTGCACACTACTGTGCAGTGCAGTGTCTGGATTTCACAGGAGTGTAACTAGTACGGAGTAAGGTGCTCTGGGCAGTGAGTGACGGTGATGGTGGTGGTTATTCTGAGACTCCAGGCTTAAGGCCGATTCGGGCTGCGCCTTCCTATGGATTTTGGTGTGCTGCACGGTGGCACCCACTCACTTGTTCTCGTTCAGGTGACAAGCGGGGAAAATTGGAGGGGGCGGCGGTGTCCAAGGTTTGGGCTGAAATAAATAAAAGGAGCTGGAAGTGAAGGTTGAGTCGTGATATGCAAATGGTTCTCTTAGACCCAGGAGACTGTGGGGAGTAAGCTGTGTCGACTCTTATCCGTAGAATATTGTTCTGACAATTCAAGAAACGATGTCGGTCAGTGTGTGGTGAGTCGTGACTGGTATTCTAATGATGTAGTTATTTGGGTCACGGTCAGTCGGTTTCAAGTTTCAGGCTCAGGCTCAGGCTGCCGCTGCTGCATCCCTCACTGGCAGTAACCAAATAATAGTGGACTCTCGTTCCTTCCCTTGCAGTCATGGACTCATGGCTCCTTCCTTCCTCATGGGCATGCTCATCACGCGTGACTGCCCAACTTGGCCCACTGGCACAGTCACATGTCACAAGCACGCTTTATATTAATTCCACCTCCGACTTTCACCATCATGGCAACTTCCCTTACCAATATTGTCCACCATCAATCATCAATCAGGCCTGCCACTGCATGACAATCAGTTCTACCGGACCAGAGATCCATGCTATCATGACTGGCGGCGGCTGACAATCACGTGGCGGTTATATAAAACACAATACACCTGGCTCATGAGCCCACCTGTCCTGCCATCCCAATGCCGAGGTGCAAGGTAGGACGTGCTTAGGATTTCAACTTTGTAATTTCACTATATCTTCCCTCCTGGATCTCTTCCCCCCTCTCAATTCTTATCCCTCACATTCCAATCATGCTAATCAAAGATCGCACCTTCATCGTCTCCGGTGGTTCCAGCGGGCTTGGTCTGGCGACCGTCATCACACTCGTACAGAATGGTGCCAATGTCTCCATTCTTGATCTCAACCCTCCCCCTTCCGAAGCCACTTCCCCATTCGACTCGTCACGCATCCTCTTCACAAAGACCGACGTCTCCTCTTCTTCCTCTCTCCAAGCTGCTGTCAAATCCACTTTAAGATGGATCCTCGAGTCCACTTCAAAGCCCCTTGCTGGCACGATCTGCTCCGCCGGTATTGGTACCGCAGCCTTGAGTTTACCAAGACAACCCCCGAATGTCACACACGAAACAGTCAAGTACATGGACATGGCACAGTTTGACAGAACCCTAGCCATCAATCTAAGAGGCACCGTTGATCTCATCCGCTTGACCCTGCCACATCTCTCTTTAAATGAACCCTGGGGCGAAGATGGAGAGCGAGGCGTCATTATAGTCGTCTCTTCCGTTGCCGCCTTCGAAGGTCAAGTCGGTCAGCTAGCTTACTCCGCCAGCAAAGGTGCCGTCCGTAGCATTGTCTTACCGCTGGCACGAGAATTGGGCCAAAAAGCAGGCATCCGAGTCCTGGGCATCGCACCCGGTGCATTCCAAACCGGAATGACCATTCCCAAACCACCACCGCCGCCGAAGAATGGGGGTTCCTCGGCCCCAAAGCCAAAGGAAAGTACTGGTGGCCGTGCCGCCATCAATTCGGAAATGCTCCAATATCCCAAACGTATGGGTAAGGCCGAAGAGTTTGCCCGATTGATTCGAGACATGGTGGAAAACCCCATGTTGAACGGTGAAGTCGTTAGACTAGATGGCGCAGTCAGGATGCCAACCAGGTTGTGATTGACGAGGATTTGAATGCATGAATTATCTCCTTGGGACAGCATCCTGGGACAGGGAGGAGTGAGGGAGATTATCACCACGATGACAGGGGTCGAGCATGATAAAAACGCCCGTTCCACGCCATGAAATAAGTGAATTTATATGAAAAGGGCCATTACATAGCCTTGATTATTGGTTTATCTACCATCGTACCATTGGATACATCAACAAACCATACTTTGGCCATCCATCCAATCAATAGAAAAAGGCATTATGACATGATCTATATTATCGTGAGATAGGTTCATCCATCTAACCACTACTTTTCACCACTATAGAACCAAAAACGGAGAGAGCAGCATTCAAGGGTTTGCAGCCAAAGCATCGACCGTCCCCTTCTCCAGCACCTCGGTGCTCTGCGGCTCTCCAACCTCTACATTCGATGCGGCCACCACATCCGAACCCGCCACCTGTGCCTGTGCCTCAGCCTCAGGCACAGGCACGTCCTTCTCGAGCCCATCAGGCTGCGGAACAACGACGCCCTGGTCCTCCACCACAGGCACAGCGCGCTTCGGCACCAGGCCCAAACGCTCCATGCGCAACTCCATGGCGCGACGATGGGCATCCAGGCCCTCGACGCGCGCCAGCTCCATGACGGCGAACCCGACCTCGCCGACGCCCTGCTCCGTCACCTCGGAGCTGGTGATGTTCTTCATGAAACTGCCCAGGTTGACCCCGCTGTACTGTCGCGCGTAGCCGTACGTCGGCAGGCTGTGGTTGACGCCCGCGCTGTAGTCCCCCACGCTCTCGGGCGTCCACTGCCCGATGAACACGGACCCCGCGTTCTGGATGTCCGGGAAGGCGGCGTGCGGGTTGGCCGTCTGCAGGATCAAGTGTTCCGGTGCGTAGTGGTTGGACCATTTGAGCGCCGAGGCCATGTCCGGCACGGAGATGGTGATGCTGTGTTCGATGGCGCCGCGCACGATGTCGACGCGTGGGAGTTCGTGCGCTTGTTTGTGCACTTCGTCTTCGATGGCTTGGAGTTGCCCTTCCGTGAGGTCCACGGCGATGAGCACGACTTGGCTGTCGGTGCCGTGTTCGGCTTGCGAGAGGAGATCGCTGGCCACGAAGGCCGGGTCGGCAGTTTTGTCTGCGACGACCAGCACTTCGGATGGACCTGCGGGCATGTCGATTGAAACGGCCGCGGAGGTGTCATTGGAAACGATCATTTTGGCGGCCGTCACAAATTGGTTGCCTGGACCGAGGATCTTGTCGACCTTCGTGATCGACTCGGTGCCATATGCCATGGCGGCGACGGCCTGTGCGCCGCCTGCGAGGACGATGGCTTCGGCACCCACTTTGTGTGCAATGTAGACGATCTCGGGGGTGATTGTGCCGTCGGCCCGTGGGGGAGAGGCCATCACAATGTTTTTGCATCCGGCTGCCATGGCGGGAACTCCGAGCATGAGAGCTGTCGAGGGTAGGACGGCTGTGCCGCCAGGGATGTAGAGGCCAACCTTTTCGATTGGTCTCGAGAATCGTGAACAGGTCACACCTGGCATTGTGTCCACCACAAGTGGGGCAGAGGGTTTCTGTGCGGAGTGGAATTTGAGGATGTTATGATAGGACGTGTTGATCGCTTTGATCGTCTCTTCAGGCAGTTGCATAAGAGATTCGGGAAAGGGGGCTTTCAAGACAGGCGATTTGAGGCTCGTGGCCTTTTCGAACTTGTGCGTGTACTTCAACACAGCAGAGTCGCCTTTTTCGCGAACATCTGCAATGATCGGTTGGACCAGCGCCATGATTTTTTCGTTCGACTTTTGTGAGGGCCGCTGCAGAGCAGATCTCAGGACATCGTCTGAGAAGGCTTGTGATGTGGAATAGCGTTTCATTTGTATCCTTCCAGATGCTGTGCCCGCCGGATCTGAGGGTGCTTTTGGTATCGAGGCGGCTTCCTTGACTTCTTCATCTTGATGACCGTTCGTGATCTTCTCCTCGGGCTGATTTTTTGCTCCATTGGTAACTTCCTCGTCAACATATTGTGGTTTCGCATCACCCTTCCTCCGCTTGACTTTGAGGCTCTTGAGGTCCAGATTTCTTTCAATGTCTTCGAGTGTAACATCCGCAGCTATACACCTTGCAAGTGCAAAGTACAGTAAATCTGCCGCCTCGGAGGCGATCTCTTCCTTCGTTGAAGCTTCGCAAAGCTCATCGGCTTCCTCCTTGATCTTGGCATTTACGAGTTTGGGGTCATTGAATAGTCGATTGGTATATGATCCCGCAGGGGCGTCAACCTTTCGCTCCTGAAGAGTGCGTTGCAGTCTTGATAGGCCTGATACCTTACCCCAGCATGACATAGTTCCTAAATGGCAGAAGCCTCGGCCTTTTTGATGGACCTTGAAAATCAGGCAATCTTTATCGCAATCGAAACCCATGCTGATGAGCTCTTGAGTATCCCCACTCGAAGCACCCTTGTGCCACAGACCTCTTTTACGGCTCTGATAGACACCAGCACCGGTCTTTAATGCTTCAGCGACGCTCTCTTTGCTGCTCCAGACGAGCCCAAGAGCCACATCACGTTCGTCAACCACAGTTGTTGCATATAGCCCAGTCTTCCTGTCAGGAGTCGCACCAGCAAGGACTAAGTCGACTGCTGGAATCAGCTTTTCATTTCCTTCCTTAGTTGAGTCGAAAGTCAAGGACTTGGAGGAGATTATGAGTGCATTTCCGGGATATTCGTGGAGTAGGTGTCTGCCGTCCGTCTCTCTGGTCACGGTGACGAAAATTGTTTGATCTGAGCTAGGTGGATAGTTCCCTAGCTCTTTCAGAACAGCATCGACATATTCGTTTCCCTTGTCTCCATCAACGGCCCATTCTGATGTCTTCCATTTCGGATTGGCCTCCAAGAAAGCCTTTAACTTGGTAAGGTCTGTTTTCGGGTTGTCGAGACTAATCGTGAGGACCAAGCGGTCGGGTGATATGGTTTGCTCTTGAGACAGTGCTTTTAACTGCTCAAAAGTGACGAAGATCTTAGATGCTCCATTGTTGAGGACGTCCACGACACTATCCCAGCTTTTGAGCTTTCGGACGTCGAAGAGTATAGATAACTTTGAAAAGTTCTGACGTAGAAATGAGAGGTTCGAGTCGAAGTTCTCTGGGGTTATTTGAATGAGCGTCTGACCAAAGTAAGCCACCTGGTCTAGGGTCAGACCGGTGGGGTTTGGCTTTGAGATCGCCTCTGGATTGATGGATACTAAGAGTCCGACTCCCATCTTCGACTGTTATGGGGAGTCGAATGTCGAGTGTTTGTCGCGTATGTATATGGCGATGGTGTAAAAAGGAAGATTTAAGCCTTGGGAATGCGGCAAAGAGGGTTGAAGGGTCGTGCAGTAGGACAAGGATCCTCAACGGTTGCAATAGTGACTCAATCGCAGCTGCGGGCAAACTAAAAAAAATCGGTGCTGAGGGGCCTGCTGGAACGATAACTAAAGATAAGACCATATGGGGAAACTAAGCCGATAAGCTCCCCCAACTTTTCGGAGAAATTGACTAAATACCGCCGAGATCCCCAACAGCGTCGAGGTTCAATTTCACAGCCTCGCAACACGCACGTAGTCTCAACCATCAACCATAGGTATGCGAAGTGACACTGTAGATCATCATTCCAAACTCGTCGACACCCGACAACCACCTTTCGATTCGTTTCCGCCCTTCAACATCACGTTGTCCGTCTGCAACCCAGAGTTCGCTGATGAGAAACTGGCCACCCAAACTCCACTCGCGACGGTATTGATCGTAAGCCTTCTTCCAGATCTCGCGGGTGCTCGCACTCCAAAGCCGTTTACTGGCAGGAGCCAGCAACTCAGCTAGTTCGGTGGCAATGAATGACGGTGAACCAACAGTGAAATTGACCAGATTGTCGAAAAGTGACAGCACGAATAATGTTCGTTGAGTAGCGGACGCCATGATCCACGACTCCCAGGCTTGAGGACTCAAGGTGGTGTCGGTCAAGCACACTGTGCCTTTCCCGACAACATCTCCAGCCAGATCTTGCAATTTGACCATGAAATCTGTATTGACGAACTCGTCTTTGGTGTGATAATGGAAGAAAAGCATCATTGTGTAGAGCAGATATGCTTGTAAAGCAGCCAGCAACTCCACCTGGTCATATTTCGCTCGCTATCCACCAGCCATTAGACTTCTGCTGGGGATGGTGTAGGAGCTAGGGTACGTACCGAGTCATATAAGTCATCCATGTTTGCCTCAAGACTCATGGCAGACATCATATCAACAGAAAGCAGTCCTAGTTCGATCCACCTGTGGCTCGTAGTGGCGAATTCAATCAAGGCCTTACTTTTCAGTACCTTAATTTGTGCCCAGTGGATAAAGGGAGGCCAGGAAGTCTCTGTAAACATTGTTGTGTATGTACTCAAAACGTGCTCAACGAATTTCATGGTGGCGGCGGTGTATGGTTTCGATCGCTGATCATCTGAAGGGAGCAGACTCTGGAGCCACCGAGCACGGACTTTGTGTTCGTCCACCACCCTGACCAGTTCAATACACTCGAAGTTGAGCTCTCCCTCATTGTCGAGATAGGAACGGTCATTGATTGTTGCTTCTCTCACCGACGTTAGCCAGTGGTCCACACTCTTCGGTTCGACATATGTGCAATCTAGAGCTCGATTTCGGCATCTGGTACATTCTGGTCGACCAAGGTCACAACGAACCTTGGCCGTGGAACAATTTGCGCAAGACTTCTTTCTGGCTGGCTGAGTCTTAGAGGCCATATCCCATGGATAACATGACCCGCCAAGTAAAATGCCGTGGGGCACTGTTTGCAGTATCGCTCAAAGAGGATCTATTCTAGACTCCTTGGAAGGGCCAACCTAAGTTTAGTGACTATTCAAGCCATCCTCGATTAGTTAATTCTGGCGCGGGGATCGCCGTGGGTACCTACTCGTAGGGGATTATGAGGAAGCTTCAGAGAGCACCAGCACAGAATATCCGATTCTCTTCTTGACCACATAATATTTCTGAGATGCCTTTCCCAGACTCTGTCACTCCTCCAGCATCGTCCGAGCTCTCGATACCTAACGAGGAGCTGCTTAGAAGTTGAAGTGGAGATACGTCACTCAACGCAGCCACCCCCTCCGGAACTCCGATGATCCCTGTCGCCTCACAGCACGAGTATTGTGTTTATATAGCATGAGTTCTCCCAAAGCAATGCGATCTTACTCAACTTGAGAAAAAACCCAAAGCAAACATATTCAGTCAAGATGTCCGCACAAAATGAGGAAGTCGCACCTTTCACTATCTTTACGAGGGCCCAGAAAGCCTTGATTATAGGAATTGTTTCCATTGTCGCAACTCTTTCGGGATTTGCGTCTAACATATATTTTCCTGCAATACCTCAAATATCCGAAGACCTAAATGTATCAACCAACCTCGTCAATTTGACCGTCACCTGTTATATGATATTCCAAGGGCTCTCACCGACAGTTTGGGGGGCTCTCAGCGATGCCAAGGGCCGCCGCATCACTTTTCAACTTACCTTGTTGATCTTCTTCGCAGCGTGTATCGGGCTCGCGGAAACAAAAAGTTATGCGCAGCTTGTGGTTCTCCGTTGTATGCAGAGCACCGGAAGTGCAAGCACAATCGCTCTTGGTGCAGGAGTGATTGGGGACATCACCACAAAACAGGAGCGAGGGGGTTACATGGGTGTATTCCAGGGTGGTCTTTTATTGCCAGTTGCAATTGGTCCCGTCATTGGCGGCCTGTTAGCCGACCACTTGGGTTGGCTGGCAGTCTTTTGGTTCCTGGCGATATATGGCGCTGCTTGTTTTCTACTGGTAGTTGCTGCTCTCCCCGAAACGCTGCGGTCAATCGTTGGAAATGGTTCCGTCAAAGCCAATGGTTTGGCGAAATCGTACTTGGGGGTTTACCAGAGAACACGATACTTCAAGAGTATCGAAGATAGCACGTTTGCGTCGCAGCAAGGTCAAGAACCCCCCAGGAAGGTGGATCTGTTAGGATCGTTGCGAGTTTTGACGCATCCCAACACATTTGTTGCCATAGCATTTGTTGGAATCCATTACATGGTATGGCAGATGGTGCTCACGGCATTGTCGACGCTCGCGAAAGGAGTTTACCATACTAGTGAGAGCCAGATAGGGTTGCTTTTCCTTGCCAATGGAGTTGGGTCGATCATTGGAACCTTGTTGACAGGCAAGCTTCTTGACTATGACTATCGAAAGATGGTCCAGGAATGTGGTGGAGACGAAACACATGTACCAGCGGAAAAGGCACGCTTGAGGACCATCTGGATCTGGAGTTGTATACAATGTGTGGCGGTCCTCGTATTCGGTTGGACTGTGAACTATGCCACGCACATATCAGTCCCGGTAATTGCGCTCTTTGTGCTCGGCTGGACAGCGATATCGATTCAGAGCGTGGTTTCGACTTTCTTGGTGGACATTCATCCTGGTCAAAGTGCATCAGCCACCGCTGCTCTCAATCTTGTACGATGTCTGCTGGGAGCCGGTGGGACGGCGTTTGTCAATCCAATGATTGAGAAGATCAACGTTGGCTGGACCGCAACTTTCCTGGTTGGACTGATGCTGCTTGTCAGTGTCGGGACAGTTCTCAAGGTGGTTCATGGCGCACGATTAAAGCGCGGGACTGGTTCTGCGCGTGCAGAAGAGGATGCGCTGAGCATCAAGGCTTGACTGTAGCCAATTGATACTTGATCCAGGTTGAAAATGTTAATGTCAGGTCGCGTCAAAACGCGTTTAACACGGAGCAACGGCCCCTTCCAATCAGGCATCAGGCTCCTGAACCGTGCGCAAAATAGAACTAAATATCTTGGAAGGCTCGGATGATAAACCTCGGAACTTGAAACCACCGCGCAAGGCGGATGCCAAGCAGATGCCTAACCCGACTTGCATGTCAATCGTCTAGCAAAAGTCTCGACCTCGGTGGGAGTCACTCCTGACCGTCTTCGATTGTCTGACTCGTAAGGTACGCAATTTAACTCAAGTCATAGTACCTAGGTATCTTTCAATTTCGCCCGGACATGCGCAGGTCCTATATATCATTGAAGGACGCAACACACCGGTGTAACTCATCAATCCTATGATGACTACCCCCTATGATCCTGGGGCACACAGCGATGGAAGCGATGAAAGCGATGACAACGCGCAGAATCCAGATCGCTCTCCATCAAGCACAAGAAAGGTACGATCTAGCAGAGCTTGCATCGCGTGTCGGCGCATGAAAACGCGCTGTGAAGTTGACGAGGCCCTCGGAAATGCCTGTAAGCTATGCATCAGAGCGAGGAGACAATGTGTAATGCAGTCTATCCCGCGTCGTCGTAAACGAAAAACCACAGAACGAGTGGCCGATCTCGAGAAGAAGATTGAGCATTTGACCACACTTCTCTCCGCAACAGAGTCAAACTCAAACCATGCGACACCCAAATCCGCCACGGGGAGTGTTCCAACAGGGAAGGGATCAGGGTCAGAGACGGAGCCAACTTCTGAGGCCCTCATTGATCGAGCAATCAGTCGTGGACTCCTCGACTGGCAAACTGCATGTACAGCTTTTGACCGCTACAATAAGCAGATGTGTCAATTCTCTCCATTTGTTGTGTTCCCACCGAATTCCGACCCCGCCACAGTCAAGGAACAACAACCTCTTCTCTTCTTCGCTATTGTGAATGCGGGAACCGCTTCCATCCATAGCCCGTCCAAGTCCGAGCTAGCGAACATGCTTGCTAGAGACTTGGCTCTAAGGATCATGTATAAAGGAGAGAGGACACTGGAAATCATTCAAACTCTGCTTGTTCATGTCACATTTTACGCACGACCAAGGCACACCAAGGAGCTCAATTTCAATCAGATGATACATATTGCAAGTACGATGGCATTGGATGTCGGTTTGGGCCGAAGGTCCCATAAATCCATGTCTTCACAAACCCCAGGCCAGCATCAGCTCGAATCCTTGGCTAGCCGCCGAGCTTGGTTAGGTTGCTACTATGTTGCGACAAGGTAGGAAAAGAACACCTGGATCTGACTTGCTGAACTAATGGCTAACAGTGTCTCAATCACCCTGCGACATCCAGCATTTGTTCGATGGTCGATCTATATTGAGGAATGCCTCGAGGTGTTTTCGTCAGACCCAGGAGCGCTACCGAGCGACTACTGGTTGGTCGATCTTGTGCGGCTCCAGCACATATCTGAAGATGCGTCTACTGTCTTCTCCATGGATGATCCCGGCTCCACAATAGACCTTCGAGATGTCAAAGTCCAATATCAAATTGGAGGCTTCCGCCAGCAACTGGAGCGCTGGCGTCAGAATGCCATCTCTGACATCACGCAACGTGAGTTCTGCAAAGTTTGGCAAGTAGATCATCCACTAATCATTGACCATAGCGTACGCCCGGCACGTCGAAGCAAATACTGCTTTATTCATTCATGAGCTTGCCTTACATTCGGAGCACAACGTTGATGAGTTGCGGGCCCCATTACGACCAGTAAATGCGGCCGCAGCCGCATCTGCAGCCGCGGTCGATAGTCTAGCGGCTTCCCTGGAAGATTTGCACGTTGCACCTGCCAGGGTAGAGTGTCTTTTCAACTGCCTAGCAGCCATTCATTCAATCTTCGATGCTTTTCTCTCCATGGACCTGAGCACGTTATGTGTCTTACCTAACCTTTATTTTGTTCGCACTGGGTATGCCGCCAGAGCTCTTCGAAAACTTCTGACTATCTGTGAGACTCAAGCTCGAGCAGGCACCCAGTTTCAAATCGATGCCAAAGATTTGAAATTCGTGGAGTACATGACATCTTTGATAGAGACGTTTAAAAGGGTTCATGCTGCGAACAATTCACAAGTTGCACGGGCGTTCAGTGTTGTTCTTTCACAAATGAAATCACAAGCACTGAAAGAACCGAATTTCGCAGCTGGAGTTGGTCCTCCTGAAGATCCGATCAAAGAGACTGAACAGAGAACAATAAGGCCTCGGATCAATTCGCAACCTGTACCACAACAACATCTTCCGATTCTTCTTCCTCGAGATCCTTCACTTTCGTTATACCCTTCGAACCCGCTGCCATATTTCGCATCAAACAATGTCCCCACCATTCAAACACAACACCATCAAGTGCTTGACAACCCAGTCAGCTTTGACTCTCCAGTGAACGTCCCAATATGGTATCCTAGTGAAGCGAACGATTCTTACATGAGCGGTATCGATGTTTTGCAATGGTACGGCCAAGACTTCATGTTTGACGGGGTTTCCACCTTTGGCTACGATCATGCAACTTATCCGCCTGGAACAAGCGGATGGCAGCAACAATAACAAACACATCTTCCAGCAAGTCGGCCACTAACAACCGTTGATCCGCAGAGCACTGGCAAATCCAAGCCGCCGTGGCCTTCTGACACTGTTGGTTCGCCATGCTCAAAGACTTCATAGTCAGATCATCAGCATCCACACCCCTTGACCGTTTCTAACGCTAAATTCGGGCTCGGGCGTGGAACTACAAGTCGACTGGGCAGCGTCTATTGGTTGCGCTTCAGTCATGGTCACTGTTCAGTGACGGACGTAGAGCTGGTTTCAGAGGTGGGAGTTAGGCAGAGTTTGGAGATTTCCTTCAGTGTTCACGGGCGCTATACCCCGCTCGCATCCCCTGCACGATTCTGCTGCAAGCTCTCAAGGACCAACCACTTGTCTTATCAGGCCCTAAGCAGAAGGCAACTATTCGCTGATCGAGTACCACCCTGGAATCACGCGTGCAGATGCCTTGTCAGGAAATCAGAACAAATGATCGTCACAAATTTCAGCCTCTGGAAGTCAGCCTGATCGCGCACCACAATCTTGCAACCAAACAATACGCAACTCTATGAACCTTGAATGTCAGGTTCACTCCTGCCACAACATTTGGGAATAATCTGGAGAATTCAATGTCACATTTCCTGTCTATCGAGTCTGTGCTACCCCCGTGAAAATTGGGCAACACATCATCAAGTCAGCACAATATTATTGAGCAAGACCTGTATCACAACCTAGTTATGGGCAGTAACATGGATTTTCGTAAATGGGATCCACAGAAACCGCGAAGAGCAGAAGCCATCTCTTCAGCAACATGGGCTTCCCATCAGAATACGATTACCGAATGGCATGCTCGAGGCCTCACGAAGAAAGAGATCCTCGGGAAATTATCTATCGAGCACGGCTTCTTCCCCTCGTAAGTTCCACACACGGCACCAATCCATAGCATGCTGTCGGAGGAGGTCACTTGATCATGAATCAGCTGACCACCATGATGTTATTTCCTGAAGGAAAAGCCAACTCATCGCTCGAATGGGTATATGGAACCTGCAATCTCACCGAAGGGGCCCACTAGCCCTCGAGCATGCCAACCTTTCCCTGGAAGATTTGTTCAGCTCGGTGGTCAGCACAATGCCAGAACCTCAACCGGCAACAAGATCTGGGCATGGCCATAGCCTATCACTATCAAGACAGACAGACCAGCGTTTGCCAAAGTCTGTAAGTGCACCAACCGTGCTTACGTTCACCACTAGTCGACCGCCTGAATTGAATCGCTTGACAATCTCAAGTTCGTCGTTATCACTGTCTGCGCAGGTCCAATGTCTCGACCAACGTGAGCTCCCTCACCCTGGATGGGCGCAGACGAGTCCCCGAGCGATCGATATATTCACAGATCACCTCAATGCTCTTCTACACTACTTCCCCCAACGGCTGCTCCTTCATGATCGAGTCTTTGAGTCTGAGGCTACAGACACGGTGAGTTCATGGTGTATCGACAAACTTTTGAAGCTAGCGGATTATCTGTCTGCTGGAGGTCTCTCCCGAGATTCATTTGACACATATTTGACATGTTTCACACATGTCGTGTTCTACTTTCCAACAACTCTATGCATGAGCGAAGATGAATATGCATATGCCAACGAGCAATTTGCTGCCTCCTTGTTGCAAAGGATCAAGGATATTTCTTGTCACTTCGCAATTTTTAGTTTCTTGATGACAGCAGCTATCGGTTGCGTTAGATCTTCTTGCACACTGGATGATGCAAGTTGTGCAGGCAGACTCTTACGAATACTGATGAACGTGCTGAGCGACTGCACTGAAACATTCTTAGCACCTATAACACTACTCTATCACTATCATCGGGATCTTGAGCAATTCTGGGCACCCGTCGGATTTTCTTGGTCGATCGACCCTGTTCGTCGTGTTACTGAAGAAAATGTTACAAACAACGCATTCTCCACATTGACCACAGGGGCCAAAGATCGGGAACTAGTATTTCTATCCTCTAAGGAGCAGATTGAATTTGCTTACCCGACAGACAACTTCTGGGTCGGGTCCAAGTTTTTCGACATCAGTCACGACAGAATCGCTAGACAATTCATTGGCAATGCATTCATAAGATCAAAAACCGTCGAATTCATCGAATGGTGCAAGCAAATTATCATACTCAATCAGAAGACAATAGAAGACAGACTCATGGAAGTGCAGCATATGAGATTGGAGTACGAAGAATTTCAAGACATGGCTTCACAATTACTATTCTGGTCCTTCGTACACGAGAAGATATGCAGTGAGGGGACTTGCTCACTTGATGATAGTAACTATGCTTCTTCCAATGTCTCACGGTTCGGCATCAATATTCCCGAAGCATTTGCCGTCATCACATCGGTCCTGACAAAGAAGAATCAGTGGCCAAAGACGTTTCGGGATATGGCATCTGGTAGCCTTCAGCCATCAACTTTCCTCACGTGGGTGCTGCAAAGGCTCCAAACGCTAAAGTCTGAAGATGGTGTCTTGGATTTCATCTACAGATACTTCAAACGCACACTGCGCCACCAGTCTGGGGGTGTCTGCACCTTACTCCCAAGTGCGGTATTTCTGGGACGAAAGCACACTCTTACGATTGCGGAGCATCTCTTTGATTGTCCTGCTGGCAAATGTGTCCACGCCAGGAATGCTGCGCCCGCACAAGCAGATGATATAAACCTCCAACCCAGTGATGTTGCAATGCAAGACATTGACGACGCTACCTCGACAGCCGAGCAATCTGGTATCGTAGAATACCCTGCATACCAGACGGCAACATCGAGATTGCAGGCCTCGCTGGTGAGCATGCGGAGGTCAGGGGTCGCTTCTTCGTCATCCTCAATGAGTGGTGAACAGCGTGAGTTCCGTTCTTTGGCTCGACAACTACAGCAAGAGGCATGGCCCTTCAATAGGGTGAGGAATCGTGGGAGAGATGAACGCAGCGCCGATCAGACTTCAATCTCATCACACGAAAGCTGGCGATTTGAGCGCGTTAGCGGCATGCCATGAGCTAACATGGACAACTTGCATCTCTCCAAAAATTGCAATCAATGCTTCCTCAATGACGCTTGATAGTCTCACATCCCAGCGAGCTATCACTGTGTCTAGGACATCACCTGCGCTCCGTTTAAGTCCTCCACCACCTTCTGAACTCGCTTGGTCTTTGAATATATATCTGCCACGGCAAGGAGACGCTGTGGAGGTGTCTACAAAAATCTTAGACCTGGGCCAAAATGGCCTTGAGTTCAGTCATTCTGGAGGCGCTCTAACGTCGTTTCTCAAAATCGGCAAAGCCACGCTAACCACATGCACATTGGCACTGTGCTATTTAAGCAGTGAAAGCGAGTAGAGCTTCTCAACCTTCGAACTTGGGAGATCCGAGTCTTAACCCAAGATCGCCAAGCTTTGAGGACGGGGGAATCGTTCGACTGCCTGGTGTGAGTATCCAATGTTCGAACAATGACAGGCCGCATTGACATAGAACGGAAACGATACTTAATGTATGAGTGTGTTACCCATGTTGTCTGGGATCATGCAATTCCATGTGCCAGAAATGAATGACAGATGGACGAAGGGAAAAGCCATCGATTGTGGTGGGCATAACGCCGATGTACTAGTTGGGTCACTCCGTCAATCGACTCACGTGTTGCGACAAAGGTCAAGTTGCGTCTCTGTATGGCTGGAGCACTCTCTCAAGCGGTGCAAACATATTCAGATGTAAAAGCAGAACCAACCGCTGCAGGAACACCTCAAAGCCGCAGTGTATGGACAGAAGTTCACTACAATTTCTGATGGTTTACGTTAGATATGCCTACATATGAGAAACAATATAACAACAACTCAACACTTTTCCAAATGTCATGCACCTGTTGTGGACCAGCTATTCTCGCCGTGAGCATAGTCCATGCCAGGCATCCTTCACGGTCTTGATGCAAGAGCATTGAATTGGAAGTCGTAATGCTAGATAATCAGACCATCGATTTACGTCCGTGGCCTGACAACACTCCCCTTAGGCCGTGCTTTACCGCTATCAGCCGCTGGCCCTATCAACAAATTATATGTAGTTTGTTCTACAACTCTCGGAGGACGCCCAGCCACAGTGGCGACCAGTAGGATGAAGTCGGGAGTATGGTTGACGATGAGCATAGATGCTTGCTCCTGGCAATGATACGTATGAACGTAGAAGACGAGAGTATGTCATCCACATGTCTAAATGCACCTCGGACACAGACCAGAACAGCCCATGTGCGAGCTGACCTGACCTGAGGTTTGACCCATGTCGAAAATGATGGCGATGAAAGAGGGGGCAACTACATCGTTAGTTAATCCAACATCCATGCCAACCGGGTCCCTCATTCGTAGTTCAATTCACGATGAATGCCCACCACCCACACTTCTCGGATTGAGGACACACGACCAAGTTCCAACTTTCACACCCGCAAAGCATTATTGATCGATATTTACGAGTCAAGAAACCTAGTCTCGGAAATGTAGACACGAAAACCAACACCGAGGGCCAATCAACATATCCTCGGGCCGAGTCGCACGGCGGGCAAGGTGTGTGTCCAGATCCTCGGTATTGGGCATATCTTGTGGTTGTGGGTGGTTTTTTGGGTTCCAAGGTTTGTGGGGAAGAAGAAGGGTGGTTTCGGCCAACTTCCATCATTGATTATCGTTTTCGTCTCGTCTCGTTCGTTCGTGCCTGGGATTCGCGCAGGACGTGTTCGTCGAACTAAGTCAGTAGAAAGTCCATGCGGGACGGCACGCCTGCACTTTCACGATAATGCAGCAGACGAATCGACGGGGTTGACTGGGGTCTTGGGAGGTCGATAACGACTCGTAAAGACCGGATATAAGTGATGACAGGGAGAGATGACGGGAGGAGGTGGTTTCAGCAATGAGAAGGTTTTATTGGGTGAATGACTACTCTAAAAAGGTCGACTACCCTTGGTAAGAAATGAATAGCAGGACCCCATTCGGGGATTGATTCCCATTCCCATTCTTCTTCCCATTTCTGAAAAGCCCCACTTTCAAGGTCCTGTGCGCATTATCTAGCGGCACCCCCTTTGGGCGTGCGATTTGTCCCATTCCTCCGAATACTGTGGTTTTTCGGGGATTTCGATGATAACCATCCCCCCCTTTGTGTGTCTGATCCTTCACACCTCCAGAATAGAGGGCGTAGATACTAAGACTTTCCCTGGTACCTTTGCAACATGATAGTGCTTGATGCGTTGTGCAACTCCTGCCTCGACAATGACATAGGAAAAACGAGGGGATATCCGGCTTGCTTATCTTTGAGTCGAACGAGGTCGACCAGTTTGGAGAAGGAAATTCGTGAAAAATGATGTAATGCCATCGGCGGTGATAAGATACATACGTGAAATATAGTGCTGTGCAAGAATCGATTCAGGCTCTCTCTCAAGACTTTTTTGCTAGCGACGACGAAGTAATACCAGACAGGGCGGCGGAGATCTAGTTGCCAAGCTTCAGGAACTGATGAAGACCAATTTTCTGGACGGCGACTGGTTGCTCGGCCTCTTCGGCAACAGCGACTTCGACGTTGACATCCTCGGTGGGAGATGCAACGATCTCGGTCTCAGATGGCAGAGTGGGCTCATCGGCAGTGTTGGAGTCAGCGGTGGCAGTCGATGAAGAGCGGCGAGCCTTTTGGACTACAGGTACGACAGACTCATCGCTCTCGGTGTTGGAAAAGGGAGCGATAACAGCGACCCGATGAAGGGTTGGGATGAGTGAAAGGAAGCTGTTGACTGGAGAAGACATCTTGACGTTTGTGGAGTGGTAGTGGTGTTGTGTGGAAAATGGGTCTGGTGCCAGAAATGCTGGTTATAAACAGGGTCGAATGTGATGAAATCAGGAACGACTTGTCAAAGCGAATAGACAAAGAAGCCGGTAATGAGTTTGTTTTATAACTGATGGTGGCTTTGTTGGATGATATGACGCAAAGACCAGGTGATTATTGACAATTTTGCCTCGGTGTTGCGGATGTCACGGGGTCGGATTTAAGCCTCGAGGCGAATATGTTGCTGGAGTGAGAGCTTTGCTTGGTCTGATGACGGCAAAGGCTTAGAAACCAAAAAGAATTGTTTCGTAAGTTATGATTTGTTAGCTCGAGCAGAGAAAGAGATTGGTTTTTATCACTCATCATTCCGAGTATGGAGGGGGCTTTTGGTGCGTTCTTATAGAACTAGCATCCCACCTGGACGCAATCGTCGAGATAGGAGGACCTACCCTGACGTGATCGTGATGCCGCCCACGGCGCCTTACCTTAGCATGAAGCATGTTTGAGGCAAGCTAATACCAAACAGTACTTGAGATGATCACGGGTGAAGCCGGTGTAGAGTAATTGGCTGTCCCACATTGCAGTTCTGTGGGAGTGCTTCATGGACAAGATTAGAAGCCCTGGAACAAGACGGTGTGAATGGCGGGAATGTGCAGGATCTGGAAGTCTAGCCGCATGAAATTGCGGCTAACCTCGGAAGAGTGGCATGATGGACTGTGGATTCTTGGTGGCTGATGGACCGAGCTGCAGCAATCCCATGCAATGGCTCTTGCTCATTTCTGAGGACTCTGAATCTCAACAGAAGCATGTCCTGAGAACAATCAGACATGGGTGCCGGATGGGAGAACAAAGCTGTTCACCACTTGGTGGCTTTAAAATCTGTTGGTCATAAGGCTTGGTAAGCCTAATGACGGCGATCTCTGGTGGTTGTTCCCAGGCAAAAGAGAGTACGTGGCCAAGGCTAGAGGCTGGTTTGGCTGGTCTCCCACATTCTCAGTCTTGCACTCTCTCTCATGGATACGAGAGAGCCAGCGCTTGCATGCTAGAAAATGGCCATTAGATTCAGGGACAGGGACAGCCAGCCAACATCCCACGGAATGGAGCGGATCGTCGTCGGAAGGCATCTGGATAATCAGTGGGATGGTATAGCCTAAGGGGTGACAATCTAAGACGGCGGTTTCGACTTCCATGTCTGATCCTTCAGTCCGGGCACAGAACACGGTCTACCTCGTACCGTGGATATTGTGTCACTGAGTTACTGCGTAGCCAATCGAGGCACGTGCCTACCCGATAGGTGATTTTGAAGAAAGAAAAATTGGAGGATTGGACATGAGGTGTCGTGGGCGGTGTAAAAGTTCAAAAAGAGGTGAGTAGGTTGCATGAATATCAAAGTCTAGACGGTAGAGGAATATCAAGGAGTGAAATCCTAAGAATGAGATGATAAAGTGACTCTTTGCTGCCGAAGTCGGTGCTGTTGTGGCCTTGGCGCCCGCACGTCCCAGCAACGTCTTGTGCAACGCTCCAGGAAACCCTCACGATTTCGGAGCTGCCTGTTCTCATGAAGTCTTTCCCAACGTCTCTTTCTTCCCATCGAGTCACACCACCTATGGCTGGTATCTTACAGGCTTCTGCAATCGCAAACGTCCCAACGAGGAAGCATAGAGAGTAGAAATGGCTTGCAACACTCTCGTTCTAGACAACTCTCTTGACCTAACCTGGTTCATCATTTACTCCCAGAACAGGCCATGCTCGTGTTCAAAGGAGTCGAGAGCACACAGGCGATCAGTGTCCGATCAGTGTAATGCTACACAACATCATCGTTACAACGTTCCCGACTGGGTCTAAAAGCCAATAGCCGCCTTCGCCCGTACCCGCGAGGCCATATCCGATGCGACCTAGTGATGGCCGTTGTCAAGAAGCAGATGAATAACGCTATTGCGCTTCAAATGCATGGGCGGTTCGGACCTACCGCGACATATGAGCCCCTCTTCTACCCTTCGCCTTTGCTCTCATCACGGCAAAACTATCCGGTCCTTCCTGATTCAATACCCTGTCGAAGTCGAGTACACTAACTCAATTATGGAAAGAATGGATAAACAAGGGGGTCGCCGCACATTACTTTAATCTGCCCCAATACCTTATATGTCACGCTCTCCTATAGCACTGCAAGGGCGGGAATACTAAGTGTAAAAGGCTTATCCCTGCTCTACCATCCGCCGGCCTGCTGCGTGGACTATAAGTCCCGTGAGCTAAGACGATATGTCAGGACAATTTCTACAAGGATCTAACTGCATATCAAGTCTGTTTAGTTATCTGCTCGGATTTTTTATCTCCATCTCAAAGTGATATGTCACATATAGGTATGATGCATCCACTTTCATACGTGTCTCACTTGCGTTATCGGATTATGGCCATTCGAGAATGATCACCACGGAAGAGGAACGGCCCTGAACGGCGGCATGCATCCAAACGAACGGGGCAACGAATGCAACGACCTTTGGTGTATCACCTCTTCCTCTCGAATGAGGTAACAACCGGTCTTTTAGACTGCAATTGTACAGCTTTTTCGTCCCTTGCAATCCTATTCTTTCTACCCCAGCAAGGCATCTTCTGTGGCAGAGCTCAATTACATATAGGATGCATCCCTGACTCAGGCTGTTGATTTTGTGTTGATCTACCACGAATCTTCAATATATGTTCAGGCAATCCTCGTATCAAGGCTAACATCATCATCGGAAACTCATCTCCCACAAACTCATCTCCCACGTCAGTACATAGCCGTTATTTCGACCATGTGTCAAACAGTTACAGTGATATATGCTACATGTCAGAAGGCGAAAAAACACACGGCACTTGAGGTTCATACATGCAGGAAGGAGGGCCAAGACGGCCATACAAGAGACTTTAGCACGTCAATAGACCGGGTCTCGTGTCTGAAGTGTTTTCCCAGGAACGGGACAGCCAACGCCTTATCGCAGCGTCATTGATGGCAAACGAAGGATATGCCAAGCCCGATTTATGGTGATAGAAGTCCCCCAATAGCGAGATTTCCATCTGATTCGGAATTCAAGCACCACGATTTTTGTTTGCTCGAAAACACTTGAGCTCGATTTCTACGGCCGCGGTGCAGGCTTATTTGGAAGGGACTCTTGGCTGAGGAATTACGCGTGTTTACAATTACCAGTCATGACTATGGTCGTTTCATGTATGTAGCTGAGGAGGAGCTTTTTTGGATCAAAGTCTTACGGATAGCTTGGGTTGGTACTGAGTACCGGAGAGTAATTGGATACTGTAGTAACTAACTGCTCATTCATCATGTGGTAATTTCAATCGTTGCGGAGGCATTCATCATAACTAGCCCCAAATATATAAGCCGGAACATTACCCAGGTACCTAGATAGACAACTCGTGAACCAGTCTGATATCAGGAATGGGTCGCCACTGCTAGAAACCCTTTGTAGGTACAAAGCACAGTAGGGTCAGCGATTGCCAAGACTTGAATGACGCGACTGGATCTACGACGTGATGTACTCAATCCATGTTCTTTCTTCCCATCTCGCAGCGTTCAACGTTTGCTAATCATCTCAAGACTTGAAAGGATGTCAGTAGACATTGACTGGGACACTATCACCTGTGGCCCGGATGGGACAGCTCTTGCTGCGAAGATACGAGAATTTGTTCATCAAAAATTCCAGCAGGTCACACTTCCCCGGTTCATCAATTCAGTCCATGTCCATTCATTCGATTTTGGAAAAACTTGTCCGGAGATCGAGATAAAAGACGTGTGCGACCCATTGCCAGACTTTTACGAGGATGAAGACGAAGACGACGAGGATGACGAAACTGGAAGTACTGGAGCTGAAGAAAGCCCCGGAAGCCTGGCCTCAAATGTTGGAACCCCTGCTGGTGCTGGTGCTGGATCGCACTTCGACCCTGTCAAAGCGGATCCGCTGGCCCAAGGAAAGTTACTTGCACGCCCGCAACTTGCGAACATTCTAACAAGAGCAGACTCTGCTGCTCATGGGATGACATCGACGGCGAAAGACCACTATGGCCTAAGCGCCGACCCAATGGCCGGCCCGTTCCCTCGAAGTAATACGCCTGGTATTCCGGGAGGAACCTCCAATTTGGGCTATTTCCATTTCCCTGCTGGAGGCCTGTCCGGGGCGCAGACTCCGCTAGCTGCTGTGGCAAGTGGAACACCATTCACCCCCAGACCATGGGCATACGACTTTGGTCACGGTAACATGCATGCCGGGTTAGGTGACAGAACTACTGGTCTTCGAAAAGGTGAACGATCCATTAACTCTCGAGATGATCCTTCGACCAGGCCTTCTACTGCGACCAGCATATCGTCGCCTCTTGAATCAGAGTCAGGGCTGTCATCACCCCGGCTTGGTTATGCATCACATGGGCAAGGAGCCAGCGGTACACAAGCGGAACTTGACGCAGAGTCTCCTCTTTCGCCTCTGAGAGTGCAAAGCAGACAGCCCTCAGATGTCCAGGTCGTCACAAGAGTCAAATATTCCGGGGATGTACGCATGACTCTCACAGCAGAAATCCTACTGGATTATCCGATGCCAAGTTTTGTCGGGATTCCCCTCAAGCTCGCTATTACTGGTATGACTTTCGATGGTGTGGCGATTGTTGCCTTGATCAAGAAGAAGATGCACTTCTGCTTCCTGGATCCTGAAGACGCAGCTGCCCTTCTTGGGGAGGTACCGGTCGATATACGAAAAGACAAGGGTTCTAAGGACGGTTCCAAGGCTACTTCTGCCGGATTACTTCAAGAAATCCATGTTGAAAGTGAGATTGGTAGGCAAGAGGACGGTAAGCAAGTTCTGAAGAACGTTGGAAAAGTGGAGAAATTTGTCCTCGAACAGGTCAGAAAGATCTTCGAAGAAGAGTTTGTCTTTCCCAGCTATTGGACCTTCCTCGTCTAGAGCCTAGCTGTTCATCCCTTGGATTCCGGATTCCATTTGGAGCAGTTTCTACTTCAATTGCGGATGCTTCGGGAAGGTTTTCGGGTTGCTCATGGAGAGTATCGTCGCTACAATTCCCACGGCTCAAGAGAGGATATGCACTGCGCCCTCATCTCTTCTGCCCCTCCGATGGGATTTGGGTGATGCCAGCCATCACCTGGACTTTTGAGCAATATTACCACACCGAGTGGACTGTCGTGTCCACTTCACATTATGAACCCGGCTATCAAAAAGCAATGTGTTCGATTGGCTTCAGAGACGGCTAGATTCCGAGACCTCGGCCTCGGAATCTAGACTCCCAAACACACGCCCAAAACAAACCTTCTCCGAGAAATGGAGGAAAATTCAGGGCAGTGGTTCCGGTGAGCGCCATATTCGATCTCGAGCACTTACGACAAGTACCAAGCGACAGGGTGTCGTCCGCGGCAAACAGACACAAAGACTTAATCAGCTGTGGTTGCAAAGTCTTTTCAACACAATCTTGTGAGATGGCTCAACTATATATACTGAAGTTCCAATACCCGCTTCAGATCCTGAATTCTATGAGTGGTTAGGACTTGATGACGTTGAAGGCTTGGCACTACAGAACATCAAGGCAAGTGCCAAAATACCTTGGAATCCCAGGAATATCAATTACCAACTCATGAATTCAAAAATTACAAATCTTGAACACTTGGGCACGTTCGTAAGAGGAATCTGAGGTCCTTCCTACTCCAAATAGGAAAAATGAAACGTTTCAGCCAGATGATCCGCAATGCTCGGACTGAAAAACATGGGCAAGAGAGCAAACAACAACCACTCACTACAACAACACCACAAGCGCCCACTCGTCCCGATCATGTTGCAGTGCAAGAACCAGTGTCTCAGGCCAGTGCCTCAGTCCCAGCCACGCCTGGAGGCCCAACCTTGAATATTGCCCTGCAGAACCAAACTGCATCTGCAACTGTCTACGCCTACATCACCGGGAGAGCCCTAGATAACAACAATGACTTATTCCTGCTTCTCGCCGATGGCCACACCCCTTATTTCCCACAATCTCCCTCAGCAATAGGCGCAGAAATTCCCGAAAATACTGCTATTACCTTGGGTGCCCCAGGTAATACTGTGACAGTCACGATTCCTCACCTTGCTGGTGGGCGGATATATTTCTCCATTGATGCCCCACTCACCTTCTTCCTGAACCCTGGTCCGGCTCTCGTTGAACCTTCAGTCACTAATCCATCCGATCCGAATATAAACATTGACTGGGGCTTTGCGGAGTTTACTTTTAACCATGATCAATTATATGCCAACATAAGTTATGTCGACTTTGTCGGTCCACCAGTGGCGCTTGACCTCACGACATTTGGTGGACAATCACAACATATCTCCGGGATGCCTGTGGATGGGCTAGATCGCGTCTGCGAAGGCCTCCGTGCACAACACGCCCAAGATGGCAAGGGCTGGGATAGACTCATTGTGACGCAAAATGGCCGAAATATTCGCGCTCTCTCGCCCAACCAAGGCATGGTGCTCCACCCCGATCTTTTTGCAAACTACTTCGAGGACTATATAGACCAATCCTGGAAGAAATTCTCGACACAATCTCACACCATTGACACTCAAGCCAGTTTTGGAAAGGTCGCTTGCAAAACCTCTGGTAGCAAAATCACGTTCGGCGGATCTCAATTTGTCAAGCCCAGTACCAGAGACATCTTCTCCTGCTCGCATGGGCCATTCCAGACCGGTGCCAATGTGGAGACAAATACCATCATCCCCCGTCTGGCTGCAGCATTCAACAGATCAACTCTTCTAGTTTCGAATTCATTCCCCGCAGATAGGAGTCTGTACTATCAACATCAAGTCACCAACCACTACTCGCGAATTGTTCATGAAGCAAATCTTGACGGGAAGGGATACGCCTTCCCGTACGACGATGTACAGCCCAGTGGTGGTCCAGACCAATCCGGTGAGGTACATGCTGGAGATCCAAAACTGTTCACGGTGACTGTTGGTGGCAGGAATGCTTGGTGTTGATGGCAGCTAGCCTCTTCGACGCAGCACAGTTGATAGATTGGTTCAAGCTCCTTACTGGCAAGCATACTGCTCGGTCTTGCAAGTTATGAGCCTTGCTACTGATAATTGCATCACAAGATTAACGCTAGACTACTATAGATTTTAGACGTTGGAGCATGGCTCATAAATAATACTATTCGCAAGATGAAAGTAGTAAGTGTATATCGCAAAGTCACACCTCGATCAAGCCTATCATGCTTCATTTGTCTTCTGTGTCGATGTTCAAAGCCTCGTTCGATATTGGACAAAGGACCCACACACAGTCTGTTCAGACGGAAAGAGGTGTTCCGAGAATAGGCTTTTGAGCCGCACCTGGTGGCGGATACCCGGGACGAAGCTTTCACCTCCGGGACGGTGTTAACGCACAATTATGTCATATCGCAGTCTGATTGCGTATTCCCTCACAAGTGTGCTGTATCGTTGCTGTTTGCGAGCGAGGGGACTGGTGAAGTGTAGGGTAAGTGCTGCAATGTCAACAAAAGCACGATTTCCTTTTGCACCATGTTAATGAACGAGGAGCTGCAAGCGGGAGATTAAAACCTCGAGTTATGAAGGCGTGATCGTCATAATGGGTGATATAATGTCTCATATTGATCTAATGGCCGAAATACCATTCCCGTTTCCAAGAAGGTGGAAATACCTTGTTCGAGGAAGTGCTGCAGTGACTCCAAAAATGCTCAAACACTCTCTTCCTCTAGGAGGCGTAAATCGAAAGTTCTAATCAACTAGATAACTAGTTCTTGGCACCGTGAACAGCAATGCGCTCCTCAAGAGGCTTGAATGCCTTCTCGCCAGGCTGGCCAGCAGGCTTGCCGAAAACAAGTTGAGCCTTCAGACTCCACTTTAGATCGACGTTCCAGGTAGAGGCGATTTTGGCGTCGATAAGAGGGTTGTAATGTTGAAGATTGGCGCCCAAACCTTCAGCCTCCAAAGCGGTCCACACTATGACAGAAGTCAGTTTACATTGGGGGAGTTTTGGCAGTGAGGGGCACTATGATGTAATCCCATGAGGAAAAGACTTACAGATGTATTGATGGATGGCGTTGGTGTGTTCACTCCACTGGGGGAATTTGTCGGCATAGAGAGCGAATTGCTCCTGCAACTTGGCAACATCGGCGGGATCCTCGTAGAACAAGATGGTGCCGTATCCGGCCTTGAAGCCGTTCAATCGCTGTTCAGAGCCTGCCCATGCCTCAGGGGGAGCGACGGCTTTCACTGCTGGCTTGACGATTTCTTCCCAAAGTTTGGTGTGTTCGTCACCCAGGAGAACGACAACGCGGGTTGATTGAGAGTTGAACGATGAGGGGGCGTGCTTGATGGTATCGTTGACGATCTCATGGATTCTAGAGTCCGGGATGGTTGATTCATGTGAAAGTTGATAATAGGTGCGTCGTGACTTGACGGCGTCGAGGAATGCGGAAGACATCTTGGCTGTTGAAGTGTTGAAGAAGCGTGAAGGTGGATTGATTGAAGTCTTTTGATGGTGAATTGATGGCAAAGAAAGACGTGCAAGGGTAGTTGATGAAGTAGTAGATAGAGCCAACCGTGGAGTGGAGGGGCTTAAGTATCTGAGCGAGCTTGACAGCACTGTGGGACGCATCTTCAAACAGTTTGTGATTTTTTTCAAGAATGATCTAGACTAAATCCTGCGCAATATGGTGCAATATGAAGGCAATATGCAGCTCTGATGCTCAAGAAAAGTGGAGGGGATTCTTTGAGCAGCCCAGATTGGAGGATGTGTTGACGCAAGAATTCCGCGATTTGTCAAGCATCTCTCGAGCACTGGCGTTGGTTGTGTAAGGATAGGTCAGCAAGCCCATCGCTCACATTAGAACAGCTCTTCTGTGGGGCTCGGTGGTCGGCAGTTCCTGAACCACCACCCCTGGCCAACAGAACCATCTCTCGGCCGGCTCCTGGTGCTACTGTGAACCACCGTGTCGAGCACCCTCGAATCATCTCTCGTCCTAGGCTTCGAGCATTACAGAATCGAACTTTGAAGTATGACATAATAACTGGTTACACAAGTGGCTCTACGAGTCAGACTTTCTTGTTACATTTGAATATGAGCTCTAACCTCAATGTTACGTGTTCTCCTTTCCTTCAGGTGACACGCGCCAGGTCTTCTCGTCAGATTCAGATTTGTGCTTATCAGAGCATCGCTTCTAGCTCAGTCCCAACATCCAGATCTGGCCTCGATGTAGCTACCCAGTTGACACAGGAGAGTAATCGAGAATTCTCACGTTTGCCGGTTTCATCACTGAATCCCGGAGTCGTGCAGAAGGCTAAAGTCCATTCCTTGGTGTGTGATTAGTATTCCCGAGACAACTTACTCCAGCCTCTGAAGATTCTTAGTACCCTTGGAACTACAATGTACTTTCTTCTGCCAGCCGAAGGGCTCTCACTGACGCCCACGTCTGGACGAAGGTGGCCATACACGATACTATCGTGAGGGTCAAGATGATCTGGGCAGTCCAGAACACTGACCACTGTTGAGGACTTCGACGATCTGACCAGAGTTGTCGCAAGCTAACGGGAGGCGATAGGAACACCTCCTCGTAAACTTCCAGGAGCCGTTCACCCCAGAACTCAAACTCGTTCAGATTTAACATGCGCGAGCCGTCGAAAGGAGCCAGGTGATGGAACTCCTGCCCATACTGCTTCAATAGCTTGTCGGTATCCTCATCCAGTCGGGGAAGAGCATATTCAGTGTGGAAATTGTCTCGCAAAGTAAAGCATGCGGGTATGGTGAACTAATCAAGCGGGTTAGTAAGGAACAAATCAGTATTTGACGATGATTTATTTACTTCTGCAGGTGCCCTGTGATGCAAGCCTTGAAGGGATAAATCAATAATGTCTTATGCCTCCGAACCAATCTCAGGTGATTCTCCAGCCTTGACGTAAATTCCACGCGCAAACCACAAATCTTTACCATGAAGCTGACAGTAAACATGTGGCTTAGGCGGCTCTGCTTGGGTTCAAGGTTGAGACTTCGTCGTGGAAACTGCGCAACAATGAATTGTCGCAAGGTGGTTGTATCATCCCATTGAATGGATTGGGCCGACGGTGTTAGAAATCTCGTTTCTGGACAGCGCACGTTCAGCATTAACCAGAGTCTGAGGCTCAGGTCAATTGCGAGGTTGATCTCATGATCCGGAGTCGATGCGAAGCGACATGCATCCCGATTGAGGAGTTTGCGAATCTCCAGCCTTGTGCTATCTTGATTGCCCTTGAGAATGTTCACAGTGTGAATGATGTCATCATGTGTGCGAAGTACGGTCATATGATTCTCTGAAATCCTTGGCTGAACGCCGAAGTCCAGCTCTGCTGTTTCTTTCTTGTAATACTCGAGAAAAGGCTTGAGCGATTCTTGGTCTGGAACATGATTCCCGTTATCGAAGAAGACACCCAAAATTGCAAGCTGAACATCTTCGGCTGGTGAAGTGAGCAGTAGCGAGCCCATCTCTCAGGCTGCGTTCTGCACTTGGGTGATGGGAGGAACGGCTTTGAGGAGCAAGTTGGGCACAATCCAACATTTTGAGAATGCGGTGATTGTGTTCAGAATGCCCCCTGCACCATGTAACAAGGCAACGATCAAATTCCTCAAGATGCCTTTTTGGAGTTGAACCTGCCAATGACATCCGCGCAAGCGCCTGAGGCTTGATGGCGCTGAGGCAGTGAATCCATACCAACCACCCCTGTGGCTGACACTTTCCACACCATGTTTCACAAATACGAAAGCACATCTCCCTTCCTCTCGACTCGCCCAGCACTTGTCTTTGCACCTCTCGTTGTTGAGCGAATTTATCTTCTCCTTTGCTTCATATCTTCTTCTCCTCGTCTTGTTGCAAAGAGGGAAGTAGTCAAAGATACCAGTTCTTATGATGGCTGATGGAGCTCGAAAGGCTGGACAACCTGGTCCAGAGAAGTTTCCGAAAAATTCGTCATTTACTCAAGACTGCGCCTGAAGTACCATCACAAACACCGATTCAAGGTCTTGGAGATCTTATCCCGGACACTCAAGATTCCGCAGACAACCAGGGTGCAGAGTTACCGGCACAGCCAACGACCGTAAGCCCAGAGTCGGAGAACAGTGTTCCAGATAGTACGGTCGAACACGATCAAAGCACTGCAGCACAGAAGATCATTGCATCAAACCTCAACTTTGAAACGAATACAACAAACCCAATAAATCCGATCGGCAGTTTAAACGTCACTCACGAAGTCGAGGCTACCTCAAGTACCGCTAGTGGCATCACAACCGTCGACAGCTTGGGTTTTGCACCTGGTCTTACTTCCTCTGTCAGCTCTCGTCCTTCGGAGATCGTGGTATCCAGTGATTTCATTGGAGCTGTCATCTTTGCACAGAAAATTATTGTAGCTCCAAATATGAGGAATAGGATTGACCCAGAGCTACTAACGGCATGGGAAAGAAAGATTTCAGATCGCTTGTGGAATGACCTGGACACGCTTGGTACAGGAGATGTCGTCGCCCTGGAATTTCACATGGCCGGAGAAAACAAGAAAAACTTGAAGCCAACGATAATCATCACATGCGATGGCGCGAAATCGCAAAGGCACAACATTACCAAGGTGAAAAGTCTGAAATGGCTTGAACCTTTTCGCCTAAAATGCTGCGTGGTGAAAAACTCCGATAAGCGCCGATTGCAAGCACTATCCAAACCGAAGGATGATTCTACATTGCTGCCCTACGAGGTAGTCGCGAACATAGATGACAGCGCAAAGACATTGTGCGGAGTCACTGCAGCGCTCAAGAACCCAGCTGTGGAGTCCGTCACGCCTTTTAGACTAGGTGGTTTGATCAAGGTCGACGATGAAGTATTTTGCCTGACGGCAGGCCATATTCTGGCCCCCATTCATTCCGAGTCTCTATCTACCGCTATTAACCAGACTCAAAAATCAGAAGTCGATAATGTGACAGAAGTCGATGACCCGTCCAGCATATTCACGATAGGCGACTGGGTTAGCGATGATGAGACTGTAGTTCCGAGTATCGACCTCAACGATGGGAACGAGAGCTTCGTTCTTGATCTTGATACTTTGGATCATGCTTCAACTCTTCCCCCATTGAATTTCGATGACTTGCCGATCATTGGTAATGTAGAAAGCCAATTCGCAAACGATAGGGCATTGGCAAGTCAATGCTCCATTTCAGCTTCAGACTGGGGATTGGTAAAACTGAGAACACAATATCACGGCTTTTCGAATCTCATCCAAATACCTGGACAGAATTCAAAAACCGTCATTGAGGATATTATCACTGAAAACGAGCTTTTTCCAGGACAAGTGTGGGCTGTCACTCAGTCCTCCTGTCCTAAATCTGGTTTCCTCAGCTTAGGCTCCGCCTTTATTTTCCTCTATGGTAGACGATTTAGAGTACGACAGATCGCCTTTGAAGAGGCGCTAGGTATGTTGCTCGTTTCTGTTCTCGTTCGTTATCATGCATTTGCGCTGACTACGCCAGTTCCGGGTGACTCTGGAGCATGGGTCATACAAAATGGGAAGCTGTGTGGACACATCATTGCCGGAAGAACAGGTCTCAAGTGGGCTTACATGATGACGATTGAGGACATTTTCGGCGATATCAAACAAAATCTACATGCAAAAGAAGTTCGTCTCCCACGGGCTTCAGAAAGATTCGGGTATCCTGCTCCTGGCAGAGCCAATCGTGAAAACCCAAAGTCAGACACTAATACCCCGGGTCCAAAACCCATAAGTAAGACCACACCTTGTTTCCTCCACTTGACGATTTAAAGTCTGATGCTGATACTGAAATTCCTGCTAGAACCATCAGCTCTTGGATTGTCAGAGGCTAAGCCCTCAGTTAAAACCGGCTCTCTAGCAAAGTACAACAGTCGTTTCCCACGAGCCCCAAAGAATGATTCTCGCAATCCGCGGCGCCCACCCAGCTCGAACAATGCAATTGCTGGTATCATGCTGATAGCACGGGGACAAAATCAACATGAGCCCGACTCGTCGAACAAGGATTCCAAGGTAGCTGGACAAAAGTAAGTTTTGCCTGAAGAAAGAGTGTTCCCCTCGCGTCCCCATATGACAGTGCTAAGTGCGGCTCATATAGGCGGCGCCCAGCGCGATGGGAGGTCCTTGTAAGTCTGTCTAGCCAAGTGACAGTGCCATACTGAGGAGTTGCGCAGTGCATTGCCATGGGTGGTCTGATCGGAACCAATTTATATGCAAACAATGCAAAGGCACTCAGTACAGCTGGACCTGCTGGTGCATTGACCGCTCTTGCTATCGTTGGATTCATCGTCATCATGATCATGGAGTGTGTCAGTGAGATGACTCAACTATTCCCAGTCAGCACGATGTTCAACTCAGTCCAGCAATTTGTGGACAAAGATATCGCTTTGCTCGTTGGCATCGCTTACTGGCAAGAGCCCCTTCATAGCTTCGTGGCTTCGTACTGACCTCACTGGTAGGTACACCTATTCGATCGCTCTTGCTTCACTTGTACTGAGCGCTTCTAATCTATCAACATATTGGGGGGTCTCGAAGGATACCAATCTTTCTATCTTTTGTCTTGCTATGCCTCTCTTGGTGGTCCTACTGAATATTCTTCCAATAACTGTGTGTCTACCGCTCACCATACTGGTTCCAATTACTGATACCTTGCAGTTTCGCCGGCATATCTTCACATTTGGGACTTTGCTCAAGTTCGGCGTATTTGGAGGGGTCATGATCTGCATGATAATTGCGGCTTCAATGCCATGTCGACTCGCAAACAATTTCTGTAGAGCACGGGACACATCAAGAGAAGTCGGCCCAACCAATTGTAAGTCTTGTGTACTTTTGCCTTGGAGTGTCATTCTGCTCACGAGTCTCACCAATTCAAGACATAGGTCAGGGCTTCCAACACAATAACGCTGTCGCTGATAGTTCAGTCGTGGGGCTTCTGTATGTTGGGACACATGATCCAGAAAGAGTCGAAAGAAGCTAACCTCGTCAAAGTTACTGTATTCCATTCGTTACATACGGCTTCATCGGAGTTGAGACTATCACCCTTATGGGCGCGCTCATGCAAAGACCTCGGTATCTTGCCACCCTACAGCATTTGGCAAGCTATATGGCTTTGTCCATTGTTCTCCTCCTCGCTGTCCTTGAGTATATTAACATCGGCTGGAAGGATGGTAGACTTCCCAGCCCTTGGTTTCAATATACCGATGCACATTGGTCTACTACTCTATCAGTACTGGTAGCCAAGGATCTCGACCAAGGCTTTCTGCCGAGCCTAGTTGTTGGGAGTCTGATCTACACCACAGTTTCTTCATCCAATATAGTTCTCTATGTCGCATCTCGAGCACTGCTTGGAGTTGTGCAAAGCATCCAACCTTCAGACCCAATATTTAAGCGCTTGGTCAGGAATACGACTTCTGTAACGCGGTTTGGAGTACCGATCACTTCCATTATCGTGTCTGCAGTTGCTTTTTGGTGGCTACCAGTCATAGCTATTGCTCGTGAAAGTTCGATGAAGGAGGTGAGTCGCCAACCAGGTGCCCCAAACAGCGTCCGCAAAGTCTCAACTAATTCCGATGATAGCTTGTTGAAACTCTTACACTATCGGGTACCGTGAGCTGCTTGTTTGTGTGGATATTCCAGTGTGTGGCATATCTTAGATACCACTCTGCGTAAGAAGTTGTGCCCATGAAGGAAGTCTTAACGTCTAACATAATTTATTTAGGCTTCGGAGACACATGTTCTACATTGAAGGGACCTCTTCGATCCAGTTCCTTATACGATCCTCCCCAGGATATCGGGGAAGAACGCTACTGTGGAGGCTTCAACCACTTCCTGCCTATATAGGACTATTCGGGTGCTTGTTTATGCTATTCATCTGCGGCAGCTCTTTGTGGTGGTCCAGCGATGCGACGGTAGGCAAAGTTCTCGGAGCTTACGGTATGGTAAGTACCCTCCAGAAAATCTAAGGGAGCCCTCAGTTGTGCTGATATATTCGCTTCATTACAGCCGGGGGTCGGCTTTGTCCTTTGGATGGCTCGCAAATACCACCTGCGGAAATCCTTCCTTTTTACCAGACTGGACCACAGTGCCAAATTTTTAGAAGCCCTCGAGAATTTGGGAGCACTCGCTCCAAGGGACTTTGTCCAACCAGAAGTATCAGAAATGCAAGAGCGGAGCACTCTCTAGAAATTGAGATGTTTCGTGCAGAAAGCGCAAGGAGTCCACACCATCAATAGGTACTTACTATGTAGAAAGATATGTTCTACAAATCTCTAACCAGCTCAAGATACGCTACATCAACAGGAGACTGATCGAGTCTCCCAGCTCGAAGATCAGATTCAAGACCGCATTGTCACTCCCGTGGGATATCTTCAGGTCTGGTTAAAATGTTCTACCAAGCAGAGAGGGGTTCCAGCCCTACAATGTCCTTGGTACAAGATGTTAAGGACGAGGAAGTCGGTGGGCTGCAGCCTGAGGGGTGGGCTGTGAGCATGTTGTGCTACATCCCGACCCCTGAATTTCTCCGCAACGCTCAGCCTTGCCGTACTTTTGACTCGGTACTGCTGATTAGCACGAAAACTTCAGACAGAATAACGTTAAGATCGGAAGTGCTCGACTTCCTTGAGATATTACAGAGCATTGTAAAGCCATGCAGCTTTCGGGTAATCTCTTCCAAATATTGCTCGTCGTCCGGGTCAGGATGAGGTATTTACCAAGGACTAAAGGTTCGCGGCCGTTTTGACTACGTCTACGTCACATACGCATAGTCTGAGTCCTTGTAATTTTCCATCCAGCGCGCATTAACCTTATCAGGAGGGATGCAGATCTGTATGTCATTTGCATGCCATGAATGTGACATTCCTAGATCTCTCAGCCCTTGTGTTCAGTCCGCTTACTGCGTATTCGAATCCCAGCTTGTCAAAGTGGGCACCTCTTTCAATGGGAATGGAACCGCATTGCTCTCAAAGTGACCAATAGCAGTACTCCCCGACATAAATAGGCCGGCCGCCACAGGACTTTCCTATCTGCTAACCTGCCACTTTCGAATCAGCTTTTCGATGTACTTGTACATTTTCGAGATGTTGTTGGTCAAAGGTTTCCGCGGAGTGTGATTTCCCTTGCGTTTTATTGGGAATTCTACATGATTGGTACTAGATCCAAGCAGAAAACCGGAGAGGACTACCCACATCTAGGCTAATACCTGCGGTTCGTGATTAATTTATACTGTACCGAAGAGAGTATATCTGAGTCATAGTGAGAGATGGTGAGTATAAATATGTTGTGAAAACAACGATAGCAGTATGAGAATGCCCACCGTCACATCAATCAATTCAATTCTCTCAAATCGCACTGCCCTACCAATTGCAATGGTTCACTCAACAATCACACCCGCCATCTTCTACTGGGGCACGCCCGTCGTTCTCATAACCACACGAAATCTCGATGGTACCTCGAATATTGCTCCCAATTCATCCGTGTTCTGGCTTGGCAACCGATGCATGCTCGGACTTGCGGAGTGTTCGCAAACCACAGCCAATCTGCTCCGCGAGAAGGAATGTGTGCTTAATCTGCCATCAGACGACATGATCCCGCAGGTCAATGCATTGGCACGCACGACAGGCTCCGAGGAGGTACCAAGTTTCAAGATCATGCTCGGCTACCACTACGACAAAGATAAATTCAGGACTACCGGCTTGACACCAATGAAGTCTGAGCTTGTGCGGGCGGACAGGATCAAGGAATGTCCAGTGCAGATGGAAGCTGAGCTGGCAGGGTGCTACGAAATGATGAGTAGTCTGCCAGGAGAGGCAAAGGGATTCACCCTGGCAATTGAAGTCAAGGTGAAGAGGACTTACGTGGAAGAGAAGTTGCGATTGCCTGGACATGAGAATCGCATCAATCCAGATGCCTGGCGTCCCATGATCATGAGCTTTCAGCATTTATACGGATTGCGGAACGGCGATCGGGAGACATCCACCTTGGCAGACATTGAGGAGGAATTGTACAGGTTGCCGATTGATTAGGAACTAGAGTGTCTCTCATTCCACATAGACAGTTAGAGGGAGAAATAGAAACAATTTTCCACGTACTGTGATGAGAGGGAGCTTCTTCAGGTTAAACGACTGACTCATTTTATTTGTCAATCACGATGGTGTAAGTTGCCATGTCTCTGCTACTGCTCATACAGAAGCTGTGCCTTGTTTCGGAAGGTAGAGCTGATTGTTATTGTTAGTATCATCGACTTCATCTCATGGTTTCAACACCTAGTTTCCCTAGATGTATCAGCAACTGCTGCTAATACCGCCCGAACACCACCGAGAAGTCTTGCAGCCCAGAGCGCAAGCTCACTTGCCACCCCTGTCGACCACTCGCGATGTTGGTCGCCTTAGCCGTGGTCTAGGCAGCACTCGAACTCTTACTGGGCCTGCTCGACATGGCAATGGCTCCTTTTGCACTTACCATGCTTGTAATTGTTATGCATTCAAATGTTGCTATCGAAACTTTGTGGACTATGCCTTTTGAGCCTATTGTGTGGCCAGCATATCCGACAATTTGGCCCACATTTTCGATTCGACAATTTTTGTGCTTTTTCTTCAGCGTCATCCTTGCTCTGTTTGGCCCAGAGTTGTTGTGTGCATGTTGACAGTAACTGGTATTGTACGGCATCGCCCATCGATCAATATTGGCATACTCTCGATACTTACCTGACAGCCAGAGTGACAAGTGAAGCTGGGGGGCAAATTATATGCACTGAGTACCTAATCCTTCGAGTGGCAAGTGCATTGCCTTCTAGATGTCCGTGGGGATCCCTGTCCGTGACAATTCTAAGACTGGTTCAATGAGGACAACACCTCGGCGACGACGAGTTGTCTGAACCGTACGCTGCACTGCTAAGAGGGGTGGCGCCACACTGGTTAGTCACATCAGCACCGCTTAATGAATATCTCTCGGCTGCGAAAATGGGAGATGTTGTATTGATGTCCGGCCTGATAAGGTTTGCTTCTGGAGCTACATGGAAGCTTTGCATATCCTAGGAAGCGCCGTTGCCATGGTGGTTGCGATTGTAGGTGGACAAGAAATCAGGAGCTCTAATCAGCACTGGCATTAAATTTGCCAATGATGTTCAGTGGGTGTGCTGGTGTTGTCGGTGACCTAAGAGGTCAAGAGCGCAAGGCAGCCTCGGCCTCAAACCAATTCTTGGTTAAAAGCCCCTGGGCGTCTAACTAGAGTTTATTGGCTTGGATGTACTCTTGAAAGCATATGAATACTTTTTCAACAGCAAGTCCTGATCGTGCCAATACAAGGTCTGGGGTTCTGAGACAATAGAACATGGCCTTATTAGATTCTCAGGGTTCGCAGCTAGAACCACGAACGGAGTTCTTTCAAGCACAACTGATCCTGTATCCTGGCTGGTATTCTTGCTCCGCACTGCCATTCTCCTCGTAGGAAGAGAGTTACCGCGCGGTTCGGGAGAGGCTTGCGCCCCGGCACTTCGATCCGTTTCGACCTTGTCTGCGCCACTGGCATGTGCTCTCAACGCCTGTAAAGTGCCCGCAATTTCGAGGTGGACTGCATGTACGAAGCAGCATAGATGCTCTGAACAACCTTTCGAGCCAATCATTAAGCATGTACACATTTCACAGCCTCCTCAGGAGATTTTGGATGCCCCGCAGGTTTGAGTAGCGGCCCGTGATACTTAAATGTTGAGATGGTTAGCCTTGGGAGAGACTGCATTCTAGACTTTATCTTCTGGGTTTTTAGTTTGATTGTTTTTTCTGCTGTTCGAGTATCCTCAGGCGACAGCGAAGGTTTCAGCCAGTTTAGCCATATTCTTAGATTCTCCAAGAATCAACCCGATCAAGCCAACGTATGATCGCTTGCGAAACTCCAGTTACTACAGGTCAACGTGAGTCGGAAACAGCACTTTGGGAATGCTTGAACTCGGATCAGATCCTAGACGAGCCAGATGCATTATTAGACTTGATAGGAGTCCTGAATCCACAAGGTTGCGAGATCCACGCAATTGCCAGAGGACCAACGCCCCCGGGGTCTAGTTGCACATATACCACCGACTATGATTTCCAGGTCAAGGAGCAGGTCTTGGATGAGGGCAATATTCACCAGTGGCTCGAGAACAACGCCATAGAGACTCAGGTGGAATCTACTCTCAAGCTGAAAGTACTGCTTGTAGACCAAGTTGTGTTCCATGATCGACTGAGACCTCCAGCTGAGGCTGAAGCTGTCAGATTTTCGCGGAAGGTCTTATGCTCCGGCACAGGATGCTCACCAGCAGCGTTAGAAAGAGTCTGTCGAAACGAATCATCGATCTGGGAGTTCCCTCGCGACCGGCGAAATGGTACTCGTATAGATTGCAGGGGTTTTGGAGAGCCCAATGTTGGAGTGGTGTGGATGAACAAAGCAGGCTGCGATACTGTCTGGGCGCTCATTCGCTTCCACACCGCCAGAGCACCAATGCGAGCGAGCATAACTCGAGAGCTTCATAACCTTCGGGGCTTCTCAGATCTCCCTGGATTTCTAGCCTTCATTATACTCAATGCAGCAACTCAAAATCTGCAGATGATGATGGATTTCTCTATGACATCGATCGACCGATCGGGCTTGAAGCTCACAAGATTTCCCGACTCAGAAACTGCAGCTGAGGTTTATGGAAGCTTGATAGCGTCAGGAAGGAATCTTGCCATCCGGCAGAACGCCACGAAAATGAAGCTAAAAATGGTAAAACAATGTCGGCAGATGCCAGCACCAGCCAATGCCAGGCACGACTTGAGGCTGAGGAATACATTTTCGAGCCTGAAACGGGCATTCAGGTACCTAGAACAAGTACTGGAAAGTATTTCCGGGACTGGGGAGGAATACCAAGGCCATACTGGTCGACAACTAGAATGCGTTTTAAGCATTATGGCCCAGCGACAACAAGAACTAAGCATCGATATCGCACGAGGACAGTCCAAGCTAGCTGAAGCGAGCCGAAGAGAGCAAGTCCTCAGCATCGAGATTGCGAGGGCCTCCCACTCCATCGCAAAGCAGACCAAAAAAGATGGTGCGTCGATGAAGACGCTGGCAGTGGTGACCCTGGTTTACCTACCGTGCACCACGGTATCATCAGTGCTGGCTATGCCACTCTTCGATTGGAATGCCGAGGGCCGAAGTATTGTAAACAGTCGCATATGGGTATTTTTTGTTTTTGCGGTGCCTTTGACGGTTTTGACCCTTGGAATTTGGCGGGTATGGTTAAGCTACCGAGCACGCGAGGAAGATAAAGCTCTGGAATCAGAAGCTGAGGATATTGAAGTCCAGTCGTCGTCATCGTCATAATGCCACCGTCAACATCTCAACAAGATCCTAGAGGGTTCCAAGTTCACCAAGTTGCTGGATTTGTCAACGAAAGATAAACCCTAAATTGGAATGGAATTGTCTATATCAATAATGCCGCGGCCGCGCATGGTTGGTTCCTCGTATTTGCACAATGATTATGTGATCACAGGCGCCAAAAATGGAGAATTTTAGGTCAGAGCTGGGGACTATCGGTTTACGGATAAGTGTCTGGCTAAATCGCCCAAGCCAACAATACAGCGGATCCTTGAGATCCGCGGCCGTTATGTCACAGCCACCTGGGCATTCTCATGAAACCATCTATACACATTCCTCAGATTGTACGCAGTCAAATCTGTTGATGTAGAAGCAGTTACGCAGCTCGGCACCATAGCATTGAGGAGTCGACATGGTACAAACACAATCCTCACACTCTCTCAATTTTAGTTTAGACGTATTGAGGATGGTGGACCCTGTAGGAATAGGACGAAAAACGTATTCGCTTCCGGGAATGACCTCCTGCCCGAGGCTCCTTCAGCCCCTCCTGGTAATTGTCATACTCAAACTCTTGGGATTTGTTACACAGCCGGGCCACTGCCGCATGACGTGATTGATTGGGCGAACATGTCGCTGATGTGCGATCCGCGAACGTTCTAAACCACTTCCTCCGTGGCAATCGATCTCTTCTTTTGTTCTTCTATCAATTATATGTATATAAACCAACGTACAGTCCCACCATTGGCCTTGTCTCCTCCTATTCAAGTACATATCTATCAAAGTGCCTGTAAATCCTAGTACCGCTTGTCTCTCACTCGCCGTCCTCGCTCTGGCAATGGCTTTCCAACTTCCTCAATTCCTTACGCGCTTCCTTCGACCACTCAGCACATCAGCATCAATGTCTCTACAACCTGATTCATTGGCAGCCATGCAATTCCCACCGAGTTCCCAGCGCGCGATCTTTGCTGGCGGTTGTTTCTGGGGATTGGAGGAGTTATATCGCAAGGATTGGGGTCATGGAAAAGGCCTCCTTGACTGCCGAGTCGGATACACAGGAGGCAGCACCAAATCTCCGAGCTATGAAGCCGTGTGCACTGGTCGAACTGGTCACGCCGAGTCGTTGTTGATTGTATTTGATCCTGAAAAGGTCACTTATAGCCAGTTGGTGGAATACTTCTTCAAGATGCACGATCCTACTACCCTCAACCGCCAGGGCGCAGACACTGGAACCCAATATCGGTCGGCAATCTATTACGAAGATGAGGAGCAATCCAAGATTGCAAAGGAGATCAAGGAAAGAGTAGGGAACCAGTGGTACAAGGGCAAGCCGATTACGACAGAGATTCTGCCAGCAACACAGTGGTATGATGCAGAACCTGGACACCAGGAGTATCTAATAAACACGCCTCATGGTTACCACTGTCCGGCACACTATGTACGACCATTACCAGCTCTTTTGTGAATCATTTCAAGATTCAATGGGGTTAAGCTGACGGGAAGTTGAACGACATGGATGCATATATCTGGGATTAAGCGTTGACATATATTGGATGGGGGGTTTTGTGTATTTCTATTCATAAAGTACCGTAGAGCTGATGATGATTTCAACAGTCACCCGCCAATTCAAGTATTACAATAATCGTAAAGACAGAACTATCCTTGAGCACGGGGTATCCATTTGATTGTTGATGCTAATTGCTGCCATCACCATCTAGCAGGTAAATTTAAAACAAGTCATGTGACATCCCGTGGAAAGTAGTCACGTGCTAGCTAACGCAATTGGGAACACGCCAAGTCTTTTTCTGGGAATTTCTTGGGCAGCAGAAGGCGAGGAAGCGAAAGAACGTTCGAAGGGGAAATGAACCTGAACCTCGTCTGCGGGAGACTCGACTCCATCTGCCTCTGCCTCTGTTACTGCTACTAACAACTGCTGCACCAGAGCGCAATAACTTTCAATTCCATCAACCCTCCACTCCACTCTTCTGTTGACACTCGGAATTTCTTCAACTACTTTGTAATAACGCGTCCGTCTCGATGGTACACTCTTCTTCTTCATTACCTTCTTTTACCCTCCTATTCTGGTCCATCCCAGGCCACCAGTGACATGCCGAAACGTGTCGCTGAAGAATACATCACCAAGGACCACGGTTCAATCGCAAATCCTGCTCCTGCTCAAAACCAGCCCACAATGTCCACTGCTGCCCAATTGGCCAAGCGAAAGTGAGTTCTACCACCTCTTGAACATGTTTTGTTTTCTTCTTCCATCGACACGCGGGAAGCCCATCCGCAGCTGCGCTCAGCGGTCTCGAAATTCTTCCGTCCTCTAACCTCCATGCCCTGTCTCGGTGTATACGGCTATTAACTTGCTTCTAGAATCGCTCAACCCAAGGGCCGTCTTGGTGCCAGTCGTTCTTCACACTCTACCTTCGGGGCCACCACGAACACGAATCAATCGGGTGGCCAACCGACCTTTGGCAGCGTGAATGGCGGCATCACCTTTGGTGCTAGCCAGTCTTTCCCTTCAGGCATAACCCCTCAAGGAGGTGGCTTCGACTTCCAACTTCCCCAATCGAGCTCCTTCACTTTTGGAGCACCCTCGACCGGACCCTCAAATCCTTTCGCCAACCTCAACGGGAACGCGTCCTCAGACAATGAGCGACTTGGGGATGATATTTCAATGCAGAGTCCTCAGAAGAAGCGAAACATAGGCGGGCCTTTTGGTTCATCTAATACAGAAAACAGTATGGCATCAGGATTCACATTTGGCCAGCAGCCACAACCGCAACCCCAGAGCAATGGAGGCTTTACTTTCGGCTCATCTCAACCAGCGCCAGCAGCTGTCAATGGCGCAGGTCTCTTTGGCAGAATCGGCACACCGGAAGAGCCTGCACAGAATAGTAACAACATCTTTGGGCAACCACAGCAAACCGCATCTGCCTTCACTGGCTTTGGTCAATCTACCACACCGGCACAGACAACCTCCTCGTTCTCTTTCGGGAGCCAAACTTCCTCCGCACCCAAAACTCAGGAGCCTACCTTCGGGTTTGGTCAAACAAATAACAATGCAGCAAGCTCCTCAACAGCTTTTGGTTTCCCTCCCGCGCAGAGCAACAACGAGCCGGCTCAAACTCCCGCTTTCAGTTTTGGGCAACCTGCTGCTCAAGCACCAAGCTCATCCTTTTCCTTTGGCCAACCTACTTCCGCCCCTCAGAAACAGGGTGGAGACAATGGATTTGGGTCTTCCGGTACCGCGGCGCCCTTCTCCTTCGGGCAGACACAGTCAGCCCCTCCTGCCCAAAATTTATTTGGTGGCTTCAATGCGGCCCCAGCACAAGAAAACAAGGCAACTAAGCCGTTGTTTGGGAGCCAGGTGAACAATGCACAACAACCAGCAGAAACAGTCGATAAGAACGCCGCAGCAGTGCAGAACAATCCTTTCGCAGGACTCTTTGCGCAAAGCAAATCCTCTTCCCAAGATACTTCTTCTGTCCCAGCCTTCAGTTTCGGTGCGTCTGTGCAGAAGGAAGCACCTACCACAACCCCTTCAGGATCTCTTGGTTTGTTCAAGCAGCAGACAGGTCCCTCCTTTGGACAGGATCCAACTGACACGTCGATGAACACCGCGACTAGTATGTCTGCAGAGCCCAGTCAGATCGAGAGTGAGTCTACTCCGATTGCAAACCAGCCAAGCGCATCCGAGCCGAAGGCATCCAGTGGTGGCTTGTTCTCGCCCGCTGCTTCGAGCAGCACGACTTCAGGACCAGCAAATGGACTTTTCGGAAGTGTATCTAGCACTCCGGCACCTACAAAACCACTATTTAGCTTTGGTAAACCATCTCAACCGACATCCTCCGACTTGTCATCAGAAAACCCCGATACCTCCACAAATACACCAACGATTCCTAAGGCAAAGCCAATCTTTGGGACTGTATCCGACTCTGACGCTCCCACAACCCCGAAATCTTCTGGAAAAGATCTCTTTGCGGGAGGGTCACGCTCGGATTTTCAAAGCGCCCAAAATCAACCAAAAGGACAGACACAACCAACCGCCACTGTTTTCACACCTGCACCCAGTGTAAAGTCAACGCCTCAAAATGCCAAGCCAAGCTTATTCAGTGCATCTTCTACAAGACAGGAAGAGTCTACAGCCAAGCTTAATACTGCAGAGGATGCAGAGCCACTCAAGCGCATGGTTTATACCAAAGCAGCACCTATCATCCCTGGGTCATTAGAGGCCGAACAATACCGAGAGTATGATAAGAATTATCGCTTACATTCATTAAATGTCGGCCTGCAGAACAAGCTTGCAAGTCTTGATCCTCGTTCTCAAGACTTCCATAGCCTAATTCGCCAATATGTTGCCTCACGTGAAAGCATTGGCGAATCGCTCGGACTATATGTGCGCAATGTTGCAGGTATGAAGCGTAAAGGAGATCTTGTTGAGGAGCCAACTACAGACAGCCTGCAAAATAAAAGACAACGGTCTGATGATGTACCGCCGTCAAGTGACATTGCTGCTTCGGTCACGGCTCCGCAGACTCAACAAAAGACATTCACACCTTTCCCCTCAACCACTGAATCCAGCCCGTCAAAGGCTACCTCCGTGCTCAAGGGAATGATTCCAGCCAACAATTCGGCTATTGGCTCGACTAACAGTTCTACACCAACACCCAAAGCTACCGCTCAATTTGGAGGTTTTACAGCCTCGACAGCTTCGAAACCCGCAAATCCCTTCGCGGGCCTGACTGCGCCAAATTCTGCAGCAGCCAACCGCCCATCCTTCGGAAATACCCTTGCAGCAACGTCTCTCTCATCAGGCTCTACAGAAGCAACCGCAGAATCTACCACTCCGACCAAATCCCCACCAAAGAAGCCAGCTTTTGAGGTGCCAAAATTTGGTGGTGGCAACACCAACTTCATGGCTGCTTTTGGTGCAAAGGCAAAGGCAAGTGCGGCTAAGCTGGAAAAGACACTTATGGAAAAGCGAAAGGCAGAAGACTTTGATTCCGAAGAGGATGATGAAGAGGAGTTCAACAAGCAGCTGGAAGAAGAAACCCGTGCCAAACGTGCAAAAATCGATGCAGTTGCCAAAGCTGGTTTCGTTCCCTCGTTTGGTTCAACCACCAGCACAACGGCGACCAGCACAAAACCGTCATTCACTTTTGGTTCCGCTCCAACAACTTCCAAGGATGCCTCTCAACCCAAATCTGGCAATTCCAAAACATCTGGCTCCACCCCAAACCGATTTGCCGCGTTTACAGATTCTAATGACGACCAATCTGATTCTGCCCAAGGGGAAGATGAGGATGAGCAAGCAAACGAGTCTGACGAGGGCGAAGAGAACGATGAAGAAGGCGGGTCGTCTCGTGATAGTGAGGAGCAGGAAGAGGACGAACTTCCGGAAGATGAGGTCGACATCAGCAATGGAGATACTAATGATGGCGACTACAAAGATGACGGGGAGTCGGAATCAGATGGCGAAGAATTCACTACCTTTCAGAAGGAAATGGATCGTGCACGTCGTCGAGATGCTCGAAAGAAAAATGCAGGGAAGAGCTTGTTCGACCGGATTGAGCCTAACCCCACTCGTGCCACTGAAACCCCGGTGAATGGTACTGAGAAAGAGAAGAACGAAGAGTCTACCAGTCCAATATTCGGCTCGGCAAAGAATTCAACCTTCAAACCAGGCATCTGGGGGGATAACATCGGTCATGCAACTCCAGAAAAGCCGTCCTTCTCACCTCTTACACCTTCAGGTTCGCAATCAGGATCCACTTACAAACCGGCTTCTACTTTCAATTTTACAGCTGCGCCAACAACCGCTTTGACCCCGACTCCTGGTGCATCAATATTCGCTGGTGGTTTCACCAAGGGCGGTCCAGTTCCTGGTGAGGGTATGTTTGGCTCACGGCCTGGTACTCCCAGTAATGCAGAGAATGCCCCTCCCACTTCCAATCTTTCGAAGTCGGTGCTTGCGTCTCCCGCTGGAACAGATAACACCTGGAAAGAGGGCAACGGCATCTCTTTCGGAACATCAACCACTACTGCTCCTTCATTCAAGTTCACCTCAGCCTCACCCTCTGGTGCAAAGGAAGGATCTGTTCCCAACCCATTTGGCAGTTTGTTTGGTACCAACAATACTGATTCCGCTACTTCAGAACCTGCAAAATTAGGTTTCAACTTTGGTGCGCCGGCTTCGACACCGGCCCCAGGATTTCTTGGTGCAGTTTCACATTTGGGTGGAGGTTCAGTCGCCAGCTCGGTCGTGTCATCTCGTGCCACATCCCCTGGGTTGACCGATAATGAATCAGTTGCCACAAACGAGACTGAAGATACCCCCGATGATCCGCAGACTTCACTGATGGACTCGCGTTCTGGTGAAGAGAATGAAACATGTCTATGGGAAGGACGATCAAAAGCTTTGATGTTCATCAACCAAGAGGCTGCTGTGGGTACCAAAATGAAGGCCAACGACTGGAACTCGATGGGTGTAGGTGTCATCCGCCTTTTGCAAAACAAAGAAACCAAAAAGACTCGACTTGTATTCCGGGTTGAACCAAGTGCTTCGATCCTAATTAACTCTCACCTTGTCGAAGGCACTGAGTATGAAAGTTGCCCCACAGCCAAGAATGGTGCTCTGAAGGGCACTTTGTTCTACAAAGGAAATCTTTCCCGATGGGTTTTCAAAGTCAAAACACCAGACATGGGAAATGCCTTGGCCAAAGCTATTGAGGATAGCAGGCAGGCATAAGTGCCCAACTAGTTGTGTTCTTCCGTTAAGGAAATGCCACTGTGAGTATTGTGGGAGTGTTGTAATTATTTTCTCAGGCGTTCTTGGGATAACAAAAATTCGACACGCTAAATTCCCGAGTGACCTGATCGAATTTTAGCTACGGGCATGGTATGTTCCAGACTAAAGCGAATACAAGGCAGGAACGAGATTAAAGCTTAATTTGCACAGCGTGGAGTTTGGGAATCGACCTTTTTTCGTGCTTTTTCAAACGTTTGTACAGCACACACTAGCAATTGTTTTTGCTCATTGTCACATTTTCAGCATTTCCCTGACGACAAAGGCGAGTGGTCCCCGGGGCAGGAAGGAAAGGGGACTGTTTCCTGGCAGCAATTCGCGATACATACCGAAATGACCAACAAGAAATGTTCACCAGCTAGATCGGACTTTTACCAAATATAATCCGTCGGACCTTTATCATCAAGAGGATGTCTGTGTATCCTCAGTGCGGTGTTGCATAAGAGCGAGACACGAGACCTTGTTCTTTTCCTAATCCGACGAAGACCCTTTTGACTCGAGCAGCGCCCTGAGAATAACCTCGAACCATGAGACATTCGTCAATCCTTGAACATTGTGTACATATACTAAGGGCTATGCTATCTGGGTGCAATTGCTCGCATTCACTCGTGGGGTTTCCCTGATTGGTTGAACTCTGACGGACTACGTTTCTTCTGCATATCCTTCCGTTGTCGAGGTCCCATCAGTGTTGGTTGAACTCTGACGGATTGCACTTCTGTGCGTGACATTTGTTGTTGAGGACCCAACACAGGGAAGCCCATGGAGTGAGGGGTGAGCCTGGTCCCCTTTGACACTTTGGCATATTACGGGGCTCATGGCCGGGGGATTTCATGCTGGGAAGGAATCTGGTGGTCTTATGGATGGACGGAGTGGTCGAGCTACTTTACACGATATGGTACAGAAAGGACGAACGAGTAAAAACTGTGTTTCCCCCAAGATACTCCGGGATGTGGTCGAGATTGCCACGTCGGGACCACGATCCAGGTTAGCGAATCGGGCGAGAGCGAGCATGGGAATTGAATGAATCCTGTCTATCTACTACTGATAGATTAAACGTGAAAAAGTCCTCGAAGGAACCACGGAGGCGGCTACGAAGGGAGTCCGGTAGCCTTGTTCACTACAGCTTGTACTTTTGCTTCTAATATACACGTGGTTGATGATGTGCTTCTTTCTGCTTTTGACGTCCTGTTTCGCTATTTTAGTTTCTATCTGTCATCCATCGATCGAGGAAGCTCAATGCTAGATAAATGCTGCAACAGAATAGACGAGAGTGTGCTCGGGCCGAAAGCGACGTGGCTAAGCACGCGTGAGGTCAGGGTAGAAGGCACAAGGTTTACAGGTATTGACGATATCATAGAAAGTGTGTTTGATTTCTTCAGTTCATGAAAGCTCATTTTTGGGGGTATTATCTCTTTTTTCCTCAGCAAGTCAGCGCGTTCGGGAAATGCGGGCTGTCCCTTCGACTGAGATACGCTCCGTTCTGGATGATGAAGATTGTCTCCACTCAGCCAACTCAATGCTTTTCCGTCGATATGCTGACTGTCTTGCCACATGCCCAACCAGTCTGTTTGGACAATGTGCCAGGTGACATGGATAGGCATGAGGATCAGCGCCAAAGAAACCGCCGGGTCGTTCACCACCGAGTCTGCCCCCATCATTCATCCGCACGAGCAGCTATGCTCTGCATCACCTCATGCTCGTGTGCCAGCCTACTGTTCAGACAAACATCGCTTCTTAACATTGGAAGTCGAGTTTTGAGTGTCTACGAATCCTCAACGACGACGGTATGTAGACCCTTGGCCTCGCTCTCCTTGACGTTGACGGCCTGGACGTAGCTGTACAGCTTCTCCTTGGCGCCTTCCTCGTCGTTACGCTTTCGGCTGATGCGCACACGCAGACGGAAGGGAACGCCCTTGATGCCGCTCTCCCAGACTTTCTTGTTCAGCTGGGGGTCGAGACGGACGTCGGATGTGCCCTATATTCGTGCTGATGGTTAGTAGGTGTAACTCAATAAGGAGTACAGAGGGGGGAGTATATGCCGGGTAAGGAGAAATCTTCATGGGGCACGGGAGGGACTCACCATAGCCAGGGTAGCGAACTTGCGGATCTCCTTGATTGCGCGAGGTGCTCGCTTCTTGAAGGCGACTCCGTGAACCTTTATTAACACATGTATAATCAGTCTTCCGTCCAAAATGCTTGTAGTGATGTAGTGCGCGTTGGAATGTTCAAGGGAGGAATTTTGTCACAAAAGGTCGAAACAAGCCATTCGGGTGGACTTCATAAAACTGATTCCCATCTCTTGATTTTCTTGAGTTTTTGTCTTTCTCGACAGGCCCTTTTGAATTTTCCATGGTTTGTGTGGAATGGAGGAAATCGTTGGGTATTGTATTTTCATGTCATGGCAGGAGAACATACTCGCTTGTGTAGGTGGATGGTGTACTCGCGAGCGACGACATCAGAGATGGCTGAGCGAGACTTCTTGGGTGTCGTCTTCTTGGGCTGCGTCTTTGGGTTGTCTTTGGCCATTTTGTCCGTTCTGCGATCGGCGAGAGGTGAAATGTTAGCTTTCCTTCGTCGCTACCAAAGTTCGAGGGATGAAAGCGATGAAGAATCCGGTATGTGTCAAATGATCAGTACTTACAGTGTAAATGAATGAGATGGAGACGAAAAGGGTGCCGACGGCTTTGCTGAGTTGAACTGCTGAAGAGAATCGTGGGATTGAATTTGGCGCAGTTGCACTCGACTTCGCGAAAAAGTGTGGGCTAAGACGAATGCGGTAAGAGAGATGCCAAGATTTCAGTCACGTGAAAATTCTAGAAGTTCCGACTTTCTTGCAGCGAGTGGAGCATCAAGAAGGGAGTTGCACGCCAAGCATCACAGGATGAACTGTTTGGGCAGGATGCTCATGACTTTCGATTGTTATTCTCTCAACTATGATTTGATATCATTGCTTTCATCCTCAAAGTTCACTTTCCCGGCACTCACATCAGGGTAGACATCAAATCTTCTCTGGGTGTAAATCGGAATGCCTTTCCGCGTCTCCTCAATCTTGCTACCATCCAGTTCGGCATAGATGATGGTCTCAGACTCCTCGGCTTCCGAAAGAATCTCAGCATTTGGATTCACCACCATCGAATGACCGTAGGCATGATAAGTAGCCTCTGTATCTCTTGCCGGACTACACATGGCCACGTAAATCTGGTTATCCATGGCCCTCGCTCGGGCTTGTAACGTCCAATGCATGGGTCCAGTTGTAGTGTTAAATGCTCCGGGATATACAAACAAAAATGCACCCTTTCTTGCGGCTACCATGGCGAGTTCTGGGAATCGAACATCATAGCATATTGCCAGTCCAATCTTACCATATTCTGGAAGGTCAAGGAGGGTGACTTTATTTCCAGGAGACAAGACTTCACTCTCTTTGAACTTGATCTTCCCAGGAATGTCAATATCAAACAGATGTGTCTTCCGATGTGTGGCAAGGAGCTGTCCAGTAGGGGAGAAGACTAATGAAGTGTTGAAATATTCCTTGGTTTCTGGGACAAACTCGGGAATGCTTCCTCCCACCAGATAGGTTTTTGTCTCTCTAGCAACGGAGGACAGCATATGCCATGACGGAGACTTCTCTTGTGATGGAGGAGACGGGAGAACAGTCTCGGCGTACTTGGGGAAATATTGGGTGCCATAGGGAGAGTTGAAACACTCGGGAAGGACAATGAGAGAGGCACCAGCTTTGGCCGCCTCGACAACTTTGGATCGCGCATGTGCGAGATTGGCAGTCTTATCACCACCTGTGTTGATGTCAGTCATGTTTGAATGGTTGAGAAGAAGTCAGAGGCACTCACCACTTACCTGAGGCCAGTTGGATCAGTGCCAGCTTCAATGGTTTCTTCAATAGGGTTGCCATGATTACTATGACAGGGCAATTTTCTGTGACTGTTGAAGATGGTTTCCGTCAACGCAGTCGGAGTAGTCCTGTGGACAACAACGTCGCTGGGAGATGTATGGCCTTGGAGTTTCGGCAGGGTAGCCATAGAAGTTGGGATGTAAGAATGTTGAAGAATGACGCAATAGTGCTTCAAACGGAAAGAAAGCCGAGCGTGGGTCGTCCCAGCCTGTTAAGTTGATGTTTACGGAGTAGACAACCTATTCCTTCAAGTTTGCTACTGTTAAGTCCATGATCTATCAACACGAGCATGGTCGACAGCTTGAGTCTCTCCTCAGATTCCATTGGTAAGGGCATATATGTTTATGGTAAGTCAAGAATATGACCCAGGCACCCGCAAAGCCAACAGGTAGGCAAGGCTGTAGAAGCAAACAAAGGAAATGAGGAAAGTTGCATATGCATCTACATGGTCCACAAAGCACGCACTCAAGTTGTTGGTCTATGAAAAAATGGAGGCAAGATTACACTTACCAAATTGTGAAGTCATGGACATGGAGTTGAAGTTGAAGTTGCAGCCGCTGCAGTGGCAGTGGCAGTGGCAGTTCACATCAGGACGTGACAGACCTAGAATGAAGAGCTCTTTCCAGGCAATCCAAAAGACTGTGAGCTGGGAAGCACCTTCCCGTCCTCACAACTTGAGCCTTCAACAGACGCCGTCTTCTGCACCGCTCCTTTTTCCCTCTCAAAGCTCTCTTACCCTCTTCCTCTTGTGTTCTCTTCTCTTCTCTTCATCTCTTTGATTTTCATCCTACTGCTCCAAAGTCATCTCTTGACTCAAAGTTGGCTCTTCCTTTCAACTCCTGATATCTTCTTCTTCCTTTGCCAGCTTCCTAGTCACAGGTGAGTTTTACAGCGATGCTCAAACAACATGTACCACCTCACTGAAACATATTCAAAAGAGATCCCTTGTGACACCTTCACCAAACATGACCACCACCACTGGTACTCCTGTCATTGAGACACAGTCAAATACCACTCCCTTTCAGAAGAACTCTGCCCCTGAGTCTTCATCACCACCGGTCCATGTTGAAAATCCCACATTCAATGCCAACTGTGAAGCCTCTTTCAAGTACGCCGTTTCTCTCGCTCAGCAAGTCGTCCAGGACAAATTAGCCGGTCATACTCCAACTGATATTCCAGCTGATCATGCTGTAAATATGGCCATCCTTGTCACTGACATGATACGAATGCTCAATGCCTCTGGTGTTGTAAGTTACTTTCACCAACTTTCTTGCCTTTTCCATGCTGATCAATCCAAAGTCAAGAGATGCCATCCTCCGAGCTGCTGCCTACATGGAGGGAGAAGAGCGTCCCAAGGCTGGCCAGGCTCTCCGACAAGCAAGACTCGACCGCCGAAACAAGAGTGGCTACAGACGACCTGCAGCAAATGGAACTGCCGAAGCAAATGCTGTGACCGGGAGTGATGCGGAAGCTCTCGGTGGAGTTGACCCTAATACTGCAACCGTTGGCCACCCAACAACCAGCACCACTGCCAAGATCTCGGACTTGGATCAAGAGAATGAGAAGCCCAAGACAGAATATCGTGGCAATCAAGTCGACCCTTCTACTCGTAAGTCGAAGAAGAAACCCTTCTGGAACTATCGTCGTCACTACCCGAGAAAGAGCAAAGACCCCGCCGCTATGGATCGCAAGAAATCAGGGGAAGCGGGTGCAATCGGTGTCACAAGTGAACCTACAGCTGTTGCTAATTCTTCTGACCAAACCAAGTCTGTAAAAACTTTCGAAATGCAACCTACCACTGACCAGCCTCCAAAATCTCTCAACAGCCACACCTCCACCCAACAATTTGAGGACAACAACCCAGCTGGTGGCAAGCCTGACACTGATGGCAAGGAGGAACCAACCGCTCCCACTGTCATTGTCACTTCAGATGTCAAGACTGAAGACGCAGAAGTCAAGCAAGTGACTGCAGTCACCGAATTCAAGGCAAAAGCAGAGCATCTGGAAGCCGTTGAGCCAAACCCTGAGCCTGAGAAACTTGAAAAGACTGCCGCCGTCTGAAGAAGGCCGACAGTCACTTGCTGGGGTTCAAGGCTATCATCTGCTTGTGGACTCACACACCACTTTCTTGGGATGTGTATGGATCATAAAACACGAAGGTTGAAGGCAACAATTCGAGAAGATTGGTGAATCAGACCTATGACTTGTATGGCTAGCATGAACTAGTTCCCAGATATGGAATCAGCTTACCAACGACGGGCACAAAATTCTGTATGAAGGGTATGAAGGTATTCCATTGATTACCAAAGGAAACAAGCTACAAATTCTGTATGAGTTAGCTGAACTAAGATCATAAAAGTTCAACCGATTACATCTGAACGTCAGAGAGTAGCTTTCCAATCGTGATTTGGTGTGCTAATCTTTCCATATAACACCACAAGCACGGTCACAGCAAACACATCTGTTGGGAGCACAACCAAACATCATGATACGAATCGTTCATTAAGTTTCATGATCGGACGCCACGCTAATATAACAAGGTTAATGACTTTTCGCTCGTGTGAGCCAGCGTCTGAGACCAATATGATTCAACATTCAGAGTCCAAGAATCCAGCGGCCACAAGATTCCTCCAGATTCTCCACCCAAAAATCGTGTTCACTTCTGCAATCATCGTCTCAGAGAGTCCAATAATCCAAATCAGACTCAGACTCAGAGTGTATATCTCGATCCACGAAAACTATGGCCCTGCTCCAGCAGCCATCGTAATCATGGCCAGTCCAATCAAGGAAAAGCAGGCCCTCGCTCAATCACATCGTATTCATCAGCTCCTCGTCCTCCGCCGGTAGCACCACCATATGCACCACGTCCTCTACGCGGCAGTATCCTCTCCGTCCACGGCATGTACATGCCCGTTCCGTCTCTCCCACCACCTGGCCCCGCATACCAGGCCCCAGGATGTCCTTGCCCATACATGGACATGGGCATCGGCATGGGTCGGGCCCTCGACCACGATCGTGCATTCCTGAACGGCGAGCCCGACCGTCCACGTCTATAGTCTCTTGCTTCCCCGCCGCCGCCGCCGAATGGCCTGTAATACGCTCCCCCTCTGAGATGGCCCAGTGGTTCGGGATAGCCAGGGGCCGGCACCGGCCCACCGCTACCATCACCGCCATCATCATCGCCGCCGCCGCCGCCTCCACCTGGCCCAGCTGCTGGCGGAGGAGGAGGAGGAGGAGGTGGTGGTGGTGGTGGAAAGCCCGGCCCGGGTCCGGGCCCCGGCAGTGGAATGGGAATGGGAGCCATGACGGCAGGACCGGCGCCGATGATGACAGGTCTCGGGCGTCGCCGTCGCTGGCGCGCCAATGCTTCGTTCTCCGCGTTCAGGCAGATGTAGCAGTACCATAGGACGAAGAGGATCACGACAGCGCTTATGGGTGCCCAGATCTCCGGGTGGGTCTCGCTCATTTTTCTTTTCTTATCGTGAGTGGATGGGGTGGGGCTGAGGTGCGGTGCGGTTGTTTATGGCTTGGTTTGATTTGCGTGGGCTCGTTGGGTAGGGAGGAGTGGATGTTGGATGGAGTGAGCTGTTGTGCTTTGGGCATGGAGGACTTCGGAAATGGAGGAGAGGTGGTCGTTTGGGTTTAGGACTGGTATGACTGTCGATCTGGAAAACTTCGCAGGCGAACGAGGACGGCTTGATCAGCAGCAGAAGAGGAGGACTGTTTTCAACATGGGTGTAGTGTCCATTTTGACTTTGCTATACAAATGAGGCCAGGGTGGACGATTTGAGGTCAACGACATGACCGTAGGCGGGTTCTCTTGTGATCATGCCAACCTCTGCTATTCATAGTGTTCTGTTCTCGCACGTGTTTAGACGTGCAAACAGGGGGAAGTACACCACAACTATACAGGTCTCCTTGTTTTGTTTGTCCCGTACCCAATGTGGTGGTTCTCTGCAAACAGATCCGCACCACACAAACATAAATCTGAGGGCTTCCAAGTCATTAGCTTCAACATAGCGGTGGCCGCGAAATCTGATCCTGTGTCTGAAGAATATGTGATTGAGTTTGATAGCCAACATGCACATCGTACAGCAGCAGAGATACGAGCGATTTTCGACGTGTGAACGATACGATAGTGTGCTCGATCTTGGCTGGCATTCATAGAATAGCTTTCTCGTCCATAACAACTTGATCACTGCATTGGTCGTGTAAGGCCATAGCCAAACATGCGCTTCAAAGCTATTGCCCTCTCCATTCTTCAACCAGCAGAAAGATTGTATTGCAGTCAACTACCGGTGATCTCAAGTAGTCACTGAAGTAAGCATCATCTTTAAAAACAGACAGGGTTAGATAATGCTCTGTCAGCCTTGCAGCAACCTTCGCTTCTTAATGGTTGCCACATTTTGTCCGCAGATCACAACACATTGACAGGTCATCTGCAAGGAGAAAAGGCAACCAGGGGTGCGTGATCAATTAGTCGAACAGAGGGCTTGCGATGAGGAAGTTTGGCTAGCTTCTTGGTCGGCACTCGGTAGTGGTTCATCGGATTGCAACATCTGCTCGGATTCGGTTCCTGATTCAATCGGTAAGTGTTGCCTCGGTTGTTTGTAGAGTCAACCAAGCCTTGTTGTAGTTGGACTTATCGAAGGAAACCAAGTAGTCGCAGGAAGTTGCACCAAGACTTTTGGCTCCGTTTGCCAAGGGTCACATCATACATCATACATGATAGTGATCATAATTTCATGCATTTGTCACAAAAGTCTAGTTGTGCATAAAAGTTCTCAATATTCGTGTGGCCTCGGCCCAAGCCAATGGGGGGGAAGAGAAGTAATTGCTCTCGGCAATTTGTAGATGGCGTTTGCACGCCTTCATCGAGAAGTTTGGGTCGCATTTGCTCAAAATATGATATTTGGATAACCCTCAAGATCTTCAGGGTGATACATTGTAGCGAATTCAGCCTCGCTTATTGCTCCATATGCGAAAGCATCAAGCGCAGTCATGGTCTGCTGTTCAGGGATCATGTACTGAAAACCACTGGGCACTTGAGGCATATGTTGAATAGGCATTTGCAAGTTGACGGTCGGATACGTTGTTTGGTTTTCATGTTGTATCTGCTGTTTCTGGATGTGAGGTTCCTTTCTTTTCCGCTTCTCTACACCGGAGGTGTTCGATTTCTTGGCCGAATGCACTGGCACAGGCTCTGGCGCCGACAACAATAAGGCAGACGTGGAAGGTGATCTTGGCAATCTCACGCTTGCGGGAACAGTGTTGAACGATGGCATGTCGCTGTACAATTCTGGAAAGCGTCGAAAGATGTCCGGACCCATGGTCCAGCTTTTGATGTCGTAAAGACGCTCATCAAAATGTGGTGAAATTTTATACAAACCCGTCTCAATTTCTCGTGTATAACAATCACGAAATTCGAAAGGCCACAGAATACGAAGAGAGGTGCAAAATAATTTCCAGAACTCGTTATCGCAATAATTATGTTCGCCGAATATGAATCGTTCCCGCAGACCAGGCCAGGCGAAAAAATCGATTGCATAAGAATGTGCGATTTTCTGTGAGGGTCGCTTGTTGTACCAAGGAGGAAGGCGGGCATATCGATCAGATGTCGACTCGGTATGGAACTGTAAAAGGCTGTGCATTGCCCTTAGGATGGCGAGACGTTCCGTGTCCGGGCAGGTTCTGAACAATGTCTGGTCAATTCGTCGTAGAATCTGCCATGAGGGGTGTATAGGCCCTCTTTTTGCAACTGCATCCCACCCTTCGAGTACTGCTCGAACGGGAACATCATCAGCCACCGCATCAGATGTGGGTTCAACATTCTCCGGCCAATCGAATCTTTCGCTGAGTACTTCATTGGCATATCTCCAATAGTTTCCTCGCCATTGCGATTTTCTCGCTGGCATACCGGAGTGATTGTGGCTGTTTTGGCAAGCACACCCATTCATGGGCTGATCCCAGTTGTTGGCATACGAAGTAGGCATTAAATTAGGATCGACAATGGCCTTGGATTGTACCAATGCTTGGCTCGTTGACTGAGGACTGTCACTGTCCAGCCGAACGACTTGTGGGCCAAATAATATTTCATGCGACGGCATATGGAGGCTTGGAGCAGGGGAGAAGGTGGCGAGGTCAAAATCGGTTTGTGGGTTGGTGTCCGGTATGTGGTCACTCAGAGGAGCAGATGCCCTGCGGGTCAAGGAGATGATGCTTGGTTTTCGTTCCTCGTTCTCGTCATTGAAGCCGTCCACCAGGACCATCGGATCTGGATTGACATTGTAAGAAGAGGAGTCTTCTTTGGAAGGTTTGTGTACGTCCATGGCCTTTTGAATGTCCTTCAAGGTCTTGCTCATCATGTCTCGCTCCGACTCCACCTCTTGTAACTGCTTCATCAAAGTAGCGACTTGTCCACTGGAGTCCTGTCGCCTAAAATCCTCCACGAGCCCTTCGAGATAGGCGATGCGGCTCTTTGTGCGCTCGCGAGCTTGCCGCTGACATCTTCTATCGATTTCTCGTTTCTTTAGACGGCGAGAAGAAACGCCTTGGCCATCTTGCGCATCGGTGGAATTGGCAACACTGGCGCCATTCGGACGTTGGAAGGTTGTGGTCGTACTGGTCGACATCGTTGGTTTTGTAGAAGTTGCTTGCACACGAATCAGAGGTGGCAGAGGTGTATAGTCTCGTTGCCATAGATTATAGCGGTCTGGAGAGACATATGGAAGAAGGGATGTGTCGGGAAACAATCGGGTTGAAGTTTAGAGGTAGTCGTAATCCGTTGTGAAGGGACCTCTCGAGGAAATGCATAGCGTGGTGTAAAGCACCCGATGAGCGGCAATGGGCAGCACGCTATGACAGTCTCTTAGTCTCAACCCCAGACTTCCAAGACCAGCTGGTAGACCAGTGTGGCATTGGCAACCCAATACGACAGGCGGCACCGAAAGTGTGTTCTCAGACTTGCTCGAGCATGATTCGTATCCGTAGCAATTCGGTGTCGATTGACTTTTCCTCGGCTGAGGGAGCAGAACAAGGGAGTGCTGACTGGAGGGGCACGGGGCTTAACTTGATTGAAGGATGGATAGTACAAGAGCCACCTGACAGAGGAGGACTGCCAACTGCGACTCTGGCTTGGGCCTGGTTGGGTCGGGGGTTTCTTCGGGGCAGCTTTAAGCCTCATTAGCTTACAGCAAGGACCCTCTGTGCCTTCTTCTGGCTGCCCCTCGCCGCTTGTCAAGTCTCGGGGATCGTTGGAAGTGACACACTTTGACACCCATACACGCCTACCGTTTCACGTTAGTGCCGGCCAAAAGATTGCACTTTGCCCCAAACTTCAGCTGGCAGTCAACCTAACTCCAGGCTTCCGGGCTTTGTTACAGGCGCCACCATGTCGCTGTCACAAGCAGATCAAGACGATGTGGCAACAGTCAGGGCCATTTGCCAGCCTCGAGTTGATGTCATCAAGCTGAAATTTGAAGATCTATCCGCTTTCTTTGTACCAAATATCTAGTTGGAATTCTCGCGAATTCCGAATGGACTTCTGCTTGCTCGTGGCGAGCCGGATCGATGCGAACTGACATCTGCTAGATCAGGCGAGCACGACATGTCTTTAATGAACTGGCAGAGCATTCTGAGCTTGTCCCACGATCCGAACTCTTATTTACACGGCGCCAAAGCCTCGGACTGGCCTTCCGTCACTCCATGTCAGGTACGGGTAGGCCGGGTGGCTTTTCTCTTGGGCTTTCTTCAGGACGACATGGCTGCCCTTCAGCGGAACTATGTTTCCATGATCTGTCGATCTAGCAATGTCCTTTTGTTCCATAGATACAATTTCACTGCCCTCTTCGTGTCTGGAGATGACAGTATTGTGAGATCGACATTGCTTTTCGCGGAGGAGAACCTGTTACCTTAGTGTCGTGTAGCTAGCTATCTATCTAGTTCAACGACAATAGAGCTTTAGAAAGCTGTCAAAAGAGAGCCTTGACAGAGTGAAAATCTGTGCTTCTCCTTCCCTTGATAGATGCTAGCTCCTGTTCTTTCTATCGCCACAGAACCGTCCAGACTCAATGTCCAGCCTGAATCTAATACGATATGGTGGCCGCCCCCCCTTTCAAGCCTGCTTGCATGCTGCTGCCCGCCGCTCTCATCACCTCCTCTTCGCCATGCCTTCCCAACACTCACCAAACAAAGGCTACAGTGTCCGATAACAAACACTGTGCGGAAAATCTGTTCAACAAACTAGCTCATCCATCCCAGTAGCTGGTATAGTGCAGTCGTTAGCATCTCCTTTTCCCAATGGTAAAAGACAATCCCCATAGTCGGCAGCATTACCTAGGTGATTTGCGCCTGAACGAGGCTTGGGGATCCATCTTTCACCAAAAAAAAAAAGGAAGTTGAGGAAGACCTTGGTTCAAATCCGAGTGCCAGCATTAATCGTGGTTCATCTTTTTTGTCCGTCTTATTGTCTGTGCGAGGAACGTCGACTTCTTTTTATTCTCTTTGGTTCGGGAGAAGTGGCATTCACGTCTTCCAGGTTTCTTTTCTCAGCAGCCCACAGTCGCCCTCGCACCTTCCCTCCATCCCTTTGCTCTTCAACGGCGTAGTGCCTGCCACGCCACTAACCGGGTCCGTACCTTCTCATTCCGCCATTTCCATCTTCGTGACTTCCAACAAATCTGAACCATTCGAATAAGATGATATGTTCCGGAAAGCTAGTCACAAATAAGTAGCTCATCAGCAGGTGGTATAGTGCAGTGGTCAGCATCTCCTTTTCCCATCCAAGCCTCCCAAAGGACGGTGTTTCGTCAGGGACATTGATATGTCGACCAATTTTGGTCAGGGAGGCAGTTACGGAAGTTGAGGAGGACCTTGGTTCGAATCCGAGTGCCACCATCGATCCCTTTTTTTGGTTGATGCCTGTGTGCCTTTTAGTGAGAGGAGGAATCTCCATTTTGGAACTCGGTAGATTCAAGGCAGCCTCGAGATGTACTGTGCCATAACATCATCTAGCCTGTTCGTCCCATGGCTCTTCTGTACTCACCGTCTGCTCTGATCTAGTCCATTCCGCTGTCGACCCTGCTCAGTAGCCAGTGCTCAAGACCTGGGATGGATGCCACTACCCACTCTCCCCATTTATTCATCCTAGGCATCAAACACAACCCTCTGACCACTTCACCCAACCATCAAGCAAACATAACGAATCCCTCTAAAAGTGCCATCTCGCAGAAAGTCCATCAACCGATCAGGTCGGCAAATAAACACGCAGTGAACTGGGAAGTGGCGTGTTTTTGGAGTGGTGGGAACACGATCAGTCAGTCTATCAGGTCAAATCTTGAGGATCGTTTCTGCCTGTACAGAAACATTCGCAATTCGCCATTTGTTTCAAGGGCGGTGTTCTAATTGATCATCAACAATTACATCTCGCGTCCCAACGTGTGGTGAGTAAGGAGTCAGTGACAAGAACAAAACACAGAGGCAAATCAGACGGAGTCGCGTTTAGAAAAAGGAAAGTTCAACCGAGTCCGATCTTGGTGTCCACGCCCCCACCTCGGGATGGCAGTGGACTGGGATCTGACGTGGGCTATCTCTCTAAGGTACCTAGGTATTCGACCGACTGGGAGCGGTATCACTAGTTACAGATTGTCTGCTGTTCATTCTTGACCATTCCTTGTACACCGCCATGATCTAGTTCCATCGCTATGCATTATTCATCACAACTGGTACGTTTCGCTCAAACTCCTCGTGGGAACTCAACGGGAGTGCCACATTTCTTTCGTTGTCGCTGGCGTTGTTTGCAATCTCTGCACCTCACAAATCAGGTCGAATCAATCTGTTGGCCATTCGGTCTTTAGACCCAGAGATGCTTTTATTGCATAGAACCGGGTTCTGTTTCAAAGACTTATGCCGTCGACTCGTATCTGTAAGACATCAAGTCTCTACCGGGACGGCGGGCTTGGTGTAGACCTGCCTTCAGCAGATCAACGCTTTCTCGAAACTGTCTGCCAACCCTCAGAGTCAGTGGCCTTTCTTGGCCGCGCGGTGTGGTTGGCACCTGGGACGAACTTAGGAGCAGTAGGGTTATATCCTCGGCCACCACTTGATGCCGACTTTCCACTGTCACTGCGCTCGCGGGCTGCGGCACCAGGTACGGGGTACGGGATCTGCGTGATCAGGTTCATCGGGCGTTCACATGGATCGTGTGAGAAGCCGACCTGGACGTCGGTGTAGGGCCCTCGTTCTCGAGCCAATTGAATAAACTCGTCGCGAACCCGTCGGGCGATGACTGTCGCGGTAAAGACAACCGTGGCTAGGGACATACGTTAGCTGGAAGGTGGTCATCATCACTTGGACTTACCATTTCCTGTGTTGAAGAGCCAGACAAGAATCACGTTATGTGGCCCGACGATGTCATGGATATCTTTGGTGAAGCGCTCTTTGGTCATGCCATTGGTAAACAACTGCTGGCGTGCAAAGGTCAGACGGCGACGCTCGTTGATGGGAGGTGCCATGCGTAAAAGGTCCGAGTTCTGAGGGTAATTCGAACCGAGTCTAATCTCGGTGTTGACTCCGTACAATCCCACGCCTAGATCTCGCTGGGAACGTTCCTCCTCTTCAGCCAGCAAAATGGCCGAGCTGGCATGTTGAAAGATGATGCAAACGGCCTCATGCTCGTGGACATAGACGACCGAGAAGATGGCACCGACAGTGATGCGGTCGGTAACGTTTTGTAGATGTCTGTTCCTATTCCAGCCATAAACCCAAGCACATCTCATGTCCTCGTCTTCATCGTGCGGCTGGACAACCACCTCATCTGTGACATGTCGCTTCAGACCGTCAGATGGACGGAATTTGACCAAGCGGTTGTTGGCTGGTATGTCTGTTGCAGCAACAGCAGCCCAGGTGGATGCGTGGACCGTTGCATGAGGCGTGAGGGATGTGGTCCGACTGGCGGTGACCTGACCAGGATTGATGGGAGGGGCGGACTTGATCTGGAACTTTTCTATACCCCAAGGATTCGTGGTTCGATTGAACGTGTCAAGCATGGAGTGGACGTCTCGAGCGATGCAATTCGCTGCTTCATTTTCATCCTGGGCACGAAACTGACTTCTGATTAGTCCAAGTGAGCTGCAGCTTAGGATAGAATGGAACCGACATGATCCACCACCCGCCGAAGGCAGTCTAAGGCTTCAGCCATCACATCACTGACATGATTTGGATCTGGACTCTTCCCAAAGGCCATGATATCCTGTATTGGTGCCTGATCAGCAATGCGGTTTCTCTCGTGTTGGCTCTGGCGGGATAAGCAACCCACCGACAAGGGCAGATTGAGCGAGGAAGGGATGTGATAGGATGAACAAACCTCCGAATTCTCGCTACTGAGATCGCTGTAGTAGAGAGAAGGTGGCGAGGCAGGATAGGTGGGATTGCTACAGAGGCTGTAGCGTGAAGAGAGTGGTGGGCGATACGAAGGCTGGAAAGACATATTGAAGGTGAAGACGAAGTGACTTCCAATGTAGTGGTCAGGCAGTCAAACATCAACATGAACACCGGCGGCCGCCAGATCAGATCGTTTGTCACTTGTGCGTGACTGAACGTATCGATGGGATTTTTGAACAAAGAAAACCCCAGCAAAAGCTTGCCAGTCTCAGACCAAATTGAAGTGATTGAACCGGAGAAAAGCAGCTACCCGCGTTCCTGACTGAATATATCTCCTCAAATGGAGCAGTAATATCCAATTCGACAAAGACTCACTGAAAAAAAGAAAATACAATGTGGAAAATGTGTTTGCTCTTTCCCGCTCAAAGTGGTTCAAGTTTGGGAAATTCATCTCATCATATTTATCTTCGCTTGCGCGACACGTTCTCCGCTCTAAAACTCCTTGAATGCAATGTAGCGCTGGTTGCATGATGGATATGCTCAATCAAAGAACAACATGCAGGCAAGAAACAAGACAACCATCAAGAAAGAAAAACCTCTGTAAAGCGGAGGCACCTACATCGATATGATTCCAATCGTAAGACCCGTCCAAACAATCGTCCAATCATGGTATCCACTTGATTAGTTGCGCCAGAACAGCAATCTGCTGCCCAACTCCCGCCCTAGTGCTTGCCGGGCCTCTACCGTCCTGGTAACAGCGTCCCGATTCTCATGAGCTCGACGGAGAAGATATTTCATACACTCACCCATCGATCCCCAGACCAGATATTTGTATGCCTTTGGCACCTCCACATTGGCTTGCTCGCCAGTAGATTGGTATCTGCTTCGTGCCCTGGCGGTTTGTACAACCTGGCAACTGACATTATCCGCCATTCCCATCAGTTGACCATAAGCCAATTCGATTCGTGCCTCGCCACGCTGGGCCTGCAAATCACGGAGCTGGCCGGCCAATCTGACTGATTCTGCATTGTGTGTGGCGAGAACAAGACCAACACGGGGAAAGGTTGCAGAACCTCCCTCAACAGGAGTCAACATCTTGCCATACTTGCTCTGTATCACGCTTCGAGCAAGAGAGTCGTAACACTGGTGCGTTTCTTCAATCGTCGACCAAAACAAATCTCGCGGATCGCTGCCCAAATAAGCACCCCGAACCAACTTGATACCCAATACAAAGTCGTTTTCAAGAGCCATGTTCAGATGTCTGGCCAAGACCTGGGGGGTTTTTCGAGCATAGGCTTGATAAGTGCCATGTACTAGTGCCCTTTCCTTGTTGTATATTTTGGCAAAGTACATGGTCCAATTATCAATGCCTTCTTGAAGAGTGGTCTGTTCAGCATCAAACAGCAGCTTGACGCCTTTCTGTTCAGCACTCTGGCAAATCTCGTGAACAGCCATTTCGAATTCAGGAGCGCAGGCAATTGTGGCTTTCAGGTGTTTAAGTGCCTGTCTTCCAGCACCCGTGAATTTCAAAGCGACAAAATCGCCTTTCTGTGAAAGGGCGATGGTTTCGACAAGGTTCTGTTTCCACTCGTTGATTTCCTGGGTATTGATTGCCGTTTCTGAACCATCATCTTCCAAAACTTCCAATCCTTCAGCCTCTTCTTTGGAAAGAACCACCTCCCTGGCATGCCCGAGGATTACCCCTTCATATCCTGTATCTTTCAAATCCTCGATGGTCTTTCTGGCCTCTGCTGGAGTCTCGCCTGCGCAGAACTGGGCGTAGAACGTTTTCTTCAGTAGGAAGTGGAGAACGGGATTGCGGTCGGGATCAAGGAAGGGGTTCTTGGTACGCGTGAGGAATGTAAGGAATTTGAGAGACGGATTCAGAAGAAATGGCACTGAAGAGACCGAAGTGATGGTATATGAGCGGATCAATGTGGAGAGTGGAAGACAAGACAAGGGCCTCAGGAGCGCCATTTCGACAGGGTGGGACTCAGGTTGAGGGTTGGAATGAAGGTCAAATGCTGTTGAAGAGACATTTCGTCGTGTGTGAGTCTGCCGGCGTTGATGGAGCGTCTCGGAGGGTTTATGTCTCGGTCGTCGCTGTGGGGTGTGCGTCGATGAGATAGTTGGGGCAAGAACGAAGGTCGAGCGGAGCACGTGTCTGAATTGTAATCTGGAGACTTGAGTAGCACATGTTGGTAGATCCATGTCGGGCACTGGTATGTGCCTGTTATCAAGTTATGTCAAGGAAGAGTTGAAATGGAACAAAGGAAATCAGAGAGCCATTTGTATACTACCTGCATCTGCTGTGAGCGGTTGACAGCCCCCCACGAGCCGAAAGCCATTATTGATAAAGCCCCTCCAACCATCAAAGCATTGGATGTTGACGGTGGTAGACTGATACGTCAGAGAAGGAAGGCTGTGTTCGTCTTTGCGCTGCTTTGTCCTAGTCGGTTGGTATCGGAAGTACCAGCCGAACGTAAGCGTTCTCACGTGCTGAGGGTCACGAGGCCCAATTCGTGCCGCACCCAGTCAACTTCTGTGCGGATAGAAGCGCAATTCGGTTTATCTGCATCACTCATGATTGAATCACAGACTCAATCGGCATCGACTCCCGACCAAGTCGTTCGGGTTGAATGTTCCGCCTTGAACCATAGATAAGTAGTGCAACTTGACCTTGCGATAGACTATCACCACCATATCGGCCGGCAGATAGCATCCAAAACTCAATGATTCCCATGTCGAGTGAGTGCCCGAGTCATTACCGACGTCGACGATATGCTAGCTTCGAGAAAAGCCAAGGCGATGCACTTCCTATTGGTCTCGAAGGAGTTTATGTGTGAGTGTAGGATGAATGTAGTTTCGTGGCCGTTAATGCGGAGTAGAGAGCGTTAAGATGACGGTGTGATGGTTACGGGAGAGCATAACACCATCAGCCGCGTTCGCTATGGTTGCTCGGTAACCATTTTGACCATCTCGAAATGGTAAGGCTTCAACATGAAAGGATTGGTGTGACTTGAGAACGAATACACTGCAAACTCCAGAGTGACTGCCAAACTGCACCACCGACATCACAGGTTCAAGAATACGTGTGTACACTACTACCACGACAACAACGGACCTCAACATCAATCAGCACACTCTCTCTCTCGGTCAACGCCAACTCTTTCCAATCTGCATCATTAGACATTATCCAGCCTACCGACGTCTCTCACCTCGCTTCTGCTATCCCATGTCGTTGGTGTTAGGTTGCGGTTTCTCTTGACACGAGTACGAAGAATTGGTACCCTATCAACATCTGCAATGGTGTCCGACGGTGCTTCGTCAATCTCGGTCACCGTTCGTGTACGGCCATTCACCATCAGGGAAGCTGCGCAACTCACAAAATGTGACGATTCTACAATCTTCCTCGGCGATGGCTCTCTCGCTGCCGCCCCTACCCCTAAACTCACACAGAAAGGCATTCGTCCTGTAATCAAAGTGGTCGATGACAAGTGCCTGTAAGAACTCGTGCAAAACAGATTGGCCCCCGTCCTTCATTCTAACATTCCTGTTCCAGTGTTTTCGATCCTCCGGAAGATAACCCTGTTCACAAATTCTCCCGCTCCGTTGTCCCTACTGGAAAGCGAGTCAAAGATCAAACCTTTGCATTTGACAGAATATTCGACGAGAACGCCTCGCAAGCCGAAGTGTACGAGGCCTCTGCAAAGCCCCTGCTAGACAGTGTTTTGGACGGATACAATGCCACCGTCTTCGCCTACGGTGCCACTGGCTGTGGCAAGACACACACAATCACTGGTACCGTCCAACAGCCAGGTGTAATATTCATGGCAATGCAAGAATTGTTCGAACGAGTAGGCGAGTCTGCGGCGGAGAAGGTCACAGAGATCACCCTTTCATACCTCGAGATCTATAACGAAACCATTCGCGACTTGTTGGCGCCCTCGACTTCGAAAGGCGGTCTGATGCTCAGAGAAGATGCCAACCAGACCGTATCCGTTGCCGGTCTTTCGACTCATCGCCCTCAGAATGTGCAGGAAGTCATGGACATGATCATGAGGGGAAATGAGCTACGAACAATGTCACCGACAGAAGCCAACGCCACATCTTCACGTTCCCACGCAGTCTTGCAAATCAACGTGGCGCAAAAAGATAGAAATGCAAGCGTTGAGGAACCACACACTATGGCGACTTTGAGTATCATTGATCTAGCTGGCAGTGAACGTGCAAGTGCAACCAAGAACCGCGGCGACCGTCTCCTGGAGGGCGCCAACATCAACAAGTCACTCTTAGCTTTGGGCAGCTGCATTAACGCCCTTTGCGATCCTCGCAAGCGAAATCACGTTCCCTACAGAAACTCCAAACTTACCCGCCTACTGAAATTCTCTCTCGGAGGTAATTGCAAAACAGTGATGATCGTCTGTGTCAGCCCCTCGAGCGTTCATTTCGACGAAACCCAGAATACCCTTCGTTACGCCAACAGAGCCAAAAACATTCAAACCAAGGTCACTCGAAACGTGTTTAATGTCAATCGGCATGTCAAGGATTTCTTGGTCAAGATCGATGAGCAGATGGCATTGATTAATGAATTGAAGGCTCAGCAGAAAGATGCCGAAGCCCTAGCCTTTGCCAAATTCCGGAAACAAAATGAGAAGAAGGAGAGCATTGCAAGGGAGGGTGTGCAGAGGATCAGAAGCGCTTTCGAAAACTCGGCCAACGAGCGGCAAGAAAGAACTGTCAACATGGTCAAATTGAAGCAGATTGGAAGAAGAATTGCCATGTTGGCGTCCTGGATCGCAGCTTTTGACGAAGTCTGTGATAATGCGGGGAGTGATGAAGCCCTCAACAACATGCAAGCAGTCAAGAAGACTGCCCATGGAATTATGGTTGAACTGGAAACTAGTCGACATCATTGTCAACAGAAAGTTCATAAAAGCTCTTGGGATCGCGCAATGAACACTGCTTTGGAGCACAGTCTGCGACAACTGAGCGAGGTTGACACTGGCGATATGGTTGATTCAGAAATGCTGCGCCGAGAGGTTGAGCTGCTCCGTTCAAGTGCTGAACGGGAAGCGCTGGCCGCTGTCGCCGACCAAGAAAAGTCTGGTGACGCACCAACCATCCAGGTGTTGCTACGAGCTCTGTTTGAGGTGATATCGTCAATTGAGAACTTGAATCGCATGACTGTGGATGAAGCGGTCGAAGCAGCTACTCAAGTTCTAGGCAAGATGTTGAATGCTTCTTCCGCTGCCACTTCCTATGTCGTTAAACCAGATGGCAGCCTGGCTGCTGTAGAGGCATTTGCACCAACCAAAGCAGGTACTCCGAAGAAACGAAAGCAAACTTTCAGCAACTCAATCTTGGAAAGCAGCCCCTCGCGAGCTAAGACACTCCCTGTTCTAGTGCCACAGGTATCAATTGCATCCCCGAAAATGTCTCCACGACGACGAGGACTTCTGGGTGCCGCAAAGAAGGGCGTTTCTTTCACTCCTAAGAAGAAGAGATCTCCAACTAAAATCGCCAAGCGAGCGGTGAGGTGGAGGGATGATACAGAGGATGGGGCTTTGGCAGAGTTCGAAAAGACACCACAGAAGTTCACCCCATCACCCTGCGACGAGTCAACAAGCGAGATCACCCTCCCTCAAGTCTCCGATCTTGCAGCCTCGCTCGCACAGCTTCGCACTCAATCTCCCGACTCGTCTCCCATCCTTCCACCCCCCGAGTCATCACTTGGTGCCCAGGCCAAGAGTTCCCGATTTCAGGCAGGCTTCCTATCTAAGAAATACGATGGCTCACCACTCTCTGCCAGTATGTTGCCACCCAGAATGACACCACTCTCGTCATCAGACAGTGAAGGTTCTCCTTTGAGAGAGCTGGACGCTGGCAAAGCATCTAACAGACGCTCGCTAGCCACTGTGAACATGAATAAACCAGCTATGGATGGATCTGCAGACAGTGACAGTATGGGGTCTTCAGCATCAGGGTCTGATATCGAGAACCAAAATCGAAATGGCAAAGATGATGCTTTAAAGATCCGCGATGCAGTTCGGCGATCGAGCTCGGTCCGACGCTCGGGAGTTAATGGTTCACGAACGCAACGCCGCCGATCACCTACTGCTGCGACAGCAACTGCAGGTTCACCGCCAAACGAGAACATGTTCGGGCCAAGCCATGTACGAAGAATGGTGACGGGCAAGACCGAAAAAGAAAATGAATGGAGAGTGGGCGTCTTGAGCCCTCGTGTTCAAGGCGTCATCAGCCATACCAAAAGCTTGGGCGCACTCAGACGTACAACTTTGACAGGCTTGGATGTCCGCTCAACTCCAACTGCCGCGGAGAGATCAGGCGGCCGAATGAGCTCTGTCACGCCTTCGCATGGACACGCGTATTCGTCCTCCAGAGGAAGCCTCATGCCTGGGGGCAAGGCTGTCTGGCGTTGATTCATTACCGCGGGTTCAATTGAAAAAAGCTCCCTTGTTTTTGGTCGTTCGTGAGCTTCTTTGCGCTCATCTCACATATCATAGCATGCACCGCTGTGTAACGGAATGGTCTGGTTTGGTCCGGTTGGGCTGGGACGGTAGGGATAAGGATACGGACACAAGGAGCAGTCAGGTACTTAACCATCAGGACTATTCCCAGAATGGGATGCTTTTCCATGTACAATTCGCACGGCGTACTCAACGATGTCTCTCCGAGGCCGTGGGTTTCCAAGATGGTACCACACTCTAGGGCTTTTTCTACTTTCTTTCTTACTTTCTGGTGCTGTCGTTACCTAATGCTGCCCTCGAGTACCTACTGATGGACGCAAGCTGTACTGTAGCGTCCTCTACGTACGCTTGAAGTCTCATTTTGTTGGGGCCGTGATGACGAAATGAAGACTTTACTTTTCAAACCATACCTTTTTGGTGACATTTCTGTTCCAGTTCAGTCATAGCTCGCACCCTGCTCGTGCTTGTTGTTGAGAATCTCGTAGCCGGACGTCAGGTCGCGGAACCGTTGGGTTCGTGTTTCAAGGTCGAGGGGGAAAGCTGAAGGTGGCAGCGCAAGACTCCGCTCTACGTTCGTCGGTTCACGAAGACGGGGAGGGGAGTATGCAAAACCGAAAGACTACGCGGGTTCTTCGTCGTGCACTCTACGCTCACAGTCTTCTGTGGCGGACATGCCTCGTACATGGATGGCTGCCGGGACGGGACGTGTTACGAGAGATATCCGTCCGTGGCTACTCCCTTGCGGCGCCGAGCGGACGTCTATGCTTTCGAATGGGTGTGCATCTCGGTACTTTACTTTTCACCAGTTTCGCATGTAGACTCCGCTCCGCGCATGATGCCGGAATGGCGATGTGTGGCTGGGAAGATGGTGTCGTGGATGTCGCGTTGCATTGCATCGCATTGGGCAGATAAGGATATCCATTTCCGAGAAACTGTCTGTGCTCGGTTCGGCCACCAACTTAGGGCGGGTGTCCCGTCTTTTGCCGTTGACTTTACCCCTGAGCCCCGCGAGTGATGCTGAAGAGTGAAGGGGAGGGACGGTCACGAGGATTCAGAAGAAGGTTGCGCAAGTGCTGAGTTTGGGATTCAGAAAGTGGCTTGTCCTTCAAATGAACATATATGCAACTTACATGCCACACCGGGTTGGTGACAGGAACTGATGCCAGCATTAAATCCCGATGCGCTGGTGGAATCGTCGTTGGTCGGGAAATGTCAATGTCAACATGCGTCTGGCAGGCAGAGCATGAAGTATCAAAGGTCTACACTGCCAGTGGGTGGATAAACCAAGGATGCCTGAGGAAGATGGCTGTCAGATCGGGAGATCGTTCTTTCTCGTATCATGCGGAACTGCGACTGCTGTTCTCATTATGACCTTGGCTTCCAAGGCTGTCTTGAAGAAAAATACCCTCATTTGCGCCATTTTGAACACTCATCCACGGGATAGATTCAATGCGATGATTTCACGGTTCTGCACAGATGGCGCGCATCATTGCAAAACACTGAATACTGGAGTGCGCCTCAAGTCGAGTGGGCCCACCAATAACGCGAGCTGTCAATTTTCCTGCAATGGAAAAGCTTTGACAGAGCATGCGATCGGAAAACGGGCGATCATCACGAGGTCAGTATACGAGAGAACAATCCTTGATTACTTGGCAGTGACGGTTTCGAATTCCTTCGACGTTTACCAGTAGAAATTCAGGAATCGAAGATGCCGGGGGTCTGGTTTATGGTTTTTGACAGGTCCTGTCCAGGGTATGCGTCGAGCGCGTGTAAGAGATGGTGATAAATACCGTTCTAGATTTCGCATGCGCCGATCCATGCCACTTTGGGAAGAATGGATTTCTGGAAAAAGGATGCAGAAGTTGTAGTCTGCCAAAGCTCTCGTGGAAGGGGGTGAGGTAGCGGAGCTTCCTTCCGGGACTTCATGTTCTCCAAGCAGTGTCCACATACTCGAAGGACGACATACTCACAAGGATTGGCGGAAATGAAGCCTTGGACTGTTGCAACTCTTGGAAGACTGAGCCGGGCGGCACGCCAAGTTGGATTTAAGTGGAACGTGATACTTCTGTGCCCAGTGAACACCATCGAAAGCGGCTGATACCAATTGCGAGCCTCGTCATTGAAACATGTCGCAGTTCGTGATCGGAAAAGGGGCTGGCATATCTTGGATAGCTCGGCGTATGAATGCTATGCCAGACTATGAACCGTGATGAAGTATGTTGGGGAGTAGGTCTTCTGGTCATGTTCACCAGAAGGTTCAAGGCCGCAATCCTCGCAACCAAATCTGCATATCAAATTTACGGAGCGAGGGCGGATGCAAGGCTCTGCTTACGGAGTTTGTCATTAGACTGAAGCTACCACCGCGGCATTTCTGGATTGAAATTCAAAGACATTGTCAGCAGGTGACGTGTGCGACGGTGACGTTGGCACGGACGAGCTATGCATGACTTTACCAAGTCAAGCATCTTTCCAAACATAAAATCAGAAGGATCGCCGATAGGTAAAAGTTTTAGCAACCACGGCCGACGTGTTTTAAGTGTACTCGTAGTGTATCTAAAAGTGCCAGCATGACTCTAATGATTCCTGTGGCGTGTGGGAGACCACGGCACGATGGTCCACACTTGGCCTTTGGCGAGCAATAAGGGAGAGATCCAGTGGATTTGCGTTCGCCCCTTGCGTTGATGGCTGGCCGGGATCGTCGGCGGCCCAGGGGCATCTGTGGGTGATGGGTACGCACGCCTGTAGAATCGTCTGTGCTTGACGAAGTTCGTTCGAGCTTGAGCTCCGTACCTTGGTAGAGGTTGCGATATGGAGTATCGCTTCGTGCGATCGTGCTGATGATCACGACGGATGGAAAGTGGACAAGGCCGGCCTTGCAAGGAGAAGTATCTTAAGTACACAGCTAAGACCTGGCTTTGATAGATGTCTTTTCTCTTGAAGACCACAGCACATTCTCTACCTGTAATTTGATTTATCCAGCCTACATTCCTTAATACCACACACGTTCCTTTACACAAGTCACTCTCTACATATCGACCGGATGAACGATATACACCAGATGAAGCGCTACGCCATCGTGGGGACGCCCACACCGGGCGATGGCTGGTCGTCATATTTCGATTCATGGCGTACAGAGGACACTCAAGTGCCTACTTACAGTGAACCGGTGATTGTGGACGATGAGTCGCACCCCGATCTGAGTGACCTTCGATTCAACATGGATATGGAGGTCGATTGGACGATGGACATGCAATCACCCTATGTCGGTGCCGCGATGCACAGCAACGGCCACAACTTGAACTTGAATGGAAAGACGAGATTAAATGTTGCTCATCCCGACCATCAACGGCATGGATTGCAGCGGCATGACGTCGACGCATGGCAACGACCGTGGCTGGTGCAGCCCAATGACGACGTTTTGGGCCCCCTGCATCAGATTCAGATAGGCGCGGGCGTTCCAGGGAGCACAGACCCGCGGAGGGGCAGGGGCACTGGCACTGGCACTGGGAAGCATGCCTATGATGCTCGAAGTCAAGCCCAGGTCCCCGCCCAGGTCCAAGCCCAAGGCCAAAACCAAGCACCAGCCAACACTCACCCCCATTCCGGCTTGGGTGTTAGGCGGGCGTTGAAAGTCAAGGTCAGTAACTGCCCCCACCATTGCCCACCATTTGCATCATTATTCCCCGTCCATGGCATCACTGCACCTCATGGTTTCTTGGTCCTTCTCTTCCCTGCCTTGCCTGCACTCTATCTGGTTTCCGGTTTTCACTTTCGACAAACTTGGTCCTCCCTGCAGCTCAATACAGATGCATGTGGTGTAAGTGAGAGCTTGAAGCTTCAAAAAAAGAACAGAGTTCCCTCCAACTACACACTCGACCAACAACCACTTACAGTTACTGGAATCGCTTGCAGTGGGCTTATTCAGCTTCACCTACGCACCTCATAATACGAGCCACTGGACGGAAGGAGAACAAGCGTGCCCCTCCATCGTGAAGTTGATTCAGTCACCACTCGCTGGCTTGCCCTGCATCTACTTCAACCTACCGATACCACTGCACTACACTCATCATTTCTCCCGTCTTAGCTTGGACTTCAGTGGCTTGTCCTTTCCCGGCATCCTCCCCCTCGCTACGACTAACTAAGTCGTCTCTTACTCACCCACCTGCACCCACTACTACCGGCCTCATCAAGAACACCAGGCAACTTTATCGAATCTTTTTCCAACCTTACTTCCTCACACCTATCACGTCGTCATTTGTCATCTCTCCTACATTTACAACTCGGACTTTGGGTTCTTCGTCTCTTCTGGACCTGTTTCCTCTTTACCTTCCTTTCCCTGCATCTCATTCTTCTAATCTTGCCTCACAAACACTACTAAAATGAGCACCATTCAGAATCTCAAGAATTTCATACGTCATGGCAAGCAGGCAAGGGCTGCCGAACCACCCCGCGATCAACCAACAACCAATGTCTCTCCCATACATGCCCAACAACAAAAATACAACCAGGCTCATACTGACCCGATAATTCCCCAACGGCAACAACAACACCACCAACCCATACCTCAACCTGGCGAGTACTCGGTGGCTGCTGTCGACAACCGCAATGTCGTGGCTCAAGCTGGCGCCGCCGCCGCCAACGCCGCCGGCAAGAATCAAAAGATCCAGAACCGAGACGCTGAAATCCAAGCCATTGTTGCCGAGGAAAGAGAAAAGGCAGGCAAACTCCCTCGCTATTCCGGTCTCGAGAGATATATTCTACTGGAGAAAATGGGTGATGGTGCCTTCAGCAATGTCTACAAGGCAAGAGATACACAGTCTGGTGATGAGGTCGCCATCAAGGTGGTGCGGAAGTTCGAAATGAACTCGAATCAGGTATGCCCACAGCCGGGAGCAATTCTATTCCTTCACCGGCCCATTGCCCCGTCACCTTTGCTATGTCCTAGTCTTGCACTTGATCCCACATCCTTCATTTCTGAGAACCAAAACAAAACCAACCTCTAACCTAGGGCGACGCTCACCTTCATCCGAATTTCAAAAAACAACCAAAAGGTGTCGAGGTGCGCATACCATTTTCGTTATCTCGCTGATCTCTCTGTTCATCCCCTCTGTTTCGACCATTCGCTCGTCCTCAAAACCTTCACGCCTTGTTTTCAATTCTCCTTCTATAAACTAACCTCCAATACTAGCGAGCAAATATTTTGAAGGAGGTTCAGATCATGCGACAATTGGACCATCCAAACATCGTCCGGCTCATTGATTTCTCGGAATCACGCCAACATTACTTTATCATCCTTGAACTTTGCCCAGGTGGTGAACTGTTTCATCAAATTGTTCGTTTGACATATTTCAGCGAAGATCTCAGCAGACACGTCATTACTCAAGTTGCTCAGGCCTTACTCTATCTCCACGAAGAGACTGGTGTCGTTCACCGGTAAGTTAACAGATTCAATGTATCTGCGTTCTATCGCGTACTGATTTATTCTCAGCGATATAAAACCCGAAAATCTTCTGTTCTATCCAGTGCCTTTCGTTCCAACGCGGAATCCCAAACCTAGGGCGCCCGATGATGAAGACAAGGCCGATGAAGGCGAGTTCATCCAAGGTATTGGTGCCGGCGGAATTGGCCGCATCAAGATTGCAGACTTTGGTCTTTCCAAAGTTATCTGGGACTCCCAGACCATGACCCCTTGTGGAACTGTCGGCTATACTGCTCCCGAAATCGTCAAAGATGAACGATACAGCAAATCAGTAGACATGTGGGCATTGGGCTGTGTTTTGTACACACTGCTCTGCGGCTTCCCACCATTCTACGATGAATCCATCCAAGTGTTGACGGAAAAGGTTGCACGTGGACAGTACACCTTTCTGTCTCCTTGGTGGGACGACATCTCGAAATCAGCCCAGGACCTGGTTTCTCATCTTCTCACGGTGAACCCAGACAAGCGTTATGGTATTGAAGAATTTTTGAATCATCCATGGATTCGAAATGTTCAGGAACCCACTTATGCCGCGGCTGACGCGCCACCGCTGGCAACCCCTCTTGTAGTACGACAAAAGGAATGGGCGGCAGCAGGTCAAATCCCTGCTGAGCTGTCTCTTGGCACACCGGGTACCCCCGGAGGACGAAGAGCTGATTTCCGTTCTCCTGGTGCAGTCAATCTACGCGAAGTCTTCGACGTTGGTTACGCCGTGCACAGACAAGAGGAAGAAGCCAAGCGAAGAAAGAATTTCAAGCAGGGATACCGTGGAGCTGGCATGCCTGGTGGCTTGAACCCTTTAAACGAAGATGACGATTATGATGATGAGGAGGAATACGAGAATGAAATAGCCAGCAAGGTTCCCAAGGCACAACAACCGATAGATGTTGCCAACATGGAGGCTAAGTTACGCCAGACCAATCTCGGCGCCCAACCATCTGCAGCTGCTCAGGCACGGCAAGCAGCTGCGCCTGCTCGAAGTCAACATCATGCCCAACAAGAACGCGGATATGGTCAGCATAGTGCCGCTGTGGCTGCTGCTGCCAAACGTGACGTGGGACGAAGAAACAAACAGCCTTTTGAGCTGAGCTTGGACAATTCAACACTATTAGGCCGAAGAAATAAGGGTCCCCCTGCCGGAGCACCATCGAAATTGAGGGAGGAACTCAGAGTTCGGTAACAGGTTAGATGAGGCGAACCTATGAACATCCCTGGCGTTCTCGTGTTGGGAAAGAGGAAGATTCCTCGCAGCAGTTTGAGCTGACCCTCATGAACAGGTGTGGAGGAGGGAAGCTTATGATGACAGCGTGTTGGATTACTTGATAAATGTCAAAGGTTTTAGCATGGCAGCAGAGAGCAGCCCCGTGACTATGACCCAACAGATACGCAGAATTATGAATCTTTTCTTTTCGTCCTCGGAGTCTTTGCTTTGCAGGCACGTAGAGGCAGGCAAGGAGGGATAGAAGTGGGATTGCGATATCTCTCGCGTGTCACCAAATTATTGAGTATTGCCATTTGTAGTACTGGTCTATTTAGATGAACGACACTTGGATGACGTTATCATTTGAGATTTAGAGATACCATGTTACATGACGTGGTTCGTACCAATTTTGTACGAGGATCTGACTCGCGTGCCAGGAACCTTCGTACCTGTCCTTTGTTGCCTGGAGGTTCTTTTCCTCCCCCAGCTTTTGCACCCGCGAAAATCTCGACTTCTTGCGTAAGCGATTCCACCCTTGAACTCCCCATTGATCCATGCCTAAGGATTTCATCGGAGTTGAGCGGCATATGAGCAGCTCCTAAAAGATGGCGTTTGTACGAAGTGATGGCAAGAGACCCTTTTACTTGTCATCTGCCCTGGGAGAGAATATTCACCGTCTTTCACAATTCTCAGGGTACCCTGAGTAGTAAGAAACTCCTGAGATATAAAACAAAGACCATCCCTGAGCTTTTTGTCGGGCTTGTCTACACCGGTGCAAGCAGAACAAGGCTAGGAATCTAGTATCGGATCCGTTCGAGCCAGATATAAACCACAGAGTAAACATCATTACTTCCCAATGACCCTATACTCGAGTACTGAAAGCCATCCAGACGGAACTCCCTCGAGCGCTGCTCGAGACGCAAGCCGTTTGGAGCACTCACCGGCTCCTTCCAACGACCACAGTTTACGGACCTCATTCTCAACATTAGACATATCCAGAACTTCTCTCGACGAGTCAAGGTCATGGAAAAACAGTGAACAGACGCTCGAGGTATTCGCAAAAGCAGACGACATGGACGAAAAAGCGCCAGTAGCTGAAGATGGGCGGTTTCCACCACTCTCAGCAACTACTTCTCCAATAGCAATCGCTGTTGCTCCCTTTCCTCCATCGTTCAGCAATGACGTTGAGAAACAGCCACATGTAAACAACCACGGTGAAGCTTCACCGACTCAGGCACCACGTCCGCGATCGTCTTCCTCTGCATCATCAGTGTCAACTTTGCACGAGCTTCCGAGTAACCTGACCACCGCTAGCAGAGTTTCGACTGATGCATATGGCAACACCTATCCTGAGGGTGGCAAGGAAGCATGGCTTTGTGTACTGGGTTCATTCTGTGGACTTATGTCAGCCCTCGGGTAAGTTCCCACCTCCTCGGACTTGAGGTGTCCAACAACTTGGATCTTTTTTCGCTGACAATTTCCTTAGGATGATGAACACTCTTGGTACATATCAGACATACCTTTCCACGCATCAGCTGGAGGGACACACTGAGCAAGAGATCGGATGGATCTTTGGCATCTATGCCTTTCTGTCCTTCTTCCTGGGTATTCAGATTGGACCATTGTTTGATGCCAAAGGTCCCCGATATCTCGTTCTATCAGGTTCAATTCTCCTTCTGGCCACCTACTTCCTCCTTGGCCTTTGCCACAAGTATTACCAGTTCTTGATCGTCATTGGCGTGATGGGCGGGACCGGGACAAGCTTGGTCTTTACCCCTGCGGTTGCTGCCATCGGTCATTTCTTCCTACGAAAACGAGGTCAAACCACCGGTCTCGCCGCTGCTGGTGGCTCTCTTGGAGGTGTTGTATTTCCGTTGACTCTGCAGTCACTGTTCCGCAGCATCGGTTTCGCATGGGCAACTCGAGTGGTCGGTTTCATCACCTTGTTGCTCCTGATTGTCGCCAATCTGTTCATTAAATCTCGGTTGCCGCCCCGCCCAGCAACGAAGGAAAACATCATGCCAGACTTTCGCATTTTCCGAGATCCAGTATTCGCATTGACCACGGCAGGTGTGTTTTTCGTGGAATGGGGTCTTTTTCTTCCTCTCACTTACATTGCGTCCTATGCCATTTCTCACGGCATCGATTCGAACCTTGCATACAGTCTCATTGCAGTGCTGAACGCTGGTAGCTGTTTTGGTCGTTATCTTCCCGGCTTTCTTGCCGACAAAATCGGCCGCTTCAACTGCATGATCCTGACAATATTCCTCTGCATGGTCTCCTCGGCTGCATTCTGGCTCCCGGCAAATGGTTCTCTGGCCTTGATTGTCATTTATTGTTTGGTGTTTGGATTCGCCTCTGGTTCTGGAATCAGCTTGACTCCGGTTTGTGTGGGTCAATTATGCAAGGTCGAGCATTATGGGCGGTACTATGCGACTTGTTACACCGTCGTAAGCTTCAGTTGCCTGACAGGTATTCCCATTGCTGGTCAGTTGGTGACCACGACCGGGGGCAAATACTGGGGTCTGATTGCCTTTACGGTTGCGAGCTATGCTGCGAGCACGATTATGTTCGTTGCTGCTCGCGTCGTTGGGGCTGGGTGGAAATTGAAGGTCGCATATTGATCGGGCTGCCTATTTAAACAACTGGATTGGGCACAATAATTGGCGTTAGGCATCTGATATGCATATATAAACGGCGAAAAGGTTGGCATATGTGAAGATATTATTCGCAATACGACCCTTTGAACTTTCCTCTCACATCGCTCACACTCCTTGGCCTCGTCCCCCACCCAATATCAGAAATGAGAATCAGCCCCTAACTTGATGACCTCACCGACCCTCGCAGCGCATCCTCGTATTATTCTAGTAGTCGTGTGTCAACACGTCACGGCACGGGTTTCCTACACGACCATCGTATGCACTGATAGGTGTCCTCGAGTCACAAAAAAATATCACTCCCAGTCCCAGAAGCACTTCTGGTGGTGCGTTCGTGCTTGCCTCGCCCCTCGATTGGCTGGAGTTGTGCAGAGGTGTGTGACACAGCAGATACGTAACTTGGAGCACATGAAGTAATTCCTTGCTACATGTTCACTCTGGCGCACCCCAATACTTTTATCCCGCGTTGGCCTACAGTTTTGTACGAGGATGGGTACACCACCGAACCACGGCGAAACGTTTGACTTGGATCAATCACTTTGGATCAGAGAGTGATCGGTGGCTGGAGCAATGTGGGTTTTATTCTTCCCCCGATTTTCGGTACTGCATTGGCGTCAAGCCAGCGCTGGGGAAGGCCGTCGAACGTGTCAGATCTGGTGGCTTGCTTTTCAGCTGGCGTGATGAGCTTCATGCATGGTTTGGGAAATCTCCCTGGCAGATGACGGTCGTGGACAAGCATTCTTGCTCAACGATCCATTGAGAGGTTGATCTCAGCCGTTTCTTGCTAACTGGCCATGATTCTGCATGCTCTCTCTCCTTCTGTCGGTGAATTGTGGCGTGTCATGCGTGAGGAGTAGCATACGAACTGATTGAGGCAAGATTGAGGTTTCCAGTAATGGGCTTGAGATTCTCCTCCTATAAATTGTTGACATGCCCTTCTCTCAACGTACAGCAAGCTGCGGGTTGGTCCTCTTGCGAGGCTCTTGCGTTTAAAAAACGACTCTCTCCAGCCTTCCGCACCATGGCGTCACAACCATGCCGCATCATCGTCGTGGTCGGCGCCACTGGAGCACAAGGCGGTGCCGTCATTGACACCTTATTGAACTCACCTCCCTCCGTTCCCATCCGCATCCGGGGATTGACACGCTATGTATCCTCACCAGCATCACAAGCACTCATATCTCGTGGAGTCGAGATGGTAGCAGCCAAGGGCTCCTTGACCGACGACACGAGTGCACTCACTCACGCATTCAAAGGAGCATGGGCCATCTTTGCCGTCACGGACATTTGGGAGCAATTCAGCCGTAACCCCTGCGATGCTTCCGACGCAAGGGAGAAGGAGGAACAGTACGGCTGCATGCTCGCCACGCAAGCATCATACGTCGACACGCTGGAGCACTTCATCTGGAGCACGGAACCAAATTCGCAGAGGCTCAGTGGAGGAAAACATATCGTGCAGCACTTCGACGGTAAATCCAAGGTCGACGACCACATCCGAGCATGCCACTCGAAATCTGTGTCCCACAGATCGAAATCTCTGTTCCACCTGATCACGTTCCTCTGGGTGGGGTTCTACGCCAAGAATCTGCAGCATCTGCCGATGTGGAAGCCTTTGTTCAATATCGGTGTGACCTAGCCTTGCGTACACATCTAATGAATTCTAGGCACCAAAACTGACAATTGCTTACAATCTCACAGACCGAGAGCGGTAAATACTCTGTAAACGTGCCAGTCGACCCGGAGACTCGATTCGTGTCACTTGGCTCGTTGAGAAACGTCGGTCTCGCCGTGGCCGCCGTTCTTGCGGGCGAGGGGTCCAAGAGCTTGCGATGCGAGATGTGCACAACCTCGAGACATCAAGCACGGTACATAGCTGTCAACAATGGATTCTTCTCACTCAGAGAATACTACGAAGCCTGGGCGGCGGTGGTCCTGAAGTCCTCGTGCAACGGGACGGGAATTGAAACACTCCATCAGAATGACGATGCACACCTCGAACCGGAGGACGCCTCACTTTCCCAAGAGCAGACCGCCCCAGCAAACATCGAGGTTAGGCAGATCGATGCCGCAGAGTACGAGCAGCTGTACGGTGGATTCGGGAGGGAAATGCGCACCATGCTCGAGTTCTGGCGCGATATGGGTGAGCAAGGGAGTTGGCGGGTGAGCTATGCCAAGTCCCTCGACGATGAGGCCGAGGAGGATGATGGCGGTGCGTCTGATTGTGATTGTGTGGTCTTATCGCTGCAGGACGTTCTCGCCGCGAAGGGTCAGCAGGTCTTAGACCTGAAGGAGTCGTTCCGTGAGTTGGCCTGAGAGTGCTCCTGAATTTGGCTTGTCAACGTCGGTTTGTATTCGGGGCTGTTGGTTGCTGGATCGCTTCGCTTGTATAGCACTCCTGGTCATGCAGTGCATTAGCTTGGAGGCTATCTATGGATGACTTTCGTGATTCATCGTCGAGTAGCATATCAGGCACATGGCACATAATGAGGATTTCTTACTTGGGCTACAGCGATGTTCAGTCCTATGTATATGAATGTGAGTCAACGAAAAGCTGTATACAACTAGACTTGTTCCTGGGAAAATTTCAATTTCAGCTCACCGCCATCCTTTTGCATGAGTAAGTGACAAGTGAAGCGATGTCACTATGAGCCTCAGAAACATACAAATATGACTACCCTCCCTCCTGTTCTGTGGTTAGTACCAGCGTGCTCCCCCGTCTTCACTTAGAATCCACTAGTATTCACTCAAATCTAATGGTATATATTTTTGGTCAATTCAAAAGTCCTCAACAATTAACAGGGCGCTGGTCCGAGAATCGAGAAAATATCAGCTTGCCGAAGACTGTTAGTTCGTTGGAACTTGAAACTTCCACTCCTAGCCTCTCAGTCTGGGGATATGTCTAAGATATGTCCCTGGACTGGGAGGGAGCTGAGGGAGGGGGGTAGTAAAGTAATACGAAATCCCGAAAGGGGTTTTATCCTGCTTCGGCAGGAGTTTTTGTACTTTCTGCAACCAGGGATCAAATCACCAGAGTAGCATTTCTTTGTGTTACTTTTTTTGGCAGGTTTGATTATGCATGTTCTCACCCTGTCCTCGAGCCAGACAGGTCCCCCAAGAACGACAAGACAGCCTTCTGACATTCCTCCGCCATATCCACATAAATCTCGTGTCCCTTCCCTTGAATAACCTCTAGCCTTGCACCCTCTACCTGCATCTGAATACTTTTCTGCTCCTCTACCGTCGTCGCCGCACTGTTCGCTGGCGCGAGAATCAACATCGGGACCTTGATGCGCCCAAGAAATGGCCTTGCGTCCAACGTGCAGAGGAACTCTGCGTAGCCCGCGAGACCCTCGGCGCTCGACAGCGATATCTGATCAGTCCACCATTGTAGATACGCCGGATCCGGCACAGACACCGTGCCTGGGACTTTGGATAGTTTTTCCGCCCAGCCGCGTGCGCCTAGTCGTCGGCATGCAGTAGGCCAGTCCCGGTGCCCGAATGCGAACAATTCTGTGGCAGCGGGCGGGAGATACGTCGGCGACGAACAGATGGTCAGCGAGTGCAAGCGGTTCGGATACTTGACGGCCAGGATCTCACCGATCATGCCGCTGGTTGATTCGCCGAGGAAATGGACCTTGGTGAGCTTTAGCTGGTCAAGCATGTCGACAATCTCGGCGCAGATTGTCTCGGCGTCATATTTATAGGTTGATGCTGACTCCTTGTCTGGATAGCTGGAACGTCCGTGTCCTCGAGCGTCTCGTCGGATGACTCGGTATTGTCGTGATAACACGGGCACCCAGTGATACCAGAATGCAGCATGTCGGGCGAAGCCGTGTTGGATTAGGATTACTGGAGACTCTTTCCATGGGTCTGTAAAGTCGTCGTCGAAGTAGTGGCTGATCTGGCCGTTGGGGTGAGTGATGTATTTTCCTTCTGAGCTCACCATGTTGTCGATTTCTGGCTTTCAAAAACCACTTGGTAGTACATACTAACTTGGGAAGCTCGAGGCTGCGGTGATATCGGTGCTGATGGATGCATATTGGGGTAATGGGGTTGTCTTAAGTAGAACCCCACATCACATTAACCACCATGAGGATATTGTCAAGCCTCTGTTACATCTGCCGAAGTGGATCTAGCCTCGAACGGAGGAACTCCTCTATGGCCCTTGATATGTACGTTCGTATCTAGTATGTCACTCCTTGTCCCTTCCCATCATTCCAAATCCACAGGAACCAGCTTCGAAGCCTTGACAATCTTCAAAGACAGTGCAACAATACTCATCCCACTCAATATATCAAATAGTGTAATATCGGCCTTTACCTGTTGCATAATCCAGGTGCGAATCTCCACCGCCATAAGGGAATCTACTCCATATGAATGCAGTGGTTTGCTTGTATCAATATTATCCGCCGACGTCTGCAGGCCCTTGGCAAGTAATCCGCTTAAGGCTGAAGTCGTGAGAGCGGAAGCCTTGCCAATGGATTTTGCCTGTCCAAGTTGTGTTGCAAGGTTTCCTCCGTCAACAGATGCTCCCGCTGCATTGGAACCGACCTCCGCGATAGCTTGGCTGAGATCCATTTTTCTGAGGTATGAGAATCGCGGGTCGTCGTAGTAGAATGGTGGTTCAAGAGCTTGTCGATGCAATATACCGCCCGTGGGTAGGCCCGTCACGAGCTGTGCGGGCACGGTACTGTTTCCGTACACTCCCAACATGGCAGCTTTCATGATAGCGTGGAAATCCACCTCATTGAGGCCAACGGCTTCGGATTTGCGAAGATTGGTGAATCCTCCGCGTTCGGCAATCAAGCCCACATCGAGCATCAATCCGAGGTCCACAGCTACCGCAGGAAGCCCCTTGTCACGCCTATACTGGGCCAACTCATCTTGGAAGGTATTTCCGGTGGCATAATTCGTTTGACTTCGATTGCCCACCACGCCAGAAATGGAACTGAGCATGACGAAGAAATCCATGTCCTGCGGGAGCAGCTCGTGGAGAAGCCAGGAGCCCTGGATCTTAGGCGCCACAGCTCCTCTCCATAATTCGTGTGTCATGTTGTCGTAGATAGAGTCGTTCAGGACCGCGGCGCTTTGGATGACGCCTCGGATCGGTGGGTGCTTCTGCGTCCACTGCCCAACCACACGCTTCATGGCAGCCGAGTCTGCTACGTCGGCGGCGTACACATATGCAGAGGCCCCCAGCGATCTTAGTTCGTCCACCGTTGCTGGGGCGTGTGCTGACTTGATCCCAGACCGTGATATAAATATCAGATGGCGAGCTCCATGTCTGACAAGAAGCCTGGCAAGACTCCGCCCCAAACCTCCCATACCACCGACCAGCACGTAAGAAGCATTCTGGTCGAGGCGTAAGGGATGTATCGAGCTGGCATGGATGGAGATTTGGCTCCTATCATCAAATATCAATATTGTCTCCCCGAGTACTCCACTGTCCATTGACTTGAAGGCGGCCGCAACATTGGCGACCGGGAAGATGTTGAGTGCCTCTAGAGGCTGGATAAGATTTGTGGTGGCGAAGATAGCAAATTCTTTGGCTAAGTCAGCCAGTGCTCCCGGTTTGCTTTGGTGGATGAGGGCGAGATCAACAACGGAGAATTTGCATCCCCGCTGGAATGGACCGATATCCAAGACATTCTCTTTCGTGATCTCACTGTCGCCTGCATGAGTGAGATTCCCCAACGGGGCCACTGCCTGCCACAGTTTTCGTAATCCATCGCCTTGGCGTGAGATATTGAGAACTAAATCAAAGCCACAGTTTCTGGTCAGTCTGCCGATGGTTTCTGCGAAATATGGATCTGCGTCATTGAGAATGTTGTGGTTTGGTATCCCATATTTCTCGATCAGTTGGCTTTCCGTTGCAGATCTAGCAGTGGCGAAGACACGAGCCTTGGTCGCCAGAGAAAGTTGAATTGCTGCTTGTCCCACACCGGATGAGGCGTCCTGGATGAGAATCGTGTTACCAGCTCTTAGCTGACCGATTTTGATGAGAGCTTGATAAGCAGTCATGAATGTTAGTGACCAAGTTGCTGCTTCTGGGAATGTCCTTCCGGCTGGGATTTTTTGGCATTGCGATTCGTCCACCGTGAAATTGGTGCGATAAGGTGCACCATCATAGCCATACACCAAGTCACCAGGCCTGAAGTTCTTGCACTTGCTTCCAACTGCTTTGACTAAGCCGGAAAACTCTCTTAGAGCAGGGGCTACATTGTCGTGGGTTGAGGAACGCGGCCGGCTGCATTTCAACTTTTGATTAGCATGATTAGCCCATGATGGAATATTTTCAGGACTTACCTCAGGACAAGCGCTCGTGTCTCAACCTGTATGTGTTCAGGAGAGAGATCCTCCACCAATTCAGAGTCCTTGAAATGATAGTCTGGTCCAGCAACAAGTTCGAGTGGATTCTCGCACCGTTGAAGCGCGATGTTCTCTACATTTGCTGCACCATTCAATATTATGCGACTCATGCCTCGATCAGGCATCCATCTGTTGATGCAGATTTGTCCATTAATTTCGACGAACTCTCTGTCGATATTGGGATTGAGTGAGATGCTTGTGATAGCCTCTGCGACGTCCGGAGCATTGCGGTCAACTTGATCTTCAAGGCGCAAGTAGCGCAGGTTAAGATTGGGATTTTCATTCTTGAGTGACCGGAGGTATCCCATAGCCGCGGCAGTAGTGGGCTCTTTACCCTTTGTGACCCATAGGAAAGACAAACTCCTCAAGATTGTTGTCTTCAAGACTTCAAAGTCCACAGGCGAAATGTTGACAAGGAAGGGGGTTTCCATTTCCAGAAGTGATATTATTGACCTTCCAACCATATCTAAATCTTTCGGGGGCCATACGATCGTTTCGTACGCGATTGATCTTCTCGACAAGTCCTGCTTGATGGCATTGGAGATGTCCAGAGTGTTGGAAGTTGGGATCGTGGGTTCTAGGATCAATATCGATTCCGAGATGCTCGTATCTTCTTTCGAATATGGCTTTGCTATAATCCATGATGTCCTTTGTTGATTGGTACTCGGATGCACCGATCTCGTCAAAACACCCAGCGAGGTGAGTCCTGCTTCAATACAGGCGTCTTTCAAGCTGCCATGCTGTGTCAATACCAATTACTTCTCCAGCCACAAGTGAGCTTACATAGCGAAGAAACTCTCCGACTCGTGTTCGAAAATTGCAATACCACCATCCTGTAAAAGGTTTGCGATATCATGGAATGATACTATAGCCTGGGTAGGGAATCCAAAGTCGGCTCCGACGATGAGAAGATCTGCTGACGACACTTCAAGCTTTTGTTCACTTAATGGTAGACCCTTATGAAGGGCAAGTGCGGTGACTAGCTCATTCGGATCCTCAGAGGATGCGGTATTGTTCTCATTCTCTGAAGAGTCGATCGCAGCGACTGTGTACTTTGAATACATTTTTGTACCTTGATGACCATTTTCGGTCAGAAATGACAGAATCTTGGTTTTAATCTCCGAGGAAACACCAAGCTGCAAAATGGTAAGATCTGGAGTCTTATGCGCAACAAGCGCCATCAACTTTCTAAGATTAGTCTTTTGACCCTCCCCATTCTGGAAATTACATACCTTGCATAATTCATCGCCGTCACTCACATCAGGATTTTTTGCGTCGAAGTACTGCGCCAAGGAGCGCTGGGTCGCGAAGTGAATGTCAGGCTTCCATTCTAGCGTCCCGAAAGGAGCCTTGAAAGAGTCAGTGTTCGAGGAGCTGCTACCTGGTAACTCACGGCAGTGGAGCCCTCTGATATAGACTTTTGGTTCAGTCCATGCAGAGTCAGAGTAGCAGATATCGGCAACGATCTCACGAGGAGCTGGTCGAAGCGCAGTACAAAACCCGTGAAACTCTGACCCCGCCCCAGAGGGGAGGTCTGCCGCAACAATAAGACTGTCAAGATATACAGGAACTGCCGCATTCTCGAAGTTAAGTTCTCCCTCTTCGCCAAGTGCCGCGAACAGGGAGTGAAAGATCACATCCAAAGTCGTAGGATGTATGAGGTGCTGGCTTTCGATATTCCCGGGCATCGTAGCTTTAGTGTCGGGGATACGGACCGTACAAACAGCACGTCTCTTGCTCGTTCTTATTGCCGTCAGTCCTTGGAAAGAATCTCCATAATCAAGCCCCGCGCGTTTGGTCGTTTCGTAAAAATCATTGGGTTGGATTTGGTTCTTACAAATTACCAGAGACTCCTGGTAATCCTGTCTCAACACCTCTTTCTGATGGCTTTTTTGGGTGACCCAGTTATCGACGCTGTCAGCCTTGTAATTGATCATGACCCGGCCAGAGCCGTTTTCTTGAGGCGATTGATCCTCAAGGCATGTAAAAACTGAGAACTCCCACCAGTCTTTCATGTGCTCCCCCTCAGTCCTGGGTCGCCTTAGCTGAAGAAATGCCTCTGTGCCCGTTTGGTCATCTGGGACAACAATTGCTTTCGTAATATACACATCCTTGAGCTCGATATTGTCGATATTCCTTTCTTTGTCGGCCATCTGTCGCATCGCTTCGATAGGCATGGCGAGTATGCCTGCACCAGGATAAAGTATTGTAGAATGGACAACATGATCTCGAATCCAAGGACTTTCGTTGACCCGCAAGAAGTTTCTCCACTTTGGTTCGAGTTCGTTGTAACCCAGAGCTATGGATCCTAGGAGATCATGGCGACCATGCTCGCGAAAGCGATAATTCTTACTCAGCCGTGACTCGGACCAATATTTGAGCGCATGATTCCATGGATAAGCCGGAAGATCGGCTAATGGCTGCACTCTCATTTGAGTAACATTGGCGGAGGGAATTGATACAGGTACACCGTGGATGTAAAGCATGCCTGCACACGCAAGTGCTGATTTAGCATCATCCTGTCCCCGGTTGAGCACTGATGCATACTTGACGTCCTCCGATTTCAGTGCCTGCAAGGTCTGACGAAGTGGACCTTTCAGAGCGGCATGTGGTCCAACCTCTAGTAGATTACTGAAATATACTTCCGTGGCTCTAGCCCGGCGCTTGCGTTGTGGCGAGCTCTTGAATAGTGCTTCGACAGCATCGGAGAAAAGGACAGGTGAGACAAGGTTCTTTACCCAATAGTCGGGTCCGAGATCTGGATACTGGATGATTCGTCCCCAAACACTGGATGCAAAGATGACACTGTCGCCACTTTCCGGCTTCCGAACCGTCACTCCTGATATATGCATCAAATACTTTTTGGCAATTTGCTCCATATGATGGGAATGGTACGCATTCTCAACCTTCAGCTTCCTTGCGAACACCGAGTCCGTCTTGAGGAGTTGATAAAGTTCATCAATGGCAATTTCGTCTCCAGAAATGGTGACTGAGGAAGGCGAGTTGACACAGGCAACAACGAGCTTCCCAGTTCGGACGCCCAAGATGTAGTCTGCTGCAGCCTCTCTAGATAGACCAACAGCCATCATGGAACCCTTCAGCTCGGGTGCATCAATTGTTAGTTCGGAGCACAACTTGCCTCGCCAGTATGCAATTGTCCACGCGTCTTGACGAGATAAAGCTCCATATGCATAGGCTGCACCAATCTCGCCACTAGAATGACCAACAACACCAGATGGTCTGATGCTCCAGGAGGCAAGCAAATCCACCAATGCAATTTGTAGAATCGTGCACATAGGTTGACTAATTCTTGCGAGTTGAATATTGCTCTCGGGACCACTGAGTTGAAGTTCCTGGAGGACAGACCAATCGCAGCCAAGCTTGTCTGTCAGATGCCTTTCTGCCTCAGATACACTTGCTTGAAACACCGGATATTGGAGCAGGTTCAAGCCCATCCTGGCCCATTGTGCTCCTTGGCCGGTAAAAACAAAAGCAACTCTAGATGCCTTGGATGACCGAGCACCCTGGATAGCAGCAGTTGTTGATAACTGCTCACGTAGCTCAGAGATGGTTGAGGCAACAGCAAAGGCCTTCCAGTCGAACCGCGTGCGACGCTCACTCAGTGTAAAAGCCAAGTCAGCCAAGTATTGTGCCTCGCTCCTGATGCTGCCTTGCGACTCAACTGCCGCCAAATGGTTGGTGAAAGACTTTCTGATTCTGTCAAGTGCAGGACCATCTCTTGCACTGACAATGAACAACCGGGGACGGTGGGACGTTGATGTGGACACACTCGGATTCCGATAGGGGCCAGCTCCACCAATGGTTGAGAAGAACTGAGCTGTGCTATCGATGATTGCATGAGCATTGGTGCCACCGTACCCGAATGAGTTCACGCTAGCTCTCTGGAGAGCGTGAGACGGCCAGGGCTTTGCAGTTGTTGGAACTTCGATATTCCACTGTTTAAAGGGTATCCTCCTGTTCGGCCTATCAAAATGGATATTTGGCAAGATGGTAGCATTCTCAAGCATGAGTATGCATTTTATCACTCCTGCCAAACCTGCTGCACCTTCCAGGTGGCCAATGTTGGACTTGACTGAGCCTACCAGAAGACTATTCCCTGGTCGTTGTGCTGAGCCGAGAGTGTTCGCGACAGCGCCTAATTCCAAGGGGTCGCCGGCAGCTGTTCCGGTGCCGTGAGCCTCGAAGTAACCGGTATCGGAAAATTCCAGTCCAGCCGCGCGGTACGTTGACGTGATTAATTCGGCTTGCGCGTCGCTATTTGGCAGGGTAATTCCCGTAGTGTGGCCGTCTTGATTGACACCTGTCCCTCTAATCACCGCACGAATATTGTCCTGGTCTTGTATTGCATCCTTAAGTGGCTTGAGGATGACTGTAGCAATTCCTTCACCTCGGCCATAACCGGTTGTACCATCTGCAAAAGATCTCGAAAGGCCCTCCTTTGACAGCATATGGAGATTTGACAGAAAAATCGCCAGATCAGGACTCAGTATCAAGTTCGCTCCACTGACAATTGCAATCTTCGACTCGCCTGATCTCAACCCTTGACACGCTAGGTGAAGGCCCACCAGACTTGACGAGCATGCAGTATCCAGTGTCAGGCTGGGGCCACGCAGATCGTAAAACCATGATACTCGATTTGAGAGGAGTGAAAAGCCAGTTCCTGTTCCAGCATACATTGGAGAGGTCTCTGTGTCACGCATGAGCATTTCATGAAAATCGCGGGTGAAACATCCGACATAGCAGCTGGTGTCGCTTCCGACAAGGTCGTCTACAGGTATTCCGGCGTTCTCAAGAGCTTCGTAGGTAACTTCTAGGAGCATACGAGCCGTTGGATCCATGGCTTTTGCCTCATTTGCGGTTATGTTGAAAAATGGAGCGTCAAATGCAGAGACGTCATCTCCGAGAAAATGTCCACCTGTAGAACTCAGAGTGTTTAACTTTTCGCCCTCATGATGGAATGCTTTGGCATTGTAACGATCCGATGGGACTTCAGTATAGGCAGCTAGATGTTGTCAGCTCAGATATATAGCATGACAGAATTTTAGTACGCTCACATTTTCGCTCATGTAACAAGTCCCAAAATTTCGCAGCGTTTGTTGCCCCCCCGGGAAAACGACAGGATAGGCCGATGACAGCAATATCAGATTGCTTAATGCCCTCAATCGATTGAAAGCCCATTGCTCAGAATGTAAATGACCTAGAAGGGACCAGAAGAAACTCGAACCTGGTAAAAGCCAAACACCAATGGACGATATATCGTGAGTCTCGACGTTGACGGGGCTCCTTCTGGTGACAGAGTGTTCCATTTATGTATGCGTTGGTACCACGACCCAAACCACCCTTTGCTTGATGCAATGGTTGAACGACGGCGTATCGCAAACGCCGAAACGACATCATAGAAGCATTCAGGACTCAATAAGGCTGTGCAGCCAGGCATTCCTCGAAGCCCAGCATGCATATTTACTAGCTAACGGTGCGGCTGATAAAAACAATCACCGCTCCGCGTAGGCCGAGAGAAGATCTCCATGATGGTTGATATGAATGGACCATGTTTGACATATATCGATATCCACTCGCTACGTCAAGATCAGCAACACGTGCTTCTGCATTAGCATTTTCCTAAAATCGTAAGAGCTTTCGATGGTCGTGCAGTACAGGTTGCGGTACTGGCAGGTAAAAATGAAGTCTCGATTGGTGTAAGATTATTTCCAGTTGGCGTGGAATGGTTCTACTTTGTACGTACAATCTTTAGGCGAGTTGGGCCGCTAGGCTCAGCCGTCGCCTAGCATCCAAACAGGAGCCTCAACCCTATGTCAAACAAAGGCAACTAACCGAAATGCCTGGCCAAGACGGATTACGGACTACCTAGGTACTTGTGGATCTACCGAGTACCACCTGCTCCTCAGCAGCTCTGGCTGTCATCAGAAAATGATCCTAATGAATCTTGCACTGGCCGATCCCTCACTACTGGCTCCGATATCTGCAATCTACCCTGCTTGCAGCAGTGGCAGCCGCCAAATCATTGTCACTATGCCATAGGCCCACGGGCGGTGAGATTCGGTATGTCCGATCGAGTTATGGAAGCCAACGAAGACGAAACAACAATTGTTCATCGGCCACAAAGCACATCCAAAGCTGTATGGCTAAAATGCCCCACGGCCTCAGCCGTTGCTTTGGGTGCAGAGGAGCCATGTCACGTCAAGACTAGACTTGTCAAATGTACCACTCTGTTTCCATGTAGAACAGTGAGCCGCAGTGAGTATCTCGCATGATAGAAAATCCCAAGTACCATCTTCTGCCTCAATCAAGAAGCACCCCTTCCGAACTATTAACTGCGGTGGACTTCGTGCCTGATCATAGCTTTACAACATTCCATCACCCAGTAATCTCGCAACATGCGGTTTTTGTGTCTCCATGGCCGAGGTACCAATTCAGATATCTTTGAAAGTCAACTAGGTAAGTCGAAATGAAGACTAAAGCATTCACATAACTTTCATAACTAACGCTTGCCCAATAGCTGCATTGTTCTCCCGTCTTTCGCCTGAACATTCGTTCGATTTCATTGACGCTCCATATCACTGCTCTGCGGCACCTGGAATCTCGAAAATATACGATGGCCCTTATTTGGCATGGCACTCAAGATATGATCCCGTGCATATTGCTGAGATCCATGAATACATAGATTCGGTCATCAACGAGGATGGTCCTTACGATGGCGTGATTGGGTTCTCTCAGGGCGCGGCTTTGGCTGCGAGCTTCCTGCTGTGCCACGAATATACTCATGATCAGGCACTGTTGGATTCGAGACATGCAGCTGCGTTCAAAGTGGCTATATTTTTCAACAGTGTCATGCTGTTCTCTCCTTCCGAAGACATTGGGGCCGATATCACCGACACTATCAAAAAACAAGAAGAGAAACATATGGGCTTTCTCAGAGGTGAATCAAACGAACAGACTTTGCCAGAACCACAGATCAGATTCAAGATGCCTAACTGGTCATCGTCCTCATCGACATCTTTGTCTTCCATCGCGTCGGTTTCAACGATCAGCGAAGATGAGCCTTCTGATGAAATCAAGTGGGCACGGAAACGCTCCGTTGCTTTCGAGTCACAGTCACTGCTCAAAGAACATTCCGTTTATGGATTCCCAACAGACAATATCCCACACCAGATTGCAATCCCTACACTTCATGTAATTGGTGCGAAAGATGAATTCTCGGAGCACTCGCAAACTCTGACAATGTTGTGCCAACGAGAAAAGGCAGAGATTTTTTTGATTAAGGATGGAGGACATGATATCCCTCGAACAAAAGCTGCATTGGACGAGTGTGCGAGACTCTTCGAGATGGTTGTTATGATGGGCTCAATAAGATGAGTCTCGGCCTGTTATTTGTTTTGGCCCTGCTCGGCCTTTGGGAATTCATACGCAAGAGACCTTTGGCCCAGGCAGATGCGCATCTCCGGATAGACTCGGCCCACCTCCACTGTAGCTATACTTCTTCTGCAACGATGTCGTTGCTCCAAACGAGAAACTTGCAAATCTTCCTTTGGTGTCAACACGATGGCGATCGGCTTTTTGTGCTTGTGTAGGGAGAATGATGCACTTGCCAGTTCTGTGTTTTGGCAAAGGACTTGAAGTATCTCCCATCTTAGCTCAACTGGCAGAGACTGGTAGCACATGCAGTTGTCAGATTCGGAAGTCTAACAACCCGACAAAGCACTCACAAGAGGGGCGCTAGTACCTAGCTACATGAGTTGTACGTGATCCCAGTCTCGGGTGCTTTGACCGACTTGAGTCACCTTCAGCGGCTTTGCCTTCTTGAATAACGCTCCTCCCACAGCTGAATGGCTCTGCACTGCCCGATACTACTGACAATGCATTTTATGGTCGGTGCTAATAAACCAAAAAGTCTTTCTCTGGATTTGATTAGCAGCACGACTGAGGACAGTGTCTTAGCCTGTTTGCCAGGCTAGCCAGCTCAAACGCCTCATTGGCAATTTACGTGATTTACGTGCCAATGTTTAGTACACTGGTCGAGGACTCGCATCAATGCAGTTATCAGGACTTTGATAGCCTTAGGATGATACTGACACCACAGCGCTCCCGAAAACAAAGTCGCAGAGCTGAATTACAGCAGTGATTAAAAGGAACAAGATAGACGCCGCATCCTCACCGTCAACAAAACTGTGACAAGTGGATTCTGTTCAATCTTTGCTCTAACAAGATGATTTCTAAACATACAGTCTACGTTGAGCAGCTGCTCCCTCACATCTTCGACGAACGAGCAGAAACTGAGCCGCATAGTATCTTTGCGAAAACCCCAATCTCTCTTACGAGATATGGAGATGGATTCCGGTCGGTCACTTTTCTGGAACTCGCTACAGCAATCAACCGCGTCGCTTGGCTTATAGATGACCGGTATGGGAAAGGAGAGAACTTTCCAACAATAACATACGTTGGTCCAAGCGACCTTCGTTATTCCATCATGGTGGTAGCGGCTATCAAGGTCGGCTACAAGGTGAGATACCCCAGGTATCCTCGAGTGAGGTCTCTTCGAACAGCTGCCTAACACAGATAGACCTTCTTGCCTTCTCCAAGAAACAGTCAAGCAGCATTTGTATCTCTCCTGAACCAGCTTGAGTGCAAATATCTGGTTGCAACAACCCCGGAAGCTCCTTGTGTTCCATTGATTGAAGGAAGTTGCAAAGTCGAGAAACTGAACCTGCCATCCCTGCAAGAACTCCTGGACTCTCAAAGAGTACCTGAGTACCCCTATGTCGAAACATGGGAAGGTGCGAAAGATCACCCGATCTTTGTTCTCCATACATCAGGTTCAACGGGTATTGTGGTTGCCTGTTCTCCCAAACGTTCGTCTACTAAGATGTTGCAGGTATTCCAAAGCCCTTGAGTTACACGAACAGATTTCTCACAGGCATTGCGAACAATACGGCGCTGTCGCCACCAGATGGGTTTCGTAGCTTGGATCAGTTTTTTCGAGCTGGGAGTTTCTTTATGACATTACCCTCATTCCACGTAAGTTCTCTTCCTACAGAGTGGTTGACCTAATGATTCGCCTGTTCATGATAAGAGCTAAAGAAATACAGGTTGCTGGGATAGGATTTTCGTTGGTCGTGCCTGCTTTCCACGGAGGAATCCCAGTGTACCCACTTCCAACTGCTCCACCAACCATACAAGGTATTATTGAAGCAGTTGACAATACAGAGCTTGATTGGGCCTTTTTACCACCAGTTTTTGTGGACGAGCTTGGGAAAGACCCCGTGCTTTTACATACCGTGGCATCGAGATTGAAATATGTTTATTATACTGGTGGTAGTGTACCAAAGATCTCCGGTGATGCTGTCGTCAAATCACTCAGTTTGTATCAAGTTATGGGATCCAGTGAATGTGCCACATTCCCACTGTTGCGAGCCGCGGATGATGAGACTGACGATGACTGGAGTTACGTCCAGATTCATCCCGAAATCAATGCGGAATTTCAGCATCGATTCGACGATCTCCACGAGCTAGTGGTCAAGAGAAGAGATGACAAACAGCATTATCAACCAGTATTCAATCACTTTCCAGATCTCGAGGAGTACCACACTCGAGACCTATTCTCTCCACATCCCACAAAGCCAGGTATGTGGGCTTATCAGAGTCGTATTGATGATGTGATAGTCTTCTTGAACGGTGAGAAGACAAATCCGGTGTCTTTTGAGCAGGAAGTTGGTCGACATCCAGAAATCCGAGCGGTATTAGTTGGCGGTCAGCAAAGATTTGAAGCATGTCTTCTAATCGAGTTGATTGACTCTAAGATACTCTCGGAAGACGAAAAACAGCAAACAATTGACAGGATCTGGCCAACGGTCGAATTTGCCAATGCTAGTTGTCCTGCTCATGCCAGATTGTCACGATCGAGAATTTTGCTTGCTGATCCGACCATGCCTTTCCCAAGAGCCGGCAAAGGTACTATACAACGACAAGCCACTATGACAGTTTACGCAGATGCCGTGGAGAGGCTATACATGGAACCGGATGTCGAGGAGCCTACAATTGAGCCTCGAAATCTGGATTTTTCTGACCGAGAAAAAATCTTGGAGTCAGTTACTGAACTTATCAAGACGGTCACAAAGTGGAACGATCTTCGGACAGATGATGAATTCTTTGCCATGGGTATGGATTCCTTACAAGTCTTGCAACTCAATCGGGCACTCCGAAGCACATTCGGACTATCCACGCTTGCTCTGAAAGATATTTATGCAAACCCTTCACTGGAACTACTCACGAATTCGATAATGCATTCAGGTCTCCGTCGAGGCGTTTCCAATACTGCCCCAGATCGAGCGCACGCCATTGTTGAGACAATTCAGAAGTATGAGAAAGAAATCGACGACATCGCGTTGAATCACACTAACAAGAACAATTTCAATTTGCATGACGATGGCGAGCTCCTGGGCCCACCACGAGTCATCCTGCTCACCGGATCAACTGGGGCTCTAGGTTCGTTCATTCTGAATGATCTCATGCTTCAAGACAACATCAAACACGTCTACTGTTTGAACAGAGCGCATGACTCTCAAGTCGTGCAAAAAAGACGAGCCAAATCGCACGGCCTGTCCATAGACACGTCGTCTCCACGGATTACCTTCATAACGGCAGAACTTTCAGCGCCAAACCTTGGTATTGAAAAATCGTTATTCGATGAAATCTCCTCGACTACGACGGAGATCTTGCACAACGCTTGGCCTGTGGATTTCAATAAAACGTTGCAGTCATTCTTGCCTAGCCTAAATGGTGTCATGACTCTCATTAGCTTTGCGGCCGGTGCAAAGCTGAAACCGTCCCTCCTCTTCATCTCTTCTATCAGCTCGGTAATCAACTTCCAAGGCAACTCAGAAGATCGTGCACTGGTTCCTGAGGATATCATTAGGGATCCATCATGTGCAGCAAACATGGGATACGGAGAAAGTAAATACATTGCTGAGCGAATCTTGGACCGTGCGTTTCGCAAGTTGAACGTCAATAGTGGTATTTTGCGTGTTGGCCAAATCTCAGGGACTGCAGGAAATCCACGAGGCTGGAATCGAAACGAGTGGTTTCCCAGCCTGGCTTTGAGCTCGAGGTATCTCGGTATACTACCAGAGTCTCTTGGGGCCAAGAGTGAATATCATCCAGCAGGCCCAATGGGAGATATCGACTGGGTTCCCGTCGACCGACTAGCAGAGGTGGTCGTTGAGTTGAGCGGTGCTTTAAGAGACAACAGGCCAAGCGATGAGATGCAAGTCTTTCACGCTGTCAACCCACAGATCGTGTCTTGGGCCGATATTCTGCCCACCGTCCAGCAGACTTTAGGACAACCTGGACAGAGAATAGGAACGGTACCGTATTCTGAATGGGTCGATCGCCTCCATTCGAGTAGCGTCTTCCCCACAGTCAACGAGGGAGCAGCAATAAGCGAGGATTTTATCTTCAATAATCCAGGTATCAAACTCCTCAATTTCTACGAAAGCCTTCGCGGTTCGGATGCTACCAGAACATTGGCGCGTCTAGATATTGTGAGAACGTCAAAGGTGAGTAAAAGCTTGTCTGGGCTGGACCCGGTCAATGCGGAGTGGGTGAAAGGATGGATCGAAGGCTGGCTCGCGATCAAACCGAGTATTTAAGGGCTGAATAGAACCTTCTTATGCCCACCAGGTAGACTTCGTGTCCATGGAGTTTCCTGATCACGGGTCATCAAGAATAGTCGTACGTTTTCATTCTAGCCACCTTGTCTGCATGGTGGCCCTGCTGTCTCACCCTGTCTCGGTCGTTTGATCAAAGCGTACTCTCTTGCCAGCGTCACGGGAGTCTCTAATAACAACCCCTTCCATTGTGCGCACAGAATGGCGGCTGGCATTGTTCGCCGCAGTGATCCCTCCATATCCACCGCGATATGATCATAGATATATCCACTGATAAGAGATCCGGCCATATTCAGAAGAAAAACATCAGGACCAGCAGTTGCTGCGCTCTAAGCCTTATTCTTGGTTCCCACAGCACCCGGGTACCAAATATTGCGCAGCCAATAATCAAAGACTTGGCCGATTACGGTATAAAAGGCCGAATCGCCACAGCAGTACTTGTGATTCTGTGCTCCATATGGTCCATTCTCGCTTGCCGTTTGACTCTCCTGAGTAAACTATTCATCCCATTCGAATTTGTGGTCTACAGAAATACTTGATTCAACGAATCTTCGGAATGCTTGTAATCGACTGCACCAAAGTTGTCATCGCTAGTTTTCTATGTTCCAACCCTGTGTTTAAGAATAATGCAGAATCATAAGTCAACTTTCAATGCTGAGATGGGAGGTTGGGAAGGCGCTAGATGATGTCTTGTAGATTAGGTCCGATTGATAGTCACATCTTACTATCATGTATAATACTTCTTCTTTCGGCTTTAGGGAAGGAGGCGGTGCCCAAGTACGCTGTGCACACAGGGATCTTAAGAAAGGAGCCAAAACCCAACACTATGTGCGTTGTGAACATACCAACTATGGATGTTTTTGGTAATATAGATCCTACTTTGTATTGAAAAGAAGATACTAAGTACTAAGTACTAGTATTTGCCCTAATGGCCCCACAGGTGAACGCCTGAGAGAGCGCTGCAGGGCGTAGCATCCAGACAAGGGAGTAGGTTGAGTTGCTGACAGCAGAACGAGTCGAACGACCAAACTCCCCACAACTCGGGCAACGTCTCCATCATCGAACGAGGAAATCATTCATGAGGATGACACCGCCAAAGCTTCTAAGTTCTTTCGAGACCCTCGGGCTGACATGCAAGGTTGCGGTACATGCGTCGGCCCTCTTCAACCATGGGGTGTTCTGCACAGCCTACAGCCTTTAGGACTACAGCCTCCAGGACGAATTCAACGATTGCTTCTGCCTTCTATGTCGTTTGATCATCTACTTTGCGAATAAGTATATCGATTTCTCACCTTATACTACCCGACATCTAAATTTCATCCTTATGCCTAAAGCCCATGCGTCTCCTGACTGACCTGCGAACTTTCTCTCATACTTATAGCCTGGAACAACGCGGAAAGGGCTCATATCACTTAGGTTAGCTGCAGCTGCCTCACTCTAAGCTCTAGTAGAACAATACGGCCTCAAACTTCTACACCTCCCTCAGATGCGCGACTAGTCCGCCGAAGGTGTAGTACTCGCCCAGGAAACTTGATAGAACCACACTCACAAATTACATAGACGACCAAACACCCGTCAAGGATTTCTGTGACCTAGTATACGACACCTCGGGCCCAGAGCCAGGTTATCATCCAACTTAATAGTGGTCGACCCATTTTCTTGTGCCACACATTGAAATTCCTGCCGGGCTTTTGACTATCCCATCTCTCTCCACCATTATTGCCATGAAGTCCATCACCAAGGCACAGGGTCTGGCGATCAGTAATGAAACACTAGTACTTAGTACATAGTATTTGATGAAAATACTTATCCCCAGAATCAGGCGAAGAAGCTCTAAGTATGTAGCTGCCTCGGGACTCACGCCCATTTCCCTTTCTTCTCACGTGTTACGTTAATACTGAATTTCACATCTGGGCAAGACGCAGTCAACTCCGATCAACCGGTTAGCTCACATGGAAATTATACCCCAATGGTGTATTGAAGTTTCAAGGATGGCGACAAGTGAGCTGTGAATGAGTTACAAGTAAGTATCTAGTAAGTAAGTAGCGTGTCACGGTCATATTCATTGTGTCAACGAGTGGAGGACGGCTCATTATGTTACCGAGCCGTAGACCCCTGATTTCAGCAGCCTTGTCTTGGCATTATGTCTTTGAATTATCACTACCACCTGATCACGCAAACATACAAAACGGCGAGCGACAAACATAATTCCTTGCACAGCGGAGAAACCGGTCAGTCAATTGTACTTATGTATGTACTAGTAGATTGTATGCAAGTCCACTACCATATCAAAGGAGTGAGTGACTTTGGCATACTCAGCATTACACTGGTGGTGACTGTCCACTTCGTTGAAAGCTTCAGTGAACGTTTCCAAAGAACAGACCGCGTACACCGGTCTACGACCTGCGGTAAGCTTGCCAATAAATAAAGTACTAAGTACTAAGTACTGGTACTAAGCAGAATCTGAGGCACGAGACAGCGCAAGGATGCAGCTTTTAAGTATTGCAAAACCCCACTTCCATGATACTAACGGAGACGGCGTTTTGACGCTCGAGGAGACACAATTGCTTTACGATGCTGACGGTCGCGCCACAACCTAAGAACATTATCTAGACTTGTTATCAACATGCTTCTAGTACTTTAAATAGGCAAGGTATTAAGTACAGCAGGTTAATAAGCAGGTAACCGATAGCAACATTAACAGGATGGAAGCAGTGTACGAAAGGCTCGAGCGAGAATCGACTTCAATTGCACTTTAGTACAAAAAGTTAATGGTTCAAGGCCCGGTGCCGGCGTGGTACACTCCCTCCTGGACTGGTACATAAGTACTATGTGATGCGGAAGTGCAAAAACGAGATGCAAATAACGCCTCACTATCAGTTCTCTTGAAATCCGCAACATTATGAGGTAAGCCCGATTAGTCAGCTTGAATTTCGTTCATCTCTTGGTATCCTATTATGTCAGCTATGAGAGGCTTCCTGACCCGCCCATGAGGAATGAGGAAGGTGGATATACCTTACAAGTACTTATGTGGTTGACATAGCTCCGGAGCAATTACTTCGCACACTCGATGGCACTCGGGCTGGAAACCCTATGTATCTATCCGAATAATCAGAGAAAGGTGCAATTTTGCTTTGGTAAAGACACTGGTCGATAGTACTAAGTATCTATACAGATCTAGCTAGTCCGATCCCGAAGGGTCCATGTGTTGTTCGTCGCCAAAAGTCTGCCTGCCAAAGCAAGTGCAGAACAAATCCTAACAACTTCCACCTGGTTGAAGGCTCTTGTTTGAAATACTTACTCCACAACACTTGCAAGATGCAAATGTAGAGTTGATGTATGTCAATAGGTAAACTCGCACAATGTCCAACAGGCGTTCGCTTCTTGCAAGGCTTGAGTGTCTTCCGTCTGCCCTTCCTCTAACACAAACTCCGTAATCAAATGTCGCTGGATTGCTAGGTGGCGCGCCCTCGCATGCAAGTGTAAGAGAAAAGAAATGCAATTAGTCGTCACTTCATTCATTATAAAATTTCTTCATGATCAAGTGCAAGAATAGGTTGACGTTGACGCGGAGTGCGCCTTCGAAGAATTCCATGAATTGGGTGTTGTTGAATTGGGCCTGCAGTAAGTCGTCGAGAATGACTTGTGCATTCGCTCCAGGGATCATCATGTTGCCTGAACTGCCGTCAATGGTGAAGACTCCGACCTCGTTTGATGAAAAAGTGAGATCGACTCTGTCCCACTGTCGTTCGTGATAGCCACGCCATTCAACCAGAACTCCCTTGTCAGCCAGGGTTCGTGCTGAATACTTGTAGGAACCAAACTTGAAGGATCTGCCGGAACGTTGCAATTCACGTTCGTGATCCCATTGCTTGGTGAATGGCATCACAAAGCGCTTCTTGCCCTTCTTGTTCTGTAGGGTCACCATGGCCTGATCAATGTAGTCGTTGTAAGTCTTGAGTTGCTGCTCAAGGTAGACAGCTTGTTCGTTGAGTCTAGCAAGAGTGGTTCTGACATTTTCCAACTCTCGCTGGCGTTGCAATCTTCGTCGATGTTTCGTTCGTATGTCAATTGCGATAGTGTTGAGCAAATCTTGGTACTGATTCGAGCGGGAAAGCCGTCCACATGATTCCAGCTGTAGAACATTTTCTAAAGCGATGCGCTTGAGGTCAGGGTACGATAAAGAACTTATGTCCAAATGCGTGCTGGCATCGGCATATGCTCCTCGTCCGTTGTTGCCACTCTGTAGCTCATCTCGAACCAGATTTTCCCATCTGTCTTCATCTTCATCCGTGATTGGTTTGACGAGAATTTCAAGAAGGTTAGCTCCCGATTGGATGCGAATGATGTAAAGAGCGCAGCGTTTTGTTTCAGTGAATAATGCCTTGATATCCGCATCTGGATCCTCCGAGTTCAGGAGTTTGGGGCTCAATGTAAGGCTGATCTCGCCTGAACTGACACCCCGAAGCTCACTTTCATTGCTCTGGACGCTACCCAATTCACGAAGGGTGTCGCGGAGTACATCATCTTGACTGGGGCAGATGGTACCGATTTCTTGAGACAGCAATTTATGAACCGAAAAGATGTCTGACATCTTAATGTACAGAGTTGGCTTTGTCTTTGCGTAGAGGTCGTTGAATTCATCAATATCATAGTGCTCTTCTGCCGATGGTATGGAGATCACTACTATGGGTTAGCAAATGTCCAAGCTCGAAGAGGAACATCAGACTTACAGTGTCTCCAGATGACGATAAAACGTCCGACTGATTCGCGGATGTAATTGTTCAAAGGTTGAAGGTAGACATTATCACCACCAAACTCACGCCCGGAAGCAGCTTGGTTCAACACTTTGGCTATTTCTCCAAGGTTTCGCTTTTGTTCTTGTGTCATCGCACGGTCAGCGACACCAAATTTTTCGGGTTCTAGAAGGGCTGGTTGAAGATATGTTCGCCACAGCCACTGACCCACAAGTTGGAGCACGAACCCAGATTCTTCTCCAGGGTATCGTTCCAAGAGTGCTTCGAATCTCTGTTGTACAACAAAGCGAACTCCAAAAGGCATTCGCAGGAGACAATCCTCGAGACATAAGAAGAATTGGTCGGTGATGTCTCGAAGATCTTGCATGTGTGCAATAAATGTGGCTCGAGTTTCGTGATCTCGGATTGCAACCTCTCTTGGCACATTCGGATCTCGTTGACTCTGTCGCCCAGTCCTCAACTCCTCGTCATTGATTGCAGACAGATAGATCTGCAGTGGATCACTTTCAAGGTCGAGGGACGGGTTATCGATGATGTTCTCCTTGACCAAAGGACCAAGAACATCTCTCAAGAATTTCCGATCACGAGGAGACTTGCTGTACGCAGCAAATAGCTTATTGGAAAAAGAATTGGTTCGTAGGTAGTCCTGAAGAGAGATTGAAGCGTCAACTTCTTCCTTGATGGACCTGACAATTAGCTTGACAAGATAGTACTCTTCTCTTCGCTTCTGAGCATAGCCAAAGAGTCCCATGACGAGATGCTTGATCCTTTCGCATTCCTTTTCGGCAGTCGCCTGTTCTCGAATTCTCTTGAACAACCTCGATAGATATTGTGGCTGGGTCTGAAGGAGGAAAAACAACTCTTGATAGTGCTCAAGTTTTCTTCGTGATGTCTTATTGAGAGCTTTGAGGTCAAAGGGATCTTTGGAAGAGAGGTCAGAGTTTGGCAATAAGCTACCGACATGGCCACCAAAATGTTTTTGATGCTTGACGACTTCGTCAAGAGTGATCTTGTTCTTGACCAAGAGGGCAATTTTGAGATCAAGCTGTGTTACATACTGGTCCACAAGTTCATTTTGTCGGACGTGCTGCACAACAGTCTTTCGCAATCTTTCGAACTCCACTTCTTCCTCGAAATCAAAGTCGCTATCGTTGAGTAAATGGACGAATCCCTTCAATGTGCCGACAGGAGGGTTTTTGCCCGAAGTCAGACTCTTATAGGCTTTGCCTTGAATTTTGGCTCGGACAACACTCTGGATTTTTACAACTTTCTCCATGTTTTCCTTGAAAAATCGTTGCTTTTCAACAAATTTGCTCCGGATAGCTGCTGCTCTGATGAACGTCTGCACATCAACGATTGATTCATGGTGCTCATCCAACTCAGCGAGCAAATCTCCGGCACGACCTCGGCTAAGCATGGCTCGAATGGTAGCTTGTAGTTCAACAATTGCATCATGATTTTGGTCCAAGTTGCCCAAGAGTTCCCCTGTCTGAAGCCTGAGCATAGACCCACGAGCAACAGCTTGTAGATGCGTGAGCTCAGGAGCATGTCTTTCTAGAAGAGTCCTCTGAGACTTTAGACTCTTGCGGAGGAGAAAGCCTCGGATTGACCCTTGAAGAGGTATGGTTGCTGTTGATTGTCTGATCAGAGCGAGTTTTAGAGAGTTGTACGTCTCTCTGGTGTTTGCTGCTCGGAGTGAAGATTGGAAGTGGACAATAGATGGTGATTCTGATTTCAGTGCTCGTCTCAAACCCGCAATGTCTCTTCGCACATCTGCTGCGCGAATTAGAGCTTGTAAACTTGTCCACTTGACAGTAGATTGTACGAGAGCTCTTTGGAGGTTTGCTTGCTTTCTATGCGCCAGGAATGATCGTGTGGCGGACTGAAGCTGAGTGATTGCCTTTTCTTGTCTGTGGAGATAGGCATGGTTTTTCTGAATCTGATTTCTGGCAAGCATGCCTCTCACGGCAGCTTGAAGACCAAGGACTTCATTTTCAGATGTTCTAGTAGCTTCGTACTGGTCGAAGACGTCTCTTCTGGCCAGAGCCCCGCGGATTGCCCCTTGTAGTTGTCGAATTCCTTGATCATGTTTGCGAACGTGAGACTTGATGGATCGAACCTCTGCTCTGGCTTTGCCTGCCCGGAACAAACTTTGAAGCTTCAGTATGTCCTTTTCTTTCGATCTCCACATCTGCTCTTTCTGCTGGTCTCTTGAACGCGCAAGGAAGCCACGGGAAGACGCTTGAAGATTAGTGGCAAACCTCTGCATGTCGAGTTTGTAATCGGTGATTTGTCTTGCCCAATCTCCTCGAATCCGTGACTGAAGGTCTGTGAAGGTTTCTTCGGAATCCCATAAAGCCTGCATCATGTCGCCTAGGCGAAGTCTGACGAGAGCACCACGAACCTGAGTCTGGAAATCGGCAATGCCTGCACTCTGCTCTTGGAGTTCCCGGTCAATTCGTTCCTCTTCTGATTCCACTGGCTCTGGCTCTGGTTCAGCACCGAAACTTGCACCCATACCCGAAAAACTAGGCATACTGACCCCAGCCTTGTCGAGACCACGTTGTGTTTGTTCCAATTCATGGTGCTCAAATTCAAGCTGGCCGACCAAGTTACCGATGCGGAAATCCACCATGCCTTTGCGGTAGAGTAGCCACGACAGTGCGTGGATGCAGTATATGACTTTCGGGGTATTCTTCTTCTCGTAGAGATCGATCAGCTCGAAGCGAAACAGATCGGGGAGTCCGACCTCCGAAAGGAATCTGAAAAACATGACGATATTGTCCGAGTGCTTGTATTGTAATTTCGGGTTTCGAAAGATCCTGAGGGTTTGTTCTGGGTGGAATGCTTGGACGATCTCAGCCAAGGTGACACCATTCCGCAAAGCTTCCTCCAGGTCAACGATTGCAGGTATTGGTTGGTGGATGATGTCTTCAATCCATTCTTTTGCTTCTCCTATGTGGCAGAGGTATTCATAGGCAGCTAGAAATTGACGCTGTTTGTCCATCCAGTTCCGTTCGCCCCATCCATAGCCTTTAGCTGCGGAGCGGTCAACACCCATGGCGGATTCAGCACGCTTCAATTGCCTTCTGTTGTGTAGTCCAACCACGGAAGGACTGGGCTTGTCGATCCCATATTCCTCGACATCTCCGTTCTGTGCGAACCGTGACAATGCTCGCAAGTGTGATGTAGAGGACTTTTGAAGCTCTTGCAAGTCGGGGGCTTTGAAGGTTGTGCCATGGGGGCTTGTAGCGGCATGGTGGAGATGTGGTCTTGGGTTTCTGGCCTCTGAAGCGTGCTCATGTGAATGTTTCTCAATGAAGGGGTCTTCAGACTGAACTTGAGGATAGTGATCGATTGTTTGCGCACGAGTATGGTGAGCTATCGGTCTTTTGGTGTTGGGAGTGGAGTTTGGGGATGGGGCCTGGGGTAAAGGTCGCAATGTCTGGCGGATGTTTCGATACATGTGATCTGGGCTGTTTTCGATGCTCGAGTGGCCGCCCTGGATCTTTGTGGGAGTCATGTCTCCGGCTTCACTAACACCACGTTTATGTCCCGGTGAGCCTCTTGCGTAAGTACTCGAATTCGTCGATGTCACTGTGCTTGTTCTACTGGGTGCAAAGGCGCTCGATGCAGCAGAGTAGGCGGATGATACAGTGGAGGTGGTGGATATTTGGCGTTGAGGATAGCCGTAGTGGTTGTCTGTCTGGGCTCTTCGAAGAGCGTAGGAAGACATACCGGGCAGTTAAGTCCCGTGTTAAGGCGTTTGAGTAGGATATATTCTCGATGAACAGGTCAGCTGCGGCGTTGGGTGCATCCTCAGCAAAGTTCACGATGACATGGAGGTCAACCAAATGGCCGCATCAACGTGGTGACACTGGGCCGATTCAACAGCAGTTGTCGTGAATGTACATAATCGTCAGGAACGGTGTATGGTTTTGGGTTGCGCGATGAGGATTGGCAGAGTATCAATAACGATGGCTTGAGCTCAGTTTGGGGCAGTGACAGTATGAAAAGTTGGACACGGTCCACGTATATTGATTCACGTTCAAAGTTTGTGGAGGGGGTGTTGCCAAAATATCTGTTTACTTTTGACTGAAAGCGGTTTGGTGGATTATTTTGGATTTATGAATCGGGCCATGTCACGTGTTAATGCCAAGGCCCTCATACCGCTCTGAACTCCCCTTACCGCATCTGGATCTGCCAAGATTTAGCGGGTTCCTCACCGTCGTTCCCCTCAAAAACTTTTTCGAGCGCGCTTTGTCTTTATGCTTTTTCTTTCTCTTGGGAAAAGTCTTCTTTGACCCCAGCAGACCATTTTATTACTGGTTTCTGTTGTGAATCCATTACCTTGTTACTCGTCATCGACATGCCTATCTCAAACGGTGATGCTGCCACCAATGGCACCCCTCTTCGACGAAACATCGAGAAGTTGGATTATCGAGACGCGCTCAAGGTGCTCGAGTCCGAGTACCCATCTAAAGATGGACTCGACATTCATACTCTCCTCGACTCCAGAGAGAACGGTGCCCTGACATACAATGACTTCCTCGTTCTGCCTGGATACATTGGTAGATGGCCTGCCCGTATTGAAGTTGATGAACCCTCTAACCAACTTTGATCAGGTTTTGCTGCCGCTGAAGCCACCCTCGATTCTCCAGTCACCAAACGCATCTCTCTCAAGACTCCCCTTCTCTCCTCGCCGATGGACACCGTCACCGAGGAGAAGATGGCCATTCATATGGCTCTGCTCGGCGGTTTGGGTATCATCCATCACAATTGCTCAGCCGATGACCAAGCAGACATGGTTCGAAAGGTGAAGAGATACGAAAATGGTTTCATTTCAGAGCCATTGGTTCTCTCACCAAATACCACTGTTGGAGAGGCGAAAGAGTTGAAGGAGAAGATGGGTTTCGGTGGCTTCCCTGTCACAGGTATGCTACCCCAGTTCTCACAATATTCCCGGTTTACATGATGCCCAAAACCATTTACCCTTTTATAACTTTCGTTCATCCGCAGCATGAACTTGCAATGGGGACTACAGGAGATTTCTGTCTGAATTGACCTTGTTTTCCAAACTTGACTTGCAATTTTCTAGTATAGCATTTTGCTGACAAATTGTTTGTGCAGAAACCGGTGAACTCAAATCCAAGCTGATCGGTATCATCACCACTCGTGACATTCAATTTCACCCACGGCCCGATGATCTTGTCACAGAGGTCATGACAAAAGATCTCATCACTGCACCTGCCGGTACCACTCTGGCTGAAGCTAATGCTGTCCTGCGTGATTCTCGAAAGGGCAAACTACCCATCGTCGACAAGGACGGCAACATGGTATCCCTTCTTTCTCGCTCCGATTTACTCAAGAACCTGAACTATCCACTCGCATCGAAACTCCCTCATTCCAAACAATTGATCGCTGCAGCAGCCATCGGTACTAGACCTGATGACAAGATCAGATTGCAAAAGCTCGTAGATGCTGGTCTCGATATTGTGGTCCTGGACAGCAGTCAGGGGAACAGTATGTATCAAATTGAAATGGTCAAGTATATCAAGGAGAAGTATCCCGAACTCGATGTGGTGGCTGGAAACGTCGTTACTCGAGATCAGGCAGCCAATCTCATCGCTGCTGGTGCCGATGGCCTGAGAATTGGCATGGGTAGCGGCAGTGCCTGCATTACTCAGGAAGTTATGGCTGTCGGCCGACCACAAGCTGCATCAGTCTTTGCAGTATCTTCCTTTGCAGCCCGTTTTGGAGTTCCCTGCATCGCTGATGGCGGCATTCAAAACGTCGGTCACATCGTCAAGGGCCTTGCCATGGGTGCCTCGACTGTAATGATGGGAGGTCTGCTTGCCGGTACTACTGAGTCCCCAGGCAACTACTTTGTTAGTCGCGAGGGTAAACTCGTCAAGGCATACCGTGGTATGGGCAGCATTGATGCCATGGAAGACAAGAAAGCAGGTGGAGGAGCCAAGAACTCCAAAGCCAGCAACGCAGGTACAGCACGATACTTCTCTGAAGGTGATCGACTGCTGGTTGCACAAGGAGTGTCTGGATCAGTCCTTGATCGTGGATCCGTCACCAAGTTTGTACCCTACCTGCTTGCTGGTCTTCAACACTCTCTCCAGGATATTGGTTCCAAGAGCTTGGTGGAACTCCGCGAAGATGTCATCAGCGGCAAAGTCCGGTTTGAACTCCGAACGCCCAGTGCTCAAGCAGAAGGTAACGTTCATGGATTGGATAGCTTCGACAAGAAGCTCTATTCATGAGATATCAAAAGGCGGACTGAGGATGCATAAAAGCGCGGCGACGTGGAGTTTTCAGGCGAACCCGGATAATGTCTCCGCATTGGCAGGTTGCAAATGATTGAATGATTCTTGAATGATGTTTAGATGAGTACGCTCACGCGGCAAGTAAAACAAAAACTGAGCAGGTCTTTACTCTGCTCGTAGTACATACAGACTTTAAAAGGCCTGATATAATCGAAGCCGTTTCTCTAATCTAAAACTGGTCTTCATATTTGTCTCCTCTGTAAGTCACCTCGGCGCAACACCGGGACTGGTGTTATTCCCCGCGCTCGCCTTCACCATCAACCAACCTACTCGCTCCGCTTGGAGGAGTTGTTGGAGAAGCAAGCAAATCCCATGTTCGGCTACACACGCAAACAAAATCGCCTCGGCTCAACCGCGTTTTGTCCAGCCGTCAACGTCAATTCTCGATTTCAAACCTCGATCGCGCACTCACTCCTCCAGCATCAAATTCCACTTTCCCCTTAGTCCCGTCATCCTATTCCTCGGTCCGTGGTTCGCTTCTCAAGCTGTAATCAGAAGTCGATAATAGTGCACCCCGACCTAAATACGGTCTGGCTACTCACTCCTTGTTTCCAAAACCCCCAGATGAGCATTGGTATCTCTTGTCACCCTCTCCGCCACGGAAATAGAAGTATTTTCTCTTCGACAACCATCAATAGAGGACTTTTAGATTATTTCCGATCAAGCATCCTGCAGAATCGGGTTCCATTTCCAGCTGCAGCTCTCGCTCCAACAAGAAATCATTCTAGAAGGCATCATATAAAACCAAGTCGCTCAAGACCTTGTGCTCTGCTTCTCACGCGACACAACCGCCACAACCACTCCCCCTTTTCTTCTCTAGCAATCCCACCACCACCAACAACCATCATGTCCAAATCCAAACCCAAATCCAAGTTCGAAGTCCGGCAATACTCCGAGCACAAAGCACCTGCACCAGCATCGCCCTCGGCCAGCATAATCCTCATCTCGCCAAGCAACGAGATCCTGCTCCTGCACAGGGTACAAACCTCGTCCGCGTTCCCGTCCGCGCATGTGTTCCCCGGAGGCAATCTGGAAGCCTCCGATGGGGCGCTCCCAACGAGCCCGACAGACATCAACCGACACATCGACAGCATCGCCTACCGAACCGGGGCGATCCGTGAACTGTTCGAAGAGACGGGCATCCTCCTGGCGCGGGCGTCGCGCACCGCCCCGTCGCTGCTGTCGGTGTCGCGCGAACAGCGCCAAGCAGGCCGGCACGCCGTGCACTCGTCGCAGACGGACTTCAAGACATGGCTGCGCTCGGTCTCGGCGGACGCCGTCCTCGACACCGATCGCCTGCTGCCCTTCACGCACTGGGTCACGCCGCCGAACGTGCCCAAGCGGTTTTCCACGCAGATGTACGTCTATTTCGTCGGGCTCGAGGAATTGGGCAATCCCAGCGTCAGGGCGACGGGCGATCAGATCGAGACCATGGCGCCGGAGTGGGCGAGGGCGGCGGATTGGCTGAGGCGTGCGCGGAGTGGTGAGATCATCCTGTTTCCGCCGCAGTTTCTGCTCTTGTTTTTGATCAGTGAGATTTTTGATGGGAACCTGCAGGGTGAGAAGGAGAGCGATGAGGAGATTCTGAGGAAGCGTGAGGAGTTGACGCACTTGATAGAGACGGGTGGTACGGGGGGCGGAACACCGCCGTGGAAGGATAAGTTTATCAGTCCGATTGGTGCGGCGCCGGATAAGACGAACAATCGGCAGTTGTTGAAGTTGGATCAGCCCGGGCCGGAGTTGAAGGATAGTGGTTTGAGGGGCGAGATGGATCGGGTGGTTTTCGTCAATTTCAGCAAGGAGGGCCCCCGGCAAGTTGAAGTTGCGTGGAGGAAGGATGTTCTCAAACCTGAAGGTAGGGAGGGCAAGCTGTAGATCCTTGTTGGATGGTGTTGGTGCATTTACAGCAACCTACTGATATAAGTGATTTGGGTGGATCGAATATAAATAGCATACTTAGACAGAAGAGGAGTTCACGACAAGGACTTGGAGGGCAAGAACTGCTGGAATATCAATCTCATCACCAAATTCATTGATTCATTGTGTATAACGCCCCCAGCGCCTTCGCTCAATATTATCAAAGGAGAAAGGAAATGGCTTGGGTTGTCTTATAGCCAGGATAAAGTCCACTGGGCGGGTAAATGGGGCCATCTTTCCTGCCAACTAGCCAAGATCTCAGGCACCCTCGCGTCAAAACTAAGTCTTGCAGCGCCAGTCCCGTTCTCCCAACCAGAGGCCCCATTGGCCTGGCGTTCCTGTCCTGCAGCCTCGTTGAGAGCGTTGGCCAACTCGAGTATAGCACCACCTCCGACAAGAGCTTCTTCGTGATTATCTTTGATGTCGACATTGAATACGTGTACTGGCCTGTTCAAAGGGGCTCCTCTATCCAGTAGGTTATCGACGACGGCGTCCCAGCAGCGTTCTTCGCAGGTGAATATCACATCGACGACACCGCCTTCAGCTCCGTCAGCGCCTTTATCTCCTCGTGTCAAGGCTTCCATTCGCGCGGCGCCGGCAACCCAGTCTTGAAACCGTTCCGGCCCCCACTTGATGTTGCGATTCCGATCGAGCATGTTTAATATGCCATTATTCCGATACAGCCTGGCGTCTTGAGCTTGAAGCTCGTCGAACATTTTCGTGTAGGGTGTAGTGTTGAAGTTATAAACTTGCGGCTGGGAAATGGAAGGTCCTGGCAAGCGGACGTAAGAGCCCGTACCAAAAGATATGACGGGATAGTGATGATCAGAAGTCGAGAGTCGGAGATGCGCTTCCATGCTGCGGTTGTTGTTGGATGCACAGACGGTGCAGAATTTTAGCTTGAAGCCGTTTTCTTGTTTCGTAGGAGCGGGAGTGGTAGAAGATGGGATTTCCATATTGCCATCGATGGTGGCGGCTGTACTTTGAGTCGTTAGGGGTTCTTGGACCGGAGAAGCTGTGGTTCCTGCGGGTGGTGGAGGTACTGGTGGTGGGGTTTGAGGAGTTGTAGTCCGCCCTTGAAGACGGGCAAGTCGAGGGTCGACCGACATTATGGGTCGAGAAGAATCGGTCAGGTGTCAGCTTGACATGTTACAGGCTTTGAGTACTCAATTGTCAGCGGGTCGGTCTACAGAAATTTGTAACGTGGAGATATATGATCAGGTCGAGATATCAGTTAGGTTGAGACAACCATTTAAAAGAGTCTCCTCAAAGGTGAATAGGACAGCTCCAATATTGTGTATCATCATGAAAAGGGAAAGAGGGAGAGAGGTTGAACATGAGAGTCTTACCTGTTTATTCGATGTCGACCTCGGATCCCACACCAACTACGAGTACATGTCAAAGTTGAATGTACTGAATTTGTGGTAGGGAAAACACATGGCCTTGTAAGTGGTTGACGATATTGCCCCGGAGTGGAAGGTCACGTGTATATCTTGGCAGCCTCCGGCTAACTTGCCTCCTTTCGAGTCTCGGATCTTAGTTCGATCTAGTGTTGAAACATGAAACGCTGGCGTCTGCGGCTCAACTGAAAGTGGACTCGACTGTGAGCCTGGAATTCTTCATGCCCAGATTCCGTTCTCCATTCTCCATAAATGAAGAGAACACAACGGCATCAACCATTGTGCTAATTTTGCTGCCTGTTGGCCGACAAGATAAGGCGAACTGTTGTGCTACTGTGCTCCGTACCGAGTACCTCCTCGTAGTATTCGGAATAACTGACTCGGCGGATGGCCGGCTTGAATCTGTCCGTTAGTGACTGTCGTCCTTAACTGCGCCCTCTCAGCTGGGAAACTAGGCTGAACTTGCCTCCCAAATCCCACTCCTTCGGCCTCTGGAGATCAGATGCTAGTACTACTACGAGTTACGAGTATTATTCCCAGTCGCCTGTTGTTAGGCCTCGCTCTTGTATCCTCTTGCGCTTCGAGTCCACCAGTCCTATCCGTACTTAGTACCTAAGTCGTTGACTATTCATTCGTGTTAGCCCCGTGTTCCATCGTATATGTATACAACGTCTTATTCTCATCCTTTTCAAAGACTCGTAGTCAGCATTACTCTTCTCATCAACTGTCAGTGTGTTGGTTACTCCAACCACTTGCACTGCATCGACTGGTTTCGGCCCATACTATATTTAGACCCATGCGCAATTCCAACAGAAACTCGTTCCATTTCCCGTCAAGTTCCCCAACCAGCAACGATCACTAGCAACCACATCTCCTCTACCACAATCCTTCCTGTACACAACTCATCTCCCTTCCCCCATCCGTGCAAAGTCGTCTCTGGCTAAGCGCGCACTGCGGTGCCACCCACCTCTCATCTCTTCAATTCAATTCCATCTTGCACTTCACTCCTCCGCTGCCGCTTTCGCAGATCGAAAGAACCGACCTAAGCGAATAATATCCACCAAGCGCCTACAGGCTGCGAGCATCAACTGCGTACCCTTCTAGCCGCCCTATTCAGCTCAACCCTCTGCACACGCGCTCCCTAGTTCGAGTCTCGACCATTATTCTCCTCTCCTCGATTACAGTCCTTCCTTTGTCATCTGCCATCTCTGGCGACCGCTCTTTTCGTTCTTTCCATTGCTTATCATGGCCGCCATAACAGCCTCACCACCCACCATGTCACCGCCTCTCGCTGCGACAAACACCACCACTTCCTCATTACCTCCCTTAATCACAGGCACTCCTACCCCACGGAGGACCAGTTCTCAGAGACCGACATCGTATGCCGAACGTCGCATGTCGTCTTACTCTACTGCATCAAGGGGCTCTCAACCTCAACATCAATCGCGACCAGTCTCCCACGTCTTCCCTGCCTTTCATTCGAGTCTACCCTACACGTTAGTCAGAGACTTTGCCTATCTAACGACTCATCCTCTCCACTATGGACCACCTCCTATACCATCAGGCATGTCCACCCCAGCCAGCGAGTCCAGAAGATTGTCTGATCCTGCAGTCTCCACATGGGAGGATGGACGAGGCCAATGGTCGGCAACGCCACCATGGATATCCGAAATCACACACTCTCTGGCTCAACGGGATCGCTTACCAGCCATGACGTTCAATGACGGAGGTCCACCATACAGCGAAGACGACGACATTCAATCCCCGATTGTCACTACGAGTCGGCACAAAAAGCACAAGTCAAATGAAAGGGGAAGATCACCCGGGGCTGCAGGTCCCAACCGTGGTGTTCTCGTCGGTGCAGCAGGTCATCAAGAGGAATTAAACGGCCCCGGTGAAGCGGTCGAGACTTATGAGAACCATAACCTGAGATTTCCTCGACAACCTCAACACCGAGACTCCAACTTTGCGAAGCCACTGCAAAGAAATGCATCACCTGTAATTACCACCGAAGAACCTGTGTCGGAAGATGACTTGTCAGAGGCCGATGATGATGCGCGCTTCTCCAAGGATTATTCATTCACGATCGCAAGTCCCGATGAAGAAATGCACGGGAAAGCGGTGGCACTGTTCGACTTTGAAAGTGAACATCAAAACGAATTGGCACTCAAAGAAGGCCAGATAATTTTAGTGTCTTATCGACATGGACAAGGCTGGTTGGTGGCAGAAGATCCCCGGACTGGTGAGAGTGGACTGGTTCCTGAAGAATTCGTCAGACTGGTTCGGGATATTGAGGGTGGTCTTCATGGACTCAACTTGGTGACACTAGACAATGACGGTGGTGCAGATGGCGTGGTCAGTCCAATCTCGGGCGAACCAAGCTCGATGACCACTCCGACGGCCAATAACCACGAATTTCCACATCATGCATTCAAGCCCAGCACTGGGAGCAACCCAGCTGAGAAACATCCACCTGTTCAGTCCAAATTCAGCACCAGCAGTCGAGATTTTAGTCCATATCCCTTACCAGGCAAAGGGGACGATAATAGCGCTACGACACCCACGGCCACTACACAGCCTGATATTACAAGTTGACATGATGTTTGGAGGGCAGCCAGAATGTGGCCGCTTCGGAATATATCAAGTATTGATTATTCTCTAATGTTGTATGAACAATGGCTGATGAACAAAATTATTCCCCCACCCTTGATCAGCATCTAGGCATGGAAGATTGCATCTCCATCGTTTTAGATGAAGAACTTTCAATGCAAATCATGAGCATGTTTTGGCCACTGGACATAGTGGACTGGCAAACAATTTTCCTCCATCGAATCGTGACCCTGAGCTTGTTGCCGTAGGTTATCTTGAGACCCTGAATCGTGATCTCATTGAATTCTATTCTAGCTTTATGAGGGTTCTCCGGACACCCCTTTCACAAGATTGTGTACTGCGGGCCGTACCTGGACCAGTATCTTTTATTGTGGATTCATTTTACGTATATCAGGTCTAGTAGGTAAAGAATGGCTCTAGCCATGCTTCTTGAATCTTCAGCATCCTACACAACGTATATTGATATCAAGCAAGCAACGCAACGACGACCGCCATGACCATTAAGAGAGTTCAGGGTTTTCTGGCACCTGCATTCATGCCACCGTCCTATCGGTACCGAGTACCAGTACCCCAAGGGCTTGAGCGATGGCGCCGCTGTCAATCTCTCCTGATCTTTTCTCGGCCAGAAAGCCACTACAAAAACCCACCCCGAATCATCTGATCGTCACAGTTAGTTACAGTACCTAGGTATATATCGGTTTCTATGTCCAAGAAGTCTGCGCCTTGCTTGATGTCTCTGGATATCTACCGGCCTTCTGCATGAAGCAATGATCATCAAGATCTCTCGTCAAGTGTTTCCTTCACTATGGTTAAAGTTGCTCACAAAACGTGTCTGCTGGGGGTCTCAGGGGCCACTGGCACCCACTGGAACAGATCCAGAGTATGAACATCATCAAGGCCAATTTGCCAATCCGAGTCCTCAGATCGCAAGACCCCTGTCATGTCAACGCCACAGTCTTCCGTCCATCGGCCAACGTCCGATTCGTTCAAGCCACAGTAACTCCTGCCGCCTTCACTGCATTTCTCGTGACTATGACGTCTGAGGCTGATAGGAGCCTCCCACTGCACTCAAGTTTTAACCAACAAACTTGAACCTTTCTCACAGACCGTTATCGGCTCCAATTTTCAAGTCCGTAGAGGTCTCTACGAGTATTGGTCTTACATGGATGATCGACAAGCCTGGTTCCATGTTTTTCGTGCATATTATCCTTCGCTAACACGAAACGTCTTACTGCTAATGCCTTGGGCTCTGGTCAATTGCACTTTGTCGTTACGGTGGCCCTCAGTCCCTGCGTCGCTGCCAATGCTGTCTTGACTGCTTGAGGAATGAGGTGAGTGATGTTAGTCGAATGCACCGCCACAATGAGATCCTTCATCTACAAGAAGGATGATTCTTGGGAAGTACATATTTCCTTGCTTTCCACGAGTTTTTGCTATTATCGTGAAATTAGTCAAACGCTTTTTGGGCGGTGAGCTGTTTTGATACTGCTTCTCCATTGTCGGTTATAACATCCTTACCAAACCCTTGACTAGATATGCTGTGTTGACCCCAGCGAGCCTGTGAAGCGTGTACGACTACACGCCGCTTTGTCGAAAGTGCTTCTAGTTTCACCTGGCAAGCTATCTACACAGTAAACTCTCGGAGTCTGAAACATATCTTTTCGACAGCGACAAAGGATATCGGAGTCAACCACCGAAGCCTTATAGCGCTCGTTATCACCCCACGAATCAAGTACTTGAGGTCTGGCTAGTCATTTACTGTGGAGAAAACCGATCACGAAACGGACCCTCTGGATTCAACAAGAAAGACCGGTACACAGTCCACTGTGGTCCATACTCGGCCCAGTTCTAACTTAGCAGAAGGCAATCAAAGTCATCCCCAACGACGGCATCCAATTGCAAACACCCTCTCGGTCGAAACGCACTAAGAGGACAAGCTCAAACACGCCAACAATGCGCATCCCACTCTTCAAGCGCGTCATCATTGCGCTCCTGAACATTTTTTTCCCACCCCTTGCGGTCGCCCTCCTCTGCGGGCCCAACGAAGACCTAGTTTTGAACTGCGTGCTCTTCTGCCTGGCCGTCATTCCGTCTCACGTCCACGGCTTCTACATATCCCTGACATATTTCAACCGCAAGCGGCGCGCGCGTCGAGGCGTCTATCCCGGCGCCAAGAAGTCCGGCATCTGGTCCGAGAAAGTCAACACCGGTGGCATCGGACGCCGCGAGGCCGAGAGGCTGAAGTACGAGAAGGAAGAGGAGAAACGGCTGGCCAAGGCGGCCAAAGCCGAGAGGCCCAGTAGCCTAGGAAGGATGCTTAGTGGGTTGAGCACGCCGAGGAGCGAGACCAGCCGGGTCGTCGAGGAATGGGATGATGGTGGTTCCCCCGGTGGGTTTTACAAGGAGTATGAAGACGATGCGTCGGAGAGGGTAGGTGTGCAGAACCGGAGGAGTACCGGCATGGGGTCTCGTCGATCGTCTGGGAGGGGAATGCCGCGCACGAGTCATCGTGCGAGGAGGGAGAGGCCGAGGTATTATGATGATGAGGTAGATTATTGAGTTGAGGACATACATATATGAGTCGCCAAAGGGAAGTTTACTTTTACAGGGGTCAATTGTAGGCTTTGTGGTAAATACCTATGTTTACATGGATTGAGTCTACTGGATACTGATCAGCATATATATTTGAATTATGGCCTAACTGGATTTTGTACATGTGTATAGATATTCTAACAAGCGGCCATCTATCTATGTCCACTGACCATCAAAATCGCACTGCCCAGCTGTCGCCTAATGTCCTCATTCTCCACGTCATGCGTATCTTCGACCTCGCCCCACATGCCGGTCTGCCACCTGACTTCCAGACTCGACGCCTCAGCGGCCTCCTCGATGCCGAAGCGCTTCTCCGACCCGCGCTGCAAATGCCGGAACTCCTCGCTCCACTCGATCAGCAACCGCGCCCCGACCAGCAGACTCTTGCCGGCGAGCACCGCGCGCTCCAGCGCCGCGAGCTCGTAAGCGGGCAGCCCAGCGATCCAGCCGCGGATAACGCTGCGAGTCATGTCCGACTGCTTTATGGGCATGATGCTGGCTTCGTCAAGGATCGGCTTGAGCTCGACGCCGGGCCACACAGTCGTGGTGAGGAAGCTGATGATGGGCTTGGCCATGCGGATCTGAATGCCGCGCAGCGACTCGGTCCGGTCGACGTGCATCTCGACCTGTGCGGCGTTGTGCAATGTGTGTTCCGGCGCCCAGCAGAGGATCGTGTCTGTATCGAGGTATCGCATCATGACGGTGGTGATCTCGTCGCGCGCTTTCGTGTCACCTTTTGCTTCGGCTTCGAGGAGGTCCTGCGCCCGTGCCACCATCGAGGTCATCGGGATGTTGTGGTTCTTCAGTGCCTGTTGCGCTGATTCGAGGAGATCCCATTCAATGGCTATTGCGTGAGCGAGATGGGGTTTTGATCTTGGGATTGTGATGATGGATTTGTTCGGTGTGCGGACTGGTCGTGCGTCGAGGTGAATTTGGTACCCTTCGGGGACTTCCTTGACGTGGACTTCTTTCCAGAATCTTTTCTTCAGTGGGCTTGATTTCCCCCCTGCCTGCGCTCCCCGTAGCTCTTTGCCTTTCTGGAGGAGTTCGGCTTTCCGCCGCCGCTCATCTATTCGTTCTCCGTATTGAGAGGGTTGAGGCACTGGCGCCGCGGGAGGTGGTCCTGCTGCGGTGATGGGTAGAGCTGTTGCATGTTGGGTGGTTGTGGAGGATATTGATCGGAAGCACGGCTGTGCGAGTCGTCCAATTGAGGAATGAGGTCGCCTAGACCTTATCGCGTACGACGTAGTACGTATAATTGTAGTCCGCATCCTTATATGAGATTTTGAGTTGTTCAGGTGATGTTGATTGTTGGTCGAGGTTCTTTTGATGATGTCCAGAAGGAAGCGCGGATTTATGAATGCCAAGGTTTCTTATATCCATCGCAACTTGCCCGACAAAAAAGTTGCATCTCGAGACTGAATGTTCGCTGCACCGCCATAGACGTCGTAGATTTTCCCAACTCGTCATGGCAAAGGTTCCTCGAGAAGTGGGTGGCTGCATAGCCTTGCCCATAAATCTACCGGTCACGACATCTTTCCCTCATGAAACGAAACACTATCTATACCTGCGCCCTCACGACCCCAAAATCCCCGATGAAGAAACACCGAGGTCACTATTCTTGATCAATATCCCCGTCACTACCAATATCTATTCCTTGAGGCACCTGTTTACCACGCAGTTGGAGGGAGGGAGGGTAGAAAGCGTCCATTTTGCAGAGAAATCTCCGGGCCAGACGAGCACGGCAATCACAAAGTCTAGCCGCAAGAGGAAGCGAATGACAGCCGAAGAACTTGAAGCTGGATTGGACAACTATTGTCTACCGAAGACGTTCGATTCGGAAATTCATCCGACGGGGTCTACAGCTATTGTGGTGTTCGTTGACCGAGCGAGCATGGAACTTGCTCTCAAAGCCGCGCGCCGAGCAGTAAAGTCTGGCGTCGAACTCAAATGGGACGATCCAGAAGAGTCTACTCCTCAATTCGGTTTGATGAGATATGAGCATCATAAACATCTACAGTTCCCATCGAGAAAAGAACTGCTTAGGAGCGTCAACGGCTTCATGACAGCATATGCACAGATGGAAGACGCAAGGGCTAAGGAGAATGCGAAGAAACGACAGATGCCAGATGAGGATGGCTTCATTACAGTCACCCGTGGTTCCAAGGGTGGTGCTCGTGCGGAGGAGATCAAAGACCTTGCCGAGAAACATAAGGAGAAGAACAAGGGTCTCGAAGATTTCTACAGGTTCCAAATGCGCGAGAAACGGAAAGAACAGCATTATGAGATGCTAAAAAAGTTTGAGGACGACAAACGGAAAGTAGAAGAAATGAGACATCGACGTGGAGCGCTCAAGGTTGGTTCCTAGAATGTATTGTCTTTAAGAGACGAGCTGATACAGTGCCAAGCCCGAGTTCTGAAATCCACAACGACATATTTTGATAGCAAGGTGAGTAACCTGTTCCAATCACTTCCCAATATATGATGAGGCCGCTGGGGCCAGAGGAACCATCGCTTGGCGTCTGTGTTTCAAACCACAAACCCCGATGCAATGTCTAAACAAACCAGCCATATTATCTTCTCAATATTGCCTGAAGCCAAATCTATACACGACCTTTGACGCCCTTTCCCTGGCATTGGGCCTAAAGCTAACTCAGCATCACAGGTTGCAGGCTAGCAATTACGTTACGTTAGTTGCTCGATCACGATCAAAGTAGTGAGAGAACGGTGCTCCAACCACAACTGCCCTTTTCGTGGTCCAGGTTGTCGAGCAGGACTTCCCAATGAGACTATTGAGTCGACCCTCGCTTTGGTAAGCGGAAAATTCTGTCGCTGTGCCATTATCTGGTCCTAGTCATGCGCCGAGTGTCTGACGTAGAAAAGCTGTCCGATTCATATGCAGTGCGCGAGCACGTCTGTCCTGGAAACAATTTTTGTTGTCAGCCCGGGACATCACATAGCTTGGCGAAGAAATGCCGTACCGCATCAGAGGTGTGCTTGTTGGCAGCATCCATTTCCATATGAATGGGCAGAATTGCAATGGGAAAGTGAGCTGGTTCATGGAACCCTGTACACTTGTCAAGATTTCACGTCAGCCGGCAGCTGCGGAAAGAAGAAATGCCAATTACAGTAATGGGATGGCGCTGAAAGAAAAAACCAACTCCGGCACATAATGTTGCGAACTGGCTTGGCCGAATGTCACCAACGGTCCCAAGTGTGATTCTGACGCCGAGGAGAACTAGTCATCATGGCCTTTGTGCTTTGATTTATGGCAGCCTGCCACAGTGCAGCGCATCGCTCAAAATTGGTTGCATTCACCGAAATGGACGGATGATGATTAGGTGTATCACACCTGCACAAGACGAAATATGCAATTCTCGGGGCAGGAAATCAAAACAACCTGGAGTATCAAGGAAGAGATCGCGATTGGTCAGGTTTCACTCTGGGAAGAGTGAATGTGGTGTTGTCTGATGTGAGCTTGGCCACCACGAACAGTATCAAGAATTCGGATCTTGATTGGATCGTGAAAAAACGACTTGGAGCGTGACATATTTTGCTACACTCACAGTCTCACAAGTGCCGATATTCGTGCGACTTCTTCAGATGGCACCGACAGTGGCTATCGCAAAGTTGTCGAGTTGGTGTTGGATGAGTCTGTGCTGCGTATGAAATCCTGTAGGACGCATGAGGTTACCGGAATGCATTCACACCTACAGAGTCGGGTCAGGGCATCCAACAGTCATGGTTCACAGTAGATCTCAAGAGATTGGATGATTCAGTATAGCGCCCCCTTGGTTTCTGGTTTTCGATTTCTGGGAGGCCTTGCGGGGTGCATGAAATATGCCTTAGATACCCATTGATGCCTAAATCTAGGATTGGTGTTTCGAGGAGTCTGGGGATGCATCAACAAGCAATTGGCCCATAGATGCAGCGAGCAAGTTTGAACTTACGAAGCCACTCGAATAAACAGATAACCTTACTCTGTCTCAGGTTATTTTTGGGACCGCCGTTGTTGTCTCCGTCTCGTCACGCTACTCTTGCTTAATGGCGGGTTATTACCACATATGGCCATATCGAAAATGGAACGGGTGATCAGTATAGGGAGTCCGCGGGACACCGGAAGAACCACCTAGGCACCAATCCTAGTAGTATACCCATCTCGATCGGGGTTGAATGCGAAGGTCTACGTTTACCCCTGTTTGAGAAGTCGCTAAACTGTTCAAAAGTCATTGAATGACCAATTGATGGTCTCCGCCAATGAGTAAGACGATGCAAGACTAATCCTAGGAAGACGCGGAATACTAGAAGCACAAAGAGTAACCAATGGTAAAGAAACTCGCCATCGCTGTTTCGTCACTGCGTAGGGAAAAGTGCGCATGGGTGAGCAGCTGACTATTGCAGAGTGCAAAAAGGGTGTGTTACGCAGTTCGGAGTATGGTTGAGCCTTGTAGCTGGAGCCTGGTAATTGCCGGTAGAAGCCCAGGTTCGAATGGGAGAATGAGAAAGTGGCACGATTGGTCATAGGGGAAGACATCTCCATACTCCTCTTTTGGGGTGCATTTCGGTAGCTTGAGATATTCATAGCCTCGTGGAGTCCGATTAAACATCCCGAGTCAATGGTTCTTTCGTAAATTATTGCCACGACGTCAGTAGAGGACAAATCAATGGTGGCGTGGTTGATGTCTCAATTGCCGTGGAAATAGGTAATCCGATAGGCGAGGTATAGCCTCGGAGCCTTGTCTCTCAACTGATCAATAAGCGGTTAGGAACTGAGGATGAGTCAAGAAGGAGAGTGCTTGTTGGGTGGTAGTGGCGGTGTAATAATGGTGCTGGTGAGGTCACACGAGTGAGGGTTTTGGTACGTTGCATGGGAAGGGACGACTGCTGCCAAAAATAAAGACAAATAGTGCGAAGCATCACGTGCAGACTGACCAATCAATGGGCTGCAGAAGCAAATAAGCATTGGATCCACCATTTGAAAGCAAGACGGCCATGTGGCAGCCGCGCACAACTGACTTCCCGTTCTCGGGTCAAGTGGAAGGAACGAAGGCCGAGATAGGTATAGTTGAATGTCTCTGGCTGCGGCTTTTCTTTGCTGCACGACTCAGCCTTCCCTTCCACTGTTTTCCCCTATCACCTTCACCGTGTGCATATGCCATCAGCATCACAACACCTGGACCAATTCTCCGATCGGATCACACTCTCTTGCCATCCACGCATCCAATGAAGCAATGCTACCACCATCTACACCCTTCCATATGCATGTGGTCAGCAATGTCTCATCCATCATGAGCTCGTGGCTCCTAGGTATAAGTAATCCCATGCATCTTCATCATGTAGGTCCATCTTGGTTTTTCCATCATCATCAAATCAGATATAACAACCCATCTAACCAACAACACTCGCTTTCTTTGCTTTCGCAAACACACACTCGCTTCTCCTTGAGATACATTCGCCTTGCTTAAACATCTTCCTTGAACCTCTTTATAGCAAATCCCCTCGTGTCAGAGAAGAAACGCTCAATGCACTCATCACTTTCGTTGCTCATCGCCGCCCTTGCTGGCACTTCTGTGGCACTTCCATATGCCGAGAATTGGGGCAACGGCACGACTACCAGTACCACCACCACGGCCATAACCACCACTTCTTCGACCACATCATTGTATTCGACCTCAAGCTCTTCTTCGGTTTCATCCAGCAGCTCATCCAGCACAAGCACATCCACAACAACCAAGTGGGGTACTAGCTCGAGCTCAAGCTCCACCACTTCTCCATCCACCTCAAGCTCAAGCTCTACCACCAAATGGACCAGCTCGACGTCAGTGCCTTCGACATCGACCACCAAGTCAACCAGCTCTTCTAGTACTTCTAGCAGCTCGAGCTCAACTACCAGCAAGCCCCATACCAAGTGGACCAGCACAACTGTCTCCAGTACAACCGCCAAGCCTACAACTACCGACATCTGGACGACCATCACTGTCACTGACTGGATTACTAAGACATCATTTGTGCCTTGCTCTACTGCTATTGCAACTCAATCTGGAACCACCTACTACTCCACTTGGTTGACCACTCAGTATTTCACTACCACGACTTGCTATCCTGTTGCAACTCACTATCCTCATCCACCTCCAGTCACAACCATTAAGCCAACAACCACCGTTGCTCCTCCCCCACCTGTCACCGTCATTCCTCCTCCACCAGTCAACACTTGCCCAGTTGTAACAAAAACCGTGACTGTCACCGTCAATCAACCAGCACCAACTGGGTCTGGGTCTGGAACATACTATCCTCCTGGTCAATGCCATCAATGTCAAACTATCACTTATGTTGACGTTTGGGGATACGTTGTAACTATTGCTATTCCAGCTCCTCCAAAGCCCACCACAAGTACCACCAGCAGCGTGGTCATCACCACCACCACTACTAAGCCACATCACAGCAGCTCCACTGCCAGCTCTACAAAGTCCACGAGCGCAACTTCGTCTACCAAGAGCAGCTCCTCCAGCTCCACTTCCACATCATCCAGCTGGACTACCAAGAGCACCAGCACCAGTGCCAGCTCTACTTCTACTTCTGCCAGCTCAACAAAGACTACCAGTACCGCGAGCTCAACATCAACCTCGTCCTGGGGTCCTAGCTCGACGTCAACCTCGTCCTGGGGTCCAAGCTCGACGTCAACCTCGTCATGGGGTCCCAGCTCGACAACTACCACAGCTGCAACCACTACCAGTGTCGCCACCACGACAAGCGCAGCTAGTAATCAACAGCCAACAACATGGGCCAAGTTCTAAACAAGAATGACTCATCTCAGTGCCATAAACTCTCACAGCACTTCCGGTTCTTACACTCCTTTAAACGATGATACGAAGAAACATGTATCCAATCCTTTATACATAACCTAATGTTTTCTTTGAATATCATCATTGGGTCGGCATAGCGTTCTAGCGCTTGATATCCCACTGGGATTGGATTTATACTACCAGGCATAGCGCGGACATTGGGTTGAGATATATAGCATAACATACACTTAACAGTAATACAAACAAATTGAAAATACTCAAAGTATTGAATTTGCTGATTCATGATTATGTTGACTTCTCAACTTGAACCTTGCGCCTGCGCTTATAGCCAACATCAATCAAACTAGGATAATCCATGCGCAATGGTCGATAGAACATGTGCTATGTGAAAGATATTACGATCCCGGCACGATCCAAGGGTTTCATCGAAATGTGTAAGTTAAGTTGCCTGAGTCTCCACCCCCACATGGGGCTTAACAAGGGATTACGAAAGCCTGGCGAGCGAAAGCTGCTCGGGTCTATTATGGGGTCGTAGAAATTTGATCGGAGGTGAAATACTGAAACAGGAAGTGCATTCGATTCAATTTATGGGGACTTCATGCTAGTTTCTCGCAGCATGCCCGTTGGTCGGTGGGACGTCCATCACACCCTTCCTGGTAGTTTAAGCATCGCTGGTATGAAACAGCTAAGTTAGCTACGTCTACGCCCGAAGTATAAACTGCTTGCGAAACGAAACGGGATCTGGCTACTGATAGTTGTCATTGGTTGCAGCTTTGTCTATTCCACCGTTGTGGACCTGACGGGATGCTTAGAGCGAGAAAATGCCTACATCGTAGGCAATTGCTGATCGGCGATAATTGCAAGCGACTATTCAAGCTCTAACTAATGTGTCTGGAATTCTAGAATAAACTTGGCTTTGTGAGGTCATCTCAGACGACTTGTCTTGGCTGTCGTACCATATCCAAGATTCCTGGACGGCAGGTGTTTCATTGCAGTGGTCTCGCTTGGGCTGAGCCCCATATCTAGATAGTTAGGCCCGGCTGTACGCCTTAGGTCCAAGCCTCTGGCTTGAGATCAATAAAGAGGCAACCAACAGGTTGAAATTTTGTACACTCCATCAGGTCATCCAGACCATACTCTGGAACACAACCGCTTGTGGTATTCTCCCAACCCAAGGTCCCGTACATCGAGAAAACCACCGGCCAGCTACATCCAGACTCTAACCATGGCTTCAACTATCAACGAGGCGGAGAATGGATTGGCAGACCTGGGCCCCAAAGATGCCAAGTCAGCCGGAACTGCAGACATCGAAGTAGAAACACCTGTGTTGATAGTTGGTGGAGGACCAGTGGGAATGCTGCTTGCATACGCCCTGTCAGCGTACCATGGCCAGCCATGTGTTCTGGTAGAGCAGTCCCCTACGACGACGACATATCCCAAGATGGAACTCACACAAGGACGCGCCATGGAGATCTACCGCTGGCTGGGACTGGCCGACGAGCTGAGAGCACTGGGCGTCCCAGAATCCGAACATCTGGATGAGGTGATTTCCACGGGTCTCGGAGAGGACGGGCACATCATCACGGTGTGGAAGCGAGACAGCCCCGCCGAGATACGCCGCAAGAGCGAGAGATTAAACGACGGCACTCTCCCTCGCGAGCCTTATTTGCGTTGTCACCAGATCCCCATTGAGAAGTGGTTGAAAGAGAAAATCTCCAAGGAGGAGAAAGTCGCCAGTTTCTGGGGTTGGAAATTCCTTGGATTGGACGAAAAAGACACCGAGGTGATCAGTGAAGCCATGGATGCCAATGGAAGGAAGTTGAAGATCAAGAGTGCTTATGTTGTTGGATGCGATGGCGCGGGAAGTATCGTAAGACGCAGTGCCGGTCTTGAGGGACCTAGGACTGACCTGTAAGTTGTCATTCTGGCTTTTTTGCCTTCTACGAAGTACAAATGTTCACCAATCATTCCTTCTAGGGCGATACATATGGCTTTCATTCATTTCGAATCAACAGATTTCGACATCCTCCATTCACAGGGGAAATTTTGGCATCTCCTGATGATGGGTGGCTCCATTATTGTCGATCAAGGCGCAGGAATTTGGACACTTCATAGAATCGTCGCCCCTGGGGTCGATGATGCTTCCGAGGAAGATCCTCTCAGCGTGATAGCCGAGGTTGTTGGCGGACTGTCTGGGCCACGTCCCATCAATGTCGATCGAATTCTTGTCCAGGGTAAATGGGGCACTCTACTGTCGATCGCATCGGGGTTCAGGTCTGAAAAGGGCCGAGTCTTCTTGACAGGGGATTCAGGTACGTTTTTGACTGCTAATGGGAAGATGACCTCGACTGACAAGGCGAAAGCACATCCACTATCACCCATGGGCGGCCATGGTCTCAATACCGGGATCTGTGACTTGTGGGACATAAGTTGGAAGCTTGCAGCTGTGTTGTCTGGTTGGGGTGGTCCGCGGCTACTGCACTCGTATGATATTGAGCGAAGACCAATCGCTCTCGCCAATGCAGCAATGGTGAACAAGGCGGCTGTAGAGGTCGCGGTGCCAATATTGACTGCAGCGGATCGTGTTGGAGCTGCACAACTCACAGCGAAGGACGAAGCAGGCCAAAGGACTCGGGATGATCTGGCTAAGGAAGCTGATCAAGGCCATTGGCTTCACAATCAGACCAACAAGCTACTTGGGTATCGGTACAATTCTCCGATCATAATCCAAGACGAAGATGGAACAGCTGCCCCTGTGAGCGAAGATGAAATCACAAAATATCTTCCGACAAGCTGGCCAGGCGGCCGTCCTCCCCATGTCTTCCTCGCTGATGGTAAGACGAGCATATTTGACTTGTTTGGCAAAGGATTTAGTCTGGTCGACTTTTCAGCTAGTGGCCAGCTGGGAAAGATCTTCTCCTCGGCCTCCAGTCAACTATCAGTGCCGCTAGAGGTCATACACTTGCCTCAAGAGCGACATGTGCGAGATCTATGGGAGCGAGATGTCGTGCTCGTTCGACCGGACGGACATGTTGCCTGGCGCTCAACCAATTCAGAGGAACAGAGCTTAGACATTGAAGCGGTCACGGCTGTTTTGAACCAAGTGAGAGGGATGGTGTAATCATGACAGCAGGAGCCAAGTGAACGTCTGGCTTGATTATGGACTGACTTTTGACAGTGTATTGACTGTGACCGAAAAAGATATCCCGAGCTCTAAGTCATATCTTTGGTTTGACCCAGACCTGGAAACCTACTGGCTTGACAAACCAGTAATTCATCGTCTTCCAATTATCACCCATCATATCTAGTTCGAAATCGAACTTATGCACAAATTCAGGAATTAGTTTACACATCTCCAATGTAGAAATATGTCGTCCTAGACAAGTTCTCGAACCAAGTCCAAACTATATAGGTCAGTATATGATCAACCAGCAGCCAGATAAGCGGTAAATGGGGACGTACCGGTAGATAATTAGCTTCCATTTTCTGATATTGTTCCCCTTTCTCTTTCTCGACTTCTAGCCATCTCTCCGGCCGGAAAACGTTCACGTCTGCTCCAAAAACGCTTGGATTATAGTGGGCGACCCAGCTATTGAGACCAACAACACTGCCCGCTGGGAATTGATGACCAGCAATGTATGCTCCACCTTCAGGAACAACACGCCAAAGCGGTAGACCAGTTGCAGGATGCAGACGGAGGGCTTCTTTGATAACTGCCAAAAGATAAGGCATGGATTGAGATTCTTTGAAAGTGAGACATTCGCTGGGTGTTTCCCTCCTCAACTGATGCTCCTTGATCTCCTTCCTCAACTTCGCCAAAGTTGACGGGTGCTTGACCAAGTTATAAAGACAACTTGACAGAGACACGGCTGTTGTGTCGCTACCTGCAACAATATTGCTTAATCCCATCATGAATATGTGGTATGGGGTTACCCGTTGGGGATCACGCTCATGGGCATCAGAAAGCTTGTCGAGGAAATCCTGTGGTGCGCTCTCATCATCGCCACGGGTCTGCTGCTTCTCACCCTTTTTGACTTCCGTCCGTGCATGGTTCCTCTCTGTGATTTTCTGCTGGACAAATCTCATGAGGAAGGTCCGGCCTGCGGCGCCAGAGCCAGGCAATTTTTCCAATATGGCAAAGAGAAATGGGTGTGCCCAGGCATATATGCCAACCAAAGTCGAATAAACCATTGAGTTGTCCAAAGCGACAAGTGTTCCATTAACGTCTTCACCATTATCGAGGAAACCGAACCTCTCGGAATAGGTGATGTCTCCCATCACATCGAAAGCATAGCACTGAAACCAATGAGCCATGTCGACCGACTTGTCAGACGAGCTGAAAGATTTCATCTTCTTCAGGAAAATATCCATGCATTCTTCAACATAAGTTTCGTAAGACACCAATGAACTCATGCTGTAGAGATTTTGGAACCTCTTGCGCGTTTCAGCGTGTCGCTTCATGTCTCGATCGGGAAATAAGGTCCAGCGATCTGGGCTCGGGTGCTTCCAACCTTCATACCAATCGCTCTTCGCGAATTTAGATCCAATACCATAAACAGCTTTGTCAGGCTCACTGATTGAGTACATGTTGGGAGCAACTCGGACAATGGGACCATATTTGGCATGTAATTCGATGTTCTTGTGGTGAAATTGACCAGATCGTACATGCATGAAGTACCATACGCGTGTGAAACGAGCTATCCATGGCCCTGGTATGGACTTCAGCGGAGATGTTAGATGACAATATATCGAGTAAACGAGGTACGCTGCCAAAACCAGGCCAATGGACAGTACCGTCAGACTGTTCGGCATGGTTGACAGGATGTTCAAACTGGCTGTGGTTGTTTGAAATGGAAAGAAGCGTCCTTAGAATTCTGGGCTTGCAAGGGAACGATCGGGCCTTTGTAACAACTGGAAAGTGATACCCCAGCTTAGTCGAGCATAGAAGATGGTGAGCGGAATTGAGGCTCACGAGGATGATGGTAAGAGTGCTTTCCAATGCCTCGATTAATATTTAGCCAGGCGGAATGCTTCCAGCTCCTCGAGAATCCCCGGGTATGCGGGGAAGGTTGATCGGCCCCATGCTGTATTACGGCCTTAGATTCGGTCCAGGACCACGGTAAATATCAAATTGCCAGTAATGTGAGGAGGATCAAAGTACGTTCCCGGTAAACTCGATAAAACATGCAAAACTGACTCTCGGGTGTGCAAATCGCGGCCGAGGAGAGGTTGTGATCCCAGGGGCCAAGGTGGGCATCCCCGATGTGGTGCACCACATACCGGCTTGGCCCCTGGCCTTAGCTTTTCACATACATGTCCTGAAGATAGGCAATTCGATAGAACGACACAAGCTATATCCACTTCACTTGCCGACCGTACTTGGCGCTACAGCTGGGCCATCGTTAACGCAGGTTTCTTTGTCCTCTTCCTTCTCCATCGGCACCCCAGAATTTCGAGTTATTTCTTCGTATGCTCCGTGGAGTGCTTTACCCGAATGATGGGGAACCCAACCGAAGGCTCAAGGCTGGGATGGGATGCATACTACTTAAGTGAAGCGAATCCGCGCTGATCTCTATGGAGAACTTGACAACTCATCCATCATCCCACACCAGACACCATGGCCAGCCCTGTCCAAGCTTCGAAAGAATATTCTCACACCTCTCACATAGAAGAAGGTCCTCGGGATGACGGCGACATGCCCGACCTCAAAGCTGTAGAGGCCGGCCAGGCAGCCACGGACGAGTATGTACCTCTTTTCCCGTTCTCTTTTTGATGCTTATGTCTGTATAGATATGGTCAACCCTTAGTACACTTTGATCCGGCAGAGGAACGACGCCTGCGACTCAAAATTGACCTGTATATTGTGCCAACTGTCGCTCTGCTCTACATGTTTTGTTTTATTGATAGAACAAATATAGGTGAGTTGTGTCTATGTCCTAAGTAATGAGCCTCTTGACGCGTTGTCTGATACTCATCTGGTGACCTAGGCAATGCTCGACTTGCTGGTTTCGAGAAGGACCTCGGCCTCAAAGGATATCAATTCAACCAAGTTATCTCGATCTTTTATATCTCCTATACCATTTTCGAAATTCCATGCAACATGGCGTGTAAGTGGTTAGGGCCAGGTTGGTTTATACCCGGCACAACAGTGGCGTTTGGTATTGTGACCGTTGGCTTTGCCTTTGTCCGTGACATCCATTCTGCCTGTGGGGTCAGATTCCTTCTTGGAATTTTTGAAGCTGGGATGTTACCAGGCATCGCCTACTACCTCTCACGATGGTATCGACGCTCGGAACTTGCGTTTCGGCTGGCACTCTATATCGTCATGGCGCCAATGGCTGGTGCTTTCGGTGGACTCTTGGCCTCAGGGATTTTGACCCTTAGCAACTTTGGAAGCACCAAGCGATGGGAGATGATTTTCGCAATCGAAGGCATCATTACAATCATCCTTGGTCTCATTGGCTTTCTCACTCTCACTGATCGACCCGAGACTGCAAGGTGGCTGAATGAGGACGAGAAACGACTCGCGATCGCACGAATAAAGTCGGAGCGAATCGCCACCACGGAAGTACTCGACAAACTCGATAAAGCAAAAATCCTTCGAGGTGTTCTGAATCCTGTTACGCTGGCCACATCATGGATTTTCCTCTTAGAATGCATTACTGTCCAGGGGCTCGCCTTCTTCGCGCCCACTATCGTTCGTACGATCTACCCAACTGAAACTGTGGTTCGACAACAATTGATGACTGTCCCTCCCTATATTGTTGGCGCAGTATTCGTCATTGTCACAGCACTGTTAGCTTGGAGAACTGACCGTCGAAATGTCATCATTACGTACAGTGCAATTCCCTGTATGGTGGGATACATTATGTTTCTCGCCAACAAGAACGCGAAAGTTCGATATGGAGCCATCTTCATTATCGTAACTGGTGCCTTCAACGGAGGTGCATTGTGTAACGCACAGGTCTCGGCCAATGTCGTCAGCGACACAGCACACTCATCTGCCATCGGTACGAACGTGATGTTCGGCAATATAGGTGGATTGATTGCCTCGTGGGCATTCTTGCCCTTTGATGCACCCAATTTCCCTATTGGCAACGGACTAAACCTTGGTGCGCAAGTAATGGTACTGATTACTGGCATCGGACTAGGTATTTGGATGAAGATGAACAACAAAAAGCGTGCACAGGTGGATGTGCATGAGAAAATCAGAGGCTTGTCGCAATTGCAAGTAGCTGACTTGGATTGGAAGCACCCTGGTTTCCAGTGGCGTCCTTGAGAAATGCAAGAGCCTTGAGGCTGACGTCGCGATGAGAGGAGTAAATTGCAGCTTGAAACATTTCATGGCCATTTCGGGGTAGGATGCAGCACAAAGGAACACGAGCTAAAGGGCACATAAATGACTTCAAAGTCCCATTGGCAAGGAATGTTACATATGTATCAAAGCTTGCCTTCCTACCGTGAAAGTTTCATCGCCGCAGAGGCTTTGGCCAGGGTATCCATCAACCCGCCCAAATAACTCGCGATAGGGATGCAGTACTGCTCGCTTTCATTGCGGCTCGACAATAGGCCGGCGATACTCGTCATGACGTTTGCTGCATCTGTGAGCGGTACCGCGGTGATCTCATTGCTTCTCCCCTGGGAAATGCCGCCGGAATAGTTTCGTATGCAAGGAGTGCCATTCCCAAGAAGAACAAAGCGTCTCAATTCGGGAGTCTCCTCTCCGTCAAGCCAGACAATCGGTTGCTCATCGTCGAAATCATGAATGTGCGTACGGTACACGGCCTGCGAGGTACTCTGTCTGGTGGCTAAAAGGGCATAGGCCCACATGGTCAGGCTTGCATGGTAGACCATGACGGCGTGAACACCGCGCAGATAGCTTGGTGGGCACTCGGCTGCCGCTCTGGCGACTTGGCCGGCATGAAACAGGGCATGGCGAGCTTCGGGAAGCGTGATCCATGTCCGAAGGCGTGAGGCGGCTTTACGAGCCCTTTCCTCACCCTCGTTTCCTGCGAGCTGTTGAATGTCCTCGAGCGAGACGTGGAGATGCATCCACCCAATCTCCAACATCAATTTTACCGACGGATGCATCGAAACTGAACCTTGTGAGAACCTGACAGTCAAATCCTCAGCGGCTGTCACAAGCTGTTGGTGAGGTAGATTGATAGTCGCAAGGCGTGAGGTCGGGTCGCCAGGAGTGGAGAATGGCCTCATCTGGATTGACTGCCATACTCGCAGCCAGAAGTTGGCAACCATGATCCTCAAGCTCATCTGGAGGTCGATCTTTATTTTGTGGAGATCTAACAATCCGGGATTCTGCAGGAAATCTGGAAGAGTAACTGGGGGATTGGGTGGGCCATGCTGCCTTTTCAATACCTCTTGCCACCACGCCTCAGCCGACTTTGCTTGCCAGAGTTGAGAAGCACATGGCATGGGCAAGTTGATTTCCGAGTATGAAGTGAGTGGTTGACGGTATAGCGCTGCAGATGTTTGTACATCCTGAAAAAGTACGTGGTAGACGAGCCTTTTGAAGGACTCTTCCTCCACCCATCTCTTCCATCGAACCACGAGGTCTTGACTCTCGTCTTCATCATTTGACTCGGGGCGACCTTTCCATTTATCCCGAAACCGACCTCCTCTTCGAAGCATGGTAATTAGATTCAACGTATAGCTTTCCGCGATCTCAACTTTTCGGCGAGATCCGCTGTTGAGACCTACGTTGAGCACAAGGAGAAACGCCTGCATTGTACGTAAGTCTCGAAGCATTCTGTTATCGCCCTCGAATCTCTTCGATATCGCGAGTCGAGCTGCTTCCTGCAGTGCCATACCAAGTCTGCGAACCTTGGGTCTCTTCGAGTCAACAGCACCAGCACAGATTAAGGCTGCCACAAATTCCTCGCATTCATTCTCTAGATCAATCGAGGCGAAGTGAATCCAGGGCGAGATTTGATGATGGTGTCGAATCTTGAAATCGACAAGTAGCGAAGAGAGAAAGTGTGTTGACGGAAAAGATGCAACTACTTGACGTTGGACTCGGGTTTCGCAGGTCCCTATGATCATTAAGAGGAGTTTGTCGCGGCTCACTGCAGATATCTGAGATTCTGAATCTGTCCGTCGGGTTTGGTGATCTTCGATAGACTCATTTCCAGGCAAAGTCAGGTGTATTTGGTCCGACAAGCTGCTATCCTCCATGGAAGGATCCCAAAGCCACATAGATTCTCTGAAAGCTTGCTCACCAGCGTGAACTTCCTTGCGTACTGCTGGTGTTTCAATCCCGCTATGTGTTCCAGTGAAGCGATTCGGATTCCCTGTTGCACTCGGTTGTAGAGCAGTGGTAGCAGGTACAGGCATATATCCGAATATTGAACCAGGATACGGTTCATATTCGCCAAAACCAACGTGCAAGACATCTGGAAACATTTCCGTGCCATTATTAGGGAAATCGTGGTCAGAGTATTCGGCATTAACAATGTCGTTGAGAAAATTTCCCATCAGAATGTCATCAAATCGTCCTTCTAAACTGAAGAATGGGTCTGAGGCCTCATTGTAAGTACCACTGTCTAGAGATCATTAGTCAAGGCCTGATCGGCAAAATTGGACATACTGAGATCCCCGTGAACTATCACCTCTTCTGGTACCTGGTTCGTAAGAATAGATTGAGCATTATGAGATTCAAATGCCATGCTTCCGGAACTCTGAACTGGCTGTGGGACTGTTGGTCCTGTTTGCTTATGTCCAAAATCATGATGCTGTTGTTCTGGTTGATCCTCGTACGCTGCATGATTCGAGCTCTCTGCAAATAGCCCCTCATTCGCGGACGAGAGTGCATGTGGACTGTAATGCCCCTGAGTATTCGGCGAGGATGTGGGTTTGTCACAAGAGATCCCCCTCGATGTACAGCGCTCACAGGGACGAGTGTCGCTACATCGTAACTTTGCCGCAGCGCAAGCAAGGCATGCAACTCTTGTCCTTTGCTTGTTGGTCCCAGACAGAATCTCACGGCGTTGTTCATCGTCACCATGTAAGTTGCTGTGACGAATCAGAAGATCACTAACAAAGTATTGTTAGGTCATGGCTCTCATCTGCACAGGGACGACTAGTGGTACCGCCTCGCGAAAGCTTTCCCACAGATCCTGCACGTAAATGGCTTTTCTCTCGTATCTACTCACTGTCAGCTCATTTGTCGTTCTCTCTAGTCGGAATTCCTCACGTGTACGGTAGTGGCGCACGAGATGATCGGAACGAGTGTATGTCTTCTTGCAGATTTCGCATACGAAAGGGTTGGAGGACATGTCAGTATCAAAGCGAGTAGACATCACAGTCTGGATCCCAACCGCCAAAGAGCTCTTGGGGACGAAGATGGCAAGGCGTGGGCTGGGGAAAAGGTGGGCGTGCGGGGATATTTAAATGAAGCTGAATCTATTTACTTACAAAAGCTTAATGGATAATATCTAAGTACTTAGGTACATATCCTTTGAAAATGATGCATACCGGGCTGCAATTAGTACAACACAACCATTTATTGTCCAATGAATGCGATTTTTGATGCATTATAATTTTCATTCCTTCAGCTATCAAGTAAACCCAAGTAATGTCAACTGCTATGTCAATTGGAGAGTTCTTACCATGCAAATTGTGATCTTCTCACCCCATTTCGAAATCCCATCGTGGGTCAATTGCCGGGGATTCAGCAACTCACCCTTGCGACAGGAGGATCCTACCATGTAGCCAGACTTTTGACAGCCATTGGAGATACTTATTGGACTTAGTTATACATATTTGTGGGCCTATCTGGACATGCTGGAATATCATCCGCTGTCTCGTTGTCCTCACCGATATCTGTCTTTCACATTCTGTGGCTTCCGTCCCTCTGATTTTGGTTTTTGTCATTTCTTCACAATATCTTTAGCTACTTTACTGCCAAAGGACAAGGGCTTCCTTTCCGCCCACGTAATCCCTCTTGTTCGCACACCCATCCTTCAGGAAACTCCTGTCTGTAGATTACGACTATGGCTACGTCACCTGAGGTCAGTCACCCCGGTCTATCTTTGTCCATCAGAATAATTGCTCTGGAGGACTGACCACAGTCTCATCACCGCAGGTACGAATCGAAAGGAGACCGGTCTCGATATCGCAAAGAAATTAGTGATCCTCTGGAGCGGACGCTCCCGGAGGGTTGGAGTTGGGGAAAACCCAGAGGAATCCAATCCGTACACCGAAATATACTTCCAAAAGGACTGATTAGATACGTGAATCTCAAGCACGATTACCCATAGGTGAGATTTGAAGCTGAGGGTTCTGATAAGATAGCATAGTTTGATGTTTCTCATACATATGAATAGTTAGCCCAGGAACAAGTTTCTAGTCTCCTACCAAGGAAATTCCACCATAGGCAACGAAGTTATAAGACTAAAAACACTAGACATTATTATTGCTTCCGTAATTGTGCGCCTCATAGACAACAACACCCAAGTGGACTTCAGGAGAGCTCTGGGAAGTGGCTCGAAGTAATCGGGCCTTTAACATCAAAAGTATTGGCCTCCTCTGTGTCTTTGCCTTCCCCAGCCTCGACCAAACTCTTGGGCAAAAACTTTGAGGTTCCGGCAATCTTGGCGGCGATATTGGACATCGGTTCATCTCCCAGTATCTCAAACATTCCCACATCAGAGCCAAGCTCTCTAAACATCCAGTTCCGGAGCTCTACAGCAATCAAGCTGTCCACACCCAATCTGCCGATGGACTTTGAAGCGTCCAAGTCGTCAGACAGCATGAGTAACTGCTTGGCCAGTCTGTTCGTGATCGCCGTGAGGACGATGTCAGTGGCCGACTCGATTGAAGTAACAGCCTTCAGCTGGGTGGAAACCGGGATAGAGCCTCCGTCCTCATCACCACCAGCATTTTCTAGATGCGTACCAAGGATTCTGAGGTGCCGATATTTAGCATCGTCGAACCAGAACGGGGGATCAGTGTCATTCTGCAACACCAAGCCTCCAGTTCCCAGCCCTGCTGCAAGCACTGTGGGAGTATGGCAGCCTTCGGTGGTGTACCCTGTGATAGCCGCTTGGATCAGTAGCAAGAGCTCGTCGAGTCTCATACCGAGATACTGGATTGACCTCAGGTATGCCATTGCAGCCGCTTCAATGTTCTCGGCGATCCAACCGACCCCCAGAATTGTTCCTATGTCAATACTACACCCTGGCAACCCTAGGTTGTGGCGATGCTGCATGAGGGCGCCTTGGTAAGTACTCTCTGGTAATAGTGTTAGCCAGAATTCAGTATGTAAACAAAAGACCTAATGGGTGAGCTTACCTGCAGCATGATTGCCCTGACCGCGATTGCCTACGCAACCTGCGATGGACGATAGGCATACGAAAAAGTCCATATCTTTCGGCATCGCGTTGTGCAGGTTCCACGTCCCTCGTACCTTCGGGTCGAGGCAGTTTCTCCAATTTTCATATGTCATATTGTCAAAGACGGAGTCATTTAACATTACCGCTCCCATTATGACGCCCTTGATGGGAGGCATCTTCTCCTGACACTCTTTCACGGCTGCCGCCACATCAGACCTGTTAGTAATATCGCAGTGTATATCTGCTATTGAAACTCCACGAACGCCAAGCGCATTGTAGACCTCGGTCGCCTCGGGACTCTTGATGCCTGAGCGGGATAGAACGATGATGTTCTTTGCTCCATGATCGGCCAGCCATGCCGAGATGAAGGGTCCGATGCCACCAGAACCACCGGCAAGTACGTAACTGGCATCTGGATTCAAGCTCAAAGCTTGGACAGCCTGAGGCATGATCTGAGATATGTTAGTATTGTCCTACAGCCGTGGGTCGGGCACAACTTACCATAACTTCATCGTCTTCCTCAACCGTCACAACTACCTTACCATATTGGGATGAAGATCTGGCAGCGTTGAAAGCATCCTCCATCTGTGAATATTTGAAAGTGGAAACGGCATGGAGCGGTTTGATATGTCCTTGACTCAACAGTTGCCAAACGGAATCAAAGAGCGAAGCGGCAAGCTTTTCTCGCTTGCGGCAAAGCTCAATCATATTTACACCAACGAACGTGATGTTATGGCTGAACGGTGCCATGTCCAGACCCGTATTTCCGAGGATATCTTCTTGGCCAACCTCGATAAAGTGACCGAATGAAGCAACGCAATGCCAAGTTTGACGAAGTGCTTCGCCTGTTAGTGAGTTCACAACCACGTCCATCCCTTGACCATTTGTAAGGCGCTTAACTCCCTTCACGAAGCCCGCATCGCTAGCGTTCAGGATACGATCGCTCGGGATATTATATTTTTCGACAACAGACTGCTCTTCGATGTTGGAGACAGTCACAAACACATCTGCTTGGAGATGCTGAGCCACCATGATCGCTGCCTGGCCCACAGCGCAGGCACCATTGTGGATGAGCACGCTTTGACCCTTTTGTAGCCTCGCCCGCTCCGACAATGAATACAATGCTGTTGCAAATGCAGATGGAAGAGACGCAGCGGCCTCAAATGAGCAGTTGTCAGGCAACTCAAAGACGAAAGATTCTGGTGCTCGAAGATGGGTCCGCAGGCATCCCTCACGGCGTTGCCATGTTACAACCCTCTGACCAGGCTTGAACTTTTCGACAGAGGTGCCGACCTTGGTGATGACTCCACTACACTCAGACCCTAGCTCATCAAGTGATGCTTGACCAGTGGCAATGAGGACATCTCTTGGGGTCAGACCGGTGGCCTTGACCTCGATCTCTATTTCGTCTTCTGCCAGCGGATCGGCTGATATCTTGTCTGAGGCGAATCTAAATGTGCTGAGCATCCCTGGTGCTCCCATCTCAAGCTTTAAAGCACGCCCTTGTTGCTTCAGAGGACCAAGAACTGGCTCGCATTGAGTTGTCATGGCTTGGAGCATATTGTCAGTGGGCATATCTTCGATGTACCTTGGGATATGTAGTACTCCATTTCGAATAGAATACTCCCAATCCGGGTCCGATTCCACCTTGTCTTCGCAAGAAATTTGGAATACTCTGAGAATTGCCTCGATGTTGCGCTCATCATCACAGCTCCAGCACGGATCAAGATCGAGAGTGGTGAGGATGAGCCCAGGGTTCTCGGCTCGTATTGTTCGACTAAGCCCAGTGATGAGACTTGAAGCTGGCGATTGACCATCTGTTGCACCCTTTGTGAGCCACAAAAGCCGTCGAGATCGAATTATCAAGTCTTGCAAATTCTTAAACGCTTCTGCATCAACATCATCAAGCCATGGGTTCTGTGCCTCCAATGCAAAGATACAAAACTTCTTCGCTACACCCACATTCAAAGCGTCATACAAGGTATGACATGATGTCTGCACACCAATTGTTTGCAAAGCCTCTGTCAACTTCCGACTCAAATGTTTGTTTGACTCGGAGTTTTCGGGGTGAATGATAAACACTTCCGCAGGAAGATTCATCTCAGAATCGATGAGATTCTTGGTCGAGGCCATGAAACTTTGCATATACTCCTCGTTTCTGGGCATGCTACGTGCTGAGACATCAATCCCACTGAAGCCGTTGGAGAGAAGCAATTCATCCCACTGTTTCTCTGTAAAGCAGGGCGATAGCCGCCTTCCTTCGTTTGCACCCGCCCACCATCCTGGCAGTGTGCCAAAAATCATGCATACTCTCTGAAGCGGGTTGGTGATTTCATACAAGATGAGCTTGCCACCTGGTTTGAGTAGTTTGTTGACATTTCCGATGGTCTCATCCATTGATCTGGTTGCATGGAGAACATTTGAAGCAATGATCACATCGTAGCCGCTGGCCTCGAATCCTTGCTCGGTAGGGTCCTGTTCGATGTCCAGCTTCTGGAAGTCGAGATAGGCAGACCATGGCGCAAACTTCTCACCAGCAGCTTCAAAGAAGCCTGTGGTAATATCAGTGTAGCAATAAGAGCGCATGCGAGGCGACTCGCCGTTGTCACCACCCAGTTTCTGTAGTATAGGAAATGTGGTTCCGCCAGTTCCAGCGCCAATTTCGAGGAGTTTCAAGTCTGGGTTCTTGTGCGCCAGTAGATCCACATATTCAGCCAAGTACTGGTGTGCAATCTCCCAACCAAGGTGATGGCCGTGATACGCATCAAGGAGATTGTCCTGCATCATGATCTCTAGGGGTTCCTTCTTCCCAAGAAGGATGTCGACGAGATGCTCGCCTTGATGGCACAATAATCGGCCATCATTGGTGGTTGTTGCAACACGAGTCAATATTTCCTGCTCCACATCCTTGGAAGGATTCATCCAGTCGAGGCGGCTGCTTTGAAGAGGAAGCTTTTGTTGTGAAGCGAGCTCATAATTGTGTTGGCAGTACTGGTAGAATAGTTTATGATGTTCCTTTAGCGAGGCAACTTGTTCTGGCGCTATGCCTTCCAGAACTCGTCTGGCATAGGTGAAACCAGCAAAATCAAGCTCTTCAGCGACCTGTGGATTGCTTGCCACAAGTTCAGTCGTTGTACTGCTGACTTCAAGAGGTGGCATACTTTTCTTCAGCTCATCGACATCTGTCTTCCACTCGAGCCTACTACCAAGCTTGCGAGACCACATTTCTGATTGGCCTGCCGACGCCACCGCCGTGCAGGTGAGGTTATTGACGATAATAACTGGCTTGGTAAACTCAGCATCAGCTACCACCAGATTGCCGTGAGTTTCTCTACTGAGAGGAGGTATAGCCTCCGAATACCCAACAACCTTGTCTCCTGGCGTTCTGCTAATACCGGCACTGACGTACATATATTCGAAAAAGGTAGGGACTCCCACAGTACTCATGTGCATGCCGTCCGGCATAAGAGATGGTAACAGCATATGGAAAATGCTATCGAGGAATGCAGGGTGAACGATATGCGGTAGTTCATAGTCAAATGGCATGACGGCTCTTGTATCTGGAACCTCGGCGATACAGCTACTTTCCATGTACCCACTTTTGATCTCAGTGAGGCCCCGGAAGACACTTCCATACTGGTATCCCATTGTCGCCAATGATTCGTAGAATTGTCGTGGATACTCGGACTTTGTGCAACGTGACTTAATTTCTGCATGTCTTTGTCTCATTTGGTTGATCTCAACAGTATCTTCGTCGTTGAAGAGCGCATTTGCTTGCTGCTGATGTTTCAAGCGAACCGAGCCTGAACAATGTTCTTGCCAAATATCGTTGCTTGATCTCGAGTAGACAGTGAACTCATGCCAAACTACCTTGTTTGATGCTGTTCCAACTTTAACTGGCGTGAGTTGGAGACTGGTCTCGACACCAGTGGCATCGTCAGGCACAACTAGACCTCGTCCAATCTTGATGTCTCGGAGTTCAAATCCGTCGATGTCAGCAGGATGTCCCGCATACTCCCACATGGCTTGGATTCCCATGACGATTAGGCCAGCGGCAGGATACAGAATGGTTCCCTGAATCTTGTGATGCTGAACCCAAGGGCTCTCCGACACCCGAATTATATTTCTCCAGAGAGGGGTGTGCGGCACACTTCCAGGGATAAGGCAACCTAGTAAATGATGTCGCTGGTTCTCTCGGAAACGCACGTCTCGTGATATGGACGATTCACACCAGTAACTGTTTTCGTGGTTCCATGCGTATGGTGGGAGGTCAACCAACGGTGTTGATGCATCGTACTGAGTGCTGTCTGGGAAGTTTGCGAGGCTCAGGTCGACAGTAATGCCATGCTGCCAAAGGGAACCCACGGCCTCCAACGTGGAAATAGCTGCATCACGTTTCCTATGCAGCAGAGAATTAGCAGGGACCGTAAGACCTACGTCTGACAGAATCTGCTTCAAAGGCCCTTGAAGTGCTCCATGTGGTCCGATCTCGACCAATAGGTCAATGGCGGGTCGGCCCTTCAGAAGCGTCCGCATCCCTTGATCGAACTTCACTGGCGACAGCAAGTTACTCACCCAATAAGATGGAGTGAGCATTGAATTCGTAATAGGAAGGCCTGTGACAGTCGAAATCATCATAACGTCATCTCCATCCGAAAGTGGTTGCTCTTCACCCATGGAGCTAAGGTATTCGTCGGACACTTGCTTGAGATGATTAGAGTGGTAAGCGATGTCCACTTTCAGTTTGCGAGCGAATATGGACTCCAGTTTTAAGGCTTCCTCGATCACCTCTAGGCTGCTTATTTCACCGGACAGGGTCAAGCTTGATGAGCTGTTGTAGCAAGCGACGGTAATTTTGTCCTTGACTCGCTCCAGGTAAGGTCCGATCTGCCCTTCACCAAGACCAACAGCAAGCATACCTAATTTCAAGCCTGGAATTTTTTCACTCAGCTTCGACGCAACCACTCCACGGTAATATGCTGCTTTCATAGCGTAAGTATGGCTGATGGCACCTTTAGCATACGCTGCAGCGATCTCCCCGCTTGAGTGGCCAATGACAACTTTCGGTAAGACATTCCATGAGCGTAGCAGTTCAATCAAGGCCAGTTGCAAAGCCGTGCAGCAGGCTTGACTAACATCTGTTTCATTGATTCTGGAATGCTTTTCGTCCTTGGCCAACTCTTCCAAGAGAGACCAGGGACAATTCAAAGATTGCAGCACCTGATTTGAAGCTGAGAGGCTTTCAAAGAAGACTTTATAGGAGAGGAGCTCGCGACCCATAGCAAACCACTGCGCGCCCTGCCCAGTAAATACAAATGCAACATTTGGTGATTGTTTGGCTCGGACCGGTACTGCCAGAGTCTCAGTCAGCTGAGCCACAGCATCTTGAAACGACGATACAATAGAGAACGTCCTCCAAGAGAAAATACTTCTTCGCTTTTCAAGTGTGAACGCCAGCCTATCGATGACTTCCGGTTTGGTATTAGCAGCAGCCTTTTGGCTCAGATACTCGGCGAGGTTTGTGAATGTCCGGTCGAGGCTCTTCTTCTCTCCCGACGACCATACAAGTAGTCTTGGCTGAGTGTTCAGGGCACCCTGCTTGATACTTGAACCGGCGTCCAATTTTTCTGGCAACTGGCTTTCTTCAGACAAATCAATGGATGATCCCATACCGACTCCTGAGTCGGCATTAGACTGAGGTGAGCTGCTGGGATCACTGTACACGCAATTGTGGTTTCCTTTGAGACCATGTTGTTTCAGGAAGTGATAAGCATCATCGACAATGACATGGGCATTTGTTCCACCAAACCCGAAGCCATTGACGCTCGCACGACGTAATCCATCGAGTGGCCAAGGTACCAGTTCTGTCGCGACTTTGAGGTTCCATTCATCGAACGACATCGAGGACGGTGGATGCTCAAATGCGACATTCGGAACAATCATACCCTTCTCCAGAGAATAAATGACCTTGATGAGCCCAGCCAGTCCACTTGCGCCTTCAATGTGTCCAATATTCGTCTTAGAGGAGCCAATATAGAGTGGACTCTCTTTGGAGCGGTATCGACCAATAGTCTTTGCTATTGCAGTGGTTTCTTGTAGATCACCTGCAACTGTACCTGTTCCGTGGCCCTCAAAATATGCGGTCTGGTCTTGGGGAAGGTCGGCGTTTCGATATGCCGTGTTGACCAAGTCTACCTGTGCTGCAGCAACTGGAAGCGTTACACCAGAAGCCCCACCGTCTTGATTTACGGCTGAACCACGTATTACACCACGAATAACATCACCATCTTTGAGAGCTGTTTCAAGAGGTTTAAGAACAAGTGCTGCAATGCCATCACCTCTGGCGTAACCATTCGCTTTGTGGTCATAGCTGTAGCACTGGCCATCTGGACTGAGAGCATGGATAGCTGACATCGAGACCATGGTGTCTATGGCAAAAATCAAGTTGGTGCCAGCGACAAGGGCCGTCTGGCTCTCTCCAGTACGTAAACTCTGGCAGGCAAGGTGAACTCCAACCAAAGCAGACGAACATGCTGTATCGATCGTCAGGGCCGGACCTCTGAAATCGAAGAACCAAGACAAGCGACAGGCTAAAAGTGACTTGCTGATACCAGTCACGGCATGCATGGTTGTTGGTTCGGAATCCTTAAGCAGCAGGTCGTAGTAGTCCTGTGTGCACGTCCCCATGTAGACAGAGGTGTTCGAACCAATAATGTCTTCGAGACGCATTCCAGCTGCACATATGATATCAACCGACGTCCACAATACACAAGACTAGCATAATCTGCTTACCATTTTCAAATGCTTCATACGCAACCTCCATGGCAAGCCTTTGCTGAGGGTCCATTGACTTGGCTTCATTCGCTGTGATGGAAAAGAAAGGAGCGTCAAACTCAGAAATATCTGAAGTCATAAAATGACCATTCCGTGTCACACAAGTGCCGGCATGATCATAGTCAGGGTGATAGTAAGCATCCGCATTGAATCTGTCTTTGGGTGCAGGTGTACTGGTGCTTCTACACTCGGCAAGCAGGTCCCAAAACTTTTCTGGATCTGAAGCGGTTCCTGAAAAACGAGCACCTATGCCAACAACAGCGATTGGCATGTTAGATGAGTCTCCATTAGGAGAAGGGAACTGAGGCGTCGCAGAGGCCGCCATATTGAATCCAGACCCTCAGCAATACCGAGGAAGGATTGATGCGCTTCTGCTCGCAATACGCCAAAACGAGCTTGAGCCAAAGCTGGAAGATGAAAAGTATAAGTATTTGGATTGAGACAGGAAGCAGTGCATGCCTATGAGGTGGGAGAAAGGCAAGATGTCGCTAAGCCTCGGCCCCTTTACCACATAGCGCTGAAGGCATCACCTTATTGGCGGCTGCATGTCATTAAGTATATGTATCTTTGACAGATGGAGTCTGCGCCATTGGCTCACAAGAGAACTAGTAACGCAATTCTTGCAGCAAGTGTTTATGCATGAACACGTGGAGCCTATGGGTAGAGTTTCGATAGCGGAGCACTCACATGCACCAACAACACAACAAGTACCGAGAGGTCGTCGGTGGTACTTGAACCATCCAAGCGACCCTGGTCGCATCCGCGGAGGCTATACATCTTCTTCCGGTCTCCTCTTAGCTGCATTCCCGGTTCTTCTTCTATGCCCATTAGTAGTATCTGCGCCATGATAAGTTATGTCGTGACCTATTGAAAAGATGATACTGGGCAAGTCTCTGCGGGTCATGCAACCAATATTGAATTGGTTGTGATTGTGCCACGTTAACGGAGTTCTCAAAAGCTTACTGAAAGAAATTGAGTTAGGTGCTATCTCTTTGCATGGTCCGCTAAGCTCGACTTGGGGCCTGGACTCTGGGTTACTGTGCTGTAACAAAAGGTGCATTAGCCCTGCGCTGTTCTCAAGATTGTGCAACCTTTCGATCGTTCGAACATCACAGAACTGACCAATTCAAGAAGCATGGCAAGCAAACAGCGCCTTCTACGGTTCACCATCCTGGTTTATCGCAAGCCGGAACTCTCAGAGGATGAGTTCCACTCGTACTGGACAACAAAGCATGTACCTCTTGTTCAGGACTGGTTAGCACGGCACGGAATCTTGAAGTATACACAGGTCTGCTACATGCCCATCGTTCCAGTTCGTGCTGACTGGGTCGGTGATAGTACCATACCCCGTCCTCGGTGCGGGAGCAAGCCAAATCAGTGCCCGGCCTTAGCCAAGCTAGCATAGCCGAGTATGACGGTTTCGTGGAATTGTTGATGCCATCTCTGTCGTGTTTTGATGAGGCACAAAAGGATCCTTACTACCAGGAAGTTGTTGTCCAGGACGAATTAAAGTTCGCAGACGTGCCGAGGACACAGATCCTCATTGGCTGGGAGGAAGTATATGTCGAGAATGGCAAGGTCGTTGAGGTGCAGCCAGGTCAAGCTAACATTGTGATGGGGTGATGGGGTCAATTTTCTTCGTCGGTGCTGATTATATCGAGATGAGCCAGTCCAAAATCAAGATGATTCTCGCGTCGCCAGCGACGTCTCATCGCCTTGGCATCTTGCGACCCCTCTGTCGAGGATTGAAAGCGTTGTGGAGAGATGGAGAAAGCACACCACCCTTCACATTTAGTTGCTGTCCAGTGACATGTTCAATGGATTGGAGCTCACAATCATGGTATTCAGTCCGCCAATGTCGTCTGCACGTCCTCGCAAAGCGACCCCTCCGATAAGAATGACAGCTGATGAAGTGGATTGTTAGTTCGACCATGCTTCTCTCCTACTCCCGCAGGCTGTTCGATCCTCCCATTATTAGTAGCCCCCTCTGCTTCCTCGCTGTAGTCCCAAGTCTTGGGTCCACCAAGATCCCTGTAGAGCAGATAACGGCCCGACGAGTGTACTCGTGTCTGGAGTAATGGGAAGCAGAATGGGGTGTTGCCGAGTTTCCGAGTCGGTTCCGGACCTACCCCGCACATGATTCTGGATAAGAAGAGGCCGACCTTTGTTGAGAAGGTCTGACTCTTGAGGGAGCGTCATCATCTGCGTGTAGCATAGAAGAAACGCAAAGGCGGTGCCTTCAAGGTTTGAATTCGAAGTCGTGGATAACATAATACCTACAGCTAAAATAGAGCTAGTAGCCGTCTCTCTGAGATCAATCCCGCCGACTCCGACCTATATCGGTGATGCCAATGACTAGAAAGCCGTGGGACACTATATAGTAGACGACTCGCAGTAAGATGCAGAACTTAGACAACACGTTCAAGCAGTAACTATAAGATATTGGATGTATTCTACTCCCTTGAAGAGGTATTTTCTAGAAAGTGGGATAGGCTCACAGATAAGGGGAAGGCGAAGATAAAGGCTATTATGGTACCTAGGTAGTGATTGAGCTTTCTCAAGAGTAAAGGACGACGATAAGTGCAGAATAAAGAGAGATTGCACCCAAGAAAGGCATAAGGGCCAGAGCTACATAGTTCCTGTACGGGTGACAGACGCGCATTACGAGATATTTTGGAGGAAAGAGCCTTACGACGTCATGTTCCAGCTGGTGGAAGGCGGACGCGAGCTCAACACCCAGAATCAAAATCAGAATCAGAATCATCAGACAATACGGATTAGCAGAGCTCCCAACAACCACACCGCCGGGCCCGCAGGCTGGGAACGTGCAGGTGTCAGGAATGAAGAGAGCCGTATTGATTTGCCTGGATGATGCAAGTGAGGAGCATCGCTTACTTCTTCCTGCAGCTGGCCTCGCTTCTGGGCCAGTGACGAGGTCGTGCTCTGCGCTCGGGCCCGGACAGCTGGGCTTCTCGATGGATCCGTGCTTCTGGTGGTGAGGGCACGAAGCATTCTGGTACCCGTGGTTGCTGGTTATTGGCGGTGCGCCCGCCTCGGCCTCCCCTAAAGTTTGGCCAGGGCTTCCTAAACCTCCCAAACCTGGTACGTAATGCCAATTGGCGAACTTCGGGTCTGCTCTCACTAATCAGAGGGTTACTGATGGCATGGGCCTCGGGCTTGCAGATCAACTCTCTTGCTTTTGGGATCTCGTGTTCAGGCGCTCAGTTACACCAACTTAACCAACTTAACTAGAGCACCGACCGACCGCGGGGACCAACTGCAAAACCCTCTGAGGCTGAATTCCCAGGTTCCCCGTCCCAGTGCTCTCGACCATTCATTCCCCAATTTGGCTGGTGCCACCGTTTTATTTGAACACAACCGTCTTATTGGAACTAGACTACCTAGTCGATTGAGTATTCCAGGAACTTTAAAACAAACGGCACAGAAGCGATACGATCCCTCTAACCATCGCGAATCCGCCGCCTGCCAGTCTGTCTTCCGCAGCGATGCCTACCGTTCACTCGCTATTATTATTATTCTTATCATCCCCGCCTCGTGCTCTCTCGAAAGGAAAACTCTGTCTTTCGCCTTCTCAGGGCGCAACCGTCCCTGCCTGGCTCTAATCCACTCCCTGGCATCGCAAAACTAAAGGTCTCCTTCTCCTTCATCAACTTCGCTCCATCATCACAGGTTGCATCCCCGGATTTTGTCTTTTCTCTAGAGTCTGATGGTTTTCGATGCCTCCTAGGATCGTTAATCGTACCCCATGGCATATTGTATGGATACTCTAAATATTCCCAACACCATCTCCGTGGATGAGTCGTACGGGCGCGTCCAATTTGGATTAGATGATGAAAATGATGCAACCTCGGTATATTCGATAACCTCCTCTGCTTACAACTTTAGGATGGAACATGGCCGTCGATTCCATGACTATAAAGCTGGCCACCCCTTTCCGTACGATGAAGTTTCGGAAGAAAACGAGATCATAATGCATTGCATGATGCTACTGCTTCTTGACAACAAAGACTACCTATCTCCGATTCCCGAATCATCTCTCCGTTGCGTTGCCGACGTAGGATCAGGATTAGGTCTATGGACCGAAGGGGTTGCCGAGCGGTATCCAGATACTCAGGTGGTGGGAATCGACATGACTCCCCACGAACGGTCTCTTCACCCAAACTGCTCCTATATTATATCGGATGCAACTGAAGAATGGATACTGGATGATCCTTCGATGAAATTCGATCTGGTTCATATCAGATCACTATTTGGAGTAAAGGACTGGCCTGCGTTGTACACGCAATGCTTCAAGTAAGTCTAATCTCATCTCATCAGTCCATTCCAACTATCTTACATCCAATTACTTCTTTGATATCATCAATCATTTAAACACCTATCCTCGTGAAATCTTCAGCTAATATTTCCCAGTAACATGAGCTCTGGTGGATGGATCGAGCAGATTGAAGTCGAAATTAACGCTCTGTCCGACGACTGCTCCACCCTCTCAAATAGTAAAGTCAAGGAGCTCTGTGTATTCACCAAGCAAATGGGAATAGCCTCCGGCCGAGACCTTGAAATTTCCAAAAGTATGAAGGAATTGATGGAGCAAGCCGGTTTCGTCAATGTCCAGGAGCGAAAACTCAAGCTACCGCTGGGGTCGTGGGCTACCGACCCAAAACTAAAAGATATCGGAAGATTTTACGAGCGATTCTACAAGACCGGCCTCCAAGGATGGTTACTGCAGATTTGCACTCGGACTTTGGGCGTAAGTGGGCAAAGCTCAGATGAAGGCATTCGATCTCTAACTTTTGTGCCATTAGTGGTCTGCGGAGCAAGTCAATCAGGCGTGCATCGAAGCTTTTCAAGAGATCAACAGTCGTCAACACCACATATATTATCCTTTGTAAGTCCATGCTCAACATGGAAGGCTCTTCCCATATTCGAAAAGTACTCATCTCATTCACCAGGGTCCTTGTCATTGGGCAAAAACCTTGACCCTCCAGAACCTACTGATCAGTCACTCACATTGGAACATTATTCTTCAGACGTTCGCTCACAGCCATGGCTGCCTACAAGGCGACATACACGAAGCGACAAGTATAAACTGCTTATCAAAGTCTTCGGTCGTGGCGGGCTAGCGGAGGAAATTGGCAAATTCTTCGAGAAGATTGCCCTCTCCGAGCTACGAGTACTAATGAGGTCATCGTGGTCATCATGATCACGTGATCCAATCCACTGCCAAGATTAGTCATCTTGCGGTAGAAAGAGTGTTCCCCGGGTCTATCTGGACACTTCTGGAGATGATCTAGATCCGAGTGTCTTCAAACCCTTCAATCAGTTGTGTGAATCGCAAATGAAATTAGAATCGTTACAATGGCGTTGGGCCCCAGCAATGCTGTGTGAATGGCTAGGGGACTTTGTTGGATCTATACTTGACGACTCAAGCAAACCAATGAGGCTGTCTCTTCTCTTGCCACTCTGTTGTCCCGGTTCTGGTTTATATAGGAACTTACTAGGCAGTTGATCTCCAGGAGCCCCTTTCCCATGATTTCCAAGCCTTTCAAATGGTGGAGCATTGGTGCCATTATCGAGGGAGGCATGCTGGCTAGCGCCATGGAGTTTAGTATCCGGGGTTCGTTAGCGCATCACGTGTTGTAGGGCTAGTACACGCTAGTATGGTCTTGGCGCCAACGTTTTCAAGTTCCCCAGGTGCATATCCGTACTTGGGCTCGAAATCGACACCGCAATTCCGGCTGCTACCCAACGGAGTTGATTAAGAGGGTGGGGGAGCATTGAAAGCTTTTACAGAGGCATATCGATGTCGAGTTGCTTGAAGCATCGCGAGGTATGTGCCTGGTGCCAAAGTATCTCCCTTCTTCGCCCCACCACACGCAAGGAGCCAGAAGAACAGCCCAGATGAGCTCAACATTTGTTAAGAGACAACACCTAGGACAGCCATCAACTAGATGCTCCAATGGTCCTCCAGCAATCTGACCATGTTGTCCGTCGCCCGCGGGCATGTATAGATTGGCTCCAGAAAACTTAGCCACAATTCACGGAATTCTCATGACGTATTGATTTCCTCCATAACAGCCTTGAACAACGATGAACACAATTGATACCCCGACAAGACAATCATGAGAACGGAAGGAATAGCCAAGCACGCAACCGGGGGTCACGCAGCGGACGAGAGAGCAGCTGATATTGGCGGCTCTGAGCTGTGCGATGGGTGTGTGCAGATGTCTCGGAGGAGAAAAGTACTCGAAGAGAGAGATCTCGCTTGTGCCTTCACCCTCGCATCAGATGCAAGAGGTCCGTACGCACGTCACCGAAAAGAAACCCACGGATAGCACGATGTCAGTTGCTTGCATTCAAGTCCAGAATTCTCATTTGTTGGCAACACTGGGCCTGTAGTTCATCGCTATTCACTTGGTTCCCTAGGCTTTGAGTACATGTAGTCAAAGCCTAGGGAGGCTGTGACAATCTCTGCCCATAATTTGACCATCCTTGACCATCTGGTCACCTGCGCTCCTCTATGATCCTCAATGCATGGTACCATATTGACTGTCGGCAAGCTGCCCACGCTGTCATGGATGATTATCATAGCTTGCCGGCCACTTCAGGCTCCTCATTCTGCATCTCCTCCGTTGAGAGCCTTCCCTTTGGCGCTCTCCTCCTCGGTGGTCTGCTGATCGTTGCCGTTCATTTCATCCTGGGCATCCTCGGCGACATCGTCGATTTTTCTCTTCTTGCTTCCCTTGACAGGAGTGCCGCCATTGTCGGTGGTTTTCTTCTTTGGAGTGCTGTTTGCCGCTTTGTTGCCGCCAGCAGCACGCTTCTTGGTCCGGCTTGCAGCTGCCGGGCTTGGAATGACGGGATCGCCAATTCTGACGATGCGGTCGTTGACAAGATCAAACCCAGCCGCCTTGGCTATGGCTTTGAATTTCTTCTGGCTAATTCGTGCCAATGTCAGTTCATCTGAGGACTCGAGGGAAGGAGAAGAGGCAGTGGAATGGGCCACGGTCACATACGCAGTGTTGGCACTTGTGGATCCAGTATTCCTGGCAACGGCGTGATAGTCGGGTTTCGGCATCTCGGTGTTCTGGAGGACATTCATAATGAACACGACCTGATCGTTGGGTGGTAAGGACGCCATGGTTTCTGCAGAGTACGGTCGGCAGTTGACAGAGGAGAAAAGTTGTTGATTCGTCAGGTGTGTAAGGTTTTGGAATATTGTAACCGATCTGATGGATTGAGGGTTCAGGCAGGAAATGGAACCTGTGAGCTGGCCGTGAAGAGATCTGGAGAAGAGGACTTCATTCACCTGCCCAAGAAAGAAGGCTGATTCTCTCACTTCCAAATCAGTATTACTTCACTTCCGATTGACATGACGGAGTTCAGTGGATCTCCATTCACAGGCATCACGCCAGCAAGCTATATTCGCATTATTTGATTGCCACTGATAGAATTGACAACGATCCATTCTCATTCTCTCCTTCCCTTCCCCATTCACTAAGCCTGAGGTTTATCGTAGAGCATCAGCCAGCAGTCGCCTTTACCAACTGACAAACTTCAAATCAAATGGGATCATGATTGATCATCGACCAGCAATGGGTGTCGATATCGAACATTGTTCTGACCACAGCAGCCCGCCACAAAATCGGTATCTATCATAGCGGGCCGTCTCTGGTTGGGTTGTTGCATCAGAGTTTTAAGCAATCTCGCAGTATCCACTGTTCCCCCGTCCCTGACCAATCTTATGCCTGCTCAGACGACAACAACCATGAATATCAGAGCTTGAAGCTTGAGTAAAGGGCAGGGTGAGCAAGATAGGAAGCGTGGATCCCCATGTGGCTTTGAAAATCAGTGCAAAGAGCGGTATTAATGACCATTACTCGGGGAACAAAGATGCCTATAGCAGTATGCTCTAGTGGTAAACCACATGATCACGGTCTCGAGCGAAGAAGAGTGTGTGGTGCCCTTGTTATTGGGCAGTACAAGAGCCTTGCCATCCGCATAGACCCAAAAGTTGAAATAAATCGACCGCCTTTTCCACACCGTGAGGTCCAAAGTAGTTGAATTTAGTAACCCTCCCGATTTTTCGTCCATTACAGTTACTGTTCTAGTAGTCGGACGTCTTTCCATGGGTGTTATTGCGCGCAACATGTAGACACCCTCCTTCCCGCAGTTCATCGTTCTGTCGCCTCGTTTGACATGTCAACGTCACGAAAGGCAACCAGGGAGGTAGAATAGCCAATGACATCAACCCAACACGTTTAGTATTGACAGCTGTCCCTAAGCATCTCTGTGAACATCTCCTTGGACGCTGCATGATGCCCCAGTTGGCCGTCAGCTAACTAGTAAGAGCATACAGGTAGCCATTTCAAGCCAAGTTCAGAGTTCCCTCGAAGTTGAAGCCTCAGCCATCTAGCCCTAGATTTTCCCTCCTATCTATGAGGGAATGACATAGGATTGGTCGCCTTAGAGACAACTGCCCACCGTGTTTCCATTCTCCTTGGCTAGTCTTCAAGTCAGACACACAAGAAGGGTAATGATATTGTACTTGACTTTTCCATGTTTTACGGATGCGTGCATATATGATATCACACGTTGCAACACTTTCGCATTCTTCTGAGGGGAAGCCGAAGTGCCTGCATCCTCCAGTTCGGCGGCACCCTGTTCAGGACTACTGTAGCGAGGGTCCGAGAGTGTAGCTATATAGGTATGTAAGGACTAACTAAAGAATGGACCAACGATCACCTTTAATTAATGTTAAGTAGATTGTGGGCCTTGGCTTCTAGGCTGTCTAGGTTGTTAAGCATTAAACTGACCTTCTTGTAGCAGTGCACCATGTAATGGTCGTCCTTGCTGCACAGTCTGGTCGCGGACAGCCCGACTAAACGTGGGACTACTATGGGCCGGTTCGGCTAATGCCTGCGGCGGCTTCGCTGGTTCTCTGTCTGTCTCGTTGTCACCGGGTGAATCCGTTTGATCCAAGAAGTGCTAGATCGGTCTTCGAGAAGGCAGTCGGAAACGTGTAACAAACCGAGACGATGAGACGCTGATCGTGGTACATCGGACGCGGCACTACGAATATAGTTGGAGAATGGTACTGCACGATGGCATCGCCCAGCAATGGGATCTACACGAACTGTAGCTCACCTGGACGATCGCCACTGAGCTTCAGCCGACGGCATTCTGCCGTGAGAGCATTAAAATCCAGATAGTCAGTACGATTTTCCTAGGACCCTTGCAGGACCCACCCTTACAATTGTAACACGCTCTGGGATCGCGCTACTTCTTGCGAGACCAAAACATGCTCGCTATTTTCTTTTTCGCGTCGCTGCCTGAACGAGGCATAGTCTCAACGTTGCAGTCGTTGCTGATTTGGAGATTATCGTCGTTCTTCACCAAAAGAGTGATCGGGGTGAGATAGGACGGAGAAAAGGAAACGTGCGATCGTGAGAACAATCGGGAATGAATATAGTTAATGGGCTGTGTCAGGGGCAAAGCCCAATGCGGACGGGAAGTCCGATCGCAGGGTTCAATGCCTTCCTTAAAACATCATCTCCGATGGCTATTTTCGCCGAATATACCTCTCTTTGTGGAACCGCCACTAACTCCACCCAAGACAACAACTTCTAAAATAAGTGGTGTATGGTCAACGTTCCATGTCGTGTGCATTTTCAGAATATCGCCGGAGACATCGAAGCCAAGGAGCCTGGATTGCCATTGAAAATGAGCATTGCAGCACGTATATTCAAGAGAGACCAGACGAGAAATCACTAAGATTCTTCACCACTATCGCAAAATGGCCACCATTGTTACTCCAGAGGCAATCCATCATCATAATGCCAACATCGACGATCTCAAGGCCAAGGTCGTCGTTGAGCAGGTCGAGGTGGAGGTGAGCCCCACTCCTCCAGTGGCCGACAACTTCATGTACGATTTCAAATACAATCATACTCTCCCAACTTACGACGTTCTCGGGGTTGAGATCCCATCGGATTGCGATGCTCAGAAAGCGGCAGAAGAAATCGCTGAAAACCTCTCCAAGACCATGGGAGAAGGTGATGCCCAAGGTTTCACCGGTCTCTTCCTCGAATATGGTGAGTTCCAGCTAGACATTTCTGTCTACAGTGTAAAGTCCTGATTGTTGGCATAGGCGTGTGGCGTGACAAACTTTCCTTCACCTGGGATCACAGGACCTTTAACTTCCATGCCGCGATCTTAAAGGCAGCTACCGACGTCTTCCCTATAACTAGAGCCGCCAATTTCGGCTTCCTCAAGCCTAGCCCCACGATTCAACGCCCGTATCCGGACTTTTCTCAACTCCAGTTTGTTGTGTCGTTCGAAACTGAGATTGTAATGGCATCGGCTGTAATCAACGCGGTACTCAGCAAAGACGGATGGAAAATTTACTTCATGCATACTGTCGCCGAGAAACTGAAGCAATTTCCTGAAGTACCTCCGAATGACGGCCACATGACAGGCCTTATCAGTTGGGAAAAGCAGAGAGCCTTGGACATCTCTGCGGCTGAACCAGAAATCCTGATCATTGGTGGTGGTCAGAAGTAGGTCTGCAACGCCGAGTTTGATGTGTACAGTTATTGACATGAGACAGTGGCCTTGCGATAGGCGCTCGATTGAAGGCACTAGGGGTGAACAACTTGATTATTGAACGATCGGACGAGGTTGGTGATATCTGGAAGAAGCGATACGAATATCTGTCGCTACATTTCCCACACTGGCCGGATGACCTGCCCTACTTTAGCTACCCTAAGCACTGGCCCACGTACACGCCAGCTCAGAAGCAAGGCAAGTATATGGAATGGTATGCATCGGCTCTTGAGCTCAACATTTGGACCAAGACGGATGTTGTCAAGGCCGATCAGGACAACAGCGGCAACTGGACCGTCGTCATCAACAAAGGCCGTAAGGAAATGCGGACGCTACACCCCAAGCAGGTTGTCATGGCCACATCTCTCTGTGGCGTCCCTTTGACTCCTGTTATTCATGGCATGGATAAGTTTAAGGGTGGAGTCTTACGCCATTCGTCAGCACATGATAGTTCTCAGGAGTTCGTTGGCAAGACGGTCTGCGTGGTAGGAACTTCGTCCTCCGGCTTCGACACCGCATTTGACTGCTCCCGAAGGGGTATTGATGTTACTCTCCTTCAGAGGTCGCCAACCTATGTCATGTCACTGACCAATTCAGTCCCTCGTATTCTTAGTGGCTATAAGCCCGATGAGAATGGCAATCGTCCTGATCTTGAGGAGCAGGACAGACTCTTCTTTGCTATTCCCACTGGTCCAGGCGAGGAGCTTGGCCGAAGGAACGCCGAGGTGCTTGAGAACCTCGATCGACCTTTACTTGAAGCGCTCCATAAGCGGGGTCTGCGAACATGGCGCGGACAGCGGGGCACGGGCAACGCAACCCTGGGCCAGACTCGCAATGGCGGTTTCTACTTTGATGCTGGCGCTTGCGAGGACATAATCAACGGAAAAATCAAAGTCGAGCCAGGATATATTGAAAGCTTCACCGATGATAAAGTGATCCTCAGTGGTGGCCGCGAGCGCCAATTCGACCTGATTATTTTCGCTACTGGATATTCTAGCACCATCGACTCTGTACGCGCGACTCTTGGAGACAAGATCGCCGACAAGTGTGGACCTATATGGGGTATCGACGAAGAAGGCGAATACAATACCGCATTCCGGGAAAGTGGAGTTCCCAACCTCTGGATCATGGTCGGCTTTCTTCCAATGACGCGGTACAATTCGAAGATCTTGGCTCTGCGGTTGAAAGCTTTGAAAGAGGGCATCTCTCCTCCTCCGTACAAGGCATAGATATACCGAGTGTAGTACCTACGATCAAAGTTCTTCTATAGATGGGGTTTCACATAGAGGACTAATAATGGGATTTAAAGTTCTTTATTCGATCATTAATTCTTGCATCGTTCGATACGAGATCAACCAAGTCATCAAGGTCCTCGAACACAAAAATAAATTTCCCACATCAGCCGTCCTTCAAGACTAGGCGAATCTAAAAGCTTATGCGAGAGTCTACCATAACTGAATGGTATCTGGAGTACGCAATCTCTACGGGCTATTTCCCACTACTACTATAGGATACATGTTTCGAGAACGGGTTTTCCACTAGAGTCATAACGCGAAGCCCCATCATTCTGACAATCGATATTTTGAAGCAAATCTATTGTTTGCCAGCCAACTTGATTTTACTTTCCTTTCTCTGGTGAGCACCTCCATACTTTTTTGGCTAGAAATTTTAAGAAACAATGCATTGCTGTTCTAGAAAAGGGAACAGGTTTTCGATATAGGTTTGAGAAACAGAAGACCTCAAATGTTTGTCCACTGTCACCTACTTGGCGGGGCCGTACCAGTCGTCGAAGCCAAGATCGAAGCCCCATAGAGGCGTGTTGATCCGTTTGGCCTTGCCGGAGGCGGCTAGGCCATCGAGCAGCCCTAAATCCTCCTCTGAGAGGGATATCACGTTTTTGTTGTCGGAGATGCGCTTCTCACTGACGGACTTAGGAACTGCCACAACGCCCTTGTTCACGTGGTAGCTGATGAGAATCGTGGCTGGTGAAACGCCATTTCGATCAGCGATCTTCTGGATTTCCGGATCGGACATGATCGGAGCACCTGATTATGGCAAACAGTCAGCTTACAATGGACCAGGAAGTGTTGACCCTTACCAGTAGACCCAAGAGGCGAGTATGCCTCAAGCAAGATTCCAAGCGAGTTACAGTGTTCTCGTAGTTTATGTTGAGGCAGGAAAGGATGCAACTCGACTTGGTTCACGGCTGGTACGACCGTCCAGGTCTTACGAAGCTCCTCCAGGTAGGGTATGGACCAGTTGGCGACGCCAATGGCTCGCACTTTGCCTTCGCGGTAGACTTCCTCCATCTGCCGCCAGGTCTCACCCTGGTCCCATGATCGGTCTATGGATCGAGTTCCATCGGGATTTGTTGGTAGCAACTCGTTTGAACCGTTCTAGGGTGGGTAGAGTTAGCTTTCCTCTAAGTTCGGCATATCTTGAGGAGGTTATATGGCTTACTGGCACCAGTCTAACAGGCCAGTGAATAAGCTGATAACATTCGGTCAGTCCCGGTAGAGTAAGCTTTAAACAGACGACCGCGAACTCACGTAGAGGTCGAGATAATCCACGCCTAGATCGCTGAGCGACTTTTGTAGACCTTCCCTAACATTGGGTTGGTGCGTGTTCCACAGCTTGCTGGTAATGAAGATCTCTGAACGGGGCACTGCGCTCTTCTTGATTCCCTGACCAACTTCACTCTCATTGCCTTCGGATTTGCCATGAGATTGAATACTATTGCTGATTCGAGTGCCTGAACTTACCATAAATTCTATATTACACGATGTTAGCGAAAAATATTGCAACAACGACTCGACTAGAGAGAAGAATAAACCCACAGAGCAGCGTCAATGTGGCGGTAACCATTCTTGAGAGCAAATGCTACTGCATTTGTGACTTCGCCAGGTTCGGATTTCCAGGTGCCTGTCCATGGCTGTAAGCTACTTCATCAACAAACATTAGACCGCAATGGCTCACCGAGGCCGACGGCAGGGATCTGTGCGCCAGTGTTGAGTGTAAAGTGAGTAGGTATCATCACTGTGTTTCTACAGTTTCTGACTTTTGTCTCCCAGTGAAGTGGCTAACTATGTATGTTATGGGTTGACAACAGTGGCAGCAACCTCATCTTGATTACAGCCCGTTCTTAACATACTTTTTTACCCGTCACGGAACTAGTTTGCATCAACTACGTAGGCATGGGTGCACCGCGAAACGCGGAAATACATCCACGCGGACATTCATTCGCAGCAAAACGTAAGTGGATCTCCGATGGGACAAAAAGTATGTTTATGGTACATTATTTCCTCGTCTAGCGTGTTTGATATTGTAATTCTCAAAAAGCAGTAATTCCCGGCGATATCTGACTGGATTTCCAACCATATCAACTAAACTATTCGCCTCCATGATTTGGAAGTTATCTACTCCGAAGATAGTAGCCGAACTTGGCCTGTCATAGCTAACCGAGTGACGGGATGCGGCACTGCTGTAGGGATTCTTTCCACACGCCAGAAAATACCAATTACTATACACACCTGCAATGCCATAACAAGAGATCAACAGGATATCAGCCTTCTCATTAAACTAATCGGCTTGGTGAGAAAAATATCGTGCCAATGCTGATGCAGATCGTCCGTGAGTTTGTTCACTCAAACAATGATTAGATTGTACATCGAACAATGAGGGGGCATTAGATATGATTGTAGTCTAAATTGAAACGAATCTTTTCTGTGAGCAAGGAAATTTTTTAAGTTCACCGTTATATCAACCTGGTCTAACCCGACAAACTGAGATGATAGCCCGACTCCTATAAACAGATCGCATTTAGATCCCTGGACGAGCTCTGAACGAGCGAATACTCAAATTGCCTTCAAACCTGTACTATGCCCTCCATTTGCACTTTCATTTGCCGTATAGGTCACAAGTCCATTCGCTGTTCCGTTGGTTTCGCCATTAGCCTTAGTCGTTTCTAGTAAAGGAAGGCCATCCTCGCTGAAGTACACTGGCTGACCCGTGCGGAAAGAGTGCTGCAACGCTATAACGATCTTCGCAGCCTCAAAAGCGTCCTCTGGTGTGCAGCTCATGGGTGCGTCGTATAAGACCGCGCGGGCAAACTCGTCAAGATCATTGATGAACGTTTTATCATAGAGAGAAAACGCATCAGGAGCAGAAGCGTTGCGAACGCCGTACTGGTCGCGAATCTCTACACGGTTGATCGTCGAATTAGCTCCAATAAGAGCGTGGCCTTTCGTGCCATGTACTCGAGTTCCCGCCTCATAGCCATTTGTGGTTGTGCGTCCGAGATGGGTGGTCATGATCTTTCCATTGGCGAATTCGACTAGCCCCCAGCCATTATCGGCATCGCCATATTCTGCCAGATCGCCATAAACGACTTGTTGGCCCATTGCCACTACTCGATTCACTTGCCTTTTAGGATTAGTTAGTCCTGATTTGACATCGAGGAAGTATCTGCCGACATCGATCTGTGCTAGCATCAGTATATCGCCACGAACCAGCACACATATAATGGCTTACATCATGAATGCCCATGTCAACGAAAATGCCTCCTGACTGGGATGAGAATTTGACAAAAAAGTCTATAGATTGATTAATGGGCTAGTCGACACGATGACAAGAAATAAATTGTTACCAGTCGGGTCTTGCTTGTCAATACAGTGGGTTTCAACAGCATGCACTTCACCCAGTGAACCCTTCTCAGCCAGCAATTTAGCAGCGCGATACGAGTCATCATCTACCTCAAGTCAGTACTGCTGTAGGATCTGTACATGCCACTGCCACATACATCTTCTGGTGAAGGGAACGAGAAACTTCAGCTGAGGATTTGACTTTGCTTTCTGGACGACTTCCTGAGTGGTCAAAACATCTACCGCAATCGGCTTTTCACACATAACATGCTGGCACTAGTCAGTCTTCGCGTCCTAAGGCTCCCAGAAATGCAAAACCCACCAAGCCCAAATCCAAGCCTAAGCAAATAAGCGGAGCATGAGTTGCCGTCGCGGTCGATATTAGAATAGCTTCAGCACCACTGTGTCGCATGCAATCTTCAGGATCATCGTAGAAACGCACTGAAGGTGGAAGATTGGCCACAGCCCATTCAGCCGCCCCCGGCTTGGTATCGCATGCGGCGATGAAATCAATAAGAGGTTGTTGAGAGGCAAGAATGCGAGCGCGAATAGCACCAAGTCGTCCCAATCCGAATAACGCAAGCTTGAGCTGCCGTGGTGAGCTTGTAACTGTCATGCTGGTGTTTGCAATGGCTAGTGACTTATGGTACCTCGTTCAATGTCTTAGGAGTAGAAAGCTGTCCTTTGATGCAATCGACAGCTATAGCGGTCACCATATGTATTTTCATAGATTGTCTAAGTAATTTTCGAGAATCAAACATGGATGGAACCGACGCAACGAATAGGTAGTATATCCGACCGACCAGGGCTATCCGAGACATCGGGTGAAATGTAACCTTTTGAACACACGTCCATCCAGCGTTCACGGACGCAGTAAACATTCCCGACCATCGGACATAGGTTCGTGGTGGGTCCTTTGATAACAGTGACGCTAGTCGTTCTTTCGCGATTACGGCCAGTCCCGGAATACAAACCCCTTTACGGGCAGATCGATCCACCATAAGGTCAAGAGGATCTCCGGCGACCAAGGCAGATGTAGGTTTAAATTAGTAACCTTAATACCAAGAACATGTTTAAACAGCAAAAAGTCCGATACGTGTCGATCTGGGATGATGATGCTAATTAAATGTGTCATCTAATTCTTCCATTCACCCATTTCGCGGCAGACTAATACCTACCAAAAGTTCTTCCGGACTCGACAAATGAAATCAACCCCAAACATCCTCCTTCCACTTTCCCTGCCTCTTGAGTGTTTCGAGCCACTCCTCCGCCATTGTCTGCCCCAAGCCCCGTTGCCTCCGTGCCCCGTCTACAACCCGCCGGCCCACCTCCTTGGCCATGGCTGTTCGACCACAGACATAGAGGCTGGCTCCATCTTCAAGTAGCTGTAACACTTCCGCGATATGTTCCATCACCCGATCTTGCACATAAACCTTCGAGTCCTTGGTCCGAGAATAGGCAGTGATGATTTTCAAGTCCCCTGTGCCATTCGCACAGAGTTTCTCTTGGATAGACTCCAGTTCATCGCGATAAATATAGTCCTCGTTAGGGTTCCGGCAGCCAAAGAACAAGCGCATAGCGCCTACTTCAGCTGAGGCAGCGACCTTGGCCCGCTCGGTGAGGAAGGCTCGGAAGGGAGCCACACCCGTACCTGCCGCGATCATTATGACTGGTGTTGTCTTTGATACCGGCAACTTGAATTTGGATCTTCGGATATGTGCATAGATGTAAGGCTTTCCACTGGTAGGTAGGTGGTATGGGATCACTTTTGAGACAGTAACATCGGGATTGTCACTGTTAAGAGCTTGAGATAACGTGTGGAGGTAATTTGTCGCGACACCATTCACCACCGCAGCCACTTTGCCTGGGAGGATCACCGGAAGCGGATCCGCTGCCACCAAGGCAGTAATGGCGATTCGATACGGTGAGAGGACGCTACTGGAGGATATAGAGTAATATCGAGGCTGAAATGACGGCAGAGTCTCGATGACCCAGGATAGTGGTAGGTCTTTCCAAGCAAGCTCCGGACTCGCAAGCTCTAAGAAGCGGCCGAGTGTGATGTGAGTGTGGGAGATGAGTTCCTGATAGCGTTTGCTGTCCCGGCTCAGCTCAGTCACGAAAGCCTTCGCATCTGTTGTAGGCGCAAATTCGGCCAGACCCAGCATAGCGTCGCGCGACAAAGGAGCACAAATTTCTAAGTGGAAACGAGATAGCGTATTAAGCGTGGTAGGCGTTGGTAGCTTGAGTCTAGTCTCTGCACTCAAGCTCTGTAGCTGGAGAGGCATGTCGCCTTGCGCTTGACGACCAAGTGCGCGGAGTAAGTTTTCCACTTCTGTTTCCGGGTTCGTAGGCCAGATTCCAATGTGATCTCCTGTCTTGTACGCCAGTCCTGGATGCTCCCCTATATCCACTTCCATATGCACGCAATTCCTCGAGCCTACTTGAAATAGCTCCCGGGCTGCCTTGATATTGAGTGGTCGAGTCGCAGACGTTTTTGTTGAGGCTTTGCTCTGACCTTGGAATTGGGAAGGGTCGTCCTGGTGCAGATCGCTGAATTTCAAAGACTCAGCTTTAGATACACTGAGGGTAGCTTGATACACGACTGGATGTTCTTCCAGCTGTAGCTGCAATGCAATCGCCGCAAAAAACTCCTCCTTCCAAGCCATGAAATCTTCCTCGGTCGACCGTGCAGCATCGTCAGATTTGCCAACTGCAATCAGTCTCTGAGCACCTTGCTGATCTAGCAGCTCCGTGACCACGGTAATAACGCGGTTATAATGCTGATAATTGCTGTTGCCAAGGCCAAACGCTGCGTAGCGCAAGTTGCAAAGCAAGGCACTATCCCCTAGGTCCTTCGTGACCCAGTCCCAGAAACCCAGGGCATTATCGCTTGGATCTCCCTCGCCATATGTAGAAAGTATGAAAACGACAAGCTTACTTAGAGGCACTAGCCTGATCGTTTCTGGATCATAATCAGACAGATCGGCGACAATCGTTGCCAGAGAGAAGCGCTGCTGGCATTCCTTAGCGAGCCGGCGAGCAAAACCTTCCCCAGTACCTGATTGGGAACCCCAAAAGATAACACAGTCGTTGTCGCTCTCTTCCAGTTTTTGAGCGATATTTCGTGTCGCTTCAAGTCGTGGATGCTTGTGATCATCATTTTGCTGGGGGCGCTCAAATAAAATATAATGATGAGAATCGGGTCGGTCCCAGACAGTTCCACGAAGCAGGTAGATGGCAGAAAACGCCGCAATTACTAGAAGTGCTGCGATGTCCGCAGCACTCTGGGGGTACAGTGGTTTTGAACAAGTTCGGAATAGGTGAGGTAGGCTCTCAAGGCTCTCAAGGCTCTCAGGTTTCACGGTGTAAAAACCCATGTTTGATGGTGTAAATGGAATTGATCGATGACCACTTAGGGTGAGACTGGCTGGTCAGAACTCCAACCATTTGTATTTGCATACAGATGACTTGCAGAATGCTGCACGGTCAAATTTGATCATGAGACCTGTGACACAACATACAGCCGCGGATGCATAGCTATCTCGGAAATGACAGAAATAAATATGGCCCAGCACCGAGTATGGTCGAAATTGACGAGAATAGAAAGATCAACCCACATCGCGACCACGCCACAGGATAGTAAAACGCCCGACACTTAACCCCCCGCTGACATCACCTGCAGCCTCCGGCAAGTGGTCAATTCAGCATCTATTTGTTCTCCATGCTCGAAAAAGCCTTGAGTGATCGGAGGCTGTCACTCGGAGTTTGTTCAGCGTTCTCAAAGAGGTGTGTCTCGCCTAAAGCTACCAAGCGTGGAGGCAATGGCTAAAGAGGAAGTCAGACTCCGTGCTGGGGTCGGCTCAAGGCACCTGGTCTCCAAAGTCTCGATGCACGAACCGCACCATCGACCGGCGAAGTCGCCGCTGCCTTCCAAATCGAGTGGCTTACAAGTCTAAGGGATGTCAAGAAATCATCGTGTTACAAATTCCTCATTCGTGCCATCATCGGCTGGACCAAGAGGTCAAGACAGCATATTGTAGTTAGTTACTCCATGCCAGGGACCTTCTTTTCCAGCTCAATTGTTCACAAATATTCACGACAAAACAATCGTAGCTGTATCTCGCCCCAAAGAAACCAGCACCGGGCGCATTCTATTCTTTACAGTTGGCCTCTCCATTGCCTAGTCGCTCCCTTGTTCTCACCCACCGTTGTCGCCGCTACTGCCGCCAGAATGCATTTCTTCAATCTCTCAGCGGTGCCGTACGCAACGGCGTTGGCAATTTGGGCGCTCCTGTACTTCGTTGTCTACCCTGTGGTCGTATACTTCCGCGACGTCAAAGGTGAGTTTTTGAAGTCAGCCGAAAGCTTGCTAGCTTCAGCAGACATGGCGCTAACAAGTCATACCAACAATAGGTCTGCGGCGATTTCCCAATATGTCACTGCTGTCAGGTATATCGTACGTGCCGTTCATGATTCTCGCACACACTGGGCAGAGATCAACGCATTTGGCCGAAATGCATAAGCGGTACCCTGTCATCCGCACCGGTCCAACGACTCTGAGCTACGGTGATCCGGCAGCGATCAAGGACATTTACGGCCATGGCACACAATGTACCAAGGACAAGCAATACCTCGTTACATCTGGATCACACTTCCACCTTGCCGACGTGATAGACAAATCAGATCATGCTAGGAAGAGGAAGCTTCTCTCTTCGGCATATGCCTTGAAAAACCTCGAGTTGTGGGAGCACAAGGTAGCCGACAAGACTGCTCGCATGATGGCTCATTTCGATAAGATGTGCACAAAGCCACTTCTCAAAGGCTGTATCCCAGCATCGGCTGACCTCAATGTCGATTATCGTGCCTGGTCTAACTTTTTCAGCCTTGACGCAATTGCCGACATCGGTCTCTCGGAGAAGCTAGGCTTTCTCGACCAGGGCCACGATCGGATCACTGCCAGTAGGATGGATGGTACCAAGTACGAATGTAATTTTCGAGAGTGTTTATATGAGAATGCTCACAAGCAGTCACTTTTGGTCTGGCCATATAGCTGGTATTCAACAACTAATAAGATTGCAGATCTTATTCCATTCTACCGTAGGATGGGCAAATTAGGGCGAGACTGGGATGGTATTCCACTGGAGCTGGCTAACCGACGGCTAGAAAGACATCGGGCTGGCGAAAAACTTGATGATTTCTTTACTGCGCTTATGGAAGATAAGAATGGCCACCCAAATAACCTCGAATGGGGAGAGATTGTCGCTGAGGTCAGCATTATGATGAATGCTGGGAGTGCAACCACGGCCATCGCTTTAACGAATGTTCTCTATCAACTCCTGCGGAACCCTGATGCAATGCAGAAAGTGCAGACTGAGCTTGATCATGCTATTTCCGACGATGAAGAAGAGGACATAGGTCAGGGTGTAGTAGCCTATGATCGGGTCAAGCATCTACCCTACCTGAGGGCTTGTCTAGACGAGTCATTGCGATTGTTGCCACCAACACCTCAAGGGCTGGGTCGAGAAACTCCTGTCGAGGGGGCTTATATCCTCGGCCAATTCATCCCCGCCGGTGTTTCCGTGAGCATGTCGGCCCTCGTTGCGCATCGATGTGAGAGAGTGTATCCCGAAGCCAACAGCTATATACCCGAGAGATGGCTAGGTGAAAAGGGGAAGGAGTTACAACCATTCTTCCTCACTTTCTCCGCTGGGGCTCGAGGCTGCATCGGGCGGAATATTTCGTATCTTGAACAGACGGTTGTTCTAGCGTCGATTTTGCGTCGGTACAGCTTCGCACTTCCATTCCCTGGCTGGGAACCGAAAAGACTTGAGACAATGAACTGGCTGGTCGGGGAGATGCCAGTGAAGGTATGGAGACGACAGAGAGCTGCTGTCGACGAAGATTATTGGGAGTAACTTTGCCACCAGTCATCCTCAGTGTTTGATAGCGCACGCAGACGAGAAATAGAGATCATCATGTGTCACTTTATTTCAACTGTTCCACTCCTCTTTCAACCTTTGAATGATTGAATCTGTACGCCAGCCCATACTTTGCTGCATCCCCGTGAGAAATTCCACCACAGCAGCTTGGTCCTTAGGATCGTGCAAATACGAGCCACACGCGGCCAAGATGTGAGAACTTTGGAACATGGTATTGGTGACGTCGGGATTGCTCACCGCGATCCCTATGGTGGTGCGCAGGTTTTGGAGGACAGTGGCTTCCGCGGCCTTTATGAGACGGTGACTACCGAATCCGAGTTTGGTCAGTCGGGGGTTGTAGATGGTGAGCACTATTTTGGAAAGCGCATAATATTGGAGGCCGACCGCGTGGGTTGGATGACTCGTCAGTACTTCGGGCCACGAATTGCCGTCCTGTTGTCCGTTTGGTATTGCTTGTGTCCAGAGAGGCGAAAAGTACCAGGGTTTCGTCCTCGCCCATTCGTCAACTTTTGCCTCGAGCTCGGCCCAAGTATCGGAGCTTGAACTGTTGTGCTGTGAAGAGGCGTCTTCTCGCGGGCTAAATGCGTAATTTAGCACGCAAGCGAGCAGAAAAACTGCCCGATTGGCCCAAGCTTCGTCACTGTTCTCGACGAAAACCATCGAATGCTCGTAATTGTTCAAATTAAGTCCCAGTGGTGATTGTTTGGTGATAGAAATGTAGATGTGCTGCCTGAGTGAGATCCAGCTCGCGGATTCTCTGAGACCTCCATCCGCCGCATACGATGCAATGGAATTCAAAATTCGCTGCCCACCAAGGAGATGAATATTATCGTCCTTATCCGACATCTCTTCGTGGCTTCTAAGAATGATTACACCTGCCAAAAGGTTCTCGTCGGAATGTCCCGAGGGGTCTTCGAGAATCTGCTTCAAGTACTGGAGGCTCTCGTCCACATAACGTGGCGATTCTAGATCTTCTGTCCCCTCGATCAGACTTAAATGCAGAGCAGATATAGCGTAGATCGCGTTGGAAATCAAGGGGTGGTAAGCTGCTCTCCGAGGAATCTCGACTCCAAAGTGCCTTGAAGAATCGAGGACATCAATCCATGGAGAGATGTGATTGATATAATGGTAGAATAGCTTGGCTTCGCGATTCGTCTGAAACGGCCATGTGACTGAGGGGGAGTGCGTAGAAGAAGCTTGGAATTCTGGTGTTAAACCTAAAATCCCTGGACGCATACTGCTTTGAGGAGCCAGGGGTCCATTCGGAGAAATATGGTAAGCAGACTGATTGGAATTGGTGCGATGTAAGTTTCCGAAAACCGCAGTGGGAGCCTTTGGTGAGAAGTGATTACGGACAGTGCCTGGCGATCGTGTATGCAGTTGTGGAGAGATAGTCAATGGCCGATCGGACGTATAGGACCCGTGCATCAGGGAAATCTGCATAGGAGAGTAATGCTGCTCGGTCTGTTCGTGGTTGCAAGATGCAGACGGGGAGTCGACCGACTGCTCGAGCTCCCATACCTGCGCTTCGGGCTCTCCGTTCGTTATCTCGTTCCTTGCTGGTTGGGTTGGTTGCAACGAAGTCTTGCTGGTCGTAAGAAGAGGGTCGTCGCCGTCGCTAAGGACACCATGTCCATTCTCATGCACGAATCCGATGAAAGGTGGGACATCGACCCATACTTGCATGGAATCGAGTGAGTGGCCTCCCGGCCGACTTTGCTCGGCTACAGTGTCTGAACGTACTGTCTTCACGGGCTTGAACCGATGAATCGGGGTACTGAAGCATTCCCGCTTGCTTTCTTCGCATTTCTCACACTTATCAGCTGCGGGCTTCCGGACACATTTGATATGTCGCAGCCGGCAAGGCTGACAACCAGTCCGTGCTCTCATAGTAGATTCATTTCCCGGTGGGGCTTACAATGAACATGAGGTAGGCAGGGGGAATGATGTCAAATCTTTAACCATCTTGACAGGACCAAGTCGAAGTGGCATAGAGTTATTCAGCCTACTGAACACTGAGTTCCATGTTGATCCGCTAACGATCGCCGCTTCTGGGGATATCGCAAGTCTCTAGAGAGGAATAAGACGTGGAGAGCTAGATTAGAGAACGAAGGTAGAAGGTTCGCGAGGCAATCTTGGCGGGCTGCGGGGTTGCGGAAGCAGCAACCGCGGGAGCTGAAATGATGAGTGAGCCATACTTCCAAAGCTTCTTGGAATCGCGCAATAGATTGATGGGATTAATTATAGAAAGCGTTCGTTTTATCTTAAGATGTGTAGCTATATTGACAACCTTCAGATATCTGAAAGCTGCGAGTGAGATGGATAGTCTGCTACATTTCAAGACACGCCTGGCTGCTCAATCCCTGTTGGTAGAATAAGGTTGTTCCAAGGTGTTCTAGTGGCCGAAAGATTGAGTAGTGACTGTCTTTACAAGATGCTTGTTATCCTTCTGCCACTGCTTGGAGTATTTGACACCAAAGCCGTGGGCGAATACTTCTCGGACAGCCTCCAAAGGCATACCTTTGCACTCGGGGTAGCAAGTCACAACGAAGATCCAGCCGAAAAAGCAAATGCCACAGTAGAAGCCAAATGCGCCAGAAGGTGTCATACCCTTCATCATGCTAAGGAATGTCGACGCAATGATGATATTGGTGCTCCAGCATGTAACTGTATTCAACATAGTTCCGACAGCTCGAACCTCCATCGGGATCAATTCGGTCCCGATCCACGCAATAGTGGCAACACCGGACGAGAAAAAGGCGACGTAGCAAATAATGCAGATCAGGACCAAGATGCCTGGCCAGCCAATATTGGTAGACTGCACCACAAGTTCCTTACTAACAGGGATCCAGTGGAATGAAATTGCAGCGAGGAGCATACAGATAGACATGCCCAGCACAGTGATCGTAAGAATCCTCCGGCGGCCAAAGCGATCAACAAGAACCAAGTTGACGAGCGAAAAGATGAAATTAGTTCCAGAGACAACAATAGCAACTGCGGTGGCATTGGAGAACCCCACGATCTTGAATAGGGTGGCGCTGTAGTACATGAGTGTATTGAATCCACCGAGCTGGGAGATTGCCATAATCATGCATGCTGTAAAGACAGCGCGACAAGTTGCAGCCGTAGTAAAAATGCGCTTGGTTGTCTTCCACAACGAATCATCAACCATGGTGGCAGTGGCCTCGTGTATTGACATCTGAATCGACTTGATTTTCGCATGACGCTGTTCTGCAGAAGAGCCGGGGTATATCCGTGTAAGAACTTTTTCTGCCTCATCTACCTTGCCATGTGCGACTAATTGACGCGGAGATTCGGGGCAGAGCACTAGAAGGCCGGCAAGAAGAATCGCAGGGATTGCTCCAAGCCCAACAGTTACCCGCCACCCATCTCCTTTAATGTGAGTGAAGCCAGCACCCAGAGCGCTGGCGACAAGTTGACCAAAAGTGACGCTCATATTGTTGAAAGCGATCATGCAACCCCTGTATCTGGCGGGCGCTAGCTCTCCAATGTAGAGGGGGACGATACATGCCGCAGATCCGACTCCCAGCCCGACAACAAATCTTCCAACAGCGAATTGAGGAACATGAAAGGCGCAAGTCTGGAGGAGTGTTCCAAGACAGAAGACCACACAAGCAGCCCATATCGGCATCTTGCGACCCCAGCGATCGGCGGTCAACCCCGCGCCAACAGCACCAACAAGCGCGCCTCCACTGGTCAACGAGGTCACCAGCTCGGCCTCGCTTGAACTGAGCTCATGACCAAGGGACTTCCCAATGGTAACGAGGACGGGCGAGATATAGCCGGTATCATAACCTATTGCATATCAGACCCGTAGATTAATGGTAGAATCAAGAATTTTCGCATACCAAACAGGAAGCCACCTAGGGACACTGTAATTGCAATGAGCCAAGCAGCTTTGGAAGTTGCCGTCGACTCGATGCCAGAAAGTTCGACAAGCTCCTCAGCGGTGCTCGCCCGGCGAGGTTGCTCGTAGTGTTCGACTGCGGTCTCTTTGGACGGCGACTCAACTTTGGCAATATGTGTAACAGCCATGCTGAAACGTTGAATCTGACGCTGGAGTAAAGGTTTTTGATACCACTATCACTGCAAGTCTTGGTGTAAGAAGCTCTGATGGGTGATCGATGAGTTGAAGTCCTGAAGGCAAAGCGCGGAGATCATCCACATCTTATACTTCGACAACCGGGGTCATCAGCGATGTAAAACCTCAATCATCACAGATAGACGACCACCGTGGACCATTTCCGGAAATTTGCCACTTGTGAGTTGCTTTGTATCTCAAGAGGAAGAACTAACATTCTCCTCACCACGCTAAGTTACCCCGGAACAGTGAGGGCTACCCCGGGATTCAGCAGGCCCCCGCGAACAGATCAGACCCGGCATGTTCTTGGCATCAGACGAGCCCGAGGACTGAGACAAGAGGCTCAAGTTGTCGGAGTATAACTTCCTAATGGAAGGGTGGGCGCGGAGAATCAAACCTGCTATAAATATGCTTTCGGCTTTCGGGACAAGGCTGCCTCTTTCAATTCCGAGACATCGCGCTTCTGGCCATCAGGCTTGGAGATCTGGGATGTAATTCCATAATCTTATACTAGTCTCAAACGTCGGCTTTTGATCAAAACTATTCGCCGTTGACCGAGCTCTTTTGGCGGAACTGTTCAATGTCATCGCTTGTTGAAGTAACACCCTCTGAAATGCCAGGCCCTAATTGCCTTCACGTGGGCAACAGATTGACTTAGCGTACCACTTGCTTGTTGAATACCCAAGAGTAGTTTTTGTCGTTTCGTCTTCTCTGCGAAGCAACAGAGCAACTGGCATTCTCTAAGATACTCGAGCGGCATACGGTAATCAGGATACTACTAATGTCTTCGTGTCAAGATCAATGTCATAGATGATACATCACTTCGTGGACTACCACGTGGAAGCGCCGGGTCGACAAACATCAACAACTATTTCAAATCAATCATTCTCTAGACACAATTGTCATCGTGCACTGGGACCTTCCTATACATCTCTACCTATTCCATTCGTGAATTCCTCGCAGCGAATGTTAAGAATAGCGGATCCATTAATTACAGTTTTTCGGTGCTTGCTGTCGTAATAGTTACCTTAGGTACCCTTATCTCAATATTCTTTAACGAGTTATACCCCTTATTGTCCTAGATAAAATATTTCGATGCGTTTATGGTTGACAACACTGTTATCCTAGGTTTATGAAGATTTGTGTGCTATTGAGAGACGTCGTCTAAAGCCCTGGTTTGTTAGCCTCTAAAATGCTACAAACGAAGCGTGCTTTTGAGGTCTCCCCATTGTCGAGAGTGCAGAGCCATTCTTATTGTAGGCAGCGAACCCGCCGATAAAGACCACATCAATGGACGCCTAGGATTAGATATACTGTAGCAATAGACTATGGAGACGTCCAAATTTAGTGCTGAATGGAGCGACGAAAATATGCTATTGAGACCTTTCTACCTTAGCCTGATTTGCCTTGGACTTGAATTTCTTGTATTTATTCTGCCTTACTTTCATTAATTCTTTGGTAGATAGAGGTCACCTTGCTCGTCACCGTCTTTGCTACCTTCTTAACTACTAGCTTTATCCTCGGCGCCTGATGGATCGGTCGCTATCCATAGGGGTTGATTCAAGCGGTAGACAATACGTGCAATCTCTTCGCAGGCTTCGATTGATACAAACTGTAACCACACTACAGCCCACCACGAAGGAAGGAGGATGCTGCTCTACAAAGCTAATATCATCTGAAACGGTCAGGCTCAGAACAGGCCTCCCCAACACCAACGAAACTCTTCAAAATCTCCACTTCGCATTGCAAGAGACCGCTCGAATATGGACAGGTAGCATAAGATGCAAGCACTGACAACTGTAGTATGGTTATTGGAGATGCCTAAAAACCTATCAGACAATTAGAAATCCGATACTCGATCCCTCCAATGCCGAATCTTCGATATGTTGATGCTACAGCCTCGAGGTGTTGCTTGCCAAAAAAAGAAGGAGCGTTATAGGAATATCTGTGCACTGAGCGCCGACGTTCAACAGCCCCCTTGAGAACAAACCGTGCTCCGTACCGCACGAAAGCATATGTACTCCTGGGTGCGCTGTGCTTGAAAATGTAAACGTGCGTAGTATATCCTTGTTATGCTAAGAAGACCCTGGTATGAATAGAAGTTGGTCATGCAGTCATAAAGTGGTACATAGGGGTAAGAGACGGAAGGTCGGGTATAGGAGTATAAAGATGAGAAGGTCCAAATTCCAAGTAATTGTAAAAGGGCTTCGGAGTCGAAACCGCAGTAATGTCTTCGTTCTAACATGTATCTCCCTCAAGATGCAGTTTTGACACGGTCAGTGGCGTGATCAGGGGCGAGTCGCACGACCGTGATTTAATGAGCGTATCCCTCCTGTCGCTTGGACTATCCACTGTATACATCCGAGGCGATAATGTGGTAGGTGTGCCGAGATCAAACTCATCGTCGTCTACCTCATCGCTGGGGCAGATATCGACGGTTGTGAAAAGCGACACTTGAATGTCATCGGCCCACCGAACGGACTTTGGACTTGAACCTGGACTAGATCTCCTGCGAGTGCCGAACAGGAATGAAGAGGTGGTTGAGAGTCGGGAGGGAGGAGGTAATTTAGAAAGGGCCGACCGTAGTGGAGTTGATTGAGATGACGAGGGTGAGGCAGGGGGGGTGGTCTTTGACTTCCGTACTGAGGAAGCGCGAATGGTGATCTTTGTAACTGGAGAGGAAACTCCGGCTGGAGCTGAAGACAAGACGTATCTGGAGAGGCGTGTTTCGGTTTGCGGACGAAACTTGTGGGTGCGGGATGTCTGATTCGTAGTTTCTTCTTTGTCTGAATATTGCAAAGACTCGTCAACTCGAAGAGAAGAACGTCTCGTGTCGAGATTGGCCCGGAGGGCACAAAACACGCATATCAAGGTACATAGTAAACATCCAAAAATGAGAAAGGCGTAGAGGATGCCTGTGACACCGCGGTCTAAGATTCGACACAGACTTTGCTGAATCAACTCGGCAAAAGATAACTGGCCTATATCGGGAGAGAATATCTGTGGAATAGGCGAGGCCGTCGCAAGACGGGTCGGCAAGAGCGCTGTGATTAGGATGGAGGTGCTGATGGAGTTCATTTTGGTGGCAATGGAGTTGGAAAGATACGACAAACAATGCATTCTGCACATGGTTTTGTTCACAACAAGGGTGAGGGTTAATAAGAGAGGGGGTTAACTCCTTGGAAGGTGATCACAGCGGATGAGGTTGCGCATCATTTCCTTTTGACAGTTGATGGGGCGCGATGGTCTGACCGGAGAAGTCGTGTTGCTCTCAGCTTGGGTCACTGAGTCAGATGAAGGGCTGAATGGGGCGAAGATGGAATGTGGTCCAGTAATCACAAAGAATGAGTAAAAATGACTTACCTGCGAGTCTGGTCTGTGGCCATGATGAACGTGATGGACATTCGTTCTTTGTTTTTCAATTTGGACAAGGAATGGACAATTGATGTCGTCTGGTTAGTTGGAGGTGAAGACGCGACTTTTGCTAACTTGGGTACTGCGGGGCTGGGGGCAACGTGGCAAAGCGACTAGCTGGAATTTTAGGGGGGCGCGGGCGCGTTAGGCACGGGCAGCACCAAGGCATGTCGGACCCTTCCTTCACCCGGGGCCCGGGGGATTTCTAACGGTGTCCAGTGTTAACAGACAGCCTAGGTTAAGTACTTCGGCGGTAGTATAGTTAGAGACCTACGAGGAAGGAAGCCTTTGATGCACGGATTCCCACTTAAATGTCCTACGAGTAGTTACCTGGTTCGTACCCAACTTAGGTACTCGGTACCTGTACCTAGGTAGGTAACTACCTCGCGTCCGCCTGTCTGAGGTACCTCTGCCCTCAAGTTCTCGCCCAGCCTCATATTTTGTCGTCTTGCAGTGGTGCCTCTCGTCAACTTTAGCTTCCGCTGCCGGGTTCCATTTCCACCCAGTTCGGACTCTCCAGTTGATGCAATCATCATGCTCAGCTTCCCCCACTGGCACTGGCATTTCAGGTTCAGGAATCAATTCTCTCATTTCCTGCCGTTCCTTCCTGCAGCTGTCCAATCCATCATCATCACCCATCACCCCCGTCACCTTCCCATCCCATCCTCTTTCTTCTCCCAGATCCTTCCCTGTTTGGACCCGATTCTTGAAACCTCAAGTCAAATTGACCCTCTCACTCTCTTCCTTCTATACCTAATAGTCTTACTCTGTAATCATTCTCTAACCCACCACGTCCCACGTACTCGCTAATTCGCCCACTGTTCCCTCCTTTAACTGCAATTCCTCTCCGTCCCCTACTTGGGTTAGTCCAACAAGTGCCTGTGCTGCACCTCAACCCAGTGCACATTTCTAACCGCCCTCGCCATCAACTCCCGCTCCATCTCTGCCTTCTCGGTACGTTGGCGTTGACATAACAGTCTTTTACCTCTCACCTTTCTCAACCTGCGCATCCCTATCTTGCGCGCCCTTCTCACGAATTTCCTCATCTATCTCACGACTAGTCCGTCATAATCATAATCACCACCTCCACTCTAACCCCCGACGTGTGAACGTTTCTTTGTCTTGACTCATACCCACCGAGTGCGCAACGCCTCTTCGACCTCCCGATCTTCTCACCCTCGAAGCTCCGCTCCAGAGTCTACAAAGTCTATCGGATCTTCATTGCTAGCTCGCTGCACCTCAGTGTCCGACCTGTTACGCCAGCGCTATCATCGCTATGGAGAGGAGGCCACAGTGAAACATCTCAGCTTGCTTCTGCGATGAGGAGGACTACGGAATATACAATCGTGGGCCCTCCGCGGGACCCCGTTGGTCAATCTCCTCCATCTGCCTCAAAGTCTCTACCGATTCGAAGGGACTCCAAGACCCATTCTGCTAATCTGCGCAACCTCTATCGCATCTCTGCCCAATCCATCAACGAGACCCAATCTTTGCATCAATCCTCGCAGCCACCACTTTCTGCAGCGTTACCGATTTCACCTCAATTGCCCCCTACACCGCCAGGCGCAAGCGGAGGCGATATAGCCACAACCCCGGCTGCAGATGAAGCCACCTCAGAGGCTGCTATGTTTAGGTCCGCGCTGGTAACACCAATCAATCAGAATAGTCCTCCAACTCCGGACAATACTCCTCCACGTGAGAGAAAGCTTTCTTTGGTCCGTCCCTTCCTCGGGACTCAACCTTCAATTGCGTCCACCCGTACCGAGTCCTTCACGACCGCACAAGAAGATCTTCGGTCCGAGCCTGAGTCCGACACCCACTCGCAGTGTAATGACCGTGGATTTGACTGGCCTCTATCCTCCGTAAACCAAATTGGAGCCGCGGCGCACAGAAGTCGATATCATAAACTGGGACGATCTCCTTTGATTCATGCCTACGATGGACTGAATTCCCCGACATCTGATTCCGAACCACTTTTCAATGCCGAAAGAAAAGAGGTGGTCAATCTCAAATCTCTGGAAACAGAGCCTGTTGTTCGTGCAAGCCCTTTATCCATGAGTGCCCGTTCTGTCTCCAATAACGTTCAGGACGTCCTAAGGGACCCCAAGATTAGCCAGACTGGCGAGCCAAGACCATCACAACAAGGCAGGAAAGAGAACAACGTGGATTTGACTGAGACAACACATGATGGTTTGAAAAGAGGCAAAAGCTTGCGCGACAGACTCCTCGAAGCACAAACACAAGATGCATCTGCCTCGACTGAACGATTTGCAAATATAATCGGATGGAATAACTCGGTGCCTATCATTGATTCTCCAGATGTTGTAGCTCGACAAGACATTGAGGAGACTCGACGTTTTTCGGGAATTTCTACCGCATCGACCATTGAGGCATACGTATTCGAGCAGAGTCCACTCCCAAAGAGGGCCACCACGTTACGCCATGTTATCAAGCACGAGTCGTTGAGATCTGTCAGCTCTCCTCTGCCCGGCTCCAATCGCAATTCCATGCATTCGATCTCAGACTCTCCCCATCGACTGATCCACAAAAAGGCCCGCCTAAGCAATCAGAATCGTTGGAGCTTTGGTTCTGAAGTGTCCCGATCATACAGTCTCGCCTCGAGTGCAGTACTGCCCAAGACTGAGGTAATCCGAGTGGCTGTTATTCCTGAAAGAAGCTCATCATTGACTTCGTCTGGTACCAACAGCAAGAGACAGTCTCTCTCCACAGATTCCAAGACTTCACATTCTCGAAAGGCTTCAGACCCTCCCCCAACCTCTTGGCAGCATAAGCGAGCATTTTCAGATGCACTCGATCGAGGCAGACAACAGCAACAGCCACCAGTCATACCCACCCGGAGCTCTTCACTTTCGGCCCCGACTTCAAGGACCACTTCTCGGGCCAACTCGATCACATCTGAACATCTACGAGTTCGACGCCAACAAGCAGAGACCGACTTACGTAAGACTCTGGACAGGATGGAGTCTGAGCGATTGATACAGAATTTGGAAGACTGGGGGCTTGAGAAGCAGAGCACGACTCTGGACAACAAGATAGATGATCGTCCAGCCAGGAAATCCATCGGTCGAAGCACCACGAGAAGTAGCTCGCTTCCTGCGATGTTCTTAGCCCCACCTGGTGAAGTCGAAGATGGAACACGCCACAATGCTTTGGGTCTGGTTTTGCCCGGTTCAACTGAGTGGGCAGCGCTTCGTCCGCCATCGGTCCTAGAGACTCCCTTCTCACAACCCTCATTCCAATCAGCTTCACCCGAAATCAATGAGGCAAGAGCAGTCAATTTTTTCCCACACAACAACCACTCCTTACAGCTCATTGAACCATTTGCGATACAAGAATCCAGAGCCGTGCTGGAGGTCCAGAGACGCAACTTGCCACAAATCGAGGTGGACTCCCCGCTGAGAAATCCCAGAAGCCCACCAGAGCCACCGCAGTTCAATTTCATTCCACCCACGCCAGGAGATGAGCATGACCACCAATTAGGGTTCGGTATGGCAAAGGCTAACGGCCGTGGAGGATCCATGAGACGGCCCGGGGCATCACGACAACGGTCTGAGTCATTCATGAACTCTCTATCAAGAAATCTCAGCCTGAAAAATGCGCGCAACCGTAAGGCGGACCAAGAACTTGACAGTCAGTTGCACCCATTCTGGCGACCGCGTGCCTTCTGGGACGACATTGACAATACACGTACCGAGGTTTCTCGAGAAGCGCCCGTGCACAAGGGGATTGTGAGCAACTCCCTCGGCCTGCCTCAGGAGCGAACAGTGATCAACGGTCCTGCCTCACTGATCCGGCGCATCTCGGAACGCCGTAGAAGCAAGAAAGGGGTGGTGAGACAGTCGAGCCACGGAAGCCTGGCGAGGATTCGGGCAACTCGACACCTACACAAGTCGTCTGGTAGGGGACTGCGGCTGCATTTTATTAGTTTACAAGGGATTCAGGACCGACTCTTGCATGCTAAACAACGAAAAGAAGATGAAAGGAGAGAGAGGAGAAGGGCAGTACTGAGGCGGAGCATTGGTGCTAATGTGATTGCACAGGGGGATTCCAGGTTCCCAGCGAGCGATACCAGTCTTTCGAGAACCATGTGACACGACACGCTTGACGCGAAAACGACATGATGCTGGGCTTTTCTTTATCTAGCCCTGGTGGCGGGAATCTATTGAAACTGGATGCTATTGGAGTTTGGGAGGGCAATCTTTTGACTGTTGATTACCATTATATCCAGACATGAGCGCGAAGACCTTGAACGACCGTTATGTCTTGATGACGAATGAGCTGGATGAATTCACGAAATGTACCATTACAAAAGGGCACACAGATGATCAGATTAGCTGATGACTTGAGATACAATTCGAACTTTATTTTGCGCTCGAAGACTCCATCATTTCTGCATCTTGTCGCTTCCTGAAGTTTTCCAGGGCGACAGTATCAAGGAAGGGCTCTGAAACAGCACTTGAATCGAAGACGGTGACTAGAGAAGGCAGAAGATTAGTAGAGTCGACATGGGGAATGATGGGTGGGATGGTGACGGTAAAGTCCTACCACGCTGGGTTTGGGTTGTTGGGTGCTCAAAGTGGATGGTGGCAGTAGTCGTACTGTGAGTGGGATGTGAGGAAGAGAGATCGGAATCGACCAAGGCACTAGATGAAAATTCTTTCACGAGCTTCAAGGGACCCTTTAGTTTTTCTCTTTGTTCATTGTCTGCCATTTGGAACTTTCTCGTCGGTTGGTCTTCAATGAACATGTACAACTATCCGTGGGCTGAGCCCAGTTGTGTTACGGACCAAGCGATATCCCCTCCTGTGCCTGGTGCCATCATCTCTTCCGATCATATCTTATCAGATCAAATCTCGACCTTGGCCAAGTCAGTGCCAGAGGCAGGAATCGCACTCGGATCAACCCAGAAATGGCACGGTCTGACCATGGAAAATACCCATTTCTTGGCCGCCCAGCATGCCCAGATCATGCCTGTGGAAGCGGGGTCTCATTTCCTGTCAGACGGTCACATTCTCCCAGTTTCAAGCTCACATCTGCTCCAACTCGACGGTTTCCGCAACTGCGATATCGGATCTTGGGTATCACATCCAATTCCCTACGAGCACTCGTACGGTGACGACTTCAAGGTGGCTTCCATATCAGCTGCAAGTGAAGTCGATGGTCCTGGGACGGCCTTTACCAGTCCAATCCAGGGCCAGAAGAGAAATGCCTCCATTGCTGGGTTTGACAGCTCACCGGCCACCGCCAGTGCCGAGTCACCGGACCATGGCGACGACGTCAACGGCAGACGGCGACCTGTGAAGAGGGCTTGCAATGAATGTCGCCAGCAAAAGGTGAGCCATGTGTCGATTCAAACCTCTCTCCCATTTCCTGCCTTCTCCCCTGCGCCCTCTGTCTACTTCCGTGGGCGGGTGACCGCAGTTGAGGAAAATCATCACTTGGAATACTTCTGAGTCATCCTGTAACCCATCGGTCCATACATCTCGGTGTCTCTCTCTAACCATCTCACAGTTGCGATGTGATGTCGTTCAAGAGCCATTCGGAGAATGCACTCGGTGCAAACGTTTGTCCCTCGATTGCAAGATTGAAGACAACTTCAAACGCGTTGGCAAGAGATCACGCAATGCCGAGATGGAAAGAGAGATCATTGAACTGCGCAAGCAGGTGGCTCAACAACAGACAACCAATAAAGCGAACCGGCCTTTGCAGAACGGCTCATCGACCTTGTCTCTACATGAAAACATGGGTTCCTTCACTCACGAAGCCGTCGCTGGCCTCCTTGATCTCAAGGGTGGCACCTTTGACAAGAGCCCTGGTGGTCGACAGATTTTCAAACGTCTAGAGGACGTGACTTTGACACAAGATCGAGTCAACGAACTGTTTAAACGCTTCTTCGCCTTTCATCACCCCTTTCTTCCATTTTTAAACCCCAATCGAACACCAGACGAGTACGAGACGAGATCCCCTCTTCTTTTCTGGACGATAATAACGGTGGGTGCTCGCCACTTCACACCAGAGGCTGGTCTGTTCTCAGCTCTCTCCGGTCCTCTGACACGCTTGGTCTGGTCAACGATTGCAGACGTCCCTCAAAACTATCATGTCGTCAAGGCACTCATCTTGTTATGTGCTTGGCCATTGGCAACGACCAGCACCTCAACCGATCCTACATTCATGCTATGTGGAATGATGATGCAGATTGCCCTTCAGATTGGTTTGCATCGTCCCACTCATGCCCAGGATTTTACCAAATTCCGCATCGAACTCCGAGAAGTGGAATTACAGGATCGAGTCGTGGTATGGACCGTATGCAATCTGGTCGCCCAGAGAATATGCACAGCCTATGGACAACCTCCACTGACGCATTACGACTGGACTCTGGGTCCCAAACCCATCGAGACAAATCCAAACTATGAATTACCATCCCCCATCTATAATCGCTTACTCATCGAGAAGTTTGTGGACAAAGTCTCGAGGACTCTGTACATGAATCCTCACGATCCTGTAGGTTTGGCGACCGATGCAGAACGCCCTACATACGTTTCTTTCCTGGCGCACGATTTAAAAGAACTCGAAGATACACTCGAGAAAGATGACTCACCAATCACCAAGATATATCTTCGAGCGGCATGTTTGCACATGAGGCTGAGTGCGTTCTTTTCTCCTCCAACTCTACCTTCTTATCGTGCCGACATGCTCAAATTATACTATGCCACCACCGACTTTCTCGAGGCTTGTTTGAGCCTGGAGTCCAAGAGTAGCGTTTCAATGGTGGGATCAGGTTATGCGCATGGACTGGCTCTGACGCATGCAACCAACTACATCTTCCATATGATGTTGGCGGCAGGCTTTTCACTTCTCAAACTCATGCACAACTTTCTAGATCAACATGAGCTAGATGTTCAGGGGGCTTCTAATCTACTATCACGTACCGTGTGGGCATTACACACCATGAGCGTGGTTGAGAACGACTTGGCTGAGAGATTGGCCGAGGTATTGGCTCAAGTCTGGAAGACTAGTAAACCTAGTCCTGCCAATAGCGCTACCAACGGTGAAGCAGACGACAGCTTACAACTCAAGGTGAAGTGTCGTATGTCTATGTCATTGGTATTCGACTCAGTATGGCGATGGCGTCGCAATGCGCAGTTTCGTGATGGCAAACCGTCCGACAGTAAGTTCAACCTCCTCAATAGTACATGCAAAAGCTCGTCTGCTAACCTCAGAACAAGTGCGTGATCGAGATCCCAACTTAAGACACTTGGATGATGCGGTAGCCATCCCAGTTACTCCTATGGACGATGGTAAGGCTACTACGACGAACGACCCCGACCTCTCGACACCAGCAATTGTCCCAGGCATGGCGGGCATGGCAACAGGAATGGTAGACGATTTCAGCATGGATTATGGACAAGCCAGTTACGATGTCTTCGATCCCTTAAACTGGATGCTTGATGGGATCGTCGATTTCCCTTATAATTTCAATCACGTCCCGCCCAATAATATTTCGGGTATAGAAGCATTGGGAAATGGGTTGTGACGGGGTGGGATTACTTTTTACGATAAACTCTTTTTGGGTGTGATGGTGTTCTGGTGTCATGAGATCATGTGCTGTCTTGCATTGAACTGGTTGTGGTTTGTCCGATATGAGCTTTTTGTTTGAATCTCAGCATATAATTTATAAACTTTCCTTCGTCATGATCAGGACAGGAAGGTGGTAAGGGTGGCAGTAGTTAGAGGAGGAAAGTTACTCGTCACACATAGACCAGCTCCAGAGCTGAGACATCAAATATCCATTGAACACCAATCAAGCAAGAACGATCTATCTCTACAGGTTCCCTGCTCATTCAGTACGCGAAGTTGTTCTTGCAACGCCACGTGGATCTAGATAAGCATTCGCTACTTCCGTAGCCACGGCGGGATCCTCGCTCGTTCGTTTCAGCTACCACATGGCCTCACCATCTGGGCACGTCAGCTTTGGGCACAGATCTCAAGTGACTGATACCTTCGACCATGACCACATCTGAATTACTCGACACGCGTCAATATTTCTTTGACATCAATACCCAAGGGAGGGAGTAAACGAAATGCGGAGATGAGGATGAGAACTCAAAACACAGGTATCGGCCAGCTCCGACCGAACTCAAACAGCAGATGAAGAAGTCCTGCCAGTGGCTCTCACATTATTAATGTTTGTCAAGACACACTAGAATGGCCCGGCTTATCTCGATTGTCCCTATACTCGTAATGGTGGTTAGATGGCGGATCCTACCTGGAGCACTGGCGCATCGGACCACCCCTGTTATCTCTCCAGGGTTCATTTGTTTCCACCCAGGGAAATGATATCTCAAGGGTCTGTTAGGCGCTCCCCGACAGGTGCCAGGGACAATCGCACCGCTGTCGTTTAACCAAGCTTCACCTTGCATGTTCAACCAGACAGCGCTTCCGACCGGTCCACCAGTAGAAGAGCGCCGGAAGCCACCTAAAGCATGCAGGTGCACCTGAAGGGTGCATGAACAGCAAAAAGCCTTTGCATCGACCAACCATGAGACTTGTCCAACACAGGTTGTGCAGGACTTCGCCTGCGCGATCGTTTGTTCTGTTACCAGATCCGTCTGTTAACTCCAGACTTTGTACTTGATCAGCTCCAAGTCTCCAACTACTGCTGCAACGGTGCAAGCCCCGAGAAAAGCCAACAGGCCCGAACTCGCCAGCTGATAGGCCGAGGGAAACTATCCCGCTTCCCTTATCTCTGCTCCTGGCACCACTGGCTTCGCCGTTGGCCACTTACCGAAATGTTTCTGTCAAGGTCGCGGTCGAGACCCTCTCTCGGGCTTTGCAGTGCCATGTATTTTGTGGGAGCTCGCGTGCGCGCGCGATCAGCACAAGCTTCACGTCTGGGAGCAATCGTTACGGATGCATGTCACCCACAAATCTTATTTAGGTAGGACTGGATTTGGATTTGAGCCTCTGTCATTTCTACTTATCGTTGGGAAATTTCCCGATTTTCCACGACGTCTATCTTTCCCTTCTGGATTTGCTTTCTTCCCTTGTCTCTTCCCTCTTCCCTCTCTTTCTCTGCAATCCTGTGTGACGAGCAGTTTGCGGCTGTCGCGCACTCTTGAATGCAAACCTGAAGCTTGTTGCAACCTCAATAGACACAATGACTTCATACGACAAGAGCGGTTATGATCTCGAATACAATGCGCATCCGATCAGCGATGAGAAACATCGCTCGGTAGTGGCTCCTGACGAGTCTGGAGCCGTTCATGGAGAATCCTTCGTCGCAGGTAATACCTTGTATGCAAAACTACAACGCCTTGCGGGACGGTTTGGTGTTGAGCAGAGAGGTCTCGAGCGCGTTCCTGATGATGAGCGGACGGACAAGACGGTCATTAAGTTGAGCACCATGGTATGTTTTTCTCACAGACCTTTGTTTCTATTCTAGATGATGAGATTTCCCGGATCATTGGCTAAACGTCTTTATTGTTGTAGTGGCTTGCGGCCAATATGACGGTCTCGACGTTCGCTATTGGTGTTCTTGCGACACCCGTATTTGCATTGGGATTTGTGGATTCCATTCTTACCATCCTCTTCATCAACATCTTGGGTATCACCCCTGTAGCATTTTATGCCACTTTTGGACCTCGATTTGGTATGCGACAGATGGTGCTGAGCCGATTTTGGTTTGGTTATACTGGCGTCAAACTGAGTAAGTGCTTACCTTTCTTTGTATGGGGACGCGACTCTAGAAATTGGCTCTGACTCGTGCCGACAGTCGCGTTCTTTAACTGCCTTGCTTGTCTCGGCTGGTCTTCTGTCAATGTGATAGTCGGGTCTCAATTGATACATGCTGTCAACGGGAATGTCCCTGGGTATGCTGGTATTATCATCATCGCTGCTGGAACGTTCATCATTACACTTTTCGGATATAAAGTAGTACATTGGTACGAAATGGTGTCTTGGGCACCATGCCTGATTATTCTCCTCGTGGTTTTGGGCGAGTTCGCGCATCGAGGCGATTTCGAAAATCTCCCCATGGGTTCGGGAAAGCTTGAGACTGGGTCGGTCCTCTCGTTCGCCGCAGCGATTTTCGGCTTCGCCACCGGTTGGGGATCCTACGCGGCAGACTACAGTGTTTACCAACCTGTGAACGTCAGCCGAGTCAAGGTCTTCGCCTATACATTCATTGGACTTTTCCTCCCACTCTGCTTCTGCGAGATGCTAGGCGCAGCCATCGGCACCGCAACGGTCAACAACCCAGCTTATGCCGACGCATACAACAACGACCACATCGGCGGCCTCCTCCACGAGGTTCTGGTTCCCCGACTTGGCAACTTTGGCAAATTCTGCGTCGTAGTGCTCGCCCTCTCTATTATCGGTAACAACTGCCCCAACATCTACTCCATCTCGTTCTCCCTCCAATCTATCACACACTACGCCCAATATGTGCCTCGCTTTATCTGGACGCTGATCGCGACCGTGGTGTACTGCGCCATTGCCATTCCGGGCTACACCCATTTCGAATCGGTGCTGGAGAACTTCATGCTGTGCATCGGGTACTGGTTGGCCGTCTACGAGGGCATTTCACTGCCTGAGCACTTCATCTTCAAGCGGGGCTTTGGCGGCTATCAGCCGGAGATCTACGATCAGCCGAAGAAACTCCCACCGAGCATCGCTGCGCTCGGCGCCTTCTGCTTCGGCGCCCTCGGTGCTGCCATGGGCATGGCTCAGGTATGGTACATCGGCCCTATTGGCAAGTTGATCGGCGGTGACTATGGTGGTGATGTCGGCTTTGAGCTGGCTTTCGCTTTTGCCGCCATCACGTATATTCCATTCAGGTATATCGAGAAGAAGAAGTTCGGGAGGTAGTTTTTGCTCTCGTTGGAGACTTTGATGTGCGTTGGGAAGGAATTCGGGCAGTGAGACGTTTTGACATCACAATCTCACGTTGCGATAGAGATCGAATAGTAGATTATTGCAGCAAGCGAAATCAAGTGACGTGCCTAAATTGTTTTACATACTGTACAGCACGAGTCTAGAATCCCAGCCTACCATGCTAACAAACCATCAGTGATCAGGATCACAAGAATACGGCGCGATTCGTTGCATGAGATGGTACTCTCCACGTCAAATATAGAAAAGTAAGTTCTCGAGGTCGACGAGGAGGCGTGTTCCTCCCGATGCCTAGGAAGCCTTGAAATTATAGTGTCTGTCTGACGGCTGGAGGACCCTGATGTCTAGCACATCTCGCCCACTCACACCGCCCAAAGCATTCCGGGCAGTCTGTCACAGCCAAGTCATTTTATTTGACGTCCTTGGCCCTTTTGGTCCCTGCCAGTGATTTATTATTCCTCCAGCTTGATGCCGGGAAGCCCTTTTGGTTTCCGGCTCCTCCTTGCGCTAAACGCAACGCTGGCACTGCGAACACCACCCTGTTGACAGCCCAGGTACCTACTTGGAAACTCGCGATTTGGACGGTATTTCTACTGCCGTCATTGTTATGCTGTTGCTCATTGTCCACAGGTCGTGAGATCAACCTTGGCAGGGTTTGGACACTTCGAGTTCCGACCCCCTCCTGCTGCACACCTAGTACTCCCTAAGCATCAACCAACCAACTTCGGCTCCTCACCATCTCTGCAGCCAACACCCTTTACACTCATCGAACCTTGTTCTCCTTCTCATCATGGATTTCGACAGTTTGAAGACCCAGGTCAGCAACCTGACCCTCTACGACCTCAAGGCCGGGGTTCGCAAGGTCCAAAATGGTGGGTTCCCTCTGGAACGCGAGATTTCGTGTGGCAGGAACACACTGACATGTGATCGAAGCGGTCATGAATCTCACCGAGATGGAGTCCAAGGTCAGTCTTCTATCTCCTCAACATTAGTGGACGAATCGTCTGTTCTGACAAGACACCCTCGTAGGTCCGAGAAGCCACGAACGGAGATCCTTGGGGTGCTTCGGCCTCTTTGATGCAAGAAATTGCTCAGGGAACACATAACTAGTCAGTGTCTCTTCTGCACCCGTGCCACAGCCTGTTCTAAAAACCTCCCACAGTCAACAATTGAACGAAATCATGCCCATGATCTACAAACGGTTCACAGACAAGACGGCAGAAGAATGGAGACAGATATACAAGGTATGGAAACCGCTCTAGGACGAACGGAGCACCGTGGCTGATCAGTGAGAACAGTCTCTTCAACTTTTAGAATTCCTCTGCAAAAACGGCTCCGAACGAGTGATCGACGATGCCCGATCACATCTCTCCCTCCTACGAATGCTCCGCCAGTTTCACTACATCGATCCCAATGGAAAGGACCAGGGAGTCAACGTCCGGAACCGCACCAACGAGCTAGTCAAGCTTCTCAGTGATGTGGATGCTATCAGACAGGAGCGGAAGAAAGCTCGCGTGAACAAGAACAAATACGGAGGTGTTGAAGGAGGGATGGGTATGGGAGGCTTCTCCAGTGGCGGTGGTAGTGGTGGTGGCGGCCGTTATGGAGGATTTGGTAGCGAGTCCGCCGACTACGGTGGCTACACAGGAGAGGTTTACGGAGACGGAGGTGGGTTTGGTGGCCAGGAGAGAGACGTTGGATTTGCGGGCACTCAGCGGCGTGGGGAACAATTCGAGGAATATGATGAAGGGGATGATGTGCAGCCAACCACACGCCCAAGTCGAAGCACGGCCGCCACCAGCAGAAGCACAGCAACCACCAGTGCCAAACGAGAAGCACCCGCAGCCAAACCCAAGATCCCGCAGCCGGATCTTTTCGATTTCGATGACGAGCCTGTCACGACTTCCGTCAGTGGAAAGGCACCTGCGATTGCTGCGCCGGTCGTGGATGATGATGACGACTTTGACGATTTCCAGTCCGCCACGCCCTCGGCTGCTCAGCCGTCGGTGAATCCATTGGCAGCTCTCTCACCACCTCCTCCGACTACGTCTACTACGACATCTTCAACACAATTTGCGCAACCCAAGCCACTGGCACCCGGCCAAAGTGCCGGGTTCAACAACATCCTCAGCACGGCATCGCCAGCTCCGTCCGCGACGTCGTCGATACTGTCGCCGTCTGCCTCGACTACATTCTCTCCTCCTGCGCAACACTCTCCCGCTCCTGCATTCCCCGCGAGTTCAGGATACAAGGCGACCGGCCCCAATTACTTTACCTCGGTGCCACTGACGCCGAACCAAACATTACCGAGTGCAACATCGTCAACATCGGCGTTCCAGCGACCAGGAATGACTACTTCGTACGCGTCATCCACATCGGCAGCGTCACTGGGTAAGCCTGCACCGAAGGCAGCATCTTCCAGCAGTGGTGGCGATGCGTTTGGCTCACTCTGGAGCACAGCCAGTTCGGCGGCCGGAGTGAACAAAGCAGCTGCATCATCGAAGGGACCCGATTTGGCCAGTCTGTCTAAAGCCAAGAGTCAAGCTGGAATCTGGGGAGCAGCGTCGGCGGCGAGCGCTGGAGGTAGCGGATCTCCCGCTCCATCTTCGAACACGGCAGCGAAGCCAGCCACGCCGCTAGGAAATGGATTGGATGACCTGCTGGGCTGAACTGATGCCTAGATACGATGCTGTTGAATGGTTGGGCGAGGCGGTCACTTACGACCACAGTTGCAGATACATGTCATGGATGAAATGGAAATGATTCTGTGAGGCTGGAGGAGTGTATTCGTAATACGTGCAAATGGTTCGCTACTCGCTCGAGCCTTGGGTGGAAGCGCCGGCACTGAGGCGAAGCTCGTGATGACGAATACTGTGGGATACTAGTAGATGAAAGATGAAATGCAGAACGGAAGATGCAAGTGGGTGAGGGAAGGATGCATGAATCTGACAACCTATCTAGATACGTAAGGCATGCATATTTCAAAGTCTATCCCTCTGAATACGCATATCTGGGGATCAGCTTGGGGAGTCCCGCTTCCGGAGGAGATGTTGGCCGACCAGGTCTGGTCATTTCGCAATATTGGGGACACCTATTGATTATTAAAGACGATTGACGATAGATTCAACACAGGCGTGAGGCAGTGGCAGCATAGCCTCTGTGCACCGTAGCCTGGTGTAGTCTCTTCCTAGGAGGGAACCGAGTCCTTACTTCGTATACTCACAAGTTAGTTGCCGGTCCAGGCGCCTGTCAATCTCCATTCGGGATACGCACAGCTACCTCAGGCTACATCGCTAAGGTACCTATATACATATACGTTGACGTAAAGGGATCGGAACAGACATCTGTTTCAATAACTACGAGGTACCTTCCTGAGTAACATTCGAGTTTCTTTTTTACCACATCAACCACATGTCTTTTCCCGCCCTCACTAAACTCATCCTTGTAAATCTCACCCATCGCCCCTCGGCGTCATCGTACATGACAAGCGGCACAAGGTCTTCTTATTTGATGCCCATCATTGCCCTTCCAAGACCAATGGGCACCAGCACCTTGTTGGCGGGGGTGAATAATCATCATCATCAACAGTGACCGACCAGTTCCTCCTCCAAGGAACGGCCCCTCTCACCACCCTGAACCTTGAGATCTTAGATTTCCAACGAGTTCCACTTACAAGTCACTACTACTACATACCCATCTGTCCTAGTAACTTGGTTGGTTACTTGGTAGCGAGCACACCTTTGTGCTAGGGTTATTGCTATTGCTATTGCTGCTACAAGCTGTCAGTCGTTGCTGTTCCCTCCCGCTACCGCTACCGCTACCACTGCACTCCACTCACTTTTATTATTCGCTGCTTCTTACCTACCATACCAGCTGCATCACCTCTTGTCGTTGTCACTGTTCTTTACCCTCTTTCTCCCATTCCTCCTCCTCCCCTCCTCCCCATCCATCACTTCTAACATGTCCGACAGACCCACCCACAAACGCTCTAAAAGCTCTCGAGTCCTCAATCTGTTACGCAGCGACAACCTGCCCAAGAACAAGGACAGCGGCTCAGAAACAGACTCTCCCCTCAACACCACCACCTCCACCACCGGACCATTCTCCGCCGCGACTTCCTCGTCCCATCTATCACCTGTCGATGTGCCGCGACTAGCTCCCTTGTCAACAACCACAACAAGAACCTCTCAATTGACCATGGATCCCTCTCCAATCTCCACCAGTCCAGAATCCGCCCAGAAAGTCCCCGCTGCCCTGGCACCCGCCTCTGGTGCCTCAATAGAAGACTCCGTCCGTACCTTCCGAGTCTTCGAGGTCCTGCGCGGAAAAGACTCCACCGCAATATCAAAGGCCATTCAAGAGTCAATCCCTTCCTCCACCAATTCAAACCCTATTCCAGGCACGACGATCCTCCATTTGTCAATACAATGCGCTGAACCCCAGGTGGTAGAACAAATCATAACCGAAGGCAAGGGCTTGGACATCAATGCCCAGGATAAAGAAGGCAATACTGCCCTACATCTGGCCGCCCAGCTGGGGCGATCTCCAGTCGTCAAAGATCTCCTCGAACACCCGGACATTAATGACGCCATCTCCAATAGACAGGGCAAGATCCCCATCGACCTTGCAAGAACCCCAGAAATCTTTCAGCAACTGCAACTCGCCCGCTCCATCTTTCTCGATGACAAAATCAAGGAGATTCATGCCTCATTGGCCAAGGGCGATTATAAACATATTGAGACCTTACTTGTTGAGCCTCGAGTGGAGGGCACCCTCGACGTCAATGCCCTAGAATTGCCCACCGATCCCACCACCCTTCAGAGCGGAGGTACCTTACTACATGAAGCCGCCAGAAAGAGAGATATCCAGCTCGCTCAGATTCTGCTCCTGCACGGTGCAGACCCATTCAGGCGCGATCGAAAGGGTAAACTGCCCCAAGATGTCACAAAAGATGACCGAACCAGGGCGATCTTGAAGAAATCCCCGGCGGCTGCGGCTGCCCAGCGTGGTGTACAAGAAAAGGCCATTTTGGGCAACACTCCCACCGCCACCAGATCGGCGGGAGCCAGCGATACAACCAAAGATGCTCGAGAGATGAAAGGCTATCTCAAGAAGTGGACAAATTATACCAGTGGATATAAATTGCGCTGGTTTGTGCTCGAGGACGGGGTCCTCAGCTATTATAAACATCAGGATGATGCTGGGTCAGCCTGCCGAGGAGCCATCAATATGCGTATTGCAAGACTACACATGGATGCACAAGATAAGACTCGCTTCGAGATTCATGGCAAATCATCCGTCAAGTACCACCTGAAAGCCAATCATGTGGTTGAGGCAAAGAGATGGTTTTGGGCACTCAATAACGCTATTCAGTATACCAAGGATGAGGCCAAAGAAGAGAAAAGACGTACAGCCGATGTTGATTCAGTACGACACTCGAAATCTGATGCTGCCGACAACGGTGCTCCCAGTGTTAGGTCCAAACACGCATCTACCAATCTGAATGTTCAGGGCTCCTCCTCCAAGGTGAGCTTTCGCTCCGATCAAGAAGGAGGCTACGATTCCTATGAAGCTAGCGTGGTTGGTGATGACCTCCAACGTATTCCAACCAATGCTCATACTGCCACTGTTGATGGCGATGATGATGATGATGGTGACGGTGACGACGGAAGTAGCCATGAAGTTCATCATCCAGGTAGTAAAGATGCTTTCAATATCACCGCTCAATCTGCCAAACTACAGCTGGATCTGCTGTCTAAAGTGTCGGATGCTTTGGTCAATCGTGGTTCTTCAAGGCCGGAAACGACCCTGGCTGACCCCGATGTTACTCAAGCGCTGCAAACCTACCAAACGGCCGTCAGTAGTCTGAACGGATTGGTTGCAGATCTGCTGAAGATTTCCAAAGATCGTGATGCTTACTGGCAATATCGTCTCGACCGAGATGCTGATGCTCGGAGAATGTGGGAGGAGAGTATGGCCAAGATTGCTTTCGAACATGAAGATCTGAAGAAAGATATCGCAGAATCGGAAGAGAAGAGGAAACGTACAAAGAGAGCCCTCAAGGAAGCTCTGGAAGGTCAATCAAGCACCACCGCCCGTCCGAGTTCTTTGGCGCAGCAAGAGTCATCAGAACACGTCCAATTCACTGAAGCTGTGGAAGATCAGATTCATTTACGGCCTGAAGCACAGCTTTCAGCGCGAGATCGTTCACGGAGAATGTCAATCACCAGAGAAGGTAATCGACGAAAGTCCATCATTGCCCAGTATACCAATATCTCCGACTCCGAATCAGGAGACGACGAGGAATTTTTCGATGCAATTGATGCTGGCAAGGTCGATGTCGTTGAACCTCCACTTATGAGTCCTCCTCCAGTACAAGTTCCCGCCGGTCGTAAGGAGGAAGAGGTAGAACCCTTCTCTGAGCATGACGCGCGGGCCATGAAACAGATGGAGATTGAACCATCATATGCCGGATATGAGGATGGTATCCGCAAGAGGCTAAAGATGGATGCAGATGATCGTCCCAAGATATCGCTTTGGGGGATTCTAAAGTCTATGATTGGAAAGGACATGACAAAGATGACCTTGCCTGTGTCGTTCAATGAGCCCACTTCACTTTTGCAGCGTGTTGCTGAAGATATGGAGTACGCTGATCTTCTGGACATTGCCGCGGATCGACCTGATAAAACCGAACGGTTGGTTTACGTCGCTGCTTTTGCTGCATCCGAGTATGCAAGTACCATCGGTCGCGTTGCCAAGCCGTTCAATCCGTTATTGGGTGAGACGTACGAATATGTCAGGCCCGACAAAGGTTATCGGTTTTTCATTGAACAGGTCTCACATCACCCACCTATTGGTGCGGCTTATGCCGAATCAGCCCGATGGGACTATTGGGGTGAATCAGCCGTCAAGTCCAAGTTCTATGGCAGGTCATTCGACATCAATCCTCTTGGAACATGGTTTCTACGATTGAGACCTTCAAATGGCGGAGAACCTGAACTTTATACTTGGAAGAAGGTAACCAGCTCAGTCGTTGGTATCATTACAGGAAACCCTACCGTCGACAACTATGGACCCATGGAGATTAAGAACTGGACCACTGGAGAAGTTTGTCTCCTAGATTTCAAACAAAGAGGCTGGAAAGCCAGTTCCGCCTACCAAGTCACGGGTAAAGTTACTGGTGTCGACGGTGTCACTAAATGGAGCATCGGCGGCCGTTGGAATGACAAGATCTACGCTCGCGTCACAGAGGGCTTCGAAGATGAAGCCGTCGGCCAAGCAGGCGCCTCCTCCAAATCCTCCAACCAATCTGGGCAACAAGCCTTCCTGGTTTGGGAAGCTCACAAACGCCCCACTGGCATTCCCTTCAACTTAACTCCCTTCGTTGTGACACTCAATGCAGTCCCAGATAAGCTGCGTGCCGCACTCCCACCAACTGACACTCGTCTTCGGCCCGATCAGCGGGCCATGGAGGACGGAGAGTACGACTTTGCGGCGACGGAGAAGAATCGTGTCGAGGAGAAACAGCGTGCCGCGCGGAGGAAACGAGAAAACGCCGGTGAGGAATGGAAGCCAAAGTGGTTTGAGAAGCGTGTCGATGCAATTACCGGCGAGAGTTACTGGCACAGTGATGGAAAGTATTGGCAGTATCGTAGGGAGAAGGATTGGTCAGCCTGTGATGATATCTTTTAGGCGTGTGATATTGGTGATGGTGTGAGTAATGCTATTCAGCCTAAGAATAGTACTTTGTATATCTCAGCGCGAGAAAAAGGTGATGAGAGGGAGAGAGGGAACGCAAGGCTCCGACTGAAACATGAACGAGAGAGACCACATTGAACGAAGTCCATCATTAATCCCGACCACCACGAGAGGACTCACCAAGTCAAGCAAGGCCAAAATCTCTATCTGGCCACGCTACCTAATATATACATAAGTACTTAGTACTCAGTAAAGCACTAGAAGTGTTAACAGTACATCTAAACGCGCGACGAAAAGCAAATACCCAGTCATGGTACACAGTCGGCACCCTCCCTTGGGTGCAATCACTTTAGCTACAGAGTACAGAGTACTAACTACTAGTCCTAGTAATACCGAGTAACTCATCTGACGTTTAGTACGAATGAATGACTTCTAGATCTTTGTTTAGGTAAGTACCGAGTTAGGCACCTAAGGGACCTAAGGGTTCTCATCTCAAATTAATATGTAATAAGTATATATATATATAAGTACTAGGAGATATAGGGACCTACCTACTACGTAGGAGTTGGTACTGATACATAGCATATACGCTTATCTAAGTCTAGTACTCGGTACCTGACCAGATCAGATGGGTGCCAGATCAACCAAACCCTCGAGCAATCTCTCTTATTCTTAGGTAAGCATGTTCGCGTCGGAAAGGCGCGCAGCGCAGTACGAGGCACCCAGGAGGTAGTAGTATTATTATTATTTAGGTAAGCAGCCGAGCACCGTCCTTCCTGCTTAGGACTAAGTACTAAGTACTGGACTCGACTCGATTCAACTCGCCTAATACGGAGTGCCTCCTTACTTGATTCGATACGGCTCCTCTCCTCTCCTTTCCTCTCCTCTAGGGCGCTAAGTACTGAGTATCCAAGTATGCAGTGCTGTGCCACAGACTTTCGAAGATACTTAATTGGCCAACTCTACACAGATCGCTCCTCATGTCGTCGTCGATCAACTCTTAGTCGCGGATAACGGGTACTTAGTACTCCTTACTAACTAAGTACTGCTTAGGATCTGGAAGTACTATACTAACTAGTATTTATTAGGGATTTTGCTTTACTTAGTACGATCTACGACGAGCATGTATCTCAATCGAGATCAGGCAAATTCTCAACATCAAGATGCTGATACACGACGCCGTCCTCACGCAGCGCATCTTCCACGACTTGCATGCATGCGAGCGTCTTCTCCTCACTCAAGCGACGGCCGACAACCTGCACGGCAACGGGTAATCCTGCCATCTTGACCGAGTCGTAGTGCTTGTAGGCACCCTTCTCGACGCCATTGCTCGGCTTCCAGTTCTTCGATAATGCGTCCTTCTTGGCGTCGACTTTCGTCACGGGTATGATCCCCGCCGAGTAGTCGAGTAAGTTCCACAGGAAGGTGTAGCCGCAGGAGGAGACGGCGTCGTGCATGGCGCCATGAGGGAGGGCAGGGGTTGCGTTTCCGGGAGAGAGAATGAAGTCGAACGACTGTGCGGGCTCGCTCCACCAGTTGAACCAGGTGCCGCGGAAGGCTTCACGTTTTGCGACCCATTGCCAGTTGCCTTCAGCGGTCAAGGGGTGGAAGTATCGAAGGATGCTAGCCCAGAGGGAGTCTCTCTTGACGTACCGCGTGTACAGATACCAAAGATACTTGATCGGGCGGGGAAGGGACATATAGAAATGGATCTGTGCGGCTCCTGGGTCGTTGGTTTCGGAACCGCGGAAGAAAGATTTGAAGGTGCGGCCTCCATCGGCGCAGAGGAGCATCGAGGCGATTTGAAGACCATATGCTGGAGTTGCCGTTGAAGGAAAACCGGAGACTGGAATCGGAATGACTTCATGACCTGCTTTGCGAAGAGCATCCGCTGTTATCGCAAGACCTCGAGCAATGGCAGGAGAAGGTTGTACGACGCCATCAGTTTCCAGTAGACCGACCCTCAATTTCTTGGAGGAAGCAGTTTCATCGTATATTTCTTGTCGCCAAGGGATGGGATGGACAGTATAATCAACCTCCCAGGGTTTCATGCCGATAAAAGATTTGAAGAAATAGATCAAATCATCTAGAGTGCGAGCCATGGGCGAGAAGACTGAAGGAATGCCCTCCTGACCAGGCATAGAGGTATCGATGCCCACCTTCGGCCAACGACCGGTACTGCAACGGATTGAATTGATACCCGACCAAGCAGCCGGAGCACGAACTGAACCAGCGACATCACTTCCAATACCAATACGAGAGCCATTCAGGGCAAGTAAAGCACCTTCACCGCCCGTGCTGCCCCCAGGGCTATACTTTGGATTATGCGGGTTCTTGGCCACGCCCCAGAGGTCATTGGTAGACTCGAAGCTCAGCAGCGTGATTGGCAAAGCCGTCTTGACATGAGGAACGGCTCCGGCTTTCTTGAGAAGCTTGACAAGCGTGCCGTCTTCGGCATATGGTTTGAACGCATATTTGCTGTAACCGACCGAGACATCGAAGCCACCCACGGCGATAGTGTCTTTCAAAGACACTGGAATGCCTGCCAGAGGTCCCTTGAGGTTGACTTCACTCGTAGCCCATCTCTCGGCTTCCGGGATGAGGACCTCCGTCACGCAATTGGTCCGCTGTTGGGCAATAGCTGCTGTCTTGCCATATGTGCGGAGAATGTCGAGTGGTGAGATCGTGCTGTTCTGTACATCCTTTACAAGAGAGGCAATCGGCGCGTTGAGAATTGATCGCTGCTGAGATGTAAAGGGCCCTCTGTATGCGTCCGAGAGAGCATCGAAACGATCAGAGCGTTCCTTCTGCTTTTTGGCGCTAGTCGAGAGGTAAGTCAACGTGGTCAGCCAAGCAGCGGGGTGGGGAAGATGAGTAGTAGCTGTAAGGGAAGGGCAATGGCTGAAGGTACTAGTACTCACCAGATACGCCGATGCTCTAGGTAGTCCATTATCGGGGCATGCGAGCTATGTAGACAATGATCAATAGAGGAACCAGTCAGGATGTGGTAATGAAGCCAGGGCCCGGATCTCTGCGTTTTATATCAAAAGTCAGGTTGGTGGTTGCAAAAGATCAGAATACGGAGAAGCCCGGGGCCATTCCACGCCCTATCAACATTTGGGTGCCTCGGCTACAAACGGGAATCCGCTTTCCGCGGTTGCACCTTCTGGGTTGAGACATCAGCCACGCGAAATTGAAAGTTGTTGTACGACAAGGGATGTACCATTAGTCCTACTAGTAGTTTTCCAGCAGAAACGGAGGGTTTTCATTGACGATACTTAGAAGGAAATATGTTCATGCCTCCAATAATGACACAAAAAGTAAAATACCCAAGACACATCCGACAGTCCACTCGCCCACTCAATGAATGGGATTAGGCAGGCCTGCTCCCCTTCCCCAGATTTCGCGTCTCGCAAGCAAATACAGACAAATTCGTCAATTCGCTTTCATAACCTCCTAAGTCCTGGATTCATTCCATCGTAGTCGTGTCCAATAGATGCCTACTTGGACACGATCTCTCACACCCCACAAACACACAACTGTTGATACAAATTCCAAGCACCCTTGGTTGGGGCTTGGCTCACCGATATACACACGCGCCGACAAATGAGACCAATGGCAATTCCTGATAATGCTGGCTCACCACCTCTTGCGGGTGGTGACATGGGTATAGTGTAGATAGACAAGAAGCTGGAACAAGTAACCGACTGATGCAACTAATGGGGGGCGATAACCGGGGACTTGGAAGTCCCAGCCAATGTGCAGTCACCCACCAAGGGTGAGACATACATAAATACTTAACAAGTTTCAAAGGATCAATAAATCACCTGCCCCAATACCGCTGGTCGTTGTAAGATGGACCTGTCGTCGCGACCTGACGCGCTTGACCTAAAAAATCATGCTGGGAATGATGATGAACAGGGTGGTGCAGATGGGGATGATGGTGCAGAGTTTGTTGCTGAGGATGCTGATGAAACTGTGTATTATACGCAAGATGATTATTGGTCATTCCTGGGTCATAATTCATCGTGCCGGTCGTGTCAAAACGTGCTTGCTGGCTCACTGGTGGAGGTTGGGTGTGGCCTTGCTGCCATGTAGTAGATGGTGTCTCCGTGATGGTGGCCAATTGTTGGGAGACATTGACGTTCGCGTTGACTTCATTTATCGAAGGGTCAATGCCACGTGCGGCCAATGATGCTCTGCGTGATCCGGGGTACTCTTCCGAGTACATCATATCTATGGGAAGAGTCATAGGTGGACGGATGCCGTCGAGGGAGAAGTCTAGCTGGTGTGTGAGGTTGTTGGGCATCCCCTGTTGTGCAATCATTCTAGGAGTGGCGGAGTTGCGACGAGATTGGGGACCTCCTTCACTTAGAGGTGAGAGAATACCATCTTGTGTGGGCGTTTGGGATTGTTCATTACTCAACTTCCCCTTGACTCGAGGTTTGGCTTCGGTGTAGTTGGAAGGTGTCTCTATATTCCAAGCTCCTCGCTGCGGTTGCCTGATATCGGCGACACTGCGTCTTCGACTCGAGTCTGCGGGATGCGCAAAACCTCCCTCGTGTGGCATTAGCCCAGCCCCGATGATAGGTGAGCTAGAAGGGTGTTGTACTGTTGTGAATTGGGCATCGTCTGCTGCGTCATAAAAGCGTGCACCATGTTGAGGTTGAGCACGCTCAGGGCCAAGGGAAGGTTGCGCGCTTCCAGGACCTGTGGCGCTTTCCTCGAGCGAGGCACCGGGCCCGGAGTGGCTCATGTCATTGAGCATCATGGACTGTTGAGTGTGAATTTGCTGATCCATTGGATGTGAAACATTCAAAGCCATTGTTGAAGGATCATGATAAAACGAATGCTGAAGTCCATCGGTTCCCATGGGCCACATTGCTTGCCAATGGGGATGGTAAAGTGGTGGATGGAATCTCATCGGGGGACGAATCCATAATTCATTGGGATTGAAATGATGGCCAGTATTCGAGACCGAACTATAATCTAGGTTGCCATATTCCATTGGCTCGTTGCCCGTGAAAGAGGTTGACGCGCTAGGTGGAAATGATGTTTGTTCGAAACTCTGTGCCGATTGTTCGAATGAACCCATAGGCACATCTCTATACGACGACCCGTGCTGATCATACTGCTGATCATGTCCAGAGGCCCCGGTCCAATCTGGGACATTGTGTCCACGACCATCAAAGACTGGGGTGTCAGTAGAAAACCTGGTGTCCTCGTCTGGAAATCGTTCATCAAAAGACGTCTCCAGTCGTTGAGCTTTAGGTTGCCTTGGAGGATTGGTATCTAGGAGGTCGGCGTCTCTTGCGCGTTTGTTCTTGTTTGCGTTTGTTGTCGTCTGGGTTTGAACAGAAAATTTAGGACTGCGCCTAAGTTGTCCCGACTCCCTTTTGAGGGGATTCTCACGGTCTTGCTCGAGATTCCCAAGGGCGGTGGCAAGTGTTTCAAGTGGCCCAGATGCAAGCTGAGCAATACTCAGGGCTGGCATCGTGGTGGTGAGCTCATGGAAGACTTTAGATATTTGTTGAATGCGCGAGGAGTCTGTTGGCAGATCGACATCTTGTCGAAGACGAGCAACGCCTAATATGAGCGCCGCCGAGTACGCCCCAAAACAATGGGTCCATGACAGGGTCGATTTAGATGTGTCCGAGGTATGGATATAGTCGAACAGCTCCATGACTCGGCGCGCTGATTGAAAGATTTCTTTCTGTCTGATATCTGACGCGTGCTTGCGTAGGATCCGGGCTTTATTTGACTTTGGCGGCCTGGTCGAGGGTTTGTCGCGGCCTGGTGGTTGGACAGCCTCCGAGCTGGTGACACGGGTGTGATAATGATGAAGAAGGATCGAAAACAAATGGATGTCCAGTTGATGTTCAGCGACAGCAATCGAGTAAGCAAGGTCCTTGGGGCCATCCTGAGAAGGACTTGGGGCACCCTCTTGTAGCCTTTCGAACCGCACCGAGAGCATATCTTCTCTAGATTGCCGATCTTCTGAGATCGGACTAGTCTGGGCCTTTCCAGTATTGGCGCATGTCAGGAAATCCATCTTGAGTTGCATGAACTCAAATTGACTTTGTCGTAGACGATTCTCATCAGGCCTTGAGCCGCGGAAGGATGGCCGGGGAAAATCAAATGCATTGGACGGTAGGTGAGGCCATCGGCCCACCAAAAGACTCAATCGAAGGTCAAGGTCGAGAAGTCGCCACCACAAACGACGACTTGCCTCTGTTATTTCATGACTCGGTGCCCTTTCCCCAGCGGTGTGATCTTCATCCACTAGAGTTGAGTCAGCAACGAAGGATCGTGGTATAAGGGACCGATATATACTCACAACCATAAAGGTCAACCTCGCGTACCAAGCTAGGAAAGGTAGTCCACGCTTGGGGAACCAGGCCGGTATCTAGCATCTGGCAAATCGAGAGATATTTCGTATACAGATACCGAATATGTTTTGGAAGATATGGATCCACCTCAGTCGACATTAAAGGTGTGCTAGTTTCAGTGGCCACCGTTGGTGTGATATTAGTAGGTGGTTTCCCTTGCCCAGACGTGGGAGTGGCCAACAGTGCTTTGGCGGTCAACATTGAGTCTATGACATCTTGTCCCGAGCTCTCCGATGAGGTGCTTTGTCTGTACTATACGGCTAGTGAGTGAGCTACCCAAGAAAAGGCGTGAGTAGGGTTGAATACCTCGTCGACAACCCGGGATAATGACAGAGAGCCAAAAAAATCTCCCAGGGGGATGACCAAATTGCCATCGTCAACAAAATCAGGATCATTTTTTATCCTTGTTATAGGTTGTGTAGCAGAGGCGGGCAGGTCACTCTCGTCTTGTTCTGCAAAGGTATCTTCAAGGAGCTGAAAAAGAGTCAGTCAAAAGTCAAAGCACCAACACAATGATTGAATTCTGACCTCATCGGCATCTGCGTCCTTTGGGCTTACATTTCGGTAAACACAGCGAGGCTTTTGCCGCTTCTTCAAGCATGTCGCACATGGTATACCGCCAGTGCACTGCGTTTGTATCAGTCTGATGACACGAGGCACTTGATCAGGATAAGGCAGATACATACCCGAGATTTGCTTTCGCGACATGGCAAACATGAATTAGCACGCCTTTTCTGCTTTTCGCTGGCGGTGGCGCCTCGAGGTGATTGGGGATTTGATGTTGACATATTTATCAACCATAAACTTCATTGCTTGTGTAACCATTGCCTGTCCCCGGCATCGGGGTTGAGTGTTGTGCGTGGTAGCCGGTGAATGCCGCGCTGGCGATCAGGGCTTGAGGCTGACAGATGCAAAGTTTGGTTGGAACAATTAGACCACAGTGACTTTATAGTGTACACTAGAAAGCGCAGAGCCTTGCCGCTGAGTGATGGATGTGAAGAAACAAGCAAATCAATAAAGCTCAGTAACAAACAGGTCGTATTCACAAAGAAGCCTCTCTAGGTTGGAATATTCAATGAAGTTGGAGATCTAAGAATCGAGATGGAGGACAAGGCGATAGATAGGGTTTTCGGTACCGCAAGAGTGGTGATCAAAACGACCGGGGTTAGTAGGGATTGCCACCAAGCAAAAGGCTTGCGGGAATGGGAGGTCTATGCAAGAAATGATGCTGTGTTGGATTTGAAAGAGCAAGCTAAAAGAGCGATTCATGCTACGGTCAATAGTTAGATAGTGCAAAGGTGGAGTTTTACATCACAAGGATGGTTAAGTGGAGGATGCCTCCAATAAGACGAATCGCCCAGTTTGACTGAAGACTTCAAAGTGCTAGGTGGCACTTGCTCGGCGCAGGGTAGACTGGTCGAAAGGAGGGTTTCGACGTTGACGACTCGAGCGAACTTCAGATTTGGACCCCCACCGATGCAGCCATCCGTCACGCCAATCGAGTCCACACTGCTCGATTCGCATCGTACCAACCGACTCCACAACTGCTAGGGCCTTTTCAAGATGCCTGTGGGCGGTGGCAGAGGGCTTCAAACGGGTATCTTTAGCCATGATACAACTGAAACTGGAACAGCTCGTGTTACGCGACAAAAAAACGACGACTGCAGCATTGGAGTCTGTGCTTTTTCCGCTGGCACTACTCATAGAGTTCTCCTCCGACAGGGGCTGGACAATCAAATAAGCGAAAACGTCCAAGTCCGGTTTAGACCATACACCGCTTCCTGGCAGGCCAGCATGGATACAAAACAACATGGAAACTAGATCTTCACTGGAAGTGATTGTCGACCACGAGTTTGCGGGTGTTACACTCCGAGGCCACGAGTTGCTGTGCAGCATTGTGCTCATCTCGTCAGCCCTCGAATCTCGAAAACATGGGCTGGAGGGTCGATCATTTTGACATGTCCCAGATCTGAGTGGTGCCTCATTGGCGATCTCTTCCAAATTATTGCTGGGCGATCATGTTTGCATCAGATCCTGGGTATCCGTACGGAGTACTTGGAACAATGCCTGCTGATTCGGGGGCAGCTGAAAGTGATGGTGGCAGTATGGTGCACGATAGCCTGTCCGGGTATGATTTGCAACCAGGGAAGATAGACGAGAGATCTCATCCCAGATCTTTAAACAGTGAGCAGGGTGCCAGAGGAATGGGACTGGATCGATCTAGCTCGTATTCAGGCAAGGGAAGGAAGACATCACGGCTACTTCAGTGGCAATCACGCATTGACGACAGACGATTGGAGCAACCCCTCAGCAGTCACTCTCAAGCCAGGACGAAGGTGCAAGGTTGAAAGCAGACGGATGCTTGAAGCCGGCAGTCCGGACAGGGAGGGCCCCCGCGGCATCTGACAGAGCACCCAATGCGTTGGATAGCCTGATGGTGGTTGAACCCTGTCGGTCTGACAGTTGTTGGAGCATTTCATGCTGGAACACCGATCAAGACTCAAGAAGAGGGCGGGGGCTCAACGGTGAATGGACCGAGAAGGCACGTTCCTAGCCTGGAGCTGACTTTGAACCCAAGTCGTGGTTGATTTGAGTTCCCCTTTGCCCAGAAGTGTCCATTCCATTGCCCACGCTAGGAGGGATCAAAGGCGAGAGGGAGTACCGAACCTAGGCCATCCGTTGAAAGTCACAGTCAGGGATCGTCCGCAAAAGACGACGACTCCCAAAACTAGAGGTTTTTAGTGTCTTGGGGGCTTGGAAACGGCGGCGAGGAGCCGGTGGGGATTGCTTAAAACCGTCAAGCCACATTGCTCTCAAGCATTGGGAATTTTGATCATCCCCACGCTATCCAGGGCCACGCCTCACTCGTCCTCTGCAGTTTCATATGACTGATTTCTCTGTTACTATGGTTAGCAGTTGCACATCGTTCTTTTTGAGGCGCACCCTGGATCTCACCCCTCCCTGTCGGGCTTCGGCTCCGCGGAAATGGCCTCCAGCTGTACGAGGTATCCTCGTCCCCAAGTTCTGGGTTGATGTACGTACAGAGCGCGTCAACCGTCCAATTGAAGTTTGCTGAGGATGATGAGGCTAGTTGTTTGGCTAGCGACTGTCTGTGAGTGTAACTCGCGAGTCCCCAGGCGAATGCTGTTCCCGATTCGCCTCAGACAGAAAGTACCCGACCGAAGTCTGTTTATCAATTCAGGACGAGTAACACTCCAGCTGGGATATACCCTGTGAGCATGTCTCGGCATCAGTGACTTCTTAGTATAGCGTCTTACCCAGAGGTGGATTTGGCAGGCACGAGACCGTTGATTGTATCAAACAAGTCACCCACGTAGCTGCATGTTTGCCTCTGAATGGGTGGAATATCAAGCTGAATGCCCACGCCATCAATTGTACCTCGTACTTGGGCACTTGTTTGCAGACTCGATGGTTCTTATCATGACCGTAGAAGTTGGCAATTGAGGCTTTGCACCATCGGATTCGTTCACCATGCTGCACCTTGAATCTCGTTTACGACTACTTGCTCAACTTCGGAACACTGCTTATCCCGACTTTATCCCTTGACCAACTAGTGCTTAAATATGGCATGTTGTTCCTGTTAAGCGAGTTTGAATGAATCCTGCTTGGAATTGTCGACCCAACATAATTCCCGAGGGAGCAGGGAGGACGAGATACTTCGTACACTACATGGTTGGGAGGGAAATCTTTGCGCCCCCCACCGGCCCCTCTGGCAGTCACACTATCGCGTCACCACGAGCTAAAGCTTTGGTCTAACATGCTGTCAAAGCTGTCATCTACGGCGCAAATTCCAAAATCTGCAGGCCACACCAGTTGTGAATAGACGACAAAATATAGACTTCTGTCAGAGTGCAAATTCTGTCACCGGAGGCCCCTTCCGCTTGCCCCCGAGAAGCACTGCGATGAGGCCAGATCCAATCAATATACATTCTATTATTTGTACGTACACCTCCACGCACACCATGAGTCGTGTGCGGAACGTCACTACGGAATAGTCTACCTAATCCTTATCCGCACTCCAGGATTCTCGGCCCGGGAACCACGGGAACCAAGCCACATACCGAGATCTCAAATCTCATGCAAGATCGATTGACATGGGATGTACCTCGGCGAGAACAACAGACAAAAACGTAAGACCTGATGCAGGCGAAGTCCTGCCCTTCATCCCATCATCATACTCTCGGCTCGGGACACAGGCCTACAAGTCTTGTAGACCGCAAAGAACCGTCACTGCTTCTCAAGCTGACCAGCAAGGCCGAATCTAGTGTCCGGTGGCATTTTCCAAGTCTGCAGACCGCGAAACAATCCTCAATGGCTTTTTATAAAAAGGAGTTTCCCGCGGAGGGCCGATAGCTCTGCAATGAACCACGGAAGCGCTCAGGTCGACTAGTTCGATTTGGACCGGTAGGTAACAGTTGACGCTGGCATCAGCCTCCCATTTCTTTCTCGACTCCAGGAGAACGGTTTCATACCCAAATGGAAGAAGCATACCGCGGATCAACGTGTCATCCTCCCCCTGTTTTGCTTTTGCGCTCACATTTCTTACCATCATATCCCATCTCTTCGGCAACTGCGCTTCCTTGAAATGGAACGCTCGAAACAGAGCTCTTAATTGCCAGTAAGTTCTCTGCTGTCTACTCTTCTTGAGGATGACTTTACTCCAATCCATGAGCCGGACCACTTCCCTTTCTATCAGTTCGTGAGAGAAGGGGAGCTGATCTATTGGTGCGGAATTTGGTCCGGCTTTTGATTCCGCTCTAATGTACGCATCTGCTTGCCAATGCGCAAGGAGATCAGTGTAGCGGCGTAATGGACTGGTGAAGCGTAGATATGTGTCGATGTTCGTGCTAGCATGGGGCTGAGGTGTGGATGAGTAGAACGTATGAGGAAGGATTCTTTTTGTATCCAAGTCGAGCTTGTTGAGCTTGGAGATGGGAAAATCCGGGTCGGGGATCGCACATCGGTAGATGGCTGGTATACTACGATCTGCAAACCACTTCCCAGCAGACTCTGACGCAAGAGACATGACGCGAGCGGTCACATCTTGTTGTTCATTTGAGTCCCTCTGGCGGATGATCTGTACAGAAGGGGTGGCGAAGGTATAGATAGCAGGCTCTTCAAGGATGTGTCGACTGTGGCCACCTTGATCTATTGGAAAGTGTGGCTTCACGTTCGATCTCACCTCTACCTTGTGCTGTTGAAATGGCCAATCAGGAATTTCAGTCACCAACTTTTCGCGAGTAGCAATACGCTTCCTCATGAGTCTGTCAATCTGTTTCAGTGTCTCGTGATGGGTTCGAGCGGCATCTAGAGCGGCCTGAGTTGGCTTTTTCGAGGCCTTTGACAAATTGCCATCCGTTATGTCACCGAGCTCGAAGGTTGCATAGTTTGAGACCTTATCTTCCATCGTCATATGAACCGCGCTACTGTCTAGAATGACCACATTCTTTAATAGGGTGGGTTGTATCTTGATATCCAACACTTCACCCTCTTCATTAAGTAAGGTGCTGATGGTCATGGCAGGGCTGCCAGCTCCAAGACTTAGTGCCTGGGCTACGGTCTGTGGTAGCATCATCATGACACGGGTTGCTGTGTAGGAGGTTTCCAAAACCTGGCTTGCCAGTTGAGCAGCGGGATGATCCGGTGTGATAAAAGCCGAGACATGCGAGATATGGGCATGGATCCAATAGGTACCAGGAATGGTTGGATTGGGCTCTAGTGAATAAGCATCATCCCGCATGCTGGTGTCGACGCTGTCCACACAGAGTGCGGGCAGATCGAAATTGCGACGTAGAGAAGCCATCGAATCAAGCTCCGGTTGGTATTTGGGGTGCGAGCCGAGCGGCCACGCAGCTTCACAACTTGCTTGGGCATCTTCATAGAGGCGGACCAGGTCGTGAGAGCCAGGAACGCCAGGCATTGGATATTCAACATCATGATCAAAAGCGTCTGCCCATGGGGTGATGACACCCAGCTCCTGCATTAACAGTCGGCCAATCTTGCGTTCAAGTCGAAGCTTGGGATAGGCTCCAATAGCCCGAATGATGATCGAAGCGACCGAGTTGTAGATCGTTCGGTATCTATTGTCGACTGGGGTACGAATGCAAGTATCCCAAAGGAATTCGATAATCATTTGGTCGTTATCGGAAAAAGTCTCGCCCGTGTCAACATAGGTGGCATGTTGGTCAGTGACAGGGACCATGCTTGGGCCCAGATGACCCGTGGTGGTGGGAGATCTGATCTTGCGACTTTTCAAGATAATTCTTCGAGCCTTGTCAATGAAAGATGTCAGAGGGTTCCTGTCGAGTGCATCTTTCACGTCCTTTCCCAAAGCCGCCCGAGCCGCAGCCTCCTGATAATCCCTGCCCCAGTCACGAACACTTTGGAAGCGAGTGGCTGAGCGCTTGGGTACAACAATGAACCATAAAGTGCCAGTCCTGGGGGATCCTCTCAGGATTTGGACATGAGTCGGCTGTTTGGTTAAGGCAAAGAAAATGGCCATAGTTGCCACAGGGGACAGGTCAGAAGAGTCGCACGCCATGACCTTATGGACAACGTCATGCCAGTCGAGTTTTTGGTAGTGTTGGGGATGAGAGATTTTGTCAATGACGGAATCAAGCAAGGTTATGTTATCACGACGGTAGGAGGAGATGTCGTCTACCAAAGAGGCGATGCGGCGGAGGAGAGGATCCGAAGAAGAGCGAGGAAGCTCGCCAGCCCATGTTCTCGGCAGCTCGAAAGGCATTACAGTGCTTTGCTTGACGAGTTGATGTTTAGGAAGATGTTGGCGAACGTCTCGGACTTCTTCCGCTGTAGCAAAGTCTTTTATGATGGGGCAAGCATGCGTGAATGAGGTATCAACGAGATATCTTCCATCGGCAAGCAGAAACTGGGATTGATAGCCCTCTTGGCCAAGGTAGACAGCGAACTGAGCGCGCATGCCAATCACAGAATTCTGGCCGAAAAGGAGGGCACCGGGCTTGATAAATCTAAGCAACCCAGCCGTATCGCCCTCGATCGTATCTGGATCTTGATTGGAGTAGTCTTCCGAATCTTCATCGTCGACCCTTGAATTCTCTTGAAAGAGAGAATTGGGCAAAGTGGTCAACCTTTTGCTCACGGAGCCTGAATAGATATCCTCGGCTGCCCGGGCTTTTTGGTCTTTGTTGTGAATGGTCCATGATTTCAAGTGACTCCTGATGGAAGAAAGGGGAGGAGGAGGTGACGGTGGCGGTGGTGAGTTTAATGAGGGCTCAATAGAACGACAGGGGCGGGAGGTAACAAATTGTCTAGTGGTGGTAGTGGTCGTATACTTGAAAGACGGTTTGGAGGATTTGGACGAGCCCGAGAGTCGGGCACGGAGACGACATCGAGGACAAACATAAGGGAATTGTCGGGAGAGGGTTTTGAGAAAGGGTGCAGGTAGGCTTGAGGTGGTCATGGATGCCTCACAAACTGGGTGGCAGAGATGACTGGTGGTTCAAAATGGTAAAGACAAGAATGCGAGGCTAAGTATGAAAGAAGTGATGTTCAGTACGAGGTGATTTGCTCGGACATGCATTAATGGCATGAGGTTGTCCTGGATTCAGTCTGGCCATAAAAAATTATACGATGGTTGACATACTGGACTTGGAGTTGGAGACGCGATGACGACCATCTTCTCCAACTCGCGTCTGGCACCCAGGACACGAGCCCTTGAAATTTGAGGCTGATGAAAGTAAATCCGACTCCGCACTTTACGTTGTGTGAAATGCTCTGCCAGTGCTGGTCACGCCTTCCCCTCTTGGTGCCCCTCCCCATGGCCACTCATTGTATGCATGACTCCTACTCGTACTGCTCTTGCTGGTTAGGTCCCAACAAGGTACCTGCTTGACTCCAGAGTCACGACGTTGGAAGTGGCCACCATTGAGTCATCACTACGTTACAAAATACTCCCCAAGTACGAGTTGCCTTATTAGGTACCTAAAAGGTAGGCAGCTTAAAGGACGGGAGCCAACACGTCTGTGGTTACATGGGTAGGTACCTGCAGCAGACAAGTGCCTGACATTTCCTACACCGATCAAACTAAAAAAACCTCCACACATTGATCAACCTGGAACTCACAAAGTGCCTCTCTTAAATACCACTGATTCTCCGGATCGGTCTTCGCCTTTCGTCTGTTCAACTTGCTCCTTGCATCCGACCGGCCTGTAGCGATCAATATTCAACCGCCTTGATTCCGATCACAAACAATATTGTTTCTTGGTCTTTCCCCAAATAACCCCACCACCACCACCACCACCACCACCACCATCATGCCTATGATTCAGCAGCCTGCAAATCAGATCAAATTGACAAACGTCTCACTTGTCAGGTACAAAAAGGGCAAGAAGCGTTTCGAACTCGCCTGCTACAAGAACAAACTCCTCGAGTATCGTTCGGGAACCGAAACGGACCTCGACAATGTCCTCCAAGTTCCCACCATCTTTCTAAACGCCTCCAAAGGCGAGACCGCTCCAAACGCTGAGCTCCTCAAGGCCTGGCCGCAGCCAGCCCAATCTCAAGAGCCCGCTCCGTCCCAAGGCGGTGCCAAAAAGAAGAAGGGAAAGGGAAAGGCTGCGGCCAACGACGATGGAGACGAGGAGAAATCTTGGAAGGATGCAATCATCGAGGAAATCCTGAAAAAGGGCGAAATCCAGGTCAATGCCAATGAGCGAAAGGAACTACTGGACAGAATGGAAAGAGAAATAGTCGAAGAAGTTGCCCAGAGACTGGTCGACCCTCAAACAAAACGGGTCTACACCACGGGCATGATCAAAAAGGGCCTCGATGTTCTCTCCAAGCAAGGCGGTCATGCTCCTCCTCAAGATTCCCTAAGCCACAAACTCGGCAACCTAAATCTACTCGATCAGTCCAAAAGAGGTCAGACACTGGCCAAGGGTTCAACTGAGACGAGCGGTCAGGCTACCCCAATGACCGATGATGATGTCGACTCAACTGGTACTCCCAAAAGCAAGAAGAGCGATACTCCCATGTGGACTGGTGTAGTCACGACAAAATCCGTCAAGATGCAAGCTCTCGATGCCATGCGGGCTTTAATAGCATGGCAACCAATTCCTGTCATGCGTGCCAGAATGAGACTGCGCATTACTTGTCCTACAGCCATCGCTAAGCAGGCCCCAAAATCCAAAATCGCATCTTCCGACGATGCCCCCGAATCGGACCAGGGCAAAGGAACCATTAAGGAGAGAATTCTATCTTTCGTTGAGCAAATCGAAAGCCAAGATGTTTTGGGTGAGGAATGGGAAGTCATTGGGTTTGTCGAGCCCGGAGCATTCAAAGCCTTGGGAGAATTCTGTTCGGCTGAAACCAAAGGCCGGGGTAGACTCGAGGTCCTGGACATGGCTGTTACGCACACTGATGATTGAGCATCCCTCATCATCCGAGCTGCAGGTTGCAATACGCCACAGAAAACAGCACAATCTTCTACTGGGCCGATCTGGAAGGTTACTTCGCAACGTACCTTCCATGACAAGCACTATCGATTGGGCAACTTTTCGGTCGCGAGCAATTCCAAGTCAAGGTATCCCTTGAGTTACATCACAAAAAGCTGTCCAGGTTCTGTCCTACTACTATGCAGCACCGATCACAAACAGCAAGCTTCACAGTGTAGCTCGGTTCAGCCTGTCTCACGCCCACCCACCCATTTCCTAACAGCCTTAATCGATAACACGCCTCCATCCTGATTACTCGGCCGGACTTTTACTGTTCTCAGGTGAGCATTTCGGGCACTAAAGGCAGACCCGAGACCATTATCGAATAGTTGAAAGACGAAATCGTGCTTGGTATTGTGGCATACCAGATCTCAACATATCCTGTGGTCAGGCTTGCAAGACTACAGGAAGGGGTGGTTTGGTTCGAAGTTCTCAATGTCAGGTATAATTTTGGAGCACTGGATTTTCTTGTAGTCTTAGACAAGAATAATCTGTGTCAACCTATAAAATGGCCTCCAAAACCTCCTGATTGAGCTTCCTCAAGCCTTCAGACATGTCAAGTGGTATGGTTGTGGTGGATGCCATCGAGCTCATGTTAGAAGCTGCTCTCATTTTGGAGAGCTTGGACCTCGAGCCGAGCATATTGTTCATTCAGAAGTCAAGCCCCGCTCACCAGTGAGAAGAGAGTGTCAAAGACGCCAGTTTTCGCCTAAGTAGGTAGTTCCCCATGCCATCCCATGCACCTGTATAATCCATTCGGGATTTCGCAAACCTCGAAAGCTCCGTCCTCTCCAGGTATTGACCGTTCCTCCGTGCTATGCCATGTTAAACTCCAGGTGACCTCCAATAAAATATGCCATTTTGGTTCGGGTGTGGTTTGTCCCCCCTTAGTGCAATTCGAGCGACGAGGCTTTGTGTAGCATTTCGTCGTCATGAATGAAGTACACAATTAGGCAGGTAGATAAGTAGGTAAGAAGGTCGATGCGCAAGCGAGTCGGGATGTCGTGGCCACATATGTCCACAGATCCAAATCGCCACACTCCTTTTTTTATCATCATCGTCGTCGTCGTCGTCGTCATCGAGATCATTAATCAAGCCCTCCACGGGCGTTTGTTGGATCGCGCTGTACCGGCCGAAAGGTGCCAGCTCTCATACATCCCGGCGGGCGAGTCACGCCACATGCACGTCATGCAGGACGCCGTCTCGATCGCGGAAGGTCGCGCGCGTCATGGCCATCTCCAGCTCCTCGGCCGTGAAAGGCGTATCGTGGGCGGTGATCTGCTTTGACAGGAGCGTCGACGGGGCGACATCGGCGTCAAGATCAAGACCACCGTCACTCGAGACGCCCGCGAGTTTCGGGTTTGATGGGGATGTCAGAGTCGTCATGGGCGTCAGTGCAACCGCCGTGGTCGGCGCTGTCGTGCCTGTGGTCGATGTCGGGCCTGAGAGGGACGCTGTTGAAGGCATTCTGTCAGCACAAAACCTCACACGCACACACACATCGTGAGGGAAACAAATCACAGGGGGCGCCATAACGTACTGCTCGCAGTATCACTGCCTGGCCCGTCACCGGCCGAAGCAGAAGCACCAGCGCTGCTCGACGTGTTGTTCGAGTCCTCGGATCTCTCACGTGTCGCCTCGCTGCCACCAGAGCCGGCCCTCTCCTCTATCCTCAGATTCGAGCCGGCCTCGGGCACGGCGGCGGCCATGCTCGGCCGTCGACTGGGCACGCGGCTGGGGACGCGGCTCTGGCTCTTGGTTCCCCCGGGGCTGAATGTGCCGCTGAGCGCGAGGCTGGCGCGCCGCGTCGTCGCGGCAAACGCATCCGACAGTGAGAATGCCCCCAGGCTCGCCTGGTGCGCCGGGTCCACTTTCCCCCGGTACTTGGACTTGGGGATCTCGTTCGGCTTGTAGTACTCGATGTCGGTGCGGTCCGTGTAGTGTGTCTCGTTCGGGTATATTGATGGGGTGTTGGATGTGCTGTTGGTGTTCTTGTTGTTCTTGTTGTTCTTCGACGACGCCGACGACGTGCTGGCCGATTTCTTGGATGACGAACTGAACGTCTGTCGGAGCTTGCCGCGAAGTCCCATTGTGAATATGTGTGTGGGGGTGTATACTAGGATGTGTGTTGGGGAGACTAGGTGGGTTTTGAGACTGGAGGTTTTTAATGAAGATGCACAGAGTCTGTCGTTTATTTGAGTCTAAGAGTTTTCAATCCCATGGGTTTGGTGTCGGATGAGATGGCAGATATGGTACAATGTTCTATCGGGCAGCCAGAGGGGTTTATTTGGTCGGGAAATCGCTTATCGGTGATGGTACAGTTGGTGTAAGATGACAAGGGCTCGGGTGAATTTCGAACCGTTCCTAGTTTAGCTCATCGAGGTTGAGGATTGAAACAGATGTCGACGAGAGAGATTCAGAGGTCACTTGAGTCAAAGGTAAGTCAGGTTGAGAAGAGAAGTGAGAGCGATAAAGAGCAGTAGATAGGTCGGTGGCTAGATTGGCGTGAGGGTGGCCACGAGGCGGTAGATAGGTGACACTACACTGTTGTCCAGTATCAAATCACTCTAACCCAGTGTTAGCCGTTGGGTCCGGGAAATGACGAGTGAAGAGTCCACGAGTCCACGACTACGACGGGGAGGGACGACTACGAATGATGCTAGCAGTATCAAGTAAGAAGAATAAATGGACCTTGGTACGGAGCACGCGAATGGAATTGGGAATGGACCAGTGGAGTACCATCCGGTACGGAGTAGCACTGGTGGTAGTCGCAATAAACCCGGTCACTGGTCGGTCAATGGTCAACGGGTCAAAAGATGTGGGTGAGCAGGCGGGTATCGCTCAATGGAAATGGAAACGAAAAGGAAAGGGAAGGGAAGGGAATGGGCCTGAACTTGCAGAGGCAAAAATGGCACACTGGGGCTGCTGATCCACCTCGGGCACATCCACTGTAGAGGGATGCATTAATTGATGATTTACTCCGTACTCCGGGCGAGTATGATACTCGTATGAGCTGATGCACTTAGGGATGGCGATAAGGTAGTAGTTAGGAGCACGGAAGAAGACAAGACCAGAAAAGGTGGAGGCAAAACTTGAAGGGAACTGGCATGATTTGATCAAGTCCCTATCCGAGTATTCCGCCCCAGGCTCAAGCTCAGGCTTATTATGTAGAGCATCGCCTTTCTGCCCTGAGAAATCCCTTCAGCTGCGTCCTATGAACGATCGTAATTGTGGAACAATGGATGTGAAAGAAAGACCGAGCTTCCAGAACAAATCTCCATGATTGACATGTAGGTATGTCGCTCGGAGTATCTCTCAAAGGCTTGTCTGACTTTCCAGAAAGCCAACGGGGATGTTCTGAGCACGCTTACAATGCAATGCAACATGGTGGAAACTTGGCAGAGGTTCCAGAAAACAAACATGGATTCGATTTCCCCCTGATTCAACTTGCCTCTTTTCCCCTCACAATGGCACCTGACCTATTTGATCGGGTGTCTAAGGACAGTAGCTACAGCCCAGAAATCCCCAAAATCAGCGGAGACACCTGTTTTGGGAACTAGACCTGCTCATAGTGAAGCAGATCATCACGACCGTGCCATGTTTCTCAACAGACCAGACCCGGTTATCCATGTCTCGTGTGTGGTCTTGGTATCGCCGATCGAGAAGGAAAATGTCACCTTCTAGAAGAACTCAAGGCAGGGCTTATTCGGCCTTAACTTTGGCAGGATCAGCGCCTGAGTGACCTGTGGTTGGTGGTCAGGCGTGGCGTGGCTGGGTTTGGCATCCCCAAGCTTCCTGTCCTGGTGTTGTCCCTTGCATGCCCAAAGCAACAACACGAGACTCGCCACGACCAAGGCAGTCTAGCTGGTGACCTTTGGCCCTTGGGGGCTTCAGCCCGGTGGCTACCCCGAGGGCCCTGCCCAGTAGTGCCTAACTCGTACGGAGTACTAACTAACTAGCCGCTTTCTTTCAGCCATCATCCAACGAAACCAGCCTCTCACGTTTGGTCATATCGCGGCGTGCTCGCTACGGTATTCAGCCTATGGACACCTGCGCACGCTTATCTCTTCACGCTCACTCCGAACTATCCAGGCGCATGATGCATGGGATATCTCAATGATGTTGATAGCCTATCCTATCCGCGTTTGGTCTTCTTTGCAGCCTTGGAGATTCTAGGCCCTATTGCAATCTCACCATGGATGCAGCCAAGTAACGACGCACTGCCATATCAATCATTCCATCATGTTCATTTGCTCTTCAAAGCGTGTTATTGATATTGTGTCACCATCTAGTTTACAGGTACCTCGGCAGTCTGAAGACCCTTCGTGAAGAGATCTTGTTACCTTATCTTCCTTCTGTGAGCTTGTCGTTTCTTATTCCATCGCCAGAGACACACGACTTCAAATGCCTCGTACGAGACATACTACGACACGACTTCATCGTTGGTTCATCAAAGACTTCCGTTTCGCCCGGCCGGGGTGCCCAACCCACGGCTTCTATCAAACCGACGTGCATCACCTGCATCACGTGACTTTGAAATTTATGTTCACGTGAGATCACGTGATCGACCAGCTTTGATCTTGTGCCTGCAGATAGCTCGACCAGTCTCAAACAGTTTCACCAACCAACTTGACTGTAAATTGAGTCACCTTAGATGTACGATGGTAATCCTATTTTGCATTTCCACCGAATATCCAAATCTTGGATGCAACTAGTGCTCCCCCGGGCTCTTCAAACAGGTTTGTGCCCCCCAAAAGATGCCGGGCTAGACCCCCAATGTTACACCATCAAAATTCACGATTCGTGAGCCTCGAAACCGTTGCTCTTCCCAGGTATCAAGTGTGTGATTCAAACGCATCTCAACACGGTCAGCTGCCGAATGTTCGACATCGGTGGGGGAGATGATGTGCAGCCCGCAAAATGTCTAGTGGAGATCTTCAGCTCAGGCGAGCGAATCCCCACAACTTTGTGTCGCCAAAGGATGCAATTCTGACGTTCACGATGACGATGTACATCATCTGGGCTCAAGATTAATCAAAATTGGTGCCACTGTTTGTCCTTTACCCCTCCCTTTCCACAGCCATTCATCAAGAATCTACTCCATTTCAGCCTGGGCCTCTTTAGATCTTCATGGCTGATTCGTGGCCTTCTCGGTCATGTTTTCTCTACCCGTCTTGTGGCTTGACGCCCGCCTCTCCAACTATCCACCCGTTTTGCTCCTTTGGCCTGGACTCCACGCGTTGGTGCTCTTGTGAAAGAGCTATGACGCAAACAAAATAAATGCCATCAGATACTAGCTGGATAGCTCGAGCAGTGCTTTTCTCACCGTAATTCCCATGTTCTGCCTTGGATAACTTGGTTTTTGCCTCTCTTGCATCGTCATCGTCACGACCAGGGGAGCTGTATATCATTTCCTATTTAGCACAAAAAGTCAAGGAATCTGCGGAGAGAAATGGACAAACTCAAGAGCGCGTTGTAAGTCGGACCTTGATCGATGTAACTAATCAAGCTGACCTAGATTCCCAGTCAACGAGATAAAGAAGGCACTCAAGATCTCCAGAACTCCTCCTCCACCCCTCGAGGTGTTGGTCAAGGCTCACACCTTTCCAAAGCAACTACTTCAACCGGAGGAAACACCGGAGGCTTTGTGGACCAGCCTACCACCCAGATCCCGTCAGGTAAGTCTGGTCAGGACCAAGAGGGATTTTACTGACAGCCTTAGGTGCAGGTACAGGAACAACAGGAATATCATCTACTAGCCACGAGACAGGCGATAGTACTGGATCAGCCGCTATCGGTCAAACATCGACCTATAGCTCGCATACTCTTCGCCACGGAGACGCTGTTGGAAGTATAATTGATCGATCTTCACGAGATCCAACCACCTACAAGATGCCTGAACACACTTTCGGCCAAGGCACCAGTGCCTCTGGTGAGCATTCAGGCTCTGGAGTTCCTCCTGGTGCCGCCGGAGCTGCCGCCTCTGCCGCTTTTAACAAGCACAATGACCAGAGCAGTGAGTTTTGAGCATTTCTCTCAAATCCAGCCGAACTAATCCATCTATTCTAGCTTCAAACATTCCAGGTGCTTTCCCCAAGGAGACCGCGCACGACACTGTTACCCTTCCACCAGTCAACAGACCGGTAGACTATGAGGCTGGTCGAGACGTTCCAGAATCCAATCAATCAGGTAGTGGAACCGGGCTTACAGGAGGCTCTGGTGCAACTAGCCAACCTGCCTCCACGACCGAAACCCATCGATCAGGCACTCTTGGAAAGATTTTGGGTGCTGTGGGTCTTGGAGGTGCTGCCACTGGTGCCGGTGTTGCAGCATCCAGGTCGAGCCATGACAGATCTCACGCTGTGGAAGATACTCCTTCGCAGCCCACAACTGTCACTGGTACCGATTCATATACTGCTCCAACTCAGTCAGGACCTCCACCATCCCATCATCGCAAAGAGAGCATCCCCACTACTGCTTATCCTGCCGGCCCTGGATCACCATCACCTATCCATTCTCCTGTTGGTGGGACCAGAGGTGCGCCAGACGACACCAGCCGGACATCGTCTTCAAATGTCCCATATGGCACCGGAGCTACGTCTTACACCATTGGTGGACCCACTGAAGGCCAAGAAAGCAGCCATACTGGGCGTAATGCAGGTCTTGCAGCGGCCGGCGTTGGTGCAGGTGCTGCTGCACTTGGCGCTCATGAATATGGTAAAGATCGAGGAGATACTACTGGCACAACTGCATCTTCTGCCCTTCCAGGTACTGCACAAACGACCTCAAGCTCCACCTTCCCAAGCAGTGGCCAAGGACTAGGTTCATCTTCGACCCCAAGCACTACTCAAGGAACATCAGGCTACAGTGGAGGTCAGACTACAGGCACAACTGGTTATTCAGCAGGCCCAACATCCCAAACTTCAAGCACACAACCAGAACATCATTCCAGTGGATATGGTACAACAGCTGCAGCTGCAGGCCTTGGAGCTGGTGCTGGCGCCCTCGGTGCTCATGAATACGGAAAGGATCGAGGAGATGGTATTGGCGGAACAACATCTTCTGCTCTTCCAGCCACTGCCCAGACAACGTCGTCTTCCACGTATCCAAGCAGTGGCCAAGGACTTGGTTCATCTTCCATTCCAAGCACTACACAAGGAACATCAGGCTATGGCAGTACGCAGCCTACAGGTGCTGGGTACTCGACTGGGCCGACATCTCAGACCTCGAACACCCAGCCAGAACAGCAATCTACTGGCTATGGTAAAGCTGCCGCTGCCGCCGGTCTTGGAGCTGGTGCTGGTGCTTTGGGCGCTCATGAATATGGAAAGCACCGAGGTGATAATACTGACACCACGACATCGTCAGCCTTCTCGGGCAACCAATCATCCGTACCCTCTGCCAGTCACAACACCACGTCGTCAGGTCTGCCACAAACTACTGGAACAGGTTTCCAGCACGACTCTGCTCGAAGCCAGCCACTGACATCTTCCGGACCAACCTCCCAACTTTCGAGTACAGAGCGAGATGACCAGTCCAGTGGTTACGGTAGAACTGCTGCAGCCACAGGTCTCGGTACTGGAGCAGGAGCGGCTGGTGCTTCAGCTTTGCACCATAACAGACAAGGCGATTCCACTCAACAATTCGCCGATAAGCCTTGGCAAGCCGACCAAAGCCAAACTCAATCATCCACTGCTACTGGAACTCATCTCCCCATTCGCGAGAAAGCCACCCACCCACCAACAGCTACATCAACAAGAGATGACTCCAGAACTGACCCCACAAAGGACGACAGCCATGCAGGCCGCAACACTGCTCTCGCAGGCGCAGCCGGGGTCGGTGCCGCTGGAGCATATGGTGCTCATGAGCATAGCAAGCATCAAGCGGAGCAGGATGCAGAGCGCCGACAGAAAGACCTTGCGGAGCAAGAAGCCGCGCGCCAGAAGCAATACGAGAAAGACCAAAAGGCGGCCGAGAAGCTAGCGCACAAAGAAGAAAAACAACACGAAAAGGACCTGAAGAAGCTTGAGAAGCAGGAGAAATCTCACGAGAAGGAGATCAAGAAAGAAGAGAAGGAGCACCAGAAGGTCGTCGCCCACCAAGAGAAAGAACAACAGAAGGAACTTGACAAAGAGGCCGAGGACCGCAAGCGCCGCGAAAAAGAGGCCGCTGGTGCCGCCGCCGGTGTAGGCGCGGGCGGTGCCGCTTACGCAGCGCACAAGCACCACGACGACGACCACTCCGACAAAGCCAAGCTCTCGAGCGCGAGCGACGAGCATGAGCGCAACAAGCTGCACAAGGATCCGCCGGAGCAGAAGAAGCCCAGCCTGTTCCGCCGCATCTTTAAGCGCAGAAAGAACAAGGACACCGGCGACAGCGAGGAATACAGTACAGACGAGGAAGACGACTCGCACCACGGCACTGCCGCCGCCGCTGGTGTCGGCGCGGTCGGCGCTGGTGCTGGAGCCGGTCTCGCCGGGTCCTCTGCGGCCGGCCATAATCAGACATACGACTCCAAGCCGTCATATAATCCGCTGAGCAAAGATGATCCTTTGGCTTCAACCACCGGCACTACGGGAACACCAGGTACTACAGGTACTACAGGAACACACAGCGGCGTCCACGATCCCACGTCCACGACCCACGGCACGAGCAGTGGCACAGGAATCGGTTCCACCACTGGCACTGGCACGACAGGCAATAATCTCCCGATCGACGACGTGACCGGCCTGCCCTACGACCCGGCCAAAGACCCTGCAGCGGCGGCACGCCTACAAGCTCATGACACGGTCGGCCACAAGATTCTCGAGAAGGCGGAGGCCAAGGAGGCTCAGCAGGAGGCGGGCGGACCTGCGCCTTTGTCTTGAGAGTGAATTCCATGAGGGTTGACTGCAACATGACATGGATGCAGACACAGACAAATTGGACAGACAGTAACAGTAATCGAGTGAGGATAGCGGACGATGCCATGTCATGGAAGTGAATAGGAAATGAGTAGTTCGTTTTGTTCATCACAACGGGTTCTGTTTTCGATTGACAATATTGTTATGATTTTCGGAAATCCTGGATATTAATGCGAGTGAGTGCATCCATAGCATGACATCTTTTAACATGAAAGAGCACCACATATTGAATGAATACGCTTAATTTTCTTCTGTATTCTATAGAGAAGCCAGGAATCTACTTTGTGGAAAAGGAAGACACGTGGATCGGCGCTGAAGTCCCAGACTTCTATGCTTAGCGAAGAGCCCCTGTTTGACCGAATCCAAGCCCTCCGGTTCAACAGAGAAGATCGCAGAGTAAGGTCACCCTTGAGAAAGCACCGATCTCCAAAGATGAACCATCATCAACGGTGACATATCTAAGATGTATACTGGCAATATCCTTCTTTTCTTGGGTTCTTACTCCACTGCCAAAAGCCCGGATTATTGTAAGGCGGGCCGATATTTAACCTCAATCGTGTTGATACATATGTTTGGATACGAACCCAACACAATCGGCTTCTGAAAGCGTAATCCAGGCTCTACGCAGAACAATTGAGAGTGTTTAAAATAAAAGGGATGGTGCAATCTATAGAATCAATGGAGATAACTAGGATGCTGGGTGAACATCAGTATCATGCAGACTGCCTTACCCTCTGTTGGGGACCTGGAAGCGGCTTCCACAATTAAGCGAAATCTACTCTCACTAAAGGCTTCTTTTCCAGACTTGATCTTGAGCTACGTCTCCGTCAACAATGATATGTTTAGATTTCCATGACATTCTCGAAGCTATCGCGCTGTCCATGGTGTCTGGAACAAGGACGAAAATCCGACGGGCAGGCACTAAACTATCGTAGCATACTTCAGTCTTTGATTCAGCGACTACGAGAGTCTGCCAGTCAATGCTATGGGTCTAATACAAAGGACCGATAATAAAAGGTAATTCCAAGCCGTATTATGCTGCCCCGACTATGCTCGGTCTGTTTTGTTTTGACCAACTGACTGAAGCACCAATTCTCAGCTTGGGCCATTGCGCTCATGTGTCATAGTAGTGAAACTCCCTCAGACCCCCCTTTCGCCGTCGAGTGCATTTTTGATTGGTGGTACAAGTTCATGCCATGCTTCATCTATCACCCCTGTGATTGCGAAGCATGAAAGTTTGCGGAAGCAGGTCATGAAACACATAGTACTTGCCGGACAATTAAAAAAAGCAATACTGCAAAGTATCTGATGCATTGCCAAAGCTCTGCTCAGATATTGCATGCTCAACCCCTCCGGCCATCATTTTCAGGACCCTCAGTGGCATCTTCCATGGTCGGGAATTGTTCTCTTCGTGCCTGCAAAGCCTTCTCCTCAGCTAGTTGTTCCTAACGACTTCGCTTTGTGTACAGTCTGGCTGCAATGTTCATGCTCCACAGTTCCTGGAACAGCAATTTCGCTGCATAAGGCAGGTGGATTTGACTGATCTTGTTCTTGTTGTTGCAATTCTTGCACTCGAAAATGTTCTTCTTCAATTTAGCAATAACTGTCATCAACCCACAAATGTCGCAGACGTGAACTCTGAACGGATCTGAAACATCGAAAAGTCTTTCCTTTAGGAATGAACTTGCTCCATGAGCAATCATGCAATCACGTTCCATTTCACCGAACCGCAAACCACCATTACGGGCACGACCTTCGACCGGCTGTCTGGTAAGAATTTGAACAGGACCACGAGCGCGAGAGTGGATCTTGTCGTCCACCATATGACGAAGTCTCTGGTAATATGTCGGGCCAAGGAAGACTTGAGCGACGAGTTTTCTGCCTGTGTGACCATTGTACATGACCTCAAACCCACGAGAGTGGTAACCCATTCGTCTGAGGAGATCTGACACTTGAGTCACTGTGACCTTGGTAAATGGTGTTGCATCACCTTCGTCTCCACGTAAAGATGCGACTTTGGACAGTTGACATTCAATCAAATGAGCAATTGTCATTCGCGAAGGAATGGCATGAGGATTGATGATGATGTCCGGGACAACACCTTCTCTTGTAAAAGGCATGTCTTCATGACGATATGTTATGCCAATAGTACCCTTTTGACCGTGGCGAGATGCAAATTTATCTCCAATTTGAGGAACTTTGGTGGTTCTGACACGCACTTTGGTGAATCGATTACCTTCGGCAGTGGTTGTCAACATGACTTGATCAACGACTCCAGATTCTGTTGATCTGAGAGGAGTTGATACATCTCGCTTGATGTGTTGCTTCTGTCGTTGACCAAGTTCTTCCGCGTCGGGTGCCATGGGTGCAGTCTTGCCCATAATAATGTCCTCACCACGTAACCGGGTGCCAGGTTCAACAAGGCCGTCTTCATCAAGTTTGTCGTAGGTACCCTGCTTCATTCGAAGGGTATCGGCTCGATTCGGTTTCTCAAACTTCTCCATAGTTGAATGTCCAATGGCCTTCTCTTGGTCCGAGTAAGCACGGTAGAATAATGATCGGAAAAGTCCGCGATCAATAGAGCTCTGGTTCATGATGACAGAATCTTCTTGGTTGTAGCCAGAGTAGCAGGCAATTGCGACAATGGCATTTTGACCAGCTGGAAGTTCTCTGAATTTGAGATAATCCATTGCCATGGTTCTCGCAAGGGGCTTTTGAGGATAGTAGAGAATGTTGGCCATGGTCTCCATGCGTTGGTCAAAGTTGGTAAGGAAGATGCCCATTGCTTGCTTACCCATAGCAGATTGGTAGGTGTTACGAGGCGACTGATTATGATCAGGGAATGGAATGATGCTTGCGCATACTCCCAAAATCATGCTTGGATGAAGTTCGCAATGAGTAAAGGTATGTGAATATGGGTTCAGTAGGGGGTCGTTTCGTCTGAGCGGGTCGGTTTCTTGCTCGATCACCATTCCCAATGATCTAGCCTTGGAATCTGCCAGAGCTTCAGGTGTCATAATAATCATGGCAGTTTCTTCTTCCTCGGCATCCATATATTCAATGACGCCGGCGGAAAGAAGATCTGCCCAACCATACGGTTTCACTTCGTCGTTGAATTTGTAACCACCTTCTCGCAAATATGTGGTATTGTCGAGTTTGGAAATATGCTCCTTGTTGAGTACCAAGTTACCCCGGTTGTCAGATGAAGGATCGTTTTCAACAACAAACAAAGGTCGCACGAGTCTTCCAGCATCACCCGAGACTTTGAATTCCTTGTCTCGAATGTCCCAAATAAGACTGACATGCGGATCAAAAATGCCCTTACGTCGAAGTTTGCGGAGATCATCAACCAAGTGTTTGGGCTCTCGAAGGATCACACCGTACCATACACCATCCACGAAAACTTTGGTTGCTTGTGGATTGAGGCGAGGCTCCCAATCTTCCAGGGGTTCGACAGCCTTTTGCATGATATATTTGAGCAGGGGTTGAGTCTCGTAAGAATTGGTGACCATTGACATCAGAGACAGATTTTTGACCAGACCACAAGCTTGACCTTCGGGGGTCTCTGCCGGACACACGTAGCCCCAGTGTGTATTATGCAGTTGTCGTGGCTTTGCAATTTTTCCTTCTCGACCAATTGGAGCGTTCGTTCTTCGAAGATGTGACAAGGTCGACGCAAATGTATATCTGTTCAAGACCTGTGACACACCAGCTTTTGCTTTGTCCAACTTCTTCTGATCTCCCCAGTTGCCGGTGGCAAGCGAGTATTTCAAACCCTGGGTGACGATTGGATGCTTGAAGCCAGCCATGATGTTTATTGGTTGGCCAGCTTCAACACGTTTCTGCATGTAGCGGTAGAAATCTTTGGTGGCTTTATCAAATTGCTGTCGGAAAAGATTGGTCATCAAAGGACCAGCAAGATCAATTCTCTTCTTTCCCAAATGATCTCGATCATCGGGCTCTGCACGTCCTAGCGCAGCTTTCAATAATCTGTTGACCATATATCCCAGGAAGAAAGCCTTTCGGGCGGTGGCATCACTGTTTTGACCAATGTGTGGAAGAAATTCTTTCGTCAAGATGTCCATAGCATGCTTTTGACGTTCATGACTCTTCAAAGTTGGTACATTTCCTCGTCGAGCGATGTAGTCTCTTGCAAGTTCAGCACCTTGGATGGGTTGACCTTCCTGCAAAGATCCCATCAGCATATCAATCATCTCCTTATCGCTCTGATCGAAGCAGATCTTCTCCAAAATATCTGCATCTGAAACGATGTCAAGAGCACGGAAAACGATGACAAGGGGAATATCTTGTTTGACGTAAGGAAGTTGGACTCGGATGGGATTGTCAATCTTGGTGCCATCGGGACCATCCTGTCGACGGAAAAGTTTCACTGTGGCTTGAGACATCATTCGAGCTCCTCGGTCGATGACAGATCGAATTTCTGCGAGGTGAGTAAAGGGAGACGGTAAGGCCTTCTGGAACACCTGGACTATGTTGCCAGCACTTCTCTCTTGGGCGATGAGAACTTTCTCGCTACCATTAATAATGAAATAGCCACCCGAGTCGTAAGGGCACTCGCCCCATGCAAACAAATCCTTTTCGCTCTGGAACTTCTCACTCATAAGATGGCAGGTCATACTTCTGACCATGATAGGGATCTTGCCAATGTAGACTTCCCGCTCGGCGTCAAAGTCGTCCTCCTCAGAGCTTTCTCTCCAGTAGAGTGTACTTCCATCATCCTTGACCACTCCCATGTCATCGGTCTGGTCATCCCAAGGATGCTCTTTGGCGAGATATGTTCTTCTAGTCATCTTGACAAAAGCAGGACTGGCATAGGTCAAACTTCGAAGTCTTGCTTCATGAGGCATGCAATCTGTAGTCACACCATCGCCTTCGACCATGTTGGGCTTGCTCAATGTGACTTTTCCGAATTTGACTTCATGTCGCTTGATTACGATGGGATTGGGATCCGATTCTTCAATGTTCTGTGCATGATCGAGTATTATGCCACCTTTCTCGTTGACTAGATCTTGCATGGACGCTCGCATAAAGTGGTTGAAAGAGTCAATCTGTAAGGAAGCCAAGTTTTTTGTGTCGAAGAAGGAATTGATGACCTTCCAACAGTCTTCGGATGTGATGTCTTCCTGCTCGTAATCGCCTTCTCCGTCCTCTCCATTCTCGCCGTAGTAGCCATTTACATCGTACTTCTGGTCTTCGTAGTCCGCCATGATGGGCGGCTGATTACAAGGAAGCGCAGGAAATGGGGAAGGAGAGGGTCGGCAGAGTGATCTGGTTGCTCTGTTGTGGCGGTGGAAGGGTTCTCGCGCTCGTCACCTTTGCAGGCACTGAATTATCAGTCAAGAGTTCAGAATCCTACAGGCACAGACACTCACAGAGTGACTGAGAGTGAACGAAGCCACAGTATCGCGCAGACGTATTTGTGCGTCCGGGTGGATGATATTCGCGTTTGAAGATGTGAAGGCGGAAAGGAAGTTCACCTGAACTTTGGCCTGCGCGGGAACTTTCTTTGAATCGCAAGGGAGAGAGGCGCGACAGGTCCAAATGGCAGCCGCAGGCGCAGGAAGGATCTCTTGGCAATACACGTGATACTTGCTGCCTCAGCAGAGGACGCTAGGAATGCTTTAGTGAGTTAAATCCTGCCGCCATTATGGTGGACGACCGACGCTGCTTTTAGCTCAAAGAAGTCAACAGTGCGATCCCCCGTTTCGAAGACAACGTTATAGATTAGTTATGAAGAACACTTAATCCGAAAATGACCATCTTGGGGAGACGAGATGAGGTTTTGATTTAGAAAGAAAAAAAAGACTCGTTTCTGATAAACAATACCGTGTCCACGTGTACATAAAATGGGTATCACAAATACGTATATCAAGTCCCACCCTCCCCTCAAAACAACCTATTGTCTTGAATGCACAACCCTGTCATTAGACTTCCAGTCAATCCAAACCCATATCGGCACCGTCTATTGCTCCACGCAAGAGATCAAAGCCTCGAGCATTTCTTCCGTCGCCTTGGCCTCATCACTCTGACCAGGATCCATGCCGATCAACTGATCTCTGAGGCTACGCTCAAGGATCTTGAGGCCGTCCTCACCCAGTAGCACTGCAATGGTCTGCCGTGCACCATTGTCCTCTGCAACCATCCAGCTCAAGATCAGCTCTATGGACTGAAGGGAGAACAATCCCGCGTCGAGTCGGCGAGACAGCCATTCATCCTCTCGGTCCTCTATCTGGCTCGGACTGAGATCTTCACGTTCCTTCTGTATTTGAGCGTCAACCTTGATTAATCTCGTTTTGTATTCGCGTCGTAATTCCACCAATTTCAGGAGTTTTTCGTAGTCCTTCTCCACGAATTTGGCAAGAGCGCGAATTCTGACGGCTGAGCCGCCCGGTAAGTACCTCAGCAGACTGGCGAGCATACCGATCAGATGTTCGATGAGACTTCGCTCAGCTCTCTTTCCTTTCATGAGAAGGCCGAATATCGTTTTCAGCCCTGCGGCGTTGACCAGTCGTGCACAAACAGGCGGGGCGTTGCCGCCGCTCATGGCGTGATCAAGAACCCGCAGAGCCCGCAACTTTGCCAGTCGTCCTTCCCTGATCATGATTAGACAAAGTTCGACGCCTTCGCCCTCGATGAATTTTTGACCGCCTAATCGTTCTTCCACCACGCTGGCTAAGCAGTCGAAGAGATTCTCCGCGAATTCCTCTTCGTCGGATTCTTTTTCGGGATCTCTCTTGCGATAGATGCTGAGTAGTTCAAGTAGAGCGTCAACGCCTTCTTTGATGGCGAAGCGGTCTCGATTAGGACGACTAGATTGCAGCAGAATGGCGAGAATTTCGGCAGCATACTGTCGGTTTTGTCCAACTTTCCCCCTGGCGTTGACATCAATCTTTTTGATCCTCATCAATAGCCAATTGATAAGGTTGTCGTTAGAACCAACGATCTCCATATTCTTCGTTTCCGAGAGAATGTTTTCAAACACATTCAAAATGTGGTAAATACCAGACCTGTCGGTCTCATTGGCCTCATCCAGACGCGTAAGATTGCTGGTCAATAGTCCAACAACGTCACTTTGGATCATTGCTTTGACCAACGTCTGCCACTGCTCTTCAGTTGTGGTGGAATCTTCGTCGGTGAGTTCGGCAAGTAGTTCCGAGACTCCAATGGCAATGTCTGTGTTTTCATGCGCCAACAAACCAATCAAACTGTTGGCGCAGCCCATCTTGACGAACTCTTCATAGAGTTCACCGTGTTCGCTGAGTAGACTCAATCCTTTGATTTCAGTATCGAGGTCGGCTTCACTGGCGACGAATTTGAGAGGATCACCCTCGAATTTTGCGCGCAGTTCGGCGTTCTTATTGATCTTTCGCTCAAAGTTGATCGCGGTACGACGCAGCCAAGGGGAATCGAACTTCTCTTCCGCCTGGCCTTCTTCGTTTCTCTCAATGTAATCCATCACTTCGCGTTCTTCTTGAGTCACTCCGCCGCCAAAGAAACGGCCCTCTTCATCGTCCCCAACTTCTTCTTCCGCGTCTTCCGGGGGCAGAGAGGGGCCGGCTTCGAGATCATTCTCATCGTCGGGCTCTTCGTCTTGAACAAATGCAGTCTTGGCTGCAGAGCCGTTGGTGGAAATGGCTTCCTGGGTTCCATTGCCGTTGCCATTTGTAGCGCCGCGCGGGGAGGAACCATTGGTCAATTTGGAGGATTTGTTGGAGAGAGAGTCAGTGAAGGACGCGGTAGGATCTTCAAGTTTGCGCTTGGGAGCAGCGTTTGGTTTTCGAAAGAGATCATCAATGGAGGTCATTATGTCAAGTCAATCAAGACTCAATTTGTGGTAGTGATCATTGAAGCCAGGACAATAATGATGAGTGGGAAAATGAGAAAAAGTAGGGACAACTATTCAACCATGGAGTGAATTGGAGATTTTGGCCGAGAGTGCCCGAACAAGAGAAGGCCCTGACGACGATATGTCCCTAATACAAGACCAGGGCAGAAAGGCGTTTTGCAAACCCACTAATCCTCCTTTGACATATTCTCTGCCATGACCTCGTATCGAGAACGATTGGATTCCGCAAAATACTGGACGCAGCCCGGGAAATGGAGAAACTATCCGATCGCCAAGAATCAGCTCGCCGCTAGAGTACCACTAGTGACTGCTAGTCTCCTACGAAGTACTAACACGTCAAGACAAAGACTCGGGACTTTCCCGGCACATCGGCCAAAAGGACCCAAATCCCTCATGGTGTTACGAGTACGAATGAACCCCTGACTCCTTTTTCATTATCGACGTTCTTTTGCATCGGGTTTTCGTATTCGAACCTCATGATCACTGACGACAGATTGCCTGTGACCATGTAATTCGAATGCCTCCAGCAACACCAGGCATTAACAGTCTTTGGTGGGCAATGAATATCACATGAACTACGAGGGCCTCCTATGGTTCTTTTGAGTTCACCAGAACAATCCTCCTAGTAGGCTCTGGTGCCAATGTCTCATCAATCATTAATGACCAGGTGCAAGCCTGGCGTAGCAGCAACATCTGTCCCTGGAGAGATATTGCAAAATACTAATACAGTGGCTTTGAAGCATCGAAACATGTAGCCTGCATCAAGGAGTGCAACTTACGCCTTGCGCTTTCGGACGTTCTTTGCGAGCTCATCGGCATCGTTCTCGTACTCTTTGCCTTCATTGATGTCTTTCTTCCGCATCGTACCCACACCCATGCGGATCAGCTCCTGATCATCATCATCACTATCTTCGACGTTGAACAAGATTGGCAGTACGAAGCTCTCTTCTTCTCCCATCTTCTTCTCCACGGTCAGAATGTCCACGTCTTCGTCTTCACGATCCAATCGCCTCTTTTGGTGCTCTTCCTGTGGGTAGGTATCAAACTCGTCTTCGCGTTCGATATACTCGACATTCTCGGTCAGCTCGGTAAAGTCAGGGGCCAAGGCCGACCACTTCTGCTGTGGTTCAATGCCCCAGATTTGGATACTGCCGGTTTCAATGCTGGTACAAGCGAGAAGTGGACGAGACGGATGCCACTCGATGATCGCAGGCTCTTCTCGATTTTCTAGAATCCGGAGCAGAGAGTTAGTCCGCAATTCCCAGATGTAGATGTCTTTCTTCATATAAGTCGATGCAGTGACGTAGTCAGCAAAGCCAGTAGCCGAAGAATGGCTGAAAGCTGTATGATTCCAACGCAGGCGGTTTACCAAATCTTGAAACTTGTGCTCGACAGTCAAAACAATGTTTTCGGCAAGGGTGGCTGGGTCTGGTTGATCGTCTTCACCCGTAGACTCATAAGGTAGTGCGTCCGTTGGGGTGAGGAGTGAGAGATCTGGGAGGTTGATGGTGCGAATGATACGATCGGTACAATTCACCAGAAGCTGGCGGCCATTCGCCGAAAGCCGCAGAAGAGAAATGAGACCAGAAGCGATTTTGGTAGAGTGGATGATCTTCCGAGTTTCCGTCTCAATAATGTTGATCCAGCCTTTGGAAGTCCCAGTGATGATGTGGTTGCCGAGGATGGAGAAAACCGCGGCAGTGGTTGATTGCTTGTTCTCAGATCGTGGAATGCTGTCACTGAGTGGTGTTGTCGGTAGGATGTATTTGACAGGGATTGGATTGGTGATATCGACAAGATGAGGAAGATTTTCGAACAAGCAGGCGACGAAAAGATTGCGATTGTAAGGATGAAGTTCTGCCATGTAGATCGGAGCTTCAAACTTGACGATGCGGATGCGCTCTTGAGTCTGCAGATCCCAGAGGAATGCTCGACAGTCCTGAGATGATGAAAGTACGTATCTGCCATCTCTTGACCAGCTGAAGGCTTTTGATTAGACTTTGATTTGGTCCCACCAACGGCTGAACTTCGAGAGGGCCTACCTCAGTCCTTGGACTTGCTTCCAGTGACCTTGTAGCTTCATCCCAACACCAAAGGTCTCCATATCCCTGCCAAGCGTGGTAAGCAAGCATCCAGCAGGAATTGGGAGAAAGTAGTTTCGTGAGCTCATCATCCACGGAAACACGTCGCACATACCAGATAACGACCTTGCCATCAACTCTTCCCGAGGCGAGGTAGTCACCTTTCCGACTGAATCTGAGAAAGGTGGCATGACCGGATCCTGCGTTTTGTTATGTCAATTTCCGAACCAAAAACAGGTGAGTGGCTAGCAGGCTTTCTTGCTCCTGTACTTACTTAGATCATTGGTCAGAGCATCTGGAGAGTCCTGTGCTAATTGGAACGGATCTATCAGTGCCAAATTCATGATGTAGATGTTTGCATTGCTGTTTGGGTGGGCAATTGTACGTGGTCCATGGCGATCACTGGTTGGGGTCTTTTTGCGCCAAACTTCGATGTCCGTGTCCGGAATCGCCATAACTTTAATCCGAGTCGAAATCTCACGTGCTCGTCAGGGAGTGTGACCGATTGTGTGAAAAGCGTTGGCGTTTCAAGGAAAGACCATGTTCAAGATCTAGAACACGATGGAGAGCTCATTACAGTGTAGGTACCTACCTAGTCTAGGCAGTCGCTCAGAGGTATCATTCTACTACAGCCAAAGTCATCTCTCAGTGAATGGTAATCACATTGTTTACGCTCAGTGGGACAATTATAGCAGTAAGATGGCGAGACGTTCACGCGTTTGCTCGTGTTCAAACCCCCGGAACAACTTGATTCACCTAGACGAACTGATCAAGAGATACATAGCGCGAGATGTCAAAGGTCCTGCATGTATCCGTATAATGATATCCGTATAATGTCAAGTACAAACAATATTCTCGCAGTATCATATGCTTGAGTTGGTTGAGCTTGTCTCGCAGTCACTTGTAGAACACATATGTTTTGGTTAGAGTGGGTTATCTTGATTTATGAATATAATCACGCCTTCAGTTGGTAAACGCGGAGTCATTCATTGCCAGGATGAGGCTGAGATCTCGAGGTGAAATGAGAAGTGATGTCCCCTTTGATTGCACGCTAAGCTGTATCCGGCATCGCCTACATTCCAGATGCTTGGCTGCAATTCTTTTACAACTCAGGCAACCTCACCCTCATCATCACAACTCATCCTCCTCCTCCTCATCACCAACCCACCCATACCATCTCGAATCGATCGCGCGCCCGAATCCATACGATCTAATCGCCGAGGCGGACGTGTTCACCAACTTTCGGATCAAGAAAAGCGACACTGGTCAAAAGCGCAGCTGGAAAGGAACATTGTTTTGGGTGGCCCCGTCGGGCGGGTGGGTCATACCTGACCAGAACGCGCATTCATCGGCGCAGGCACTGCTATTATCTCAGATCATTGAGAACAACTATCATCGTCTCCCAAGGATATTAAGGATACAATCGTGATCATGTCGAATCTCAATTTCCCTTACTCGAGCGCCCCTGTGCGCACTGTCGAGGAAATTCAGTTCGGTCTCTTCTCCGCGAAAGAGTCCGAACGCCTCGCAGTCATCGACATCGAATATCCTGAGACGATGTATGTAGATAACGAGAGCTTCTCATTTGACAAGATTTCTAACACTTTGTTTCAGGGATGAGCAACGCCTCAAACCTCGAGAGAAAGGCCCTAATGATCCTCACCTAGGGACAATCGACCGCAATTTCAAATGCAGTACTTGTGAAGAGAACATGCAAGAGTGTCCGGGGCACTTTGGAGTTATCAAGCTTGCTACTCCCGTTTATCACTATGGTTTCATGGGCAAGGTCAAAAAAATCTTGGAAACTGTCTGCCACAACTGTGGCAAAATCAAAGCTCTTGATGTGAGTCTTTTTCTATCATCATAGAATCTCCTACGAATGGTCGACTAATCTGTCGACAGTCCGAAGAATTGAAACACGCCTTCAAGATACGTGATCGCAAGCGCCGTTTCGACGCAGTTTGGCGTTTGAGCAAACCTCGATTGATTTGCGAAGCCGATCCACCCGAGGATGCTGATCAGCAAATGATGAAAGGACCTCCCCAGATCAAGCATGGTGGTTGCGGCAATGCCCAGCCTGATATTCGAAGAACTGGTTTGCAACTTTGGGCAAGCTGGAAGCCTCGCAAGGGTGAAGATGAAGAGGATACGACACCCGAAAAGAAACGAATCTTCCCAACTGAAGTGTTGCGTACTTTCCGTACCCTCACCGACGAAACCCTCGAGCTGATGGGTCTCAATCTTGAATATGCTCGGCCCGAGTGGATGATCCTGTCTGCACTCCCCGTTCCTCCCCCTCCAGTCCGTCCCAGTATCAGTGTGGATGGTAGTGGCCAGGGTCAGCGTGGTGAAGACGACTTGACCTTCAAACTCGGTGACATTATCCGTGCTAATCAAGCTGTTCTGCGAACCGAAGTTGATGGAACACCTGACCATATCAAAGTTGATCTGCAGGATCTTCTACAATATCATATCGCCACTTACATGGACAATGAAATTGCTGGACTGGATAAAGCTCAGCATAAGAGTGGAAGACCCATCAAGTCTATTCGTGCTCGACTGAAGGGCAAGGAGGGAAGACTGCGCCAGAACCTTATGGGAAAGCGTGTTGATTTCTCTGCACGTACAGTCATCACGGGTGATCCAAATCTGTCACTCGATGAAGTTGGTGTCCCTCGGACCATCGCTCGCATGTTGACATACCCAGAAACAGTCACACGTTTCAACGTTGATTTCCTCAAATCCCTTGTCGCCAGAGGTCCTGAAAATCACCCTGGTGCTCGATATGTGATTCGAGATACTGGAGAGCGCATTGATCTACGCCATCATAAGAGCAAGGGAGATTTGACATTGGCATATGGCTGGAAGGTCGAAAGACACATCCGAGATGGTGATGTCATTCTCTTCAACCGTCAACCATCTCTGCACAAGGAATCAATGATGGCGCACCGCGTGCGCGTGATGCCGTATTCGACATTCAGACTCAACCTCTCGGTCACTACACCTTACAACGCCGATTTTGATGGCGACGAGATGAATTTGCATGTACCTCAGAGCGAAGAGTCTCGAGCTGAATTGGCCAATCTTTGCATGGTTCCGCTTAACATTGTCTCACCTCAACGAAACGGTCCTCTCATGGGCATTGTCCAAGATACACTGTGCGGAATCTACAAGATCTGTCGACGTGACGTCTTCCTCAGTCGTGATCAAGTCATGAACATCATGCTGTGGGTGCCAGATTGGGATGGAGTCATTCCTCAACCTGCCGTCATTAAGCCTAGACCCCGCTGGACGGGCAAGCAAATGATCAGTATGATCTTGAACAAGCAGCTCAATCTGGAACGATTGGATGCCAAGGGTGAAGATCCTTATGTGCCATCTAATGATACCGGACTTATGGTTCTCGAGGGCAACTTGATGTTTGGTATTTTCAGCAAAAAGTTTGTGGGAACGAGCGCTGGAGGTATCATTCACACAATCTTCAATGAATTTGGGCACGATGCAGCAATGGCCTTTTTCAACGGCGCGCAAACCGTCGTAAATTACTGGCTGCTCCATAATAGCTTCAGCATCGGTATTGGTGACACAGTACCAGATGAGGTTACGGTCGAAAAAATTCAGTACGCCGTCGACTCGCGAAAGCAAGAAGTTGAGGAGATTGCACAAAAGGCATACAACGAAGACCTTGAGCCTGCCCCAGGTATGAACGTGCGTCAAACATTTGAAAGCAAAGTCATGAACGCACTCAATCAAGCTCGTGATCAAGCAGGTGCTGCGACTGAAGACAGCTTGAGAGATCTCAACAACGCCATCACCATGGCTCGTGCTGGTTCTAAAGGTTCAACTATCAATATCGCTCAGATGACAGCTATCGTCGGCCAACAGGCTGTCGAAGGCAAACGTATTCCTTTCGGCTTCAAGTATCGCACCTTGCCACATTTCGCAAAGGATGATTACTCTGCTCCTTCAAGAGGTTTCGTTGAGAATTCATACCTGAGAGGCTTGACCCCCACAGAATTCTTCTTCCACGCAATGGCCGGTCGTGAAGGTCTGATTGATACCGCTGTCAAGACTGCAGAGACTGGCTACATTCAACGTCGTCTTGTCAAGGCTCTTGAAGAAGTCACCGTCAAATATGACGGAACCATCCGAGACAGTCGTGGCAACATTGTACAGTTCATCTACGGTGAAGATGGTCTAGATGGCGCCCATATCGAAAACCAAAAGGTTGATATCATCACGATGTCAGATAAAGCTTTCAATAATCGGTTTGCTGTTGATGTCATGAGTGGCGATGTTTCTCTTTGGCGAGGCAAACTTCTCCAAGCGAGAGAAATCCAAGGTGACACAGAATTGCAAGAAATGTTCGATGAAGAATTAGAAGCCCTTCAGACATCCCGAGACTTCTTGCGGAAGATGGGCAAAGGAACTGAAGACTCGATGCAGCTGCCCATGAACGTGGCACGTATCATCGACCAGGCACAAAAGAACTTCAAGATTCGTCGTGGTGACAAGACTGATCTTGATCCACGCTACGCTTTGAACGCGGTGAAGCAACTGCTTGAGCGTTTGGTTGTTGTCCGTGGTGATGATCCCCTCTCTGTGGAGGCCCAATCCAACGCGACTCTTCTTTTGAAAGCTCAGCTTCGATCTCGATTGGCATTCAAACGCCTGGTGCTGGAGCATGGATTGAACAGACTGGCTTTTGACAACATCATTGGTGGAGTTGAAAGTCGATTTATTGCTGCCGCTGCCAATCCTGGCGAGATGGTTGGTGTCTTGGCTGCACAATCGATTGGCGAACCTGCTACTCAGATGACCCTTAACACTTTCCATTTCACCGGTGTGTCTGCCAAGAACGTTACTTTGGGTGTTCCGCGTCTGAAGGAGATCTTGAACGTCTCACAGACCATCAGAACCCCTTCCATGACTGTCTATCAACTTCCTGAGAACGTTGGCGATAAGGAGGCCGCCAAACTACTTCGAAGCCGTGTCCAGCATACCAATCTTCGTTCCGTTGCGGAGACGTGTGAGCTTTGGTATGATCCTGACATCCAGAGCACGATCATCCCGGAGGATCTGGACATGGTTGAATCATACTTTATCATTCCAGAAGACAGTGATCAAGATCTTGCTGCCCACTCAAAGTGGCTTCTTCGTATCACTCTCAGTCGTGCAAAGCTTCTCGACAAGGGTTTGAATATCCAAGATGTCTCTGCGAAGATCAAGTCCACGTATGGCAAGGACTTGTCTGTCATCTTTAGTGACATCAACGCTGATGAACAAATCATTCGAGTTCGACTTGTTCAGAACTATGGCAAGGACGAGGATGACGAACGAAAAGAAGATGATGAGGTCCTCCGCCGTTTCCTGAACGAAATGTTAGATCACCTGACCTTCCACGGTGTCCCTGGTGTATCGAGAGCCTTCATTGATCAAAAGTCTCGGGCAATCATTGCAGAGGACAATTCAGTCTTCATGGCAAAGAGTGATCCTCGATGCAACGAGTATGTTTTGGAGACTAGTGGTAGCTCGTTCGCAAAGGTACTCACTATTGAGGGAGTTGATACCAGTCGCACCTACACCAACCGATTCACCGAAGTCTTCGAGGTTCTCGGTATCGAGGCAACCAGAGCTGCCATTATGCGTGAGCTGACACAAGTCCTGTCCTTCGATGGTTCTTATGTGAATGCTCGCCATTTGTGTATTCTTTGTGATGTCATGACGGCACGTGGTTATGTTATGGCTGTCACTCGTCATGGCATCAACAAGTCTGATACCGGAGCTCTAATGCGATGCTCATTCGAACAGACAGTGGAGATTCTATTGGAAGCTGCAGCTGCAGGCGAATTGGACGATTGTCGAGGTGTCTCAGAGAACTTGATCTTAGGTCAAGTAGCTCCCGTTGGCACAGGCACCATGGAAATTCTGCTTGACCCAGTGCTACTCGAGACAGTACCCATCAACAATGCCAACAACGCTCCTATTGGCGTCAAAGGATCTCAACAACTTCTCGAGGGTGCGTCTACTCCATATGATTCAGGTTCACCTATGCAGGACACCAATTATTTGGGCTCTCCGGATTACGGCGCTTCTTTCTCTCCCATTGCTGCATCAGGCTCAGACGAAGCGGGAGGTTTCTCGGAATTCCATCCCGGGTTCAGTGGTGGAATCAGTCCCTACTCGGCTCGAAGCCCTGGAGGATACTCGCCTGGCAGTCCATTCGGTGGCACCAGCCCAAGCTCCCCCGGCTTCTCACCCACTGCCGGTTACTCTCCTACTTCACCGATGTTTGGCGCAACGAGTCCTGGTTTTGGTCCAACCTCACCATCGTTCAGCCCAGCCAGCCCGGCTTTCACTCCGACGTCTCCTGCTTATTCCCCGACGTCGCCGGCACAGAATTCACCAACGTCTCCTAGCTATTCGCCAACATCTCCGAGCTACTCGCCAACCTCTCCTGCTTATGGAGGTTCACCAACGTCGCCGAGCTACTCACCTACCTCGCCTGCGTTCAGTCCTACGTCGCCCAATTCACCCACGTCGCCAGTGTACAGCCCGACCTCTCCAATGTACAGTCCCACCAGTCCAATGTACGGTGGCAGTGGTAGCAAACAGTCTCCGGTGTCGCCTAGTTATTCTCCAACATCACCGACGTACAGCCCAACTAGTCCCACGTCCCCCACAAGCCCATCTTACTCACCTACGAGTCCAATGTATAACGCTTCACCACGCAGCCCTCAAACCAGAGCTGCGACCATTACTAGCCCTCAATATTCTCCCAACAGTCCTCAGTACTCGCCAACCTCACCTAAGGAGGACTAAAAGTATTGTTTTGTACCATCACATCGTGATCACACCGGTCACTACACCTCAGTCTTGATCTCGAATCGGTAGGTGGATCCATTAGATTGACCTTCTCCCTTCCGATCTCATCTTGACCGAGAGTCATTTTTTTTCAATGCACTTTTCATCGGCCTCATACCAAATTGTCACAGCAAAGGACGAGTTCTTTTAGCTTATTCGCTGGCCATCAATGTCTTAATCAAAAAACATGTTTCAATCATTAGCGACGGCGTTGGATGGGTTTTTTTTTTTACAACAAACGATGGGTCGATATCTCGAGGTACTGCATGCAATGAGGGAACCTACTTAAATGAGTGAGAGATGAGAATGCGTTATTTCGGAGATGGATGTGCTTACTGGGAAGAATCGAGGTATGATACACCAATTATCCTCACTGCATGATAATCACTCAACCCGGCTGAGCACGTGGTATGGTATTCTCCGTGGCTGTGGAAGCCAACAAAAGTGGACGGGGAGGAGATCGAAGAATGGTTGCAGTGTACTTTAACATGCAAACTAGATAGATTGTTGTGCCGCACCAGAACGACAATGAATCCAGGCCAAGTCCGGATCCCATCCTCGAGTGCGGCTGGTGTTGTTCACAGAAGAAAACATAGCATGTCATTAGGACCATGACGCTAATTACAATCCATGGCATAGCTACTACATTCACTTGAGTGATGCTGTTGTACCTATCTTGGGTTGTCAACTTGGTGTAGATGAAAATACACGACCCAGTCGGTGCTTACTACAGTACCAAGGTACGTAGTGGGATATGCGGAGCCTTTCGCTGCTAAGGCTATCAAATCAAGGTACGTTTCTCGTTAAGTAGTATGAGATTCACGAAGTCTCAAGTTTATATAAGGAACGCCAAGGCTGAGTGGCCTCAGGCATCCTGGATCCTTTTTAGCGATTTTAGCTACAATAACAACCCGTCCGGACTTGACACAGCCTCATCAAGAGGAGTGCGTACTCAGCAGCTATTCGGCAGTGGGTATTTCGCACCGTTCAGCATGGTCGGGTCGTTTGTCATCTTGTACGACACGGCTTGTGTTACACGATCGCCTCCCATGGCCATGTTATTGGCTCAGAACCCCGACCTCCGCTGTGCTCGGGACCTGATCGTAATCCCAATGTGCTGTCTCATACAGTCATGATGACTGGAAGGGGATACATGAGGAATTCGGCCGACCATTTTGTGGGTGAATCCACCTTCCCCTGAGCATCAAATTCGGATCGCTTTTAAGGATCTCCACGAGGCTCCCTATCCAAGGCTTTGGCTCGCGCTTCTTGTGAGACATAATGGTATTGGCACTTACACGGCCTCCCATTAACTTTGGGAGGCTTGGTGGCTTTTGGAATGCCATACCCTCAGATTTCTTGGTAGGTCTATCAACATATCATATAAGTTGACTTTATACGTCCACTTGATTGTTGCATGGTCACACTCTCAAAGAGACCTTGTGGCAACTGATGGCTTTCCTTTCTCGGTCCTCGATGCTGTCAGGTGTCTGTGTATTACTACAGCTTTTTGGTTTCGTCGTTGCTTTTGTGCCGGACCATGTTCTCCGAATAAGTGTTGGAACGATACAACAAGATTGCAAGCCTCGTCTTTCGACTCTCGTCAACGGCACATACCCGGGGCCTCCCATATACCTTGAGCCCGATGTTACCACATGGATTCGCGTGTACAATGACGCAGATATCAATGCAACAATGGTAGGTTTAGGCTCGAAGCTATTCGATGTTATCATTAACAATGAGCTTTAGCACTGGCACGGGCTTTCCATGGCGACCGCTCCATATGGAGATGGCTCTCCACTAGGGTCGCAGTGGCCAATTCCACCAGGACACTTCTTCGACTACGAACTACATCCCAAGGCTCATGAAGCCGGAACTTCGTTTTATCATTCACATATCGGCTTTCAGGCGATAACTGCGGCAGGGGCCCTGATCGTGAAGGATGCGGGCGCTCCACCATACCCTTACGACGACGAAATCATCCTCAAGTTTGGCGATTACTACTCCTTTGAAGATCATGAGGTGGAGGAAATGCTGAATAGTAAAACATGGAAATGGACTGATGACCCGCTCGCATTGTTAATCAATGGCCATAGTGGTACAGCACCTGGGCCAAAGAATTCGAATCCCTCGGATGAATCATGTCAGCCATGGCAGGTGGATGTCGAGCCTGGCAAGACATACAGATGGCGAGTCATCGGTGGAACAGCTTTGTCGATGGTAGTGGTGGGATTTGAAGACCACGAAAATCTCACCGTGATCGAGACTGATAGTTCATATGTCCTCCCAGTCGAGACGCCGTTCATTCAAGCTGACACCGGCCAAAGATTCAGCTTTTTAATGAAAACGAAGACTCAGGAAGAATTGAACGCATTGGGAGGGAAAACAAAGTTTTGGATACAAGCTGAGACTCGAGAGGGATTTGGAACGGTGCCTGCCTGGGCGATATTGAACTACGTGACTGGTGAAGGCGTGGAGAAGCGCCAGAATCTATCCGGAAGACCTCAACCCTCGGCAGACGCGGGCGCGACGGGCCCAAATGATGTCCCTCAATCCCCAATCCTTGAACTTCCCTACGATGTCGAGAACTTCCTCGAATACACTTTCGAAAATCCGGATTTACCGGGTTACGTCAAAGCACCTACGGCCGAAGAAGTGACTCGCCGGATCACCATCTCGACCCTACAATTCTTGAACAACAGCTCTGGCTATACTGAGTTCAAGGAAAACATGGAGTCGTGGCATGAGCAACATCCTCTCGGACCCACGACCCAGACCCCATATCTGGTCGAAATCCTCTCCAACGGCACTGTCAACAGCGCTGTACCCGATTATGAGCGCGCTATGAGCAATCCTGAACAAGAAGGATTCGATCCCATCTCTCACACATACCCCGCCAAGATTGGCGAAGTGATCGAGATCGTCTGGCAGAACGCAGCCTCTTTCCCTGCCGGCATGTACGGTCCACATCCAGTCCACGCCCACGGCGAACACTTCTGGGACCTAGGCTCCGGCCCCGACGTCTATTCCGTCGAGGCTCATAAGACACTGCTGGAATCCAACTCCGTCAATGGGCGGCCGTGGACCGGCTCACGACGGGACACGACAATGCTGTACAAATATCAGGTCCAGTCTCCCAACCCAGGTGAAGTGAATGGGTGGAGAGCATGGCGTCTGCGCGTCACCGAGGAGAACGTCGGTGTCTGGATGATGCACTGCCATATTCTGCAGCACATGATCATGGGCCAGCAGATTGTGTGGGTTTTCGGCACGCCGGATGAGATCAAGAAGCACACCAAGCCCGTGGAAGGTGTCTTGGATGGATTCTTCACATATGGAGGCGATGTGATTGGGAAGGAGGGCGCGGAGGACCATGTCAGAAGGGTGAGGTTCTTCCAATAGTGATGGACATTTGGTACGGTGTGAATGGTGGGATCGTACAGTATTTGCATGCATCATATACTTACTACAGTACGTTGTTTTACCTCATAATCATAGACGGTCATCGAAATTTTACTTGGTCAGTGTAACCTAGCAAGATTAATTGTGACGATTTCCTCTTGAATTGACAGACTCTACGGGCTGCTAAGACATCATACTTCAATTCGGATACTGACCTGGCAGATTGGTGGTAGGGCGGGAAAGGGGCGAGGCTGACCCTTTTTCGGGATCGCGGGCCCTCGGGTCCTGAGGCCGTCAGCAGAAAATATCTGTCTGATGGCGATCTCGGGATGATTAGTGTTCGACACAAACCCGGGGTCTGCTTCTTTGCTACCGCGGCGCATACTGCCTCCCTGGTCCAAACTCCAAATTGGCAGTCTGACATTCGATCTCATATCTCCTCGGGATAGGTGCATGTGGTCCATTTACTTAGATGTGATGCGTTGAGCCTCGTAATTCTAGAGCCTCTTTGACCTCAAATTTGTTATCAACAGTATCCGCGTCAAGTACGTATTTTTAACTATCCTTTCAGGTCCTCCTCGACGTCAACACTACGATGGTCTTTTACTGGCCTCGACAAGCACTACCTTGACGATAATCCCCAGCTAGTCCGAGAAGAGAAAATGAGACAAGGTCAGACAAACTTTGGGGTTTTCGGACCTTTGACTGACGAGGGAATATGCGCAACACTACTACAAACCTGTTTACAACCATTTTCGATCCCGAAGTCGATCCCGAAAAATGAATGTAGGTGATTGGCAAATCGATCTCATATATGTCATTGTCTAGACCTTTAAATATTGCTTGAGCCCGGGCTGTTATTGCTTCATTTATTAAGAGGGTTTCCAATACAAGTGCTGTTCTTGAAGCAATCGTAGTGCTGTGCTTGATATCCTGTCTCGACCAAGCATATTTCATCCCGGGAAATGGCGCCGTCGAAATCCTTCGAAGTGGCTATTATCGGCGGTGGGATCGCCGGTGTTACTCTAGCGATCGCTCTACATTACCGCAACGTCCCAGTCACAATCTACGAACAGGCACCGCAATTTGGAGAAGTTGGCGCTGGCGTGAGCTTCAGTCCCAATGCCGTCCAGGCGATGAAAAGCTGTCACGAAGGTGTTTATAAAGCCTTTGATAAGGTCTGCACACGCAACGTCTGGCCATCGAAGCAGAACGTGTGGTTTGACTATCTCAACGGCTACGACAAGAAGGCCGACGGTCACCAAGAAGCGGCGTTCACAATCACCAATAGTTTGGGCCAGAATGGCGTGCATCGAGCCCGGTTTCTGGACGAGATGGTTACGTTGATTCCTGAGGGAATTGCTAAGTTCGGGAAGAGGCTTGATGACATTACGGAGAAAGACGACGGCAAGCTGCTGATGAAGTTCCTTGACGGAACGACGGCAGAAGCAGACGTTGTCATTGGGTGTGACGGCATCAAGTCACGGGTTCGCCAGCTTATCGTCGGTGTGGACCATCCTTCTGCATATCCCACCTACACGCACAAATATGCCTACCGAGGCCTGATACCAATGGAAAAGGCGGTGGAAGTCCTGGGAGAAGAGCGGGCCAAGAATGCTTGTATGCATGTAAGTATTGTCGATGTCCCAATCTTTCTAGACCAGGGAAAGCTAACAATCCTGCAGATGGGGCCGGATGGTCACTTGTTGACCTTTGCTGTTAGCCATGGCACTATTTTGAACATTGTGGCATTCCGAACGCAAAGTGAAGATTGGCCTGATTATCAAAGACTGACGAGGCGAGCTAGACGGGAAGATGCTCTTCGGGATTTTGCTGATTATGGCGCGAATGTGATCAATCTGTTAAAACTGACGGAGGAAAACCTCGACGTGGTAAGTCTCGACGCACAAAGAATCAAAGTGAACTTGGATGCTGATTCGAGTCTCTGCAGTGGGCAATATTCGATCTAGGCGAGAATCCTGTCCCCACATTCTACAAAGGGCGACTGGCTATCTCTGGAGACGCAGCACACGCCACTTCACCTCATCATGGCGCTGGAGCAGGACTCTGCATCGAGGATAGTGCCATTCTCGCCGAACTGTTTGCAGATGAGAACGTGAAAACACAGCAGGACCTAGAAGGTGTCTTGGCAGCTTTTGACGCTTCCAGGAGAGAGCGAGGCCAATGGCTCGTACAAAGTAGTAGATTCATTGGTGATAGCTACGAATGGCGGGCTGATGGTGTAGGTGACGACTTTAAGAAAATCGAGTCTGAGATCATTCGGAGAAATGGTATTATTTCAGATATCGATATGGGAAAGTTGATCGCCGAGGCAAAGGCTGATTTGAAGCAAAGGCTGTCCCTTCCTGGGAGGAGCAACTTATGAAAGAGCACCATCTGGCTTCTGGGCACAGAGTTCTCGGCCCGTCTTCTGGTCCCACCACTTTGTAAATAACTGTAAATGAAAGGCTGCCAATGTGTAAATACTAGCCAATACGCCATCTTGGTTTGTAGCCCGACAGCGAGTAGTTTCACACGTTGATATTGTCTTCTCCTTCTTGGAGCCTGATTGCTCCGCTCCTGGTGTTGGATGCTGTTGGAACTCGCAGGGCAGTCACTTTCTTCTTCAGCTCGAGTTGCTTTACCACACATATTCCATGGAGGCCAGTTGCTACCAAGGGCGGTAAGGTACCATATATGGTGATGACGTCGGAGTAATTATGCCAGTTGCGGTTCAGATAGCGATCGATGTCAATCATCTCCTGCACATAGACATATACATATAAAGACGCGAGTAAGATCTCCGCCGCTGACACGATTTTCAGCGACGGCTTGAAGACGTCATCAGATTGATGTCTGTTGACCGCCCACCGCACAAGATCGTAGCATGATATGGCGATGGTAAGGAGGAAGAGCAGGAAAATGAAGGAAAAAAGGCTGCGTAAAGACGTGTAATGATCGGCCACCACGAAAAAGGTGAAGAAGAGGCCCAAGCCGGCATTAGCTAACAGAGCTACTCGGAGCTTGAAGATTGGGTGCGAACTGTACGGTGAAGAGGTGTCCATTTTTGGTGTTAGTGCTGTATGGAAGTTGATACTTGGGGCAGTTCTCTGGTAATGCAGCTTGATACCAGTGAAAGTCGAGGAGGAGAGCTCGATGCTTATATAGGCAGAGCACTCGAGCAAGCGTTTAGCGGAGACGAAGTTGAAACTAGGCACCTGTGTTACCAGTGCCTGTATCAATGTGAACATGCATGGGACGCCTTGAGACCATCCTGACGATCCGAACTCATTTTGCCAAGGTGGAAGGAGGGGGGGCCAGCAAGGACTGGCTCGCCTGGATGATCGATGAATCAGGTCACTTCTGCCTTACCATATTGTTCTAGTGCTAGCTCAGCGTTCGAGAATATGCATATCATAGGATACGAGCCCAAGTTCATAAGCCAGACCCCTATTGCAGATCAACTTAGAGCAGTCGAGCCTAGCTCACACGAAGCAGAGCCTCACCAGGTCAGTGCTTGTGGATAACCTGGCCTTCTATCTTCTTATCTCTCGGTAATGCGCTTCAAACTAGATGGATTCGGGCTGGTCACCAGAAGAAACATTCATCGATCAATTGGAAGCTTTGAGACTGTTCACCAAGATGAGGCTGAGAAATTATTGAGACAATGAACCATGCGGTTGAGCGCTCAAATACTCGACCGTAATTCGCCACGGTGAAATAAAATCGCCCCAGCCGCAATGTGTCCAGCATGCTTTTGCGGAGGTGGAGGTGGAGAATCTAACCACCTTGGTAACTACGCTCTACAATTGCAGAAGTTGTTCATCACGATTCCTGAATTGAAGTGTAGCAGTATGCCGTTCTGTTGAATCCCTCTATAATCTCGGATGATCGGAGACCTTTCTTCGAAGATCTACTTTGAGTATGCCACCCCAGGCTTCTCAGGACGGATTTTCTATGAACCTCAATACCGCCCCGAACAGGGAGAATTCCGCCAACTACAGCATCGTTCTTGATGGCACTTCCATAGCGGTGTCTCCAGAGGGAAGCAGCCCGACATACTCAGGTCCGCCTCGTCCAAAGCGCCGAAAGGTTAGGTTAGCATGCCGAACTTGTCGGCGGCGAAAGACTCGATGCGACGGAACCCTGCCTATTTGTCAAGCTTGCATCTCTCGTCGCGTGGGGTCTACCTGTGTCTACGTAAACGTAGCTGATGATCCTCAAAGGTATGCACCCTCGGACTCAGGATGTGACTGGTGAGGACCTGTGACTCATTGAATATCAATAGTGACAACGATGCCCAGCATGACAAGAGTCAATCCAAAGCGGTACCTAGTGCATTAAGTATGTCCGAGATGCAGCCTCATGCATTCCTTATTTACTAACGGCTTCGTTCAGGCCGAACTGCAATGGTTCCTCAGCGGTATGCTTCGCGTGATGGGGATCTTCACTCTGAATCTCCGATAACTCGGCCACGTTCTGGGACCATAGCCACTGGTAGAGACTCAGTGTCTACCCATATCGACCGTGATGACAGTTTCGCTATGGGTGCGGATGCTCTTGCTACGGTAACATCGAACGCTGTTGAAGACGGTCTCGTCTACAGAGGTTCATCGACCATCGCATTTTTAAGGAGTTTCACTCATGGCACGAGCGAGTTGACCAGACAGGCCGATCCAAATGCAACGAACGGCAACGGTGATCATTTACAGACTGACCAATTAATACCCATGAAGCCCTTACCAATAATGGAGAGAGATCCATCGGCTTTCCTTCTACCACCTCGATGGTCCGCTGACGAATATGTACAATGCTTTTGGGAATTTGTTCACCCTCTCTTTCCTGTCCTCCACAAAACATCCTTCATGGACAAATACTCACGCTTGTGGACCTCCGAAGGCAGAGAACCTGGTGGGGACGTCTCCGATGTCAACGAGAATATATTTATCTCCACACTAAATCTTGTTTTTGCAATTGGTTGTCAGTTCAGTGCGTCCGTTCCTGCACAAAACAAGGTATCACTCGCCGAAGATTTTTATCAAAGATCACGTAAAGTCTTTGTCTATGACATTTTTGATTCGACCTCTGTTTCACTTGTACAGATGCTGCTGGTCAGTGGAGTGTATCTTCAATCTACTCGATATGCTAGCCGTTGCTGGAACGTGGTAGGCCTCGCTATAAGGACGGCCCAAAGCCTGGGTCTACATATCGATGTCACAAAGTATAGACCAGAAAATCAACTCAATAAGGAGATGGCCCGCAGAATATGGCATACTTGTTTTGTCCTCGACAAGTCAGTATTTCCAGCTTCCGCCGATGCAGAGATTGCTGACAAACATAGGCTTTTGTCCATGACTTTCGGACGGCCCACCATGATCACCAATAATTGGGATGTACCCATGCCGTCCTTGATTGATGATGAATATCTTCGTACTTCTGGTGTCGGTCAACAGCCTCCAGGGATTCCGTCAAGAATTGGTTTACTTGTGTCTTCGTCCCATTTGTTCGTCATCCTGGACGAGATTCTTGCCTCACTATATTCAGAAAACCTGCGAAATAATCTCAATGAGCTTCTGCAGGACGACAAGCGTGTCCAAGAAATGATTTTAGGGGTTCTAGTATTGAATCGACGCCTGGAATCATTTGTGGATACAGTCCCGGAATATATTCGAGAGTGTTTGTCCACGAATCGAGTACCACGTGAGCAGATCACCAGTGTACAGATTCAAGAGCAGGTTTTGTTTTGCAGGTATGAGCAACGGACCAGGAAGAGTGACTTTGCTAACTTTGAACTACACAGGTTCCAGTACACCAGGGTGCTCCTCCTCCGGCCCATCCTCTTACTTGCTACGAAGCGACGCATCACGATTGATCCTGTATCGCTCAAGCCGGCCTCTCTCGATGTCGAATTAGTGAGAAGTTGTTGCAATCTATGCGTCAGGACAGCACAAACTCTGATTGAGTGTCTACATCATCATTTGAATACCACTTATCGAAGTTCAGGCTGGCACACAGTATACTGTAAGTTACGATATCGGTAGGAAGAGCTTTTCAAGTAGGAGATTGACGCATTACAGTTGCATTTGCCGCGGCATCAATCATTCTGGTCGGTCTTACTTGCCCAATCGTGGATGAAGACCTCATACGACCTTCGTTCGAGATCAACTGGCACCGGGCGCTTGGCATCATGGATCACTACAAGCAGCAAATTCAGTCAGCACCACGAGCTATCCAGACATTGAAAAGTCTTCGCGCACAGACCATCGGCTCTGTCCCTAATGTACCACCAATAAATGTTCCTACCTCCGAGTATCAAGAGCCTCCTGCAGCTCAGGAAGACTGGAGCCAGTTCAATCCATTTGGTACTGATTTCATCGACGACACCTGGTTCAGTCAACACATCACGAACATGGATTGGCTGGAGTTATGTTGATGGAGAGATGAACTCGGGAATCTGGCCAGCGTTGCCAAAGTATTGCGGCATTGGCGATTGGGATTTCTATCAACATCAGACAATAGCAATTGTGCCACCCATCTAATCTCTAAGAGTCTCACGAGCCTCTCAACAAAAGCCGCCTCTTTCAATTTCTAACAAGCCTCTTAACCAAACCCCCGTCTTTCAATGTCTAACTTGAAAGCGGTCTGGTGATCACTGGCTGCAATATTGTTCGCCATTTACTCCAACTTCACAAACATTGTAGCGGGGTTCTCACAGTTTCGGGAACCTCACTCGCAAAAACTGATTCGGCCACGCGACGTCAACACCTAGCTTCCACGCAACCTTGAGCACCCATTCGGGCTCTCGCATGAATTGGCGAGCGACGAGAATCAGATCAGCCATGGGCTCTTTGCCAGGTTTCGCTTGTGTCATCTCCTTGGCGGCTGCAGCTTCCTCACCAATGCTCAGATCTGAGCCAGCATCATCAACGATATCTCTGGCCTGCTCGGCCTCGGTGATCAACCCGACCGCGCCTACGAGTAGTTGCGGATTGGACCCTTTCATGTCCGTACGGATCTGATTGGCGATTTTGATCTGGTAGTCTTTGGACTCGAAGGTGTTGATTCGTTGAAGTGGGTGGTTTCCAGCACTGCTAACATCAAGAAGATCAACACCGAGGGCTGGAAGGAGCTTTGCTAATCGAATCGTGTCTTCGACGTCCCAGCTACCGTATTTCTTGCCAATCTCTGTGTGGTCCATCCACTCGGTCGAGCTGACTCGGAGAAACAATGGCATGGTGTCTGGAATGACTTTGCGCATTGCCTGGATTACTTCCGTCAGAAATCGAGTACGATTTTCGAAGCTGCCACCATATTGATCGGTTCGTCGATTTGTAATAGGGCTCAGGAATTGGTGGTGAAGATATCCATGTGCAGCATGGATCTCAATAACATCAATGCCAGCTTCGACAGAGCGGCGCGCGGCGTCCGCGAAGGCTTTTACGAGCTCTTGAATCTCCGTCACGGTGAGCTGTCGTGGAGGGTAATATCCGCTGTCGTCGTTTAGTCCGTCCCAGGTCTCCTCCGGACCTCCCATTGGGCCGACAACATCATCGGGCCAGCCGCCAGCCTCTTTTGTCGCTCGTGCCCCAGTGCGTTTCCCTAACGTCGCAGCAACCCACTGTGGTAGGGTGCTAGCCTTGCGACCAGCGTGTGCCAGCTGAATACCCGACAATGCTCCCTGGGAACGAATGAAATCCGCTACCCGCTTGACCCCCTCAATCTGGCTGTCGTCCCATAGACCGGGACAATTCGGCGAGATACGTCCATTGGGTTGTACGCCGGTAGCTTCGATGAAGACCAGACTCGCACCCTTCAGAGCGTAGTGTCCGAGCGTTGCAATGTGATAGTCGGTTAGCTTGCCAATGTCTGGCCCATCCGGCGCCGTGCTGTACTGACACATGGGGGCAACGACAATGCGATTGCGCAGTGTCGTGCCACGGATCTTCAATGGCGTAAATAGTGTCGGTACAGGCTTGGTTTGGTCGAATGGCACACCGGGTGATGTCAAGTGTTGTGGAGTGAAATAAGGGATATTGGGAACTCCCACGTTCGTGCCCTTGGGCACTTCTGTACTCGTCATGGTGTTGTTAATGTGGAGGCAAAAAAATCGACCAAGGACTAACTAAAATGCAACGCTCTGATGGATGGAAATTTTGGCGTAGACTTTCATCAGCCAGATTCACTTATATAACAGGATACAGATGAGGGCTGTGGCCCCGGTTACTTCTGAGATATTGATTTCTAAGAATTCGAGTGTAGAATTGAACTTTGGCTTATCCCTCCTGCAGAGCTTAGCTTATTCAGGCTTGGAGTCGGAGAAGCGCCGATAACGTGCTTCTGCCGAGGCTGAACAAATTGTCAGTCACTCGGGAGTCGGCACTGATGCCGCAACGGTACTCAGGTGATTGGAGAAACTCTGACTTGAGTCCATGACAGGGCGCGGGTGAGGTTTCGAGGTATGAGTGAAGAAAACAATGTCATTATTCATGCAAGCACGGTCGTCTGCTTATGCTTAAGGGAAGGATATTGGAATATTTTAAATTTGTCATTTGTGGTTGCGTCGTCCTCAATGAAAGCGATGGTACACTCCTGACCAACCCTCTCGCTGCATATCAACTGGTTTACCATGGTAATTCATAGCCTTCCCTATGCCAAAACTTGCCAGTGTCCTCCAACTCTTTCTTGCTGACAATGTTCTCCCATAATTTGATCGCTGCCTCGTCTGCCTCGACGGCTTCGGGAGGCATACTTTCGGCAGGTAAAATGTTTGTCCTCACGAATCCAGGGTGCAGTAAAGTCACAATCACACCTTGCTCTTTAAGGTCGTTGGCAAGACTCTTGCCGATGGAATTGACAGCTGCTTTGGACGCGCGATATGCATAGTGTCCTCCGCTGCTGTTGTCCCCAATTGAGCCAACACGACTTGACACGATGCCTATCTTTGGCTTCGAAGATCTTAGAATGTTCGGAAGAAGTTCCTGTGTCAAAAGCATAGGGCCGAAAGTGTTTACTGCGAAGGTTCTTTGCAGAATATCTATGTTAGTTGTATAGAGCCCGTCTTTATCTGGGCCAGAAGCCACCCCTGTTTAGTTTCTCAGCAGAAGTCTTCGCTGTATTGTACCATGCGCTGACCTGCAATGTTAAGCAATAGATCAATTGCCTCATCACCAAGAACGTTCTTGAAATTCTTGATTGACTCGACTGAAGCCACATCGAGAACGTGAGTGGTGGCTTCAGAGCTCAGGTTCTGCAACCCATGTCCGTGGTCTTTATCGACAGCGTAGACCTTATATCCCTACCTGGAGGTCATTATACTGACAAAAGCACATGCATAACGAGTTGAAACAGGCTGACCTCGTTGATCAATATTATGGCAAATGCATGGCCAATGCCACTGTTTGCACCTGTAACGACCGCTGTAGGCATTGTTAGGATTTGACTATGGTCAGTATGTCCTCGATCTAATTGCATGAGGGATTTGGTTAGATGCATGCAAGAAGAATCCTGCTCGTCTCGCAGTGCTCATAAAGGTCAATGTTCAAGATCGACGGGTAATTACCAATCTGGCATGACGAGATCCAGGGCTGACGTACAGTTAATTGGAAGGCTCAAAAGCCTGGGGAGAAGAGAGATTGCTCCAAATCCGGGCAATGCGAGGAGCAGGAATTGGAGACGATCCAGGGATACTCTTGCCAAGGACACCAAGCGGAATTGGACGCCAGCCATCCCTGGTCACATCCATGTTCGCCATGACTCGCCACGCAATGGGTGGATTTGTCCCTAATCTGCCCACCAGCTTTCCCGCACTTTAGTGAGGCTCTAGGGAGCGATAAGCGGTCCTTCGCTGGATGGGCTTCGTGAAATGGGGGATTGACTTCGAACCGCGTTCAGTGCCATGCCCGCCACCAGACATCATGGTAGGATAAGCGTTGTAGTTCTTAAAATCCTGCAACTGCCTATCGCTTCTCCTGAGTTGCTTGGTCCTTTTGCGTCTCTCTGCACAGGTTGTATTATAGATTCCATGTATATATGTGTATGCTTGTCGTTGATGATGAAGTTATGATCGTTTGAGTGTTCGGTTTTGGCCTTCACACCCACAAACAGACACCTTATCGTTACGGGGTTCCACCTATCGTGCTTACTGAGAACGCCCGACACCTGTCTCGGGCATCGAACCTGCCTGCGTCACCCGGGATGCTTAAACTGTCCAAGTTGTTCAACACCACCAACAGAAGCGATGCGCCCGCCGCTCACAAGTATAACCTGAGCATCGATTCGTCCCACAATGGACTCCTCAGCAATGCTGATTCTCCTCGGTCGCGGCTCGGCCATAGACGACAATTGAGTCTTTCGAGATTACGATCAAGGAAAACTTTCTGTACGGCTACCGTCTTCGTAATATTGCTGCTGGTGTTCGCCTTGTCACCCGTGTCGGTCGATCAGCTTCGCGACCCTTTTCCTAGCCAGGCTCCGAAAGATTCGGTCGGAGATGCTGGGGAAATATTCCTGGACAATGAAGATGATGGTGGCATAATCCCTCTTGGTCAGTCGAGGGACCGAAATGGCAGGGAATTCTTCTGGTGGGAGCAATTTCCTCTGTGAGTCGATATCACTACCAGAAATGCGCACATGCTGACAATTGGATAAGACTTCGTGGACTATATCACGGTCGACAGACTATCGTCCCATTAGCACGATATGTTCCCGAGCAACAAAGCGAACCATCCGACCTCTTTGAAGTAAAAGTAACTGGCGATTTGGAGCTCGTCGTTTCACCCTCAGCTCTTGGGGAAAATCTACTTCCGTGTTATATTGACAGTGAAAACGAGATACTGCCTCCAAAACTATCGACCTACCTTGGATTACCTCAAGGACTGTCCGATCCATTATTCGGTTCGCAGGAAGAAATTGGGTTCAACACTGAAGTTTGCTACGACAGAGTCAATCGACTTGCTCCATACGGTCACGGCGTTTCGGAAGAAAAGGGCGGTCTTGGTGTTGAAATTGAAGGTGATCAAGAGGGGATTGAGAAGGTCACCCCAATTGATTGGCGCAAAATCAAGTGGAACTCCGCCCAGCAGCAATGCTTGAAGACAAACGCTGAGCAAATGAAGTCACGAACAGCATTTGTTATCCGGACCTGGAGCTCCTTCAAGTACTCGAAATACGATATTATCATGCTTCGAGCGATTATAAGCGAGCTTGCTCTAGCTACTGGAGGTGAGTATACAGTACATTTCCTCATTCACGTTCAAGACGACTCGCTACCTATATGGGCCTCGAAAGAAGTTTATGATCGGGTATTAGAAGAAAGCTTGCCAGAGGAGTTTCGCGGAATGGGCACACTATGGTCTGTGGCACAGATGAAGCTGATCTACCCACCACCATTTCCCGAAAGTGTCATCAATTTCTCGGGAGGAGATGTGTATGAGGCTTATCGTTCCTTGCATTTCCCATTCCAATACTTCGCTTCGAAACATACCGAGTATGACTATTTTTGGCATTGGGAGATGGACATCAGAGTCACAGGGCATTATCACGAGCTCTTGGATCAGATTTCTGGATGGGCCAACAAACAGCCCAAAGAATACGCTTGGGAAAAGTCGGCTAAATTCTTTATTCCATCCCAGTATAATGGTTCCTATGAAGAATATGCCGCTTCCATCGTCAAGGAGACTGAGGCCCTCGGCCAAACACCAATTGAAGGGCCGCAAATGGACGAGAAAGAACTTCTACCAATACCGAAGCAACAAATCCCCCCAGGGTTTGAGGAAATCACAGATCTTATCACCTTCAATCCTCTCTTCGATCCATCCCGTACCCAATGGGCGTTCCAGGGGGATATCACTGGTTATGAAGTGGGTGCCGATGGTGAAGGCCGACCGCCAACTCGTGCATCTCTCATCACTGCATCTCGCTTGTCCCGCCGTCTCCTGCTGCTGATGCATCAAGAGACATACCTGAATAAGCACACAATGTTCCCTGAAATGTATCCAGCCTCGATTGCTCTCCAGTATGGTCTCAAGGCTGTCTACGCGCCCCTCCCAGTCTATTTTGATCGTGACTGGCCTAGTGAGCATGCAAACGAAATCTTCAATAATGCCCCGGTTGGTGAAGAGGGCAAGGCTGCTGGGATGGACCACGGCAATGGTCGCTTCCACGGTGATGGAGGCAGTGTCTTTGGTCCGGGTGAACATGTTTTCCGTGGTGGAAGCTACTACTCAAATGCTCTCTTCTCCGGCTACTTGTGGAGAAGATGGCTTGGACGAGAAAACAAGAACGATGAAATTGCGTGGGAATTAGGCGAGGGGAGAGGTCGAATGTGCTTGCCTATGATGATATTGCACCCGATAAAGTACGAATGATGCCGTGGTATTGGAACAGAGGCTACTAGCCTTGATCCTAGCCTGTGATTCATTCTTACTTGCGGAGCATGACGTGCGTCGGATATGGGATTTGAAGTTCCCCTGCTTCAACTGGCTTGGGGCTAAAGGATATGGTTTACACACCCTTCTCCCCACTTCGAGAGCTTGCTTTAGAAAGAAAAGCACTGTCCGCAAGCTATTCCACATGAGGCACTTGGCCCAAAGGAGGGCTTGAGCAACCATCGCTTCCGTCCCTTGAGAATCAACGATTTCCTGAAGGCTTCTGTCATAGTGACATTCTTCATGTACTGGTCTGCTGACCTTGTGGTGGTGTGAGCTCAGGAGATGCCAAAAGCCATAGACTCTACAAGAAACCGACCAGGGCTTGCTTGCGACAGTTAAAAAGAGGAAGTCCAAATCAACAAGGAAAGCTGCCAGACATCCGACTTGTTTGAAGAATACAGCTTTCCGAGAAACGCTTTGTTGGTACTCTGGATTTGATTCATCATGACCAAGCTCCGACATATGTCATTGGAGCTGACGTTGAACTGGCCAATGTCAGTACTTGCGCGAAATGCGTTGCGGGAACAAGGACTTCCCTATCATGAAGGGATCGGTGATCAGGGCACATAGGAAGATGAGGTGCTATCGCTAGAAAATTGTGGCCTAGATGATCTACAGCCGCCTGATTTAGATCGCACTAAAAGTATAGATACAGGATTGTATATAATCAAGAGGAGAACAATAGATATTTTGTCAAACTACTATATACTGTCTCCAGGAATTTAGAAAATTGGTGGGCGCGATAAGATTTTCAAAACCCGGTCGAGGGGTGCCAAGAGTTGTCACAAGGCTTAACCATCAGGCTGACAACTTAGATACCTAGTAATTACCTAACCACCACAACCACTTAAATATTTCACGTATGGCCTTTACAATCTCTACAAAGTCCAGAAGCAGACAGGTATCATGGTTCAAGCAATTCAACTAGCTCATATCCCTTCAGACTTGACCTTGTTCGTTGCGCTTTACCGTGACGTCAAGAACGCGGCGTTTCTTAGAGAACAGCTCCTTGCTGGGAACACCGATTTCGAATATGCCTTTATTGACGCCAGCACGGTAAATTTTAGATGGGATCCATTCTCCATTCTCTTGAACCCGCAATTTCTAACCAGAACAGGTGATTTCTACCAAGCATGCCCTAGCCGCCGCTTTTCGCGCGATCAATGACTACCTGAATGACCGACTGAAATCCAGAAACGTCCACTCAGAGACTGTCTATGCGCTCAGTCCAAATAATAATGTTTGTCTCTGGCCTAGCCACGGATGGAGGAAATTGCACTAACGTCAACAGATCGGTGAAGCATTTCGCAGGTTTGGTGTGAGTGAAACGACAAAGGACTTGCTGGTCATGAAAATCGCCACGCAGATTCAAATCACTCAGGAAAGCGTGACCCGCCATCTCGGCGATAACATCCAAGGGGAGGAAGTGCCATTCGAGGATCGGTCAATCCAGGATATCAGCGACATCAACCGAATCAAGAAAATTTATAAGATCGCTCCGCCCCCAGCGCGTAAGGGCAACAAACAAGTCGCTGGCGATTCCGGCATCTCGAAAGATCAAACCAGTAATCTTGAAGTTCAGATCCTTGGAGCAATGGCATTGAGGGGTGCGACGTGAACCTTTTTATGATGGTAATGGGCGCATAATCTTTACACAAATACCCTTCGGGGCCGTCGCAGTTTCTTCTACAGTTTCATCATACCTACTCAAGGACGACAACTGCATTCTAAGCACGTCTCATGGAATGAATTGGAGGTGAAAGAAACTTTCACGGATCTGGCCAGAAACCAACCCACCCGAATATGGACTCCAGACCTTCCGAGCTTCGTGCCTAGAATTGGAAGTAGCGCAATTCCCTACTTGATACGGGGAACGTAACCGATGCAAGGTGGACTAAATTTGCATGCCACGTGGATTTGATTAGTCTCACGGCGGCAGATCGAAGACGACGTACTGTGCACTTTGATGGTTTTAACTATGACTTGCAAGGCTGCAGTCGTTTGTTACTAGCAGCCCTCACATGTTCATTTCAATACTAGTGCCAAAAACCTGTGTGGGCGGACCAGAAGTCTCTTTACGGCCTTTAGACCAGGGATTCTCTCTGGCATCAATGGCATAGTACTGATTTTGCGACCAAAAGTCTGATGGTCTTCTTCATCTGGAGCCTGGTTGCATTCAAACATGCCTCAATCACAACTGCCGAACCTCGATGGTTTACTGCCAAGAAAGGGTGCCTTATGACTGACGTGACTCGCTGGCGATCAGCCCTTCCTGCCTCAGTCTCCTCACCTCATACGTCAAGCCACCTTAACCCACCTTGCTCAGACTGCCTCGCCGACTCGAACCTTTGCTGCAAGTTGGAAATGGGCTCGAGAACTCGAGATTGCCACCCGGTGCCTGTCGTGTTTCCCTCTTCCATGAGGGATTGTCATCAATCCTCCTTCGGTGTCTGTATGTGTCTTGACAGCTCCCAATAGACAGGAGATCCTGTAAGAGAGCAGAATGGGTCTAGGTCATCTGCATGCCTCTAACAAATCAAGCCACGTTCGCATCTTGCAATATCGGCAGTCGATTCAAATGCACCTCAAAGTAATAAGAAGCTCCAGTGGTCCGCCCCTCCCCCGTCACCCCGTGTGCCCGCGCCCCAAGGAGTTATGACCCCCGGACTGCCAAGAGACATTACTTTAACGATCCAGTGGCGGGACAATACTCGATTCGCTTCCTCCATTCTACTTCCCCATCACCTCCATGGCCAAGCCAATTTTTTACGCTTGGCCACAACCTATGCCCTGTTTGCCCTTGGTGGCCAACCCATCATGAAGCTGTCCAGTCCGGAGCTCTTTTCCCATGTCATTTATCCGTGTTCACGCATGCTTTTTAGCCTGTCGTTGTGTTTCTGTTGTCTACCGTGAAAAGAAGCCGATGTGAGCCAAAATGGAAAGGGTGTCTCATCCGGCGGAGTTGCTCGTGTTCTCGTACGCCTTTGGTTGATCGAAGCCTCGCCTAGAAGGTCCGGAGACCTTCTGATCAAAAGTGTGGGGCTGCCAATGAACAGTGGACCATTTAATGATCTACCCGTTGAAAATATAAACATCTATTGAGCTGCCACTCGCCTGACATCAGCACTGAGTCCCTTGTTCCTCAAGCACATCTATCCTTCCGAATTGTCAATCTTGAAGCGAGATTCACGAACGACAATGGCTCATATAGCAACAGGTACACTCAAGGCGTCCGAGTTTGACCACCTTGAGCTGGATCCCAACAAGGAGAGGAGCGACCATTCGAGTGAAGAGGTGGAGTGGACTGAAGCTGAGGAAACTTCCATCAGAAGGGCCATTGACCGACGCATTGTTCCAATCGTTACGCTATTGTATCTCTTCTGCTTTCTTGATCGGGCAAATATCGGAAATGCACGAATCCAGGGTATGGCTAAAGACCTCGATCTGGTGGGATACAGGTTCAACTGGGCCCTGAGCGTCTTTTACATTGTCTATCTCCTGGTCGAAATTCCTAGCAATATTCTTCTCAAGTATATTGGACCACGCTTTTACATTCCCATGCTTGTGGTAGGATTCGGATTTGTCTCACTATGCACGGCCTTTGTCAAGAATTTTGCCGAGCTATGTGCTTGCAGAGCCATTCTGGGTATCTTCGAGGGAGGGACCATGCCGGGAATAGCGTTTTACCTCTCAACATTCTACAAGAGACGAGAGCTGTACTTCAGAATTGGCATCTTCATTTCCGCTGCCTCCATCGCAGGTGCCTTCGGTGGTTTGTTCGCAACAGCACTATCGTAAGTGAAGATCATGGGCTCGCGATAGATCAACCACTAACGAGTTTCAGCCGGATACCTCGCTGGGGCACTGAATCTACCCCTATTCACACGTAAGTGGTATGCAAACTTTGAAACTTGTCGCAAACCTAACAACAATCTGCAGCTGGAGAAACATCTTCTTCTTTGAGGGAGTGGTAAGTTGGACTACAAGTCAATGGACGGACCTCAATCCTAACAAACATTGTAGCTTACTATCTTCTTCGCCTTGTTGGCACCGATTTTCATGCCATCAAACCCTCAAACATGCTTTTTCCTCAGCGAGCGCCAACGATACATCGCGAATGAACGTCTGATCCGTGAGCATAGAGCTGTAAGTGTCTCTGAGAACCAACCGAGTCCATCGATGCTAATAAATGTCAGGATCCACACGAGAAAGTCAAGTGGAAGCATATCAAAGCTGCGATATTCAACGTCAACAACAATCTGGCTGCGCTTGGTTTCCTCTTGATCAATGTTACCGTGCAAGGACTTTCCATCTTCCTGCCAACCATCTTAGCTGCCCAAGGCTGGACTGCGACCAAGGCTCAACTCTATTCAGTCCCGCCTTATGTAGCTGCCTGTGTCATTGCCATCATGATTGCATACACTAGTGACAAGACTCGAAGGCGCGGTATCTTCCTTGCAGTCGCGACATTCTTCCCGATTGCTGGTTTCTCGATTCTTCGATGGAACACGAATCCCAATGTTCGATATGCAGCTGTTTTCCTGATCACCACGGGTGCTTTCCCAGGAGGTCCAGGATTCATGTCTTGGGGTATTAACAGTAAGTCTCTTCTGTTCAAGATCTGGCAAGCTCGATTGCTGATGAAAACTAGACTCTGCTGGCCCAGCAGTCAGAGCTGTTGCCACGGCATATATTGTGTCAATCGGGACACTCGGTGGTGTCCTTGCTACGTAAGCCCCTTCATCTCTTACTCACAGATCGTGAGAGACTAATCGTTTGCAGATGGACATATCTTCTTCGTGATGCACCTCGCTACCCAATTGGTCATTCTATCAATCTTGGTGCACAGATCCTTGTCCTGTGTGTTGCGTCCTTTGGTATCTTTTACAATATGCGAGAGAATCGGGTACGAGCGGCTGGAAAGCGAGACCATCGCTTGGAGGGACTCAATGAGGACCAGAAGCGAGATCTTGGTCATCATCACCCAGAGTTCAGATACATCCCTTGAGGTGGTTAATCGCTCTGGGTGGATGAGGTAGTTACTTCTACGAAACAACTATGTATGAGATTGACACGTAATTGAAAATGCACTTGGCTTTGCCTTGAGACAATTGATATAGTGGCAAACTTTTTAATAGTGACAAAGACAATGATGGCAGTAGCTTGCAGTGGTTTTTTTTACTTCTCATCGACTTGAATTCAACGGCGTTGAGGCGTGCAAGGACCATTAATTCCGTGCCACGTGACCCTGACGATTAATCGACGTCATTCTAGAAGATGCCTCAAGTCACGACCACGCAGCTCTTATTATTGCCTGCGCTTCGTCCTCTTCCCATCATCACCATCTTCATTATCTTCCTCGCCATCATAAGTCGTCCTTGGACTGCGATTCAAAATGTCCTTCATACTCAGGAGGCCGTTTGCGGTCTCCTCTAACGCTTTCAAACAACTCGGCAAGCCATCCTCCTTGATCCGATCATTTCACGCCTCCAGCTCAAAGTCTTCGGCGAATACATTCTTCAACCCACGACCCGCCACCAGCGCGCAATCGCTACTGAAATCGACTGCTCTTCGGAATGGATTCAAGCGCGGTTATCAAGTACCATCATACCAGCCTGCCAATCCAGCTGCCTCCGGAAATCTGACAACACGTCTGTTGTATGGAGCCGCCCTCGTGGGTGGCACGATTGTCGCCACAAATATGATCTTCAACCGCGAAACTCGTGAGGATGGCGGAATGCCCCAGTATGAGCGCGAGTACCTCAACCAGACGTTCATGCACACCGGTCTGGGTATTGGTATAATTGGCGTCGCTGCTCGGGCATTGCATACAAGTGGATGGAGTTATCGCCTCATGGCCACAAACCCATGGCTGGTTATTGGTCTATCGTTGGCTGCTTCATTTGGTACAATGTATGGCACATTCTATACACACCCCGATAAGTAAGTCTCTCACAAGTTCCCAACAACTTTCACATGACTAACCCTTGTGAAATTAGCTACGTCCAGAAATATGCTTTGTGGACTGCCTTCAACGTCGCCCAGGCTGCAGTTCTTTCGCCACTGCTGTTCATGAACCCAGCCATTCTCGCTCGCGCTGGTCTCTACACCGTTGGCATGATGGGTAGTATTGCATTCGTCGGAGCCACTGCCAAGCAAGAGAAATACCTGTATCTAGGTGGTCCATTGCTCGCAGGTGTCGCCATCGTCGCCATCTCTGGATTCGCACCACTCGTCCTACCAGCCACCGCCGTCCGAACTCTAGCCTGGACCGAGAACATCTGGCTCTATGGTGGCTTGGCTGTCTTTGGCGGCTTCACGCTTTATGACGTCCAAAAGATCTTGCATCACGCTCGCATGAGTGAGCGGGGTCTCGTCCGCAAGGATGTTGTGAATGAGAGTGTCCATCTGGAACTCGATTTCCTCAACATTTTCATTCGCTTTGTCCAAATTCTGGGCATGAGAGGTGGCAACAACAGGCGATAAAATGTTTCACAGGGATACATCATCGTGAACAAGTATCCTTTTGACCCCCTGATGTTCTCTGATGGCTCGTCAGCTAGCTCAGGCGATAAGGCTGGTGTTGACCAGGAGTGCTGAGATGCCACTATTGGTATTCCAACAAAATGTATATAACACTAAAAAACGAGACTGAGAAAAAAAATCGAAAAACTCTTTCCACTCCACTTCAGGTTCAAATCATTACTACAGCGGGCTCGATCAATCTTGTCTTCTATTTGTGTTTACATGTTTTTGCTAATCTTCATTCAGGGATGGAGAGCAGCAAGAATCTATCCGACAGGACATCGATCTAACACCACCCCTGGCTTCATGGCGCACAATATATCGTCGAATATCTTTGCACAGTTATGGAGGCAACATTCAATTGGACGCTGTCTCAGCTGAAACTGCAGTCCACTTCGTCCTTCTGTGTTTGCGCAATGACCAGCCTCGCCGAGTATCCAACAGCATCCACTTACCAACTTACTCTCTCGAGGTTATGTGCCGCCCCTAAACGCCGAGAAGCCAACCGCGGCTTAAGCCCTTGAGCCGCACGAGGCTTCGTGTGAACTTCTCGATGACAGCGCGACCCACCAGCAGCCCTGGCGCCGACATTCAGTTTTTCTCTAAATGGCAACCTTCAGAATGGTTTGGCAGACGTACAGTTTCAAAGAGGTTGTGTGTCTGCAAATTGTACTAAAAAACCTGCAATGTTAATTACTAGCTCAAGGACCCGGTGTTGATCTCAAAAGGTTCCATGAAATACGAGCAGTCAAACGAGCAACAGTAAACCTGTGGGTTGTACGGCGTCATGACTGAGCTACCTCTTCTAAGTGGCTAGGGACTTACTGAGTCGGAAACGAAGGATCCAGCCACGTATACTACCTAAGGTAATTATTGATAAAATTACGGATGAGCTATCCTGTCAGCTATACTGAATGCAAGGTAAGCTATCGCAAGTACTGATGGCCATCCAGAGAGGATAGTCATGCTCTTTTCGAGCAGCAAGATGCCATTTCATATCGGGATATATTGTCACCTTGCTCCTAAACTATCACCCTAACCTGACAGATTCGACGTTGACGCGAGATGCCTGATCGTACGGCAAAGCACTCTTAGCTCTTGGCTTGTGCCTATTGGTGGTGATCAGATCAAATGAAGGGAAATATATTGGTGCGCTTTTGGCACTGTATCATGTTACCTACAGAAGACTTGACGTCAAGTATAACCGCAAGCTTTCATCCATGATAACACACTACATGCATATAACGGCAGAGCAGACACGTTGAGTAGGGACACATGGTCGAGAATACTCGACCCCTCATCGAGAAATTGCTTATTGGATTCTACCATATCATGATTGCCCCGATGAAATAAACCATTGCGGCAACGGCACGCCCCGGATCAGCCACCTTTGTAAGCTAGGCAAACACCCAGCCATATCGTATACGAGTGCGTTTTGATGTGTGTGAGGTGAAGTGTGTGAGAAACGCCGCAGATTGATATAAAGCCAAAAATTAAACATTGAGCTATCCATTCTGCTCGAGAAGATCGTGGTCTAGACCCACATCTCGTGTTGTTTTTCATGCGTTTTTGTGCAGCCTCTTCCCCTGTCCGCTTCTGCAGGGATCCTTGGAGCCCACTGGCCGGCGAGTCTCAGTGACAGTCGCTCACTCCTCAGGTCGACACTTTCTAACGTTCTCCTCTTCCGAATCTAGACGAACCCACCTGTGCGTAAGACATCCGCGTGTGTCGTGTGCCTTAGACCAAGAACTAGACTAGTTCAACAAGCCATCTATCATTCGCGCATTGGGAAGCCTCTTGAAATCTGCTCCTCGTATGGAGCATCTGAGCATTTGTCGTACTCGGTATCTACTAAGTAGGTATAAAGTATTACACCCTCTTTTGAGCCACCTAAGGCAATTGAGTGTAGCATCTATTTTATACCTGTACTCATATTGTATTGAACTACACCGTCCGCTTCACGGGCGACAAGGATTGGTGATGCCTGAAGCTGAAGGACGCCCACTGCACTCTTCGCCCCTGTCTGGGGCCGACGAGGGGATAAGCATCCGACTGAATGCTTTACTTTGTCCACGCAAAAAGCCTTTATATATCCCTCATCGTCTCGCACCCATTTCACTTCCCAAACATTATCCTGTTCACACACAAATGAAACCATCGCAGCTGGACTACTCGTACATGATGTCTCCAGAAATCACTAGCAATATCACCTTCGGGATTCTGACATTCATGCTTGGAAGCTTCGCAATCTGGCAGACGCACCAGACGCACCAGCCTCGCAACGTTGCTTCTAGTATGTGTGTTTCGTTGTCCTTGGTTCTGATTTTGCGGATCATAAATCCAGGCATGCTTTTACCTCTTACCCAACAAGACACTTTCAACACCTATCAGTCTCAAGGCACTGTCTCACTCCAAGAGGACCAAGAGGTCGATGTTGCCTCGAACTCGAACTTAAACCCCGTTGCCTCGCATTCAATTAACAATCAGGATGATCAAGTCTGAGAAGGTGCTCTCAGTGTTGTGGGGCTGAGATATGCCGACCATTGGAGTCAGGTCAAGGAGATTTGAGGATCAATATGATCAAGGGACACCACGTGGGCAGAGGTATCATGCCAGGCTTTCATACGTGCCATTACCGAGATGGAAGGGTCTCCATGTTCAGGCAAGAATAAGAAGTTCTTGTTGCTGGTTGGTGGGTGTTGTTGCACAGGTTCTGAGATGAGATGCTGGTCCCGCAAGGCTGAAGCCCCTTGGCCCTTACTAACTACAGTGCTTAACTAGTTAGACTACCAACCAAACTCAGTTGGAACAGTTCCAACCACCGCAGGTCATCTGGATTACCATGCTAGTTTGCTAAGTAGACAAGTTCGACATCTGTTTCAGACACCGTATGCTGTTTAGACTGTCAGATTTTCACAGCGCCAAATTATTTCTCCCGCAGTAGCAGCATTTCGGCATTTACTTTCCGGATCGTCTGAGATACTAATAGTTAATCATACTCGGAGTAAATGAGCCACGCCTTTCCATTCGTTCCTAATCTTCAGCCACCTCGCATTCGGCGACTGGAAAAAATCTCCCTATGCTGGATGGCGTCAAATCTCGCTGGTGTAAGGGAGCTTTTGACTAGCTTCAAGACCTTGACTTGGAAGGTTAGTCATTTACGCCCCGACCAGAGAGATGGTTGAGCAAGAACACGAGCGTTACCCGAACGTTCTCGGTTTGCCCATTTCCTTCTTCGGAGGGTCGAAGTTGGGCTCTTGCAAGCAGAATTTAGGTCGAAATCTTTCAGAAACCCGGTAAGAAAAATCTCCCATGCATTGCCGAGAATCAGGATGACATACTCAAGAATAAAGCAACATCCCGAGTCAAGTCGAAGTGGACAGACCCCCTCTGCTATTTGTCAGACATTTGCCAGACGATTGCACTTTGAGTGACCCAAATGATGGTCTCCGGGTTCCACTGCTGATCACCGCCAGAAGAATAATAAGGAACAGCGCTGTTAGGCTCGCAGCGCCTGCAAAATTTCCAAAGTGGGAAATAAGTGTTTTGACACGAGCGAGGGAAGTACCAGGTGCTGTTGAGCTAGTGTTGTTCTTCCGGGCGCAGAATAAGGGATTAAAAGATGCGAGCAAGGTGAAGATAGTCAATATGAAATTAAGAATTCTCTAGATAAGCAGTAGTCCTGTCATGGTGTACGCTCACGAAAGTCGACCGCTGAGCGGGTGACTGTCGACAGAATACAAGGCAACTAACCAGGCTGGGGTTTTCCTGACCTTTAAGCAAGGGAATATCCACTGCATGACACTGATTTTCCATACCCTGGTTGAACGAGACATCCACATGGTGATTTGCAAAAGTCTTCCAACAATGCTACCATGTTACTAGCTATGTACTTACATGGCTGTTATACTAGATTTGCGAGAGACGCCATCACTGCACGGGAGCCAAAAGAACACTGATATCGCGCCGAGCCTAAATGCTGTGAAAATTTATAATTTCACAGCATTTGAGCTTGGCCCGCTAGTGCAGGGACTCTGTCTCTTATATACCTTGAAGAAGATTTGAGGAGTTTAGCATGCCATTTCTATCAAGAATGAAAGCTATGCTGTACACCCTTTAAATGGAGAGACGTTGGGGAGGGATACTGTCGCCCCAAGCTCAGCCATCCAACTTTCAACTTGACAAAATCTTGAACGGCCCTAAGCAAAGATTCTCAAAGGCTCATGAAGGTAGTAACCAGGATCATTAAACCTGAGACCTTTATCCAACGCACTGATCTTCTCGATCTGCTCGTCGGTCAAATCAAAGCTCCCATCCACGACATCGAGATTCTGCTTGAGACGATCGGGATTATTCGACTTGGGGATGACGGCGATGCCGCGCTGGGTGGACCAACGCAGCAAGACCTGGGCGGGGGTCTTTCCATGGGCGTCGGCGGCGCTCTTGACGGCGTCCGTCTCGAACAGCGTGGAGATGCTCTCGGGCCGCTTGCGGAACGCCTCGGGCAGCTCGAGGAAACTCTGGGGCCCGAAGGATGAGTACGCTGTGACAGCGACATTCAGGTCCTTGGCGAGCGCGACCAGGTCCGGCTGGACGAGATACGGGTGGTGTTCGATCTGCAGAACAGACAGCGGGTGGCGCGCGTACGTCGTGATGTCGTAGAGGATCTGGGCCTGAGCGTTGGAGATGCCGATGGCTTTGGCAATGCCCGCGTCCACGACCTCCTCGAGCGCCTGCCACGTCTCCTGGATCGAGACGTTGGCTCGCGCAATCGTCTTCTGCTCGGCGTCCTGCCACCATCCCGGATACCGGAGCTCATCCGGTGAGATGTACTTCAAAGCGATCGGAAAGTGGATCAGGTACAGGTCGATGTAGTCGAGGCCCCAGGCTTCGTTTTGGGCCTTGGCCATCGACAGTGCGTGTTCACGCGAGTGATAGTTGTTCCAGAGTTTCGTGGTGACGAAGATATCCGAACGTTGGACGAGTCCTTCCTTGATGGCTCGTTGGATGCCCTGGCCGGCTTCTTTCTCGTTTTGGTAGTCGTATGCCCCGTCGAAGAGGCGATACCCATTTTTAATTGCCTATTGGTTGACGTCATGGGTGTGATTAGCAGGTGGGATGGGGAAAATAGTGAATCGCTGGGTCTCTATCGCTGATTTTGAAAAGGGTGATAAATCATACATTGTAAACGGTCTCGGCGGCTTGGTCGGCAGGGACTTTCCACAGCCCAAATCCAGCTTGGGGCATGGTTGTCCCCGAAGCCAGCTTGAGACTTGGTGTTGATGGTGCCATGGTGTATTCTCGATATTCCTTCTGCACCCAAGGTTAGGTATTCAATGTAGATCAAGAAAAGCCGGGCGAGTCTTCTTCAAGCTCAAGTATGATCGGAAGGAGATGAAGATACTTATTTATTGAAGAAAAAAGGATCCGAGTGAAATGTTCCGTTCTTTAATGGGGAGAATGAAGTCAGGTCAAGCAAGGTATTTAACGTACCCAATCCGCACACATCATGATGGTCGAGAGGCTTTTCCACTTGGTTTAGACCCGAAAACGTGCAGTTTTCCAGAATTTTCTCTGTCAGTACGAAGCGGCGGAACCCACAGTACGCATATCTGGCAGAATTGCAACCCAGGACCGTCACGAGTTATCCTCACAGGGCTCAATAATGATGGGTGGATGATATGCATCGAGCACGGACCTAGGAGGACCACCCCGAACCCTGATATAGGCTAAATAACAGGGGGTGGTTGACTTTATTCGCCTTTCATACGAGGTAAGTTGACGACCCTTCAAGTGGCGCTCATTCAACTTAGTTGTGTGCGGCTGGTGGGGACGGGTGAAGGACTCTGCCATCATTTGGGAATATCAGTGCGAGCAGTGTCTGGTGACTATTGGATCATTTTGGGTAATAGTGACGTTCTTCGCTGGGTTGTTTAGGTACCTAGGTACTGCTTAGGGCTGGACATTCCCCGAGGGTCCGAGCCTGTAAGGGACAACTAGGCTTCTATTAGCTCTTCAAGATTACATAGGTAGTTATAACTCCTGGGTGGCACTTCGTCACGTGAAAACATAAATGCACGTGACTATTGATATGGAGACCCTCCTCTGAGAGATCGGAGGAAAGGCCAAACGAGCAAGAAAGGAAAAGCAAGGGCAAGGAAGGAAAATGATTTTTGGTCTCAGCAAAATACGCAGCAGCTCGTTATCAACCAAGCGACCCCAGTCATCCACTTGTTTTATCTTCTCCATCGCTTCCTTCGTTCCAGCTCTATCGAATGCTCAACAATCCCCCCAACGGTAGTTTCATCATCGTCATAATTAGCCACAGTCACGCGCTCCCAGACCCAGGCTCACGCTATAGATATCTCCCCTGGATGTGTGGGTGTTCGTAGACACACGATTCTACACAAAACGAGAAAGAAGACATCCACCTCATAACCAAATAGTTCAAGCACCGGTGGGATCTCCCAACTGATCCGCGGAATATCATGATTTTCGTCTCGGCCACCAATGCCTCTGTCTATTCCTCAAATTAATGCTCGTAGACCGGAGCCTTGAACAAGACGTTGGCGGCATTTTCTTTATTTGTGCCTGCTGCAGCACTGCCAGGCTCTTTCCCGGCAGCTTGTCGATCTGCATTGTTGCCGGCACCTTTGGATCTGACTTCAATAGCCAGGAATACAGCAAATCGGATCCGGCCTTCGTTTGCTCCCGGTGGTGGTACACCCAACTGGCTCGGGTCGACTGCCATACTTTCTCTGACGGTTCCACGATGCTGCTGCTGATCAATGTCGCGATCACCTGAAGCATTGCTTCCCGTATCACCACGATCTTGCCCTACTTGAGGATTGCGAGTGTTGGGTGGCGCCTTCTTAGACACGAATCCACCAAGGAATGATGATTTCTTAGATTTACTGTCACCAGAAGAACCTTTGACTGTGGCTTGAGAACTCGTAGAGTCATTGCGTCGATCTAATTGAGCTCCGGGACCTCCACCTTGACCACCAGGTTGTTGTGTGGATTGACTGGCAGCCTTGCCTGCAGCTTCCCGAATTTCGGCTTCAACGTCGCGGTCACGGGGTCCATCGTCGGTGCTGGCCGTGCTTTCGGCATCCTGCGCATCCTGCATGGCTTGTTGCTGGGCTTGCTGCATGGCGAGGAGGCGCTCATCGGGGCCCGGATTGGTCAATGGTGTCATCTGAGGCTCGATTTTCATGTATGTCTCATTCACAGGTGTGCCGGGCATGAAATATTCAATGCAGATGTCGCGAGATTCCAGGGGAATGTTGGCAGCAACTCCAATAGCTTGACCAACGATCATGCCCACCCCTTCAGAGAGACCTGGTGGAGGCGGGTCGGTAAGATTGGCTTTCAGAGATTCAGTGAGCTGATGGGTAAACATCTTATTGAGATTCTCGATATATTGCTCGGCTTGTGGGGACGTCAAAACATCTCCCAGACCTTCAATAGTGGTAAGACGCCAGGTTGTGATCTTGGTTGTGAGGTCATCACGCTGTTCGTCAGTCAGGAGTAGACCGGCTTGCCCAGAGCGGCGAAGGTTTCGTTCGACGTTTTTTAGTTGAGCAGACAAGCCAGGATCAATACCAGGATGGAAAGTACGCTCAAAAATGCTTTCAAATAACCAGCGAGTGATGCATGCTCGGCCAACTGCAGTCATCTCCTTGGTCCCAACGGTATGCGCATCTTGATTGCAGACGTGGCGCAGCCATGGAGGCACTGCACGCCAGTTTTTGCGGATGTTAAAAGCGAGATTGTTAATGGCATTGCTTAGTCGCTCGAACCGAGCAGTGTATTGAGCATCATCTAGGGAAGTCTTGGACATGGAAAGGCGTTGATTGGCAACAGTGTTTTGCAATTGGGTCACTTGGGCCTCACGCTCAAAGTAGTAGCGTTTAACTTTGGAGTACTTTGCTTGAAGCTCTTCGTGGCGTTGTAGTAACTGGTGGTAGTCTAATTGGCCGATGTCTTCTCGAGTTCGGGGAGGTGGAGTGCTTCGACCTTGTTCCGAAACTTGTTGCGACATTCTCACTCGTGGATCTTGCTGACTCTGACCCTGATACTGGGCATGTTCGTCCGCTCGAGGGTCTCGCTGAGAGAGCTGTTGACGCAGACTGCCGTTGCCTTGGTCCCGATCCCGATCTCGATCACGGCCCATGGCTTGTGGAGGAGCAGGAGGAGGTTGTGGGTTGGCTGACTGAGAAGAGAATCGATTGGTATTAGTGGCACCGGTGGAGGGACGTGAGTCGATTTGACCGGCGTTGATGATGGGAGAGGGAGGTCCAAGGGACGCCTGGGAGGGAGGACGCAGATGTGAGTAAAGGCCTGTACCGACTTCGTTGGGTACAGCACTTTGAGCCTGGTAAGGCAGATAGTGTTCGGAAGTATTGGCTGAGTGTGAGATATGGTAGGCCTGATATGATTCCTGCTGAGGACTGAAGGACGGGGCGTCCTCCACGTAATCAACAGATTGATGGGCGTTCTGGCTCTGAGGTGAGTCGTATTGACCTGAGCCTTGTGCCTGAGAGGGCCCTCGGTTGTACTGGTCGTAGATCTGATCTTCAGACTGGGGAGGGGCAGATGAATCAGGAGATTGGTAGAAGACAGAGTGTCGATTGCTGTACTGCTGAGGAGAGTTCTGCTGGGAGTAAGAATCGCGAGGATTGTCGGGCTGTGACTTTCTCAGTAGATGGACTGAGCTTGATCGGCCAATGCCCTTGCGTGGAGGCGGCTCTGTAGAGGAGTTTTCCTTGTCCTTTTCGCGGTCTCTCTCCTCGTCCCTTGGTTTGTCTTTGATGAGACTGGTGATGAAGCTTCTCTTGGATTTCTTGTGGGCTTTCTCTTCAATAACACGGACGTTTTTGGATTGACCAAAGCTAGTTTGACCAGGGACGGGAGCTGGGCCTTCTGGGATGGCTTGTTGTTGTGAAAGCGGGGGAACAATATTCACACTGGGCCGTTGTGCGCCATACAAGTCGCCAGTTGAGGGGGAGCGACCGCTTTGGCTGCGAATCGGATGGTGGGGAGGTTGGGGATGAGATTGAGATTGAGACTGAAGATCTTGATACTGAGGATCTGATGGAGGGGGAAGATGAGACTGTTGTTGCTGCTGCTGCTGCTGCTGCTGATGTTGTTGGCGCTGCAAGCGGTCAGAGTGGGAGTGATCAAACTGGGATCCACTGTAGACGCTGGGGTGAGGCTGGTGTTGGTGTTGGTGATGCGTAAGATGCTGCAGCTGCTGGCCGTGTTGATTGTATGTGGGATCAGTAGGACTGCTGTCGCGAGAACCTGCCAAACGATCTTCTATAGAGGCCTGCGACTTGTTGGACTTGAACAGCCTCATTGAAAGAGGGTAAAAGTGGATGGGGAGGTGGTAGCTGCTACTGCTACGGTTTCCGTCTCGGACTGGGGGCGGGAAGAGCAGGTGCAGGTGCAGCAGTATCCGTATGGAGCACCTAGGTAAGGGCAAGGAGGGAGAAACTCGAGGGGAGAAACTTGAAGAGAGCGGGCGGAGAAGGACAATAGGGATCAAATCAGGGTTGATAGGGCGATCAGCTCAGATGATGCGGCTGATGCTAAGACTAACTAGGAGTTCACACTCGTATGAGTGGACCATAGGACTCCAAGACGGAGAGATATCCAAATCATGAGAATCAAATGGTGATGGTGGGAGTAGGAATCGGAATGTGAGATGAGTGGGGGAAAGAATGGATAGACATGGTAGGAATAGATACAGCCTACAGGCACCTAACAACCTGGGGCACAACCATAGGCACTTCCAGAGACATGAGGGGACAGATATGCATAGCAGGCGACGCAGAGACGGAGACGGAGAGAGACTACGGGATAACAATTTCACCAGCTTGGAATCACGATAACAATCAGCTCGATTTTGTGGGTGAAAAGAAAGCCACAACAAGAAGCTAAGAGGGAACGAGTGGTGTACTCGTAGGAATGAAATTGTTCTGGTGTAGTTAAGGCAGTCTACGACCGAGGTGAGGAGTCTTAGGGCCTTGGAGTCCCTGAGTAACGAGAACAGCTTGAATAGCTTGGGGGTGTGGTGAATGCCTAATCAAATAGTGTCATATTCAGCTGGACATCCTTTGAACTGCATCCAATGGACAGCTGTTAGCTGCTTGGATTAGCTCCCGCAACAAGAAACAGCTGCCAAACAGACAGTGCACAATTTGATGCATGTCACTGCTGTGACCTGAAGGCTGTCAGCCCTACTATTTAATCTTCTTAGGGATGCCTTCGGGAGTCAATCTTGCCCTAGCCGATGCCATATTTAGTACTCCGTAGACGCTATCCGGTTGAGGACACTCGGCGCCGTTCCAGCTCGAGCTCAAGCACAAGGCCTTGGGCCCCTCTCCTTAATGCCACATGGGCGAGATAGGCTCGGACCAGCGTACCTCGTAAAACTCAAGGGTCATGATTCAAGCCACTCGGGCTGGCCTGACAGGCACTTTGGGGGCCACTTTAGGCTTCAACTTTGCACTTTCTCATGGCAGGCAAATAATCTCCCCCACTCAGGCTCTGGTTCCCCTCATAACCGAGAACTTCAAGCTGGTGTAGCAATAGCACCTAATTAGTCGTACAGTGTTCATGATCATCTCTCGTCGTTGCTCATTCCGCATCTTCATCATCGAAAGATGGTAGCACAACATCCCATTCCCCATCATCTTCCATTTCAACCTCGGGTGTTCCGTCGAAGAGATCTTCCTCATCGCCTTGCATCTCCTTGGATGCGGCTTTCAGCCGGTATGCCACCCATGAGCCATCAGTCAATGATGCTGCCAATGGACTTTCATTGATCACACTGTTGTTGCCCCCCACCTTCTTTTTGCCTCCTCTGCTGCCTATCAACACCTTTTCCTTGACCTTGAGTGAGACCCATCCTTTGCTTGCATCTTTCTTGTCTGCCAGAACCCCAAATTCTAGATCATCGGCGTTCTCAGGAAGCGATAATGTTGACCCGGGCAGAGTATTGAGGCCACGCGCTTGCAGGGCGCCGAGCAGCAGCACTTTGATGTCGGCGAAAGGTCTGGTCGGCTGCACTGATAATAACGTAGTTGACTTGTGGCATTTGAAAAGGAGAGTGAGGGTTTCTGGTGCAGGGGCACGGCCCAGTTCGGAGGAGACCTCTTGATCCGCGTGGGAAGCCATTGTCTGACAGAAGGGATATAGCAGATGCGCTGCGTTGCGTGGTGAAACTGATGGAGAGATGATGTTGTGCAACTATCTTCCGCGCTCACTGGCAATTGCGACTGCGGGCTGCTCCTGGCTATCTTTTCGTGTCCGACGCGTTCGCGGGGTTGACTTTTTAATTGACGTGAAGAGGCAGGAGTCCAACCACCGATATGGGCACCACGTGGTGATAATGAGTATCACGTGATTGTGGTCGTGTTATTTTTGGCAGAAGGCGCCACCCCGTCCAGGTGAAGTTGCAGGCCTCCAGGTGCAGGTGCAACGAACCCGTCATCCTTCTATCCTCCTAGTTTCCGTGCTCCGTCTCCTCCTCCATTATTACCAACACAAACATAAGCCAGAATAACCTCAATCATGGTCAACATCCTGCCTGTCCTCGCGCAATAATATCTTGTGTGACGATAGACGCGTCCCTGGTCATGTCTGATACTTGTTCCCGTGCCGGGGTTCCCCAGAGTTGAAGTTCCATCTTCACTGCACCAAGTTGATCGGCAATCCGGTCCAGGCAGACGGCGACGAAACCACCGACGACCGCGACTTCAAAACCCACTGCCAGCATCTCCCCTTCCACCCGCAGCCTTGCCTGTTCTAATTGATCGTAATGAACATCGATCCTCAGCTGCGAGGTTCGCCTCCCAAACCACGAGACTCTTTCCAAAATGGCGCCGCCACCACCGCATATTCTCCTATGCAGCCGAGTCCCAATAATTCATACCAATCCATCGCAACTCCCAATTACTACTCCAGCCACCCACACACTCAGGATAGTCCGGATGATCAGAGTCCCTCGGCCAATCCCAACGATCCCAATGACCTGAAAAGACCCAGAGCTTGTGAAGCTTGTCGACAGCTGAAGGTCAAATGTGAGCCCGATGACAATCATCCCACGGGCTCCTGTAAGCGATGTGCCAAAGCAAACAGACAGTGTGTTGTCACCCAACCCAGCAGAAAAAGACAGAAAAAGACCGACAGCAGGGTGGCCGAGCTCGAGAAGAAAATTGATGCTCTCACTGCCACTTTAGCAGCACGGGGGGGCAATGACGCAGATCATGTTGTTGACAATGCCCGCTCCATGTCTCTTTCACAACCTGCCTCAATACCCCGACCATCTACCTATCCTGAGCCCTGGCAACCCCCACCACCTGTGGCACACCAGTCACCTCAGTCCCTCCAGTCCATCAATCAGGGTGTCAAGAGAAAAATCGCAAACGAATATGATTACTTTGGAGGCGAACTGCACAAAGCCGGGGCTCCTCCCTTCAAAGCCGCCACTCCGGCTCCTCAGTATCAAGCATATCCAGAACTAATCAAACCCAAAGCCGAGTCTGATGACTGGTCGACTTATGATGCCGTGGAAAGAGGTCTGGTCGACCTGAACACAGCTCGAAAGTGCTTTGAACGCTACATGGCAGAAATGTGCGATCATCTACCTTTGGTCGTGTTCCCGGCGGGTACCACGGCCGATGACATCCGTAAGACTAAGCCAATGCTTTTTGCAGCAGTATTGGCGGTAGCTGCAGGTACTATCAGGCCAGATCTGCAACCCAGTTTGATCAACGAGGTGACCAAGGTCATGGCTGACCGCGTCATGTTCCGGGGAGAAAAGTCTCTGGAGATGGTCCAGGCCATGCAGGTCATGACCTGTTTCTATCAACCTCCTGACAAGTACGAAGAATTGAATTTCAATCAGCTCATTCACGTTGCCGCGGTCATGGCTATGGACATTGGCATGGGCAAGAGAGCCAGACGAGGAGGCGGCGGCATCTGGAGACCATATCATGACAACAAACGCCCACTATCTGACCCTAATAGTGCGGAGACTCGCCGATGCTGGCTAGGTACTTATTACATGTGCTCCAAGTAAGTCAAACCGGTGCCTATTTGCGATGTTTCGCATGAAACTAATCGATTCAGTTCTTCAATGTCTCTCCGCCGCCCCTTGCTCATTCGTTGGAGTCCATACGCCGACGAGTGTATCGAACTACTCACTACGGCCAAAGATGCTGTGCCATCAGACAGGTGGCTATGTCACCTAGTACGGGCTCAGCATATTTCAGAAGATATTGGTCTGGAATTTTCAATGGACGATCCAGCTTCACCTCTCTCATTGACCGACCCGAAAACTCAATATCACTTAAAAGCTTTCGAACGACAACTTCGAGAATGGCATGATGCTGGTAGTCCAGACCTCAACAAAAAACCCATCATCCAACATACAGAAGGTATCATCAATTTGTACATGCACGAAATTGCCATGCACCATAATCACAACATTGACGACTTTCGACCACCTTTCAATGCCACTCCAATTGAAGGTCCCCCTGATCCTGATAATGTCACTCCGGCTCACATTGAGGCTTTGACTACCTGCATACATTCCGCACATACGACTTTTGATGCATTCCTATCTATGGATATCAACATGTTACGATGCCTTCCTACTCTATTCTTTGTTCGGAACTCTTATGCTGCCGTTGCCCTGATCAAGATGTACACAGCAGTATCTGCCAAGGGCTCCAAATTCGGCACCATCTTCAAAAAGGAGGACCTCAAAGTCGAATACTACCTTGATCGGCTAATCGAAACCCTCACCAAGACCTGTGAAGGCGGACTCAGCAGGGTCGCTCATAAGTTTAGCTTGATCTTCAACATGCTGAAAAGTTGGCACATGAAACGCACCGAACCCTACAATGGTGACAGCAATCCTATCTCACGCCAGAGAACACCAATGGGGCGAGGCAATGCTCAACAGGTGTACAAAGCTCTTCCCCCTCAACAGGATCCTGCAAGCTTAGCCTGGACTAATGCACAGCCTCGTGGATCAATTGATCAAAACACCCAACCCCACCAGCAACCCAGAAATGGCCTTCAGATGCTCTCTGAGGCTGCCATGGGACCAGGACCGCCCCCTCCAACTGTAATGGCGCAACATCCACAAGCTCAACAATGGATGCCACAACAACACCCTCTTGGTCAAATGCTACCTGGGGTTACAGAGATGTCAATGCAACATCCAGGTATGATGGGCTATCCCATGCCTGAACTAGGGCCGATGGACTTCACCTCTGACGAGCTGATGGCCTTCGGCTTTGGTGACGAGTTCCTGGCGATGAATTTTGGATTCGAACAAGGCAATTGGCCTATTTGAGCAATTCGAAGGTGTCCTTGCTACTGGGTCATTGTGCGCAACTCCTGTTGATCAGTATAAGTCTGTTGAAAACTTTCACATGTATATTTACATTATCCTTCTGATGAGTTATATGTTCTTACGGCCACCGCAAAACGAGTTATTGATGAGAACGTTGTTCTGGCGCTCATAGTTTGATTTTCAACACTCCATTGGAGAAATTAAATTCCATACTTCTGATCCCCGACGAGAGCTCCCACATCACGCATTGATCATACATTCTGGCCAGTGACGTTGCAAACACCATGTCTCCGAGTTTGCAACACGACACAGTCACAGACTTTGACACCTCGAGACTCGGTAAGCGATCAACCAGGAATTTGGAACCAGCCAAACTTGGCAGTGGGATTTATTTCCACCTTGTGCCACCACTTTCGGCAGTTATCGAAAATCCCATCTTTATCGAGTCTTTCCACCAGCCATGCAAACACCTCTTCGCAGTTACTCTGACCAGATGACCCATCCGGTGAGTGCCCGTGTCGTGGCGAAGAGTTAGTATGTGATACTAGTCTAAGCGGACCATTCCTGCCCAGCAATCTTGGGTATTCTCCGCATTTCCCCCTGTGGGTCTGTCTTTACCCCAACTCCATGATCCATCTAACAGGGATATCCTGCACCGTGCAGACTATCAAGCTAGTCCTACGTAGGCTATGATCGGTTATCCATTAAAGCTGGCTGGTTGGTCGTGTTTTGTGAGAGAATGTGGTGGGCTCCTTGTATGTTGTGAAATATCTTTGGCTCTTCAGAAGTTCTTTCCCTATAGATCTTGTTCTTCACAGGATCGTTTCAAGCTCAGGGAAATCTGTCTCTCAGAAATCAGCAGCTATGGTGTCGGCCCCTATCTCTGCCAATCCTCTCAAACTCGATGTTCGAAGTCATTCCAAATGTATAACCATCTGCATAATTGCGACTTTATCGACCTTTCAATATGGTATGTCCAGTTTCGTTCGCGAGCTTGTCGAAGATCCGAAAAGAGCTGATTTGGAGATAATAGGCCTTGACTATGCTTTAGTGGGAGGCTTTCTATCGTGAGTTCCACTATAGGCACCAGTCTCTTGACTACCAGTGCTAATCGTCATCTTCAGCATGCCAGGCTTCCTCGAAGTCTTTGGGTATTATTCAGAAGACCTAGGAAGATGGAACATCGATGTGAGTGTTGAATCGTGAGGATCACGACAACCGACTGATCCATATGTAGCCCACCGTACAACAATTGATCTCGTCGCTGATGACCATCGGAACATTTGTTTCCTCGTTGATGGTCGGCCCTTTCAGTGCAAAATTCGGTAGAAGGCATGGTCTCTGGGCAGCGACCTTCCTCAACTACGTTGCCACGTCTATTCAACTTGGCACCACAAGCAAAGCCGCCCTCTATGTCTCTCGTCTTATTCTGGGTTTGTGGTTCCAGAACTTCGCATCGCTTCAGTTCTGACAGTCACACAGGCATCTCTGTTGGATGGTTCTTGACCTTCGCGCAGCTCTATGTCCACGAGGCTGCGCCCGCACACTTGCGAGGTATCGTTTTCGCCGTCTATCAGAGCATGCTGTCAATTGGCTCTATTGTTGGAGCAACAGTCGACTACGGTACCCACTCCATCAAAGGTAGACAGGCTTACCAGATCCCGCTGGCTATATTCTTCGTGGCCCCAACTCTGCAAGCCATCTTGATGTTCTTCTTTGCCCCAGAATCCCCCAGATGGCTCATGGTGCAGCGCAGAGAACAGGATGCCGAGGCTTCTTTACGTCGCCTGAGAGGCTCCAAAATTGACGAACTTGAGTTTCAGGCAGAATTCAATGAGATCCGCCAGTCGACTCGTGAACAATTGGAGCAGAACAAGAAATATCTTTTCTTGGAAATGTGGCGCGGAACCAATCTTCGTCGTACTCTACTCTCGATCGCGGTGGTGTGCTTTCATGCTGCTAATGGGTACGTGGTATCAATAGATGGCTATCAATACTCGGCTAACAGAAACTCTACAGGTCGAGCTGGATCAATATCTACACCACATATTTCTTACAAATTGCTGGAGTCAAAAAACCTTTCGAATACTCCGTTCTCGTCACATGCACTGGTTTGCTCGGCGTAATCTTCAGCTTCTTCTTTGTCCGCCTTGTCGATCGACGAACTGTAATGCTCATCGGTGTTACTGCGTGCGGGATCTGTCAACTTATCCCTGCGATCGCATGGACGAAGGATCCTGGCTCAGAGAATACAGGAAGAGTGGTTGTTGGCTTTATTGCTCTATTTACCTTCTTCTACGTCGCTTACGGTATGTGTTTTGACCCTGAGAACCATTACCAAGGGAAAAACCACTGATACAGAAATAGCACCGTATGCATGGCTCCTAGGTGGCGAATACGTGAACAATCAAATGCGAGCGTTCACATTTGGCTTCGCCACGGCACTCAATTTCCTCGGCAATTGGATGGGCACCTTCACAGCACCATACTTCATCAACCCTGCCAAGCTCGCCTGGGGCCCTCAGTACGGCTACATATGGTTCGGCTCCAACATGATCGTCGCCGTCTTCACGTGGTTCTTCTTACCTGAGACGCGCGATCGAACCCTCGAGGAGATCCATGAGATGTTCGAGGCCAAATTACCTGCGCGAGCTTTCAAGAACTACGTCTGTGTTGGCGTTGAAGGTTATGCGGCCGAGGCAATGGGCAAAGATCTACATATGCGCAAGGAAGCTGGTGCGGCTGCGCATGTCGAAGAGTTGACCGAGCAGAAGACTACGCAGGCAGATTTGAACCAGAGTAAGGTGTGAAATACTGGGTGGAGCAAAAGGTCGACCAGTCCCTGGGTTGGCGAAGGGAGCATGTACGACGGCTGGCTCTGGCGGAAGGCTAAGGATTTAGATGAGCAGATAGTTCATAACGGACAGGCAAGAGGCAATGAGGGAAGAAGTCATATTCTGAATGTCTGGGCAAAGCACAATGTGAAGCAGTACTACCGAAATAACAGTCAGATCAGTTCAGAGAAGTCTCTTTTCTCTCTTCTCAAAGATCTCTGTTTGGTCTACCTAGTTTAATCACATAATATATTCCATAGACATGTCCTCGAAATCACAAGCAACTCCCATCGGTGAAAAGGATCCCCGTTATGACGGGATTAGGGCGTTGTCTTTCTGGGCACTTCTGCATTACAGTTCTGATGCCAGCCTTGCGAGTCGAGGCAAGCCGAGGTAAGGTCTCGGTAAAGAAGAAGCCAATTTCGCCCTTTCTCGGTATATGGGTTCGTTGTTGTCTGGGTGTCTGTGTGACTGTGGACTGTTTTCTAACTGCCGTTACCCATGTACTCACAAATCTTGTTAGTCTTCCGAGAACTTCAACGCATCTTCCGGTCCCGTTTTCTGCCAACTTCCAGAGATTTGATCCTGAGCACAACCACGGATCCGGAAACCGCAGTCTGCATGATAAGGGGCAGCGTGGGAGGGATCTGGTCAAGCGGCAAGGCTGAGACGCTAAGGGAGAAACTAAGTTTCGTCGTGTAAAATCCCCATTTCCGGAACGCCTCCATCCAGCCAACGAAGTTGCGGGTTTATCATATTAGGCATTTTCCCCCAATACAAGCCATTTAGTCTCGTTTTCCCCAAATTTATCTTGATGTTCTAAGATTTAGTGGCTGTCAACTAAGCTCATCCTTTCCTCTCAAGATCAACGCTTGTCTGTACCGTCCCGCCAAGGTGCTCTTGAGTCCGATTCTCCGTCGACTAGATATCCGGCAGTTGTTTTAAGTCATTTAATTCGTCCATCCGGCAGCGTCGTGCCGGATGAGAATGTCTGTCTGTGATGACTCTTCCAGCTTTGCTATCAGGATACAGGATTTGCTACGGTGCTACTTGCATACCTCTCAGAAGTTCAATAGCCCTTCACGTTTCGCAGGTTCTATGCCTCGCGGAGATTGCCCACTTTGCATATTTCGGAAAGTCAACTGCCAGCCCTGCCACATGTCGTTTTCCAGCGTTCGTACTTGGTAGTTCGGTGACATTGCCGATCGCTTCTTCTCAATGATGCATCCAGAGAGGTACCTCCAATCCGTGCTGACACTCTCCATGGGGAAAGCGCAGCCCCCGCCCCAGACAGCAGACAGGTTCCCCACCATCAAAGCCTAACAGTGGGAAACCCTCTCCGCAATTGTGGCTGCTATGTAGTGCGTAGATGGTTGATATAGCCCCACGTCGCAAACCGTTGCTTGACTTGTCTTTTACTGACACTGTGACTGATTTACTGAAGTGTGTATCCAAGCAAATAAATCCTGACGCAGGAGGAAGATTTTCTCAAGGAAAGGGTAACGACAAAAGACAACACCTCGCCCGATAGTGAAGATTACAATATCGCAAAGACACATATATCCGACAAGATGGGATCAGTCTCGGCACTAAAACTGCGAAGCCAGCGTCTCACAAACTCCGGATCAATCGACCACCTAGAATATGTCGACTCGTCACCAATAATCGGCCGTGAATATCCTACAGCCAAGCTGAAGGATATGCTCAATGCGTCGAATTCTGAGGAACAACTCCGTGACTTGGCCATAACGATCTGTGAACGAGGCGTTGTGTTCTTCAGAGCACCACAGGATGACCTCACCATTGATGAGCAGAAGAAGATCACCGAGTTGTTGGGAAGTTTGACCACGAGACCAAAGGACCACACTTTGGCCATTCATCCACTTTTCAATGATCCTAATAACATTCCCATGGCGGATGGGACGACGGATAAGAATATGTGAGTTTAATCATCATTGCCTTATGGAGCGATTTGGACGTTAGCGGTCTGACGCCTATCGTTCAAGTTATGTTATCAATTCGGAAGCGATGAAGAAGTTATACAAGACGATGAAGAATCGTCCGGATGCCAGCTCCGAGCCTAGAGATCTCAGTCGAGAGTGGCATTCTGACGGTGAGTCTTTTTGCCCTCGATGGGTGTGATGAGAGGGGTAAGCTGATATAGTTCTCGTGACAGCGCTATTCGAAGAATGTCCAGCCGACTTCAGCTTCCTCCGAATGCAAGACACACCTCCGGCTGGAGGCGACACACTCTGGGTCTCTGGCTATGAAATGTAAGAACCCCCGGAGAACCTCTCTACCACCGCAACTGGACCCACTGACAATTACCCCCTGGATAGCTACGACCGCATGTCCCCACCAATGCAACGCTTCCTCGAGAGCCTGACAGCCGAATGCGCCCAGCCAGTATTCCGCTCCGCCGTCGAGGCTGGCGGATACGAACTCGTCTCCCCACGAGGCTCGCCCCTGAACGCCGGCGATAAATTTGCGCCGCACCACCCCGTTGTCCGCACGCACCCAGTCACAGGCTGGAAATCGGTGTTCGCGGGTGTCGGTTTGCATGTGTCGCGCATTGATGACGTCTATGGCTACGAAGACCAGATGATCCGCGAGTATGTTATGCGTCTGATCACGAGGAATCACGATTGCATCGCCCGCATGCATTGGACTAAGCAGGCTTGTGCGATCTGGAGCAATGCTTGTACATTGCATGCTGCTACTGTAAGTGGACTTCGTGCTTTTTGTTCGCCTCTGATCCCCCTTGTCCACGACTCGTTGATTTGGGTTCAAATCCACATTTCTCCCGAGTTGGACACAGCTTCCTTCCTTGATCCCAAATTACACATCCCATATTTCGAAGGTCAACATCTAACTCTTGAATTACAGCCCGACACACATCTCGTCGACGGAATCCGAACCGGGGTCCGCGCTTCGGGCGTTGGAGAGAAACCATATCTAGATCCTGCGTCGACAGGCCGGAGGGAAGGGCTCGGGCTACCCAGATTCTGATTTACCCCATTCCAGTAATTAGTTAGTTTACTCAAGCTCTCAATTCCAACAACCCCCTTAAATATGTTGCACCTGTTGAACTTCCATTATCAGGTTCTTCTCAATTCTTTCTCATGCCAAGTAAAACCTGACTTACTACCTTGGGACTACTATATGACTCTACACCATAATGCTCGTCATGTGGGAGCCCAATCACCACTTTTGTCTCTTACACTTAATCTGCCAAACCAATTCTCCCGAGTAGTCCTGGATCCTTCCGACCACCATATCCCTCCAGAACGTCTTTCTGCACTATGTACTTACAACGATTGGCTTGATATGTCTTGACTAAGAGGGTTTAGTGTGAGCTTCATATAGCTACCCGGCCTTGAAATTTGCGGCCTGTTTGCCACTTCCAGATTGTGCGAGAAATGGCAGAGTCTCGCAGTGATGCTGTTGTCCTGCTTTTGCTAGAACTGGCAGAGGCCAAAGGAGTGGCAAGCACGCACCGACAAAACCAGGGCCCAAGAGTTCGCTGTCAGCGCAACCGGTACGCACGGGATGAACGCTCAGTCTGCCAGATATCGTATAATCATGATCTGGTATAGGCACCGTACCAATAATGCCCCGGTGCGCATAATGTCTATCCAAACGGAGGATTTAGTTCTCCTATTTTGCTCACACCTGTGAGCTCGCGAGTATAAATATCCATAATCTTTGCTATGTGCCGTCTGCAAATTTCCCAAACTTCAACTCCAAACGAATTTTCTCGACACCAACACCACGTCAATTTGATCAATACACTCAGAAATCTCCAAGCAAGAGGCCAGAGCGATAGAAGTCTATCGCGCGAACAGCTACATTGCATGAACCACCAAGAGTCCCCAAGGAGCCACAAGATGTCTAGTCACACAAAACAGAAGACCTCCACAAGAAAAGCAACATCAGAAACTTCTTCCATGCACATGAATTTGTCTGCGAAGAGTAGCCAGTAAGCCAATCCTACCTAACAATCCAAACGAAACTCCAGAAAGACATGGTACTAATGTGGGTATCGTGCTAAAGAGAACCCCGGGGGAAACCGAGGATAGAGACAGGCAACAAGGAGGTGATGCATCGCTTCATCGAGGAGAGAGACCATGTCCTTGATAGATTGTATGAGGGAAGTGGGGACCAGCGCAAGGCGGTGTTAGGTGCAGACTTCCACAATGCGGGTTTGAGGAAAAGGACTGAGGGATACGTCAATGTGATTGAGCGGAGACCCTGTCGGATATGAGAAATTTTGGCCAAGTGCTGGCGGTGACTTTGCTCAATATTGCAAAATGATTTGCTTCGGTGATTTTAGAGAATGAAAGTGTCGACTTCATATCGGACTGTTATTTCAATCTGGAAACATAGTGCCAAAAATCTTCGAGTCTGTGAGAATATCAAGGCGCGTGGCAATCCCACAAGTACCAGTCACCCTTTTTCGGGCACTAAATCAATCGTAGCCCAGGTGTATATAGCTGGCTCCTGAACGCTAGGGTCTTGAAGAACTTTTGAGCATTCCTCTCACTTCACTCCCTGCCTCTCAATACCGCGGAGTGTTTGAAACTCCCCCATGCCCGGTATACTGTTCTGGAGAGTATGAAGCAACATCCTCTTGGTCACCTTCCTCGTCAAGCCTGAATGGAGACGATGCAGAATTTGGAGGCTCGCCTGGGTCGAATGGACCGAGCTCAGACAAACCAGCATTGTCCAGGTTCCGCTGGAGGATGTCCAGGGCACTTGAATCTGAGGCTGCCGGCTGATATTGAGAGGTGGCCGAGGTATGAGACATCCCTAGGTCGGAGGCCATGTTTGAAACGGCATAACTCGACTGTGTGGAGGTATTTTGATTTCTGATTGCATGCAATGTGTTTGTTCCCCCTTGCCCAATGCTGTTCATGATCGGCCCATGCGAGTTACTTGATCCATACATGTCGAATGGGATCGGATTGGTTTGCTGGTTCGAACTGCTAAACCCATTTTCCATGACCGGATAGTAGCCGCTCCATGGATTATGATATGTCATGGTATTGTCGGGAAGGAATGGCTGCACGGTGGTGTATCCCGGCTGAGGCTGATAGGACCAGGGAGAATATGGTAGAGATTGCTGCTGTGGTAGATTAGGGTTGTAAAACGGTGTTTGAGACTGAGCGAGAATGGGATACACTGGGTTCGCTTGATTGATTGGGAGTGATGGTCGAGGAGGGTAAGACTCGATCGATAGAGGAGGTCCATGGTGTCCCCTTGACGAGATCGAGTGCACTGGGAGCTGTCGATAGCCGCATCTCGGAGTGTCGAGGCTAGATTGTGAGACGTAGGTATCCGAGTGCCGTTCTCCATCGCTGCTCGGGTCCGCATGTGTCATACTCTGCGTAGAGACATGTTCCAATAATCTTGGTTGCGGCAGACTGAGGCCACTCGACGCCGAGGCTGGGACTGCATTTCGCCGCTGCAGGTATCTCTCGCTGAAGGAATCAGGAAGGTCGCGAAATGCCTTCAAAATCGTTGTCTCAGCTACCTCGTCGGTCCTACCAATTACCTCCCTAATACTTTGTCTTAGCGAAGAATTGTGTAGTATATCTTGGCGTATGAAGTTTTCGAAGCCCTGCAAGTTCTCGGAGATATCAGCAGCTCCTGAATTGTTTAAACCCTCCTTGATTTCATCATAATCCTTGAAGAGGATGTGGCAGATACGGTTCCAGAAACCATCTGACCCCAATTTTTCCTCACTTCCCCTTTTCCGAGCGTGAAGGAGGTTGTGTTGCTCTAGGTCATAGCCATCTTCGTAATTTCGTGTCATATTCAATGGACATGGTTCTTTCTGCTGTGAATGCTCCTTCAATTCAGTGTCATTGGGGAAGATTCTTTTGCATCTCATACAAATTGATTTGTAGTGAACTCTCTTAAGGTGCTCCAATACGTGATGAAGTCTGCCCTTCTTGAACGTGGATTTTCTGCAGGCGCGATGTTTCCGCTTGTCGCGAAGGTAGTAAGGGCATAGGCGCTCGGCATCATCGTCCGCCTTGTCTTCTGGGAGATTTGTAGAGCGCCTAGGACGCTTCGAATGATCCTCGTCATCATCATCTTCTTCCTCTTGCTGATCAGACTCATCACGATTTGTCCTTTTCCGACTGTTGATCGATGAAGGGTGATGAGTGGGTTTGATATTTTGATTCGAACATGCAGCGGAGGCTTTGTCGGGCTGGGTTGGACGTTCAACGAAAGCGGATCCTGCGAAATCTCGGAAACAGAGTAGCATTCGGTTGAGCCACATCCGATCCCTATCATATTGATTGCCGGCTCCGTGATTTTGTGGTACCGGTGCCAGCGTCGGCAGAGAGACACCGGCTCCCTTTTTCAGGAGCATGAAAACGACATCGTGCTGCTTCGTCGCGATCGCTATCTCCAGCGGAGTCAAGCCCGTCTTGATGTCACCATATTTCAGGCAAGCATTTGCGTCCAACAGCTGAGATATGACATTAACATGTTTGTGAACGATCGCCAAAGAAAGCGCTGTAAGTCCACGATGGCGATCCATTCCATCGGGGTGAGCTCCGGCTTTGAGCAGAGCTGAGGTAACAGTTGTATCTCCATAAGCGACTGCTAGTGCTAGCGGCGTCATGCCATTTGAGGTATCATTGACATCCGCAGAAGCTTGAATGAGGTATTCAAGTGACTGAATCTTGCCTTCAGTCATCGGTGACAGTGCGACCCAATGCAAGATAGAGTTACCATAGACTGTATCCTTTGCGTGGACATTTGCACCTCGACTCAAAAGATAATTGACAACCGACCAGTGACCCATGGAAGCCGCGATATGGAGTGCAGTTCTGCCAGAACAAGTGCGCGTGTCGATATCAAGATTATACTCATGCTTCCCACGATTTGACATAACTGCTCGGAGAGGTTTATCGAGTCCGCAGTAAGCCGCGTAGTGCAGAAAAGTTGAGTACTTCTCTGTCATTGTACCGAAATTGAGATGTATAATGGAAGAAGCAAGACCAACAAGATTCATCTCTGCATCTGTAGGCCAGGGGAAATAGCGGAGAAACTCATCGTCGCTGATAGAGCCAGAATTAGCAGCTTTGGCGTGTGCTGCCCAGTAGCTTGTTGCATATTCGAGAAATGGATACTGTGCTAATATGGCTGAGGGGAATTCTTGTGCTGTTCGAACTGTCGCCACATTTGAAAGCATATATTGCAGACAAGTGCGGGCCATCTCAAGATGCACCATACTCCTTCCTCTGGAAATCTCAGACAATGGGACACTGAGTTCTTTCATTCTGCTTTGAAGGAGAGGATCCCTGACCGATTCATTGGCAAGACGAATTGTAGAGCCCCGATGGCTGTAAAAAATTCTTAGTAAACCCCCTGTCGACTTGCTTAGACGTTCAGCAAGGCCTAAAGATTGAGCTGGCATCTTGGAGGCTGCCACTGGTTCAGAGATTGTGGTACATCTTATCCATGAAAACGCAGTCTCCATTTCCAGTGAAGAGATAGGACGTACGGCTAGTGCAACCCAGGAAAGTGTCTGAGCTGCATTGGGAATAGACTGCAACATATCGTCATATCTTTCGTTCAATTCTGTCGCCAACATTTTGTGGATTCCTCCTGAAGTCGTCGGAAGATTGAAGAGCTGTTCTGGGGTGTGGTCGCGACCTTTAGACATGAGATTGAGTAGCAAAAGTATCAGCAACATCCAGAGAAAGTTATACTCTGTCTTTTCCTGAATCCCATCGAGTAAGACTTGGATATCTTGCCAGTCATTCTTCAACGATGGGAAGTGTGTGAGTTCATGCTGAATAAAAGTTGAAGCGGTATGTCGATTCTCAGAATCCAAGTCAAATGTTGTATGCTCGTGACTAAACGGTACAGACCATCCCCGAGAAGTAACAAGAAACTTCATAGAGAATGACTGCTCTCCTTTGCCCAGGCTCTGGCACAAGTCGATAACATCAGTGAATTCAGCGCGACTGCATTCGTCCAATCCGTCGACAAGGAGGAAGACCTGCGACCAAGCCTGGAGTTCATGGTGCAAGTGTTGCCGGAGGATTTCCCTACAAGACCGAAAGCCATTAGGCCAATTGAGCTTCAGAGATTGTATCTCTTGCTCTACACCTGAGGTACATGCGTCGATAGGCTTGACCGACAACTGTTGAAGCAAAGAGACAAGTAAGCGTGTAGTTGCGTGGTCGAGATGATGCGGTCTTCCATCAAAAAAGTAATGAAGAACAATTGCCGAATTCACATCAAAAAACCTTTTTTCAAGACTGTGAACGAGATATTTCGTTAGGGTCGATTTTCCAGATCCCGGTTTTCCTTGTATCCAAAAGGTGGTTCGATCGCTCTCGGTTAACCAGGAGTTGAATTTCGTCTCTTGAAATATCCAGGAACACGTGTCAGCGTAGGCCGGTGTGAGCCTTGAGCACGAGCAGCTTTCAAGTCCTGTGTCATGTTGACGCGTATAGCCTAAATCGTGAAGGGTGGTGTCGCAGGTTATGTCACGTGCAAGGGTGGGTATTTTGGTGTTGTGCTGTTGCTTTGGTTCTATCGCTATCAGTCTTCTCAGTTCGCGGACGAGGATAATGTAAGCCGGTTGTGTGGGTATTTCGAATGAAGCTAGGTGCTATTGATAGTCAGTCTAGCTCTATCTAAATGGTCCGAACACGTACTTTGTGGTCCACATCCAACGGGATAGAGACAAATGGTTCCAAAATACAATCCGACTCGCCCACGACCTAGATGCTTGTCAGTGACGTGAGTGAGTGTAGATCAGCCTCGCGTACCAAAGATCCATTGAGGGTTCTAGTCTCGTAAAAAGAAACAACCCGTAGCTGAGGAAGAGACCACCTCAGGATACTTCGAAATCTGATCTCTAACTTTTCGAGCTTATGGGCGTAGGCTTTCGAGGATGGGGCTTGGCTCGAAGAGAAGTCGGAAGTAGATAAACTGGACAGCCTGGTGAGAAACTCTCCCGCGGCTTGGGTTGTTTGCGGATGCGGTGTCCCTAGAAAGACAACTCCTGCAAGGCATGAAACGATAGGATGAGCCGAGGACGTTTCGCAAGCTCGCACAAGTGCATTCTTGACTAAAAGTCCACCCAAACTGAGCCCGATGAGAACCAAGGGACGGTCGGCCTGCAAGATAGTGATGAGTATTGAATCATACGCATGAGCTAAGACTACCAATAACAACATCAGATCAGAATTCTGTAGCTGAGACTTACGCTTGATGTAGCTTCCCTCCAAGTTTCTAATGCTTCGAGCAGTTTCTCGCCTTCATCTCCTATGGTGGAAGCAGCCAAGCTGCCAGGCGTTAGATCGTGGTCGTAGATCAAACATCTAGCCTGTGGTATATGAACTGGAAGGTGCTGAAAAAGATTAGGTGGTGCTAAACGCCCGATTTTGTCTTGATTCGCAGAAACGCTAGCACCCCCGATAAGGATGATGTCAATGGCTGCTGCCGAACCCCCTCGGCCATTGATAGCCTCGTATTGAAGACGCAACCTGTGCTTAACTCCAGAGTTTGGCGACAACATGGCGAGCGCTCACGTCAAAACAAACATCTCTCCTCGAGCGCATAATTCAAGAACGCGCCCAGTAGGACAGATATGACTTACTTAAAGGTTTTAGTATGGTATTGATCGTGTTTGCCATTCTAGATTTCTGCGCAAAATGGCATTGCTTTAACCGCTTTGATCCTAAGCCGTGGCTGTGGCTGCCACACTTCATCCGATGCCGCCAGAGGGCGGAGTAGCTGTCCCTCTGACTGACCCAATTGGAGACGAATTATGTATGAACGAGGCCTACCTCCTCTGGGATAAGGCAGAAATAGTTCTGAAGGCAGTTGTATGGTGTTTGCCTTGGGTCAGCCTGATACCAGCACAAGAACACCACGCCAGCTGCTCCGGCCATCCCGAGAAGATTCTGTCTTGTGTCCACAGAGGTCCTGCTGGTCATTGCTCTTCGCAGGCCGGATGGCGGTATATAGCTCACAATGCTGGGTACTCCATTCTTATCTGTCTCGTGACTTCCTTCTAAGAGGATGGGAACTGATCTGTGCACAAATTGTTTCAATCGACGCGAGTGATTTGAGACGCGATGGAGTTCGCACAATGACTTGAGGCGTCGATCCAAGGAGAAGCATCTAGAGGAGAATGGCCACTCTGGCGGTGATCACCATATATTCAAGTCGTGCATGTAATTGGCTACATAGCCGCTCAATAACGATGATGGAGGGCTTGGGACCATCATCTCTGCCAACTGTCGTCTTGGCTGAATTCAAGGCGTCGATGCTTGGTCCCCTAAAGCACGTTGAGTGCGAATTTCTCTTAGATCACGCATAGCTTCGCTCAGGTAAACACCAAAGTTCTGATGACAAAAATGTAGTTGTTTCGCGCACTTTATAAAAGCTCAGTGATGAATTTAACCTTTTGGAACAATGCTCGGTACTCGTAACTAGTCGTAACTCGCGACTCCACAACAGCGAGATTGCTAGCCAGGTAGGGAGTACCTAACTCGTAAAGATACCTACAAAATACCTCGGGTATCAAGTTAGTGAATAGTTAATTGCTTGACAAATGGGGTACCTGACATAACGCTCGGTCGAAGCTACGACGAAGTAGTTAAGTGATTGATCAAATATACTCGGTAGATTCATCGATTACTTGTGAAGAAATTACTTGACGATGTAAGCAATTCTTCCAATGCTCCCATGTGAAATCCGCAACATTGAATAGAAAACCCTGGTGCACCTGGTTTCTCTACCAGGCCAAGAACTCTGGATGACGGGTGGCTCTCCAGGCAGCAGTTTCCACGCAGAGCAGCCTTGAGTCCAATAATCGTGTAAGCGGCGTGCATGGTGCACGCAGTATGCCGGACAACACATGACCTAATCAGAGATTCAATGCCCAGCTCCTAATGCCCGCTCGTTGGAATGTTCACGAGCATCTCGTAGGGCAAGGAAGCTTTTCACGACTCGTCTGGAGATCAAGACTCAACAAAGCCTGCTAAGCCTGACATACCTTTCGACACAAGCGTAACGTGGCTCTACGAAGTTAGGCTGTTCCGTACGGACCGATCACGATGTAATAATTAACTAAGTGCCCCACAGCTGCTGACTTACCAGCCGAGTGATAGCCCGAGGGCTGGAGCGATGTACCTAGGAGTTTATTTAACTACCTAGCTATGGCTCGAATGCCAACAGTAAAATGAAATACGAGGCACTTGGAGTAGAAAGAAATCGATATTAGTGAGCAGCGAATTTTGATGCTTCTACGAAGTAATTTGATATACTGTCTGCTCTGCACCCACATGGCCTGCGACGTCCCTGTCCTCGGGTCACATCGAAATGGTTTGCTTATCAAGACATGATCTTATACGCGGTACCACACCACGGAATATGGCGCCATTTAGACAGTCTAGCTACTTAGTTAGGACTTAGGGCCGAGGGATGCTTCGTCTACTGCTGTACGCCTGTAAAGTCGACTAACTAACTGCTTGATAAGTACTCTTGATTCGACGACTGCTCAACTATTATAGGGATTGAGACCAAGTACGTTCCAATAATGGGGTAAGGCGTTCTGCTTCCCTTATTATGAGGATGCATAAGCGTAACATCAACGTGGAATGATGTGCTGGGTGAAAGAGGAATTTGCGCTTTCTCACAATCCCCTTCTTTGCCCGCTCCCGTCTTCTGAGCGCCAAGTCATATTGTAAACACACCATCACATCTACAAACAACAATATCAACGAACCACAGTGTAGATAGCCCGAACATCAAAACGGAGGATCCAATCAGGCAGGAAACAGAGCGATGGCTTCAACATCATCAGTACCACTGCTGTCCTCACTTGAATTTGGCCCTGACAGTGTTGCGTCCATTCTATTCATCCCAGGATGGGAAATGTCGGCGAAGGCTGAAGCCTATGATTTCGAACCGATCTTCACTGCCACTCTTACGGAGACCACCATATCTGACGAGATTTACAAGCGTTACAAGCGCATCTATGTTGATCTCCCAGGCATGGGCGAAACACCAGCAGATGGAGTCAAGGACCTCGACGGAATATTCTACCGCCTCGTCTCGTTCATCAATTTTCGACTTGGTTCCACACGCCCCTTCCTCTTAGCAGGCACATCCTGTGGCGGCTACCTCGCCCGCGCAGTAGCCCGCCATTACCAAAGTCGCGTACTTGGCCTCTTACTGCGTGTTCCAGTCATCGTGCCAAACAGCGAGGCACGAGATGTCGACCCATTCGTCCCAATCGTACGCAACGACAAGTTCATGGCGGACGTCATTTCGGAACTTCCGATTGAGACCGGCTTTGGCCATGATTTGACACTCCGTGCGATCCTCAAGGGAGACATCCTCGTCCAAACACCAGAGTACGTCCTAGAACTGAAGAAGAAGTACCAGGAGGTATTCCTTCCAGCGATGCGAGCTGCGGACGCTAGTGTACTTGGCCCCATTCGGAATGACCCGGCACGTTATCGACTGACAGTGCCCTTGGAAACGCCCCTGATTCAATCTCATCCTGAACGATCAGGAGTTACAGACACCGACGATTTTAGTGGAGGTTTGGACTCAACTGCTAGGAATCACGAGTCACCGCCCACATCGAGCTCCTCATTTCCCGTCCCAACACTGATAGTAACAGGGCGGCAGGACACTGATGTCGGATATAGGGATGCATGTAGAATCTTATCCTTCTATGAACGTGCGACGTTTGTCACATTGGATCATGCGGGTCATGACTTGCCGGTTGGTGAGGGTCAAACTAGGGTGTTTCGGGCGTTGGTCGTTGAGTGGTTACGCAGAGTGCAAGACTATGTGGCCGTCGTGGGTCATGGCATAGAGTCAAAGAGTGAGTAGATGAAGTGATGCTTAGCTTCCTGAACGTTTTAGATGGCAGGCATTGCATTGAGACTACTGGTAGCCCTTCAAAGAGCCGGAGATTTCAGATGCGAGAAAACGTATCTGACGACCCATAGACATGTCTACGAATGCACAACAACTATTCTTCCCCAGGTGTATCTGCTCCATCAAGCAACAAACTCCTTAAAACAACTTTCCTCAAGAAGCCAGGCGCACCATGCTTTCCCTCATCGAACTCCAGCGTCCTCCAAGCGACAATACCATCAGGTCGAACTAGCACGGCTCCAGAAGGCTGTAAACCACTGAGGGAAGGCCATTTCCCATCCAAGTCATTCCAGACATCAGTGGAATGAGCATCAGACATGATCTTATCCTGTGAGGATTTTTTGATCTCCTCGTGGCTGGGACCAGATGAAATACCCACAACGTGAACTAAGCCGCCTATATCAAGGCCACCTTCGGTCGCCAACGCCGCCTGCCAGAGCTCAGGCTGGGATGTGAGAAGCACGAAGCCATCGTAACGTACAAGATCTCGCGTGGAAATGCGGGTTGTTTTACACCCGTTATTCGTCTCTGGGCCCTCCGTCTGCTCTCTTTCAAGCCACAGATGAGGTAAATGATAGCCAGGGATCGTTGAAGGATGGTAGTTAATCGTCTCGAGCACTCCATCCTCATTGAGCTGTCCACCGTGCCTCGTGGCTTCTCCGGAATCGTCTCCATTGATGTTGATATCGGGATAGAACCAACCAATCTCGGCGCCCAGGGCATGAAACTCCCCATCAAGAATTTTCTGCGCCTTGTCCACAGCCTTGCGGCGCGCTTCACCCTCCCCAGTATCGGTTTTGTCGAAGAACGAATCCATGGCTTTGACGTTCTCCTCTGTGGTATTGGTCGGTGATAGTCCCAATGCTGTGTCCATGACAAGTGCATGCGACCGGAGGTTGTGCAACGAAGTGTCACGGACGCGCTGGCCGATCGGGCGACGTTCCGTGTCATATGTGTCCAGCAGATGATTGAAGCCCTGACTGTCATAAACCTTCCCCTTGATGGCTAAATTCAACTTCCAGACAAGATTGTGTACATCTTGAATACCAGTGTTGAGCCCCAGGGCTCCCCAGGGTGGGATACGGTGCGCTGCGTCGCCAGCGAGGAAGACTCGTCCCGTGCCGAACTTGCTTCGATACCGCTTTGCGCAAAGAGCGTTCACGTACCAGTGGCTCGTGGAGATTAGTTCGACGTTCAGATTTGGAATCTGCAGTGTATCAAGTAAGCGCATCTGCATTGCGGACTCATCGAATCTCTTGGGATCGCTCGGGTTGAGCGCACATGCGAAGAGCCATTCCTCCGTCTCAGGCTTCATAGGATAAGGCCCGAGATGGTACAGATAGCCTGTGCCGATGCTTCCACCCAACCGCGGATTCACGAACCAGGTGATGAAATTCCGAGTGTCGGGGTGGTGGGATGAAAGCGGTGCGCGAACGTGTGCCGAGACCATGTCAATGATATCTCGTTCGCCTTCCCAGCCGATTCCAAGACTGTCGGTGAGGCCTCGTCCTCCATCGGCTGCGATGCAGTAGCCAGCTCGGTAGACCGTTTCACCGCCATCACTACTTCTCACTGTAATGGAGACAAACTTCTCGGCCTCTTCAACTTCAACCACTTCGGCATTGTAGAAAATCCCCTCCGGATTAAGCTCCAGTGCCCTCTTCTTCAAAATCGGCTCGAGTCTAATCTGCGGTAAGATCGAGTAGGCACAAGGCGACACGGTAGCATATTCATCTGCATACTCGCCGCCACCCCAAGCGTCTCTCTGCACAATTTGCCGCCCATTTGGCCCAAAGCTGGTATACCACGCGGTATGCCCGTCCAGCGCTTTTGGGGCTCGCTGTTCAATGACATCCTTCTCGATACCCAGCAAGCGAAAGATCTCAACTGTTCGATGATTGTACCCACATGCTTTGGGGTGTATCGATGTCGACGGATACCTTTCAAAGAGTTTGTGGGGGATCTTGCAAAGGGAGAGCAGGATTGATGATGCTAGACCCACTGGACCGCCGCCAACGATGGCGACAGGATAGGTACGTGGAGTTGAGTCGGTCATTAGCAAGATGACTGGTCACATATGCAACGTACTTCTTACGCATCACGTGCGAAATGCTGGCACTCGCCCTGGGAAGAAACAAATAATTTTCCGGGGTGATGGCTAAATTTAAGTCACAAAATATCAACGTGGATATGGCGCCCCTCAATAGGAAGTGGGGCAACTAGGTCGCAAGCCAGCCTGATTGACCTTGACTTCGTTATTGCGTTGACCAAGCACCTTTTCGCTACCAGAGTATTACTCAAGTATTTAGATAGCTCCTCACTGGCATGTGCAAGATGGGATTCCGCGATAAGCTCGCTAGAGTCAAAGGTCGCTTGGATGGGCGAGATACGCCAAGACCACCACAGCCCGAGGCTGGAGACTCGTCTTCAGCCCCACTCATTGACCCAGGTACGGCTCCTAACTCTGAGGTTTCTAAAGGCACTTTTTTATTCTCGGCATGGAATTGATGTGGCATAGTGGCTGGAAGTATCGTGACGCCTGAGCAAAACATCTGTCAAGATAATCTCTCGCCTCCCGCTACTCCACAGAATGTAGGAACGAAGAACGTGGATCGTGGACGAACCGAGAACACACCACCAAACGCAGCACCGGAGGCATCATCAGTCAAGGCTGGAACTTTAGAGAGCCAGATAGTACCTGCAAATGCAGCGTCAAATGTCAATGTTGCCCTTGCGCCTGCCTCTGTGGGTGACAGAAGTGCATCAGCACCTGCCGAACCGGCCACGCAGATCGCGATTGAGCCTATCGAAGAGCCAGCGAATCTATCTCAAACCCTGTGGGATGCAGCATACGAAATCATCGAAAGCGAGCACGCAGATTTGATGAAGAACTATCTATCGGTGTTACGAAAGTTCCTCGAAACCGGCAAGACAGTTGAGCAGATAACTTTGCCCGATGCCTTGGAGCTCTCTGCCAAGCTCAACAAGAAAGTCGATCGACAAGCATACATGGCGCAACTGGTGAAGACGGGAAAATCGAAGATCGAGAGGTCGTCCAAAGTTTCTTTGGTTGTGGGAACTCTGGCTGGTGGTATCTTGAAGCTTCAGCCTTTGATTGATGTTGTGATGGCAGTGCCTCAAGCTGCGCCAGCTGCGATTCCTTGGGCCGGTGTTTGTGTGGGGCTTCAGGTAATTTGATAACAACCTGATTTTCCTACAGTTTCTACATCCAGATGTATAGGTGGCTGACATTCAATCCTTAGATGCTATCGAATCCAAGTAAAGCGACACAGGCAAATCTTGATGGCATGTCTCACGTTGTCAGCCGCATGGAGTGGTATTCGGCGGTCATCCAACATCTTCTCGAACCGTGCAGCGTTGACTCGGTCGCCACGTCGACTGAGCAACCGCTCACAGAATTGAAGCCAAAAGTCGTCAACCTATACACCACGATCTTGCTCTATCAGATGAGAAGTATATGCTCCTACTACCGGAACCAGGGTTTCAATTTCCTCCTCCAGCTCATAGAATATGACGATTGGGAGGGCGCACTGAAGAGTGTCGTCGAAGCAGAGGACGAATTAATCAAGGATTGGAAGATTTATGACCATGTCAAAGGCAGGAAAGTCGACGAAGAACTTGTCAAACTCAGTCTCAAATCGAAAGAATTGCTTGGAGACATCAACAAGACACTCACAGACATTCTGTCCGCCCGCCGGGACCAAGGAACAAGCGATATACTCTCGAAACTCCGAGTGGTGAATCCTCTAGATGACATGGCACGGATTGAAGACGACAAGGAACACTTGATTGACGAAACTTTCCGGTGGATCCTTGGAGCGGAAGAATTCGTACAATTCACGAACTGGACGGATCCTTCGCTCCCACAGCGACGACTTCTGTGGGTAAAAGGCGACGCGGGGTCTGGCAAAACAATGCTTCTCATCGGCATCATCCGAGAACTCTCGAATCAAAGCGCGGTGCTATCACCTGGTCTGTCGTATTTCTTCTGCCAAAGTAGAGGCAAAACTCGAACGCCGTTGTACAGCCTAACATCGGCACTGAGGTGTCTAATGTGGATCCTAGTGATACAACAGCCCAAGCTCATGTCACACCTAGAGATAGAGTTCCACGAAAGCCAAGAGGGCTTGTTCACAGGCGATGACGCACAACAAGCCATTCTGCGAATACTAATGGGCATGCTGAAGGACGCGGAACCTACTTACTTCATTGTTGACGCCCTTGATGAGTGCGAGGAGGGCCTCAGCATGTTTATTGATCTCATTTCGAAATCTTTCTCTATCTCTGATAAGGTCCGGTGGCTGATCTCAAGTCGTCGCGAAGTGAAGCTGGTGGATGCCCTGAAGCGGCTGACAAGAAAGGATCCAGCTATCTCCAGGGTATTTACAGAGCTGGATATCCAGACCCACAAGGGGAGGATTCAGAAATATATCCGACAGAAGCTGGTCGACCTGGAGATCGATTCCGACCATCCAGACACGTATGATGTACAAATCCTGAAGGATATTGAGCTCCAAATTACCAAGCGAGCTGATGACAACTTGTTATGGGTCAATTTGATATTCCAGGATCTTGAGAAAATGACCGGCGCTTATGCGCTGAAGAGCATTCAAGACTTCCCCTATGGATTGAGCAAGCTTTACGAGTACAAAATGAAACGGCTCCAAAACGGAGGCACCAAACACTTGGAATGCTGCAAGGACGTGTTGTCGATAGTGTCCCATGCGTACCGGTCACTATCCGTTTCCGAGCTCGCCGGATTTGTTTCGTGGTCGGAAAGACTGGACCCGCGTTCCATTTTGGCCGATTGCAAGGCATTCCTGGTCGTGAATGGAGAGATCGTGACAGTGGTACATAAAGCAGCAAAAGACTATCTAACATACCAGCCTGAAGAGCTCCAGGGTGGGACGGTGGTCGGTCACGCGGGCATCGCCGAAGTTTCGATCCGTGTGATGCAGTCAGGCTTGAAAGCGAACATCTGCAAATTCAAACAATACGATTCTCGGCCAGAGGACATCCAACCTTCAGTCTGGGCTCCATTGCAAGCCATGGAGTACCATTGCACTTACTGGGCAGAGCATCTCAGTTCCATAGCTTACAAAGACAGCCAACACCTAGAACGAGTAATTGCTCGCGTCGGACTGTTGCAATTCATGGAGGAGCATATTCTCCACTGGTTCGAAAGTGTGTCGCTGTTGGACAAACTTGGCGACGGAGTTCAGAAGATGAAACGCCTTCAAAGAGTCATCCAAGTACGTACTTTGCTGAGGTGCCACTTGCTGATTGAGCGCTGACCCTATCCAGACATACTTGGACAGCAGTTCTGCACTTGTAGAGTGGTTCATGGACGCTGAGAAATTTGCCCTCAGTTTTGGATCAATCATCGAGAAAGCTCCTTTGCAAACGTATGGCGCTCCGCTTGTCTTCAGTCCTCAACTCAGCAAGATCAGACGCTCTTTCTGGAAAGATCGATTACCGTTCATTAAGGACGTCAGTGGAGGCAAGAACCACTGGTCCGGTTTCCAGCAGACCATTGACACCGGTTCACCGCTTGTATCGTTAGCATATTCTCCGGATGATCTGACACTAGCATCTCTCACCTCTGACGGCGATCTGCAGCTTTGGGACACGTTGACCTGTGCGCACAAGCGCGATATTTATTGCCTTTCTTATGATAGGCTTCCACAACTCCCACAACTTCCAAAATCGACTTCGCAAGCCATGATGGCATTTTCTCCAACGAGTGCCACAATTGCTTCGGTAAGCGGTTTGATGGAAGGAAAGGCACAACTCTGGAATACTGAGACCGGACTCTTGGACCATAGCTTGGACCATGGGAGCGGCCTTAGCGTTTTGAGCGTCGCATTCTCGCACAACGGCAAGATGTTGGCAACGACCGCGTCGGACAAGAAAATACGACTGTGGAATGTTGAGACCAGTGACTGTGAAGAAAACTTTGATTTCGAGGGCGAGTCACAGATTATCGCCTTTTCAGGTGATGGGGAAACTCTCGCGGCAGCACCGACCCATTGCACTCTTGAAGGCAGGTGGCGACATATCGATGGCAGCATAAGGTTATGGGCACTTGATGGCGAGCGTTCCCCCGGAAGTACCAAGCAATCCATTGGTATTCTCGAAGGCCACAAACGATCGGTTGATTCCATAACTTTCTCCCCCGATAGACGTGGTCGGATGCTTGCCTCGGGTTCTTCAGACTTAACGGTGCAAATATGGGATACAGCCGAGAGAAGTTCCAAGTACGTTCTTCAGCATCCGAAACCATTAGCTTCCAATAGGCTTGGGAGTTTCGCAGCCTTATCGATTGCTTTTGCTCGAGATAATCACAGCCTAGTTACCGCGGGACATCACGGGGTGTGGAGTTGGGATCTAGACACGGGTTTGCTTACGAAAGTCATTCTAAATGATTTCTTACGGCTTGCTGTGGTCACTTTCCCTTTTGATGCTACAGCAGTAGCCATAGCAGAGGACAACGGTCAAATCGAAGTCTGGAGCACTGCCTTGCCGAAAGAAGGGCTTTCTGAGGAGATCTTGGAGCCTCTATCATCCTCTATCGGAGTAATAGAGATCGTCCCTAGCCCGAACACCGGCTTGCTAGCTCTTATGGACGTCGATCGTACCTACATCTGGGACACATCCGAGAACGTTTGCGTACGTTCGTTCGATGGGGCCTTTGATAAAGCATCCTTCTCTCCGGGAGGTGATATCGTCGCTTTAACGGGCTTCCAAGATGAGGTACGAATCTTTAGTACTACTAAGGGGTTAGACGATTCCGAAAAAGCAGTGATAAAGGGTCGTTTGAGGTCATCTGCGCCGGATCAGAGTGCCTTCGTGACTATCCTTGATGACAGCGCCATCCAACTTCATGCCTTGACTACGTCCTATAGCACTGATCTAGAGCCTATACAGGACAAAGCTCCGGCCTTAGCGCTTGCCTTTTCGCCCGATTGCAGAAAACTCGGGGTTCTATTTGGGGACGAGATCCGAATTTGGGATACCGTATCAGGGGAGCACGTGGAAAGCATACCACATACAGGTGAAGAGTACGGCGTTTTGATCCTTGCGTTTACTTCAGATCTGAACAAATTCTTGACAAACCCGAGGAGCCGACATCGTCAATTGCAACTCTGGCACCGGAATCCACAAAATCAGTGGAACTTGGACAAACATGAGAAATCAATCGACTCGGCTATCTTTTCCGCTGACGGGACCATCTTTGCTACATCAGCTGGTGCGGAAGTTCTCATCTGGGACGCTGCACACGGGACTGTGCAGCAAAGAATCACGCCTATCTCTGGCCCTGAAAGGCTCATCTCATTTTCAGAAGACGGTAGCCTGCTGCGCAGTGACTCCGGGGTTCTGGAGATCATAGAGCGCCCCAGCGGCCAGCCAAACACACCTCTGATTTTCATTCGAGACGACTGGATATATAACGGGCCGAAGCCCCTACTCTGGATTCCGGATCAGTACCGAGGCCGACCTAGATTAGCCCGCGATCAGATTGCTGTGCTGAGACACCTGTATGGTGGCTTTGTTGTGATCAAGTTCACCGATGATATTGCTAAATATAGATAAGATATGACGACTTGAAGCAGACATTGGGCGATCATTCGAGGAGTGTTGCCGAAGGGGAAGAGAGGCTGAACTAAGTCAGGTCGTCTAAAGGCGATTACAGCGCGTTCCACAGTCACAATCCAACCGTGGTCAATCAGGGAAGCACCATACCAGCACGAAACAGTACTCCTTGCCAACAAGAACGGCAGCAAAAGGCATTTTGGAAGCCCGGCTCTGAGCATCCAGCAGGTTCTGCCTCTTCGTCCTTTCCCTCAAGAGCGCCACGGTCCACGACAAAGATGGAGCTGTCTGGCTTTTCAGGCGAAAGATATATGTGAGGCAAGTTGAAATTGAGTTTGAGCAGATGAGGGATTCTCGAAAGTCACTAGCTCTAATCTCTCGAGCTCCTCACAGGGTCTCCCGGAGAGGAGTTAGTCATCATTGGTCGGGAGTTAACAGGCATCACTAACGCTGGCAGAAGAAGAAGAGAAGAAGAAGAAGACGATGAGACACACGATGAGACACGGATATAGGCAGACTTATTACTAATTAGCTACCTGCAATACCCAACTAACTAGCCAGGGAATCAGCCGACATAGTCAAGACTGAGAGAATGAAGTACTAGTAGCGATAGAGACACTCTCTCCAATCTAGCTAGCTCCGATGCTACGACGTGTCTCTCTTTGCGTTCTATGTTCGCTCATTCAATGCATCGACGGAATCCATCAATCACCACCAATATGGTCAAAAACACTTCAACAATCGATAACCACTCTCATCTGATCAATCAAGCACCATTCAAGCACGGCCAATTCGCGCGCAACAAGATGAAAATAGCCACTGTGGCTGACTTGCTTAGGCCACCCAATACCATCTTCAAGCAGTTGGAGCGTAAGCATCGGCAGCGGCGGTAGGATCAGCACTGGCGGATGTGTCTTCGTCACCGGCGTTTCCAGTCGTTGGGTCTTGCAGCGGCGTGTCCTTGTCAATGGTGCCACTGAAGCGGCCGGTTCCGCCTTCGAAAAATCCATCTTCCACCGCAGCCCAGCGCTCCAAATTGCCCGGCCAGCCGAATTCCAATTTCCACGCCATTTCCAAAACGCGCTTCTCGATGGGATGGACGCATTGCGTCAGGGTGCCGAGCCAGGGGTAGGTTTCTCCTTCGGGGGAGGCAGTGTTCATGACGGTTCTGTTAAGACCGATGTCGGGTTGATCCTGTCTGCGGCCCAAGTTTGGAGGCGCAAAAGCCCCAAGGGCAGCCAGCTCGTGGATTTCTGACGATTGATTGCCTCCCTTGTTGAATCGGTCCCGACGAGTGCGGATGCCAAGGTCCATGGGTGAGAGTAAATGAATCACAGCCGAGTATTGATTGAAGACAGTGGGGGTAATATTTTTGGGTAGTGTGATCTTGACATAGCCACAGCTGCTGAGAATAATCTTCTGAATGTTGCCGCGGAAAGGCTTGGGTGGTTTGGGATGCATTGTTTCGTCAATGAGTCCAACAGCATACTTACGGTCCAATAATGTCACGCCTGGAGTGATCTTATCCAGAACTCGCGTCCATGTCGCACCATGAGGAATTTGTTCTTGAAGCCAATCCTCCTTTTCGTGGTTGCATTGGAGATTGCTTGCACTTGTAGTCAAAGATGCATCGAGAGATGAGTCATGTTTCGTAAGCAGGCTCACAGAGTCCAGTGTCAAGGAATGTAAGCTCGTGTCGCGGCTCTGGACCATGAATTCCTCAAGCATTTTAGGACTGAACCAGCAGTTTTCGAATTTGAGATCTCTAATGTGTTCAAATTTGGTAAGGGCGGCACGCTTTTTGGGTTTCTCGTTTCCAAGTAGCCACCCAGCGGGAGAGGAAACAATAGGCGCAGGTAGAACGTGTTGATTGCGTGCGAACATACCAACAGCATGCTCACCACCTCCAACATAGCCAACGGTAAGGCTGTGGAGACTCTCAACTCGTACTACATACATTCTCAGGAACTCGGTGAATCTCTGCGCAGCTTTGTGAGGCGGAATAGGCATATTTGTTTGGTGGAATCGATCCCCTGTCAGATGCTCTTGTCTCCAATCAGGGCTGATCAACATCTGCAGCTTCTGCAAGCTTGGAAGTGAAGTCCAAAATTCTTTCTGTTCCAAAGATGGCAGAAGACCAGATGACAACTTGGTAATGCGTAGGGTATGAATATGCTTGAAGTTGGTTTTGTTGGTAATAATGGCTGTTGTGTACGAAGACAAGAAAGCACGCTGCGCCCAGACGGTCTCCATTAACCATTGTGCCTGGGCTTCTGTGAGAGCACATGGACGAAGAGAGGCGGCTGCAGGAAGGAAAGTTCTGTTCTGGATAAAGGCACACTGGCCTCCCATCTCGGCTGCAATGTTATGACCATTGAAGATCAACGGCCACTGTGGTTTCGTTGGTGGAGGTGCCCGACGATTTGCAACGTTGCCTAGCATACGTGGGTGATGTGGAGCGGGATTCTGGGCAGCCGGATTGAAGTGAGCAGCCCAGTTCAATACATTTGGGTTGCCCATACCGTGCGCAGCGGTAGTAGGGGTGCCTCCCACATGTGACTTTTCATCAAAGTCATGCTGCTCGTGTTGGAACCGAAAACTCTCCAATTCCCGGATTGGAATACTTTGAAGTGACTGGAGTTCTGTCAAGGTTGCAGTTTTGGAAGGCGAACGAGTCTGCATCACATACTTGATTGCTTCGTTGATGGTGTTCTTCTGCGCCCATTTGAAGTATTCATTGCGACAAAGCTTGTCCAAGATATCCTCACCTCGGAAAGTCTTACCAAAGATCTTGCCACCTCTGGTCGCACGTCGAGACATAAGGGCCATGTCCGAGATATCTGGACCTTCAAGCCAGCCATGACCACTGTCGATACAGAGACCTAACTCGGAGGCCTTGGTGATGAACTTGAAGGCTTCCTTAAGTAAAGGGCGGTTGTGATCCACCAGATCTTCAATTTGCTGCAGTTCTGGAAATCGAGGATACTGCTCAGTAGGCCAGGTGAATTTACCAAACCATGCATCTTCCTCTTTTTCAATGACCTTGGCTTTCGCGTTTGAAAGGCCGACCAGATCATACTCGAACGCAATGCCAAATTGATTCAGATTGTCACCATGCTTCTCGAACATAGAATTAGGAGGAAGGTCGCCGGATCTACCGTTCCAATTACCGCCATTGTTATCGAAGAATTGTTTGTCAAAGTTAATGACAACATTTCGAAACTGTATAGACGATAGGGATTGACAGACTCGAGTATTGACCAGACGAAGATTGCCAACATCGCGAGTTGAGAGATATTTGGTGACATTCAACCAAAGGTCGGCGTTGAAGCGCTCGAGACTATCGCTAGGAGTCGTCTGTGAAAGTGCACTGGCAGATGATTTCCCCTTTCCAGCACTTTGAAGTTGCGGAGGTCTGGTCTGTGGACCCATGATGGATAACAGAGAAGTCTGTGGGAGAACGCGAGGATATATTTCCATGGTAGGTCGGACTATCTTCTCTTTGCCATCCCCCTCATTCGTTCCGGTGTCAGCCGATGAAGTGGTTCCTGTAGTGGAGGTAGTGTGTGCATCCAAACCTCCCCGGAGTTCGGCTGCTGCTCCTGTCTGGCGCGGCTTTTGCTTGCGACCCGAGTCGGAGAAGGTCTTGATGACAGACTTGGGAATGGACTCCGGTACAATTTGACTGTAGTCGAAAGCAGGAGGAGCCCACTTAGCGGCACTGGTAGTCGACCGTGGCGTCACGGTACTGCTCAAGTACGGTGGGAGGGTCTCCGGAATGCAATCACGAACACCGGATATCTGAGCATCATCTGACAAGGCAAGGCCGGGCTGAGAACTGCCGGACTGGGACTGTGTAGAGTCCTCCTCCAAAGAAATGGGAAAGAAAACGTCATTGGAACGACTTGCTGACTTTCTGAGGCGTGCTTGATTAGTGCGGTCATCAAATCGGTCGTCCGTCTCTTCGAATATGCTCGCACTATCAACATTCGCAGCTCTGACAGCCTCCCTCTTGCTCTTGGTATGGGCTTCGAAGCCTGATGTTCTCGAATCATTGGTCAGCAGTAGGGATGATCGAGGCCCATCAGAACCAGTGGGATTCTCCGTGATGCGCGAGGAAAGGGTAGGATCACCTCCAAGAGATGTGCCCTTCACTGCCAATCGACTAGAACGACGTGGGCTTGATACCGAAATAGTGTTCACTTCTGGGAAGGAATTAGTTGAGTCCTGCAAACGCTTCTGGACGCCAGCGTCACTGGAAGTTGCAGTCTCTCCGCTCTCATCTTGCTGGATCGGTCCGGCTTCGTCCGAGGATGTTGCAAGTTGGGGTGGCTCGGTCTGCGACTTTCCGAAAGAGGGGAATGCCAGGCTGGCAGAAAGAAGTTTTGAACGCAGGCCACCACTGACAGTGCTGGGAGCCTTTGCAAGTTTCGAGACTCGAGGTTGTTTGGAAGGGGAGGTTTGAGGCTGCGCTCGTCCTTTGCCTTTGGCTTTGGAGGATGCCGAATTGGTTTGGGACCGCAAGTTCTTGATTTCACGACGGACATATTGACCAAGAGTTTCGGGTCCGAAGTCTGTGAAGACGGGGTGGACTACATCTGGGTAATCGGGAATTTGAATGGCGGTTTTGTTCGGTGTCTGAGGGGTGCGGGTGGGAGGTTGAGACGCGGATCGAGGAGGATGGTTGCCTGTAACGAACGCCATTTGGTTGAAGGCGATTTGTGCTATGTGTTGTAATGGGCTGTTCTCAGTGTCATCGTCATCAAAGTCGTCGACATCCTGAATGAACAGGCGCTCGGGATTGCGCAAGGTCATGACTGCTCGCCTCTTCGCGTAGTGAGTGCGGGGGAATCGGTGTTCATGTAGAGAGAAGAACGGGTGAACTGGTTTGAGGGTGGTAGAGAGAAGGACAGGAAGCGAGTGAGGGCATGAGGACAATTAGATCCACTCGGGGATGTGTAAAAAATATTGTGAAACCAAGATATTCCAAAATTGACGATGCGGGTTGAATGGCAGCCTGAGATTTATGAGGCAGAGCAGTGAAGGTGACCAGGAACCATGTCAAGTTTTTTGGCATGTGGTGCAAAAATGCGGGAGGGACGTCAAAGCAGTGACGAACATCGGCGCTTTGTCCCCCGAGCTCCGAGAGAAGTTAGTCTCCAGTGTGGCTAGCGTGTTAGTGCCATCAGTGGCCTCGCTTAAAGGGACATAACCCCGTGGTTGGTCGTCCCCCGGATTCCACTAGACAGGCCTAGTTTCCATAGTGTTTGCCCTAAAGTCTACCAAGAACCACTCGTACCAGTATATCGATCTGGACTGGTGCTCAAACCAATTCTGATTTGACTATTTAGATACCCAGTTGGTTGTTGCACGCAGGCAGGGTCTCGAAAGTATCTGATACTCGTCTTGCGAGTATGGAAATCAATTGCTGTTCCATAAAGCTCCATCATAACGGCATCATATCGTGCAATGGTTATCACTATTGACATGTTCATGTCCCTCCCAACCTCATCAAAGCAAAATAAAGCAATGCTTGCCATCCCCAAAGCTTTTTGTTATTTAGTTGGCTTCATTAACCCATGGTCATTCCAGCCTTAGATGGTCCAAAATTGAATTTTGTTGTCCCCATCTCACTTGGAATTCACTGGGCCACTCTCGTCTCAGAGTTCAAAAGACAACAGCGTCTGTCCAAACATGTTGGTGTGATCCGACTGCAGTGCAACTGGCTGTCCGTTTACGTTTACCATGTTTGTCGATGCCTTGGTGGTCAATCCATACAAGTGGATTTTATCCGAGCAGCGAATGTCCACCATGTTTTCCTGACAAGAGTTGGTCTCGAGACAGTCTTGATCGTAGTTGTCAAAAAAGCTGTACAACCCTCCACCGTACATGTACACATCTCGCGAATTGACGATCCGAAGTCCCCAGGTCTTCTTACATGCATCGTTAGTGCAGTCATCAAACATGGGATCTCCTAAGCTTGCAATGGGAGGAAAGCCGCCATCCAGTGCGTTAGGAGCCGATTGCATATATGCTGTCTCGGTCTGAATCGCCCCCATGAATATGTCTCGAGCATTGTTGAACTGGTAATTGTAGAGTTGGTGATGCTCCGATGAAGTTCCCCAGAGCCACACAGGGCCCTGGCTTTCCACTAACAATCCACGTCCATTGTAGATGTTGGTCTGATTGTGCATAGGAAGATCAAGTTCGTGATCAGCGACCCAAAACCATACATTCTCGAGATAAGCCGTAGCTTGTTGAGTGATGTGCATCATGAGAAATGATCCGGCGCACTCGGGCTTGAAGACAGATGACCCGGCAACTTTGGCGAGGCAAGTATCTTGTTGGAGTTGAGTGCCAGCAGACCCTCCGATGCGGAAGTGCACATCCCACATGGCACACGATCCTTGACTGATCTGTGCCACGTTCCACTCCATCATGATCGCACCCGGTAAAGCACCTATGGTCTCGAATATCAAATCTGAGATCTCAACAGATCCAGTATCTCCAGTTTGCCCGACGCGGAAAACGGGTTGAGGGTTTTTGCTGTCACTGAAGAATGCTCCTTTCGCCATGACTAGTGGCCAAATTTCACCAGTGATTCGAATCGTTGACGGTACTTCTACCGTCTGGGTGATCACGTATGCTCCGTGATCGAAATGAACAATCTGATCAGGGCGAGCGTTGTTGAAAATGTTCTGGATGGCCAGTGTGTCATCAGTAACTCCATCACCCACAGCCCCAGCGGACTTGACACTGATAAAGGACGAGACTGGAACATCTTCATATTGAGGTTTGGATCGAGCAAACACACCCGAAGTCCCAATCAGAGAAGGTGGAAGAGAAGGTGCGAGCAACTTCTGTTGCACTCGAGCCTCGGTAAAGGGAGGTGCACCAACCGCGCAAGTGCTGGGAATCGAGGTGGCAGCAGCGGTGTCAGTTCTATTCCTCGAAAGGGTTGAGCTGGAAGATGTTGCTGATGAACCATTGGCGTTGGCGGTGCTGGGTAAAGGAGACACAGTGACAGTGGTGAGAGCAGTTGCAACCGCAGGCTTGGCCGTGACAGTTGAGGTAAAGACCAATGTAGAGGTTGTGAATGTCGTGCATGGTTTCGAATCATCTGATGATACTGCTTGTGGTGCTCGCTTGACTGGTTGAGTGCCATTGGTGGATTGCTCAGACAGATACAGATCACCCTGGCCCCAGGCATCGACGAGTGCCAAGCCAGGGAGGATTTGATCGACACCGTTGGCACCAACGACACCGATCTGGGTAGTGCGGAAGTCGACGTTGTGCATAAGCAAGGTGCCGCCAGTGTCAGGACGGCTGGTGGCGTTGTAGGAAGTCTTGACACCTATTCCGGTATTTCTCATGATACTGTCAAAGATCAATACGGAGCCGACAGTCTGGTTGGTGGAGTTGGCCAGGTTGGACATATCGATGCCGATATCACACTGATTGATATTCAATGACTTAAAGGTCCAAACCCAGACCCAGTTGATAAAGATGGCGGTGTTGCATCCGTTGAAAGTCATGTTTCTGGTGGTGAATTGTTGGTTTCCCAGAAAGGCGCCATATTTGCCCCCGTTGAATACGAGATCAGTCATGATGCCTCCAGAGCCATTGTCCATAAAAATACCCTGTTGTTGGTTGGTGGGGCTCTTAGGGCGCATGTTGAAGACGATGTTCTGCAAGCTAGTAGCCTGTGCAACCTGCCAGTGGACACCAGCGCCCTTGTCCTCAGGCATCTGGGTGATGTCAACGATGAAGTTTCGCATTTGGCGATAAAAGTTGTTCTGGTTGGTGTACCACTGTGCTCCATTTGCTCCAGGAATATAAGGATCGGTGTCGACGACAGCGAGACCTTCAAAAGATGGAAGAGCGAGCAAAGTGGGAATATTGAGAGCATCACCAACGAATTGAGTATAGTAGTATTGAATGATGGGGGCCGAAACGGCGTATTTGCCGGGGGGAAAGTAGACTATTGCCGGAACAGTGGTGGAACTGTCACAGTTGAAAGCACATCGAGTACCATCTGCAACAGCATTGTTGATAGCAACGGTATCATCGGTTACGCCATCACCTAGTAGAATTAGCTCCTGTTTGACAGATCAGAGCAGACGAAGATCGATCTTACCAATTGCTCCATAGTCTTTGACATTGCGGAAAACCTTGTAGCCTGCAGAGTTAGAACCGAATGCCGCAGTTCCTTGGCGTTGGATTTGGGAGAGCCAGTATGACGAAGCTGGAGCTTGCCGAGCCTCAAGAGCCACGACAGGGGGTTTCGGAGCGGCCAAGGCGAGGCAGGGCAGGAAAAGTAGAATGCAGTTGATCAGCATATTGGCTGGAAGCGGTAAGAAGATCTTGGGAAGTTGCAGGATGAGAAGAGGTACAGTGAGGGAAAGAAGTCAAGTCGTCGCAGGAGAATTAAATAGGGGATGTGACCAGCACAAACAAACGATATCGACGATACCGTGGTGAAGTCTGAAGAAGAATGGGATAGCCTTGGAAGACCGTGAACGGCTGACGAACTAGATCGGCTGGTTGTGACGGAAAGTCCCTGAAGAAGTTGATCATCAAAGAAAAGATTGTGCCTTTGGATGAGTCGAGGGGATGAATAAACAAGCGGCGACGACAATCGCGTCACTCGCGACGGCAAGAACCAAGGACGCTAGTGGTGACCTCGGTGGATAGAGAAGGTATGCCGGGATTTCCTTTGGACATTCACATAGATGAATATCGGTAAGTATTGTTCAAACGAACGGAGTGGGAAGAGGTCGTTGTCTCGACCAGACACTCTTCATGAAACGAATGACAAAGCTGAGATGGGAACCCAGCGCGAACAAGAAAGACTCGTCAGTAGATATCTACTAGGAGGGCATAGAAGAAGAACAAAAGCAGATAGAAGCAAGAAGAGGAAACAGGAGCAAGGGCAGCGAGTATTTGTGTAAGAAGAGGCATCTCGGAAAAACCTGGAAAACCCTGCTTTGGATCTGAAGGAAGGCACCCGGTCAAAGACAGTCGCACTGACCATCTGGAGCAGGTCAGTCAGGCGGAGGACAGGGCAGCAGAGGACAGCCCACTGGTACTGCATTCAAGTTCATGATACAAACAGATTCACAGATCCACATCCACTTCTCAACCCGAATGCAGATCCAGTGGATTCCCAGGCTGCAATCATTCCTAGATAGATCGACCGTTCCAGGTGGTGGTGAACTGCTGTGCCACTGCAAAACTTACATAGCGCTCACTGTCCTTGTCCGCAATCAAACAAAATGGCCTGTGGTTTCCAGGCCCAGCACTTTGTTGGTGGAATATCAGTCATTCGTTGGTGGTTACATACTAACCTGATATTATCTCGCTTGCAAGTTCAGATTGAGTCTTGCGTGGTCCCTCTCTCCGCTGGCTGCGAGGCCTCGTGCCGCTCCGTTGTGCAAGAGCCTCGGTGCAAAAGCCTCCCTCATGATATCTAACTTGGCCAGCTAGATGGTCTCCACTCATCCTTAATACGGGCAGGTGTTGTCGTGAACCTGTGCTCGTGTCCAGATGAAGAGGGAGTGAAGAACAAAAGCAGGCCAATTACCAGCGCGATTCATCACTGAGCTGGCACCATCGTCTTGTCACGACCGATTGGTTGTGCAGCCACTTGGATGAAACAGTCTGAAACACGTGTTGTTTGACATGAATATCCCACATCCCCCACCAACGAAAAGTCTCGGCCTATCCGCTGGGAGAGAACAGGAAGAGGCAGACCACTGGCATATCCTTGCGCATCGAATCTCGTATGATTAGCCGTCATGTTGGCATAACTGTATTTCAATGTCACCGTCACCCTCATTTGTCGAGCTCGCCCTTGATCACACGGGCGAGCCGAACAATACCATCTTCCAATAAAGGAACCTCGGCCCATGCAAAGCAAAGTCGAAAATCTCTATCGAACTTGGTTGACTCATTATCTTCATCACCATCGACTTTGAACTTTGGGCCTGAAATTATTGTCAAATCTTCATCTTCCAGAGCATGTCTCCATATGGTCGTGGCATCGAGTGGTGGCGGCAAGGACAACCAAATGAAATAACCTCCTGCCACTTGATTATTGGGCTGGGGCATGGTCAAGCCAAGAGGTAACAAGTGCTTTTTGATGGCACCCATGATTCGGTAATACCGTTCAGCATAGGCCGGTTGTAGTTCCTGGAGAATGTGTTTCTGCAGAGTCTCGGTTGCGAGCATATCGGAGATGAACGATGCCACCAACTGTGATGGAGCGCCTCCTGAGCGACTCGATCCTGTTTGTGAAAGGCCAAAGGCGAAAGCCTCCGTGCCCTCTGCCCAACCAGTGCGGCACCCAGGTCCGATAATCTTGCTGAAGCTGCCATTGGAGACCGTGTGCCCAAAAGTATCTGCAGGTCCGCCGTCGAGTTGACGATCTACATCCACGACACGTGGGAGAACGGCTCGGTCCAGCTGTATGGAGCCTTGGGTCGGTGTTGCTGGCCATTGAAGCATGTCGTAGACGTCATCTGTGACAATCAGGGCATCGAATCTTCTGGCCAGTCGAACCAATTGTTGACGACGTTCTAGACTCATGATTCGACCTGATGGGTTTGCAAAGGTAGGAACTGCGTAGATGACCTGTTTGTAGATCTTTCTCCATGGCTTGGGTAGCTTGATGCGCGGAGATGTGTTAGCCTCGGCGACAGCGGCCGTTTCGCTTTCTTCAAGAGCTTGCTCCAGATACTTGATATCGATGCCTTGCTCATCTTCCGGGACTGCTCTCAATCGACCATCGAATCCTGCGTCTGCAAAAATCCTGCAAGCTAAGTAATATGTTGGTGCCACCATCCAGACATTGCGAGTATATAACGGATCAGTAAATGTCTGCAAAACACAGGCCAGATTTTGACTGGCTCCACCTGTGATACATAATCGCGCGGATGAGATGGGCTCAGGCGGTGCATAAAATGAAGTAAGCCATTTGGCTATTTCATCTCGTAGAGGATGGTAACCTTCATCCGGAGCATAGAATAAAACATCCCTCTTGTCCTCATCGTTGAGAATGTTGGAAGAGGCTTGGTCGAGTTGTCGTGGAGGCAAGAGCGAAGGATTGGGCCATCCTTTGAAGAGGTCAATGGATCCAGGTTTTACTGCCTTATGGGTGTTTGTCTCAGCCCGGTCCTCGGCCATGCCTGTTGTGGGACGTACTTGGACGCGTCGGGTCATGAGCCGCCTTGAAGTCTTAGCTGGACGTGGGATCAGTTGAAGATGTGAAGATCTAGTTGCAAGGGTAGAGATACAGGCTCCTCGCATCTACTGATCCTGTGGTGGTGGTACAGCTTACAATCACCAGATAACCTATTCCCAGAGAACAAGAGGAACTGAACATGGATCATGTCATCGACGGAAAAGTCATGAATCAGAGTTTTCTTTCTCAGGCTCTTTGACGACATGCTCCCACCCTCGGGGGAAGTTCCAGTGGTGTTCTGGGCGTGCCTTAGCTGCCGTTTAGCGACGGAGATGCCCCCACCAAGTCCTCGAGCCTGAGGCCCCTGCATGTTGCCACCTAACTACTCCGTAAGTGCGGCTTAGCCCCTTCGGCCCCAACACGCCATCTGCCAGGAAATCAAGCACGTCGACGTCAGCGATGTTGGCTGAGGGGTTGTTTATTCGTTTGCCCACTAGATTTATTGTCTGGACAATATTAGGTAGGCACAACTAAGTACTTCCCAAGGGGCTTCACGATTCCCGGGCTCTTTTAACGTGACCTCCACATCGCAAACTGCCTACCAAAGGGTTGGAAAACCTGGAATTTGAGGTAAGGTTAGGTAGGGACGTAGGTACCTGTTACTGATGGGCCTCCTAAAGTCAAGCGAAAATGGAGCATTAATACATTGCCTGACAACGTTTTCAATCACCAGGCCTGGACCTACGTGGGTGCTAATAGGTGATCCTCCCGAGTCCTACTTCCGTCTCAGCCACCGTCATTCCAACCATTTTCATGACCACTTCAACTCAAGAACGCGAAGGATCGCTCCATGTTAGATCTCACATAACACCAACCTACAATATCGGTATCAAGATTATTTTTATCGCTGCCTTTGCATGTATTTCTCTTCCTCTACCCGTCCTTGATCTTCTCGACAAGACATGGTGACACAGCCGCGAGCTTGAGTTACGTCGAGTAAAGTCGACGGCCTCATACGCGGGTGTTTTTGGCCTCATTCCAGACAAGTGTCACTCTCCTTCAGGATTGGGAGCCATGAATAGCAACACCGTCTGACCTGCGTTCTCGTTCCCGTTCCCTGGTCTCGGACTCGTTTTCTATCAGAGTCGGTTTCCATAATCAGTCATCGTCTCGTTCATCTCTCCTGCAAACCGATTCTCTCCACAATCATGGCCAAGAGGTTGTCATCACTGTTCTCCCTGTCGAGGGACGACAAAGACCACCCAGACACGCCTCAGTCTTACACAGCGCAATCTCCTCAATATGCCCTGTCCCCCGCCCATCTACCGACTCCCACCTCGCATAAACTCCACAAGCACCGTTTTACTGCTTCCTCAGACATCGACTTCAATAACCATGATCTTCCTCCTCTCGAACCCCCCCCATTCCTGTCAGACTCAGGCTTCCCACGTCCTCCCAGCAGCAATCGAAGCGGGCCCGATAGTAGACCGGGCAGCAGGAACAGCAGTCCTCACAGCTTCACGGAGAATAGGAGCCGTCCCCAGACACCAAACCTTATGATTCCCCGCAACTCCACGGGCTCACCCGCCCGACCTGCAACACCAAACTCGGCAAAGATTACAAAGAAGAAGTCATGGCTTCCCGGCCGATCAGATAAGCAAAAGCCCGACGATGGACACGGCGCACCGAGAGCGTGGATAGCTGGACTACGGGAGCACGTCCCGTACGATTTGACACCTCTACTGACAGGTGACAAGGTAATATAAGCTCCGAGATGACTCTGGGTTGCACCAACCAGGCTGATTGGATGAGCAGATACCCGAACTGTGGAACGAGCGTGGAGACACCATCATATACCTGTATCCACCTTCATCAGGTCGAGGGCCTTGTTTCAAGATATCATCCTCACTCCTAGCAGACTCCAAGGCTTTGGTCGATTTGCGTATCCAGTCTCCCACAACTCCCATCACCAGCACGGGCGATGCATCTCATATTGAAGGGGCATTTTCTGAATTGTCCATGGAACCTCAGCATATCCGACCCCCATCTCAGCAAAGCTCGACCTACCGGCCTTCTATGAATTTCTCCGTCCCAAACATCGTGACGTCCATCAGCCAGGAAAAGCATGTCTACCTGCCAGTGGGATTTGAGACAAATATGTCAGTTCCTGGTATACAACCCAAAGGGGATGATTTTGAATTGGTTGTGCTTTATCGCAATTTTTTCGCCTTTCTAGCAGGTGGGGCATTGGTCGCCACACCCAGACAAGTGACTTTGTTTTCGATTTTCATGGGTATCAGCAGTATTCTCAAACGCTTTAACTTCAGCAATATTGACGGCTCGACCTTCGGAGAAGTCCCCATCAACAGCTTTTCAAGATACTGCGAAGAGTTGAGGTTGGCTGATGTTCGCTCGAGCCGAGAGAAGACCATTGAAGCTATCGTGCTAGGGGAACATCTCAGATCATGGCAGCTGTACAATGAAGGTTTTGCACATGCTGTCGGGCGTCTTGTTGATATAAAGTCCATTCAAAGCCCCAAGTACCATACCATGTCACCAATCACCATCAATCGCTTAGAACGAGCTCATCTGGATATCGAGCAGCGATTATTGACGGTCAGAGGCAAACTCGAAGATTTCGACTTCCCTTCCATGTTTGCAGGTATTGCCAATTCCCAGACCTCGACCGAAGCCAAGCTTGTGAGGTTCAAGGAATGGAAGGCCGGCTTTCTGGATTTTCGTCGCTTCATCTTTGCTCATTATCGCCGAAAGTATGGTGCTTGGCCACCCAAAGCATCATCCAAGAAAAACAATTTCGAAGAAAGTGGTCTCAATCGGATGCTGTTGAGAGAACTCTATAAAGACTTCTGCGACATGTATGATACATTGGTCGATCGATCAGCATTGACTACTAGGACGGCCGACATGCCCCCAATGGATGGTGACGCTGAAACCAATGATCTAAATGAGACGATTCAGCACGCCATCCGGCGCGTGGAAAGCGAGTATGATCGAGCAACACCCCCTGTAATGCCACCAATTCCATTCGATATACCTCTCCTCCCACAATTCTCCCAAAGCTTCAATCGCAACCATGTTGTGGTCTCAGATCAGTCTGCGCTCCAAGCCAAAAGGCTGAGCCAGAATGAGGTCAACGAGGTGCTACTGGGCTCTTATAATCGAGAAAGCATCAATGCGAGTCCGTTCATCCAAGATTTTTTCAACTATGAACGTCGACTTGGGGATGGTAAAACGTTGGAGCAGATCGTGGACGCGAGGTGTGGACAGTGGCTGTTCATGTATGCCGTCTTGCAAGCCTTGCCTATGACTGTTGTCGATGCACGCGATCTCCAGTATACGGAAGGTGCCGAATATTTCCTATGTGTGCCTCCTCGAGGAGGTAGACCGTGGATGAAAGAAGACCAGTCTACATCCCGAGCCTGGTACAATGTTGCGAGTGGAGGAGGCATAGTCAGTATGCCAGCTGATCAGATCGACCATGGTGTCGAAGGAGTGTATCGTCGCAGTCACTGTTGGACTGTTGCGAGTGAATGGGTTAATGCACTGCCGGCATCAGCACTGCCTCCACTCAAGCATGCGGACACAGCGGGCCTGCAACCGCCACCTCCATTTGGGACCAATTCGCCTTACCTGAGCCCGCAACAATCACCATACGCCAGTCCACAACTATCGCCTGTTTTCCGTCCTCTAACTCCATCCTCATCTAATGATTACCACAGCATCGGCAAAGTCAGAAGTTCGGTGAATCTGGGTCTAGAAGCCATCGATGCCCCACCTCCACAAAATACACCACGGTCTGTATCCACATACAATCCAAACATTACCTTCGACGCGATTCTAGGTGGAGGAGCGCCAGCGTTGCAGGGGAAGGGCAAAAAGGGAAAGAAGTAAGCATTCACGATTCGGGGCAGGTAATGTCCAAATTTACAGGAGGAATATTGCAACGAATATAACGATGCGGGTTGAAGCGCCTTCTTGCATAACTCTGTCCTAAACTTTAATGATCACGATATCACCTACGCATTCTTGTATGATCAACAGAGCAGTTCCGTATTTCTTCGTGCTCGCTCATCATCAAAAGAATTGTTTTTTAAGTTGGGCATGACGAAACTCAATCTTTAAGATGTGTTCAATCCCCCACTTCTGACGTCAATCCTGGCCAGGGTGATCCTTCTCCATACTGATTCAAATATCGCTTGTGGATGTTCACCAACTACAGTTCCGTCTTTTGGATCATGGTCTCGGAATTTCTTCAAGGCATCTTATCTATACAAGCTGATTACAAGTCGGCAAGTCCAAACCACCATGGCATCCAACACCGACGGAACTGTCAAAGAACCAGTCAATCGTGAGCCGGATACGACAGACTTAATCTCGAGGTAAGCCATCATGCCTGTTGACATCGACCATCTTGTCGGTACATCCATCTGGGAGCCAAGCCACCGAATACGGCTTCGTTGGCCATGCTGCCTCCTAATGCCAGTCGCTTGTAGTTCTATTTTCACGTTTCATTCAACTAAGAACCAAGTTCTAACAATGTAGCAACATCTACCCGTTGCAGTTTCCTCACACCCTCAAAGTCAAATGGCTCCTCCAAGTCCCAACTCGTAGCATACGATCGCAACCATGGGCCTATCCAGCATCTCTCCGCCACCAAACACACACTAACCATACAAAATGATTCATCGTTTGCCCCCAAAAGCAACTCAGTCCCCTCAAATCTCAGCACTACCCTCTCAATATCCGACCTTAAAACAGAATTCACACAACACTCGGTCACATGCGCGTTGCAATGCGCAGGAAACCGCCGCCATGAGATGCGCGACCGCCTTAAGGAGGTCTCGGGAATCGATTGGGGTGACGGCGCGGTCATGAACGCTGTCTGGACGGGTCCTTTATTGAGAGACGTGCTCCAGCGGGTAGGCGTTGTCGTCAAAGCTGGCGAAACCGGGACTACAGGGTATGACGGGGTCCATGTCCAGTTTGAATGCAATGCCACCAAAGTCCAGGACGACGATTGGTACGGTGGAAGCATTCCGCTCGGTGTGGCGATGGATCCGAAGCGGGAGGTCATGCTGGCGTTAAAGGTTCGGTCTGCGGTTTTTCCCTTCTTCCACTTCACTTGCAATGCTCTGGCGCAACGTCGCCGAGGAAGACGAAGCTAAACCCTTCGCCAGATGAACTACTCCCCCCTTCCACCCCGCCACGGCCACCCGCTCCGAACCATCATCCCGGGCATGATCGGCGCACGTTCCGTGAAATGGCTTGACACGATAACGCTCTCAGCCCAAGAGTCCCAAAACTTCTACCAGCAGCACGACTACAAGATCCTCCCACCGGAAGCCACGTGGCCCGAAAAAGCCGAGTCCCTCGGCTTGTGGGAGAAAGGCCGCGTCCCGCCCATGATGGACGTCAAAATCAACAGCGTCGTCGCAGTGCCCGGCGCAGATGAAAAGGAGATTCGACGCGACCAGGACGGCATGCTCACGCTGAAAGGCTACGCGATCCCCGGCGGCGCGGACGGGCCCGTCGTGAACGTGCATGTTTCGCTCGATAAAGGAGAAACGTGGCATGAGGCGCGCATTTTGGATGATGGGGATGAGAATACAACTACTACTTACTCTGGGGTGGGCGCTGGTGATGGTAAGGTTCGTGTGGAGAAGGGGAGTCTGAAGTTTAGCTGGGTGCTTTGGGAAGCGCGGGTCAGGGCTGATCCGGCGGAGGATGTGAGTGTTTGGAGTAAAGCTGTTGACGCGGGCGGGAATACACAGGAGGATCTCGAGGGGAGCTGGAATCTTAGGGGCGTGGGCTTTAATGCTGTTGAGGGGAGGAGGATGATTAGAATTGTCTAGGTGGTCATGGAATATGAAACTGTTGGTCAAACTTGTTGAGATGTCGGTATGCGATTGGGACATCAAATACTTATTAAACTGTGCACTCAAGAATGATGGAGGTTAGTCACTTTGATCTCTACTAACTGGTTAGAACTGCTGTGCATCTTCAAGGTGTTGGTATGATTTAAAAACGCTTAAGCAGGGTTAAGGTTCCTGGCCCGGACTTCCCCTCCCGAGCCGCAGGGGCCGTAGCGAGGTTAAACCACCGTGAACCACTCACAAAATACAGCGGCTATCAACCAGCATCTTCTCCCATCATGTGGTTCATTCGCATCGGCTATTCGTGTCTCTCCAATGCCGAAAGTCGAGTGGCTATGCCTCGGTAACGACGCCTGGCGCACCCGTAGTTAGACGCGAGCTTCAGTTACAGTTCTCCCTCCTTTCCAGGGCACCACGTTATGCAAGCAACTTTGGAGACCTGGCGGAATGGGTCCCGTTCGTTTCGGTTGAATGCCTGAAACGCTTAATTGGCGCCACCTATGCAGCATTATTGGCCTCTTCAGTCAGTGCTGGCTGTTGCACCTTAAAGCATCCTTGCTTGCATATCCGGAGGGTCGTCCAGCTTCTCCCTAGTTGAAAGGGAGATCCCTTCATCGAACGGTCTCCCATTTACCAAGTATGGTTTCCAGGTACTGCTAACGCGCAGTTCTAAAAAATGGACTGGTCCGTCGTGTGGCTGAACATAGGTGGAAGACCAGGGAGTGTCTTCATTGCAAGTTGACTTGCAAATTAAACGCCGCAATGCCCACAGCCATCAACCCGACCATAGCGGCGCTAAAACGACTGGCTGGGAATAACGCTGCTCGAATCCCCTGCTAAGACGCTTTTAGAACAAGAACGCAAACAGCTAACTTGGCAAAAGAACCTAGTTGCTGCGCCTGTGCATACCGGGTACATGAATCCACGGGTACGACTGCACAGCCTGAAACTGACTCGGATTTCATTCCAGACTAAGGAAAATGGACACAGAGGATTGTGGGCAGTACGTTCTCCGACACAAACCCAATGGCCCCAGCTTGCCCACTCTTCAAACCTCTTGTCTCTCAAATCTCGCCAAATCAAGAACCTACCACCATGGAACTCATTTGAAATAACTACGTCTATTTCTTTGTCGTTTCCTTTCGTCCTCCTCGCTTTAGATCAATGTCAGCACCGACAAAGTGTTTTTGGCCCAATGGCCAAGAAGTCACAAAGTACAATTATCAGCCTTGCAACGCAGGCGCCGATCCAAGTCACGCGGCATGCTGTGATCTGCGCACGAGCGTCTGCACCGAAAACGGATTCTGCATAGGAAATGCCAATTACGTCTATCGAGGTGGATGCACGGATTCAACATGGACTTCGTCCAGCTGTGCACAGAAATGTAGCTTTGCGGGTACGTTTGAATTCCCCTACAGTCGACCTTTTGCTCTTGTCGGTCTATCATTGCTTTTCGCGTTTTGGGGAAGGGAGGTTTTAATTGAAATCATATTTGGGCAGTGGAGGCGGATCTCACCGATTTCGCCAACATCTTTGACTGTGGAGCCGGCACGGCAAGGGCGACCAACGACCAACAATGGTGTTGCGGCACGACGGACGGAACAAGCTGCTGTGACAATAAATTCAAAGTCGCATTTGGCAGACCATATTCGCCGACGAACGGGACGAGCACATCAACCACCGCAACAGCCACCACAACGGTCACAATCTCGCAATCGGCAACAGGCACGTCACTGTCGGATGCGGCGTCAACATCTCCTGTCTCGATGACATCGAGAAGCGGTACAGACACACGAGCCATTGGTATTGGCGTGGGCGTTGGTGTCGGTATCGCCATTCTCATATTGATCCTGACGGTGTTTTATATGCTGAAAGAGCGCAAGAAGAGGCTCCTCGTCGAGCAGCAATTGCGAGCCGCGGTGGGAGGTGGTTCGAGTCATGGCCCCCGAGAATTACGCCAGAGGCAGGAGATGGAGCAGCCAGATTATGATGCGACCAAGCAGATGCATCGGAGAGTGCATGAAATCAATACGCAGTCGCTGTATGAGGTGCAAGGATAGATAATGTTGTTTTGGTCACTATGTCACCGCATCACAGCCCTCCATAGGACTCTGTGAAATGTAGTTGCAGCCCTAGTCGATTTGCGTATGATACACACATTCTATAATTTTGAGGTCTCCCTTTATGGCAGTATCTGTGAGCAGGATGTCATCGACCTAGCCTTTGCCCTCTCGGGGCGAGATAGCTACCTCCCTAGCGCAGTACATAAGCCCAAGAAAACATTGTTCTCTCGTCAATCTGGCTCGCGGCAGCGATGATGTATTCCTGGGTCGGATACACATACTTTGTTCCGCCAACTGAGACCGCCTGTTCAATTGCTCAACACTGTCGCTCTACGAGGCTGAGGCCCTAAAATGAGGACTACTTCGCCACACTTATAGCTCGGTTGAACGTGTTTTGCCCGACATCGGTTCCCAGGTCTGTCGCAAAGAACTCGTCCCCATCGTCTGTCACACCCCAGATATGGCTGCTAAGAGCAAGTCCGGTGCCGTTCTAGTCGACAGGGAAGGCGATGTCACCGTTGATCGTGGCCTCGCAGGCGCCCGTAGTACTGCCGTTCAGGATGTGGGTTACTATATGGCCAATTGTCAGACCCGGAGCAGTTGATGTTGTCGTAGAAGTAATTCTCTAGACACACAGAAGCCTATATACCTGTTTGCAAGCCGCCCGGTACATTTAGCGGTCCAATCACTCGAGTATCGACATTGATGGTGATATTGAGGAGTGGCTCAGAGGACGGCGGACGCAGAATTTGAGCCTTCGCACCGATGACGGGCGGTGAGGAGATTTCCAGCGAATGTGAGTGGCTTCATACTTGGCACAGCTGATTTATGAGTCCTGGAGATTCTTTGTCGAACTGATAGAGTTCTGTAGGAGTATCGCCATGGGCATTTGGATCAGCCTACCAGGTCTGTTCAGAGTGCCAAGTGATAATTATCAAACCATTCAATCCAGGCTGGCATGCATATGGTTGCCCGGCAACTAGTCATGCTATTGGCGGTGCTGGTTGCTGATATAATGGTGCCATAACATAGTTCCGCCGCATGGATGGTATAGATCTTCAGCGGCTATAACATCTAAAAGCGCCGTTAATCTCTCTAGATGACCACGGCCCACTTCTCTTAGCTGAAACACCGATTCAAATATACTTTCGGAGTGTCGATAGACAGTCTACGAGTATATTTCAAGGACTTGACTCCACCGACTAAAGTCAGTCTCGTTTCATTGGACGGAGGGTCGGTGGATCAAGGCTGGAAATGAAAGGCCTGAAAGGCCTGATATCTACTCGTCCGCTCCGCTCGCCTCAAAACCCGGTGCCCAGAGCGGGAATCGGCTGGTAGGACCGTTCGAGCAAATTTTTGGCCCCATTTCTGCTATTTCGAGTTATCTATACGCAGATCATAGGTTCTAGAGACTCAGAGATGACAAAAAGATATTACAATGATCCCAACCTCATATGGTAGTGGTATAGTCTGACTCTTGAGTTGGACTTAGAGCCCCCTTGGCCCTGTTTCAAGAAGCTCTGAAATCTGAGGATATATAATCGTGTTCCGCGATGTCTTGTCCTGCCACCAACTTGACACAACTCATTGACACAATTCTTTCGACCTCTGAATGATAACAGTTTAGAGCATTTTCAATAGTTTGCTTCGTCATGGGTCCCACAACTCTCAAGTCGGCGAAGTCGCTATCCGCGGTGCATCAGGTCTACCGAAATTTACACACAGCATTTCATATCGAGAAGGGCTACAACTTCCCGTTGTACGTGATTTGCGCGGGCGCAATGCTAGGGTTCAGCCTTTCAAGACTCATGGTAAGGCCAATGTCCATCCACGTTCTGCCACATCTGCTCCATTATTCATGTTCACTGTCACGCATCTGCGAAGCTCATAAGAAATGATATACTGATCCAACGTGTTAACTTAGTATCTAAACATTGATGGGAATTTTGTGCTTCATAGCAACCCGTCTGACGCTCTCGACTTTGGACCCAATACCAAAAACATGGCTAAGAGGATCGGTATCATCCTCCACCTTAGCGCCATTCTCCCTGCGGGAATCCTGGTTGTCTTCCAGTTCACCCCTATCATACGGCACAAGTTTATTCTCTTTCACCGTCTAAATGGTTACCTTATTATTTTCCTCTTTTTCCTTTCTGTCGCAGGAACTTTCATGATGTTCCCGTCTCTTATCAACCACCGTCCTGATGTGCAAATCGGCCTTGGGGTTCTCGGAGTCGGTTGTTGCATCACGATCACTATGGCGTGGATCAATATCAAACGGTTGCAAATTGAGCAACACCGAGCATGGATGCTGCGAACTTGGGTGTACGCTGCATCCATCATCAGCTTGCGCCTGCTCATGATAGCCGCCACGACCGTTGTCAATCGGTATTTCCCCGATCGACACTTTGCGATATTCTTGTGTGGTAAAATTTTTGATATGTATACAATGCAGGGTGTTCCGGACGACTTCAACCCCACCGCACTCATCTATCCCGAGTGCACACTGAACGGCACAGGGACCTTTGACCGCTCGCTCCGGGCCATTGTGAGGGCGAGCTCCAACAGCTATACCAACATCCAGGGTCAGGTGGTAAAACCGGGCCCAGAGGGATTTGCTGCCTTTGCCGACGCGACGTTCGGCATGGCTACATGGTTGGCTCTTGTCTTGCACGTGGTGGGAGTTGAGCTGTACCTCCACCTAACGCCACAAGAGGCTGAAAGACTGAGACAGGTCAGTTATAAAAGGCAGCTCGCCGCGGGGATGAAAAACCCTGGAAGTTCTGGATTGGTCGTACAGAGGTTGGGCGATGCTGAGAGGTGGGAGCCGTTGCGGAAGAGTTCAAGGCAGGACGAAGAAGAGGGGGCGGAACAGGCTGCATACCTCATGCCTCAGGATAATCAGCGTGATGGGGTCCCACTCTCTCAACATGGAAGGTACGACAGGATGTGAGTGGTTACCGCAAGCTGGAGGAAGTGGCGGGATATCTTTAGGTCATCGTATGAGAAGGAAGCTGAGAGAAGGCGCAATCAGGCAGAGCACCTTGCCGTGTTTCTGGGACGAAGTTGATGTTCATCACCCAAGGCGTGATCAGAGAGAGATAGAGCAATCCCACATGAGCGCGAGGGTAAGGTGGGTTTTCACCACTGAATCGCAAAGTTAATCAAACTGCACTCTAATATTCTGCTAACGTCCATGAGTCTCTAGGCTTCGTGTCGTGGGCGTTAACGATGAGAAGCTCCGAGAGAGACATATATCGCGTATTGCGTTGAGATAGCTGTACTATATGCAGTCATGACTTAGTGATCTGAAAGTCGGTCACCATAAAACAAAGTTTAGACCGTAACGTGGCGGCAAATTCTTCTTTATTGTCTTCCGACTCCTGGAAAGGATCAACATGAGGATTGTTGTTGTCCCGTGTATGTTTGCTCCAACAGCCAACCATGTGTGGCTCCACAGAAGCATTGCCAACGAGAGCCATGCTTCGACTGCTCGTGCTATTGATGTACAGTATGAGTATAGCGACTGTAATGGTGACCTATGGTGAGTTGGTCATCAGTAAATACCTGCATGAGCGTCTGCGTATCATCTGAGAGTTAGCTGCAGCTCATAAAAATGATATTTTGATTAGCTGAGAGCCTAAGCTTCACATTTTCGCTTAGAACAGTGCAAGTCTTCTGAGAAAATGGTCATATGGTTGGGAATGTACACAGTCAATGTCAGGAAGAAAGCATCAAGGTATTGAACCATGACCCAAACGCCGACTCATATTGGGAAGATTGGCATTGTGGGTGTATAAAATCGGCAGTAATGGTGCGGAACAAGGGGACTTCTATCATTGAGCACCCAGAACGACGTCCCGGAGCTGCGATAGTGAATGCGGCGTGAATGGCACATGATGAATTAGGACGCTCAGCAGATTTCGCAGATGAGAAATATTGCTTTCATGAGCTGCACACCAGGTCATAGGCTCCAAAGTTAGTCGAACAAGTAACCTATGATGTTGCTTCTCCTGAGGGCAGATGAATTCCGGTTTCATGGATTGCATTGGTTCTGGGGTAGATGGATGCCAGAAAGCTAGAAAGGAGATGAAGGGGACGAAATACTCGCACTGTCTGAGTCCAGCCTATAATTTTCAATATTGGCCATCGCTGATACGTCCGAACTGAATCTATGGTGATGAAGCTGTGGCTCAGGTGCATGGGAGAAATGCTAGGAGTGTTGGAAATTTCCTTCAGCTCAGAAATTCTCAAGAAGCTGCAGAACGCTGAAGTAACCTTTTCCATCTTGATGGTAGGAAGTATTTTCAACTGCACAGCTTCTCCTTGAACGGGGATTCTGGATCGATGAGGGGGCACGTTGAGTGGGCGAAAATGATCCGGTTCGCAGTGTTGGAGACCTACCATAGTATAGATTAAGACCCATCCAGCTCGACCATGTTCTGATGGAGAATGTTAAGCGCCTGTGCTCAATTTTTCCAGTCTTGATATCATATCCTCTTGCTGTATGTATTGAACAAGAGTATAGTACGTTTCCTGTGACATAAAGAGAATGGTATAATAGCCTTTTGAGGCACCTCTATCATATCTGGCGATCGTCTGGATGACAAGAAAAGGAGGGTTAGCGGAGGGATCGGATCTGCAGAAGGTGGTGAGCAAACATCATCTTTGACACAAATGTCAAGGCGATCAGATACCTGTTTGAGGGCGTATTCGGTTGAACAAACAACATATTCTCTGAGCTGGTGCAGCTCAGTGTGATCTCGAACAGCAAAGATGTGGTCTAGAACATGGAAATGCACATTCCAGTAGCATCTGACTCCTTATTTGAGATGGTGGGTCATTGCCACCCTCCATGGTCGGGCATGAGGTTTAATAATAAAGTGCCAGAATTTGATTCTCAGGCAGGAAAATGAGAGGTAGATCATGAGGACCAGAAGTGGTCGCCACTGGCCACGTCGAGACCGCGAGAAACTCTTTTTGATTGGAGTAGTACAAAGATCCTCGAGCTCCATTCAATGTCGGTCCCATTAAAGTGGCTGCGCGGCCATGCAATATCCACAAGACCGAAGCTAGGATATGCATGGGTGAGACGAGTCCGCCTGGTATCAGGCTAGTATTCTGTTGATCGGACCTTGCCTATCCTAGGCAGACCTCATCGACAACATACGATGAGTTGCTCCGCTCCGCGGGAAACGGTTTGTTGGAGGACTCAGAGCGAGGATCCTGGGACGGGTCGACAACGCTGAAGATCTGATAGCGCTGGCGATGGGCTGTCACGAAGCAGCGCAATATCTCCACCTATCCTATCGATGGGTAGAATTTCGGCAAGGCTGTATGGATTAGATTGTCTGGTGGCTGGAGCTCCCTGAGTCCACAAATATCCGAAGTCGTTGTAGCGCAGCTTGCACACGATCGCACATGGATTGCGGAGATCTGAACCCACAGTTGAACAAGCTGCCTCGAACGTGCACTGCTGTACAGGGCAAGTGGGCTAAGGGTCGTGCTTCAAGAATGGCCGGCTCTGCGGCACAAAGGCCTATCCAGTATACTTCCATTTTCACACTGGCAAACGAATGACAGCAAAGAGTTTGAGGCCGATGTTGAGCCTGAGTGACTTCCCCTCGCGTTCAGATCATTATGTCTAACAAGGGGTGGGAAGGAGCATGACATTTTAGCGTCTTGCGCCATGGAGAGGTGATTCCTGATCTCTTGATCAGGTGCTATACGAAACAGAGACTCGAGTATAGAAGTTAACCTCTATCTAGCATGAGGCTCTTGGGGTGTTTCTGTCTGGATAGGTCTCAATGACCGAGGAAGAGCCAGCAACCTTCTTCCGGAAGTTGGACATGAGGATCCTTGCCAGTGTCGAATCACAGCCATTGCCGGAGATCAACCATGGGAAAAGAGGAGCCCACAGGTCGGTCTTGGCAGGCGATTAGTACGGGGACCACGGGGCACCGATGGATTCCAGAAAACCTCAAACCGGCTTGTCTCGTGTTTGGACTCCTGCTTGTGCCCGCTTAATCCTCGGGCTCAAGCCCGACAGGCCAGCGGTTGATCATCGGAGCCACGGATGAGTCTAGTTACGAGTAGACACATGGCAGCCTCGGCCAGTAGGCGTGAAAGCCTATCAACGTCAAAGTTCTAGCTTTACCAGGTCAGAGCAGAGGGGATTGGGAAGGATTGAGGCTTCTCCCCAAGACGACCCCGTGGGTTACAAGGTGACAAATGTGGTCTGAGGAGTTGATGCAACGTCCTAGCTCAAAGCCCCATGGGGACCGTTGCTGGTGGCCAAAACATTGGAGGGCACCTTACAGATGATCGAGCGCTCGATCGCGACTATGCCACCTTATCGGCCAACCTGGTGGCGACTGGGTGTAGGAATCTTACTTGTAAGGATATTCGTATATCTGCACGGTTGTTCAAAAGGGCCAATCTAGAAAATCACTCCTTCGAGTGATGGGAGGGACAATCTTGCATTTGTCACAGAACTTGCCAGAGAAACCGGACTAGTCACGCCTCCGCAAAGCTTAGTTTCTCGAAGAACGCCCCGGGAGGTTTACTGCAAGCCGTAACACAGCCATCAGTGTAGTTCGAACAACCATTCCCGGAATGATTTACATACAAGACTCTACACCAAGAATCTACACGTGAGAATTCAGGTGAGAAAATGGAGTTCCATAACACCAAAAAGTGGTCAGACTGTTTAGCGCTTGGACAACCGTCGGTAGAAGCAGGGGTCCAGGGTAGAAGCCCCCGTACCTTGTAGCCTGTAGGCTCAGGCTCTCGCAGGGGCCCACCGAGGGATGTAGTGCCTGGACCGGGGCTAGCGAGAGCGGCCTAACCTCAAAGATCGCGGTTGTCAGCGTGCTACCCAACGGTGGCCAACCACTTTCGCGTAAACCACACAGACTAGTGTTGGCGTCGTCTAAGCGACATCAGCTGCATCGTTTCCCCCATGTCACCCATTTGCCTGCCAACATCTTCTTCTGTCTCTCATGGAGGGGGCAAAAAAAGCCCATGAGATCTTGTGATAGGAGAAATGGCATTATCCCCGGATTAGAGACGGCTAGGGCGGGGTTCCCACGGGCTGGAATGGCCTATCGGTCTTCATGGCCTAACATCTGAACACACGATCGATGCTGGGCAGTGGGCCGTTCAACTCCTGGCTGTCGGCTTCATTTCGGAAGACTAGCAAGGCGTTTTGTCCGCTAGTCGTAGTCAATTCATGTGGTGTTGGTGCTATGGTGGAATGTTCCCCAGAAGTTCGCTATACTTGAGTAATCTATAAGAATCCTCACCCGGCCCCTGTGTCTCGACCTGGTTCTTCAGTCAACCCATCGACCACACTCACTAACAGTCCAGGATTCGGCATCATCCAACATCTCCAGCCAAACAACATGTCGACAGACGAAAAGATTGCAGGTGGTGGCACTGCCGAGATCATTGACCGAGCAGACTCGATCGACAGAGCCAAGAATGTAAAGCGAAGCCCTTCTCTAGTATATAAATGACAATGCTGATGGTTCTTCTAGCTCGTCGAAGTCAAGGAAGTCAAGGGTAGCGCAGCCTACAATGAGGCTCTGCTTCGAGAACCAGTCACCTGGTACTCCCCCCGCATGTTACAGTTGTTTGCTATCCTCTTGGTCGGCTTCTTCTGCCAAACCATGAACGGCTACGACAGCATGCTTTTGGGTGGTCTCCTGAACAACAAGGAATACTTCTTGAAGCATTTCGACGGAGAGAATAAGGGTATCTGGGCCGGTATCATCAGCTCTATGCATCAAATCGGTGGTGTCTCCGCTCTTCCCTTCGTCGGCCCAGCTGTTGATGGGTGGGGACGTCGAGTGGGCATGTTTATCGGCAGTCTGTTCATCATTATCGGTACCATCATTCAGGGTCTTACATTGAACAACGCCTCCGTCGGTCAGATTATGGGTGGTCGATTCTTGATTGGATTCGGTGTCTCCATCGCTGCTGCCGCAGGACCTATCTGGATCGTCGAAACCGCACATCCCAAATATCGTGGTGTCATCACTGGTCTCTGCAACACCACTTGGCTTGCTGGTGCCATCTTGGCTTCCGGTGTAACTCGTGGCGCTCTTGATATCAAGGGTAACAACTCCTGGGTTCTACCTATCTGGCTGCAAATGTTCTTCCCTGGCTTCATCGTCATCTTCTGCTTGTTCGTCCCAGAATCTCCACGTTGGCTCTACACTCGCAACAAGCGCGATCAAGCACATAAAGTCCTCACCAAATGGCATGGCCTGGACAACCCCGAGTCTGCCTGGGTTCAACTCCAGCTCAGCGAATACGAGGAGTTCCTTGAGCTCGATGGATCTGTAAGCAAGCCTCGGAACCCGACCGTGACTACACTATACTAACGCTTCACTCCAGGATAAACGCTGGTGGGATTATCGCGCATTGTTCAACAAGAGATCCAGCATCTACAGACTTGCTACGGCCTGTTGGTTCTCTGCATTTTCCCAATGTAAGTGATCATTTTTCACCTAGGCCTGAGACCTATATAATAACATTCTCCCAGGGTGTGGTAACGGGCCCCTCTCGTACTTCTTGGCCGCCGTCCTTGACACTTGTGGCATCAACGACTCCATTGGCAAGGCCAATGTTGGACTCGGCTACAGCTGCTTCCAGTTCTTCTTCGCCATTATTGGCGCCCACTTTGTTGAGAAAATTGGTCGCCGTAAGATGATGCTATGTGGTTTCTTTGGAACCTCAGTTGTCTGGGTTTGCATGACAGCTGCTGCTGGCACCCTCGCGAACTCTTTGGAATCTGGTTCGGTTTCCGCTGGTGATGCCGTCTTCAGCAACAACAGCGCCGCCAACGCAGTGTTGGCATTCATCTTCATCTTCGGAGGTGTTTATTCGTTCAACATCACTCCTCTCCAGTCTCTCTACCCTGTTGAGGTCATCTCCTTTGAGATCCGAGCCAAGGGTATGGCCCTCCAGACTGCCTTCGTCAACGCAGCCGGTCTCCTCAACCAGTTTGCCTGGCCCGTTGCCATCAAGAACATCGAGTGGAAGACATACATCATCTTCGTCATCTGGACCTTTTCTCAAGGTGTACTTGCATATTTCTTCTTCCCAGAAACCCGCAAGCGAACTGTAAGTCATTCCGAGTATATCGCCGCACATGATAATATTTACTGACCCATGAAACAGCTCGAAGAACTCGATCATATCTTCGAGGCCAAGAACCCCGTCAAGTTCTCCGTCCAGACCCACAAGGTCGGAATCACCGAGGACGCGCAAGTTGTTGCTGTCGACGACTCAGTCAAGGTCTAGATCGCTCAACACCGTCCTTGTGTCGTGTCTCAATGCGCGTGCTACACGGCACACTTCAAGTGTGGCAAGCACAACTTTCAAAATGTGGACCGACAGTTGGAAGATGTCTTGGGAGATTTTGCTTAAGTTCTGAAAAATGGTTTAGATTTATTCAGATTGTTCCAGATCAACGATAGTCATTCACAAGTTAATTAGTACCAAAGCTGTGTTGGCACTTAGTCACTCGCAATCTAATAAATTACCGCTGCTTCTATGCCCCTTTCACATATCTTTCGCGTTTCCTCATTTCTTCATATGTTTCGAGGGCGGTGGTTTTTTTCCTTTTGCACAATTACTGGACTCTGCGTTAATCAGAGACAAACTGTCCGCGTGCTGAGGGCGCGGGTGAGAAATTTCGGCATCATGACCTCACTACTCGCTACTCGCTTCCTCGTTCCAAAACATCCGTTCGCTAAGCTAGAGCATAGCCGTGCACTCCATCTCGATATCTGTCTTGAGAGGTAATGTCTTGACAGCAACGCATCTAACAACATCGTCGACAATAGTTAGCATAAAACAGACCATCTACAGCACCCACGTGCTCGGATCCTGCGGAGTCTAGTACTCACGTGCGGCAAGGTAGATTCTCCGTGAAATACTGCGTGTAGACTTCATTCATCTTGTTGAAATTGTCCATATCGTCGAGGAAGATGTTGATCTTCACGATTTTCTTCAAGCTGCTCCCCGCTGCTTCGAGCACAGCTGAAAGATTGCGGATCACTTGATGCTGGTATTTGAAACACATGTTAGCAGGTAGTGTTTGCGTGGAGAATGTTCACTCATGAGTTATGATATCTCGAAAGCTGCTGGAGTGCTGAAGCATCCACATCAAAGACGTCGGTGGTGTACCTACTGTATGGGCTTGAATATCTCCATCGATGACTTTGAGAGTCTTGGGATCCATGGCGATGGAGCCAGAGCAGAATACGAATCCATTCGTTGTGACGACCGCCTGTGGGAAGATGTGAGGCATTGGATTGGGTGCGTTTTCCGTCAGCACGCCTCTGTGTTTTGCCTCCGCCATTTCGCTGATGCTCAACCGCAGATTGAAGTCTGGAATGTTATATTTGGCTTAAAAAGCCCCGTGAAATTTATTCCGGATTGAACACTACAAAGAATAAATTTCTAGCCCGGCATGAAGGAAGCGAAATGAAGAGATTCATATCCTCGAAAAGGCATCCTCAAACCGTCGGATGATGTCCGGGCAAGATTAGTCAACCAAGAAAGCTTAGTCGATGCCCCGGATTTTCAGCTCGGCAGTACTCCGTGATCTCGCGTGGACCTGCATGGGAATGCCGGGATATTTGCAGTCTCTCCATGGGTGGATAATAGGCTAATTGCTGCAAAACATCACAAACGAGCAGCCAGCACTATTTAAGACCTCTTGTGATTCAAGCGCCATTTCACAATGATGGCGAGGGTTGTTTAGACGCGGAAGGGAGCCCTTGCTCGGCTGGAATTGATCGGTATTGTCCCGTTGAGGACCGGAATCGCGCTCCTGACGGCCTCAGGAACTTGTAAAGACCATTGCATGCGAACTGGATCGTGGCTGCCTGTCGGATTGAGGCCGTCCAGAAGTACATCCCACCTTTTCGATTTATCCGGGCTGTCTTCCGGAAAGGTCGTGCTTGCCCTCTTCGCTGTTCAACCGGCATTACTGTTGATTAAGCTGGATCGGACTGGCTCTCCAAAAACCGATTGCTGATTTTCCCAGGAGGCTCAGGGCAAATCAATCCTTGCATTTTACGACAACACTCTGCCTGAACGAGAATAATAATGACAATCAATGATCTACAGATATGCAATACCACTGTACAGTTGTGTGTGTAGATTGGCATTTCATCACACATAATCTGCATTTGATTTCGGCGCGGGAGCTCAGATCTTGACCTCGAGGAAGGCTGTCGTAGGTTCAGTGAACCCTATTGGCACTTATGAAACAGTAATAGGTCCGGCAAACCTCAGGCTTCCGAGAACGCTGCAGTATATGCATATCAGGACATCGCCTGCATCTACCATTCGTCTGCCAACACCTCGCAAGTGTCATTTTGGTTGCCTTGGGTGCCACTAGCACTTTGCGATGTCAAGCACATCTTGACATGTCTTGCCACTGAGCCTGTTAATTGTGCCTTTGCTTGATCGTCCGCAAGTCGCCATGAAGAGCGCTGTTAGCCTTTGGGTCAAGAAAGCCAGCCCAGGGAGTCGTTCATGTGTCGAGCAATAAAGGTGTCAGTATGAGTCGCGTGGTTTAGGTGCAGATTTGCTGGGATGCGAGCTGACTTTGCATTCTCTGAGCCTTGTAGTTAGCGCATCAACGAAGGGAGTTTAGTGAAGATACCAGACAATTTTCCGTAATTCTGCAGTCCATTTTGTCGGGTGGCTCCATCCTTACAAGGGCCATTCCTTGTTCTGGGAAAGCGTCCACGCCTCGAAGAATTTGGTACCACGCCCAATGTCCAGTGAGTGTGCCAAGGCAGGTCAAGTAAATAGGCGATTAGGCCTTATTTCGAAGCAGACCCCAAAGTATCCGCGGCCAGTTCATGTCCAGTCAGATTCAAAACCCGTATGATCCTCGACTGTTGAAGGTGACAACCAACTCATCCTCCGTTCTCGTGCGCGCAGGTCAAACGACCCTCCGCCAAAGCAAGGTAAGGCACAAGAGATTAGCATTGTGAAAATTACCATTCACGGTTGGCAGGTACGAGAGACGGCATATTTGCTCCAGGATCTCGAATTTCAGGGTGTTGTCCCCCACATAAGGCGTGCCTCTCGTACCCACTAACCGGATATGGTCGGCATGAGTACATAAGCGAGGCTGAGCTCAGGTGCAAAACCAATCATCGCCCATGTTTGATACGATTCAAGTCGATCACATCCTGAATTTGACGGGGCCAAAAAAGACTTTAGTGCTGTGGACAGTGGACACGGGATAGAGCCTCATGGTTAGTCAACGTTGAGGCGCATGCAAGTATCTTAGCACTAGAAATGGATCGGCGTGATGAATCGCTTCACCAAACTCAGTCGATCTGCAATTTCTTCAAGTGACGTTTGGGGTAGTGCATACGAGCTGTTCCAGAGATTTAGACTGTGCCTGGATGGCTAGGGTATACATTGGTCTGCCACAGGCGTAGCTTGGGGCTTGGGCATGGTTTCAGGGCTCTGGCGTTGGGTGGTCGAACTGCTCACAAAATCTTAGATCAGTCGAGGAAATCACATCTTGTAATCCAGACGGGCCTGGAGATACAAATAAGACTTGCTCAACCCACTGGGACCTTGCCGCGGCTTAGCAGCACTGTCTCTTGTTCTGATCTCTCACTCCCTTATCATTGCATTCTTTGACGGGCGTTTTGAAGACCTAGACCTTCTCAATAATTGTCGCCCCTCGCAAGCATTCAACAGCTGTAGTCTCATGCTTCTTACAACCATGAGGGGGTTTCTTCCAGCTTCGGCTTTATTTCTTTCGATCGGGGTAGTGTCATCTCAGTCATTCGGCCCTCGCGACGATTTGACCACGATAGAGTCCTCCATTGGACAAGGGGTGTCCATATCGCATAAGAGGGTATGTTAGGAATTTGCCTTATCAGAGGACGGCTGACCTTGGAACTTCATGCTGACGTTGAGACAAGACAACTGTTTGCGAGACAACACCGGGAGTTGAAGCACGAGCCGGCTACGTGCGAATCCCAAGCACTCTGTTCCCTTTCTACGCCACCAACGAGACAAATGCATGGAACCTGTCCACCTTCTTCTGGTACTTCCCAGCACGCGAAGACCCGGCAAATGCGCCTTTTGCCATCTACCTCGCAGGAGGACCAGGTGAATCGTCCGTGTTCACCGCAGCAACAGACTCTGGCCCTTGCAGCGTCAACAAAGATCTCAACACCACGACGCTCAATCCTTGGAGCTACAACAACCATGTCAACATGCTGTACATAGACCAGCCGAACTTTTCGGGCTATTCTTATGACGAAGTCACAGAGGGTCACTTTGACATCCTCACCGGGAATATCTATCCAGGTCCAGGGGAGGCCAACGACACGTTCTGGGCCGGTAAGTGGGGAACCATGGAGCCGACCAGGACAGCCTTCACCACCCAGAACACGGCAAAAATCCTGTGGCAGGTTGTCCAAGCGTTCACCGCAGACTTCCCTGGTGTCCAGAACAAGTCAATAAGCATTTGGGGTAACTCGGTAAGACACGACACCGCATTCCAGACCTCCTGCAATAGAGAGAGGACATTTTTTGAGATCCATGTAACTTACTTACGTCGTACGCAGTACGGAGGATATTTCGCACCTGGAGCACTTGCATATTTCCAGAAACAGAATGAAGCACTCAAAGCGGGCGAGGTTGACAGCACCCGATATCATCACCTTGAGCTCGACACTCTCGGTCTATTGAATGGATGCGTAGACCTGACCCTTCACCTCCCGTCATACCCCGAGATGGCCAACAACAACACTTACGGAGTCAAGTTGCTCCCACAAGATGTGTATGAGAGTGCGAAGAACAACTTTACCAAAGACGGTGGATGTTCGCAGGTTATTGAACAGTGTAGGCAACTAGGCGTTGAAGGCGACCCAGAGAATCTGGGACTCAACAACACCGTGAACGAGTTTTGCGCAGCGACAATGCTCGACTGTCTCACAAACACGGAGTTCGCCCTGATGGCAGTCACTGGTGTAAGTACAAACCATTTCGGCACTTGGTCTTGGGTATCATGTTACTGACAAAGTGCGAAATCAATACAGAGAAGCTCCTTCGATATATCTCACCCACTGGCGGACCCGGTGCCGCCCATCAATGCCATGGGATTCTTCAATCAAGAGTGGGTGCAACAGGACCTTGGAGCCGCAGTGAACTTCAGCTGGGCGCCTAACCTTGTTACTAATTCCTTCTTCGCTGTTGGCGATACTGTGAGGCAGAACCTCTCCAATTTGGAGTATCTTTTGGACAACCGGGTGAACGTTGCACTTGCCCATGGCGACAGAGACTATGTCTGCAATTGTAAGTAGTACTGAACTCCCGCGAATCAACAGGACAGTGCCTCATCTGACTTACCAATCGTCTAGGGATCGGAGGTGAACAAGTTGCCTTGGCTGCAGAGTATAAAGGTGCCGACACCTTCCGCTCTGCCGGCTATGTCCCCGTCACCACAAATTCCAGCTACGAAGGAGGGGTGGTCAAACAATCCGGTCGCTTTTCCTTCACTCGCATCTTCCAAGCTGGCCACTCCCCCGCCTCTCCGCAGCCAGAGACAGTCTATGAGATCTTCATGCGAGCCATGTTCCACAACGACATAGCCACGGGAAAGGAAGATTTGAACAAAAATGCGGCATACGTCACTGAAGGGCCTACCGATAGTTGGGGCTGGACCGATACACTTCCCGCGGATCTGCCAGAGAATGCTTGCAGTCTGTGGTGGATGTCGCAGACATGTACCCCGGAACAGATTATGGCGGTCGCGGTTGGTAATGCGACGGTCGACAAATTCTTGTTCGTCCAGAACCCCGGCGGTGATCCGGTGCTTCCTTATCAAGATGACACGGCGACGAACAGCACGAGCGCCAACTCGACGGCTACTTCGGGAGGTGGAGCTGCGACTGGAACCAACGACAAGAACGGCGCGGCTGGCGCTGTGTCGCACTTGAGCCTGGGGGCTTTCACCATGTTGATTGGTGTTTCCCTCTTTATTGGTTTGTAGTCAAAGTAGAATGTTCTCTTGACGTATTTCAATGTGGGGTTGCAATGTCACGTTTTAGTGAATGTATAAAGAATGCGCTTTCTTGCTCGAGAATGCAGCCGCGCTGAATCTGCACGGTATGTCGAAAGTACTACTGATAGAGAGACCGATCGAAAGCATTATTGAGTGAAGCAGAACTTACCATCTCGGCGCTGCTTGCTAGGAGAGTTTCTTACCGGGATTCTCTTGTTGGCGACGTCTCTTTTCTCCGTCAGAGGCTGCTCGATCAGCCTCGATGCCATGCCTTAGTATGTTACTCTACTTTCGTGTTGGGTGATTCCAGTCTTAGAAATATCCCGTGCACATCCTTACTCAGACAGCCAAATTTTGACACGCGACGCGTCGTCAACGCGTTACTAAGATGAGGGGAAATTGGAGAAGCGATTAGCAATAAGGCTAGTAAATTAGGGTGAAGCACAGTCACATTCCACGCCGCGCGACCAAGTCGGTTCAAGGTCTTGTACAGAAGCGAGGAGAGCGGCCTGTTTTAGGAGTTGTTCCTGTGGCGCAATTGTTCAACAAGAGTAAACTGCAAGCAGGGTCCTCAAGAGGCGTTCGATGCGATGTGTCAGGCGTAAATATCATCACAAAATTGTCGAGCTTTCTACAATTTCACTGCGTTTCAGATCCATACAAGGACCATTTGAAGCGATTTTGCGCCGTTCAAAGAGACTGGACAAGGCCAATTCGATATTCCGATCCTTCAGTCAGCATCCCCAGGCATCTCCGATCGAAAGATCCGACTTGAAAGAAAATGTCACACTCTCCATCGCCGACGGCAAAGGCGACCATCGATCGCCAATCCACAACGCCATTCCTCCTCAACTTCTGCTATCGATCGGCAGGCTTCCACAATCTGACCGAGTTTCCTGTACCGACACCTTCGAATCCTCGACCTCATCTACCCGCGCATCTACAAATATACACATGGATGAGCTGTAGCTTGAAAGAGCTGGCTCACCTGTTGACACAGACACTGCCCCAGATTTTGCCTGAGCCGAGTGTTGGTACCAGATTGAGTTTCCGGCTGGTATACCCAGATGTACATGCCCCGAGAGGTGGGGGCGGTCGACTTGAGACCGATGGCAGGGGGAGATATTTGACGAAAGAGATGGGCAGCGTGGTAGTATCAGCACCTGAATACTCCAATGGAGATGGAAATGCAGCCATCAGTTTAGAAGGTGAAGACGCAGACAAGACATTAGAGGATTTCAAATTTGTGATCGGAGACTATATTGACTGTGCAGTGTTTCCCCCCTTGAGTGATGGTACTGTCGTTGGCCGGGGTCCTTTTCGTCCGCGTGGGGCAAGAGAGAATGGATACGGTCGAGTCAGAGGTGGAAACTATGGTGGGCAAGGCGGACGAGGTGGTTACAACGGAAGTGCTCCAAGGCCAGGGGACTTTGTGGGTGGTGGCACGATCCCCAGCGGTGAATGGAGGCGGGGTGAGCGACTTCCAGATGGCGGTGGATTTCGTGGTGGCGGCAGAGGTGCTAGGCGAGGCTATTGAAACCTTGGTGTCGAGCAAGGTATCCTCTACTCTGCAACACTGCATGAATTCAACGTGAAGACGGGTGGGAGTGCATGACTCCTACAACCGTGAGTGGAGGGCGTTGCCACGATGCATAGCCGATGTTCGGTCCAGGAACAGGACTATCAACTAAAGCAGGTACCGAAGATACCAGGCCTCTCAGTTGAGAAGCCGGACCGTTGGCATTTTACGTCCTCGAGGCGTAGTATAGACGAAACTTGGGGAGCGGTCAGCAGCTTCTTCATACCGCATGATCAAACTGTCGAGCTAGTAAGCAGACCAAGACAGACATCCGAAGCATAGCAAATTCTGGAATGCAGGAAAGCTACAAAAATTGGCCATGCTCAGCCATGGATTCTAACAAGATGAGAAAGACACCCAGTCGGAAGAGATCCGACATGCAGTGACGGAAGCATGGAAGACTCAGGCTCATGGAGAAAGAGCAGCTATCGTCTACTAAAAGAAAGACCTTCGAGACGAAGGGCTGAGTCTGACAGCCATCTGCATTGATGCATGAATGCATCAAACGTTCACCGCCTTATCGTCACGTGGCAGCAGAACAAACGTTGGGAGGAGCGATTCGTGCTTCAGAGTTGAAATGGAAGGCACGTTGAAGCGAGTAGTGGGTGGGCGGAAGGTGCAGGTGCGCGGGTGGCTGATGGGAGGTGGACACAAGCAGAGAGAGGAAAGAGGTACGGAGTAGCCTGCATGACGTAGCGATCGAATGAGGTACCTTTCTGTTCCATTCTCCCTTTGTTGTCAGTTCCAATCCGTATCTTTTCCCCCACACTTGCACCTGCCATTCCAACACTTCCTTCCAAGCATCCTACCCTGGGAAAAAAGTCATCATCACTTCTTTCTTCCTCTTCAAGTTTTCTTTTTTTCATTCAACTGAAAATCTACAACAATCTTGCTCTTTGCTCGTTCTTGTCAATTCTTTGAACTTGCAACTTTGCTCAACCCTCGCCGCAGTCCTTCACCATGCCTAAAGTAAGTCTCCATCACTCTGCCCCTCGATTGTCTCACCCCAACACCAGCACCACCAGCACCACCACCCGCTTGACCGCCCATTCCAGCAACCGTCACATTCGTGCACTTGAGCTCCAGCTAATCCTCAACCATCAGGTCAAGTACATCCTCCTCGACTGTGACAACACTCTTGTCCTGTCTGAGCGTTTGGCTTTCGAAGCATGTGCGGATCTCACCAACGAGATCCTTGAAAAGAAGGGTCTCTCCGATCGCTACACTGTTGACAGTCTGCTTGAGGACTTTGTTGGTCAGAACTTCCGTGGCATGCTTGTTGGTCTACAAAAGAAGCACAACTTCCAATTGAGCCCTGAAGAGTTGGAGGACTATGTTGCTCAAGAGTTGGGCCGTGTCACCCAGAAGCTCAGCGAGAAAGCTGTTCCTTGCCCTGGCGTCCCAGAGGTCCTCAAGAATCTCAAGGAGCAAGGCTATCCTATGTCTGTTGTCTCCACCTCCGCAAAGCCTCGTGTCGTCGCGTCCCTCATCAAGGCCGACATCCACGGTTACTTCCCAGACGAGCATGTCTACAGCGCTGCCACCTCGCTCAACCCACCTTCCTCAAAGCCCGACCCCAAGATCTACCTCTACGCTTGTGAGCAACTCGGTGTCAAGCCTTCAGAAGCTGTCACTGTCGAAGACAGCAAGAGTGGTGCCACTGCCGCCATGCGTGCCAAGATTCCCTTCATTGGGTACGTCGGTGTCTATGGTATCGAAGAAGGCAAGGAGAAGATGGAACAAATGGCAAAGGTCCTCCGTGAGCAATGCAATGCTGATGAGATCATGTACGACTGGAAGGAGTTCCCCGAACTCTTGAAGAAGATCGAGGCTCGCAACTAGAATTTCACTTGTCTTGCGTGCAATTGTATGGAATGCTGATATGAGACACGACATGATACAAAAGAACAATTACCGATTATTGAGATATGGACCCTACCTCTTATAAGCTCACTCACACACATCAGATGCTGGGATTCCAACGATGCTGGCGAGACGATCCTTAATTCATTTCAGTTCTGGAGATCTCACGGTTCGAAACGATTCGGTTTGATAAAAGGACTAGAATAGAGAAATTCAAGAACGCATTGACACAGTCTAAACTTTATGCATGCCTCGTATGAGCTTCCGCTCTGGATTTACCATGAATGCCGCTGGTGGGTCCAGCACAGTACCACGAAAGGGCAGTACCAGACTTCTCGCAGTCCACATTTGTAGGGGTAGTTCCTTAATGCGATGTTTGATCTCCATTTTGAATCCCCCAGCTTGAACAGCTTGAATCTCTTACTGTGTCGGCTAACTTCCCTATCATCTGCCTCACGACGAATCTCTCTCCTTCATAGTCCATATCAAACCAATAATTCACCGCGATACAGGGTGCTCTTGATCCATCATCCCAAGTCCCACAATCCTGCCTCACGTGATGAAACCAGCCTGACGGTAGGTACAACATCTGTCCTGCTTCAACCTTGACAGTCTGGGGTCTTGCATGTTTATAGTAGGGAAAGACACTATTCAGATATGTTCGCGACAACAATGGGGATATGGGAATCCAAGGGATGCGACCATCTCGTCCCTCCGACTCACCAGACTCATTGTCATCATCAGGAAAAGACGTGGACCTGTCCATTTCAATTCTGAATTCATCATCCTGACCCTGTTTCGCCTTCTCCCGAACAAGTCTCCCAGTCCTCACCATCTTCGAGTGTAAGCACATTTCCTCGACCGGTGCATATAGGGTGAAGGTCTTAGTACCGCGGAGCACGAGGTACAGGTTCTCGTAGGGATCTCGGTGCGTGCTGGTCACGGATCGATCGTCGCCGATCCAGATGTTGGTCGCCTCGGGCTCGCCCAGTATCGGTATGGCGAACGGCAGATTCGAGGGGAGGTCTTCAAGTAGTGGCGTAAGAGGGGTGCTGGTGAGATTACTGTTTTGCGATTGGAGATAGTAGACCGGCGTGCTCGTGGACGGCGTCTCGCTTTCTCGCGTCTTCTCTTCAGCGTATGGCGAAGGCTGCAGTATCTCCAAGAGACTTGAGAGACTCATGTCCGTTGTGGCGGGCTGCACGAAGACTTGTTCCCGTTCCTCTTCGCCTTCACGCTCGCTCTCGTCCTGCTCGCCACCACTCATCCGACCATCCTGGCCGTGACCTCGACGTCGACACGGCAGCCTGTAAAGCGCATCCGCCCGCCCATCCGGCGTCACAGCAACCTCCACCTGACCTGGAACTTTCGCACATAGAGACTGTGCCGTCCATGAGAAAGCCTGGCATGACAGAATCGTCTTCCGTTCGGCATCCGCCAGGTCTGACGCCGCCTTCATGTGGCGTGGAACTTCGGCGTCTTGAGCGTTTCTCCTGCGCACGTTATATACACATGGTCTTCCTCGACTGACTTGCTTGCTGAATTCGACGGCTGTGGGGTATGCATACTCGCAGATCCCGCCTGTATTGTAGTCGTGGTAGTCTTCGATCAGCTGGATCAGAGTAGTCGCTGCAGTGTCATGGTCCATCTTTGGGGACAGATGGAGATATGCACTGACACCCTTTTAAAGGCGTGCTACCAGGCAGTCTCATGAACTAAGTTCTTTCGAGAAGTTTAGCGAATTTTGCCGGGATATGTTGATGTGAGTATCGAGACTAGCTGCAATTTGAGGTGGACAATAGCGGCGGGATTGAGACAACTACCAAGGGGAAAATTAGCGGCCGCTTTCAACATCTGATGCACGTGATGGAAAGCCTGTAATGTGGCTCTACACTCCGCCCTACAATCTATTTTGGAGCCTCAAATTTATAACCCACGAAGCCGTCTCTAGTGTGGTGATGCTATGTTCAGGCCCATGTCTCGTACTATTGAGTGCTGATCAAGTACTGTCGACAGCAATTACCGGGCAGGCAGCATCTTGTTCCCAGCTCAATGCGACCGCGCTATCAAACGACCGTGAATAGCCGGGACAATTCCTTGAGGGTCTGGATAACGGCTGAGCAGAAGATGATCAGTGGATTTCCGATTTTGAATTGTCGCAGTCTATGAAGTCTGCTATCACGAGATGTCAAGTCCTCGCAACATAGTGCGGATCTAGGGCTTGATCTAATCTTTGCACCCCAGCAAAATTATCCGAATGCCAGGATACAATATATCGCACCAGCAAACGACGGCCCGAAAGAGCTTAGGGACTCCCCCATAAGAGTTACCTGCGGAGAAGGCTCACGGGAGCTTGCGACGCCACCTGCGCAATCAGACTGGGACAAGCCTCAACGCTCACCACAAGCCTATCAATGTCGTTGAATATACGAATATTCACTGAGTGTAATGAGTTGCAAGTCAACCTTGCGAATTGCTTTAATGGATCCTTCCTATTCCGGTGCGATAAACCAGGCATATCTTAATCCCAAGCTTCGTGTACTCCATATCTCGCCATAGGATTGCTTAACTGTCTGTATCCGAGGTACTCAAATTGGGAGGCCTGAGTACTAGTTGCTAATTGGTGCCTGAGCATGCTTCTTCGGATTTGTATGTATAAATGCTAGAGCTATCGTCCATTGACATGTCGGAAATCGAGAGCATCCATCGCGGTGGACTTGAAGCGCTGTTGCGAATATCACACTGGCTTTGGGAAGCCACAGTCACCATGGCCAAACATTCTTTACTTCTTCTGTCAACTCTAGCATTGAATACCTACGCTTCAAGCCCTGTATCTCCACTTACAGATGAGCCACTCATAGGATCGGCCTACCTCCCTGCCGCAAACAGTTCATTTTCAGCTTTCGATGATGCCCGAGCGAAGGCGAAAGCATGGATAGATCAAGCCGTCGCCACTGGAGAATCTGAGTATGGCGCAATCGATACTCAAGAGACTTCCTTCTCGGTATCTGTGTTTTCCACTAACAGCAACGAAACACTCTTCACCTACCACTACGAGGCTCCTTTATTGAATGGGTCGTATACCCGTGGTAAACTCACAGACGATACAATCTACCGTACTGGAAGTATCGGAAAGTTGCTTTCGGTTTATCAGTTCCTGGTGGATGTTGGAGACAATGTCTACGTGGATCCTATCACGAAATATATTGTAAGACTCCTTTCTCTCGGATGAGAAATCCTTACTCTCTCTGGATTGCTCATTTCTTCGAATATGCAGCCCGAATTGGCGAATGCGCCTTACGATAATCCGCTAGAGCAAGTGAACTGGAATGAAATCACTCTTGGCTCTCTTGCAGCACAGATGTCCGGTCTTGGTCGCGATTGTGAGGATGTTACCATCTCTCTTGTCCGGTAATGATGCTGATTTTCTACAGTCCGTCTAGCAGACTATGCTGTTGGAAGTATCGGTAGTCCAGATCAGGAGGACTCTGTGGCGCTTGCCATCGAGAATGGGTTCCCGCCACCAATCCTTGCGATTCCTCCTACCTGTGCTTATTACTCATATGAACTTCCCACTTGTGACCGAGCAAGTAGGTCTGTTATTCTAGAGACTTCAAGCCATAGCTGACTTTCGTAATAGCCTACCTCCAGGGATTGATCGAACATCCAGTCGTATTTCCTTCGTACACCAAAGCAGCATACTCGAATATCGCCTATCCCCTTTTAATGATGGCTTACGAGAAGATAACGGGCCGTTCATTCAAAGATGGCTTCGATAGTGTCTACAGAGATCGTATCGGAATGATCTCAGCCTATGCTGATTCCCCACCTAAGGATGTTGATGCGGTTATTCCCTATAATGACACTTACGCAACCTTCACTTTCAGCATTGGACTTCAGTGGCCGTGAGTTGAGCCGTCAAGATCGAAATGCTTGTGCGTTTCACTGACCCTGTTGGAATTTAGTGCCGGCGGGCAATATCTATCTACTCGCGACTACCAACAATGGGGCAGAGCTATCCTTCAAAGTTCTCTGCTGCCAAAAGTCATGACTCGACGATGGCTCAAACCTCAATCTGTCACTGGACAGTGGGCGAGCGATGTTGGTGTAAGTCGGCTGTGTTCTATTCCAACGCTGGGTCTGGACTGACAAAAATACTCTAGGCACCGTGGGAAATCTTCAGACTTCCGATTCCTGTGGATCCCACTCTAAACACGACTCGAATTGTCGACATTTATACAAAGGGCGGTGATGTGGGAGTCTACTCCACTGCGTTCGGACTCGTTCCCGATCATGACATTGGTTTTACTGTTTTGGCAGCAGGAGCAGCACCGAATCCTCAGGTTCAACCACTTAAATCACTGATTGCTGAGCTCTTCGTGCGTGTCCCACCTAGTATGACTTCAAGTCATTCGCAAATTAAAGCTAATAAGAATTCCAGATCAACGCCGCAGAAGCCGCAGCCAAAGAGCAAGCACGAAACGCGTTCACCGGGACTTTTGTGTCAACTGATCCCAACCTGAACTCATCTATTACTTTGGAAGTTGATTCCGGACCTGGTGTGGTTATCACAGAATGGATCAGCAACGGTACTGACTTCAAGAATTCTCCCCTTATAGGCGCTGTTGATGCCCGCCTTTATCCCTCCCACCTGGAACGTGCCGGAGAGAATGGAGCCGTCTGGCAAGGTTTCCGTGGACTGTTCCTTCCTGAGCGTCTGCCCGAGGAAGAAAACTTGTGGCCACAGTACAAGGATACGTGGTATTTCCCGGACAGCCGGATCTACGACAACAGAGCTTCAGACGGCTTCAATGTGGAATTTGATCGCAATGGTATCGTGCAGACGATTGAGTCGCACTCGCTTAGGATCAAACTCAAGCGGGAGTAATTATGAGGCTTGGACGAGTTTGGGTGACTTTAGATGGGAAACTCCAGGATTCACAAGGCTCTAGTCACGAATAATGCCGGAGATGAGTTGCATTCTCGTCAGGGAAACTTTGTTGAATTCTTCAGGGCTAGGTATTTTTGTAGTTGCCACTCCATGGAGAGTTCTTCTTTCATGCAAAACCACCGGTGCCTTTTCCATGAAAGCCTAGGCTTAATTCGATGACCGGAGCCTTAATACCTACTGGTGATGTGAAAGCCACATTCGCTTTCAATGTTCTCCCCAGATACTCGGAGATCCCGCCTAACCAAGAGACGAGTAATTCTGGTACATGAACCCACCAAGACATCCAAGTTCGTCAGTCATCCTTATCCCTCTGTACACTTTCCATCACCTGATTCGGTTACTCTCTGGCTCGCTGCATCTCCTTATGAGCCTCATTGATATTGCCGTCTTTTCGACCATCCTATCTGCAGTATTTCTAAAGGCTTTGAGCCGCCGGCTGGCACTGCATTCGGTACCAGGACCTTCCTTGCACCCCGAATTCTGCTTCAACCTGCGTACCCAAGACTGAAGGTGCAGACTACCAATTCTCAGCAGGAGCATCGCCTGATATCTTGTCAGCTTCTGTATCATCACGTAGAAAACAACATGGTCTTGAACTCACCAACTCCATCGTTGTTCCACGCAGCTGACTTGGCATGAGTATTTTCCCAATTAGCATTTCCACCAGTCGAGTGTCCCCATCCACCACGTTTGCCTGCGACTCCTCTGGTATTGCCAGCGTTGCTGAATCGTCTCTTAGTGGTATTTTCGCCGAGCTCGTCAAAGAAGGAAATTGGATACGCATTTCCCGACAACAACTCGGCCACCGCATAGCGCCAAGCATCCTTGTCCACCCCAAAGTCCTTAATGGCCGTCAAAACCTGAGTGGCAACGATAGCAACACGCTGATTGATGATTCCCGGGTTGATGAAGCCGCCCCTGGCGCAAAGAGCTTTGATTGACTCGCCGTTCGCCAAGCATTGCATGTCCTCCAGGGTGCGAGATGCGCGGAGACGGGCTTCTTCGATCGGAATGTCGTCTCTCCCAAGCGGGACGTAGCGTTCGGCGACCTTTTCGAGGATTTGAGCTCGTAGATCCGGGTTCTTGTCGTCGCAGAATTGAAGTGCCTGGAGTCCGAACTGCGCGATTTGACGGTTCAGGACGGATGCTCGCTGGCCGTCGAATCTGACCATGGCGATGAGCTGCTTGCCGCAGCAGATGTCGATCAGAACGTCTTCAATGAAGGTCATGCGGGCTTTGTACTCGTCCACTTTGGTTGGTTCTTCATTGCTGGGGGGTGCTGTAGAAATGCTCTCGATTTGCTCGTTCTTTGCAGCTTCCGGCTCTTTTGGTGATTCTGGTTGAGACGACATGGTTGGAGGCTGGACGATGAGATGTGATTCTTTCAGATGTGTTTTCGAGGCCTTTGAAGAACTCACTCGAGTTTCGCAGACTGATGATTACCTTTCCAAGTAGTGCCGGTGGGACGGATCTGTTGGAAATGAATGATTAGAACGATGGACACTGAAAAACCAAGGGGCTATGGATTGAATATATTTGTGATAGATACTCACCTCACTATCAGGTAGCTTGATGCAGTCTCAAGTCTTTTTCAATTGTTGTTTGTTTACTGATTCAGTGAACAGAAATAAGAAGGTAAAGCGACGTACAATGAAGATGACGTGTTAAGATCGGTGGGCGACAGCAACATATCTTCTGTAGCCGTGAAGCTCTAGTCTTGTCTAAGACAGACTGTTCCCTGTATTGATCTGGTCTATTGTTTGGAGTGGCAATTGCAAGCTTACTACTCAGTTAGGTCACGGGCACATTGGCAGCAAGGCCTTGTCTGGGTCAACAATTGACGGGGCAAAATTCCAACCGTGCTCATCCCTGAGGAAGCGAACTCCCATGCAGACCTTTGTAGCCAAAACAGAGTATAAACAGATGTCTTTGGAATCCTTGAATGCATGAGACCCGATCTACATATTTCTTTGTCATTGTTCCCCAAGATCGCTAGAACTATTGCGGGCCCGATCTGGGCGGGCAGCCTTGTCAATCTTCGCACTAAACCAGCAGGTGCCTTACGGACGGCAAGCTTCTCTGGCTTACCCTTCTGCTGTGACTGATAGATTCTCATGTAAAGGTGACTTGTGGCGATATGAACTATGTCTGCACAAATTGGAAATGACTGTTTGCCAAACATGCAGAGACCAGGCAAGCAGCCTTCTTTGTGTTATCCCGAGACAAGTTTACCCTTGCAGGAAAGAATGGCGAACTGCTGGTGCACCTAGCCTTTCAGGTCTCAGTCCCTCAACAAACGGCCGGGCTCTTGGAAGAAGCGCTCTTGGAAAACATTACGTGGTAAAATGGACAACTGAGGATTCATTTTGATCACTAGCGCAGCGTTTGAATGACTTCCCCTGACTTCTTGGCGCCAAGGTAGCCTTGTTGAAGGTACTTTATACCTATTTCGGTTTTACTCAAATAAAAATTCTGAGCTCGTACTAGCACGTCTGTATTCGTGATCTAGTAGACCACAACCAAGGATCTGCGGCCCTGGGCAGCCAAAAATAAAGACCGCTGATCCATATCGACCACTTGACGCACCAACACATCCTTCCACATCAAGCCGCCATGTTTGAACTGCGGCTGAAGAAACTGTCGCTATTCGAATAACAAGAACTCTTCTTCTGCAGTTCTCATAGGATTATTTTTCTTCTGGTCCATCAGGATCTTATCAATCTCCTCTCCATTTCCTTCCTTGAATCGACCTGCAATGTTGTGAAGCTGCGTTCTGTCGATTGCCAGACCCTCAAGAATCTTCTCATAGGTGCTGGCAAGCATGCAGACCCGATGGAGTATCTCATCACGTGGGAGGAAAGTATCCTTTTCCACATCCCCGATCGGTGTGCCAGCCAAGATGCGATCCACAAATTTCGTCGTGCCTTTTGCCCTGTGTTGATAATAGTATTCCTCGCTCGGCCAACCGGTCCGTGCAGCATCGCGAATGACAGTTGATTTGCTTGGTGAGACCGTGTCGTAATTCTTGTACTCTTTTGGCGGCGGTGGCCTGGGTTGACGACCCAGAGGACGCGCTGCATTGTCGAAAGAATTCATTGCCACAGGTCGATGTGGAGTTCCAATCTGAACACCCTTGAGACTCCCAATTTCTCTTGTGCCAGCAGCGAGTGTGTTGGAAATGTTTCCGGCCTGTTCATCGAATATGTTGGGTCCAAGTTCTCTCTTCCGCTTTAGGACTCGATTGATAGATGGTAGTTCAGTTTCCGCATTTACTGCTTCTGGTTGAGGGGTCCAATGAGGATCCTCAATCCAGTCGAGGTTCTCTTCTGATGTCTTGTCTGGTGGAGGCATCACCCGGGTACTGTCATTTTTGCTCCAGAAAGGCCTCGCCACGTGGATTATTGCTGGACCATGGTGTGGGATTTTGGTGATTGGCACAGTTTTTGGTAACACTGGAGGCGAATCCACTTGGTCTCTCAGTTCACCTCTTGGAACCCAGCCATATTCGCGGATCAGCCCCTCGATCTCGTCCCTCAAGGTCTCGCGGTCTTCGAGTTGGTCCGCCAGAGAAGGTTGATCTTTGAGCTCAGAGCCAAGATATTTTGGTATGAAGGCTTCCGTGATGATTGGACCTTTCATCTTGTGAACTCTTTCTCGGGCGAGATGGATACTTCGTTTCTGTTTCACAGCTCTGATTGATGAGATGGGGTTCAGTTTGTTCGATGGAGAAAACAATGTTGTCGAATGACAAAGAGATTAGAAAGAGGGAGGGGGATAGATATGATGCTGTAAACAAAATGAAAATAAATGCAGGGTCAGCGCAGGCAGCGTGCTCGGCGAAAATTGATGCCATTGTGACAGTACGCTTCACTGTGCGACCATCACTCCGGGCCAAGTGCAGTTCAGATGCGCATGTCAGACAAACCTCTGTATAGGGTGAAGCGATTGTGTCTGCCATATAAGGCAGGGTCGGAGTGAATGAATTCCTCAAGGGGCTCCGTGATACAGTCTACTGTTCCCAATGTTAGCAATATTCACTCCACCGGTAATACCGAGTCAGAGTAGTGTCGTAGTACTTTTTGGCACAGTGAGGACATGAAGTAAGCTGCCGCTAGTGATCCATGAGCACCAGATTGGTGGCATTGACATGACTTGACACTTCGCTCAAGCAGTCAAAAATTCTGAGATGGCCCACTAGATCGACATTCTACAAGCTTAGACGAGGAGGTTGTGATGATTGTTCAATTGGCCATTACTAAGTACTCTGGGTGTGTTTCGGAGCGTTCAGTAGTACTGAAGGCCTGTCAGAGCTCGAATACACGTGAACATCCCTTCCCTTGTAGCTATGAATCGGTCCTGCTGGGATGACGTTCTCTGCATAGCCAACTGTCAATCCTTTTGTCTTCCAACTTCCTGTTCGGGATGCTGAATTTCATTCACCCCATTGAACACTAGGATCTGCTATTGTTGAGAAAGTGTAGCTCAATAAAGAAAGAAGTTTCCGTACAAAGGATTGCTTGTGTCGTCTCATCTCGAACACGAAGCCGGCAAGTTCCCACACCTCATTTTGAATCCCGCAGTTCACGTCAGTCATTTAAAGCTGAGCTGATTGGAAGAAAAATTGAGTAGGTCCCAAGGTTGGATCTGCACTGTACAGCCACTCTTCGAAGCGCAAAACTCCTTGAGGGCTTTCATGGGCATTTCTCAGTCCGACCCACCATTCTGACTCGAGTGGACCAAGATCACTGTACTCTCCACGCTGCTCATAGTAGTCCAGCATCCATTCCAGCATCTGGGTGCGCATCAGAGTGTAGTTCGGCCGAATGCGTGTGCTAGCTGGGCTTTCAGATCCCTTGTTGAGTATATCCGCCTCACGCTGAGCCAGTTTTCTTGCTGCAACCTTCGCCAGTGCAAGAGCTGCGCCGAGAGTACTATATCCCAATCGAAGGAGCTCACTCATGTATGCCAATCGAAGGCGTCTTGGAGATCCCAGTGGATTGGCCTCAATCAAAAAACGGACACGGCATTCTTGAGCAATAGCGGCGTGTTCGGATCGTTGTTTTTCCTGCTCTTTGACCCATTTGCGAGCGTAGGCGGGATCGATTCGGACTTTGAGATCTGGTTGGAGATCAATAGGTGCGAGCTGACTGAGGATAATGTCGTTTGAGTCGTCTAGGCTTTCAATGAAAAAGATAAGGCAGTAAACTACCTGTTCCCACAGCAAATCGTACCGTGACGCAACATCCGTCAAGTTACCGTTTCTTTCGATGATACCCTTGATCATTTCTCTAACAACGGATGTGGTGATGTGTGTCATTGTCGGACACCCTCTCCAGAAGAAGCCGTTGGGGAGATCAGCGGCAGATCTTGCTAGAGAGCTGTGGAAGTGCTCCATCATGGCCAGAATGAGCTCAGATCTCCATGCAGAGTCTTGCCTAGAGGTAGCCATTGCATCGACCATTCGAGATTTGAAGATGCTCTTGGGTGGAAAGTATTTCGAGGTTTCTTGGGCAAAAATCGAGCTGGCGGTTAGGACAGGAATGAAAGAATTAACCGATATCTCAAGAGACTTGATCGGCGAGTCCGCGTCCGAAAGAAGTGGTCGACGTAGCTTTGGATCGAGGGGTCAATGACTAGGGTTTCGGCGGTGGTAAGCACGTCACTAGGCAATACTGGTGGTAAAATTAGATGAGGTAAGGCGTTGTAACTTACACTTCTCGTTGAAATGAACAATGCACTTCTGAACGGCCTCAGGGTAAGCATCGAGTAGTAGTAAGATCCTCAGTGCTTGCTGGCTTGATGAGATGAGTGTTGATGCTAGGTGCACTACACTCGAGGAACCAAAAGGACGCTAGTAGAGACAGGCAGCAGACTGGGGTTTCTAGGTCATGGACAGATCTACAAAGATCTCACTGTTGATTTTCTTTCTTTTCGGTCTTCTGCATGATTAGTAGTTGATGTATTGTGTCTATATATCGTCAGTGGAGCTCATTGAGGTCCGATAAATAGATGAGGTTCCCATACCAGGCTTTATACCCGATTCCTCCTCACCCTGCATGTGTTTACACTACTTCACAACGCATCACACAGCGGTGGAAGACAAGCAAAACTATGGCACAAGGAAACAGAGCAAGCCAACAGAGGTCTTTGTTCACGACTTTGTTGATAGCTACATGGTGATTCGGGAGGCGGGACAGGCATTATTCATAGTTCACGCAGTCCTACGGGCATCAAAAAGCATGTTTTGGGCTGAAAATCTCCAGTATCATTCTAGTTCATTGACGAATTCCTGTTTTCTGCACTGAGTACATGCCAGCGACGTTATCTCTGACTTTCCCTGCCCCTATTCCAACGCTCTTGTAGACGAAACAAGGCTGCAGACCCGCATTGCCGAGGCTTGTCTTACCTGCTTTCCATCGCGTGATTGGCCGTACTTCATCGGAATTCTCCATTCTGTTTGCCTTGATGGCGAGCGTAGTTGGCAATTCGTTTGACCATTTCTCCCAGGCCAATGTTGTACTTCATGCATGCTGTGAACGGCTCCATGCCTCTGTACAAGTCTTCGATCATTGCTTTGGTGCGTATTTCATGCTTGAGGGCGGCGACGTCGATCATTTCCCAGCCATCCTCCTTCGCCTCCTTTATTTCAGCACGGATTTCGGCCCTGGAGGGCTTTTGTGTGGTTGATGAGAAAGACATTTCGGTGGAAATTGTAGTGAATTGTGTAGGGATCGAGGTTGGAGTGTTTCTGGAGGGCGGTCTCTCGTTCTACAACGACCTTGTCAGCTCATCAACAGGCAATTCGATCAGCTGTACACACGCTGTGGGATTTTGTGGGTGGTTGTGGAGGAGGAGGAAATGGCGTCGTGACTGAGGGAGTAGGAAGGAACATATACGACGTGGCTTTTGCACTTTATATTCACTACAATAATGACACAGGCTTAGCGCCGCAAGACGTTAATGATGCCGGCCTCCTGAATACTAAGAAACAAAACACCCATGGCGAGTAGTGAAGTCTCACTAGATATGCGCATCGTTTTGCACAGGAGCGGTCACCAGCGTGCCAAACTGAAGGAGATTGTGGGCAGATAGTAGCTTGTCTTTTTCTCTCCAAAATTATGCCGAGGGCAACAAATGTCAAAGGAGATGGCGCTATTGTATGCACCGGCGTACCTTTGTCCTAAATACTGTTGGACCTCAATTGGAGTACTCTGAGATGAAGGTTTCTCAAGATTTAAAAGCAGAGATAAACATGTTCGGAATGTCACGTATGCCCTTTCCATGTGTGGACCAGGCCCGTGTAGGATATGGAGTCCTTCCAAACCACGGATCATCAGCGGTCTCATTGAGTCCGGCGTACTCCCTTTGTCCAAGGTTCAAGGGACTAGGCGATCCAGAACCATATCTTCTCTAGGAAGTTCCTAGGCCTGACCTCTGGCCAGGTTCCCTCTAACCTGTCAATCTCGGCCTTTCCAGACCAAAGATCCATCTCACTGAGCTTCACGATTTTCGTGCGTTTGACAAACTTATATCCTAAGAACAGGGCTGCGAATATTGGTATGTCAATGTATGGCGGTATGAAAGTCTTTGCGGAGAACCGTCCTGGGAAGAAGGCATCGAACCCATTGAAGAATGCGACAATCGTACAGAAACAGACCGCAAAGTATGCCAGGAAAGGCTGCAGAGGCGACTTGTACGGCAGTGTTGAGCGAGAGATGCCGTTATGTTTCAATCCATAGTAGAATCGCAGATACGTGATGCATACACTTGCCCAAACAATGAGCGTGGAGACCGCGGACAGGTTTGATATCCAGAAGAAGACCTCCGCCGAGTTTTCGCTGACATTGAGATATACCAACAGGCTGAGCAGCGTGGTGGCTCCGACGCATGCATATGGCACACCAAATTTCTCATAGCGAAGGAATGCAGGCGCTCGGTGATCAAGGGCTGTTGCGTAGAGAACACGGGTGGATGCATAGAAAAATGCGTTTCCCGCGGACCAGGCTGATGACAGGATGACTGCATTGATGATGCTAGGCAGGGCTGGAATGCCACCGTTGGTGATGGCGATGACAAACGGGCTTGCTGCAGCGCCGGGAGCCGAGCTGCTGATTGCGTTCAACAGACGGGGATCTTCAGCGGAAACACACATACTGACGAGAAAGATGGCTAGGACGTAGAAAATAGCGATACGCCAAAAGACTCTCCGCACAGCTTTTGGAATATTTCGTCGAGGGTTCTCGGCCTCACCAGCAGCGACGACTACCATCTCGCTGCCACCATAGGAGAATGTCGCTTGGATGAAAACTTTCCAGAAGGCAAGGAAACGGCCAAGGCTTCCTTCTTTTAGGTACTCAAGCATCGGGCCAGGATCATCCCAGTACCTGAAGCCGATGCGATCGTGATTAGGAGCTCCGCCGAGAGTGATGATAAACATGAGCAGGATCAGGCCAACGATAGTAGTCAACTTGACTGTTCCGAAAATAAACTCTGCCTCCCCATAGATTCGTACGGGGAACAAATTGACCACGACCATTGGGATAAACAAAATAGTGATCCACGCAGCGTTTGGGACAGAGTTTGGCCAATATGAGATCACCACAGCGCTTGCAGAGATCTCGATTGGAACACCAATGGCAAATTGGTACCAGTAATTCCAACCGAGGGTGAACCCAAGTGCCGGGTCGACAAAGCGTGCGGCAAAGACAGGAACTGCTCCAGGGAGTGGCAGGTAAGTTGCCATCTCACCAAGGCTGTTGATTACCGCATAAAGATTGAATCCAGTGATCAGATATGCGAGGAAGGTCGACAGTGGACCCGCCAAAGAGAGTGCCTGGCCACTCCCTACGAAAAGGCCAGTGCCTATTGCTCCGGAGAGCGCAAGGAATTGAACATGTCTCGACTTCAGTCTGCGATCAAGTGTGCCGACATTTCGCTGTTCGTGTTCGTTCTGGAGATTCTTGAGGTCTTCGTCTTGTGCGTCGACAGTGGCATCATTGTCTTTGCCATGTTCGATATCTTTGGATTCGTGCTCCATGGTAATTCAGTGGAATGACCGAGTACTTTCGCAGTTACTCAGGTCATTTGAGATGTGATGACTTCTCACAATCGAGCACTGAAAGCTGCAATAGCATGAGCCTTAGAGGTCAGAAACAAGAAGATCCTCGTCAGTTTCAGGATGTAGATGATACGGAAATCGCCGCCTATGATATAGCCTTTGATCGTCATTCCCCACGAAGTTGATGTTACTCTGTCTCAAAGGGGGTTACACAAGTGTTGATCATTTCCAAAGTCGGATTATTGATATCGGTCCAACATTGGAAGGATTGGGGGTCGAGATGTAACCCTCGGCTTGGTGGTTGCACCATATTTGCGGCCAAAGCTGTTCATAAAGCTCTCCTTCTGCAAATCTAAACAGAAGGACCTATTCGAGTGTTTCGAGGATGAATGTGCTTTTCGTGCCACGAAGTACTTTCAGTGGGATATGGGCTTCGGCCCCACAGAATTGGAATTCCAATCAATAAGTTATGGGTAACTACTCTCTGGCCTCATAGGACATATCATTGCTTGCTTATGTCGCGTTCCGCACCAAGCGCCAACAATATGACATGAACTATTAACAAGTACTATCAGCTTTCAAAGCAAGAAAACTTACATACATGATCAAGCATTAAATCTCATTGAGGTTTCAACGCTTGCTCGAAGGTGGAGTAGAGGAGACATCAGAAGTTCGTTGTTCGGGATCAATGAGGTGTGATCTCGAAAGAAATCGTGCAACGACTGTAAACATGTGCCTCTAAATCCCCAGCGGTCACACTCCCCATTCGGCAGGAATACTGTCATCCATCACAATGGTCTGCCAAAAAGCTAAGTTTTGAGCCTGGTAAATGAACATCTCTTTGCAAATGGCTGCTCCAGCCGACCTATGCCTCCACGCCACAGCCCATGGCGCCTCAACTTGTATACATTGATCGCGCATACGGTTCTCATCATGTGTCAATGCTGGCAACCGGTATGTCTCCTGTCGATCACGCGCAAGACTTCGTTGCGCAGTGCACCCGACCGAATACATCACAGCGAGCCAGAGCAGCTTGAATGGTTCTGGCGACGTGGACAAGCTTTTGGGACGTATCTCAGAGAAACAGCCTGCCACAAAGCGTTCAACACCCATGGCTCTTGAACGTTGTTGCCATATAAGTAATTATAAGGAAGGCCGATGAAGGGGCATGATGATGGTGTGGATGGCATCGGTCTTATACCACTGCTGGCCTCTCTTTATCATTGAGGCCCAGCTATCTGATCCGAATGATATTCGGCGTCCAACGCTCTCGAATCATCTCGCCGAGTCTCACTTCCGAAGACCGGTGGCCGAGGAAGCCAGGGGAGGCCGACTTCACGTGATTTTCCGAGCATGCTTTTCCGATCACCACACAAACCTTAAGGCAGGGCAGGGCGTCAAGGGATGCGAGGTGGGTCTTCGTACATCTAACCCGGGGCAAGATCAGTAGATGTCGCATTCTTGCTCTTGAGATATGCCGTAGACAGTATTCGCCAAGGGCATCGCATCATGATCCTTAAAAGCGATCTGAAAGTACTGGTGCGCTGCCTGTACCGATTTGGAGGACTGCGGCAATTGTTCAAGGGCTTTGAGCAAAGTGGACGAGAGGTAAGAGTAAGCTTCGTACTTGATCTTGCCCTGTTGGTACTCGCGATAAACGACTTTATTCATCAATCGTACTGAAGCCACAACGTGGTGAGGATAGGGGTCGACAGCGACGAAGGAGGTAGTGATGGATCGGCCAGGTGCTGCTGGAAATGCGGCACCTTGTTCTGTGAAGGGCTCGTACACCGTATACTGGCTTTCGAGACCGAATTTGAGGGCGTTGAATGCTTCGTGTTCTGCATCAAGTCTTGTCTCCGTGAGCTCGGAAAGTAGGTCGCTTCGCTCCGCGGCCTCGACGGCATCAACCAAGATTAAAATTCCAAGATAATAGTGCAACATCGTCTCATACCAGTTTATTCTTGCGAGTTGTCCAAGAAAGGGAAGTCTCCTCTCACAATCTCTCATCAGTGGACGTATTGTGACCTTGAACATGTCAATTCCTTCCATGAGTGACGTCCAGGCTTGATTGACCATTTCCTCCTCCACCCCCTCACGAAGAGCTTCTTTCAACACTGCGATATTCTTCCACACGTAGAGTTTGCACGCAGCAGCAGCCGAGATAACCTGACAGGCGGAATCGTCGGTCATTTCGAAACCGTTCGTCCGCCATTCTTCAGTTCTGCTGTGGAAAGAACCAGCGAGCCACATTTTTACCAAACGCCAAGCAGGTTCGGAGGTAAATCCATTTAGCCCTGCCGTAAGGGAGGACCTGAAGTTGAGCGTTAACGATCCGGAAGTATCAAACATCAATGCACACCAGTAAGCCCTGCTCTCGAAAGCAAGATATTCTTGTGTCAAGGTAGGTCCAGGAGTCGGGGCCACCAATGTATCCGAACCAGGTGAGACCTTCGCTCCATTGAATTGACAATTCTTCTGTCTTTCTCTCAACCTCTGTACCTGTTGAAGTGCAGTTTGCACACAGATCTGGCCCGTCAGACCTTCCAATTCTTCGTCATCTGAGATCCCATTCGGTATTGGTGTTAATCCAAAGAGGAATAATGTCATTACTGAGCGATATGAAACTTGATTGATAGCCCTTAGCATATCTTTCCGGGACGCGCGCCAAATTTCTCTGATTTCCTCATCGTAGTCTCTTCCAAACGAATTCTCTTGCGGAATCAGGGGAAGCCATCTCGCAGAGAATGCTCGTATGGCACGACGTAGAATCTGGTCAATTTGATAGTCCTGGGCTTGCTTCTGTGCGGGTAAGTCGCTTAGATAACCAGGAGTACTAGACTCCCATTCTTCACTCATATATGCATCAAGCTCTGTGAATAGTCTTGTAGGTCGTACAACGACCTCACTGGATGGGTCGTTAAGGAAGGGACAACAATGCTTGCCCAGCCAAAGTCCCACGATAGATTCGAAGCAGTTCTCGAAAATCTCTTCAAGCCAAAGATCGGTTGTGGTCCTTGTCGAGCCAGGGGATGAATGGACGAGAGATCCGCAACCAATCTCTTTCTTCATAGTAGCTGGTTCACGGAATGTGCTGTGAACTGTGAGCAAAAATGGAGTGAGTCGAGTTCGGAGGACTTCAATCACCTCAGCCCTCTGGGGACGCTGGTATAGCTCTCGGCAAGCCTGGCGATGGTCTCGCAGCCATGAATACTACTCGAGGTCTCGGGAGAATCGTTTGAAAGAATCGATTCCACAGTTGTGGTAGACATCGACCGAGAATCCCGACGTTGCTTTGAAGGTGTCTTTTTGACGTTGTTGATCCACTGCTCAATACTTCATTTCAGCCATCCGTCAGGTGAGACCTAAGCTAGCCTTCGCATCATACCTCAAAAGTACACCGACGCTTTCTCCGTGTACATCTGGAACATGATCCTGTCCAAGTCGTCTTCCCAGGCTGATGTCCAACTCGGACAGCGTCACAAGCAACCCGTGAATTGCGACAGGCATCACAACTGGAAAATTGCGTCCGCTTAGGACCGGCCATTTCTGGCATTGTTGTCGGCATTTCGTATGTGTAGATAACGTTTTACTTGGTAGGACAAGTTCCCCAGAGTATGAAAGACGCGAAAAGGAGGAAGTGCACTTGTTTTACAAGCAAAGAGATCAATAATGTCTAGGCAGGCCGGAGTGGTGGGGTCGTCGTTGCTAGCCAAAGCCTCTTTTGTGGAAGCGAGGCAATGCTGGAGAATTGGTGGCACCCAATTGAAAGGAGCCCCTGCCGCGAACGCCCCGAGCTCAGCAGAGAAGGCCCAAAGGAACCCTGCGTCGGTACGATGATATCAAAGCTGCACGGCTCAATCGGGGGGAATAGGCGGACTTAGGCAGTAATACGTTCACTAATGGTCCCATCCCAGGCTGTAATTTGTTCGACTTGTTCGTGGATCGTCGGCATTTATTGGCCCTCCGCACTTGAGGGTGTCAATCACCTCCGAGGTCCTCCGTCCTGCATATCATAACTGGGGTAGTAGGAGGACTACTGGGCCGATGGTTTGCTTGGTCGGCTTCGAACAACGACTATTTTATTTGCAGCTTGGCTCTTTGGGCAAGGTCCATTGCAGTGGAGCATGGCGTTGTCGATAGAGTCCTGTAGAGAAGATCGAAGATTAAAGCCAGAATCGGGCAGGGTGCCAGATGTGCGCAAGGCTTGGCTTGAGGACCCTGGGTTTGTACTTCACACAAGGCCTGACAGTTTCATACCTAGGTATTAGGTCCACAAGCCTTGGTGGCATGAGGGCGGAAAGTGATGTACTACTTTGGTTGTCTGTGAGTTTCCAGGTACCTCTCGTAATTAGTCAGGATCATATCCATAGGTGCCGTGGTCACTGTTCAGGAATGGTCCAGGCGTTCAGCCAGGTGACTTGCCACGGGCATCGGCACTAAGCCTTCCACCGATTCTTGTGCCGGGATCATCCTATGCCCATCCGAATTGCATAAAATCCGACCATTACAGAGCATTATCAGAACTCTACAGAACATTTGCTTTTGCTCAGGTTTATATGTCAACAGAACTGTCCATCGACCGACTAGTAATTTGTCACATTTTTGATTGGCGCATTTGGACCAACAAGTTGGCCACGGCATTCGCCGAAGCCCAGCACTTGGTTGCCACTGGCGTCTTCACACCATGCTGATAGAACCACCGAATCTCCATCGCGCAGATAGCCCACCTCGACACCACCTTCAAACTTCAGAGGTTTAGTTGCATGTTGGGTTGCTTCGAATAAGCAGCCCAACTCATACTTCTTGCCATCCTCGCCCACGCCGTCGCCCGAGATAGTCCCCGTGCCCATCGTGTCGCCCGTGCGAATGCCACAGTTCGCTGAGGCGTGATGCGTCAGCTGCTGGAAGGGCGTCCAGTATAGGTAACTGAGGTTGCTGGTGCAGAGTTTGTGACGCTGACCATCCCGTTCAAGATGAACGGCCAATTTGATGTCGAAGGTGCCCCGATTGAAGTCGGCAAACCGTAAGTGTTCGAGAGGGTTCGTCTTGTGCTTAGGCGCGGTCCTGAATGCGTCTAACGCATCTAAAGTGATGATCCAGGGTGAGATCGTTGTCCCAAAGGATTTGGAATTGAATGGACCCAGAGGTGGCATTTCGTGGATCTGGATGTCTCTACTCGACCAGTCGTTCAGAAGCACGAAGCCAAAGATATGCTCGGGAGCATCGTCCACCTTCATGGTCTCTCCATACGGCACCGGTTTCGAGACGACGTATCCCATTTCTAGTTCAAAGTCGACAAGTTTGGAGACACCGTACTCGGCTTCCTTGTTACCAGGCTTCCAGTAAACGCCCCTCGGTCGTCGAACTAGTGATGGCGAAGGTATCACGCTCGATGCTCGGCCATTATATGCTGAAGGTGAATTGAAGAAATTCTCTGGGATTTTTCCACCGCTCATAGGTGCACACTAGACTTATGTCAAAGGTATGTAATGGCCATAAAATCTGCGACTCACATTCTGGCAATGTTCTAACGAGCAGAAGAAGTCGGTATAATCTGGGATATTGACTGGCAAGTGAGACTGCACTTCAGACAGCTTCAGGGCGCTCTCTTCCGGTAACGAGCCATCTTTGAGAGCTGAGATGAGTTGTTCTCGTACTGCTGTCCGTGTCTTCGACGGCAATGCGGCAAAGACGTTGAGATTTGCCTGGCGCAGGGTTTCGATGAGCTCCGTGGCCCTTCAAGCAGGCAGTTGTGGAATACAACACTGGGACGTACCTGCGATAGAGCCTCCGTAACTTCCGTATCGTTGAAGAATCCAGCTTTACTCAAAGTCCTGAGATCCACGGCGTGTTCCCCAATGGCCGTTGCACACCGCGGTGAGGGGTCTTGCTGTGTCGAGACCACCCCAAATGGTATGTTCTGCAACGTGAAAGGCGAACTTTCCGGCACGACAGGCTTGAACCCCATGATTTTCAGATATGCAAAGGACGAGCGACAATCAATGGCAAGGGGCGTAGTCGACTGGTTCAAGTATACTTTTAATTCGCACTATGAAGGTTCAAGGCTCCCCCACAGTATCCGAGTGAAGGCGGTAAGCCGGGCAAGTTTGGAGGGCTGAATCCTCCTCCACCAATAATGCAGGTAAAAGTATCGGATCCGACCTTTCGTACATCACTCTCATGCCCACCGCGGAGCCCGATTTGCGCTGTTCTTCTGAACAATGTGATTTCCCGATCTTTGAACCCTCGCGAAATGAGCGCGAATCATCCTGAAGTTGGAAAACACCCGCTCACATGACACGTGGAATATATATTGTTGTCTCAGAAAAGTCCTCAAGTCCCGGCGTTCGGCAATTGGGGGGATGTTGGGGGATAAGCCACAATATTTAAGAACCCCGCAGGTGGTGTTTGCGGTGACTTTGTCCAACTCAAAGACCTCAGATCAATCACTTTCCGTGCATAGATAGACGTGGTATTCTCACTAGAGTCGGCATCTGTCAAATAATATGGCATCTTATTTTCCCGACCCCCGACGAATCGTCACAGGTCACGACGACCAGGGCAATGCCATTGTCTTGAAGGACAGCCAAGTACCATGTGTCCCTATAAGTCCTGATGCAAATTTCGCCGTTCTATGGGAAACCCGTGAGTTTCCTGCGAATATCAGTGGCAACGAGGATCCCATCGAGACGAGAACCACGAATCTAGCCAATGAGAAAGGTGTTGTACTGAGGATAGTGGATATCCCTCCCAATACTGTGACTGTACGTTCCAGTTGCCCCTTCAAGGCCGGGTCATTCACTGTATCTGCAGTTATTTCATCGCACAGTGTCCCTGGACTTCGGCATTTTGTTCGAGGGAGAACTTGAGTGGTATGAAGCCCCTCATCGCTTGCGGACATATAACTGATTATTGTGCCGTAGTCGACTTGATAACGATGTTGTGATTCATATGAAGCCTGGAGATGTATGTGTCCAGCGAGGTACGATCCATGGGTGGACAAATCCGGGTTCCAAGCCAGCGAGAATATACTTTGTCTTGATCGGTAAGATGGCACCCACAGAAGAATTGCGCAAGCCTGCTGACGGTGCTGAAGCTGCTGAGCCTCTCAAAATCGGTGAAAAGGTTCTCGAAGAAACTGGCTTTAAGAGGGAGGAGATGGCTTCAGGGGGACAGTAGTTTGTCCTAAAATCAAGGCAATGAATCCAAGTCCTTGTGGAGCCTGATGTTATCTGTGAACATATCCTCAACCCTCCCACAGATTGTGGTGACTCGCTTTTTTTAACTCGTCCTGAGCGAACTGCCATGCTGTCTGGTAGCTTTCTAGACGTAGAGTAGACCATGAGAATCGCTGAATAACGACTTTTACTTCCTCCCATAGCCAATTCTGGTGTGATTGTGCTATAGCCATGAGTAGCATATATCTAGGATCCGTTTCCATCGTTCCGGGGAGCTGGGAAGTTTTGCAAGAGGGAAACATTGTTGCTACCAGGCCCAACGAGACCCATAAGAAGCATTCGGCAAGATCTAAGTCGGCAAATTTCCCTTGCCAGGATAGGAGTTCCTGAGAATGATGCTGGATTTGTTGAACATAAAGTGGACTGAAACGTTCGGATCGTGTGCAGCCCAGCAAAGAGGTGAACACACCTATACAACAAGCCCGCTCAACAGTTGTAAGGTCCGTAAAAGCAAGGAGACGGGCACAATATTCGGCTTCCTGCAGGTTTGTGGCATTGACCTCCCTCACGCCCTTGACGCTTTCGACCTGGTTTATCTGTGCTTCTCTTGTTATAACTCGGTGCAACAGGGTGATGACTGGTACGCTCAGCCTATAGTCCGATGTGAGCTCTCGAAGACCGGGAGGCAAGGCAGATATCATCTCGCCAAAATCTGTGATGGGCTCCCGGTTATATGGACATGTCAAGTCTAGATCTTCTGATCGTGCAGGTATCAACTGTCCGCTTTGCTGAAGGATGGTCAAGTTTTCCTGATTTTGAGACATGTACGCCCAAAACACCTCGAGACTTCGCTTCTCGTCAGCCTGTGAAAAATCGTGGTCATGGGAGACTTGACTTACCCGACGACGTTTGGCTTCAACACCATCGGCCATCCAAGCTGATCCAGGCCCCCTCGCAGTGCAACAATATGTCTCAAGCCGCCAATGTGCATCTCAAATGCGGCAAGATCATTCAAAAGATACTAGAATCGTCAGAAGTTATGTCTCTACAACAGGGGACGAGAGTTTACATCGACGCCCATCAATGCGACGATGGCGAAGAGAACAGAGTCTTCGACGAACCCTTCTGGTTTGAGGAGGAGCTTCCTTAATTTGCCCACCGCGCGGCTGTAGTGATAGATGGAGTCCTTATCTGGTCCACTCAATCTCCAAGTTTGCACAGTGAGGTTCGCTAATGACAAGGCGATGATAGCCTCGAATAGCACAGAGTCCTGGAGCGCATATTGGAAAAAGCTCTGAAGGATACCCGTCCCTGCCCCTGGTGGGACTATCTCAGGTCTAATCACGTGCGCTGGACCATAGAAACCAACAACTATGATAGCATCTCGTCAGTGGAGGAGCCCTAACTTAGTTGACAGTACTTACAGAAATCAATAGCCACTGGAATGCAATCTCGAAACTCAATGGGATATGCAGAGAAAGGATCAGACCGAAAGCCATGCTTGTCGTGCGGAATGTTATCCAGAGTAGGGGTTGGCGAAGACCGAGCTGTATGAGCGATTGATCGTCGACCTCGAGTAGCCTTCCGATCACGAATTACCAAGGAGGTGGTCTCGCTAGGGTGATCCGAGTTGTTTGTAGAGGCCACCGGGAATGGCTTCCTGCTGCATGGTTCTCCCGGGAGTTGCACCTTCCTTGCTGATGGTCTCGAACGATTCCTGTAATGGGTCCCAATATAAGAAGCGACTGTCCTCCGGTTCTGGCGGTCACTTTGTTCCGAAGGGTGTGTATATATGATGAAAGGCGGTTGGGCCATTCTCATTCGAGAAACATAAAGCCGAAACTGAGTGTGGTCGATGTGCAGGGGCCCGAAAGTGTGCAAATGTGTGGACCACACCTGCTTTATCAAACTCAGGATTGAGCATTAGCAGGGTAATGCGAAAGGAATCAATTTTGCCATTGTCAGACGCCTCCCCTGGATGCCCAATCTCTAGATTTCGATCCACGTCGTGATTCTAGGCTCGCCTTGAACCGGAACTAAGGATAGGCAACTGGTGGAAGTGGTGGAATGCGTTGAACATTGGCTGAGGAGATAAAAACATGGACAGAATATGCAGCGCACAAGCCATTATCTAAGCGAAGCCTGGTGGCCCCCTCATACGTTAGTCACGAATCCTGCCAGTAGTGGCGATGAAAGGCCAACAAGCAAAAAGAGGGACTTCTGCATTACTCGCCCCTTTTTGTCAGCAACATCGCTGCCGGAGTGGAGAGGCAAGTAGGTCTTGGTCTACAATACTCGTGCAAGTACGGTGCAGCTGGGGCGGTCTTCTTACCGAGTCGGGATATAGTGATTTTAGGTCTACTATGAGAGGCTCGAGGGATCAGGTATCTCCCTGGTAATGGACCAAGTCTTGGATAGAAAGATTGGCTGATCAAGCTCAAATTAAGCTACTGTCGGCTTTGTGGGCCTACGCCAGGCGATGGTTCATCAGTGGCGCGATTCATTAGGGCTGAACTTGGGTTGTGGATCATACTGGATTCGTTGTCAAATCCTACGCTCACTCCCGTGAACAAGCCAGAATCTTACCAGTATTTGCCTCAGCTATGCAGATATCTGATGTAAGTGTGTTTCCCAATTCCATTTTGCCCGTAAGATTGACAATCCACCACTCTGTGTCTCAACCGTTCGGCCACGTCCTCTGTCATTGCTATCAGAGCCACGTGTGTCTGAACTTCTGAGAGACCAGTCCTCCGGGATGGGGTTTATGTAATCAACAGCGCCTGGGGGAAGGATAGTACTTTCTTCGATGACCGCCAACGTATCCTGGCCGGGTTCTTCAAACTTCCACCACATCCCAAAGCGACCTTGACCATCTTTGGTTGCCGATGCAGCGGCAGCATTGTGTGAGATCCACTGGCTGTAAGCACTGCAACGGGCAAGGTGATATTCATAAACATCCTTATCGAAGCCCGTCCCTGCTTCAGACGTGAAGGCCTCTTCGTGCGGCCACAATGGACGACAGAATTCGGACATATGATGAAAGAAAATGCCCTTGAACGTCTGCCCATTCTGGCTACAATATCCGTTATGGTCACAGAATTCTTCGAGCACACCGCCTCGACCTAAGCCCGCCCAAGTTGCGTCGGTGTTTGGCCAACCCGTGGCCTTGATGACATCGTCGATCAAGTTGTGACCATCGGCGAGATAGCTTCGAGCTCCAGTCGCAAGCCAAAGACCCCTGCTGGCGGACAATATGACACCCTGATTATAGGTGTAAACCATAGAGTCAAGCTCGTCGCACTGCCCAGTGCCAGGATTTATGGTGCCGTTCGGATAACGGTGCCAGCCAGTTATATGAAAGCCATCTTGATAGAGGCCCGAATCGGGGTGGTTCATCTGACTCTCACGAAGCCATTTGTAACTTTTGACTGCATTCTCCAAATGCAATGGGTTGTGTGGTTTTGAATATTCATACTCGGTCTGTGCCATGTATGGAGAGCTGTTGTTATCACCAGGATAGTACAAATACATTGCAATGCTAGCTGCCGTAAAAAGTTCGTTAGTGATTGCATTTTTGTAGGGCGTGAGGTATGGATTCCAAGTCATCCCTCCACCACAGAGAGAGTCGTCCCAGCCATCTGAGGCCAGGTCATAAAATATGCGAGCACGATGAGCCGCCATGGGAGTGAACTGCAGGCCGTGCCACCCATCAGACGCAAGTGCGCCATGGCCGGACTGTACAAAATCCCAATGCTTCAACGAATATAATTCCACAAATTTGATGTTCTCGAGCCAGCCGAGAACTACCCAGAGCATGTCGTCAAATGCTTGGTTCCGTAAGGAGAAGGCATTCTCGCCAAAGTAAAAGATCGAGGTGTGCGCAAAGTATCGATCTATAGTATTCTGCCATGATGCTAAATCTGAGCAGCTAGCTATAGAGGATATATCAACGGAGGAAATGATACTGGACAAAGTCGCGGAAACGTGAGTTCCAATAACCGCAGCAGTCCAATCAATGGCGTCTGGCCAAGTTCCCGTGAATAGGTCAAAATATGTATCTTGCATCACCTGGAGTGCATCCAAGGTGTCACGTAGGGTTGGTGGGAGGTGAGACTGCGGTGACGATCCCCTATCGCCGTTCTTTATGTTTTGTATCGTCTCTTGCTGCCCACCATTCCTGGCTAGAAATGTCTGCGGGCTTTCCCTCCATATCGATTCGATGATTCCTGCCTGTGCGAGCGTTGCACCGCAAAGGAGGATGGGGATGTTCAGGAGACGCATGTTTGATCGAAGACTTCTAATGGCATGATCGGCTCCAGCGCGATGGAGTTAGCAGAACAAACACGAAAGAAACTCAACAGCTAAGAGCAAGGTAAGTAACAATAAAAGGTCGACAATGTGATCATAATTGATCACGAGGGAAGAGCCTGGTGACCATGTTTGATGAAGATGCTAAAGATGGCGTCGGCTACGAGCCAATGAACCCATAGACACCAAAGCATTTCGGGCTTGGAGATGGGGAGAAGAGAACGCCCAGGGAGCCAACGATGGTGGCTGAGGTAGCTGGTCCAGTGATCGTTACGGGGCTTGAAAGTCTGGTTCAGGGCAAGGGAACCTTGGAAGATGCAGACTCGGGAGTACGGATCTGGGGACGAGACAGTGAAACTGTAACGGGAAACTGGAAAACGTAAGCTGACGGTGACGGTGCGAATCCAAGTGGGTCATGTGATGATCGCCAAGCCCAAACCCCATGCACCTTCCTGAATCATGTATTGTACGAAGGACCTTCACAATTGACCAGAAAACCAACCACGGGATTCTCAAATCTATCTAGACAAATAAACGTACGTAGCTACCCTTAAGAGACAAAGCCTGCCTCGTACACGACAACTCTTCAACTTCGGGAGATTTCAGTCATCTGCCTAGCTCGGGGGTTTGACATTCAACGGACACATACTTACTGATTTTCGAGCTACCCTCTATCAGCTTTATCGCTGGTTAATAGTAGGTACCAAACCTGCCAGTTTCTTTACATCTGATACTCAGAGAAGCGATCGGTTGACATTATCATATGGCGCCTCATGTTTGATAGCTTCCCAAATCTCATCAATTGCTCTCGTTGCCCGCTCACTCAACTGACCCTTCTTGAGGCTCACGAGGGTCTGTTCGAGTTGTTCATTATTCCTAGTACCGATAACGATGCCATCACCATTTTCCTTGCTCAGTAGTGGGTTGAATGCAACCCATCTACAGGCAAGCTCAGCCCGCGAAACACCTTCAGCCTCTGCCACTGCTCCCCATCTAGCTAGCGCGTCCACGTATGTGCTCTTAACATACATAGCCTTGTACATCCCAGCGAAAAACGTGTCGTTGAAGCGGCCCTTACCTTCTTTGATATCTTCGGCTGTTTTGGTCAAGAAGCCCCCAGCTAATGGACTGTACACATAGAAGGCTATGCCTAGCTTTCGAAGTGTAGGGAACAGCAATTGCTCCTGGAGGCGTGCGACTGCACTGTAGTTCCCCTGATACACGGTCGGGAGGACATATCCATGTTCTTTGGCAAAGTCATATACCTTTTGGACGTCTTCGGCGAGGAAGTTGGAAAGCCCAAACCGCCGGAAGTAACCCAGTTTATATGCCTCCTGTACCCCTGCCAGTTGTTCAGACAGTGACGTCGTGTGATCAGGGCTGTGAAGATAGAATATGTCAACCTAAAGATGGTGGGAAGGTAAGTCATCAATTCAACGGATAGTTGTCTTGGAGTGTATAATTGGGATCACTCACTTGTTTAACACCCAGTTTTTCAATGCTCTCCTTTCCAGTTCTAATGAGATTTGCATGCGTAGCCCCGCCCGCACCACCAGGCCACTTCGTATCGATGGTGAACAGGTCCCCTGCCTTCAAGTCTCCCAATGTTTTTTCACTCTTACCATAGGCTTGTGCAGTGTCAATCGTCTTGACGCCATGGGCGTGAAGGATTTTAAATGCCGCCTGGTTGTATGCTGCGTCATTGTATGGTGCGAACGTGCCAACAGATACCCCTCCGAAGATGACCTGGATACCTTCCGAAGACATAGTAGTCTTACTGTGCAAGAAAATAAATGACTGTCAGGGATATCGATCCTTTATCGTCGGGATTCAACTCGATGGGCGTCACAGACAAAGAATCTAAGAAGAATATATCTATCAATGCCAGTTGACGCTTAGGATTTGGTGTCTAGCGGTCTACTCAGCCCACTCCAATGGGGGGGTTTGAAAACGGATCCGAGGCTCCTTTGCCCTGAGTACTAATGCGGTGAGCAGCAATTAAACTTGAGTAGCTCGGAAGCAGAGTTGCTCAAAGCAGACAGCAGTTCTACCTAACTTCCAAAGGAAAGCCTGGAGGTCTAAGTCTGCCAAGCGTGTTCCAGTGAATGGAGATGCCTTCAATACTAGTGTCGCGCCTGACAACAGTCATTATTCCGAATGTCAAGTGCTGCAGAGCGAGAGAGTGTCGAGGAAGCTGTGAAGCCAGCGATGCCGTACACGGATCTCCCATGACATGCCCAACAGTGCCTTGGCATTTCACCATAAGGGTCAACAACTCTCATCTATCAATATCACTACCGTTGCAAAGAAATATTGGCCTATCTTACACTGAAGACTTAATTATCAGAAGGATTCTTAGTACAACATGTACCTATTTAGTTCAGTCACTTCGTTCAGCACTACTGCATTTAGGCGCCCGTTGGCATCAAGCGTGGCATTGCCCTGCAGGGCATGCCATGTTCCTGTGGGGTTAACCAGCTGTCGAACCATGAGTCGCCAAAGATATCGTGTGCATTATTGACAGTCATTTCTGGATGTTGGATCGTAACACTTGATACTTCAGAGAGCATGCCTTCGGCGAAACGCATTGCTTTCAAAAAGGAGTATCATCTCTTGCCCATTCATAAGCTAACTAGATAATGATTTTCCATAAATAGTTGATCGGCTGGCCGCACCGACCGGAAGCTCCAAAAAGGAGTCAATACCGGGTTGAATTTTGTCAACTCAATGGTCTGCCAAACATGGAGTGGTTTTTCTAAGTCGTGGCCGAGAGAAAGCGATATCAGAAAAGGTACATAGAACCAACAACGCCCAGTAGTGCTCAGCAGCGGACCGTCCAAGCCAATGACCTGAGTACTAAGTGGTTCAGGTCAGTTGGATGCAGCAATTGTGGTCCAGAAACAATTTGGTTCCGATCCCGCCATCCCCAGAGATGCTTTCAAGAGGCTGCCTCAGCCTCGCAGATATTATTAAACAAACTGCAACTATGATGTGAGTCTAGGTTAGTCGAGTTAGAGCCGACGGGTTTGAAGATCGCCGTACGCTGTCGCTAGGGCTGAGTAGGCTTGGTGATGCAAAAATCTGTGCTTCAAGATGGGAAGTCTCCTTTCTTGAGTCGTAACTAGCCCAAGAACTTGCAGGGCCTGTTCTGTGATCTCTCAACCATGTCCCAGATAAAGTCCTCGAGCCTCTAGTCCCATGGGCGAGAGAACTTGATTCCTTGATGCCTGAGTTGGGCGGCAGGCTCGATGACATGGCCTGTGGTGTGGAAAAGCATCGCCTGTGCGAAGATTCGGACTGAAATGTGGTTTGTAGGAAGGCATCGAAACTCGGTAGTCTACACACCGTTGTGGGTGGTCCAACGTGAGGTGATGCCGATGGTGTCTGCACCAGAGAGGGAGGCGTTTCGACTTGGTACAGTGGGGGAGAGGTCTCGTCATTTTGCACTGTCGATGATGGAGAAGATCCAGCGCTGTCTTCCACAGTGTCGTCTTCAAGTTCGTCTGCACGATGGCCCTTTCTTCCCACGTTCATATGATGCCAGTGTAGTCTGCAAGCCAGGTCTGTCTTATTTAGGCTGTCTGCAATCTGCTTGTAGGGCATATTCTCTTTTCGACTTCGAAAGAGAAAAGACTCCTGCTTCATGTGAGTAATTGCACCAATATTCTGAACGGTGCCGTGAACGAACCTCCTCATCTGTCCAACACTTAATCACTTTACCTTTGCGAATCTTGTCCTTCCTTGACGAGGTTGACGTTTTCCGCACTTGTGGAGACCGTGACGATGATCTGGTGGTTGAGCGAGGTGACATTGTTGATGGGAAAGTCTGATCGAGTGTAGAGTGAGAGTTCTTGAGAATCCAAGGTTGATAAGTCCCGCCGGTAAAGAGTGAATGCCGAAGCGAGAACGGAAAGAATGCAGGGTTGCTGTAAGTCTCATGCGGAATAGTCTTTAGTACTGGGCGGTCGAGTAGTCTTGCTGCATCTCCCTCCAAGTCAACAAGTATATAACAAGTATATGTCTACCAGTTGTCTAACATATGTCCAATCTGCCTTCGCGGTATGGCGAGGCAGATTCAATATTGGCTATGTCGATGTGCGGCCAGACCAAGACCTTTGGCCATGCAAGAGTGACTGACTTGCCACTTGGTAGGTTGGATCTTGCCCTCACTACAAGGGAATGAATAGCCGCTGATACCGCTGCAAGTGGCTTGCATTAGCAAGTCAGAAAGAGCCCAGTATTAACTAGACAGAGGAGTGTAGTATGAAGAGAGCATCGCCAGAGGATTTGGTCTGATCAACTTCGCTTTGCGGCTGATATCTCCAATCAAGCAATGTCGCTTCTGGTCCACGAAATGGTCTTCGCAATTAGTGTCAGCATACTTTAGACACGATTGGCTTGCCCGATAGCTCTTTGGTCATAGACAATGAAGTTTTTCGACATCCCTGGCCTCTTGAAGGATGCAAACCTAGGGTCAATCTCGAGTCATGCATGGCCGGGACAACAGGAAGCACACACACCCCACTTCGAACGGCGACTTAGCAGCGATCCACTCGTGAAATGCCCCGATGAGTAGCATGGTGCTGGTGAAGTAGGTGCGACCATGCTGTGAATCTGCCTGTTGGGTACAAAATCAGCGAATTACAAAGACTTCTGTAGGTCCAACAAGCGCTGAAGTCCTCGGCGGCTAATTTATCGGAGGCGAAGCCACCAGAACAAGACCAAGCAGGGTATTGAACAATCAACCACGCTATTGAAACTGGAGACATGAGATTCGCATGGGTTGTGCCGCTGGCCGAATACGACCTACCTAAGTGCACAGTAGTGACAACAAGGTTGATGTATCTGAAGGGTGTGCCGCACTCAATACTTCCCAAAAGAATCCACCCCACTTCTCACCCTTATGCTACCATATCGAGGGATCGGATCTTTGCCAGTGAGTTGAAGCCTTAGAGAAGCTATTGCCACCATACATGTACAGTACCATGCTGCAGGCTTCTGGTCGGTCCAGGTAGAGTAAATAAAAGCAAGCGGGAGATGTTGGAGCGCTCTTGTCGGTTGAAAGACTCGCGAAATCTGCTCTCAGTAGGTCGGTATGCAGTCGATCTGATACGTTAGTGTCAATTATTGGTATCCTTGAGATAAGACTCTTGCACTGCTAGACGTGCTTTGTACGTTGAAGGACGGTGAATCTTATGGCGGAGAGCTCATCACAGCGTTGAAGGCAAAGGAAAGGAAACTCTCTGGGCCTTCATAATCCTCCGACATGTTTTGGAGCACCGGGTAAGATAGAGCTAGTTAGGGAGCGTGAAGTTGCGCCTCCTTGGCTCTTCGTCCCCTGTAACTTGGACCACTGACTGACTGCCAGGGACCCGGTTACACGAAGTAATTGACCAGCTAATGTGACTGGTCCCGCCAAGTTAAACTACTCCGGAGCCCACCTACCAGTAGGCAAGCACTGTACGGAGTACTCGGTAGGACCTAGGAAGAAAAATAACTAAATTGACTACTAAAAAGTTCTTGAGCAGGCATTCAAGCCTGTAAAATGCGTGGTTGAATCATGCTCAACTCATGCAGAGTTCCCTTCTGATTCAGAATCAAGAATCTTAGCCCATTCCCTACTCACTAACTCATGAGCCCGCGGAGTGCGTTGCCAATCTCAATCATCTTCAATCTAGTTGTGGTACCAATTTCGCCTTATGGTTAGGCCACCAGCACATGAGCCTCAGGATGAAAATGCTTTATCACAATTCAATAAATTAAAACGCTATCAATGGCTCAGAGAGCTCTATGTTTCAGCAGTATTCGCAAGAGCCTGTCGACGCGACACCGATTTAGGATCGAAGTAAGGCTTTTCACCTAGCGACACCACACGATTGCCTTTTCTCTTGCCTGAATAATCAGTTGTGGCAGTGTGGAAGACACTGCGGTTGTCCCAGATAGCAATGTCGTTCTTACCCCAACGAAAGCGAACTTGAAGGTCATGATTTTCAGTGATGAGCTGGAGAAAGTAAGTTTTCAGGATCTCGCTTTCTCTCGGTGTCACGTTATCAATCCACCCATGCTGGACCTGGTGAGCTGCGGCGAAAAGACTCTTCCATCCAGTAACCGGATTTGTGCGAACAACAGGATGAGACGCTGTGAAGTCAAGACCTGTGTTCTCAGGTGACCCGCGCTCCTTTTCGATCAGCTCCTCCCCAAACTCTTTGGCTACCTTGACAAAAGCTGGTTGATAATGCGTAGCTGTCAATCCATCTGCAATTTTTTGGAACTCTGGGGATAGCCGGTCATACGCCTCATACCCAGATGCCCAAAGCGTGTCACCTCCAGCGTCGTCAGGTTTCTGGATGATCTTGAGGATCGCATAATCCGATGGGATTCGTTCAAAGGTAATGCTATCGTGACTGTCAGCCAAGGGGTCATTCGATCTCATGTGTGGCTTTTGTACTTACTCCGCGTGCCAGCCTTCACTGGCTAATTTCTTGGACCCGGCAGAGAAGCGATCTTTATAGAATTTCCGGTTTTGCTTACTCGTCTATCAGCGCTGTATCGACTGGGAAGTATAATAGCTCCAACTTACTTCTGATGAGATGACAGATACTTCATCGTCAAGCTTCCCGTTCTCATCAACAGCAATTCCACGCTTACTGTTACTCAACGCATGTCGATGAAGCTGCAGACGAAACTGGTCAGGAATATCAACATCACTTTTGTCAAATGGCATGCCTTGGAACTATCCGGCTTTCCAGTCAGCTCTCCTAGTTTCTGGCCGAGAATCTTTTGATCCTCAATATTGAGGGTCTGGTTGCGAAAGAAGACGACACCACGTTGCGATACTAGAACATTTTAGTACTATTAAGTGCTTCCCCAGAACACGACGATCATCCGTACCTGTGATAGCAAGGTCACGAATCTTGTTGTCATCGCTCAAGATATCGACGAGCTGAAGCTCCGGGTATTCTCTTCCGATGACATTTGTCACCTCAAATGACTTGAATTCGTCAAGAGAGCCAGAGTACTTTAACGGTTCAGTCAATTTGTTTGATGTGACTGTCTTTGTAACTGGTGCGGTGAGGGGCGCAGCAGGAGCAAGGTCAATGTCTGCCGCAGGAGGTGCCATCGTCTTGGAAAATAGCTATCGGAGGACAATACCGAACGACTTTACCCTTGGCGGTGATTGCAGAAGTCAATTATAATGGGATGATGGGAGGTCGTGAAAGTCTTTGGGACCACTCTCCTGTTGTTCCTCGTGCACAAAATGTCCGTTCGAGTCGGATTCCGATGGCAATCCGATCGGGATCATGCCTTACCGATCCCAGTCTCAAACGCTCTCCATTGCGTCTACTCAGACTTCCATGCGAAGCGGATCAACCATCCATACAACTATGGAAAGGAAGCAATGTGAGTATAACTCATGTGAACCCGGGACATTGACCCACACACGCGACTACCAAGAGGAAGGCATTTACCATTTTGGCGTATCTTGCACAATCATCTACCCAATCGTATTAGTGCGACGGATCCGTACAATTGCTTTACAGCAAATGCAACAGATCTAGATGAAGTGCAACGACACCCAGCTGTGATAGAGCTGCACGTCAACAGTGCTGACGATTGCGAGCTCATATCCTCTCTTCACAGACACCAATAAGGGTTTACCAAAAGCCCAAATTATTGCGCGCTGTTTACGCAGCCGCACTTGTACACCTCGGATTGTGATCCTGCCCTTGAACATCCAAAGAATAGTTCACTCTTCCCCATGAAGTTAAAATTTAACTAACATTATTTAGTACTTAGAACTAATACTCATCAGTCGTCCCACATCATATATTGTGAACCGGATTATTTTATCAACAGAAAAGACAAAAGTTAAACCTGCTCAAGCTGCCTTTCGGAAGGACCACTGGTACTTTTGCCTTTCTCCGCAATACTACCGTGCATTCCTGCTGCAGTACTCCTCCTCTTATCCATTCTCTTTCTCCTTCCGATTTCCAGCTCTTGTGCAAACTTGCTCTTGAGCCGAAGGTGTTCACCTTTGAAGTAGAAGTAATATACAGGAATAATGACTAGCACAGCCAGACAGGCTAAGATCACTGAAGGATATATCAGGTGCCTGTCTTCGCCACCGACATTCTCATAGACTGTAATTGGCGAATGTTAGCAAACAAACTGCATGATGACATGGTGGAGTTGGAATCTCGTGGGAAAACTCACATGGATGCGCATACAAAGCAGCAATACCAGCGAGAAAGTCTCGAGCCAAGTCATTGCCACCAGTAGCAGATGCTGCATACGGTCCATAGGCGGCAATCATGTAATCAATACTCGACTTGTAAACTGCATAGTTAGCAATGCCAACGATTGTTGTGAAAATAAGTGGTGCGATCCAGTGAACTTGGGGTGGTCCGAGCGAGGTCCATGCGAAGCCCATCAGTCCGATGGCAAGCAATGGAGCTAAGTAGAGGAGCCACCAAAGACGACTTTCGGGGGTAAGGAGGTCTGGATTCCTCTTGCGTGTCTTATTATGATGCCATATCACCGGGAGATAAGTGAAGTAAGCAATAATGTAACCGATCAAAGAGCTGGAGATATTGGTTAGCTAGGCTGCTTCCAAAAGTGATTGACGGGAAGAGAGGCCTTACGAGAGAAAGCAAAGACCAATCTGGTAAGTCTGAAAGTCCCATTGTTCAAAAACGGGTGTAAATGCTTCAAGGAATGTGAAAATAAGAGAATCTGAGAATCCAGACAGTAGCGACAAGAAGAGGACGATTGGCTCAGTGAAAAACATCAACCAGGGACGCCACCAGATTTTGCCGACTTCTTTCCAGCTGAAGCGCTCTTTGAAGGGCTTTAGCTCGTTGGGGCCATAGACGTTGGGATCGCTACCGTTCTTGCGACGCTTCTTCGCTTCGCGGTCGAGGAGGATGGTGACACGGGTTTCTGGCACAAGGAAGAAATGTGCCACTTGTACAATGCCGCCCATGATAAGAAGCGTCCAGAAAATCCAATACCATTCTCGGTATTGACCTACAAAGCCTCCAATGACTGCGCCGGCAGGAGCCCCACCAACCGAGGAGAGAATGACGAATGCAACAGCATACTGAAACCCGGTATCCTCTGGTTGATATAAATCGGCAATGACACCAAGAGTGACGGAACCACCTGCAGTGGAAAGACCACCCAAGGCTCGTGCAACCAAGATGGAGCCAAAGTTTGGTGCTAAAGCACATGGGAGTTGCCAGATATTGACAAGAAAGAGCGATAACTGCTGAGTCGGCCATCGACCGAGTTCTTCGGACCACGGCGCCCATAGCTCACAACCGATTGCATAGAATATGAGGAAGATTGCTTGACCTAATCTGGCCTTTGTTTCAGAAACCCCATACTGTTCGGATATCCCCTCGACGGCGAAGCCATACATCGATGCGTTGGAATTCATCGAGGTTTGAATCAGAAGGATCAACACCAGTATGGACCATTTTCTCCACTCAGGCAAGCTGTAGCCTAACTTATCATAGGCGTCATCCTCGGTGAGCTCAATCTTGCCGTCTGCACGCTCAGTTGGAGATGCATCCTGACCTGTTGCTGTCAAGTCTTGGCCAGCAACACCAAGCACGGATTGCTTCTGGCCCGGTGTCTCATCAACGGTCGTTTTCTCGTCATAATGTTCTGCCTCATGGTCGGATTCCCCCTGAACCGTTGAGGATCTCGTAGAGCCTGGCATTGTGACTGACAATAATCAAACGTCGGGCCAGATTAGTAGAGACGGACATGCAGGATAGTGTAGGGTTAGGGGTAGTCCCGTTCTTGAATAGCCGGAAAAAATAGATTCCTGCCCTTCAAGAAAGTGAGAACGATGCCAAATGGAACAAATCTCACAAGGATTATGCCAAAGCAGGCTTTGGTAGATATAACGTAGATAGCACATATATCAGGTATGACCTCACAATCAACAAGGCCGTTATATCAGGGGGGTCAGCCACGTACTAACCGCCATCCCGCAATGACTACGCTGCGGGGCAACCCGCAAATGGCAGGGAACTTCATGACCGTCTGCAATGGTGCACAGCAGTGGCCCCGGCCGGTCAGAATTCATCGCAGCATATTCGTGGATGGCCTTGCGTATATGACGTCGAATCTATCATCGAGATCTTAAGATGGCAAGTCATCAGAGAAGCAGACACAAGAGACGGCAAGAGAAATGCTTTGTCCTGCAAGATCATCAAGGCGTCTTCTTGGGGTTGCCAATCCAACACAGAGATTGGACGACCGTGAACTTTGGCGCCGTTAGGCACCATGACCTTGCTCCTGGGCATCCTTGGCTGGCAGACATGGCGCCCTTGGCAATGGTCCATGGTATCTGATGACGTACTAAGTAGTCTGTTATGGGATTGCAGAATCATCATCAAGAGAACGCGTCTTACAGAGGATGGTAATAAAGGGAGAGCCTAGCTGCAAGTGAAAAATTGACCATGACGGAGCTGCAGATGGATTATGGTCTGTTGTATGTCTGATTCTCGGTCACGTGGGAACATCAGCTGACTCACCTCGGGTGCTTATTGTTACCATGCCGAAACCTTTTTGGAAGGTCAACCGAACTTCCTCAGGGGTTGGCTTTGCCTCTGGCTTCAAGTTCTCGGTATCTCGAATGGGGTAGTTCTTCTGATTGATGCTCTTGACTCAGTTAAGAATGCTCGTTCTACCGGCTCTGGCAGCCATTTTTGTTCTCCTACTATGTCTCAAAACTTCTCCTTCATCGTTCGTGGAGGCCCAACAAGACAGCCTCGGGCGCATCAATGTTCATGAGTTGCTCCAGCTTGTCGAACCTAATTTGCTCTCGGAGGACAATAACACGAACGACTTTGCCCCTTGGTCCTACAAGCCAATTTGCACTCGATTTATCGACAGTATTGGCAGCAAGCTTTGCGTGTATACCAGCAGTACATTCGGCAACTACAGGGGTCTTTCAGTTTTCACGACCCCTGAGATCTCTCGGAAAATAGCTGCTTCAGTCTCATTCCGCAGCCCGAAAAGCCTGGCTGATCATGCACTCAACGTGGTCGAATCTAGGTGGTATACGAAGCCTACTCCTGGAAAAGGGCTAGGCATGTTTGCTGGAGACCATATCCGACCTGGAGAGAGGGTCACGGCCAACACACCTATCCTAATAGCCTATACCGAGGGCTTCCTACCCAAGGCTGAGCGCGAGGAATACCTCCGCATTGCCGTTGACCAACTGCCGGGTCCAACGAAGAAATCGTTGTTGGAATTATCTACTCTATATGATGATCGTGAAATTCCAATTCAAGGCATCATCAGTGGTAATGCTTTCGACTTGCAAATTGATGGCAACGGACATCTTGCAGTCTTTCCAGAAGCATCAAGAATCAATCACGCTTGTTCGCCAAATTCTCAATTCCGAGTTGACTCGTCTCTGCTTTCACATTATGTTGTCGCTGTACGCTCAATAGATAAGGATGAAGAAATCACCATAGCATATTCCAATCCGCTCGAAGACCATGCCCAAAGACAGCAACACCTCAAACAATCATTCGATTTCACCTGCAGGTGTTTACGTTGTTCTCAGGGTCAAGAAGCAGATGCGGCCTTGAACGAAATAGCCGAGTTGCAATTAATACTTTCAGACTGGACACCATCTTCCGAGGCTAGCATCAAGAAAGCCGAAAAATTGGTCAAAACGTATCAAGATCTCGGTCTAGAGGGATACATGGACCCTGCATACTGCCATGCCGCATTGATGTACAATTCTGTTGGGAGTATTCGGGGCGCAAAGAAGTACATTGATCTAGCGATTGAGGCTAACAAACTGAGACTTGGACCAAAATTATCAGATCTTGGGGCATGTGACAACATGGTTGATGAATTTCAGAGCCACTGGAGCTGGAGGAGGAGAAAGCCCGTGTAAAGGGTTAAAACGCAAAACCCAACGAAGTTCATTCCAACGGTTTATCGACAATTCAGGCATTTATCACTCGCCAATCGTCCAATCTTTACAATTTTGGGAGGAATGAAACAATGCCTTCGGCCTCTAATGCCTCCTGGACAGATTTTCGTTTGGCCAGATGTGTGACCAGCTTGGTGTACTTCGGATACTTATCCATTATCTGGTCCTTGCCATAATTGGCCCAACGGTAAAAGACATACAAGAAGATGTCCACAACAGTGAAGTTGTCACCCACGGCATGCAGTCCGGCTAGGTCTGATTCGATCTTCTCAAAGCAATCTTCTATGTTCTTCCAACCTTTTGCCTTGACGGCAGGATACAGCGCTGGATCGTCGACATATCTATGTGGCCTCACAAATCCTCCAAATGCTTGGCCGTGCAGTGTGCCGGAAAGCCAATTGAGCCATTCGTATGTTCGCACAATCTCAATATTGGACCTGCCGAGCAGTTTTCTCTCTGGAGCCAGCTGGGATATTGCTGTGAAGATTGCCGGAGTTTCTGTGATAGTTTCTCCTTCGATCGACAGAACGGGGACTCGCATCTTGGGGTTGATCTTTCGAAAGCTCTCGGGAAGACTGGCGGTAAGCTCCACTTTTACGGCCTCAAACTTGATCCCGAGCTCTCTCAGCAGCACATGAGAAGCCAGGGAACACGCTCCAGGGGAGTAGTATAATACGATGGATTCCATGTTATCTTCCAGTTTCAAAGTCAATAGAAGTTCAGTCCTCTTCCTGGCAGCATCAGAATCTGGGACTTTGGCTCTTTTTTATCCCGAGTGTCTTTGAATCTTGCACGAGCGGATGCTTTCTTCCGCAGCCTTATTCCTAGAGTGGAAGCGGTGCCGACGGAACCAAAGCTTACACACCATTCCTCTATGAGACAGATTGCGGTCGCAGTACGGTATGTCTGGAACCGAATACGTTTTCTACATCCATCCCGCCAGATGTATCACCAAAATGAACCACCAAACGAATCAGCGTGATGCAGATCTGCACCAACCAAGCGCATTTCAGACGCTGTTCGCTGCATCTCTGTAAAGGCCACCTGCAGTTTGTTGCGGGAAATCTACCTATTCCGTAACCGTTATTACAAAGATGTTACTAAAGTGCCGAGGTTCAGATGGAGAAAATCAAGGCTGACAGAATTTGCGAATGCCTTCGATCTCCCCCCGCATGGATCATCACTAGATCTAGCAGCATCTCATCTTCGTCGATTGTATTTGTGTTGATCCCTCTACACATCTCTCTACTATTGATGGCCACAATATACTAGACGAGTTTCGCGTCGTCCATCACTTAGCCGACCTACTCAGGATGCGGATGTCAATAATCATTGCTGCCTGATGCAGTTGGAGAAGAGGCACATACCACTCGTTCTTACTTTGTACAACCTAAATATCACAACTTGGCTTTACCCACGGCGTCTCCATATGAAGGGGTTTTCTACCATTTTTGATATGGAGACAAACGCGATTGCGACTGTTACGCATCACCACCACAGCACTAATCACCGGTTCAAGTCTAGGGTTCATCATGCTAAGATGCATGGCAGCGTGGCATGATGGGTAGCAAGCTTCCTGTAACATTGGCGATTGAGGTATTATCTTGCGCATCAAGCACGCAGGTGATCCATATAATATGCTAACAGTATAATGATTGGTGGCTGAAATGACTTCTTAACAACCAGCTATTCTGCCAAGTCAATAGGCATGGGCATCTCACCTCACAACTTCCGAGTTACTATGAGGGATGGAGTAGTGTTCTGCGCTCTGGAGGGCTTCATCCATTGACACGGGAAGAACTGTACGACGGCAAAGTCACATGTTAATAGTCCTATTCGACGCGGAATGAAGAATAGGCCACCAGCCAAGGTTGAATGATGCTGTCTGGAAATGCTTTATACCAATCTCGAGCTTGCCCACACTGGCTAAAGTTGCTCTGAGAAAGCAAGATGCAAAGGAAGGGGTTGTGGTCCAGAAGGTCGTCCTGTTCGTCCTGGAAGGCTCCGCTTTGCCCAGTCTGCCCAGCCTTGCCGAGAACTCTTGGCCCGACGATCAGACTCCGCTGCCGCACAAAGGCGTCATGCATTGTTGACCATACGTTGGTGGCGCTCCGCTGAAAGTCTGTCCCGATGCTACCCCTTCTACTTGGCAAGGCCACAAGGCATATCGAAGCATGCTCAAGTGATGAAAGAATGCTTCTTGCATTCCGTACCCCGCCCAAGAAGCAGTGGGGATTGGGGATAGCTGACCTGTGACGTGCCTTGACATGCCCACTTTCACAAGTTCGCTTTGGCCGATGTTACACTCAAGTCATCCAATATCGGGGAATGATGAGCATGGTTGATCCGGTGAAACGGCACAGTTTGCCTTGCCGGACAAATCTATTTAGATTTCGCATGCCCTTCGTGTAATCTGTCTTTCTCTGATTGCCGACGTCGTTGGTACACGATTTCATTTCTCAACATGGACAGTAACGAGAAAGCCCAGTCATATGAAGATGGCCCCCATCAGGAGCAGCGGCAGATGTCGACTGCTAGTGGCCGCCGCCGCTCCACAGTCACGGATGTTAACATGAACAAGAATTTGGACGCCAAGTGAGTTAAGACGCTCCGATTCTTGTTTGTGCCATTAACTCTTGATCAATCTTGAGAGGTCTTATTCGTGCTAAGCTTACTGATTACTTTTTAGAATCTCTAATCCTTTAGGTGGTATCCCAAAGGATGTTTTGCTCGCAGATGTTACCGCTTTTGCAGAAGAAACCGGCCTTACCGAGCATACTGCGATACTCAGAAAGGGTGCACTTGTCGCCCAAAACCCAGGTATGACTGGCATGACATTCACTTTGTTTAGTCTGACATATAATAGGTGGCTATGAAAGTCTTGATCTAGAGGAGGACGAGAAGGAGGCACTGCGAATTGAAGTCACCAAAAAATGGAGTCATCCATTCAAGTTGTATATGACCGTTGCTGTCTGCTCCATTGGTGCTGCTGTGCAAGGTTGGGATCAGACTGGTTCGAATGGTGCAAATCTGTCCTTTCCCATCGCCTTTGGAATCCCTGATGGCAACACTTTGAGCGATGGTTCACCCAACCCAGATGCAGAGAAGAACCTATGGCTAGTTGGAGTCATTAACGCCGCCCCGTACATGTATGCACTTATCACCCTATGCTGCGATGATATTCCACTGACACATTGCGCCTGACTAGTGGATCTGCTTTTATCGGTTGCTGGCTTTCGGATCCTGCCAACAAGTACTTCGGCCGACGTGGTGTTATCTTCATCTCCGCAATTTTCCTCATCCTGACTCCCATTGGAGGTGCTGTTAGCCAAACTTGGGAACAACTTTTCGCTACTCGTATCCTTATGGGCATTGGCATGGGTCTAAAAGGCTCAACTACACCTATTTTCGCCGCCGAAAACTCCCCAGCGGCCATCCGTGGTGCCTTGGTTATGACATGGCAGTTCTGGACGGCCTTCGGTTCGTACCATGATATTGCATATGTTGGTTGTATTGCTAACAAATGAGGCAGGTATTTTCTTGGGCACCGCTGCCAACCTAGCGGTCTACAATACCGGAAGCATTTCTTGGCGGCTACAACTTGGATCTGCCTTCATTCCAGCACTCCCCCTAGCTGGCCTTGTATACTTATGTCCCGAGTCTCCCAGATGGTACATCAAGAAGGGACGTTTCTCAGACGCCTTCAAGTCACTTCTCATTCTTCGAAATCATCCCATCTTGGCAGCTAGAGATCTTTACTACATCAACGCCCAGATCGAGGTCGAGTCAAGCATCGTTGGTAACACTAACTTTTTCAAGAGATTCGGCGAGCTTTTCACCATCCCTCGTGTACGCCGCGCTACCCTGGCGTCTTTTGTTGTCATGATTGCTCAACAGATGTGCGGAATCAATATTGTAGCATTCTATTCCTCGACGATTTTCCGAGAGGCTGGTGCTAGCGACCTCGCTGCTTTGCTCGCCAGTTTTGGATTCGGTGCGGTCAATTTTGTCTTTGCCATTCCCGCCTTCTTCACCATCGACACCTTTGGACGGCGAAGTTTGCTACTTTTCACGTTCCCACAGATGGCCTGGACGTTGCTCGCGGCCGGCTTCTCATTTTATATTCCCAAGGAGAGCTCTGCTCACCTGGGCGTGATTGCTCTTTTCGTTTATCTGTTCGCGGCATTCTACTCACCGGGAGAAGGTCCAGTACCCTTCACATACTCGGCAGAAGTCTTTCCCTTGTCTCACCGTGAGGTGGGTATGGGTTGGGCCGTGGCTACCTGCCTTTTCTGGGCTGCGGTACTATCAATCTGTTTTCCCCGAATCTTAGATGCCTTCACCCCAACCGGTGCATTTGGTTTCTTTGCGTAAGTTCACACATACTCCTCCATCGCCGTTATCTAACATGTAATGCAGTGGCCTCAATATCCTGGCGCTCATTATGATTTTCCTATGGCTTCCAGAGACCAAGCAACGCACACTTGAAGAACTTGACTACGTCTTTGCTGTGCCAACAGGAACTTTCGTCAAGTACCAGACCGGCACATGGCTTCCGTGGTTCATCCAACGCCATGTGTTCCGCCGCAAGGATGCGAAGCTGAAGCCGCTCTATCATTTTGAAGGTGTCAAAGAGAATCTTACGGACGAACAAATTAAGAACAATACCCATGAGGAGTTGCGGAAGTAAATAAAGGAGCGACACTACGTCCGGGGCTGCGACAGAGTTCAAGTCAGTCATAGTCTCTAGATTCTGTCAACCCACGCCCGAGCTTCTTGGTGTCCAGACAGTGTACACCGGTATGATCCAGTCGATGTTGAATTGAAATTGATTGAATAGCTTCAGTGGTTTGTACTGGTAGCTAGACATTGGGGAATGATCCCCCTTAGCCTAATGACGAGATACGAACTAGATAATCTATCGTGCAGGGTACCTGTTGCAGTCAAGACCTTCCCAGAAAGATACGCACACGTTCCAAACACTGCTGCAGTGAGAATGATCCGCTCCTCTGAAGAAACACAAGGAGTTGAAAATTGAGGCTGATGCCTGCAGTTTCGGGTGAGAAGAGCTGCTAGGTAGTAGTGAAATATTTACATCTTTCTTGCTCCTGTCGAAAGCTCCGCGGACTCGATTCCGGACCTACGAGAGTCCATGCCAATTCTGCTATGCTGCCTACTGAGATTCCAGGCTCTCAGGTACTAGTCCCGAGGTCTTTGGCGCATCTCCAAGCCCGCTAATCTGACAATCTTACCGCTGATGGAGCGCAAGGCTGGTCAAAAATATAAGCCGAGGTTTGTTCGGGCCAATGTCAACGTTGACCCCGCATAAACTATTGGAGTAGGTTGTGAGAGTTTACGACCACGTACTGTACGATCTCAATCGTGACACCTGAACAGTAGTATGCATTGAAGGAATTCTTGATCATTGTTGGCGGTAGTCCTACAAAGTTCTATATCTGCAAGGTGCGGCGTTGTTGCTGAGCGATCATCACTTCAAAGATTTCCCGCCAAACGTCTCGTTCCCCAAAGCCATGTCGAGCACTAAATCACAAACGAGTGGACGACATGATCTTGACGACCGAGCGCTGGGTGATTATCTTCTAAATACAAATGCGATCCCGGGGCTAAAGCTGCCTCTTTTGTCAACAAAGATTGGTTATGGACAGAGCAATCCTACATATTTCGTCGATGACGCAGCGTATGTCTTGGACAGTCCTGCAAACTACCCTGCTTCCCTGCTTGATCACTCGGTTTGACGATTTTCTCTTTAGGGGACTACGATTCGTGCTGAGGAAGAAGCCCTCAGGGCAAATCATAAGCCCGGTAGCACATCAGGTCGATCGAGAATTCCGAGTCCTGAAAGCTCTGGGTTCTGTGGAAGGATTTCCTGTCCCCAAGGTCTTCGCACTGTGTATGGATAGTTCTGTAATCGGGACTGCTTTCTATGTGTGAACCCCTACCTAACATTGGCATTACTATTACAAGATTCCTAAGTATTCGGTCTTCATTCTAGGTTATGGAATTTGTCAAAGGTCGGATAATCACAGACCCAGACTTGGGCGACCTTTCACCATCTGAGAGACGCCAGGCGTGAGTCCACTTTATCAGTCCCGACAACCGAACCCCATTGGACTGACCGCAAGATTAGTTGGTTTTCCCTCATCGAGACCCTTGCCTGGCTCCATTCTATAGATCCAGATGCTGTTGGACTTGAGGGATATGGTAAAAAGACCGACTTCTACGCCAGACATTGCAACACATTCAGCCGCATCGAAGCTCAGCAAGCAAAGGTTAAAGATGTAAAGACGGGTCAAGAACTAGGAAGGGCCCATGAGCACTACGATGAAATTATGGGATACGTGAGAAGTAATCTACCGGGTAACCGCTACGCGATTGTGCATGGAGACTTCAAATTCGACAATGTTGTAAGTATTAATGCCTACGTCTAATGCTATCTGGTTTGTCATTGATGTCGACCAGGTCCTCCACCCAACAGAACCACGTGTTATAGCGATCCTCGATTGGGAGCTATCGACAATTGGCCATCCGCTAATGGACACGGTGTATGTTGTCAGCCCATTCTGGAATCAGGACACGAAGCTTGGGCATCCCTCCGCTGCATCTCAAAAGTCTCCTTACTTGTCGGAGAATAGGGCGTCTAGCGGAATGCCAGACCCAGACGAATTGCTGGACCGTTATGCTAGTATAATAGGCTTTGATCTTCGAAAAGACGGTGGTGGAAAGGACTGGGATGTTGCAAAGATATTTCATCATGTCCGGGGAGGGACTATTACTCACGGGATCCAAGCACGAACAATAAGTGGGCAGGCAAGCAGCGAGTTTAGCCATATCTACTTCGAAAACACTAGGAAGAGTCTGGATGCGGCATTTGCCAAAGTCAAGGCGCTGACGCATTTGAAAACTGGCAAATCGAAACTCTGAGTCGAATAAGTTTCGGCCAGGCTAATAACACATTGAGTTGTAGAATGTGATTTGGCCGAATGTATAGTACTAGATATTGAGGTATATAGAGCTTTCTTATCTATCGATTTTGAAAGGTTCCCCAACGCTGACGACTCGAATTACTACTGCTGCAAAAGTGAAGGGGATTTCGAACATGTTGACGATATTTACAAAGTGCTCTGATCAGTTGGTATAATAGTCCGGTTCAACCCGGTCCCCCGTACCCGCCGATTCAAAACCCCGTACAACCTCGGCGTACTCGGCTTCCCCACAGAAGCTAGGTACTTCCACGATAGATTGATTATTCACTTAGACAACAACTTCAAGATTCGACAAGTGATCGACTCATGCAACTGAGTCAGTGCAATCTCGACGAGTAGGCTACAGCGTGCTTCTGTAGTGATGTTGGGCACCGATCTTGCATCGAAGCGAAATCGTACGCGAGAAGATTATCATTATTTTCTCGAATACCGACTGCGATGGTAAGCAAGCCTCCTCGGCTTATTCAGAAGCAGAGGCAATGCTCAACACGTGCAGGGACGACAATGATGTCTTCGGGCACATGAATAATCCCAAGTATGGTGTGTTATGCGACAGCATAGCCAACCAATACTTGATCGACAAATGTGACTACAAGACCTCGAAAAGTCCCCAAGCAGCAATCATCGTTAACACGTATTTCGACTACTTTGGTTCCGTTGAGTATCCCGGTGTATTAGAGCTTGGACTTCGCGTTGCCAAGCTTGGAAAGACCAGCGTTGTTTACGAGGTGGGAGTATTCAAGAAGGGAGATGAAGTTGTCAAAGCAGTTGGTGGATCAATGCATGTTTGGGTGGAGGCAAAGGATGGCAAGCTAGGTCGACCAGCCGAGCAAGGAATGCCCTCAAACGTGAGAAAGGGGTATCTCGCCTTGACTGAAGACGGAGCACAGAAACCGAAACTGTGAAGCCCTACCAAATATGTACGGCTCCAACTACGACACGTCCTGGCCGAGTCAATCCACTTGGAAGGACTGCTGGAGAGCCTGGGCAATAATGCAGGCACTCCTGTATCTGCTTCCCTATGATTACTGGATGCTCCCTTTCGCGCCGGCATGGCGTTCATTTCAAGTTTATGGAGGTTACCTTCATCTCAGATTGTTCAGAGAGATTTCGGGCCTTCAATGGCGCAGCAATAGAATATCATTTCCGAAATTATTGTCAACGAAGAGTGCCAGGGATGAGACAGCCTGAGGCCATACTCGAGCTTGGGGTAACTAGTTGACTACATAGGTAGTTAGTTACCTGGGCAGGCCTAAGCCGCCCACAAGTCGGACTCGTAGGCTTCTGATAATGCGGGGTGATCCCCCCTTCGCCTAAAATAGAGTGCCTGCCTGCTTACTCGATCCCTTTTCTGCCAAGCTAAGAAGGAGAACCCGCTTCCCCAGATATCTTCGTCGTAGCGATCGGTCCATTCACACATTGCTTTAGCTGACAGAACAGCGATTTTTAAAGTCACGAGCTCTTTCCCCAGTGATTCCTAACCCCTGTGCTTGGCCATGGACTCGAATCAATCGAGGAGTGCCAACGCAAACCCCCATTTTTGGCTGCTCAATGTGAAGCACAAATTCTGCCATCGAACCAGGCCATTCACGCACAGTTGTGACATTAAAACAATATGCTCTGAAGTACCACTGGTTGCTGGAGTGCTTTACACTTCTCACAGGGCAAGAGTTTGTGCTTTTTCGTGGCGGAGAGTGATGCAGAACGCCGGCCCCTTCAGAAGAGTGTCTCGAACTTCCATAGCTTCCCATGGAAAGTTTGTTCATTTCATCCAGCCAAGGCTTCGAGTCCTCTTGGGCCATGTGCGATAGTTGATCAGAGCAGTGACACAGCCCCCTTTGCAACTGTCGCGGCTTCTGGTAAAGCAACAATCAAAATGCTCGGATAGAGGTCACCGAGGCTCCAGAACCTGGTGCAAACGTTTGATTTGCTCTGCTCCGAGTTCCAAGCCTATTGGCATTGCCTCCTCACAACAACGTGTCTTGTAGGGAGTAAATTTCTCCCAATTGCATCGAGCACAAGGCGCCAAAGCTGGGTTGCCAGGCCAGATTGTGAGGGTGCCAATGTCCAAGTCTTGGTTCAAACGTGGGGTAATTGCTTAATTACCTCAACTCCCAAGACAGTCCAAGCATCCAAGATCTTGGACAGATATCATCACCATGTACGGTCACTGGGATAAAGGTCAGCTCGTCCGGGGTTCAATGGGTCCGGCCACCTTCCTCTGTTCGTGCCTCCTTCAGCTTTCATTTCCTGGTCTTAACTTCAGCGACTATCACGATGGCGGCTACCTATGAACCTGAGAAGGTCGACGAAGCAACCCATGATGAGAATGAGAGAATCGCAAGCCAATCACCTCCGTCCTCTGCAAATGACTTCGATGTTCAGAATGAGAAGAAGCTGATGCGGAAGATCGACTGGAGACTGCTACCAATTCTTGGTGCTCTTTATTCAATCGCTCTGATTGACAGAGTTAATGTAAGCTACACTTTCAATGATGGCCAAATAGTTTTCTTCAAGAACCACTCTGATTTTGCAGATCTCAAACGCACGCGTTGCAGGCATGGGGGAGGACCTAGGTCTTCACATCGGGTCGCGATACACCATTGCGCTAGTTGTGTTCTTCCCTCCTTACTTCTTTTTTGAGCTGCCATCAAATATCATTCTCCGCCGTGTTGGAAGTGCCAACTGGCTTTCTTTCATCGCCTTTGCTTGGGGTACGACAATGCTTGGGCAGGGCTTCGTTAAGAGCTATGCTGCCCTCGCCGCATGTCGTGCGCTCCTTGGTCTGTTCGAAGCTGGGTTCTTCCCTGGTTGCGTGTATCTCGTTACTTGTTGGTCAGTAGGGAGCTCTCACACTGATATCCAGGTAGATCCGGTATTGTATCACTCTAACACGCGTCCAGGTATGTAAGGTACGAAGTACAGAAGCGGTTGGCCGCGTTCTATCTCGTCTCTGTGTTTGTGGGTGGATTTTCCAACATCCTGGCCTATGGCTTGATGCAAATGGAGGGCGTCGGAGGCCAGAGAGGATGGCAATGGATCTTTGTGAGCTTACCAAGTTTCCAATCCTCCAATACTCATGGCTAACGTAATTCCAGATTATAGAAGGTCTTCTCACGCAACTCGTGGCGATAGCAGCATGGTTTCTCATCATTGATTTCCCTGACAAGGCTCACAAGAAGCACTTTCTCACAAGTGGCGAGGCTGCATTTGTGAAAGAAAGAATTCAGATCGACCGTGGGGATGCAGATCCGGACCCTTTGACATGGGCAAAATTCTTCTTCCACCTTAGAGACTGGAAGCTGTGGATATTGTAAGTTTTGTACTGCTGCTTGAGAATTCACAAGTACCAACTACTAACCCATAACAGTGCACTCATGTTCATGTCAACCACAATGCCAGCATATGCATTTGCTTACTTCACTCCCGTCATCCTTCGAGTAGGTGCCCTAATTATCCCAAGTCAATTCTCTTCCGTGGTTACTAAACTTCGTTCAAGGGAATGGGCTTCAGCGCTGGAGTCGCCAATTTGCTGTCGGCGCCTCCAGTCATTACAGCTCTCCCGTGTGCTTTGTTCCTTGCTTGGATCGGGGACAAATACCACGTCCGTGGACCAGTCATTGTGACCCAATCCTTAATCGTCATTGTTGGTCTCATGATCACGGCATATCATAAATCCAACGGTGTGAGATACTTTGGTATCTTCCTCGGCATTGCTGGCTGTCAAGGCAATGTGCCTGCAATACTTGCCTACCAGAGCAACAATATTCGTATGCAGAGCAAGCGCTCTGTGGGCAGTGCCCTTCAGATCGGATTTGGTGCAATTGGTGGTATCATTGCGAGCACTGTCTTCCGCGAGAAGGACGCGCCTCGCTATGTACCTGGGCTGTGGGCCACAGCTGCCCTACAATTCTTCATCTTTGCTCTGGTGGCTTGCAACACGGTTTACTTCCGTCGCAAGAACCGCCAAGTGGACGATGGTACTTTGAAAGAACCAATCGAGGGACAACCAGGATTCAAATACACTCTCTGAGAACGACTCCCCATGAGAATCCTGGTAGTAGAGGGCGCGCGAGTGAGGTGAGGTGGGTGTGTACTGCGTTGGGCGCTCAAACGGACCGATTTTGTCGATGCTCTCATGGGCTCCTGAGAGACAGCTCAAAGATCGGTCTCAAGACCACTACTTCGGTGGTTGAGCGGCTGGAATCTGTTGTTTGTGCCATCAGGGAATATCGGACACACGATTTGTGCACTTAGACGTCTCTCAAGATGCCCCCTGTCCAATCTGAAAGCAATTTTGCGAGCTCCTTATCGTGAGATGTCAACAATGTCAATCCAGTGCGAAGATCTATCAAAATTGCAGATCTCTTACTTAACAGGCTTTCCTTGGCGTGGCTGTCATTACTGTCGGGATTTAGCTACTCGTGATTACGGCACAGGACTCACTGACAGTGTAGCACCCGAATCTCCCTGACCAGCTTCTCTTGTATAAGAATAATGATGAAGATTCGAAGAATGCCCACCCGTACCCAAAAGACGAAGCTTGTAGCCGGTTTCTAGGTTTAATGTCGAATATTAGCTCCCAAGGACGTTCAATGTCGTTGCTTTTAGTCGGGCGTCATTCCTATCGAAACGTGGCCCGATGACCCCACAACTCGACTGAAATTATACGAGATACTTTGCCACGGTCTCATGTTTGGGGTTCGCATGCACGGACACAATCGTGAAATGAATAAACAGTTCGTCTCTTCAGCCCTTGACTTCGGCAAGGAGATGAAAGCATTGACACCTTGGCAGAAGAATGGCACGGCAAACCACATTGAAAACGTGTGGGATCCCCTTCCGGCCGTTTCATCCGTCATCTCTCGCAATGATTGAGTGACAGTTTGGGCAGTTTGGCACTCATTGAAGGAATTGGCCACGACCCGATTCACACAGAACCAACATACTGTGTGCTGTGAAGGTCATTTGACTGACATGATGACTAGCAAAGTCCCAGAGCAAGCTCGCCGCCACCATGTACAAAGGATTCCAATATCGCCCTTAGCCTACTTTTGGGGACAGAAATCCAGACAACTTCAGAGACAACACGAACAAAAACATGCATTTCAGAACGAACAGTCGAGTTCGACCATTGTCGAACTGCCACTTAGAGCATCTTATCGTCACCAAACACGAAGAACCTTCCGAAGCAATGCACAGTGGGACAAGAGTTTCGGATGGTGGCCTTTTACCTTTCCAGAAAAGCATGTCAATAACGATTCCCAAGTTTATCCGTGGCCTACTCAGCGTGCTTGTTCCTAGCTTTCTTGTCAATCTGCTGGACAACTCTCACCATTCTGAACGCGACAAAACCCACACTCGGAAGATTGCTTCTCTCGATGGGTTAAGGGGCATTGCTTGCCTCTTCGTTTTCCACGCACATTATGCTTATTCGTTTAGCAATTGCCTTGAAGAGGCCGGTCCAGAGGTATTCAGGCGTCGAATAATGTATCAGCCAATTATTTCGCTGCTCTGGTCTGGCATTGGAATGGTGAACATCTTCTTCTTTGTTTCTGGATATGTCTTGGTTGGCAAAGCCATCAAACAGATAAGGTCCAACGATGTTCCCGGGGCTTTTCTGACCATTTCGTCTTCAGTTTTTCGCCGAGCACTCAGGCTATACGTCCCTTCTATGGCAATTATCATGATAGCTGCTGGAATGGCCCATATGCACCTGTTCGATGCTGGCAATATCTTTTACTGGCAAGCACATATAGAGAAGCTGGGTCCGCAAGAAGCCCCGCCTATGCGACTTGACTCTTTGTTCAATCAGCTTTACGATGGTTTGAAGGACTGTTACCGTATGTTGGACAACACAGTTCCATGGGGCAAGTTCAACCTTCCCTATGAGCATGAAGGTAATGCAAGACCTGTCGGAATCGTGTATGACAAACACTTGTGGACCATTCCAGTCGAGTTTAAATGCAGCATGTTGATCTTCATGATATTGATAGCGACTGCACGACTTCGGTCAGGTTGGAGATTGCTGGTTCACACTGGGTTCGCTTTCAATTGTTTGATGACTGAGAGATATCCGGAGACGCTCTTCGTTGCAGGGATGGTATTTGCAGAGATTGACAGCATCAGTGATCGAGTGTCACTGAACTCCAGTCGCGAACTCGCCAGTGGAACGCAGCTCAATTCATGCCTTTCGATCGAAGGTAGCCCCACTCAGAGGCTCGACTGGAGGACAGTCCCAACCAATTTGCGACTGCGTCCGATATACAGCCTTGGCTTATTCATCCTAGGGCTATTCCTTTTATCAATCCCACCTCAACAGGCTCACGGGTACCCGGCCTACAGGCCAGCATTGTCACTGGTGCCGAATTATATTGAAGAGAAGGACGACTTCGTCAGAGTCATTGGTGCTATCATGGCGACTTGGCCAGTAGCAACGTCACCTATCATCGCACCTTTGTTTTGTAACCCAGTTGCTCAATACCTGGGTCAGATATCGTTCGCTTTGTATCTCGTCCATGGTTCGATAATCAAATCCTTATGGTATTGGTTGCAACCCAGCGTCCATATTCTGGTCTCCAATGCGCCTGTGTGGGAATTGACGACTGGGCAATTTGTTACCCTCTGGATCACTGGATATGTGATTGTATTTCCAGTTGTGCTCTGGTTGGCTGACGTATTCTGGAGACTGGTTGATCAACGCTCGGTCTCTCTGGCACGATGGGTGGAAGAACGGCTCACTCGATACTGAATCAATGAAGGGATCAGCCGAGGTCGCAAGACTTCGCTCACACCGTTCGCGTCAGGCCAGAGCAGGACTTCGATTCAACAGACCGCACGATAGCTTCGCTGCTGTCCGGGAGTGCGTTCAAAGTGATGAGTGTGGGCCAAGGAGGACTCGGCGAAGGATCAATGCCCACCAGCTCAGACCTTTGGTGAACATAAAACTCGACTCGAGAGTATGCAAGTGGAAAGGTTTGAAGGGGACCAAGTGATGCATTCTTAATGGCGTGCTTTCTCAGCTCAGCTGTGATATACTTCCATCTCAATGGGATCAGGGTGTAGGCCCTGTAGGGCTACCACAAGCACATACGCGTACATAAGTTGAGGCGAAGGGGACTATCACATGTGGCCTTTTGAGCGATCGTGGGGTGACGATACTACGTCAATATGACATGAGAGCATACCAAGGCTGAATCTGCTGGGCATCTGCAAGCAACAACGCTGAAACGAAACCACCCGGTAAAGGCTGTGACTTGTTCCTGGAATCAACGCTCCATGGCTGGCCCCTCGGGCGACACTTTTAGGCTACAGCACTAGTTAGTTAAGAGAACTCTCAGGCTCCTTGAAGAGATATTTTCAGGGGGCGGGGCTCGGGGCTCGGGGCTGCGTGGGACAGAGAACGGGCCCGAGGAACTTAGCTGAGCATCTGGCGATGCTGACAGCCATGACTACCAGCAGGAGCATTGTAAATCAAATTTTACGCCCTTTGTCATAGTAGCTACCAGAAATTTTTGATACAAAACTATTGCTCGACCTCCGATTTATCGAAGTTCCCGACAATCAAGGCTTTTGGCGTCCAAATGACTAAGAGGAAAAATCAAGAAACAGTTGTCGCTTCCAGACTTTGAGCTGGAGGCAAGCTTATTCTGCCCCTACCAATCTCGCAATCGTCAGATCTGTTGCGAATAGCCCATCCATGATCGAAACTTTCCATCACACATGCTGACTGGGCAACTTGTACTTATAGACCAATTGCTCATCAACTACCTCGTGCCTACGAGTAGGTCACGATTGTCATCTGTGGTTATGGGTATTTCTCAGGTACGCCTAACGATGCCAACTGACTACGGATATTTGTTGGACAAAGGGACATCCATGAATATGGTGAACAAAACATCCCCCTCCTAGACCTTACCACGCTCTTCAGGTCCTGCGACAGTGTCATGCAATCGATCTCGCCGATGCGAATCGGGCTTTCCGACTGATTCAGCCACCAGATCAACATATCCTGCTGGAGTCCAGGTATGTTGCGTCCAAGAATCCCACCATCTTGGCTATTTACACCTGGTCAGGGGACACGGGAGAGAAACAAGACCGGTGCAACAAACGGCACACTCCTTGCCGATCTTGTATCACGGGCTCCGTGAAGCTAGCACACCATGAATCTAAGATGGCGAAGCCACTCGACAGACTTGGAGCACCCCCAAGGCTAAGAACGCTAACGAGGACCCTGGTCTGATCCTTACGATAACAACGTCGAGCAGCCATTGCACAAAGGTCCGCCGAGAAACAGCTAGGCCATGATAAGAGCCAACCTCCGTGATATCTAACGTCCATGATATGTAGCGACCTTCCAGAAACATTCGAAGATGTCTTGGATGTTTCTTGGAAAAAGTCTTGGGGTGCAGTGCTACGCATTGCCAATCCCTCTTATCAGTCCAAGCATCCTACTTAGCATTGCCCAGGCACTGTTTAGCACGTCTTGCTTGGACGAGCTTTGAAGAACTACCCTGAACATCATCATATGATGTCAACTCTGATTGGCTCCTGATGGCGTTCAACATGTGCGATAATGCTATCTGGACCAAATGCAACTCTGGAAAAAGTGTCTGCTGTTGCATCGAGCGGCAGCGCATGGTTCAGAAGCGGAGATTGCATATACGCGAGGCACGAAGCTCTCTTCGTGGTGTGAAATTGGAGATGTACAATATGTTTAAATAGGACATTCCCTTGATTATCCTTCTCTTGCTCTTTCCTCCATCTGTGCTTCCGAGCGTGATTTCATCCACAATGGATCCAAAGCTTACAGGAAACGACTATGTCCAGGAAACAAAAGCCTCCGATGGCGAAGTCGAGCCATCGAAGAGGAACTCTATCACGGGCGATGTCTTCGTCCACGACAATGGTGCGGACACCGACCTTCGACGTATTCTCAGCACCCGCCATCTTACCATGATTGCGTTGGGTTCCAGTATCGGCATGGGATTGTGGTTAGGTTCTGGTACATCCTTGATCAAAGGCGGTCCAGCAGGTATATTCCTAGGGTACTGTCTATCCGGCGCAATGATCTGGGCCGTGGCACACTCCATTGGTGAGATGGCTGTCATGTACCCGCTGCCTTCTGCCTTTGTTCAGTGGACGGGCAAGTTTGTGGACCCTTCTGCTGCATTTGCTCTTGGATGGGCATACTACTTCTCTTTTGCCATCACCAGTGAGTCAACTCTTCCCATTCTCAAGCCTTTCTGCATATCAAACTCCAGATTGAATTGGTCGGACCTTCTGTCCACGTTTCCCATCCCTGGAGTCTTAGCTGGCTTACAATTCTGCTACCTTGGGCTACCAACTGACATCACATTCAACAGTTGCCAATGAGCTAGCTGCAGCGAACACTATTATTAGCTTCTGGACCGATAAAGTGCCCGTCGCAGCTTGGATCACGATCTGGTGGGCAGTTCTTATACTCGTGAACGTTGGTGCTGTCACCATCTTCGGCGAAGTTGAGGTTGTTTGCAGTGCAATCAAATTCAGCTGGATCTTCGTGGTCATCATATCTCTTATTGGTAAGTCGCCCAATCGTCGTCGTACTCTGCATATCACGAAGTGGGACAGACTCGCTAATCTTCATAGTTGTATCTGCTGGTGGTGGACCTAACCATGAGTCGGTTGGTTTCCGTTACTGGAACGATACGCCGTTCACAAATGGCTTTAAAGGATTCCTTTCAGTCATGCCGACATGTATATTCGCCATGGCTGGATCGGAAAATGCTGGTCTTGTTGCTGCTGAAACTTTGAACCCACGCAAATCCGTCCCACGTGCTGTTGGTTCCATCTGGTTAAGGCTGGCACTTTTCTATCTCCTCGGATCCTTGATGGTTACCATCAACGTTTCGCCATTTGACGAAGATCTCTTCGGTGGGGTGGGGACAAATGCGTCTCCTTTCGTCGTTGCATATCGTAATGCAGGGATCCCAGCCCTCGCCCACATGATGAACGCCATCATTCTCCTATCGGTTATCTCCTGCGGTTCCATTTCCATCTACGCCGGTGCCCGTACAGCAATGGGACTGGCATACCTTGGCATGGCGCCCAAGCAATTCAAAAAAGCCGATAAACTTGGGCGCCCATGGTGGGCTCTCATCCCTATCGTCGTCATCGGTGGCGGTCTCGGCTATCTCAACGTCAACAACTCAGGAGCAAAGGTCTTTGGATGGTTATCAAACCTAACTTCTTTATTTACCCTAGCGGGCTGGGGAATGATTTGTCTCTCTCATATTCGCTTCCGGTATGCCTGGAAGTTGCAAGGTCGCGAGGTTTCGGAGCTGCCATGGAAAAGTTGGACATACCCTTACGCGGCGTGGTTCGGCTTCATCATGTGCGTCGTGCTCATTATTGTCCAGTTCTACCTTGCAGTATGGCCACTGGGTGGTACCGCAACTGCCGAGTCATTCTTCGCAAACTACATCTCGATCCCTGTCCTGTTGGTGCTATGGGGTGGCGCGAAAGTCTACTATCGCGGCCGCAGATGGGTCGACCTTAGTACCGTCGATTTAGACTATGGACGACGATTCTACCATGATGAACTGGATAAGGAGAAGGGTCAGAAGAAGGGTGTCAAGGGTGTTGCTTATAAGACACTTGGTGCTATCTTCAACTAGCCGTGGCCCCAGCTTAAGTGCGAAAGTGAGAGGAGGAGAAGTCGAGACAGACCACTTTGTGGTGGTTCAAGATAAGCCTCCAGCCATAGTAACACAGTTAATGGAAGCAAAGGCCAGTCATATTATTCAAGTATGACTCTTCTAGTCGGAGCAAGAATATACAGAGGCGGCGAATCGCTAAGTCTGGATATGGATAGCTTAGTCAATCCACTGAATGATGGAAATTCTATCATCAACCAGGTCGATTGGCAGCTAGTCTAAGCTGAATAGGAATAAATTTCAATGTAGTTTGGCACCTAATCACCTTTCATTCTCCTCCTGTAGAATCGTCATCGCCAGCAGCATATCTCGCGGGATTCCTCGTCGCCACTAAAATGACTAGCTACTCAGATAGTTAGAAACCTTATCTCGGAAAACGGTGCCGAGTACCCAAGACTCCAAGGCTTGTACGTCGACTAAACGATTCTCCGAGCTCATCATTAATGACGATTGAGCCCATAGCAAGGTGCATAGCATGGACAGTAACATGCACGCTGCAAGACGTAGTGGTGGCAAACTAGATCGAAGAATGATGATTGAGTCTAATAGTCCGCACCTACCAATGGAGTGAGTAGATGTCAAGTCGACGCCTACTCAAGCAGAGCCTCATCCTCGTGATCTGCTTAAGTACCCGCTTGAGGGGCCTCTGAGTCACTCATGATAGCCTTCGACTTGGGAGTCAATGGCACGTGGGATTGTAATCATCAATGCCCGGGTTCAAGCGCCTTGGTCAAGCCACGAGATCTGGATGTCAAGATGTGATTTGAAGTTGAGTTCAACGAATATCCAGGGAGAAGATCTGTAACCCTTGGCGAGGTGGGGGAGTTCGCCTGGAGGTGTCAGTTGTTGCTCGTTCGGGCAACAACCGTGAGGCAGGAGAGTGCCAAGAGCACTTGGCCAAGGCACTTGGGGGTTCTTTGGCCCCTAAGCGTCGAGGAGTGACGCGGTCAACAGCACAGACGAGAGGTGGACAATTTCAACTTATATATAGGATAGAACTCATAGAAGAGAGCCATGTGGACTCAGGCATCGAGGAAAAATCGACACACAAGACTTTCACATATCCACATCGTCTCCAAATCCCAGCGAAAGAAATACTAAGAGCATTCTCGACTGATGAGCTTGTTTCCTAGGCTTGACAAACAGAGATCGGTGGATCTGGACCCTCACGCCTGGGATCTATCGTCGAAGGAACATGTGAAGAAATTCGGATTCTCTTCTAAGTACCCCAAAACCCTTATACCCGACCCAAACATATTTAGCGATGCGATCGTACCAGCTCTCAAGTCAGGGGATCAGGGAATCCAGACGAAATATCCAAACCCAGGACATTTAGCTGCTCATCTAGGTCTCATCGAATGCTTTCGCAAGTTTCGAACAAGTGTATTCAGCTCGGAGCAGCTCGAGATACTTGACTTGCCCAGCTATCCGGGGACCACGGTTGATGAAGTTAGCACAGCCGCCGATGGGCCAGCGAGCGTCTCGAATCCAAAGAGATGGGACACTGTCATCCGTCTCGCTGTTGCTCGATTTCTAATCTGGTTTGAGAATATCGAATCTATCCTAACCCACGCGGCTGCGTATCATCGCTTTGGCCCTGATAGCAATGCTCTCCATGCAGCTATCACAGCAGACTATCTGCCGCCTTTGGATGTCATGCTTGTTTGGTACGCTTATATGCAAACACCTGGCGCGTATAGGCGAGACAACCTTGCGCATAGTTCCCCAAAACTATTGGAGATTCCTCTCCCATGGGAAGCCATCCTCGCTGTTATGGACCTGGACAATTTCACCTACAATATCCCTTCTGCGGCAGAGAAATTGTTCACGACTACAACTACCCAATCTGCCGATATCTTTGTCTACCTCATGCATCCACCGCCTTATACCGATTTAAATCCAGACAAGGTATTCTCAGTGGACCTAGAATCGGCCGTGCACGACTTGATCGACGATACCTCATTCGCGGAGTCAATGAGTAACCTCCTTTTCTTACGCTCGCCTGCCCTTGAAGGAACACTACTTCGCGCCCTGGCCAAGTACGGAGCACTCGTACAAGCCACGGGAAATAGGGCAAGCTTATGGTTAGAACGTATTCGAGATGAACCTGCCCTTCAACTCGTATGGCGTACTCATATGCTGTATCCTATGGCATACATCCAATTCAGTGCAAATACTTTCGGAAGCGATGTCTTGCTCAAGTATGACACCAGTTCCTTGGCTTATGCAGTTGACATCAAGAATTCCTCAACCGCAGAGCAATCTTCCGCCGACAGCGATGGCGACAGCATCAGTGCGGCAGAAGCATGTTATTGCTGGCTGTGTGAGCGTATCCGAGATGAAGACCCAGACTATACTGCATGTGCTTCCAAGCCTGGGCGTACAAGGTCGCCCACTGAGGGATCGCTGTCCCAGCCAGCTAGTCCCACCGTTCGGGGCTTCTCACATTTCCGATCCCGGTCAATGTCAAGCAACGTACCACCGAACCCGGATGGCCCATTCTCACAGATGGCTAAGGAACAGATCGCTAGCATCAAGTCTGATGTTGCGTTCTATCGATATGTTGAGGAGTTTCGCCGAGCGAACCCGGATAGTACCGTACTGCCAGGTCGCCCTGCTACCTCTCGTGATCTTGAGAAACTGAAGCGTGAGAAAGACGCAAAAGATAGAGTCGGAACATATCACGGGTCGGGATATACTGTGGAGGTCGTGAGGCCTGCGGTATATGACGAAGTTACAGGTCGATTGTTGAAGAAGGAGAAAACCAAAGTGACTCGCTCGAAGCAGTTGACCCCCGTCGCTCTTTTCCTGGCCTACTGATGGTATATCAGGCTTGAGCTAGGTTAATATGTCGCACTTGCCACCCAATGCTCGCCCTCGACCGGCAAGGTTGAGAAACAGCCTCATCAGCTCCAGTCTGGAAATCAATAACGTATCATTATGACTGAAGAGCATGAGCACATTTTCCACAATTTGCGCCTTTGCATTCATAAGAGGCAAATGAGAGTGGACTGCATCAATACCGGTGCGGTTGATGTTCCCCCCGCACCCGCATCATCACTAGCCTAGATCCACGCACCCCATTAAGGAAATACGAACACACTCATCGTACTCGCCAATCGACAGGAGCTATCGCTGCACGGCACGAAGTGCTAGTTCGGAGTTCTCCATGAAATTACAGCGGGCGAGGGTACCTTTCCCCCTCGGCTTTGGGTACACTGGTCTATCGTGATGAGGCCATCGGCAAGAGATGGGGTCCTCCCTCGGCCGCGCGGGTTCTGTGCTTTCCCTAGGCCGTCACAAATCAGGCTGAGATCAAAGGAGAAATCATTCCAGCTATAACTATTTTCGCATCATCTCCCTTGCCAACTCTTATCTGAGGCTGTGCCCTACGCAGCTGTTTGCCTTTGAGCACAGGCTGTTTGACCGATCTCTCGGCGCGAGTAATTCTCGCAGGATCCTCACAGGTACATTCGACTTGAGCCAGGACAATATAGGTTACCATTGCCAACGCAGAGTGTCATTAGCATTGAAATTTGATCCACTTTCCATAAAGATGGCCTTCAAAGAGCAATTGGAACTTGCTACCAGCCCAGGGCCGACCCAGATCCCTGGTGCAGTTGTCATTGCTGCAGACCGATCTGGTGAGTGAAGCCTAAATTTTGTCCTTTTTAGCACACCGCTCAACCTGCAAGGTAACATTATCGACTTTCAGGCTATCGGCGTTACGTCCGTTGACCCTGACATCGCAAAACCCATGACCGAAGATACGACCTTTTGGATTGCATCATGTACCAAGCTCATCACCTCAATCGCTGCACTACAATGTGTAGAAAGAGGACAACTGACTCTTGATGATGATGTCTCGACTATTCTGCATCAACTCAAGACTCCAGACATTCTAGTCGGCTTCGATGAACAGACCGGTCAGCCCATCTTGAAAAAGGCACAGGAGCATATTACGCTCAGACAACTCCTGACCCATTCGTCTGGCAACGTGATTGAGTTGTTCTCTGCGGAAGTCAAGAAGTGGCGCGAATGGGCAAAGCCTACATACGACGAAGATGAAGGTGAGGTGGTGCGTAGTACTTGATGACATGATCGATGAGAGATCCTGCTGATGCCCACACAGATCAAGCGTATTCTAACACCACTTGTATTTGAGCCTGGAAATGGTTGGGTATATGGAAGCGGATTAGACGCTGCTGGTAGGATGGTCGAGAAGGTCAATGGGGCGTTCGCCTCGGCGAGTATATGAAAAGGTATATATTCGGCCCTCTCGACATGACATCCACTGGTTTCCGGCCTTCAGAGAACGAGAAAATTCGCAACAATCTTAGTGCGACCACTGTCCGAACACCAAAAGGCGGATTGAGGGCAGGAAAACCATTCCTTACAGGAACCCCAAAGGATGACCTCGGCGGGGGAGGCCTATACAGCTCTGCCACTGACTATATCAAAGTGTTGATCTCTATCCTGAAAAATGACGAGAAGTTGCTGAAGCGCGAAACAGTGGACCTGATGTTCACACCACAATTGCCAGATCCAAAATACTTAGAGGCCGTGGTAAATGATCAAAGAACAGGCGTCTTCTATCGCTCTGGGGTAGATGGTCAGCGCTGGAACTATGGCCTCGGGGGCCTTCTCAATATGGAAGATGCTGAAGGAGTTTGTAAGAAGGGAACTATGTCTTGGGGAGGCCTACCAAATCTCTTCTGGGTATGATTGCTCCTATCCCTCTCTTTAGGTGCAAGCTACTTGGACTGAAAACTAACGCAACACAGTGGATAGATCCTGCGAGTGGAACATGTGGAATGTATGCCTCTCAATTACTTCCACCCGGCGATGCAATCTCAAGACAACTTGCTGTTGATTTTCGAAGGAGTATTGTAAAGGGTTCATATTAATTCATACGAGTCAAATAGAAGTGTTACGAAGGTCGTGCGTGGGTGCTTATCTGGAGTTCTCCACAAGCTGTATCTTCAAGAAAAATGCTTCAATCAATCGCGTTCTACTCCCAGAGCCTGCTACATGTTGAAATATGCACATTTTGGAATATCCTTATGAGCTTAGAAGTAATAGGTATTTAATTAGTTAGAATCCTCATTCAAGCCGGGTTCCGGTAGTGAGTATGCTAATTCGAAGGCTCTTCGGATATCTCCTAAGCTTAATTCAACTCCCTCGGCTTTCTGCGATACCCAAAGGTCCACCTTCGAGGACAAGCTCAACGCCGCCTGCAGGTTGCCCGCAATTGCGTCAATCCGATGAGTCTTGAACAATTCAGAAGAGTGGGTAGTTAAACAGCTTCCCTCCCACATCTCTACATGCACCTACCTCACTCTCACATCTGGGTTCGATAGGTTCGGTGTTTCTGTCTGAGAGACATGCTTCTACAATGGATGAGCGTACGCCCCTCATAACAACTGTGACTGTAAGCCAGCGTCGAGGCGGCTACTCACATCGGACCATCCGACGTTTCTGCGCCATTGCCTTTGGGAGCATTTTTGTTGCGATCCTCCTGCTCATCATTCTGCCCTTCTCTATCCTGTTTCCCCATTCCCGACACTCCCATAGACATCACGGCCACCAAGGCCTGTCCTCCTACCTTCCCTGGTCGGCTCCATATCCCAAGTCGTGGCCCGAAAGCACTGGCCTCACTTTCTCCGAGCTTCAGAATATCCTTTTTACAACCCCGGATGAAGATAAGATACGTTCATGGAGTCAGTATTATACTGCTGGCCCTCACTTAGCCGGCAAAAATCTGAGCCAGGCATTATGGACACGGGAACGTTGGGAAGAGTTTGGAGTCAAGTCAGAACTGGTGGCATATGATGTCTACATCAACTACCCAGTGTCACATCGACTGGCGTTGTTGAAAGGAGATAAGGTCAAACACGAGGCTAGCTTGGAAGAGGACATTCTCGAAGAGGACCCCACAACGTCTTTGGAGGACCGCATTCCAACTTTCCACGGCTACTCAGCTAGTGGCAATGTCACTGCACCATATGTCTTTGTCAACTTTGGCACGTTCCAGGACTTCGAAGACTTGGTTGCCGCAAACATAAGCCTAAAAGGAAAGATCGCCTTGGCCAAATATGGTGGGGTTTTCCGAGGGCTTAAAGTCAAGCGTGCCCAAGAACTGGGTATGGTAGGAGTGGTCATCTATTCAGATCCACAAGAAGATGGCGAGATCACGGAGAAGAATGGTTACAAGACATATCCCGCCGGGCCTGCGAGAAACCCAAGTAGTGTGCAAAGAGGCAGTACGCAATATATCAGTATGCATAGACCCTCATCAAAATTTTACTGACGTTCACTAATAGGCGTGTCCGCAGGTGTTCTTCCTGGGGATCCTACAACACCTGGCTATCCATCAAAGCCTGGTGCGCCACGCACCGATCCTCATTTCTCAACACCTAAGATCCCGTCACTCCCAATCTCATACTCTGATGCTCTTCCAATACTCAAGGCACTGAACGGTCATGGGCCCAACGCCAGTTCTTTTGGAAAATACTGGCAAGGCGGTGGACTTGACTACAAGGGAGTGCAATATAGTATTGGTCCATCTCCAGATTCATTAACCCTCAATCTTGTCAATGAACAGGAATATGTGACAACACCTCTTTGGAATGTGATTGGAGTAATTAATGGTACCATTCCTGACGAAGTCATCGTTCTCGGAAACCACCGTGATGCATGGATTGCAGGTGGTGCGGGTGATCCCAACTCTGGCTCTGCGGCGTTGAACGAGGTGATACGATCCTTTGGGGAAGCACTGAAAGCAGGTTGGAAACCCTTGCGCACGATTGTCTTTGCCAGCTGGGATGGTGAGGAATATGGCCTAGTCGGCTCTACTGAATGGGTCGAAGAGTTCATCCCTTGGCTATCGGGCAGCGCGGTCGCGTATCTCAATGTCGACGTCGGAGCCCGAGGCAGGGTCTTCTCTGCTGCCGCCTCGCCACTACTCAACAAGCTCATCTACAACATCACCGGGGAAGTGCCTTCGCCGAATCAAACCACGAAAGGACAGTCTGTAGGTGACGTCTGGGATGGTCGAATTCGCACCATGGGGTCTGGAAGTGATTTTACAGCTTTCCAGGACTTCGCTGGCATTCCATCCCTCGATCTGGGCTTTGGATCCGGCCCACGCGACCCCGTGTATCATTATCACTCGAACTATGATAGCTTTGCGTGGATGGATGGAGATTTTGGGGACAAGGGATGGCACTATCACGTCGCAATCACCAAAGTTTGGTCTCTCCTGGCTGCTAGACTGTCAGAAACACCTGTTCTCGCTCTCAGCGCGAAAGACTACGCTCAGGGACTCAGAGGGTATCTTGAGAGCGTAAAGGACAAAGCAGTAGAGTCCTCTATCAATTCCAAGTTCAGCTTTGAGGTGCTCGATAATGCAACGGCGAGGCTCCAGAAAGCAGCTGCTGGGTTCGACACTTACACTGCAGAACTTAGTGAACGGATCGGAGAAAATGTCCCGTGGTGGAAATGGTGGAAGAAAGTCAAGCTATATTATGAGGTACGAGCCGCGAACCAAAAGTACAAGTTCTTGGAACGGCAATTCCTCTTCTCAGATGGACTGGACAATCGCTCATGGTTTAAACACGTCGTCTTTGCCCCTGGTAGGTGGACTGGGTATGCTGGAGCAACATACCCTGGCTTGGTGGAGAGCTTTGAGGACAAGAACCTCACCAACGCTCATAGATGGGCTGACATCATTGGAGACAGTCTGAAAGCTGCCACAAAGCACTTGGAATGAGAGGCTTTATCAAGCTTACTGTGCTGTATATTCGTTTGGGTGAACATTAGCATTCTCGAGTTCTTTCAAATAAACATCACTAAATATCTGAGTGGAAAAGCGCAAGCAAGTTTATTGATTGAACGAAGAACACGAAACTTGTACATAGATGGAAAAGTAAGATGAACAATCAATTATGAAACAAAACTTAGTAATCCAAGGCAGAGATGTAAGAGGGTCCTCGAGTAGGTTCTCGGTCGAGATCAATGTCAGAAGCCACTGGTGGCGAGACATGTACCTCGTATTCATCGGCACGTTAAACAGATTTTCCGGTGCCTAGGTATATAAAAAGATCGTCTTGCTATATTGACTCCAAGAAAAAGATCCACGGTCTTATCCAGGTTTCTTCTCAACGCCTCAACGTAACATAAGAAGAGCATTGTCCGGATTATCTCAAAATATACTGCTTACTCCTGCATTGCCTCGAAAGCGGAGATGTAGTTACTGGGGAGCATGGCCTTGACACCAGTCAGCGAACACTAACTACTTAAATGCGCTCACGCCCAGACTCGGGCTTATGTATCATGGGAAGGTGTCACCCACGGTACTTCTCCTTGCCTGATGACACGGCCAAGGTGAGATCTACATATTCTGAATTCGCCAATGAACCACTGAGTGAATCTTGGAGGCCTTGCCTGAATAACATTTTACCGTTCCTATGTAAGCGTCGAATGTTTGATATTATGTACCAAGTATTCAACCTTTCTCCGCGGTGTTGTCGGTGCGGATGTACAATATTCTCGGGCCTCATACTGCATTACTAAAGTTCACGCCCTCTGGCACAGGAGGCGAATCGGGGAGGTGTCTGGATAAAACGAGCGCAGACTCATCTATCAACACAGTTAGAGCGTTTTTGCTCCCAGAGAGTAGGTAAAGCTCTCACGACAACACTGTGTGGTATTGTATCTTTAATATTACCTGTTTCATACGTGAAATCTACACATTCAGCAAACGTCTTAAGCACATCTGCTGTCTTGGGGCCACAACGTTAAACCACAGACAACAGACATCACCAGAACTATGCCTCGCACACTCAAAGAACAGCTCCCCTGGACGCAGTCCCCAATCATTGCCAACGCACCGATGGGTGGCTTCGCAGGAGGCGCCCTAGCAGCAGCAGTGACAGCCGCAGGAGGACTGGGACAGATTGGAGCGGTCGTCGACATGGGCGAGCTCGAGCGGGAACTGACACTTGCACAGAAGAGCCTCCCCAGGTCCAAATCCAATGGCGACACCAGTAACAACAACACCATATCCTGCTCCTCAACAACCCTCCCCATCGGCGTCGGCCTCCTGACATTCATTCTGAAGCTGGAGTCTGTGCTTCCGCTCCTCCAGCGCTTCCAGCCCTCGGTGATCTGGCTCTTCGCAGCAAGCGAGCTGAACGACTACACGACCTGGACGCGGTCGCTGCACGCCGCGCTCCCGCACAGCAGCATATGGATCCAAGTCGGCAGCGCCAGTGCCGCGCTGACCGTCGCTCGAGGCGACGCCTCAGATGCCAGCACGCAGCCTGACGCGCTCGTGCTGCAGGGCTCCGACGCCGGCGGGCACGGCTTCGAACACAGCGCGAGCATCGTGTCGCTCGTTCCGGAGACGCTCGACCTGCTTGCCGCACATGGCCTGTCGGCCCTCCCCGTGCTCGCGGCCGGTGGGATTGCCGATGCGCGTGGCGCGGCTGCTGCGTTTGCGCTGGGCGCGGCCGGTGTGGTGCTGGGGACGAGGTTTCTCGCTGCGCGGGAAACGATCGTCCCGCATGAGGCGTACCGGGATGCGGTGTTGAGTGCCAAGGACGGGTCGACGAGTACGGTGCGCAGCAAGGTGTTTGATAACGTCAAGGGGCCGAATATCTGGCCGGGAGAGTATGACGGGCGGAGTCTGGTGACGAGGAGTTATACTGATTTTGTGGACGGGGTGGATATCGGTGTGGTGAGGGAACGGCATGCCGACGCTGCGAAGAGGGCGGATGCTGGGTTCGCTGATACTACTGATGGCGAGGCCAAGAGCAGTGGGAACGGCGCTGGACGAAGGGCGAATGTATGGGCTGGCGCCAGTGTGGGTTTGGTCAATGAATTGCAGGATGCTGGAGATGTTGTCAGAGAGGTTAGAAAAGGGGTTGATGAGGCTTTGAAGGCTGCGCGGGCGAGGCTGTGATATACGATTTCGTTCCCTCAGACAACTAAATAGCACTCTCGATGAATTATTAGCAGGGAAAATGAGTAGGTAGAGACTTTCAAGCTCGCTAGCTGTGCCATCAGATCAGTCGCTACCTTAATGCCATGCAAATACCCCTGTGTCAGAATTTTGCCAAATGTTCCAGTATAATGCATGCCCTTTGTTCTCGCGCATGACGTGCCACAATCGTCTGATCGAGTCCTAACATAACATATTGTATGCCAAAAAGGAGGCCCAAAATCCCATATGACCGGTAATTTAATTGAAACTCGTTCCACCAACACCTAATCCACTTCTTGTCGCGCCCAAATCACTGCTATAACGGCGTGAGCCAGTGGGAATAACACCGGGACCCAGACCAATCGGGCTAGCGATGCGGCGTAGCTCTCTGTGCGAGCTACGGTTTCGTGGACGAGGCTGAGAACCTCTAGAAGTGATTGGAGACAGAGATCCGGATCCTGGAAGGGAACCCTCGTCTTCGTCTGCGTCGAAGACATCGCTGGCCTTGCTTGAGGCATGGGATGGTCTGCGGGGCCGAGTTTCGCGCACTCCTCCACTGGATGAAATTGAAGAAGTTTTTGCGGTTCTGTCGTCTGCGTCGGTGGTGATGAATCTGACTTCCTCTTCAGCTCTGGAATCTTCGTCGAAATAGTCGTCGTCGAAATCCTCGTCAATCTCCGTTGCATCCTCATCATCCTCGTCTTCCGAATCATCATCATCATCACTCGAGCTTCTTGCAAACCCCTCCATTTCCACTAAGCCCCAAACCGGGACAGCCCCCAACACACCAACAAGAGCCAAAGTCCACCAACATATGATGACATAGCCAATGTCGACACCGGCACTGAAAGTGGCACCGGCTAAAGCTGGACCTGCGGCTCTCCCCACGGCCGAAATGCTGGTGGCGACACCATTCAAGGTTCCTAGAATGCTCAGACTCGAAGCACTGTTAGTGAGCAAGATGGTTGAGCATGGGAAAGCGAAGATGCCACAAAACCCCTTCATCAACATCATGACCATCATCACACCCTGACGCATTGAGTTTGTCGGTAGCAAGGCCGTGAACGGGGTTGCAACGTAAATCAGTGGGAAAGCCAGCGAGCAAGCTTTGAGACAATTCAATACACCGTACTTTCGGGCGAAAGGCGGGAAGATGAAGAATTGCACCAGCATGCCAAAGACGCCATATACGGTAAACAGAAGTCCAATCTGATTGGAACCAATACCGAACCCGCCAGCAAATTTCAGCGGCAGGTGCACTTCTGGATCGTGACTGGATTGAACAGGGTAATGCATGAAAATTGCGAGCAACTGGTCGTACGCAGCCGAATGCATGGCTATGAAGGTGTAGACCACAAGATTGATATTGGATTGTCTCGAGAAGACCTGTGCCCAACCGGGATTTTTCTTGGGAAGTGGAGGCGCGCGGTTTGCGACAGGGCTCGAGAGTTCGCTGGCTGTCCCATCGAGAAATGGTTCGCTCTCTTCCGGATTCGACCATCCTCTTGCTCGTTTTCTCTTCGTGCAACTTGCCGTCAACACCTTCCCAAGGAGAAGACCATAATCACGCTGAGACTTCTTCTCCTCAAGTGTTTCGCGGAAGAAGAGGATTCCCGCCGAGATGCCGATCAGGAAGAGGATGCTAATCAAAAGATTCGGCAGCGCGAAGGGGTGGTCGGCGAAGAACTTTGATTTCCCGAAGAGTCCAGGGTATCGCTCAACAGGGCGGACAAGAGACCCGCCAATCGATGGCCCAAAGATGCTGCCAATGTTCCATACTAGAGGCATGATACTGAAAGCACGAGGCTGCAACTCCTTCTGAGGAACGAGCTCCGCAACAGCAGTCCTGATTATCCCAGCATTCGCATTCGACAGTCCTTGTAGTGATCTCCACATAAATGCCCAGACGAGGTTACTCGAGAAACCGAACCCAACACTAAATACCATAGTGCAGGTCAACGCGACGAGGATGATAGGTTTGCGACCAAACTTATCGGATGCCCTGCCCCATGCGATTCCGGTCAGACTTTGTGAGAGGGAGAATGTCGCGGCCAGGAGTCCAGCCCATTTCGCGACTTTGTCATCGGGAATATTAAATGACTGGATCATTTCAGGCTGTCCGAATGGGATCGCGCAAGTCAGTAAGGTTTTGAGAAAGAACTGTAGTCGGATTCGAGGAGAACGAGGCTCTTGAACTCACTATATAAGGGTAGACCGAGGTCATAATCACAGGTTCACCGAAGCGACATATTGCGAGAATGAGCAGTTGCTGTTTGGGCCACTGCAGTGCCCTCTTGCTTTCCTTGACCATGACTTGTGGGCGTGTTTTCACACAGTGGAGCCATTGATGGACTTCACCTGCAGTAGACTTCTACGGAGAATGGATCTACCCTGAATGAAGGAGGCAAAACGTCGCCGACAACGAAGAAAAAAAGATGAGCAACTTCAACGAAACTTGGGGTAGAGAATGAAAGTCGGTGCTCAATTCAGCCCAGCCATCGAAAGGCGCAGTTTGGCAGGTCGGACAAGCTCGCCATCTGCTAACTTGTAATAGTTTAATGGTGACTCGCGGATTTAGCTCTGTACTGTAGCGTTGGACTCATTTTCCGTCGCTTGATAAACACTGGTTGGCTGAGCGGTTGCATCGATGGTAGGCATGAGGAGGGTCATAAGGTCCAGTCATGAGGGGCGAGGGCACCGGTTTGGGGAAGAGTAAAGGAGCGAGAGGGGTAGAGTCTGCAAGACTTGAGCTTAGCTGGAAGCCCGCTCAATGGCCTTTGCCGACTAGCCGGATGGCTGGCTGTAGGTCTCCAGGTTGGGTTGAGGTGGGGGGCCGAGGGTACTCAACTAGTTAATGCCGACCTTGTTCGTAGGTAAGCACTTCACGGCCCTTACACAAAAGTCTGCTACGGGCACCTGTAATACGTAATTGGCCAAATCAGCAAGGCGACCGAGCAAGCAAATAGCCTTCAGCATAGTTACCGCCGTTACTGACGCCGGTGTGGCACGCGGTGTTATGGGGGACGAACTAAGCGAATCGACGACACAATGTAAAGGACGAGAGACACCGTCCTGTATACATGGTGGGCCTTTAATTGCTGTTGTCTTCCGAGCCGCAATCTGGCAAGTGCGAAGCAATTCAAAGAATGGAGTACAAAGTATCTAGTTGACCGTCCGAAGCTCGGCATGGGAGGTTGAAGTGACCCTCCAACGTGACAGGTACGACGATCTGCAGGGGCATGTAGCACGAGGGATAAATGAGGAGGCACAGCTTTCACCTCTCACACGATGAAGTCTGCTGCTTACTCTGCACGATATGATCGCACGAGTGCAGTGTGTACTGTATACATCTTCGACCATTTATCATATGCTTATATACCAATTAGCCAGCCGAGTAGCTAGCTATCCATGCTCATCCCTTTTTTCCGCCATCATTCAACCAGGTCTGGAGTTCCAGAAGGCGCCACAAATGAAATGTGTATTCTGTTTCATGAGTACCCAAACGCCCAATTCGCTAAATGGAAGGAAAAGGAAATGGTCGGACAATAATTCGTGCCGCTTGGGGCCGGTGTCCGCTGTACATATATCGACGATGAGATGAGTCGTCTCTCAGGTTTGATTCTGGCTCGGCGGTTGAGGTCGAGGGGTGAACGGTCTTTTTCGTCGGCCAGGTTTCTCAGTGGGGGCGCCGGTCTGTGGCTCCCAGATTTTGCTGGTGTAATTGAATTCATGGCTAGTTTGGACGAGCATATGTTAGAGAAATGTTTATTTTGGATCAAGAGACAGAGGACGGGAAATCTTAGCTTACTGCTCGAAGGTGGTCAGAGTCAGGGCTTTTTTCCCATATTCTTCCTCCAATAATGTTGCATACTCAAAGGGAATCTTAACATGGATCCCCTCGAAGAAACTGTCTCGTAGTGGAAAAATATCTTGTTCCTGTGAGATTTGGTTAGGAACAAGTGCAACAACATTTCGAAACTTGATGCAAAGACTCACCTTATACGTGTGCCTGTCCTTGGACATCATGGCACCTTGAACACCCTCCGCTCTTGCTGGATAATCAATTCGGACCGTTGAGATATCGATAAAAAGACCAGTATCAGTGTCGATCCACCTAGCATCGATGACATTCAATGTATCTTCAGTCCCACGGATGGTATAGTGTGGGTTAACCTCCAACAAATATGTACGACCGTTCTCGACGCCGGGTATGCGGAAATGATATTCGGTCATGTTGTAGTATTTTGCCAGGAAGGCGATGGTGACCTCGGAAACCTGAACGTCGATGTCCGAGTCCCACGGTAAGATCTTCTGGTTCCACCACCAGCCCAACAGCGTTCCGTGCATGATCCACGTCTCGGCTCCAATGTCGGCCATGGTGGACAGAAACGTCTGCATCAACGCCGTGAGGTGCGGCAGTCTTTGCTCCTTTCCAATCTCTGCTGCTGCGAATCGTCCATCGTAGTGCGGATGGAAGGTCGATTCGTGGAAGTATTTGTCCTTGGGATCCCCGCCCTTTCCACTGCGGTCCTTGACCAGCTTTGTTCTTACGTCGAGAAAATCAGCGTCCCCTCGTACCAAGACTGCGTGTCGACATAAGGGGAGAATAAGAAGGAGTAAAGCTGTGAGATACAGACTGATCGCACTGGTCTGTCTCATGGCCACTGACGTGGTGTTCCAACATTGGTCTGATCGAAGATATTGGCGAGACAACGGTACTCGTCGAGGTAGTTGAGACTTGACTCGTCCGGCGAGGCTATAGTTGCAAGACCAGCCAACAAAAAAACAGTTGGTCGTGTGCTTCGTTGCAAGCGTGAACAAGGTATAAAGCGCTCCGCTACCAATGATACAGCCGGAACAGCAGGTAGGATATCTTTTTCGTGCCACAGGGAGTAAATCGAATTATTTTATAACAGGTCGACCAGCAATTTATTTCCAGTTGGGGAGAGCAGAAGACAGCCAGGTCCGAAATCTTTTGTGGTACACAGCAGATAAGCACGGCCTGATTGAGGCCAGAGGCGTTTGGGGGCGAGATAAAATAAGTAATGAGGCTGGCCTCGACCCTTAGGAGCGCGCGTGCTTATGTTCAAAGAATACCAAGTACTTCCCTGTCTTTTTTGCGCCAATCTTTGGAGGCTTGAGGCTGTCTGATGACGATGACCACTTCCAACTTCCGGGGCCAAGAAGGATGGCCGATTCCCCACTGAGTTCCTTGGCCGTAGGCGAGTGTTTTAAGGTTGCACGGAGCCTCAGAAATACAAATGCGTGAGGGTCGATAAGTTTTAGACTGGATCCAATTCGTATTGTGTATGAAGTTTTTGATTTCTTATGGAGAAGTGGTTGTTGATTCTCCAGTTTTCTCTCTCCTTTTCTGCTGGGAGAAGGTACCAGTACTTATTATGATTGAACAGATATCCGTTGATTTTTGTGGACTGGGAAAGGGTCAAGCCTCAAAAGCGTGAGTGATACGCGGCCTCCTATCGTCGTGACTGGGGTTGCACCCGGTTCCCACAGATCCCTTTTGAATGAGCTCTTTTGCCCCCATAACACCGAAGACTGTTTCTAAGCATTTCCGACTCAAAAACCCTGATTCATGGGTGGTCAATACCTACCCTGACGTTTGACATGCACGCGAGCGTTGAGCCGCGTAATGCTGGCCTGCACGGGCACCCCGCCAACCGATCTGGTCGCGTGCTTTTGCATGGTAAACATGGTGGTGACATGTTACTTTGCCTCTAAAGCATGTCTAATTGGTGTTCAGACCCACGGTTGGCTGCATAAACCAATCTTCGTGGTTTCTTGGTCACCGTGCCGCACTGCCGGAAGCCGGATAAGGGTAATGGGCACTTTTAGGCTTTGGCTTACTCGTACGGATACGAGTACTCGTAGGCGCCTAAACCGGATTCTTAAGCTACTTCCGCCTGGGCCTCTCTGGCGAAAAGAAAAGGCGCTGGTCAAGCTTTCTTCGAATGCTTGGTTTGATTTAGGTTGATCTGAAGTGTCCTTTGTTCTTATCGACCGGAGTTGCTGGACAGCTCGGTGTTTCATGCGACGCCTTCTTCCAGGAGGCCAACACTTGTTCTGTTAGTATGCATACGAATACCGGTTACCACAGCCACTCATTGCGATGGACGCGACGAACATTGTTGATTTGACTCGTCAGCATTTTCGTCCTCACAGAGAAGAATTCCTGGCCCTCTGCAGTTCACGTGGTGCTTCTTCCGATCCCTGCCTTGTACCTCTCCAATGCACGTTCTCTCGCTTCCTTGTGATTGACCATAGGTTTGGGATAACCATTCTTTTCAGCAATCTTCCCTGCACCTCTTCCATACGGATCGTGGATGCTCTTGTTGTCTTTGATGTCTCGAAGTTCTGGAACCCACTTGCGGATATAGTCCCCTTGAGGATCAAACTTTTCACTTTGGAGCAAAGGGTTGAAGATTCGAAAGTAGGGTTGTGGATCAACACCGCAGCTGGCGCTGAACCCCCAGCCCCCGTTGTTTGAAGCAAACGATCCGTCAATCAGATGTTCCATGAACCATTTCTCCCCCATCCGCCAATCAATCATTAGATCCTTTGCCAGAAACGATGCCACCACCATTCTCGGCCGGTTGTGCATATATCCAGTACTTGCTGCTTGACGCATTGCCGCATCAACAAGTGGAAAACCAGTCATACCGCTCGTCCATTTCTCGAACTGGTCCAGATCGTACTCCCATCGAATATTGCTATACTCTGGTTTGAATGGCTTGTTCATGCTGTAGGCCCATGGTTAGCTCGTTCTTGGTTTGATACGAGGAGAATCAATTTACCAGATGTAGGGCCAATGGCACAATACGTGCGTGTAGAAGTCTCGCCACGCAACCTCCCCTATCCACATTGAATGCCCCTGCTTTCTATCGTCTGTCAACTTCTTATGCGGCGCAGCCTCACGCGCGGCCCTCACCACCGTACGCGCCGCCAGTGTTCCCGCCGCGAGATGTGGACTCAACACGGACGTACCATTCCCTGATGGGAGGTTTCTTGTATTGTGATACTGCACGACTCGCTCCAGAAGGAATTTGTGCAACCGGTCAAGGGCCTCGTGTTCTCCAGCAGGCCACATACTGTGAAACTTGACCTTTTCCTCTTCTGATAGTCGTTTCGATTCCGGCGCGTCAGGTATCCTGCAGTCGAACAGCTGGGGAAATTGCTTTCGCGTTGACGAAGGGTTTGCTTGGGGGATCGGATGTGGATCTAGCTCGTTCGCATGTTCGTTGAGATATGCGCACCATCTGCGATGCCAGGGGCTGTATACAGAAAACTGTCCACCGGATCCACTGGTCAGTTTACCTGGCTCCACAACACACGTGTCGTGGAGAACATTGAACGCGATGCCTTGTTCGAGGCTTTTGACCATCAACGAGGCCTCTCTCCTCAGCTCGTCCACCTCATATTCCGCATTGCAGTAAATGTGTTTCGCGTCCCACTCATTGCACAATTCAAGCAATCTCGCCGGTAGAGCCCTACGTTTCTCTACTGTCTCGACAACCAATGGAATGTCGAGCTTCGCCAAGTCGTTGCGCAACACTGCCAAATTTCGAAGAATGAAGTCAACGCGTACTGGGGCGGTCAAGTGAGCCTCGAAATCTTGGGGTGATATCAGGTAAAGACCAATCAAGGGAACACCTCCTTCCTTGGCCTTTTTGCTCGCCTGATGAAGAGCATTGTTGTCCAGCAGGCGTGTGTCGCATTTAAACCAGTGAACCACAGACCCAGCGGTTGGCAAGGCATCTCGTTGCGATTGAGTCTGCTCAATTGCCTTCTGGAGAGTTTCGATTGGACGCTCGATCTTGCCGCTGATGTAATCCCTAGCTCTGTCGTCGATCATCTCTGGAGGATAGAACTTCCGTAGAACAATGCCATACTTGATCTCATCTGTAGAATCTTTGTACTGATTGGTGTTTGATGGAGCTGCGCGCGCCTTTTTGGTTTGCATGGGCAGGACGCTGACGCTGGCCTTTCTCTTACCCGGCACCATGATTGATAAGGTGGTTGATATCTTGAAAAGAGGAGGTTTTGATGCGCGAAGGCGCATGGGCTTGATAAAAGTGGCAACAAGTTTTCTCAGTTCTCACTGTTAATTGAAGGAGACGGAATTTCCCAGATACGACACGTGAAGAGTGCGACCGCGTATGTAAAAGTCGGTCCCTGATGAATTTGTAGGTTGCTGTGGATAGTGGTGATGTCACCACAGATCTGATCGATCGGTCCTGCATTAGCGCCTGGCCCCAGATCGATCAGCAATCCTGAGCAACCTCAAATCAGAGATATACCTTCTGGGTGCCTTCTAATCCGAATACCTCTGTTCCTCTTTTCAATATAGTCCTGGCATGGCCTGGCTCTCATCAAACTTGCCACTACTATCCGCAATCACCTTGCATATTTACCTTGCTACTTAAGACCACACGTTCGACCGACACCGCCCCTCTATGAATCTTCTCAGGTAATATATTTCATCAATGAGATCTTCTATATACAACCACAGCCATCCACGCGGAGGAAAGACATCGCAGACGATGACGCGTGGTTGGTTGTGACTGATATGAAAATATGTGTGTCAAAGATCTCAGCCTCCAGGGTTGAACTGGGTTGTGCCAGAACCTGTTCAGGCGTGCCAAGTAAGTGCAGAGAGGACATCTATCGATTTTCATAGTATCGTACCAATTGTCAGATTGATGGAACCATATCTATCCCTACCATAATGGCTGAAAATAGGTTTCCAAGGTTGCCTTACTATATATACTGTGCTAAGTCGAGAGATCATAACATAAAAGAATTTCCTTTAGGAGCATGGATATTACGAATATCGTATCTTTGGCTATCTTATATTTGGCTATCGAGTCTCTTCCTCGAGAACCTCAGATTCACCTAGTACACGATCTACACTATATACTACTAGCCTAAACTAGGTACTACGAATAAGATCATAATCTCGGAAATATAAGATCTAAAGTCGAGATTCGATATATACCAGGTATCTAGTATTCTCCAACTGTACTCTACTTCGACTAGATCTATGTCTCCTAGAAATGACGATAACCTAGGATTGTTCCCCTTATATAATCGTATAGCTAGCTAAAAAAGTATCTACATAGGTACGTATATATTTCAATATCTAATAGATACGCTTGTCGAGAAAAAGATTGATTAAGATTAATATTGCGGTTCACTAAGCAATCCAACCGGTACTTTATATTGTATATCAAAGATCATCTCAGTCGTGGCTGGCATCACAGACATATTCGTTTCGTTGCATTCGCTGAAAACCGATGCAATCCAGTAAACCATATGCAATGATTTCATAACTACTCGTCAATATTTCCACCTCTCACTGGCAGCGAGCAGACCCAAATTGCACCAGAGATATAATGATCATCTTCGTCATCTGAACCACACATCACACTCTCGTAATGCTTTATATATTCAACCCCTCCAGTGCCTCGAGAAAGCCGGCAATGGCACCAGCGCCTAGTAGGCCTTTTGTAGCACCTTCTCGTAGGTTGTGTTTTGCAGATTTCTCTTTAGGGTGATGACGAGAGTGACCGTGTTGGTCGTCGGTATTACCACTCGCATTACGGCTATTGCCGCGTCCGCTGGTACTACTGTCTCCTATACCATGGCCATTGTACTGTTGAGAAAGGCGTGACGGAGAGCGCGGTTTACCATCCTGTGAAACGGGCCGTGGAGGCATTCCCATTCGATTTGGTGGTGCGAGAGGGGCATATCTGGTTTGTGGACTTCCTGTAGGAGGCGGGTTGTAGGGTGTCATTAGTCCTTGAGATTGAGGTTGAGCCTGTTGCTGTGGATAATGTCGCGGATAAACGAGGGTGTTGGCTTGCTGAAGCTGTCCATGTGGGACGGGCGCATATGGATTGGGCGCATTAGCAGTATGAACGAGGGTGTTGGCTTGCTGAAGCTGTCCGTGTGGGACGGGCGCATATGGATTGGGCGCATTAGCAGTATGAACGGGCGGTAGAGGTGAGGAAATACTGTGATGCATCAGGTTTTGATCTGGCGTTGCCCATGGTCGATGTCCGGGTGGATGGTAAGCTGGGGAGGAGAGTCTGGAAGCAGCTGACTGGGAGGACGAGATGACCGAAGGTGCACGGACGGTATTATTGCCTGGGTTATTCATCCAGGGCGAAATCTGGGATGGTGCTGTATATGTATGGGATAGAGGCGGACCGTTTGGAGACAGAATTTTGCGGTCGGTAGTCGGGCTGCCACTACTTCTTCGACGGGTTGGTTTTGGCTGCACAATCTCTCGACCAGAGTCTGAGGAGTCGGAATCAGAGCCTGATTCGATTATATGGCGCTTGGAGGATCTTTTCTTTGAACCGGTGCTGCCTGGAGAATCCTCTACATCACTGCTGGCGGCACTCACACTAGGTTGGTATTTGGTGTATTCCTGTCGTTTTCGAACCTTCTCGTGTCGAGCGGATGCTGAATGTGGAATTCTCCAGTCCGTCGTTGAGCCTTCAAGGTAATAACCTCGAGGGCTATCTTCTCTTTCATGGTATCTTTCGTGGTATGGTCGATCTTCGTCTTCCTCGTTGAGGTTCTGCACTGAAGGAACGTAGCGGGAGCTGGGATCACGGGTGTGCCTGCGTTCACGGACCTCCCTCCAATTTGTCCATCGCTCGAGTAGTGGATCTATAGCCTGGTCTGAGACTTGAATCATGTCTCGTGGAGACTGTTTGATCTGATGTAGATTTTGATCCAATTCGCCAAGAGAATAAACGGGAAGCTGAACCAAGGCGGTGGATGGGGTATATTCTGGAGGAGGGGCTTCAATGGTCAACTGTGAGCTTGTGGTAGTGATTAACGACATGTTGTCATCTTGGCCAACATCGTTGATTGCGGCTTGTTTGTCCTCCTCTTCCTCTCGACTCGAGGCTTCATAAAATGAATCCATCTTACTCATTTGCCAATATCTCACTATTACGCCATTCTGAGCCTCGGCACGCTCTTGCCTGATGGCCTCGGTTTTGACGGCGACTTCCTCGGGTGGGTCACTGGTTGTGTCTTTAGTCAAGGATTAAGGGATCAGATTGGGGTTCATCATACTTGCGCGATGTAGATGCCATTACTTTTCCCAACTGCAAGATCTGTAGCAAGAGAGACAGGCTCAACTTCAGGCTTTCGAGTTGGTTCAAAAGATATGTGACCCTGTGTTTCTTGAAGCACCATTTAAAGCGCTGTTCAATGGTGGGGGAAAATGCGCTATTTGTCGTTTTTGTGCGGACTCGATCCAACATATCGTTAATCTCATCAAAAACCCTTGTACTCTCATCGGCAATGGACTTTGCAGTGGTCAAGGCGTCGTGGGAATGGACCGAATTTGGAGATTGGAGGACATTGCCGGCTTGTTTAAGCATCATGGCAAACAGTGTAACACTTTTCGAGATGCTATGGACTTCGAAGCCAGCACTGGCGACTTCGCAACTGACAGCATTGAGGATGAGGGAGAGCCTGAAGCCCGCGCCGGCCACTCCTATGATGGAGGCGATGATATCTAGTGAGATGCGTCAGTAAGGTTGGAATGCTGGGAGGGCTGAAGAGAAGATGGCTGCCTACCTATATCTGCCATGATTGCGCAGGACAGGCTTTAGTACATGCAACAGAATAAATGAAATCCAAAAGAGAATGGAAGGTTCGCTCCGTCAGCTTGATGAAGTAGGACTGGGAACCATGACTACACGAAGAATAAATGATGATGACGATAGATCAGACACAGCAAAAATGACAGGAATAATGACAACTTGAAGTATAGAGGTCACATTGGAGATGGCAGTGGAACTGAGGAAGGAGACGAGGCTCAAAAGAACAGGAACGGAGGGAGGGCGGGGCTGCAGTGGGCGCAGCTGCGAAGATCGAGTTCGAGCTCGAGGTCGAATTTGGGTGGATGTGGCGGAAGCCAACAATGCCTGTGAATTTTGTTGACCGGTTGGCCGCCTGCTTGATTTCTGCGATCGATGGTTCACTGCAGCATTACACGCCATTTTTTCAGCAGGTAGCCATTTTGTCCAGGGCTGAGATGGGGCGGGGTTGATCATTGGAGGTTGAAGGCATCAGTGGCATGGTGGCATGCGGTGTCACTGGGCAGTGTTCATACGGGGGACGGCCACGGAGACCATGATTGAGTTTTTCCAGCTGGAGTGACCCCGGAGAAACCGTATCCTCTCTTCCGTGGGAGAAGAAGTTGGGATTGGAAACAGGAAGACAATAAGCAGCAAATATATAATAGTCAAGTCTGGATCACTGTCAAGACTCTAATTACTGATGAGCTCGTTCATCAGCATCTACTGTTCATACCCCATACACTCAGGCAGTTCGACGGCAACCATGGATCCTTCCGAAGTGGACGACTCGCAACAGTCCCCATAGACCCGTTATGCCCGTGTTCGGGTTGGATGTGGAAATTTCAGGAAGCTTGGCTGAGCCATAATCGAACGGCACCGTTCGACTCGTAAGTGATATCAGAAGATCTTCTCCATAACAATGATGCGTTCCGGACAATGTCAGTGGGGGCTCAGTAACAATAATCAAGGATACTTTGGATTTATTCAATCGTGAACTTGAACATTTAGCCAAATTCCTAGAAGCGGCTCAGGTGAGGGTGTCTGTTTACTTCCAAGTTGACTTCAAACCTTTAGCCTCTTTGTGGGTGGTTCCCACCTAAAAAAGGCTTGGTGACAGGTCCCCTAGCACCGCGCGTGTGGTGGGCCTGTGGCGGACATGACTTCCAGTGCAAAATGGGTGTTCTTCCGTCCAAAAGTTCAAAGTGAATGCCCAGTGTTGCAACCGTTCTAGGCTTGCCTGGGTATAGATTACTTGCTCGCTAAGCACCTTAGGCTCGACTAACGAACATTCCGCGAAACTTGGCTGGCCTCGGCAGTTATGTTCTAGCCAGAGAGAAGCCAGCCATGCTAATGTGCAAATGAACTCACACTCCAATTCTCTACACAAATCTACGGATATAGTGCCCATCAGTGCCTGTGTCTACAAGCTACCAGTAGGTGGTCTTAGAGGGAAGAACATTATACCGCAAGTCTCGTACCTGGGTCCTTACCTACCACTGTAAACAGGTACCCAGGTACTGCAGTGTGGTTGATTACCTAGGTATTGTGCAGATTCAAGCTGACGGCTGTCATCTCCAGCAAAGCCTTGAAAGGCCAAGTCTTATCCGAGACTTCATTCCTTGCCTCCCACTCTCTAGTACGAGGTACATTGTAGTGTCTGAACTGCAACTGGCAGCTCACCAACCGCCAGTGCCGCCACCCGCACTTCAGGAACCAGGAATCCACAGCCGGTAGGCTAAACAGCTCCAGGCTTGGAACAAGGACCTCTCGGTGCTCTGGCTTATTCCACTCTCAGCATCCCTAGCTGAATAAGTTTAGTCTTCGTACCTAGAGCCGAGCCATTATTGCCCTTGACTTTGACTTCCAGCTTTGACTTTAACACTGCATCTCCCTGCGCCTGCGGTGCGCTCTCCACCATAACTTCATCACAACCACCACCACCACCACCATCCTCCATCGCCGTCCTCGTCTTCATTCCCACTGGAAATCACTACCCAACGTGCCACGACAGAGCATCGCCTTCGAACCGCTACCCTCACCTTCCTATCCTGTCGACGAGCTTTTCTGAACGAACGCTCTCTGGAAACCTCGGCCTCTGCATCTACTTGCATCTCCTTACCCGTGCCCTCCGCACCCTTCCTACTCCAAAATGATTGAGACTTCCACATTATGATCACTACCCTTCGAACCGACTCCTCTCGTCGCATCGCTCAACACTGAGATGAGAAGGGTGGACCAACCATGCGGATTTCAATCCGAGAACAACTCGGGCTGCTGGTTCTTTTCTGTGCCCTAACCTCGCTGGCCGTGCTTGCACTAGCAGTGGTATGTTTCCATGTCAAACTCGAAGCATTCTCATATCCCGCCGTACTCATACTGCATAGTGGTTTCAAAATTATTCTTTTATCAAGGATATCCGCTTGTCGAGCCTCTCTTTGACCGCTTCGCTCAAGGCGGCTCAATTGTCGAGTACCCTTCTGCTCTATCAGACCCAAGTCCGTCTAGTCAGTACGCGTCTTCTGGTTCAAAGTGCTCTAGGTCGATATTATGCCGGTAAGTCTATCATCCCATGTTGCTGGCCACGGGCTGATAATGCCGATCAAGGTAACACCACCAATGAAAATTGGGTCCGCTCGCAATCCGATCTCGAAGGCGCTTTAGCTGGTGGTTCTCTCTTGGTCCAAGCCGCCATCTTTCCAAATGTTAATGGCAATGCTACCGCGGTCGATGGCTTGTTGAATGTCACCGCTACCACCCTGAGCGGCCAAATTAAACTCCCTTATGCTGCGCCAAACGGCAGTGATGTCTACTTGGGTGATCCGGGCCTGGGTTATCCGCCAACTCTCTTTCCAAACCTGACATATGGAGCCATACCACCTGGCACCAATGCTTCCACCGTTTCCTATGATGGCCATGTCATAGATCCGAATACCCCTCTTTTTCTCGGCCCATTGATCATCAGTAATGAATTATCGCTCCTTTCTGTCACCGTCGCCTTGATCAATAATACTTCTGCTTCAGACGTTCTTGGTTGGCTTACCGTCGTCGTCAATGCATCCATGATCCTACAAATACAAAACTCGGCCGAAGGCCTAGGCAACTCGGGTGAAACGCTCATTATTGGCCCAGCGACCGCGAACAACCTTTATTCCGACGACATCAGTGATATAACACAGGCTCAAGCAGGGGATCAAGAAGTCAAATTCGTCTTACCGCCGCACAGTAATTCAACCGTCCAGGGCCGCCACCAGTCCCGGAGTTCCCTGGAAAACTCCACCATTCCTTTCCGTGCTTCGTCGTATCCTGCCGTTGTGGCTGCCTGGACCAAGGACAACAAAGCCGTTAATAACGCTGGGGCATATATCACCACCCACAATGAAGATGGTCAGAAGGTATCTGTTGGGTACGCCACAGTATCTTCTAGAGCTGTGAATTGGGTACTAGTCATCGAGCAGGCGCATTCCGAGGTCGTCGCGCCCATATTACACTTGCGAGATGTTGTCTTGATTTGTGTGTTTTCAGTCACGGGCGCTTTACTGTTGATCATGCTCCCCATGGCTCACTATTCCATCACCCCCATACGCCAATTAGCTGCCGCCACCGCCAAAACAGTGGAGCCTTATCAGCCGGATGATAACAGTGAGTACTCGAGCTCGACGACCGGGCCGACCACAGAGGAGACCCATATCCAGCCGGAAAATGAGAAACCATCGAAAGGAGGCTTTTTAGCTGCATTGCAAAAGTTTGCGCATCCGATGCAGGTCGTTCGAAGCCCAACTCCACGCCAAAATCGAAGGAGAACCTTCAGAATTCCGAGAAAGGTGCCGGAGCGCCATCACTGGGTGACAGATGAGTTGACTGAACTTACCAGAACCTTCAATGAAATGTCAGATGAATTGGCCATGCATTACGAACGGCTGGAAGAAAGAGTCAAGCAACGCACCGCTGAGCTCGAGAAGAGCAAAAAGGCGGCGGAGGCTGCCAATCAAAGCAAAACGCTCTTCATTGCTAACATCTCACACGAATTGAAGACTCCTCTAAATGGTATTCTCGGCCTGACCACAGTGTGTATGACTGAAGAGGATCCAAGCAAAATAAGATCTACCCTCAGCACCATCTACAAGTCGGGTGATCTCTTACTCCATCTTCTTACTGACCTTCTCACTTTCAGTAAGAATGAAGTTGGACAGCAATTATCGATCGACGAGGCGGAATTTCGGTTGAGTGACTTGAGCACGCAGCTAATCCCCACCTTTGAAAAACAAGCCAGAGAAGGACAGATTGACCTCAAAGTCTTGTTTCTGGGGCCCAACGATGCTTTCGGCGATGGATCCGAATACTCGGGAGAGAAGCTGTACGGTCCCGTCGGCACTGGGCGAGTTCGAGATATGTGCCTGTGGGGGGATAAAAACCGCATCCTGCAAGTGCTCATGAATTTTGTGAGCAACAGTCTGAAGTTCACACCTTCACATGGCTCGGTAACGGTGCGTGTTCGCTGCACTGGTGTGATAGAGACTTTTCCAAGCCGCGCGGGCAGTGCACGCAAGTCCTCCATGAACTCACGGGCATCCAAGTCTTCGAGCACGAAAAGGGTTCGAATGTCCGATGCCTCACTGGGACCTGGGGAGACCGCCGACCACGAAAAGTCTCAAGAAAGATCTCATGCAAGACCCCACGATAGGTCGCATGAACGAAACCACGCTCATACTGTTACGAACTCTAACGAAGATTCGAAGCTTAGTATCAATGTCGCGGGTGGAACCACTCAGATCTCGAAAATTGCGGAACGTCAGAGATCCATGTCGCCCCCACCATTGAACACGAAAGACCTTGGCTTTGAGTTCGAGGTTGAAGACACAGGGCCTGGCATCCCCCCGGAACAGCAACAGATGATTTTTGAGCCCTTTGTTCAAGGCGACCTAGGCTTGAGCAAAAAGTATGGCGGTACTGGACTTGGTCTGAGCATTTGTGCGCAGCTCGCTGCGCTTATGGGTGGGGACATCTCCCTGGATAGCGCCGTCGGAGTGGGTAGCAAGTTTACGATGCGACTACCGCTTCGTTACATCTCGGAAAGAAGCGCATCTCTTGCCTCGTCAACGCACTTGTCACATTCCAAAGCGAGCAGTTTGGTGGGACAAACCCTCCATGATTCTAATGACCCTCCGCAGCATACGCAAAGTGACTCGACGCAACTGGATGATGGAGATGGATCATCCAAGCTTGCTGATGTTCCCCGAATCGTTGGCTTCACTCAGCCCTACGTAGCGAAAGAATCTCAACGCTCGGCAGACACCAAACTAGATCAGATGAAGAAGGTGGAAAGTGAAGCGGCTCAAAAAGGCCGGAAAGTGCGAGTACTCGTGGCGGAAGATAACAAAGTCAATCAAGAAGTGGTCCTTCGAATGTTGCGTCTTGAGGACGTTTACGGTAAGTCAAGAAGACGTTCATTGTGACACGGGAGTGGCTAATGATTCCAGACGTGACTATTGCCAAGGACGGACAGGAAGCTTTTGATAAAGTACGGGAGTCGATGTCCAACGAAAACCGCTTCGACTTGATCTTCATGGATGTCCAAATGCCCAACGTTGATGGGATCCAGTCCACCAAGCTCATTCGAGAAATGGGCTTCTCTGCGCCTATTGTGGCGCTTACTGCTTTCGCAGAAAAGTCGAATGAGGATGAATGTATGGCCTCTGGAATGGACTACTTCCTGGCCAAACCAATCCGGAGACCTGCCCTCAAACAAGTGCTCAAGAAGTATTGTGCCACCATTCCGGAGGAGGAGTATGAGGGCAGCTCAGGAAGCATCCCGCAGCTTAACGATGATACACCATCACCATCACCACAGATGAACGGTCATGCCGTTTCTGGAGCACCTTCTAAAGTGGTGTCAAACCTGGATCAGAAGGCCTCGCATGTAGACATTGTGGATTCGGAAAATGTTTCACCCTTGTCTTAAATAACATTGATTTTGATTATTATGTCTGGAATTTCTTATCTGGAGCCAGACTGGCAGAAGTACAGGAAAAGCATTGAAGAGTTGAAGGGGCTTACAGATCATGGGGTATGGCGACATGCCAACATATTGAGGGATCTGCATCTGGGCTGCATTATTATGGAAAGCGAAGGCGTACGGAATTGAAGTCTCTCACCTGACAGGATGGTGATAGAGACGACGAAAATGGATCTTGGATCTGGGACCGGCTTCCAGCCCAGCCAAAGGCTGATGAAGATAGGAGGTTCACTTAGAGTCCCAATGAATGGTATTGGTAGTTCTCGACCGATGATGTCTGGGTGGTCGGTCGTGTCAAGCCCGAAGTAGCCCTGGAGGTGTAGACTGTCACAGCATAGGGCTGGTTAGGTGCCGCTACTTTCGAGCCCTTGTCTTCTAACGCGATCAACGCCGACAAAACATCAAAGGGACGGGAATGTATTCTGACCATACTGGAGGAAAGCTCATCGCAGTGTTTTCAGATGTGAAGGGGGTACATACAGTAGATCTGCAGGGGCTGTTTGTGGTGGGAACATGATCTGAAACATGAGACCTTGTACTCGGTAGCCCCCGAGAAAAGCGAACCGAATGACGATCTCTTTTCCATTGCGACTAAATATGGGAAACAAGAATAGCGTGAAAGAATCTCATGTACAATAAGGAGGATTTTTGTTGGATTTTCAGTATTACTTGAAGAATGTTTTCTACATGTACTATTCCCCCCGTTTCAAGATCTATCTCCTCCGCGTAGTAGATGACTGCTGTGCTTGCTGCATGCACCCCACATTTTGCAGGAACCCAAAAAAGGATTCTGTGGCTGAAATGTCTAAGTTCAACGGCTTGGTTAGCTAGTTGACTTGACTGTATGATGCCTGTAGTCACTTGTATTCTGATTCCCTGGTAAATCTTAAACGTGCAGCCGAAACACAAAATTGAAAACTTACTCCATAAGGACGAAAGTATGTACCTAGTACCAAGCGTCCAAATTTAAGTACTGGGAGATGATAACTGGATCCGACAGACGAAAGAATCACAATTGGGTAGGAGATAGTGAAGGATGAATGTAACTAGAGCATGACAGCGGCCACCTCGGATATCGGTCAAAGTCAAGTTGTAAGCGAGACGAGACGAGACAAGACAAGACGTTTGAATGGGAATTGCCATGGCCCATGGTCAGTGCCACACACTACGAGTACTTGGTGGGAGGAAGCCCCTCCCCCTGCGAAATTGCAATTTACTCAACCACATCTCGTGCGAGCTGCAGATTGCAGATTGCAGTTATGACGAGGTGGCCCGTCGCAAAACACGGATATGCATACTAGGTAGGTATCTACACATATGCCCGTTTCAGACAGAAAGCCACAAGATCATCGGTGATGCGATAGAATACCTAAACGCTAGGGGTGCAGGAGCAACTCCTCTCGAGGTCTCGAGACCTATTTTGCAAAATGGAATCGATCGCAAAGACAATTTGCCACAGCCGCCGTGTCGGTTGCACATGAGGTAAAACTTGCACTTACACTTGCACTTGAAGCCCAAGAGTCAAGAGTCAACCACCTTCGGGCACTTTGCCAGCAGGTCCCATTATTAAACTATGGTGTTGGTCAGGAAGTGGAGAGAACGGACGAGTCAAGAACAACGAGAATGCCTGGTGGTGTGTGGAAAGGCCTGCTTGGACTTCACAGTTGGAGAGGCTATAGGCTGGCATGGCAGTTGACTGGTGGCCCCTTGATCCCTTGGGAGGACCCTTTGTGCCCCATCAGGTGCCGCCGGTTGATTGGTAGCGGGCGTGGGTGGCCACCGGTGATGGGCTGCTTTCCTAGGCTCTTGGGCGATGGGCAATGCGTTAGACCCGAGTTTGTTTGCCATAACTATGGAGACTGGAGTACCCAGGTACCTATGATAGGGATTCAGGAGTTAGGTAGGGTTTAACTCTCCCTATCTTACCCAGGTAGGTACCTGTTAGCACCCCTTACAAAGTTACTCAGTCATGCAATTCTCTTTCCTCGTATGCCCGTTTGGATACTCGTATGCTTGGTTAACGCCAGTCTCCAAGTTTTGGGCCAGATAGTACCTATCTTGGTACGGAGTCGCTTTCCGGATATCTGACTTCTTACTGCCCACTTGAACAATATTCGTCTCTGTATCCGCCTTGTCCCTATCCCTCAGAAGTCAAGAATTGGGCTATCAACCACCTCCTTAGCGCGCTTCGGCAACTTCATCCACGGCATCCCACTTTCTACTTGCTGGCCCTTACCGAGTCTTCGTGGTTCTTGCCCAAGCCGAACTCACCAACTACCTACCAACACTCCCCCCGGAAATTGTTCCAATTGTCGTCACCGCGCCTTCACTACCACTACACTACCACTAGTACACTACCAACTTTTGCCTCTACGTTCCTCACATCTACAGTACAACGCTACTACCACCTCACCTACCACCTACCAATACCTAGACCGCCAACATCTATATCCTAATACTCCTCTTGACTCTTAATCGCCATTCTTTATTACATTCTTCCCCACGTCAAACGTGGCTCTACGCCCTTTTTGCATCCGCTGCCATTGGACGCAGCAAGGTTCTCCATCCAATTGGCACAAAACCTGCAACCGTCACACCTCCCTCCCTACCGCAGCCCATGAAGAGCAACAATCATCCATAGAGATTCCCTCGTTGGCGGCCATGCCTCGTTCCGATGAGACATTGGCTGCTGCCACCGCTATTATACGCGGCTTAGCCAAAGGCTCGACTACAAATCCCTCCTTTACCAATGGTCTCAAGTTACCGCCCTTGATTCTCCCCGGCGAAACCTCTTCTACAAAGGATGAATTCGAAGCCGAAATTGCCGCACTTGCTCGACGTATCAACTATTTAGAGTCGAGAGCTGATATTGTCAGCCGCTCACTTCCCGATACTCCAGGTGAATTTCAAAGTCCTGCTTCGCCATCATCACGTCCCAACGATACTCGCAGTCCTTTTGGAGAGCCGTACACTGATTCCCCCTTAGCTGCCTCCGAAAGACAGCACTCGAATTCCACCCATTCGAAACGAGTCAACAATCTCCTGGCTGCCCGCGAAACCGTCGTCTCCTCAGAACCAGGTCGAACCGTCAGCGAGGAAGATATCGGTGTCCTTCGCGAACATGTTGAAAAGCAAGCAGATCAGATCAGGTCGCAGAGAGAAACAATCACAGAGATCAGTCGCGGCTTGAGAAATTCAGAGGAACAGGCCAAACAAGCTTTCATGCGCGTAGAAAATGAAGACGTTTCCCTTCTCGAGCGCGAACTTCGGAAGCATCAACAAGCAAATGAGGCCTTCCAAAAGGCTCTACGAGAAATCGGCGACATCATCACACAAGTGGCCAATGGCGATTTGTCCAAGCGTGTACAAATCCAGGCCACGGAAATGGACGAAGAGATTGCCACCTTTAAAATGACCATAAATACCATGATGGATCAGCTGGAAGTTTTTGGTAGTGAAGTCTCCCGAGTTGCCCGAGAAGTCGGAACGGAAGGCATCTTGGGCGGTCAGGCTCAAATCTCGGGCGTGCATGGTGTTTGGAAAGAATTGACCGAAAACGGTATGTGCATCAAGACATGGAATCTATTCCAAGATATTTCTACCGGAAGCTAATCGTGATATAGTGAATATTATGGCAGCCAACTTGACCGATCAGGTCAGAGAAATTGCCATTGTCACAAAGGCCGTTGCCTGTGGCGATTTGAGTCAGAAAGTCCAAAGTCGGGCTGGTGGTGAGATATTTGAACTTCAGCATACTATCAACACCATGGTCGACCAATTAAGGACGTTTGCCACAGAGGTCACACGAGTTGCTACTGATGTAGGTACCGAAGGTGTACTCGGAGGACAAGCTCAGATCGATGGAGTGCAGGGCACATGGAATGATTTGACCAAAAGTGTCAACGCCATGGCAGACAACTTGACTACGCAGGTCAGAGATATTGCCACCGTCACCACCGCTGTCGCAAAGGGTGATTTGACCAGGAAGGTCACGGCCAGCTGTAAAGGCGAAATTCTACAATTGAAAATCACCATCAACAACATGGTCGACCAATTACAACAATTTGCGCAGGAAGTCACCTATTTGGCGAAAGAAGTCGGAACGAACGGTGTTCTCGGAGGTCAGGCAACCGTCCATGATGTTGAAGGTGTCTGGAAAGACTTGACAGAGAACGTGAATGGCATGGCCATGAATTTGACCACACAAGTACGAGAAATCGCCGCAGTGACCACTGCTGTAGCCAATGGAGATTTGTCAAAGAAGGTCACAGCTGATGTCCAAGGAGAAATCCTGGACCTCAAAGTGACGATCAATTCAATGGTCGACAGGCTGAACACCTTTGCATTTGAGGTCAGCAAAGTCGCACGAGAAGTCGGCACAGATGGCACGCTGGGTGGGCAGGCAAAAGTCGACAATGTTCAAGGTAAATGGCGCGATCTCACCGACAACGTCAACACCATGGCATCCAATTTGACAGCCCAAGTCCGCAGCATCTCCGATGTCACCCAAGCTATTGCGGCCGGAAATCTGGACAAGAAGATTGATGTAAAGGCACAAGGAGAAGTCCTCACACTCAAGGTAACCATCAACAATATGGTTGACCGTTTAGCCACATTCGCACACGAACTACGACGAGTTGCAAGGGATGTGGGTGTCAATGGAGTGATGGGTGGGCAGGCAAATGTCCACGATGTGAGTGGTCGTTGGAAGGAAATCACCGAGGATGTCAATACCATGGCTGAAAACTTGACTGCCCAAGTTCGAGCGTTTGGCGAAATCACAGATGCAGCCACCGAGGGTGACTTCTCTAAATTGATCAGCGTCAATGCCATGGGCGAAATGGACGAGCTGAAACGAAAACTCAATCAGATGATATCCAATCTACGGGACAGTATACAACGAAATACTGCGGCTCGAGAAGCTGCCGAATTGGCCAACCAGACCAAGTCGGAATTCCTAGCCAACATGTCACACGAGATCAGAACTCCAATGAATGGTATCATCGGAATGACTCAACTGACCTTGGATACTGACGAACTCAAGCCTCATTCTCGTGAGATGCTCAACACTGTACACAACCTCGCTAACAGCCTGTTGACGATCATTGACGATATTCTCGACATTTCAAAGATCGAGGCCAACCGTATGGCGATTGAAGCGATACCTTATACCATCAGGGGAACTGTTTTCAACGCTCTAAAGTCTTTGGCAGTCAAGGCGAACGAGAAATCTCTGGATCTTGCGTTTGAAATTGACAATTCGGTGCCGGATTATGTGGTTGGTGACCCATTCCGACTGAGGCAGATCCTTTTGAACCTGGTCGGAAACGCCATCAAATTCACCAATCAAGGTGAAGTGAAGGTCACAATCAAGAAATCCAAGGATCTGATATCGACCTGTGCGCCAGACGAGTTTCCTTTCGAGTTCGTTGTTTCGGATACCGGTATTGGTATTCAATCTGACAAGCTGGACTTGATCTTCGACACCTTCCAGCAAGCCGATGGATCAACGACAAGGAAGTTCGGCGGCACTGGTCTAGGTCTGTCCATTTCGAAACGTTTGGTCAATCTTATGGGTGGAGCAGTTTGGGTCACCTCAAGTTTTGGACGCGGAAGTGAATTTCACTTCTCCTGCATCGTGAAATATGCAACGGAAGACATTGCGGTTATCAGTTCCCAGCTCTACCCTTTCCGGGCACACAAGGTTCTGGTTGTCGACAAGGGTTCCTCAAGCTTTTTCGAGCATGTTCCCAAATTGATGGAAGGCCTCGGTCTTCAGTGTCTTGTGGTCAAAGACGTCGCTGATGTACCCGATCCAGTTAGTGACAAAAGAGCGAAATCCATTGATGGTGGGTACGATGTGATTGTCATTGATGAGCTTCAAACGGCGCAGACACTGCGACAATTTGAGAAGTTCAAATACATGCCGATGGTTCTCTTGAATCCAACAGTATCTATTAGCCTCAAAACGGTTCTAGACTTGGGCATTGCCTCATACATGACCACTCCATGCCAACTCATCGACCTTGGCAATTGTATGATTCCTGCTCTGGAAGGTCGATCGACACCGATCATCAAAGACTACAAAAAGTCATTCAACATATTATTGGCCGAGGACAATGAAGTCAATCAAAAAGTGGCAATCAAAATCCTCGAAAAATATAATCATGTTGTGACGGTGGTTGGAAATGGCTTGGAAGCATTCAATGCCATCAAGGACAATCGATTCGATGTGGTGTTGATGGATGTGCAGATGCCGGTCATGGGAGGATTTGAAGCTACACGAGAGATCCGACAATATGAACGGGAAACCGGACTCAGTCGAACGCCGATCGTAGCACTCACAGCCCATGCCATGTTGGGTGATCGAGAGAAGTGTATCCAAGCACAAATGGACGAATATCTCTCGAAGCCTCTGAAGCAGAACTTGTTAATGCAAACGATCCTCCGGGTAGCATCCGATGGAGTGACTGCAATGTTCAACAAGCAGGCGCGAGAAAAATCGATTGGTGGCGAACCAGTACCGCTACAGCTTCCAGTCAACGAGGAAGATACCAACCCAGCTTCTCCGCCCCGGCCACAATTTGCAGAACGGTCGATAACCACGTCTGGACCAGTGGTTCACGGCAGTGCAGAAAGTCCTTCGGTAGCCAATGATGGACAACCTGATCCAATGATCGGAATTAATAGTGTAAGTTTGACATGGTCGCCAGGTTGATGAGAATCCAAAGCTAACCTGAGACACTATAGTTACTATTACGATCTCACAGCCAGTAGTAGCAAGGTTGAGGGCAAACGAATCTCAGCCATGATTGTGTCGAATCGACCATTAGACATGACTCAGTGACGTTACAAGATCACGCGCTCATCGGACTCTGATATTGTGGGAGTGAAGGTGTTGTATGCCGAACAGTGGGTTCGAGCCACTCTCATGATTTTCCTGGTTTGGAGTCTTTTGAGTTTTTCTGGCATCAGGCCTTGTTTGTGAGCGTTTTTGGAAAGAGTTCTTCTATACTCTTGTTTGAGCACCGCTGGCAATACCCGGCCCCGGAGCCAGATCACTTGCTGCCATTAGGACTTTGATTTTATGTGCCACAAGCGCTCCGAGTTGGGAGGTTTAGGATGGCCAATGCTCTGGAACCCATGATCTTCGATGTTGATGGGTCTGGATGGGCGGGCCTCTTTCTCTGTAATTTTTAAGCTCCTTTTACTATGAACGAAATTACTTTTCTTTTGGATCCAATGTCGATGCGCACGCAAAGGCAAGTGGGAGGGCACGTATGTGTGAGGAGAGCCCAAGGGCAGTGCAGCGGGTGGCATCTCTGTGATCTTGAGGCCTTGCAGTGGAGATTGAATGAATGATAATCGATTTTCGATCCTGTTTCACGGTTTCTCTCGTCCACCTACCTAGGTACGACTTACTTGGTATTGTGTAGAGCGGTTGTGGAGTTTGGTTTTGATTGTGCTCACCGCTCGCTCGCTCGCTCGCTCACGGGCGGGTTTTAAGCTCAGTTGTGTACTTGCTGCTCGCCTGTACGACAGCTCGGATCGGACTGGGCTCGTACATCATCAATCCACAACGTACGTTGAGGCTCTCAGGTATGTGAGTCACGAGTTAGTTAGGATGGAGACTCGTGTAGTACTTACTCTGATGTGATACTGGCACTGAAACTGATACTGATACTAGACAATAAAGCGCCTGTGATTATTACACGTGGCTTTTCAGTTTCGGTCGAATGTGTCATTCATTTGACTCGGGCCCGAGGACTGTCCATTTGCACCCTCTCCTTCCAAGATATTTACGAGGCCCCGCTGGTGGAAAGGGACAACGACGCGAAATTGAGATCCGCGATCCGTGTCCCGGGGCTCTCTGGTTTGGGATATTCACTCGTACGACCGACCACCACATGTACCTACTCTAGTTAGGTAGACAGGTAATTTGCCTAGGTCTGTAAGGGGGGCCAAGGGTAGCGTCCAATTGAAGATATAGAGGGCAGCAGCTAGACTAACTCGATGACGTCGTTGAGTGTTTTTGTTGCCCTCAAAGACCTCGTGGTGGGAATCTTCACTCCCAGCATCTCGCGTCCCCCTCCCTTCGTGCTTGGGCTCAAAAGGCCATTCCGCACTCGGGCGAGAACGAGGGAGGTCCCTGTGACATGTCATGTACTTCTGGGTCTGGAGGGGCCAATGTTTACTAGATGGTAATGTGAGCGATAGAGGGTAGTACGAGTACATTCGGTGGGTAGTACCTACGATGGTATGTAGTAGTAGTTACCGACCCATTCTTGTTCCTTTGGAGTGTACCACTCGTTCCAGACCAGTTTACTCAGCAGCGTGCCCACTGCCCAGTCGAGCCTTCTTACATGGATACCTACCTAGGAGTAGGGAATGGAAGTCCTTCCGTCCCTTTCATGACTAAACTGCCATATGGCTTGGCCTTTTGCTTACCTTAACTTCGAGTCCACCTACTTGCTTTGTTTTAACGAATTCCCATCTCCACCACAGTGAATCTCGTACTCGTACTCTGTTGCGCCGCGACCCAAGACTTTATGGTTTTCATTTCCTGCAGCTTAATTTCAACGGCTTCGTTGCGTCGTGGACAACATCTACGTTCTTGCGGCCTTCTGGCTCACTAACTGGTGGCTCTCTGATACCAGACAGTCCAGCTCGGCAAATCACAGACTTGAACATGCATTGATTGCTTGATATCTTATCTGCTGATTCATCCTCGGTGCTGGATATCTACACATCCCGGGTACTCAGTCCATTCATCCAGCGCCTATCGTAAGAATGGATGGGCTCACGAATATATCAAAATTCGAAGACATGACCCCGCCGCTATCGACTCTAGCACGTCCATCATCGTCGGCATCGCCCATGCAGATAAATGAAGGACGCACTCAGCCTCTCCCATCAACATCAACAGCAACCACCAATCCGACCACAACCACAACCACAACAGACCCAGCATCAACAACAACAACATCCATACCAGCAGCACCACATCTCAATCCTCGAAGCTGCACAACCTGCCGACGCCGCAAAGTGCGCTGCAACAAACACGACCCATGCGCCAACTGCGTGAAAGCTGGCGTCGAATGCATCTTCCCAGGCCCTGGTCGCGCGCCGCGAAAATCGCGTAAACCGCCCGACGCCGAGTTGCTGTCTCGCCTGAGGAGGCTGGAGGGCGTGGTCAACAATCTCGGCGCGGGGGCTGGCATTGATGGCGACGCTGGGTTGGCGGGGTTAATGAGCTCGAAGGACGTTAGGGCCAGGTTTGGTGAACAGCAGTCTCGTGCCGCTAGTGGTGAGTCGCCTGTCAGCGATCGTGACGAGTCGAGGAGGCATTCCGGGTCCGTGGAGAAGCAGCTGGGTCGGTTGGTCATTAGTGACGATCGCAGTCGGTATGTGAGTAATACGTTTTGGACGGCGATGAGTGATGAGGTAAGTATGTTATGTTTGTTTTTTGGGCATTTTGTTTGGTTTGGGCGTTCTTCTATTCCTCCCTCCCTCCCTACCTACCTACCTACGGGGTCCTAGGATCGAGACGGTCACTGACGACTTGACTTATCAGATCACGGAAATGCGCGACTTGCTTGAGACTTCTGGAAGTGAGGATGAAGAAGACTTGACATTGTCGCCGGAGCCGGATCCAGCCAGTCATCAGGCTTTCATCTTTGGCTATTCGTCGACGAAGGTGAATTTGCGATCGTTGCATCCCACGCCGAGTCAGACGTTTATTCTCTGGGAGGTTTTCAAAGAAAACGTCGATCCGGTCGTGCGGATACTCCATCGACCGACGGCGCGGATGATTCTCATGAATGCCGCTAGCAACCTGGATCGTGTGTCGAAGCCGGCCGAGGCGTTGTTGTTCTCGATTTATTTCGGCGCCGTGGTCAGCCTCACCGACGATCAATGTCTACAGCTACTGGACGAGCCCAAGGATCTGTTATTAAAGAAGTATCGATTCGCCACGGAGCAAGCACTCGCTCGTGCAAACTTCTTGAACAGCAATAGTTTGATATGTCTGCAGGCATTTTGCTTTTTCCTCGTCTTTGTTCGGCACTGTGATGACTCGAGGGTGATCTGGTCGCTTGGTGGGTTGGTCATTCATCTGGCACAGGCCCTTGGGATACATCGTGACGGAAGCAATTTTGACCTGAACCCGTTCGACACTGAGATGAGGAGGCGGCTGTGGTGGCACATCTCGCTCTTGGACAGTCGATCGGCCGAGGACCATGGGACCGATCCCACTTTCACGGAGCAATTCTACGACACCAAGATTCCGTCAAACGTGAACGATGAAGACATTTACCCGGGAATGAAGGAGTGGCCCAAGGAGAGGGTTGGGGCCACAGAAATGACTTTCTGTCTGATCAGATTCGAGTTGGGCAAATTTGCGCGCGAGAATTTCTTCGGTCAACCGAGTTGGCCGGGGAGAGGTCCGGATTTGACGCTGGAGGAGAAAGAGAAATTGATCGACGATTGCCATCGCGAATTGGAGGAGAAGTATCTTCGTCATTGCGACATGAGCATTCCGATATATTGGGTGACGGCGACGGTGGCGAGGCTCATTCTGGCCAAAATCTGGCTGACACTCCATCATCCTCGATCATTTATTGCAAACTCTCAACGTTCGGCGTTGTCGCCTGCGACACGGGAACGATTGTTCATCACGTCGGTCGAGGTTATTGAATTTTCACACTTGCTCATCAGCAATGAGAACACGGCCAAGTGGGGTTGGTTGTTTCAAACATATATGCAATGGCAGTCGGTAGCATTTGCACTGTCGGAATTGTGCGTGCGACCGCCCGGTCCTGATGTCGACCGAGCGTGGTTAGCGGTCGAGTCAGTCTATGATGAGAAGAAAGAGAAGCCACATCGGTTGCAACGCGGAATGCTGTGGAAACCGTTGAGGCAACTGATGACCAAAGCGAGGGCGAAGCGGACCGAGCAACTGGTAAAGCTGGCCCGTCCCAAGGATGCCTTGTTCACCGATCTCTCGTCTGCGACACCCATGGAAAGGTTCATGCATGATTACCCGGAGAATGCGATCACTACGACATTGGAAGCTTTTGGCATGGACCTGGACGTCCAGCCATACTTTGATGGCTCGATTGATCCGACACAGCGACAGACGGGTACGGATAGTATACTACCTGTCAATGTGACTGCTGGAACCAATGTCGACAACGTTCTTCCGGCTGCATATACCAGCGCAGATGCTGGTATGAGAAGTGTTACAGGAGTATCAGCGATGGAGCAGAACGCGTCACCCGCCACGGGAACAGGCGATTCTGGATCGCTACCGAATAGCGACTTGTTGAATTATGGTTGGTCGTCGTCACTGGCCGACACTATTGGACCTCAGTCGTTTCAGAAATATTTTATGAACATGCAGGAGGAATGGTTTTAGTTGGGATGTCAATAATTGGTTGGCCATCTCCCGAAAGGCGCAGCGCGGCGGTGAAAGAAGCATTGGTGTTGTTATTGTAGTAGTATACTAGTAATGGACTCTCCCAGGCATGCAGTGAGATTACTGGTTCTGTTTTCGTGGAGAAGGATGGTAATCCTCTGCGGACTACGAGTACTCGGAGGAATTGATCGCTGTAACCGTAATTGTCCTGTCTAGGCGAAGAGAAGTGCTATTTTTGCACCGGTCACCAAGCCCACTAATCCCCTCCAGATGATAGGTGGCCGTGTAAGCGCTGCAAGTGACCTCAATGATAGGCGGAGCAAGTGCAGGAACCGCCTATTTGCGGCTGACGCAGGGGTGCTGTCCCATGCCGAGCCATGCCTAGAAGGAAACAAGCCTTTTCCTGGGGCGCCCCCTTTCGGTGGCCGTGACTCGGTGAGAATGTTTGATGCCCACTCCAGTGGCTGAAGGAAGGAGCGATTCACCGGCAAGACCAATCATCCGGGGTGTATTTGACCATTTTGAGGCAGGAATGACTGGGTCAGCCCCCCGTTGATCCCGCCGCGCCTTCTGCAGCATCTCCTAGCCACGCGCTAAGTAATCTTAGATCTTCAGGGCTCTCGCATCGCCCAAGAACGCGCTGTCTCATGAAGCACAGCTGAAACGTCCAGACTCCAGAGCAATAAACATCTCTCTCGTATGCTATTCGTAACATCTCATCGTCGTAGCTTTTCTTCGCTCCTGCCTGCACTTGGTCTAGGCTTTGGCTGACGACTTCCTCCCTCACTACTGCTCAGGCCCTTCCCCATCTTTCTTCTGTTCTTACTTGCATACCGAGTACATTATTTCTTACTCTACCCACTTCACTTCATCCTCTTTCGTTCCTTATTTACATACGAGTTCCCTGGCATATAATCACATACCCTCTCATCCTAGGCCCCCTTTTGGCTATTGTCCAGTATCTGTTTTTGAACCATAGACCGATCTCATGCTGTCCCTTTTCCCCTCAAAGGCCCTGTGCCTGTCTCTCTTTGGTAAGTCCACCGTCGCAGCAGGTCATGGTCCTACTAACCAACCATAGCGTCTCTCCTCCTCACAACGCAGGCCGTCGTTCCCTCAAGTTCTGCTGTCCTCCGACCTGGCGGCAATTCTGACTCCAATGCCAATTTCACCGTTGCCATCAATGTCCCTTCAGGCAATTCCAATGAACTATATTTCCACTTCTCTTCTCCTGCGGGCAATTCCTACGCCGCCTTTGGAATTGGGAGCCAGATGAGAGGTGCTCTCATGTTCATTGCACATGCCTCTGAAGATGGCAAAAATGTCACCTTAAGTCCTCGTATTGGCTCTGGCCATTCGGCTCCCACACCCACCGACGATGTCAAAATCACCCTCTTGAGCGGCAGTGGTATAATCAACGATACCTATGTCGTCAATGCCAAATGCTCAAATTGTCGATCCTGGAGTGGTGGAAGTGCCGATGTCCTGAGCGACTCTCAATCCATGCTTTGGGCAGTTGGCGAGGCTGGAGAGATCAAAAGCAATGCTTTGGATGCTAGAATTCAGGAGCATTCGAGGCGCGGAGTTTTCAACCTCGATTTCAAAGCCGCAACTGGTGATGCAGGCGTTCCCGTTGTCGATGCATCCTCCGACAATGTAGACACTATTGGACCTGGCAGCAGAGGTGGTGATGGTAGTGGTCCTCGTCATGGCATTGCTTTCCATGGATTTTTGATGGGTGCTGCCTTCCTTGTCATTTTCCCTGCCGGTTTGGTCTTACTGCGAGTGTTCGAGAAGGTCTGGTTGCATTGGGCTGTTCAGTCATTCGCCCTGCTTTTGGTCTTCATTGGTACCGGCGTGGGCGTTGCTATCAGCAAGAGAGACGACATTGTGAGTTACAGTTTATACACTATCATGATCATGAATACAGGACTAACAAACGTCAAGGAACCCAATCTCACTCATCCCCATCAAATTATCGGCTTCATCGTCCTCGGCGTAGGACTCCTGGCATGGGGAATTGGCATGACTGGTCACGTAATGTTCAGACGCACTGGAAAGCCTGCCGCCATCATGCTTGGTCATCGGATTACTGGACCTGTCACCATGTCCATGGGCTTATCCAACTGTATCGTGGGATTTCGTTTCGCGGGTAACAACCGTGGCGCCATCATCTTTGCAGTTGCCGCTCTGCTTATGATCATCTTCGTTTGCACCGTACTATTCTTCACTCGCCGAAGAAAGATGCGCAAGGGTACTATGAACACCCCGGCTGCACAGAATTTCCGTGAGGGAAACATGGGTGGCCCAACTCCATATGGTCCTCAGAGCCCATCTATGCCTTCATATGGCCAAGGAGGAATTCCTCTCGCCAGCTACCAGAACAACCAACCTCCACCGGTGTACCGCTAGACGCCTGAACGGCCTGTGGATTTTTCATTGTTGTCAGAGATTCTTGAGCGTTTGTTTACGTCTGGAGGTCAGATTGAGGACCCGGATTTGGCGAAAGGGAATTGCATCAAGCAGTGAATCTCCGGTCTCATGGCGTCCAGTATTCGACGCTGAGCGGAGAACACCTCTTTTTAGATTACATGCATTTATTGAGCGTGAGCAACATGCTGACTGTGGGGACTTTATCCCGGTCAGCATGAAAAAAATTTGAATCTTGGTTACGAACATACGAGTACATTTCCTGCCAGCTCTTCGAGATACCGTGAGTTTCGTGAGACATGATAAACGAGCGCGGTTCGCCAAACTTCAACGCTCGAGTAGTCTATGAGTAAATGTCTAGAGCGTGAAATGATTGAAGGCACACAGTTGATTTGATGACTGTGGATAAAACTCCGCTTCCTGCCCAGAGGGCGACAGTGTTTCCGCTGTAATTGCACATCGGGGACAATACCTATGTAACGAGAAATCATTACAGAGCACTCCCAGAAGATGCAGAACAGCACGAACGACGTGAAGTGATATCCCGATCTGAGGTGAATCCCCAACGCGACGATCAAGTGTCTTTATCGCTTCCTATGGTCGTCGTCACAAGAGTGTTATCATTCATTATTGCCCATCCCAATTCAGAGGGACGTCACGGGGATGGATGGATGGATGGTCGTCCCCTTACTAAGTGACCTAGCCGTGCACTGCAGGAAGATCCATGTATCATATCCATGTCCATGTCCATCTCAGCAGTGTAGTGTGCTCCTCCAAGATCTACACAGCTAGTTACACAAACAAGTCAGTCTTACGCCACAACCCGCATTGTCTTCTTTTCTCTTCTCATCTCATTCATCCAGCTCCGCGAGACTCAGCTCGGCGGCCAGGCCGACCCGCAGCGCCCTGACCACATCGCGCCCATCGCTCCCTTTGTCCTTGAAGTTCGCGCGCCAGTCCCAGCCCCTTGTATGTCCATCCGTGGTTCCACTTGCTTTACCACCAGGCTTCCCAACCAACACGCCGCTCGAGCTCGCGCTCGTGTTGATCATCTCGCTGCCCATCATGCTGAAGCTGAAGTTCGAGTTCGTGCCGGCCGTGCCCGACGACATGCTTTTCTTGAGCATCGCGTGCGGGCTGGGTGGCTGCGAGCCGTGGAAGTTGCGGAGTGCGGCCTGTAGGCACTCTTCCGTGGCGTCGTAGACGCGCGACGAGACCGTCGAGAGATCCTCGATGGCGGCGAGGAGTTCGTAGATCTGTGGGGCGGTGAAGGCGGGTGAGTTGCTATAGGTATTGGTGCTGCTCGTGGAGAGGAGAGCGGTGGCTTCGCCCAGAAGCGTGAGCAGTCCATCGACTTGGATGGCGGATTGGCGTTCGGGATCGTAGAGACCTCCGTAGATACTGTCTGCGGCGCTATTGATGGCTGTTACGAGAGCTTTGGAGGCTGCTCTTCGACGTGCCAGAGGTCTGAGCCCGGATGAATTCGTCGATTTCTGCGGCCCTGTTCCCTCGTCTCGCAGTGAGTAGAATCGTCGGAGACAGGCGTAGCCGACGAGGTAGAACTGTAATATTTCGGCCGCATCACCATCGAATTCTGCAATATCTGCAAGCGCCGTGCGTGGATTTTCCACCAAACTTTGAAGTCCATCGTCGATTTCATCGTCTGGAGGGTATGCTCGTGATTGGACCAATGAATAGCTAATGAGCAAATCGATGAGTTGGCGAACCTTGTTGGATGAATGACTTCTGGCATAGCACAGCAAGGCGGTACCATATTCCGTGGTGTTGTTGACGAGGTAGTCGCCAAATCGATCGGATACTTTTCGGGCTTCCTCCTTAAGGCCTAACCCTGAGCATAGCTCTGCAAGTTTCTCCGCACGATCCTGGGAAACGACATCGAGATTATCGATGAAGTTGCTGACGGCGTTGTGCATTGCCTCTCTATCATCAAGTCTGCTCACCACCGAGAGGGCGACTTCCCACCCCTCCACAGGTACCTCCTCGTGAACAGCTAGCTCGGGCTTGTCAAACAAGGCCTCGGCATATCCCAACATAAGGTCATCCTTGCTAACACCATGTTTTGGTGCACCATAGCTCAGGACCATTAGATCATCCTCATTCAATCCTGCAGGTCGAACTTGACTCTCGTGCTCCAGCCAACCGGCCTGCGCCCCAATTTCAGCCACTGAAGCCGCAATACATTGAGATAGTGTCCGCAGTATGATCAGAGCTCCAGTTACGTTACCCTGTAGGATGCTCCCGAGACCAACTTCCACTGGAGACATTGTGTTCATCCTAAGGGAGCTATTCTTGATATCTGGGGAGGTGACGGATAGAAAAGCCCCTCTCAGTCGATTCAAGTATGGATTGATGTCGTTATCTTCCTCATCATCAGCCAGGTTGTTGGCGCGACTGACATCGAAACTCCATTGGGCTACCGCCGCCTCTGCATTTCCGTCCCACCAAATTGTCAGCGACGTCACCGCCTCGAGCCAGTCTTGAGACTGGGCAACAATTTCCTCGGCACTGCCAAGTAAGATGTTATAAACAATCTTCAACCCTGTGAAGATGGACCACGGAATGGTGGAAGTTGACTGACGACCAAGCTTGGTCAGGAGATTATTGCCAGGTTTTCGGATACCAAAGCTCTCAGCTTCAAAAGAGGCGTCGTCATCGTCATCATCGTGGTTGGCCGCAAGATCATCTAGAGCCTCGAGCTCAGCCTCGACCTGGGTACGGAATAGATCCCATTCCACCCCAGCGACATTCCAGTCACCATTCTGAATGGCTGGGCAGGAGTTTAATAGGACGCGCGTTCGATAGATGACACTCTGAATAGATTGCAATTGTGCGCCTTTGTACCCTGGTGTCTCACTTCCATCATCAACTGCAGATGCGGCGTATTTGAAATCGGCGTCTGCAAACAATTGCATGACAAATTGTAGTTTTCCTCGCAAGATAAAACTTTGTATTGCGCCCCAGAAGATAGGACTCGCGGTGCAGTTTGAGTCGTGTGAAGCAACACTGTGAAATAGTTCATCGTAGGAGACATGGTAGTGATCTAACCAGTCTAGCAGGATCTTGGGTGTTGGAGTCAAGTCACCATCCGCTGATCGTGGTGGATGTCGGAGAATCAGAAGCAGAGATACCAAATAGTTGGCCTTTGACATGAGAGAGGCGGTTGTGGGAGGGCCGACATCAGGAGTTTCGAAAGTAGGTCGTTCGGCCGCCGCGAAACGCTGCCATTGGGCGAGCAGATGACGGGATGCGGCAGCGACAATCTCCTGAACATCATTGCTGTTCTTCAAGTACTGAAGCTGATCTTCGAGCGATCGTAATACATTTTCAGTCTGCATGATGGCCTCGTCGGGCTCGGTTAGAGGTGCTGGTGCCGACCGTGAACCCAGATCTCGCGCGAGATTGATGACTATAGACTCATCGCCCTTTTGTGGGAGCGCAGATAGTCTGGAGACCCGAAGTGAGCGTCGATGAGGCCCATTCCTAGATTGTTTACTGCTGTTTGTGCTGAACTTCATAAGAGAGCGCATGGATGGGTTATTCACAGACTGGAAAGCGGGCGGGTTTGGCCTAGTCTGGTGATTCTGGTCTTCCTCATCTTCTTCCATGAGTCCGTCAGAATATTCCTCGTCATCTTGTTCAGTGTATTCTGAAGCTTGGGAGGTACCGAAGGAAGTGTGGAAAGGTCGACTAGTTGGTTGACCAGAACGACTGGATTTGGAGGGTTGGGAGAACTGCAGCTTGGAGACACCGGTCCCGAGACCTGAACTGCCGAAGATCTGTGAAGGTGGAGGAGCGATAGGCGTGGTACTGGGGTACTGGGAAGGATTGGAAGAGAAGAATTGATTGTTGCGCTGTTGCGAAGGAGGATCTCTGCCGGGAGTAGAGTTGATGCTGGAGGAGTAATCGGCAGTGAAGCGACTCATGATGACGGTCGAAAATGGTTGCTTATATGGTTATGTCGACATGCTCATTGAATTGAATCGACCTTTAGATCAGCGAGAAATGGATGCGTGGGCATGGGTATCTGGTTCTGATCTCAAGTCACTACAATTTTTGGGCGCGTTCACTTGTTTCCCGCAGACGCGAATAATATGGATTCCTGCTGAGTCATCCACAGGTTCTTCGCATTATCATTGTTCCGTTATATTAGAGCCATAATGTACCCCAATGTACTTAGGTAGGCATTTGCTGCTGTTACCGTCTCCATTTCTCTGCATTGTATATCTGTTCGAGTAGCTGGAAAGCGTGCCGGTCTCATATGAACCAGGCCCAACCGACAGCTGTGCACTCAAGGCTCTCATTCGATACCCATCAATTCCGCAAGTTCTTCTGGGCTGAGCGTACTTCTTCTCCTACCTCCCCTTCTCCTTGATCGTGGCACATGCTCATGTTTGCGCTTTTTTGACCCGGGACTGCCCCCTTCCAGTCTCTGAGCCTCTGCAGCTTCAGCCTCAACAGCGGCCAGCTTTTCTGGAACACTCAGAACAGGATCGACACGTCGCTTGGCCTATGAATGTTAGAGATGTCCATTGTTAAAGATAGTTTTGAAGACTGACCTGTCGCGGAATTCGAGATTGAGGTTTGTTGTTAGAGACGTCGTTCTCATCCAAAAAGCCCCCATCCAGACTGCCGATACCAGAATCTGCACTAATCCTCGATGAGATCTCTCCAACATCCATCCGTTTTGGAGATCGATTGCCATTGATGTCAATTGGTTGTAGTGGACGAACTGCCTTTCCCATGATGCCAGTCCGACGAGAGACCGAACTGCGTCTCTTTGAGGCTGGTTCTGGCGGAAGTTCGAGATCTGATTCCACGTCCCTTTCTGCTGTATGTGCTTGGTTGATGCTAGCTTCTGTCACCTCCTCTACAATTTCGAGATGGCTGTGTTCGTAAAGTACTTGCGACAACTCATCGTCATCAGAGAAAATTGGTTGACCATTCGGTAGAGTCGCGACGCTTCGACCGAATTCTAGTCGCGATAAAGCGTGTCCTGGCATAACTTCCCCTTCTTCAAGCTTGTGTCTGCGCCAGTTGTCCATCATGGTAACTGCTTCCTTCCATCTATTGGCCATTTTCTCCCAACCGGCTCTGAGCTTGACAATCTCCTCATCACGAAGCTGCACCTCTTCAATAGGTACAAATGATGGGTCTTTCAGGATTGACTGACAGTGTTGGAGGATGAGATCCATCTGTTCACGAAGCTTGTCAACTGGCACAAGTGAGGGGTCCTTGGCCGCCTCTGCTGCCTCGCGCCTTGATTTTCGATATTGTCCAGGTATTCCAATGCCGTCCTCTTCTTCATCCTTGGAGTTATCACATAATTGCTCTAGGTCAGTGAGATCTTTCAGAGTATCCATTGTGTTGATGACAATCTTCCTCAAGGACACATTCTCGTCGCTCGTCTCATTTAACAAAGCAGCAAGTAAGTCGTTGGTTTCCTTTTCCAGACCCCATTCTGTATGGGTTACGTCACGACCATTTCTTTGTTCTCTGCCTTTGATCTCAGGCTGAAAGTTTATGGCGTTGATTTTCATACCAGAAGCATCTTTCTTTCCACGCTGCATGTTTGCCAGGTGCGTTTTGAGTTTATCGAGTTCGACATCGCGCTTCCGTACATCGCTCAAACATTTGGCCCGCACTTGATCGAGTGTGGATTTCATCTTCAGCATTTGGTCCCTTAGCTCTTTGGCTTGAGATTCGGCCTTGCGGGCAGCCTCTTTCAATGTCCTTTGTTGCGCTTCAGCCGCCGCAGTTTGTCGAGCCAAATCCATGTTCTTATCTTGTAGGCGTTGCAGGTCCAGAACGCGCTCATTTTCTTCGGCTCGAGCAGTCTTTATGCTTGTGGTCAGGAAGTCTCTTTGCTCCGCATCTTGGTCGCGTCGTAAAATCAGATCATGAACTAGGTTAATGACGCGGGACATGGTGGCAGTGGTAGATTGGCCATCCTGCCCAGGGGTGGCAAAGTCGATGGGTTTGCCATTGGACAGTAAGGCACGAGCCAGCAACAGGTTATTGAGATACTGTGAAGCCCTCTCCAAGCTTTGCGACTCCATCTTGAGTGCAATATCCGCCGTGGTTGTGAAATGTTGAATGGGAAGTCGATCCTCTCGAACAAGTTAGAGATAAACATGCGCAGTCGAGACCCAATAGAATATCGCCAAGCCGGAGGATATCAGCCCCGCCGGTACGCAAGGCTAGCCTCATTTGGATATCAGTCTTGGCCTCTTCTGAACGCGCCTCAGTGACCGTTCAGGTGGTCTTTGAAGCGCGACTTATGACAAACTCACAAGCATCAGGTACGGTGCGAATCAACTGGCACTCTTTGGAGAGCAAGATGCTCAAGACCCTGTCGGCATGTCTTTTGGACTGCCAGACTGCAGTCAAAGACAAGAAATACGATGTAGCGTTGGCCGCGCTCAAAACAGCACTGCAAGTGAGTCGTAAAAACTGCAAAGAAGATTATGTCAACATCCTTGACCACCGAGTCGCCGTCTATCTCAACATGGAATTCCTGGACCTCGCTTTCAAGGACGCCAAATCGATGGTTCGCAGTGATCAAAAGGATGGCCGAGGTTACCTTAGATGTGGTCAAATTGAACGGCTTCTAGGCAACCAAAATGCTGCGATCAATTGGTACAAGCAAGGATTGAAACGTGTTTCTAGCACGCATCGCGCTTTTCCGTCACTCCAGAAACAGCTCGCCAAGGTCGAAAGCCAACTCAAAAAAGATGTGGTCTTTACTAAGGCTAATGATCCAATGCTTGCTCTGCCACTCGAAACGGTTGAATTCATTCTCAGCTACCTTACATACAGAGAAGTTGTTGGTATGACCCGTGTCTCCCGACCTTGGAATAAGCTCTTCTGTGGCTTGCGGCCTATCATAGATACGATTGATTATGGGGCCGCAAACAAACCTGTCAGTGCCCACATGCTTCGCGCATCGCTCCGGAAGCTCAGGGTTGCCAAATCCATAACCGCAACTGAAATGGACAAATCAGGGGAGGCCTTCATCATCAAACATCTGCAGGTAACCACGAGCCTCCGAGAACTGAGCCATTTGGAGCTGAAACTGAATTCCTATCCACTTCGTAACCTTCCTTGGTCCAAGTACAATCTCAAAAGCCTCGTGCTGAGTGGTCTATCTGCGTTTGATGGTAAGGGCTTTGGAATTGAGCATGTTCGAACGGTTCTGCGAGACTGCCCTAGGCTTGAGGCATTGTCCGTTCACAATCTACAAAGTCATGCTGCTCTGACCGACAAGGATCTGAATTGCCCTGCACTCCGCAGACTTGTCTTGCACGACCCCTCAAAAAATGGTGTCATTTCTCAAATGACTGTGAGTTATGCTTCTCTTGAGCTAATCAATGATTGAATGCTCACAATTGCCCAGTCATCAACCCTGGAAACCATGCCTAATCTCGAGGAGCTTTCTCTTCGCGGTGTTACCGTGGTGCCGATTCACGGTCTAGCCATCGATCTGAGAAAGATGGCACTTCTTAAGATCTTACACTTGAGAGAGATGCAGTGGAGAGTTAGCCGTATATACTTACCCGTGATGCTCCAAGATCTGCGATTAGGAGACCAAGGCTTGATGGCAAATACCGCACACCCACCTGAAGAATCCTTCACAAGCTTGACCAACTTGACATCGCTTGATCTTGTACTGGAGAAGCACTGGCCTGAATATCTGGCAGCGAGCCTGATGCCAGCGCCAGGGGACACCAAATTATCCGAGCTTCGTCTCTCTGTCAACCCAGAGCATGCCGATACCGTGCTACAGCTCCTCGGCTCGGGTTCTGCGAGGAAGCTGCGGCTGCTGAAACTCGACGGGTGCCAATGGCTCAAGGACAACCATAGCGGCATTTTCACCACCCATCTACCTGAGCTTGAAGACCTGACTCTGGGTGCCGCGGCGATCACTGGCGTGTTTATTATGGATTTGATCAAGGCTCCACGTAGCAGATTGAAGAAAGTGCAGCTGACGAACTGCAACGCTGTCTCCGGCGATATCAAACCTTGGGCACAGGGACATGGTGTGAACTTGACCATCAAGAAGCCTGGTATCACCAACGGACAGAGAGTTCGCGAAGCGCACTGATAACGAGACAATCATCGCCTCGTCCCGGTCTGTCCTTGCTGGGGCACCAACACACACTGGGATAATGCGGCTATGTCTACAAGCCGCTCCCAGCCAGCGAAGACATCCGTCCCTTCACAACAAAAATGTCGGAGACCCAGAGCACCTCGAAGGGGCTTGAGAACCCCGTTCCGCCTCTTGCGCATCTCTTCATTTTCCTGTATGATGTTTATGTCGCCATAGCCTGTCATGGCACGACTCATTCACTATGGTGAAATATCATACCCTAATAGTGACATTGGTCGAAATCGCCCACTCAGATCAACGACACCTGAAACCAACGGCCGTGTGTGTTTCTATTCTCGGCCTATTAGCTACTTAGTGAGCTGCGAACAATATCATATCGCTCAACCACGGCGCATCGTATTCACTTGTGCGAGCTCCTTGTGTATTTCCCGTTCGCATTATTCCAGGCCGCATAAGAAGTTTAAGAGTAGCAGGTACAGAATATATATATGTATCTAGAAGGAAGCTACTTAGTTTAGTTGAGAAATCATCCAAGTGGAAATTATGTAAAGCTCTCTAGTTTGGTTTCACAGGAGAGCAAAAGAAGCAGATAACAATTCGAGGTCTTTTTGCCCCCTACATCCATGGCTATGGCCACATCCAAAACCATATCCATATCCATATCCTGTTCCATCCTGTCCTGTTCCAGGTCACATTGATTGTATGCACCCGCCTCCTTTTCCTCCCCATCGTCTCGCGTTCTCTCAGGGTAACGGTTGAGTGCCAGCCTCATCGCACTCCTGTTTAGCGTCAGGCGCATGCACCAGTGCCCAGTAGCCCGGTGACATGATGCACTTCCCATGTTTTTCAAGGGTTATTTGTTAGCCCCGGAGCTCGCTCCAAATTTTTCCGGTGTTGTGTCTCGTGTCTAGGACAGCACTCACTTGTGCGCATAAATGTATATTAATCCAACGAGTTCTTCGTTCTTTCCTCGTTCTTCGCAGTCGCCCCTCTTCGCCATTTTCGCCCGACACGAGGAACCAAAAATGGCCTGTCGAAAGCCAAGCAGCTTCTTGGGCCTCAATTTGCCGATCCATTCTGACAGCTCAGCATCGTGACAAACGCCGTTTTTACTCGAAGCGATGCCCAGACTGTTATAAGATATCGAGATCCTCAAACTCGGCCACGAGCTGGTCGACCTCTTCCCAGCGATTACTCGGTTCGAAATTCATGGGGCGGGACGCATAGCAGCCGACCCAGACGTTGCCCTTCTGCTCGACGCCGCCGAAGAAGCCCATGACCTCGCGCATCTTGGTCCAGCCGGAGCCGACGTCTTCGGGACTCCGGCCGCGACCGTAGCCCGGGCCGGCGTGGTGATCTGACTGCTCTGAGGATGTGAATGAAGTCAAGTTGGGAATCTGATACCAGATCCACAGGGATTCGTCCACGCGCTCGAATTTGATGCGGAGGGATTGCGATGTTAGAGAGTATGGGTCGAATGTCGTTGAGGGGGATGGCATGCGCGCTGACGATGACCAGTCAGCACCTGAAGGTGATATGGCGACCACGGACGCGGCGTGTAGATCTCCCCCGGTGAATTCGAGTCCGGCTTTGGCCCATTTTCCTGGTGCGGGAATACCTGGGCCGGGGATATTTCCGCCCCTCAAGTACCGTGGGCTCCGGCGTGTGATGGGCGATCTTGATATCGAAGAGTCTGATAAAGAGCCCGCGAAGATGACCAGTCCGGCTTGATCGTACTCCATGGCAAAGTCGGCTGATACGGTGACTTCGGCGAGGATGAATGATTGATGGAGGCGTTTTAAGACCATGGGCGCTGTAGTGTCGTCACATGCCGATGGTTTGCGCCATATGTTTGTGTTCGGGGGAGCTTGTAGTGAGAAGTATTCGGTGATATCTTCGGGTTGTTCGAAATTCGTGCCCACGTTGATGGCTGTATAGTCTGAGCATGCGAGCTCCATCTCTGGCAAGCTGAACACCACCAGCTCCACAGATGGATTTCCTTGAAGGAAGAAAGAGAGAAAAATAGAACACGGTAGTGTCTGGAGGAAAGGAGTGTGATAGGTTATGAGCTCTGGGGTCGGGAAGATTGCTGAATGAGCGAAGTGTACATTCAAACGGGGATAGTTCTGGCTCTTGTGCGATAGTGGAGATGATCACCCGGTCGCGTTTTCAATCGTGCCAAAGTCTGGAAATGCTTTCGATTAAAAGAATGACGAGGTAGCCGAGGTGTATATGATATAAGTCGGATAGCACGACAGGATCTCAACGGCTGTCAAACACGTTGGCTAGGAAGCAGAACAACGAAAATGCAGGATGAGACAAAGACAGGGACAGGTGACAGGTGCATTCGAGGAGACAGACTCGGACTCGGAAGCTTCGAAGGAGCATGTCAAGTTTTAAGCCAGGACTAAGAGGACAAGAGGTGAGGAGCCTGAGGCAGGGAATCATCCGAGCTTTTCTTGTGAGGCCACAAAGGGTCGCATGGACTACTTAGTATTTATTGTGAGGGTGGGCATGAGGATATTGGGATGGGTGGATGTGGCCAAAGTGCCAATAGCAATAAATGGGATAGTGTTCCAGGAGTGGTGTGCCCAGTGAGAGGTCGGTGTGAGGGCTGGTCGATTTGGGAAGCCGTGTGCTCACTCCCTTGGTCTGGGGCGATAACTTACAAGACTAGCCTTTGAAGGAAGCGTCCAACAGGCGGGCGAGTTGCACGGTGTACAGTGTACTCAGTGTGTTAGTCACAAGCTGAAGTGGAAAAAGAACCATGCTAGAGGAGGAGGTGGTGAGGATGGATATGGTGTCTGCCGACAAGTTGCCACAATGTGTAGGAATAGGTCTGGCATGTCCAATGGGACGAGAGAGATGGCATTTCATCACAGCCGGGCAATATCAGCAGAACCAGGGCTTTGGGAGCGGCGGGTGGACGGTCGGAAGCCAAAGAAGCCACTTGGTGAGGATTCCAGAGGCATTGGCATGACGCACGGAAGCGAGCCAGGGAATCAATTCCATGGACTTGTCGGTGCCAGGTGGTCTGGGCTGAGCTTACGCAGGACGAGGGTACGAGGTACATGGACCATGAGCAATGAGCAATGAGCATGGACCACTGTCACTTTGCGCCTAGTTCCTGGCCTTGTCGGGTGTGGCTACACAAAAGTCAGAAGCCAGAACAAGTGAGAGGCGACCTGCATCTCCGGTTGAAGGAATGCAGCGACTGATTCAACGGTTGAGCTGCACCATGGAGCACGAATACTCGGGAGATGCAGAAATGAAAAATGTCAGTGACAATGGCCGACCTAGGCAGGTCTCAGTTGGCACGGATGCTGCCTGGGCTCCCTGTTGAGAGCTCCGAAGAATGGGATGGGTACACAATTGATTCGGTGGATGTCAAGTCAAGTGACAATAAGACTGTTGATGGGGGCATCGACAAGGAGGACACAGCACCAGACGACTCGAGCATTGCAGTGCATTGATTGATAGACGTGACAGCCACGGGCCCGGGCGTGACCCACTGACATGCGCCATCACCGTGCAACGTGGTAACCAGGAGGTGCAGGGTTCAGCTCTCCGGGGACCAGCAGTGGAAACCAAAGATGCGAGGAAAGCCTGAGGACTCGAGGAGCTCGTCAACGAAGCCCTTTTCTTTTTTTTAGGTCTGTGCTGCGATGTGCGTATTGAACTCGGAGAATCCAACGAGGTCTGTGGTTCACTCGGGGCTGGTCCTAAGGCAGGTACCCATTATAACCCTGAGGCTTTAATTGAGAGTTTAGGGGCCGTGCCCCCCAAGAGATAACAACCAACCGAGGTGTCTTTACCTAAATAGTTAAAGGCTTAGTTAGAGCCGCTCGCCACTCAGGTATCTCGTACTGTCCCCGTCTTAGGTACCTTCGGCCGCTCTTCAGGCTTCAGGAAGCCATTATTGAATCTTCTCCCGCGACTTCCCGCCAATCTATTTCATCATCCCGTCCCCTAACCACGGCCTCGGTAATCGAGTCTTGAGAGGAGAGAGAAAATGATTCCCGAGCCATATCTCAGGAGATGCGGATATCCGGATCTGTGGATTCTTGCACAGCAAATCGTACTCCGTACCTAAAGACTCGTAAGGGTTGGGCCTTGAAACCCATTTTCTTTTCCCTGGTAAACCTTTTCTTGACGTGTCTCAGAATCCCACCTACCTAGCTTTCTAAACCAACCTGTCAGCCGATCTTGGTCTGTGCAGAAGAAAGAGAGAGAAAAATCAATCTTAAGCAATTGATCTTCGGTGCTTCGACCCCAAAGCTGTCACAATCCCAATGATCCCTAACGCATGCGTGTAGTAAACTTACGAGTAGTCAATTAGTCCCCGATAATTCAAAGGCCTGCATGCATGAGGTCGGGTACCTGAACGGGGCCAAGTGATGCTATTCTTCCGGGCCGCCCTGGAATGCATTGGACTTTATTGCCTGTCGCGCTAATGAGACTCGATACAGAAATGGTTTGTTCAATCTTCAACATCAATGACAGTAGTACATGAGCTACAGCAGCTGTAGCTTTGCAGAATGCAGACGGGATGCAGGATCCAGGCTTGTCTCGCAGGTGACATTAGTTAGTCTGTCAATGGTCTCAGACACGTATGTGGTTCACTTGCTTTTCCATTAGCCGTAAAGAAGCAGTCTGATGCCATGGTAGGTGTGATGTGCGATGGCCCGTCGGTCCGCGAATGTCAGGGCTTTCCTCATAATGCACGCGGTTACTGAGATCTACCGAATGATGCCTCGAACTGCCTTGGTCGACCCTGACCGACCACCAGTCTCGAATCTCGATAACTGTCATCGAGATGCGGCCAGCATAAAAAGTCCAATATCACTTCTTCCCCTTGCCTTTCTTCTTCTTGTTGCCGCCTCCTCCACCCCCAGTACCACTAGTGACGACGCCGGCAGAAGGCTTTGCATCAATGTTGAGATCTTCATTGACCACACCGCCTTGAGTTTTATCATCGCCCCCACGCTTACCTTTCTTCTTGCCCTTAGGCGGCCGATAGTAACTACGGTCCTTGAGTGGAAGCCATCTCTCGGGGTCGACTTTCTTGGTTGCATCGAAATCTTTGGGCAGTTTGGATTTGCGAACTCGTTTGGGTTTGGAGCTCGTGCCATCTGCAGCGCCCCGTTTCTTGGTCCGAGTCAATTGTGCAATGGCGAGCGCATTTGATGACTGTGGAATGCCCGTCTTTTCTAGAGCATCGACATCAATGTTCCGAATGAGTTCAGATGTCGGGGTCAGGTTGTCCGCATCCACCTTGATGGCTTCGGAATCGCCGTGGGCATGAGATGCTACATATCCCGCTATGGTCGCTTTATCTTCTGGGAGCTGCTCTCGGAGTTTCTCAAATATCTCACCAGCCGCCTTAATATCTTCCTCATTCTGGGACTCGAGAAGTGATACTCCAGCTGCTGTGAGTAGCCCAACTGCTGGGTCGGACTTGGTCCGCCAGTGCGCCGCGGCTTTGGCAAGCTCTTGCTTGATCTGTGATTTCTGACCCCGTGTTCTGAGTAAGCTGATATATAAGCTTGTAAGAACAGGATGAAATCTAATGTCTTGACCATTTCCTGCTCCAGATTTTTCCAGGTTTTGGAAAAAGGTTTGTACCAGTTCGACGGCGGACGTGTTGTCTCCAACCAAGACGTATAGTTGAGCCAGGGTGATGACCAGGCCCACGTCGCTTGGTCGCTTCTTCAATTCAGGTAGTATTTTCTTGATGGCTTCCCTTCCCGTGCTATCCTTGGCATGCGCTGAGGCATTGAACTGTGATGCTAGCACTACCGGGGTTGATAAAGTCGGTGCTGGATGCTTGCTGATAATTTTAGAGGTGGATGAGATGATGCCATCGTATTTGAAGCTTTGAAGGTCTAGGGCTGCCTTATTAGATTCCAAGGGAATACTTTGGTAGGAAAAAAGGCGATCATCTTGTGGTACTTCTTTGACAGAGTTGAATGCTTTGTGAGCAGCAAAAGGATTGTCCATTGAAGAGGCTAGTAGAATGTTGTTTTGGCCAATCTTTCTTGTCGACAAATCCGAGGCATTTTCAATGCTGATTTCCTTGACAAGACTTTCAGCATCGGCGGTCTTCCCCAGTGATAGTAGAACATAAATCTGTTGGACTGTGATCGGCAGCAGCTCATCTTGCTTCTGTGTTTCTGACAAGTCTTCCGAGTGCTTGCACAGTCCTTTTGCCCGCTTCAGCAGGATCTCGGCTTGTGCTAGTTCTCCTCTTGCAATGCTGCCACAAGCAGCATTGTATGTAGTCTCAAAGGCTTCCAGATCCTCCCTGCTTGGTCTCGATATGGTTCTTGGATCCGCAACACCTAACCACTGTGCTTGTGCATCGATGGCCCCTTGGTTGACTCGTAGGTCGTAGTCCTCTGAATCGGAGGATTGACTGCGGATGCGCTTGTAGAGGTCGGAGGTGCGCAGAGCATCTTCAAGGCGGTATCGTGCCTGAGCTTCGACATGCTGAGCACCAGGTCTCTGAGACTTAGCAGCAAGGGTAGCCGCTTCTTCCAACTGGCCGGTTTTGTAGAGGGCATATGCATATTCTAGTTGCACCTCTTTTTGAAACGAGTCTCCCGCACCCTGAATGAATTGGACCGCCTCCTCGTATCGATCAAGTTTGAGGAGTGCGACTACTTTGACAAGCTGCGCTTCGGAATCGGTACTTGAAGCCTTGAGAGCCTTATTGCTTGCTGCTAATAATTGTTCATGATCGTCGAGGGTGGACTTCTTCAGAAGCGCAGACAAAGACGAAGCGGCCATGCCGCGTGGAAGGTTGTAGGGGGGTTTACGATGAGATGAATCAGTCCATACCCTTGAGAGAGATCAGAAGAATGCCAATATGACAGAGAGGCTGCGCAAGAGCGTGGTTGGGTGGTGGAAATAATTTAATTGTTCTTGGGTTGATGAATTGTATGTGAGTCCAAGTTAGTGGGGTAAATAAATCTGGCTGGCAATTGTAGAGCAGGAGAGGGCAATAGAAATTCCCCACACAATCGACCGTTGACCACCAAGCAGGTCATGTAAGTACCTAGGTATCTAGGTCGAGTTCTAGCAGAAAAGCACGCGACACCATGAACCTCAAATGAGAATTGATCGAATTGTTGACGAGGCTCGATACTATACTAGAACACTGTAAAACAAAGGATACAGTCCACCATGGCATCCTGCAATGTCGCCAGTTCTAGTCTCCTTTTCGTGGGCGTTCAGATTCCTTAAGAGTGAATCCAACATGTCATCACCCGCCTCACACTTTCACGACAAACAGCCATCACTAGCCTTGGAGGCAACCATCACTCCTTCTGGCCCTCTTTCTACATATTGATGACCTCGTTCTTTTCTCGCGCGTTTGGTCTTCCACGCAAACTTTTATGCCTTCCCTTCAAATCACTGCTGCCTCCATTGGTGGCAAGTCCCACAATTCCTGCTGCGATGAATGTTACCGGTGCTAGCTTCCCTTTCGAGGCAGTGAACCTCATTCAACACATCGCCAAAAGCCGTTTCATTGCGTTTGATTTTGAATTCTCTGGCGTTGCTGGTAGGACTTCGGGTGGGGGCTCTGGCAAACTTAGCCTGCAGCAGAATTATGATGAGATTCGATCCGCTGCTCAAATCTATCAGATCTTGCAAGTTGGTGTGACCGTGGTCACTGAAGACCTCGAGAAGGGCCGTTATTCTGTGCGGCCATATAATTTCAATCTGAGCCCTTTGCCTGCCTTGAAAGAGTCGACCTTGCGACGGACATGGTCCTATAACAGCGGTGGTAAGGCTACCTCTCACCTCATGTGATCACTTCCAATAACGCTCCTATAGCCATATCGTTCTTGATGCGAAATGGCTTCAATATGGAAACACCTTTTACGCAGGGAGTTCACTACCTTTCACGACAAGAAGAACAGGAAGTCCGAAGCAAACTAGCCGAAGACGACAAGAAAAGATCAAAAATTCCTGACATGGTTCTCAAAGATGACGATACCTTGTTTGTCGATTACATCAAGAAGTCGATCAATGATTGGCAGGCAGCTTCCAGGGACGACCAAGAGAGCTTTCTCAACATCCCAGCCGAAGATGTCAAGGATCCCCTCCCGACTACACTTAATCGATATCAAGTCCGTCTTACACACCAAGTTGTGAGGAACGAATACCCCAAGCTCAAAACCCACGGCATGGGCCATTTCGTACAAGTGACAAATCCAACTGCCGAACAACAGGCAAACCAAGAGGAAACCAAGGCACGAAATCGTGAGCGCGAAGTTAGCCTTGCCATTGGATTCCGGTGGATCTTGGAAGCCATAATGGGAGGTGACATATCTGGGCTACCCCATTACTATGTTCGATCTGCTTTTGAAGAGGGCAAAGAACCAGGGGACTGTGATGCATTCATTCGGGATCTCCAAGCTCAGCTTGGAACTCAAACTCGAGCAATTGTGGGTCACAATTGCTTGACTGATATCGTCAACATGTATCGATGCTTCTTTGGAGATCTTCCGGAAAAGGTGGAGGACTTTGCAAGCAAATTTCACGCACTGTTCCCACTCGTCCTCGACACCAAATATCTCGCTACTTTAGGAAGTGCAACGTGGTCGAACACTTCGTTACGGGCCGTTGAGGAGGAGCTCAACAACGAGGCTAAACCGTCAATCCACCTCCCAACTGGCTTTGACCGGTACCTGTTCGCTGCCAACTATCACGAAGCTGGGTTTGACAGTTTCGTTACCGCTAAAATCGGTCTCAAACTGCCTGCGAAGCTGAAAAGAGAGGGTAAAGATATCAAAATGCTAGCCGAGCATGCAAAATTTGTAGCCGAGACAACAGATCCGGTGAAAGAGGAAACTTCTAACAACGAGGTGGCACAGAAACTACCAGGACAGGAGGTCAGTGTTCCGGGCATCACGCAAGTGTTGGGAGCAGCAGGCATCGCTCCTGTGAGCAAAGTCACATCTTTACTCACGGCTCAAACCTCTGTCACAGGGGAGGTGATGGAGAAAGCAAACACACCACAGGAAACGAATGTAAGCACAGACATCAGCAAAGTCAAGCACAATGATACTGTGCTTGCCGTCAAAGCAGTTCCATCACTTTCATCGCAGACAACGAAGGCAGAAGTTCAAAAATTGAAGTCCATATCACAAAAGACCAACATTTTTGATATGCTTGAGGATGATCCACATGAGTCAACCCATACCCTGACTGCAGCAGAAGAGAAAGAAATTGAGAAGAAAAGAATTGCGCAGATGGTAGAGAAAGGAGAACTGCTTCCAAGATGGGAGGAGGATGGTGCCCTGTGGAAATTGATTGGCAACAAGCTGCAGGCGAATGCCACTCAGGAGGGAGTTTTGGATCTGGGACAGGAACCAGAAAGAATCTGAAGTGCTCCATGTGCACTCGCAACCAAAGGCATGGATATTATGTATTCTCACTGCGTCTATTGATACCAAAGAAAGGAGGAGGATTGAACATGGGCAATAGAAAGGAGGCAAGACTTGGCGGCTGCAACCAGCAGTTCGCCCGGAGCCAATTCCCCGAATGCCCCGTGATTTGAAGAGTTGCCGAGGCTGAGCGACTGCAAGAACGAGTGGTAGCGACTTCCTCCAGTCCAACTCGTTATGGTTGCCGACTTCTAAATCCCATTTCCCCATCTCCAGACTGCAACACCTCCACTCCTAAAGCTTCCATCAATTACTACCTTGATCCCTCTGCTGTGTCTGGTCTGGTGTAGTCAGTGTTCCTCGACTCCCAATCATAGCCCTCAACCTACCAGCATCATGTCAATAGGACCCGACTCCCAGTCCAGCTCTCAGCATCTGTCATCATCCGTCTCCTCCCTCAACCAACCGTCAAAACGGAGTTCATCCGAAATATCCAAAATATATAAGCATGCTTCGCAGCTATTTCTTACCCGCCGGCTACTAGAGGCCTACGAGGCACTAAAACCCATAGTTAATCCTCCAGACACAGAAAGACCTGGAGACAGTCCAGCTCAAGCCCCGATTGCGACCGCGTCCACAAGTCAACGTATAAAACTATGGAGCTTATATGTCACCCTTCTCAACTCTATAGTCAGCCTCAGTCCAGAGGAAGGCAGGGAGGTTTTCGGCCAAGCTGAATACCGGTCCATGGTCAGGAAGGTTCAGAGTGGTTCTATCTGGGATCAAGTCGTCAAAGATGGATACCAAGGTCGCGAGGACTCAGTCGATGCTGAAGTCGTCTACAACTTGTCAGTTCCGACTCACCCACTGATAATCTTCCAGTACTGACAGAAAACTAGGTCCACCTTGCTCCTTGGTCAGGCACCGGACCAAAAGTTCAACCAAGCGCGCCTCGAATCCTACTTGTCCTCCTCGCACTCCGACGTGGACTTATCTACACAGCTCAATAACGCTCTCAGCAATGGCCGTCGGCCAGGTATGAATGGAACAAACACACCGAAAGATCTGTCGTCCCGTATCAAGATCCTCGAATTATTCACACTCCACGTTCTCCCGCGAAATGAGGAATGGGACTACGCAAAAAGCTTCATTGCCAATAGTGACATTCTTGATGAGGAAAGGAGAGAAGCTTTTCTACAGACACTGCAAGAGCTACAGGAAGCCAGTGAAGAGCACGAAACCTTTCAGGAAGCCGAGGAAGAAGTCTTTGAAGAAACGGAGCCAGAATCGCCGGTCCTGTCACCACCTGTGAAGGATGAAGCCATCGGGAGAAGACAGCCTCAACCACAGAATACCATCAGACACCAACGGACCAGTAGTGAAGTGGACTATGGCATTGAAGAAGAACGCCCAAACAGCATTCGAGCTGCATTAGGACCCGAATCCCCACCAGTAGTCTCTACAACTTTGCCAAAAGATCCGCCCATGACGAAGATTCCCCCCAAACCAGAACCAACTGCTCCAGCAGCAACAGCGAAAGCTCAATCCCCACCTGCGTCTGCACCTATTCAGTCCGCAAACAGGTCACATCTTTCTCCTCCAGCTCAAACACCTCGTCGACCTACGCGCAAGCCGAAACCCACGAATCAAAACGCACTCTTTGCGCAGGCCCGACAGTTGTTCGCAGCATTGTCAAACCTGGCACGCAACATGGCCGGCACTTTGTCGAAGAATCCCACCTCATTCCTCCGATTCCTACTCTTCCTCCTTGCATTCTTCATGGCCTTCAGCCAAAAGCAAGTGAGGGATCGAGCTCGACGTATAGTTGGTCAGAGTTGGGACAAGGTCCGGGCCACGATTGGTATGGGCACTAAAGTCAGCTATATCTGAGAAAGAGCAGGATTGCATAGGAGTTGCAGCAGACTGTCAGATGCCTGTAGGTCAAAAGCCAACAAATGACATTGAGCGGATGAGCGACTCAGCACATTGTAGCGTTGAACGGCTTTAGTTATTCCCTCCTTTCACTCCACAATGTAGTGTACTAGGTGTTGTTTTTTCTCGACCAACACATATAACTACATATCTGCCTCTACTGTTCAGAACATGTTGTGGCAGGTTCACTTCGTAAAGCCACCGTGGTAATTTGAGAAACATTACACCCACGAAAGAGTAGAGAAAGGTCATACTTATATATTTCATCACAGGAAAACCCCTTTAACCCATCCGCGGCCTCAAGTCCAAGCCCAACATCCTACATCAATCTAACAGCTACAGCAACAACTGTCGAGATCCCTCTTTCCGTTCCCCCGGCTCACTCCTCTCCACTCGTCCAACAACGCACCCATCTATACTGTACCGATGTTCTCGGATCCCTTATATCCTGCTCAGGCGCGAGTCTGAATCCACTGGCACATGGATCCCCATCACCTTGCATTCCACTTATTCACTCACGCTGACACACACTCACTCACTTACTTACTTCCAACATCACCAATCTGCTTAACGCTGATCTGCACACCCGCAGAATCGAGGCGCTCGAGGTAGTCATCACCGAGAGAGGCCGGGGTGAGAAATCCGACACCGTGCTTGTTCTTGAGCTCCTCCTCCTTGGTAAGCAAGACGACGGCGGCCTCGGCGAGCAGCTTGGCGGTGAGTTCGTAGACGCTGCCGCCCTCGTAGCGGAAGGTGGCGAGGGCCTTGCGGGGTGGCTTGGCGAGCTGCTCGGCGATGGCGACGGCGCGTAGCTCGTATGCGTCGTTCTTGGTCGATTCCTTGGCTGGGCCGGAGCCTGGCTTGACGCTGTTGAAGATTTTGAGGATTGCACGGGTGGGTGGGAATGCGAGGAGGAGGGTAAGGATTGAGATGGCGATATGGATCAGCACGCCGACGATGGGAGATGAGACAGCCATGTACTCCTCGTAGCTGAAGTTGAAGCCGTAGAAGTATGGATTGAGGCCGGCGGAGCGGTGTACCACGGCCTCATTGGGCTTGGCGGCCAGAGAGGTGGTTAGGTTGCCCAGGCGTGGGTACGACCATACGCCGGTGAATTTCTGGAGTGGCGTGCGGATGTACGTGTTGGGCTCTGGGTTGCGAGGGTAGATGTTGTCTTTGGTGTAGGGCTTCAGATGGCTTGGGGACAGCACGAAGGGGTCGGTGAAGGCCTCGCGGACTTGTTGGGCGGAGTAGTGGTCAGCCATGCCGAGACCGGTGGCCAGCGTTCCGCCGCTGGGTCCGGATGATTTGAGCTCATGCACCGAGGCTACGATGTCCATAACGCCGCAGTCCCAGACTTTACGTACCAGGCGGGTTGCGATGTAGGCGACCAGGTCTGACGGGGCGGATTCGACGCCGACTTGGGGAATCAAGATCGCGCCCGTCTTCTTCGCCGTCGCCTCATGCTTGACAATGATCTCCTTGACCCACGGCGTCTCGCCTGTCACGTCCAGGTAGTGCGTGCCTGTTTGTGCGGCGGCTTCGACGACTGGAGTTGAGTGCAAGTAGTATGGACCAATAGTGTTGAGGATGACTCGGGTCTTCTTGGCAAGAGCGGTCAACTCAGGGGTGGTGAGATTGGCGACAGTGATGATGTCGGGCGTGGAACGTGTGGAGTTGAGTTTCTTCAACTCGTCGACCAGTGACTGCAGCTTGGACTGATTGCGTCCGGCGACGGCCCATTTTATGCTGGTGGGAAGACTTGACGTGATGTATTCGGCAGTTAGCTTTCCTGTGTAGCCCGTCGCGCCCAGCAGAACAATGTCGTATTGGCGTTTGCCGGCCATTGTTGTCGTGTGGTGTGGTTGTGCTGCTTCGCAGTTGAAGAAACAAACAGAGAGTTCAAATTCTCTTGTCGTCCAAGAAAGAACCGGAGGAGGGCCAAAAGAGTGGTGGGAAAAGGGGAGTAATTAAAGTCGAAGTTGGGCTGTCACGATATCAAGAACAGGTGTCAGCAAGAAAGCAATAAAATGCGTGTGAGACTCGAAAGACGAGAAATGTGGCTCCTGGTTGCCAGTGGGAGGATAGCGCCAACGCCAAGCGGGGATTCAGGAAGGGAACCGAGCAGCTGAGCCCTACGGGGGAGAGAGAGATCCCTCCTTCCCTTTAAGCCTCAAGGCTATGAAACCTATGTCCAGCGAATGATTCGAGATTGGGGCTTGCTTTTTGAGTCTTGTCCTTGGACGGTAATAACCCAAAAGGGGGGCAAACATTAGGGGGGTTTAGGTTATCGACTTAGGGGCAATGATGCGGGTGTAAGAGGTACTTTGAAGAGTTACGCGGTAAAGCTCCGAGTCAGCGGTACCCGTAGCTTCACATGCGGTGCGAAAAACGAGCAAGACTCGGTCAGAAAAGCACATGGGAAGGCGCGGGGAAGGGTTTGGTTATTTTTGGGCACAGCCGCACAGGTACGTCCGGCCCCAATGCACCCAGAGGACCACCGAGTACCTGGCTTGCTGGCTACCTTCCTATGTTACCCCGTACCTAAGGAGAACAACCAATTTTGACACCTTGAATCTTTGATCTGAGTAAGAGTTCATGCCAGTGTGGTATGATATGTGGCTTGACATGCTTTGTCTTGTCTTCCAAAGCCCGAAATTGCAATTCAACAACTCGGGATTCTGACCAGGGAGCCATCTGTAAATTCGCAGCCATTTTGGAGTTCCTCGTACAGATAGTCGTAATCAGAATGGCCTTCCTCGTGCATCAACACTCGGACTTCTATTTCATTAGCTCAGCACTAAGATTACTGTATCGATCCAGCTCCGCCTTCAGATTTAGCATTTCTGGACAGCCTAACCGAATGGCGTAGCTGGCGATTCACGTGAGCCCAACAAAGTGCAAACAGTGCAAACATTGCCTGTGGTGCAAACAGAGCAAACAATTTGAATTGATCCGACGCCAAGACCGCACTTTCATGATTTGGTCGACCCTTGACAAAGTTTCAAGAGTCGATTGAACAACGACACCACCACCCACAATCCGCAATATCCTTCGTTCAAACTCGCCAACATGACGAAACGCACGAAGAGTGAGTTCATTGAAGAATACATCGACTGGAAAGGAAAAGGACTAATATCCGCGCAGAGGTCGGTGTGACCGGTAAATACGGTACTCGTTATGGTGCCTCCCTCCGAAAGCAAGTCAAGAAGATGGAAATCACACAACACGCCCGATACATCTGCACCTTCTGCGGAAAGAACAGTGTCAAGAGACACTCTGTTGGAATCTGGAACTGCAAGGGCTGCGGAAAGACAGTGGCTGGTGGCGCGTGGACAGTTTCGTAAGTCAAGGGATGGAATGGTGAACATATTGGGACGTCAAATATCTAACAACTATTCCTTCTAGAACCCCCGCCGCTGCTGCCACGAGATCAACCATTCGACGATTGAGAGAAATTGCTGAGGTTTAAGGGATGGATTAGCATGGGCCTGGAGTTCTCAAATTCAACCACCAAAAATGGGTTTCTTTTATGATCACCAACAACCATTTTAGCAAGTCAATACAGATGAACGCTCAGTCAGACCGGTCTCGAACAGAAACAGAACAGGTAGCCTTCGCATGTCGAAAGCATCTTCCTGTCGCATGACCGAGACGAGCCGATAGACCTCAAAAATTCGAATAAACGAATCTTTTATTCTCGGCGTCTCCCTCCACGTCCGACCTCGTTTTCTTTCTGAAATTTACACCTCGACTTGCGGTTCTTTCCCTTCCTGCTTGATTAACATCGGTCCACAGTGATTCTGTGACAATGCTCACTGCTTCCAATGCTACACTTTTCCGAAAGCAGCATGCCATAAGTTTCGAGAATCAATCGCTTCTGCTTAACATTTCTTCGCGTCACCAACAGGACCCAGTTCTACGTGGCTAGCGCTATATTCTGGCCTGCCCAACCGAGTTAGCATTCACCGCTATTTGAGACAGGAGTTTCATCTTCATAGTAGCCCCTCTTGCGAGGTACTCTTTTGCCCATGGATATGAACAACCCTGCGAGAGAAGACAGGTTTGAATGTTACCATTTCCTATATCCCTCGAGTCTCCAATCTTGGCCTGATCCCTGCTATCTCAATGTCTAGGCAACGAGCAGGCTTCTATTCTGTCTTGCATCAGCACTTTTGATGTGCCTGAATTGGAGGTGGGGACTCGTCACCCCTCCCCAACGAACCAACATTCGCCATCAAGGTCCTCACGTGAAGGATTCGGGAAAGTTGCCCATTCTTTAGCCGCTTAAAACGCTTCGCCTCTGAACTCCACTCGATCTTCCCTTCTCTTTCCACTCATCAACCCCAATACTAAACAACAATCAATCTTGCCTCCATGAATTTCTCAGTGATCACTTTGCAACAAAACCTGCATGACAGCACCTCTGTATGTCAGACACTTGTATAGTCTGTTTAGGAGACTTGAGCAACGGAAATGGTGGCGCCTCAGCCCTTCCTAGCACCCTTGCCAAGTCTCCCCAGAATGACCCCAGCGCCGCCGACTCCAAGTCTATCGATGCTCAAGATACCACCCTAGCACCCACCACCGATTCCATTTCTGATGAGTTGATCGCACATCTTCGCCCCTGTGGTCATTACCTTCACAATGAGTGCCTTACTCCTTGGGTGGAAAGGGCCAACAGTTGTCCAATATGTCGAGCCAGCTTTCATCTGGTGGAACTCATGCATGCCATCAATGGTAAGTCCTCTCTTTTGACGAGGCATACAGAAATATCTACTGACAATTCATAGGCGATGTCATTTCCTCCTACCCTGTTGAACAACGCACTCAGGTCGCCGAACTAGACCCGTCCATGTTCCTGGAGATACCCGATGAAGAGGATGATGAACAACAGTGCCAGGCTTGTGGAGAGGACGATAATGAAGATGTACTCATGTACTGTGACAGTTGCCAAAAGTTGTGGCACACATATTGTGTTGATCTACAAGAGGTGCCTTATGGTGCATGGTTTTGTGACAACTGCAGAGCCGTACGTGAAGTGGATCCTCGACCACGTCTGTCTCGACCCAGTCGGTCGCGCAGACGTACTCGTGGCCAACAACGCAGGCAACGTGGGACTCAGACTGTCAATGACCTTAGTTGGAATCAAGTATGGCAAACAGTCTGGAGTCGAATCAACATTGATCTGGATTTTCCTCATGAGGACGATGAATCGTCAGCCACTTACTTCAGACGTCATCGACAGCATGTTCAATCCAACCGTCAAACACACGAAGCTTGGCGACGACGTATGCAAGTTGCTGAGCTGAATGGGGCTGGGCATCGTTTTAGGGAAACGGAACCTAATCTACCGAGCAGTCCTGGAGGCGCCTCAACACCTCGAAATCGATTATTGAGATCCTCACCAATCCCACCCATCGAGAATCCAGAAGAATTATTGGCATGGAATGCTTTCGAGCAAGCACGGGCGTCGTCGAATGAACCCAGCTCATCTCGTAAGAAGAAACGAAAGTCCCGAAGTGCTTCACCGGCCGAGACCGACGATCAATCAACTCCTGCCATCAAGCGACGAAGATTTAGTCAGTCTAGTCGTAGCGATACTGAACAAAGTCTACCATCGTTGGTAGCATCCCGACCCCGGGCCAGGCCACGACCCCGGGCATCGAGACTTCAAAGTCATATTCCCCAACGACAGCCATTGGTTGAGTCGGGCGCACCAAGCTTTCTCCAGTCACTTCTACAGGAAGTGGAGGACTCTGGTTCGAGCACCCATAATATCGGTCTTCACCGGCCATCTCCTCGCCCAGCTGGAAGTCCACCTGCGGACCATAGCTCACCTCGACCTTCGTCACCAGCATTATCTCCATTACCTTCAAATCATTCTTCACCGCGCGCCACCTCTGCCACACCTCCTCCACTGGCTGCATTCCGTCCAGGATCTCCCACCGGCCTTTCGTCAAGCATACAACCTGTTTTTCCATCGATTGATTATTCACCGTTACGACCCAATTCTCCAGATTCGAGCAGTCCAAAGCCAGCAGAGGCAATCTCTCCGCAAGCCAATTCACCAAAGCCTACACAATCTTTGGCTACACCTCTGGCACAACCACGACCTAGAAGTCGAATTCCACAAATCTTGAACACGTCAACTCCACCTATTCAGCCACTACCAAGTGAATCTTCTCCCACCAGGACGAACATGCCATTATCTGCAAAAGAAGATGTACAAAGACTGGTCGCGGCCGCTCTCAAACCACACTATAGTGATCAAAAGATCACCAAAGACGAATACACAAACATCAATCGAGATATATCGCGAATGCTTTACGACAAGATCGGCGACCTTCGAACACTCGATGGCGAAGGCAGAGCCAAGTGGGAGAAGGTCGCAGGCGAAGAGGTCAGCAAGGCAGTCAGCGCCCTGAAAGCATAGCAAGTCGGCATTTCAAGACCACAACGGCGTTCGTTCTGGATTTGCTGGTGCATCACCCCGAATGCTTGGTCGATGAGAGATGATCTCTTGTTGATCCATACTTGACGACAAATTCTACGAAGTTACGACATACAACGAAACTGGACTATATAATGGGCGGTACACGGTTGTTACCACTACAGGATGGCGGTGACATTTGTCTAGAGGACAATATCCTTTTCGTTCGCACGAAATTCTTTACACCGCGAACTCTCCGCGGAATGCAGGATGATGATTGTCATGCACGGCGTTTACCTCTCATACTTCTACTCATGGGGTCTGTTTGAGCACTGGCGAAGGATGAGGGGATTGTCTTTTCAATGTTCAGCTCCTCTTCCTCTTGGCTCATTATTCTACTCTGGTTGCGTCACTTTCGCGTATCTTCCTGTATCGGCATCATATCATGCTCTGGAGAGATGGTAGTCATGTAGGATGGAGAAAGAGGAGTCATGGACAAGTAGCGGGGTTGGGACGGGCTGAGTTCATCTCAATGCATGGTGTCTGTATCAATACTACTAGGTAAACACGAGAGATTGATGGAATGATGAGAGCGTGGCGTTGAATCGAGCGGCCTTGTGACTGTCCAGGATTACTATCAGAGATTTCTACTAGCTACTATCTGACATGAATTCAGATGGACAGAACGAGCATTGTCTCCCCGTCCACTTACCTGGCATGTGACCAGTCAGCACAGTGTGATCTACAACTCGCTTCCAGATAGTCATTCCCCTTACAGTGTAGTCGAGACACACGTCCGCGCCGTTCGCGTTGTCTTGCCTCCGCATCGCCACTTCGGCGTGCTATCCACACATGAGACATCTGTTGGCCACGCGCTGCCCGTTCTACTCGCGTATGATTCATCCGACTGAAGTCGTCAAGTGAACGCTCCTCAACACTACCGATGAACAATAGTTTCATGCAACACCTATAGGTATATATGTATCCACCAACATATCCAGGTAGTCTCCTGCCGTTTACTTCTTACTTTCGCTTCCTACCGCTTTCCGAAACGAGTTGCGGTACAGTCGACTGAGGTGAAGGGCGGTGTGTAGGGGTTTTGCACGAGAATGATGAATCCATCTATTGGTGATAATCTCTAACCAGCGCCAACGCTATTTAAACTGAATGCAGTGTTCTAGAGTAATTGGTTTCTACTCATCCAACAGAATTCCCTTCCCGGAGTTGCAGTTTTAGAAGTACAAGTGGTGGTCTTGGATATTGGTACAGTGACCAAAGCTCACTTTAGCCTCGATTCGTAGGAGTTGAGGTTGGCTTTGGCAGGGTATTAATGTTGTGTCTGCTAGGATCTTGTCTTGAAAAATGTAGAGAAGTCCTTTAGACGGTATCAAGCATTTGTAGTCCCGAGAGCCGAGCGTGCATATGTGAGTTTTGGCTGACAGCGGTTGTCAGAGTCGTGCGCTCGCATGGTAGAAAGAAACCCCTAGTGAGCCAGCTTGTCTTTGGCCAATGATCTGGGAGACATCATCCAAGCTACTCTGCGGCCTACTTCACCCCTATTGATCTACTGTGACTGTGAACAGCAGTGACGGTATCGACTTGGATATTCGCTCCTTTGTCAAGTGGCCGCTAATCTCTTCCTGGGGCTCTTCCACTCGTGCGTCCTCCACCACCACCTTGTCGTCCTGGATCGTTAGAGCCGGGCGGATTGGGCAGCGCCACTAAGCCTTTGACTCCTTTCAATCCCATTTTGCCAATGACTCGCTTGTACAGACCGGGCACCTCGGGACAACCAAGTCCATATTTTGCGAAGATATTTGCTTCAGCGACCAGCTCCTCAGCGGACCATCCTAGTAACTTCATGGACGTCTTATGATAGCCTATCCATGATTGATACGCCTTTGATTTCATCTCTGGGTCCATCTTCGCCAAGGCAGGTTGCACGTCCTGAACGGTGAATTGCACTTCGGTAGGGTAGTCCTTAACTTTGATCCCTTTCAATTGTCTCAGGAAAGCCTTCTCCACTGAGCTCAAGACAAGAATGCCACGACCCTCTGCACCTGCACGTGCAGTACGACCTAAGCGATGGATGTATGTTTCTCGATCGGTTGGGAGACCGACTTGGAACACATGAGTCACCGCAGGGAAATCCATGCCACGAGCAACAACATCGGTTGCCACGAAGATTGCGTCCACCGCGGTGCGAAAATCCGCCGTGAGCTTGGTTCGTTTGCTCTGAGACATACGGGAATGCAGCACAGAGACCTGGGGTAGGCCATCCATAGAAGCTAAGACCGCGCCGAAGAAATCAGCCAGTGCTGCAGTCGGGGCGAAGACAATGGCTTTGAAGGGTCGAGAAACAGCAAGCTCTGTTTTCACCACAGAGACGAGCGATGGGGCATGGTCTGAGAAGCCAGGTGTTGAGACAAGGTATTGATCGACACGTTCGTGGGTACCTGCTTCTCCTTCAGGGATAGTTGAGATGTATTGATATCCGTTGCCCAAGAAGAGACGGGCGACATTGGTGAGTTGATCATCGATCGTAGCAGAGAATAACATGGTATGTCGCGGAGCAGTGGGAAGATAGCTGAGTATCTTCTTCATATCCGGCAAAAAACCCATGTCGACCATTCTATCTGCCTCGTCCAACACAAGAGTTTGAGTGGTTCCAAGCATTTCCTGTACCCATTCTTCACTGAGGTGGTCCAAAAGTCTACCGGGAGTTGCAACCAGGATATCACAGCCATTGCGGATTCTATTCTGCTCAGTCACCTTGTTTGTGCCTCCAATCGAGGTGGCGACCTTGCATCGTGGTAACCTGGAGAGAACTTTCTGTGCCTCAGCCGCGATCTGAAGAGCAAGTTCTCGAGTAGGACATAACACAAGTGCAGAGAATCGTGGTGTTCTGTTCTTCAAGATTGTTTGTATGGCAGGGAGTAGAAAAGCAAGCGTCTTGCCTGTTCCAGTCTTTGCCTGCGCTAGACAATCCTTTCCCTCCAGTAGTGGCTCCAATGTAGCTGCTTGAACAGGCATCATGTGGTCGAAATTCATATCCTCCGTCAGAGTCTTGAGAACGATGGGGTCTAAGAGGTTCTTTCCCTCCAGGTCAGAGAATCGAGGTGTGTCTTTTGGGACTTCAGGTATGAAAGGACTATCGACCACGGGTTGGGGGTCTGGTTTTTCTGGTCTCGCAGGTCTTGCAGGTCTTGGGGCATTGCGATTTTGAGGTTGCGCAGGCTTGAAACCGTTGGGCTTGCCATTTTGACGCTTCCCATGCCCCTTGTTAGATGGGTTGTTTCTCGCCGGGGCCATTGTAGTGTAACTGGCTGATTGTGAACGATACTCAGGGTATTGACGACGATTGATATGAAGAGGAGAATGGGACAATGCCCAGTACGCAGAGGAGTCTAGGACTTGATTTGGCCTTTTGAAACATGCGAGAAGTGAAGATCGTACGGTGCCGGTGAGCATAACAACTGGTTAAAGTGGCCGATGGTATTTGAAAGTTTCTGGCCCGTAAGAATTTCCTGCGGCTACTTCTGATCGACGCGTGCAGCGATGCGTGATTCACTTTTTTCTCCAACTGAAACCAGCCATCATCGAAATGACGTACATCGAACAAATACGGACTAGCTCAATATCTGGGTTGACACGTGACGGGGAGAGCTTGGTACTGCAGCTGCTCTTATGGTGACTGCGCGTCCGGCCTTCGTGAATCATTCGAGTATCGCGGCCGACATAAAGGTCTCAACCCAATAAATACGAGAAACCGATTCGCAATGCGGCCGCAATTAGGGCGTCTTCATGTCGGCAGTACACTGCGCCTTCTGCATTTCACAATGGGAGATTGACGCCTCGCTGCTCTGGTCGCTAGGTACGTGGACAATATCATGATCTAAGTCAAGTCGTTGCTGTCTGTAGCGAATTACACTTTCAACAACACGGTCGCTTGCTTTTCGCATGATCAACCTCCATATTCTTTTCAATCCATGGTCACCTCCAGAGTACTTCAAGTCATGGACTCAAAGTCGCTTCCACTGCGCCTGATTGATAATGTTGACGATTTTGTCGTCTACATCCTCTTGTTCGTGGACTATCGAGAGAGCATTTACGAAGTCTGAGACTGCCCCTTCCTCGTCCTTCGCTTCCATGTGTCGGACTCTGCATGACTATAAGGTTGCCTTTTCCAATTTTTAGAGCCTGTCTCTACCTCCCAGTCCTTCGAATCGTTGAGTATGTCTCTTATCTGCGCGACACTTAGAGATCTTCTAGCAAGGATATTCCACCCTTCGCGGTTCTTATCTGTGGGGTGGCGAAGTGCTCGTATCCTTGCTTTATCGTCGATGAATTCTTTAATGAAATTGAGGAGGACTTCAACGTTAATCCGTTCTCCTGGGATGAAGTAATTCATGATCTTATTTTCACTCTCACTGTCAGACTCATCATAGTCACCACGCTTCCTACGCTTGTGGCTAGCTTGACGCTTGCTTGCTTGGCTTTGAGTTAGGGATTGACCAGCTGGTGCAGCAGAGGATGAGTGACGTGAGGTCGAAGGGTTTGAAACCCCCTCCGAACTATCTCGATATGGTGGACTCATCGACGATCCTTGAACCTGCTGCGATTCATCTCGATAGTGCGAATAGGAAGATTCTTGCCACCCTTGCGATGTACAGAGATACCTGGAGATATTGCTGGAGCGTGGGGGGAAGGGTACTGCATATAGTGTGTTGTTGGCCCTGTAACCAGGCACATTTAACGACTGATAAGAATAGGGAGAATATATTTGTTGCGGTTCTCGTCTTTGGGTTGCAAGCGGATCATTCCTTGGTAAAGCAGGGCAATCACATCTTGCTAGATCGCTCCTATCTTGCTCAACCGCAGGGTCAAATCGACGGTACTCCTAGAAGTGTTAGCCATACCGCCGTCACAGAAGCAGATGGATTGCCTACCGGTGGAGGCTCCTCGTTGTAGGGCGGAGGAAGGTTGAGAGACTCTCTGCAAGAGAGATCGGCAGTGGCTCCAAATGAAGCATCAGTCTGAGCGACCATTACCGTGGAGCTCATCTAGATGATGTAGCACAAGTAGACAACTTGAATTTTTGGAGCACAGCAACTCTCGTGCTCACTACAAGATTTTCAGAAGCTGAGGAAGTACGTCCGATTTCCTGAAAGCTGAAGTATTGGTCTTTACGATGGCCAGCTGAGGCACCCGCCACATGACCCCCCGTTTGGTAGCCAGCTGAAGAAATCCATCTTCCAGCTCCGTCTACGAGTTGTGGCTTGCTCCTAGTCACTGTCTCGTTCCGACAACGCCAATAGGCAATCTTGTGTTAAGAATTCGGTAATTCGAGGAGGATTGGTCGCCTTCTCAAAAATGTATGCCCCAGCCTCAAAATCTCGTATTTAGCAGACGTCGGGCTAGCTTGACGCTGTGTCACTTGATTGATTTTCTGCTAGGGAGTACTCAACTCCTACCCGCGTACTCAGACACCTTCCCAGTGAATAGATGCCATATACTTTATAGAACGTGCTCAAGCATCTGATGCTACTGTTCCCACCTGAGGTTGACAATAACTTCCACATGGCTGAGATCGAGTATTCAAGCATTGGCCTCCACTCCCGTGACATGTTTTTCGGTATGCACGTCCAATGTGTTTAGAACTGTGGCAGCATTTCTCTTCTCGAGCGATTTCTTGACCGGGTTTGGCGCCTCGAATACTTCGGCCAACTCCTCCAACGTTCGTTCCTTCGTCTCTGGGAAGAAGAAGTACATAACCGTAACCTCGATCAAGTCCCAGAAGACGAAGACGAGATAGAAATAATATTTGATGTTCTCAAATGCTGGTCCGGAGGAGTATTGGATGACGGTGCTACTGATCGATGATGCTAGGTTGCCAACCGCGGTACCCTTGGCACGAGTTGCAGTGTCAAGTGTCTCAGCAATGTACATGGACTGAAGCGGTGTCCAGCCAAAGGAGAAGAGAGCTCCGAAAAGATAGATAACAAAGATGGTCGCGTTTGCCGCACTGTCATTGTCAGGGTTGTCTGTGGCGAGTTTACTTGTTCCAGTGACAATCGCAAAGCAGATGGAACACGCGATAGTGGTGTAGAGTAGCAGAGGACGGCGGCCAATAGGGTCTGTGAGCCGCGCTCCGGTAATGGCTGCGAAAAAGCATATGACTGGATAAACGGCATTGAGAATGAGTTGGGTATTCTCTGATGTGATTCCTGCATTTTCAAGCATGACAGGCAGGTAGTAAGACGTCACCTATCTCGAATTAGTACGTGGCCGGGAATTGTGCGTCATCATTGAAGGCGAGAAGTATATTCAATGACTTTGGGCATAGATCGACTCACCGAGTTACCACTTAGCTGTCCGAAACAGGCCATGCCCAAAACGCAGATGAGTCGACGCCGTGCAGAATGGCGGTTGTAAAGATCACGGTAGTCCCACCATTTCTTGTCAGAAGCATCGGTCTTGATCTGCTGGCGCATCTCCTGTATCTCAAGGACAACCATGGGGTGATTTTCATCACCCTCGCCATGGTATTTCGCCAGGACCTTACGCGCCTCATCCTCTCTATCTTGAGCCATCAGCCATCGTGGAGACTCTGGCAGGAACCAAACTCCAACTGCCACTATGACTGAAGAGAAAAGCTGGCCCCAGATGGGGACCCGGAAACCATATGTACTCGAAATCTTGGATGATCCATAGACAACCCAGCTTGCAACGATCGACCCAATGTACCTGCCATCATGATAAGCTGGAGTTTCGGGTGGGAAATCAGAAGGCAGAGCTTGAAACCCTTACCAGGTGCAGTTATACAATCCTGTTATGGTCCCACGCCACTGAGGATGAGCAATTTCCGAGACGAAACATGGTGATGACACACAACAGAAAGACACTCCAAAGCCCAGAATGAACCGTCCAGCGAGGAACATGCCTCGGTTGGTCGAAGGTGCCTGAATACATGTCCCCAGAATGATAATTACGGCGCCAGTGAACATGCCAATGCGTCGACCAAAGTAATCGTTGACAGGACCAGTAAAGAAAACGGCTGGGATGGATCCAATGTTGTACATCGCAAAGACCAGGCCAGTACTTGAGCCAGCACTCTTCCTACCTCATTGTCAGCGTCTGCTAGGACAAGTGGAATTTCGATGACGTACATGTGGAAATATTGTTGATAGGTAGACATAGCGTTCAGACCCCCCATGAGAGACCCATCGTACCCGTTAAGACAGCCTCCTAGGTAGGGGATGATTAAACACAGGTATAGTCTCAGTAAAGCAGGGCTGAGCGGGTTGTACTTTGCACTGGCCACATTTTCGGCGAGTTCGATGGCATGGCTGGCTTGCCTCAAATCGACTGGGAACTCGCTGTGGTCTGCATGTTTCGCTTTCTCATGGATTGTCTGTGCAACCTGGGACTCAGCAAGATGAGACGCCATTGGATAGCAGAAGTCTCAATATATCAGCTATCGCGGATGGGATGTTGTCTCGAGAGGAAAATGGGTTCGTGCAGCTCAAGTGGGAGAAGCAGCCTTTTATCATGACCCAAAGTTTGTCCATTTTACCGGTCAAGCAGTAATCATAGCTCGTAAAGCCTCAATAGGTAACGACTAGGTAAAGATAGTAGTGTTGGTAACGGAGACCAACCGCATTGGTCCATTCCCCGGAATATAGCCTGACCGTACAGATGGGATAATTCAAGGTATCAAGCAGTCTACGACCGTCATAGGTAATTCTCCAGTGGAAATCGATCAAGCGAGGGTAAGAGAATGCGGAGAGGGAACCCATCAGGAGATCTTCTTGGATGTCGAGGCAAGAAAGTCTTTTCACCCTGTAGTATCACCGGACTCCGGTACCCGCGACAAAGACTACAATCCAATTTTTAGGCGCAGCAAGGCGGGAAATGATGGGGCACAAATGTGGAGGCAGATGGGCAGTGGAACAAATCCTGGAGGATGCCTTTGATGCTGTGAGGTTCTGCTTTTCAGTGCGGAGTACCCTGGCTCTTGAATCCAACCGATGCTACCCTTGGAGCTGGCTTTCGGGGCATAGCGGACCGAGAGCAGCCTACGTTTCCATCCATGGTCTGATCGTCAAGCACCTGGGAAGCGGAAGTGACACCTTTCTGAGCATTGTCATCGAATAGACTTTTGTTCTCGACATCGAGGAATCTATGCATGTGATGGTGGTCTCTTGATTGACCACACGGGCATTGTGGAGTATGCAGGTTCACTGAGGAGTATGTGAACAGTTCGGACCACAGTAAGGGATCTCAAGATGGACGGAAATCAACCGAGCAGTAAGTTTATTGACTTTCAATTCTTGAATAATTGCAACTTTCCTCTCAGAGTCGAGCTCCATTGCCGCTGTCTACCCAACCGCCCGTCACCATGAGACTCGAAGTTGCTTCTAGCTCGGGTTCCACGAACACATTAGACAAGTGTGCTGACCATCAAGACCAACCCGATTACGCGAATCATCGAGTCTTCCAGAAAAACAGACTTCCAGCACGATCTTACTTCATTCCTGATACATCAGTACTATTGAATGGTCAGTGGGATTTCCATTATGCGAAGACTCCTGGTCAATCCCCGAGCTGGGACGAGATCGATGTGAGTAAGGAGTTTCAGTGGCAGAAGATCACTGTGCCCGGCCATTGGCAACTACAGCGATATGGAAGACCTCAGTACACGAATGTCATCTATCCATTCCCTGTTGACCCTCCTCATGTGCCCACCGAGAATCCGACGGGGAGCTATCGGAGACGGTTCAGAATCCCTTCGCACTGGAGCCGAGAAACTCAAGTACGTCTCAGGTTTGACGGTGTCGACAGTGCTTTCCATCTCTTCGTCAATGGACATCAGGTTGGCTACTCGCAAGGTAGTAGGAATCCGGCCGAATTCGATATTACTTCCTTCATTAAACGAGATGCAGTAAACGAAATCTTGGTCCGAGTCTACCAATGGTCTGATGGCTCATATATTGAGGATCAGGACCAATGGTGGCTATCTGGAATCTTCAGAGATGTCCATCTAATCGCATTTTCGTCCAAAGCTCGCATTGAAGATTTTGCCATTGAAACCGATCTTGATAGTGACTATGAGAATGCGACTTTGAGCGTGCGGCTAGATCTAGCTCTAAAGGATGATTCAAAGATCGCGATAGGAGTCTGGCCATCAGATGAGTCCGAAGTCTTGATATCTGACCACTGTACGATTTCCAGCAATGAGAAGTCACTGGCAAAGACATTTACTGTGAAAAAGCCCGACAAATGGACGGCTGAAACTCCGGTCCTGTATCGTATGCAGATCCAGCTGTCGGATTCAGACGGCAGAATTATTCAGACTATTCACCACTGCTTCGGGTTCCGAAAGGTTGAGATCAAGAAAGGGCTTCTCACTGTGAATGGGTCACGGTTGCTTTTGAGAGGTGTCAATCGACACGAACATCACCCAAAGTTCGGTCGCGCGGTGCCTGTAGATTTCTTGAAACAAGATCTGTTACTCATGAAGCAACACAACATCAATGCCGTCCGCTGCTCGCATTATCCCTCTCAGCCTGCACTTTACAGTATCTGCGATGAAATCGGATTATGGGTTCTGGACGAGGCTGATCTCGAATGCCATGGATTCTATGATGCTGTCGCTAGGCCTTTAAATGTCCCAGAAGAGATGGACTACGACAAACGGAAGAAGTTAGTCTTCGGCAAGGCTGCTCAATTTACGTCGGACAATGCTGAGTGGGAAGCTGCTTACGTCGATCGGATGACTCAAATGATACAAAGAGACAAAAATTACACTTCGATCATCATCTGGTCTTTGGGAAACGAGGCATTTTACGGACGCAACCACAAAGCAATGTACGAGTATTCCAAGCGTGTCGATCCTTCCAGACCAGTTCATTATGAGGGCGACGCGGAAGCCTTATCCGCTGATATGTACTCATATATGTATCCATCTGTCAAAAGACTGATCACTCATGCGAAAGAGACAGGTGTAGCAGCTGATGGCACTTTCCAGAAACCAATCATTCTTTGCGAGTATGCCCATGCTATGGGTAATGGGCCAGGCCTTTTGGAGGATTATCAAGCTGCATTCCGAGACTTCCCTAGATTACAGGGCGGCTTCATATGGGAATGGGCCAACCATGGATTGCTAAAGCCGTCAGAAGAAGATCCAAGCACTGATATCTACGGCTACGGTGGTGATTTTGATGACTTTCCAAATGACGGAACCTTCGTGATGGATGGTCTTCTCTACAGTGATCATACACCCACTCCCGGATTGGTTGAACTCAAGCAAGTCATCTCCCCAATCAGAATATGGGCAGCTGATGTAGGCAAGTCACTCGTCATTGAGAACGGCTTCAATTTTATCGATCTGAGCGACTATGTAGCCCACTACAGGCTAGAGGTATTGGGTGCTAGGTAGGTACATCCCCATCTCGAGTTAATGTTGCAACCACTAACGGAACGAAGCAAATCACTGATTGCCTCGGGTGCGCTTGAATTGCCCTCTCTGGCAGCTGGTGCCACTGGAACGATCGACCTACCTCCGGAAGTCCTTCAGCATAATCCAAAGGCCCCAGGTGAATCGTGGCTTACTATTGCCTTGAAAACCAGAAATTCCTCTTCTTGGGCCGATGCTGACCATGAGATTGCTTGGTTCCAACACTGCATTTCACCACAGCAGCGCAAAGAACCTGCATTCGCCCTAGAAATTTCTCCAAGCTTGAGATTTAGTACATCGAAACGAGTTTTCACCTTCGAAGCAGATGACTTCAGCCTGGAATTCGATCGCAGCTTCGGGCATATCAAGTCCTGGAAATACGGCGATTCCGAGCTCCTTCACGATAAAGGACATTCGGTGCCTCCATTCCAACTTGGGTTTTGGAGACCACCAACGGACAATGATGGGGCCTGGCAAACGAATGTTTGGAAGAACTGGGGCTTGGATACCCTCACTGTGCAAAATCGGAGCCTTGATGTCAAGTGGATCAGTGAGAGCGAGGTGTGGATAATATCAACATCATATATCAGTCCTCCAATCCTGGCCTGGGGCTTCTTGGTCGAAACAACCTATCAAATCCTTGGTAGCGGTCAGATGACGATAAAAGTCCACATGAAGCCGCAAGGAGCAATTCCCACGAATTTACCGCGAGTAGGATGGGACATCAAATTATCCGACTCCCTGGATCGGGCTGAGTGGTTCGGCCGTGGACCTGGTGAGGGATACAACGATAAGAAATCGGCACAAAAAGTGGGGATTTTCAAAGCCTTGATCGACGACTTGCACACGCGCTACGACATTCCACAGGAGAATGGGAATCGTATTGACACCCGGTGGGTGAAGCTGCTCAATGCGAGAGGCATGGGCCTGAAGGCCTCCTTATCCGGCTCGAAGAGATCGGAGGGCTTGTTTCAGTGGGCGGCATCACGGTATTCGGCGCAGACACTAGAAAAGACCAGACATCAAGCTGAGTTGAAGAAGGATGACTTGGTCCACTTCCGCTTAGATGCAAATGTCGCTGGTGTAGGGACTGGTGCTTGCGGACCCGGCACAAACGAGGAGGACCAGGTTAAATGTGAGGAGATGGAGTTTGAGATTCATCTGCAGCCTGTATCTGCTTGACAGAAGTAGAACACAATATTTATTTGTTGAAGAATCTTATGTTTGGCTGGCATAGCAACTCATTAAGAGGAATTGATACTGTGCTATAGAAAGCCAGCTTTTCTAGGCTTTGCTCGCTTCATCCTGTATTAGGCCCTCGGCGATCTCGATCCAGGCTATTGCTTGCGCCACACTAGGTGAACGATGATCGCCAGGAATAGCAGCCCACCTCGTCAAAAGACTTCTTAGGTGCTGACCTAGCATTGTAGCTTCGGGACGAATGTATGGCTTCACGCCCGGAACACGGTACCCCGCGAGCAAGATGAACATCGCGGCAGCCATTCTATCCACGCGCCGGAGAACAAACTGTGCATTAGCGAGTGTACGCAAGAGTGTAGGAGTGTTAGTAAATAATGGAAGACTGTGGAAAATACCACTTAAAGGAGACTTACGATAAGGAGCATATCCATGTATCAATAAACACCGTGTGACTGAAACTCCTTAAGTTGAGGATGTGTTCGATACAAGCATCAAGACACTTCTTACACATATCGCGTACAGCTTGATCAACCCACCTTGGAGCCGCCAGCATCCACATCAGATAAGGACGATAGATTACACTCCGACAAGTGAGATAGCGCTGTCGGAGAAAACCAGCCTGCTGGTTCGGGGTCGGCTGAGTGTCGAGGGCAAACTGGAACGAAGGTGGCAATAGTTCTCTCCAATCCTCGAGTTGGTGGTCTAGCTCGGCGACCATATCTGGGAAGCGGCGATCGTCCAGGCTTGCACCAGTGTCTTTGCTGTAGAGGAGATGATGGACACGGTTCAGAAGCCGACGGATTGAGAGACAGGCGAGGAAGTATAGGGCTGAGCGTTCTTCTTCGACTATGCTGTCATGCGTATGGCAGTGGCCGGGAAGTGGAACCGAGGATTCCATGTTGGCGATGCCGGAGAGGGGAAGTGCTGAGAGCTCCGCGAGGTAATCACTGAGTTGGGGGGATCAGATTGAATACCCGTTAGTAGGTGATAGGAGTGCATACCTCTCGAGAATAAAGCATGACCAGAAGATCCGTCGTGTACACTCCTCGTCATCCGACGTGGTGCCAACAGGTTTGTAGGATAACAGAACTCGGCATTTTGTGGCGGTTGCATTGATGGACGACCAAGCTTGCAAAGGTCGTTGCGAGAATGCATAGTAAAGTGCTGTGAACAGGAGGCAGTGTAGTGCAGACCTGCTAATTTCCTGGTACGCAATATGCATCCTGCTTACTGCAGATTCGAAATACATATCGCCCATTCTCCGCCTCTGTGATTGAAGATTAGCCCTAGTAGGATCAGGATCCTCTTGAAGTGCTGACGATGCTGCTTCGCATGCACACCCCAAAGCCATGAGTAGGAGCGCAAGGCATGAATCGCAATCATTCCCAAGTTGACCTGTCACCAATCTGGCTTTCAAAGGTTCAATGATGCTCTTGGCCATGGTGGGATACCAGAAATTAATGTTCTGTTGGAAAGCCTTAACTATTTTGCTAACCTCGCTGGCATCTGCGAACGGTATCATCGGGGTTTGCCAATTGCCTGACAGGAGAGGTCGAGCTTGCTCGAGGTTGAATATTGATACGTTTTGTCGGTGCCGGATCTCAGCATACGAATCGAAATGCGGCCAATCAAGAATAGATTCTGTGGAAGATGTGTGTAAGCGTGACAAGCTCGCATTTTGAAGGGTTTGAAGCCAATTATGGAACGGGTCTTCAACGTTGTCTTTCTGGCCGGATGACATCGAATAAGGGGCGATCGGTGAGCTTGTATCCCTGCTTACCGCTCGAAGGGCAGACAGATCGGGTGTCATGTTCTGCGGTATCATGAGCGAGCAATTCCACTGTTTGAAGCCTCATTGCTAAACTGACAATCTTGGAATCCATCTGTTCCAGAAACCTTTCCATTCGCAGTACGGCAGCGAGAATGAGATCACTCTTGCCCTTGCTGATGGTGACCGTGTCAGTATGCTAGCACCCAAGATCAATGGGATACGTACGCAACAGTTTCCATAGCATAGGTACATTCCAAATTCGACACCTTGCAGGTCGTACACCTTGGAGTTCTGCCATCACATCTGACCCCTGATCAGTCCCAGCCATAACTCTTCCACACTCTGCTTACCTGGTCTTTCTGTTCCGGCAGACATCACACTAGGACTCTTAGCCTCGATCTGCATATTTAGAAAGTTGAATTACCGCATGAGCAGTCCGTCTTCTCTTCCGTGAATTGTGGTCTGCTTTGGTCGTCTCCGGAGCTTGGTCAGAGGAATGGGCATCAGACCCATCATCTGCCATCGTGGAGCTTAACAAGTTTGAAACTACTGTCGATGAGTCTCCCCAATGCTACTCGATAGCCAGCCACTTCAACAGCATCAGAGAACAATACGTATTGTCATGTGTGGCAGAAGGTGATCCAGTTCTAATTAGTTGAACCTTTGCAAGGATTGACAACCTCGGTTTTGATGGGCTGTCAAGCTCAATGCATGTTAAATCTGGAGACCGTCCCGAGTTGCTTTCCAATGGTCCTCCAAGCATCGCCTGCCGTGAGTGCAAAGCCAAATAATCTCGATATCCAAGCAGGTTGGTGAGTGTTGCTTCATGCCGATACGGTGGACGATCTCCCCAAATGGTCTCCCAGGCGAATGGGGAGATTTCCTGAGCGTCTAATCTTCCCTATCCAGCCATCGTGGTGTCTGGTAAAGTACTCTGGTGCTTTTGGGGGTGAGACTAACCCCCGCTTGACCAGCTGGCACGCCCTAGAGGCCCTCAGCCCACTCATTTTGGCGTAAAAGCCACCCGAGGGCTGGGCTAAAACCGGGCCTCGGGCACCAGTTACTGAAGTCAAGCAGCATCAAGATAATCATTACTTGACCGTATAAATCCCGAGCTTCTTCCGCGACAAAGGCAACTCTAGTCAGATGCTCGGACCGTACTCTCTCTCTTATAAAAAGATGAGCGTGTAATGGTTGTTGGTTTGAACACGGAAGTGCCGGGAGCATGGGGCTGAGTATCAAATCAGCAAGGGTTTCTATATGTGGCCGCGCTGGGCCTAAGTGGAAAGTACTTCTGTCACTTGAATATCGACGAAGTCTATCACACTTTCTGGTGCATGAGCATATTGTCCCTGCTCAGCATACTAGACATTGGCCAAGAGGGACAGAGATTGGACACGAAAACGCTCTCAAGCTTGCCGTCAAGCAGTATGTTCCAAAGGATAATTCGACATCAAGTCCTGGCGACGTCACCTTCGTTGCCGCTCATGCCAACGGTTTTCCAAAGGTTGGTCTGTAAAGGGTCAAGTTCAATCCTCAAAAATTTACATCTAGCAGGAGTTGTACGAACCGCTGTGGGATGATTTGCACGATGCGCTGGCCAGAAAAGGAAGACGTATCTCATCGATATGGATAGCTGACTTGGTCCATCAAGGGCAAAGTGCCGTTCTCAATGAAAAGTCGTTGGGAAATGATCGTAAGTATATCCTACCGAATTCCAGTTCAAGCTGATTTCTGTAGCTAATTGGTGGGACGGTGCACGAGATCTAATGTACCTGATCAACCAGAAGCAGGACCTTATGCCTCAGCCTCTCTTTGGCATTGGTCATAGCATGGGTGCATCCCAACTGTGAGTATCTTGTCAAAAGTTGTTGAGTATCTAACTCATCTTCGGCAGAGCGGCACTTTCGTTGCTACATCCCGGGCTCTTGCGTGGATTGATATTGATAGATCCGGTCATACAAACCGAGAACCCCAGTAAGATCTATGCTCCAGCTTCGACATATCGGCGTGATAGTTGGTCGTCAAGGGAGGATGCGGTCGAGCGCTTCTCCAAGAGCAAATTCTACCAGGCTTGGGATCCTCGAGTACTTTCTCAATGGAACCAATATGGCCTCAGGGAACTTTATCCAGAGGGGGCGAATCAAAGTCATCCACCAGTGACCTTGAAAACACCAGTTTCTCAAGAGGTTTTCTCTTACCTAAGGCCCAAGTACTATGGAAGTCCTGGTTCATCGCCGGAGAAAGATCGCTTGATGTATGGGGACATGCATCCTGAGGATATAGAGCCAGATTACGATTTCTATCGACCTGAACCAGCTGAATTATTTCGCAAGCTTCCAGAATTGAGGCCACCTGTGCATTATATATTTGGTAAGAACTCCGAGTTGGCAACACCTCTTTTGAGACAGAAGAAACTAGAGACTACGGGCACTGGAGTGGGAGGAAATGGTGGGTGGAAGGAAGGTCAAGTCCATGAAACAGTTCTCGACTGTGGTCATTTGGTCCCTATGGAGAGAACAACAGAAAGCGCAAACGTTGCTGCTTTCTTTACCGCGACAGAGCTTGACAGGTGGGAGGAGTTCACTAAAGAATGGCAGTTGCGCTGGCGTTCTAAATCGCGACGAGATAGAGTTGGTATAGATGAAGAATGGAAGGCAAAGATAGGGCCAAGGCCGTCGAGGACGAAATGATAAGTCAAGTCATCAGACGCAAGCACATACATACCTCCCTAGGTAGGATTCCAGGTGATGAGTTGTGGACCTTGAAATTCGGAGTGAAGAGCAAGGACGTGTCACGATCAGACCGCGTTGGTTCATGACGGACTATAGTTATACCGTATCCGAGATCACGTGATAATTCCCCATTTCTGCCAAACTGCCAAGTGTGCATCTGACTGATTGTCTGCGCAGCTTTACAACTACTCCGTCACAGCATCTTGAAGCGCGTTTTTGCAATACGGTCGAGCAACGCGTAGGACATCATGGTATTTTGGTTTCTCTCATTCTGATCATGATGGTAATCACTGACATAGATAGGTTTACGATTGGGAACCCCACAAAGATGTCTGCTATCAACTCTACATCCAAGAGCGCAAGGTACGCGTCGATCACCCTCACATCATCTAGAGTACAGCTAACTCGGGACAGTCGCTCGAGGAAATCATGCAACACATGCGGGATAATCAAAATTTCACTCCGTCAAAACGCGCTTTTCAAACCCAGTTCAAGCGGTGGGATTTCCCTTCCAAGCGAAAACCTGCCTTTCGAGATGAAGACCTGGTTGATCGCGTAAAAGAGCTTTGGGAAAACAATCTCTCTCAACGAAATATGCTTGCGGTATTACACTCTGAGGGTCATGACATCAAGGAGCGCGAACTCATGAGACTTCGAGCCAAGAATCGGTGGTTAATGCGGATACCCAACGGAACAAAACCCACTCCAGCCGAAGAAGAAGAGGCAAATTTCGAAGCTCAGTTACTCGAAGCAACCCGAGCTGAGGATACTCTGGAGGGCGACCTCGAGGGTGGTCTCGAGACCGCTCCCACTGCACCAAACACATCAGCTCCAGTCGTGGATGATCCTCCCCCAGAATTTGTTGAACGACAGAAGGATCGCCTTGCGCGACTTCAAGTAATCAGTGACGAGAGATGGGCTGCCAAGAAGCGTAGACGCCGAACCAAAGGCTATGCTGGTCTTCCTGCTGATCCCGAAGGACTTGCCCCTCGTTTCCCATCGGAGACCACACTTGAGGAAAGTCGCGGGATCCTATCCTTGGACACAAAACAGTATCGTGCAGTTCGTGATCAATTTCAGGCAATTTGTGAGGAGGAGTCTATTCTACAAAAGACGGTTGCTGGTGCCGAGAAATGGCAGGCCGCCAAAGATCGTCTGGTTCGCGAGAATACACTTCTTCAAGCTGTCCTCTGGACAGACAACACCAATATGCAAGGGAAGGAACTTGCACTTGACGTGATCTGCACCGATGTGACCAAGCGTATCCGAACCATGGGACGCCGACTGACCATTCTTGAGTCGAAGAATGTCCTCGGTATCAATCCAGAACAGAGCCGTCAGATCCGCGCTGGTTTTTACGACATTCTCAATTCTGAACATTATACTAGCAAGCTTGAAATGGGTCCAGAGATGTGGAAGACTCTCAAAGATCGTTGGATCAACCAAACACCACTACTCGAACAAATTTTGGCTTCAGGAGCTGATGACCCTGAGCATGAGAAGAAGAAAGCTGCATTGGAGCTTTTGTGTCGTGATGTTATGAAACGTGTCAGAGATGATCGTGCAAAGAAAAAGGGTACCTTCCGAAAACCCCCAACACAAACATCAACACGAGCTGCACCAGTCCCAGTGTCTGTGGAACAGCCTATTGTCTCGACACCATACGCACCTTCATTACCTGCCAACCCATTCAGCGAGCTACCAGCTGCAATGACAAACAATGATTTGTCTGAACTTCAGATCGATCCAAATCTGCTCCAGGCTGCAGACAACCTCGTGGAACCTCCAGAGTCGACCATGACTGCGGTATACATTCGACCACATCCGAAGTCAAATATCTACAACAACACCAAGATGTGGTTGGGATCCTTATCGGGTCGTACTGTCCAGGAGCTGCATGCTTTACTTGCGTCGAAATATCCTGATGCAAAGCCAGCACGTATTGATGGAAGTGAGAAGGACTCGACAGGTCATGAGATTTCTTATTTGATTGAAGAGGACGAAGAGCTTGATGCATATCTGGATCACGTCAAGGGTCGTAAGGCCACTTTTATTGTTCTATTGACATCAAAGAACTAATTACGAGTCTACGCTGATCCTGGATGAAAACTGTATGTTCGAGTACAATCTCATATCCCTCGATAATCCTTTACGAAACTGTTCATACGATCATGACTTCTTGCATTTTGGGGGGAAGGTGCATGAACAGCAAATCGGCGCAACATTACCTCTCGCAATGCGATTCATTGCAGCAGACCAGTCTCACTTGAGGGCCGATGACTTTCATAGTTTATGTGTCATTAGTGCGTTATTCACTACATGGGCAACATGATTCAATGCTCATGACACCAGTGACAGTCTTTACATAGCTTAATGCATATCAACTTGGCTTCCTGCTTTGCATAATGACACTCTCTTGCCCATCAGCACTATATATGAGACAGAAATTGACCTCCAAGATTGAGGCGAATACGAAAGATCTACCTTGAGAAACACCACTTGACTCGACACCAACTCCTCTGCACCTAGTATATCACAGTTTCGAATCTCTCTTCTTATTATCCGTAATTTGGCCACGTTCATCATCCTCTATCGGATCCTTCTCCGTTGTTTCCGCCTTCAGACTGATGGGGTCGCCCAACATAGATGGGTTCCCCTTCATAGCCTCATTAAGATCTTGTTTGGCAATGTCTTTCAGGCTCTTCTTTGAGCTATCCTGATCATTGTCGCTGGATAAATCGCCCTCTGTTGGTGATGGGGCTATGGTGTCAAGGTTCGTCTGTGATTTGGTTTGAGACTTCTTCGTCGGCTCGTTGTCGGATGTTTCTGCTTTGAGAGAGACTGGATCGCCTAATGCTGTGGGGTTTGATTTGGCACTCTCTGAGAGTGACTTGGGTGCCATTATCAAGACAAGAACGGGTGTTGATGCTTTGATGGGGATTTAAAGCCGACCAGCTTCAAAAATCACCTGCTTGTATCTCGGAATAGCGGCCGACAAGAGTGAGGTTGCACGAGATGGTGCATCAATATCACCTGTATCAATCCTTATATCAATGAGAAGCTGTTAGCTCAAGTCAACATGCCGAGGTCGTCGAGACAATAATGATGTAGTCATGGCTCTGACGTCTTCCATTTCTGGGGTTGAGGAATACCAGTCATCTAAGTGGTCAAATATGGTGCGGATGATCCACAATTGGAGCAGTGGCCGACCATGGACACACTGACTATGCGTCTGATATTTTCGGGGCTTTAAGTATTCTTGAGTCTTCGATCGGCATGTGTTAGACAACTTGAACACCAAGACCAGGTGCTGCTTCCGAATGTTTGGTCTTCCACTCCTCCCCGGACGCGCAGGTCAGGAATGGTCCATGATGGGCGAGAGCAGTGCCGATGCTTCATAGTCGTCCACCATGGTCTCCCAATAGCTCTCTCCGAGTGTCCAAGATACTTGGTCGTCGGAAGGACCCTGGAAATGATGAAGGAGGTATTGATCTTGTTCTGAACTCCACATCTTTTCTCCATGTGCAGCGAAGGAAGTTAAATCGTGCCAATTCGTTTCGTCCATTGTGGTCACGGTCGACAGCTGAGTAGGCACTGGTATCTTGTGCGTGTCTTGTACCAGATTTGCTGCTTCTGAGACACTCTCTCGCAAACCGAGTGGATGTGCGAGATTGATCGGCAGTGCCCAGACCACATTCCAGCGAAGCGCCAGCTCCTGGATCTGCTCGATTGCTCTCGTGGCAACCAATGGCCACATTTCGTGAATCTCAATCAGTGCATCTGTACAGCTGCGAAGACCATTCGCAGCTTGACGACCGAGAGTTGTCTTTCCAGAAGTCGCGTTCAGGAGATGGATGACAGCTGCGCTTAAGATATAGTCAATCACTTGTGGGGAAATGCTCTCGAACTTGCGACTTCTCCTATAAGAGCGGATGGTCCTTGAGATTGTTGAAGCTGCGCCTGTTGTGGACCTCAAGGCGAATATGGCAGCCGAGCTACCTCTCGGCTCATTGAGCAATGGACGATGGATCAATAGCAATGCAGTATTATAGGCGAGTTGAAACCATACGGCACTATCAGGCAGATAACCTTTGCGCAGTCTCAAACGGTCGTCAATTTTCGAATGGAAACCTGTCAAGGATTTGTGTGATCGCATTACAAGTGCCTCTCTTTCGGTTCCTGTCAGTTGACCCCAGCCGAAGGCATAACTGAAGCACTAAGTCAGTCATTCGGAAGAATGATCGTGCAAAGCTTACACTTGGTCCATGCTAGAGTCCCACAAATGCCACAACTGGCAGAATGCTTCATGACCTGCTTCTTCTAAAGTACCTTCCCCGTCCATTACATCTCGAAATGGGGGAAGACGAACCCGTTGCCAATGGAGTGTGCAATTCATTCCGAATCTCGAGGTCAGAAGTCTGCAAAGGAAGTCAATGGCAGTACCGACGGATTCGCAAAGGAACGGCACCTATCAACCGAGAAGTATGCCCAAAAAGAACGGATCCGACGCCTGTAATGGTCATTGTGAGCCTGTGTACGGTCTGCAGATTTCATCAAACCCGCCACGTGTAAGCCCAGGTAAAGGATGTGTCCTGTTGCCATGGCTTTTTTGTCAGTATACGTATGCTTTCATGCCTGGAAGTCATCATACAGATGTAGTTGTATGCCATGCTCGGAACACCAAACATCAACTCTTGCCATGCTAGGAGGGCCAATCCCTGAACCACCAGATCACTTGGTCGGTGCTTGAAACAGTGGAGTGGAAGGCTTTGTGCGAGCGTTGAAAAGGATTGCCCAACCCGCTTAGCATCCTCTCGAGAAGAGAACCGTGCAGCTACAGCTATGATTGCCGCATTGCGAAATCGGTGGTCAATATTATTGACATCGGCCCCGCAGATCTTCAAGTCCTTGATATCTTTCACATCCAAGAATTGATGAAAACCGTTGAAGTGACAGACAAAAGAATCCACCAAATGCTCTAGGAGCTCCTGACTTACTCCTGGGATTTGTTTTTCACACTCCTGCAGATCATTTTTGCTTACCACGGCTTCTGACGATGCGTACTGATTTTCGATGTCTGGAGCGATGCGTTTACCTGCCACAATTGTGAAGGAAGGTTCGCCTTTCTCTTCAATGCCCATCTCTAGCATTAGGGAAGCTAGCTCCTCCATCGCTGATGTCGATCTAGAGTCCATCGACACCGTGCCGAGAGACACAGCTGGCGGATCGCTGCCCAATCCATCCTCCATGCTCTGGAGCTTGGCCGCTGGCTGCTCACACCGAGACATCGAGACGGTGTCGTGGAAGGCATCTTGACCTTCATCAACGCCAACGCTTCTGCTTCGAAGGGCTGATTCTAGCAATCTGATTTGGTTCTCAAGACCTCGGATCAAATCCTCGTCGTAGTGTCTTCGTCTATGACAGTTGTAAGCATAGCCTTATCATAGCGGAGGGTTGGATCCGCACTTCCTTGAAGTTTCCGAAGCATATTGACACTCTCGGCCGGACTTTGCGCACAAGGAGCAAATGGGCTGTCCGTCACACTAATCCCGTGTTGGTGGTGACAATTTCATCTCATGTGGTGTCAAATCAGAACAGGATTTTACCTTGCGCTTGTTCTTTCGACATTCTTCGCATGCGATTCTGATTCTGATGCGCTGTTTGGAGCCATTGGTCTCCATCGCCATTGATCCACAGTCTACATGCTCGATCAATTCTATGATTGTAATATTCAGGATTCAAAAATGCAAACGATAGAGTATGTCAGACTTATTGTGCGCACTATGATTTGACAGATTTAGGCCAATTTGTGATTGCCACGAAGCTCTAGCAAACCTGGTGCGGTATTTTTCCGATGATAGGATATCCGAAATTGATGGCGCCCTGCAGAGCTCCTAAACTGGACCCTCTTGGGCAGACGACCACCGCGCCCGGTTCACGCCTACAAGCTTTCTCCTTGGTTGTGAAAGATAATGAATCTACCCCGCAATCTCGAGGTCGAGACCAACGACACGAAGATGACTGTGTTACACACTTACCAATCTGCTACCACATCAGGCTTGTTAGGGTCGAAGCGAGAACGCCGCCGCATTCGTTTCGCTAGCGGCTCATTCACAAACGTTTTTGGTCGATTCTCGTACAACTTAGTTGACAGCAAAAATACCGTATAGATACGCTATTTTAGAAACGATAAGATTAGGAGAGATTGATCTGAACTTCAGTTATAAGGTTATTCGTTATCGCTGTTCACTGAACATATAATCGTGATTCCAGCGGGAAAAAGAGCTTCGTGAAGCTTAAGGCTGTTGATGATATTGTTACCACTAAAATTGGTGTGGTAACTGCATAGTAATGCATCAAATTATGAATGCGGTATTCATAAGTTGCGTAAACACGTAAATGCAGTCACACCCTTTGTTCCTGTTCAGGACAGGACAGGCTCATTGCCTTCTGAACTATCTGCGGCGTCAGCCGTTCCCTGTGAATGGTTGTTCTATATCGAGATGCACCAATTGACTCTTCCTTGCTTTTGCGGGTGTTGACCATCCGCAAGACCGTGACGATTTGACTTTCTAGCTTGCTCTCCGCCAAGTCATCATGCCAGCAGCCAGGGAAGTTAATGATTACTGGCTCCTTCGTGGCCTTCGTGGGCGTTCCGAACAGAAATACAATATCGTATCAGCTGAAAAGTATTAATTGAGATTGAGATCTTCTAGTAAGTTCGAGGCGACATCCAGAGCCTTTTCTTCATACAAGTATACAACGTGCGTAAGATTTTGTGTACTGTTATTCTACGTCAATTCGTACCTTCCTTACAATGGTTTGGCTTGCCAACCTCGAGGCCGAAAACCTCTTGTTCACGTATGCTCTATTTGGTGTACAACATGATGAGCTCACAGACAAGAAAAAGAAGACAATCTTGGAACTTTTCAGACTACTAAGCTCTTCTGCTGACCGGGTAGATCATCTTCAGGATGAGAGCCACGAAAGTCCACGCAAAAGCTCACAATCCACAACATTTGTCGCTTACTGGAAAGACACTGGTATATACCAAAGATGGCGAGAGAGTGACGCTTACAAGAACTTCTGGGATAGTCTTCCTGACGATGCAGGAGTTTGGCGGGAGGTCATGACGGTTCCCAAATCCCGTTATATGTTTGCAGCAAACCAGTACCAGACCTCCGGGTTGGCCACTATGCTGGGACTGAAGGAAAGCTCGGATGAAGGCTACTGGGGCGTCTACAGACATCGACTACACGAGACGCCAGATCAATACACCGATCCTGGTGATACGTTCACTACGTCACTTGTCACAACTACAAAAGTCAAGCCTGGTACCGAAAAGAAAGTCATCAACCTCGAAAACTTGTTTTTAAGCACCATTCGACCAGGCCGAGTCAAGTTGACAAAGATCCCAGATAACCTATGTTTCTGCCGTGAAGGGCAGAGACAGCCTCATTTCGACAAAGCGGAACTGGAGTCCTGGCTTGAAAATCTGGCCCCTTATGCACAATCTTGGATGAACCATTTGAACACAGCGAGGAACAAAAATGGAGTCGTATCATTCACAATGCACGTGGGACATGAAAATTCGAATCCTTCGGAGAAAAAGGACATCAATCCGTCAGAAGACCTAAGTCTGCCCACAGAAGCTGTGGCTGAGGCGAATCAATTGATGTACTTCCTCGATCTTGCACATTTCGAGCAAGCTGGTCGGTCGTTCAAGGATCATGTCAAGTTGCGTCAGAAAACCTTTGAACTCTATGGACCGGATGGGAAGCATAGTAATGGCAAGCTCTCGTTATTTGTCGAGTTGTGTGTATTGAAGTCTGGAGATCTAGAAGCTGAGTATATTGGATGCAAAGAGGGCACAGGCTTGATGTTTCTTCAGGACCTTTAGTTGGCGTTCTCGAAACGTCACCTGCGCCCAAGGAAAATGCTGTGAATCCCTCAAGTTGCGCCTACCATCGTCTTAGGTCGTTCCTAAATCCAGAAGATACGAGCACTGAACTAAGATCCCTACAGGCCATTGTGTATTAGTGATTACAACCTAGTAATACCTACTACAGCATAAAACAGTCATGAACTATCCCCTGTCGATCAAATACCTCTCTCTACAAAATTTCGCTACCAAATCTACGGCCAAGTTGTGACGGAAGCATTCCCGCACCTTGAGATCACCTTTGATAGGGCTACCGAGGCTTTCACCTCGCCTATCGCCTTAGTTAGCTAGCACATCCCAGTTCAACCCCGCATCCCTAAACTCTAGCGTGCGGGAGACTCATCCGCAAACGATAAGGAAGCTGACGATGGTCATCCAGCTCACCTGGATAGGTTTGGTAATTGCCCGACTAGAGTTTAGAACATCGACTCAATCATGTCGAAACTCTGACTCTGTCTACCCTGGGTTTTTCCAGCCCAAGACTGACTGATTGCGAGGTGATACGGAAGTGTAAAGGGTGCGGGGCTCGAAGTCCATAGCCCTGCTTGACTTCTTCCTTTGCTATCTTGATATTTAAGTTATCGACCACGAACTCCAGATCATTGTTTGGCTGTTTTGGAAATCATAACTCTCAAGTAAAGCAACCAATCTAGACATAACGAGCGACAATGGGAAGCACAGAAACAACATCCTCATCGACCTTACGGGTTGCGGTTGCGCAGTATGAACCAGAATGGCTCGACCTGCAAGGATCCGTGAAGAAGACATGTTCGATCATCACCGAAGCAGCGAAAAGAGGTGCTAAGATACTCGCATTTCCCGAATGCTGGATAACAGGATATCCAGCGTACATCTGGTGAGTTCATCGATGTCTCAGAGCTGGGTAGAGAATTAAACATACCTCAAAAAAAAGGGCACGACCATTGGATCCAGTATTGACGACAAAGTACATCCAGAACTCCTTGGCCGTTGATTCGGATGAGATGCGCACGATCCAGAAATGTGCAGCGGCCAATGGAATCGTGGTCTCACTGGGATTTTCGGAAAATGATCATAATTCAGTCTACATTGCTCAAGCCCTGATAGATTCGGATGGTAAAATCCTGATGACCCGACGCAAGCTCAAACCTACACATATGGAGCGCACCATCTTTGGTGACAGCTCTGGAAACAGTTTGATCAATGTAGCATCAACGAAGCTCGGGAAGAGAGTTGGGTCTCTCGCCTGTTGGGAGCATTGCCAGCCACTGTTGAAGTATCACACCGCCACACAGCGTGAGGATATTCATGTTGCCGGATGGCCACCATTGTCGCCTCATGCTGGACCTGAACTGTTCTCCATGTCTAAAGAAGGTTGGCACTTTTCATTGAAGCACCGAATCACTCTTGCTGACACATGACAGGTTGTCTCTGTCTTTCTCAAACATACGCGATTGAAACCCAGACATTTGTCCTGCATTCAACGACTGTCATTGGCCAAAAGGGGATCGATGCAATGTCTACTGCAGGAGCGATATTGATGTCAAGTCCTGGAGGTGGATACTCGGCTGTCGTTGGACCGGACGGTCGTTTATTGTCGGAATACCTGGAGCCCACGGAAGAAGGGCTAGTGATCGCTGATATCGACACGAACATGACCATCATGGCACGCAGCTTCCTTGACATTGTTGGTCATTACAGCCGACCAGATCTCCTTTGGCTCGGTTGTGATACCAGAGAAAAGAAACATAAGCTTGAAAAAAGAACAAAGCCAGAAGAGCCAGCTGAAGATGAAGAGTAATGATTTATTCTCCTCAATCGCAACCACGACATTTCTTAGATTGATTTACCACATCACAAGGCCGATGGTGCCCAAGAGACTACCGATTATAGTTGCCCACCCTGTTACTATTATTTGTCTGTTTGTGAGCATTGCCCCGGTGTCCCATATCAAATGTCTCAGGCTATGCAAGATATGAAACACAAATGGGAGACCAAAGAAACTCTTCAGTGCTATCCTGGTTCCCCATGATAAAGCGCCAAACCACGCTACGATACTTGCGGTATCGAGATGCCAACCAAACAGCGGTGCGAAGAGATATGCCGCCCCGAAAGCATAGATAGGTAAGGTGATGATGATGGCGGCATTCCGATTAGCTGCACCACAAATCCAATTTGTTTGAGGCCTATATATTGAAAGATGAGGGCTCGAGGGTCGATTTCGACGCTGAGCGGCAAGGTAGTCTGCACCTTGTCTTGCTGTGAGATTCTGGATTTGGACTCGGCTTGTTGGTGTGCTGGTTGATAGCCTGTGAAGATTAAAATGCTTCTCTCTCCACTGTTGTGCTCCAAATATTTCAGTTGACGTACCGGACTTGTGCAAATGGCTGACATCTTGGGATAACGGCTGGCGCTCTCCTTGTGACCAGTGATCTCTGACCGAAGCTAGGCCATGCCAAAGCTGTAGCTTGCCATGGTCGGCGTTCAATTGTCGATATAAATTCCAAGGCCCCGTGTGAGGGCTTGCACCACCTGGCTGATAGTATTCGCGAAGCCATGACAGAGAGAAGAGTCTCAAAACCTGGGAGTACTCTAGGAAAGCTGTATCCCTCAATATAGAGAGTCTCAAAGAATGAACTATTGCAATGCTGGAGGTCGGTCTCGTAACTGCCAGTCCCCTCCAGGCTTAGGAGGGCCAAGCAGCCAATCGGATTAAGGTGGCGTTTTGGGTCGCTAAGCCCAACTGAGAAATGTTCGTCCTTCCGATAATTCGGAACTTAGCTTTATCCATCTCTGGCACCTTGCAAGGGAGGGCACGCAATGCAATCAGATAGAAATGAGATCTCGACGTGAACAAGCCTGTGAAGCCTGCCGTGCTCGAAAATCGAGATGTGAGCCGTCTCAGAGTGAAGGTTCGTGCTTAAGGTGAGCGGTACCACGAGAAAAAGTGTCGGTTCTAATCGAGCAGATGTGAAGGGCTTGGGATTGCCTGTGTCCCACATGAGGCATTTCACCGAAAAAATCCGCAAAGAACAAATCCTCCCAAAAGGTAGAAACGAAACGAAACTCATATTGATCTTGCTGATTTGTGTCCAGAAACCAATACCGGTTTATTGGCCAGGATAAGGTCAGATGGAAGAAATCTCCATGGTCGCACAAGCCGGATGAAGCTGTTGAGAATGGAGCGACAGGAGGTCAGGCAGCCACAAAAGTCGCGAAGCGCGATACCAATCGAACTGCATCTGATCATCCTTTGGAGTCAGTGACTTCCTCCCACGGTCTTCCACATGACGCTGAAGTGCCCGATCTGTTCGGGAGACAGCTATTCAGCATCTTGAAACTTGAGGATTGTAATGTGGGTAGCCTCGAGGATATGGCAAATCTCAACTCCGAGACTTGTGTGCAGTTCTTGAACCATTATCAAGACATGTCTGAAACTAGTCCATTTGCGTTGCGACTCAGAACGACCGATGTCCACGCGCTATTATCCAATTCTCCAATGCTACTGCTCTCAATCATATTGACAGCCAGTAGTAGTAATGCAAACTTACAAAAGCAAGCCGATCGAGCTTTTTTGCAGGTATTTGCTGACAAGGTTATCGTTCAAGGTCAAAAAGCAATGGAGATCTTCCAAAGTCTCTTGACATATTTGAACTGGTATCATCTAAGGTTCGATGCTCAGAAGCAGCAATTTTACCAATTTATGCAATTGGCAAATGGGATGGCATCAGATCTCTTGTTGCCAAGGGTCCTGTCGAATTCTTCTGAAGATTCCATATTGACGGTTCAACTCATTGACCAGGCTCGAGCATTGCTTCAGTGCTACTATCTGAATGTGGCAAGTGCTCTTGGCTTCGATCGTTGCGAGACCATGCAGTGCCCTTCAAGCCTGAAAGCAGCCGCTCAGGTATTGGCTAGAGCAAAAGAATGGCCCTTGGATCAAGCTGCTCCATCTATGCTTGAATTGATGAACATTGCATGTTGTCACCAAAAAGACATGAAAGAGCCCAAAGGTGACAGCCAGTGCCTTGAGAGTCTTGAGAGTCTGCGAGAGACATTATATGGGTGGACGATGTCGACTACATCTGCCTCATCGGGAACAATGTTAGCTCCGACATATCACTTCATCGTCGCATATACCTTTCTCAAGTCAAAGAGTCTCAGGCAACCTGGTTCTCCTGCGTTGAAAGTTGGACTGGAAGCATGTCAGGCAGTCCTGTTCAAGATTCTCGAAAAGGGGTCTTGCCATCTCGTGAAGTTGAGCATCGTGGAGTGGGCCCATCTAATCACCACCCTCTTCATTCTTCCCTGGCTCGAAATCTCCGCCATCGTTGACCACCCGATCGATTCTACTAGGCCAGCTACCCCATTAACTCTTTACTTTGTTTCCATTTTTCGATTGCAGCTCTCAGATCTGAAGCTTTTATCGGAGAGTGAGACGGTGCTCAAGGCGGAGATATTATCAGGGTGGTTGGAAACGATCCTTGCGGCCGTCGAGACGCGAGCAAGGGCCCTAGCCGACAGGTTTCGAAACCGGAGTGATGACGAAGAAACCGCTTTCGAATTAGTCAACTCATTTCTGAAGAAGGAGATGGTTGGACTGCCCGAATCCCTTGATGTTACCCATAAGGCCGAACAAGGCAGGAGTAGAGAGGACTCATGGATCGAGTTCATGTCTGATTGGCTAGATTGGTAGGGCCAAGAAGTTAGTAGACGCTGCGGCTCGAGCACCTTCCTTTATTTTCCTCGATGATATCAACTCGTGTTTCGCTCCCAATTGTGTCTCTTCGACCAAGCATGAATTTTTCCTGATGACATGCGAGGTGTCGAGATCGTTTGAACCAAAATTTGTGGGAATCTGGTACCCACATCGGCTTATGGCTTATGGCTTATGGTCAACGTTATGCGTAATGACACCACTGCCCACTCCATAATTTGGACAGCAAGCTACAAATAGCTCGAGTGAGCAAGTCCATATGACAAAGGCCAAATCTACTCGAAACCATATCTCCCTCCTCAGAATTTAAGAACCCAACCCACAATATCAGCATGACGATACTCTTGACTGGCGGTACTGGTCGAACAGGATCAGCAGTCGCACGACGTTTGCATGAAGCAAAGATACCATTCCTCATCTTGTCAAGATCTGGTTCTGCACCTGCACCATATGAAGGCTGCCGATTTGACTGGGCTGATAAGAGCACCTTTGAGATCCCATTCTCACAAAGTCCAAATGTGGAAGCAATATATCTCGTGCTTAGCCTCGGAGTGATCGATGCCAAAGCACAAGCAGCTAGAGATTTCATTGATTTTGCAAGAGGAAAAGGTGTCAAGCGTTTCGTTATGCTCAGCATGAGCAATGCAGAAGTTGGAGAACGTGTCACGGGTGCTGTTCATGAGTACTTGTTGGAACTTCCTGTTGAATACGTAATTCTCAGACCAACGTGGTACATGGGTAGGTTGACAAGATTCCGATGTACTGTGATCTTTGAGTGACCTAGAAGAACAGAAAATTTTACTCATCCAAAGTCGAATACAATCAAGAACCTTGGCGAAATGTATTCGGCAACTGGAGATGGAAAAGTCTCTTGGATATCGACTGAAGACGTGGCCGCGGTGGCATATAGGGCGTTGACAGACAATCGGCTGAACAAGATTGACCCAATCTTGGTAGGGCCTGAGCTTCTCAGCTATGATGATGTATGATATCAAACCCTCTCGTCTGGGATACCGCCTAACATGATATCTCAGGTTGCCCAAATCATTGGTGACGTTACTAAAAAGGAAGTCAAGCATGTACGTATTTCAATGGATACATTGCGGGAGAACATGTCAGCAGTACTACCCTCTGTCGTTGTTGAAGGTTTGCTTGAGATGGAGGAAGAGTTCTCAAAGAACTTGGAGGCCATCCCAGATAATGGTGAGATGGAACGACTGACCGGGCAAAAGCCAATTCGATTTCGAGAATGGGCTGAGAAGAATAAGGCTGCGTGGATTTAAGGAGACAGTCTTTGTACTCTTAATTTGGTGCAGTTTGCAGCATGTAGCTCTCGCAGCTGGCTTGGCCTCTCAAAGTTTGTGATCACTCTTCCAAAAGATAAATCCAGAAGAGGGAGATGCTGTCTTTGGTGTAAATCTCTCAATGCTGTTTGTCGTAATATTCCGGATATGAGTACGAGTACCCTAAGAGCCATCTCCCAATAATGGAGCCAAAGAAATTCATGAGCAGTCCAGCCAACTTGGCAACCGGTTTTGGCCCTGGTAATGCAAGCACCACATTACCCCTGCGGTTGAACATAAGGACCTGAAAAATACTTCTTGGCACACCGGCATTGCGGCAATCATCACGATAAGTCTGCGTGTTTCTGAAAAAGCATTCGTCACGGTCCTTGTTTTCAGGCCGTAGGACAAATTCGATCAATAGTCTCTCTGTCGTGCTTGCATTTCGAAACGTGTGGAACTCTTGCTTCGGAATGGTAACTACGTCACCCTGTCGTGCGATCTGTCTCTTGTCCTCGAGGTAGAAGATCGCGTCGCCTTCGATGACATGGAAGACCTCTTCTTGATGAGAGTGCCAATGAAGTGGCGGAGTCAATGCACAATTTGGAGGGCTTGGCTTATCGTCTGCAGGGGATTCCGGAATCTCATCTGGCGGGAGAGAGTTGATGACCAGATAGCGGTCCTCATGGGGCCGGAACTGAATGAATGAGCGCCCATTGTCAAATTCTATCTTGTTCAAGTGAACAACACGCGTGCGTGGTGGATGCCTGGCAAGGAAAGATAACATTTTTGTGCGTCAGCGACCAAGGCAAACAGTCCGTGAGTCATGTGCCACCGTGAGATTATTCTTGTTCCATACTAAAAAGATTTTGTTGTGGCAGAAAGCTGTCTTGCAGTTAGAAGTTGCTCTAAGACATCCTTCAAGTCAAGCCTTCCCGCAACCGGAGTCGGGATCGGTCCGAAAATCTTATTTCTCAGACATCGGAGGTCAGCCCCTATGCTCCCTAATAAATTGACATCACGCAGCCTTTTGGATGTCGGGTTGGCACCCATGCAAACCCATTCTTTTTCGAAAGGGGTTCGGGTGAATCACAGCATCCAATGTTTCAAGAAGCAACCCGTTGACAACAACAACAACAACAACAACAACAACCAATGTGTGGATCTTGCATGGCCCTTCATCTGGAGAAGTTGGAAGCAGTATTTCCATCGCCCAAAGTGTTAGCATGTACACAGATGGCAAGGATTCAACGCTGGCATACAACTTGATCTGATAGTCCTCGAAATTCTCAATCATGGTATTGAAGACTGTCGCAAGATCATCTTTGCGCATAACAAATGAGGCAGAAATGGGTGCATGCGGGTTTACGTGTCTCATCGAAGTTGGCAAAGTTCCAAATTTAGATACATCAGCCTTCTTCAAGTTCAATGCATGTTTGGAACGTATTTGGAAGTAGATTCGAGGTTCGCAGTGTCTTGACCTGTTGAGTGCACGTGGCAAAGCCCTATCCCTCAGCAGTCCGGTTGTACCAATTACGCTGTGCTGGGAGAGCAAGGCCTACTCAAACATCAAGCTCTACCAAGGACCTTCACCCATCATACTATACTGGAACTCCCCAGGTGCTGTATACATGGAATGCCTTGATGATATCTCACCACACGTAGTCTACACCGGCCCAGAAGGTAATCTTCGCGACATATGGTATGCCAAAAAGGTAAACTTACCTCAATTTCAAATGCGATCAGATACTCAGATTGCACAAGAGCTGTTGGCCCTGTACCAGGCTCGACGCCCAGGAATGGTGTGCCTCCATGAGGACATTGTGAACGAGTCAATCAAAGTCTATCGCGCATGGGTAGCAAATGGAGGCTACACCGTCGATAGCGATCCAGATCTTGGAACATCGGTCGCGGCTGCTACTGATGAGGCTCGAGCCCTACAAGATGAACCTGGAGAAATGACAACAGAGCCTGAACAGTTCGAGGCCGAAGCCAGTAGAGACTTTCACGGATTGAGAACGGAAGCAGAAACATGGCCCGAGGTTGCCCAGAACGCTCTTGAAGAATACACAAATGCAGCCAATGGCGGTGTGTTGACAGTCTCCAGATTCTTGATCTACAATGCGGCCTGGCAAAAGCTATCAATGGAGCAGAAGATGAATATTCTCAGACATTGGAATCTACAACAAGAAGCGGCGAGATTGACGGACGATGTGGATCGGGCCATTGCTGCGGGTGTCACGAATGGAGCTGTAGAGTCGTCGGGTAAATCAGAACGCCACTCTTCTGAATCGTCTAAGAGCTTTGAATAGACTTTCTTATGAGCGACATGGCGCGAAATTGAGGCCGGTGGATAGGAAATGACCATCGGCGATTCTAAAGACTCTATGGTTCGAATTGAGACCCCGGAGATTAACTCGACGGATGATGAATGAGTATGCAACTTGGCTACATGCACATCATTTTCTGATTGCTTGTATTAATCGAGAATGGACGGCAGAAAGGACTATCATGGTGTATGAACTGCTTCAGAGATCAATTCAAGTGGCCTTCGCATGGTACCCAAGCAGAAGGCGTCAGTATCAAGTGGGGAGAGTATTCAATTAGAAAATGCCCAAAAATGTTGATGCACACAGACACTATTCTGCTTGATCATTTAAATCTTGTTAGTTTATCAATCCTGAGGAAAGGATCGGAAAGCTTAGACTTGTGCTTAATGTCCCGCAAAAACACGGCATCCACAGATGACAAAGGCAGCAATGCGGTAACGTCCTTTCACATTTACTGAACCACGAACCCTCCAAATTACCGACCATATACAGTCGCGAAGCGGTCTATTATATACTGCATGCCTTCAGCACGGTAGTAGTCCGGCTGAACATATACAAGGTCGGTTGCATTGACATCGAAAACCAGATTCGCTTGATCATCTTCGGTATATACTGGCCACTGGACACTCGTTGCTAATGGCCAGAGGTAAGATTCTCGACGTGAAAATTCATCTGCAAAGGGAAGAAACTTACCATCATTATAATTAGGATCAGTGTCGACGATGAAACTCACCCACATGCGCGACATGATGTTGGCCAGGTCATAAAAACTTGGCGGTTGGCCCTCGAATGGATTTACCGCCACAGCATTCTCATACCCGATCCCATTTGTGTTGTCAAATACAAAAGAAACCTCCTGAAAGTGGGTTGACCCTATAGCAAGCGGAACTCCATTCACTCGTACGTTGAAGTCGTAGCTGAAGGAAGTGACGTTGTTTTTGGCCCAGGAGTGAGATGCGAGTCTGCGGGGGCCGTGCATAAGAAGGTCACCTTTGTAAGCGGCTGATCGCTTCCACTGACTGCCTAATGACGCGAACATGCCTGATGGGCGACCGACAAGTGTAGCGGGTATGCCAATTGCTGGAATGTCTGGGTACAACGCGGCAATCGTTCGAGCAGTGGCATTGTCAACACCCCTTGCCATCACACTGGCGACAAACTGCTCCGTTGTATTGATTCCCCGGATTCCGAACGCAGTGCCTTCGTCGAAGTTTGCACCATGGAGCAGAGGAACTTTGACAAATGCGCCGTTCAACAAGTTTTGGGTTCCAGAGTTCTGGAGGAAGTCGCCGTCGATCTGCCCTCCCCAAAAGGGAACTTGTGCTGTGACACTGCTGTTGAACACGGCGCTGAGAGCATCCGCTGGCACGTCTCGAAGGCATGCCAGTGTATCTGAAGCATCACTGCAATTGGTGGCTCGAGTGATGTTGTTGTAATAGGCGTCCCAGTCTTCAGGAGAAGGATAACGACCACTCGAAACCATACCACCACTTTCTTGGATCGCGCTTCGGAATAGTCCGTCGTCTCGGCCTCCGTACGCCATTAACTGAGCTCCAACACTCCATGCGCCAGCAGACTCGCCCCAGATAGTCACCTTAGTGGGATCCCCGCCGAAAGAAGCAATATTCTCTTGGATCCAATGTAATGCCAGTCGCTGGTCTTTATAACCCAAATTGGTTGCGCCGGCTTTCAGAACTTCCGTTCCGAAGATGAACCCGAAAGCTTGAAGGCGATAGTTGAGACTGACAAAGATGAAAGGTTTTCCCATATCAACTGATTGTTTAACGATGAAGCTTGCATTATAACGAGGGTCACGACTGCTTCCCATGAATGCTCCACCACCGTGAATCCAGACACCGACTGGGAGTTGAGCTCCATCCGCCACGCCCGCCGGGCGAACAACGTTGAGAGTCAAGCAGTCTTCGCTAACAGGATTCCCCAACACCCAGTCGTCACTGCCATATCCATAACAAGCCAAAGAATACTCGTTCGCATTCTTAGACTCCGTCCAGGTCGTGTTCAAAGATTGCGGATTCCGGAATCGAAGATCTCCAACCGGTGGCTGCGCGAAAGGCATCCCCAGGAAAAAGTCCTGGTTGTATTCTTGGTTGTAAACCCCCTCGTAGGTGCCATTCTTGACCTGAACTGAAGGCGCTGTGGCTGACCAGTTCACCACTCCGCAATTCACCAATTGAGTGGAAAGCAGGGTTCCTAGAAAGAACCTGCGAAATGATGGAAAATGATGGTCTGCCATTTCGACTATCGTATCTACCACAGTTCTGTAGGTATTTTCAAGAAGCATGCCGGTCGCCATCGCCGAGGATTGCCCATATATATCGACTACTTGGTGATGTAAGGTCGGCTCGATGGATTTAGTCATAAAGCGATTGCCTTCTGAATGCCGATCTACTCCAGTCCTGGGGCTCCCACATTAGGCAGCTAGCTAATAGTGGGTATCATACATCAATGTGACCTTTACAAGTTCAAGTGAATGCGGAGAAATGATAAACACCTCATCCATGTCGATACGTTCCGTCCACGAACTCAGTGTCTGCAAATGCCGATCTCGTGCGAATGCTGGCCGAGGTTGAAAGGTTCAAGTGCGGGCAAATTGTGGGTCTGGGTTTTTGTCCTGGTAATTTTTTCTCCGTCGTCAACCCCAGTCCATCATGCAGATCAATTCACCAACCCCACAGCCGGACATGTTTCTCGATTCATACTCGTTACGAGACCAAGTACTGCAACTGACAAGCTACTCCAAGCCTTGTATCCACGGTCGCACCGGGATGGCTCTATTCTACCTCGAACGAAAACAACTGCCGAGCAGTGTCCATGGCCAGATCCAGCCTGGTGACGTGTTAACTAGCTGTCACCCGAGGGTCACTCTTCGTTTTCCTGCCCACATAATATCCATACTTTTCTATGCTACAGGCATGGACAGACAAATGCCCACTTGGAGGATATCACTGGTGATAGGCACGCGAGAAAGATGTACAGACGTAGGACCGAAGTATCAAGTGTCATTATTCGACGTATTGACATCGGACGATGCTGCGTGGGGTATTTTGAGCAATCTTGGATGCAGTGCGACATGCTTTATCCTGAAAGTCGCCAGCATCTGAATTATCTAGATGTGCATAGCGGGCTCGAAATTCTCCATCTATAAAGAAGCGCATTGAAGTCAAAGAAGTGCATCATGATTACCTGACGAACCAAATGCCTCCCGCGACCCTGATGATGGCTATCCAATCCGAAGAGATGGCTCACGGCTCAGGGGTTGTTGCACTTGGTGCACTCACAGTCTTCTCCCGCAAGACAAACATGTCACCATGCCATCCATATGCCCTACACAATCTCCTACCATGTCTGCGTGCACTGTGAAAAGGTATCTTGTTAGCCTTGGCTGGAGAATGTGGCTCGTGGAATTGAATGCTTCGCTCGACATCCAAGTTGTCAGGGGTAAAGTGCCAAATCGAACCATACAATTTCTCTGAACCAAACCCCACGGAGGTCATGGCGTGGATGAAATCTTTCCAAAGCACTTCGCCTGGTGTGTTGTTGAGTAAGGGTGTGAAGAAAAGCGTCCGAAACACTTTGAGCGCAAGGGCATCCACAGTGAATTTCAATCGGGATTCGGGTCGCTCTGTCTTAACATCAGGATTCAGATCGACGCTCAAGGTTGAGGGCGATCCTCTAGTTTTGGTTTTGGTCTTCGACGACAAGGTTTTGTTGCTGTTGTTACACAATGTTTGTGAAGTTCGTAACTCGAGCTGAGAGTATAGCTCCGAGAGGGGCATCAATGAAGTTTGTGAGTTGAAATCTGAAGAAGTTTCGATAGATTCACCAGGGTCAATCCACTCAGGGGTTCGCTGTAGGAGGCGTGGTTGAGTAAGAAAATCTTTGACTGCGGTTCCTGCAAGACCCCCAACTTCTTTGTTCATGAATCTGTCAAGAGCAGACCAGAAGGCGTCCAAGTTGGCTTCTGACTGTCGTAATAGTTTTGTATTGTCCTCCGTCTCGCACTTCCAAAGAGGGTAATCAAATTTGCCCTTCTTCGGAATACCCAATTGTACTATTCTCTTCCACTCCGGGCCTGACTTGTGCATCACGTCTACCATATCTTCCCATATCGCGGCAGCCTTGTTCCATTCATCATATGCTGCCTCGTTGTGCTCCTCCATAACAGAATCGTAGCTTTCCGCCCACGTGTGGCAAATGTCGACCTGTTTCAGGCATTCGCAAATGATCGCCAGATGTCCGATTATGCCCCCGATGAACCCAGTAATCATGTCCCTCGCACGCGGCTCTTTTTCGATCAATCTCTGCAGTTCATCAACAACCAGCGGCATCCGAAGTAGACCAAGGGTGTCACCATTATCCGCCAATGTTTTTAGAAGGAAGAGTAGTTGAGCCTCAATGGATCCTAGCATGGATGTTCTGGTCTCTGCACGTATTGGAGCCTGTGAAGCTTTGATGGATTCACGAACGTGGAGTGAGCGGAACGGAATAGAGCCAGCCACAAACATCTGTAGCATCCTGAGTGGGGTCTGGGCCGCGTAGGTTAGGTACGCGCGAAATCTGATCAGGGTGTAGAAGTAATCCTCAGAAGGCTTTCTGTTTGAAATGCGAGGGGAAGATGATCCTAGCTGCATATCGTGGAGGGATTGTGCCACTTGTGCCAATTTGGATAGATTATTAAGCTTCATATAGGGAAACAGGACAATATCGATGATCACTGTTTCCCAAAACAGTTCCATGTGTTGTGGATGTAAGACCGGATGCTTCTTGCCATTTGCGTCCAAGATCATTTCCGTGCGATGTTCTTTGAGCTCTAACATGAAATGGAGAAAAAATCCAGGATCCTCACGGAGCGACCACAAATGGTCTTGCGCAGAGACAGTTGCGGCAGAGAGTAGAGCTGCTAACCTTGACATATCTGGAAGAGATGGAGGAAGACAGTATGGTGTTTCTTGTGCCATGATCGAGAGTGAAGCATGTCCGGTAATCAATCTTTGGGATACGGATGGGGGTTCCGGTTGTATTGGGTAAGAATGGCTTGTCAGCAAATCAACGGGTATGTCATGTAGAATAAGAGTGCAACACTCAACAAGAAATCTCATCAGTCGTTCTTGGGCTTCCAGTACCACAAGTGCCTCACTCGGGTCAAATTGCGTCAAGATCTTATCCCAATCAGGAGCATCAGGAAGACCACCGTGGAGAAGAAGTTTACCATAGTCCTGGTCCTTCTTTCGATCTGAGATCCCGTTGAGGGTAACGAGATGCGTAGGCAAGAAAACAGGGGTAATAGTTCCCAGCATCCTTCCCAGAGAAGCCGTCTCCAGGTCTGCAACGGCGAATCGACTTGGATGGTTCCTAGATCGATAGTTCAGTAGCAAAAGCAATGCTCTCGGCCTGATGAGATCCTCCTGGTTGAGATAAGGCCAGATGAAGGCGTCTCTGGACTCAGGCCCGGCCTTCATCCGATGCGCAAGGAAGTCGGGACGATGTGAAGCAGGAAGACCTGGCCATGCACTGAGCATGATTTTCAACCTCTGTTTGTTTGTCTTCTTCGTCCATCTCTTTTGAATCGTGAGCTCGTGGCGATCAACAATGGCGCGCAAGGTATCCAGATGCCGGAAGATGGCTGACGATCGCTTCCCAAGTAGTCGTCGCATATATCCGGGAGACACCTCTTTTGGTTTAGCAAGTGTCCTCCCGCAGGACTTAAGATAGCGAGAAAGAGCTTTGAGGCTTGCAATCATCTCCCTCTGCCGGTCCTTTGGCAAGCTTTCTAGTGGATTTCCCGGAAGATACATCTTGGTCAAGTCAGGAAGGGGACTGTCATCTTCAAAGCAGGTGACTACGCCTTCCATGGTGTGAATTCCCCAACAACATGTGAGTGACCGTTCAGATCGGACGCGTAGTGAGCGATGACCTCGATGGGAATTACTAAGTCAAGTTTGTGTTGCTTCTAGGATCACTGCCATGTCGATTGATATCTTGGCACTGCCTCTGATTCGTTGAACTTGGGGCTTGATTGAGGAATAGCCAATACGATTCGCCGATCCTCAGCCTTATTCCCTGGCTAGTAGTCCCTAGTTTTAGCAATGTCCCTGACAACAATGTCGTTCAAGCATGCAGCAGCAGAAGACTATCTAACTCTCACCTCGCTGATGCCTTTAAATTTATAATGAAGCTGTCAGGTCGGACTACAGTGCACCACAAATTACCCAAGTCTTGTACGTTCCACAGCGCGCTCGTATCAAACTCTTGAAAGATATACTCGAGGCACAACAGGGCGAACTAGGGAGTGAAAACTGATGACTCTAAAAAGGGTTCAAGTACCCAGTAACTACTGCAAAGAGTCATGCTTATGAATGGAAGATTGAATAGTCCCACTGGCTTTCTTTGTGTCCAAGTCGTAAGTGATTAGAGCAAGAGTATGAGAAGTGGGGTCTTGCTCCCAGCCCAAAGACTGACTGGAAACCTGGATTGAGAAATCTCCCTGAATGGATCGTTGAATGGATTACGTGGTCGCTTGTAGTCCAGTGTTCGAAGCATGGTGTTGAGCACGGTTTTGGCTTGTATGTCGTGGTCCCTGAATTAGTTAGTTGCATGTCATACCAACCACCAAGGCTTTGTAATGGGATGAAGACATACTGGTCCAGACGAAACCCTCGGACGACATCAAATACAGGTTTCCAGGCGGCATCATCATTCAACAGTGAACATGATTTGGCGATCTCTAGTTGGTGGTTATCATCAAAGAAGTTCGTATTGGTTCCCACTACATTCATGAAACTCTGTACCATGACTTGAAAATTCAATGCCCCATTGACGTCAGTTTGGGTCATAGAGCTTAGGCACCATCCGAGCGAAGTCAAAGGTGGCAATGTCGTCAAGCCGAAATGAAAAGTAGACCAGAAAGGTGGTGCAATGCGCCAATGAACTGAGCGGGCAAGCCGTGAAAGAAAAAATCAAAGGTAGAAGAAATCATTCATGCGAGACTAGTCACATGTTGAGACAGTGAAAGTTCACATGTCACTTGATCACTCCCTCGCGGATATGACTCTTCACAGCTGAGCAAATCAACCCGAACATGTGCTAATCGAGTACGAGCATAGTTGTTTGCATGTAAGTGAAGTAGGTTACCCAATCACGCAGGCTTTTGCGTTGTTGGTGGTTTGGGATGTCCCAGAAAGCGGATGATAGTATAGGAAGCAACGTTTCTCGAAGCATTTTTCATGCAGGAACATGATAATAGTAACCGCCGCCACATTGCATAATTGCTCTCGCTGTGTCCTAGTCTTCATTGGCCTTCTTGACGACTGGTTCGTTTATATCCTCGATCATCTTCTCATCAGGCTTTCGGTTGGGCGACATTGTCGGTTGTGCTTCAGTATCTCATCGATAGCATTACCGATATTTTCTCCCCTCTTTTGTCGATGGTGCCAGAGTACTCTCCAGCAAGACTCTTACTCTCCTTTCTACCGATATCGTCACTCATCTTCGCATTGATTGTGCCATGGAACTCCTCGGCGGCAACACTCTCAATCTTCCCATCTTGTCGCTCTTCGAATCGTTGATGGTGCCAGGGTATTCAACACTAGCACTCACGTATTCTTCTTGCCAATCTTTTCCCTCGTCTTCTTATTGATGGCGCCGGCGAACTCCCCGGAGCGAAACTCTCGATCTTCTTACCGATCCCTCCACCGATCTCCCTATCAAACGAGGTCTTCAGGCACTTTGATCGATATTCCAGCAATATGCACATCGACAACCAGGTGTACCTCTCCGTCGAATGCTTCATCGATGTCCTCAGATTTTATGCCCAGTACTAACCTAGCAAAAACCTTTCCTCAAACGATCATGATCCAAGTTTTGACATGGATGAGCATCGAACTCGCCACCCATCGACGAGCCGATCTTAGGCCAATGTCCCCTCAAACATTGCTCAGATCCGGCTGGAAATGCTTCTCGACGCTTGGGTGGTTGGATATTTGCATGGAGACCTGTTTGTGACTTGGTCTCACACCCATGGGCCTGGCTGGTCAGGTAGAGAAATGCTATTGATATCAGCCGATCTGATGAAGGTATGCTAGAGTCCTGAGCTGCAAGATGGTCCAGCATACATAGGTAGTGCCATAGAAACCTCATTTGTGACGTTGTTCGTAAGCCTGGCAATATCGTAGCATATTTTGGCCATATGGGGTTGTCCCTGGGTTCCACCTGTGATTTTTCTTGTGGTTCCACTGTCCCACCTGTGGTTACAATGCCTTCGGGCGCTTCCGATAGATCGGCAGACCCTCCGTTGCCACCGGTGCCTTTTCACTCCCCCACCAAAAATTGAGTTTATAATCCATTTTCATCCAATTTCGCTCAAAATACCTCACACAGCATCCTCCGACCTCAATAGAGGCCAGGGCCTAGTGGCCTAATGGTTAAGGCGCCAGTTTTCGGTATAGAATCCACTGGAGATTGGGAGTTCGAATCTTCCCTGGGTCGACGAAATTTCTTTTTTGTCATTTTTGGACATTTTTGACCGCTTTTTTGTGCCCCACCAGTATCTGGGGAGAATTATTTTTGGCTCTTGTGCGTTGGAGAGTGAGGTTGCGCCAGGGAAGGGTGCAAACGGCGTGAGGGAGTGTTCCAAGGGCATATCGGCCATTCGGGCATTTTGGGTCCTCCGGAGGACTCCTTGGCGGCCCCATTGGGAGCCTCGGATAAGAGCAACCTCGGAAGTCAATGTCTGAACCTTCAGGATGACCAGGATTGCGTGTTTGACCATTGAATATCGACACATGAGTTTTGGGAGAAGTTGGTATTCAGGGGTCAGGGGTCAGGTAACGGTGGCAGCGACGGCGAGGCTGAGCAACAACATCACCGGTAGATTTCACTGAAAACACACACAGAGCATGATGGTATTCAAGAAAGCCCATGGTGATAGAACTCTGCAGCAACAAAGAGTTCTCTGGGGAGACAATTGTTGTTCGAAATTTCATGTGATATTGGTTATAGTATATATACATCGGTCAATGCGCAGAGATCGACGGCAGCTGAGACTGGACTGCATTGGATTTCTCAGCGGCCTCCTTTGCAGCGAACCTCGCTGCTTCGTCTGCCTCCCTTTCATGAATTTGCTTCAGCAGATCAGGGTACTGAGCCATAAGCGTTAGTGACGAAAGACGACTGGGAAATAGAACTTACCCAGCGCTCTCCAACATCAGGATGACTCTTTATCCGGTTCATCAGAGTTGCTTCTCCAAGGCGTGACCACATGCCTTTGATGAAAGTGAACTCAATATCATCAAGTCGCTGACCACCTCGCTTTTCGAGGACATCTGCGCGGAGCTTCTTCACCGATTCAGGCACATCCATACTTTCGAAAGTGGCATCGTAGCTAACACCCTGGAAGAAAGGTATACTATACCTTGCGCCTGTTCCCCGTGGGGGACTTTGCACTCGATGTGTCGTAGACTGGCAAACACCCTGGGTCAAAGCTTCCATTCCTTGCCCAATGGCAACCACCAAGGTACCGTCGATGGGCGGGCAATCGATCCAGTCACCATCTCCATTCTGCACTTGCAAACCTCGGTGATGACTGGCTTGCAGAAGATAACTCGTCAGCATACTATCCTTGTGAGGACCAACGCCTTGCGCCTCGCCCTCGACGCCAAGCTCTTCCAGGTCCGGGTACTTCACAATCTTCAACTTATGCTGCTGAGCCTCGTCGAAAAATTGGGCGAATGCGTCCTTGGGTAGGCCGATGGCTTCAGCACAAAGGCTGGTAAACTCCATGCTCATGTCTCCCATGCGCTTCATATAATCCTCATAAGCCGCACGAAAGCGAGGAAGAGCATTTTCGTCCGGCCATTGATTCGGAGCCAGAAGATTTCTGTAAAGCGGATCATTTGGACCGGGGATTGGATGGCTGGTCGAGAGGTCAATTTGTTCGCGCCAATCTATTTTGAATCGGGTGATCTCCATTCCGAGTTTGTTGTAGCCGAGGAAAGATGGGGCATTTTTCATCTCAATCTCGAGCTTCTTCTCCTCCGGCAAGGAGAAGAAGGCCTTACCGAGATGAATGACCTCGTCGATGAGTTCCTGGGGTATGCCGGTGTTTTTGATGTAAAGAAATCCAACCTCCAGAAGGGCATGCCGTAAATCGAGCAAGAGCTGTGGTTTGGTTTTGGCATCACGGGCAAGTGAAAGATCCAGAATGGGAATGCTGGAGAACGACATCTTGCGGCTTTGGACGAGACGTTGCTAACAAATTTGCCGAAGATTGTTCAACAATGCCGGTGAGAACGCAGGAGAATAAGAAGAGAACGATCCGGCGTACGAGTTCGTGTATCTCGAATCATGATCACGCAATCATACGCCCGGTGCAAGGGCGAACTGCGGGGATATCCATCTCTTACCTAAAGCTTGGTTTTGGAGTTGAGTGGCGGAAAGTTATCTCTCACGCCACTCTGTATTGCCAGTTCTGATTATTGTTTGGGAAAAGACACATTCACGCTACTGATCGATACGAGATTTTCGATTGTGGTCACTGCAAGAACAACAACAAGCTGGCGAGGCTACGAGGCTACGAGGCTGAGGAGTTGCCGGCAGATTTATTTTCCGGGTCAACATGATGATGCGCGACAAGAGCACTTCCATCCTCAAAAAAGACTACATTCATGAATCATTCTACTCGTCCAGTTAGTGACCTGTAGAAGAGCCATGTCTATAACCCAAAACTTCTTAGGAGCGTTGGGATTTGAAGCGATTTGGGAATAACTCTGCCTGTCTCTGGCGTAGAACGTGGTGATGCGCACCAGGATATGTACCATCTCAGTCGGACTTCTCTATCGTCGGTCGAAATACGGGAGAGATGAGCTTCGCGATATGAACTTCATCCAATCGGTCAGCGTTCCATTGCCGTTGTTGCGCGGGTTAAGGTGTCAATATTTGAGAGGGAAGCATTGTTTGCGAGACCTTGGATCCTTTCGGGGTTGGACACGTGTGTCCAATGCCTGAGCCATAGCCTAAGGCAAACCGGCTGAGGGAGACGTTGGCACCTAAACAGCCCATGACTTGTGGTGCAGGTAACCCCCAAAAATCTGGCGACAGCCATAGCCGAGGGAATGGTAAACGGGGCCTCGGGCTTTGCTCTAAGCTTCTACCGTGCCAGTCATCCGTGAGCCGTCCATTCTCTCCGCATCTTGCATACTCCGAACATGTCTAGAAGTCTACATGTCCCTGCGTATAAATCATTGAGCTGTGCCACCTTTCTAATTCCCCCGAACTTTATATGATCTACCCTGTGTGCCACAAGTCGGAGACCTCAATAATGACCACTTGAGCCATCGTTCCCAATCACTTTCGTCAAAATGAAGCAAGTGTTGCGGCTGCGACCAGCCGCCTCCAACTTTTTACAAAGTATTGAGAGATCTCAACCGCGACAATTCTGCGCCACCCGATCCTTCCACAACTCTACTGCCTGGTTACAAGAGAAGGATGCAGACGAGAAACCTTCCTTCAGAGGTCAACTATACCAAAGTACATCAGATCGATTGCAACGAGAACGAGCCGACCAAGCGCGATACATCAAAGATGCTGAGGCCTCCAACCCCGGCCAGGGGAGAACTCTTGCGCTCAGCATTGGTAAGTTGAATTGAATCGATACAATGCTCGGTCTCTGATGTTTCCAGTGATTCTATCCGTCGCTGGAGTTGCCTATGTGCTAGGTACACGCTCCGAAAAGGCAGTCGATACCTCTTCCACTACCTCTCTAACCCGAGCACTCAAACCTCAACACGATACACGAACCTCCGTATTACAAGCTGCCTGGACTGATCTAGCTCTGATTGTTGGAAAAGAACATGTCTCAACGGTTTCAGGTGATCTCGATGCTCATTCAGGATCCGAATGGTCTTCCTATGCTGTCAAGCCCAATGAGAGGCCTTTTGCCATTGTCTATCCCGCTAGCACGGAAGAGGTCTCGAAGGTGATGAAGATGTGCCACGATCGAAAAATACCTGTTACTGCCCTGTCTGGAGGTACGAGTCTAGAAGGCCATTTTGCTCCAACAAGAGGAGGTATCTGTATCGATCTGGGCAGAATGGACAAGATTCTCAAATTCCATCCCGAAGATTTGGATATTGTGGTACAGCCGGCTCTTGGATGGGAAGACCTGAACGAAGATCTAGCCGAACATGGTATGTTCTTTCCACCTGACCCAGGCCCAGGTGCGAAAATCGGTGGCATGGTTGGTACCGGTTGTTCAGGTACAAATGCCTATCGGTATGGAACTATGCGCGACTGGGTTGTTTCCCTCACAGTGGTCCTGGCCGATGGTACAGTCATTAAAACTCGTCGACGACCAAGGAAATCAAGTGCTGGTTATAATTTGACCCAAATGTTTATTGGTAGTGAAGGCACTCTAGGCATTGTCACCGAAGCCACCTTGAAGGTCACAGTTTTGCCCAAGAGTCAAAACGTCGCGGTTGCTACCTTTCCCACAATTCACGCGGCTGCTGATTGTGTTGCTAAAGTGGTTGGTGAAGGCATTCAAGTCGCTGGTATGGAGATCCTAGATGATGTGCAAATGAGATGTATCAACAAGAGTGGAACTACAAGTCGACAATGGCAAGAAGCACCCACGCTATTCTTCAAGTTTGCTGGAACGCCAGATGGGATCAAAGAACAAATCCAAACGGTTCAAAAAATTGCCAAGTCAGCCAAAAACGAAAAGTTCGAATTTGCCCGAAATAATGATGAAGCCTTGGAGCTTTGGAGTGCTCGGAAAGAGGCATTGTGGAGTGTGATGGCCATGAAGAGGGATGCGAACGACCATGTCTGGACCACCGATGTTGTAAGTTACACAGTATTCGGGAACTCACATTGGAAACTAACAAATTTCAGGCCGTCCCGATCAGCAGATTGGCCGATATCATCCAAGAAACACGCGATGATGTTGCCAAAAATGGGCTCCTTGGTGGAATATGTGGCCATGTTGGTGACGGCAATTTCCATAGTGAGTTCTACAGAGTGGGTGCCAGAATCACTACTAACCTCGATCAGCCATTCTTTTGTACAATGACACCGAGAAGAAGGTTGCTGAAGAGGTTGTTCATCGGATGTGCAAACGGGCCATTGAGATGGAAGGCACAGTAACCGGGGAACATGGTGTTGGCTTGAAGAAACGAGAATTCCTGATCGAAGAACTCGGAGAGGACACTATAAATGCGATGCGCAAGGTACGTTACAATCACAGATACTAGATCACCAACATATGCTGACTTTCTGCATAGCTCAAACAAGCATTCGATCCCTTGGGAATTCTCAACTGTGACAAGATCGTTCATCTCGAAGCAGGTCACTAAAGCAATAAAGGAACAACTTTCGGCAATTTCACATCCCAGGGTGCAGCTTCTTAGCGCTACAAACGTCTTGCATCAACAATATTCATGACTACCACCCCCGTTGTATATATACATCCAGTGAGTTACATATACGTGGTGCATCTACAGAGGGAAAGATCGGGAATGGAGACCGAGAAATGCCGAGATGAGTCGCGCCTGCCAGTACAACTCAACCCCGCACTTGCAAGTTGGGAAGGCACGGCGTATCGCGTGGCGACGCGACTGTGACGTGTTTAGGCTAAAATACGCATTCCATGGCGTGGGATATGTTTTTGTCTATTCTCCGGTGGGCAGCTATCGAAAGGGAACATCACTCACATGGCAATATAGATCAAGCTAAGGCCATCATGATCAAATCGTTCGGATTACCTACAGAGGAAGTCCATCCGACACTCCTCATCAATTATTTACTTGGCCTGTCGTAGGTGAAAGGATTAATACCAGGGTCAAGATCCAAGGGTCAAAGTATCTTGATCTCATCCTTGTCTACCCCTCATTAGGTGGTTACGTGCATCACATACTGCCTCTTAGACCATTCTTTTGCTTTGTCTCAATTGTCGGAATAGGATCAAAATCATGGCTTCAGAAACACAAACCCGAGTAAGTCCGTAGCTTTCATCCACAACGGTCCTACTAACTCCCAATAGGAGAACAACTCCTTCGTCCTCCGTGGTATCAAGGACGTTTTCTTCGAAGATCGCCCTGTGCCAAAACTCTCGAACCCTCACGATGTCCTTCTGCAAGTCAACTTCACTGGCATTTGTGGCTCCGATGTCCATTACTGGCAGCACGGACGGATAGGACACTATGTGGTCAACGATCCCATGGTGCTCGGACACGAGTCCGCAGGCACTGTCCTAGAAGTCGGCACAGAGGTCAAGTCCTTAAAGAAGGGAGATCGTGTTGCCATGGAGCCTGGAGTACCTTGCCGGCGTTGCATCCGTTGCAAGGAAGGAAAATATAATCTATGCTTCGAAATGGCTTTTGCTGCGACCCCACCATATGACGGCACGTTGGCCAAATATTATGTTCTACCTGAAGATTTCTGCTATAAACTTCCCGATCATGTTTCGCTGGAAGAAGGTGCTCTGTTTGAACCACTGGCTGTCGGAGTTCACATCACAAAGCAGGCAGGCGTCAAGCAAGGAGACACAGTAATCGTGTTCGGTGCCGGCCCGGTCGGATTACTCTGTGCTGCTGTTTCACGGGCATTTGGAGCCAAGAAAGTCATCGCAGTTGATATCAATGAAGAGCGTCTCGACTTCGCCAAATCTTTTGTCGCCGATGCCACTTTCGTTCCGTCGAAGGTTTCTGCGCAGGAGAACGCTCAACGGTTAAAGGATGAACACGACCTCGGCCAAGGTGCTGATGTCGCGATCGATGCCAGTGGTGCTGAACCTAGTGTTCAAACGGCAATTCACGCAGTTCGAAACGGCGGTACTTACGTCCAAGGTGGTATGGGACGAGACGAGATCACTTTCCCGATCATGGCTGCATGTACCAAGGAATTGACCATCCGGGGAAGTTTCAGATACGCCAGCGGTGACTATCAAGTGGCATTGGATCTTGTCAGCAGTGGGAAGATTGATGTCAAGAAGTTGATTAGTAGGAAAGTCGGTTTCGATGAGGCTGTCCAGGCTTTCGAGGATGTCAAGGCAGGCAAGGCCATCAAGGTCTTGATTGAAGGCCCAAAGTAAATTCTCTTAGCAACAACCTTGGTGTCTTTACTTCTTTCCACAATATCGCGTCATGAGAAATACTGGTTCATAACGTGCCGTTGACTACCTAGGTACTACCCGAATTCGATTCGAAACACATTAATGGCAGATTCCCAATCGTGCTACCAAGATCTTCGACTTCGTCCGACCTGCTCGTTGCTCAACCGAAGGAAGGTTCACAAAGGATTTTTCGCACGATTTTTGACTATTAAGCCTACAAAGTATACCCGAACAAAGCTTAAACCAAGCAGTTGGTGAGAACGGCAGTTACTATCCTCTCAGAGGCAATTGGGGTATTTCCTACCGAAGCCAGCACCCATGCAATCCCCGCTGTCGATCACTTACTATTTGACTTTACTGACCTCATGTACTCGGTAGCTGTTGACCCGAGTTTTGCATGGTTCATTGGTATCGGAAGTCGACATATGAGTACCATGGTCGACAATAAAAGGACGGTCACCAAAATGGCAGCAATACTGGTGCTTGCGGAGATCGACAACATCAATCTAACACACAATGCATCTTCCAGCTTCGATAGCCTTGCTCGCTTGCACACTCACTGCTGCTGCTCAAGTACCCTATGAGGAATATATATTGACACCCAAGTCACGGACCCTCCGTCCTGCGAAAGTCTACAGTGTGAATGGAACCGTACAATCAGCTGAAAATCTGATCAGGGGCCAATCGGCGAGCACCGTATTCACCGGGCCATCTGCAGTCACTTATGACTTTGGCAAAAATGTGGCAGGGCTAGTTGCATTTAATGTTTCTGACGTGGCTGGTTCAAACGCATATATTGGTATCTCATTCACTGAGTCAAGCTTATGGATCAGCTCTGAAGGATGTGACGCTACGGCTGATGCAGGAATCGACGAAGCTTTGTGGTGGGCAGTTGAGACGGATCGATATTACGCTGCTGAAAAGCAACATGAAAGAGGCGGCTTCCGCTATCTCAACGTCTACCACAATTCGACTGGAAATGTCACTTTATCTGATCTGACGGTATACTACACTGCGATACCCCACTTTACCGAAGAACAACTTGCGGGTGGAGTCCAGACTGGATATTTCCATTGTGAAGATGATCAGATCAACCGGGTCTGGTATGCTGGTGCATACACGAATGAGTTGTGCACCATCGACCCAACGGCAGGAAACTCCCTCATTTATTTGGGAACAGTCAACAGTACTTCAAATGTGAGCGAACCTTTGGCCTGGTACAACAACTACACGATTTCCAATGGCACAGCTGTCCTTGTCGACGGCGGCAAGCGTGATCGGTTGGTTTGGCCAGGAGATATCCTTATCTCGCAGCCAGGGATTTTCGTTTCCTCGTATGACATGGAGATGCTTCGCGAGTCACTCGAGTCACTGCTAGTGGAACAGAATTCCTCGGGTGCTTTGCCATATGCTGGACGTCCTTTTGGAGAAATGCTTCCCGTATGGTCCTTCACCTATCATCTGCACAGTTTAAATGATATTTACGACTATTATCTTTACACCGGCAATGAAACATTTCTCAAGCAGTCCTGGGACATCTATAAACAAGCCTTGAACTTCTCATTGTCATTTATCGACGACTCGGGAATGGCCAATGTTACTACGTCGGCAGACTGGCTTCGTTTTGGGATGGGAGGCCACAATATCGAGGCGAACAGCATTCTTTATCACAACCTCAACCTTGCCATCTCCCTTGCTGGACATCTCAACGACACTTCAGCATTCGTCCAGTCCTGGCCAGACATTGCTGAAGCCATCAAATCAGCCGCCAATGAACAACTATGGGATCCTGAACTCAACCTCTACCGTGACAACGACACCCAGCCCTTGACAGACCTTCACCCACAAGATGGCAACTCATGGGCAATCATCAGTAACCTAACCTCAAGTTCCGATCAAGCAGTCAACATCTCAATTGCTCTCCAGGACCGCTGGGGTCCATACGGCGCACCAGCACCTGAAGCAGGCGAGACTGTCTCGCCCTTTGTCAGCGGCTTCGAGCTGCAAGCACACTACCTCGCCGGCCGGGGGTCTGCATCCGTAAATCTGATAAAACTCATGTGGGGCGACTTTATGCTCGACGATCCGCGTATGACCAATTCTACCTTCATCGAGGGCTACTCAACCAACGGCGACCTACATTATGCACCCTACAAGAACGATCCACGCATCTCGCATGCCCACGGCTGGGCGACTGGCCCAACGTCCACGCTGACGTTCTTCGCAGCAGGGCTACAGGTGACTTCCGCAGCTGGGCAGACATGGCTCATTGCGCCGCAACTAGGTGGGCTGCAGAGCGTTGAGGCTGGGTATCAGACCAGTGTCGGATCGTTTGCTTCTCATGTCACGAGTCTTGGGAATGGTGGACTCAATGTGACATTCAGCACACCTTCTGGTACTTCGGGTAAGGTGCAGCTGAGATACTCTGGCGAGCTTGCAAGCTTGACCGTTACGAACCTGGATCAGCAGAGTCCAAACGTTCGAAGGGATTGGGTTGGGGTTGTTGTGAAGAGGCAGGTGACAGAAACAGAAATGGGCGCTAAGGTGGTCACAGTCGATGATCTGCCTGGTGGTAATTACACTGTCATCTTGGTGACTGGTACTTGACCTTGGGGAGGCGACCAACTAAAAAGCCTCCTCGACGGAACACGGTGCAATGCCAAGACGAGGCTGAGACCAAGGGGCTCACTTTGGGAGGTACATAGCTTTTGGCAATCAACGAGCTACATAGTAATTTGTCGAGTCCATACCATCTATCGTGTCATATAGCAATAGCTAAGTCTAGGCTCTATCTCCTTTACACGGCTCTTTCTCCGTCTCCTCTCGCCCAAGCCCTTTTGGACGCCTCACCACGGCACAATCTGACCATCATACTGGTAAAACCGCCCACTCTCCTGGACGGTCACAGAATGCAAGGTCTTCAACATACCCTTGATGCTCTCCTCAGGGGTCAGAATGGCGCCCTCGCCACCCATCCTGGTCTTCACCCAGCCAGGATCCATGACGATCGCCACGGCCTTCTTCTCCTTCAGCGCGTCCGCCTGATGCACCGTCAACATGTTCAGCGCGGCCTTGCTGACCGCGTAGGTCGCGCACTTCACGATGCCTTTGCCCGACGAGCCCAGCCCAGACGACATGTTCAGCACCACGCTACCCGGGCCGAGGTACTCGTACAGCGCTTTGAAGAGCTCCGATGGCCCGATCACGTTCGTGTCGATGTGCGTGTGCAGATCCGCGGGCGAGATGGTCAGTGCTGTTTGCGAGGAGACGCTGTTGATCCCGGCGTTGTTCAGGAGGTAGTTTAGTTGTTGGCCAGAGAGGAGTTTGGAAATTTCGGCGCTGGCCTTTTTGATCGAGTCGACGGACGACGTGTCGCATTCTACGATGTGGATTTTCGCATTGTTGGACGACGCGAGTGATTTTAGGGTGTCGAGTTCGCCTTGTAAAGAGCGGACACATGCGATCACTGTGTTGTCGGGCGATGCTGAGATGATTTGTTGCACGAATTCGAGCCCTAGGCCGCGGTTTGCGCCAGTGATGAGGTATGTTTTGCCAGGCATGGTGTATTACTTCGTGCTGTGATGTGCGGATTGTGAAGTGATTGGATATTCCTTCTTCGGCGACCTGCTGTGATATTCGCTCCTTTTACTCGTTCTGTAAATTAAGAAGTTATGATAGCTACTGAAAGGCTTCGTCTGTGAGGGACAACATAAATTCAAATACATAAATTCTATAGTTACTACTCCAAATGTCTTTAACCGGACTAGACATCATTCGCTGGGTATTGATGGCTATGAGGTCAGGATCTTGGGGTACACGTCTAGAGGACCATTCCGGCTAATTGCCGGTTTGGCATGCACAAGAGCTGCTTTTTTGTCGCAGTTCCTCCCTGAACGCCGGCTTCAGTGACTCATTCTTCTCCTTTTGCAGGAGAGAGTACAAGGATCACACATGACGACCTGCGGTATCTCCCCGGTATACGAAGGGGTTTCGAATTACGGTTGTCAGATTACTAGATGCCGGTACTGTTTCTCGATTAGACAAGATTTTGTATTTTGAGCTATCGTAATTCCATACTTGATTCCAACCCGATCATTCAACGACAGTCGCAAAGGTTACTGATCTCTTGCTGATGCTTCAGGTCAATGTCTGACCTTGGATATTCCACTCAACCTTGCTAATTCCATTGTTACCCATAAGCCAAAGAGTCGTCAGATTTTCTCCCGTCCAAGCAAAATTCTGAACAGTGTAATTTGTCTGGATACGGATGAGCAATTGGCCAACGTCATCGAGTACATCAACACCAAGACCAGAACCAGTAAGCACAAGACCTTCTTGGCTGACCTTGACTCCATCAGGAACCCAATCTTGTGCAAGGTAAAAAGCACGTTTATTGAATATCTTGGTGCCATTGTTCGCTACGTCCCAGGCATAGATGAACCGTGGGCCCGTAGTGTTGAACGTCACACCTTGAGAGCCAAGCTTAGGGTCGATTAGACCGTTGACAGCTCCGGTGTCTGAGATGTACAGAGTACTTCCATCAGGTGAGAAAGCAATACCATTTGGTTGCTTCAGCGTGTCGTCAATCACGAAGACCGCGCCCGTCTCTGGATTGAAACGATAGCTTGCCGTAGGAAGTTGTGGAGCTGTGTCAGTCAACGCGTTGAACCAGCTGTAAGTGGGATCTGTGAAGAAGATATCCTTTGTGACTGGGTGGACTGCCAAATCATCAATATTATTGAAGTAAAAGCCATAGTAGTTATTGAGCAGCACGGTTGACTCATTGGTTGCAGGATCGACTGTGCGAATTGAAACTCTTTGCTCACTACCCTCAATATCGTTAGCACCTCCACTTGCACCGAACAGCAATTTGCCATTCCAAAAAGTGCCTCCATTAGGTGCATAGATAGGAGGATTGGGTAGGTATTCGCTGAGTGTTGGTGGGTCGTCGTTCAAATTGACGACAAGCTGTGGTAACACACCCGTTGGTGGTGCGAGCTGGGAAAGAAACAGGAGATTTTGCTCTGGCGCATAGATGGGGGCTTCATGAACCGCTGGGGATACACAAATTCGTAAGAAGGATTGTCCCCGAGGTACTTTAAACCACGCTCCCGGTCAAAGACAACGAAACTGGCATTGCTCAGGAGAGAGAAAGTAGGGGCATTTTCTACTGTGGTGTTCTTGAAGTCGAATTCTTCCTTAGTGCTGGAGATTGATCTGTTGAAATGATATGGCAGTACCGCCGCCTGTGCACTGTTAGACGGAGCCACGCGAGAACGATCTGGTACATTCTCACATATTTGTTTACACAGACCGTGCCACTGCCAGGTAGACCACATTGCTCCACAATGGGTGTAGTCACTCCGGAGGGCTCAATATCTTGTGCCAGGCAGAGTGGCAACAGACAGAGCTGAAGAATAACGGCAAGTCCCCTCATGATGCAACGAATATAGCGATTTCGGTAGAGATCGAAAAAGTGCGAGAAGGTCGCGAGGTAGTGAAAGACGCCAGTATTTCTACCATGGCACCATCTGCGGGGCTATCGATACTATGCATGCACATGGAGCACGCATGTTGAAGTAAATATGAGGAGAAATTGTTGCATCTGCGTCATAACTCGTGTTTATCCGGTCTAGAAATGGAATGATAGTAGAAGCTCCTCATGCAAGCTTCAGACAGGTCCTGTCGATCTCAGAAACACTCTTCCGTGATTGGACAGAGGAGGGAAAGAAGCATGCGTTGGACCTTTCATGCATCGGAATCTTGGTATTCAGAGAATGACGGCAATGGTGATGATGTGGGGGAGGCTGTTTATCATTGCGGAGAAGCCTGTTGAAAACATCGGTATATAGCCCGCTGGAGCGGTGCCGCCAATGGCCGACATCGTCGCATCATATCATTGGTTGACGATGTCAGGGGTCCGGACCTGGGCCAGAAGACTCTCAGGGTAAATGAGGAAGCGAGCCAATATCATTTCCTGGCGTCAAGACCAGTACTGTCTTCTATCCCAGAGTTTCCGGTGGAACTTGGATTGAAGGCTTCTCCAACAATGTTAGCGATTACCTTGGTCTTTGCATTAGCCTTTGCAATTCTGTCATCAAAATCGGTGACCGCTTCATCTGAATTGTCCCTAGCCAGTGCAGCAGGGTCTGCCGCAGCTGACAGGGCTTCAACGTGTTTTCGAAGTCGCGTAGTGGTTGGTAAGCGGGGAAGAGACTGAGTGATCTGATGCATCATGCCGGCCTCGGAGGTTGCAGAGGTAGGTTGGCTTTCAGATGAAGAAGTCACCTGCTGATGGCTTTCGTTGCCAGAAATTGACACATCAAGCCTGTGTTCCCATACCAGTGCTCGCCCTCGCTGTTTACCCAATTCCAGGGCCTTTTCGTAGCCCTTTTCTATGCCGAAGACCCTACCTTCGATCAAACCTGCGTATCTGCTGTCACCGACACCAGCGTCATAGCCTTCTTGGTAATAGTCATTTTCAATTTCGAGCAGGTCGTCAAATGGATCAGACGCCATCATGAGGATTCAACTTAGATAGATCCTGTGAACAGGATGACAAGAAACTTGAAGGAGGGGAAATAATTTTGTGGGATGCTAGATCATGAGGCTTAAAATAAGCATGACCCTTAGCGTCTCGGCATTTGGTTAAAGCACGAAAAATGTGGCGTATGGAAGGCACGAGAGCGCAACTGCGCGGGGTGACTCAGGATGCGATCCAAGGTTGCTGATTATTGTGAGCATGCCATATGCCACACTCGCCGCGACCCTCTAGCAACCCAGTCATACCGCCAGTACTATCTTTGACATTGTTATTCTTCTTGGAATCGTCGCTGCTATCTTCTGAGCCAACTCCTTCCACAAATTCACCGCTCTCTCCAAAACATCCCACACCAGGACACCAGCTCTGCTCAAGCCGCCCGCCATGGGCTCCGAGAAGATTCTACCGCAAGAGGGCAAGAGGAATATTCTCATCACATCTGCTTTACCATATGTGAACAATGTAAGATTTCCCCTTCTGTTTATGTAGACCATGACTTACTGTAAACACCAGACCCCTCATCTCGGAAACATCGTGGGCAGCGTGCTCAGCGCAGATGTCTTTTCAAGATACAACAAAGCCCGCGGCAGACCAACACTATATGTCTGTGGCACGGACGAGTACGGAACTGCAACCGAAACTCAGGCCTTGAAAGAAGGCGTCACACCAGAAGAGCTATGTGCGAAATATAACAAAATCCATGCTGAGGTCTACGAGTGGTTCAATATTGGCTTTGACATCTTCGGCCGCACTCCTACAAAGCAACACACCGAGATCTCGCAACATATCTTCACCCAGTTGCATGAAAGGGACTTGCTCACCGAACACACCAACAGTCAACCCTTTTGCGAAAAGCACGGAAAATTCTTAGCAGACCGATTCGTCGAAGGAACCTGCCCGAAATGTGGCTACGATGATGCTCGAGGTGATCAGTGCGATAAATGCGGCAGTCTCCTTGACCCTCTTGAGTTGATTAATCCTCGCTGCAAAGTTGACGGGGCCACTCCGGTAACGAAAGAGACAAAACATACATATCTACGACTCGATGTTTTGCAGCCTAAAGTTGAGGAGTGGTCGAAAGATTCGATTGAGAAAGGAGCATGGTCAAGAAACGCAAAGGTGATTACAGAGGCCTGGTTAAAACAAGGGCTCAAGGAAAGAGGTATCACTCGTGATCTTTCATGGGGTGTTCCAGTCCCTTTACCTGGCTACGAACACAAGGTGCTCTATGTGTGGTTTGAAGCTTGCATCGGCTATCCCTCAATCACGGCCAACTACACCGATGAATGGAGAAAGTGGTGGTACAATCCTGAGAATGTCCAGCTTTATCAATTCTTGGGCAAGGACAATGTTCCTTTCCACTCGGTGATCTTCCCAGCGTGCCAAATTGGCACAGAGGATAACTGGACGAAGCTACACCATCTTTCTGCCACTGAATATCTCAATTACGAGAACGGAAAATTCAGCAAAAGTCGTGGAATCGGAGTCTTTGGTAATAATGCCAAAGAGACGGGTGTACCACCTGATGTGTGGAGGTACTATCTACTCAAAAATCGACCAGAATCTGGTGACACTCAATTTGAATGGCGTCCTTTCATCGAAGGAAACAATTCCGAGCTCCTCGCTAAATTGGGCAACTTTGTCAATCGAATCATCAAGCTCGTCAACTCACCTAAGGCGTACTCCGGTGTTATTCCCGATTTCGATGCCAAAGATCTTCCCGAATCCTTCCAGGCTCCTTTGGCAGAGATCACAGACTTATTGAAGCAATATCTTGCCGAGATGGAAGCTGTTCATCTTCGTAATGGAGTTCAGGTCGCCATGAGAATTGCAGAAGCAGGTAATGGGCTCATCCAAGCTCATCGTCTGGACAATGCTCTAATCGCCAGTGAACCCAAACTTGCAGCAGCGGTGGTTGGGACTGTGATCAATCTGATCTATCTCACATCGGCAATATTTGAACCATACCTACCGACCACCACGGCGTCAATCCGAAAACAATTGAACAGTGACTTCCTGCAGATTCCATCAGAAGAAGATATTGAAGGTGGTTGGTTCCCGACTAATATCAAGCCAGGTCATAAAATCGGGCAGGCAGAATATCTATTCACCAAGATAGACGACAAGAAGGCAGATGAGTGGAAAGAATACTTTGGGGGAAGTCAAGCAGAAAGAGAGAAAAAGAAGAAAGAAGAAGCCGAGGTTGCAGCCAAGAAGGCTGCACAGAAGGAGAAGGTCAAGGCGAAGAAGGCTGCTCAAAAAGCTGCCGCTGCTGGTAGCAAGGGTGAGAGTGTAGAGAAAAGTGCGAAAGGCGGCCAGAAGGGGAAGGATTTGGCCAACGCTGCTTCGCAGGTTGGTGAGGACGCGGCTGTTGACAAGGTCACCGATGGTGTGGCTCAAGTCACTTTGCCTACTTCTTGAACCATCTTACAAAAGGGAAGTACTAGTCTTCAGATGTGTGGATGGATTGAAGCGGAAATTCTGCGATGAGAGATGGTAAAATGTGAGGATGATTGATGTGGAATATCCACCGGTGAAGGGCAATTCAACAGCTCTAGATGCACTACAAGGTCGTGCTTGTTCAATTTCTGAGAGAATCTGTCGATGTGTAGAAATGAATTGTCCCCCAACTTTTCAGATCTCTCCATGTCAAGATCTACTGTAGATACGGTGTTGAGGAGAGACTACAACAAGAGTCGTCAGTATTCACTCCCTGCCCTCACTTGCAGGGGAGTATAGCCTTCGAGGAAACTGCTGGAGGATAATAACAGACAAGCACTATGTTTCGAGACCCTCGCGTTCAATACGAAATCATCTCATACATCAATCTATCCCGATAATCGTGCACCATGACATCCCGCTCAAGGACCACAGCCACGTGGCGGGTACTGGTATGCATCAGTGCCTCCGTGATCTTCACCCTCGAGGAAGCAGGAACATCCTCGCAGCGTTCCGACGGCATTGAGAGCCCAGATTCCTCGATCGCAACCACCCGCTCCGCCACCGCAGCGACCATGTCGCTGTTCCAGACGCCCTCTTGTCGCGGCCCCTTGCGAAGCAGAGCTATGGCTTTCCTTCGGATGACAGGGTCGCGACACCGCAGCGCGGTCAGGAACATGGGCGGGATCAGCCCGATGTCGAATTTCGGAAAGTGTGGGCGGAGGTTTCGGGTTTTGGAGCGTAATTGTGCTGTCAGGGTCAACAGGGATGTGGCGGTGTCAATGATGTGCGCGAAGAGATGTGTATAGTTGTCGTATTCGACTTCGGTCTTAAAGGAGAATGATGGGATCATTACCTGAAGTGCATGGTTGTGTATGTCCATCACTAAGCAGCGGTGGTCCGGTTCGCCGGCCACGTTCACGACGCTTGTTCTCTGGAATGTCTTGAAAGCTTGTTGCCATTTCTCGAAATACGAGACGGTCTTCATGAACGGTTGATATTGTTGCATATGGTTTTCCATGGCGCGTTCTTCAGGCGTTAGCATCGTTTCTGACATTTTGGAATGGTAGCACATGGCCGAGAGGCAGAAATTGTAGTAATCTCGTGCCTCGTCTGATGAAGAGAAGTTTTCTGGCATGTCCGGAGTGATTGGCGTATATTGCGGTATTGATACTGGCTCTTGCACGATGCTTCTCATTGGGAAAATCATGCACTGCACCAGTAGTCTCCGGAAGATATGCCCAGCGAGTCTTGTGAACTCGTCACGTCCCAGGAGATGGTCGGAGGAAGATTCTGGGTCTTTGCTATTGCTCCACTCGCAGAACAGTTGTATGCCACAGGAAAGCTGACGCAATGCGGAGTCGAGATGACTCTGATACAGTTCAATGCAGTAGAACAACAGAGTGCTGACCAGAAGCTCCTCTTTCGAGGGACTCGCAGCAGTCTCTAGGGATTTTCTTATTCCTGTCACTGCCTTGCTGTACTGCTGAAGTGCAAAATTGTCGCAGTCTTGAGCGGGAGTATTTCTCTTCCTGCTGCTCGGCTCGACAACCCTCTCCCAATGTGATGCCAGTGCTACAACCGCGTGGCGTAGTGACGAAGCATTGTGTGATACCTGCACGACAACGCGATTCCAGAATGTCGGATCATATGTACCTGCCAGATTGGGCGCCACAATCTCACGAAAGTAGTCAAGAGCTCTTGCTTCCGTGGGAGTTTGGCCTGGGATAAGCGACATTTGGCTCTGAGATAGAATAGGTTCTGCTGGCTCCCAAAGCACAAGTCTTAGATTAGCCTGATGCGACTGATCCCGCTCATCTGAGTAGAAGCATTGACGAGAACTTCTCTGGCAGGAAACACATCTTGGGCGTTGTTGATCACAGCGAACGTGTCGATTTCGACAGGTCGCACAGCCTCCTCGACTTTTCGGTGCGTATTTCCGCTTGGCTATTGCATCTCGAGATGAATTTGCCTTTGCGCGAATATCTGTTACTTGGATGCTGACCTCCAATGGCGATTGCTTTGTTGACATGTTCCTAAGCGCATTGGAAAGAATGCAAGGACGGAAGCTGGCTGCCAGCGCAGTGCAAACTTTCAACTACCCATTTTTGTAAGTCGGTACGCGAGGCTGGCGACAATCCTGCGCAACAATGACGGGATGTTGGGAGGGCTTTGAAGTAGGTGCCACTGTCAATACCAAGACTATTTCCCGGCCACCCCAGAAATGGCGCGCCTATGTAGCGGACATGGTGGCTCATTCGTGTGCAACCACAACTTATGAACTACCATGGTTTCAGATATCGTTGATTTGCGCGGTAGAGAAGAGCAATCGATGGATCCAAGAGATGAGCACTGCAATTTTACAGATACAGCTCTGAACACAGCCTGCCGCCAGTACAGGGCATGCTTCCGGCAGAACTGCTTCAAACGATGCTACAGTAAACACCAAACATTACACATTGAGGGAAACAAGGCATTTCTTCATTGAGGGAGTGCACTTCAAAAACAACAACGCACTAGGCTGAAGTCCAACGTTCGACTTGCTCGCATTTTGTAAAAGCAATCAGCGAACGACAGTATCGTCTCCTCGTCCCTTGCCCCCTCTGAATCCCTTGATAAATCCCCTGCCGTCTCGCAGCTCGCTTTCGGCTCCGGCAACAACGGTGGAGACTTCATTCTTGAAGTTGTTAACAGCCGTGCCGAACTCTGATTTTTGATGCCGGTACCGCTCTAGATCTTCACCTCGAAGAATACAGTCGTCCGCAGGCTCCTCGGTACCCACATACTTTCCATTATTGTCCTTAGCGTAGTGTGTGAGATACTCAAGGCGTGTGACACTGCGCATTGCGAATTTCTGCTTGTCGTTCTTACCACCAGAACCTCCGCCTATGGACTTGCGGTGAAAGAATGACAGTTTTCTTGACTTGTTGTCGGACGGAGGCGCATTGTTGTTGAAATCTGTCAACCTATTGATGTCTTCAGGTCGGAGGACCGGAATTGAAATGATAGAGTCGTCGTGAAACCTCACTGGGAGTAGGTTTGGTGCACCAGCACCCATGCTATGGGAAGTGGTGAGTCCTTCCAAACCGCTATTGTGCCTTCGTGAGGCTTGCGCGTGGGCGAAAGAATTCCCCACAGCGGTAAATGATCCCATGTCTTGCGTGCCGCCCGCATCACATCCACCGCCGTCGGCCATCATATACTTTGCGCTGCCAGTTGCAGTAGTCCGTGAAGTAAGATATACAAGCAGGCTGGAACGATGGTTCCCAGAAAGTAGACAGGTAAGTTTACGCTCAGCAGACTTAGATGATCGAAACCATCAGGCCAGAAAGGAAATCAGTCGATATACATAACCCAAAATCTGCCTGGGAGAAGTTCAACTCAAAACCCACCATTTGACCTCGTTTCATGGATGAAAGAGGTGGGGATCGTGAGGTCTGTATCCATTTTTAGACAAGCTTTCGGGTCCAGGAGCCATTCGACGTTGGACATTTCATGCAACATCAGTGGGGAATACGATTCAAATGTGCGCCACTCCCCAATTTCGCCATCATGACGTAGCCCTCCGCTACTTGCGAGCTGAATATAGCAAAGCAGCCACACGCTCAGTAGCTGCAAAGAATTGCAAGTGCACCGAAGAGTCGGAAACTAATGTGCTATCGAAGCATGGCTGGTTTCACTTCAGCAGGGCACTGTTCGCCTTCCATCTCAGGTCATCGCCTGGTTGCCTGAAAATATAGACAATGCTCAGAGCAGCGCACTCGGCGCTCGATGATAGGTGCTCCGCATTTTTTCAGGAGTGCATGGTCCATGATCTCGCAACATGGAATCTGCCTTCTCTAGGAGTCAAGGCATTTTTCGAGAAGTCAAATCATCGAGATAACATTCAAGTACTCTGCCGTAGTTTTGCGAGTGCCGCTGCGATACCTTCACTCAATTCCGGCTCCTTGCGAGTAGGCGGTTGCGCTACTTTTGGGGAGTCTGCGTCCTTCTTTAGACGTGACTCTTGCTCCATCGCATACTGCAGTGCCTCTTCATCTTCATCGAAGTCGTCGACTGACAACTCCTGCAAGCGCACTCGCTTTTGCGAAGGACCGGCCTCGACATCTCTGTCTGCTGCGAGCGAGTTTGCCGCTTCTCTTGGGTTATTCGATCTCGTGCTTGTCGCCGGGGTTGGGGATAGATCATCAAAGGACCCAGTTTGCGACTCATCTCCGCTATACGCGGACATCATCGTTGACTCTTGCCTCAATAAGCCGGCATTCGACTTGGCGGCTCTCTTGATTCGGAATGGTTCACGAATTGTAGTAGCCCATGCCTTGACCTTTTTCTCACCCCATCCGGGGACTATAGCCAGCTCCTCTGGCTGTGCATTGACTGCAGCTCGTAGCGAACCGAAATTGGATATAAGGCTTGCAGCATCCGTTTTATTGATATTGCGAGGTGTTGTGACAAATTCTGTCAGACTCTCCTTGTAGGTTTCGGCTTGATGGGCTCGAATCGATGCGGGGGACGCATGTTCGTAGGATTTGAAGAGTTCGAGGTAGCGACCGGCCTCCTGGGCTGACCAACAGAGGATAAGAGTCAGATTGTTGATCATGGATGTCTTGGACAGTTCTTTGAGGGCTTCTTCATGGTTGGTTATATCTACCATTGTCAGCAGAATGCGAAGGTTGTACAGCTTTCCCAGTTGTCGGAGACGACTGTAGATGTACTCGGGATGTAGTCGATGGTACTTCAGAGACAAGAAAAGTGCGCATGTTGTCGCGCCCAGCACATAGTCACAGGGAATATCAGAGTACTCCCACGGCAGGGATTTAACGTGAGTCAAGATCGGGTTGCCTTTTTGACGAGTCGAGGCCAATATTGCAGAAGGACCCTGTCTCGAAGGTAATGCTTGTGGCTTTGGCTGCACGATTCCTGACGAGCCCGTGGGGTTTGCAGGGCCGCTTCTCTCCGTCGAGTTTCCCAGCTTCTGCACCACTGCTTCAGCTGCCAGGAATTCGACGTCATCGAATTCTTCGGCCATGATAAGCTTGGGAATACCACAGCATTCAGTAGATATCTGATGAGAGTGTATCAAGCGCGGGGCAGCCGCTAGACATCGAACAAGACCACTTCGCAACCATAGTCGCCATGGGTTGTATCAATATTCGAGGGACATCTTTGCAAGACGCGTTTTGCGAGTAAAAGCGGCTCGCGACTCGCTCACTTTTCTGGTAACATTACGATGCCGCTCTATACTGACCCCAGACGGACGTCATTGTGAATTCTGCAGCACATCACCCCTCAGCCACCCATCGGTATGGGATTTAGTTGCTCGTACTTGTAGACATCAGCTCAGTCCTAGCCATGGAAACTGTACCTGGTAGCATAAATTTAGCCGAGTTGACTACCTCATCCTGTATTCCACAGCCATTCAGACTGTCGGTGCGGCACAAGAAATTCAGGGGTCAAATTGCGAGGCTTTCCTTAATGCTCAAGCCTTGCCCTTTGGCAGCATCTTGAGGAATAGTTTCGAGGTTTACCTCAAAGACAGCCCTTGCTTGAAGCTGCTAGATCAGTAAGAAACTCAAGCCGCGCAGCAGAATGTTTTACCTACGGATTTAGACGGATTTGAGTGGAAGGACTTCAAGATTCACCATCGCATGCCCAGACGAACTGTATCGTCAAATTCTAACATTAGTAACCATTGATTATCTTCGCCATTCAATTGGACTACTCATTATTCTCTTTCCCTAGGAACTACTAGCCCCTGAAAGAAAGAGCTTTCATAGTTCAGATTTCCAGCCCCGTTAAATCTTCTCAATGATTCCTGCCTAAATACATTTCCAAGCGCTTGGATCAGTGTTAGGTCCAGGTCCGACGTAAACGTTTCGGCCGGGGTATTTGCAATGCTTCCTCGTCGTTGTCACATTACCAGCAGTGGGCAGCTTTCCGTAGCCATAACCTGTGATGGACTCTGGTGCCTTGCCTTCTTCCACCCACTCAACCATAGCGAGAAGCACATTGTCCTCCGGTGTGCTTGCAGCCTGCGGACGACCAGTATAGCGATTTCCGATGTCCCATGCCCCGTTTCCACCACCACAGTGTCCCATGCCACTGACACGGAAGAAACGATAAAACTCATCAAGCTCTGAAGGCGACAGTGACATGTTGGCAGCCACCTTCTCGTAGTATCTGGGGCTGTTGAGCGAGCTGATGATCGGGTCTGCCTGTCCGTGATAATGAAGGATCTTGCCTCCTGTGGCGTTGAACGAGGAGAGATCCGCATCGAATGTAGAGATGCCAAAGAGATCTATTTCCTCGCTATACGCAATGTCCTCAAGGGTCAGAGTGGAAGGGTCCCAATTTGGATCGTTGAATATCGCATAACGGTACCACTCCAGAGGATATACAAACATCTGCCCTGCACGAAAGATTGCTGATACTTGCGCCTCAACGCCTGGCTGACTTCTTGGATAGAACAAGGTTCCATTTTCGCCATATGAGTCAGCGAAGAGATTTTTAACAGTAGTCGCTTGTGCGCCGGATAGGCAGGTGCTGGTATTGGATGTAGCATTGCAGATGAGTGACGAGATTTTGGGGAAGCACATTGAAGGGTCCTCGATTATTCCGTCCAATGCGCCATCCAAGCCGTCACACTGCCGAATGACTTCGGCCTGTACGCTTACCCACTGTGGGAGTGAGACAAAAGAGGCAGAAGTGTTGTCAAACCCCGCCAGGACCGCCTGCCAGCCACCCCAGCTATTGAGGTTGTTGAAGTCGAACGCAGGGGCTCCGGCCACAATGCCATCGAAATCGTTCGGGAAAGACTGGGCTGATTTAAAGCCTTGCCGTCCACCAGTCGAACATCCGAGATAATAACTATAGGAGTGATCGCGGCCGTACAAAAGTTTTGTGACTTGCTTGCCCACAACGACGCCGGTGTGAACAGAGCGATATGCAAAGTCTTCAACGACCCCTGGGGAATTCAGGAAAGGTTTTCCGCTGGTACCATTGTGGCCGTTGTTTGCACCTACAGCCGCAAACCCAAAGGATGCAGCGTAGGCAAGGTCTGCATATGAGATACAGCCATTCAGGCCACCATTGCCGACCGACAAGAATCGCCCTGTCCAATTCACTGGAAGCCATGCCTCCAGTGTGATGCCGGAACTGGCCGATGTCGCAATGTTCATGGTGATTCGACACAAGTCACCTCCATAGACAACCTGGGAGGCTGCACATGTAACATCCTACTCGTCGTCAATCACTGCTTTGGCCGAGAGATATGGGTACCATAACCACTTACGTTGTCAGGGAATGTCACATTGGTTCCGCCGGGGACAAAATCGACAATATTGACAGTGACATTGGGTATCCCAGCGACAGCAGCCCTCACATCGCTGCACTGCTTCTGAAAATTGCTTTGGGCAGTAACCAAGCCTAGGAGTGGCAAGAGGCCTGTAATTAGGCGAACGTTGCTCCACATGTTTGACCTCTGTTTCTGCGCAGAATCTCTACGCATTCATCTGGAACCAAGAGAACTTGACAGCTTCATGGAGGCATCATGTTATAGTAATGCACATTGACCCACGGCGGTTAAAGATATTTCCTTGCCATGTAGTCTTGATCGGTACTTGTGTTCACCAGGCTTCGGATGAAGACCTGTGAAGGGCTCACTACCGGGGTGTCCATGGGAATGGGGTTGTTCTCCCAGGGTATACGCACGAAGTACGCCGATCTCGAGCTTTGAACTTTCTAGCTATGGCCCTGCTAGCTTGAGGTCTGATTCTCTTCTCAGTTCAGAAAATAGACTCGGCTTAAGTTCCCCATTGACCACTTTGACTAATTACCTAGGTGGTTATCTCGGAGTACATTCGAGTTGGGGGCGGGGTAATGCAAGACCAGACTTCTTTCATAGACAGCTACCAAGCCTCGAGTCGAGACTCGAGAGCGAAATTAGCTTCGCTCGAGAGAGGGGTGGAGTGGACAGGCCTAAATAAGGCTTAAGGACGTAAAACGTGTGCATCGGGTGTGTCCAACGGCAGTCCATTCAAAGGATGGGTGACGCAAGGTGTGGTCCATCTTGGATTCCTCTCTACCAAGAATGCTTGTTACGGGCCATAGGTGCGGACCTACATTACTTCACAAAGTGATGAAGAGGCAAGAACCTTGAACACTAGTTTTGCAAGGCTAGAGTTATGGCGATGTTACCCCTTCCAGCTTAACACATTTTTATTAGGGACCAAGCCTGCCCGCAAATCTGGGGTTTCGGCTTTTGGAGCGGCAGATGGAATGACCAATTTCTGCATGTGGATAATTAGGACACAATTTAGGTATTTGCTCAAGCTTTGAACTGCATGGCACCCTTGACCGTATATACTATGAGATTTCAAGCACATTGTATGTATCTCTGCTCCACAGAACTAAGACGAGGGCATTTCACTCGCCACAACCGCACCCTCAGCCGCCAAAGTCACGTAGTAAAGCTGTGTCTCGGCACAAATGACCATTCGACCTTTCCCAGCAAAGTTGAAGTTCGCAGAGGTCATACCGACGAAGATCTTGCCGAGCAATGTGCCCGAGGGGTTCCAGACGTGTACGCCGTCGCCGACCCCGGAGTAAACGTTGCCATTGGTATCACAGTGGATGCCATCGGGGATGCCTGGTGACACGTAGGAGAAGATCTTACGATTGCTCCAAGTGCCGTCGGGCTCCACAACGTAGCGGTAGCTATTCGCGGCTCAGTCAGCTGCTATCTTGCGTTGTGTGCAATGATGCACAAGACTCACATTGAAGCTGGTGCTGTGAAATTGTAGCCGTAGAGCGCATACTGTGCGCCCGTGTCGGTCACATAAGCATAGGAACCGTTGGGGGAGAACGTAATTCCTAAATTTAAGATGAGAAATGGGCTTTTCTTTCACGGTTCAGGATATACTCTCAGGAACTCACCATTAGGCAACTCAAATCCATCAGCCACCACCGTCACGGCGCCAGTCGATGGATTCAAGCGGTAAACCATGTTGGGCAGTGCAGGCGAAGGACGAAAATCTTGCAAATAACCATACAGCGTATCAGTAAAGTATACATCTCCATTTCGTGGGTTTATGGCTACGTCGTTAAGAGAGTTGAACTGTCGCCCGAAGTAATTGTTTAGAAGTACTGTTCAATAAGATCATGTTAGTCCGTCTCCCAACTGAGATGGTTTAGAGATTCAGTAACATACCAGTTGTGTTATACGGCTCGACGGAATTCATAACAAAAAGTGATGGCGCGATATCAGGGCCCTGACCTTCGCCTGTGAAGATGATTTCCCCGCGATAGTTCGTAGCACCTTGAAGATATAATCAGCGCCTTTCCCTTTACACGCGTGATCGTAGGACTCCTCACCATTAGAGTTGATAACTGTTGGGGTGGCATTGACAGCTATCACCTCAACCTGGCCACTAGCATTTCGTTGACTTGAGACAGCAGCCGCTTGGTCCAAAGAGATCTTCAGAATGACATTTGATTTATTGAGACCAGTACCAGCAGCGGCTGCTCCTGCATTCTGGACGAAGAAGACCTCGTCTGTAGGAGGATACCTGATCGCCGTTTTAGTAAGAAGGTCGAGGAAGACTCAGAAGGGGCATATATACCAAACAACAGCTTCATGAAATAACGGATCGCCCCCGGTACTGCCGATAACCGTCAATGTAGGATTCGTGCCGATGATGTCGTAGAAAGCCTCGTCGTAGACATGGAATGGCTTTGCAAGAGCATCATCTTCACTCAGACCGGGTGGCAGAAAAATCTACAGCCTGTCAGATCTCCGTAATCATGAACCTTTGTTTCCTACCCATTTGCCTTACCGAGGTGAGGTTCGACACCGAGGGTGGTGGAACGGTCTTGAGAGCATTGAAGCCTCTTTGATCCACGAATTGAGCTTGCTCCGGCACAGTCTGAGGACAAACCTCAGAAAGCAACGTGCTAAACAGTAGAGAGAGTACTAACATTGCGTTAGAGTTGCGAGTGTGCCTGGCATCGCATGTCATATTGTAGCCAAGGTGCGACTTCCAGGGTATTTGAGCTTCGCCGACATAGCGAACTCCGCTCTGCATCGTGCTCGAGAGGATGAGGTCACGACCTACCTAGGTACCTTGCCCCAATTGTCCCGGTAGAAATATCTGAGCGGCAAGTGACCTTTAACCGTTGAACTCAAAAATCTCAGGAACAGGATTTGTTCATGTACCTTGCACGGCAATTGTGCGCGGGGAGATACTTTGTCCTAGCCCAGAAATGCATATTGATCAACACCAAGCAGTGCGGGGTACCCCTGTATACAGATTGATTCGAAGGAAGACCGGACTTGAACGGCGACCCTGCAAAGCTGCATATTGTATTGGATCTCAATGATGCTGGCTCGGTAAAGGTCGGGCTGAATGCCGAAGAATATATCCCTGGAACCTTTTGTTGGAGGCTTGGCGGTAGGAAATGCACTTCAGGAATTATCAAATTGTATCTGTCTTCTCTACTCATGGAGGCTGTTCTTCTCTCTATATAAGTTACGTATATAAATTACGTGTAGTGACGATCTAAAATGGTCTTTTCCGCATCTCCTGAGGCCCTTATCTAGCTGTAATAACTGGTTGTTAACCCTATTCAGCTGAGGCTTTTGGTCCTTGTCGAGCTGATAACTGCACTAGTGGTAAATTGCGATACGGCGGATTATTACGGCGGAGTAGAGAGGTCTTGGCAGTAACACATTTTCTTGTATCACGTGAGTAGATGAGCTAGTCTAATTAGGCTTAGGCTAGCCTTTCGATCGACAACTCCTGTTGTTTTTATTTGTGTGGTTTTCGAACTTTATTGTTTGGAATGAAATCTTTGGTTTGCTAGATTGAGTATTATTCTATACTCTATTCTTGTGGAAGATGACAGTGGGAGAGATCGATGCAATCCTTGCTTCTACTCATTCACGGGTGGGTTTGCAGCAAGCAACGTTCATCTTTGGGTGTCCGCCTGCTGATTTCATTCTTGTATTGTTGGCTATCTTGTGAAAGCGTGCCATGCTATTGAAGGTCCTGATACTTTGATAGTAACGGGAGAGGATATGAACAAGATGGAGTGATACATTGCTTATGATGACCCTCGATCTCCTTTTGCTGTTTTGTTGGTTTGCTGTGCACTAATCATACACGATCGCCGATCGGAACGCTTTGGCTACTTGCTGAATTTTTCCTTGCATTGTGTCTTATATTGACTTGCGATTGGACAGGTGTCTCGGGCGTGCAGCTTGTTCCTTGCTGTTGAGTGTTGGCGTTGAACTCGATGTCTCAAGACCGCTGAGGTGGATCAGCAGGATGGATGATGAGATTCAACCTCTATTGCTGAGCCTTATTGAGCACGTGCAAGAGTCAAGACACCGCGTGGTGAGATGACAGAGATTGGAGGTCTCAAAAGGACGGACAGTGTGGTTGTTCTGTCCACACGAATGGCTTGCTTCTCCGAGACAATAAAATTTTCGCGCATCAGGTATGGGACATCCGGCCGGGAGCTGGATGCCATCGAAGGTAGACTACCCATTGATCGTTGAGTGCGTTGGATCGAAATGGAGCGGCTGTTAGTTTTGCTAGTTATGATGGTCCCTGCTAATATTGCAAGTCAGCAGGTAATTACGACTAGAAATTCCGTGTTTCTCACCGAAGTCCGGTTGTGCCTGTGGTATCGGGCGAAGCACTGTCTTTGAGTGATTGATATTTCGAGCTCTCGAAATGAGGTGAGAAGGACAAGCCAGCGTGAAAACATCTTCAGTTGTGGGCGGACCTGTGATGATTGATAAGTGGCTGGATTTGGGCGAAGATGGCTGAAATGGCGAGTAAATGGCGCTCATGGTGGTGAAGAATGTGATTAGATGGCAAGCACATTGCGCTACTGCTGCTGCCGGTGGTGGTGGGCATGGTGAGTAGATGGCTCTGATGGTCTCCGGTGAGCAGAAGATGGAGGATCATAAGGGGTGAGTGAACACGCGACTCAAGGGTCGCGATGATTGTTCAAGCTCCCAAAAAGGCCAAAGACCACAAGCTCAAACGAATGCAGATACGACTCGAGGGTCGTAATGATCGTTCAAGCTCCCAAAAGGGCCAAAAATCCCGAAACAACCGAAACTCCAGCAAAGCAAAGCAAACCAGCACAAAATCAATCAACTGTTATTTTTTTTGTTTTTTGGCTGTCCGGGGAGCCACCCCTTGAATGGCCGGTGCCTTCCTTTTTTTGGAAGGCGCATTGGCGCCACCGGCCGCCTTCTTCTTCTCTTTCTTCTTCTTCTCCTTCGGGGAGGAGGAATGGGCGGCCTCTTGAGAGGGAGAGGGGTTTCTGCTGGGTGACTGCCGTACGCTTCGGTGCGGCCCTCGTCAGTATTGGGATTTGGGGACAGGAGACTCATGAACATGATACTTACTAGTCAACACCAGCGTCCACCACCTCCTCGCCCGTTGTCTCCTCCCCTTCTATAAGTTCAAGGACCCTGAATTGGTGAGACATCCTGTCAAATACTATGGAGCTCTAACGGAATAGCTTACCATTGGTTGTCGGTGGAGTCCGGGAGGGCTTTGCCTCGATAACCAGTTCTCAAACCCTTATTGTACACAATATTAGGTGTACGGTGGCGAGCCACGATGGCACTGGCGCTCTCCTTGGGCTTATTGGGTGCCCGTATGATCTCTCCAATCTTAAACACTATTCCCATTGTTAGTGGCGCGATCCCAAAGGCTAACACACATTAGCAAGATCGTTGACATACCTTTACCATTGCCGTATAGGCTCGAGTTTATATGGGCTATATGCAGTCAGTCAGTATAGCCATGGCGTACCTATCGGGGCATCAATGCACTGTACCTTGGTTCGTCATGTTGGGCACGAGGAGGAGAAAAGAGAGAAGAGGAAAAGAGAGAACAGAAGTCACTCGAGTCGCGTGCTGGTCACAACTAGCGCGTGTCCGCCGCTATGGCAGGCGCGCGCCAGCTACCAACACTATATTCACTGCAGGTAAATTCCAGCTATACTGACAGCTCAAGTCACTTACGTTCGGCCTTTGTCATTGCTTTGGGTATTATCCATCTTACTTTTGTCCTACCATTAGCACCGTATCGACGCTTTATTTCACCTCAGGGGTGGCTCTTCTGAATGGCCGTTTGGAGCGTCAACGAGTATCATCATTGGCCCCTTTCACAGTCGACATCATAAACCAACACCACGCTGCTATTTATTCCTTTGAAACTTTGCCATCTACATCATCCACACAGCTTCATTCTCAATCTATGAAACTATCACCAGGCACCTTTTGTCGGGACAAAAGTTTGTGAGCTTGAATAGTCATCAGCAAGCGCTTATCCGCCGAACACATGGGAAAAGAGCGAGCACATTTGTTTCACACATTGAACAGAGATACACACAGCCGATGGAAGCATGGATGATCATCCTTAGGCGCCTTCTGCGAGTGTCATAACAGATCACAGCATTCAAGGCAGTCGGAAGGAAAAAATCATGGACTATCGGGAGTCCAATAAAATAACTTTTTACCGGTGCAGTCTCTGGCATCCCAAAATACCCACCGATCAAATGTTCAACTAAAAGGGTAGAGCTTGAGTTCAGAAGTAGCTCGAGCCATGACGGCTTGGACTTCGTTCAGTACTGAACGAAGCAAATCAGAAACATTTCGGGAGCTTGAACGATCATGTCTCTCTCTGGCGCTGAGAGCTTGAACGATCATGTCTCTCTCTGGCGCTGGGAGCTTGAACGATCATGTCTCTCTCTGGCGCTGGGAGCTTGAACGATCATCTCTCTTGGGGTTTGAACGATGATCTATGTGGCCCCCCGCCTCGTATTGAGGAAAACAGAGCAGAACAAGGCTTGAATCTCCATGTAGACTAAAGGCATCAAGCTATGACATTGCTATTTGGCCCGAAGAATGCTTAAGTGATAGCACATCCGCCAACTCTGCTGTCAGCTTGTTCACCTCAATTCCTGCTTCGCTCGGACAATATTGTGAAATGTGAATTTGGCATGTCCGCGACTTGCATTCGTCGGCGGTCGCTTCATCTTAGCGATGGCACCTCTCATCTTGAGATCCGAGTTGTATCCTACCACAGCAAGACACGCTATCACCATGAACAGCGAGGTTCTCAAGTGTCTAGAACCGGTCGTTAGTCTTAGGGCCTGAGGTCATGATTCTGTAGATGTGCATCTGACCCACGGCCCCTCTCCACACAAATGACGATAGCTGAATCTATAAAATCGCAATGCTCCGGGGTTCCTGCTGATTAATTTTCATATCGATACACTTCCGATTTTTGCTAACTCGACGGTGTTCAGTTATCATTAAACCTCTCCCGGGTCCACCTGCTGCTGCTAGCGTATGTCACTGATATGAAGAGCTTGAACTGCGAGTGGCTGATTATTGTTCATTTGTTCTAGCTCCCCTAACTAAGTGCCCAAGGGCTCCCAACTACTGCACCACTAAGCAGGAGCTGCGCTACGAATAAAGGCTTTAGATACCTACTCACATAGGAACAGGTATGCATGAGGAACGTCACAGCTTGGGTACTACTTCGCATTGTGTGATCTACCGCGGTAACTTCTTTAGTGCTGGTGTCTCAGGCTCGTTTTTTAGCAACGATCCCCGTCTCGGATGCTCCCGTCCCCACTAACGGGTAACTTGGACAGCAGTGGTTCTGGTATAGAAGGACAAATCAGTATAAGGTAGTTCGAAGATCGCGTTTCAAGAGCTGTACGACATTGCGATCCTCCATAATAACTATATTCATGCTTCTGGCCAGATGTGTTTCTTGAAAAGTTAGGCTACAGCGCTATTGAGGTAAACAGTCTGAAAAAGGATCGCATTCCAGAAAACCGAAGTGAGTAGTATCTAGGTAGCTACCTGTGGACTTTGGCAGGTAGCACTGCCTGTGCCAAGTAGTGATACAAAAACCGTCATTCATTGCTTCACGTTGCATGAGACGCCTGCATGCATAACAAAAAAAATAAGTGAAGGTATTAGCTAAGTGACTCAACACTACCTACTTCTCACCTAGACACTTAATTATGTGCCATTTCCTCTTAAGTACCTGCTTGATCGCCATCCCATTCTCATATCACTCAATCCTGCCTTCATCCACCAAATCATATTCAACGACCGTCCATCCTTCAGATTGCTTGAAAATGGCTACTTTCGATTTCGCCCGCCTCTCGCCGGCACTCTATGATATGAAAGATGTCACCTGTGTCTTGGACTTTCAGCTCATGGTACAAGATTTCATGAATGTGGTGAGGACCAACCCAGGCCTCTTCGAAAACCACGACACACATATGGGAGAATTCTGCACCCTCTTGGAATGTGACGATATGTGGCAAGTTGCTTATGCTGTTGTCCCGGAATTTCGCCTTCGCCAGTCAGTCTTCTATGTTCCCTGACAACCCTTTCCTTGGGTAACATGAGCGCCAGCTGACCTGTGACAGAGATCATGAGCTCGTTGAAGACACTCTTCTCAATGCCATCCTCCGAACCTTGAGTCACAAGCGACCACGTGTGCCGGTCATCGATCCAGGAACAACTCTAGAGAGGAACTTGGTCAAGAAGAGATTCAGAACCGACATCGAATACCTTGAGTCGCTAGGGCTTGGATTTTCTGATTTGGATGAAGAAGGACAGATGGAGATGGAGGACATCGTGCGTCGCACTTTGAATGTGCTTGAGGATTGAAGATGGCAGTTAATGCAACCCAGGCGTCGTGGACCGAAGCCACGGGAGCAGAGGTCTAGGCGATCCAGTACGTTGCGGAACTCCATGCACCAAGCTCGTAATATGAAGGAAGCAACCAAGTTCCAACGTCATGTATCTACATGGACAGGATCACGGGAGCCGCTCTCCTTCAATAGCTTCACTCATTGAATGGTCGGGATTGGATGGCTCGTTGAAAACAAATGGCAGCAAAATACAGGTAGTGATTACCGTAACTAGGATAATCGCTACTGCCGATTGACCCTGCTAGTTTTTCTTGCCAATTCACAAGTTTTCAATTCGAGATGGTTTCTCTAGTAGCTATCTAGGTACACAATTGTGCTGTCGACCATTTTAGAGGCAGTCTCTGGCTTCAAGGCTTTGGATGATTCCTCGGAATGATAATAAGGACATTGAAAGAGTGGCTGAAAACACGTGGATGATGACAATCTGTTTCGAGCTCTGCCTCAGCTATTGAAAATCTCAATAGGTCATTCTGCGTCTCAGTCAGGCCTCTTCATCCAGTTGTGAGATGACTAGAGTCCGTCCATGATCTCCCGAATTGAAGTCGGCTTCAGCACGCTTCTTGTAGTCCCCAATGGTCTTCAGGTAAGATCGTGGTTGCTTGATGACCACAGCACCAAGGCCAATTTGGATAGACTCCTCACCATTAAAAAACTGAAGAATATTTCGATGAAGTTCTGCCTCCGCAACAACGAATTCTTCAATACCGTGTCCTTGCTCCAGGAAAAGAGGTCCCTTCCGCATTCGATTGTCTTTTCTCAATTCACCGACATGAACTGGAGGCATGAATTCCGACGGTACAACCCATCGATGCAAAAGTTTATGTGCCTCTTCCTTGACCAATGAGGAGCAAACCACAATGCAAGGGTGGGCAGTAAGGTAGGCTTGGACTTCACCACGGCTGCCCTCGTTAGGCGCGTAACCAAGTCTCCATCTGCTCCATTGACTGCATAGCGTGACCATGAGTGTGGTTGACGGAAGCATCCCTGTCCAGCATGGTGGTTTGCCAGTACGGTCATACACGCCCTTTTCTTCCTCACTCCAGCACCACTGAACCATAGCCATTCTACCAAAAGGATGCCATTTGCCAAGGTCGATCATACAGCCCATACCTCTAGTAACATGTTAGCTCAGCCTCCTAGACACATCAGGATGGAAAACACCTACGTTCGTCGACATTCATCCATCAAGGGCATAAACAACGTTGCATCTTGACCAGCATCACGTCTCCCTGTGATCAGACGACGAGGATCAGTTCGCGTAGTTTTGAATACACGAGCATGCCCCCAGCGAGAGTCTTCTTGAGCTTCTTCCTCTTCAGAGACCGGATCTTGCTCTTCTCCGACCTCATTCAGTACTTGAAGCTCACCATCAACAGTATCTTGATCAGAGGCGAAGCCCAAGAGACGAGATGGACAGGGACCAGCAAATGTACGAATGTTCTCTGCGCTCAGTTCTGAGAACATCAGTTCACCGTGACGGTCTTTCAAGATACGGACAAAATCCATGTATATGTTCTGGGCTGTAGCATTGAACTTCACACGACGATGGGCGAGGAATGAGCGATCTGGAAAATCATGTTTGAGCCACCGGGCGGATGAGATCTCAATTGAGACTTCTTGGTGCCACCATGCTCGTGGAATATCATCCTTACGGATGAGATATCCAACGTTGTCGTCGATCATGGTGAGAAGGTAGTCCCATGAAGCTCGAAAAGTAAAAATACCTCTATCACGGTATCCCAGAGTATGCTGGAGGTGCTCAAGTCGCTTTCCGCTCTCAGAGATTTGGGCATGTTTTTGCTTCAATTCGAGGAAAACGGATCGTCCGGTAACGTGGTCAATTCGGATGTCTGAAGTTATTGGTGAACAGACTGGGTTCTCCATTATGAACTCTGGTGACCCATCTGTACTGTTTGCAGGATCTTTGAACGCTTGCCAAATTTTGTATCGTAAAGTTGCTTCCGGGCCATTTTCGGGTTTGATGGTTCGAATGCTCTGAGCCTGAACATCGACATCTGAGATGTACTCATTGCCTGAATACGGATTTCGCCTATAAGTGTTAACGGATACCCAGAGATAGAACTTTAACTAGAAACTTACAATTTGATCTGACTGTCCTCAAAATGCTCAGCCATATTTTCGATAGCTTTCGGGAGATCATGCTTCGGCATGACAAAAGGAGCGAGGATGGGGGGAAGGGGGTTGAATTGAGCCATCGACACATTCAAATTTCCGATACTGAAAAATTGCCCTCCTCTGGAGGTAGCCTTGGTGTCCATCTTTTTGTAGTAGAATCGAGGCACAAATGCTACCCAATTAGCATCTGCCGCAGTTGCGATGATAAGTGCTTGACAGTGCTTGACTTGTTCAGGACCACTGTACACGAGGCCTTTGAGGTGTTTGGTGGTTCGTCCGGCATGGGTCTGCGATGCCACATGCCACGCAAAGGACTTGATATCAATTGGTATTAGAATCTTGCCATTATTGTTGCGAAAGCGAGCCCACAGCGAAAAAAGACGATCAGTGATACTCAGTGTTGTGTCAGGTGGAAGGGATCGAGGGAGAAGTATGGCTGCATCCATGGGTGCGTACTCAAAGGCTCGGATGAAGTGTGGGGTTGCAGATGCCGCAATGGAGATATCGCCTTCGATAGAGGCAGCGGAAGCGAACCGCAAGGCATTTCTGATACGTTGTCTCCAGATCGCCTTCAGGTTGTCTGAGGAGGAGTTGTCTTCAACTGGAACAGGCTCATGATGGAGTAGTTCTTGACTGGAAGGAAGTTCAGTATCCGGAACGGACATAGGGTCAGAATCTTGATCGGAAGCCATAATCACTGATGGTGATTCCTTGAGGTATGAAAGATATGGTAGGAAAAGAAGCTGTGTTGAAGTTGTGGTCAGAGGTGGAAAAGGCAACCAAGTAGCAAACAAACCGCGCACGCGCACGCGTACGGATGACTGCCTCTGAAGTCTTTGTTGTACATCAGCGGCCGCCTTTGCTATTGCAGATACGCAGTGACTGTGCAGGTTTCTGCCTAGCTGAGTAGCTGGGACTGCCTGCAGTCCCCAGCCAAGGGAAGGTTTTAAAACCTAATCTTCTCCCATCACCAATTTTTGACCATCAAGAACAACATCCCATCGATCCTCACTGACTCAAATCGGGCCTCGACATGGCTCCAGGGGAATCGAGCGGCCCGAAAGCTAGTGCTGCCACAAATATCGACAATATTCCGGCCAGTCAGCGCGTCTATCTTGGTGCAAGAGCAGATGGATATCTCAATTTCTACAGTCGAGGTCCAAGTCCAGGATTCGATGTCGTGAACACTATCACCGGCGGCTACGCTTCTATGGGACCAGCCGCAATGCTTGCTCTGGGACTGACTGAGTGTTGTGCTCGGTTTGGTCGCGGAAAAGTAAGACTCTCTCCGCGATTTGATGTTGAGGCCCGGCTCTAATACTAACACGTCTCACAGGTCTTTCATTTCATCAAACCTCTGATTTCCAAGGCTACGCTCACCAGAGACATGTGGCCAGACGAATACATCTCCCTCCCGGAACTCATCTTCACAGACTACATCTGGACTGAGGCTGAATCAATCCAGTGGCTGCAAAGTCCTCACTGGCAACGTCTTGACCTGTTGAATGCACGCGGAAATGCGCTGTCGATTAGCAGCCCTGTCGTTCCCGTCACGCTGTGCTGGGAGACCAAAACAGATTATTCGAATATCAATTTCTTTCAAGGCCTGGCCCCCGTCATGCTGTACTGCAACGATCGCGGTGCCGTATATATGGGCTTACATGAAGACCTCTCACACCACGCAAAGTACTTCGACAGAGCTGCCAAACTTCCTTTAATAGGTCGCAGAGTCTGGTACGCCGAAAAAGAAAAAATTCCTCAGTTCCAAATGCGATCAGGCAACCAGGTTCTACAAGAATTGTTGAGCCTATACCAATCTCGGCGTCCAGGAGTTGTGTTCGTACATGAGGAGATAGTGAAAGAGTCAATTCAGGCGCATCATAAATGGGTGGCGAACGGGGGATACACTATTGCCAGCGACAAGGATCTTGGACCTGACGTCGCGGCGGCTGCGGAACTAGTTCGGAATCGACGAGGTTTCCAGAATACAGTGGCGCCCGCACGAGAACAACCTGACACTACAGCTATTAGAGCAGAACTCCGTGACCTAAGAGTTGAAGTAGCCGCGTGGCCCGCTTCTGTGAAAGAGGCTTATGCTGATTTCATAAATGCTGCTAACAGAGGCGTATCGGTGGTGGTTGAGTTCACGATTTCGAACATCAATTGGCAAGATCTATCAGTTGAACACAAGAGAAAAATTCTGAGACTCTGGGAATTGGAACAAGAAGTATCGACAGTCATGGAAGTTGAGGATCAGGCAATGATCGATCTTACCGCACAAGTTGAGCAAGAAACTTTGGATCCTCCGGAACATACTTCGCAACTACAACAACCTTCAACCAGCACACGTGGCAGAGCCACGAGGGCACGAGGTAACCGTGGAAGAGCCACACCCGCGAGGGCAAGAGGTACAAGAGTAGCATCTACTAGTGCCCCACCTGCGAGAACTTCATCTGCCAGAGCCTCATCTGCCAGAGCCACGCCTATGAGAGTCACACGTCGAAGAGCCATACCGGACGACTCGGACAACGAAGAAACAGCATCTGATCGCATGACAAATTCTCCTGACTTGACTGACAGCTCTGAAAAGGCTGTGGAACCAGAGGCCTCGACTGGCGTTCAGGATGAAGACGAGATCATGACCATTCCCGACTATCAAGACTCTTCATCTACATTTTAGCATGCAGAGCTTGACCTGGATGGATGACGAATTGGAATGAATGTGGGACATGCAAATGAATGTTTTCATTGGAAGCTTTTGTACGATTTATGAATGGGGAGAACATGACTACGAAGGCAGATAGACTGCTACAGAGCTCACCTCAAGTGATTTTTGCATTGCAAGACAGTTCTAGAAAAGCCCAAAAAAATTGTTTGAGTACAAAATCATCGTATCTTAAGGGAAACGAAATCCAAACCGTAGCTGGCGGAAACTAACCCCATAATGGCGAAAGCGATACCAAAGACTTCGATCATTGTGAAGTTTCTCCGGAGCTCCTGCTTATACCTGTTCGACGATTGCGTCAATACGAAAGCTTGCAAACATGAAGGCTAGATGTACCCCATTTTGGCCAGAACCGCAGCATCTTCTTCGCTAGCGAGTTTGGAGTCCACTATTAAAGAGCCTCGTCGAACCTGCTCAGATGGAGGAGCATCCATGCTATTACTCTTTGCGTCCGGTGAGGACTCCATTGCAAATGACGGTACCTGCAAGCACTATTCGTGATACAAGACTGAATTGAAGTTCAGAGATGAAAAGAAGTGGGAATAGGAAAGAGTAACCCGAGGTAGAATCAAGTTTAAGATATCTCGAAGCACGACAGAGGGGTGAGTCAGGCTTGAAGGACCTCGTGGGAGAGGTTCTGACCGCTGAATCCTGCGTGGCACGGAGATGAACGAGGTTCCTCTGGACGCCCGTTTCTCGTGTGTTGGATAACGAAAGACCAGGGTTGTGAGGCGCGACCGATCATGGTTGGATCACATTCCTCAGACTAGGGATGGAAGCGAATGATAAGGCGAACGCCATGGATGGCACGATGAGGTCGAATGAACATGCTTTCATCTTAGCGTGGGCAGGACACCCGTGGGCGTCCCGAGGTTCTGGATGGGACAGACAAATGCTTCCTCACGAAGGTAGCATACTGAGCTAGCAGGATGCTATCCAATCCACAGCGGCCAAAACTTCTTTCAGCTCATAGTAGAGGATTCCCATATCTGTAAGGTACACTGTTCAAGAGTTTGGACGCGTGATGTGACTTTCTGGAGTGCTCCGATGGGTCCGAGGAGGAGATATTAGCAGTGAGCTCTCAAGGGTTGACATTGACTTTGGAAAAGGAGATTTGTGGGGGAAAGAGCTTATCGGAGAGAAGCTCTCCCGCCCCACCGAACGTCCAACGGTGTTATCTCAAGCTCCTGCACATGAGTAAGCTCCAAAGCTTCTAACTCGCGTGGCCAAAACCTCAGATGACTAGCGGACAGCTTAGTTTGTGGTCTTGACGAGCAGACTGATCCTGTTCAAGATAAAAGTTCCTGCGTGCCAATTTGGCAGGAGAGTTATGCAAGGATCTTGATCCACGCTTCAAGGGAACTAATTCCGAGGCGACCTTTATCTAGGCAAGTCGAACTTATCATTGTGGTTTACAAATTCATGTCTAGCTACTGAAGGAGACCTGCACAGATGCAGTTTTCGTTCCCATTCACAAGTAAGGAGTGTGTTGAATAAACGACTGCAATCAATTCCCCCTGTTCAGCTCGGTTTGAACATCAGTATTCTCAGGCCTAGCCGGGGAAGCATTCTGCAACAATGTAAACGAATGGTGGGTAAGGAAATAACGCCAATTGACGGTACGATTGACCAGACTCGAGATGGCGAGTCGTCGAAGGTTAGAAGAACATTCTTGGAGTTTGAGATGGACATCTGGAACCCAACCCATCATCTATCGCCCCAGTACCTGCACTCAAGTCACACTTTGGATAAAAGAATGCACCCAAAGCGATGATGACATAAGCGGCGATCAAGAGAGCTCCCTCGAGGTAGTTACTGCGACCATCAATCATCAAAAAGCTGACGATAAACGCACTGGCGAACAAACTGACAGTCTCGAACAAACTGAAGTATAGACTCATTTCGGTGTCCAGAATCCATCCTAGAATGACCATGAGAGGTGTAACAAAAAGAGCAATTTGAATGCTGCTGCCAAGAGCAATGTTGATAGCAAGATCCATTTTGTTCTTAGCAGCCACTGTTACCGCCGTTACGTGTTCAGCCGCATTACCAACGATTGGCAAGATGATGAGACCGACAAAGGCTTGACTAACACCAGTGGTAGAGATAAGATGATCGATGCTGTTGACCAAAAATTCGGCACAAAGCGCGACCAGACCTGTCGTGGCGAGGAGCATGATGACAGCCGACGTGCGAGAAAGATGTGCTTGGGGCTCCACAACCTCCATGATCTCCACTTCCGTTCCAGCTTCTGATGAAGGGACAGTATCTTGCATAGGCTGTGGGAAGAGAGGCGATGGTCTAGTATTGGAGACAGTGCGATGAAGAATATCGGGCATCGACGAAGTGCGACGTAATCCACGAGAACTTGATCTCGGCTGTGGGGAAGTTCGCATCGGCATTGCTAGGGGTCTTCCAGTGGCCTCATGGTGGGGAAACATTGCTGAGCTGAAAGCAGGTCGGACGGCCTCAGACAGGTTGCGAATATTAAAGCCGTGCTTGGCCAAATTCTCATTAGGAATTTCTTGGATGTCTGTGGAGAATTCGACCTGTGGTACCCGAAGGTGGTTCTGGTCAATGCCAGGACCTTTTTCGGTTTCAGTTTCAGCCGCTGGGGATTTTTCCGGATCTGTTTCGATTTGCTTCCGCTTTTCCTTGTTCCTCTTTGAATGTTTGGACTTCCATGATTTCTTGGATCTTTTGCGGGACTTCTTGGATTTCTCAGAGACATTGTCGGCCTGAATTTCGCTTTCAAAGTCCCGTGTCCGGACGCTATTGATGCGAGATCTATGACGACCATGGCGGCCTTCACCATCGAGATCAGCCTCGTCGCCACTAAAGACCGGTTCTAACTCTGGAGAGGCTGGTGACGTTGTATGCGTGATGGATCCACCGTGATTAGTCAAATTGGAAGAACTTCGGGTAATGATTGGTGCGGAATTGTTATCCTGTGTGCTGGAAGTAGACTTTCTCCGCTTTCTGCGTAGAGCGCGTTTGAATCGTTTGGCGGTTGAGTGTGAATTTGAACTCGAATCGGTATCAGAAGAGCTGGAACTAGACGAATCGCTAGAAGAGCTGGAAGAGTTCAACATCTCAGCAAGTACACCAGGGTGGGATTCTTCGTCAATGAGGTGCTGGGGTGTACTCTGGTACATGAATGCGTGGGATTTGAGCTGGAATAGTAGATACAAGACGTAGACCAGTAGAAGAACCACGCTTGTACCTCGAGAAACTTTGAGCACTTTGTTATCGGCCGAATCCGCATCATTGAATGAGGCATGGAAGGCCGTGGGGAGCAAGAGACTAATCACACTGAGACAGAGCAAGCATGCACTCATCTGGGAAACAGTGGAATTGTACAATTGCTCACGAAAGCGAAGACCACCCACAACAAATCCCATACCGAGAATCAATAACAGATTCGATAGGATGGAGCCGATCGCCGCAGCTTGGACAATGCGGACTTCATTGGCAACCAGACCAATGATAAAAATGATAATTTCAACAGCGTTGCCAAAGGTCACGTTCAGTAGTGCGCCGACGGTATCACCCATCCGTAAAGCCACGCTTTCTGTTGCAAAGGACAGAAGTGAGGCCAGTGGGATGATGGCTACAGCGTTGAGGGCAAAGACAACCGTGGGACTCACGATGTCATTGTGACCCCAGTCGACCAAGGCTCCAAGAATAATGGCGACGGGCACAATAAGGAGAAGCCAGTTGATCCAACTGGAGAAAATGATGCGCTTGACATCTCGAACAAATCGGCTACCCAAGGACTGTTGAGCCTTGGGTTCCGTAGACCCTATGGTGGAAGGTTGCGCTCCATCTCCTTCCTGGTCCATAGACGGAATATCTTGCTGCCCGTTATCCTTGTCGTGCACGGGTTGGTCTGAGGTTGCAGGACCGGCTGCAGAGGGTTTGTAGACAGCATCTTTGCTTGTGGGGAAGGGGAAGCCAGATTGAGGTGCGGTGGTTGGCAGGATAGAGTCCTGCTTATCACGGGATGTTCGAGGGGAGTTGAAGGACAACTTCGTTGCGAAGTTCGTGTTCTTAGCCCATGAGTGTAGACGATTTGACAAGGGAGGCTCGTCAGCTGAGTCGACCATCGGCAGATGAATGAGCGTGGAAGGGAATGTTGAAAGTAGCCTTAAGGTGTAACAAGCCTTTCTTGGAAAGCGAGTCACAGACACACTGGAAAGTGGTTGAATTGATGAAGTAACACGCAAAACAGAGGGTTGGCTGCGAGGAGGCGGTGCAAGAGGAGCCTTTAAGCCTTTGTAACTCTCCACGAGGCGAACTGCGCCTGCTGGGGTGGATGGTGTGGGCGAGCCTGGAAATGCCAGAAGCCTTGCCCCCCGTGCTACCAAGTTTCTGGCTTATCGGGTTGGCAGATCCGGTCCTTTTAGGTGCAGATGGGGGGGTAAGCCTGAATGAGGATAAGCAGGGTACGCCTGGAACAGAGGCAACTGAGTGGCTGTGACCTGCTGGTGGAGCTCAAAGTACGCGCGGACCCCTCTGATGTATGCCCAGTCTTTTGCTCAGGCTTGTGTGTATTGGCACGGAAATGGAGGACTTTTGCAATGGCGAGATTATCTTATACGTTGATTAGGTATGTTTGCTGCCTGCCCCTGCCGCTGCCAATGATTGCTGTTCAGATGAGTTGATCAAGCTTGACAATGCTATCTTGTCTCTCTTTTGTTGCTGTCATTATTCGACATCATTATTCGGTGGGCACCTCGGGGGACGACATTGCAATTGTGTGAACCAAGGCTCGGATTAAATGTAGATTTATCCCCGAGCCCACGCTTGACCCAACACGGATAGCTTTATCAGTGATAAGATGTTGCAATCTCTTGGCATCATCACCTGTGACTTGTCCTTGATTGCCACATGAGTTCCAGACAATCAAGTTTCTATTTTGATGAGATGTGCATTAGTATGATCAACAAACCAACGTCACTCAGACACTAAGATGGCCTCAAATTTCATTGAGGCATAGATATGTCTACAGATTTCACGCAGGACGAAATGCATTGCTGCCTCCTTTCGAAACAGCAGCCAACCCCGCGCCACATATGCGGAGTTAACTAGACCACTAAAATCTATACGTCAAGACACAGGCCAAGATGGGCTCGTTTTGAAACCAAGTGGCTGGAAGACCTTGCCGGTCATTATGATCAAAGACCCGGGTCATTTTTCTTTATGGGTTTAGTGAGTCTCTACCAGCCTAGATCCTCTTTCCATCCTACTTGAGATTACTATGTAGATGAATGTCTACACCACGTGGAGGTCCGGGGAAAATGACTAATCCAGATGATGAAGCCGCCGCAGCTCAGCTACACCACGACCTCAATGATTCTATCAGACAAGCCCATAGGACAGCTCGGCCTATATTGACTCATCTGAATGCAGATACGACATGGTTGTTGTCAATACCAAAGCCTGACTACCGTCCCTTCCACTCAACTCGTTCTCGATACAACCTACTGATAGATCCATGGCTACAAGGACCACAATCAGACGTCGCTGGTTGGTTCTCCAAGCAGTGGCATGCAGTAGAGAGCAGTGTTGGCTCAATCCTTGAGCTGGATGAGCTCCTCCGCGACGCCGAGGCTTTCGAGTATGAGCGCCATGCTACTTCAGAGACCACAGCCCGAAATTCATATATCGATGCAGTGGTGATCTCCCATGAATTCACCGACCACTGCCACAAGGCTACATTGCTAGAAGTTAATACCAAAGTTCCAGTCTTTGCTACTGGGAAAGCAGCACAGCTCATCCGGTCATGGAATCATTTCTCAACCGTCATTGAAATGGCATCATTTGGCAACGGTGAGGATTGGCGAACTACAAGCACTCCTCCTTTACCAGAATGGATCGGTATCAGCAGAATAGTGACGAGCTCGGACGCTTTATACTATCATTCTGCAGTGCTGATATGTACTCGAATTTCAGATTCAGAGTCTGAAGCAGCCGAAGCAGTGATTTACACGCCACATGGATTGGCAGTGTCTGGTATTGCTACCATAACAACCGCGAAGCCGCCAATAGACTCCTTAGCTCTCTTACATGGATTACACGATATCTCGCTTGTCGGTAACCAGCTCAACCTAGGCGCCGTCAACGCGATCAAAGCTCAACAATTGCTGAACGCAAAATTCTGGATCGGAACCCACGATGAAGAAAAAAAGAAATGGGGATTGATTTCACCCTTCCTTCGAAGAAAGCCCTTGACTGTCTCAGAAGCTTTCGCACAGGTGCAAGCCACAGCCAAGGTTGAATTTGATGGCACAGAGGCTATGATTGAGGAACCCATATATGTGGAATTGGGAAATGGAGAGTCACTCCTACTGGCGTGATTGTTTGCATATGGGTTGGTGATATTCGATTAGCCTGCTGGCATATACGACCAAGATCGATAGATGTCTGGGTAGTGAGCAGAATGCGACTAAATCCATGGCATCCAAGAGATGTATTGGAAGAGCCTAAGCATACTGGACCCTTGCGGGGGTAGTCCAGGTATAACCTAAAAGGGCAATGGGGGAGAGATTTCATCAAGTGTGGTCTTTCACAGACGAGCTCTCGGCGGTATTTAGACCGAGAAGAACTGTAGATCCGTGCATTTATGCATGTAAACACGTACCTCACTCAAGTAAGTATAAACCTTTTTGCCTTACACACCCTCCAGCAATAATTCAACCAACACCTCAACCCGTCATCACAGATCAAGATATGCGGTTCCCATGGATCTCCACGCTCGGTAAAGACCCGCAGCACCGGCGTAACCGTCTAAATGGCGTGTCCTACCAAGAAGACGCTCTCACGACTTTCAACGGTTGGCAATACGCTATATACTACTCGGCTCTCGGCAACAATGGGAATGCTAGCGAACAAGAGCCCCTATATATCCACTTAGCCAGAAGACCATTGACACAGCAGACCTGGGATGACATACTCGTTTTTGACGACTACCCTCAAACAACGGATGATGGGCACAATACAGCGCAAATGGGTATCTGCCACGGCGATGGGACGATACATTTGAGCTATGATCACCATTGCGACGTGTAGGTATGCTCGAGCCGTTTGAAGACGGTTTGAATTCTTCAAATGATCATCACGCTGAGTGGAAGGATTTATGCAGATTGAGATACCGATATTCCGTTCCTGGGCTCGCGCTGCATCCGGAAGAGCACAAGTGGACGGCGAGCCTGTTTACGGCAACACTACATGCTTTGCCAGGCTTGTCGCCAGGATTGGACACATTTCATGACGTCTCGTATCCACGATTTCTGAGTGTTGGTAATGATCTGCTGTTCACTCATCGTTTAGGACGGTAGGTTCTTCATCCGTCCGTTGCAAAACTCCACCCACGCCTATCATTCATCGGTGCCCTTGTACACTGACTGTTGAACCCCTTCTTGAATTTCAGGGCTGGTTTGGGATCCGACGTGCTGTACAAGTATTCTTCCTCGACCGGCGAATACACGTTCACTGGTCAGCATCTTACAGGCATAAAAAACAATCCATACATCAACGGTTTCGATTACCGCAACGGCCGTCTGCATCTCACCTGGACGTACCGCGGCTTTGTGTGGTACGAAGGGTGGGATGATCCGCTGGACATCAAGCACAAAGCACAGGCTGGGCCGAACGGTGCAGAAAACAATCACGATATCTGCTATGCTTACAGTGACGATCTTGGCAGGACTTGGAAGAATGGGAAAGGGAGTGTCGTAGCGGATCTTGAGAAGGGGAGTTCGGTCAGGCCGGATTCTGAGGGAATTGTAGCATTTTCCATCCCGAAAGACAGTGGGCTCACGAATCAGGAGTCGCAGGCTGTGGATCGTGATGGGGGTGTGCATGTTTTGAACAGGGACAAGATGAATGGAGACTTACGGTGGAAGCATTACTATCGGTCTCCGGAAGGTGGTATTGCTGTGCCCGGTTATCTGTTGCGAGAGAGTGCTGACGTTGTTGCGCAGGTCAATGGTCGTCGAACATCATTCCCGGTTTCGAGGAAGCAAGCGTTGGGAAAAGAGGGAGCATCGCTATCGGTCAAGACAACAGTCTCTACTTCGCCCTCCCAGACAATGGACGGAAAACTCTCAAGATCCTCAAAGCCACTCACTCGAGTGGGTACAAGGCGTTTGACCAAGGCTTTGAGTTTGCAGGCTGCGACGCTGAACCACTCATTGACAAGGCGAGACTGGAGCAGAATGGTGACCTGACTGTTTTAACAACCAGCACTATTGAGGGTGCTCCAGGTCAGGTCGAGCGTAATGTTGTTGTCATATATGTGAAGGCGTGGTGAATAGGATTAGGGGGATAGTCTGGATGCATCACCTTCAGTCTACTGGCCTTACCCTCGCACGATAGGTTTCGATAAATTTGGTTGGACGTCGAGAAGAGTCGATATATCAGTCCGAAGCGTGTCTTTGGAAGTGAATGCAAAAAGCAGAAATGATTGTGATCATGGATGCTGCCAGGAATGGAACATCAATTGTCTGTGAAGTTTCCCGTCAACGGACAGTGCCAAAGGTTTGCGTTGGTCTTCAAACATCACCATTACTTGAATCAATCACAGCCACGGAGCTTCCGTTGCGTCCCAAGATCAAACATAGTAGTTCACGCTCAAGACGCATATTCACAAGGGTGAAGTCGCCAACGACTCACAGGCCGATCAGGAGATGAGTGCTGATCTGGAGTCCGCAGGCAGTCGGAAGTCCGTTTGTTAGATTAATCCTCCGGAACCAGAGAGGGTATAAATAATGCCCTTCCTCCTCGAAAGTTTTTTTCAGAATCTCTCCTTTCTTTCCCCCAAACATATATAAACAAATTCATACCGTTGCATTCGGCAGTGGCCTTACGCCTGGGGTTGAAGAATTCCCTCGAGGACCTGTTGAAGCTACATACGCCTATGCTCATGAGTCCAGCATTGACGTCCCACTCCTTTACTCCAAGCCCGCTGTCTCAAACTAACCATCTGGTTGACTACGAGCCGTTTTTTAACCACTCGCCAGACTATGTCCGCTATTCAGCAGCCATGGCTGACCAGTGGCTTGAGATTCGACATGTCGCCGATCTGATCCTATCCCTGGATCAAGACTTGAGGGACCAAGCAATCCACTGTACGGGGCAACGCTAGACGTCGGTCTTTGGACTGTCACATACCACACCGGGCAGTTTCTGTTCAGTGACGACATTGAGAATTGTGCTCCGTCCAAGCAAATCTGGAGTACGAGTATGCCCGTGTCCTATTTGACCAGGCCACCCAGGCAAACGACCAAGCGGTCGTAAACGGGTTCCTCGCTCGGGGAAGAATCAAGTTCGCGTGCGTGCCTGAGAGACAGTGGCGCGGGGCTGGGGTAGCCGACAATTTCCCAATCACCAATTTTCTTGGTGATCCCGTCGTTGCCCCAGACGTCCCCGGTGCAGCCCCTGCTGGATGGGATCACACTATCCAACACTTGTTTGTGGAGGAGTATCAACGTATACTGGGTGAATCCAATGGCGAAGACGTGTTGGAACTCCAGTCTGAGCTGTTGACCAGATTATTTCGACGAGACAGAGCCAACTGCGATGTCTGGAGCGATGAAAATGCAGATGATACCACCAACGAACACCATGTTTCGATTGAAGACAAGCTTCAACCTGAATACCACTCTCAACGACTGAAATATCTCGTCAAATTACCGCAACACTCCAATCCTCCTTCGGCCGGTCGATCCGGAAGGATTTACAAGACCACCTGAAAGAGGCCTCCCAAGTCTATGACCAAGTTCCTATGGTACGATGAGAAACAGTGCTATTCAAATGAAAAGAGACGCATGGGGTCTTCAGCACCTTCGCCAGATCGCTGCAACTCGAGACATTCTCTGCGCGGCTCCAGCATCATCCCCTTCCCGTCTATACCTCATCCCTCCAGGGTGGTGGAGATGAACTCGAAGTCTCGAACTGCAAAGTCGAGCCATTGGCCTTATCATTATTGCTATCTCTCGACCGTTCCACAGGAGGAAGCTTCTCTGCGCAAATCCTCGAGCGCAACCGCGTCGAAAGGAAGGGAAGGCCTTCACCAACAAAATCGCAAGGCAACAGGGTACGCTGAAGGAAGAGCTAAAAGCAACGAGAGAGAAAGCGGTTGCAGCCAGCTTCCGCGGCGCAGAATTCTGGGGGAGTGAAGAGCATTGTCGAATAAGACCAGAGCAGCTTGTTGCTGTGACCACTTCTACTATCGTTGAGGAAGTCAGCGAACAGTTCATGACCATTGACCAACAGTGTCCAATTTTGCTTTGCTCAACAGTCAGGCGGCTGGACGAAACCTTTCAAGCCGAGTTCTTTGAATACGGCATGCCATGGTGCGAACAACTCGGCTTTTGGATATCTCAGCAACCCGCAAAGTCAAACTGTGGACACTCCACTTGAGTCGTTGAATGAGGCTGGCGTTGCGCTGGAGTCAGCTCTCCATTGCCAAGCCTTTCTCCGTATGCTCAATCCTACATACAGTCTCACAATTGGAGCAATGTATCTAATAATGATTGGCTGGCATACCACGACGCCATTGCGAATCAACTGTCACCTCCACGAAGATGCCGAAAAAGGCAAAAAAGGCCTCAAAAGACCGCTGGGTCGCCGTCCTCTGGACGTAAAAGAAAGCTCAAAGTCCTCAAAGACGACGACGATGGCAATGGCGCTGAGTGGCCGTCCTTTGGACGCAAAAGAAGATTCGAAGTCTCCAAAGATGACGAGGACGATAGCAATGGCGCTGAGTGAGTGCCCTCTAGGGTTTTGACCCAGAAACAGAACCAGAAAAATTTGCAAACTAGAATTCCCCAAAAGATAACTATCGGTGCTACCGATGCGTATCAGTCCTTCATGTGCAAGGCTCCTGGCTAGCGGTGTTACATCAAGAGATGCCTCAAGAGAATGCTATGAGTGGAAAACGTTTGAGTGGATCTGCTTGAACGCATCTATTCTCCTCGATGCTTCGATAGAGCATTGGTGTAAAACATTATCCCGACATGAGACTTAACATCGATACATGAGAGGCTGGCCGAGCATAGGCTGAGAGTCTTCATTCTGGGGAGAGAAAAAGAGAAGCTGAATCTGTAGGGTATTATTCACTTGGATAGCAATTCAACAATGAGGCTGCGCAGTCATCCCTTAACTCCAAGAGTCAGAAAGTATAACCTTCTAGACGTCGCTTCTTGAATAGTAGATATTGGCGTGGAAGAGCCTAGTCGTCATGCGACTCGATATATTCGTAGCGTAATAACTGTTTCATCATTCATTTATGCTCTTGCAGAGGGCAGACCGCCTTACCTCTCTCCTCCCATCGCTGACTTGGGAAGAGCGCTCATTGATTTCCTCTTGGTGTTATGCCTGGATTGTGTTAGAAACTGTTGGCCAAACCATGGATGTAACCTGGAACTCTCAAGGTCCCCTAGCTTGCGCTGCCACTCCACGAGACCCTAATATTGAAAGGGCCGGTCTGAACATCAGTCACCAGGGTGGAGCGTTCTGGCGGTAGATGCGACGAGTGACGCAGAACTAGCAAACAGCCTTTCATTGTCTGCGTTGCTTCCTCACAAAACCCCGACTAGATTCAATACGGATCTTTATCTTCAACGATTTGTAGTTGATACCATTGTGCACAGGTCGACAAGGTTCCTCTCTTGTTTTTTTCACACCAGACTTACCACAATCAATCTCAAGAGAGCAACCAAGCAACTGTTTTCATCAGATCACACAATCTCGAGCCACCATGCCTCCCAAGAAGACCACAGACAAGCCGGGAGAGAAGTCCCGAAGCGCAATCTATGGCCAGAAGCGACGTGACAACACCCGGGAGGCGATGGAAGACCTTCAAGCCATCATTCCTCAAGAACACTTGGGAGGAGCCGCAGAATGCGACTATACCGCCGAGGGCAGGGTAATCGTGGCGGCCAAGGCATATATCACGGCACTGCAGGTAAACCAGAACATCATTACCTTTTTGGCAATGTACCTCTCACCTGGAATTTGTACTCACACGGTCATCAAACTTTAGAGCGATTGCAAAGGCGCCTCAGCAGATAAGACCGCCGCTGGCGAGACCATCACCACCGACGATGCCACCGTCGAAGAGACCCTCGAAGCCGAGACACTCACCACCACCACCGTCACCAACACCCCCTTCGCGCCAACAGCAGCACCTGCCCCGGCAGTCCTCGCACAACTGCCAGCATACAGACAGCTGTTCGCAACGTTCACGCGAACGATGCAGTTCATCGCCGGCATCGTGGCACAGAGCGGAGGTGAGGTTTCTGCGGAAACGAGGCTAGAGATCGCTGATCTCAACGATCGCCTGTTTGAATTCCTGGACCAGCTCAAGTACGAGGAAATGGAGTTGATAGAGAGTGGTCGAGGTGACGATGATGAGGATTAGGATGACGAGGGTTCCGAGGCAAAGAATGATGATGATGGCGGTGATGATGAAGAGTGAACCATAAGAAAAGATGGGACTTTGAGGCTTGGTAGTACGTCCGAATAATCACTTCTAGGATATGACCAATATGAATGACGTTCCTCACATTTCCAACAGAGTTTCCGAACTTTGGAATGAATACTTCACCCTGTTTCCATCGATCGTGAATAGCTCCGAAGTAGGCCTCCATGTATCCACCTATCGGTGTAGACCGTGCCTAGATATGTCCACAAGCAAAAAGTGTTATCAGCCGCCGCTCTAGAATTAAGAGCAAAAGCAGCTGACGGAGAACGAGGCCAGGATAGAATCAACTCCCCGCTCCAGAGGCTGACCCGAAGTAGACCACCAGTCTTACCGAACGAAGTCCAGTCTGTAGGCTGCCTAAGTTATGATAGGACGACACATTACTTTTGAAACGGTGCCGCTCAGTATTCCCAGAGAGAGATATGTCTGACAGGAGACTGCCATGGGAGTAACTTAAGTGCAATGAAGGAGTTGAAAGTGGACCAAGGGATGATAAACAAGGCGTTCGCCAAGCAATACTAAATCGAAGTTTATCTGAGGTGGTTTAAAGAAAGCGTAAATGAGATTTTGTCTATACGGACAATTTGTTTGAAAGGTCATAAAGATCAATTTTATCAGGCACACCTTGTAGCCAGAATCGACTGAACTCTGTAAATGAGATTATACCCACTTCGGGGCAACTCAAATCCACACCGATTATGTCGGATTACATGTCCAACCCAGCCCATAAACCATCGCAATGCAAAATATGCTCGATGTGAAAACATAAATATCGACGCCTCCTGAAGCTTGAAGCTTTGATCTAAAGCACACACAACCCGACGATAGCGACAACAACTGCGAATAAGCTTCCTTTTAGGACTGTTTCGGAATTTCCGCCAAGTTGACCAGCACCATTGGCGCCGCCGCCACCTTGAACGAAACCAGTTGAAGCACTACCGGTAGTAGAGGCCGTGTTGCTTCCTGAGTTGTCACCGCCATTATCGCTGCTGCTGCTACCGCCGTCTGTTCCATTGTCGGGGCGTTGGCCATTGGTTCCGGGTCCAGCACCGTTAAGGCCGGGCACGGTAGCTACGTCACTGCCACTGGCACTGGCTGAAGAATGAGCATAATCCGCACTCATGTTTGTACCAGTTCCAAGCAGGGATTTCAAGACGGTATTGTCGTTCGTCATCTCGACACTTGCATTGGTCATGGACTTGTCGGTAAAGATATATGCCTTGGTTCCCGAACCTTGTGCACCGGCAGGAGGATCGTAGCATTGAACCGAGACCGAATCGAATGCGGCATAGTAGTAACCATTGGTCATGTATTGAGAATCCCACTCGACAAGCCCACCGGCCCATTCGATGGTGCCTTCCCCGTTGGTGGGTAGACCACCAGGCCAGAGGGACAGCTGCACTCGTGATGGTGTTTGAGGAAATGAATAGCGGTTGGCCGTGGCATTCCAGGTCGAATCGCGGTCGAGGGTACGGACGACTTTGCCATCGATTGACCAAGTAATGGTATCGGGTTGCCAGTCAATCTCATAATCGTGCATATTCTCATGAACATCGGTGAGACCAGTAGTCTTGCCACCATTGTTATCTAAATCGGGCATTAGTCGTTGTTGGTTTGGTGAGGTTTGCGCATTGAAACTTACAATTAGTGACACCCTGGGAGTAGAAGTTGGTCTCTGCAGTTTCCAGCTCAACTCCAACGAATTCGAAATCGATTTCATCTTTGGAATCGCCCAACAAAATAAAAGCAGTAACGACACCAGCACCTGCACTAGTACTGAATCTTGCGTTAATCTTTCCATACCATACATAGGTTGTGCTGGCCAACAAGGTGCCGACAGTTCCTTCTGCCATGGTCAATAGTACCTGGCCATTGTGTGAAAGAGGTTGTCCGGAAGAAACCCAGTCGGCTTTGCTGGCATCTCCAAGGTATTTGGTATTGGACACCACTCGATCGAGGTTATCAAAGTTGTAGGTTTTTGACTGACACTGGGGAGAAGGGACGCAGGAGTCGAGGGATTTGGAGTTGACTGGGTCGCAACCTCCCAAGCAATAGGCGCCGACACCACATTCTCCGTATTCTAGAAAAGATGTGTCAGGATGGCTGGGTTGTACAATGAGATGGATGACACTTACGTGAACAACACGGCTTATCTTCAGGACATTGCTTGCCTCCACCGCAAGTTGCTTGTGAGTAAACGGTTTGGGCCACAGCGGCCAGGAGGAGGACGGACTGCAAGAGGCGTCCGGCCATTGTTTATTGCTTTCGATGCAGACTTCGAGATGTGGTATGCAGTCGACAATGAAAGGTGGGATGTCTCTATGCACGAAGGTGGATAGATCTAATGATCCTAGAAGATACGAGAACCAGTATCCGTAGTATGGTGGTACAAGATACAGGTCAAGTTGAAAATGTGGCGGAGTCAAGGTTGGAATTCGAGGTGGGTAGGGGAGATTGAGATTGAGGCGCGCTCAGGTGCAGGGCAGATGGTGGCCTTTGTGTGACCAAAGGGCTCGGAACAAACGAAGGTGGTTAGTGGTAATGGGAGGGAGTAGGAAATTGAAGCGAGAGATGTGAATATTACAAAAGATTTAATAAAACGAGAGTGATGTTCTAGAAATGAAGAACTTGGACTGGAGATGATGGAGACGGAGGGCAAAAAGTTGAAGACGACGCTGCACTGCACTGCACTGCGTGAGACTCATGTTCTATCCTTGGAAGCCATTGCATGGCGTGAGGAAGGAGCCAGTCAATCAAATGACGCGTCTATGAAACAAAGAGCACGCTCTAGTCCATATGTAGATTAGAGTGATAAACAAGCCTTGAACGGAGGTGTGTGATTTGTTGAAAAGTCATCAGTAGGGCCCACCAGATCGTCGAGGGTGCTCATCCGTGGCAGTGGCGTGCCCAGCTTCGTGGTCACCATCCGCTTTCCGCCTCAATTCAGCTGCCTCAGGGGCTCTTTCTGCTTGGTGGGCGAATCGGAGAAAATATCTGGGCCGAACTTCGTTGGGGAAGCCTGTCATTTGAAAGCATGGAAAGTGCCTCTTCCCCCGAGAACGTGACCATCCACTCACTCACCTTCCAAGTTTGCGTGTCTTGTCCAAAGGTAGTCGTAGGTAGGTGGTAAGGGAACGAGGGTTCGGGAGGATTGATCAAATATTGGCGTCGAGATATCGAGTCCCAATCGTATTGTATGATCTCTTCAGCACAATCAAGATATACCTGAACTGATCCGTCACGCTACCAAACCAAAACAAGAGTCTTTCATCATGCGATAGGGCAACTCAAGGATACCACGCTTTCTTCCAGGAACAGGCGCTTTCTGTGACGCCTGGTGAGCAAGCAAAGGCCGAGACTGAGAAGAGATTCGTCAGATCTAACTGGATACTGCTCACTCACCACATCCTTAAGATCGCTTTGATCCACTTGTTCAAACTGTTCAAAGCAGCAACATTCATGAAGAGTCGAACTGCCTCCGTATCATCGGAAACAAGAGTATTGCCTGTGTAGAAATGCAAGTGCCATTTCATGGTAGGCTTCATCCTAAGCCAATGACTTACGTCTTCACCAGTATACTCCAGTTGAAGGACGGTCATTGCCCTGTAGGGGCATACCGATTCATGCTGAGTGATGGCAACTAGTCTTGTTCAAATGAAGTTCAGTTCCTGTTCGAGTAGAAAAGTGCTGTGCCAGTATTTAATGCAAGGCCATGCGCATACAAAGCTGTGCCAAAATCCATCGGATTTTGGGGACAGGGAGAGAGCCGGAACCCGAGCGCTTGTGAGATCATGTGCTGAAACCATAGTGGTAGATTGATTGATATTAAATCATCGTCGACGTATATACAGTGTGCTCGATGGTAGTGAACAAGTTCTGAAGGGGCACTTTGACCATTGCTCGTGTTATTATTATTATTGCGACCATGCTACTTACCTGGGCACGTATCTACCCAGTCTCTGGTTCATTTCGAAATGAGACATTTCAAGTCGACAATCTGGCTTTTGGCACACGTCCTCGAGTTTGTTAATCTTGCAGTTGACCGATACTTGACCCTCTGCATGGCATAAGCCATCAAACTCACAAGTCACCACTGACAAGGCAACTCGTTCAGCACGAGCGCCTTCAAGCCCAATGCGGGGACGTTAGGCCGTCAAACCTTGGAATGGCACGCGACCGGTATTGGTGAATCACTCGACTCGGTTGCTGTTGGATTTCCAGTTTTGTTCCCACCTTTCCTTTGGGAAGAATACGACATATTCACCGTCAAGAGTAAATCGTATTAGCGGAGTCCGATCGGCAGAATAGGCGAAAAATGCTCTAGTCAAGTTTCCGCCAGTATCGCGATCGGTAGGTACGGAGCATTGGCTCCGGGGTTGCATAATGACTCCGTGGAAACAATCCTACAGTGGTTGAACGCCAACGGTGTGGAACCTGAGGTTCAAGTTGGAGATGGAAAAATGGTGGCGGTCCCATGTCCTGCCGCTCCTCATCCTCGTTGTCAGTGGCGCACCCGCGTTGTTTGGTGGCGCTTATCCACTACTCCACGCAGGGTTTGTGTTATGAACCTTCTCCAGAACCGAGGACGTCAATTAGGTACTCGTACAAGGTGAACAGCCAAGGAATAAAACACATCAAGGGATCAGGACGGGGGATGGCAGGATGTTCACTCGTTGATACAGCGCCTGCAAGATTTTAGTTGTGTGGAAATAACTCAATAAACCAGCATGGTCGTGTATTCGAATGGAGGGGGAGAAGGAGATCAGACACGGTACCAGGGCCACAGGCATAAATAAATGAATTGTGTAACGAGGGATCGACAGCGATTTCCCTCCTTCGCACGCTGCTCAAAAGAAGGTTCAAAAGGATTCTCGCGTCAGCCCGAAAACCCAAGCGTGGTCTCGGCAGTGATCGTTTCTTACTTCGTATTCACCTTGCGACCAGCATGGGGAGTATGCCTTGGAACACACGAGCGACTGGATACAGTACTAATTTCAAGGAGAGCATCCTCAAGCTTGGCCCGAGAAGTACCTCGTAGACCCAAGCCGTATTTCATGGCGCCAATCCTTGGTGTTCTGCACAGAATACGAAGTAGATCAGATGCCTGCATCGCTAGAGTATATCCAACGTTTGGGATTTCAGTACTTCGTGGTTGGAGCGCCATAATTATGAACAATCGACTCATGTGCATCCAGCTCCGAGCACGGCGACTTTCTCGCCACAAGCTCTTATACTGAAGCTTTCGATTCAGGTACACATGGTGGGAACGTCCATCATCAGAAGCAACATCTGGACGAGAACCGTCGCTGCACAACCTATATAACAGTGCAGGAGGCTAGCAGCTGCGAAATTTAGGCTTGAACAGTATCCACTTGGTCATTGGATGTAAGATGGCGTTGAAGTCCGGAGGAAGCAGGAGCAAGCTACTAATGCTTCAGAGAACGAGCATCACCAATAAATTCTAGAGATCGCAAATACGACCACAGGACGATAACCGGAAGACCTGTCCGAATCATAGCTTCAGTGTTGCGATCTGACGACGTCTCAAGCATCTCGTGACCGTTTCGATAGTCTCCTCAGTCTTCGATCTCACATTGTAGATTCCAACATGCCCGTGGTAAAGCAAGGGCGTCTAATGCAGTCACTGGGGGTGTCGAAACTAAAAGTAATTCGGATGCTCCATAGGTGGCAAATATGCACAAATCTCTCGCGCTAGGCGATGAAACCTAAGTCGTAAATTTGGGGTCTGTTGATCTTCCCGTTGTTTCAATATCTTCAACAACACGAGGCTTGAATCAAGTTGATATTAGAGCTGATGTCTAAGATCATTTCCTCTCCATCACATTCACCAGTAGTGATATTCATTTTCTGGTCGAGTTGCATATGCCAAGGCATTTGATGAAGTCGGAGTTTTGTACTGCACAGGTCCGAATACTTCGTAGGGATGTGATGAATCCTTGCCGATGGATACGAAGTAACACTTCGTAATAATAATGTCTCTGCGAGATTTCTTCCAGATGGGCCCCCCTTTTACACAACTGAGATAGGCTTTCGGGAGTTCGGCGGCCTGATGGACGAGAAGGCAGGGGACCCCCTGGTGCATTATTGGTTCCTGCATCTTTTCCCCATTTCCTTGGCCCAACCTCTCACAAGTCGAGGGGAGAGGGGAATATTCCTCGGTCCATGAGTCAGTCCATGACAGAAGTAAATCAAGTCTGCCTTGTCGCCAATGCCGGACCCCGTTGAAAGTTTGCTGTTGAACCATGATTTCTGGAGAAGTACTCCGTAAAGTTTGCTGTCTCGTTGCGCTTGTGCTTGTGGCATTTGCCTGTTGTTCTCACCCAATGCCATCGTTCCGCTCCGCAATTTCCCTGCCACAAATCTCGTTGACTGGAGCATGAATGTTGCTAGACAGTCGCGCAAAAGTGAGTCGCACCTCTGGACAGATTTGAGTTGTGGTCTGTGTTGCATGGTATTTTGCTTAGCTTGTTTTTGATGGAAATTGGGCTGCCGTTAGCCACTTTTGCAAGGGCTGCTGACCTCGGACTCGCATCTTTGAGATTTTGGAATTGGCTCTAGCGCCCTGACTGTATGCTTGTTGTGATTAAGCGACCTTTCAATCGGCCCTGCCCGGTATTGCCTGGTGCCCACCCAACTGTTGATCATATCCTCTGGGATAGACAGGCTCATCAGGGTGCCAACCACAAGGAGAATGTGGATCACTGTTGTTCGCACCTTCGCAAGCCCGCTTGAATCAGTGTTCCTGCCCCCTTTGACCTCTATGTTGCTGATCAGCAGTGACGCTGATACGGGAACCTTATACGAGGCCTTTCAATCCTGGCAGGGGTGAGCATTGCTGATCCAGCCACGAGTCGTGAGGGAATATGTGTGCCCAAAACGAGAGATAAGACTCCGCCGAGTCCCTCCATCTATTTTAGTGCTCGTGCCAGCGTAGGTATATGTCTGGCGATCTCCCACTTCCAAGTTCTTTGATATATCATATCAGTCCACTCATTTTGCTTTCGTCGATCCCTAGCGCGTCTCTCTTTCTTGACACCAATCCCTACCTCGTGAACTCATCCTTTCCCATCGACACACTGAGGCACCAACAGGATGGGCCAAACAGCTTCTCAACCCATGCCAGACAGGAGTCTGCAGGTCATCGGCGCCGGTCTTTCACGAACGGGAACCACATCTTTTGGCGCCGCCTGCTCATATCTTCTTGACGGACCCTGCTATCATGGCGGTACCCAGATGTTGAACTCACCCGAATCTCATATCAAACGGTGGATTGACATCTGCCGGCTCGCACCACCCAAGAATGCTGCCGACCGAAAGGCGTTGAACGCTGGCGTAAAGGAAATGCTCGATGGCTATGTTGCGTGCACAGATCTTCCCTCCAATGCCTTCGTCGAGGAGTTGATGACATGCTACCCGGACGCCAAGGTCATCTGCTCCGTTCGAGACCCCGACAAGTGGTGGAACAGTCTGGCGCCGATTGTCGAGAAGGGAAACCTCACAGTTCTATCCTGGATACTGGCACCTCTTCCAACACTAAGGATGTTCAGAACATACCACGATGCACTGGACGAAGGTCGCGTTGGCGAGCTGTACTTCCGACCAGGCGAGCCACAGAGACCTACCCGAGCCATGTACGAGAGGCATATCGAACACCTCAAGAAAGTCGTCCCGAAAGAGAAGCTGTTCTTCTATGACGTCCGTGACGGCTGGGAACCTCTATGCGCCATTCTCGGCGTCCCAGTGCCCAAGGACGTTCCCTTCCCCAAGCTCAACGACGCTCAAGCAATGGAGGCTTTCATGAAGAAGAGTATGCAACGTGGATTGATGGCATGGGCTGGTATCATGCTCACCATCGGTGCTGCTGGATTTTCGGCCGCAAGATATGCCAAATTGTTTTGAATTTAAAGAAAGGCTCGTAATTTTGCTATTGGATCTTTCTTGCGGGTGAACTGGCGTTGGTCGAAAAGGATATCGGGTTCACGTGAATAAGGACGTGAAAAGGTAGACTCGATACGCATCATGGAAAGGGTTGGTATGCCCACAGATACTTGAAAAGATGGGGAGGCATGTTTCCAGGCACGCAACAATGTAACGTCTGAGAGACAGTCTCTTTCTCAGCCTTTTGGCCCGACTTTCCGTATTTAATCAATGAACAAAATCCAGGTTAAAGAAGATCATGAATGAGCCAAGTTCAGTGCACCTGTAATCCTTAAACCATGTGGTAATTGCGGAGAGAGGCTGTGACGAGGCTGAGGTGCCACCCAGCAAGGCTGAGGTTTCGGACAACAATCATCTTCGAGTGAGGACGAAATAAGCTCAAAGCGAGACGCAAACTATAAGTACATCCCCCAGACGAGTTTTTGCCTTGTCGATAACACTCAGCCCTTCAGATTCGGTGCGCTTGGAATCCTGGGGTGGAAATTGATCACGTATGTACTCCTTACAATTGCGTGATTATGCCAAGACCAGTGCAGAAAGGGGGATCTCGTCGCAGGTGAGATGGTCCATGGTTGCACTTACCATGGGTGTCTTGTTACTGATAGTATACTGTAAGCCCTGATGTGGATGCACAATGCGGAAACGGCTTTCCGTGCCCTTTTGTAGCCTACGGTATTCCTGGTCTATAAGAGATTTTGGCCCGAATATCTCAGGGCCTACTACTTGATTGGGAGCGGACTGCGAAGAGAGACGGAAACTTGACGCAGAGCATCTTGGCAAGGTATGTACTTCCTGTACCATTTCATGTTTTCTCAAAACCCTGAGTCCTCATCAATGATACCGAGTAGACCAAGGACAAGGGCCGTTTGTGTCTATGTTTGTATCTATCCGGAGTCACGTCCTCACATACCTCACTCATTCATTCATCTTTATCATAGTACCAAACCATGTCCCACGTCCATCTTTGAGCAAATAACAACATTGGACCGCCCCTTTTTCCAACATCCGCTTTCTAGCTCGATCCACGGTCTCCTGCAGGCATCAATAAGGCCACTTACGTAGCAGCACTACCAGTCCCGATATTTTTCTCCTCCCAGTTCTTCACAGCATTCATCGCGGCCGTGATTTTCATACCCAGTCTTGCGTCGAGCTCGTATTTTTCCCAGTTCTTCGCCTTCTCCAAATGCACCTTACATTCCTGCACAAGCTTGACATCACCAGCAAGATCGAGCTGAACCGGTGCTGAGGACAGACCTGTGTTCTCACCACTCGATCCGCCCGATGGATCACTATTTTGGAACGTCGTCCCGTGAAGCTTCGCGTAGGAAGACCGCTGCATCCACAAGTTGACGGCCATCTCATGGTGCGCGGTCGGCGCGGTCCAGTCGTCGTGATTGTGGCCCTTGAACTCGTGGGGTGCGTGGTTGAGGATATTCTGCAAAAGAATTTCCTTGGACTCTTCATGACGGCGAAGATTGCGTAGGATGACGGCCCGGAGGAGCGCGAGGATGGACCGTTCGTCAAGGTCTTCTTTCTCCCATGGATGTGGATTTTTCTGCGGGTCTTCTGACCATGCCAAGTTTGCGAGTGACTCTTGTAGATGTCGCTCGTCCATTTTCTTATACCCATTCCACAAGAAGATCATTTCCTCGAGCGGATCGACTCCGATGGCGTCCACGAAACTGCAATTCAGACGTGTCGCACGGTCGTCCCATTTCGCGAGTTTGCGTACCACAAATCCATCGAAGGGAAGTTGACGGCCCATCATTTTCTTCTTACCAACTTTCGTTGGAGCAGTTCTGAAGTATTCTTCGGCGATGCGTGCGTGGTCTTTTCGTCGACTCTCGCTAAGTGATTGGTCGTGTCGATAGGTTGCGAGGTGCGCCGCGCCTGCGATGTAGAAGTAGAGGCCTTGTGACCAGCTATTGAGATCGACACAGGCGAGAAAAGAATCGGCGCAAAGTTTGTAGCGATGTGCGTACATAGCGTTCAAACTCTTCTCAAACATATGCAATGCTTCGATCTGTTTCATTTGGCTTTTCCCAGACTTCGAGAGCAGGTCGAGAGCAGTATCGACTTGTCGCTTCGATGCAGCCATTCTTGCTTCTTCGATCAGCCAAAGACGACTGTTTGGATACCTCCGACGCATATCCCGTAGAAGAGCATGTAAACGTGGAGCTGGATAACCATCAACCTCATTAGGATCATTAGGGTTGGCGTCAGATATGATGTCGCAAAATCCCACCAGCCCATTATACCAGCCGAAAAGCACCAGTCCGGCCATTCCGCCATTGATGTTGGCGAATTTACTTGCTTGCCACAGCATACGGATACCTCGTTCGCGATCGCCTCGAAAACCAATGATGTATAGGAGCTTATTAAATGCGGGAGGAATAACCGAGATGAGTAAGGATAGAATACCCGACATTAAGTTGGTGCCAGAGTGAATAAATACATCGAGGGAGTTCGCAAAGATCTCCGAGTCGGCGTCCTCGGTAAGCATTCCGAGGGTTGAGGGAGGTGGAGGTCTCATAAGGCCTTCAGGCTGTAATGATTCTGAATGGTGTGTCAGGTTCATGTGTTCGATCTTCCGGTCTAGATCGGTCATATCGTCCGCTTCGATGGATTTTTCCAAATGTCCGGTATATTCTTGGGTAACCGGATTCTCGTTACGAATGGTTTTGGCCTCATGGAAAACATCATCGTCATCCTCATCATCGCCCGATAGATCTGCGGCTGTTTCTGTATTCCTCAAGGCGGATGGATTGGCAGGCTGGACAGGATGCCGTGCTGATGTTTGTGCTATGGCCTTTGATTTTTCTTCGATAGATTTTGCCGATTTTTGTGAAGCAAGCGAATGAAGACTGTCAGTTGACTGTGCCCTTGAGTTAGCTAGACTTTTCACACCTCGAGTCTTCATAAAATTGATTTCCATCTGAATCAGGCTGTCTAGAGTGATATAGGCCTTTCTAAGCTTATAGAAGCCTTTAATCGATTCTGTCAGACTCTCATTGAGCACGCCGACGACGGCAGACATGATCTGGGATTCCGCCTGACAAAGAGCGAACTCGGAACCTCGATCATAGATGTTTGAATTGAACACACGACTATCATGTTGCGCTTTGTAGTAGCTGGCGGAGGCGCTTGATTCCGCCTCATAGAGAGTGTCGGAAGCCTCCTTCATGACTTCTTGTTCGAAGCCGAGAGTGGCTCTCATGAAGCCCAGGGTGCCTTTGGCAAGTTTGTGAAAAGATGAATTTCCTTCAGCAAGACCCTTCTCTGCTCCCGCGATATCATCGTCCATAATCAATTCAACGGCACGAAGTGCAGTTTCTAGATTCTGGGACTCGGCCAGGGAATCCAGGCTCTGGGTAGAGGCATTGACGGCAGACCGACCACGGTCCAACCATCTTCCCACTCGATGCATATTGAAGACCCTGGACGGATCGAATCCAAGACCAAAAAGGCGGCTGAAGAAAGTCCAGGCACCGATTTGAAAAGTGCCAATGAAGATGATGTAATTGGTCTCGTCACGATTCAGCTTTCATGCTGTTCACACAATTTCAACAACGCACGCGCTCGTCGTAGTCAATTGAAAGAAGGAAAGAAGGGCCTGAAGAGAAAAAGGCGAAAAGATATCATGTAGTAGTGGTAGACGATAGTTAGTTACGTATGATGACGAGCACACGAGCACCGCATCAATAAATAGCGTTTGGACCTTTATCTCAGCTCGCAGAAAAAGAGCGTTGCTGCACGGGTTAAATGCCCGCCGAATATAAAAATTGGAGATTGATGACCATCTCTACAGTTACCTCGTACACTTGGGCCATCGGATTGAGTGAACTGATCGATTGAGGACAAGTTCCATTGGTTGCAGCATGTCTCCGACCTGCATGTCTAATAATTTAGTTGAAGTTTCTAGGGCAGTGCAAGCCCCGGGCACGCTGGTGGCACGCCTGGAATCTGACTAAGTAGGATTCTCCAGGGGTAGAAGGTGCCTGTGAGGCTTGTGATTAGGCACCAGGCAAAGCTATCCGCGTCTTCCAGGGGGACAAGGAGCACGTCTCTTCGGCAGCCAGGTTAATCCGTATCATTAACCAGCGTGCTAACTAAATCGGTTTAATTGCCGCTAAATAACTAACTACTCCGTTCATCTTCATCCATCTCCCACTATCTCCGAGCCTGGCCTGCTTAGAATTCCCGTCTTGTACACAATTCATCCGCACGCCTCTATTGCAACGCACGCATCTACGTCAGATCCTGTGCCTCAAATTCTCAATCTCCGAACCATCGACGATACTGCGCATTTGACTTGACGACGCGCATACTCCACTTCCACAACATCAGACCAGATCTACTCTATCTGAGGGCATACGCAACCTCGCCGTGCCTGCTCCGTACCATCCATCCTATCGACTTACCTCACCACCACCACTCCACAATGTCGTCCTCAGAAGCGCCAACGAGCAAATTGCAGCCTGGACAGAAGAGCGAAGTAGATGCAGGGCAGACATCCAAGACGGCCACGGCTCAACAGCCCGTGTTGCTTGAGGAGGACGATGAATTCGAGGATTTCCCCGTCGAAGGTATATTTCTGGCCTACTGATGGGAACTAGGATGGCGGTGTTAACATTGTGCAACAGACTGGTCGCAGGAAGACACAGAAGTTCCTGGAGGGACGACTCATTTATGGGAAGAGAGTTGGGATGACGACGATGAGAATGAGGACTTTAGCAAACAGTTGAAGTAGGTTTTGCATCCCTTGATACCCATGTCTAAGTCAATTCTAACAAAGTCCGTAGGGAAGAGTTGAAGAAGGTCGAGGCCAACAAATAGAACACATTAATCGAAATTCAAATCATTCAACCATCCGAAATGTTATGCATGGCGTTCTGGGTCACTCATGGACATGAAAAAGGCTAGAGATATGGGATGACATGTTTTTCGTCTATTGATCCAATAGCATCATCCTTGAAAAGGAAAGGAAAAGCTATCATACACCAGAAGGCTCGTTGATTTTCATTTTCGTCATAGGTTCGATTTCGCATCGACACTCACTTGATTTATATGATGAGCTTCTTCTTATTAAGCAACAATCCAGCCTACTTACTTGACAGTGCAGAGACACCAGGTAGGTCCTTGCCTTCAAGCAATTCCAAACTCGCACCACCGCCAGTGGAGACATGGCTCAGCTTGTCCTCAACACCGTACTTGGCAGCCACAGTGGCAGTGTCACCACCTCCAATGATGACCACCTTACCGCTTGTTGCGGCAGCCACAGCCGCATCCAAAGTCTTCTTGGTGCCGTTGGCAAACTTCTCAATTTCGAAAACACCGGGTGGGCCGTTCCAGAGGATGGTTTGGGCTTCGCCAATGGCTTCTTTGTACAACTCGACACTCTTCTCGCCAACATCGAGACCGAGCCAGCCATCAGGGATGCCGTCGGAATCTGTGGCATAGCCGGTTTGAGCGTCGGCCCCGAATTTATCGGCGGTGATGTAGTCCACGGGCAGGACGATCTTGACATCGTTCTTCTTGGCCTTTTCTACGATACCAGCGACCTTTTCGCTACCGGCCTGGTCGAACAAGCTGTTACCAATCTTTACGCCCTCGAGCGTTTTCTTAAATGTGAAGGCCATAGCACCAGTGATGATGAGGATGTTGACTTTGCCCAGCAGATTGTCAATAAGTTGAATCTTGTCTGTGACCTTTGCACCTCCAAGAATTGCCAGGAATGGTCTCTTGGGGTTCTCGAGGGCTTGGGCGAAGTAGTCGAGCTCCTTCTTGACGAGGAAGCCGGCGGCTTTCTGAGGTAGGTCAACACCGACCATGGAGCTGTGTGCACGGTGGGCAGTGCCGAAAGCGTCATTGACATAGACATCAGCCAGAGCAGTGAGGCCAGCACGGAACTTGGCAACATCCTCCTTGCTTGACTTGACCTTGTTACCATCAGCGTCCTTACTGCTGCCCTCCTCTTCAGCGTGGAAACGCAGATTCTCGAGCAGGATGACTTGGCCACCAGAGGCCTTGTTGACAGTTTCTTCCACTTCGGGGCCTACACAGTCATTGGTGAAAGTGACCGACTTGCCGAGAAGCTTCTCGAGTTCGGGAACGACAGGCTTCAAGCTATATTTGGGATTGGCCTTTCCGTCCGGACGGCCGAGATGAGAGGCAAGGATGACGGCTTTGGCGCCATGGTCGATGGCATACTTGATGGTAGGAATTGCACCGGCTATTCTCTGAGTGTTTGTGACTTTTTTGTCACCATCGAGCGGGACATTGAAGTCGACCTGCAGAAAAGGTTAGCAGGGAGACAAGAGAATGGAAGTTATCGCATGTGCTCGTACTCTGATGAAGACACGCTTGTCTTTGAGATCAACATCGGCGATGGAGAGTTTATTGGAGAGAGACATGTTGGTTTGAGTCAGAGAAAGTAATGAAGAGTGAAACAAGGGACCTCTAGAAACTTGAGAGTCTGGCGAAATGAGCAGAAGCAACTGAATAATAATGGAAAGCAGCTCAGATTCTCGTTCTTGTTTGGAGGGGTTGAATCGGGATGTTCAAGCACCAGCATTGGACCAGCGAAAAGTTGGTGGGGGAGAAGACACTGCAGTTAGGGAGTGGTGGGCTTGTCGCTGGTTGCATCATTGGCGGGCTGTTCCTTCTTCGGGAACTGATGGCTACGGATAAACCCCTCGGAGCGGGCGTGATTTTATTGGCAAGAACGATCGCCTGCCTGGTCCGATTCTGCGGTTGTTCCTTCCCATCTACATTGCATCCCAACGACGCCCATTCCACTGTTCCCACCAGCTTCCACTATATGATATTCAGATAAACAAAAAGGTAAGCACCTAGAGAGGTAGCGGAAGACACCCTTTTCTGTTTGTCGACTCAGCAACCGCTCATCATTTCTCATCATTTGGAGTTTCTATCCATGCAAGTGTGGTATGATGGCATGTGAAAAGCCTGCTTGCTTGACGGAAGTGCCAACGCTGATATTCACCTCAGTAGCATCGTTTGAGCAAGCACTCGTGAACTCCAAACATCTGATTAATTATATATCACATAAAATATGTCGTGCTCAAGCTCAATATCGCGTATGCCTCAAGCCCTTTGAGTTCCGTATTCCATCGCTGTGTTTAGCCTGATGACTGCTGAGTGGTCGGAAACAACGGGGGGGCAGTCATAATAAGTCATGGGACGCCTATCTGCCATTCAGAGGACCAGGAGTGAAAGGAAGCCGCAGCCTTCTGCTTCTGCGTCTGCTTCTGCTTCTCCAAGTCCACTGCATCTGAGTCTGACACTCATCGAACTACCAACCACCACCACCAGCTCCTCCTCCTCCTTCTCAAGATCAAACATCGTCTTCATTTTGGATATCGGACCGACATACGGGTAACTCAACCTCCCCACAAATCAACGCCACTATCTGATTTTGACCGATCGTTCCTCCGCCTTCCTGCGCCAGCTGGTCTGTGTTGCCTGCGCCCGCACCAATCTTCAATTCAAACCGCTCTGATCTGTGTCGTCACAGTCTCCATCCACCACATCAATCCTTGACCTCATCTCGTTCATTCCCTCCCTATTCTAAATCTCGATCCTCCTTCATCCCTTCAAAATGATTGAACTATCCAGGCTCAAGTCTCTCGCCTGGCTGAACAGTCGCTACATCTACGGCCGCATTGTAGGTCGTCACTCAATCCATCCATCTCTGATCCACGACTGACCGAGATAATCTAGCCATTATTACACTCCATCATATTTCTTATCGAACTAATCATGGCTGCAAGACTCATAGCCAAGTTCAATTCCTACTATGCCCAAAAACCCGTCCTGACCACCATGATCACCAATGCCGTACGTCAAACTCTCGGGTATTGATCTCCTACTGCCCTACTGACAATTACTAGGTCCTCGGTGGGATTGCAGATACAGTGGCACAATCCATTACCGCCTTTCGTGCCCGACAAGCCCTCCTACCGACCACTGCAGACGCCAGAGCCTTCATCTCTTCTGGAGTCGAACTCGAAGATTTGAACGAGAAACCTGCGCGCCTTTCACCGGTCTTGTCTCCCCGTTATTCAGGCCCTCAACCGTTCGATTTTGAGCGTCTCACTCGATTCATGTCTTATGGTTTCTTAATGGCGCCCGTCCAGTTTGTTTGGTATGGCCGCCTTACAAAATGGTTTCCTCTCACCTCCAAGAGTGCTACTGTTCCCGCTCTGAAACGAGTTGCGATGGACCAGTTGATTTTCGCACCCATTGGTCTCAGTGTTTTCTTTACCTTCATGACAGTTGCGGAAGGAGGCGGCAAAAGGGAAATTACTCGAAAATTTCAAGATGTCTATCTTCCTACTTTAAGAGCCAACTACATCCTCTGGCCAGCGGTTCAGATCCTTAACTTCCGCATAATACCTTTACAGTTTCAAATCCCTTTCGTCAGCACTATCGGTATTGCATGGACAGCGTATTTGAGTCTGACCAATTCTAGCGAGGATGAGGTCTTGCAACAGACTGACTAGGCAGTGGGCCTCTCATGATCACGATGTTAACGATTCCTGTCGAAGCAGACTCAACCTAGAAACAAACTTTGCTCATACCTACTGAAGTACGTCCCATGACAAAGTTAGAGCAAATTATTAATGTCACAAATTACAAAATTTCCCATTATCAGCTGCTCAAAGCGCCATACTCTTATCGCCCCCCAATGCGATCAAAACAAAGCACAAAGAGACAAGACTTGCGGTGCTGGTACTGGACCGTCGTGATTAGTTGGCATGTCTGTTTTCAGCGATATCTTCGTCTGTCTCGATGAGGACCTCTACCGACAGTCTCTTTTAAGGGCACAAAGTTTATTTGCAGAAGCCAGTCAGGCAATGAAGCATCTCGAATATCTCTGTCTTGCCGGACCTCGCACGACGCAGAATCTCATGGCTTATGAGTTGTTCAAGCTACTGCTTGATTATCCCAACTCTACCCGGCAGATCCCATCTGACAATTTCACATGCCATCGAGATGAAACATCCAACCTCAAATCCCAACGACATTCGAAATGACAGTATATGGCTACCTTCCCGGGAAGTTGAAGGGTTCAACATGACTGATGATGATGTCCTAGGCGCGCCGGGAACGTTTGATTCACCATCCCAATCTCCAGATCTCCTTCGTCTTCGAGAGTCTAGTCCTTGGCCCAAGCTCGTTAATCTGAAACTCCGCAACCTGATGGCAACCAAATACGATTTGGCGTCTCTAATGATCATGGTCAAGGCGAGCCTCCTCTTGACGATATCAAAGTTGGGGACTATCCGTGCAAGTGGAGTGCGCGTCCCTTTGGGGATATCGATGCGTGGGACAGTGAATTGGTGGACAGCCTCCAGTGGTATGAGGGTGCCGTCATGCTCAAGAACGCCCTTCCTCTAGAAAAATGCGTCATGACAATTGGGCGCCAGATATTTTTGCGATGGGGGTGGCCAAATACCTTGGGCGACGGAGGTTGAGATCGAGAAGGTTGCGGACGCCATCGACAACCTTTTGGGTAGATGTTTAATGGAATACGAGGGCGAAAGTCCATCACTCCGGATGGAGAGCAATCCAGAATTCTGGGTCTGAAGCGCCCGCCCTCTCAATGCAAAAGAAATAGCCTTGAACCGATCATGTGTGCATTTAACGTCCTCTTTTAATGCATCGAATTTCGTAACCTCGCTCTTGAAAGCTGTCTGCACCGTAATCCAAAGCACTCGTCAAGGGGTTCGGAAGATGTGAACAGAGCCAGGGGCTCCATTGTCTCAGCACCTGGGGGAGCGGTATCCTACGACGAACAAGTAAACGACTACAACATACAGTGGCCCCATTGATGATATATAAATAACTAGCAACCTTACGCTCCACGAATTCTCCGGCAACAGAGCTGAAACAATGTGAAAGGGACAATCATGCTCATTATTTTTTTCTCCACGTAAACTAACCATACGGATTCTATCGACTCCAGCCGTTGAACCCATCTTCGCATCGCAGCTGACCACCAAATCACCTGCTCACTCACACAGTCACAAGCGAGCAAAAGAAGAGAGGAACAGAAAAGAGAAGAAAGAAAGGCATCACAGCCTCTCGCCCTTCTCAGCCTTCATCTGCCCATATTTCTTGAGCCGGATAGCCTGAACCTTGATGAAGCCGCCGGTCTCGTTTGGCTCGAAGGAACCGATCTCGTCCATGGAGCTCTCCTGCTCGTCATACAGCTTCTCGGTCTTGCTGCTGCGGCCCAGCACAATGGTGTTTCCTTTGTACAGACGCAGGCGGACCTGGCCGTTGACGGACTTCTGGGACGCGATGATGCTGCTCTCGAGGAACTCGCGCTCGGGGGAGAAGTACAGGCCGTTGTACAGCACGCGCGAGTACGAGATGGTGACGAACTGGTCGCGCAGGGCGCGCACCTCGCGGTCGAGCGTCAGGCCTTCAATGTCGATGTGTGCGTTGCGGAGGATCGTCAGGCCCGGCGTCTCGTAGCAGCCGCGTGATTTGATGCCGATGAAGCGGTTCTCCACGATGTCGATGCGGCCGATGCCGTGTTTCCGGGCCAGGGTGTTGGCCGCGAGGAAGAGTTCGGTGGGGTCGGTCGAGGTGCCCGTCGAGGGGGAGGTGAGTTTGACGGGGATGCCTTGTTCGAACTCGATGACGATGTCTTCGGGTTCGTTGGGTGCGGACAGGATCGGGTCGGCCGTCAGCTTCCACATGTCGCTTGGTGGTGAGGTGTCCGGGTCTTCGAGGATGCCAGCTTCGTAGCTGCAGTGGGCGAGGTTCTCGTCCATCGACCATGGCTTCGACTTGGTGGATGTGACGGGGATGCCCTTCTGGGCGGCGTAGTCGAGGAGGTCGCTCCGGCCTTTGAAGGTGTTGTAGAACTCGGGGATGCGCCAAGGGGCAATGACTTGGATGGTGGGTTGCAGGGCGTAGAAGGCCAGCTCGAAGCGGACCTGGTCGTTGCCTTTGCCGGTGCAGCCGTGCGAGATGAACTGACAGCCCTCGGCTTGTGCCACTGCGACTTGGGCTCGTGCAATGACTGGTCGGGCGAGCGAGGTTCCGAGCAGGTAGACATTCTCGTAGCAGGCGTTGGATTGGATGGCTGGGAAGCACAGCTCTTTGACGAACTCGTCGATGACATTTTCCTGGATGTCGGTTATTAGAGTTGAAATCACGATGGTTTGTTTGTCGAGATAGAGAGAGAGAAACACTTACAACGTAGCACTTCTTTGCTCCAATCTTCAGGGCCTTGGCTTTGGCAGCTTCGAAGTCCTCCTCTTGGCCAATGTTGGCCATGAAGCAGATCACCTCATAGCCTTCCTCGATCAACCAGGCAAGGATGACAGATGTGTCCAGACCGCCGGCTAGACGTATTCAGATTGTCAGTTTTGTTTCCTTTCTTTTCAGGCTGAGCGTGGGATCAAGTTCATGAATGAGAGCCTGTCATGAAAGATGAGGGTCTCGGAGAGCGTATGAACCACCCTGCGAGAGCCATCTACCCCATAACGGCGAGGTGTTTGGAAGAGGGTGCAGGGTGCACATACAGTAGGCTAAGCAGACACGCTTGTTCTCTGCCATATTGGAATGTCGTGTGACTGAGGATTACTGTGATAAGAGAGATGTTCCAGTGGAGTAAGAGACGGGAGCAGGACTGAACGGAGCTCGGGAATGCTCTCGTAAGGTCGTGAACAGCTATATTAAATCAGAGACAAGTTTTTCGAAGTAAAGTGTCAAAATCTGAAGTGAGTCAATGGCGGTGACTCCAAGCAGGACCGGAAGCTCAAGCGCAGGCCAGCCTCAGGCGGGAAAATCCTCGCTGGCGGTGGGTGAGTGAAAAAAAGTGTGGGCAGGGGTTCCGATAAGAAACGCGGGGCTCTTATCGATTGGTCCGCCCCTGCATGGCCTAACTAGTACTAGTTTTGACTCTAGTCTTACAAGCGTACACTAAATCGTGATCCGGTGTCCGGAGAAATGAAAGAAAGAGACTCGGAATGAAAAATTATACTCCTCAGACTGCAGCGGACTGTGTACCGAGCGTTTTATCAGCCCTATCACACTGGTGTTACTTGGGCAAAGAGACCTTGCATTTCAAGGGAGAATCCCATTAAAACACATGCAACCGAAAGACTTTTCATCACAAGGGTATCATGCCTCTTCCTCCAGCCAGGTCCCGAATCTGTCTAGTCTTCCACCTTCGCCTTCTTCCTCGTCATCATCTAGATTGATTGTCTTGTCACTGGACTTCTTGAACTTTTCATTCCCTGTTGCGATGGTGGCCTCAAGTTGTCGATCATCAAACCATCGCCCATGCATGAGCTACCCTGTATTAGTCTTGCTGTGTACCAAGTACCAATATCAACTTACCCTCACACATGCACTGGCGGCTTCCGCACTGGCGAACTTGACACTCGCCACCCCGGCCTCTTCTTTATCGAAGAGCACGACGTTGGTGACAACTCCGAGCTTGGCACATTCTTCACGAATGTCCTCTTTGATCTCCAACATGGAGGCAGGATCCTCCTGCTCATCGTTAGAATGTCGCAGCTTCGTAGAGGTTGCCCAGCTTACCTGTAGTTCTTCAAGAGTAAACATGTGCTTCATGATGACAACTTTATCCCATTTGGAACTGGTATCTTGAAGCGTTTGTGGATCGTCATCATCCCAGTCGGTGAGTTTCCTGGATCTGTATGAGTTTGACATCAATGAGACTGCGTGCTGACACTTACCCCATCATCTTTTGTGTCCGTTTAATGATCTTCTTTTGATCTTTCTTGCTGCTCTTGACCGGAGCTTCCTGTTGACTCTTGTAGGAGAAATCTGCTGCTTGTACCCTCATTTTACCTGAAGGGCCCTCGGTACCTAGGCGAAAATCGGTGTCGTCAAGCATCTGAACCGCGAGTTTGACAGACTCAGGCCTGAAATAAACCACCAATACATCTCCCTTGAATTGTCCTTGGTCATCTTCGTACATTTTGATGCGTGGGTTACCCGAGTCTATCTCTTCTGCAATGACGCCGCATTTGGAGAATACGTGGTTGATCTCTTCTTGGTCCGCATCAAGTGGGATAGAGGTGACATAGACTGCGGTATTGACTCGGGTCTTCTTCTGTTTATGACCGGCCTACAATCGTATCAGCAACTTCTCAAATCGAGGTGGAATGACCTGAACTAACCTCATCACCATTGGCATTCTTCCTCTTCTGTCTGGGATTTGTAGTCTCGTTCTCATCTACACCTGCCACCCTGTATATTTCGCCTTGTTGGTCCAGGAGAGCTTGGTCCAGCTACAGCAGAGGACAACGTCCAGTGTGTTAGAATCTGTCCTGATCACGGGACACCGGGTGTCAAGAGTTGCGAGGTCATGCATGCGATTGGCCTACCACTGGAATCCATCGTTTCAGTGCCGTGTCCCATTCGAATTCGTTGCCTTCTTCCGTTTCTAGAAGATACTTGTTGTCTAACCTGGAGAATGAGATGCGTTCATCGGCGTCGAAACCTGATGGCGATTGAGGAAATCCTGTCTGGATCCCTTCCTCGAGCCTTTCATCATCTGCCATGATACGTGAATGCGCTGCAATAGGCGTAGACGGTGCTTCAACAGCGACGGTGTGAGTTGAGCGACTGCTGTTTGGCGAACTTGGAATGACGTCGCAAAAGTAACAAAAGCGCCAAGAATGGCCTACCCGATTTGGCTGTATCAACAAATCTAGTTGGATAGAACGCGTCTTCCATTTCCACACTCTCTGATCATGAATCATGACAGTTACATTACAGGTAGATTGACAGGGTCTCGAGGGAGTCAAACCGTTACAGTACAACTTGCTTTCCTTGACGGCTTTTCACTCACGATATTGGCTATGTTCATAACTTTCGTACGAAGCATTAACTCAGCTAATCTGTCTGCTCAATCCGGTACAGTTGCGGTAATAAATCACTCAGCGTTTCAGCAAGACCTCTCCATTTGATGCCCAGATCAGACGCCTCCACACTTGAGTCAACACCAAAATGAGTATGTGCTTCGCGTTTTCCAGGACTTCCGAGGGCGATTCGATGACTGTGTTTCCTCGCCACCTCGCTTGAGACATCGGCAATTTCCTGACTACAGTAGATTCCTTGTGCAAGCAACATACGCTTTCCACCGAGTGATGGATCGGAGAGAGCCTTAACGTGTGCTTCAGCCACATCGCGAACATCGACCCACACCGGTCCCTTCGTGGGCGGCATAGCAGCGTCCTCGCCTGCAGAAACCACATCCCAGACCAGCTGGTTACTGGTATTGAGGCCCTTGGGAGATTGAGGTAGCGAGAAGGGAGTATCGAGGAACGGTCCAAAGACCATGGCTGGACACAGACTGACAAGATCAAAGCCGCCTGGGAAGTCAGAAGCTTCCATGAACTCCCACGCCGTCTTCTCTGCGACAGCCTTGCTTGCACGATATGCCACCGCCGGATTTGGTGCCGTTACACCATCGTTGTATGTCAGCGGACACCAATCCTTCGAGGTGTACGTGTATCCTGGCCGCGGTCCGAGGCTGGCATCGTAGATGCATGCAAAGCTGTTTGTATGGATAATTCTCTGCACTGAGCGGCTCCTCGCTGCGGCTTTAAACACGGCCTCAGTTCCTCTAACTGCGGGCTGCATCATGTCTCGCTCATAGTTGTCAACCGAGTATCCAAAAGGGCTCGCCAGGTGGAACACCGCAACAGGCTGGTATGAGTCGAAAAGTGAGTGGTATGCTTCGGGGTCCGTGATGTCTTCGATGATCGCGGTGGTCAAGAGATCCACGCACGCTGGAGTCAATTGGGCGTGTGTGTTCCTCACTGCATCTGCTTTGCTCTGCGAGCGAACGGTGCCGACTACGCGAAATTCGAGAAGGAGAAGTCGCTGGATCACATGGGACGCGATGAAGCCGTTGGCGCCTGTGACAACCACAAGTGATGGTGGTTTTATAGGGGCAAGCTCTGCGTGAGGCATCTTTTCTTCGTCCGTGGCTTCCAAGAGCGGTTCGACAACTGTGACTTCTTTTTGGTCTGCTATCCAGTGCGCGGTGATCAAGATACAGTCAGAATAGGCAGGTATGCTCCTCAACAAGAGGTAGGGTCAAGTCTGGGGTTGGAAGGTATTATGACAATGTGCACCAGACACCGTGAACTAAACCCACAAATTTAAGTCTTCAAAGTCCTCGCAGTTGAAGGCCGGGATAGCCGATCTGGCAAGAGACCTAGAGCATAGCAATATTAAACTGCCCTAAAGTCTTCCAACAAGTGTAAAGCCCTCTAAGTGGCTCACCACCGGCGGAATCTATTCAATAATGCCAGTACGAGCACGCCATCTGGGCCTTGGGATATCTACCGCCTGCACCCCACTCCCGACAATCCGACGATCCGCACTTGATGCAGAGAAAGTACGGACCGCCCTGCTTTCAACAATATCGGCCCACGATCCTCCTCGGCGGTCACCGTTCAGCTATCAGCACTTGACTTGATATCCGAGAAATGCATATGCAGGCGTAGTTAGTGGGGTGCCAGTGGAACGCGACGGGAGCGTGGCAAAGGTTGTGGGGGAAGCTCCACACGCCTAGTGGCGCTGCTGCCGTCGCATAACTTTGTCTCTCCGGCGCATAGATAAACTAGTCGCAAGTCTTACAGTCAGGATACTTGAGGTCGTCACGTTTGTTCAGAGATTGTCTATCCTGAATGTGGGATCGATCTTTGGTCTCTCGATGGGATGTTCGTAACCTGCTGGCTCTTGGTGGACCTTCCAATGTGGCTGACAAGGCTTAGAGATGGGTTCGATCCACGTCTAGGCCTGGCTGGACCTTGATCAAGGGATTCCGCGAATGTCTTTGATCAGTTTTATGCTTATGGTCCAAGCTGGTGGTGCAGCACGTGCCAGCATACTGTTATTGTGAATTGGTTAGGGAACCTGGTGGTTGTCATATCATCCATCCCCCTTGAAGTCGCTGTCTGCTATTGTCGCACTTATGGTCTAGAAGTTCACTTTACCCTAGATCACATTGTCCAGGATGTCTGGGGTCCAATCTAGCTGAGCCCCCCCTTTACAGATAGGCGCAAAAAAAAGAAGTACCGTGATTGTATAAGGCTTGCAAGGAGATAGTCTCAACTCGATGCTATTTCACGTTGGAGATCTTTCATAATGTAATGATTCTCTGAAATAACGCTAGATATTCAACTTATTCATACATTCAAGACTCAGTAGACATAAACGAACGCCGGATTCTTGCGGTCAGTCTCATCTTGGTCTGGAACTGTAAGAACCTCGCCCAAGGACAAGCCTTCCAACTGCGCCCTTCGGTTCTTTACATTCGTACGATTCCTGATGCCGTATAAAATTCTCAAAAGGACCGATACCATCATGGCACCTCCTGCGACTGCAAAAATGGTGATTTTGGCCGGAATGTAGTCTGGTGCATCTTTGGCTTGGAATGTTTGAGGACCAATCTAGAACGATTATGTTAGTTCGGCGTCATGGACACTGGGAGAAACCTATGTAGTCCACACCACCTCAGGTTGGAAGAGAGAGGGAGATAGATAGAACTCACAATATTGGCAATGCTGAAACCAATGGCAATAATTGCATTTGAAGCAACCCGCTTCGTGTACCCCATTGTATTGGCGCCAACCCAGGTGTAGATTATGGCCAGAGGGGCGACGATTGTATTGATAAGGTAGATACCTGCAAGCTTGCCAGGTTGATTCTTTGGAGAGATGAATGACATCAAACCGGCGCCGATGACAGTGGGGATGAGCAAGAGCACGATACTGAGCCATCGTGGGAAGCCTCGAAGGATGGCAAATGTGCAGATCAGTGTGCTAGCAATACTGACTATGCCTGAAGGCATGTTGAGGAGTGCAGCTTGCTTAGGCTTGTATCCGAAGCCCCTGATCAGCGTGGCTGAGAATGTAGTGATGACACCACTGGGGATGACAATCAAGACTGTCAAGAGGAACAAAAGCCAGATTTGTGCATCAAAGAAGATTTCCCACAAAGACGATCTCCGAAAGACTTTTGTGCCATTTCCAGCCTGGTCGAGTGCTAATTTGCGGTGGATAGAAGCCTTTTCATCTGAAGAGAGGAATTTTGCAGAATCGACGGTATCAGGGAGGAAAAGTAAAACGATGGTCGCAACACATATGTTGAAGATACCGACGGCAACCATCATAATGCGCCATCCTCCAAATGACGCACCAACGGCACCGTGTTGAGCTGCAAAGGATACTAGCCCTCCGATGATCTGCCCTGTACCCAGACCACAATACCAGATACCGTAGCGAGGTCCTGCTTCTCGTTTGGTGTACCACTGTGATGTTGACAGGACGAGTGCTGGCGATATGCAGGCCTCGAAGCAACCAAGAAGCGTCCGCAAGGCTACCATCCCCTCGAAATTTTGCACTCCTGCACTGCAGCAGATCGTGATCCCCCAAAACAAGACGTTGAATCCAAGCACTTTACCCAGAGGGTACTTTTGCAACAGATAGCTTTGTGGGAACTCTGCGACAGCAAACCCGATGAAGAAGGCGGTCGCCATCCATGAGAAATCGTTTCCCTTCATTCCTAGATCTTTGGCAAGACCCATGACATTGGCATAATTGATGAGGACTTTGTCGAGGAATTGTAGAAAGTAACAGGCAAACATGATGGGAACAATTCGCCAATCAATCTTTCGGAGTAGTCTTGAGTCTTGAGCATCAGCTGGCAAGACCTCGCCAACTGTCTTGCTCATGGTGGCCTCGAGTTCCTTTGTGGATGACATATCGATATGAGGAGACTTGAGGTCCTGAGTGAGGGCCATTGGGAGGTTGTCTCTCTAACTGCTATGCTGAATCAAACAAGTTGGGCAATTGCAGTGTTTTGGAAGGGTAATATAACTTCAGTCCAAACACAACCACTCTCTTAAAGAAGGCACGACTACGACAAAGGTCCTGCCTCCGTCTTTATCATCAACAGATTGTGAAGACGGTGATGAGGCAGTTTCAACCATATCTGAAGTTTATCGCAAACAAGATTGAGGAGGTATGTCCAATCATGCAAGATACAGGCGGCTGATCGCAAAGCGGGGAGATGGGGTTGAGACGCACGAATCAGCTCTTCCACATTAATCGTATTGCTGCAGCCGTCGCAACCGTTTCCCATGCCGGCGGTACCCCAAAGGTTCAGCCGTCGCATCGTCGAGTATCATAGAGACGGGAGATACTCTATTTGCCCTGACGTCTCTCATGATCTTTCCCGAGCCTTGCTTCATCGTCCGGTGGTAAGGTGTGTGAGTATCGCGCCTCAGTAGTATTCGGCAGAGGGCGTATCATACACAAATCACGTCTCCAGATCGCGGTAGCCCTAATGCGGTATTACCAAGGGCTAGAATAATTTAAATCGCAAGCTCTCTCGTGCAGAGTTGGAGAAAGGTGAATGAAGGTTCTCAGCATATGATAAGCAATAGTTCTGCCTGGAGTTCTGCAACCTTTAGAATACATTTTACATCCTATTCGATCAACGATTGCTCACAGGAACAGCATAATGCCAGGTCGAATAGTTGAAGACAGTATCCCTCAGCTGGATATTGCGGTTATCGGCTCAGGCCTCGGAGGTCTCAGTGCTGCAATCGCCCTGCGGCGGGCAGGCCACTCCGTTACAATTTATGAGAGATATGACTTCGGCGGGGAGGTGGGAGCCTCGCTAAGTGTCGCTTCCAACGGATCAAGACTGCTGGAGGAGTGGGATGTTGATATCCGAGCAGCAAAGCCAGTGGTACTGAGGTCGCTCATTATGCACGACTGGTCCACTGGTGAAGTCACCAACACCTATGACTTGGGAGATTATCGCGCTAGATTCGGCACAGACTACAACAACTTCCATCGTATTGATCTCCATAATGTGCTCAAGGATACTGCAACATCTAGCTCTGGCAAAGGTGTGCCATGCAAACTCGAGGTATGGCACAAGGCGACCGGCATCGACCCCGAAACGGGCAGAATTCAGTTTGAGAATGGGAAGGAAGTGACTGCGGATGCCGTTGTCTGCGCAGATGGTATCAGGTCCGTCTCTCGGGAGCAAATCGGAGTGAAGCCAAAATTTGTCCCTTCCACTTCATGTTGTTACCGCTGTATCATTGGAGCGGACAAATTGAGGGAGCTCGGTCTGGAGGAGTACCTGAACAATAATGCGATAGAATTTTGGGGCGGCTATGGTATCAACAAGATTGTCCTCTCGGCTTGTTCAGACAACAACGTCGTATCGTGTTACTGCTTCTACCCTGCGGAACTCAATGATGTAACCGAAGATGGCTGGAACTTGTCGACAACGGCCGAAAATTTGGTAAAGACCTTCCCTGGGCTCGACCCCAAGATCCACAAGCTCTTCACGAACGCCGAAGATATCAAGATGTGGCGGTTATATAACCATGATGAATATCCTTTCTGGACAAATGAGAAGTGTACATTGTTGGGTGATGCGGCACATCCAATGGTTCCAGATCAGTCTCAGGGCGCTTGTATGGCAATCGAAGATGCTGGCGCTCTGGGAATTGTCTTCAGTCCCAAGTATAGTCGCCTCAGTGTGCAGCAGCGGTTGAAACTTTATGAGACCACCCGGAAGGAGCGAGCAACTCGAGTTCAGTCAGCCAGTGCTCGCGCCAGAACAAATCTGAGTGAGAGGATCGGATGGAGTAGCTCCAGCGATCGTCCTGGGAAGTTGACTATCGAAGAGATCTGCGGCTATGACATTCATGCTCATATTGCGCAACTGGCAGAGGATTTCTAAGTTTCATACGGGTCGTGCGCTTTGATAGCAGCAACATCAGTGGCTGTCTTGCTTCTTGCTTGTGTACATAATGCGCGGTGTTGAAGGTCGTTTGTAGCCCACTGCTCCTTTCCAAGGAATAGAAAATTCAGATTAATGCAAGCCCCGGTATTTGGAAATATCTTATAGCCGCCCAATTGACATCGTCCGTGCTGAGGCCTGAATCTCGTTGTTTCCAGACTCTCTGCACAAGTTCATGGGCCGTGTAGATATATCGAAATCCAAGAGTTCTTTCCATGATCAGGAAACGATCTCGAATAATCATCCTTTCGTTTTCCGTGCTGCAGCTACTGCCTGCCATCACCAATGGGAAGGTCAGGCTACTTTCAAGAGGATTTCCATAACGTATCTCCTGGATTGATTCTAGAATGTTGCCCACGCACACGCCAACTTTTTCGTGTTCGATGGAGTACCCATTGACAACCTGATGGAGCCGAAGTTGAAGTGCTTGTTCAAACGCGATAGTTGCGTATTTGACGGAGGCCTCTTCCGAAGAAGAGATTGTAGGCTCGCCCAAATTGCGGTCTTGACTCCACTGACAAAGCTCTTCTTCGAGTTTAGTTGCAGATGCTTGAAACATATTCTCAAATATTGGATCTTCTCTGAACTTGCGCTGATATGCAAGGCTATTGATCTTGTCCACAAAGTGAAAGAGAGATTTCGGAACTCCATAAAGTGACTCTTCGTCTCCAAAATCACCCCGCCCACTGCTCGCCGGGGAAGACAGGTCTGGCTTAGAGTTACCTTCTGTGAGCTCCAGCAATGGTGGATGGCAAGTTGAGATGGTCGTAGCCGAGTCAAGATAATGGTAGAGCTGGCGGTAGAATGTCGTGAAAGCTGAAATTTGTGACGATCTGGGGCGCCTGTCAATGGCTGATAGAAGACGGCGGGCGCCATCCAGATGAAGCTTCCAGTGAGAACTCGCGCCATCGAATAATTCGATCATACATAGCAATAGTGTGGCAGATAGAGCGGCATCTGCTGAATCATGTTCGATGTTTGGTAGTAGCTGAGCCAGTGATTGAAGTGCTAATCATCATCAGTCAATCAACCATGTCGCCGAACAAGTTTTTACATACCATTTGTTTGGTGGATCGTGCCTCGCCTAGAAATGGAGGGATTCAACTTGCGCCAGTGGCTTGCGCTCAAAGCCAGGACTGAGTTCATGACGAGTTGATTTTGCAATGCAACTGGTAGAATCTTGGATAGGTAAGGGTTAGTTTTTTGATCATCTCGTCGCGAAAGCACGCCGGCAACCACTTTCATATAGTGATTTAGGAGTGACTTGTCTTCATCTAAGGACAAGCTAGGTGCAGTAGATAGCGCCACCAAGGAGAGTTCTGGAAGTGAATCGGGCGGACTGCCACTGTTTGATGCACAGAACGGTATCCTTGGGTGAATCATGGGCGATGACTGTTCAATTAAGGAGTCCCAGTCGTCAGAGTCGAACATTTCCGCGACAATCTCGCCGTCGAAGTCGAGCACATTGTCCTTGAACACTGCGACTTCGTATGTTGGCGAGGCCGCCTTGGAAGATCCCCGGGAGCTTGGTTTCTCCACCGGCTGTGCACTTGCGGTTGGTTGTGCCGCTGGATTTGCGTACTTGCAATCAAGACAAAGTCTTCGGCAATCGGAACATCGAGGGCGTGCCTCGTCGCACTTCCTTCTTCGCTTCTTGCAGGTCAAGCAACCGGTGTGAGTCCTGATTATCTTTGCGCGTTTCAATGTTGGTAGACTGCCTTCGACTGATCGTAGAGCGTGTTCTTTCGGCTCGCAGAGGAGATCAAGCCTCTGACAGCGTCCACATGGAGTGCCTCCATCACAAGCCTGCTTGATCCTAGCGCATCGCAGGCACACAATGTGTTGGCTCATAGTATCTCCTGCTTCTTCGTTATTCGTTTGGACGAGACAGAACGTGTTGGACTGTAGACCATGAAGTGCGACATCATTGGCAAGGTCACGCCTGAGATCATGAAGGCAGTCCCGAGAAGGTTTATCTGATTGCCTGCCAAGGTTGATATCATAATGCGGGGAACGCCTCGCGAAGCGATAGCACCAATAAGAGAGAGTCATGGTCAGCGGGTTTGATAGCGGATTAGAGCCTTCTTGTTCTCGATCCGCTTTATCTTACTAGAGTCGAGAAGGATCGTGCGTAGATATGGTCCAAATAATATTGCAAAGACGAGAAAAGAAATTTGCTATATTCTACAACGATTCTACATAGTGAGCATGGTGGATTTCTCGGCTCGTCATTGTGATAAACTGTTTCGCCTGCCATAGAGACTTCGTCATGTGCATAAAGGGATGCGGTACTCCGGGGAATCTTTTCATCACCACTTCCACACCACTTTCGACCAGTTTCATGGCATAAGCCTCTCCCTCGTCCCTTAACGGATCTGCACCGGCAGTGTAGATGACCGTCTTGGCCAGACCTTTGCAGTTCGGAGCATCCAAAAGGTTCTTGACCCATCCAATGCGCTCTCGCTGTTGCTTCTCGATGACTGGATCTTTCGACAGAGAGTTCCACTTGAGTTTGTCGAACCATGCCAGTCTTGCCCAGTTCAAAGTTGGGGCGAATTCGTTCTCCTGCATCGATATGAACGGCGATTCGAACGCGTTCTTATACTTGGCAAGATCGTCAATCGTAGGAGTGCCGGTTGCAATCAGCCTTAATGGGATCTCTGCGTCTCTCGCCCAGTGGGCACAGACTAGCGCAATATTCGCTCCAGCAGATACACCACCGAGCGAGATGCTGTTGGGCGAAATGTTGAACTTCTCTGCACCATGTTTGTACACGTATTGAAGTGCAGCAAATGAATCCTCAATGCCAGTTGGGAAGGGATTTTCAGGGACAAGTCGATAGGCAACATCAATCACAGCAACCTTCGCCTCGTGGCAAATATGCTTGCAGATATGAGCTTCTGTGTCCAGATCACCTAGACCCCATCCACCACCGTGGTAATCAATATGAACGGGCCATGGCCCCTGACTCGATGGCTCGTACACTCTCACATCGATCTCGATTCCATTCCCTACAGGAATTGTAGAGTCATACACACGTGCCACTTCTGGAGCTGGAGCGGTACCATATGAATATAATACCGAGTACTTGGATCGAAGAATGGCTAAATCAATTGGCTTGTTCGGGGTGTTTGCGACATGCTCGTTGTACAGGTCCACGAAAACAGGATCGAGCCGATCTAGCATGTCAGGGTGGATGGGGTTGAGTGCCTCATGATGGCCATTTGGCTGCTCTGTTGCGGACGGCATTGCTAGTTCGGAAAATGTATATAGAAAAGAGTGCTGAACTGTAGTATCTGAACGGACAGTGGGAGTGATGTTCTGATCAATCTGATTATCGTCTGATCCTCAAATATGCTGATTGATGTAGTCTCTCGAAAGCTCAACCTGATAGGGTGAGGTTTTCCATGGTCCGAGTCTCTGGTCTTCAACACACGGACCGAGACCGGTGTCTGGTTGAGCAACACAGGCGTGGTGAAGCACGGACTATCATGGGTTGGTAATTCTGTGAGATACTGTGGTCGAGGGTTCCGACGGCGAGCTAAACAAAGAGTCCGAGGCACCGGCCGCATTAGCGTGCATGCCCCGCCATCAAGGCTTGTTTAGGCATTCCACCCCCCCGGCGTGGCGATGCCTATCTTGAGGGTGGCTTACCCCGCGGATCTCCGACATCAATGTCAGTAACCAAAGGCAGCAGGATCCAACCATCTTCGATATGTCTACGATTCGGGAGGTGCCCAATACAGTCATCGGATAAAGTGTCATACCTGTATCCGTGATCTATCGAATTTCCTGGATCGAGCCTTCCTCGTACAAATAGAAAGTCTACGAGGTAGCCTCATTACCGAGTACATATCGACATTCAGGGTCCCAGCATCTCCTTTTCAGTGCATTAGCAAAAATCAGGCAAGGATGATTCATCAACAAACTACGGGCAGTGAGGACGTTATCATCGTCGGGGCTGGCGTTGTCGGCCTCACGCTGGCTCACGGTCTCAAGGCGGTAAGATCTGACCAATTCACACTTTTGGAACAACGATCTGATAGCAAACAGGCAGGAATCCCATTCCAGATATTCGAACGTGATGAGAATGTGTCTGCTAGGGGGCAAGGCTGGGCGATTACCATCCACTGGGCATTGCCATACCTCCAGCAAATGCTCAGCCCAGAAGTGTTAGAGGATGTGGATGGCGTCCAAGTCGATCCCGCCGTGGGCCGCAATGATAATGGCAATTTCCTCTTCATCAACCTATCTGACTGCTCTACGAAGTTCCGGATACCACCCTCGACAAGAAGGCGTGTGAATCGCGAAAAGCTGCGCGCAGTGCTCTTGAAAGGTGTGGAAGAGCACGTCCACTGGTCCAAGCGGCTGACAAGAGTACGAGTTGCCTCACACGGTCGTGGCGTCGAGGCGGTATTCGAAGACGGATCCACTTATTCCGGGGCGTTAGTTATCGGTGCTGAAGGCAGTAATTCAGCGGTCAGGAGATATCTGTCAGCCGAAGACTATCGCAGTCGACAACTTCCCATCCGATTCGTAGGTTCCGGAATCAACATGACACCAGAACAAGTCAAACCACTGAGATCCTTGGATCCCTTGCTTTTCCAGGGCTGCCATCCAGATAGCTCTTGCTTTATGTGGGTTTCGATGCTTGAAGTTCCTGAGATCAATGGCACAGCCGGTACAGAGCATGAACGATATCGAGTGCAGATCAATCTTTCTTGGCCAGTGAAAGGTCCAGAAGACGAGGTCAAGTCCGAAAACAGTGAGAGACTGAGGGATATGAGACGAAGGGCTGATGTATTTGCACCGATTTTGAAAGACGCAGTCAATGCAATCCCGGGCGATGCTGAAGTGCTTGAAATAAAACTAGCCGACTGGCCGTGTCTACCATGGGACAATCAAGGCGGAAGAGTAACATTGGTGGGTGACGCAGCACACGCGATGACCATGTATCGAGGAGAAGCCGCGAATCATGGAATGCTGGATGCATTCAATTTGTGGCAGGCATTGAAATCTGTCTATCACGATGGCAAGCCCTTGGAGACAGCCATTACAGCCTTTGAGGAAGAGATGAGAACTCGAACGAGCCATGCAGTTCAGATGAGTCGGCAGGCATGCTTCGATGCCCATGACTGGACCAGATTGAACGAGAACTCGGCAATTCTTACAAAGAGAGCTGTTGTGGCGACATGATAATCGTTGGTTCATGAAGATGACTGATATTCCGATCGCAATCGGTTCAACTGAGAAAATTACTGTACATACAAGGCGTGTAACAAGTTTGGGCAATTTTGTTGAACGCGCGGAGTTTGAATGTCGTGAGAGCCTTCAAAACTGCATGATAAACTGAATGATAAACTGAAAGCTAAACGACCAAATGGGCTATGACTATTTGTTCGCTAGAAGTCCAAAAAGGATCGAGAGGCCTGCTGCTAACCTGTGAAGGCCTTCCCAGCTTTGATGTCATCAAATGCCTTCAGAGTGTGAGCAACAATCGTTTTTCCAGTATCACCAGTCCGATACTTGTCGTATGACTGATGGATCTGTTGTTCTGGAATGGTCTCCCCATCCAGTGTGACACCATATGCACCACTGCCATGCTCGAGGTCCGTGCCCTTTGCCGCTGCAGGCTTCAAATCCGATGTTGAATTGCCGCCAGCTGCTGCAGTACCCCGAGATGATCGAGCCGGAAAACGATCAGGGTCTGCCAGGTAGAGCACACGTTGGCCACATTCTTCCAAGGAAGTGCAAAAGAGACCGAGTACAGGTAGCGCAGCCCGCCAAATAACCCTGAACCAGAACGGCATATATTTGAAACCATCAGTCAAGATGAGTCCAGGATAAACATGGACCAGGCTCAATTTTCCCGGGTGTTTGGAGGCGAGATACTCGAAGAAGAAGGTTGTCATATAAGTGACATGACTTCTGGTCCCAACCACGCCCTGGTGCTTTGGATCTCTCATCGAGAGGTCATCGAGATGAAGCTCTCCCTCTTTCCCTGCAGCGAACACAGAGACTATGTGAGCTGGCAGAGTGGATTCCAGAAGAAGGGGTAGCAAATTGAGAATTGTTTTCATCCGTGAGTAGTAGAGTAGCGAGACACGGAACTCGAGACCCTCGGCTGCATCTGTGGTGTAAGGCTTCAGGGACAGCTCGCCCTGACTCATGAACAGCAGGTCAAGTTTTGGTGCGGTTCCAGCGGTTACACATGCCTTTTCCTCTTTGATTATTTCTTCACACGCCCTATCAACGTCTCGTAACAATGAAAGATCGGCAACCTGAATGAATCGAAAGTCGCCCTGTGGACATATGTTCAAGCAGTCCGCAATGATCTTTTCTGTTGCGTGCTGGTTTCTGCCAGTTATGTAAACTCTGAGGCCCCTTCCGCTGCTTGAATGCGTAGCTGCAAGCGTTTTGAGGGTGGATAGGCCTATCCCCCCTGTGCCTCCAGTAAAGACGGCGACAAGGGGCTGTCTTTGCACCAGTGACGAATTCGCCTTTCGAACATCGTCGAGGTTGACCATACTGCACCAGATATAGCGGTAGATTCTAGTCACGAACGTGAAACCTCACGCAATGACAATAGTTCAGTGATAGGAAATGATTGAGTGCTTTACCCGACTTTGCTGCTTGGGTGAAAGAGAATTCACATCTCTATTCAAAGACCAGAGACCTGGTCTTATACTGTTTCGCGAAGAACAATGCATGTCAAATGGGAGGGTTGTTCTAATTTTTACGCCTCAATAGTTTGGCCGACTTGAATATGCACTTGCTCCAGTTCGTTTAAAAGCAAGGGAGCAGAGAGAGTGAATACGAAGAAAGGTTAGCGCATTGGTGTCCGCAACAGGCTAAGTCGCCGGAACTGCTTCGGCTTATCCCACTCCGAAGTATGACCTCATCATATCGCAGCTTGGCGCCCGATCTGGGTTAGTGGCTATTCACTGTCACTAGTAGTGGTCCGCCATAGCAATTCTCGTTGACGCCGCGTCCTTTCAACCACACGTGACACGCCTGAATTCTGCTCGGAAAAGAAAACATGACCAAGGTAATATCAATGTTGTCGCCTATGTTGTCGCCTCAACGGAAGCAAGGATGCGTGCTCTGTCATATTTGCTTCCAAATCTCCCTGACCACAACGACTATTGAGCACTGACACTTTACAGCATGCGGGGTGGACCTCACTTCCTACCCTTTATGTTGTGCAAACGTGGCGGATAGTGCCCCACTGACTGGGGATATTTGTGTCGAACCTAAGAATCAATAGCGACAATGGAGGTCATCAAATCATTACAATCATCTGGAAAAGTGTGATGGAAGCCTGACGACCAATATTTCGAAGTGGAAAATGCGGCACTCTCAACAGCATCGGCCGTCCTTTCGGTGTCATCTACCAACGTACGAGGAAGGCTCCAAAATGCCTTCTGAACTGCTGATGGAAGTATCTTGAGCAAGGGCGAAACCCTCTCTGTTCAAACACAATTCGAAATGATAATCAACTCGTGCAACGGTGGAAAGTGCAGATGCCTCAGATTTGACTTGAGGAAGTCATGCTTGAGTCGTTGGCAGGACAGCTCCTTACGTGCACAACCACAATGTCCACTTACCAAGCTAATTATCAGTACTTCACCCAGAACTATTAAAGGAATCCTTCGGCGGCTGATGACATGTTTTATCGCAAGCATATTCGCCAATCTGCATAGATCCTAAAAATTGTATCCCGTGGTCAAAATCTGTCATCGCGTCATTGTGCAGCTAACTACTGCCGGCTAAAACCTCCAGCCAACACCTCGTGCGAACACTTGCAGACACGAACACACGAGTACCCCAATGCATGGATATGAAATATGTCGATGATGCCAGAGGCAATGCTTTGCAGACACTAGCACCCTAAGGAGATCCTGTTCAAGATTGAGTATCCGCCTTCTCACGCCGTTTTCCAGAGAACGAGTGCCACCCCCGACATCGATCATCCTCACTCCGATACTCCACACGATCAAAACTTCACTTTCCCTTACGTCTCTAACGGTCTGGTGGATCTATCAAAGCATCAAAACTGTTCGAGACCCACATTGAAGCTCCGTCCTACCAGCTTCACGGCCCTTTGTTGTGGAAATATTCTTACACTCCGCCTCAGCTCTCTCACAATAGCAATATCGACATGAGCGAAAGCCAGAACCTAGAAGAGACTCCAGACCAAAGCGCCTACAGACAGCGGCCTATCAGTCCCAGCCATGAATCTCCTACACATAGCTCGCAACAGGCAGGCTCAGTCACTCCTAATGCAAGGGCGGATACTCAAAGAGCTCCAGCTAGTTCTCCGGATCGCTTCGATGCAAGATTTCCCAGATTTCAACAACCGGCACTATCACCAATCCCAAGTACTGGTATTCAAGAAATAACGAGGCTTGTATCCCGCGATTCCCCAAATCCAAGAACATCAAACTCCCCAAACCCAAGGCCATCACGTAACTCTGCTACACATCTCCCACCCCCGCAAGTACGTCGACGATACGGGAGTATCTATCTGAGCCCAAGCCCAGATCCTAATCGACCTTGGAGAGGATCGAACACATCTAAAAAAGGATCAGTACCCGTCGCGGTGGCGTCTGGGCTCGATTCCGATGCTGCCTCACGCAAATGGTCTCTAGGAGGGGTGGCACCTTTAGAAAATCCTGCAAGTGCCCAAAACTATGTCGAACCTGGATATGGCATACTCAATCCCGCCTACGAGCAGCCTTCCAATGTTCGTCCTGTCTGGTCATTGGGAAAACCACTCCCCCACGTTCTCGGGCCTGCCGCCTTACCTTCAAAAAAGGAACTCCAGCGGCAGCAACAGCACCACAGAGATTATGATGATGACGACGACGAATCTGGATTGTATGAAGACCTTGAAGTTGGGGGAAGACACCATAGACTTCGTTCTGATAGCATCCGGGACAGAGAAAGACGTTTGATAGAGTCCTACCAGCAATATCGTGAGATTTCACCTGCTATCTCGCCGTTTTCTGGAACGAGAAGAAGCTCCACCGCGGAACCAGAAGCGCCAAGCCGTCACCATCGGGTTAAAGAGACGACGATATTTGAAGATGACGATGAAGAGCTATCCCACCAAGGGCGAAGGTCACTCCAACATTCAGAGCTAGATTTTCCTCACTTGCCTCGAGCAATCGCAAATGTCAACCAAGCGAAAGAAGAAGAAAGTCTTGATCGTCTGCTCCAAGACCATGTACCTCTCCCCGGATACTTGGCTGAAGATCTTGAAGTACACAATTTTCATAACTCCTGGGGACCTATCCGCAAGAGATTTCGCGGGTTTCTTTCAGAATTGCTAGGGGTACGTCCAAAAACCCCATATCTGCTCGAAAGCGTGCTAACCATATGGACCTCTGTCAGATAACACTCCAGTATACGCTCGGTCTGAGCGTGAATCTGACCGTTGCAGTTTCTGGGTCGAATGGGTATGGTGTTGCCGAGTGGGGTTGGGGCTTCGCAACCATGGCTGCCGTGTACGTTTCCAGTGGCGCTTCGGGAGGCCATTTAAACCCAGCCATAACGATCATGCTATTTATATATAGAGGCTTTCCACGTGGCAAGGTGCCTTCATTCATCGTTGCCCATATTCTGGGTGCATTCATCGCCACTATGATCACTTTCGCTCTCTTCCGACGAGGTTTGCTGGAGCTAGCTCTTATTGAACCACATGAAGAGTCGTGGTTGTACTTCGAAGGGCGTCATCGTCCGAACTCAAGATTGGGAGAGATGCCACCTGCAAGAGTTGTGCTGAGCCATTTCATTACATACCCTCGAGCGAATTGGGTGAATTTTCCTGTCGCCTTTTGTACCGAGTTTCTAGCCGCAACGATACTGGGTGTAATCATCCTTGCGCTGTTGGATGATACAAATACCTCTCCAGGGGCAAATTTGACTGCATTCATCGCTGCACTTGTTGTCACGGTTCTTGGCATGGCATTTGGGTACAATACTGGGTTGGCTCTGAATCCAGCAAGAGATCTTGGCCCGCGTCTCGCCCTGGCATGTCTCGGTTATGGTACGGATTCGAGTTTAGGTCAATCTCTGTGGTCAGACCGCTATTGGCTCAAAGTGGCAATACCAGCACCGATATGTGGTACCATTCTTAGTGGCTTCATTTACGACTCTTTCATTTTCGGCGGAAGTGAATCTCCGGTGAATTGGCCAGCACGGAGATGGCGGAGACTGTTTGAGTTGTGCTATACGAAAATTCTAGTCACGCTGCTGAGATTGAAACGAAAGTCAAAAGACGTTAAGGACGACTTGGCTTACTTGACAACAACTGAGCCGCAATAAACGATGTGGTCTTGTGCAACACCGATCGCTTCCGCAAGAACCACAGACTTCTTTGCGGCGTTCCAGCCGAGCCTTTCAGTCCTCAACAAGCAGGGACTCGAGTTCGGCTATCGACTTGACGATGGGAATCTCGTAATTCTTCAACTGGGGCATGAAATTGATGGATTCGCGGGTTTATAGCTTTTTGCCACTCATTGGAGTCAGCGCTCAGCCTGGGGAACACTTTCTTCTCATCAAGTGCGTTGCAGACGGATGTTTAATTGTCTTATGCCCAACTGATCAGAAATTATTGTCGTGCGAGTCATTGGAGTGTACAAGTTCGCTCCTGGAATTACAAACATGCGTATGGTCGGCTTTTAGCTATAGGTTCACTGCCTGCACACGGAATGTGGATATCTATCTGCGGTCATTCACACCTGGCTGTGTCTGTTGTCAGTGAATTAGATACGAGTCAACTTCTCATTCGTTCTCAATAAAGAGGATGGAGAGTAAATCGTGTTCCTATTGGCCCAATGATCACGAAGTTACTGGCGTACGAGCCGTCGATCAAAAATACTCCAGTTCTCTGTACCTCGGGACTTGCGCGGCTAACAGTTTCTCAGGACTCCGATGTCTGATACACTCCTCGGTACTAGTTAATATGAAGTAAATGGCTTTGGACCTCTCCCGGCCATGACAGACTATCACCAGAGCGATATTGATTTTCTGAGCAAGACTTCTCCTGCATACTGGATTCGAGTGTGTCTTACATAGAAGCATTGGGTTATTAAGGTTCTAGCTCGATTTGACTCCTGTAACGGACCAAGCAGTGTGGAATCATGGGTGACTCAGGAGGACCTTCCGATCGACCAACACGGCCATGCCGCATAGCAAATTGTTCAGGGGCACGCGGGGACCCTGGGTACCAGATGCACCGACAAGCAACATTTGGACCCGTTGACTTCATCACGGGGGATTACCTGGCCGAGGTAAGCAACTGAACAGGCATTTCATTCAAGCGTCTGTCATGCAGAGTCTGCGCAGGAAATGTGTCTACTCTTTGGAGAATACTTCGAAAATCATTTTGCTGACCCGAACGACAATCGCAGATGAATTTAGCAGAGAACGCCGAGAAGCTCGCACTCGGCCAACACGACGGCTGGGAGCCGACGGCGTGGGATGGACTCGAGCAAACGCTAGAAGTTATCAAGGCGCGCAACATCAAGATCATCATTAACGGCGGTGCGCTGAACCCAAAAGGCCTGGCGCAGAAAGCACAGAAACTCTCCAAGGTGAAACGGCTAGGGTTGAAGATTGCTTACGTGTTCGGAGACGACTTGCTGCAGGAGGTAAAGACCGAATTGGCGGAGACGGGCAAACTGCCTTCACATCTCGACAGTGAAAATGACAAAGTTTCGCTGGCTGAGAATGCGACTGCGTTGCTCGACACTAAAGGGAAGCCGCTCGTCAGTGCCAACGCTTACCTGGGAGCGAGGGCTATTGTGAAAGGTCTGGAACTCGGGGCAGATGTCATTATTTGTGGACGAGTCGCGGATGCAAGTCCTGTCATTGGCGCTGCGTGGTACTGGCACCAGTGGTCCGACACCGACTTCGATAGACTGGCGGGTACTCTGGTTGCAGGACACTTGATCGAGTGTTCGGCATATGCGACCGGGTCCAATTTCTCCGGCTTTGACGAATACCCTCTGGAGACCTTCGTGGACCTCTCCTACGGGATTGCCGAGGTGTTTGACGATGGGACTTCTGTCATCACCAAGCATGAGAACACCAAGGGGCTGGTCAACGAGGACAATATCAAGTGCCAATTCCTGTATGAGCTTCAAGGGGGTATGTACCTCAATTCTGATGTCGCGGCCGATACCACGAATATCAAGATCGAGCAGGTAGGTAAGAATCGAGTGAGGCTGTCCAATATCAAGGGGTTCGCTCCACCACCAACAACGAAACTCGCAATATTTTACCATGGAGGATATGAAGCCCAACTCTTGACAAATGCAACAGGTTATGCAACGGCGGAGAAGTGGAAGCTATTCGAAGCACAGATGCATCACGCCCTCGAGCAAAAGGGACTCAAGGATCAATTCCAGCTTCTTGACTTTCAGATCCTGGGGACACCAGCAGCGAACCCACGATCACAATTTGCAAGCACCACTTACTGCCGTACTTTCGTGCAAGCCGATACTCAGTTAGCGATATATGGGCTACTGAAAGCGTGGAGTGAGATTGCGATGCATCATTTCTCGGGATTTCACCTTTCATTGGACACGCGAACTGCATTACCTCGATCCTACCTTGCATACTACCCTGCCTTGTACCCTCAGGATAAACTCAAGGAGGGAGTGGTTCTCCTGGACGAAGACGGCGGAGAAGCGGAGACTGTAGACGCCGGGCATCCGCCGAGGTATCAAAGCCTGGGAAAGCGAGAGAATTATGAGACAGCAACCCACGTCGATCTCTCCTCGTTCGGCCCAACTCGAAAGGCCCGACTGGGAGACATCTGCCTCGCTCGGTCGGGTGACAAAGGCGCAAACATCAATTTTGGCCTGTTTGTGCGGCACGCTCACCAGTATGCCTGGCTTCAGACCTTCATGACGAGGGATAAGATGAAGGAGCTCATGGGTGACGACTGGCGGGATGATTTCTTCATTGAACGTATGGAGTTCCCCAATATATGGGCGGTTCATTTTGTGATTTACGGACCACTTGGTCGTGGGGTCAGCAGTTGTCGTCTGCTCGATGCTTTGGGTAAAGGCTTCGCGGATTATATCCGCGACAGACTTGTAGAAGTCCCGGAACAGTTTCTGGAAGAAGTGCAGGAGGTCAAAAGAGCGCGGCGTGCGATGTTATGAACAACTTTGAGTCTGATTGCCCACTGGTACCTCGTAGGGAACAGGGCCACGTGCGAGGTCTGGCATAAAACGCCTGTCGTCTTCATATTCCAGACTCAGACTTAGCCTTCGAGCACACTTTTGCTTATCACGATATTCATTAATAATCAACAAGCTTGCCACGCAAGGTCGATCATCTGGGGTGGATCATGGCAAATAAATAGAAAAAGTCTTGCAAGGTTGCAAGTTGTCGCGCCGTTAGTGGTATCAACAGAATCAACAATGAGCATTAATTCTTGTGCATTCGCATTATGCCTTATGCAGAATCAAGTGGCACCGCCTTGGCCCTTGGGGACCACTTATCTACGGCCTGCCCGATACGCACGAACGGTCGACCTCAGGAGATCAAAGATGAACCGAGGTACTTCGCAATAAAAAAGGGATTGTCACTAACCGCAATTCGACCCGCTCCGTTGAAAATTCTCGAAGTTTCAGATTGACTGACTTGTCAAGCTTTCAACTCGGTCAGCAAGCCACGTTGTTTGGTCTGATCCAAGACTGTTGTGGAAAGACAGACTTCCCACAAGGGCGATGAAACCTCGCATAATGCATCACAACTTGGATCTGTGCTGTTCGATGAGGTGTTCTCGAGATATCGCCATTAACTTCCGCCTACGACACACCCATTATCTGACCTAGCAATTATGTCACGACTCGAGCTCGGGATGAAGCACCGGTTCTCAAATCACTCGACTTGCCTCGAGGCCATTAGGTCTAGACATGGTCGCACTATCAAGTAGCAGATGTCATTCATTATTATCTTTGTGATGTTCCGTCGGCCACTTGAACAACGTGGATCAAACCACAAACTAGATTGCTCGGTCCATCGGCAACTGCTCGCGGCTGTGGACCTGATTTGCCTTTCGAGGTCCATCCAAACGGAACCCACCAAGGCTGTATCCGAAGTTGGACGATGATGCAACACCACCAAATAAACCTTTGATAAGATTTATTAGTTGAGGCAAAGGATATTAAGCCACGGAACCCTCGTCTTGTCCTCCTTCTCCTAGTTTCATCTATTTCAAAGGCCAATATTTTATCTTACAGGCTTTTGTCACCCAGATATATACTCAAATCAAATCAATATCTGGCCAGCACAATGGCGGAAAAACAGCCCGAGGGCCGGAACTCTGCTCCACGATCTCTTCCTCTTTCCAGACTGGTCCTCGACCAAGCTCGTGTCACAGATGAGGTGCTGCATTTTCCCTATGAGGGCTCAGGCACAGCGGAAGATCCTTATATTGTAACGTATATTCCACAAGACGCTGGCAATCCATTCAACTGGAGCGGCAATTTTCGATGGTTCATTACAACCATCGTGGCCATTGAGACTCTTGCTGTGGCTTTCGCTTCAAGCGCCTTCAGTGGTGAGTTGTCCGAAATTGTATCCATTGATCCAGGTTGCAATGTATCTAACTCTTCTCCTAGGCGCCATACGAGAACTCATCGCCGATTTAGGTGCGAGTACCGAACTCATCACTGCTGGGATTTCGTTATTCGTCTTGGGCTTTGCAACCGGGCCATTGATATTCGCTCCTCTCAGCGAGATCTATGGACGCCAGATCATCTTCGTTGTTAGCTTTGGCGCCTTTACGGCTTTCAATGCTGGCTGTGCCGGTTCTCAAAATACCGGCACTCTACTCGTGCTCCGATTCTTCGCTGGCGCCTTTGGCTCCTCACCTCTGACCAATGCTGGGGGAGTCATCGCTGATATTTTCCCTGCATCTCAGCGTGGGCTGGCAATGAGCTTGTTTGCGCTGGCACCTTCCTTTGGTCCCTGTGCGTCTCCATGGATTGCTGGGTTCCTAAGTGAAAACGAAGGTTGGCGGTGGGTGATGGGTCTGCTCACTATCTTTTCTGGAGTGCTATGGATCCTGGGGACGCTGTTCGTGCCAGAGACGTACGCTCCAGTGATTTTGAGAAAGAGAGTTGCTGTTCTGAAACAGAAGACTGGAAAGGAATACATCCTCCAGGGCGACAAGGAAAAGGGCACACCTTCTCTTGGATCCGTACTCACCACTGCCCTGATCAGACCTTGGATTCTCCTCTTCATGGAGCCTATCGTCCTCCTGCTATCAATCTACATCGCTATTGTCTATGGTAAGTGCAATGCCGCAACTCTAACTTTTCATGCTGACATCTATCCAGGAACTCTCTACCTCCTCTTCGGCGCCTATCCCATCGTCTTTCAACAGACCCGTGGCTGGTCAGAAGGAGTTGGTGGTCTCCCTTTCCTGGGCGTCGCCGGCGGCATGGTCATTGGTATCGCTTTCGTCGCCTGGGCCAACAAGTGGTATGTTGCTGCGGCTGAAAAGAATGGCGGTATCGCACCACCTGAGGCACGCCTAGAGCCATCTTTATATGGCTCCATTGCTATTCCCATTGGAATGTTCTGGTTTGCATGGACGAATTACCCTTCCATCCATTGGATCTCACCCGTCCTTGCCGGAGCGCCATTCGGGTTCGGCCTGAACATCGTCTTTTTGGGCATCACGAACTACCTCATTGACTCTTACACTATCTTCGCCGCCTCAGTCCTTGCCGCAAACACCGTTCTACGATCACTATTCGGCGCTGCGTTCCCGCTCTTCACCAGCGACATGTATAAGGCTCTGGGGATTCACTGGGCAAGCTCAGTTCCGGCATTCCTCGCTCTAGCATGTGTGCCTTTCCCGTTCGTCTTCTACAAATACGGAGCACAGATCCGGGCCAAGTGTGTGTACGCAGCCCAGGCCGAAGCTGTGATGAACCAAATGCGTGCCAAAGCCGCCACGGCCGCCGCCGCCGCCGCCAATGGGCCTTCAAGAGCACAGGAAGAAAAAGAGCTGAGAAGATACCCGACAACCCACTCGACGACAAGCGGTTCAGAGGGTACCTCTGTCGACGGTCGGGCATTCGAGCCGCTAAAGGCCACCAGATCTCGCTCGACAGATGCCGTGGACAGGGCACAACTCACTCGCACCAAGTCAAGGGCCGAGTCTATCCCTGAAGCTGCCAACTATGATGCTAGCCCTTACGACATCGACCGTGTCTATACCTCGACTTCGCTCGCCGGGGTGGACCTCAACAGGAGTCGAACGAACCGATCAACCGGCCGATGAGAAACGGTTCTTTCGGCATCGAATCCATGTACACCAACAAAAACCTTTGATCTTGCATAGCATCGGCGCATTTACTTCTGGGCATGCAGCGCTACATAGAATTCCCTAGACCATCATGTTTTGGTCAAGTTAATAATTAGATACCCAATCCCAGTGCAATCTGGAACCTAATAAGAACAACGCCTTCATCATACAGAAATCAAACGATTTCTTTTCCTTTTTAACAAACCCTTTTTCACCAAAACTTCATGATCCTCCGACATAGCTCGTCCCAGACATCGTGCAGAATCTCGACGGGGCTTTCGATGCTGTATGTGTCGAACTGCCCCTCGAAACTCATGTCGGTGTATTCTCGCCCTAGCTGTCCGCAGTTGGAGTCGTTGGTCATCAGGAAGTCCCGATTGGGCCTCTCTGAGGAGGGAGTTGGTGTCTCTTCGTGATGCTACGTTATCGTCGGCAAAATTTCACATGTCAGTCAAGGGGGTTCGGTTCATGGGCTGCGAGGACAACGAAGGCCGCTCGCTGTCCCGGCGTTTGACTTACAAGGACTAGTATCTCGGGTTTGATCGACGACATGGGTAGATGTGATATAGTTGATGGTATAGACTTGTAGTGTCTGAATTGCCTTTAACAGAGTAGAGGTTATCTCGTCAGCTGATGGACGGTTGATATTGCATTTGTTTTGGTTTGGTTGACTTTTTTGTTTATTTGGTTTGTGAGGACCAGAACCTTTTGGTCCTTCACCTCGCGTACTCTCCAGAGGTATTTGACCTGCTGCGAGGAGACGGGTCAAGTGACCGCCGTCGTCTCAATCGAGTCCTGTGGAACATACTAGCGAGTTGTGTGCACATGTCAATCGAGAATGAAAAGAATGTCGCTCATGGCTCGTATGTGGTGTGATTACTTCTTGGAATTGGCCGCTGTCGCTGGTCACTCACTGGATAGACCACGAGCGCCGAGGTACTTCGTATCCCGTATGCTTGGGATCATCCACTAGTGGGTCTTGCACTTTCGGATTCAGGGCTACTTTACCCACTCTGAAAGGGAGTCAAGCCTGCTGTAAATGTTCCGTACGGGTAGATAACTCGAGAGATAGGCATGATGTTTAGATACGGTCACTAAAGGCCTGTTATCCGTGGTTAGTGGCCCTCGTAAATTTTCTATTCTGACATAATCAGGTCCCACAAGCCTAGATTCCCGTCTGGCACCCTTGGCTATTAGCTCGATCTAGTGAAGCAGGCTACAGTGTATTCGTGCTAAGTGAATTTCAAATTCTGGCTCAGGACGGGAGAGTTCACCCGGCGTACCGGACCATAACCTTGGAAGTGACCCGAGATGTCGAGAATGGAGAGAAAAAGATAACACAATGCTCAAAGAGGCACGGACTCGAGGGTTAATACGATCTTGCCCATTTATACTGGAAGTCGAGCGAAACGCATACTTGGGATACATGGCATCCTCAGACATTGTGCAGTACTTGATGTGATATCTCCATCGATTGGCCGATCTGGCCGCCCTGACGAGCACTATGTACACACAAAGATGTGCTGATCTTTCTTTTGTGCATTATTAGTTGTGCACGTGTGTCTCAATTTCTACGAGATTTCTTTCTTTCTTCCTTCCTTCCACCCTATGACCGGCTGCCTCTGCGCTGTTGGACCATTCCGGGGACACTGTGTCTGAAGAGCCTGCAAGGGTGACCAAAACCGGGATGAGTTCCAGTCTTCTTCGATGTCGAGTGATGGTAATCGGTTCGTATTCTCCAGGCAAAGTACGAGGCATAAGCAAAAGCTTGCTGTGAATGTAGTTGTGGAGGTCCATTCCCCAGGGTGCTCACTGGCTCAGAGATCAAATACCTGATCAGTACAATGATCTGCTAGCATTTTCTGTATCACTGTCTGACCCTTTATAAGTTGTCGAACCCATTTGGTGAGACTGACCATGCGAAGCCTTAACTGGGGAGTAGATTCCGTTATCAAGACGTCCGGCGAGTCGTGGAAAGCAAAACCCAGGATGGAAGATAGTCATGGTCAGAACAGCAATCGAGATCGTCCTATCAGAATATGGCAGTCAGTATCTGCAATCTGGGGAAGGTCAGTGTGGTTGTAACTTACACTCCTTCACAGATGATAAACAGCATCTCATTCTGCATTATGGGATTTCTCCAGCCACCAGACATTTCTGGAATGCGATAGACGCATCGGAGGAAAATTGCGATAAAGGCAGTAGCCAGGCCAAGGGCGAAGAGTCTGAACTTTGAGCTGCTGATAGTTGCCTTTGCCTCTTCCGAGAATGGATGTAGTTTGAGCGCACGCTTGCGTCGAACGACAAAATCAACGACAAAAACTCCAAATGCCGTCAATGTAAACACCTGCCATACGATACCCGCCATCGCGAGATGGTCACCCTTTGCACGAAGCTTGGAGTTGCTCCCAGCGCTAGCCGCAATGCCACCTCCAGCTCCTTGGAGAGCCAATGAAATGCTGTCGGCGAAGATAAAGATCCAGGTATAGAAACGAGGTCGAATTCGTGACCATTTCTCTCCGAAGCACAAGCAAATATGCTTGAGGGTGAGATATATCGCTGCAGAGAGGTACGCCGGAGCGATGATGAGAAGCGTGATTTGGAGCTTGAAAGCGGTACTGTTGAATGGGTTCGTGTGGAGCATGATACGGCCTGCATACCCAACACACGATGACAAGCAGCCAAGTCCCATACCAATCATATAAGTCCAAGTACGGTATCGCCAACCGAGGTACACATTGAGGAAAGTGAAGAGGCCGAAGAAAGCTGCGAAGAAACAATTCGCAAAGGTATTTGGATAGTATCCATAGATGGACGCTTCAACAGGGCACTCTGGTGTAACATTGTCACAGAGAAGTGGAGATGCCATCTTGGGGGCTATGGGTAGGGGTATGGAGAAGAAAGAAGGTGGGATGAGGATGAATAACTTACCAGAGTGAATGGGTATGAACGCTGAATATATACACGCTGACCGATTGTATACCTGCCTAAGTCACTGGCAACTTGAATCTTTCGTACTGGGGGCCAAAAATGAGTCTGATCAGACCGAAACCGAAGCCGACATTGACCCTGATCACCGTGCCTACAAGCCATCAACCACGAGAACATGGATCTTGCTCTAGGTGAGACGCACTTGAGACCCAACCATCAGGACTGATATTCAGTCGATCAAGAATCAAGAGTTTAGGCCCCCAGATTGTTGATATCTCCCCCAATCCTTATGTCAGGAGGCCTATCAAGCCGGTGGAGAATGGTATAGTGGATGGAAAACGATCCAGCAACTGAGATATAAAGAATTAACTTCTTCATCTGGAAAGTGGGACTCCACAGCTATCGCAGTTGGTCGATAACCTGGGAGGCCCTTGCCATAGCAGAACGACCAGTCTTCTTGTTTCGCCCTCTAAGTCGGGTTTGGAACGGATCAGCTAAATTAAGAACCTGATATCCTCACCCTCGACGGGGCGATATATGAGACCGACGAAACCAGCTTCATGCGGAGGGGATATCGCCTGGATCTTATTGTACTAGACTCGTTTGGTGTTCTTGTAGTGTTGAAGGCTAGCTTTATTTGGGAGATTGAGCGTGGTGATTCGTCAAATGCCCGACGATGAGCACTGTGGCGAAGGCCGGACCCTATCGCCTAGCCCTATGCATGTACTTCATATGATGACTGGTCCTGCTTGTATACTTTCGCTCAGGCCTCCCATATATGCCTTGAGATTGGCGAAGTTAAGATGGAGTACTCTTTGCCGAGATCTCCTGGCCCCAGGCCTGAGTGTCCAGAACAGCCAATCAGAGGATAGAAATTGACTTTCGAATTAGGAAATGCTCCACATCAGTGCTCGAGTAACAGCCTTGGCTTGGGGAATTTCATTTTGCTGCTTCGGGCTCCTTGCTTTATTTGTCATCTAAAAGAAGCAGGACCTTTGGCATGTGGAATTTCCCAAGGTGATTCGTTTTGGATATATTAATAAAATATGGTAACCTCGAGATAAATTGACAGATCTCCTTGAAGCTGTTGAGGGGCCCATAAAGGAGTGTAGTAACTGGATAGCTGATCAGAATACGTCGTACTCGTAAGGTCAAAGACAGCTTCCAGTAGTCAGCTTTCCCGCCAGGTTGCTACCCGCTCATCCCTCGTAGAGCCGATTTCTTCTGATATTGGGACAAATCTTCCGAGTTGATTTTCAGTTGCACATCTGCTGCCATCACCCCTCACAAAAAGTCGACTTGTGCTGTGTACTCGACGTTGGCTTTCTTGCAGCCATTGTTGATCGATTCTGCATGTTTTGACTATCAAGTTTTGAGACGTAGTTTCTTCCTTCCTAGACCTGCAGTCCAACATGCACTCCATGCCTTAAGAGAGTGTTCATCGGCAAGAAATTGCCGGAAAAGATATTCTGGCTGAGCCATACCGAAAGGATTCGGTAGACTATCGATGACAGAATCCACAAGTGGCGCACTTCGATAAGCAAGTGATGGGCGTTCATTGCCGATCCCTGCGGCTAGCGTTGTGGCCCATATCTTCAAATCAACTTGCCACTCATCGCGGGGTTGGAAGTCTTTGATTGAGCCCATGAGATCTGCTAACATTCGGTGGAAGATGCCACTAAGTGAAAATCGGCGAAGGATGTAACAAGCTAGGCAGAACAACGAAAGGCATACTAATTTTTCTGTGCTAGGAGGGTTCACCGTCCTTTCACGTTCAAGGATGGGGAACTGGTTCTCTATGTCCACCCATGGTCGGAGTTTCATGAACATAGCTGTGTTTTTCGATACATTGGAGTCATTGACAAGTTCGATCCACACAGAAAATCGAGCAAGGATGCTGGTCAGGCCCAATGACAGCTGACCTTCCAGTGCCAGTGCGCGGAAACCAGGTGGAAGTGTCATTGACGATTCGGCGGGAATTGGACTCGACATAGTGGGCGGGACGCTCACATTTTTGCGATCTGGGTGGTGTTTATTCTCCGAATATTCTAGAGCTTGAAGGTAAACTTTACTTCTGCAGCAGCGTCAGTACACTTTTAGACACCCAAAAAGAGTTTACTTTACTTACGCGTCTAAATAGCCTAGAAATATTTGCTTTTGCAAGTCAGTCTTGAAGGCGTTTGGTTGTGTCGACATTTGACGTAGGGCAGATAAATGGAGCCGGAAGGAAGTGCTTTCGAATCGAATGAGCTGTTCAGATCAGTCAGCTCAATCCCGGCAGCTTGGTGAAACAAGAATCCAGACATACATCGAGTGCCAGGAGATTCAGAACCGTGAGCATCATCGTCTCGTCGACAGGGCATTGACTATTTAGTCGCAGTGATAGTGTATGGAGAGCGATACCTTTATGATAAAGCACTTCGGGCGATATGAATTCAGCGACATCACGTCCAAGCATATACTCTCGTATCGCCTGGCTCAAAGCCACAAGTGATTGAAAAGTCTCTGCATTGCTCATGGCCAGTCCAAACATGCGGGAAATGACGACGCCGGTGAAAGCTGGCTGACCGTCTAAAAACGCTGACGCACAATTTAGTTTTGGAGATTCATCAATTGGTTTAGGCAAGAGTTGTGTCATACCTGGGATTTGTGCCGGCGTCCACTCTTTCAACCAGAAGTCAACTGCTCCTTCAACACATCCTCGAACTTCAATAGGATATGAATTGAAAGGATCCCTACGGGTACCCGTGAACTCGATAGTCAAAGGTGACGGACTGGCGATGACGGCAGAATTTCTCGTGTCACATTGAGACGGATCAGCGTCAACCGATGGAGGACCACCCGATGATATGGACTCATCGGGAGTGTCCTCTCTGGACTTCGTCCACGAAACTGCTAGCTGCTTTTTGAGAGCAATCTTTTTAGGCCGTCGACCTGTATGTCGATGCGTGTACGAGTTGACAGTATATCGGGTCTCTGGTGCCCGAAGCTCATCAGGATGTTTGATACTGACAATGGTGAAAGCAGGTTTGTCCGTCATTCTCAATCCTAGAATATCTAAAGGACCGAAGGTGGTGCGCAATTGAGACACTTGTCAAGCCTTTTGAAAGTTTATAAAATGCGGTTGCTGCGTCCCACCTCTGGGCCCGTCAAAGAAAAGTTGTCACAACTCGCCATAGCCATAACATGATTATGTTCATCTATCCGGTACTTGAAAAGAGCTCCATCGTTGGATGCATTGCATGGAAGCAGCATTGCGCCTCTGTGTACGCAATAATGGAGCATGCAAACTCCAAGCTCGATTCCTGAATTAATGACGAAAAGCCATAGTTGTGTCGCTTTAAGCCGAGCCAAGATCAACCTGCTACGACGCCAAACTTTGGATGGGAAAGTGCCAAACAACTGGCGATGTTAGCTCCAGCCGTTAAGAAAATACCCACATTTCATGTTGAGGCTGAGGTGCCAGGCCCCAAGGTTCGGCCGTAGAACTAAAGACGATGACGGGATGGTAATATCTTTTCCCTATGCCACGGATACTCCGCATGTCGCAAGTTTGATCTAGGATGAGCTTTTCAAGATGTGATCTAGCTACGTACCTAAGGCAGCTAAATTCGCAATTACCTTCGCTCAAGCCGGAAACTGAAATCGCGCGAAGCATCAATATTGCCCGCCGTAATGCCAAGGGCGCATCTGGCGCGACTGTCCTTCACCGGACTGTTTGTGAGATCTGAACCTCACAAGGCACTGTCCTTTCGCTCTCACAACCACGACCAAAACCCAACATTCCGTATCTCTAGCCACGTAAAAGTTCAAACTCAACATTGATACACAGAGAACTTGTTCTTCACCCTCAATTTACTTGACCAAATCACGTCGGCCTACAGCGCCTCCAAGGAAGGCAGTGGCTGGCTGCCCATGCCGTTCAGATAATGGAGGACTTTCAATCAGAAACGGACAGTGACTACACGAGTTACTGGCGAGATTGGGTGAGTTTGTTCTTTTTCTACGGCGTTTCCCAGCCTCATGTTGCGCCCTGTCCTTGTTATTTGACCAGAGTGAAATCCATGAAGGTGTGCCTTGCTTGAGCAGAACCACGGTGCTAGCACCCACGCCCCCACACAACCCGAAGGGACGTTCAAATCTATTTGTGAGAAGCAATTCAAGGAATGATAGTGGAGTTCAATTCCGTTCACTGTAGTCATCTGAGCTTGATCTGTGCCTGGGTATATGATCAAGACGCCATTCTCGGCATGGATGGATTCCACAATATTGCTTTTCGTCCTCGCCCACGACAATCCACCATGGGAAATGGCTGGCAAGCACTGCACAAGAAGTGCCAAATTGAAGCAACGGCCTCTATTTCTTACATTCAACCATAAAGTCTACGTGTGTGATTCTGGAAAGATGCTCGCTCTGCTTTACTGATCAAAGCCTATAAAAACTACCAAACTTGCTGACCAAATCTACCCCATGTCTAGTTCATATCATCTCGTGGCAACGAATACTTCTGCGAGATCGACGAGGAATACATCACAGATCGATTCAATCTGACCGGCCTTAACACGGAGGTCCACTACTACCAACATGCACTCGATCTCATCACCGACGTCTTCGATCTCGACTGTGAAGATGATATGCGTGAAACGATTGAAAAGTCTGCTCGACACCTGTACGGCCTCGTCCACGCACGATACATCGTGACAACTCGTGGACTAGCTAAGATGGTCGACAAGTTCAAGAAATCCGACTTTGGCCGGTGTCCACGAGTACTTTGTGACAGCCACCCTCTACTCCCGTTCGGACCCAGCGACAACCCAGGCTTAAAGAGCGTGAAACTCTTCTGCGCCAAATGCGAGGACATCTACAACCCCAAATCTTCACGGCACGCCGCCATCGATGGCGCCTACTTCGGTTCCAGCTTCCACAACATCCTCTTCCAGGTTTATCCGGCGCTCGTGCCCGTCAAAACCCGCAGACGGTACGAACCCAAAGTATTCGGATTCCGCATGCACGCGGCAGCAGCACTGGGACGATGGCAGGATGGCGAACGAAGGGAGATGCGTACGCGGCTGAAGGAAGCAGGCGTGATCGCCGAAGGCGCACAGCTGTACATTGAGGACGCGGAGAGCAGCGACGGCGAAGGCGACGACGACCCGGAAGATCTGGAAGACAACAACGGCGACAGCCGCATGGGCGGCGGCGTTCAGACAGGCGGCGACCCTGAGCAGATCCGCGGCCCTGCGTAGTGGAAGGGCCCCAGGGCAGTCTTATTCCAGACGGTGCGATGGTGGACGAGTCACAAGACGCGCAGACAGTGGAGACGTGGCCACCCTTCACCCACGTTCCTCGACCCTCGACCGGCGCCTCAGCCGGTCCGCCAGCCGTGGATGACGCGCATGTGGTCGGCCAATCGCGCCCTCAGGTGCAAACACACTTTCCCTCACGAAGTCGGCTGGAACCAGAGCTGGCCTTACTGCCGCGCCATGAGTTATCTGGAGACGTTGCGCTGGAACCGGCTGAAGCGGGAGGCGATGCGGCTTCCGAAGGAGTTTGAGTGGTCCGCTTGACTTGGTGTGATGGAATGGTTGCATGGTTGTATTTATGATCTTTACGAATGGTTATGGGGAAGGGAGGCTGGAGATGACCGAGGGCAATCAATTCAACCGCTGGGCAAGGTCTCTTGAAGTGATCCAAATGCAATGGCAGGGGTTGAGGCACGAAGGGGTTCAGGTTTTACTTCTCACATTCAAACTCTAAACAAAGGTGGCAATGGTCACGGCTAGAACATGGAACATCTTCACGAGACACTGGCGCGGAGCATAGATCGTGTCTATTCCTTCTCAAAACAGCTAGCTATCTGTTCATTCTTTCGATTCTTTAACCTTCATCTTCGTCTACTCATCCGTCATGTGCAATGTTCCGTCCAACCATGGAGACTCCCTGGAACGCAGTGAGTATCTGCCCTGTACGAACAGTGGGGCAGTCTGAACTCGAGCTCGAGGCGGCTCGACCGCACAAGACTTCTAGTCTCTGCGGCGGCGCTTGCCCTTCCTGCCTGTGTCTTCCTGGCCCTCGACCTCCTCCTCGTCCTTACCCTTCTTCAGCTCTTCCGGCTGCAGGCCCCAGGCTTCGGCATCGATCCAGTCTTCGCCGTCTGACCACTCGCCCACGTGTCCTTCGGCTTTGCACCACTCCCAAACCTTGTCGCGCATTCTCTTCGCCCTTATCAGCTTCGCCAGAAGTGCTTCGTAGCCACGGATGCTTTCTTCTTGCTTTTGTATGTACATGGTCAACAGGCGTCTGGTCTCGAGGAATTCTTCGACCGGTAGGCCGAGGCGGGCTAGGTGTCTTGGGGCTCGTTGGCTTGCGGCCAATGATGGTGGTAGGAGGAATAAGGGGTCGATTTGGAGTAGTGATGAATCGGTCGTCGTAGTAGAGAAATGGGGGGAGTCGGCCGTTGACTCCTCTTGCTCGGCTGCACGTGCTCGTGTGATTCTTCGTGTAGGTGCTTCCGGTGTGCCATCGTTGGGGAGCTCTTCGTCGTTTTGCTCTTCTGTGTCAGTGTCCATTTTGTCTGCGGCATCTAGGCTGTTCGAATCTTCCCCATCTTGGGCTTGTTTCACGCCAGACCTGTTGTCTTCGCCAGGATCGGCATCTTCATGTACGCCATTGGTAGCTGGTTGATCTGCTTCAGACATATCAACCTCGTGAGTGGCTGAGGCTTTTGTTGATTCCGCCACTTTTTGTTCATTGTCAGGAGTTTCCACAGTTGAAGTGTCCTTTGGCGATGGATTATCTTTGTCGAGTGCAGCCGCAGTGCCGTGGTCTCCAGAATTGGCGTGGTCACGTCCGTCAATACCATTTTGGAGGATCCCGTTCCTTGATGTCTTTCGCTTTTTGCGAGGTGAGAGGGCGGGCAACCTAGGTTTGGGCTCGAACAAATCCCAATCGTCCAAACCTTCTGTAACCTGGGATGGAATCCAAGATTCATCACCAATAAAATGTCTGTTCTGGTTCTTTGCGCGCCAAAGATTGGCTCTCTCCTGGCGCAGTTTGTCTTCGGTAGTCCTGACCATTTCGGGGAGAGCAGGATCGAGGAAGGGGAGGGACAAAGTGGGATGCGTTGCAAGTTCGGAGGGGTGCTTAAGAGGGCCCAAGAGCTCTAAATAATGTCAGCGAATGTATACATGACGTTAGATTGTGCGTACCCTCAATGCGAATCCCGCTGTATGGGTTTTCGTCCTGCGCATCTTCGTCTGCTTCTGTATCGCTTTCGCTGTCACCTAGTTCATCGCCATATTCGTTGTATCGCCTGGGATTTCTGTCGAGGATGTAGCGCGTATATCCAGCGTGTTCGATCTTCTACGGCGTTTGTCAACATTGACAACTGAAAAGCTAAAGGCGGAAGGAAAGTTTACCTGTTTATAGCCCTCGATACTATGCGGGTATGGAAGGGCACCAGAGTGGACGTTATTGGCACCATATCTCAACTTGTTTCCTCTGTTGGTCGCACCGTGAATGGGCTGGTTTGTGGGAGCTAGGTGGGCAAGTTAGGGCCAGGCTCATCAACCGCGAATGTTGGTTGTCTCGGAAGGAAAAAAGGTGATTACCTTCTTTTTCCCTACGGATAGCTCGTTTGAGCCCCGCGATGGTCTCTGCGATCTCGACGTGCTGAGGAGGCATTTTGTTGGTACTACGAAAGGAGGGTTGAGGTAGCGAGGTAACGGTAGGTGGGAATCGCGGCGAGTAAAGTGGTTGGGATGGGCCTCCCAACCAAAAAGGAGGGGTGAAAATTGTTTCTTTCAGGAAGAAGAGGGTCTGGAGGGAATCTGAGTCAACACCAGCCTTAGATGCATGATCATGAGTGTCGAAGTTAAGAAGAACGAGTGTTCAGGACGGTGACAAACTCCAGGTGCATCTTGAGAGCCAACTTCTCCTCAGAGGCTGATCTGCGGAGGAACTGACTCGTGACGCAGGAAATGTTGGTAGAACTTGACTCGCGAACAACAAGAATTCAATTCTAGGCAGGGGTGCTGCCTGATGAGATCATAAAATCCCTAACTTTTCTACTCTCTATCACCTGTTTGCTGAGTCTCCTGTCATCAACGACTCGGGGTATCACAACTCAAAGCATAATGGCGCAAGACTGATGTATCATGCATCTCCTTCACATGCCGCTACCCACCATCATGGCGATCCTGGATATTACCAGGCACCGGAACCCCTCTCTCAAGAGAAGTTACTAGCTCTGATTGCGAATACTGTCAGAAGCATCTATAACTCATGCCTTCTTCCGCTCTTTTTGTTTGGTCATAGACCGAGTGACAGGCCGAGCATCTTTCTGCGCATAGATCTTGGCAGTAAATGGACTATGAGCAGATCAGCTGTGAATACCGGTTCTCGATGATGCTGAAGACACAAGTTGGACTTACTCCTCGTACTGTAACGCGATAAGATACATGACGAATACCTCCGCAGAGATCAGAACACCTGCAGTGCGGCCTTTGTACAAAGCTGTGCCGAGGAACGACAACGTGCTACCCCAATACATTGGTGCACCAGTCACATTGAAAGGGAATCCTTCGACCTTCTTGTCCATGAGAATTCCGAAGTAGTCGCCGAGGTAGGTACCGGTAACTCCCAGAGCCCACATGCTCGACAGGACAAGGACATTGCCAGTGAGGAACAAGCCGATGCCCAACTCGGGCTGGTGTAGTGGAGGATAGACTGGCTGCTCATTCAAGGCAACAGTGTACAGGTGATCTCGGATAATGCCGATAGAGAAGATGGTAACTGCCAAAGCGTAGCATCCATAATAGGGCGATCGGAATATCTTGGTCAAAAAATGTGTGTTGTATTCTACTCAGAATCAGTTTCCACGCGAGTCCCAGTCGACTATCGGAAGCCTACCAGCACGGGCGACAATACTAGGCTAGTCAGCAAGCAATCTTCAGATTCGGATATCGACCTCAGATACTTACTTCCAGAAAACGGGATTGAACACGACAGCCGCAGCCGCGACTAGGTCGTGTCAGTTTGATTTTCCATGCGGACTTCCATGAGCAATCATACCGTATAGCGATGTTGCAGATGAATCCAGGAACCCGATCTTCTCCCTACCAGTCACGCTGGCAAAGAGATTGTAGACCTGGTCCGATAGGCTAGACATGGTGGATCTGATATGGCTGTGGCAATCCTGGTGACAGCTCGAAAAAAGAGGAAAACAGAAAAGGAATTATTTTCGAAGTCAAGATCCACTGTTGAGCTCCCAACTCGGAACAGGAATAGGAGTACTAATTGTACTAGCTGATGAACTGGTTGCGATTTGTTTGCGTCACTTCTTGGCGCTTCGATAAAGGCCGGGAACTGGCAGTGATGTTGGAGGCTAACAATTTCTCCAAAAACATTGCAAGCCACACTGGCAGCCAGTGTCACATGCTTCTCCAACCCACCTCTCGGATAATCTCCCGGAATATATAGACTCCGTAGTCGGAGTCTTTCTAAACCGCTTGGTCTGTAGTTAAGGAGATATGTCAGTGTCATAACTCGGTACGCTGGCATTTGATAATAAAGAGCTCCCAGAGAGAAAGAGGATTGAGATTGGTCATACTACCTATATGAGAACTGTTAGACATGAAGTCGATAAGGATCAAGGCATTACCTGGTATTGCCGGATCAGTATTGGCAAGGCTGGTATTTGGGCAATACCGTAGCAGTACGCACGCAAAATACATGGCTTGGCAACAATTATCTTAAACTTGAACCCCGTTGCGCAGGCTGGTGCAGTCTCTCGCCTATTCTTTTGAAATGGTACCCCACCTTTGACTGAATGACCTTTCCAACTTCGCGTACATCAAGTCAGAGAGCTCATAGATATGGCCAACACAAATGAGCCGTTCTACGTGCGGTACTAGTATGGCATTCCCCCAGGTCGAACGCTCACGCTGCAGAAGACTAACCACATCGCAGCTCCGGCCATTCGGGCAGATTTGGACACGAATTCTTGGGTATCTGAGACCACAGACGCACCCACCGATATTTGGCTGACCATTTCCCAGAGTTCGATTTCCGAGTGATTGGCGACGGTCGAAGTGCTACCGCGCGATATGCCAATAACTCCAATTATCGCAATGATTCTCTGATTCGCAAAGAAAGTGCGTAACACCCTTCCTCGTGCTCTGTGTATCTTCAAAAATAAGCCGGGCCTAATCAGGACGGAATAGTGTGCGTCAGCTCGCTCCTAATTTCCGAAATCAAGCGCATCGTCAAGGACAGCGAGATCATGAAGGAAGACGACTCCCGGTGGCCCCAGAAGAACAAGGACGGTAGACAAGAGTTGGAGATTCGGCTCGGGAGCGATCACATTCAATTTGAGGTAGGTTATCTCGTCCTGGCTGTATCTGCCGGGCAAATGCTAAAGGGGTTGTTTTAGACTGCGAAAATCGGGTCTTTGGGAGATGTGACGGACTCAGCCGATCCCGAGGGACTTAGAGTGTTCTACTACTTGGTGCAGGACCTCAAGGCACTGGTGTTCTCGCTGATCTCATTGCATTTCAAGGTATGGCGTATTGTGGACTAGAGCGAGGCTTTTACTGATGTTGGTGAATTATAGATTAAGCCAATTTGAGGCAGGTTTTCAAGTCACCACGCCATGGAGCGACTGATGCAGCACTTTCTGAGATACTCACGACGATGAGACACACTGGGGAAGATTCTGACCGACCCCGCGACAGGACACTGTGAGCATACTGGCTCGACGGAACGTCCCAGAGGAGTGGGTCACATCAAAATAGCTTTCAGTGGTCAGGCCATAGGAATGTGTCTCTTTACAAGCCAGCCATCTTGTGAGCTTGTACGGGAGCAACGATGGTGCTTAACAAGAGCCTTGTACCAAGGGAGATGCCTATTATCTGAAGCTGCATCTTGAGGGAATCGAAGAGCGATGGTGGATGATTGGAGCATGAGCAAAATTATGGCGAACTCCGAAATCGAGACTTCAGGTTATTGTTCGAACGGGACGGAGAGCCCGTTCTATGGAAAAGGAGTGTCTCTATAGCGAGCTCGAGCCTCGGTAACTTCGCCTCCTGTGTGCTGGGGCTCTTGTGCAGATGACGGACACCTGGAAGTCATCTGGAGCACGGCTTGATTTGGGTACCTGGCAGTTGGGATGATGACCTTGGGTACTACCCCGCAATATCCCAGGATTATAGTGGATGACAGGTAGAGCCTTAACTAAAGTCTGGTGATGACGGCAAAGACGCCAGGCACCCCATAACGAATTTGGGGCTCCTCTCGGCCATTCCCTCCGGCTTCGGGCCATAGATTTCTGGAAGCTCGTTGCGCCAGTGTCGGTGCCAGTACGTCCTGTACGAGGTCCCAGTGGGGGGGTTTCGACTGCCCGAGAAGCCCATCATCCACCTATCCGGACATCCATCCATCACGCTTCAAGTTGCAAACCCAGCACGCTAATTTACGACTCGCTACCGTACTTCTCATCGTTGGTCATTGATCACACACCATTTGCAAACTTGATCTTGTCCCTGATCTCTCCATAGTAGCTATCCATCTTCCCATCCTCCTGTTCTCTTTCTTGCTCACGAACCCGTATATGGATTACTGCATCTAAACCGGCGCACTCTTCTACTATCCGGGTGACAATTCCTCCCACCCGATCGGCCTCAACCATCATCATCTTTTACATCTGACGATTGCATCCTGGCCATCCTCTCCTTATGATAACACTGCGGGTTCTTGCGCTTCAATGCCAACCCATGCATCGGTTACGCCTGACAGCGCCCAAGTCCAGTCTGAGATAGATCAGGCCAATGTCGCCTGTCCTCTTCCATTGACACCACCTCCCGAGCACTATGACGACCAGCGGTATGATCGAGCCATCGTTCAACAGGATCGCAACAATACAAATGGCGAGTTTCGTAGCAGCTTGAGCAACAACACGGCCGCCGCTATGTCAGAGATGCAAGAGGCAAGCATGTACACGCCGGGTCCGGACTTTGAAGAGAAGCTACATCCCGAAGTCCCCGAGCAACAGACGGACTTGGATGGGGTCAGTAATCAAGAGGCCTCAGCTGCGGCTTCGAATCATAAGTTGGGCGGAGAGTCGCAATCTGCACAATACGAAGCCGAGGACTCTCTGCCGTCCAACTCGGATCAAGTTTCATCTATACGTCATACATCGCCAGATATGGACGTGGTAGAGACAAAATCCGAAGCGGACAAGGCGATAGACATATCTCTGGGAACTGGCCATTTGCCTGCCTCGGATTCGTCCGACAAGAACAACAGGACCGGGGTTTTCGCCAAAATTAGGCCAGCAGGAGTGCCACCGATCGACCAAGAACTAGATTGGACGAGCGACGCCAAACCCTGGGATTTTTCAGGTCGGCGATTGCGACCTCAATACCCGTCGGCTACATTCCAGCCATACTCTGTGTTTAAAGGAACCCAACAATCTGACCGGCAGATCTACAATGTGGAGGTGACGATCCTCACAGTGGATCTGGAACAAGCCAGCATGTCTGGGTATCTACAAATATGCGGTCTTACCCCGGACCATCCTACATTGACGACTTTCTTCACTGGCGAAATCATTGGAGGGCCCGATCAAAAGTATAGCTTTAGAACTGGCGACCCAAGTTGGGGCGCCAGTGATAAGACTGATTTAACGCATTGGGCAAGATTTGCTGCATGGCGGCCACTCAGTCTGCACGCGAAGCGAAACATCAATTTTGTATACCCCATGAACCACGAGGATTGGTGGCAACAAGAACATATCTTTATGAGATGGAAGGAACACTTCTTGGTTCCTGACTATAAGCTCAAAAGCATCCAAGGAGCGAGCTTCGAAGGCTTCTATTATATCTGTTTTAATCAAATCGAGGGTCGCGTGAGTGGGATATACTTTCACTCCAAGAGCGAAAAGTGAGTATCTTTATTCTGTGTTGATGGCTTCCAGAACCCTGAGACTGACTTTCAAGAAACAGGTATCAACAACTGGAATTGAAGCACGAGGGCAAGCAAGGCGTTTGGAACCAAGGGGTATGTCCTTCAATTGAGCTTCGATGATGACCTTTATTTAACATGTCCGTTGATGGACAAATATTACATTCTTCTGTATGTGGATAATTCGTGTACATGACTTGGGGAGCGGGATGGAGTCATGCGAGGAACTCACCAGGAATTATATGCACACTCCCCAATGGTCATCAATGCCAGCCATCATCTGGTTAGGAGATGAATGACAGACGTACGTGACTACCCAATCTATTAGATAATGGAGAGAGCGTCAATAATAATCACAAATCTTCTCCCATTGTAGCCCATTATTTGCCACTAAATCGTAGCTACTGCTCTTCCGGAATGCCCGCTCGGTCAGTGACCTGCCAGTGCCTTGCACGTGGCAAACTATCCAGACCAAGCCCAAGCTTCGTCACTGTGCAGCTGGTAGAGGATGGAAGAAGCCAATGATGACAAAAAAGAGCAGGTCATCAGGTGATGATAGAGGGATCCTGCTGTGTAAGTGGACCTTCTCTTGATTCAAGCGTATCTGGGATATGCACATGCTCGCCAGACGTGTTTCAGTATGCGCGGAGAAGATTGAGTATGGTTGCAGAACGGAGGATGCCGATGCGATCTGTGCTCATCAAGGACCCGGTTAGGCTTTACAGGCTTCATTTCGCGGGGTTACCAGCTCAGCCTGGGGCTTAATCCACGCCTAGAGCTCGCATTTGTCGACCCACCCCGGGGGCTAGAATCGCAAATGCAGTCCGAGTCATGGAAACTTGGCACCTATTTTGTCATGTTGCTTGGGCCTAAAGATTAGTTTGGTTGAGCACCAAGTGGCATGCTCTAAATGAGTGACTAAGAGCCTAAGCAGTTAGCCCAGGAGTGAGTCGTCTGCTGCGGATCCCTGGATCTGGTCTATTCTGCCCATGGCTTCGCCTCCTCCAACACCATCGTACTTTCATCGTTCGAATTCGTCACCACTACTGAGTGACTGCGAGAAAACACCGCTGGTCGCCATCTACCCACCCACCAGCGTGACCATTATCTTTTCTAGATCTTTACACTACCAAATAATCTGTCTTGGTTTCTTGTGACCTCGCCTCGATCCCTTTTCTCGCATCATCACCGCGCTTGACCCAATCCTTCTTCCTTCTCCTCCTCAGCTCGCCGTCTTGCGTCTTATCTAGTCGATCAGCCGTATCCTTTTAGCCTTCTTGCGGTGGCACCGTACTCTCATTTCCTTGCTTCATTTCATTTCCCCGCCTCACTCTTCTACGTCTCAAGATATACACAAGTGGTGGGCGCATGGCTTGCGACATGCTTGTGTAACTGAGGACCAATCTATCCGCCAGATCTATATACCCTTCGTAGGCGCACAGCGAATTATGATTGTGCTATGAACCATGGTAGGTATATCCCTAATCCACCTCAGATTTCGTTGCGAGTGGAGCAGTTCGTTTTGTATCATGTGGATAGAGCTCCGACCTTTGCAGGACTGATCTCTCTTTGAATCTTTAGGGCTGCTGTTCCTCAAGACCCTCAGATGCTGGAAGTCCCCAGACTGGACGACCCAGTGCCCCTCCTCAAGTCCGACATTCACCTCGGGCCATAACATCCCAGACGGCTATCAATGGCGGCCCTCATGATAATGACCCTCGTGCTCTAGCACCTCCCTCTGGGCTCTCTCTCCAACAAAGCGAGACCTCGAGATCAGCTCTATCCACACCAAGACAATCAGTTAATCACAGGTCACGACAAGACCCTGCTTCACTAACAGAGCACTACAATCTGCCCCTCCAACCAACCAAATCATGGGTCAGCTCTGACAGAACATGGACGAGGGCACAACTTGAGAGGGAGCGGTACGAGTTCTTCGAAACCAGAGTTGCCGGTAGGAAGGAGGTCTGGGCTGCGCTGAGACAGGTCCTTGAATGCTTACGAGAAGGTGATATGGCAGATGCACAAGGTATACTCGATGCTTTGGGTGTGACGCTGCCAACTGGACAAATCGAGTCGGGTGCCTATGACGAAGCCGGCAATCTGTATAAAATACCTGAGGCTGTCATTTCAGACCCGACCAATATTGTGGAGGATTCCAACGACATTGACAGCCAAACGGTGACAGGAACAAACGACATGGATGCAATTGATGCCAAACTTGAAGCCGCTGAAGGGGGAAATGTCAGCTTTGGAAACGACGACTCTAATGGAGAAAAGGTCAAAGAAGCAAAAGGCAAGGCGGCGGTTGAAAGAGACGCGTTGAAAGTCAAGTGCAGACTTAGTGACCGTGGAGGCCCAGATGTCATTGTGCTCTTGGGTAGGACTCAAAGGGTGGGTGCTCTCGGTCAACGAATCCGTGATGAAACTGAGGTATGTCAGCCGGTTGATTGTCAGAATGTATCCAGTACTGACCTGCTTTTCTAGGTGCCGGCTAAAGCCAAAATAAAAATGGCCTACCTAGGTAAAATCCTAGACGACAAGCTCACGCTTATTGAACAAGGCTGGAAAGAAGGCCATGTTTTGAATGCACTTATTGTGGGTAGATTCAACAGTTGAAGGGCATTGTACTCTCTGGCTGTGGATCGAGATCCGGGAATTTTGAATCAACGGGATGGTCATGTTTGTGGCGTTATGATACCCCATTACGAATCCATAGTGTGCAAAGGGCCAAAGCCAGTGTACAAAAGCGAAGTGGATGTCAGGTCTATCAGCGACCAGCAGGTGTTTCTGTGGAGGTGGTTCAGCAGGCCGCAATTCTTGGGGACTCGGTGCAGGCAGTCATCCTCGGTGTAAGGGGTGTGGAGGTCAGTGTCAGCGATGATTGGAGTAAGGTTACGAACTGGCACATATTGTGGGAAAGGATGGGATCATGAATACTACACACTCGACTAATATATAATCATTTGCAGCATGTAGCTGTGGTTGTTCACTCCTCGTCTGCTCATGGAATACCCCCATTCGGTCAAGTTTTCTGTCAGGTTGCAAGTTCCCATGCCTGTTCCAAGACCATTAGTTATCGATGAGCCTATTACGCTGCTGGGCTTCTTGGGCCACAGTCGCCCTAACTGTTTCCCTTAAGTACCTAACATACCGTAGGTGCCAATCCCACTCCTTCTCAATCTGAAGTTGAACTTGAATTGTCTTGGCATCAAGAATTGGATGTTTCATACGCCAAGCTTTTATATCAAGATCAGAGTTCATTCCCTAGATACTTCCAACCAGTGGCCAGTGTCTTTCTTTAGAAGACCAGCAAATTTGTTATCTGTTCATGGGACTTCTGCATCGGTGAGACAAGACTCGATTCGAAAAAAAAATACCTCAAGCGATAACCCGGCCCGGAGGTTTTGGTGCTGGTTTCTTGAATCATACTACTCTTTCCTGCCCAGGTCAACCCAAGAATTTCGAGGCCAAAGGAATTGCATTCTCCCAATATTTACAGAGAGAAGCAAAGAAACTAGACGGTGTGATCTCAAACAGATCTTGACGCAATCAGAACAACCAGCAACTCTCGGGGCTTTGGTCAGAAATATCTCTTCTAGAGTGTTTTGACATCTGGCACGACTTCGAGCAACACACAGTTCATCATGGCCAGACCGACCTCAACCCAGCAACCGCCCGAACCATCAGCAGTATCCAAGCTGATAGATAGCTCCGGTGTGGAGACCGCATCCGAAGCCGTCGCCCTCGAGATCCTCCACAATCTACGGTATCAGCACGACTGGACCGATCTCCGATTACACGTCATCCACATCCATGACCGTCCAAAACCAGGACAGGCATCTGGGTTGGGACTGGGCTCTGGAGCAGGACTGAGCAATCACGACGACGACGAAGACGGCGCAAACACAACGTCTACTTCCACAATGATCAATCTCGAAAGCGACAGCTACCTATCCCAACACCACCACCAGCAACATCGCCAGACTACCACATCCACATCCACACCTACATCAATACCCATACTGAACCACGAAGCACTCAGCTCGAGCAACGTCGTACAACTCATCTCGGGTCTCCCACCACGCCACAGCTACATCCACCCGGACCTGCAGCTGCATTTGGTGAAGCACTCGATCCCAGAGGCCTCACTGCCGGTGCAACGCGAGTTCGTGCTGCCGCTGAGCACGGCCGACCCGTGGACGCTGCGACGCTTCTGCGCCGTGTTTGATGCGCTGTCGGAGCGTGCCACGGTCGTCGTGAACGCTGATCATAGTCCTGGCCCTCCTCCTGCTGTCGCTGGTGTTGGCGGTGGTGCAGCGACGAGAGTCAATGGGACTGCGAATCGGGCGAGACCAATACCCCTGCACGAGCACAAAGACCAGAAACGCGTGTTGTTGGGCATGCGGGCGCGAGAAGGCCGTGGTGGTGATGGCACGGTCGTCTACTATATCATGCAGGAAGGGGAGGTCAAGCCGCGACAGAACGGCTGAAGGGGGGGGTTTTTTTTGATCGCGGAGGAATTTTTGAAACATTGCAAGCGGTGACAAGTTGGAAAAGAATACTGGACGCTGAGTCAACCAACCCCTGCAATGTAACGGTGGAGGCGAGAGGATATCTCAATCGATTTGTGCTCTTGCCGCAACGCGACGATGTCTGCGCGACTTGCGGACTGTGTATGGGCTAGGTGGTGAACACGAAGGCGCCATCGACTCTGCTGCTCAGGGGCCTTGTGTCGAATCCTGTCTCAAGGTCTGTGCTGGCCACAAAAAGTAGCATCTAAGGGTTGCCAGCTCGGCAGTGGACACGATATCAAGGATGAATACAACTACTCATGGTACGATGTCGATGTCGATGCGAAAAGAGATAGCATGTGTGTCCATTACCAGTCAGAGGCAAGACAAAGCGAGTGGATTAGTCTAGTAGTGCTGAGGCACTCCTTCACTCACCAGAAAGGCGGGATCACCACTTCCTTAGCCAGATCGAAGCGAGGCTGTCTCAAAAGAGTAATAAAGTCTCCGATTAAAGAGAACGAGAAGAACATGACGAAGGACTGACCGTCTTTGAGAGATGAGCGGATCACTCGGACACACTCGTGTAAGACTGGGATAGAAAGGGGATGGGTTCTTCTGATGCTGGACAGAGGTGCTCCTGAGGAAGATGTACCTGCGTGCGCACGTAGATATTGGAAGATGGTAAATCACCTAGTTTGAAGATCCCTGCACCGCAAGTTTAATAAGAGAATGATGATAATAAAGGCCAATATTCAAATTATTATGCGCTCAAGTTTAGGGTATTATGTACCCTGGTGCATCGAATCGCTTTGACGGCTAACATTCGCTTGCAGATAAATATCCAAGGTACAGTCCGAGAATTGATGAACACGGTGTGTTCAAGACAAACCCCTTCATTCGATACTTCCTTCAATGGAGAAACTGTATTTCTCTTGCTGATTTTCGTGGCCCTGGATTGTAATTGCAAGAGTACCCATCGAGGCTTCCAAGTTCCTCCCATTACCACTTATTCCATCGCTTCCTGGGGAGAAACTGACAAACAAGAAGAAAACCACTAATGTCTGGTGAACCAATGCTGGCCCTTCAATTTCTTAGCCTGGCGTTTCTCGTCTTTGTGGTGGCGCTTGTCCTCTTTCTTGTCCTCCTTGGCCTTTCGATCCTGGAAGTCCTGAACTGTCTCTACCACATCGTATTCCATGATAGGAATACCTTCGACTTTCTTGACTTTGCTGCCCTCGATGCCAACCACCACACCCGCGGCAATGGCCACCAGACAGCCCATTACGATGAAGAGTGCGGTACCCCATGCAGGTCTATTGAAGCGGTTGAAATGCCACATGAACACGCACAGGCACACCTGAAATAGTGTGTTCCATATGTACATCCAGACTACGAAATCCAGAGTCCATGATTTGGTGGGCTTGGCTCTTAAGCCTGTAAGCGGCGCTGTTGGCATCGATGTGGCGGGAAGAGGAATTGCGGGATTTGATTCGAGCTCAGCGATTTCTACTTCTGAATATGGTGGTGGCGATTCAGGGGTCTGGGGGTTCTTCTTGGTGTACACTGGTGGAGGTCCAACACTTTCATCAAGTTTTTCACTTCCGGGTAGTCGATACCAACTTCTGTTGACACCAGCGAGCCTCCGGTGATAGTCGTACTTGCCAAAAATCCGCCATTGTACGAGATAGTAGAAGTCGCGGGCACGCCAGGGCAAAAGTCCAAAGGCAGTAACACAGAAAAGACCATTGAGAATTTGTGAATCGATTTCGATCCAGATCTGTCGGGCGCTGCTGTCATCCTCGCAATTGGGGTGACACATTGCTGGTGCAGCTTTCAAAAGGACGAAGAAGATCATGGCGCCCCACGCAACGACATTCAACCCATAGATGGTCAAAATAAAACCGAGTGGTGTAAGGAAGAATTTCCAAAATGCCTTCAAGCCAATTGTGGTAGACTGCATCCAGGTGTGCTTCTTGGGGAAGCGATATCCATTTGGATACGTGCCACTCGCGTCTGGCCCACTCTGAATTTTGACGGCTTGCGGTCCGTTGCTATCGGCGTTTGAGGAAGTGGTGGAATGGTCTTTCTCATTGATCGCAGCAACGTCTGTGGATTTTTGGGCGTGACTGATACCATCGGCAGGACCGTCCGTTGCCACCGTTGGTACTTCTTCGAGAACAGGCGTAGGTTTCGTGATTGCATTCTGTCGGGGGAAATATTCATGCCTTTCCTCAGCAATGACGGGCACTACGCCGGCAGGTGTAGACATGGAACTTTTCCTCGTTCTTGTACTTGCAGAGCTCGTCCTCGCTACACGACGGCGATGGATGTCATGGGGATTTGTGCCTCGATGTTCCATCTGTCCTTCATGTGACCATCCCTCGTCGGAAAATGCTCCATTTCTAATTTCTGGCAACGTGGGGATTTTGGACGTGACTTCACCAGTGGCTTGCATGAATCCCAGAGGTGGGTTGCTCTCGATGAATGATTGTATGATGGAGCCAGTACGCGTCCTAGCCCGCGCAGGAGATGAAGGGATTGAGCTATGGGATCTCAATGACGGTCTCCGTGAGTCGAAGGTTGGAAATGGTTCTCGTTCCTGCTGGTCGGATCCGCCGGTGGAGGCCATGTTGGCTCACGAATGCGCCTGCAGCACGGCGAGAGGTGTTGGAATGCTGATACAGGCCGAATAGTGATCGAAGAGGGTATCAGTGTAGTAGCAAAGATAGAAGTCACGATGATGGGTATCACTGGGCAGATGCCTAGAAAGTCATTGTGGACGAGTGATGCGATGCGAGGTGCGGTAGTAATATATTCATAGGTGTAAGTAAGTTGATCGTTATGCAGGGTTGAGGTTTTGAAGAAGCGGGCATCTCGTAAAGCCGCTTAGTTGGAAAAGTTAGGTGGGCAATGGCACCTAGAACTCGTAAGTCAATGCCCTATTGGGCAACCAGGAGAACGAGAAGAGGGTCACCCTTGGTAAGGCTTCCTGGGGCGTTGGGGCGTGCCATGGTGACAGTCCAGTGGAGACCCCTGGCGGCGCCCGGGCTAGCATTTCGGTGGTCGACTGCAACCAAATCAACTTTCCGGGTTTCAATGCTAACCGGAAACAGTAGGCAAGTTCTGCTGAGGTGATGGATTATGTACTCGACATGATGCCCGCCTGGCCGTGGCAGAAGGGGACACCATCCCCAGGTAGGCTTAAGCACCTTCCGCTCCCTGGGCGGCATCTCCACCATGACCACCTTAGTAAGTGCAGGCACTAATCGCCCCAAAGAGCATTTGGTCGCTGTTGCTTCTTCCTGGCCTCGTCTCTCGACTATTACTCATCCTCCGTTCCCATCAGCAACTCGCATTTGGGAGGGTTTCAGTTCCATCTCCAAGGTTCATAATTCCACTCCTTTTCCCGCCACCACAGATACTCGTGTTTTCAATTTGAATGTTTTCCCTCACAGTCACGCGCCGCGCGTCACGTTGTCATATGTGCTACAGTTCGTTGGGTATCTACCTGTTCTCTATGACGCACTTACTACTCGTTAGGATTGCTATCAATTAGTGGTGACTCTATGCTCATCCTGGTTATACCTATTTGGCCTAGGTAGAGACCTGTTGGCATCAAACTCCAGCCACAATTCACCGTCACATTTGAAAACTTCAACTTGCGCAAGGGCAATGTTATAAAAGTGTGTCACGATCATTCATTCGTGAAGATGAACAAATGATAAAACAGGACTGATTTCCTGGTTCACTATTTCCAACTGTACTAATTACATGTGCAATTCTCCATTGCAGATACTGGTATCACAAATCGTTGCAAACACTTTGCCTTCCACTCCAAGGCATTTGCATCATCATCAATCATCGTCAACCAACTCAATGAGTCGGGTTGCCCTCCTTGTCGTTCTTCACACGTGGATCTAATTTGTTCATCAGTTTGCTACCATGACTGGCGGATTGAGTGCTTGGAAGCCCGGAAGCAGTTGTGCTACCATCGTTGTGAGTCCCTGGTGCGCCGTGGGTGCCCGTTGTGCCGTAGGTACCTGTCGTGCCATGAGCACCGGTGTGACCAGCGGTCGTTCCGTGGCCAACACCACCTCCGAGTCCGGAGCGTCCGTCGCGATCACTGTCAACACGGGGATCTGCCTTGTTCAAAACATTGGAGCTGCGAAATACATCAGTCCATCATTCTTCATGTCGAGCAGACATGTTTTCGAATGAAAACTTACTTGTGTGGACCAGCATTGGTTGAGCCATGAGTGCCGCCAATGCCGCTACCTGTAGTAGCATGATGCACTCCGCTTGTGCCATGACCAGTTGTTCCATAACCACCACCAACACCACCAGTAGTGGCTGATGAGTTGCCAAGGGTATTTCCTGATCCTGGATGTCCACCGTCGCGGTCTGAATCAACTCTGGGATCGAGCTTGTTTGCTAGATTGGAGCTTTAAGATTTCATGTCAGTTCACAACCTACTCGTCATGAGGTGGAAAGAATCGTACCTGTGTGGTCCTGCGTTCGTCGAGCGGGGATCATTTCCATAAGCGCCGCCTGAGGTACCGTGGGTGCCACCAATACCTCCTGTCGTACCGTGAGTACCATGCGAGCCAGTGAGTCCTGAACTGCCACCTGTCAAGCCGGAACCTGTTGTACCTGTATGGCGTCCTCCGTCGAGGTCTGAGTCAACCCGAGGGTCTGCTTTGTTTGCGAGGTTTGAACTTGTGCGAAAAATCGAGGTTAGCTTGTCATTCCCCATAAAGATGCCGAATGTCTTCGTGACGAAAACTTACCTGTGTGGTCCGGCGTTGGTCGATGTTCCTGTTGGTCCATAACCAGCGCCAGTGTTGCCGCCGATGCCGCCAGTGTGGGCTCCGGTGTGACTACCTCCGATACCACCAGTGTGGGCACCAGTGTGAGTACCTCCAATACCCCCAGTGTGGGCGCCGGTATGAGTGCCCCCAATACCACCGGCGGTACCAGTGTGTGTACCATATTGGCCGTCGCGATCAGAATCAACTCTTGGATCAGCCTTGTTGGCTAGGTTGGAGCTGCGAATTGGAGAAAACAAGTCAGTCTGTGCCGCCCGACAGCTGAGAGCCAGGGTGTTTTGCTCTCGCAGAATACATACCTGTGAGGTCCAGCATTGGTGGAACGAGGATCATCGTATGTGCCCGCTGCTCCTCCGTGTGTGGTGCCGGTGGTACCAGTGGTGGTGGAATGGTCCTTGTGGCCCGAAAGGGCATCCTTTGCTTTGTTGATAAGGTTCGACATGATGAATTATGTATGTTTGGGTAATTCGAGTAGTGAGTATAAGGGATGAAGGTCTTGGAGAGGAGGAAATGCTTTTTCCAAAATGCTTCTGACCAGGCCGTTATATACTGTTCATCGAACTTAAAAACCGAACACTACTGCGTGGGACATCGCATTCCAGGTTTTCTCCTACAAACCTGGTTTCTTCACCATCAGCAAACATTTCGACAACAGTTGCGTCACCAGTGGAGAAATCACGCCAGCGGGCAGCCTTGTGACAGCAGAGATGGTCCTGAAGCAGCCAGACATGAGCAGGATGGAGAATTATACAGCGTCATACCTTGCACAATCCCGTGTAAGAAGCGGAGACAGGGACCAGCCCCATTCGGAACTGTTTTTCAGATCGTTCAGGAACTGTGGCTGATGCACTTTTGTCGATTGGACGGACCATCGGATCAGCCACAGTGTTCCGATTTCCGATCGCGTCATATCTGCGTCATCACTATCCATCTCACCCGATTCGAAACCTGGAACTGTGGCTGCATTGCTGGTTACTGTTTCCCGGTTGAGTTTGAAGCATGGTTTTCTGAAATGGGACTTGGAAATCTGGGGATGGGCGCGCGGCTGACGACGCCTCACAGCTTTAGGCAGAAAAAGGGACACTGTCAAGCATGATGGTCCAATCATGTGGAACACGGTATCCAGTCCAAGCACCGTTGTTGCCAGTATGATTGATCGAATGACATGATTGTGGAAACCGTTTCCAAGGCGCACGAGCATCTGTAGCCCCGGCGGCTGACTCCCCGAACTCTATGTCTTCAAGCTCGTCCGCCGTTAACCACGTATTTCGTCACAGAACGCTTAAGCACGTCAATGTCTCGCTGGGTCCTCACAAAGACGTCTCGGTATTGATCCAAGCTTGCTTGCACCACCTCCATTCGTGACTGTCGTCCTTCGCAGATCGCTTTCATCTTCAGCTCCATCTCCTTACGAAGAAATGGCTTGCTGACGCTGACGTCGAGACCCACATTATCATAACCTTCGATCAAAGCTATTCCAAGCGTGGTGGGAATGAACTCTTGGACTGCTGTATTCCGCCCACCTCCACCTCCAGCACGAGGTCGAGTATCGACGTACGAGCGGTCCTTGATCTTGGAAATATGTTCGGCCATCGTGGCATCGGTGCCAATCCCGTTGGCATCCATCAGACCGATCAATTCTGGTTCGGTGAGATAGCCTGGTGCCGTGGTCTTCCCGTCCGTCATGTTTGCTTCTGTCGGTTCAAACGTTTCCCCGACAGTGAATGCAGGTAATTGTTGGCTACTTTCCCACTTGTCGTAGGGATACACATCAAGGTAGTTTCGTTCCAAAACCAGTAATCCGTGAGTGGAGAATGTCTCGGTCCCCCATAGCAACTCAACGTCAGTGGCCTCTCCCGTTGCGTCCTGAGAGCAGCAGGCAAGATACCGACGAGTGACAAACTCATAGACCTTTTTTTCATGTTCGTCTAGTGCATTACCGTTCGTCGCGGCGTAGGTTACTGGATGAATAGGTGGATGAGCTTGGTCGTTGTGTGGGCCCGAACGTGGTGTTTGAAACCCACCGTCCAAGAGTCCCTGTGCAAACTGACCCCAACTGTGATCCTGCGTCTGTCGCTGTATCAGTGTTTGAAAGTCAAACTCGCGAGGAAACTGGTCAGTCTCGGTACGAGGATAGCTGATGAAGCCCTTTGTATAAAGCTTTTCCGCCGTGGCCATGACTTGGGCACTAGTCAGGCGGAGGAAGCGACTGCCTTGCATCTGTAACTCGACTGTGGTGAGAGGGAGAGGCCTCCAATTTTTAGTCGGTTTCTTCTGTACCTTTGTCACCTGCGCATATTTCGCATCCAGGCACTGCTCGAAGATTATAGTGACGATGGCCCTGTCAAACAGATGACCACGCTTCCAGTTAAAATTGACTTTGATGCGGTCACGGGTATGCATCAGTTTGAGGAGCCAGAAGGTTTCGGGTTTGAAATTCCGGACCCGGTTATAACGGTCGACGACGAAGCCGAGAGTTGGGAATTGACACGAGCCGTAGCTTATGGTCTGATCCTTGAGGTTCTCGCTCAGACGTTGAAGCTCAAGGGTCTGCATCCTTGTGAATGCCGCGCCGATCCGGAGATCGAGTTCGATTCGTGCCGACACGGCGCTCACTTGTCGCTCGTCCATTTCAATCGGCGTTTGGGCTGCTTGAATGACATGTCTACACATCCGCACACATGTTAACATGAGATCAAGTAAAAGTGGAGAAGAGATGGCTATGACTTACGCTCTCTCGGTGTTACTGAACTTGGCCCTTTTGACCACAATCCGTGAGTTCCCCTTCTTAGCCTGATCCCGTACCTCACCGCCGATATGTTCGCCTTCACGATCACAATCGGTCCAGATGAACAAAATAGCAGCACCTCTCGCCTTAGCTTGAATGTTGTTGGCGATGGATTGTTTGTCTTTGGCGACTGTGATGTGCGTGGTGGCGTCAAAAAGCTGACTGGGAGGACAGGACGTCCAACCCCGGTACCGCTGGTCAAAGTCGAGGCCTGTCAGATGACCCAGCACGCTAGTCATCGTCACTGTGCAGTTTCCTCCCCATTGTTGGAAATTATACGTGAACTCGTAGTTCTTCACGTATTGGTTGCCTGTGATTGAATGCTGTGATTTTGGAAAAGATGGATTGATTAGCCAATCAATATCCAGAGTCACTGGAGCCCAATGTGATGGACAAGTGAAGTCAAGAACGGCGAGGGGAGGACTCCCTCTCATATTAAGATGGTACTTACTGTAGTGAATCTCCCACCAGAAAGATGCTGGGCGACCGCCTTAGCGATCGCGGGCTTTTCTGCAACGCACAGAATCCGTTGGCCGGGCATGGCTCTGGTTCATACTGGGCGAGAATTGACGTCGAATGGCTGGTGGATCTACTGTGAAACAGCAGGTACGCGTCTGCGGGTGCTCGCGATTGTACAAGTAGTGATTCAAGGGTGTCTAGTCAAGGAGTCTATTGATCATCACTTTCTAAGGTGCACTTTGATCCAGGCAACGTTCTGCGCGAGGAAGTCGCGTTAGTCGGGTTCAAAAAATATATGGCCGGTCTGACGGCACCCCTCATTGTCGGAAGCCGTGTCATTTGAATACGTGTGCTGCTTCCTCGTCCAACGAGGACTCATCTAACCGCCGATGTCCTGCGCTTCTTTGTTCTATGCAGCGAAATTTATGAATCATCCATTTTTATTTGTATTTGGACTATTTTGCTCTATCTAAGCCTTGGAGCCTTGACGATCCCGCAAAGTTAATGCTATCTAGAGAAGCCCAGCGTGTCCCATCAATCCATCCAGACCCCTCAAGTCAATTCCGTTCTAGAGTCTCGATAACCTAACAGTCTATCAGCGGCTTGTCTCTATAATTAAGTTGTGCCGCCCGGATTCGGCTGCAGTGGCCATGGTCAGATTCTGAATCAGATATCCTATCCCAGAACTTCAGAGTCTGTGACGCTAGCAGTCTGCCAGTCTTCACAGACACTGACATATCACTCGGTACGTCTCAAAAATGCGATTTCAACCTAGGTCAAATGATCTTTCCAAACCCAAGTGACCCAGAGAACCAAAATCGACATGCTTCCCACCAAATCATATTGGTTCGTCTCTCGGCTCAATCAGCACTTCGTTGATAGCAACATGTGCAGGTTGCCTCAATGCATAGACAATCGAGTTTGCAACATCTTCCGGATCCAGTATCTGGGCCCCGGTCGGCTCTCCGTATTTCTTGATGGCTTCTTGGTCTGTGGACATACCGAGCAATTCGGTGGCGGTGTTCCCAGGCTGTACACTAGTGACACGCAGTCCTGTCCCCGCAGTCTCAAGTCGAAGACTTTGTAAAGTGGCCTCTACGAAGAACTTGCTTGCTGAATACACACCCAAGCCTGGGAAGACCTTTCTTCCCGCGTCGGATGAAATGGCAACAATGTGACCACTGCCGCGTTTGAGCATACCAGGAATGGTAGACGATAGACAGTGAAGAAGGCCTTTACAATTGACATCAACTGTTCGCTCCCACTCATCCGTCTTCACATTTGCCATCATTGTGAAGTACATGACGCCAGCACAAGAGACAAGAATGTCAATCGGTCCAAGTTCATCATGTGCTGCCTGGAAAAGTGCTTCGACTTGTTTCTTGTCCGTCACATCGGTTGAGCGAAGGATGACTTTGCCGTCTCTTGTCACGAGTCTTCGCTTGACTGCTTCAAGAGCTTCTAGCCTTCGAGCCGCCAACGCAACGTGACAGCCTTCTTTTGCCAAAGCCGCAGCCACAGCAGCCCCTATGCCGGAAGATGCACCAGTAACCACCGCCACTTTCCCACTCAATGGCCCAAATTGTGGTGCATGTGCAGCACCGCCATGAGACAATTGTCCCGATGGAGGCCGTGGTAGCCAGCCTCTAGCGAACCAGTGGCGAGTGTAAGTTTCTAGTAAAACATGATCGACCTTGGGCCGTTGGACGACTGCGCGGAATGGTCGTGTTTGATCGTTATTCAACACGACAATATCCCGTAGGAATTCCACACTGGGCATACCACTTCGAAGGACATCGACTGTGAAAGCACCATCTCCACCCTTAACCGAGCCCCGTTTCTCATTCCAAAGTGCGACCCATTCCTCGAAGCCCAGAGGTTTCGTTGGGAACCCCAAATCATTGAGGTCAGCAAAAACCTTCCGAGTTGGCACTGGATCCGGGTCACCCAAATGGAAGACCGTTTGTTCGGCCTGATCCTGGTCTGCAAGATGAGTGATAGCTCTGCTGACAAAGTCGACAGGCGTCATCTCAGCGCGCCAACCTTCAACATCGGGGAAGTAACCGAGATGAAGAGATTCCACAATCAAGGCCGTCAAAAGATCCCACGCGTTTGCGGCTCCTGTGGAGCTGTGACCACTGATAGTTCCTGCTCGAAGGATTTTGACGGGAATTCCACGACGATTGGCCTCGACTGCGAGTTGTTCTGCTACCCATTTGGTTTGACCATATCCGTCGAGAAGCTTTTCCGGAACATCCTCGACGTCAAGCATCTTGTCTTCCGGCCAACCCTCTTGTGAAGGTGGCAGGACGCCATTGGTGGATACGTATTGCACCGTTGCACCACCCAGCCCTGCTAGTCGAAGAACTTCCCTCGTGCCGCCAACATTTGCACCACGCAAAGCTGCATAGGGATACACGAGATTGACAGTCGCGCCTGCATGCACAATGACATCAAGCTGTTTCGCCAGCTCTTCGAATTTCTCCGATGACAGTCCGAATCGTTTTCGGGACAAGTTTCCTGGAAGAATCTCCACTCGCTCCATGATCGAGTCTCGCCAGAGACCAAAATCGAGGAGATTCCTTCGTATTCTCGCAATACCACCGGGTTGATCCTCACCTGAAGGATCGCTGAAACGGACGAGACAGATGATTCGTGCTGAGGTGTTCTCCAATAAGTCATTGAGAAGAAATGCACCCAAGAAACCTGTCACACCCGTCAATAGGACAGTGTTTGCTTTACTAATTGACGTGATTTTTGTTCCTGGTAATGGTTGAATATCTTTATCAAGCACGGAATCGGCGCGTAAGATGTTGGGCAAGTCGGCTTGGACTGCTGCTGTATGACCATCTCTTACAGCTCTGACGGTCTCCAAATGGCCATTTAGAGTTGGAGGGTCGACAAGTCGAGCAAGCGGGATGCGAAAGCCAAAGTTTCGTGATAGTCGTGAGGCAAGGTCTGCCAACGACAACGAATGACCGCCGAGATCGAAAAAGTTGTGCTCTGGAGTAATGTTGGTCTTGGCTAGCTTTAGTGTTGCAGCCCATATTTCAGCAATGTCTTCGATGCCAATTGGATCCTGCTCAACTTTATGGCCATTGGGTCTGGGAGTCCCAGTGGGAGGAGCAGGAAGATTTTTGATGTCAGCCTTGCCGGAGACTTCGTGGGTGGGAAGTTCTGCCATCTCAACCCAAAGTGATGGGATCATGTAATGAGCCAAGAAAGGAGAAAGAATCCGTCGTGTCGAAGGACTGTGACCAGCGTCGTTGATCTCCACAACTGGACGGTCTCCAGGCTCTTTGTCGGGAACGATGTAGCCAACCAATTGACGATCGAGGCCTTCTCCGTGAGCCACGACTGCACAATGGCTGACGGCAAGATTTTTGATGATGGCATTCTGAACCTTTCCAGGTACCACGGAATAGCCCCGAAGTTTGATCATGGCCCCAACACGACCAGTGATCTCAAGAGAGCCAGATGGTAGCAACCTTGCCAGATCTCCAGTTCTGTACATTCTTGATCCCGGAGTCGAATCATAGGGATTGGGGATGAAGGCTCTGGCTGTCGTTTCGGGTCGATTGATGTAGCCACGAGCTAGCAATGGACCGCCGACGAAGAGTTCTCCACTGACGCCATCGTCCACTTTCTGCCCGCTCTCGTCCAAAATGTAGGTGTGCCTCGGAACCATAGACGGACCGACAGGGCAGTAAACGGCTTCATCGTCGAGGATCTGGCTGATGTCTCCACAAGCAATCTCATGTGTTTCACAAGCGCTATAACAGTTGAGCAAACGTGCGTTGGGAAGAGCTTTGAGAGCTCGACGTGCAAGGTCGGCAGTGACTACTTCACCATTGAGCCACAGAGTGCGTAGGTCTGGCAAACGCTTTCCGATCTCCGGATGTCGAGCAAGAACAGTGGCCAGCAGGGTTGGAGTCATGAGAGTTTCGGTGATCTTCTTGGCAGATAGCAAGTCAACAAGAGCCACCGGATCGTAACTTGCCTCATCTGGCACGGCAACCACAGTGGCACCTCGGAGAAGGGGTCGCAAGATTTCCCAGATGAAAAAGACATTACATGCAACACGGTCTCCGGGTTTTTGATCTTGGAGGCCGAATCTCAGATTGTATGAGAGAACAGGTGCGCTGTGAGGGTTTGCGATTCCCTTGGGCTTGCCAGTGGTGCCAGAAGAGTAAGCCACGAATGCGAGTCGGTCCAAATCGTTTCGAGAGGGCAATGGAGCTGGCTCCTTTGCATGCCCGTTGACGTCCTCTGTTGATGTCTCATCGTCGAGAGCAATGAGAGGAACACCTTGCTTGATCTTGCCAACCTCGGCTCTATATGTCACGACGACAGCTGGATTGGCATCTTCAATGACATCTGCTAACAAGTCTGGCGGATAAGCGAGCTCAAGCACGAGGAAAGCACCTCCCGCTCGGAGTGCTGCGAGACAAGCTATGACGTAGTTGGCACTGCGAGGCAAAAGAACCCCAACAAGACTGTCGCGATGAACGCCATAATTTCGCAGACGACGAGAGAGACGCTCGACTTTCTCGTCTAGCTCTTGATAGGTGTAGGTGTTGTGTTCGTCTTCCAGAGCAACAGCGCCTGGAGTAGCTTTGACCTGGTCGGAGAAGAGTGCCGACAAGTCTTTTGTGATATCGATGATAGGCGGCATATCGTTGTCTTTATCGCTTATCGAATCAAAAATGTGGGGAGAAGGTTTTTCTCATGCTAGAAGCTCTTCAAAACAGCCCACAGTCGAGAATCCACCCTGGAATCGACTTAGTGACTAGCTCTGGGGACTGGGAGGTATATATGAGGAAAAATGAAATTTCGATGTCAAGCCATAGTCTGGGGGGAGGGGATGGGAGGACTGGAGAAGCACAGGAAAAGCCACCTAGGGTCTAACGCAAGGTTCTAGATTCCGTTGAGGGAAAAGCAAAAAAAGAAGGGGAAAACTTCTTGGAAGAGGCGAATTACGAAATGTGAATGAGAGTAGTGTGGGAGTGGACAGATGATATAACGTCACCGCCAGGGAAGGGAGCTCGAGATGGAGATGTGAAGAGCCAAAAGCCAAAAAATAGATCAGAGCTTGATGATGATAGGAAGGGTAGATCCGCTTTTGATATTCATTGAATTGAACTTCGGTGAACCCTAAATGATCTTGGTTCACTCAGGCTCCAGACACAAAAGTCATGATAAAAGTGAACTAAATGTTTACTAAAGTAGATGCCGATTAACGAATGTCGTCAGGCAGGAACGGTGTGAAAGACGCGGAGGATGAAATAAAATACAAAGCAGCCACTATCACTCACTCCCTAGGTACCTACCAGATCGCAACGTTGAGCATGCAGCTAAAGAAATGCAGGACACGGCAGTCTTTACAACCGGCCAAGTTCGAATTCCCTCGCCGGAGTATTCCATCCGTACCTCGTACCTGCCTATAATTCACGACTGGAGCGAGCGACAAGGTGGCTCCCGGCCTTTCACAATCGGAGCTTAACCTCTCTCAGACAAGCCGCCGGTTCAGATTCAGATTCAGACTCAGACTCAGACTCAGACTCAGTCTTGACCCTTCAGATCCTGAAATCACAGGAAAATCACAAGGACACTCTGACGACGTCCAGTCGTCTTCAATAAAATTCAAGGTTCGGGTCTACCAAGTCAGAGCACGAGGGTCAAAACTCGCGAACAGAAAGCTCATCGTGAGTCGTCACATCTCTGGTGGGTGGAGGGCTGGGCATGAATAATGGATCCCTGGTCGGCTTGAAACCCGATGGCATCATTTCCAGGGACCGTGACTGGTTGCAACGTCCCTATCCGCGCACATGGACAGATTGGGATGCATACGAGATGTTGTATCTCGCGGACACAATGTACACTTGAAAACTTGAATCATCTATCTAGGTGACGCCAATATGCTCAATGTATTGCGTCTTATAGGCTTATTAGAACGAGTCCTGTACTTTGAGCGACATGTTTGGAGGTATATTTGATCCAAGAGAAAGCCTGAGGAGACCATGCACGACTGGTCGCTAGTGAGACGTATCGACTTCGAAGTTCTAAGTATATTTTATAATTAATACGAAAATTAGGGTCATGCCAAAGCCGCGAGTTGCACACCGCCAGCACTGCATAGCACATCCTCACAAAGCAGGTCAGTCGGCATTGGGGAAGCATCCAACCAGAAGCCAGGTATGCAGGACGTCAACAAACACAACATTTAATTATTGCATTCTGCCCGAAAGAGGTTGGTTTCCTTTTCTTTTGGGATGACAACTATGTACAGTGCATGCAATACTGCGCTACATGCAGTAAAGAAGGAACATTTGATGTAATGTACACCACCGATAGAAGGTCAGCAGATACACGACCGCCTGGAATTGACTGCCACCAGAGCGGGGCCTATACCCAAGTAGATGGCTGCTGAGACGAAGTCCGCGACGACTGTGAGTTCAATCTCGCGGCAGTATTCCCGCCAACGCCAGGCCTCACTCTCGCTGTGCTCGAGGCGGCCGATGGCACAGGCGGCTGCTCAGCATTCGTACCAGCACCGACCCTCTCGCGACCCTGGGACTGGCCCGCCTGCTGACTGCCGGAGCTGTCACCGGCACCAAGGCCACGCTTCATCATGCGACCCAAAATGCCTACCATCTCCGCGGCATCCTCGAACGAATCGTCGTCCATGCCTTCTTGGGCCTCGTAGACGTGCCGGACCGCCAGCCGCGCCATCTTGCGACTCGCCTCCGCCTCGTGCAGGCAGTCGTACACGTACGCGACGTACTCAACCTTCACCGAGAGGCGTACCGGGTGAGACCCGGGGAGTAGGCGTTCGGCGAGTTCGTTGGCTTCACGGAATGCGCGTGTCGCGTAGGGTGTGTAGTCTTGGAGAGGGAGGAGGAAGGTCGCAACGCCGCTGCCGTTGTTGGCGTTGCCGTTCGGGTAGGGGTGGGTTGCTGGGAGCGGCAGGCCAGGCGGTGTTCGTGCTGTGGTCATACTGCCATCGCCGCCGACAGGCCCTCCGAGGCTGATGGCCGGTGAACGTTGGCGACCTCCACCCGTTGGTGACCGGATGGTCGGGTCTCGTGATGAGGTTTTGGAAAGTCGTGGTGATAGAGGGTCTGGAAAGAGGGAAAAGGAGTCGGATCTCGAGCGGTTGATGCGATCGTTGACCGGAGGGTCATTGTGGAAGAGGACGAAAATGTGATAAAATGACGCTTTGAGTTTATAAGACAGAACACGGAGCTCCACGTAGTTGCCCACCATAGGGAGGATATACTGCTCCACCATGACTAGCCCCTCGCGTGCCAGCCATAGTATATGATGAATGAGATGTCTGGCTCTGGGATCGCGCACGGGATCCAGCCGTTTTGCTTTACGTGCGCGCAAAAGCTTTTCCGCAAGTATTACCGATAAACCCAGAACCCGAAATAGAAAACTATTGCGTGGCAGAAGAGAGATCCATTAGTAAGTCTGGGTAGAATCCCTTGTCAAACGTGTCCCTTGACAACATACCTTGAAAGATAATTATTCTCAGTGGTGGTGACTTTTGCGAAATAGCCGAGAAACTTTTGATCGACTTCCGAGGAGGCCATCCAAATGGAATAAGGAGGAGGAGGACCGTCCGACGGCTGCCACTGTCGAGACAGATACGTCAGTTCTATGAATGCTTGTTTCCATCGTTTCCGTGTGGTGAAAGGGGAGACACGATCGGAGGATGATAAGAGCTCGCAGAAAAGTAATGATGGTTCGGGTTCGATGGCAGTGGTAGTGACAACTTTGGTCAATGTATCCATCATGACTTCAGCAAGACAAGACACTGGCAAGTCCAATCCAACTGGAGCATATGAAACACCGCCAAGGACCACTGTAGCACAACCGGACGGTAACTTCCCCTTCCCAGTAGTAGGAGCGGAGATTCTCAGAATGTATTTGTGTCGCGATAGAGGAAAGGCTAGATGTCAAATCTACCTCCACCTTTCCTTCACCACCGCCACAAAGCTCCAAACAATGAGAAGGACGAAAGCGCTGGGAAAGAGGTGCAAGAAATGTTTCCGGACATGCAGAAAGGGTAGGTGTAACCTAAAGGTGCAATTTACCTCTAGCGCCGCGTCCCCAGGTTAGGGCGCTTGCAACCAAATCCGTCTCAGATTTTGTGCCTCAAATGGTGGACAAGTATATTCCTATTGCCGCCGTGGTTGTCGGGATTCGAATAAGTGAGAGTATGGTTTGATTAACCTTGCAGATAGCCGACTCAAGAGATGCAGTTCCTGAAGAATGAGTGCGCAGAGGACCAACGAAAGGTCTGGTTTGTGAGCAAAATGAATGTGAAAGCGAGTGTAGCGCACCGTCGAAGAAGTCGCAGTCCTCTCGTGTGTGTCGAGCGAGTGTATAAGGTCGGGTATCGAAGTGTTGGTACAAATCAAAAGAAAAAGTCGTCAAGGTCGGGCAGCGTGAGCCAGGGTGATTAATATTAAGTAGGTAAAATATGCGCTGTTGTTACAAAGTGTACAGAGGCAGAGAGAGAAGGGGGATTTTCAGGCGGACGGAGGATTGGACAAGATCGGCTGCTTAGAGAGAGTGTGGCTTCTTCAGACGTTGGGTATCTAGTTCCAGCTGTCAGTACGTTGACCAAACTCTTTGCCCTATGACATAACTCTGTCTGGGGCATTTGCTTCAGCCACCATGGAACCTGGAAACCGTACCTTGGGGTTGGATCGTCGTGGAAAGAGAGCAAACTGGCGCAAAACCGCCTATTCGTCCAGCACCGGATTTTTAGAGCCAATGGATTCGGGACAAGTATGATAGGTCGGAATGGCGGTCGCAGGACGTCTGGAAATGAGGCTGTAAGGTACCGCTTGTTCTCTTCTGACGCATGGTGCTATCGTCAGGTGAGAAAACGGGGGTTTCAAGCTGATCTGTCCAATCGTCGTTGGGTGATGGTGTGGAGGGGAAGTGTAGGAGTGGTTTTGGTGACAAGTGACCTCTGTGGGAGGTTGGAAACGAGTGAGTGCGTCTATAGTGGACGCCGTTCTTGGAAGTTGGGTAACGACAAAAATGACAGACAATTGCACAGTCCAAGGTGGAGCTGATGACCGACAAGACCGAACTGTCGGTGTTGGGTCACAGCCAGATCGAATCAGAAAGAGAGCGATGTTGAGCTTGTTGGAGCCCAGAATTGTAAACACAGCGAATTGTCCAAGTGAGGTCAGATAGACCTAGTTAGGATAGAGACAAGGGCGACGGATGGCTGCAGATGTCGACAGCATGCATGACGATGATGCAGCGAACAAGCTCTAGACAACTGGAACAAGTCACGACTGCACGCACGCAGGAGGCAGAGGGAATGAGGAATCAGAAAGGATGATTCGACGATGCAACAGAGGTAAGGACCGTACGCGAGAGGCTGAGAGCCATTCAAGTTGGGATCTGAGATGGAGCTGGAGAGCAACAACGTGCCAACGCATCAAGCGCGTGCCCCTGGTCAAGATCTTACCTGGTTGGTGATAGCGCGTCGATGAACCAGACCAGGATCATCACTAAGTTTCAATCACCGGAAGTTGAAGACCAGCATTGCTCCTGCGTAGAGACGACACTAGCTCAAGAGAGTTAGATTTCAACTGTGGGCGTGAGACGAGGTTAAAATGGCTTCGGACGACGGAAGGGCGGTGATTTGTGTCGACAGGACGACCCAGAAAGGAACATCACCTCTGGAATATTCTGGTGGTTGGAGTAGCATTGCATCGCATAACACAAGTAGCAATGCTGACGCCTGAGCCGAGGATGGCAGGAACTGGTTCGCCTAAGACTCCAAGTATCCGTACCAGCAACCCATTTGAGCATCATTTGGCTACGTGGCAGTTCGTGAGAAGAGGAGAGCAGAAGGAGCACACAAACCAAAGTCGGGAAATAAGAAAACGGGCCTCGGGCAAACACTAAATTCCAAGGCTCAGTTCAGGCTTGCGGAACGGGTAGAGATGGGCTGCCCACTTGGCTTCTCTCTGCCCAGGTTCCCCCAGCCCACCCAGTTGCTCATCCCTGTTCGAGTTTGCCCTGCAGTGCCTGAAATAGCCCGAGGTACCAAGACCTTCGCCACACTGAGCGATCCATCAGCGTCACTTTCCCGGTGAGGCACGTGTACTGGGGTACCGTGGAACAAGACATAGCAAGCAATCACACCTACAGTATCCGAGAAATGTGCAATGTAGACAGAAAATGAAACTACCACTGTCTACGGAGTACATGGTTGACTGACCGTAGGACTTCCTCGCCCAACAACCCATCACGACTTTCACGTCCTTGACCCAGGATCTCTCTCCCTTAAGACCGATACGTTCGTCCAAGTCGTGTGGGAACTCGGTAACCTCGATATGTCGGAATCACCTAAGCCATTGGGTCCATCCACGTCGCCTCAAGCCCCTCGTTTTTGTGCAAGACACTCCCAGATAGACCTGCATCGACTCCGAGTCTCGCACAAAACCGCTCCACAGCCGCAACGACAAGAGGCCCTTGCAAAGTCCTTCCGCCCCTTCCTGTTTGTAGGCGCTGTCATAGTTGAGCCTCTGTTCAATGTATCGAATGACTTGGATAGACAGTCATTCGTTTTGATGTGCCCATGCCATGTTCATCTATCGTCCTTCGGCACCGTGTTGAATTGCACCTGCCACTAGGTTGGGATCAGCACGAGCGGTGGACAGCTTTTGCTGTTCTCAAAACATACCAGGACATAACTCTCGTACACAGTATGGAATCTCTGATCCAAAAAGCCAGAGACATAGCTAGATCCTGATGGTCATGGTTCTGTGATCAAAAAAAGTGGAAGCAGGGTCCTTCCATCAACTTGCGCACAAGCTGGACTTTGAATCCGGAATTCAATTTTGGCCAAGTCAAGCTAGACTCTCACTTTCCCTCGTCCTGAGCGGCCTCGATTTGAGTGTAGGCTGGGCCTTGGGGTGGTCCATTCATGTTTGGACCATGATTACCTTGCATGTGCTGTCCATATCCTTTCTGTGGGATCTGAGGATATCCACTGCTCATGGCTCGATGCTGCATAGCATAGCCAGATGCATTACCGTATTGATGTCCGCCATAGTTTCCTCGAGCCATGCCCACTTGCTGTTGTGGATATCCCATGGGTGCTCCCTGACCTGACATGCTGTACATCATACTTGGCGCCTGAACATGTCCCTGTTGTGAACCTTGATGCATCATAATTGGAGCCATCCGCTGTGGGCTGGAGTACCCGTTCTGCTGTGGATAGACATGAGCAGGGCTAGGCGAGTACATGGGCACCTGATGACCAAACTGTGATGGCACAGCCATATACGGTCCATTAGACTGCTGTTGTACCATCATGGGAGCCGACATCTGTCCGGGTTGAGCATGCATCATACCGGGTGTTCCAGGATATGCTCTCATTCCAGCAGGAATCTGGGCTCCAGGTGTTCCGAAATATGGCTGCTGTTGTTGCTGTTGTTGATATGCCAGCTGAGCAGGGTGATTCATAGGCGAAGCATAAGCCGACGCCTGTCGAGAAGCCATGTTTGGAGAGGGGTACATATTGGGTGCTGCATTTCCAAATTGCATCCGGTGTGTACCGTCATCGTATTGATGGGGGTATTGGTGTGCAAGTCCATGTTGGTTATGCTGAGGTGTCGAAATATGTGGAATCACTGCTGGACCATTGGGGAGATTAACACCTTGGCCAGGGTAATGCACATGTTGGCTAGATGCAGAGCGACTCTGTGAAGGAGACAATACGGGAGCCACGGGTCGATCAAAGGCTTCTTCATATGTCTTTTCAGCATTTTCATCCTTGACAGTCCATCTTGGTACGGTCTGGAAAGCATTCGGAATGCCACCGTTGTTGCTGTAGTCCTTTGATGGTTCATCCGGATTCGAGGCTGCGAGCTCCTTTTTCATGCGAGTAATGGGGTTGAAGTCTTTCGCGATGGACATTCTCTCAGACGAGGGCTTCGGTTTGCGATTGCCAAAAAGTGCCGAGGGGGATGCAGTTCTGGAGATCGAAGCTCCTCGTTGAACGGAGCCCGGACTAGATGGAGGTTGGGAGCCTGTAGGATTGAAGGTAGTTGCAGCTGCATTTGGACGAAATTCTGAAGCTTTTACGTTGAGATTGAATTTTCCCGAGATTGTCGAAGCAGGAGTGTGCATATTTGAACGTTGTGGGCTGCTCAGGCCACTCTGATCTGCCATGGGCCCAGCGGGTGGGATACGTCCATCAATAATGGGAATGGGTGCCGGGATTTGATGGGGCTGAACGCCTTTGCCTGGTGGCTGATGAGAGAAGCGGTTTTGGTAGGCTCCGCTGCCATTCCGAGATGGGAAGAGTGGAGGCTGAGGCTGTTGCTGACTGCCATTACGATCAGGACGACCATTGGGTGGGTATCCACCACGACCACGATTGTAGGTTTGCCTGTCCGGGATCGTAGCCTGTGACTGAGGAGCATCAGGCTTGCGAGTGTTGGCAGTGACAGCTGGTGCTGGTGTAGTGTTCATCGTAGGAACGACCGAGTCGGTATGCTCCTTTTGGGCTCTTTCCACAATCGCTTCTTGTTTGACAGGGTCCTTCGCAAGGATTCCGATGAGGTCGGAAGGGATGGGTGTTTTCAATTTGAAAGTCTTGGAGAAACGCATCAGTTCGTTGAGCTTCGCGCTTCGATCTTGAGTAGCTTGAGCCTTTCTGCGTTCAATGACCCTCTGTTTTTCAATATCTGCAAACTGCCGGAATTGATTGAGGACTTTGACCTCGACATTTTCGGTTGGACCTTGAGCAGAAGTTTTGGTGTTCAAATCTCCTCTAGTAGAATCGGGCTCTGTGTCGGCCTCTGTGGAAGGTGCCAGTGTCTCTTTAGATGGTGACGGAGAGATTGATGCAGTAGAGCCGCCTTGTTGTACAGGTGTGGCATTCTCAGCAGGCAGATTGGGAGACTTTTCAACGTCCCCTGGAGGCTTGTTGCTCTGCCTCGGCTTTGGTGGGGCCATCTGCGCAGTAATAATGGCAGGATCCACGGGCACTCCGGGAACAGTGGCCTGACCAGTTGGAGCACGCCTGGCTGGTGGTGTATACTTGTTCGGACCTCCAACAGGCAATGGGTGGAAGGAACGCTCATCACGGCGAACACCGCTGTACTTGTCCTCCTCGTCTTCACCATCGTGTTCAACAGCTTGGCCGCGTTCCTCACGTACATGGGAATTTGCAGAAGTCTGTCCTTCGATTTCTCTCGCAATGCGCGCAGCCTCGGCCTCTCTTCGCTTGTACGAAGGGGCATTCCTATCAATAGCCGTGGTGTAAAGATTCTCGTCGTATGTGCTTTGAGCGCCAAAAAGTTGACTGTTTGTTGCGAACTGATCCCAGGTGCCTGCTCCGCCTGAGTCCAGGGAGAGCTCAGTACTATCGGGACCTTCCGGTACCCATTTCTGAAGAGTGCGTTCTCCGCGGTTTTGGTTTCCAGAAATATCAGCGTCGGTTTGGAAAGAGGTAGAAGAGCCTGGCCATCATGTCAGCGTTTAGACTTGGAAATACAGCAGATAGTACGAACCGTTGGCGAGCTTGGACGACTCGGTAAAAACGAAGTCGGAGATTTGAAAATCGGCAATGTCCTTCAGGTCAAAGCTCATCGCGTGCTCAGGACTCGTGCCAACAAAGGCCGCTTCCCGAGACGTGGTGCCGTTGACCTGTGCCGACTGCATCTTCTTGACCATCTTCAGAGTCAATTTGAAGGAAGGACCATTAATATCTCTTCCAGACAATAGTCCTTCATACTTCTCTCCAGACTTTGCCGTGACCACGACGTTCAAGCCCTGGACATGGTGTCAGTTTTTTGCATTGCGATGAAGTGGACAAGGACTCGGGTCAAGAACATACGACAGCTGCGCCAAGTATGAAAAGCAACCTTTCATTTGCTTGCTTGTCCGAGATGCCCGCCTCCTTTTGGATATTTTGCCTGGCATTGCCCGCGTTCTTGGGTTGAGGAGTACTTCCGTTCTGTTGGGCAGCCATTGAGATTCGCTGGGCACCTGAGTTGGGTCCAGGACCCCAGGCCTTCTGGGCGGCTGGGCGGCTATAGCAGGGTGTCAGTCATGGTCCTTCATTGCGCCCTAGTAGTAGGAAAGGAGAAAGTCGGGGGAATCGGGGGATCAATGGGACATGGATGTAGAAGTGGTATTCCAGTGACGGAATAGGAGATGATAAATGAATACAAGACGAGGAAAGGCATATTACCGTGAAGCTCCGTCGACGGGACTCTGCTTGCGCCCAGCGTCTCCCGCCTTCGCATTGATGGTAGTTCTCATTGTGGTCCTCCCCAGACCATTATTATTTTGCGGGGGATTGGAGTTGAGTAGGCTGGTGGAAGAATTTGTCGTGTTGGCAGTGACACTGGCGGCAGAGGCCATGAGCTGCAGGAAGGGTGCTGGCAATGTCACACAGGAGGCTCGAAGGAGCTGATTCGACGGGGCCGGCCAGTCAGACTGCGCGCAGTTTGAATTAATTTCAGAGAATCGAGCAGGAGAAACAAGTGGGTGGTGGAGAGGACGAGAGGCAGAGGGATCGGTGGAGGGAGGGAGGGCACGAGCCTCTTGGAGGGAAAAAAAGTGGTGCGAAGGTTGAAGTGCAGGTGGAAAGTGTAGTGCAGTGCAGTGAAGTGACTGCGGGTGCAGGCGCAGGTGCAGGTGCAGGCACAGCAAAGAAACAAGTCAAGTCAGGACAGAGTTAAGGCCGAGTAGCGTACCTAAGCTTGCAGGAAAGCAACGCTTTGACAGGATGGAATTAAAGGAAGGAAAGAGGCCGACTGGAGGAAAAAGGCAATGGAATGAAACCTGTCGCCTCTTGAGAGTCGGTGTTGAAGAAAAAACAGCGACAATCAAAATGCAAAGAAGCAGGAGGGATGTTAAGATGAGATGGAAATGAAGTCGGCGGTGGTTTGGGTTGGTTTGGGGAGAGGACGAGTTGGTGATTTCTGAGTGGTGAAGAGTGGTGGTCGTAGTCGCAGTAAGGTGCACTTGGTCCTTTACTACGGAGGGACTTACTGTACTACCCGTCCCGCTAACTTGCTCCAGTTTAGCGCGAGCACACCTGGGCACGCACCCTCAGTTTTCCCCAAAACGAGTACGACATCTCACAAGTACATGGTGGAAAGGATATTCTAGAATCGTCGTAGTCAATCACGATCTGTCTGGTCAACGGTGGTAATTAGAAGCAAAATGATGTTGGGCGATGATGGTCCGTTTTGCTCAACATGGTCCAGTGCCCTGATGCACCTCCAAGTTCGCCTGAGATGCCTGGAACAGGCGGTAGAGTTGAGGAGAAGGATAATCGCCTCGGGGGTTCAGACTGGAGATTGAAAGAAGAACCGCACTCACTGCCTGGGCACTGTAGGGGCTACTAGCAGTGCAGCAACCGAATAGGCTCAACAGCTGGAGGAATTAATCTATGCACATTTAGGGGCACTCCAGGGCCTCGGGCTCCCACCTCCTCCTCGCGAGTCAACCTCAGGGTTCCCCGGGCCCCATCCTCGTCATCTTCGGTCCTTGACAACAAATAAAAAGGCGAACAATGTTGTCCTCAGAGTGATTCCGATTGTGTGCCTTTCTTTCGTAGATCAAATCTGGCCCACTTCCCACTTCCCACCCCGGAAACTTCATATCTGTCGTAATTTTTTTCCCAACCCAAAGAAAACCAAGAGAGGGGGGATCAAATAAAATAACAGGGTTACGTAGATGTTTCTACAATCTCTGACAAGTGCTAAACACAAGTCAACCAGAACAAAGTGGGACCGCATTTTCGTTCTAGTGTCTGAGGATGTTGGTGGAACGGCACGACACTGGGGCACAAGCAATTCGAACCACAGATTCCCACGAATCGGTTTGACCAGGTGTTCCAGTAGTGTTAGTTAATCGTGGATGGAAAAGGTACCTGGGTACCCGCCCTGATATGCCTTCAATAATAATAATAAAGATGCCTGATCCTTCTTGGGTCCTTAATTTTTGGGGGTTCTTGTACCCATAAGATACCTACATAGGTAATTAACCATACCCGATGCCCGCCAGAGAAGACGGCCGCCATAAGACCCCTCTCAATCACCCATAAGAACCCTGCTGTCATAGAAAATTATACCACCCCTCCAAGGATTCGGGCCTCGTCTCCAGACACCCGTGCCCGTGAAGTGACCCACTGCACCAAGCACCCCGAAAAGTCACGGGCAGTGGGTAACTCGAAGAACAAAACAATAATAGGTATCTTGTAAAGGCCGAGATACGATACCACCACCACATCCAGTTCACACACTCAAATCCAAAATCAACTCCAACTCCCACGGCAAGTCCAGAGAAAACCCCTGTCAGAACCTTCTTGCATTTTTGACTGCTTTGATCAGCCGGCTTCCACGTTCCCCATCCCCGTTGCGCCATTCACCTTACCGCATTCGCCATCGCCGCCGCCGCCGGAACACTGCAGGGGAAATATTCAGAGCCAACTTTGACCGTTCACTGCTATGTATTATTACTATTATCACCATCTTCACTCTGGGCAGCATGGTTGTTGTTTCTTGTGCTTGTCGTCTTCGACGCCTTTAATCCTTGCGATTACGTGCTGTGACAATTGTTCCTAGCATCCGTGGTCATGTCAAGTACCTACCTAGGTAGGTCCCTGCTAATTCCGTAGGGAAACTTGCATTACAAAGTATACTTATGGAGAAGGTGTGTGCGTGTCCACAAAAGAAAAATGTCATGGAAACGAGCGCTCTCAACAGTAGTAGTAGCCGCTCGGTATCCTTCATAAGCTGAGCTGCATCCTTCAAGCCTCCCGGACAGCTTTGTCCCACCACTGCATTGGCAGCACAATCATATTCAGCACATAGCAGTCAGCAATCAGCAGCTACTTTCTCTGCTCCACTCGTCTTCAGGCTCCATCATTAAACTTGGTGACTGGCTAAATCCCATACCCGTACACTCCCGTCCTCAACATCAACCAACATTACAGCCGCAATGAGTTCAGAATGGCCGATGTCATCGATCGGTATTGATTCATTCCACCTTGAACCTTCTTGAATTGAATTCCATGTAATGAGAGGAGAGGAATCTTCACAATCCCAATTTCAAACTTGAGAACCAGCCGCTCACCCGTATCATCCTGAACCCGTGTGCGAGTCGCTCCACCATCATTTCCTGGTTCGTTGTTGGCATTTCGTCCATGCTGGAGATATTCATCAGACCCTTCAGAGTTGGTGACAAAACTTTGATCGGGCTGTCTTCGGCGGTGTTTGGTCAGTCTTTCTCGATCTCTTTCTCGGTCATCTCTAATGTCCTCACGATCCTTGCCACGGAATGCCCCTCCGAAAGAGATACGTCTTTGGTGTCCTGACACAACCCGTCCACTTCGTTCTTCATCGGCTGGTTCTTTTACCCCTTCGAGGTTGATGCTCGGCGCATGTCGACAAGAGAATCCCCCTTTGATGACCGTATACTGTACGCCCAGTTGGTTCAGAACCCGAATAATATCTTGCCGAATAAACTGTGGAGCTTTACTGCTGGTGGTGGATGTGGAGAACAATCCCTTGAGCCCGGCAGGTCGGGAAATGTCTTGATTTGGCGTGTCATGAAGAGCCGGTGTATTTAATGCATCGGTATCGTCTCGCATATCTGCATCCGTTTCCTCAGGGACATTAGCCTCACGATCTCGCCGCTCTTCATGTCGCTTTCTTCGAGCCTGAATGCTTTCCTGCCGCGCGTGTCCCAAGGACTTGGTGCGAGCTGAATTGGGGGTGCGAGGTGTGACATGAGGACTTGCGTTGGCCGCAGGTCGATCTTGCAGTTCCACACCCTTCTCCGCCCTGCCCGCGTTATTGACGCTTGACTGGTCCGATCCACTTGTGGCAGGTGGCTCGGGTGCCAGCAGTGGTGAGTCATTGCCAGTCGCACCCCGTTGTAACAGTCTCCTTGGTCGATAGTCGGCCGAGTTGACACTGGTAGACCTACCCAGAAATTTGTTTGCTTTGCCAAATCCTCCACTGGCACTGAGTAGACCCTCATGCTGGGGTTGACTTCCTCCAGCGTGGTGGGTGGAGGGACTTGGATCTCGTCGAGTACGGGAACGCCTAACAGAGAATGACTTTCGGGGAGATGCAGCTGAGTCTTGTGGAGGTTGAATATTGAGAGCGGGTGGAACAGTTCGCTCCGAGTCTCGCTCGCCGCGGTATCTCCTCGTACTGAAACGTCTCAGCAATCCTAACGCAGTGCCCTCTTTCTTCTGGGGCTGTTCCGGGGGTGGAATTTGGGGTGAATGGCCACCCGGCCCAGCTCGTCTGTCGGCAATTTCGACATTTCTGATGCCATGCACCACATCATCTTCACCGTTAGTGCGTGCTCTTGGTCTAGCTCGACCACCCGTGGCTTTCTCGCCAGGCATTTCTGGAGCAAATGTGTTGGTATGTGCAGCTTCGGGGGATGGAAGACCAGGCACTGGGAGCGGTTTTTCGCCCGGGGTCACCGGTAGAGACAATGCGCCCGGATTCTGATCCCTCCTCTCACGGTCTCTCTTTTCGCGTGCCAGATAGTAAACAGAGATAAGTGGGCTATAAGCGTTCAGCGGATCAAATCCTCGAACCTGCTCAGCTGAGGGAGTTGTAAGACCTTCTCGACTGATTGAATTTCTCCGTCGGTAGAAGTCAAAGACGCCACGCTTCTTTTCCGCACTAATGGAATTGTGGCTGTATTCATCCCGAGTAGACCTTCGAATTGCAGTCTGGTACTCCTCGGATTCAATGGTCCGAGTGAGCTGCTCAGTGATGTATGCCGCTGACCCAAAATCGAAACCTTGCATCTTTTCCACCACTTCGGGATCCAAAGGCAGCGTAAGTGGCTCTCGTTGTGGGAGACAGTTGTCTGGTGGGCTGTTGAAACCCTTCGTCATCCATGGGTGATTCATGATCTCTTGCAGAGTAGCGCGATCACGGGGGTCGACCACCAGCATTTTCGATATTATGCTCTTGCATTCTAAAATTTTGTTAGCGTGCCTCGACAAACGATTGAGGGCAAATAAGTGAACATACCGGCTGTAAGCCATTGGGGATAGTCAACGACACCACGTTTGATCTTGGCGTGCAATTGTGGCATGCTTTGATCATCGAAAGGCACCTTTCCGCAGACGAGGACGTACAAGACGATTCCGAAACTCCAGATATCCACTTCCGGGCCAGTATATTGACGGGCTTGGAGGAGTTCTGGGGCGGCAAAGTACAGACTTCCACAGAAAGTCTTCAACAAGCTACGGGGTGAGTAAAGATTGCTCAGCCCAAAATCAATGATTTTGATGTCGCCAGTCTTGCTAATGAGGATGTTTTCGATCTTCAAATCTCGGTGGACAATGCTGTTGCGATGACAATAGTCAAGAGCACTTGCAATTTGGCGTGCGAACTTCCTCGCCTGCTTTTCTTTTAATCGACCGTGGGCAATAATATAATCCAACATCTGTCCGCCATTGACATACTCGAAGAGCATGTACCAGTGATAATTGGTTCGCTGGACATCGATCATTCCGCATATATAGGGATGAGAGAGAAGTGAGACCATGGCTGCTTCTCTCGCAGTCCTTATCTCCTTGGATCGGTCCGCACGTTCATCCTTGATATTTCCATGTTCATCGGCGGTTTGCCTGGGCACAATCTTGATTGCAGCTTGTTCACCAGTTTCGATGTTTCTGGCCAGCTTCACTTTGCCCATACTCCCCTGACCGATAGTCTTCCCCAATGACCATGTACCAGTCTGTGCAGTGATTGAGGTTCTCCTACGACCAGCTGTCGGATATGTCTGAGCAGGATGCCTGTCACTTTCTGATCTGGCACTTGGGGGTGGATGGGGGGAGGTCCCGTTGGCTACTGATGGAGTCGGTACCGGCGCTGAGAAATCTTGACTACCACGTCTCGATCCCGGCCGAGAGGATGTTCGACCTTCGTTTGACTCGCCTCTACCATCACGAGAACTTCGACGGGAACTGGAGGGCTGTCGAGCGAGGTTTGACTGTTCAAAATCCCTCCGAGCGACATGGGGAAGGGTGTTGGTATTGGACGATCCTGAACGTTGATGGTGAGTGGGTCTCTGATTTGTCGAACGAGCTCGAGATGGTTGAGCAGGAGAAGTCGGAGTATAAGAGGAGGGAGGATTGCGAGAAGATGAGTGACTTCGCACCACTGAAGGTGATTGTTGTGAGGCTGCGGTAGCCATTTGACCGACTGTTATCAATCAAGACGATCGCGTGGGGGTCGAAATCGTTGCAGGTAGGGTTTGTTAGACCTGCTGCAAGTAAGAATGTGGTGTGTCGCGACGAGATCCGTGTTCAGTCAGCCAGATTCTGAGTCTGGTCTGATAATCTCGTGGCTGCACGGACGTGCCCAAATTGACAACAAAGCGACACCAATTCTGGGCAGAGTGAAGTGAAAAGTTGTGCCGGATAAGTTGAATACTATCAGATCGACCAGTAGACGCCTACTGCATGAGAATAGCCTAGACGGACTGAGACTGCTGAAGGGGTCGATAGAATTGGGTGGTAAGAGGGAACTTGGGAGGAGGAGGGAGGTGGTGAGATTGACAGCTGGGCGACGGGGAATATTGATTTACCCAGTGATGGCAGACGGTGGAATCCGGTGAAGGCAGAAACAATTCAAACGGAATCAAGGAGCAGCCTGGTAAGAAGTTGGCAGGTTGGGCATTGTTACAAGTTGGATTGCAATGCAGATAGAGCGCAGTCCAAGGTGCAGGTGTTGTTCAATCCAGATGGCGTTTGCTTCAATACAAGAACACTCAGGCGCGGGCGCGGGCGCAGGCAGTCCAGGTGAGAAGACGACGAATAATATTGGAGGGGAGCGGTAGGGCGGAGTGACATTTACAGTCCCCGTGGCGCCTATAAGAAGACAGGTACTCGGCATTTGGGATTGCCCTAACAAACCTAATCATTTAACTGGAATGAGCATTGCTCACCCTAAGGACCCCCCCACCAGCCACTCTTAAAACCGGGCCCAGGCTCTTTTATTAGCCCTATGAAGCGCACTAACTGCTCACCGTTAAGCGTTCTGGCTCAAACAAGGCTCCCTAGGCCAGCCACCCGAATCTTGGGGGCCAGCTACTCCCAAATTTCCTCATATGATTACATTGTGGCTTCGTATCACTGACGTGGATGTTCATATTCTCGGGTAGCCTGAGAGGATCGATCCTGATCCGTACATTTGATCTCTCACGTCGGATCTACTGAGTATCCGCATGTTCTGACTACCCTAATAAAGAAGCAGCAAGCATCACCAATGAACCCATCTGATCCTGTGCTGAACACCACTCCTGCCACTTTACTGTGCGGTTTGATGAGGTCCAAGGTTCGCCATATTCAGAGTTTATCCCATCTAGCCTCACCAGTTTGCCATTGGAAGCCAGGGCAAGTGTACGTTCAGACTCTATTTCCTTTTGGCCTTCCATCTTCCATGAAAATTCATCCCCTGCTTCCCATAGTTGCCTTTTTGTCGGCAGCGGCGCTATGACAATATCTGATGGCAGAGCACAGATTGCTGCTGGCTCGAAATGAACAAGCATGTTGACAACTCGAAAAACCACGCATAGCCTTGCAGCTTGTCAGAATTTCTGTCTCATAATACTGTTAAGGCTGAGGGGGCTAAGAACCTTCGTCTGGACTCTTCGAAGATCCATTCATTCCAGCTTATCTCACCACCATGATACCAGGACACAGCAGTCTGCACATCACCTGGCATCACGAAGTGAGTGAGTTGCTTAGACATCGCCTATAGACCATGGTAAGCGCGATACCGGAAGACAAACAAGCAGCATAGAACATACTGTGACTGCTGAAAGCATTAGAAAATCGAGGTTGTTGTGATCCGTTTCCCCTTCATCCATGCGAATGAGAATATAAATTGAAAGAGCCTGGAGTGCAGCAAGGAGTTCCCACCTATTCAATATCAATCGCTGAACGAGCCTGTCAGCTTCTACTGGTGTACCACACTCGCTATGAGCTCATCTCCGGATAGGTAGACTTACGTCTGCGAGGAAACGCTCACATTCCAGTCGTACATTTTTCCAGAATAGTTTTCGACTTCCACGGCCCCCAAGGCCTATCATACCAACCAGACTGATGCAATTGTCCAGTGGTTCGATATTGTTATTCTCGACGTTGAGGGACGTCAACTGCGCATGAATGAAAGGAGGAAAGGTATTATGACGAAGCATCATCAAAGGGTACGACTTCAGTACTTGCAGAACAAGGTCAGTGGTTCTTTGCGCTTCGACCAGCAATCTTGGTCGCAAGACGAGCGATCTGACAGTGTCATCTGGTCCCGTCGGTATTGACAGACGCGAGGGAGTGAAACCCTGTGGTCTTGAGATCTCTGGATCCGAGTAGGCTTTCGGATTAGGCCCTAAAGATTCAGTGATCAAGAACGAATGGTCAATGGCCTTGTCAGGATTTAGCCAGTCTGCAAAGCTAGAGTCTGAGTCGATCCATTCGAGGGATTCAACACCCAGATCCTCCCAGTTGGAGGTTGAGAACGATACCGTCCCTTTGGGAAGCGAGCTACCATAAGACCTTGCTTCATCACGACTTTCCACATTGAGAGGACCTGTCGTTGATGAAGATCGATTATCCTGTCCTGGCGTTGGTGCCCCATCACCAGTCGAAACACCCGAGGCAGTACGACTAGATGATCGGATCGGGTAGTGGCAGTCAATGGCCCTGACTATGCATCTCGAGCATGCAGGTTGCTTCTGGTCACAGCGCGCCTTGCCTTTTGCACAAGAAATGCAAGATCGAGATCGACTTGTTCCACCGACCTTCCGGGATCGGCAATAGAATCCATGTCTCTTCAAAGTCGCCGCTATGTTGTTGGCTTGTCAATACGACTTGGCCTTATTCGACGTCACGATAGATGGAACAAGTACAACTCACCCTCATCAAATGGTTTGTTGCACAACTGACACCGCTTGACAATCTGCACATTTCCATCATACATTTCAAATTGAACCACAGCTTGCCTTGAAATTCGAATTGGAACCCGAGCTTTTATGGAAGCTGACCATATTTGTCAGCGGAGCGGAGCCATTCGGGCATCAGCCGGGCGGAACATTTTGTAGAAGGCTACAGCCCCCGGTCGTAAGTGGAGAAAATTTTCACGGGACTTGGGTGGAATATGTTGCAAAAGCTCAAGTAGTTGAATTGTCCCTATCCCTGGGAATTTTCCACCCTACCTTTGTTTTATGCCTGAAGCTGTAAGCGAGTATATCACACTCCAACGCCACAGCCACTAGATGATTTGCTACGACATTGACTCCATCATGAGCCTTCAGTTGTTCATGGATTGAGAATCTCATGATGTATTCATCTATAAGCCATCAATTGTGTACCCTGGGATTTTGCCACGATGCAAATTAAGTTGGTAAGTGTAAGCAGAAGGTAACCTTTGTAGGGTGGACAATTTCGCAGCTCGACAAATTGCACCACTCCGACATCATGTTAAGCCAAAGCACAGGAGCCAACATATATAATGGCCATGTATCTCAAACAGTGTCTTGTTATCATCTATCCATCAACTCACATTCCAGAAGCCCATTTCTACACTATATCATGGCTCCTTTTCCTTCCCCAACGTCGACATGGCGGACTGGAGTATATCCGTCAATATCCCCTACCCGCCCAGAGCTTTCTGCCAAAGGCAAGACTGTGGTGATAACAGGAGGCGGTACCGGTATTGGTGCAGAGACCGCTCGCTACTTCGCCGAAGCAGGTGCATCTCTTATAGCTCTCCTTGGCCGAAGAGAGCAGCCTCTTCAAGATACCAAGGCTGCTATTGAAGGGGAATTCCCAAACGTCAAGGTTGTTGTTTCGTCCACCGACATCACAAACAAGGTCGAAGTTGAGAACGCTTTCGCAAAAGTTGTTGGTGACAAGAAAATTGATGTCTTGGTCAGCAACGCCGCCATGATAGGCCCCCAAGAGGCAGTGGGTGAGGCAGATGACACCAAGCTGTTAGATGCCGTCTCGCAGAACCTCAGCGGATCTTTGTACATTGCCCAAGCTTTCCTCCACCACGCTGCAGCAGATGCAGTTGCGATCGACGTCTCCTCCTCAGCTGCGCACATGAATTTCCTACCTCGCTTTGCCGCCTACAGTGTTTCCAAAATGGCAGTCTTCAGGCTCTGGGACTCAGTTGCCTTTGCACATCCAGAATTGTCAGTTTACCATGTTCAGCCTGGAGTGGTGGACACTGCGATGAACAGGGAATCAGCGGCCAGTATCAAAGGGTTGGAGCACCTCATCCAAAAAGATGATGGTAAGTGACCTGGAGTTTTCAGGCTTGTGATTGCTCAATTTCTTACTTTGACATAGTTTCTCTGCCAGCTGGTTTCCATGTTTGGTTGGCAAGTCCCGAGGCTCGTTTCCTTAAGGGCAGATTTCTCTGGGCCAATTGGGATGTGGATGAACTCATGGCCCAAGCCAAAGACCTTGGAGCAAGCGAAAAGCTGACTATTGGACTTAACGGATGGCCATTTCCGAACAGCAGCTGAAAGGGTTCAAGGGTACGGTCCCTTCTTCATCAATCCTTGGCCCTTGAATCCAATACGCAGCGTTACTGAAGACCAATATATTCGGTGGTAAAGCCTAGGTTGTGTACCGTAGTGTCTGGGGAGCCACAATATATACTTAGCCATGGTATCGACCTAAGTAAAACGCTCAGTACCATGGTGCTATATTGCCGTGAAATTCGACTCGGAGTTCATGTTGAAGCTTCGTTCCTGCTTGAGTCGAAGATTGACGTTAGTTCATTAACTAATAACTCGAGTCTTAGCGCTCGATACAAGTTTGATCCGACCAGAATATCTTTGGCTGGTACGCAACTAGTCTTGGAGTCAACAGGGTACCTGACTATTACTGGGAAATTGGTTGCATAAACTACGAAGTGTAGAAGGGCAAGAACATTCATCTACCGAGTAATTCAATTAAACCATTCCGAGACAGCTGATACTTGCAGCAACTAGAGCACGCACCCCACTGCTCAAAGTGGGCTCGACCTCAGGCGCGAAAAAGGGATTGTGGTTGGTTGGTATGTCCGCTTGAATGGTTCCCTTCTTTTCAGCCTCGTCCCACTTGGCTCGGTCAATGCCTCCAAGAGTCCAGTAGCAGTAAGGTTTGTTAATTGGTAGGGCTAAATTGGCAAAGTCCTCCGAGCCACCGAGGCCAGGTGCATCTTTGATGTAATCTTCACCAAAAGCCGCACTGAAAGCCGCCTCCAGTTGGGTGGTTACAGCTCTGTCATTGACTGTGCAGGGAGCCGCCGTTGTCTCTCGGAAAACGGGTTCCTTGGGACTGTCCGACGCAGCACATTCAGCTTGCACAATCCTTTTCATTGCCTTGATGACTTTCTCGCGGGTTTTAATATCGTTACTGCGGATCGTCAATTTGATGGTGGCATGTTCCGCAATGATATTCTCGGTCAGCCCGGCGTCAATGCTTCCAACTGTCAAGACAACATTGTGGGACGGCGGGGCCTCGCGGCTGACAATCGTCTGCAGTCTCACGACAATATGAGATGCCAGGACAACGGGGTCGATGGTTGTGTGAGGTTGACTAGCGTGGCCGCCTCGGCCATAGACGGTGACATCGAAGCCATCTGCTGAAGCAGCCATCACTCCGTGACATGTGCCGACCATCCCAGCACGAAATGGCATCACATGCTGCCCTAGAACCACATCTGGGATAGGGCATGCAATTTTGTTAGGATCATAGAGCCCGGTATCTACCATTGCTTTGGCGCCGAACGCTCGTTCTTCACTCGGTTGAAATAGCACTACCAAGGTCCCATTCCATTGAGTCGTGCTGCGACTCAAAACTTTGGCCGCTCCAAGCATACATGCTGTGGAAAAGATAATGTTAGCACAGGACAACCCATGAAAAGCTGACACGCAGCTTACCCACATGCACGTCATGACCACAAGCATGCATCACCGGTTTTTCGATCCCATCACTGTCGATTTGCCGCTTTTGCGAGGCATAAGGAAGACCAGTCAACTCTTCTACCGGTAATCCATCCATGTCTGCTCTCAATAGTATTGTTTTCCCAGATCCCCTCTTCATCACCCCAATCAGTCCATATCCTCCAATCTTGCTGGTCACGGTGTACCCATACTCGACCAAGAGTTTCTGGGCAATATCTGCTGCGTAACTCTCTTGGAATGAAAGGCCTGGGTTCTGATGCAAGTCTTTGTACAACGTTCGAAAGAACGTTGACTCTTCCTCGCTTAGATGAGGAATTTCTAATCTGCTCGACATTATAGTATCAAATTCGGATGGTAAGAGTATTCTTCGTCTGGAGGATGGAATACACACCAAGAAGGCTGGGGCGACAAGTAGAATCGCATCATCTTAAAGGAGAACCTGGGGACCTTAGGTTACATCCAGGGCAGAAAAGAAAATCCATTGTGCTGCTTTGGTTTGAACAGCTAAGAGGTATGAGTTCGGGATCGTCAATGGATGTCCTCTAACCCGAAGACATCTCTCATTTCCGAAGGCTTGTTTCTGTCATGGAACCGATGTAAGGGGTCGATCAGCAATTGAAGTTTCTCCTTATCATTGGTTGGACCCAAAGTTCGACACTAGAACTAGCAAGTTGCTTGAACAACAAATCGCAGCCATGGGAAAGTCTCAAATCCGGGTAACAAGCTTGATAGGCGAAAAGGGTCGTCTCACTGGTTTGATTGTGACAACATCTGAATATGAAAAACACCCTACTGTTTACGCTCTGATCGACCTAGCCTGAGGAATTATTAATTTACATCACAAATCGACCTCATAGAAGTTGATGCCATCACTTTCCCACTGAGACCAGAGAGAATTCCATTCATTTGCGTTGCTTCCAGCTCCGTCGAAGTCAAAGGAGATTACTTCATCACTAGAGATCGAAGGCCAGAGGGATACATAAGGCGGATTGTACCTTTCCTGATCCAATGTATCAGTGTGAAGGTTCAACTCTTCAGACCTGGCACTTTGGGCGATTTCTGATGAGCTCGCATCCTCTTCGCGCTGCCTAATGTTCCCATATTCGCAGGGAGAAGCGGCGATAGTGTCGTATTGCGCTTGTCTTTTCCCTGAAGGGGACTCGGTCTCCTTTTCGGCGCCACTATATAATGATTGAGTCTCGTGAATTGTTGACCACTGCAAGAGGAGGTTAGCTCAAGACCGTAGTGCATGACAAAATGAAGCCCCTACCCAAGGTTTTCCAAGGTTCCAAGACTGTCGGAAGACGTCCAAAAAGCGGAAATTCGACTGGATAAGTTGCTTCGCTCGAGGTCTATGATCGACAAGGGGTGGAGGAAATGCAGCGAGATATAAATTTATCATGCACGCTGAATAGCAACAGAATCCAGCAAATGGAGTCCCCAGTATCTTTCCAGATTTATCCAGGCTGACCAGTATGTCAGTGATGTTTTCTGCAGCCTGCGAAAGCTGTTTCGCGCTTTCGGACCACCATGCGTTATGGCGCTGATCTGAGCCCTGGTTGGAGAGATCTATAGGCTCTGTGCACCTCTCTGAAAAGAAGGGTATATGTTGTTGATGGAGGAGCAACAAACTATGATTCATATGAGCACAGCAAACGAAATTTCATTAAACCCATAGAGAGGCCCCCAAAATGAGAACATATTAACGTACCTTAGATAGTAAATGAGGTTAATATAGGTGAAAGTTTCGCAGTTCCCAAACTGTATATGGGCGTAGACGCTTGTTACAGGAAAATGAACGCTTAATTCTTGGAAATTTCGCCACGTTTGAAGATCTCGATTGAGGGCGAACCAAGGAGATTCTGGCATCCAAGGCATTATCTGCTCTGGCGAAGAACCCGTCCTGTTTATCTTCTGCTTGCGCACGAAGCCCATAACGTTCAGCAGAATGTCATGTCCACAAACAATGATGCTCAACGAATGATCGATAGAAAGACGAAGAGGGCTCACGCCATCTGCTGTATCGTAGACTTCTTTGATAGTCCAAGTCCTCTGCGGCTTACGGCCGAATACAAAGTCATGGCTCCCGGCAGGAAGGGGCACGTCGATGAGTGACAGGGGAGAGCTACTTCGTTGTCCGCACCCAGCGTTGATTAGCCGATCCTGAAGAGTGCAGGACCAGTATAAACGATTCAGTTGCATTTGTTTCGTGTCAGTGCAGCCCTCGGCGTCAGTGCTGGTGTTCGGGGCACTTGATAGAAGGCTTTCAATCATCCTTGTGGCTAGTCCAATGTACATCCATGCCCTATATACATGGCCGACCCTAAAATCGTACAACGATATCATCAGCAGACATTGCACGGTCTCTAAGCTCGGGGATTCGAATACTGTGTTGGATAATGCTTGATTAACATAGGAAGCATATTCTTCACTTGGTGACAGACCTTCCCCTGGCAACAAGGGGGCACATAATGCCATGAGACAGGCTGTGAAGACACGGTCTATCTTCCAGTCCTCTGCTAATACCGTTGTATACACAGATGGGAGATGGATGAAATCTGCAGCCGGATATATCTGCTTGAGCAATGTACAAGCACGAATGACAACGCCGGGAGAGAGTTGGCCAAGATGATTGTCAATATTCCGATCACTTGATTGGATGACATTTCGAGAAGAAGTGGCCAAGCTATCCCTCTGGATGCTCTGAGACGTTGGCCGCTTCGTCCATTTACGTCTGGAGTTTGGAACCTGATTCCTGGAACCTGAAGACTTTTTGCCCGATGCGGAACGTGTGGGTGTCAACTGGCACCCTGATCTTCCAGCCTTTGAGCAGCCTCGACATGGTGGAGACCCTTCATGCACGCATTTCACCTTTGCGTTTCTGGGGAAGGTCAGAACTCGTCATGAAAAGGAAAACTCATCGTTTGGAGAGCAAGCTGTACCTGCACTGAAAACACGACACTGAAATCCGCATTGCATAAGTATTTCCGAATAGATGCAAATCGCTTTTGTTTTAGCCGTAAATGGGTCTACTCCTGGATAAATTCCGAGAGCCTGCCGAAAGAGACAATCACGAAAGTGTCAAATGTTCTTCCCCACAATGCTGTATGGAAAGAGTGGACTTCAACGGGCGGGCAGAATGCAAAGATCTGTTTGTCTGGGTTAAACGCAACGTCGTGAAGTCTCGTTAAAGTTGCTTGGAGGATTCGGGAATACCAATGAAGTTCATCTCCTTTCCCGAACGCCGTTCCCTTTCCCGACGACGCGTACCTTTCCCCATATGGGGCTCTGGGGAGGGGAGGCCCGCTGGGTCCATATTCGCCCTTCCCGAAAGTCTCTCGGGCAGATGGGTAGAGAGCTACATAAAGCATACGATGGTGCTGCATACCAGAAGGCAGGATTTTCAATCGACCTTGTAAATATTTCGAGACCAGGTCCAAACTAGATTTAACGGACAGAACAATGCCGAAAGACCAGAAGATACAAAGTAGCGGCGCTGATACCTTGACGCCCTTTTCTGTCGAGGATGGCAAGATCGCGGAACTGGCCGACGCCGACGAAGCCCTGGCTATTTTTGCAGGTCAGGAGTTGGTTGAGGTCGACGAAGTATCCAACAAGCGAATACTTCGAAGGATTGATCGAATCATCCTGCCAATATTGTGTGTCGTCTATGGACTGTCAGTATTCGCCTGGCCCCCCAAGACCAAAACGTGTGCACTAATCAAGGTGGTTTGTAGGAACTTCCTGGACAAAACCACCTTGTCATACGCAAGTGTTATGGGCCTTAAACAAGACATTAAGCTGAAGGGTGACAACTATCAATGGCTGGCATCACTTTTTTATTTTGGATACCTGGTATGTAGTAGATAGCCACAGGTCCTGGTAATTCTTCACCAACACTCTGCTCTAGGCGTGGGAATGGCCAACCGTGCGCCTGCTTCAAACGTTACCGATCGCCAAATACTCTGGGGCTTGCATTATCCTATGGGGATTGACCCTTGCACTCTTTGCCGTGGTTCATGACTTCACTGGAGCCGCAGTCGTCCGATTCTTCCTAGGAGCATTTGAAGCTGCCGTGACCCCTGGCTTCGCTCTGATCACTTCTCAGTGGTACAAGACATCTGAGCAGGGATCCCGGACCGGCATTTGGTTCAGCTTTAACGGCTTCGCTCAGATCTTCGGTGGTTTTGTGGCTTACGGTATTGCAGTCGGGCAGAAAGACCACCATTCCAGCACTGCTCCCTGGAAAATACTCTTTCTCTTCACGGGTATCCTTACCATCATAGTAGGAGTTCTGTTCCTCGTCTTCGTTCCCGACAATCAACTCAAGGCACGTTGGTTGACTCCAGACGACCGTGTTTTAGCCTTGGCACGCGTACGAGATAACCAACAGGGCATTGGTAACAAGCGGTTCAAAACATATCAGTTTGTTGAGGCGTTGAAAGATCCTCTGGTATGGGCATTTACCTTCTATGGTATTGCCTCGAACATCCCCAATGGCGGAATTACCAATTTCTTCTCCCAGCTCATTGTCTCTTTCGGCTATACTCCAACCCACTCCTTGCTACTTGGGACACCTGCCGGTGCGGTTGAAGTGGTCGTATTGATCTTCTGCGGTTGGTACGGCGACAAGTACCAGAAGCGGTTGTTGGTCTCCCTGGTTGGGTTGGGCATAGCAATTCTGGGTGTCATCCTCCTCGTTGCCCTTCCTCCTAGCGCCAAAATAGGCAAATTGATAGGATACTATTTGACTCTGGCAGGGCCAGCTCCATTTGTAGCCATTCTGAGTCTGATATCCTCCAACGTGGCTGGATATACGAAAAAGACTACCGTGGCTGGACTATACTTGATTTTCTACTGTGTCGGCAATATTATCGGTTTGTCTTCCTTCCAAACGCCCCAGTGGTCTTGAAAAGCGCGAGCTGACGTTGTTAGGACCTCAAACATTCCGTCCTTCAGATGCACCTAGATACGTCCCGGCAATCATTACGATTTTGGTCTGCTACGCACTCTGTGCAGTTGACATTCTGTTCATATGGTGGTATTGTCAACAGCAGAACAAGAAGAAATCCGCGATTAGAGCAGCTGCATCATATTTAAGGGTGGAAAACTCTGAGTAGGTGCCCTAATCTTCGATTCGGAGATGGATCGCAGCTAACTTGGATGATACAGATGGCTTGACTTGACAGATCGGGAGAATCCAGAATTTGTCTATACGCTTTGATAGGGTTAGATCGAGCCCTATGATCTTCGCGGACAAGTTATTGTGGTTTTGGAGTTGGCAGATATCGGTAGTTCTCCTGATGCAGATAAAGAACTGATGCATCGAAATCGAAGTTAGGTCGTAAAAGCATTGTGGCTTAAAGATAGTAGGTCTATAGTAATATAGTATCTTCTTGGTCGTCTTTGAAATGACTACTATAAAATTCCTATAGAATATAATAGCACGACAAAGACGAGGGTGAGTAGGAGGGTGAGAGGAGGGTGAGTTGCGAAGAAGTCGTTTCAAAAGCGGCACGCTCGTGGCGGTCGCCCACGTGAGCTGCGAGCAGCTTTTTCCATTGCTTGAACACGTGCTTGAGCCACTAACTCAAACATAACTCATACCAACATCACAAGTTATAATCCTGACAAGATGCCCGAAGTTTCGTCCTTGCACATCTCTCGCTTCGTACGCTAGCATTTGTACCAAAAGAAATGACTATGGCATACAAGCGCTCTCGTCAATCATTCGAGGATGATCTACAGAAGCAAGCTTCTCCTTTCGTACTCTACGGCACCCCTCTACCTCCGATAGACGAACACACCCGTGATGATGGATCCTTCGTTCCTGTCTGGAAGCAAGAGGTTACTGATGAGAGAGGAAGAAAACGCTTGCACGGCGCCTTTACTGGAGGATTCAGCGCCGGGTGAGCCCGCGGATACATGTCTACAAGAACATAATGGCTAAAATGCAGGATGCAGATATTTCAATACGGTAGGCTCTAAAGAAGGTTGGACCCCTTCTGCCTTTGTTTCTTCCCGACAGAATCGTGCCAAAGATGTCAAAAATGCACAGGTTCAGCAGAAGCCAGAGGATTTTATGGACGAGGAAGACCTTCAGGAAGCCGAACAATCACGTACTCTCCAAATGTCAGAAGAATTTGCTGGTTTTGGTACGCAGCAAGACCCCAAGCGTAAATCTGCCGCCATTGAACTGTTTCGACCTTCGGAACAGACGAGAGGCGTCAAACTCCTGATGCGTATGGGTTGGAAGGAGGGTCAAGGAATCGGTCCTCGAGTTCGTCGTGCTGCAAATCTGGAGGATGACGGCAATATCCCAGGAGAACAGCATCTGTTCGCGCCTACAGACATTCAAGTTGTCTCTCATTTTCGGAAAAGCGATCGCAAGGGACTCGGCTATGAGGCTGAGTTGCAAGACAAGCCTGGGATGGGTGAGAAGTCCTCGAAACACGCGGGTCGAAATAACACGTCACCTGAGTCTTCAGATGAAGAGAACTCGGCACCCAAGCTCTTCAAAGGAAGGAAGGCGGCAAAACAAAAATCCAAGACTGGGTTCGGGGTAGGCGTGCTAAACGACGACGGTGATGAGGACGATGATGATCCTTACTCGATGGGCCCGAGAATATCATACAACCGAGTTATCGGCGGCGAGAAGAAACAAAAGGCCAAAACGAAGTCTAGTATTGGGACAGCAAATCCCATGCTGAAGCACAAACCGACATTTGTATCGAAGAAACTTGGATCTGTGAAGAGTACTCTCAGAAAGTGCCATGATGGTCGCTTGCCACCAGATGGGTTCAAACTCGCTGACGAGCTGGATGCATTTGGTACAATGAGTCTCAATGATGAAAAGTTTCGGCCTCAGCAAGTGCCCTCAGATTGGAAATCTTCCATCTCATCAGAAACAGCCGAGCCCGACGCGAATTTTACGTCTACTGCGGATGCTGCTAGAGCCTCTTCCATGACAGCGAAAAGTCGAGCTGCGCTTTTGGGAGAAAGCCCACTTCCTGGGAAATCCATCTTCGATTTCATGACTCCATCTGCACGAGATCGTCTGGCTGCAGCTTCGGGTCGAGAAGATCTCCCACTGGCAAAAGGTGAGCATGCTCCATCTGGATATAAAGGTCATGCCGCAAGCACGAATTCGGTTGTCAATCTAATTCCGCATCTGGAGAAAGAAGTAGCACTTCAAGCCCTCAGTCGTGGAGTCAGTGGCTGGATGCCATACGCAGAAGATGAGGGCAAAAGAAGCCGGTACCGAGCATATCTTGAGATTCAAGCCGGTTTGGTCCAAGGAAATGATGGGAGTGAAATTCCACCAAAGGCGGATGGCATGAAGCAAGACGATTGGGTGATAGAGATGCAAGAGTTCGCACGCGCCGCTCAAGTGTTCAAACCAATCTCAGGTTTGATGGCGAGTCGATTCACTTCTTCTTCTTCGGTACCTGAAGGTCAAAACGGGGAGGGGTCTGATTCACTCCTTAGCAGGCCTGCAGCGAAACCAGAAGATCCAGCAGAGGCAGCAGCGAAATTGGGCATGTTCGGGCCTTTGACACGATCATTTTCTAATTTCTACCCCTCTAGACTGGTATCCAAGAGATTTAGCCTACCACCGCCAGAGCATATGACCCAGCCGGCTTCGACTGGTGGCGCTCATGCTTCTTCCCAATCAATGCCAGACTCGAGCACCATGCAGCCTACAGAATTCGCGGCGGCAGATGTTCAGCGGGCCTTATCCACGACAATTTCTCGTCGTGATGAAAATCCTCTGGAAGAAACACTGCTAGCGACGGATGGGCATACGTCTAAAGCATCCATCATGGACCCAGGTCAAAATGAGGCCCTCGAGCAAGAAAGACCTGGAATGGCTGTGTTCAAAGCCATCTTTGGCAGCGATGACGAGGACGATTAGATAGCTAGGCTGTTTGATAATTGATCGATTCCAAGCCACCTCTCATTGTAATTCGGCTCATACTGCTTCTCTGTGGTGTCACTTGTTCAAGATCCAAGCAAGGCTGAATCCATCGGGGTAGTCGTAGCTGTGCTCAGGCCGTTGATCCCCTTCCGATGAGGCTGAAAAGATGGACCCTTGCTCCACTCAAATGAAACCAGCCCGTCCCCATCTTTTGGCATTGAAGCCAGGATCCCTGCAATTTTTCCCCTTAGTACGATTAGTGTGGCTGTCAGCGGGACGTGGAATTGGGGAATTCTACCGTCACTCCATGTTCGAAACCTACACCATCGTTCTGGCCAGATTTCATCATCCTCACTATTATTCTAAAAAGCGTCCTTCAACTTCGTGTTACCGTTCTTTTGGTTGCTATACGTTTCTTTTAGTCGTTCTTTTCAAACAAATCTAAGGTTGCATTTAATCATGGCGCGTAAAAAACAGACGGCGCCCGTGCAGAGAATCAATTCTGGGGAAGTCATGCAGGCACTTTCAGATGATGCAGAGACACGCGCAGTTTATACCAACGGCCATGTTACGAGCTCTACCATACCGCGAAAGAGTGCTCCATCCGTCCAGTCCACGACAACCAAGTCAACATATTCACCACAACAGCAACCTCCACAATCCAGCCTCTTGACCCTTGTCATCTGCGTTGGAGGCATCTACGCCTCGTTCCTGACCTGGGGTCTCCTTCAAGAGCGCATCACCACCACCCCATATGCAATCGATTCGTCAGCGCAGGCGCAACGAGAATACTTCCGATTCCCCATCGTGCTCAACACCATCCAGGCCTTCTTCGCCTTCACCAGCGGCAGTCTCTACCTCCTTTCCAAGACCGGCGCATCATCATTCAGCATCATTCCATCCACCGCAGCCCTCCCACCACTCCTCCTCGTAACCCTGACCACCACCCTGGCCTCCCCCTTCGGTTACGCCTCGCTCGCACATGTCGACTACCTGACCTTCGTCCTGGCAAAGTCCTGCAAGCTCCTCCCCGTCATGGCCCTGCACGTCACACTGTTCCGCAAACGCTACCCACTCTCCAAATATCTGATTGTCCTCGCCGTGACCGGCGGCGTCGCTCTCTTCACACTCTACCACCCGCCCAAAGCCGGCAAAAAAGCCACACCTCAATCCAGCAGCAGCATCTACGGCCTGACCCTACTAGGCATCAACCTGCTCTTTGACGGCCTTACAAACACCGTGCAAGACCACATCTTCAGCTCCCCGCACCGCTATGGGAAAACCACTGGCCCACAAATGATGGTCATCCTCAACCTGCTGGGCACACTCCTCATGACCACCTATCTCCTCCTTACCCCGTACATCCCACCGGCACTATTCCCCTCCTTCCTCCCTGCCGCCGAAACAAACGAGCTCTCCTCTGCCCTCGCCTTCTTGGCGCGCCACCCAGCCGTGACGCGGGATATGCTGGGCTTTGCCGCATGCGGCGCCATCGGCCAGCTCTTCATCTATGCCACCCTCGAGCGCTTCTCCAGCCTCCTACTGGTGACCGTCACCGTCACCCGCAAGATGCTCACCATGCTCCTGAGCGTCCTATGGTTCGGCAAGTCCCTCTCGTCCGGCCAGTGGTGCGGAGTGGCACTCGTCTTTGGCGGCGTCGCTGCCGAGGCGTGGGTCCAGAAGACGGAGAAGAAGAATAAAAATAAAAATAAAAACGAGTCCGCAGCGGTCCTATCAAGGAGCCTGCCGACGGATACGAAGAAGAGCAAATGACGTCGCATTACTGACTCCTCTAGTTGAGGGCCTACATTCTGGTTATATAAAACAGCACACATTACCTGTTGCAGTAAGTAGCGCCATGTTGTTCCTGCGTCTGATAGATAGAGCTAGACAGGACCCTGAACCGCAAGGGCGATTAGAGATCTTTGAGTAGAGACCTTGGACTCAGAATAAAATCATAATCCACCCTTATGCATGTTCTTCACCTAGACCTTGGCATCACTGAATGAACTCGTGCAGTTGTAGAGTTGGGGTGGGTGTCGATGTGATCTAAGTAACAAGTATGTTCTGTGCCAGAGTTTGGTACGATGGCACCATGGACGGGTCTAGGGCGAGCGACTTGTCAAGGCATAGGCCACAATGAATAAAATCAGGTGGTAATATGTTCTCGTTTATGTATATAGCTAGATAGGGTATGCATAGCCGTGAAAGACACTTCGTTCGTGAACTCATCTGAGTAATGCTAGTCTTCATCCGATCATATAGCCATCTGCAGACATAGACTCATCATCCATGGCCGATCCAAGTACATGCTCACTCTGAAATGCCCACGTCTGAATAGTGAAGGACATTCGATATGTGTGGAACGTCGGGGAGGAGGCGACGTTCGCACCAGACGCGATGTGTCGTCCAATCCAGGCTCTTTTATTAGGCTCACCTTTGCCCGTTTTACTGACAATCCGTGAGGCCGTAACCCTCTATATGGTCGCCACATGGGGCACTATATCCTCTGAAGCGTGTGCTGCATTAATTCGCCGACCTATCTGTGCTAAACACAGCCTTGGCACTGAACTTGGGATGCCATGGAAACCATGAATTTTGCGTCAGCTAATTGTCTGTGCCGTGCGCATTGAGAAGTTGAGAGAAGATGGATGCTGAGAACAGGGAAGTTGCCTGATAGGACACACCATTTGACCCAAACTGAGGAGTGTTACTCTCATTACAGTCAAGCGAGAGCTCGACCAGCACCGAACGAGCTGCGCATGCTGCCAGTTCATATGGCCATGAAGGAATGTCGATGTGTGAAGCAATAAGCAAATTGTGCTGTCCACATAGATGACGCACTTTCGGGAAATAGAAGTCCGTGTATTGGTCGTTATAGTTTAGAAGAATGCCGTCCAGCCTGGACTTAACCAATTAATAGAGGCACTTTCTGAACGATCTCTGCTTCATGATGTATTTTCTTTGGAAAGCGCTGGAGCAGGTAGTAGAAGTGGAGCAGGAATGGTAGATTTCCATTTGTCGGTATGCCATGGCTGTCTTTCTTTCACAAGCTGAGGACTTGCCGAGTCACTTGTGTGTAAGCCTGAGTTTGAGTCTGACTCCACTGAATGCTTCCGTCGCTTCCTGGACTTCTCTTCTGGCTTGGACTGGCCACTGTGTTTCCGTCGCACGAGAGGTCTCCTAATTCGAGTTACATTATGCAAAGTATAAGGTGCTCGGAATTCGTACGCTTTCTGCAGACCACTGGACTCGGACAACGGCGAGCCACCATCTTGTGGAGACTGAATGCCGTTACGTTGAGTCTCTGGAGTCACTCTTCCTCCACAAGGCTCTTCTGGTCCAGACTTGTTAACCAATTCTTGGATTGTTAGCTTGTGTCGCTGTGGACTTGCTAAAATGGTGGTGGGAGGAGGTGAAGATGGTTCTATTACTGGCGGGTTTGGCAGCGCTGGACCCCGATCGACCACTCGTTGAAATATATGGGCTCCGGATCTGTCCATTGATCTAGCCGATGTATCCTGAGGGTCAGTCTTATCTATCCCGGCCAACAGCGACGCTCCTGGGGACGACCAAGATTCTGCTTGTTGTTGTTGGTATACATGAGTCGATTGTAGGAGATTGGAGGTATCAGGGTCAATCGAAGAGGTTGCTAGGTCAAGGCGATGCCTTGGGGAGGATGAGAAAGGGCCTTGCGATAACCATACATCACGCTGTTGGGCTCTGGACTGTGACGCTATGAAGGAGTCGTAAGTCTCGTCAGCTGATGAAGGCCTGGATGGTGCATATTGCCTGGGACTCCAGGTGTAAGAGGTTGGGGTAGGGCTACTTCCAGAAGAAATCACCGTATCCGCGGAGGACGTGGGCCACTGGAGCGCTGCTTTGTGACCAGAATTCTGACCGGCATGCCGGCGTATCTGGGTGATGTTCTGCTTGCTTCTCGGGTTGCCGGTGATAAATGTAAATGACCGTTGTGTGCCATCCTCTTCCTTGGGAGGCATTTGTCGGTGAAACCGCAAGGTACCTTGGTCGAAACCATTCGAAGATGCAACAAGGGTAAGGTAAGCGCACAACGATGAATTCAGAGACACATCAAGACAAAGTTCAACACCCAGGGAAGCGAACAAGCACTCGTAATAGTGTCCAAGTCGAGCTGGGGACGGTAGGGTCAAATAAAGCTTTGTGCTGAGAACGCAAGCGACGGGCGGCTGTTGTACTTCAAATGCTATGGCCCATCAAAAGCCGTCAATACCGTGGCCGCCAAAGCTCCGGGCATGGCTCCTTCCCAAAAAGACAAAGATCGCAAAAGATCTTACTGTTAGTCAGTGTCTCGATCGCAAGGTGATTTGGGCTGTGATTTAATTTCGACCTGGCGCTGAATAATTAGTTACTAACCTGCCGAAATCCCTTGGCCCCAGTTGGTGCCAGTCTCTCTGAGGTGGCAGACGGAGAGAACCATCAAAAGCGGGCCGTGGCAACAAATATCAGTTACAACGACCAAATCTCTTCTTGATCTCAATCATTTGTCTTCAGGAGCTGAACTTTGTATGTCTAGTCATGGATTACATCCCTGAGATGGCCCAAGTTTCTGTTGAGTAGTTAAAGATTACCCATAAAGTGTCAATACCACTTTTGAACACGTTACTTTAGTGTATGCTATGTAGATATTTCGCATCCATGTTCATTTCATCTATTTCATGTCGCCAGCCTGATAATCTTTCAGGCATTTCTAGAAGTCGATTTCGGTGCCGCCGTCCAGGATACCATACCTTGGTGTGGCATTCTTCGTAAAAGGACTCCGTCGAGGTTTGCCCCAGAAATTTCGAGGGGGTGATATTACAGCATTAAAACAATGTGTTGCCTGATATCTCACAGGGATCTCACACAGTGGGTCACCGACCCTGGACCGACAGTTCCTTATTTGGCTTGCTCCGCATAATGGAGTCGACACCATAAAGTGAGCCTTATTCATAGGAGAATAGAACACAGACGACCGAATAGAGACAACGGGAAGGTTTCCCACATCTGACAAGTCAATAGCAATCAAAACCCTGTGTTGATGCCAATCCTGCTATAGAACGTCCTAGCACTGATACCAAACCCCAAGTAGAAGGTGCCCTGATAGGAAGTCTTATTTGCGTCTCGTATCACGCCGCAGAAAGCTTGTAACGCTATACGAAGTGACAAAAGCATCGCCACCTGTAACTCTATTACAGACGAATGAGGCGAGATTGATCATCTAAAAAAGAGGCAATACTTTGTCGTCTCTCTTCGTCACAAATGGCTGCCATTTGTTATACGGTGTAGTATTTAATGGATGAAGGGTCGATCCTGGTGAAACAATAGTTAGAATAGGCAGGTAGTCGATTCACCATGTGGAACTTACTAAACACCCAATGCACGGATCTGCTCTTTTAAAGGGTACACTTTCGTATCCAGCAGACCCAGAACTGGGGTTCCGATCGTATCAAGCGCGTGTGGATAGGTCGAGACTTTGACGACGTACGAGCCAGAAATCTTGCATGCAATTTCGAGACCTTGAACAACCGTTCTGGGTTCGCATGTTAGTCATCATAACCCAGATGATCATCAGGTCGCACTGGATTTGTCGGTATTGCTTGTGGATGGCAGAGACATCCTTGCATCCGCTCACGTGTGATGTTTAGCGATATTCCTGAGCGAATGAAGGAAGTTTCGCTACCTGAAACAGATGATCTGCTGAAGGGAGTAGTTATAGGCTGCAAGTTGTGTTTTAGTGGTTGTCATGTATTATCGTGAGTTTACCTAGGATGATGTTTCCGCGACCTGCGAAGTCTGGGTGATGTGTGATATATGAGATAGATCGATTAGATGGTACCGAGCGACATCTTCAAATGTACAACTCATAATCTCTAAAAGACTAATTAGTTATCTTGTCAACTGGTTTCAGGGAATGAATAGCTCAAGAATGGAGACGAGCATTTAGAACTGCACATCGGACACAATTCAGAGGGAAAACTCTCCGGGCTGTCCGCTGAGTCATGAATCCTACTGGATCTCTGATGAAAGAATCGGCCGTAAAGGGTTTGCGCAGGAAGATGACTGGAGGATGACAACCAATTTTAGCTCGTTCCCGATATTCAAGGCTTTCAAGCAAGTAGTACTGACTACTAACTGGCTCTTGTCCTACAGTGCTTCGTACGGAGTACTCCGTCGGCGTACGAGTACTTGAAAACGATATGTCGAGCTTATTGATGGCGGGTATTAACTAGGCGGCTCCGTAAAATCGGGATTGCCAGGTGGCTGCCCCAGGCGAGGCGCGCCCACCTCCTAAGCCTAAGAATTCCCGGACACAAGACCCAGCCCCTATGCTGTGGTCTGGGGATATCCGCCTCAGATGCTCTGCCTACCCAGGTGGGGAAATTTCTGTTACACTTCTTTTTTTACACTTCCTGTTTCTTCTCATAGGTATACGGATACGGTGAAAGGTTGTAATCGTGGGAGAAGCAGGGATCCGCGGCCTACTTCATCATCTCGAACAACACTCCACATCAAGTCCTAACCAGCTGCTGGCCGCTAGCCTTCTTACCAGGCTCGAAGGCTCTTCGTCGGGAAACGTTAAGTCATGGGAAGACCAGGTGCCGGTCACAGAGGATATTTATTGCCCCGAGTTATGGAAGGTCACAACTTCACAAGTAGCTGTTGTTCTGCGTCAAATGGCCTCGTTGGTCCCAGGATAGGTGTCATACCGTATGTAGCCGGCCATCACTGCACCGTGAAGGTAGCAATATGAGGTCTACGAGGGGTTAGGCACCCAATACAGCTTTAGCCGGCTTGGCAGCCATGTGGCACCCAACCTGCTGGAACTACTCAGCAGAAGAGATGACTTCTTCGACACTGAGACAGCTCTAGCAACGATCTACGGTGACGTCTTGTGTCTCTCACTTCTCACTCATCCCCATCCGGAACTGGTGTCAGCCGATGTTCAGACCTCAACTGCAAATCCCGCCAGCAGAAACCATTAAGCTTTGATATCGACTTAGCCTTTGCGAGACCGCTCTATCGAACATGCCTGGCTATGAGAACCAGGAACCCTGGGATGAGGGATATCTTCAAGTCAGCGATTTACACCGAGTATATTACTCCCAATACGGCTCTAACAGTGGCTTGCCAGGTGAGCCCTAATTAACCTTTTCTGTTTCAATCTGTCTCTCCCAAGCTTCTGGACGACAGGAGGTGGTGGCCTATGCTCACTGATTCAATCTGACAGTGATCTTTCTTCATGGCGGACCCGGAGGTGGAACTTCAGCGAAAAGCACAGAGTTCTTCGACCCAGCCAAATATCGCATTGTTCTCTTGGATCAGCGGGGTGGAGGAAAGTCACGGCCTGTTGCAGAGCTTCGTGACAATACAACGCAGCTATTGGTGGCTGACATCGAAACCTTGCGCAACCACCTAGAGATTTCCAAGTGGGCAGTCGTATTTGGAGGGTCATGGGGAAGCACGCTTTCCTTGGCCTATGCGGAGACGCATCCAGACGCCGTTGGCGCGTTGGTGCTCCGAGGTATATTCCTTGGTGAAGAATGGGAGTTCGACTGGACGTTGAGAGGACAGGGACCTGCCGTCTTGTTCCCTGATCGTTGGGAAGATTTCATTCAACATTTGCCCGAGGATCAACGAAGCGACCCACCAAAGGCTTATTACAAGTTACTCACCTCAGATCAACGAGAGATCGCTGTGGAGGCATCGAGACATTGGAACCGGTGGGAATTGTCGATTTCGACATTGATTCTGGCGGAAAACGCTTATGAGAAGCTGGATGAGGAGGACTGGAACTTGCAGCACGCGCGGATCGAGGCGCACTATTTTGTCAACGGATGCTTCCTTAGGGACGAAAAAAGGCTTCTCAACAAGGAGAACATCGAGAAAATCGCACACATCCCGAGTAAGTATCCGTACTGCCTGGGCTGAGTATCTCTTGATTGACAAACATAAGCGTACATTGTGCAGGGCCGATATGATGTTGTTTGTCCACCAAAAGCGGCCTGGGCTCTTCATAAAGCACTGCCCCAGTCCAAGCTCTACTGGAGTTCGAAAGCTGGCCACAGTGCGACAGTGAGTACTCGTCCTCATCTTACTCTTTACAGACTTCGGGGTAATTGAATGTTGATTAGGAACCCGAAACCGAGGCCAAGTTAAGGGCGATTTGTGATGAGCTGGTAAGGAACTAACCCTTGGTCCATGTCAACACCGGAGGTTGTTGCTTGCATATGCCCGTCGCAGAATATCAAGTATTCTCTGGAAGAAGCCTTGGTAGTCTAGCGACAGGGACCACTGTTCTACACATATCTATACCACACCGTAAATGCGGCAACCATTTTGACCACGCCGCGGTAGGCCCAGGGAGGGTCTTGGCAGGACTATATACTCCGTACCCGCAACAGCAAAGCAGAAATCGTAACGAACTTTGCAATTTCGAATTTCTAGGCAACAACGTCTAAGACTCCACTGGAATGGCACGTATTCGTATCAACATAAAATGTACTCGTACGGAGCAGGATGTTAATCATGACACCTGTCCTCCGTGGCTAGCGAACGATATCCCAACGGCCACTGAGCGCTAAAAGCCATGCGAGTGGAGCTTCGCTCTCGTGCCGCTGAGCTTATTGCAGTAGCCTTGAGCTTGTCTTCGATCGTCGACGTCACTACTCAGGAACTGCCACTCCAAAAGTCACCTGGAGTTCCTCAAATTGCCCCAGTTAATTCAGAGGGCCCGGGCCCGGCTAAGGATCGACGTACCTTGCTAAACCGTAGTCCGGGCCCGATATCAGTGAGTGAAACGCCAGCGGACACTTCCAATGCCCGAGGACAAGTGGCATTTTAGAAACAGGAGATACATTAAGTACATTCGAGTTCCTGCCTCCATGTCCAGATGATCAGCTGCGTCCTCCAACTCGAATGACTCTGGCGATCAAGTGTGAGACTCGATAATGGCATCTCTCAAAGTCCTCATTGTTGGTGCTGGCGTGGGTGGCCCAGCAACTGCCTACTGGCTCTCCAAGATCCCACAATGTATCATCACGGTTGTGGAGGTTAGCCCGAATCTCCGCGCCACCGGCCAACAGATCGATCTTCGCGGACAAGGCATCGTCATGATGAAAATGATGGGCATCCAGGAACGCGTTCGGGCCGTTCTATGTCGTGAGCCCGGAACACGAATTATTAACTCCAAAGGCCAGAGCCAAGCATACATGCCTGCGAATACCAGCGGGCAGGGAAGACAGTCTGTGACGAGCGAGTACGAAATCATGAGGGGGGATTTGAACAATATCCTTTTCGAGGAGAGTCAAAAAAAGGATAACGTCACCTATGTTTTCGACCGTTCAATAGAGAACCTCACGCAGGATGAGGGGGTGATTGGTGGCAAGGTGCACGTAACGTTCTCAAACGGCACAGCGGAAGACTACGATATCGTCATTGGCGCCGATGGAGTCAACTCAAAAACCCGCAGTCTCATGCTGGGCCCTTCATTCCCTGATCCACGCCGAAAACTTGGTGTCCATGTGGCATTTTTCACAGCGCCAACTATCAAGTCGGATCCAAGGGATATGACAATCTGCCCTATGCCTGGCGGTAAGGTCATGATGACCCGGAAGGACAGCCCCGACAACATTAGAGTTTATTTCATGGCACGCCTGGGGTGCGGAAAGGCCGACGAAGCTAGAACCCTGTCAGAGAAGAAGGCCGCGATCGCGGCCATGTTTAGGGGAAGTGACGGCTTCCAGATCGACAGATTCTTACAAAACCTAGAAGAGTCACCCGAGGCTGATGATTTGTACTGCCACCATGAGATGTCGGTGCGTCTACCTGAAGGCTTGTGGTCCAGGGGTCAAGTTGTTCTGCTTGGCGATGCTGCAAATGGATCGGGTGCAAATGGCTGGGGGACCACTTCCGCGCTGATCCAGGCTTATGTACTCAGCGGCGAGATTGCCACTCGATGGGAAGAGAGTCAACAAACGGGAACAGTTTGGAAATTTCAGGAAGCAGCGCAGGAGTTTGAGCGCATCATCCGCCCAATCATCAAAGACAGCCCTGAGTTTCTTCCCAAAATCACGCTCCCTGAGACGAAACTGGGGATTTGGTTTGTGGTCAACCTGCTATGGCTCATCACAACATTGAGGGTGGACAAAATCTTATCCTTTCTCCTGCCGTCAGAGGGGGAGCAGAAGCTGGAGTACAAGGATTATTTTGGGTTGAGGTCTCAATATGGGGTGTAATATGACTCTTGGTTTGCCGGCGTTCAGCCATCGAATATTGTGGCTTTGGTTGAAAGGAATGAATGTTGCTCACATGTACGAAAATCAATACTTTACTCTTGTAGGTGGGATGAAAGGAGCAGCGCAATGGGTGGCCAGGAGCACTCCATCGCCATTGTTGGTAAGGGATTGAGAGAATCGATTGCTGGCTAGCAGTGGGAGAACGCAATCATTAGGCCGAAAGTCCAGAGCAAGCGATCTCAGTAGAGGCTTTGGTTTGTGTAAAATAGCTAGATGGACAGCCATAAGAGATCAACACCTGAAGTTGGAGTTCTCAGCGTTGGAGAAATGCCAAGGCTGGGATAAGGCACGTGATTGTTATCAATGGAAATTGGAAGGTAGTCCGAGCATGTTCAAGACGGAGACGATCGTCAGATTTTCAAACATTCGATGAGATGTACTCTGCATGACCAACCTTTCTGATGTGCATGATGCTCCTCGTTACGATCGAGAAGTATCTCGGGAAACTGAGCGTGTCTCCTTGAATATTCTCCCTCCGCAATATGTCTATTCGTCATGGATCGCTTTCCGGAGGATTATTACCTCCACAACCTGCCTCTCCTCCTCCTCTCTGGTCTTGACGCAGAAAATCATAACGATATTGATCCATCACGTAAGGCGCATAATTTACTACAAGAAGGCGGATTCAGAATCAGAATAGATGCGCCGTTGATACAGGGAGATGTTGCGAGGCAATTACAAGAATCGTTCCGAGAACAAGATGCGTCCAGCCTTCCCTGGCATGCTCAATCGGTGGCCTCAAGGAATGGACGAGTATTCAAGATCACAAGCGTAGGAAGGGTGGGTCAGATGTCTTTTCCTCCAAAATAATCAGCACATATTCATATACGATGCAGGCATATGCTCTACCACCGCGCAAGGCGCCGCCTCCGCCTCGTTCACCTCGTCTTTCCGCCGCTGTTGCAGCTGGAAATCCACCACCACAACTCGTTCTCCATTCACCACTATCACCTTTGACACCGAGCTCTCCCTTGTATCCTGATGGGATCTTCTCCCCTTTGTGGGTGTTAAAGCACCAGTCTCGCTTACCATGTGCATTCATTACATTCCTTTCATTGGTATCTGACCCTAATACCAGTTCTCTTGAGGATAACAAGTTGAAATCGGAGATCCACTCTGCCCGCAGTGTTATTACTTCCACCAACTATCGAACAAAACTTGTGACCGTTCTTATTGGCGATGGGCAGATCAACCCACCCGAGCTTGATGATCGCATCAGCAATATTCGGCGCTCTGCTGGCCTAGACTCCAAGAGCCTGTTCTTCCTTCCTTTCAACTCCTCGCCGACCGAGGTTCGAGAGTTCGTCAATTCAGTCTTGACCTCCATTCATGCTTCATGTATAGATTATTACCGCGATTTGTCAAAGCACGCTCGTCGCAAGCGTAGTAGAAATACTGTTCCCCAACCCACTGTACAGCCAGGGAGTGCACATGTGCTCTCTCTACCGGGTTGGAACATCAGGTATGAGTTCAAACTAGGTGTCTTTGCAGAGTTTAGGCAGGAGATGGATGCAGCCTGCCGAAGCTACGAAACGGCTTATGAAGGCATTTTTGGTGCTGAAATCATGGACACAATTGCGGTCTGGAGTCCTCGATTCAACGAGGCTAGACTTTTAGCCGACATCGTCGCCCTGCGTACGCTGAGGTGTCTTATGTGGACCGACCAAGGATCTACTGCGGTCAAGTCCTGGATAACACACCGAGATCGCATGAAAGATCTTGTCAATCGGAGAACAAAGGGCACAGAAAACTACGCCTGGGAAGCATGGCAGAGTACTTGGGCCACTGTCATGGCTGACTTGATCTCTAGATCGCAGTACCCGCTGCTATTTGCTCAGATCTCAGACACTACTAATTTGCTGCCCATTTTCGCCAGTTCTGAAAAACTGATCAATTCGACAGAAAGGACAATCCCTTGGGAGCTCCCCCATCATGAAGGTTATTGGTTGGAGATGGCGAGACGCGCCACAGCTGCCCGTCGGTCATGGGCACGTCAGATTCCTGAAGAGGACAGACAGCCGCCAGGGAGGTCACCTGCACGAATCGTTGCGAGCAAGTCACAGCTTTACGACACATATCTAACGTTAGAACCGTATCGTGAGATCCCTGTGGACGGATCACAGGGCTATGACTACTCTGAAGTCATTCTTAAGACCCTCGTTACGGCCATCGACCACTTCGCTAGACGAGGTCAATTGCGCAAGATTGAGATCCTCAAGCTTGAAATGGCCCTTGAAAAGCTCGGTACGCAGTCGTGGGAGGAAGCAATTATTCTTCTCCGGCCACTTTGGTCCAGTGTGTCATGGCGAGCTGCAGGATGGTGGAAACTGTTGCAACACATCGGCTGGGCCTTGCAAGATTGTGCAGTTCGAATACAAGATTTCGAACTCTCATGTCGACTGTTATGGGAGCTCTCAAGCACAGTTTTCGAAAAGCATAACAGCCTCAACTATGACCTGGGTGCTTTGGATACGTCTTCTAGAGATCAGGACGCTGTTTTTGTTGCAATCGATATGGATGCAGCTGTCTCTCCCTTGATCCCAAGATTCTCCTTTTCTACCCACAACGTTTCAGTAGGTACACCTCTGACCTGCCAGCTTTCTTTGGAGGCTCGAATGATTGAGGGGATGCCACCAATTGCACTGAATGAGATAAAAATCATGTTCGAAGGAAGCCTCAAACCTACTTATCTGGTGCATCGTGCGGATGATCAGCAGACAACTACCAAAGCTCACCTTATCGACGTAGTATTACAAGACTCGTCAACCTTATCCAACACCACAGACAAACGATCATCTACAGGAACGATCGCAACGGAAACAGGATTTGCTGATCTGTTTGTCCAGCCCGGCCAAACTCGGATTTTTCAATTTCAGGTTGTTCCACGGGAAGCAGGCGAGTTATCGGTTGCCTCAATAACGCTGATGATCAATCAAGGGAAACTAAACCTTGCCGCAACTACATCTAATTTTGAGGATTCCACTACAAATTGGTGGGAAATCAGAGGCGGAAGACCGGTTCTTCGACTACTTGGACAAGAATCGAATGCATACAATTCGATTGATGTACAACCAAAACCACCTAAGCTCCAAATCCATGCCCCAAATCTTCACAAGACCTACTACGTCAATGAGACGATTCAAGCTGACTTTGAGCTATTGAACGAAGAAAGTGAGGATGCTTCTTTGTTGGTAGAGGCACGCATGATCAGTCCTATTGCTGGAGCGGCAAGAGCAAGATGGGCCTCCTCGGAGCTTGATGACAATCAGCCCGTGGACGAGTCTGCTGGCGGTATCATTACCCTGAAGGCTCAAGACTTGGGGACAATTAAACCTGGCCAGAAGGAAAAAATATCACTGCTAATCACTGAGAGCATAGTTGCTGTTGATCATGAAGTCGAAATTGTGGTCAAATATCGACTTGCGAACGACCCTGAAACGGTCTTTGTGAAAAGCCAGACGGTGGATATTGGGATAATCCGACCATTTGAGGCAAATTATGAATTTCTCCCCAGGCTAAATCTTGAGACATGGCCAAGCTTCTTTGAAGTTCCACAAACAGATCCAGAATCATCGACAGCATTAGGATTGAAGCACCAGTATGCGGTGACTGCCAATCTCTACTCATTTGCTACTGTCCCGATTGTCGTGGAAGCAATCTTGCTTACTGCCAGCAAGATTGTAGGTGGTGCTGTCTGCTCCACGAGCACAGGAATTGTACACAAGGAAGGAGACGTCGCTAAGGCCGACGCCCACGATGTCATTTCTTCTACAATTCTACCCGACCAAACCGAGAAGTTCGGATTTGATTTGTCCGTCCAAAAGCTAGTCCTCGGAGACAGACATACAGTTGGCATTGACTTGGCACTTCAGATTGGATGGAGACGAGAAGACTCGGATGAGGTGAATACAACAGTGCTTGAGGTTCCCAAGCTTGTTGCGGCCATGGCAGAACCCCGAGTGATACTTACCATTTCACCCACGCCCAAGGGAAATTTGCGCATCTACAGGCTAGATTTCATGCTTGAAAACCCTAGTATGCATTTCCTTACTTTCAATATATCCATGGACACGAGTGAGCATTTCGCCTTTTCAGGATCGAAATCAGCCGTGCTCAGCTTGGTGCCTATGAGCAGGAACACTGTCACTTATCGGATCATGCCCAACATAGAGAATGCATGGATCGGGGTCAATCTCAACGTGGTAGACGCATATTTTGGACAAACGCTCAAAATTTTACCTGGGGGCGAAGGTGTCAAGACGGACAAGAAGGGAAATGTATCTATCAAAGTGTAACACAAATGAATTTCGACATGAACAACTCATGATCGTGGACTTATTTTAGTTCGCACACATGGGAAATAATCTGCCGATGGATAGGGATGAATTTACCTCGAGAGGCAGCCCATCAAACCTCGAACAACTGCGCATGTTGTGCCCAATTGCAGTCCTCAAGCATGTTCATTTCCTTGATCTCTTTGTCCATGTCGCTGGTGCCTAATTTTCCAGACTAACGAGACGTATTCGTACCTCGCTTGGGTACGGTAGCCTTGCAAGTGTTGTTCCCTTGTTTACACTTCAGCCTTGACCACAAGGCTTGAACATCACATATCCGGTAAAAGGTCGTGTGCCTGAGCGTAGCATTCATCCCTTGATTACCTTGCGTCCTCAGGGCCAGTATGATGCACCTACTCATTGCGATTTGGTTGGCGACCCTGAGTTCGAGGTATAAGTATCTCGTCGAACTCGGTGTTGATCATCCCTCAGTTTCTTTCGGCACAGCCATTCAATCACCTCAGCGACGAGGCCTCGGTGTGTTCATCCGTCTCAATCTTCACAATGGCCTCCTCGGAAGATATTCCTAGAGAATATCTTACGCACAATGACAACGATATCCTTGGATTACTCGCCCAAACTCCTATCGAAAATACCATCGCCCCTGGAGATCTTGAAACGGTGTTGAGCATTTCACCATTTGTGGTGGTCCCGGGTACATTTAACCTCCGAGATGTTGGAGGTGGCAACGCCATTCGTCCCAATGTGATCTATCGCTCCGGCACACTGTCTGGTCTGCTGCCCGAAGGGAAAGATGTGCTTGTCAGCAAGCTCCAGATTCGCACTGTGTTCGATCTCCGCTCGGCGAGGGAGAGAGCAGCCTTCCCGTTTCCAGACTCAATCAATGGAAAAAATGACGATATTGAGGTCCTATGGTGTCCATCTGATACGCCCCCAACGGACACGGATATCAAGAATTTTGTGGACCTACCGTCTGAAAGCCCCGAATCCTGGAGCGGCGGAGCAAGGGGTTTTAGCCGTGACTACCTCGAGGTCCTGCGTATCTTCAAGACGTCGTTTCAAAGGGTCTTTCAACACCTGCTCGATCGACCAAACGATGCGGTCTTGTTCAATTGCACAGCAGGCAAGGACCGCACAGGGACACTGGCAGCATTGATCCAGGCCCTCGCCGGCATGGCTGACGAGGACATTGCTAGGGATTATGCACTGTCCAGGATCGGCATGGAGCCACAGAAGGCTTATTTGACCGCTTTCATCAAGAAGTGGAAGCCGGACTGGACCCCGGAGACGCCGGGCATGCGAGGATTCAGCAATGTCAGGGCAGAGTACATGATTCGGTTTCTCAAGGACGCGAAGGGCACATATCCCCCCAACCAGCGTCATTCAAATTGGGCCGCCGAATATGTCTACACACAGTTGGGGTTCAGTGAGGATGACATAGAGAAGATTCGAAAGAACCTGAGATCAGCGCCTGCTGAGAATGGTGTGTAAGTAAACCACGTGTTACGGCCAGTTCGATGTCTCGTGATAACCCTTTCGAGTAGATGTGAATAATAGATCAGTTAGAAAGGGGTATGCTAGAATTGCCAATCCATAATCGCAATCAACGATGATGATATGAATAATAGATCTCCATCCTCTCGTAGCTTACAGGCCACAAACACTCCCAATTTACTGGTCAAGAGTAGCAGTGATCCTGGATGTTTCACCAGTTTGGGGCGCATCTTAGACCGACGTGAAGTTGCCTGGGATACTTGTTGCACTTGATTCCCACTATCCGCATTTACGAGCACAAAGTAGTATCTCAGTAGTCAGAAGTTCAGAGCGCATCAGGCTACCAGTCCCTGAATCATATGCTAGATACATCTCCTTTCCGCCTTGCATAACCAGGCACCCGGAGCTGGACTTTCGACCTCCAGAGAGTCATCACATGCGAGTTTGTTCCTTCGCTTAGAACATTCGCCAAGCGACTCGGAACTGTCCCATACATGACGTCACCGAGCATTTACTGACCTGGTCAGAGCACCTAGCAGTGGACAGCCACTAACAGAAATTTAGGGAAGGTGGGGTCATTCAGTCAGTAGGAAACAAGCAGGTCCTTCCTTCCTTGGGCGAGAGCCGTCCAGACACGAGTTTTGGACATGTGACATGTCGGCCTCAGGTCTCGACCTTAAGGTGGCAAGGGATTGTTCGGCAGGCGCAAAATCTCCCTTCCGCATGCCCGGCACCCGTGGGCACCTCCCTAGATAGGTACCCGGGTGCCCAGGTTTGTTCTGGAAGTACCAAAGGTACTCGTCAGTTGGAACAGACCCTCCAAGCTGGGGATGGTGTGCGTGCTGCGGCCAAATTTCTTATTCCTATTCGTTACGTAACCGGGCGCCCGCCAAGGTGCTGCACCAAGGCTATTGCCGCCATATCCGGCAAAGTTTGTGAGAACTCCCCGGCCAGTGGCCTGCTCGGTACTCGACAGCGGAGAAGCTTGCGACAGCTTGCTCACTTTCAAGCAGTTCAAGCAGTTTCAAGCAGTTCAAGCAGTCCAAGCAGTCCAAGAGATTCACTCAAGCAGTCCTCCAAGGCTTTGATCCTGACAGAACGGAGTGATGATATCAATCAAGATCTCCCCCTCACGGTCCATGTGTCGACCGATCAATGAAGAAGTCTTGGAGATCTTTGAAGAAAGGTCTTTCTTAGCGATATCAAATAGGCTGTCGAGCCTTTATCTTTCTCCGAGGGCGCATTCGCCTGTCATTCGGTCAGCCCTCTCATTATTCCTACCACGATGGAAAAACCAAGGAGTCCATTTCCATGGCAGAGGCGATCGTCAGGCTAAGCTTGCCCAGGATTGGACAAGTGAGGTCTTGTTAGCTGCAGTCGAAAATTTCAACCGGGGGGCGTCAATTAAGGTTGAGGCCAATCTTGGTCGCTTGCCCCGCATTTTAATGGAGCGACTACGAGTGCAGTGAGACTCACTCCATAGCTACAGTTTGCCGTCCTGGCAACTTGGTAAGAAACTCGTTGCATTCTTTCCCACTACGAAGTAGGCTAAAGACAGGGTTCCACACGCTTTGCCCGTCCAGTGGCATTGCATTGGTCTCACGACCAACGGACATCCACCTCACACCTCAACCCTGAGATCGCCCGACAGTTGTCACATCATAGGGAACCACTAACCCTCAGCTGACAGGTACACCAGCGGGTGCCTTGCGGGGAACAGCTTGTTTCATCCCACAGCTTATTCGTGGATCGTGGATCTTCTGTGCGGTTGACAGAATAAGCCCCATGTAGTTCTGGCCATGTGGGCTCTGCTCGAACCCGCTAAAACCACTATTCATGCGGTCACAAATAATGGGCCAAGCACGCCTCCCAATCCTGTTGAGCACCATCAGAACCGAAGCTGCCTTTCCGTTGGACCAAACTCGCAAGGACCCGTGGCAAGGATGTTGAGAAATACTTTTCTCTCGCGCCCTCAGCTTTTACTTATATGCAGCCCACCAGCCCGGGTCGCAGTCTGATCCTTTCTTCTCTTCGTCAAGTCAGTCAGCCTTCGCAGTCCTTCCAATCTTGTCCCCAAGCAACAATTCCCTGAGCGACCATCATGAACGACGACAAGGAGTCCAAGTACATTGACCAGGGCATAGACCCGGTCGACTCTCACCATCAGGATCATGACCATCAGATCCAACAAGGTCTCGTCTCTGACAATGCCGACCAATTGCAACGTCGATTGGGCAACCGTCAAATTCAACTCATTGCCATAGGAGGTTCTATCGGTACCGCGCTCTTCGTTAGTATTGGTGGTGGCCTCGCACGGGGCGGCCCGTTAAGCTTGTTCCTCGCCTACACCATCTACAGTGGTCTCCTCGGTCTCGTCAACAACTGTATCGCTGAAATGACTGTCCTACATCCCGTATCCGGAGGCTTCATTCGTATGGCTGGTAAATGGGTAGACGATGCCTTTGGTTTCATGGCCGGATGGAACTTCTTCTTCTACGAAGCATTGTTGATTCCCTTCGAAATCACCGCCCTCAACCTGGTATTATCCTTCTGGAGAGACGACATTCCGACTGCGGCTGTATGCGCTGGATGTATTGTGCTCTACGCGTGAGACTCACTCCCCCAGAAGCGACCTTTTTCTTCTCGTGCCTGGATATTCCCCCCCAATGCGACCTAAAAAGCAAAGCTAACACCGTTAATTATAGTCTTCTCAACGTCCTCGCCGTCAAGGCATATGGCGAAGCCGAATTCTGGCTCTCTGGCGGAAAGGTCATCTTGATCTTCATGCTGTTCTCCTTCACATTCATCACAATGTGCGGCGGAAATCCTAAACACGATGCCTACGGATTCCGCTATTGGAGAAATCCCGGACCCATGGCCGAGTACCACACAACAGGCAACCTCGGTCGCTTTGAGGGTTTCCTCGCCGCAGTGTGGTCTGCTTCCTTTTGCGTTGTAGGCCCTGAATATATTTCCATGGTCTCCGCTGAAGCCAAGCGCCCAAGAATCTACATCAAGACCGCGTTTAAGACTATCTACTGGCGATTCGGAATCTTCTTCATCCTTGGATCACTTTGCACCGGGATTGTCGTTGCCTATAACGACCCCACCTTGGTTGATATCATCTTCGGCTCTGGAAGTGGTGGCGGCACTGCAGCTGCGTCGCCGTACGTGATCGCCATGAGCAACTTGGGAGTCGAGGTTCTCCCACATATCACGAACGCATTGATGGTCACGAGTATCTTCTCCGCTGGCAATACCTATACATACTGCGCCACTCGCAGCTTGTACGGCCTAGCGATCGAAGGCCGCGCACCACGCTTCCTCCGCAAGTGCACCAAGAACGGCGTCCCGATTTGGTGCTTCTGCGTCGTCATGGCATTCCCCTTCCTGTCCTTCCTACAGCTGAGCAACAGCTCCAACAAAGTCTTGACCTGGCTAATCAACCTCGTCACCGCCGGCGGCATCATCGACTACATCGTCATGTGCATTACTTACATCTGCTTCTACCGCGCCTGCAAGGCTCAAGGCATCGACCGAAACTCTTTCCCCTACACGGGCTGGTTCCAGCCATACTGCGGCTACATCGGCCTTGTAGGCATGTCCACCGTCGTCTTCTTCTATGGCTACTCCAGTTTCACGCCCACGAGCGTCGAGACTTTCTTCTCCTACTATACCATGTTGATTGTCGCGCCGATCCTGTTCGTCGGCTGGAAGGTCATCAAGCGCACCAAGTTCGTTCGTCCGCATGAGGCGGATCTGCAATGGGAGCGCGCGATCGTCGATGCCTACGAAGCGTCCTTCTTCTCGCCTCCTGTGGGTTTCTGGACTGAGATGATTCAACTGGTGGGTTTCAAGAGAAGCAAGCAGGATAGACGCACTTCGGTCGATGGTTCCATCACCCAGCGATTCTAGGTGCGCTTTACAAAGACAAGAAACAAGTTATTCATTTTAGCTTGAGCTCCATGATATCATGAGATTGTCACGGTTAGTCGAGATACATATAATGTAAAGGAGGACGAATAAATGAGTTTTCGACCAAAATTGTAAGTGCCTCGAGTGATACAGCATGTCATGCCATTTGAGTAAATTTTTGCAACAAACTATCTCCAAATTTCTTGAGCAGCTTTTCCGTTGTCTAGACTACTGAAAGTTTGGGAATAGGTGCTCTTTCTTCTCCAACAAAGTCATGTTGGGAATAGAATCAATAAGTGGTAAGTATCGCTGGCCTGCTCGACTCGGGATCTGAAAGCCCGAAAACGCTTACAATTCACCAGCCCGAAGAACAACTTCTTTCGCTGAACGTTGAACGAGACCGGCCCCACTGTAATGAATTTCCATCAATCATCAATCATCACATGCATGGACCTGATTCACTCATTCGTTCACAGGGACCGTCATCAGCCATGAGAAATCTGTGGGGTCAAAAGCGGCATCGAAGTCGGCCCAATTGCCCGAGAGGAACGGATCATTGAGCAGAACATCCGAATCCTGCATGTAGTCTCGCGCAGGGTCGTAGAAGTTGGAGGTGGAGAGGCTGCTCTGCTCCAGGGGAAGGGGTCGCCAAAACGCCATTGACGCAGCAGCGCTGGACGCTTGGTCATTCGGCGCCGTCGTCGGTATCAATTCCATTTCGCTCTGCCGTGCATTTGCGTTCTGCCTCAATCGAGAGTACTGCTGGGGTACGGCGTCGAAGAGCAGGCGCAACGTGGTCGTGAGGCGATGGATCGACGGTCCGAATTTCGTGCCGTAGCCTTCGAGGATGTCCATCGCTTTGGTCCAGCGTTCGAGGATGGATTCCTCGGTTGTTTCTGCCAAGATCGAGGGGCTCAGGCGTGCGGCGATCAGAACGGTCGCGGACGTGTATAGGAACAGCACGTTGTACCACCACACGCTCAATGTTTCGGTCGAGTCTGTGGATGCCGCCTCGCCTGTGTGGATTGTGTCAATGACGTCTTGAGCTACTTTGACACACACGATGGCGCATTGAAGGAAGATCCGGTGAGTCAGGAGGCTCCGGAAAGGGATCAATTGCGACCCGTCAATCGAATCTGTGGTGATGAAAGTCGAGAGCACAGGTCTCAACAGCAACAGCCGGACATGTAGCTGCCTGCTGTGTTATCAGTATCAACGATATAAGATTTGAACTATTTGTCGAATGTGAAATGTCTCTGCTCACCTTTGATGAAGAATCACTGCCTGACGGTAGAAGATGTTTTTCTCCACGCTGTCCTTCGCATAGGTTTCGAATCTGAGGTGCTCAGGGAGACTGCTTTCCCATCTCGCCAATCTTCGCTCGAGCTCGAATACCGACAGATAGCCTTCACTAGGTGATGTGCTACCCATGTACTTGTCATAAATTCGTTCCAGCGGAAGGTTCTTTTGAGCTTCCGAGGTTGTGGAATGGAAGTTGAACAGGACATCGTGCATTATCTCATACAACTTCAGGGAAAAGCAGAAGCAATCGATGATGGATCGTGGCTGATCTTGTTGAATAGATGGGCTATTCTCAGAGATGACGAGATCGTCGTCCAAGGGCGTTGGAAACGGTACCAAAGTGGATGATCTTGGACCTATCATCGACGGCCGACCATAAATCATGGAGGCCACGTTATCCATTAGCACACACCCATACCATACTCGATGCAACATCTCCTTGGTTCGGTTATCTGCCACGGCCTCGGTTGTTTGCGGAAGATGAAGTCCAAGGCTCTGAGCGGTCCTAACAGCCAGCCCAACAAAGACCCAACACGGATGAGGCTCGTTGGTACTTTGGAAGTATTGTCCCAGCAGTAGGAAACATTGGACCGACCGTACTGACGCCGTCTCTGCCACATCCAACAACTCGCGAGCCCTCAGATAGAACACTGTTGCCGATCTTAGTTTGTGTTCGGCGTCAAAAGAGGGATCCATCTGGCTAGTCAGTGCAAAGATGATGTTGAGCAAACATAGAAATGACCGTTCTTCGGAGACCGAACCTTCTCCGCTCCAGATTTTCTCATAATCATTTCGTACTTGCTCTTTGTCCAGAAATGGGTAGAGCTCATGAACAAACCTCCAATATAGCGCCATGAGCGCATCAGCCCTTTTTCGCGAGGGCAAAATATAATCAATATGTTTATGCTGGATTTCATTGCCAGGAACCATCATTGGTAGATTCGTCTGATTGATGCTGGGAAGGGGTGTGATCGAGCTTGAACCTCCGCAGAGTTTCTGCTCAACCAGCTTCCTGACATTTTGCATCTATCATTTTCGTAGTCAGCATCATAATGCTATGCCGGCGAATGGGAGCCTGTCCTGATATTGCACTTCCAGCGTAGAGGGTGGGAAGTTTAAGACCTAAGATATATCGTGAAGTATGGGGTTAGGACTTACAAAACTCCCGGCACTCGCACTTCCGAAGAAGCCTTCTCTGTGATCTTCAGTCGTAGTTGCTCCAATAATTGCAACCGACCTAGTGTCTGAAGGAGATAATCCATCTAGTGTGCTGGAAATGTCGTGTCTGTGAAAGCCAGGTCTAGGTGTCGCTGAGGGCGTATTCTCTACAATTTGGGCGCGTGAACCAATGAGAGGCGTTTCCAGTCTGGAATGATCATCTTGTGCTACAGTGGATCGATGATGATTATCGTTCTCGCTTGAATCAAATCTCACGGCGCTCTCGCCGTCCAACGTGCTCGGGAGGGTGACATTGAAAGCATCCTCTTGGAGCAGAGTGATACTGGGAGTGGTTGTTTTATGGGTGAGCGCACCAGTTTGCTCAAGCTGCTTGATACGGTCTTCAAGCCACTGGATCCGATCTGAAGGGACTTGTGAATTGGTTTTCGTAGGAGTGGTATCCCAAGTGCAAGCACCTCCACGCGACCTTTTCTGGCATGGGTCGCATACTATTCAGAGTTAGGCCAATGATGTTCGAATCATTGCCATACACAAAACGGAGAGTTGTACCTGGTGCCCGGCCGTCACATTTGATCTGATCCAGATCTGTAAGACTGGGGCACATTCTGAAGAGATGGTGACGTACCTTTCGAGCACGACAAGGATCACAAGCTACAGCGACCTTCTGTCGTTTCGGTCTGAATCTATCCATCACTTAGAGGAAGAATTCAACGTTGCTACTGTTGACTTGTGGTTTACAAGTCTGTCTTGCTGGTTGGATAATTAGACGCGACAATTGTGCCTCTTACATCTGAGGGACGAGGTGGTTGTAGCTAGTTGGGATGTAAAGAGGGGATGAACGGGATCTGGCCTAGCGGCAGGTGGCTAGACGCCTAACCAATTTGACGCTCTCCCCATCAACCACACAGGCGTAAAGGCTAAAGGCCCTCGGGCTCAACTCGCTTCACACTTCGCCCTTGTATCCGAACTCGCCCACATTAATTGTGGTTCCATTTGACAAAAGCCATGAGCGTCCAAAATACTAAGTAGGACACCACCGAAAACTCCTGTCTCATTCCTACATACCTATTGACTAACTCGGTCTTAAGTCTTTAATCGCTAGCAAGTTAATAAATGGTTCCCACGCATTTGAGAATGTCCTCCACATCGTTTACTGGGCAGGTGGGGAGCAAATAACAAGCCATACCTCTCCCCTAGGGGCGCCTGAAGTATTTCACACATCAATTTTTGTTGTTCGCGTTTCGTAGAAGTTCGGACACTTCCTCATGGTCCAGTAAAAGCTATTATCAAATACAAAATGCAATCTAGGAAACCCAGAGAGGTGATGGAGAGTCGATAAATGTTCCGGATCAGGATGGGCATGCTCCGAGCAGGGGACCTCATAAGGTTCCTTTGGCTCCAGCCTTCGGCCTTCGGCCATTCATTTTGATATTGCTACAATGCCGGCCCAGCAATGAGCTACATTGAAAGACTCAAACGAGGTCCCACTGAAGCCAGAACATTCACGGTTCCGGACATAACGAGGTTGTGGTCGAATTGTGGGGATAAATCGGAACAGCTTCCGACTGAGGCCTCCCTTGATACTACACCCGGTTGGCAGACTAATCCCAGTAATTCTGGGAGATGGAGGATATCATAATTTCTTCCTGGATGCTAGTATCCAAAATCTTGCAGTGATTCCTTGAAACTGAATATTTGAACTTTTTGGTTGGACATCATGAGCAGACATTAGGAGCGATTTACCGCCTATCTGCAACAAAGCCACTTTAAGTGAAGTTCTTGTTACCCAAACAGGAGCCTCGACATACCAGGTCTCCTACTATCAATCCTGAGGATGTCGACCCTCGAAGACTCTAGCGAATTACAGGAACTCCTTATTCGCAAGACATACAATACCCTGATCCTGGGTAGCCACATTCTTCATTATCATGGGTAATACCGGAAGTATCTCCCATATCTGAAATTCGTGAACTAATAGCAAGCAGAGTGGTGGACGCATATGGCCATCTTTCTGCAAGACATCCCCTCAAATCCGATGTCTTTATCATGCCGCGAAACATGCCACCAGCCACAGTCGCTTCTCACAGAGATCTAGTGGAATACTATATTTCAGATGCGTCTCCTGTGGATTCCACTGCGCCGCGAGGCTACTTGGAGCGATGCATTCACAGTGAGATATACAAGAAATATCCCACAGTGAACGGGGTCATCCATAGCCATTCACATGCAGTGGTACCGTACACGATTTCCGGTATATCTCTTTACCTCGTGGCAGCAAGACAGGAGAAGGGCTGACTAGTCATAGGTGTACCGTTGAGACCGTGTTTTCATATGGCAGGCTTTCTAGGTACATATTCATGTCGCGTGTTACCATGACACAACGAGTTGAACTAATCTGAAGCCTAGGACAATCAACACCAGTGTTTAACATTGCAGAACATTATCAGTCTGGTGACATACAGGACTTACTGATACGCGAAGTACGCCTTGGCGAGGCCCTCGCTTCGCATTTCGGTAAGGGTTCAAAAGACGAACCTCTCCAAGCAGTGGTTCTGATGCGCGGCCACGGATTCACAACAGTGGCTTCCAGCCCGGAGGAGTGTATATTCCGAGCGATTTATACTCAAGATAATGCTGGGATCCAGACCACGAGTCTCGCGCTGAATGCAGGGCTGGCCCGAAGCTCAAAGGCCTCAAGTACAAGCATTCCCGAGGTTCACTATTTAAGTGACGATGAAGTTGCAGCGGCCACTGGAATGGGCCAAAATGCATGGACTCGTGCCTGGTCGCTGTGGGTTCGGGAGGTCCAGGCGGACCCTCTTTATGTGATTGATGATTGAGTGTATGGCAAGCGGAAAGACACTCGAATAGTAAGGAATATTCACATGTATGCATTTCGAAAAGTTCTAGAGCTCAATATCCTCATGGGCAGAAGACTTGCCTTCGTCTTGGAGTGTCACTCAGCCAGGAATGCTCGGGTCCGTTCCGCCTCCGAGTGGTCACCATGTGTCTGTTGAGTAATTAAACCTAAAATTCCCTAACAAAATGCTCCACAGTGGAAAGAATAATGATAGTGATGACTTAAGCATCCCTTACCACGACACAAATCCGCGAGATCTTGGAGTTGCCCCTTATACCGCGTAACAGGCAATTGGTTGTACTCATGTCTCACTCGTTGTGGATTGGTCCAGAGTACGTAGTTCTGCCACGTACAAACCACCAAAATATGCTGAAAAGAACCACGAAGCCAAACACAACGCATGCATAATTCATGTTCTGAGCTGTGACGGGCATATATGGGGGAAAGAATAAGAAAATAACGATGAACGTGCTGTAAATGACCGCGAAAATGTTGAGGGGCAGCCCAAATGCACCCAGCTGGAAGGGACCATATTTGAGCTGCGGGCCTCGGACTCGCCGTATTGCATGAAGCAACACTGGTATGAGGTACGAGGTGTAAAGTCCCACCACGGACAATGAGACGATCGCATTGAATGCAGTAGTAGACCCAATGTTTATGAGCCCCAGCAACGCAAGAAACAGAATGCTGAAGCCGATGCTTCGATTTGGAAGTGCCGAATTCTGGTCGACCTGTGAGTCATAGTTAGCACCAGTCCTGGCATCGATACCCTGGAGCCTTACATGAGCAAAAAAAGTCGAGAAGGGAAGTCCTTTGTCCCGTGCAAATGCCCAAAATGTCCTTGATGCAGATGCAAGCAGTCCGAAAGTTGAAGCAACAGCAACGATTATGAAAGGCATCATCAACGCGGTGGTGGCCGAGGTAGACCCTGTCGTATTGTAGAATATCTGGATGATGGGAAATCCAGTAGTGCTGGTGAGGACAGACTCTACATCTCCGAGGCAGAAGAGAAGGGCGAAAAGAAAGCCCAGCCCGAGTGTTCCATTAATTAGGATCGTTCCGATCATGACCCGCGGAAGTATCACGGAAGGATTGTGCATCTCTTCACCTGTGGTCCTGTTAGTTCTCCAATCATATGTCCCAAGGAATGAATATGTCAAGGCTTACTCAAATGGCAGGAGCCATCATAGCCGACCAACACGTACGTGGCACTGAGCAAGCCCAAGCACCATGCCACGCCATTGCTTTCCCAACCAGAGTTGTTTTCAAACGATGTGAAAACGTACTCTGCGCTCTTATGAGGCGAGAGGACAACCAGTGGAATAAGGACGGCGAGGAAGGTCAAGACGTGGAAAAGCAGGACACCATTCTCGATCAGAGGCATGAACTTGATTCCGATGGTGTTGACCAGGTAGGCGACAAGCAATATTGCCCAGTAAATGAAAGTTCCATGCCATCTTTGAGGGACATATTCGGGGTGATTGAGCACCGCCAGCCCTTGGATCTGCAGCCCACCTAGGAGTGCCGCGCTAGCAGTAAGTGATAGCCAGCCGAGGGTTGTGATCCAGCCAGTGAGCCAGCTGAAGAAGGCCGCAAATCGCTCAGGCGCGAGAATATAAGTCCATTCATTCTGGCCACCACTTGCAGGGCATCTATGGTTGATCGGTAAGCCTCAGACGAAATGCATGGCGAGTTGACCAATGTCATAAACTTACAAAGATGCTAGTTCTGCCAAAGAAAGGCATGTAGCCATGGTGCCAAGGAGGGCCAGAATATAGCCATAGAGCAGAGCTACAGGACCGCCGGCGACAAGGCCCCCAGCAAACACTGCGCCGGTTGCCTCCCATGTTGCCATAAGTGTCACACAGACAGAAAGGATGTTCAGGGAGCTGAATCGTTTCTAAAGTGAATGAAATTAGCTCAGATATCGTTAAGGAGTTTCGAATGATGGGTAGTGGTTTACCTTCAGCTCGGATGCATCCCCATGAGCAAGAGTCGCATTTCGCTCGAGGTTGTAGGGCTCCTCAGATTCATGAGTCTTTTCGCGCTGGTCGACCAGCTTTGACTCACGGTTGTCCATAGTAGATGACATTTGACAATGAATTGGCACTGTAATGTCCTAGAGAGCGAGAATTGGATCTCCATGATGAACATCTGGGAGCAAGCCGGCTTTTGTTATCTGCTCTGTTTCAAAACTAGCAATTACCACATATCCCGTGGCTATCTGAGTTACGACGCATACTGTTGAGGGATCTCAGATTAACTCACGATATGCCAAAAGAGAAGATGCGGTACGAAAGAAAGGTCTCGCCTGCACCCATGCCTGATAGGATCAACTTTTGAGTTTCAAGGCTAAGCTGTTTCTAGGCAGTCGGTGCGAATTGAGGTGGAGCATTGCAGGGGCGTGCCGCCAGACTAGTCTCCAGGTTGACTACTCGGAATTGCATTCGATGCACTCACAATTTATAAAAGCCGCTCCCAGATAATGTAGAGACAGAATGCTGTGTGTGCATCGATCTTCTTATCCGCTCAATTACACTCGCGAACCTCGGCATTGGCATTCTGCACCTAGAGATATTGAAGTCACGGAGCATAATAGCCTCAGGCCAATCGAGACAAAAGAAGACAATAACTTTCAGAGAAGACAACCTTGTCACAATGGAGACTGCAACAGAGACTCCAGGTTTCGTTCCCATCTCGGAATGGCCTACTCTTGAGGCTCTCTGCGATGGCTTCGACGAGCACCTCCTTTCACCTTCAAACAAGTTGAATGGTCAACGATTTGAGCTTGCGTTCGAAGATGGCACAGACATTGAACATCACTTTCTCGACACAGATACCATCTTCTGGAGCATAACAAAAGGTACTAAAGGTGTTGGTTTGACTGGCGAAGCAAAATACAGAGCGTTCGAGGTTCGACCGGATGTTTTTTTCGTCGATTTTCACAAAATTGACTACAACGAAGAGGTCAGTATTGTCATGAACATCAAGAGCGGGCAGACAGTAGTGGGCATCTCGGGTTTCCGGGACACAACTGGAGTACGGCGAACGTACACCAAATTCTCCAATGCATATATCTCAGGCCTCGCCCCCAGTCAGCCATACAAGAACACTGATGAACTGATCGGAAAACACGTTGTTTACCGCTATACTGGTGATGATGCCTATGAGCATATTTATCTCAATCAAGGAACATTCACCTGGCACTGTCTGAGCGGGACTGAGAAAGGTCTGGCAGACACAGAACCATGTAAGATGTTGAAGTTGGCCGATCAACTTTACCTGCTGTTCTGGACAGAGAAGATTATGCCTGTGGAGTCAGTGGTCGTGGTTGATCTGAAGGAGATGCGCTCGACGGGACGATTTTTCTGCTGGGACCCGAAGCCTGAGAAACTCGTCAGCACGCTGTTTGGTTCCTATGCGACCCTGCTCGCCGACACTCGAACAAGATGAACTGCCAGCTAATTGCGAGAAGGAATGTATGATGGATCGGCTCTTTGTCATCTTCTGCGAGCCGGGCTGGTGAAAAGCAAGTAGGAAAGTAGTAAATTTGCATGCAAAGAGCAACGCTTTTCGATCATTATGACACGGAAATAGAGTACGCCATTCCCAGCATAGAAAGTAACTAGCTCCCAAAAGCCGTCCTTAAAATAGGAAAAGATAACAGACAGTTTTTTGATTCAGAATGATCAAATCTGAGATTGGTCAAAATCATCAACAACGTTTGCAGTGATATCCGTCTAAGTGACCAGTATAACACCATGTCCATGGAGACAACTCGAAAGAGTCAGATGGGGTGGAACGAAACATGACCTGCTTATCAGGATCTTCTGTGCTGCACACTCCAGCGGAATTGGTTCCTTCCCCACAACTCTTCGCTCTCTGCCTGAAAGCCGATAAGCTTTTGCCAGGGTTCAGCTCAAAGTCCTGACCGCAGGCTCATCAGAACTTAACTTTTGGAACATTGCGCCACAAACCCAGCACAAAAGATTGATTGTTACGTGGACGCTCATCCGTGTGATTGTCTAGAAGATGATTTTTTCCAGAAGTTGCCGGTTATGATCGATGGTTGCAACTCAGATCCAAGGCTAGTAACAAGACTCTAGACGAGCAGCTAAGGCCGTATTCAACTCGTGAAACAAGTGGCAATGCAGCAGTCGGACAAGATTCAAAGGACCCGCTGTAAGAGCCTCGATTCCACAACTAGATGGGGAGACTGATGTACTCACTTCTTTAGCCGGCTGTGCCTTTTGCAAGAAAAGGGTACGTAACACTGCGCTTCGGCAGGGAAAGACAAGCCTCGACCCAATGTGAAAAACTGATATTCTTCAAAGTGTAAAATGTGATGAGACAGTTCCTAAGTGTCTACAATGCATCAAGCGTGGTCTCAAATGCCCCGGATATCATCGAACTCTCAAATGGTCCGACAAACACGAGAGACTGCAAAATTCAGATCCATCTATGAATCGTGCCTCAGACACCATAGTTCAACAGAGACAACCTTCGCACAGCTGCTTCACCAACGATGCCAATATTTTGGATCTTGGAGAGCTTGAGTTCTCTATGCTAACTCCAATGGGGTCATTTGATAGTGAGGTTGTTGGACCTGAATTCGCATGCCTCGATGCCGTGGAAAACCTTGCGATAGCGGATCATGCAGTGTTGATAAAGCAGAGCCATTTCAATATTCGAAGCTTTATACCTCCCGCTCTGGAGACCGAGGCAGACCTACTGTCGAATCATTACTTTTCATCGGTTTGCATCATCAATTCGGGCTTCGACTCTCCCGCAAACCCGTTCCGGACATACGTAGCGGAACTGATGTCTGGCGATACCATCATCTACCACTGTATGCTCTCGATGTCGGCAGCGCATCTTTATCAGCATCGTGAGGTGTTCAAACAGGTGGCACTCAATTATCGCACGGAGGCAATTTCTTCTCTGCGAGCCGAATTGTCTCTCACAGACGGTCGAAGAGTTCTCGAGGCTGACGGCCATTCTAGGCTAAGTACACTACTATTTGGTACCTTATTGTTGGGTATGAGCTCTGTGAGTCCGATATTTGCCCCAGTGCTGAACCGGACAGAACTGATCTTGTCGACCATAGTCCTGGCATGAGACCTCATCGTTAGGGGAAATATTCCTGCATGGTGCTCGCAGCTTACTGAAGACTGCAAAAGTAAGGCAAAGCAACACAGCTTCAGGGCTGGCCAACAACCCCGACTTAACGTTCCGCGATCATCCCGAGGCAAACTTTTTGGTAGGAGCAATTGCTTTCTGGGAAATGCTGTCATCCTACCACATCAATCAGGATATATCAGCGACGGACTACCTCAAGCCGTTCTGCCTGGAACTCGAGTCTGCCGATGTAGCACCAAATCCATGGACAGGCGTAAATACTGGGTTGTTTCTCCTTGCAGCAAAAGTTGGAACACTCACGAGACACGCCCATTTACTTCACCAACTTGCAGCAACCCTACCAGCCATCAAAATGGAGACTCACTTGGATCAGAAACTCCTCGAAACTGCAAGGCAGCTTGAGGAGCAGATCCGTCGCTATGAGGTGCGTCCGCTAACAACAGATACCGATGACAAGCTTACGCCCGGCACACATTTTGAAACTATGGCCCGAGTCTACCAGCTTACGATGCGATTGGAGTTGTATCAGGTGTTCCCAGAACTCCTTCGTGAAAGCTCTCAAATGGCCCACTATTGGGTATCTTCGCAGCATGAGAGTCGGTCTCGGAGCGGTTACCTTGAAATAATAAGGGCGCTGGCAGTCAACATCTTGACCCTGTTGTGTTCGATCCCAGTGACAAGTGGTACCAAAGCCATACAATTATTTCCGCTTGTGGTCGCTGGGAGCGCCCTGCAATATGACTCGACAGTGTCAAACGCTTCGGCACCAGATAAACTGTGCGTTGCTCAAGAAGTTGTGTCACTGATCGGCGATAAGACGGCCATACTGCACTGGAGGGCCGTGGTCCAGAACACTATGCTGACTGTTTACAAATATGTCGGACTCGAGTCGGCTCAACGTGGTGCCAAGATAGTCGAAAATGTCTGGACACGGTCGGACACGAATTATCATTCTCACAGCTCCGATACTGGGGTCGAAACGACTAAGTTTATATATTGGGCAGATGTGATGCGTGAAGAGCATTTGGAGACCCTGTTAGGATGACCAGTGCCACCCCAGACACTTATGTATTATTGGACTGACGCATGGCGTGTCTTGTCTGGTTGTCTCAATGGCATCCAAGACTATGAATTGGCCAACCGCACTCCTCTCCTCGTTGAAGTACCCCTGGTCCCGGATCGCATTTTCGAGAACACCCATAACCTCTAAGCGTTCTCGGCGTCATGGCTGAAACTCGTAGGGTTCTCTCAATCCCCAAACCGCCTGCCTCGTGTACATTCTGTCTGCTTTTCAGAATGTCCCTTGCCAAATGACGCCAGAAGCAAATCAATTCTTACGGCACCCCGATATCTCCAGATCAGAGTAGAGCAAGTCCCCAATATCTCCAGATCAGAGTAGAGCAAGTCCAGAAGCGAATCTTGCAAGGCCAACTGAACCCTTTTGCGTCCTACAGCCAATCAAACTGTGGTCCGTTCCGCTTCCGAGTCGCACCCACTGCATTCGCTTGGCATCGGTTTCCGGAATGTACCTGGGACTTTGGAAAAACCTACCTTTGTCAATCACACTTAGTCACGGTTAGCACGCTGTGGCCCCGCAAGGAGATATCATTCTATGTGAAAGCGACTTTCGGATCCCCAGATTTGGAGCGCTGCTACGGAAACTGAATGGCGAAGGATCGCGGGGAACACCTCTGCTAACTCGGACCCAGATCCGGATGCCTTGTTCACAAGGACCGAGTATGACAGGGTATGATGGCTTTAGTGTTCAGTACTTAAGGAGAAAGCATCTCTTACATTCAGATTGACCCACCGAGAGCAAACAAGGTCCTACTACGCTCACCCAATTCCCTCAGATTATCTCCCAAATTGGATTTCAGGAGCTCAGCAGCTATGGAAAAACGAGATGTGGAACAGGTCGAGGTCAAAGGTGACCATGAACCCTCACCAGACGAGCTCATCGCCGGTTCTGATCAGAGAATCAAGCGTTCGGCTCTTGAACGAAGGCTCCTTCTCAAGGCGGACTTGGTGATCGTACCACTCATCTCCGCTGCATATCTCGCATCATACCTGGTAAGTGTTGAATGCGGAGGTGGCTCGTTCTCAGGCTGACAATCGTAAAAGGATCGCAACAGCATCGGCAATGCTAGGATCATGGGCTTACAAAAAGATCTTCGCATGAATGCGGACCAGTTCTACAACTGTCTGACAATGTTCTGTAATATTTCAGCCTTTATGATTGAGACTAGACAGTATGGCAGTGACTAACATGGCTTCAGTCATCGGCTATGCAGTCTCAATGTTTCCCGCGAATCTCACAGCACGAAAATTCAAGCCGAACCGCTCGCTTGGTGTGGCTGTGGTCTTTTTCGGTATTTGTTGCTGCGGAATGGCAGAGGCAAAGAATTATGCCACGATCCTTGGACTGCGCATATGTCTCGGTATAGGTCAAGGATTCATCCAGATGGCCCCTATCTACTGCAGCCTATGGTATAGACGTGATGAACTGGCAACGAGATCATGTGAGTTGCATACTCTATCCGACTGTCGGCTGTGCATTGCTCTACAAGACTAACACATTCCAAAGCAATATATTACGCGTGTGCAACTCTCTCTGGGGCTTTCGGAGGTTTGATCGCATACGGAGTGCAGTCAGACCTTGGGTCTCAGGGCGGTCGAAAACCTTGGTCGTGGTTGTTTCTGATCGAAGGCGTATTGGCCATCGGGATCGGACTTCTAGTTATTCTAGCATTGCCACGTTTTCCGGATGATCTGCATCGCCGCGAAAAGCGACATTGGCTTTTTAAGCCAGAAGAAATTGACCTGGCATACAACAGATACAATGGTGAGCTGCAGCGACAATCGGATTTGTGTGCTCAACTAACGTTAGACACAGCCTATAATGCGGAAGGCGACAAGTTTCGAATAAAGCAACTGCTTGCGGTTTTGAAAGACGTCAAATCTTACTTTTTCAGCTTCATCCAGAGCGCGGCCGTGTTGGGCGTTTCGGTGGTTGGTAGTTTCCTGCCTACTTTCATCCACGATTTTGGTTTCAGTCCCGGTAAGTGACGCATTTCCTGCATGATCTCACGAAATTTCTCTGACTGTCTGAAGTCCGCACGCAACTATTCACGGTGATTCCATACGCTCTTGCCTTTGTCACCGTAATCACGGTTGGGTACCTTTCCGACCGCTGGAATACTAAAGGCCCATTCCTTTTCGCGTCATGCTGCATCGGATGCCTCGGCTACATCTTGCTGATGACGGTCTCCGCCACGACTGCGAGAGTAGTCGCAACTTGCCTTGTGACTGCGGGATGCTACCCGATCGGAATTCTTCTGCCTGTATGGCTCTCAATCAACACTCCCAACTTCACTAAGCGTGGAGCCACATGGGCATTTTCCGAAATCTTTGGCATTGGCTTCTCGATCATGGGCACTCGAATCTACACTGAGCCACCAAGATATTATAGAGGACATGGAACTGTCCTCGGCTTTTTCGCCTTTGCGGCGATAAATGTGGCAGCGGCATATCTCTGGATGAGGAGACAGAATAGGAAGAAGGATGCCATTTTGGAGGATTATGCTCGTCGTGGAGAGATGCATCCACACATTGCGCAAAGAATGACTCTCGAGGCATTGCAGGACGAGCATATCGCCTTCCGATATGTTCTGTAATCATCTCCTTGGTACCTAGGTAGTTTTCCTATCTGTTGTACAGCTCTGGTTACTGCCGCCTGCGGCCACCGAGTATTTTAGATGAGAATAAAACCGTAATGCCTGTTCTCTGCTAAAGACGATCTAAGAAGTTGATGTATCCAAAATTTAGGATTAAATGGTGGTGGTAGTGTTATTATTGCTGCTGCTGCTGCTGCTGCTGTTGCTGTTGCTGTTGCTGTTGCTGTTGCTGTTGCTGTTGCTGTTGCTGTTGCTGTTGCTGTTGCTGTT